GGGGGGGCAGGGAATTTTGAGCGTGATCGTGGCTGTCTTGAGGCATTGAACATGTAGTGAAGCATTCAGTGAGCGAAGATTTGTGCACGTACATGGTCATGGTGATAGTCGCACCTTCTCCATTCACCAGCGGGTTGGGCATCAGGAGGTGTATCGCCATTTTCGTGAGGCATATGCTTGTGGTGCGTATCCTTACACAGTGTCGAACCATTTCGCCATTCCATCTTCGGCCGACGGCTGGCCGCATGAGAGTTGTACGACATCCTCTACTCAAGCCCGCCTCGACCCTAGCTCAACTATCCTACTACCTTGCTCTCTGTTGCTTAACTTATCTACTTGCTCTTTGTCTGCACAAACTCTGCAGCCTTTCGACCAGCTATGCGCCCGAAAACCACACATTCGAGCAGACTACTTCCTCCCAGTCGGTTCGCGCCATGAATGCCCCCTGTAACCTCACCGGCGGCCCAAAGTCCGTTGATCGCTCGCCCGCTTGAATCCAGTACCTCAGCCTCAGGACTGAACAGGGCACCACCCATGGTGTAATGCACGACAGGAGTGACATGACCAACATACATGACGGTGTCGGGCTTGGGATCCTGCAAAGTCCAATTTCCAAAGTAAGTCTTTCCGAGATGATCAGGCTTCTTGCCTTGCACGATATCACAGTACTCCTGAACACTCTTGAGAGCCGTGTCCGAATTCTTCAACTCCGAGATCGTCGTCTTCTGCATCAAGCCTTTCCAGAGGTAGAAGTCGACGTGAGATTTCGTTGCTTCATACGTCTTCTCGTCCAGCAAGAGCAGGATGTCCCACTGTTTGATCGGTTCTGTGGTGTTCGGTGCTTCGGCCATTATCGCATCAGTGACCACTTTCCGTGTCTGCATTTCATCAATGAATCTGGCCCCGTGCCTCAGCAGAATACCTCCTTCTCCTCTCAGCACCTCTGCAGCCAGAAACTTTGTTACCTTAAACGGTTCTTTGGGGTCGACAAATCCTGTCGGATGCACTTGGACCTGATCCATGTCCAGCAATTGAGCACCAACTTCAGTCAAGAGATCCGAACTGCTAGGAAGTGCCTCATTCGTCGAAGGAAAGCCATGCAGATCAGGCCGATGTCGTGCGAGAAGACCAGTAGAGTCACCAGCAAATCCGCCACTGGCGAATATCACTGGGCCTTCCAGCTTTTCCGTCTTGCCCTCGTGAGAAACCACGACTCCAACGACCTCGTCCTTCACTTTCAGAATCTTGGTAACGGCCGAGTTCGTCTCGATCTTGGCTAGACTGGTGGTCTGTAACTGCTTTAACAATGTCGTGACAATGCTCGCCCCAGGTGGTGTTTGTCCTGCTCCGCGATGCGTTCTGGGATGACTGTGTCCGCCCAGCTCGGCTACCCGAGACAAGTCAATCCCCTTGTCATCAACAAGCCAGGAGATTGCCGGTGCAGAGGATTCCGTCAAGACAGTTATCAGCCCCTGTCGAGCCTCTGTCATGGTCTTCATAACACCGGGGCTGACGGACCTGACGGTGTCATTGTAGAAGCTTTCCACCGAATCTGAGGAGTTGACTTGGAAGCGTGTCGGTACACCATTGATACCACTCGACGCTTTGATCGAGTTACCTCCAGGTTTCTGCTGGCGTTCCAGGATGACCACGGGCACATTTCGTGAGACGAGCTCAGACGCTGCTGAGAGCCCTGCCAACCCTGCTCCCACAATTATGACGTGTTTGTTGGGCGTCGACATGATCGTCGTAGATATCAATCTGCTGGTGAATGGTCGAAAGAGCATAGACAGGACGAGAATAGAGACGGAGAACGCAGCTGTCGCCAGAAGCTGTCGTGTGGGCATATGGGTGGTCGTTTATATGCGGCCAATCAAGGGATATTGTGGGGTAGAAGTAATCGCACTACGGTGGGCAGAAGTCGGCTTGGTGGTGATGAATGAGGGACAGCTATTCTTCTCATGGCAGTGGAGGACATCCCTAGGACTGTGTACCTGCTAGGTGAGGTGAGTTGGCTGTCCTCAATATGTAAAGCGTGGTCAGCAGTCGCCGTCACACCACATTTCACGTGTCAGGTCCGCAGCCATCACTCCACCGTTTCAGAGTGCGTCTCGGATTATCTCCCAACGTGTCGGCATTTTGCTTTGCGGGACATACGTGGTAGAGACATCGGCCTGGGCCTGGGTCGTGCAGTATCTAGTTCTGCTAGAGAGACAGGGAGAGATTGCACAGTTGGCGCGGTCAGGTCCCCTCACTGCTGTTCCCGGGCAGGACCATTCCCTCATCAATGACACGCATTTGGTGGGCAACACATACGAAAGCGTCTCGAAGGATGGCTTCAACCGGACTGGCCCAGTCAAATTCAGTATACTACCAGGTACGTAAGTTAAAGTTAGTAAGTCAAGTTCACTAAGTTAGGCCTAAGTCGCAGCCTAGACTGGAATGCTGTTCAAAAAGGCATCATATGGTCTCCTGGTATCCGTACATGGTATATTACACAATTACATAGCCATCGACGTAAGATCACGATCCAGCGTCGATATCCCCATCCCCAAGCACAGCCTCATCAAACTGAAGGAGGGTGAGTCGCGAAATCAGCCACAATTGTCCTCATCTCATCTCTTCAGATACTTCAACTCGAGCCATCTCAACGGAGGATAACACAATCCGGTCCATGCGGCTGCGACGGGGAACCCCAGATCAATTCCATCGCCCACCATTTTAGCAATGGGTCCAATGAAGTAGACCTGGTACATACACAACACTGCGCCCACCCATCCGATGCAGAACGCGGTGAACGCAGCGACGCCCAGCGGCAATTTGGACGGCTTATTCCAGTCGGACCAGTTGTACCCAATTTTCCGTCTGAAGATGTGTTCCTCCTCAAGCGTCATGGTGCACCACATGATGGTCCAGTAGCCCATGAGCGCGAGAAAATCTTCAAAGATGGCGAAGAGCTGGTTTCGCCCGGCGCAGGCACAGACTGTGTAGATGATTACAGAGACAATGACCCAGAACCAGCGAGGCACGCGTCGGAACCAGCGGCCCAACAGCTGAAAGCACAGCGCGGCGGAGTAGGTACCGGGGATGTTGTTCGCAATCAGACCCAGTGACAGGATGACGGCGCAGAAGTCGCCAAACGAGCCCAGCGGTCGAAGTGCTTGCACGACCAGCGCGCCCGCAGATACATCGTAGGCGTCGGCCCACTCGGTGTTGGCTAACGCGCCGCTGCCTAGACCGACACCAATGAGGACCATGATGACTGAACTCAATCCAAGACCGAGGAGAGTACTGCCGAAGACTTTCCATCGATTGCAACTCGGTGGGAAGTACACGAAGAAATCGCATGCTGCCGGGGACCAGGCTAGTGGTGCCGATGCGGCGAGGAAGAAGAAGCTGACCCTGCAACACGAACCGTTAGTAAATAAAATCATATCTGGAGTAAAGTAACGGATCGATCGAAAACACAAGGGCGTAGCATACCTGTCTGCAACGGCGACTTCGCTCGGTCCGACGGTGGCGCTGCTGGCATTGAATTTCGGGCCGGCAACGCCAATCAAGATGAACAAGACGAGAATTTGTGGGATGAAGGCGTATCGCTCGTAGGTGTGGAAGAGCTTGATACCGAACAAGGCCACGACGAGAGATATGATTGCCGCAATGATGGTTCCCACGATGACCGTCATCGAGCCGTTGGCCACGGCAGACAGAAGCTGGCCCGCGATGAGACAGTCGACGAGGCCGTAGCCAAGCATGATAACCATGTTCAATAGGACGGCGATTTTCGAAGGCCACCATCCGAAGGTGTATCGTGCAACGACCTTGGGTTACTTATTAGCTTTAGGTAACCTCCCGAGGGGAGGATGTGGCGGTCGTCAACCTACCAGAGTTCTATTCCCGCTCAAAGGACCAAAGGTGGAAATGTATGCAGTACCCACAGACCCTGCGATCGTTCCGAAGGTCCCGACCAACATTGCATCTTTCAGTCCGACATAGAAGACCAATGGTCCCAGCAGGCCGATAGCCAGGTTGTTCAGGGTCAAATTGGCAGAGAACCAAAGCAGGATGATCTGGACAAAGTCGCCGATGGTAGCCTTGTCAGGTCTGTCGCTTTCTTCAACTCGTTCGATACCGCGAGCCTCGACGCCGAGGAGTTTCTCGAGCTTCACGTTCCAGCCATGCAGGATCTTAGGTTCTTCCTCTGCCTGGACGGTGCCAGCCTCCATGGCATCTATCGCACAGGCCACGTCAGCATCGAGCTTTTATCGGATGTGACGCTTCACTCTTCACACTTACCAAGCAAATCGTGCGGCGCAGCATGAGCATGTCTGTGAGCATGCTCCTCCTTTGGTGTCTCTTGAAAAGACTTCTCGGTCGGCGTAGTCGACGTGTTGGCCTCGGTGAGGGTCATCTTGATTTGTGTATGGTATTGGTATACCAAAATGCTCCGGCAAAAAGGATCTCACAGCTTGGCTTTGATCGCGCGAGCAGTATCAGCTCCTGTTGTACACGACGTGAGTTGTCAAAACGTCCTTCTACTTCCGTCCAGAATGAATCTCAAGTCATTGAAGTAGTTCCAAGGGTCTTTGGCGATGATATCGTGGATTTAAGTTATCGGTTAAGCTTCTACCAAGTAGTTGACGGGTCCGCTATCATCTTGACATTGGGTGATCTGTGATAGAAGCGTCCACAAGCGTCGTGGAGCATTATGGGCCCGTTATCTGTGAGGTCTTGGGCCAATCGTAAAGCAAGGTGTATTCCCCCACTCTTTGACGCCCAGCGCCCACGTTTGCAACCGTGCTGTCAAGGCGCAGATAAGACTTGGGACTATACCGGTCTAGGCGGTCCTTGTAGGGAAGTCCCATGGGTGTCCCAGGCTTGGGGATTCGGATCAAGACCCGTGCAGGGAGATCGTGCACCATCGCGGCAATCACTAGTTAGTTGCCTGATAGCCACCGATAATCCTCGTGAATAACTCGGGCAAGTCGAGTTCGTGGCCATATCGAAGTAGGTGTATCACCTGCAAGGTGCAGATCAGCCACAAGAATATGGTAGATCGTGCGAGATCCTTATAAATCAGCCGGATCTTCCGGATCACGCCCCCAAGCTTGTTCGGGGTCCGTCAATCGTTCGTCATGGCCGACATGGAGGCATTGGACGGCACGGATTTTGACTATGTTGTCGTAGGAGGCAAGGCCACGGAATTAAGACCGCAGACAAGGCTGATTGTTCTCAGGGGGCACCTCGGGGTGCCTGATCGCATCAAGGCTCGCCTTAGACCTTCCAGAATGTCGCATTCTGCTGGTTGAGGCTGGCAGTGATGATTCAACGGACCCAGCTAATCTGGTGCCGGGTCTGACCAAGCCGAAGTTTGGGAGCGCCGATGGTAACTGGCTGTATCAGACGGCGCCACAAAGTGAGCTCAGGAATCGGCAAATAGTGTATCCACGTGGGCGAGGTTTAGGTGGCTGCTCTGCGAACAACTTCATGGCCTGGGTCAAAGGGCCTTCGGCCGATTATGATGACTGGGCGCGACTGGTGGACGACCCGTGGTGGCAATGGGAGAGCGTGAAGGACGTACTCAATACGCTTGAGGACTTTCGGCCAGGTTGTCCGCCTGGGTTGGAGAAATATGCGAAGCCGACGCCTGGAGCTCATGGTAGAGGCGGCCCTATCGCAGTCCAATTCAATCCAGTCTGGCAGGATCTTATTGTTCATTGTCTGGAAGCATCGGAAGAAGCTGGCCATGCCTTGAACCCTGACAATAACGACGGAGATCCGATCGGCTTTGCGGTTGCTCAATTCAGTGTCGGAGACGGTGTGCGGGTGACGAGTGCGAATGCTTTCCTCGGTCAAGCTCAACGACAAAGACTTTCGAACTTGACTATACTCAACAACACGCTCTGCTCGCGAGTCTTGTTCCAAGCCACCAAGGCCGCAGGCGTCGAGCTAGTACCGTCTAAACTCTCGTCATCATCCGGTGGTGCACAACGAGCAGTCTGTATTGGAGTTAAGCAGGAGGTGATTCTCGCGGCCGGAACATTTCAGTCCGCACAGCTCCTGTTATTATCCGGCATTGGCCCTAAGGCGGACCTGGAAGCGTTATCCATACCAGTAGTCGTCGAGTCACCAGCAGTGGGCCAAAACATACGGGATCATAGTGCGTTTGCCTGCGAATACATCGTTAACCCCGAGATCGCAGGTCATAATCAGCTGCTCAACTCGCCCGAGCTGCTGAAGGTGGCTGGGGAGGAATACGCGCTCAGCAAAACGGGACCAATGGCGGTGTTCGGTGCTAGTGCGGCTCTGATATTCCCACGCCTACCGGCAGTCTTGTCCTCGAACGAGTTCAACCAGGTCGACAAGGCTACTCAAGGCTTCCTCGAAAAGCCTACCAGGCCAAGCACTGAGATTTGGATGCATTCTGGTCCTCTCTTCTACACGGGGCCATGCCCACCGGATGCCAGTGTCCTGGTCATTGAGGGTCTGAATCAAAATTGCCTGAGTGAAGGACATCTCAAGCTTAGAAGTCGCAGCCCGTACGACTTGCCCTTGGTTGATCCACGATATCTGAACCACCCACTCGACCATCGCGTCGCCATTGAAACGGTTCGAGAGACCCTTCGCTTGGTACGCACAGACGCATTGAGCAAGATAATACAAAAGCCTCTTTTGGCGCCCGCTGGAGACAGTGAGGCCGATTTGGACAACTTCATCCGCGATAATTTAACACAAGGATTTCACAGCATGGGAAGCTGTGTCATGGGACGAAGTGACGACCCTAGACGTGTCGTGAACAGCCAATTCGAAGTTGAAGGGATCCAAGGCTTGAGAGTGGCCGACATGAGCGTCTGTCCAATCTTGACTTGCAACCATACCCAAGTCAATGCGTACCTGATCGGATGGCGTTGTGCGGAGCTAGTGGTTCAAAAAGCTAAAGAATCGACTGCACGAGCCAGACTGTAACGACTGGTTTGCCCATGCCTGATTCTCTCGCATGTGGACTGTTCCTTTGCTGGCTGTGGAAAAGATATCGACTGAGCAGAATCAAGAAGAGAGACGAGCCGTCAAATGAAAAGTGGTATCACGTGCTCCGGCCACCAATTGAAAAGCATTCTCTTAAACTTCGGCGGCTGCGACCCTAGCCGCGGGTGGCCGCATTACCGGCCACAAATTGGGACACAAAAAAACATAAAATCCACGAGATTTCCAGACAGATCAAACCCACCTCCAGTATTCAATCAAAAATGCAAAAACACAATCCGCAGTGGGGATTCGCTGCTCGTCACCGACGCAACTACTAACCCACCGGCACTTGGCTTAAGTACGGCTGAGCGAACGGGAAGCCCTGTTCTCCAAGTCCTATGGCGGATTGTAGCAGCAATTGAACGGATCAAAACCATATACTATCATTTTCGGCATTGATAATTGAGTCCAGAGGTATCTGTACTTCAAGTTGTGAAAATGTCTGTACTATTAACATCTCATACAATGCTACAAGGCTCGCGACGAGCTGGCGGAATTTCGATCCTAAGAATTTCGCGCGAAACACTCGTAGGAAAACCTGGCTTCTCTGGGCAACTTTTCATGAGAAAAGGTATCAATTAACACTACCGGACAGTGATATTTGACCATCATGTCCCAGTTGAGTGCGCCTCAGGTTTCAAAGGTCCGTTGGCTTGGACAGTCCAAGTCGCGTGCACCCAGATGAAGCACGATCGATATCACCGGCTTCGAGGTCCCCCATCCGCTTTCTGGCTGCATCGAACACCCTCCTTCCTGGGGCATCATGGACAAAGTCGACCCACATGATGGACCTTAGGACTTGGTGAGCCTGCGACCACGTGTCCATCCTGGTAAGGGCGATCGCCTTGCTGAGTTGGACGCTCTCCCACGCTTCAGAAGAGGATTCTTTATCTGCAACCACGTGATGCAAGATCATCAGCCATAGCGTTATTGAGTCCGGCACAACGGTGCCTGGATCTTGACATAACCTGGACAAGGTGGAACTGAAAAGGTCGAACAGACGCTCATATGGTTGTCCCAGATAAAGCCGTGTCAGAAACAGTGTCGAGCAGAAGGTCAGCAACGCCAACCGGATTATTTCATGCGAAAGGTCGTCCTCGAAAGAAAGATGGGTGAGTCGGTAGAAGATAGATATCATCATCTCATTGTATGTTTCTGGCGACAGCTTCTGGGTGGTCTGGTAGGCTAGATTGCTTAAGCAAGAAAAGGCATGGATGTCTTTCCAGCAATCCCTCAATTTGGAGTCCAAGGTGTCCACGAAAGCGGATATATGGAGCTCGTGATGTTCATGGTTGCATCGGATCAAACCACGATCCGCGATGAAGCAATCCCAGTCGATCTGATCACGGAACAGACGTGGTGGGATGCCCAACCGTAATGCCAGATCCAGATCGGCCCTAAACTCGGCATCAGTAACGGTATGCTGTCGCGCACTGAGGAATACTGAAAACGTACCTGCAGACCTTGACTTGGACATTAGTATGCGTGTCCAAAGACCTCAGACCTCCTCGTAGGCCGACGATTTTGAGAAGGCCATCAACGTGATTCTGTGCAGCCACAAAATCTCCCGCGAGCTCGGCAGCCATGGCCAGAGTGATAATGACCATCAGGGTGGAGTCGCCGAATACGGCGTTCCGCAGACCATGCCCAAAGTCATTGATGCGAGCCTGTAGAAGCTGCAAGGCTTGGTCATAGTGAAAAGCTGCTAAGCGGCTGACTTGGTCACTGCAGGTAGAATTGCCGACAAATGCGTGGACTGAGAACATCATCGAGTGGATGCAGCAGAGGTCGCTGATCATGTAAGGAAACCAGCCTCGCTGGACGGGATGTACTTGAAGGCAGATCTCGTAGGGATAGACGCCAACCTTGTCAATATCGATGACTGCGAGTCTGGTTAATTATCTAAATAGGCCAACGAAAAGATATTAGGGCTTTTATTGCCTACGTTTGACCAGTTCCTGTATCATGGCAGGTTCGATGCCTTGGGGTAACTGTGTGGCGGAGAAGTCTCCACCAATCCGCCTGAGACTGGGAAGGGGGATTGCAGGCAAGTTAGGTGTATCTGACTTGTTTGGGCGCTTCAAACTACGAGCGGGATCAATCCACGAGTGCATCTGGCGGTCTTTCCGGTGTTTCCACCGAGCTTTTGATGCATGGCTCACGGCGGCCCTGCGATCGTCGTCATCCAAGCGTCGATCTGATGTTCTGACAATGAATTGAAACCCCGCCGTATCTAAGAGAACAAGCATTCAGAGTATCAGTGGCCCATCTTCTGCCGGTATCTGGTCTGGGTCTCTCGGATCACTCACATCGAGTCTTCTTAGCCATGGCGCCGCTGGTGGAATGGCTCGGCAGGGCTATTCAAGTGCCGCGTGTCGACGCATGCTGGGGAACCGATGCCATCAAAGCAGGAGCTCATATAAGTTCCGCAATCCGTCCTCAGAGGTTCTAGTCTAGCTCGGAAGACTGAAGGACAATACTTGCAGAGGTAAGATGAAGTTCTCACGTCCCAGGCCCCCCATTGTTGTCCAAACTCCACTCAACGCTTGCCAAGACAGATGAGACTTCCTCTTACAGACTAGCTTCAATACTTCGACCTTCTTTGCTCCCTCATTCTTGTCCTATCCAGAGATCTTGATCATAACAACGACATATTGCTGTTATGCATATGGTAGAGACGCCAAGGTAACTGAGGCTTCCTGATTAGGGTGACCAGTCTTCTCAAGGCGGTTGCCTACGGACTTAGGACATTTATCACGCTCCGTTGCTGCGTCGATATCAAAGGTAGGCTCACTCACAAGCCATGGCTATAACTATCTGGGTTTCTCGCACTTTCTGGCGCCTCCATCTCTCTACTCTGACCTGATTCACTGTCCTGACAAATGTGACTTACCCTACTCTACTTCACCATCCAACATGCCCTCCCACCGCAAGAGTCAGCCTGCCGACGGCCAGCCTCTGCCATCAAAAGACATGCCCCCATTCCCTGAAAACTTCGGCCCAATCTTCTTCCAGAACCAATTCCGCACCAAGATCGAGCTGCCAACGAAGTCCAAGTATCCCAACGTCAAAGGCCAATGTGCCATCATCAGCGGCTCCAATACAGGACTTGGCTTCGAAGCAGCACACCAACTCCTAACCCTTGGCCTGTCCCATTTGATCATGGCCGTCAGGTCCACGACCCGCGGCGAAGCTGCTGCCAACAAACTCCGTGCGGCATCTCCCTCTGCAAAGATCGACGTATGGCACCTGGACATGGAATCCTACGACTCGATCCAGACCTTCGCGCGCAAGTGCGCCGACCTGCCCACACGCATCGACATGGTCATCTTGAACGCGGGGGTCGCGCGGCTCAAATTCGCAACCAGCCGTGCCACAGGGCACGAACTGACCATCCAGGTCAACCACATCAGCACACTGCTGCTGACCATTCTGTTACTCCCGATCCTGTCTTCGTCCAAGCACAAGTTGGCGGTGGCCGGCGGCAATGGCCACAATCAGCATCAGCGTCCTCCAGTCCTCACACTTGTCAACTCCGTCACAGCGCATCTAGCCAAATTTCCGAACAAGGCCCAACGTCCGCTCCTGCCCAGCTTTAACGACCCAGCTACATACGATGCCACGGAACGATACGGCGTGTCCAAGTTACTCAACCAACTGGCCACCGTCAAACTCACAGAGCTCATCAGCCCCGACGACGTAATCATCAACATGGTTGATCCGGGCCTGACAAAAGGAACCGGGCTAGCGCGAGATGCCAAAGGTGCCTATGGCGTCGCGATGAAAGTGGTCCTGTCCATCGCAGGGAGGCCCGTCAATAGGGGCGCTGCCACATACGTCGACGCCGTGTTGGCGCACGGGAAGGAGTCGCATGGTTGTTTCCTCATGAACTGCAAGATCGCACCGTAAGTCTGATGCCACCCACGGCACAAGACCTCATTCCCATCCCCATCTCCTTAGTTACTGGTACTTCCGGTGTCGGCCCCGGGTTTCATCATGTTCTAACTGACAATCTCCTCTCTCGACGACAGACTCGCTCGCTGGTACTATACCGACGGAAACACGTTGATGGACGTCATCTGGACTGAAACGATGCATGAACTCAACTTCGCTGGCGTCGAAGGGATCATCGCCTCGATGCGAGCTTCGGACAACAATGCGTGAATCGCTTTCGAAGTACCAAGTCATGGAGACAGCATATTGTCCGTTCACGCGTCCAAGCTGGACTGCTGCCGCCGTATGGAATCGCGACAATATATCCGTACCTACTCCATCTATTGTCATGTCATTTCTGGGCCACAACCATGCAAGAAGTCCCTTGTAACGGCAAGACCGGCGGACATATGAACATATAAACCAGCACTAGCTCGATTCGTTAATTCATCCGTAAGAATTCCAGCCATCCCATCAAGGTCATTCGCTCCATGTATTTCTGTACCTGACATTGAACGACAATGACGGGGTATTCTGCCCCGTTGCTCCTGATTTGTCTTTATCATTCGTTCACAAGATCCTGGCCGGTCTCCCCCAAAAAGCTGAACCCATACCATAGACACATATCATCGTTTCTTGATTTCCGTAGCCCAACCTTCGATGCCCTCGCCTTTACTACCCACAGTGATATCCAGCGAGACAGCATCCATGCCTTTTGTGGCTTTCAGAAACTCCGAGTTCGTCATCCCACCGGCATTCGCCCGCGCCTCGGGCGGCAACTCTAGCATTGGGATCAGGAAATCGGCGATCTTTTTCGCGTCTTCCACAGAGAAGTGATACTTTTCCCGAAGCACATCGGGAAGGGCCCAGTGTCGTAATCGGTGGATGTTGCGCAACTCGCCTTTCCGATTGAAAATCTCTTGTGACCATTTACCAGAAAGACACAAAGACTTTGGAAACGGCCCGAGCAGTTCGATGATTTGTGCTATATGATCGTCGTCCTTGCCGTATTTTGTACCAGATTGAGGGTCGAACAGGTAGTCACCAGTAATCAGCTCGAACACCTTCGGAGACCATTAGTATCGCCTTTGGGACCGTAGTTCCAGTACTTACCATGCACGCCATACTCCAGACATCTGTACTTGCACCCCACTTCGCCCCGAGTATGACTTCCGGTGATCGGTACTGTCGAGTCTGGATATCGTTTGTGAAATGATGATTCACCCAGCAGGCGTTTCCCAGATCAGCAATCTTGACCGAGATAATTTCGCTTGCAGGTTCATCTTGGTTCTTTGCGGCCTTCAACACTTTCTCTGCGTCGCTAGTCTTTTTGCTGTCAAGCGAGACACCAGCCAGATCCTTCTCCAGGGGATCTGCCGTCCCTTCTCTGGTCTTTGACGATTCTTCACTGTCCGTACCCTCCTTCGATCTCATCCTCAATTGCTCGAGCATCGACAGGCTCTCTGCTGGTCTGCTGGAGGCCGAGTCGTTGAGGACCTGGTTCAAACTGCTCGTTTGATGAAGGTGCGTGTTGCCCATTTTATCGAGATTTGTAAAGCTGGCATTGAGAGGACTTGGGAGAGGTTGGCTGCCGGTGATCAAAGTCCGCCTTCGCCTCCGGCCATTTCTGTTATCATCTTTGGTTGAATCCTTTTCATCCTTGACAAACGCTTTGACAATTTGTTCGACATCTCCGATCTCAATCAGAACGTTTTCGGGCTTGAGATCTGTGTGGATGATGCCGCATTCGCGGTGCAAATAGTCCAGGCCCAGAAGGACTTGTTTGGTGATTTGTTTGACCAAAGGCATTGGGATACCACGGTGGTTCCACCTCTTGATCAGGCCCAGTAAATTTTCTCCTAATACTTCGAAGACCATACAAACGTGGACACCGTTGGGACCCTTGTGTTCGAAGGAATCGAGGAGACTGACGACGTATCGTCGACCGGGATGGTTGGGGTTGGCCTGATTGACCTTGTTTAGCAGCTTGATTTCATCGATAGCCGTCTCTGTGTAATGCGCCGCCGATCTGACGACTTTCAAGGCGACATGTTTGCCAGTGGTTGTATCTCTCGAGAGCCAGACTGTGGAAAAATGACCCCATCCCAACTTTCGGACCACGACATATCGACCATTGTTATATGTTTCGCCTACATGCACAGGGTGGTAACCACCCTTGCAGTAGTCTTCGGAGTCTTCTTCGTCGGCCGTGGTTTCGGCGGGGTCCTCTTCAGACGTGGACGATAAGGGTGATCTGTGAGAATGTGAGTTATTATTTGCTGCGACCTTTCCGTGAGGTAGAGGAGAATCCATGTTTCTGAGGGATGATGATCAGTTTGGAGGCATGGTTGGAGCAAGACACAGCAAGCATCGAATGCAAGTGATGTAACGAAAAAGCACAGGCAAAAGGACCTCTTGACTTACTCTGCCTCTAATTGGGTGGGGCTGTCGTGAAGATTCGAAGACGCGTTTTCAGTGGTGATGATGGGTTTGAGGTTGTCGCCTTTCCGCCGTTTCTTCTGGCCGTTACTGTTGTTTGCAGCGACGGCCGCAGTTGTCGCAACTTTCTTCGCGGGATTCAGAACGGCGTTTTTGAGGTCAGTTCCGTTCATCATTGCGTAGACCGCGGCGTTGGCTGCCAAGAGGGTATTGGGGTGGACAGAGACTGGTCCCTTTGCAGGGCCAGCTTGCGATCGGGGAGGAATTGTGAAGGATTGTAGGGACCTGAATTAGAAATGGGAAGGGAGATGACTCGAGGCGGCAGACCGCAGCTGGCCTGGCGTCTGGCGTGCGGCGTCAGAGCCTGGCAGTAGTGGCCGCAGCTGATGGGCGGCGTGGGCTCACCAGGCTTGAACCGTCACTGACGACGATGGGTGGGCCTCGAGGGATCTGATCGGATGTCGGACCACACCACGATATTACAATCTTGCAAGGTGCTGACGCTGCCGAAGCAGACGTATCTTTTCGATTGTTCTTCTTTTGCCGCTAACAACCTTATCTCCTCTGCATTGAATGTTGACTCGGTAGGGGCAACTTTTCGACAAGGCCGGCGTTGAGGTTGTGCGCAGCGTGTAGCAGGATAGAGGACGTGATTCGCGGGATATGGAGGGGACCCAATGCAAGCGAACGGCGCCTAATAGATCGAAGCCATGGAGGATCTGAGATTGGACAGGATTGGACGAGGATTCTGGAGATTGGAGGTTCAAATAGATTATCGCAGGTAGGTCTGTACCTAGGTAGGTACTTGCTGGGTATGCAGGCTTGGAAAGAGACGAGGAGAGGTTTTGGAAATGTGAAAGGACAACAAGGCGCAGTTTGATTTGAGATAGGAATTGGCGGATAGTCAAAGCGGGATCAACCAAGACCAGAAGAGTTGAGTGACGGCGACTGTGATATCAATCGGACTCGTACCGACGGTTTATTGGTACCTGGACGGGATGTGATGATCGATGGTGGGGTTCTGATGCCCTTCAATGGTGATATTCTAGATGTTGAATGAACACGAATGAACCACGATTGAGGCAGAAACAGTTGACTGTCTATGAGGATTTCTATATCATTTATATTCATCCACCAGCATCTCAACAAGAGCTATTCGATGTGACCTGGGACAATCTCCTATTCCATCATCCGGATTTACGACGAAACGATACAGTACCAGGTTCATGGTGCTGTTCCTCGATGTCCTCCTTAGACATGATGACATAGCCAGGAGAGGCACAGAGAGGGCGCCACTTGCGCCATCCCACGACTCCAAATCGCGCACGAGTACGGAACAAGATGGGAAAAAGACTCCATCCACCTTGATTTGGCCATCCTCGACGCGTTCTGCTCGGTATAAAGCTATAACGCAGTGTTGAATAAGTCAAGGACTTGAAGACACATCCAGCATGGCCGTGCATTTCTTTTGAGTACTAACAACTCTTTCTCTTACCAAAATTTCTACCAACATGACTTGCCCATTTCCAGCTTTGTTCAGCCATTCATCCCGATGACAACCCTACAGCTTACAAGAACACTCATGAAATAGCTTGCGCTTGATAAACAAACACCAAAAACAAGCCATGGGCCTCCTCTCTCCCCCCAACTCACCTTTCGCACCTCCCTCTTTCTTCTACCAACTCATCTTTCACCCTCTGACCACCTGCTTCACCTTCTTCCACCACCTGTTCGTCTACCTTCGCGGGCCTCCTTACCTCCCTCCCAAAAACCGCATCCCCATCCGCGTCGTCTGCATATCCGACACACACTCCAAAATCCCTCGCTATGCCCTACCCAAAGGCGATCTGCTCATTCACTCGGGCGATCTGACCAACAATGGCAACCTCGCCTCCATTCAGCAATCAATCGACTGGCTCAAGACCTTGCAAAAACCATGGTACGGCTCGTCCGACGGGTTTCGACACATTGTCGTCGTGGCCGGCAACCATGACAGCTACTTCGACGAGCGGAGCCGCAGTACGCACGACAAACGCAACTCGACTCGCAAACTCGACTGGGGCAAGATCATTTACCTGCAACACTCGGCCGTCAAACTCCCCTTCCCTGATGATCGACGATTAAAAGTCTACGGCGCCCCACAGATACCTAAGTGCGGCGGCAAGGAGTTTGCCTTCCAGTATAACAGAGGTCAAGACGCATGGACAGACACGATACCCGATGATATTGATGTGCTTGTTACGCACAACCCACCGAAATGGCACCTCGACCTCCCGGGGAGCGGCGGACTAGGCGACGAGTACGAACTGAAAGAAGTTTGGCGGGTGAAACCCACGTTACAAGCCTTTGGTCATGTCCACTCCGGTCATGGTACGGAAGCTGTCTGGTGGGATGAAAGCCAGAAGTGCTATGAAGAGTTCCTCGCAGCAGCATATAACAAGCCTGTCGCTCAACCCGCCAGCCACCGACTGCCGTTGACCGAGCTCATTGATCTCCCGCTCTTCATGCGTGGGATCAGGATGCTGGTAGCAGACATCAGAGGTCTGCTGTGGACGCGGCTGTGGGGAGGCGCTCGGAACGGAGGATACATGGTCAATGGAGCGCTGACCTACCAGACTACCGAGAAGCTCTACAATAAGCCCCAAGTCGTCGTCTTGTAGATGCAACGAGATAGATGTCCGATAGAAAATAACAGTGTACACACAACTTGAAAAATTCGATTATTTGTTCTCATGAAAGCTACTAAACAAAACAGATGCCTGAAACTCCCATTTTCATGTCCTTCCCAAGACGTACAATGTTCGCTTCCAAGCTCTCAAGTCCTCCCATACTGGACATTATTCAATAGCTGTAGTACCCTTGCATATGCACAGCCAAGGCAGTTCCCGACAAAAAAAATCTTGTCTCGCCAATTCGGAGATGGTGCCTGTGGGTGTAAGCAGACGACGTGCTGCTCTGTTCGATCTCCGAAGCTGCAATTCTTTCCACGAAAGCTCAGCTCAGCTCATCCAGCTCGTCAACCTCACCATGCCCCTCCTCTCACGACATGTTCTCCCTGAAGACACTCTTCCGCGTACTAATCGGACTAGTGTTCCCATCCCCACTCCCCTGCGTATCCAGACTCGCATTCCCCTTTGTATGTCCTCTCCCTTCGCCTTCCGGCCGGGGGCTCACTGACCTCAAACTTGGCGCCTCGTTCTGATCGCCGAACGGATCGAGTCTTCCAGATCGTGAGCTCGGTCGTCCCCTCTCTGCTCCATCCGAATACCCTGCGCTATACGGCTCAGCGTGCAGTCCTGGCGTCGGCGCCAATCCGAGCTCTTGCTCTTCATATCCGCTGTACCCAGGGCCCGGAGCGTACGGATCTTCATTGCCCACACGTGTGTCCCAGGCGTCATCCTCGACACCACGGCCGCGTCGGGGGCCAGAGTACCCGGCCTCCCTGTCTCCGGCCTCCTCATACGCCCCCCGTGCGGTGCGCCGATTGCCCAGCTTAGCAAATTGGTCGCGTATCCATTCAAGCGGTCCCGCGTGGCGGGGTGCAGGATAGTTCGAGCTGCCTTGTGTCTTCATGAAGGGGATGTATGTTTTCCAGGACTTGAGCGAGGGCGCGGGAAGGCCTTGTTTTCGCGCGGTCCATTGTGTGTAGCCAACCCAACCGGCAACGGCGAAGATGACGAGAAGGAACAGGAGGAGGAAAAAGAGGCCTAAGAAAAATGTGAGCCTTTGTAAGTGTGCGTAAGGGAGCGAGCGCGGTGGACAAACCCCAACCACCCATGGTGAAACTGGTTTATCTGTTATTCTTGTGCTTGTCGGGATGACTTGTCGACGCTGGTGACTGCAACGTCTTCACAAGCACACTTCTGCGGCTGTTGTCAAAGAACAGACAATGGGCTCTGGTGCGCAGCTGAATCTTAGGTTGTCATCGCGGGCCCTCAATGCTGACTTTCTGACTCTGGCGCAGCGGGAGGGGACTGGAGCTGCGAAAAGAAGAATAGACTTGTCTGCAAGATTATGAAGTGCGATGAGTCGCGACAAAGAGCGGCTGTGCTGGCTGTCAGTAATCGCAATCGTAGTGCCCAATGAGGCCGGACGTTGATCAATGGCTTGCCTGGCGATGCCTTGGCCAGGGACGAGACATCAGCGTCAGACCCGACGAGCGAGCCAACTTCCAAGCGGATCCCGGCACGCCGTACGCTATTCACAAGTGGCAGGTATTCCGAAGCAACTATTACATGTGATTCAGCCTTGCTCAGCCTTGTCAGACACGTTGATGATGGAGAACATTCAGGCATTTTCTTACTGATATCGCCGTTTCAAACGAGCCATCACCTACGTCAGAGGGCAGGAATGCTAGATATTAGAATACGCCCCATGGCATAATTGACTGCAAACCGCCTTGGTCGCATCCTCAGCAGACCAGCTCGATGACCCTTCGTCCATCTGTACCTGAACCAGGAATCCTAGTCACCTCCACCCAGCCGCCTCTTGCTATCGCAATTATCTTCCCATCCACACAGACCATTCTCCACTGCTCTTCTTCTTCATCAAACTCGATCCTCAGACCATCAATGTCTTCATATGTCACCTTCGGATCAGCGACATGCTTGCCAGACTGATATGCCAGCCCAAGCAGGCGCATTATTTCCGAACCAGCCTCGGCACCAATGTGCACAAGTCTTAACGTACCATCGACCGGTTTCGTCGCAGGAGAGATCTGGAATTTCTCTTCAAGATTGGAAACCAGAGAAGCAAGGATATAGGAATGCTCTGGCCCAGATAATTCCGTCCACTCCCCACCCGCTTTCCTCCATTTCACTTTGCCTCTGTAGCGATGAGAATCCTTCAACAGCTGTTCTGCTGCCATGCGAAACCGCTCCAAGCCATGCTTGCGATACTCGGTGGTGTCACTCATGGCTACCAGGCTAGCATGCAGACCCCAGCTGAATACCACAGCACCATACATGGCGGTCTCATCGTCTTCTGAGTTTGGCAGTGCTTCCCGACCTTGTCCTTCATCAACAACCAGCTTCGCACCGGGGCTAAATCGTGCTTGAAATGATGGTAAAGATTTCGGTGTCCCAGTCAGCATAACCTTCAACGGATCTTGAGCCACCGCTGAGCTCCATGCCAGAGCGTTTGCCGTGCCCAAGGGTACAAGGGCGATGACAGGCTTGATAAAGACCGAAGGCCGCCCGTTGAGCTTAGAAGTGAGCGTATCGACGATGTCAACCACGCCGCCATCGCCCGATAGTAGAATGATTGTCTGTTTGACACCTTTTGTGGCATTCGGTAGAATCAATCCTGTCGTCAATTCAGTGATCGACTTGGCGGATTTTGTTGTGTGAGTGCTGTAGTTGACACCGTAACTGTCCAGGAATGGCTTGAGAGTGTCATCGTAGTATTCTTGGGCCTTGCGGTGCCCGGACAGGAGTGAGATTACGACGTGGACTTCTCGGTCGGGGAGCAGGTGAGGCGGAAGGGGGAGTCGTGACTCAGAGGTCATTGTCGATTACCATACGAGAAGCCTCAATAACGACCAAAGACGGCTTATGGCCTTATAAGTCGGCGACAGAGGATGCTTCCAAATCAAGCGTCAACAGGAGGATTGAGGCTACCCAACTGGTTACTGTACCACGCATACCACAAATATTAGGTCAGCACACCCGAAACCTGCTATCAGTCTCGCTGTCTCGCCGTCCTGTGACTCCACCAATGGGCTTCTTGAGTCGCTTCCTTTGGTCCAATACCCGGTAAGGCGTGCCTCTAGTGGTAGCGCTTGGCTTCGCAGTATGTATATGTTATGATCGGAGTACCCGATATGCATCAGAAGAACTTCAAAGACAAAGACTCATGATGACACTATCAAAAGCAGCTCGTAGGACTTCGAGATACTCTTCAGACTCAGACTGAGAACCAATGTGCCAATTGAAGAAGGTGACCCGAAGTCGTCGAACCTCCAACACCCCTTGTTTTGCTGACTGTACACTGCTGATTCCCTGACCAGCGGGATCGAGCACTGTCACTGTCTTGCTATGTTGCGGTGATCTTCGTATTCACCCTCCCTCTTCCTTTTCTTTCTCTTGTCCTTCTTCCTCTGGCTCCCCGCTCGCAAGTATCCCCAGGTTTTGGCTTAGCCGCCTAGCCGCCTCTGACTTGCCGTGTTTTCCAACTTCTACACCAATCAATCTCTCTAAATCACGAACCTGACTCGATGCTCCAGACTCGTCGCTTTTGGATGATCCTTCTGCATCCCACAATGGGGTATGGACACACACCTGGCCTAGTGTCGAGACTCTACGACTCTAGCGTTCTCAAAATGGCCCAGCACACAGGTGGATGAGGCACATGTGTCAAGCCGATGGTATTGGCTGACTATCACTTGCCCTCTTCGTTGTCCCGCATTGGGCTCTTGACCAACTCCGTTTCCAATAGGCCCACGTTGAATCGAGGATGTCTACTGTGGTATTGCGGGGGAAATAGAGGTACAATCAAACACTCGCGCTTTTTGACCAAGACAGATTCCCGCTTCCATCCCCATCCAGAATCTTACTTTCCATCGCTGAATCCAGTCTGTCTCGTTCTTCGTCTCTAAAGAGCAGCTGATCACGAAAGTCAATTTTGCGGCTTGCAGACGCGAGATCATCTCAGCTGAGAGTGGTGGCTAACCCAACAAGGCAAAACCACCAAAGACGGCGATACCAGTACCTACTGGATACGACACCATATAAGACACCAATCTCTTCCAGGTAGAGAAACCGACTCTTTAAACTACGAAGCTGTAAATTCACTGCCATACTCCATCACAAGGCTCCAGCACCCGAATCAAAGATGGCAGCCTCTAACGGTACCAACGGCACCAACGGGACTCCTATGTCCGCCCATGTCACCGTCGACGAATTCGTCGAACAAAGCTATGACTACATCATCTGTGGCGGTGGAACAGCCGGCCTTACAATCGCGGCTCGCTTGACCGAGAACCCAGATGTGACCGTCGGAGTGATTGAAGCTGGTGCGAATCGTCTGGGGGACTTTCTTGTCGATACTCCTGCCCTCTTTCTTCAGATGTTCAATAAGCCAGAATATGACTGGGCCTTCAAAAGCACTCCGCAGGTAACATTATCCTGATCCTTGCGCCAGAAGCAATGCAATCTCGCTGACAGCGGGTTCGACAGAAAGGAAATAAGGACAAAATCCATCACATACCTCGCGGCAAGCTCCTAGGCGGCTCAAGCGGAATCAACTATATGATGTGAGTTGACTCTTGAGTGTTTACCCCCCTGATCCCATTTCCGCCACTCTCCAACTAATCCCGCGCCCTCCTCCACCAGGTACGTCCGAGGCTCTGACAAAGACTACGACGACTGGGCCGAGCTCGCCGACGACCCGTCCTGGTCCTCGGCCAATATGAAGCAATACATGCGCAAACACCAGACGCTCGAACCCATGGACGAACGCGTGACCGATCGAACCTGCATGCCGTTCGTGGGCGAGAACCACGGCACTTCCGGACCTGTGCGCACGTCGTTCAACGACTTCCGCCTCCCCATCGAAGACGACATTGTCAAAGCCGCTGACCAAGCCACCGGCTTCACCAAGAAGCCCATTGACCCCTGGTCCGGCGACCACATCGGCTTCTACAACACCCTCGGCGCCGTCGCCCGTACAGGGCCCGACAAAGGCAAACGCTCCTACGCCGCGCGAGGCTACTTCCAAGCCAACGCGCACCGGCCCAACCTCAAACTCATCACCGAGTCCCTAGTCTGCCGCGTCCTACTCGACAATGGCAATGACAATGACGCCAAACCCGACGGTCGTCGCGCGACGGGCGTCGAATTCCAAACACAAAACGGTACACGCCACACCGTCACCGCAAAGCGCGAAGTCATCGTGGCCGGCGGGGTCATCAACTCGCCTCAAATCCTCGAGCTCAGCGGCATCGGCGACCCGGACGTGCTCCGCGCCGCCGGCGTCGAATGTCTCGTGCCGCTCCCCAGCGTCGGGACGAATTACCAAGACCACGTGGCCAGCGCGACGGTCTACCACCTCGCGCCGGGCCACATGTCCGGCGACGCGATCTTCACTCCCGACGTCATGGCGGCCGCGCAGAAGCAGCTCATCGAGGAACAAGGCGGACCGCTGACGGCCGTCCAGTCCGTCCAGGGTTTCTTCCCGGTGTCCATGTTCCTCGAGCCGGGCGAGATGGACGAGATCATCGCCAGCATCGAATCCACGACGCCCTCCTCAGATTTTCAACGGAAACAATGGGACCAGGTCAAGGCGCACATCCAGGACGCGAAATCCGCCAACCTGCAGCTCGTCTTCCTGGCCGGCACGGTCGACATGGCCAACGGCGCGGCCGACCAGAGCCTACTGATGACGCCACCGCCCGCCGACGCGCCCAACGGCATCACGCTCGCCATCTGTCTCCAGTACCCCGTGTCGCGCGGGTCCATCCACATCAAATCGTCCGACCCAACCAAACATCCCGAGATCAACCCGAACTACCTGACGCACCCGGCCGACGTGGCCGTGCTGGCCGCGGGCGTCAAATTTCTCGAGAAAATGATCTCCTCGCCCGCCCTCCAGGGCAAGGTGGGCCAGCGCATCGGCCCGCCCGTCCCGAGCCTGGAGACCATTGACCAGCGCCGCGCCGCCGTGCAGGAGTACTGTATGGGCGAGTACCACAGCTGCGGGACCTGCGCCATGGGAGACACGGTTGACTCGCGGCTGCGTGTCAAGGGACTAAAAAACTTGAGAGTCGCGGACGCCAGTGTGTTTGCGAACAATGTCAGTGGCAATATCGTGAGTACCGTGTACGCGATCGCCGAGAAGGCGAGTGATATGATCAAGCAGGACTGGGATTATGCCGCGCTGAATACCTTGAAGGCCGAAACTTGATAGCGTGCACGCAGGATTGGAATTATGCCGTGCTGAATAAGAACGTATGATGGTCAATATGTCGTATGAGAGATATAGATGCCAAGGGTTTAGGCGAGACCGCTCAGCACGCAGGAGGAGTATAACCTCTTATCTTATCCTATCCTTGCAGAGTTCCCGGATTGACCAAGGCTCAATGCAATGTAACCCCCGTAGCACACCTTTTCTAAGCGCCTGCGCTCGACATGCAGAACAATACTCCATGCAATGCTGATCTATACCGATTTTCTATACTTTTTTCTTCTCGTTGTCCTTCTTCCTCGTGTCCACAGACGATTTAGCAGGCAAAGCATACAAACCACCGCCCAAAAACACAATTGCTGCACCTGTCAAAACGCCACTTGGCAAGTCGTTCCCAAACAGCCAGATACTAAGCACCAAGCTTGCGAGTTTGCGCATGTTCAGAACGATACTGACCGTTAAGCTGGAAGATTGCGCCGATAGTCGATTCACGCCGACAATGCATAGAAGCTGCGTGGCCGCGTTGAGAAGCAGCAGGATGACTGGTCGCGGGATATGGAACATCAGGGACGTGTATGCTAACAAGTCTGACGGCGAAGATAACATTCCCGGCGCAAAGGGGAGCAGTTTCGCTAGTGGACCGGAGGAGGTTGCATTCTCGCCGATAGCATGTTGCCAAAGAGGTCTGTGTTCGTGTTCGTAGGTCTCGAAACCACTCATAGCGGCGGCCTTGACATTCGCGAACTCCTGCATCAGGGGCTTCGCCTGGCTGGCAAAGTACGGCAGGGACATGGCGTGGCTGTAGAATAGTGTCTCGGCCGTGATCGAGGTCGACCGCCCGTGCGCTGCGTACATGTTGTCTGTGTACAGACCCATACATGCAGAGAGTAACAGTGCGGAGCCGAGGAGTGCGAAGCCCGGTGCTTGTGAGGACATTGCCGAGCTTGAACTTCGTGCCGAGGGTTCAAAGTCGGACGAATGATGCGCCTCTTTACTCGCGGCGTCCGAGAAAGCAGCCAGCACGACGCCCACAAAGAGTAGCAGGACTGCAACGACTTTGTGAGCCGGGTATCGTTTCCCACCGTACAGACGTCCAACTGCCATTGTCGTCACGGGTCCGGCCGAGCGCAGAATGATGTGCAGGGGAATACTGATGCGGTACTTGAAGGCCATGTTGTTCAGGATATTGATGGAGAGAAAATAAGCTGTGTAGACGAGCCATTTGCGTAGAGGGATCGAGCGAGGGCGGAGGTATGCGTTGCGCCAGCCGCGGGACGGGGAGAAATGGCGTGGCAGTGTAGTTAGAGCGACAAGGAGAAATTGCGAGGCGGTTATCAGGGGTCCGGAGGTAGGGGAGGCTTTGATGAGAGATTCAAGGGTGTAGACGTTGGAGCAGCAGCCGCCGAAGATGAGGAGGAGGGTAGGTGCCCAGATGGAGAGGATGGAGGTTGTTTTTGAGGTCTGGCTTGCGGAAGAGGGTTGAAGCGTGGATTCGGAGGTTTGAGAGGGGATAGAGCCATTCTGGTGAGCCGTTCCATTCGCTTTCTTGCTCTTGCGACGGGTCATGGCGAAGGATAGATATCGAGGTCGAGGTCGAGAGTTGGTGGAAGATGCTAGGGGTGGCCGTCAGGGGAGTTGCTGGTAAGGGAGTGGTGGCCTGCAGGCTGCCATGTCGTGCCTCAGAAGTGCATGTAAGCCTTTAGAGATCTCAACAGAAGTAGTTCACTCCTCCAATCCTGTCAAATGTCAGCGTGATATCAATATCAGACGCAGCCTCGAGATTCCAAAAATCAAGTGAGCATTGAGATCGAAATAGTCGAGGCAAGTTTAGCGAGAAGAAGGCTACGTCATGGGCATGTCGAGTAATGGATCTCGTGCCTTGCAGCAGATACGTTGACAAGGACGACTGGACAAGTAGTTGCAGACATTAAGACTCTAAATTCTCAAGGTCTATCACAAAGAACCATTCCCTGTCTTTCTTCATCCAAGTTACATAAGGGAGGTCGTCGACTCCAAGCCCGGCCCTGACTCCAGTCTCTGAGATGCCTTCGCTGTCGACACATCTGCCTCCTGTAGAACTTTTGGATTGTGGCTCTCTGAACACCTTGCCTTTGACCGCGCAAACGCTGTATGACGCCCGCAAAATCAAATCCTTCTAGCTCTACCATCCTCACCGTCTATGACCTTCCATTTACATCATCTTATGCCCAGCAAACTCGCTCCAGCTCTTGACCTCAGGTGGAATGCCTTCCTTTCGAGGCAGCTTGGCATTCATGCACTGAGCAAACAGCAACGCAGTCTGTCAAGCTGAGTTAGTCATGGTCAAAGTCAGGGGGAGACGAGAAACTTACCTTTGGCTCCATGAATAAGGGCACACCGAAATCCACGGCATTCCTTCTCATCACGTAATCTTCATCTACCAACGTCTTGCCCCGGCTCTTAGCAAGGTTGAAAACACCCCGGATATTGTACTTCTGGAACACTTTTCGTAGTTCATTCTTGTCCGTTTTGGGAAACTCGATCACTTCGATGGACGTTCCGGACCTCTCCAGATGGCTCTTCACCTCGTTGCTTGCAGCATAGAACTTGTAACCCAGCGGCTCGAGGTATTCGACAACCTTGGGCAACTCGGGCAGTTCGGTCGATCCACCGAGAAGAATTCCTTCACCTGGTTCCGGCATGCGGAAGTTCATCGTTGATTGTAGCGATGCCCAGTACGCCTCGACGAGGTCTTTGCCAAAGCATGCAATCTCTCCTGTGCTGCTCATCTCAACGCCCAAGAACGGATCAGCTCCAGCTAACCTGGTCCAAGAGAACTGCGGGACCTTTGTGGCGAGGTAATCACGCTTTTGCGCCATGAGATCGTGAGGCTCCGGCACATCTTTACCCACCAAGGCCTTAGTCGCAGCATCAATGAAATTGGTGCCAAGCACCTTGCTGACGAAGGGGAAAGATCGAGATGCCCGAAGGTTGCACTCAATGACTTTCAGAGCAGGCTCTTCACCAGGAACGTCAGCTTTGATGATCTGCATGTTGAAAGGACCCGTAATGTTCCAGGCTTTGGCGACCTTCTCAGCGATCTGCTTGACTCGGCTCATAATGCTTGCATCGAGGTTGACAGGAGGGAGGACCAACGTGGCATCGCCAGAGTGGACCCCAGCATTCTCAACATGCTCCGAGACCGCATGCAGAATAAGTTCTCCTTTGGACGCCACACCATCGACATCGATTTCTTGTGCGCCTTCGATGAACTTGGTAATGACAACGGGGTGATCAGGTGAGACAGCAGAAGCCGACTCCAACTTGTCCTTCAGTTCTGGTTGACTGTGGATGACCGACATAGCAGCACCAGAAAGGACATAGGAAGGTCGAACCAGGACAGGATACCCGACAGAGTCAGCAAAAGCCTCGGCCTCCTCTACCGATGTGAGCTCTTTCCACGCCGGCTGATCTACTCCTATCGAGTCGAGGATCTGCGAGAATTTGTGACGGTCTTCAGCCTTGTCGATGTCCCTTGGGTCAGTACCGAGGACCGTTGCGTGGCCTTCTTCTTGCAATCGAAGTGCAATGTTTTGTGGCAGCTGACCACCAACACTGACCACGACACCTGTAGCACCCTCCATCTCGTAGATATCCATGACACGCTCGTAGGACAGTTCCTCGAAGTAGAGCTTATCGGCAGTGTCGAAATCGGTGCTGTAAGTTTCCGGGTTGTAACTTTTGCATACATTAGCACGGCTTCGGCAGATGGTTGGTAGACTTACTTGATCATGACGGTCTTGTTACCCATGTTCCGGAGCGACAAGGTGGCGTTGACGGCACACCAATCGAATTCGACTGACGAACCGATCCTGTACACGCCTGATCCAAGGATAATAGTGCCATGGTCATCAAAGGTGACATCATGAGATGAAGCGTTGTAGGTGGTGTATAGATAATTCGTGTCGGCAGGGAATTCAGCCGCAAGTGTATCGATTTTCTTGACCCACGGTCTGATCCCGAAGCCTTGCCGGCGGGCCCGTACCTCACCCTCGGTGGACTTGGTATACATGGCGATCTGCTTGTCGGAGAAACCCTGCTTCTTAGCCTTGAGCATAAGCTCGTGCTTGATGTCAGAGAGCGATCCAATTGCCTGGATTTCCGTCATGGTGTCTTTGAGATTCTGCAGCTTGTGTAGGAACCACTTGTCAATCTTGGTCAAGTCGTGGATCTTCTCGACAGAATAGTTCTCATGGATCATAGCCTGCCCAACAGCCAGCCACCTTCGGTCGGTAGGGTTGCGGAGGGTATCGTCAAGGTCTTCAAAACTGTCACCTTGGAAACCCACATATCTCGGGTCCACTTGTCGGATGGCCTTCTGGAATGACTCCTCGAAAGTACGTCCAATAGCCATAACTTCACCGACCGACTTCATGGCACTGCCGATGTCACGCTTGACATGCTGGAATTTTGACAAGTCCCAACGAGGAATTTTGACCACTATATAATCCAAACTGGGCTCGAAGTTAGCCGTAGTTGTCTTCGTCACAGCGTTCGGCAGCTCTGGGAGGGTATGTCCCAAGCCGATCTTTGCCGCGGTGTAAGCGAGCGGATAGCCAGTGGCTTTGGATGCCAGAGCTGACGACCGCGAAAGACGAGCGTTGACCTCAATGACACGGTAATCGAGTCCATCCGGCTGCAGGGCGTATTGAACGTTGCATTCGCCCACGACGCCGAGATGTCGGACAATTTTGATAGCCGCAGTTCGAAGCATATGGTACTCCTCGTCACTCAAAGTCTGACTGGGAGCCACGACAATACTGTCTCCAGTGTGGATACCCAGTGGGTCGAAGTTCTCCATGTTGCAGACTGTGATGCAGTTGTCCTCAGCATCACGAACGACCTCATATTCGACTTCCTTCCAACCTTTGAGAGATTTCTCGACCAAGATCTGGGGAGACAATGCCAGTGATCGGGAACACAGGTTGTTCAATTCCTCTCGGTTGGCAGCAAATCCAGAACCCAGACCTCCCAGAGCATACGCAGAACGGACGATTATGGGGTAGCCCACTGTCTCGGCAGCTTGGAGAGCCTCGTCCACGGTGCTGACAGCGATCGATTGTGCGATGGGGATGTTGATCTCGTTCAAGGCTTTGGCAAACAGGTCTCGATCTTCACTGACCTCGAGCGTTCTGATGCTAGTACCCAGCACCTTGACTCCATATCGCTCGAATATGCCCATCCTGTTCATTTGCACGCCCAGATTCAGACCAGTCTGGCCACCAAATGTAAGGAGGATGCCGTCTGGTTTTTCTCTCTCGATCACGTATGTAACATACTCGGGCGTGACAGGTAAATAGTAGACTTCATCGGCGAGTTTATGGTCGGTCTGAATGGTCGCAATGTTGGGATTGATGAGGACAGATTTGACGCCAGCTTCTTTCAGGGCCTTCAGAGCTTGGGAACCTGTTGCAGACCGTGTTAGTCATGCTGTAGAGATCCATACAGGTGCCAGCTGCGAGCACTGGGAACGGTCCTTGCGCTGGAAGCTTCCTGAGGGCTACTTACCGGAGTAGTCAAACTCTCCTGCTTGTCCAATACTCAGACCACCACTCCCGATCACCAGGACCTTTGAAACCCCTACAAGGTTTTTACCTGGCTCGACAACTCCGCTCTCCAGGTAGGCCTCGGGTCGGGGAGCGGCATCGACTGCAGCATAACGTTTTGTCGACCGAGTGAACTTCCTGTGCTGCTGCCATGAGGGAGTTTTAGGACTCAATAGGTGTTGTCTAGTGGTAAGAGGAGCGATGCGAGTTGAAAATGCTTGGTGGGATGGACATCGTTTCGGTGCGCAGTCTCGCAGCAAGATACCGCTGGCCTGGCGAAGGACTCGAGCGGAGGCGGCCATGACGAATCTGCAGGAGACAGTACCAACTTTTCGACTGAGTTCCTGGACAGGCAACAGCTCACCACATCCACCGAAAGAAATAGAATTGAGACTGTAGCAGCAGATCGAGAATAAGAGTCACGAAAAAAGATTGCCCAAAAATTGTGAAGGGCGATTGCGGGAAGCCCCCCAGTTCAGCCAATGGATAAGCTCGAATACTTGGGCAGCTTTGGTCAGAAAAGGCGATTTCGAAGCTCAAGACGTCAATCAAGAGCCAACCTCCACATGGTGATTTGGTCAAATCCGTATCCCGAGATACGAGATACTGAATGACCACGGAGGTATTGACTTGATATGATGAAAAACACTTCAACAAGATAGTGGGTAGAAGACAAATGTAAGAACGACACACAGCACAACCACCGGCCTGGAGAACTACGGTTGGGCCTGGGACTGACTACGAATGCACGTCGTCGAAGATCTGCCTCTTGTTGGCTTTGGTACGAGTACTCGGAAAAGAATAAGAAAATAAGAAAAACTTTTTCCTGGTCGTGTGCTGCAAGAAGAATCAATTTTTTGCCGACATTCACTCGACAGCAGCCCATCATGGCCGTCACCGTGCATGGCCTTGAAAATTCTCTGGGGAAGATGATGGCAGAATTCTTTTTAGCTTGCAGCTGGGCTTTTCCTAATAAGCACCCATAGCACCCACAGCACCCACTAGGCTCTTCTGGGTCACCGCCTTGTGCCATCCTGGTGTCTTTCGGCTTGTCTCTTTGGTCAAGCAGCATCCATCTCCTACTCGTCTCCGTACCAACTCGCCAATTGGAAAATCTTTTCATCGACTTTTCGTCATGCCTTCGATAAGATGATAAGAGGCTACGAGTACGTGCTGTTGTGACTGCATGTTTGGACGATCTTGCCACAGGGCACGTATTGTGCCATCACGGGCAGAGCAATCTGAGGTCTAATCTGGCTAAGTAGTAAGACTTTTCCCTCTGTGCCTGAACGCAAGAGCCCAACAATCAGATTGGATCTGTGCACCTTCATTCGTTCAGCTTTGTGTAGTTTGCAGGGAACAGTCCCGAATCCCCATTGTATTCACCATGCCACCAGTCCTCGTCTGGGAAGGTCTGGAGGAAGAGAAATCAGCAAATGGTGGTGGTACATGAGCGAGAGGGAGTACTTACCACGTTGGAGATGACGGCATTCTCTGGGAACGACAGTTCGTTGTCTTCTGCAGCCTCATAGTCATAGAGTGCCGTAGCTGTAGCCCCTTGAGAAGCAGCCGGCCCTGGCGCTTGCGGAGGAGCTTCTCCGGCAGCGGCAGGAGCAGAAGCAGCAGCTTGGTCGTCCTCCTCCAAAAGAGTGAGATAGTTGCTTGGAACGAGTCCCTCCTGTCGTCTCTATTAGTTTTCCTCCCGACACATCAATCGAGGGGCAACTTGCCTGTCCGGCCTCGTTCTTGACCAACCACCAGTCAGGGTCGATGCGTTGAATATCACTGACAATTTCACCTATAACTGTGAGCAGGGACATAGCGACTCATATAGACTATCATGCGCACCTTCACGTAGCGAAACTTCATTATCCTCGGCCGCTTCATAGTCATACTCGGCTCGAGCTCGCTCGGCACCAGGCCCAGCAGCAGGAGCAGATTCAACGGCTTCACGTCCCATTGTAGCAGCTGCCTCCGCTTGTGCGGCGGCCCTGCCAAAATCTGGTTCATGAGCAGGCTCATCATCTTCAGCGGCTGGTGTTGGCATCGCTCGGGCCATAGAAGCGGCTGGCATTGCTGGTGGTGGTGAGACTTGCTCATCATGTGCGTCGGCGACTTCGGCTGGTGCCGCTGATGCACTCACGGGTATCGCAACCCGAATCGGCGACGCTTCTCTCATGTCTGGAGTCGGAGGTGTTGGGCTCCTTGGCACAGCAGGCGGAGTGGGCAGTGCAGGTGTCCTCTCCTCGTCAAATTCAGGCTGTGAAAAGGGCAAGCCTGGAATTGGGATGCCACGGTTAGGCTTGTTGCTTGTCTCCGGTTCTGGTGCCGGGGGCGGCGCCCGGTCAAACGTGGCTGGAGCACCCATAGGCGGAGCACCACTGAATCGGTCGCGCAGAGACCCAATACCTCCGCTGGGAGAAGTAGGAGCCTCCTCTTCTTGAGCCCTACTCGTGCTATCTCCAGTGACTTGTTGGCCAATGCTGCTGCGACCGGTGTGCGTAGTCTGCACAGGTGCCCAGCTCTTGCCGGCATAACTGCTCTTCCACCCACCTTCACCACTCTTCTGTGACATGATAGGAGATTGCCCAGTGTGGCCAGATGGGGACACTGGTGGCTCTCCTGAACCACTCACACCCCTCTCACGCGCCTTTTTCTCAGCCCATAGCTGGGCAGGTGTCTTTCCTCCTTGGTCAGCAAAGGTTCTGCTGGCCGATCCAACAGGAGCAGCCGGAGCAGATGATTTGGCTTCGAAGCCTCCCGGAATTGGTGCCTTTGTCCCGGTGAATGTTGAGCCGCCTCCAAACTTATTAGCCACTTTTGGTTTAGGCAACGATGTGAGCCGTTCCGGTCCTTGAGAGAAGGCGGCTGACCGCTCGGCCAGTGAACGCGGCCGTTCAGGCTCCTCAGAAGGGCCGGCTGAAGGGCTGGACACTGGTGCGGGGCGTGAAAAGCTTGAAGAGTCGTCGGGCTTTTGTGCTTTGGCGCGGATGGCAGCGATATCGACCTTGCCAACTGGCTCATAAGAGCCCTTGACGATCTCTGGTCTATCATCGCGGCTTTGTCCCGATTCCTGGGCTTGACGTCGGATAGCCGCGATGTCAACTTTGCCGATTGGTTGATATGCCCCTCTGACAACGCCAGGTCTATCGTCTGCTGGGCTGCTGCTGGATGTTGATGCAGCAGGCGTTTGGGATGTGAGGTCTCTCATATTGACCTTTGTGGGCTGATAAGCTGGCTGAACCCTCTCCAGCTGCGTGCGAGTCACTGGCGGTGCATCTGTGCCCCAGCCATCTTCGTCCACGTTTGTGTCTTTCTTGGGAACGTTCCGAGCCAGCGGGTTATAGCCCCCTGTCGCACCACTGCTCTGGGTAGGAGTGAACACAGGCTTCGAAGCGACAGTAGGCTTAGTGGCGGCAACAGGCGGAGGAGCAGAGCTACTCGTCGAGTATTTGGAACCAGATGCATCGGCTACCTTTTGGATGATACCCTCGGGTGTCAGATCTCGGTCCGATCTTGCGGTGATCTGTACGTGATAGCCGTGCAGAAGCTTAGCAGTTGTGTTCATGTGGCTTGTGAAATATCCTTTTGTCCTCTCCGGAACGCCTTCACCGCACCAAGCAATTAGAGCACATTTTGGAAGGCCAGTGTTGGAGTCCTTGACTTTGACGAAAGCGAACTGAATTCGACCATCCGAGAACTCGTCTATCAGATCAAGGAGCTCTCCTTCTCCCGTACTTTGCACTTTCAAGACACTTTCCTTACTCCCCGAATCCTGTTGAAACGCATTCGCCAAAGGAGCGGAGACTGAGAAGACTGCCCACTGTCCGTACGTTGGGGAGCTTGCTGCTGGGCCGGAGGGAGGTGGAGCATTCACGACTGCCTGATAGCTTTTGGAGATCGAGGGACCGTTCGTGGATGTATTGAGAGAAGCCATAGAGGGCTAGAGGTAGGAAAGAGGTTGAATAGGACTGGATGCCTATTTCCCCGCGGCCAGAGCTTGAGGGTGTTGAGACAGACTGCAATATGCTTGAGGAATCGTAAGAGAGTGTATGAAGTGTCCGATTAACCCAACTAAGTTGTATGAAGGCTGGTGACTTTGCAGTAGTCGAGATTCGAGAGGCAGCTTACTGGGCCTTATTCAGAGGTTCCAAGTCCAAGGCATTGGAGTAACGGCAGCAACGTCGGAGATGGCGCAGCGCATTTCGCAGGCACCGCAGTCCACTTTGGCTCCGTCATCAGATGCTTAGCGTCTCACGTGGACGCCGACGGCCCAGACCGTGCCGCTTTTACGACTACAATACTGTAATACCACCCGTGATGGACATGACTAGCTACAACCAGAACAAGTAGCTAGCCGCTATATAGAACCTAAGTCCCTAGAAAGGAGGCAGAAGGCTGAAACATCTTCTCTACTACAGCTACCTATTGTGAGCGTCTACTGGTTGTATAATAACTTATCGCGTCAACTCAGAAGCCATTCGTTTTTGGGGCTACTTGGCTCTTCAGCCTTGTCTCTGGTAATATGTCTCATGTGAATGGAGTCAAAGGCCGGTCTTGAATTTGCCAACAAGACCACGTAGTGAATTGTGGCCAAAGGGAGCTAATATCTGCATTCGAGTCCGACGTTGCATTTACCCTAAGGAGGTCACGAAAGCTTCGCATAGACCGTCTTAATCTCGATCCATGTATGAAGCCCCTCATCGCCAAGTTCCCGGCCAATTTTCCGAGCCCTTGTATCCGCCGATGGGCAAATCCTGGCAATAATAAGGCGAGGTCTCATTGACCGCTACTGTCCGGCCTCGAAAGTCTTTGCGACACGTAACGCGCGGTTGATGTCGGGGGTGAAAACACTGGCATAAAGACTGTATACAGTGCCGTTCGCTCGCCGGATAACATCCTCTTCATCCGTAAATGTGACCACGCACGAGACGGCACTATGTCACATATGAGGTCAGCAGGAGGATCAAGTATCATTTGGTTGAATTTAAAACAGCAAAGAACGAGACCATACCCAAACACTCCCTCTTTCATGAGATCATTATCCTCTGGAGGGTTGTGGGCGAGCGTAGGAGGCACTAAGAGCCCGCCGTCTTCCTGCGCCATCGGTGGACCTCCCAACAGGAAATTGACACAGTCTTCTCTAGCCTTCCGTAGGAATTTACAAATGTTGTCGTACTGGGCTTTGTCTGTCTGTGGCCCGTACGTAGTAATTGGGTCCAAAGGGTCTCCTTCCATTGAGAATTGAGCTTTGCCACTGACTGGCTCGGTGGTTCCTGCTGAATCCACACGCTGACCACTTTGAGCGCATTGAGAAGCCACTTTCGACAGGCGTAACAATTGCGTCTCGACAAACGAAGCGAATGGAGCCGAGTCTGTGTATTCCGGCCTCGAGTAGGATGCGGACGCACACAACGCCCTAATCGGCTCATGCACCATCCGTACCTGGCTTCGGCATACAGAGCTGGACTTCCCCTGAGGTCGGAATGGCACCCTGAGCCATACCTTTTTCCAAAGTTGCGATGTCTGGCGGCAGCGTCGGAGCGGGATGCTGCAAAAAGCGAAGGCCTTCTAAGCCGAAGCGCCCCGGATACCCCACACGCTTCGTAAACCCGGAAAGGGGACTGCATAGATCCGGGGGCGTGACCACTTTTTGATATTGCTGCAAGAGATCAAAGTACAAAAGTCCCCAATCACATCCTCTTGAAGGCTGCTTCGCAATAACCGACTTCAAACCCAGCGTGACTCGGCACAACCATTCAACGAAAAGGAAGCTTCCCATCTTCTCGAACATGGACCACATCACCGAGCGTCACTTTGGGCAGGATGAAGGACACATTGGGTTACGCAGTGACGTTGGAGGGCGGAAGGCTCACACAGAAACCCTGGAGCATATTCGCTCCGCTTCTAGCGTCAACATGAGCCCCGAACTCTTTGAAAAGTTGTACTTGTCACCACAGAACGCCGTCAGGGGAGATTTGCGACGGACTTTCGCCAACCCAACTCCAGTGTACGTCTTTCCATTGTGGTCTCTGTGGTCCTGAGCCTGCTTAGTGTCTGGAGAACTCGCTGTTGTCATACTTTGTTTTTGCAAGAACTGCTTTCTGACACATACATTTTCAGGGCTCTGGTTGGCTTCTGCCTGGGTCTCACTCCCCTTTCCTGCGACCTGATGGGGTGGAGAGGAGCGGGTGGAGCGGGCTCAGCGTCAACGTGAGTTTTTGGTGCACTCTGCTATCTCATCATCGGCGGGCAGGCACCGCTAACTTGACTAGGGGTGATTTCGTCTTTCTCAGTGGGCCGCTGCTGATCCTGTCCGGTCTGATGGAATTTATTCTCGGCAACACTTTCTCCTTTGTCGTCTTCATGTCGTACGGCAAGTCTTCCGCCCTCACGTTTGCCGTTTGCGCTAGAGGTGAATCTGACTGGGCTTTCGTGGATGCAGGGTCGTTCTATATGGCAGTGGCGGGCACCATCATTCCCTGGTTCAATTCTGCCGGGGCATATTCATCGACGGGAACGAACTTCATTGAAGGTCTTGAAAGTCCGGCATTCAACTCCAGCTTCGGTACGATCTCCTGAACAAGGCGATTTCCACGGAGCCGCTGCTTACTCCCCGTCCAGCATTCCTCATCCTCATGATGGCCGTCCTGAACTTGCTCTTTTTGATATGCTCCACCCGGACCAACGTTGGTCTTTTTGTGATCTTTTTCGCGGCGGTTCCCGGGTTCGCCGCATTGGCTGGTGCTCACTGGAAGATCGCATTGGGTCAGATGGAGGTAGCGAATACTCTCACCATTGTAAGGCTAAACTCCTAAGTTTCTACCGACCCTTGTTTCCCGTTGAAACAGGTGCTAATTGCCTTTTCACTTCAGGCCAGTGGGGCTCTTTTCTTCGTGTGCGCGATAGGCGGATGGTACCTTTTGTGCGCGCAAATGCTGGAGACCACACAGATGCCGTTCCAATTACCCGTTGGCGACCTGAGTCGATTCATGACAAGGAAGTCATCGACCATAGGAGAGCATGCAGCATGAGAAGGTACGATGGGAAGCATAGAAGCGCCGTTCTACCGTTTGTTTTTAGGGAACATGGCGACATACAAGAGGCTGGTGGGAGCCTGACAATCTGCTTCGGTAAACGATATAAGTCCAAGACCAGATGTGTAGAGCCGCATCCTTGAGCTTCATACTAGATATCAAAGGTGAAGAAGCCAGTTGGGCGGAGGTTTCGCAGGGCTCACTAAATAGTTAGGCTCCACTGCTTACCGTACGTCGTACGGAAGAAATGATGTTCCTTGCTCAGTGAATAACCTCGATAATAAATGGTTGCCCCGCGCCTGACACGGCCTGCACAAGCCTAGTGAGCCGGGTGCACCAGCCTGAGCAATCAACTAAACCAGAGCCTAGTAGCCCTTGGGAGCCCCCATCCTTTGCCAATGGGGTCACTAACTGGGCCTTGATGGGGGCGAAGATCTCGCGGGGCGTGGGATGAGGCTAATGTGCTATAAGAGCACGACTGGAGAGCATGCCACTTTTAAACATCTGCCTTGTGCCATGGAGAATTCGATCACATAACAGGCCAGTGTCCATGAATTTGGTTCATTCATCTACGCTTGGAGATGGCGGCGCCTTCGAGTCATGTCTGGATTTCTCTCCTCCTCCCGATAGACAAGGATCGAGTCGGACTCCTTGGGCACCACCACATGTGCCAAAGCGAAGCAAAGTCTCCCTAGCTTGCCACACCTGCCGAAGACGTAAGAAGCGCTGCGATGGCCTCTGGCCGTCCTGTACGCCGTGTAAAAGAAGACCTGATGGCTGGAAATGCCAGTACCCGGAAAAGACAATCACGGGGAAAGCGTACGGGAACACCCTTTGTCTAGTCTCCAGGATTGACTCTTCGAAAGGACTATTCCTACGAGCCTACAATTCCCTAGACCCGATTTTGAGGCTGCTTCTCGAGGTCAATCTAGACCTTTACCAGCAGTGGTACTAGCGACAAATGTCAGTCGCCAGCGGACTTGTCGGATGGCCTATGAGCTGTGGATGCCATTCGGCTCCCTGTCCAGAACGTTCACGTCGCGCTGACTGCATGTGCAGAAACCATCGAAGCGTCCGAGGCAAGATTTCAATCCGCCTCCATCAGATGGACCTGTGCCTTCGCGATTCGACTTTGCAGCCGAGCTTGGGAGTAAGTACCTTCCAGCTCTTTATTCTGGCATTGGACTTAGTTTCTACTAACCATGTCTAGATCTCTCGACATCGACCCTGCCCGTGGGTGATCCGTTGGCTCAGGTTCGACCTGATCGTTCGCACAAATCCCTGGTCGGTGTTTCATGTCTTAAATCTCACTCCGTACAACCCGTCTTAGAGATGAGAAGTGTGTATAGCACCGATGCCATGGCTGTCGTTTTTACGGCAACGTATGATGGCAGCGGGTTCTATGGCAGTTCGTCAACAGTCGCGTTCCTCGACAGCGTCATTCAAACCGCGGAGCAAGGCGATCAAATCCATGAAGACGTGAGCCCGATTCAGCAATCCGAGTGCCTTACCAGCCGAGAACCGACCAAGGTCTTCCGTGGCGCCAATGATGATGCCATGGGACCGAACGACGGTGGTCTCGTCCTTCCCGGGAAGAGACTGGCCGACGCTCTCTTGCAGTGCTTTTGGGACGTGGTCCATCCACTTTTCCCCGTCCTGCACCGACGCTCCTTCCTCGAAGCTTACGACGCACTCTGGATGAGGCATGCTCAGCCGGCGGACAGTGAGGGTAGCCAGGAAGACGAAGAATCCAATTCGTATTGCATGGTGAACATCGTCTTGGCCCTGGGAGCCCAATTCAACCAAGAGTTCTCTCCTGCCCAGAGAGCGCGGGCTTCCGACGAATTCTTTCAACGATCCAGACGGCTACTGGCACTGGATGCCCTGGATACTAGTTCCTTCTCGGCCGTCCAGACACTAGTTTTGACCGGCATCTACCTACAGTCGACGAAGCATGCCAATCAATGCTGGAACGTCGTCGGCTTGGCCATCCGAGCGGCCCAGGGACTGGGGTTGCATCTGAATGATGGACCATACTCAATCCCGGCCGATGGCTCGGTCGAAGCTGACATGAATTGGCAGATGAGATCACGAGTTTGGTGCTGCTGTCTAATCCTGGACCGGTATGTGAACGAAGCGGCCGTCCGCTGTGATTGATAATGACTTTTTTGAAATTGCTAGGCTTGTATCAATGACCTTTGGTCGTCCTTTCATGATTTCCAACCACTCGTCCAACACCATGCCTGCCCTTACAGATGAAGAAGGTGACTCTGAAGATGGTCAAGTCCTCGCGAGGGATTACGTTCCCCCCTACGGTTGTTTCGTATATTCGTTGCAGCTCTTCGACATCCTAGAGGATATCCTGTCTGCCTTGTACGCAGGAGTCACGGTGCCATTGCGTGCCAGGGGTGAAAGCGCCACCCGGCCGAATGTGCCTGATCTCACTAAGGTGGTTGAGCTGGATGCCCGCCTCAACGACTTCCACCGTGATCTGCCCTCATTTCTGAAACCTAGAGAGTGGTCACCTCTGGCGAGCGACTCGGCTACATTGCAGGCCAACGTGCTTCAAGTTCGGTACGTCCTCCAACCCCTGCTCTTCCTCTTCCGGACGCATGTCGCTGAAGGATGCTTCTGACTGCACTAGATTCTTTCATACACGAATTCTCCTGCTACGTCCCGTTCTGCTGGTTCTGATGCGAACAGAGTCTGGTCGGGTTGAAGACGACCAGACCATGTTCCGAACGGCTCTCTTGCGGGAGATGAGCCTGCGGATGTCCGAGGCATGCATAATCACGGCTCACGAGATGATTGAATTTCTGCACCAGAGGTTGGATACGGTTTATCGATCCGCCTGCTGGTACATGGTTTATTGTAAGATGTGCCCCTACAGATTCTGCTGCTGTTTCCCATCTTCTTCTCGTTCGGGGTGGTTGACACGGGGCAACAGTCACTTTCACGTCGGCAACCGTCCTGATTGCCGCAAAGCTGTGTCCTTCCTTGCGTGTGACGAGCGAGTCGTCACGGTTTCAGGCATCCTGGACCAAATGCCAGGCCATTTTGGAGTATCATAAATCACAAAGTCAATCTGCTTCGAGAGGCCAGCAGATTCTACGTGCTTTGGACGACAGGGTTTCGTCTCTGCTGACGCGATGTAAGTGATCCCAACTACATCCTATATACTGTTTCGCTGTACGCTGTCAACTGACCGATCACTCACAGCCACTGTGGCGACCTCGTCAGCTAAGCAATATAGCGGTGATGCCGGTGTTACTAATCCCACAGGGTCGACTAGCAGCGGCTTCTTCAAAGGCTTCGCGCAAGACAAGTCCCGCCGGGACTCTTTCTCTGAAGACTGGTTGTTGAACGACTTTGCGACCAACCTGGACTTCCTCGACCTCTGATACCGGCAAGACTCAGTGTGTCATGTGGCATGTTCGGTGCAACCCGGAAGAGCAGTTGTGCGCATGTGAGGGGTCTACACGTGGTCTCCCAACGCACCGGGGAAGGGAGAAGTTCAAGGAATGCGCCACCACAACCAGGCTGTACAGGCTCGGATCTATCATGATACCTTATGGTCATCGGGAGCAAGTTTACCAAACACCAAGGGAAAACGACAACGCACGCGCCCTTGTTCATAGAGTAAATCAACCACTGCAAACTCCAAACCAACGAATCACCTCCAATCATGTCCCAGCTTTGCAATACTGTATCACTAACCGGCCCTCAATTTCGTCTCGACAGCCCGCCGTCGGATTGACCCTCTAACCGTGAGGCCAACGCAGACTCATTTGGATGGCGACACCAGCTGCTATCACAGCAGATCACCGTGTACATCCTTCATCCTCGGTTCAATTGCTGCAGGGCCGCCGTTGTTGACCAATCGCCATGGCACAACCACCCGCCTCACCCGCCTCACCCGCCTCCGACGCCGCCCTCGCCGGCTCTGCCTCTACCTCCGCCAGCCTTCCGAAGCCCCACATCTATGCTGCCATCACGCGTTCCGACACTGGCGACGCCGGAGGGTTTCTTAACCGATCACGTCAGAATGAAATTCGACAGGTTGTACAGTATATTTGAGGGTGTCCGGACGTTGTCAATAGTAGAGACTCGCAGCAAGCCTGACCGCGACCAAAACCATGTCTCTCGCCAATGCACCGACAACACCCCAGCTGGAGCGTTCGAGACGGTTGTCGCTGTTGTTTCTCGGCATTCCTGCGTTCTTTACGCTCTACGTGTTCGTGACCATCGTCTACAATCTGTTTTTCCATCCCTTACGTCGATACCCTGGCCCTTTTCTTGCTAGCATCTCCCGGCTATGGAGTCGCATTGGCAATTTCCACGGATGCAAGTCGGAGCGTATTCACGCAGCTCATGAGAAATATGGTAAACACCCGCTTAACCTTTCCCCTCGGGGGCATTCTCGAGCAAGTCAAGAACGTCATGAGCCCTGACATACCGCGGACAGGACCTATCGTGCGGGTCGGTCCAAACGAACTCTCCTTTGCAAATCCAGCGGCCGTCCGCGACATATACACTTCAAAGAGCTTTGTGAAAGAGGAGACTTTCTACGTACGTACACGCAGGTAGCCACCCCTGCAGCCACCGCTCCCAAAAATTTAGTGCTAAGTACGGATCATCTGGTCACCGCAGCGAGCCAAGAGAATCTTCCATGAGAATCATCTTTTCAGCTTCCGGTATGTTCCACAGCGTCACAGCGTGCCTCAAGTATCACCAGGTGGGTGCTCCGTCATTGACTCCCACAGGAATGCCGAAGCCCACAACCAACGGCGGAAGCTGTTGGCCCGCGGATTCTCCCAGGCCGCTATCAATCAATTCGAGCCCAACCTGATTTCCAAGATTCAAACGCTTTTGGATCAGTGGGAACGGCTGAGCCGCTCGAGTGAGGAGCCGATCAACGTGTACCCATGGGCGCATTGGTTGGGATTCGACACTGTGTGTGAGTGTTTCCAAGCAAGGGCTGAAGCTCGCCCTGAGTACTCAGGCTCACCAGAAGAAATCCGTCACAGACCATCTGATGTTCGAAGAAGATCCGGGGTCGGTCAAAAAGGGCAAAGCCGACCCTATCATGCAGTACATCCGCGCATGGCGCCCGACATTTATCTATGTGAGTCCACTCCCCAGTCACAAACGAGACAGAGAGAAGTCACGAGGCCATCGGCTGAGGAGTCGACAGAAAGAATTCATGCCACAGTTGGAACAATGGGGACTATACGTGCCCGGGCGCGTGGGCGGGTATTTTCGAGATGTGCAGACCTGGAAAAAGGTTCGTGGACAATCCCCTTCCCCATCCCAGTATCCCCTTTTTATACACACATTTGGCCAACGCTATGCGCTACAGATCGCAATGGACGTCGTCGGCAAAGTTCGTGTCAATGGGACCAAGACTCCCTTCCTTAGCAATGTTCTCAGCAATCAGGACGCTTACTTAGGACGGCCCCTAAACGACTCGGAACTGGCAGAGGAGTGTATGGGCGGCATGTAAGACGGACCCACCAGTTCCAGACATAAGACAAGCTTGATCCGTACTGATGAGACAAACGAATGAACAGGTTTGGAGGCAGTGGGACCACTGCCAACACCTTCGTCTATATCCTTTGGGGCTGTCTCCGCAACCCAGACGTTGTCCGCAAGCTGAAAAAGGAGTTGAAGTCGGCATTCCCGGATCGATCTACGGTCCCTGATAATTTGGTACGTAACGAGATCCCGCATCAGACACACTGAGCACTTCCTTCAAATGAGTTGTCCACACGGAACCAGGATCTCGCTGATTTCTTCTCCACGTTTCGTCCAACAGACCTGCAGCAATCTTCCCTACCTCCAGGCCGTGATCAACGAAACACTCCGCCGGTACCCGACCATCATCGCAACGCTGCCGCGCACAGCCGCCGAGGACGTCGTAGTTGCCAGCCATCCTCTACCAAAAGGGGTAAGTTTTTCTGCCAGTTGCCTTGACGAGCCCCTAGTTGACAAGTCATTCACCTTCGCTCAGACCGTTGTTGGCACCCAAAACTACACCATCCACCGCTGGGAATCGGCATTCCCAGATCCAGAGAAATTCAATCCGGATCGATGGCTTTCGAGCAACAATGACGAGGAGCGCAAGCTGGCGTTCACTCCGTTTTCCGTCGGACCCAGGAGGTGTATTGGAATGAAGTGAGTCCTTGTCTTCCTTGATGCTGTCACTGTTGGATGTGTGGTCCAAACTATCTCCGTCCCTTGCGATGCGAAGGCTTACTGCTGACTGCATTGTCTGTTCAGTCTGGCAGAGATGGAACTTAATTTACTGACGGCTTGCTTTTTCTTGCGCTTTGACGCCACGATTGATTCTTCCATGACCGATGAGGATATGCGGTTGTACGATACATTCAACGCCGGCCCTGCCGGGGCTAAACTGCTAGTACATTTGAAGGTAGTGGAAGATTAGGCAGGGTTTAGGAGAAACCAAATCATCTGACTCTTGGGACGAGCATGAGGTGAAATAGATGTAGACCCAGTCTCAAATAGACTATCAACGTGGTACCAACCTAGACCGCTCGACGACCGGCGACCGGTAGCATAAGGGGGTGATCATAGGGCGGCATTGCAGTATTTCCTAAACCGGACGAGCCGCGAGCAGGCTGACTAAGCCTTGCACGGCATTGGCAGATGATGTCACCACGGTGCCTGACAGTTGAATTCCCAATATTTAGGCTCAGTTAACAGCGTCTTCCATGTCAGACAAGTCGGTATTTCGCAAAGGGCTGCCGCCTGCGCTCAAACCTGCCTTTAATCTGCGCACCTCACCTTGCGAAGTTCACCAACCACGTTCGCAACTCTACCAGTGATCAAAACGCCTATACACTCGCACGACCGTACCTACCTCGCACTCTATTGCTGGCAGAATCTCGCGACCACATTATCTTGATAACAGCCCGCCCCCAGTGATTGTTTACACCGCCTCCCCCTCATCCGACTTCGATAGCAGTACACCTGCTCTGCGCGATCCGGGACAATCGCAACAACAAGCCGCTGGCCCTGAAGCCCTCCCTGGTGCACTTGAAAGCAGCACACTTCTCGAGCACTCTTGATGGTGACAGCTGTGTGCTGCACATATTTGCTCATGCTCAAGAACCCAGCAACTGGCCGACTCTCAAAGTTGCCCTTGCACCATACTCCTCAGATTTCCTCCTCGAACGGCTTTGTCGCTCGAGATGTTTTTGGTTCTGTCTCGTTTAGACCAAGCTTGGATGGCACATCCTGATATCAGCTGCGAACGCTGATATACCTGTGCTCAAGAACATTTTCTTTTGTCATTTTCGTTTTGTCTTCCCACATATGGCCAGCATTGTCTTGTAGCATGGATCCCACAATACCCTCGCCGCAGAGAGGTGCCAAACCTCCAGGGAAGCGGGCATGGACTCCAGGAGTATCGAACCAAGCTATCGGCAATCTGTCATCCGGGCCAATATCAAATGAACGATCATTGACCGCCGGGTCTAATGATGGTCTTCCCAGGAAGAGAGCGAGGATCTCTGTTTCCGGAGCCGAGTCTTCTTCTCAGGCGCAGTTTGGGCATGAGACGTTGCCCAAGAGGCGTACGCTGCAGGATTTACCTGAAGAAATCCTCCAGCACATTTTCACTTTTCTTCATCCTATCATTCTGGGGCGTTTGATATGTGTCAGTCGCTATTTCCGTTCTTTGCTTGATCCAAGTTTACCCTTGCCACACGGGTCTAGTCAAGTCAAGCGCCTTGCCTTGCAAAGCCAGGATGCCGTTTGGGCAACCTCGCGGAAGAGATTCCTGCAAGGATTCCCCAGGCCCATGGATGACATGACCGAGCTGCAGATGTGGGGACTCATCCGTGGCCAGTACTGCCAGTTCTGCAAAAGGGGTTTTAAAGCAGACACGCCTAGTCAACCGAGGTTGCCTTGGAACGCAAGTCCAGGATTCAATAGCCTGCGTACCATCTGGCCCTTCCGCCTAAGGTCCTGTGGCAGATGTTTAGAGGACAGAATTGTCAAGGTGAGCCACAACTGACGAACCATTGCGCCCATTTCTCATTATCACATAGGAAACCGAGCTTCTAATTTCCGGATCATCTATTTTGCTTCCTGGATTGCCGTACGCTATATTGACTTCGTCAATGGACTACGTGCCCTCAGCAGTGCTAGAGCGAGCGCAGCCGCCTCCCCAGGTCCAACTCATCAAATACTACTTCAGGCCTCAGCTCCAAGAATTGCAAGCCGAGAGGGAAAGCGTGCAAGCTCTCGGAGCCCCTGCTCTGGAAGAGTGGTACAAAGGCCTTGAGAGCAGCGGAACCCAAAAAATTCTGGACGCTGCACGATTTGATCAGTGGGAACTCCAAGGTGGCCCTGCGAAGTTATCCTTAGCAGCTGCCGGTCTTGCTCCAAATACGGCCTCCAGTCAGGATCCTCGAATTCAAACACCTAATCCATCTATTCAGGCTCGGCATAAACCGCACCTTCCGCTGTCTGTGTCAGATGGCTTTTCTGGCAGCTCAGAATCTATGGACGTTGATACATCCGGTAAGTGCTTCCGAAATTGAATGCAAATGGCATGACGACAATCGTGAAATAAACCGGGCGCAATGCACACATACTGACGGAATATATGTTAGATTCACAAATTCAGGCTGCCCCGTCTGCGCATGCTATCCTGCAGGAAATACCTTTCCTCCCTGGACGACATCCACAGAGCGGAAAGCAAGGTGTTCCAGAGCAACAGCCACCTACTTCTGCACCATTTCGACGTCGGCCCCAACAGAGGGCTGAAAGGAATGTGCAAGAGGTAGAGCAGGCCAAAATCGCACGTCGCAGGGAGATCGAACAACGATGTCAGGATCTGCAACCGCCTATCATGGCGTCAACCCTGCCATTTATGGATGCATTCAAAGCAGCGATTCAGATAGCCCTACCTCTGAATGAGAGGGCCTGGGAAGTTTTGAAGCCGCGTTTATTGGCGCAACGTGCTGATGCGGAACGAAAGGAGCTCCTGCATAGTGCCTCACTACGTGGTTCGACAACGCAGCCCGAGGCACGTGAACAATTCGAAGAGGAGCAAAGGGTAGCACAAGAAAATGAGACCAACATGTGGCAAGAATTGAAAGTCCCTAGCCGAGAAAGGATTCAGCGGTACGCTCAGGAATTCATTCACCAGACTTGGTCTGACGGTCGCGGGGTGACCAAGGCTACAGCCAGTAAGTTTGCTGCTGAGGTGCTGTGCTATGTACGGCAGCGTTTCGACGAGGAGATTGCTCGAGAGGACAATATGCTCGCATTAAAAAGAACGGCGTTTCCACAGGACCCAGAGTCTCTGGCCTGTCGGAAATTGAAGCTGAGGGATATGAAATGGGCTTTTGAAGAGCTGGTTAAACCTCATACTGAGCGATTCGGAAAGGATCTGTTTCTTTGCCGTGTATGCGACACAAATCAGAAGTTGTTTTCTTTCGAGGCAATAATTCAGCACTACGCCGCCAAACATACTAATGGGTTGAGCTACGGCAATACTATCGTCTATTGGGAAGCTGACTGGCCCATCGAGCCCCCATTCGACCCATCGCCAAACATCCCCTGGGTACACGACCAGAGCCATGGCTTGCTACAACAGGAGACGCGGCATCAGTCATCATCCCCGGCTTGGCTCTCGCAGAAGAGTGGGCGGACTGGAGTCTATCACAATCACGTGAATGAAGTCATCAGCTTGACTACTCGATATTGGCGCATGACGGAAGGTGTTTGGGATCTGACGAATTCTGTTCGACTTTACGTCGTGATTCAGCACGTCAATGCCGGATTTTTACGAAGGTTTAAAGTTGAGCTTGGATTGCCACTTTTCCAGGACGTGATAGCCACTCGGACGGAGCTGCATTTCCTTAGGGGTGTGACTGGACTGCGGTGCCGCCCCTGCTCAGAGAATTTTCGAGCCATCCCGAGCAGATTAGGCGAAGTGAGTGGGATCGAGCATTCGGTGCTGGACCTGTTGAGTCATTTTCAACACGCGCATTGTGATTCAGATGCATTGAGCAGCAACCCCGGTTTTCAAGGACCATCCAATGGACTTGGCCAGGGATCCGCAAGACCGGATTGGAAACGAGACATGATATGGCTCCCGAGTGGTGCAGCTATAAGAGCCCTACAACATTCCCGGGGCATTGATCAAAACAAGCTTCAGACCATCGCTGAAGCATTCCCCGACCTCTTCGCGCACCCCTCTCCGCTGGCTGGCATGGCGCAGCAATCCAATCAACCCTTGGTAGCCGTCCCTTTGCCGGGTTCGCGCTTCATCGACTCTGTACCCGCTCGAGTGGGCCACCTGAATATGCGAGGTACTGGTGCTGGCTACTACTCAACCCGCTCTGAAGGTTCCGTAAGTGTCAGGGACGAGCACGATCCTCATGGGCCCACACCGGCAGTGCCGCCAAGGAGCCCACTGGAAGCTCAGCCGATCATGTCTTCACCACCCAGGGGCGTTGCCCATCATAGGGCCGCATCTTCACATGTGGCAACATATGCACCTCGCCGAGAATACCACTTTGCAGCCCCAGAGGCGGGCCCTCCGTGGGAAGTTCGCGAATGGCAGGGACCGCTGTCACGAGATTCGGTGGTCTATTCATACGAAGATGGGTCTTCGAGGTGGTCTTATCGAGAGCCGTTGACTGCCTATAGCGAAACCACGATTTCTGAAGCACGACCAGAAAGCAAGGCTACCAACCGACATTCTCTTCACTTATCAGCCGCTTCGGAACAAGGCCCTGCACCAAGTCGTGTGGGCACCCGAGAAGGAAGCGACGACCGTATGTCAACCGCGGCAGCAGATTTTCTTGCAAACTTCGACCCAATGGCTAATGATGTGAACGAGGACGCAGGAGATGACGGCCGGCGCTCGTTCGGGCGTCGAACAGGATCTCGACTTGTGGACGGTCCAGGCTCACGGCCAACAACAGGCTTGTCTAGACACTCTCCACCCCGTCCTCCTTTGCTAGATGCGGTCCTCAGTATGGATCAGCCGACTCAGGGGAGGCACACAACTTCCCTGCCAGTACGTCAAACCGTCAGGCCTACTCCGGCAGGCCCCGACCAGGACAGGTTTTGGGTCAGCGAGGCTGCCATGCATGGAGACCCTATCCGTCAGGGCCCTTCTACTATGGCAGTTGGTTGCGACTATTCTGGAGGTAGTCTTCCACCGAGACCGCATCGATTTCGATACGAAAGCGAATTGAGAGGAGCTCATGACGGATCGGTAGCCCGCACTGGGTCGGACGTCGAGGACAGATACCCTTATCATCAGGAATATCCTCCGGTGTCAAGACAGTACGAATACACTGAAGTTCCCCCGCAAAGGTATTCCTATCGAATAGAGGAACCCGGTCTTCGCTACGTTGAGTTTCCAGAACCAGGAGCCCAGCCTTACCTGGAACGCAGACAATACTCCGATCGAAGGAGTACGGATGAAGAACACATTCGGCTTGCTCCAAGAAATTATAGGGTTGACGATGACGATTACCACCTGCGAGATCCTCAAGGGCCCCGTCGCTATGCCCAGCACGACGGCCACGGTCCACGGGAGCCTGTTGGAGAGGCACGGCGAATCCACGCCTTGACAGATGGTGGGCGAGAAATTGTCTATGAGCCAGTACAGGGGGCCAGGCGTTATGCCTCACCCTGACTGAACGGCAGAATTCGAAGAAACTTCGAGCCTTTGCGATTGTGGGATTGGACGACCAGCTCCTATGCCTCGCATTCTGCGCGTACGGGACAACTTTGGCCCCAGTCTCTTTTTTTTTGTTGCACCATCTTCTATCAGTACGCTGGGAACGGGTTACCTTCGTTGGCATGCGCCGATTCACGAGGGTCGGTTTGCTGAAGGTTTTTTGCTTTGGAATGATACCCCGTCATGTTTTCATCGCACCATTGAGCGCTCATGTTTTGCAGCATTAGACTGCTTGAATGAATATAGTTTATTCACGCTTCATTTCGAAATTGAACTGTGAACCTTCGGGTTTGTCGGCTCCTAGCTCATCATTTTCTGTGTTGTCTCTCAGAGACTGTGCATCTCGAATGGCCAGCGGGAGTCACTCCTCGTTTAGCAGACTTTACTTTTGCAGGAGTAGCACGTGGGAGCATTATCCATTGGGCAGGAGCATAACATCATCATGCTTGTGGGTGGACACAGCGCACATCCGAATCCATGCAGCGCTTTTATGCGGAGCGTATGCGTGTCTGCCCAATGTGAGGCGCAGGGGTACGGCGCTCGCATTGTCTTTTGTTGATGTTCTATACTTACCACGGCACAGGGCATAACGGGCTCCCCGATCCCAGCTGTGTAATCGCATGCGGCAGAAAAGCTCTCGGGTTCCGAATCGATTACAATGGACAATCACGTCGGGCGGACTATGGCAGGTGCCTGTACAACGTTGTGTAACTGGAAAAGTGTCAGTCGATCAAGGTAATGCGCACCCACGCCGTGGCTTATGTGGCTTGTTTTTGACACCCACGGGCAGGGCTTGTCTCGCGCTTATGCATGATCAGAGCCAGAAGCAATTCGCACATGATGCTGACCGCCCAATACCGAGCCGGTCGCTTGATATCTGGTTGTTGATTGGTGAGCTGCGATGCGTCATTGCTGCTTCATGTGACGAACGAAATACTTTATGCTGGTTGGTGATTGTGTCACGACGAGGGAAATTGAGAAATGCTATCACTTCACATCAGTGTTAGGGAAAGCCTTCTTCTTGAAACTGGGAAATGAGATTGCAGCGCATAACCATGATCAGGATCACGGGATAGACAAACGGTGAGGAAAGGCGGTGGCTTCACCGCGACTTGGGAGCCGGGTTAGTGGTCACGAAGGGGTGATCAGGCTTTGAGCTTCTCGTAGGATTCCTGGTCGAGCGGTCAACAAAGTTCAAGGTCGGGAGGCGCCAGTAGATGTGGCATGGAGCTGGAGAAAGGGCAGGATCGTGACATAGGGTCCCGAGAACAGGAGACAGCTTCTACCATGAAGACACTGCAATATGGCTCGAGTTTGGCACCAACAGCACCATAAGAACTTGAACATTATCCCAGGCCCGTACCAGTGGAATGGATCGGGTGAAGCTGATGGCTTGCAGATTACCAGGTATACTGAGGGTACCGAGAACAAGGGAAATGTCATGCAGGAAGATGCGGACATGGAGGTCAAGCGAGGCCATCAATCAGCGCGGCGCGCTGTGCGAGCAAGACACATAGCCGATAGTCGGGTCGAGTCGTCGTAGCCAATGCCCAAAGATGGGAAGCTCTTGTTACGGGAACCGTCAAGGCCGTGCACGGTGAAGTCAGGGCCATCATGGGGCCATCATGGGCTGGTGAGGCCAAGTTCAGTTAAGCCACTTAGCCCCAGTGTGTGCCTTAGGTGGCAAGGGTAGCAAGCCAGCCACCATTATGGGCACCCAACAGGGAAGGTCGGTGCCTAACGGAAGTACGAGTACTGTATCCGTACACAGTAAGGTAGGTAAGGTAACCGTGTGTATCTGTGTGTTGGGAGCAGTCCCCTCCCTCCACCTCGAGCCAACCATCTCTTTCTCGCATTCCACTTCCACCCACCAACGAACCATCATCTCTCTCTCTATCTATCCTGGTCCATCCAAATCCGCTGGTGTTTGTTGGCACTGGTCAGTACACACTACTGTCAACAATACTAGGTACACACTCCGTGCTCTTGTTTCATTTGATCACGGCTTTTAGTCGCAAAGGCTGACTGGCGACAGACATTGTTGTTTTCTTCCGCCTATCCAATCGTTCCTTCTGCGGCGACCAGAGCAGCAACTTCATTCGTCTTGCTCATTCCCACCTCCGCCTTACGTCGCGCATGTATGTTTAGATTCATTCTTTTCACTAGATCTCGATACTAGGCGACGCATCTAGTCAACAAGCATTTTTGCCGGCTGACCAGACTTGCAGCGTACCAAGCATCAGCACCAGCCCGAGCAACGGTATCTGCATCTGCGTCCTGCAGCTGTCCGTCCCCGTTCCGATCCTCGTCGCTGCGCATTCGCTCCATCGCGTCGCAAGCTGTGCTGTACACGCCTTTCCAATCCACTCAAGCCGAGTCTTCGTCTTCCCACTTTCCGGCACCAGATTCGTCATTCGCGCCTCGTGGTAGACCGCCTCAACACAGGCTCGTGGCCGATTCGACTGCCTCCTCCGAAGGCCCCTCCCAAGGCCGTCCTCGCGCACGCTGCAACCACTTCCGCCTCCCCCACCGTCCTCTAGCCAGCCTGGGAAGCTTGCCGACTGGAAATCATTTTGGGCACACACGGCGCAAGAGAAGGCGATCGTCTGACCAACTGGTCCGAGAGTGACGCAGGCCAGCATTAGGCATTCTGCGTCGGTGCCGCCTCAGGGTGTGACGTGGTCAAGGTTAGCCAAACAATTTCTCGCCTTGCTATCCGGCCGCTGCGGCTATCCTGAAACTACATCATGTCGACCTCCCCACCCAAAGAGCCCGATGTCGAACAGAGTGCACAGTCCGGCGAAGAGCAGGATCATATGGATCGCGAACAAGAAGGACAAGCAGGCACCGGTCTAGGTGAATTCGAGGTCAAGGAGCAAGACCGATGGCTTCCCATCGCAAATGGTTGGTGCTGTTTCATTTCACATCCCTTTACTGCCTTCCCTTCCCTTTTCCCAATGTGCGACAGAAAACCTCTATGGGTGTTGGGAATTTGATTTGTTCGACCCTTGCGTTACGGCCATGCGTCTTTGCGCGCGCATCCAGGAACGCTGCTTAAACCCCTCTGTACGAATCCGAATGTGCGTGACGCTGCACCTTCTCTTTAGCCAGCTTCGTCTCATTCGTTCGTGCTTCTCCTCTTCTCGAGCCATGATTTGCATCGCAGCTCTGCTTTGCGCTGACTGGTGCGGTACCTGGACCACTCAGAGGACTTGATCAACATTGCTTCCTAGCGATACAACACTCTGAAAATGTCTTCGGACCACGACTCCAAACGTCCATCGTCGTCCCGACGCCATGGAGGTCGCTCATCGTCATCATCATCCGCTTCAGCTTCAGTTATGTCAGATGCTAACATACGAAATTTTGCGCCAGTTGCCCGAATCATGAAACAGGCTCTGCCCGACAACGCCAAAATCGCAAAAGAGGCCAAAGAGTGTATGCAGGAATGTGTGAGCGAATTTATCAGCTTCATCACGAGCGAAGGTACGTCGAGGAACCCGAACTTCTAGAAGCCTCCTGGGCGTCGGGTGGCCTTTTGACTAACGTTGCACAGCATCCGAGAAGTGTCAACAGGAAAAGCGCAAAACGGTCAATGGGGAGGATATTCTATTCGCCATGACCTCGCTTGGGTTCGAGAACTATGCCGAGGCGCTCAAGATCTATCTTTCCAAGTACCGCGAAGTAAGTTCCGAGTCCCTCCTCTCCTCTCCTCTCTCCTTTGTCAACTCGACAGGGAATTCAATCTGAACATTTGAACTGATTGGGATGAGACCCAATCCACAAGGGGCGAGAACCAGAACAGACCAACCAGCAGCGGTTATGGGGGCCCAGTCGGGGGCGGCGGTCAGAGCAATGCAGCCGGTGGGCCCGCAGCAGGCTACGCCGGGCAACCCGAGCATGCCACCGACTTATTGAACCAGAGCCATGGCTTGAATGCGAGCGAACACGATGCTACCAGCGCGTACGGCTATCCCGGCGCCGTGCCCACCGGCCACAATGGCATCTCCAACGACAACTTCTAGGACACGAGATGGGGCCCGAAAGAGTGAGGGCAGCTATGGCACAGCAAATGACAAGAGTATATTTTTTGCCCGTTCCTCGAGCACGGCCTGTGGAGATGTGAAGCTAAGTGGCAGGGTGGTGAACGAGAAGACGGCTATTGTGACAAGACTGACGGTCCATTCGTTTCTGCGTCTAATACTTGTACATGGATGAGGGGTGGGCTGGCAATTCTGGTATCTCAAGGGATGGCAGGGGAAGGAATAAAAGGGGGCTGTCTGAACATGGAAAGATTATGTTGCCCACTGGCAATTCAGGATGAAAGACCTATGGCAAAGTGGATGAGGAGAGTAGGAGGTAAAGAGCTTGAGACAGAAGGCAATGAAGTATTGAGGTTATGCATCATAGAGCTCTCGGACCGTTTCTCTCGTTTTTTTTCTTTTTCTGTTTTTGTGGCTTCGATTGATAGTGGTATGCTGACTGGCAATTGCAGGATGTCAAGATAATGGCCAGCAGCCCGGTCATCTACTAGATGACGGCTAGGCGCCTTCCACTCCGCCCACTTTCGAAATATACTGGAAGCTTACGGAGAACCTTGGTATCGATGGACATGGACATATGCAAGAATGCAAAACACGCCCTCCTGATGGCAGATTAGGACGTATTTGGTATGGCTGCCGCTCTCACGTGCTTCAACGCGATATGATTGGCTGATGTGGACACGGATGAGCCGGTGATAAGCTGATAACCGATTGCAAGCGCACTTTTCCTTGTCACCCCCTTGTCTTGTCCTCTTTCATTTACATAATTTTCTTCCAGCCTTGGAGGTTGCATCTTTTTGTCAGGACGTCACAGGACCCAGATTGACGTTGCAGTTTTCGCCCCGGTTATATCTATATTGATCTCACTGTTTTCTGTCCTTGAAGCGGTTGCTGTTGCTACGCATAACTTGCCTCGCTCGCACCCCAGGAATTTCTCACAGCAAGCTGTCCACCAGAAGTCTTCCGTATTGGAGGTCGATATGGCACCTCACGCCGAAGTCACCGGCTTTACGGACACGTCTTCGGTAGTTGTTAACGACTCAGCCCAGACGAAAACTCCGCCTCGTCCTGTCTTTACAATCGACGATGTATTACCGCACCGACAGAAGTCCAAACCGCCGGCGACTACTGTGGCTGCGTTCTCAGATGCCAATATGTTCAAGAGTAAAGGGTGCTTCAGCAAACCGAAAGCCAAGAGTTTCGCGCATCGGTTGACGGAGGAGAGTAAATCAAGGAAACCGTCGAGTCTGAAGGGCGCCATGAAGTACTTCCGGCCCGGCACCATCAGTCTGTGTGGTGGATTGCCGAGTAGGTATGTGGGACTTGTTTTGCCGCTGCCATGCTCGTCTGCTTGAACTGACTGTGCTGCAGTGACTACTTTCCTTTCGAAGAGCTCAGTGCAATGATACCCGTCCCGCCTGAATTCTCGGAAGCCCAGACAGCAATATCAGGGAAGAGTTTCTCCTCGGGTAAGCACGACGCCACACGAGATGGCAAGGCTTTGCTCGATCTTTCGATCGCGCTGAACTACGGACAATCCATGGGCCCGGGAGCCTTGATGCGCTTCCTCACCGAACACACAGAGATTGTGCACAGTCCGCCTTACTCAGATTGGGATATCTGTATGACTTCTGGGAGTACCTCTGCATTGGATATTGCCTTGCGAATGTTCACGGAGCGAGGCCAGTATGTTATAACCGAAGAGTATACCTTCAGCTCCGCTATCGAGACCGTGGCGCCCCTGGGAGCGAAAATGCTGGGGATCAAGATGGACGCGGATGGGATGCTGCCTGATGATTTGGACAATACCTTGTCCAATTGGGATGAAAAGGCACGCAGAGCACCAAAACCGTTCTTGGTGTACACCGTACCGACCGGCCAGAATCCTACGGCCAGCACGCAGTCTTTGAAGCGGAGGAAGCAGATCTATGCCGTGGCCGAGAAACACGACCTGTTCATTCTGGAGGATGAGCCATATTATTTCCTGCAGATGGATCCCTTTGTCTCCGGTCACACGCATGCTGTGTCCTCGCCGTTTGAGCCAGTGTCCGTGGCAGATTTCCTCTCGAATCTCGTCCCTTCGTACCTCTCTATCGACACATCCGGACGAGTGCTGAGGTTGGACTCATTTTCCAAGATCATTGCCCCTGGTAGTCGTGCAGGTTGGGTCACCGGTGCGCCGCTAGTCATTGAGCGATTCATGCGACATAACGAGGTCAGCGCACAAACACCTTCAGGCTTCTCGTTGATCGCCCTGTATAACCTGCTCGAAGAGAACTGGGGCCACAGGGGGTTCTTGGAATGGTTGATGTTCATTCGTGCCGAGTACACGCGGAGGAGGGATATCATTGTGAATGCTTGCGAGGAGCATTTGCCCAGCGAAGTGTGCAGTTGGGTGCCGCCAAAGGCGGGCATGTTCCATTGGATCAATGTTGATTTGACGAGGCATCCAGTCTATGAGTCGAAGGGTGGGCAGATCGACTATGCTAGTCTGTTGGAGATTGAGGATAGCGTGTTCACGTCGTGTGCTGAGCAGGGTGTGTTGATTGCGAAGGGGAGCTGGTTCCGCGCGCAACGAGCCACGGATACGGAACTGTTCTTCCGCACGACGTTTGCGGCGGCGCCGGCGGACAAGATGAGAGAGGCGATCGAGAAGGTCGGTGTGGCTATTCGGAAGGAGTTTGAGATTGATGGTGAGATTGTGGAAGGGAGGACGAACGGGCATGCAAAATGAAGAGCTCGAGAAGTGCGTCTGGTGGGTTCGTCGGGATATTGTCACTTTCAAAGCAGGAGCAAGGGACGGAGTGAACGGCATACCAGGACAGGACACGACTGCCTTTCTTGGAACAAGTACAGAGATCTCATCAGGCACTACATGGGATTAAGGACTCGATTGGGATAACAAAAACCTAAGGGCAAGGCATTGAGGGTTGAGTGACGGGACCTGGTATCTCCTTAGCATTGGCATGGGCATCGTCTGGAGTTTAGTACTTGCGAACCGGGCGATAGAGTACCCCAATAGCATTCAAGGGTGCGGAGCGACACCTTCGTTATTGTGCACCGTCTTAATGTCTGATCTTCTGATAACAGCAGCGATGCAATCGATAGTCAAGTCAGAGGGAGCATCAAAGGAGAGAAGAGCATTAGTGAGTGTCTACACACATTAGGCCCGCCCTCAATAGGCCTTGGGGAAGGTGAGCCGAGCATATCGTAAAAGGAAAGTTTGCCGCAGATGCTTTTTGGGCCACTTCACACATGTACTATGTACTACTGTGTCTCTTGAAAAGTATCAACTTGTCCTTCTACAATAATCAATAAAATAACATCCTTGCTACTCCAGGAGGACCAGATGCCTCTCGACCATATGCAGGGCCAATCAATGCATCTCCTCTCATCAACAGCTGAGCTACGGAAACCTCGGCATCAAAACCCAGGTATGGTTCAAGTTGCTTTTGCCGCCTTCTCCACATGAAACGCGAAAATTCTGTAGGGTAGCAACCTGGCCAGAGCGAGGTTCAGCCTGATCACAAATGACACAAATAATCGACATAAGCAGATAAACAAGATCTCCACCAACGACGACGGCCTAGAACATCTCAATCGCAAGTGGTGAGTACTGTGTACGTCAAAGGTACGCTGTGTCCCGTTAGAATACAGGCCATCGCCAGCTTCCGGGGAATCTTGGCAGTCGTTCTATGGCGGGATCCCGTCGATACGATCGGATGTGCTCTCGTCAACAGGGACGATCACAAGAGCTATGATCTTGATTGTAGTCCATCGCCGCTCTCCGAAAGAGACGAATCGATCCAACCAAAGACAATGTCGAAACCTATCAGCAGGCCAAGACACACAAAGCATCGCCAAGGCAGACTGAACGCATTTTGGTCAAGCGGAACCCGCCTGTCGTCTTGGCTGATGGTCTGCTGTGTCCACTGAGAGTCGTCTCTCGGGTGTAACTGCAGTTGCTTTGTCCCGTCCAACAGCACGAGACTCTCTTATCAGGATTTTCCGCTACAGAGGCCTCGAGCTCGAAACTCAACTGGCCTTTTGTTGTAAGCATCGACATATATCAACCTTCAGTGCCTGAAAGGTAGGTAGGCATTGTTGGCCTTCTTGTCTGTCTTACTCTTTTCGCTCCTCAACCTCGTGTGTTCGTAGCCCTCAGCCGCCGTCATGGGCCTCAACGGATGGATTCACAATGCCAACATGGCCGTCGCTCGCTCCTTTGTGGGCAGACGATTTCGGCTCGATGGCTCAGGTCATCCCCGGGAACGAAAAGGCACCTACTTCTTCACCGAGATACGGGCCGGTTTGGCGACATTCTTCGCCATGGCGTACATCATCTCCGTCAATGCAACAATTGTGTCTCAATCAGGTGGTACCTGCGTTTGCCCGCCTGATAGCCCTGATCTATGCGACAGCGATCCAGACTACATGCTCTGCGTTGCTGGCATCCAGCGAGATTTGGTTACCGCGACGGCTGCAATTTCTGCCCTCACGACTTTCTGCATGGGATTGTTCGCCAACATGCCGATTGCCCTGGCTCCTGGTATGGGTCTCAATGCATATGTAAGTTGCTTCCCTTTCCAAGGGGCATGACAGCGATACTCGAGCCTTCTGTCGTGGATACATTGTCGCTTTTCTGACCATCTGTAGTTTGCCTACACTGTCGTCGGATACCACGGATCCGGCCTTGTTCCATACCAAGTCGCTGTCACAGCAGTCTTTGTCGAGGGGTTCGTCTTCGTCGGCTTGACCATTCTCGGTCTGCGCCAGTGGTTGGCTCGGGCGATCCCTGCTTCCATCAAGCTCGCCACGGGCGTCGGCATTGGGCTATATCTTACCTTGATCGGCCTGACGTACAGCGCTGGCATTGGTGCCGTGACAGGCGCTCAATCCACTCCTCTTGAATTGGCCGGTTGTGAAGCGCAATACATGGATGAAAATGGCCTTTGTCCGGCCTCGGAGAAGATGCGGAATCCAACTATGTGGATTGGCATCTTTTGTGGCGGATTTTTCACTGTCCTGCTCATGATGTTCCGAGTCAAAGGCGCAATCATCTTCGGCATCCTCCTCGTCAGCATTATCTCCTGGCCTCGGGGCACGCCGGTGACTTACTTCCCTTACACGGAGCTCGGAGACAGCATGTTCGACTTCTTCAAGAAGGTGGTCGCCTTCCATCCCATTCAGAACATCTTGGTGGTGCAGGAGTGGAATATTTCTGGGTATGGTGGGCAATTCGGACTCGCCTTTATTACGTTCCTTTACGTCGACATTCTGGACTGCACTGGCACACTTTACTCAATGGCCCGCTTCTGTGGCGCTATCGACGAAAAGACGCAAGACTTCGAAGGCTCTGCCGTGGCTTACCTAGTCGATGCCTTCGGTATATCGATTGGTGCTCTTTTCGGAACCCCCCCTGTCACCGCTTACATCGAAAGCGGAGCTGGCATTTCCGAGGGCGGAGCTACTGGTCTTACAGCGATAACCACGGGTCTCTGCTTCTTCATCTCGATCTTCTTTGCACCGCTGTTTGCTTCGATACCGCCTTACGCTACAGGCTGCGTCCTGATCATTGTCGGCTCGCTCATGGCCAAAGCCGCCAAGGACATCAACTGGCGGTATATCGGCGACGCGATTCCAGCGTTCCTCACCATCGCCATCATGCCGTTCACGTATAGTATCGCATATGGCCTGATCGCGGGCATCATCAGCTATATTGTGCTCAACACGATCGTGTGGCTGGTGGAGAAGGCCAGCGGTGGCCGGATCAGGCCCGCGGATAAGGAGTACAAGGAACCCTGGACGTACAAGATCGAAGGCGGAATCTTGCCGCCCTGGCTCGTCCGTGCGTCCAAGGGCAAGAAGGATTTCTGGAGACCGTATGGAGATGTCGAGCACAATACTTCGCCGGTGGCTGGGAGGACTTTGGAGGGCAAGGAAAGTGTCGGTGCGGAGACCGCCATGGCACAGGCTGGGGCTTCGGAGCGCGGCGGGTTCAGTGCTGCGGACATGAGAGGGAGCACGACGAGTGGGAGTGAGGAGGGGGAGAAGTTGAAGCTTTGAAGCTTTGAAGCAGGATCAGGTTTGGCGTTGTTCTGCGATAAGCCTGACTGTCTTGGGGTCAAGTTGTACTAGTAGTTGACTGCGCCGTTTTTAAGACGAGAAGGAAACCCATTATTGCCTGCTATATTATTGCAGTGATATGATTTAGGACATGGAGTACTCCGTATTCCCCTGTCTCGCCTGACCAAATTTGACTATATAACCTGGGCCACCCATCACTTCGGTTTAGCGAGTTGCCTTCCTCGTCTCGTTCCTCAGCCGCACGTCAGCCTAACCAGAGACCTCAGCCTCAGCCTGGAATCCCAGTCATGTATGCAACACGCCGGCCGCTGCGAGGTACAGTAGAACCGGATCTAGTCACTCGGTTTCGCTGTCGGCGACCACGGAGCATCGCTTGTTCGATGCACTCACCGCACAGCGACGGTCCAAATCTAGAAGTATCGCGCAGGATACATTGACGACGAGGAAAGTTTCTTCCGTCGGCATAACGTCTCCCTCGAGCCTTACACATCATCAGTATAACAGCATCCAATCCCGTTCATACTAGTACTCGACTCTTCACCTCAGGATTATCTCTTGCCATCCATCGTCGTCAAACGAAAACGCCGCCCTGAAGACCTTGCCCAACGCGACACGCTGCCACACCGCGCTCTTGGGGTGATACTTCACCAACAGCACGTAAAACACATCCCATTCGGACTCGTGCCGCTCCTTGGGGATGTAGTACGTCCACACGGGACTCTCCTCCTCGGAGAAAGACTTTGCTTCCGACAGAGCGATGAAGTCACATGCCACCACGCCCGTGTGAATTCCCTGGCCGGCGCATTCCTCCTCAATCCAGCCCTCATTGACGACAATTGAGCCGCACCAGTCACCTAGATCGTCCATGATGTCGCACCTACATAGCCCTGTGCCCTTTAACCGAGGACGAGTCTCAGCCCGGCAGACCTGCAAAGTCTCCTGCCAGGTCCAGAATTGTAGTTTGTTTTGGTACGATTGGTCTTTGTCGCCATTCCCATTATACCCGCCGGACGCTTTGAGCACGCGAAACGGATTCTCCGGGATCGTGCGAAAGAACTCGTTCTGTGACCGCATCCGGATCTCGTCCCAGAAGGCGCGGCCAAAGATGTCGAATTCTTGGGTTGGTTTTTCGCGATAGTCGTGATTTACTTGATATCGGCGACGGCGCTGCTCCTGGGGACCTGAGTGAGGACCCCTAAGACGTAGAGGAAAGCCGCGCCGGTGGCCTTTACCCAGCTCGGCTTCAGTGAAGTGAGTTGAATCCTCCAGAGTCGGGTCTGTGACATCGACAAATTCTTCCCCTGGGCTTATGGCGTCAAAATGTGCTCGTCGACCCAGAGGAAGAGATCCATGCTCTGTTGAAGGCGAGGAGGATGACCTACTGCGTGCCCGATGGCGATAGCGGCTGTAACCGGGCTTCCTTTGGGCGTATAGGACTTCCGGATCAAGGGGAGGGTGCAAAGACATTTTTCTGTCGCCTGCCGTAAGACCCCTAGCAAGCGTAATAGGGCGGTGTGCCTGTGCCATCCTGTTATGTTGATTCAGGTTTTCAGCAAGTCGTGGGCCCTCACGGTATGCACCCTCATCTGAATATATCCTGCCCCTTGCATTATCCGTGGATAGTGCCGCAACTCCGAGTCTGCCTCCCTCTTCGTGGTGCGAATGTTCGGTATGTTCTGGTGGTCTGGGAGGCACAGTGGGCATCGCAAAGGGAACACAACTGGTATGCTTCCCACGATAACCTCGCCAGCGTGCTTCTGAGCTTTGGTCGTCCTCAGCTCTGAACTTGTCCCACAGAGGCCTCGAATTTCCCTGGTCGTCTCGGATGTAGTAACAAATCCAGGTATGGTTCACAAGCCATTCGTGAACATTGGCCAAGCAATCATTGAGCAGATCCGATTCATAGTCTACTTGGGCCTCAATCCAGCCACACCATGCCCAGGTAGGAAACTCGACCTCGAAAGCTTTATCGCCCTCGTCCTTTACAACTCGAGGCTTAATCTTTCCTTTCGGCTGCCACAGCAAGGCGAGATCAAAATGAGAACTCGGCAGACCGAACACAAAGGGAGCCCGCATGACCTTTTGAATTAGTGTTGTGACACCGTTGAACGCAGCCAGAATGTCGCGTGGCTTGGTGAGCTGGCGAGAGGTATACATGGACACACAGTGGATGTAGAACCAGATGGCGCGGACTCTGAGCTCTTTCAGCGTCTGAAGAGGTGCGTGAATTGAGTCCAGTGACCAAGCCGTTCCACGGCCATGAGCATAAATATCTTGGGACATGCTGGCACAACGGCACTGAAAGTACACTCTCTTCTCCGCAAATATCACGCATCGTCTCGACAGCAGACGCTCCTGGAAAGTCCAAGCACGTTGGTTCCAGCGAGAGCCACGAATGGCAGTTTCAGGGGGCCTAGATATCATCAAAGTGACGCCGGGAGCGCAATAGCCCTGGATTTGGTTTGCTGAATCGGCATACATTGCCTCAAGACCTGTGGATGAATCTTCGCCGTCCGCGGCGCAAATAGTCAGGCTTGCGAAGCCATAGATCATGTGCATTCTCCGTGCATTCAAGTTCCATGAGCGGAAGCTGTCCTGGACTATGCAGAGTGAATCAATCCATATGTATCGCATTCCTAAACGAGGAACCAGGTCGATGGCTTCTTTAATAGCTTTCGGAAAGTCGGGATAGGCGCCCTGTAGACCTCCGTGGTTTTGATGCAACAAAATATTCTCGCGAAGCGTCACGTACGGCTCTGGTTTCCCGGCTTCTGGCTTGCCCCAAACATAGCTGAGGGCCACGAAAGGCTCGTATGCGAAGCCGTTTACATTGCGTCCATGTGGCAGAACGCACAGCTGCATATTCACCACGTCCAGCAGGCCAAAGTACGACTCTCCGAGCATCTTCTCGAACTCTTCGGTACCTTCATATTTGTCTTGACAGTGCTCATTATGATGATACCGGCACAAGTCGAGCCAGCTCTTGATCAACGCAGTTCTTCCTTTGTGGGGGGCGATGCTCCTTCCGAGAAAATGTATCTCTCTTCGTGACGATGCTTGCGCTTCCGAGTTGGGGCGCCAGTCTTGTTCGGGAGCCACAAACACGAGATAGGATCCAAATTCCTGCAGAGCAGGATGAGACCATTGCACCCGAAGTCTACGCGTGCGGTTCTTGATCAGTCCGGTTGTTGTGTCAAGGTACTCGCGGCCATCAATTTCCCAACTCAGTTCACACTGGGCTAGCTCTAGCAGCTCCCGGCCGTGCTCCTTTAGAGCTTTGTTGAGGTCGCGCTGCTCGACGGACTGCGCCAAGAGGTTGCAAAGCACACAGTGGTGCTGGCGGTGCTGTATGTCCAATAGACTTCCGAGCTTGAGTGGAAGGCCCCCGGATCGCATTAGAGAATTCACGGATCCAGGCGTATTGGTGTCAGAATTGGGCCTCATCGACTTGTTGGGATTGTACGCGGATGTAGGAGCATCGTCTGGGATGACGAATTTGTCAACCGATAGACCGAGTTGATGGCAAAGCTTGCAGAGGCTGGTATTGTCCCCGTCACCCAGGCTGCCCGGCCGATGCTTCGCATCGCCGTCTGCATATACGAAATTGCCTCTGGGGGAGGAAGCGTGCGTAGCATTCAGCGGGAGATCCGAGCCCTGTGACTTGGACAGCGCCATTGAGGCATTGTCATTCATTTTGCTATTCCCTTCACCCCACCTCATACAGCGCGGCTCGCCGGCGATGCGAGAGTTTTAAACAGTCAATAGATCCGAAGCCCCAACCTCGGATGGAGCATAAATGAATCGAAGTTGGACTTTGAAACAGTGATATGCCAGCAGTAACCATCATGCTGAGTAGTAACAATGGGAAGAACATCCTTAAGGCTGAGAAGCAGGCAGACATTGTCCCAGACAGCTTGCCTTTTCTTCATTGGCGGAGCACAGCCTCGACTCAGCTGCTGCATGCATGCAATGTGGTAAGATCCTGATTTGCTGCGGTAGCGAGTCCGAGACTTAGGCGCCTCTTGGGCAACGCTAAGGTGCATCTCAGAGTCGAGGCAGCCTCAAGATACTTTGTCGGGAATGTCGCGTTGAATGATGCGCTAACAGAGATAAGGACGCATTGTCATCAAACATGGTGAGTTGGCTGGTTTGCCGCTTCCCACGGAGCGGCTTTAGCTAATAACTGCTTCTTGATAGAGAGCTACCTACGTGCTAGGTCAGGGTTGCGAAATTCGATCGTTGTGATTCTGGTTCGCTGTCAAGCAAATTGCTGGCTCGCCTGTTTTTGCGAGCAAACCAGGCGACGGACAGTAACACGACGGGCACCGTGAAAGTGTTCGCCAGGATTCGCCGACAAGTACAATGGGAAAGTCTTTGATCTGTGACCACGAAGTATGACAGAGTCTGAACTTGTTGCCAGTCGCGCCTTCCGGCTCAACAAGTGCGGGACAGCCTCCTACAGCAACCGGTCATATTCATTGGGATCGTTGAGCAAGCTCTACGTCAGCTTGATACTCTGTCCGTTTCCTGATACATCCATACTCTGAGAGCATGCAGTCGCCCACCATTGAGATGTGCATGACCATACTCGTCCTTGCTTTCCTCACTAGAGGGGCATTTTAGTAGATGTACCTGAAATTCATATTCTCCCTGTCGGTCAAATCTCCGAAAGCAGTGGCGTCCAGATCTCTTCCTTCCAGACCACCCTCTTGCGCGCTCTGGATCTTGTCCCTTCGCTTATTCTCTGCTTTCATCAAGATGTAGAAGGTGATGATGATGACGACTTCGAGAAGATGACTATTTTTGGGACGAGTTAGCACTTTTTCTCTCCTTCATGTTCCCACATCCCTTTGTTTTCTGGAACTCTGAGACTTTGGAGTTGTGGTGTGGTGTAAATATTTGTGCAGCACGTACCTAACAATCATACTCCAAATACCCAACATATACGTAGGCGCCTGGCTTGTCTTGTAGAAAAAGGGTCCAGCGATATTTCCTGTGCAGTAACCCAGGAACAAAACGGCATTTGTGACGACTTTTTTGGTATGACCCGCCGTGTTGGCGATTTGGAGTGACAAGATCATGACGAAGGCCGCGTTATAGGGCCCCGTGAGTAAGTAGCAGAAGTACCGGCCAACGTGGTGCTTTTCGTCGACAAACCTCAACCCGAACGCGCCGGCGATGTTCGGGCACAGGAAGATCAGGATGAAAAGGCATCGTTTGTTGTTGGCGAAGCGGTCGTTCAGGAAGACGCAGGTCAGGATGGATATGATGATGAAGCAGCCGTAGGGGATTTGCATGAGGGTGGTGACGAGTGTGGAGAAGCCGAATCCTGTAGACCAGCGTTGTCAGTTAATCATAATCATGCGTACACCTGCTACCTATGCAAGGATCAACGGCATCGGTGATGGGTTGAGGGGAGGCTCGGATGCTGGAGTATCCCGTGCAAGGATGGAAGGGTGCTCGAGTAACCCATACGAGGGCATACACGTGCTGTGGGTGCTGGGAGAAGGGTAGAAGGGTAAGTGTGTGATGTGGCCGTACCTTTGATGATGAGCGTGCCGAAATTTGAGATGCCGCCATTGGGAACGTTGCCGACCAATGCGAGCATGAAGAGGAGATAGGTCTTGATGTCCGTGAAGGCTTCAATGACTTGATAGGGCTGTGTATGTAAAAGAGGATCGGTCTGTCAGCTACCCACAAAGGCCCTTATGGAGGAGGTTAAGATCGTGGATACATAACGTACCTTCAAATGCTTGTTTTCGATACCGGTTTGGTTGCCCTTCAGCCGTTCGACGGCAATGCGCTTTTCACGTTGATTCAGGAACTTGGCTGTCACGGGTGAATCGGGCATAAAAATCGCAATCACTATGCCCCAGACGCAGCACAAGACGCCGATGATGATGAATTCGTAGCGCCACGATGCCAATGCGCCTTTGATATGGCCGATGGCGTAGCCCAGAAGACCGCCGAGAGCGATGCCGGCCCCATTGGCAGTGTACCAGAGTCCGATCCGCAATGGCTGCTCCTTTCGAGTGTACCACTAAGATGACCGTTAGCAAGAAAATGCCGAATTGGCAGACGGTATCTACCATTTGCGTGATCAGCATGAAGGATGGGTCACTGCATGCCTCTGCTGCTCCGGCCAGCGCTCTGAGAACACCGAGTGTGGCAAAGCTGTTGCAGGCTGCTTGCAGCATCAGGAAGAAACCCCACATGAAAATGCTGGTGATGCGAATGCAGATCAGTATACTGTGTATTATTACGGCAAGGAATAAAACCTGCAAATCCCAAAGTTGGTTCGTCCAGACGGGTCTTGCTTACTTGAAGCCGAGATATTTGCCCAGCGGAAGTCTTTGCATCAGAAAATTGGTCGGGAACGCCCAAGCGAGGAACCCGAAGTAGAATAGACCTGCAACCAAACCAGTCAACCTTGCAGCCCTTGAGTCTTGACGATACTACTAGTAGTGTTCCAGACTAGAGATTGCCACTTACTGCTGAGCCAACTGTATTGTGTCCCGTGCAGGTTGAGATCATCCTTGATCCCGAAGATGGCGGCGTAGGACAACGTGGTCTTGTCGATGTAGAAGAATGCATAGTTGACTGCGATGAGAGGCAGGATGACGAAGTCGACTTTGCGGATGAGCTTCTTCTCTTCCACGGGGTCGATTGGTTCGTGGAGCTCGTCGGCATTGGAGAAGAGTTGGAGGGCCACGTCGCCGTCATTCTTCTTGTATTTGGAGGAGAATTGGAACTTGTGCGTCGTGGGTGGGAGACTCATGCTTTCAATCTCATTTTGGGTCGAGATGCCCTTGTCGTCAGGGACGGTGTCCATGGTTTTTTTCTTGAGTCGGCAAAGAGAATCCAAGAAACCCTTGCCCAAATGCAAAGTAGATTACTGCTGTTGCAGGGTTCGCTGCTTTTGTTCGCGAATACTTCTGAATGGCCGGTACTAGTATTCGTCGACTATATAGAGTAAAGGATGACAAAGTTCTAAAACTTGCGAGGAAAGAGGAAGACTGGTTAAGAACAACGGAACGGTCAGGGCTGGCCTGACCATTAATCTTATTAGAGAATTCGGTAGGATGGCCATTCCAGCAGCCGGAAGATAGACCGGTCATGGTATGTTGGATGGGCAAGAATGGGGTGGGACATCTGGGCACAAAAGGCCATGCATGACGTTCCAAAGCTTTGTGGCGGTCATGCTAAGAAACGGACTGCCGTTGTTGCATATCGTATTCATCCAAGTCTTAGCCAGCTTGTGCTGCTGCCAAATCAGACGCCCAGATAGCTTAGATCCCCTGGTCAAGGGCCCACTGATCTCCAGGCCTAGTGGGCCATAACTTGTACGAAAGGTGCGGGGAGAGAAGAGAGGGAGATGGGGCACATGGGGGTTGGTGAATTGCTGAATTCACATGCTTCACGGCCAATGATGACCCGGTCGGCGCGTCAATGGGACGATTTGCCCGCTCTCAGAATAGCTGGCTTAAGGAAGGGAGCTGCCATTTCCACGGGGCTCTGACTGTTCATCCAGGTTTAGGGGTGGTGATTCTGGGAGCTTGTTGATGTCGTCGAGGTGTTGCAGATGATCCAGCATATTGCTCGAGGCCACGGACGACCAGACGCAAGGACAGACCACCAACCAGCCTGCCAGCTCGTCTTACATGTGCCCAAGGCCGTTCGCAGACCCGACGGCTCGTCTAAAAGGCATGTCCGGGTGCATGGATCCGTCGGTAAAGGAGCAACCCATGGGGGTACAACAACTTGCTCTGACCCCACGTGGAGTAAGGCTAAGATGGCCATTGATGGCCACAGGGGAAGCCAAGGGTGATTCACTGGTGTTCCAAGTGGAATTCGAGATATCAAAGAATTTCCACCGGATGCAACCAGTTCCTTGGCAATCAATTGACAGGCCAGGAATGACAACCTGAGGCTATCCGATGCATGACCGAACGGCGTTTATCGGACTATCCTCCGTAAGGTGTTTTGTTCATTGACACGAGTGACTCAACTCCCTGAGACCCCAAAATGCATGTAGAAAAGAGCCAAGACCTAGCCACCATCACCTGAGGTCCGGTATTCTTTCCGCTGGTCTCTCCAAACCGTTCGTAGATGACATTCAAGGCTGGGGAAGATATCAACCGGGGTGATGTCCATCCTGTACAGCACCTCCGCCGCCAAGGCCAGAACGAACGACAGTGTTTACTATGTAAGTGTCTGGCAGGTTGGAGACTACTCTCCCTCGGTATGCGCTTTAAGGTCAAGAACTCTTTTGGTCTCGGGGCGCCTAGAGGTCCAAGTCAGCTGCTGCAAGTATAAGCAAAATAATTGGATCTGCTCACGGAAGTACCTCAAGGTTCTCACCCTCGAGGACTGTCGCCCGCTTGGCACGCTTGTATGCATTGAACCAGGGTCCTTTGAAAAGAGCATCGATCTCTTCCACACCAAGCCCGGCGAGTTCTGGCACTGCCAAGTACACATACACCAGCGACATGAAGCACCAGCCGGCGAAGAAAATGAAGGCACCCCAGTTGTCGGTATTTTCAAGGAGGGATGGTGTGCCGTAGGTCATGGCATATATGAACAACCAGTGAAAGCACTGCGACATGGCCCCACCGAAGGATCTGAGCCTGTTGGGCCAAAGCTCGCCGCCAAACACATACGGCAAGGCAAAGAGACCTATAACCCCAGCTGTTAGGCAAGAGCACAATATATGGTGTCTGATCTTCTGACTTACCAACAGCATAGCCAAAGGCGTGCACGAAGACGAGCCCAATAGCCGCCTGTGACGAAGCAGCTGAGGCGTCACCCTCCTGCTTGTACTTGATATATATGCCGATATACAAGTCTGACAACATCTGAAAAGTGATGCCGACGAAAAGGGATCTCCGTCTTCCAAGGGCGTCGATGAAGAAGAACGAAGCGATGAGGGCAAAGAAGAGTTTCGATAGCCCATACATGCCGCTTAAGAATAGGTTTCTGGTCGTACCGCCTCCTACCCCCATCAACGTGAGGATGGGGATGAAGTAGGAAGTCACGCTGTTTGCCCCTGACAGTTGTGCAAGTCCGTAAGACACAAGAGTCTGCTGGACGCGTCTCAGATTGGAGGGCACCGTGAATGTCTCTTTTACGATACTGACAATGCCGTTGTGGGTGTCGCAACCGTAACGCTCCCTCTCCAGCTGGATAGAACCTTGAATTTCAGCCAGCTCCCTTTGCACTCGGGCGTGATCAGCAGGCAGACCTCGAAGTCGAACGAGGGTCTTGACTGCATCGTCGTGCTGGTCGACCAGCATCAACCACCTGGGCGATTCACAAAGGAAAAAGCTGGCAATGACTCCCAACCACATGAAGAGGCAGGGAGAGAAGAACACGGTCTGATATTGAAGTCTGCTCGTGGAGATGTGTTCGAAGACGCCCAACACGCAGAAGTTGGCCGAGACCAGCTGTCGATCGTCAGTGAGCTGTGCCAGCGCAGAAAGGAGAAGAAATGTCAGGGCATGACACTCGTGCTTGTCCGCGTAAATGTCTGAGAGAAGGCTCTACTAACCGCCATGCTCATTGAAACGGTAAACCAAGCCGTGAGAAGGCCACGTATTTCTGCAGGCGCTATCTCAACAATGGACATGGGTCCGGTAACGGTAAGAGCTCCAATGCCCAAGCCGGTGATGATTCGAGCCGCATATAATCCAGCTAAGCCTGGAGCAAGCGTGGCGACGATCTGGCCAAGAGTCCAGACAGCGATGTATAATCTGTAGGACCAACGGCGCCCGATCCTGTCATTGACGAAGAAAGACAAGAGGGAGCCGGTAGCCATGCCAATGTAGACGATCGAAACGAAGTTTTTGATCGCTTGAGCATCGGTGCCTGAGCTTATGCCGAAATGCAGTTGGAACCCTGGAAGAGAGGGCACGGTCGCAGAAGAGCCTTGGTCCCATGCTTGCGAAGAGTTAACGGATTGCTCGCGTGATAAGGCTGGAGCTCGACTTACTTGCAGGGATGGCACTTGTGGCATAAAGGACGGTGGAAAGAAGCAGGCTGCGATTGAAAATGACCTCTCGAGGCGTGGTTCGAATTTTCCTGGCATAGACCGCCAGTGGGGACTGAGCGAAGGCCGCTTTGACTCCCATACTGCTCGAATGCGAGGCTTGTCTCTTGGATGATCACGACAGCACGTACAGTCTTACTCCACAAAGGATCAAGTCGGAGGGCGTGGGGAGGTTGCGTGATTTTTCTGTATCGAAGACCCTTTCATGACTCTCGTATTTATCTTGGAAGGTATGCACCATGCTGTAGCCATGGATGGTAGGTGGTTGGTCCTCATGATATTCGGCCTTCCGAGAACTTGTAGCACGGGAAGGTCGAGCTGTTCGGAAGGCCGAAGGAGGTCGAGATATGGCGTTGAGCTTCCACCAATAAGAGCTCCCATGATGTCCCCAAGACAAGCATCGTTATCATCGAGACACCTCGGCACCCACTGTGTACCCTCCACCCTTCAAGTCTTCCCCATCAACTATCAAGAGAGGCTCGCTAGTGGTGTTCGAGCCGACCATCAGACGTGGCGCTCTATGGCCACAAGATAGATCGAGGAATAATCACTGCACCGGGACCAGACCCCGGCTCTGCTGCGTGGTCTCGGCAATTCCGAACATGATCTTCGAACCCGATCAGGATCGTGCAGAGCTGGTAGAGCTCGGCAGACTGCAAGGCGTCCCTGAGTGATTGCTGGTGCTCAGGCAATATAAATCCAGTTGCCATACTAGTTTCAAAACTCCCGCCAGTGGCTTGCATTGCACCCCTTATCTCCCACAATGATATCCCACGACTCGAAAATCATAATCGTCGGCGCTGGTGTGTTCGGCTTGAGCACAGCCTTGTGGCTCGCTCGTGCTGGGTACAAGAACATCAGCGTCTTCGACCGATGTGCATTTGACGTGAACTATTACAATCCTCTGGATGGATGTGACGGAGCCTCTGCCGACATTAATAAGATTTTCCGCACGGGATACGGAACAGAACAAGAGTACGACCGCCAGTGATTTTACCTTGGCCCACACAAATTGACAGGGAACATCCAGGTACCAGGCACTCGCAATTGCGGCTCGAGAGATATGGCTCGCGTGGAATCAAGAGATCAAAGAGAGTTCTCCATCTGAACTTCCACCCGGCATTACCCCCGAAGACAAGGTTCTCGACCTATGCGGCAACTTCTTCCTTGCGGAAGGGCCAGAGCTCAGGGTGTTTTACAAGGATAGTCTGTCTTCGATGGAGAAGACCGCACCTGAATCTCGCGCTCTGCAGTTCGTCAAGGTCGGGTCCCGAACGAACGACAAGGACTTTCTTTGTGCTGACAAGAATTCAAACAAACCAGGGCAACATCGAGGACGAAGAACGTCTACGTAAGATTGATCCAAGATGGGTCAAGACCTTCCACGCCCTCGACGGCATCAATGACAACAACACGAACGGTTTCTTCGACATTCAAGGTGGAGTGACTCTCGCCGACAAGGTGAAAGCCAGACTCCCATGATTGCTCGAACTCTAGACACTAACAGGAGTACCAAGGCCTGCACCTACGCTCGCTTCCTCTGCGAGAAAGCTGGTGTCAAATTTGTCCTCGGCTCCCCGCAAGGCAAGCTGCAGTCGTTGATCGTCGAGCAAGTTGGCTCCGAGAAGAAAGTGACCGGCATCACCACTGCGGACGGCCAGAGCCACCAAGCAGATATTGTGATAGTTGCATGTGAGTCGGCGCTTTCTTTCTTGCTTTCTTTCTGTCTACCAGATACTAGTACTCACAGATATGCACATAGGTGGTGGCTGGACGGCCACCGTCATTCCCGAAGCCCACCGCACCGTCGAGACCACAGCCGGCACGTTAATGTTCATTGACGTGCCCAAGACCCGAAAAGATATATGGGACAAGTTCAACTCCAAGAACTTTCCGGCATGGTCGTACAGGAGGGGAGAAGGTGACGAGTAAGATGACCACTGACTCGGACTCCCTCGTATAAGTACCCCTGCTGACGAGGACTTCCAGGTACTATCAAGGAGGAGGTTTCCCAATAAGTGCGACTTACTCTCCTTCCTTTTCTCTCTCGCAAAATCAGGCCCCCCCTAAATCTCCATCTGACACGTTCGTATCGCAGCACGTCAAGGCCGTCTGAAGTTCGGATTCCGTGGTCGAAAGGTACGCAAGCTCCCCCCCTCTTCGCTCGCCAACGAGGTGATTTGTGCTCAACGTTGCCGGCCGCATAGTTCACCAATTTCCAAAACCACCCTACGGCCCCAAACCTGTAAGTGCAAAAAGCCCACGCCAGCATGGTCTGGTGAGAAGCAGAAGGCTGACAAGGGCCATCATTGGCAGACGCGTGTCGACTCCTCGAACAAAGTACACCGAAGATACCATCAACACTGTCCCATTGTACGGTCTCAAGCTCGTGAAGGAGGTCATTGGCAAAGCCTTCCCAGAACTAGCCGAGTTCGGCTTCACCGATACCAGGGTACGTCCTTTTTTTTTCACAAGCTTGCCGAATCGCCCCCATCACCGCCCCTCCCCCAAGGTAGCCATCCCATAAAGTACAGGCTGACCCATCCAAATCGCAGTTATGCTGGTATACCGACAGTATCGACAACAATGTAAGTAATTCTAACCTGGCCGGGCGCCCTTGGCCCTTGCCCTTGCACAAGCCCTCAAGCCTCAAGCCTCAAGCCTCAAACAGCACAAAATATATGCTGATCGATCGTCCACTGCAGTTCGTTATCGACTACGTTCCGGGATATACGGATTCCCTATTCATCTGTTCCGGCGGCTCGTAAGTGTCTGTGTCTGTTTGCTTGGAATCATGTTTCGCGCGATTTTCGAGCAAATTCGCTCCTCCGACCGCGTCTCTCTTACTGGTATCTGACATGGAGTCCGCCATAGTGGTCACGGATTCAAATTCCTCCCCATACTCGGCAAGGTAAGTAATAAATCTCAAAAGACCCCTCCTCGTCCTCACTCTACCCTTTTGAGAAGCCTATACTGACTTCCTTCGGGTCATGCAGCACGTCAAGAACCAGCTCGAGCGCGTGCCCGACCAGTTCACTCACCTGTGGAAATGGCGGGCTGCCGAGCACGACAAAGAGTGCAATGGCCTTGAGCAGGGCGAGTCCGGTCCTAGGGAAATGTCCAAGATCCAGATGGCTGAGCGTAAGGAATCCCAACCCCCTCAGGGGTCCACGGCACAACACTGTCCTACAGGCTGACCAAAAGTGCCCGCTGCTAGCTCACGACTTCAAATTCCCAGTCACAAACGGCCATGCTATTTCCAGCCGGCTTTGAGCGGAAGAGCTTGATAGTACGAGCGCGGCATCCAGAATCGGGCAGTAGACCTGGTGAAGAGACACGTCACTGTATAGTTGTACTTATCGTAAAGGCAATTGGTAGACTGAATCCAAAATACAATCCAAGATGGCGAGATATGATATCCAAGGACGATGACGATCGACCAAAGAACGTAACCCATGACATGATAACAACGAGCGACAGCCATCTAAGCGTATTGGTATCGGCTTTTCTATCCTACTAGTAGTTATAAGCCATTCCAGAAGTCCGTCACATCTAGAAGTGATCCGTTCAATGAATACATGTCAAAAGGCATATCGAAGGGCATTGCAACGTCACTTATTCCCATGACAGATGAGAAGTCTCCGGTCATGGGAAAGTGATGCTCGTTGCTCGCCCTGTCCACAGGTGTCGGTCTGGAAATTTGAGACTCGTCGTGAGAGAGTGCGCGTAGCATCCTGCCCGCCATGGTTAGCGTTCATGATTGCCAAACAGGATAGGTATCGGACTGACTTTGATGTTTCGGATGGATCGCTGGACATGATTTCTTGGAGAATACCGCGCAGACGAAGCATCGAGGTAGGGTCGCACAATCCTACGTCGCCACCGTCCCCAAGGAAACGGTCGGAGAGCTTCTCGAAGACCTCGAGAAATGGGGCGCCAATAGTGAACTGTCTCGTATACACTGAGAGGGTGCTAGAGCAGGCAACTATTGCTCGAGCAATCCGTCTCGGCGGCAAGATGGCTTGCTGTAGAGCAAGGCATTGTAGCAATGTGACGCCACAGTAGAAATTTTGATATAGATCGGTGAGTGAAGGATGCGTCTGGGGACTTATGCTTAGCAACCTGCCATTCTGGTACGGTCAGTTCCGATCCTGAAGCCAGCCGTATCACACAATACACTTACCTCGCAAGCTTCGGCTGCCTTCTCAGCGCACAGACGCAGCAGATTCTGGTCGACAGCGTTTTGCATCAACACAGGCCGCATAGTGAGAAGGACTGCTTGGAGATAGAATCCTTGCTTCCGCTCATCGCTTTGCTGAGGGCACCGTGCGGGACATCTTTGAGGCGCTGTCGCTCTCCAGTCATCGAGTTCGGCGAGAAATCCTTTGACGTCGTCATATGTCGGAAGAAGTGCATGTGGTCCAAAGAACCGTGTCCTGGACCACGCGTGGTCAGTGTAAGAAAGGTAAGGCGAAACAACACCTACATTATTCTCGATTTGAGACGATATATCTCCAGGTGATGCAGCGCCGAGCTGATCTAAAGGAATGCCCCACATTAGCGCGGTAGGCAAGATCTCGACTCGCACGCACCGAAGTAATTACACCTGCTTGACCGTCCTCTTTGCCAGCCGCCTGACAGATTTGGAGGTTCCGGATTCGCTCGATATCAGTGCAGTCAACGTCAACGTTGACCGGGACCTGCTAGACTATTACTATGCCGCACCACTGTCGGAGACAGGACCAACTACATCCACGTCAATATCCAGGTCGTGGATTCCGAAAGGTCGTCTAGCCATGGTGGAGACCAAGCTTTTGACTTGTCAGCAAATGCAGTGTAGGAAATATGAGTCACTAACCGGTCAAAACAGTAAGCACACCAAAAGAATCGTTTCTCAAACTCAAGCGTGAGAGGGTCTTCTGTACTCGTCCTCCTCATTGCTGTGCGATGGTAACCCAATTCGATACACAACCGCATGATGATGCCGGAAAGATGCCTAGATACCGCATGAGTGATGCAAAGAGCGCTTCAAAGTAGTGACACGTTACCAGACTGAGGGTCCTCCCTGTGAGATCTATCAGCAGGCATCGGGAGCTGTGAGGGGCGGGCTTACAGTTGCTCGAAAGTGGTATTGGCACAGGCAAAGTAATCCTTGAACCGTGGTCAAGTCTTGCAGAGTTAGAACGGCATGAAGATGCTTCAGAGCGCGTGCGAAGTATGCCTGGCGAGAAATGATGAGAAAAAGTCCTGGCTCTGAGCTTACGACTCTTACCCTAGGCGGATACTCAGGGTTTGGAACGAAGCCCGCACCTATAGCATAGATAATCCAAACGAAATAGGCTCCTGTACCCGTGTGAGTGCCGCAAACGGACATTGACAGAGTAGCCATGGCTTCGTACCTATCTGTGCATCAAGGTCATCTTCTTTGGTGGCATAACAGATAGCCTCCCGGCGTCGATGCCACTCACGAAGCCGCGTCCAATCGACAAGGCAATAGCGTGCTTGAGTGTACAAGTAGACGGTCTCGAGCAGAAGGGTGCCGACGTCCCTTGATGGAAGTTCTGGTAGAGAAGCTGCTTGCATTTCAGATACCGTGGTTCCGCCTTGTAGCATGTTGAAATTCGTAAGTTCAGATGTCGACTCTGGGGACTTTTGTTGATTCTGGAGGCTACTACGGACAAGTCAGGAAACATACTAGCCAACCATAGACAACATGCCTCTCGACGAGCTGCGGAACGAGTTAGCAGATGCGGACAGCTTCGGCTCCGGGATTTACCTCTGTGAAGGAGAAACCACCGTTTGGACCGAGCCTGCCACCCGAAGCAGTGTGGTTTCCCTCTTGAATAGCTCGTGCAGTGCCCGCTCCCTCTCTGAGAGCAGAAGGCACTAATCAGACATTAGCACCGACGTTGTGCTAGGCTTTGACGCCCGTACACGAACTCTCTATATGTATGCTATCTCCGTGGCGCAAGTGCTCGTTCAGGTGGATAGATGGTGGATTTGAGCTGCGGAGTTCGGCTTCTAGGAAAGCAACACGAGCTTCGAGCGTCGAAACATATCTGCAGAAAGGTCAGGACGACACCTGATGAGAGTCTCGACGAAACGTACTCTGCGCCTCTGGGCAGACCATCTGGCAGTGCATCGAAGATGCAATCTTGACGCCGTCAGCGACGAATGTCCGGAATGGTTGGCTCGAACAATTTACCCGAGTTCGCTTTGGTACATGCGGCACATTTGCTATCGAAGGATATCAGATGTGGATCCAGCTTCGAATTGTGCTTCGAATCGTGTCCAACTCACTCCTGGATGTGGCCTACAAAGTGGCATTTGAGCTTCTTGTTCTTGCAACGGTGACCTGCGCTCCATGTATCAGCTTGAGTGCGAGCTCCAGGAACTCCCGAAACCCATTACAAGCATTGGTGCTTCGTCGTGTTGGGCCGGCAGTGACCTCAACCCGCTTTCGCTTTTGCCCTCGGTGGCCCTCGTCCGCAGCAGTCTGCGATTCTTGAGCGTGGTCAGGATCGTTCATTGTGATTGTATTGCGAAATAGGATGGATAGAACTCAGAAGTGGTTGAGGGCCAGATAAGGATAGTGGAATTCTAGGGTGGTGAGCCTATCAGCCACACTAGCCTGAGAGCCTTGGCTATAGCTGGTAGAAAATGGGCTTGACGGAGCCCATCTAGGCATCCTCGGCACCTACTAAGCGGTGATAAGGAAATCGCTAGGCACCAGGCTGCCTGAGGCTACCCCGGAGCTAACGTTAGGAGCCTCAGCCTATCGCTGGGGTTGCGACTCGATCGATGCTTCTCTCTGCTTATCTTTTGCGGATTGATTTGTCTCATTAGACACCACAGCTGCTTGCGGCTATTCTCTGCTGCGGCGCTGTAGGAATGAATCTTGTGCAGCTCCTCCAAGCGACGGAGATGTATCCCGAAGGCTGGACCCAGGCTCGTTCAGGTAGTTGCAAGCGGCGATATCAAAGATTTTCGGGCGTGGAGTTTCCTTTCGGTTTAGACGACGTGCGCCTTGCGCTTGACGAGGCTCCTCACTCGTTTCCTACAGAGCCCGATCGACTGGTCACGTCAATATGCTGATGATTGAATGAGATCAAAGGGCGCATTCACATTGTCTCTGATGAAGTGATTGATGACGGGTATGTCCGGCGAAGCCTAGCTTAGGGACCTACGAAGAACGGAAACTCTCAGCGAGTTGAGGATACGAGTATTATCTCAAGAACTCATTAGCCTCCATCTACTCCAGTAACCATCATTGACTCTTATCGTCTTCGCCATCACTACCCAGCACACCGCATCCATCAAATCAATCCTCATCGACTCGACAGCATGTATCTCCGAGCCGTCCACGCCGAGCTCAACATCCCCGCGCTACGCAACTTCATCAAACAAAACCCTCTGGGTCTCTTAGTCACAGCCATACCCTCGTCAAACTTCTCAACAATTCAATGTACGCACCTTCCCTGGCTGATCGACGTGCAAGACGATACCAGTGAGACCGAGCTGGGAAAACTACGTGGCCACATGGCCAAACCCAATCCCCATTCTAAAGCCATGACAGAAGCCGCACAGACGAGATCGCCGTCCAACGGTCGTCTCACGGAGGAAGTCTCGGTGATATTCAATGGTCCAGCACATCACTACGTTACACCCAAATTTTACGTCGAGACAAAACCCAGCACAGGCAAAGTCGTCCCGACGTGGAATTACTCTGCCGTTCAAGCCTACGGCACAGCCACGATCTATTTCGACTCCAAGAACGAAGAAACCGGCGAGTACTTGCAAAAGCAGATCAGTGACCTGTCGTATCATGCCGAGACGAATGTGATGGGTTACTCGAAGCCTTGGGGCGTTAACGATGCGCCAGATCGGTATATTGAACTGCTCAGGAAAAACATCATCGGCATCGAAGTCGAAATCACGAGGTTGGAAGGGAAGTACAAGATGAGTCAAGAGTTGGGCAAGGGTGACCGAGAAGGCGTGATTAAGGGATTCGAGGAACTGAGGACGGATGATGCAGTGGCAATAGCCCGGACGGTGGAGCAGCGAGGAGCCCTGAAAGAGGCTCAGGCTCAGGCTGCTTGAACCAGACACATTGAACGGTAGTTATCGCAATCTTCATCTGAAAGGGTACAAGCCACCAGGAGTGAAGGAGCAAAACAATCATGTCATGACCATATTGTCGTCCACCCTCGACCCAACGCCACCAGAAATTAATCACACAATCCGCCAACTCCTCGCTTCGATGAGCAACCAATCCCTTTCATGAAATGAAGAGCCTTGACCGGGTAGCGAAACATCAACCCAGAGAAAAAGATCTCAACTCGTCGGCAGACTCGTCTGTTTCTTTTCTCCCGTCGCAATCCCACTCAACCATGCACTTACACTCGCCTCCGTCACGCTTTCATCGAATTCCGTCCCATCGTCCAACACCATGATACTCCCTGTACTCCCACTTCCAACAAGCACGACAGCAACCTTGACCGTTGCGTTGGTCGGCCGAGCAAAATAATCACTATCGCCAATCGCGTGGGCTCCGTGCCACGTCGACTTGCACTTCGTATTCCCCGAGTCGAGAACCTCAAAGATATCGAACTCGCCACAGCCCGACGTCCAACATGAACAGTTGCCATATTGTTGCGTGCGTGGGATCAGCGCATTCAGCATCCACGCCGCGGGCATGTCCATGTTGAAACCTGACGTGCCGGTCAAGGGCATCTGAAACTCGAGCAAGAAGAGCTTGGATGCACCGGAGAACCCATGATAGGCAACACTCCCGGGCCGATAGTATCCGCAATCACCGTTCTCGCCTGAACAAGCCTTGTCCGTCATGATCACGAACTCGGAGTTGTCGCCGACCAACGTGTCAGCCAGCGTCACGGGGCCAGACGAGGCGCCGGTGTTGTCGGCATTAGCGTAGGAGAGGGACAGGCCCCATGTCGTGTCAAAGACCCCTGATCCACCGCCGCCAAAGTGATTGAGAAACACAAGCCCATCGGCCGAGCCAGCCTCGGCGTCGTAGTATGCTTGTCGAGCCCATGTGCCGGCGCCGACGGATGTGCTGGGAGAGCTTGACGGTGTGACGCTTGAGGATGCTGCACTTGATGATACCGCACTCGAGGCTGCCGCGCTTGATGATACCGAGCTTGGTGATACTGCGCTTGACGATTCTGTACTGGAAGTTGTTGTGCTCGACGATGCTGCACTCGAAGAAGAGCTACTCGAGGAGGCGACTGGATAAGAGCTGGTTTGCTGAGATGAAGCTGGCGCTGACGTCGAAACTTCTGTCGGAGCTGAATACCCATCATCTGCTGAAGACGATGCGCTAGCTGGGAACGGGATCGTCGCGCTAGTTGCAACCGCAGACGCAGACACAGATGCAGAGTCGGATTGTGCCGACGACACGAGCGTCGCGAAAGTCGAAGTCGCACTCGGTCCGAAATAATCGTTCGTCCAGGATACAATCTTTCCATCGATCGTTGCGGTCACCATGTCAGGCCCAGCTGCAGCAGCGGTGGTTGCTGCTGAACCTGAATCGGTCGCCACGGTCGATGCCGGGCTTGCATTCTGCTCGCTCGAGAGTTTCCTCCACACCGTCCAATCGTCCCCATCGGCGCGCTTCTCTTTATTGGTGGCTGCCACTTCTCGGTCCTGCGCATCTCCTGCATCACGTTTGTGCTGATGGAAATGCTGATGCGCATACCGTCCCATATGCGGCGAAGGGTGGTATGCGCGCTTTGTTTTGGTTTTCGACTGGGTCGAGCCGAGAGTGTAATATGCAAATTGTTTCAGTTGGATTGGACCGCGGAAGTGCCACGATACCTAATCACGAGAAAAAGATCAGATCACGTTCATGTTCAGTCAGGCCTGAAAATGGAGGGCAACATCGAAAAGTCCTCGTCAAAGCCACTTACCTCGTCGTCAAATGGAGCCATGCCACCGCCATAAGTGGCCGCTTGAAAATCACATTGACCCTGGCTGTCCATGTTGGTGACTCGCTGGTACTGTCCTGCAGTACCGAAGTTCGAATATGAGATTGCATCGATCTGGCTGCAGTAGTAATTGCCGCCTTCGAGGGTGCAACTACTGGAGTCTTGGGCGACGGCCGTACCAGCGGCCGCAAGGAGGGTGCTGGGTATGACCCAGGCGTGTCGTATCTTCATCTCTGCGACGGATTTCCAGGCTTTTCTTTCTTGCTTTATATACGTTGTTCTGTGGAATGTGTGTCGTATGAATTGGTGTTAAGGCCAAGATCAAGATTCCAATGATGTCTGAGACTATTGTGTAGGTGTGAGAGATCGACGAACGTGGTGGACTCTGACTCGAACATGGACAATATGGTCAAATAGGCGATTGTCTTATTCCACGGCGTTCGTATTCTTTTCGTTTGTCCCGAAGACCCGAAGGGAGGCGAAGCGAGCGGCGAGCGGCGAGCGGCAAACAGGGTGCCCTTATGACTTATTCAAGGCAGTGACCCTGAATAAGGTCTGTGAGTTCGTGTCCGGTTTTCCTGAATGAAATGAATGGCTGGCAGAAAAAAAGAGGTCCCGAGTGACAAGTCTTATCTTAACTGTGGGCATTGCATGGGGCGCAAGGACGTGGAACTGTTGTGCAGTGAACACGTCCAATACTAGTAAGCAAAAGAGGTGAACCCGGTCGCGTGCGGCAGTATTGGTCACGCCAACAAGTGAACACTGAACGAAATGAACAAAGGCAACCCATCCTCCCTTGTCAAGACTCAAGGGGAGTCGGGGAAATTCGACGTCCCGCCTTCCAAGAGATGCCGGGCATGCGCAAACGTGGCCATCTCGCCATGCAAACCCAAGCCATCCCAAGCCATCGTAATCGCGCAAACGGCACTGATGGAGGGGACTGGGCCGCACAAACAAAGAGGAGTACGGAGGGAGTAGGTGATATAGAATGATCAAAGCGGATGTGGTCGAGGCGTGAAGCGCGAGGCTTTGTGTTGAAATGGAGTGAATGGAGTGAATGCAGTGCTCTGATTGGGTTGTTCCGGCCTGGCACTGGCGCAAGGCTCGGCCGTGCAGAAACAAAGACACATACTCCGTACGTAGTGGATTCGATGCACGGATACCGTGGTTGGGTGCGTGGTATACCAAGTCCCACCTCCACCACCAGCCTCTTGGGTCCGTGTACTTGCACCTTGGCCACGCTCTTGCCCAGCGTTGCCCAGCCTTGTCTTGCAGCTGTGTGAGATTAGAATTACCTTGGTATATCCCCTTGCAATCTCATAAAAGGGGGAAAATGGAATGTGGCCACAACGTCTACGTGGACCTCCTCTTGCATAACGTATCTTGTTTTGTGTTGAAATAGAAGGGCGTCGCTCACCGATATAAGGGAACGAAAGGGAGGGTTATCTTTTCATGAGGGGTTTCCGCCCCGTATCCAGCACACTGGTACCTAAGGTACATGGTCATGGCATGCGCCAGCCTTGCAAGGCACGGACTGTCGCGATAGAGGGGAGATATCTGGAGGACGTCCACTCCACCACTCCATGACACCTCGGCCGTAATCTGATCGTGAAGGGTGCCAGTCATATCAGTAGCATTGCCATTGACGTCCGCTAGCCGCGTAAGACATGCGCTGCCGGGGCGCGTGAGTCTGGGTATCTCAAAAATCTAACAAAAAACATAGGCCACCCAAACGCCCTCGTCCAGCCTCATTTTGGGCCGGGCATGCTCCCCATTTCCAACAATGCGTAATCTCATCATCGTCATCATCATGTACACGTAACCGGCTGTTAGCGGCTCCTAACGGCTCTTGACCTTGGTCCAACCACTCGTCCCCTTGCCCTTGCCAACGTCCTCGCCGCCGACCACCTTCCTGGACTCGTCATAATCCTTTCCATCCATCGCACGGGTCCTAATAACGACAGCGTCGTCCATCTTCTCACCTCCATCGTCCCACTCCTGCTCCTCGAGGAGCTCCCACTCTGCGGTGTTCATCTCACCAAGCAGATGCTTCTTCAAGGGGTCGACAACCATGTTGTACTTGTTGAGACGCCAGTTGCGAGATGGATTGTCGCCAGCGGCAGCAGCAGAGCCAAGAAAGGTATGCGCTGAAGTGTGTGAACCAGAACCAAGGCGACCGGCCATCATATTGCTGTCAGAAGCCGGTGATGATGTGCTGTGGGATCGAAGTTGACGAATTTGGAGGTCTCGTTGAGTCAGAGTGCGAAATGTAGCAGGCGATTGTGGCACAGCGACAATCATCTGGCACAGATTCCGACCAATATCGCAGACATCGTCCCACAACTCGGTACCCTGAACGAAACCTTGAGTGCGACAGAGCCATGCGATATCCCAAGCGAGGAGACAAATGCCTTCTAAGAAGAAGTTGAATGCAACAGGTTCTTTCTTGGCGTACTGGGCGACAATTTCATTGACGTCGAAGGAACCAATGAACAGAGGACGCGGTCGAGGGAAGGAGCTGACATCGACACGAGATGCAGTGGGGCTGCTTGGCGCGGACAGACTCGACCCAGTGCCAGGAAACGCGGTTCGATGGCCGAAGTAAGATGTTTGAGGAGAGTTGATGGTTGGCAAGGGGTAATCTCGATGAGGAAGCGTGATCTCGGCAGGAAGTCGGACACCAAGATAGTATGCGCAAAGGTAGACAAGACGAGCAGTGCTGTCGAGCACCGCTGTGAGTTCAGTGCATCGTATGTCTAGACGAAGCTGTCAGTGAGGCTCAAATGGAAAATGACCAATATGCTTACTGTTGATGTCCTTGAGATCCGGCAATGGAAGTTGTGCAATCATGTAGCAATCTTTGATCGAACCGTCTTTGATCTTCTTCTTGACGCGTCGCAAACCCAACAGCGAGGCAGCCTCTCGGCATAACACTGCTTTGGCATCAACAGTTTTGTTGTGGACGATATCATGATCCGCTTTCAGCTGCGCTGATTTCTCCTTGAGTTCTTCCCATTTTTTGGCCTCATTTTTACGTGCAGCGTCTTTTGCGGCGGCAAGATTCGCTCTGCGCTTGTGAAGGAGTTCTTTGAGCTGTTTAGCTTTCTCTTGTTTCAACTCTAACTCTTTCTGAGCGATAGCAAGCTGACGTTCCGTTTCTGAATTCTCTTCATTGATCTGCTGCACCTCGTCCATCTCGAATTGTTGTTGGTATGCCGTTCTTAGAATTGCAATCGCGTTGTCGAGTGGCTCTTCTGGCTCATCTTCCGCAACGATAGCCTCGACCTTCTTTCCAAGTGCTTCTTTCTCCAGCAGTACTCGTGCCAATTCCAGTCGGATTGGGTAGAGCATGCTGCGGACGCAGCCCACGCAGTTCGGGCCATCCTCTTGAGTGAGGTTCTTCTGACAAATACCGCAATCCATTTCCTGTGATTTTGAATGTTTGGTGTCGACACAAATGAGATCGTCGTAAGGGTTCAGGGGGTGTTCAACCTCGTGTTCGGTTGTGGGCTCGTAGACCTCATCCAGCGACCACTCTGGTGGATGGCTGGAAGCTGAACTGTTGTCATGATGTTAGACTCTTGTCTGAGGATTTTCAGGAATGTGCAGCAAAGCACAATCACGTAGACACGGTTATCATTGCTGAGCCTCACGGATAACAAAGGAAATAGGCATCACGTACCTTGTCGATGCGCCTTCTCTACCACTGGCTGAGCCGGGTCTGGGCACAACTGGCCCCATGACGAAATGCAGATGGCGTGTGAAGTATCCACGTGATTTCGTGTTGGCGCTAAGAGACGCTAAGCAAATAAAGGACAAGCGTGACGGGATGGGCCGAAAACCGCTGATTAGCCGATGAAGAAAGAGTCTCAAGCTCACCACCAACTTGTAGTCTTTGTTTCGTTGATGAAATATATAGAAGAGAAACACAAACGCAACCATGGAGTCTCAGAATGTTGCTGTGCAATCTGTTTCTGCCTCACCCCGTTCGCGAGGGGAGAGCACCGAGATGGACGCGGCGACAGCAGTCAACTCTTCTCCCCCGTTACCCAACAGACCTCGACACGTCCAAACTCCCAGCATCGGAAGAAAGAGACACAACGAAGAAGTCTACGAAACCCCCCAGTCGCCTCTACGCAGTCCTAAAACACCAAAATTCCAGAGAGGCGCCGGCATCAGCACATCACAACATGTGGAAGGCCGCCAGAACCGTGACAACCCCTTCCAAACCGGTGGGAACCTGGATCATGATCAACTGCGAGGAATCGCGCAAACAACTACAGAAGACCATAGCCAGCGAGAACCAATTGCTCAAAACCCAACAAACACTCCCACAGAAGCCAACAGACTCGTTGGACGGATCGAACAATACCAAAAAGGACTCGAAGAAGAGTTCCAAGAATTCGAACAATCACTTTCCGAGCGAGACAAAGCCGCTGACCTGGAGTCACTGGATTGGAATGAGCTGGAGAAGCGCTATAACGATGAGATTCAACCGAAGATCGCAACTGAGGAAGCCATCATGAACGAATTCCAGACTCGGTTCCAAGTAGGCGAAGCCTTCCCTGTTTGTGTTCCAGACTGACATCCTCTGCAGCAGTTTCTGCTGTATATGCAAGTATCAAACGAACACGAGGCCGAGCGTGCTGTCAAAAGGCTACGTACCAGGATTGCGATTGCGCAGAACGCAGAGTCATCTCTTGCTACCAAGCAGGCTCACCGTACGTCTTCCGCTTCGACTAAGTGGGCTCATGTTAACACAGCTTACAGATTCCAAGGTGCTTCAAGCGTTTCAGAATGCGATGGAACTCCTGGGAAATCTGTGATGGATTTCATCAGGGACAAGCTGACCGTCGTATGGCAATTGTAGTTTGGCCGCTGATTTCGGAAGCCGAGGTTCTACGTCACACGACGCGCACCATTCGCGCAAATGCGAAATAACCGAGACTCGTGCTGGTGCTTGGTGAATCCTACAACTTCTTGTACAACAGTTTTATCATGACGAGCTCACGAGGGAACGAAGATCATGTCTAATGATTCCAACTCTAATACAGACGGACACCTATTGTCACGGTTAAACGCGCTCAAACAATCCACTGTTTCTTTCGACCAGACCAAGTAGGCAGTACCGCAGTGTTAAGGTAGTTCACTTCCAAACTGATCGTGATAGCTTTCAGACGCCTCTAGCAAGCGGGCCATCTCTATCTACAAATCCTGCACACGCCCTCCACTCAGACTTGCTGTCACGATGGAAGTCTATCGGAGGCAACGCACATACAAGCACACACGATCCCGCAGACACTACCGAGAAGTCCGAAGATGACAAAACTGTTGAAGAGCTTCTCGCAGACCTTGGACCTTCAGATGAATGGGACGTGGGCAAAAGCGAGGAGAAGCAGGTGGGGGATTTGTTGAAGGCAGCAAAGTCTGCGTTAGATGTTGCCAAGGAACAAGAATCTCAATCGATGGAGAAACAGGAGGAAGACGACGCACCACAAACACCTGCTAAAGTACCTGCTGTCGATGTGTCGGTCTTCCAGCCCGAGCCTGAGTCTGAAGAGGAGGTCGAGGGCAGGGCTGTGAGCAAATCGAAGGACACCCTCGATAAAGAGGCGGATGAGTTGCTGGCAAGAATCCTCGACGAGGTCAATCACGAGCCTCCAGAGTCAGTACAAAACGACGGCAGGGAAGCAGCAGACCAGGTTGAAGAGAACAACTCCGAAGGCCTAGCTGAACAGACATCCTCATTGAATCTTCCTTCTACACCCTCCAAGGACCCTGATCCTCTTCAGGTTGAGCCCACGTCCAGCGAAGACGATGACCTAGCGTCTCGTTTCGCGGGGCTCTCATTGCCATCAGTGCCGACAACGATGAAATCGACCAATCCCTCCAAACCTAGAGCAAAAACGAACGTCGGCTATGCCGACGAAGAGATCGATACATGGTGCATCATCTGCAATGACGACGCGACGCTACGCTGCATCGGTTGTGATGGGGACCTATACTGTACAAATTGCTGGATGGAAGGCCATCGAGGCGAAGACGCCGGGCTTGAAGAGCGAACGCACAAAGCCGTCCAATTCGTCAAAGGAGGCGGAAAGAAAAGGCAGCCCAAAAGAAGAGTTATGATGGGCTCTTGACATCCATCCATCCATCCATCCATTCATTCCTTGTCTTGAACTCACGCCTTCCCAGTTCTCAGTCCTTCAAACAGTATCACGATCGACCCTCTTCTCGTCTGTCTCATCCGCCTCATCAACAACGCTTGCCATCCTGTGATTCTGCGCCGACCCCGGCGGTACAATCCAATACACAATCCCATGCAGCATACTCGCAGCCAGCGGTCCCACCCAATTAACCCAATGCCACCCGGGAAAATGACTTCCCACAAACACACCAAAACATCTCGCAGGATTCAATCCCGCACCACCGCTCCCCGGGACCGAGAACGCAAAACACAACGCACTCCCACCCGCCGCGAGCCCGACCAGTATCGGCGCCAGCGCGGGCCCGAAAATCTCCTTCTGTCGCGGATCCAAACCCACCCCAAACGCCATGACCAGCAACAGCAGACTGCCCATGAACTCGATCACGAACTGCGACGAGATTCTCGCCTCGTCCGTGAACAAGAAGCAGCCGCCGACCTTGAAAAACCGCGTGCCCGCCGCGGCGCGGAGCAAGAGACCTGCAAGTGTCCCGCCCAACGTCTGCGCCGCGACATACAGTACGAGACGTGGGAACGTGGCCAACCGCGCGAAGAAGGTAGCGAACGTAATCAAGGGGTTGAGATGTGCGCCGGAAATCGCGCCGAAGCAGTAAATCAGAAGCGTGATGAGGATCGTGTTGATGCACGCGGCGACCAGGGGGCCGAGGAACGAGGTGGTGCTGAAGACGCCCGATGTAGGGGATGGTTGGGGCGGTGGTGTGCCCGGGGAGAGGGAGTCGTACGCGCTGCCGAACACGAGGATCATGGTTCCTACGCATCATTAGCACGGAGAGGTTGTCAAGCCCGGACGCCCCTGTGCGGATCCGTTCCAAGAGCCAGGCCCGACACCAAGACTCGGACTCTGACTCTGCAAGATCAACGTACCGAAACACTCGACAACAGCAGCCTTGTACATATCCACCTCCCTGAACCCGCCGAGATCGAACATCTCCCGGAGATTCAGATTCGGCGCCGCGTCGGGCACTTTCCTCAACAATTCGGCATCCGCCGGGTTCGACCGGTCGAGGATGAATGTCTGATTGCCACCTAAGCGACCGGCGAAAGGGGCCAGCATGCCGGTAGTCGTGTTCTCCGACTGTCTTCTTCTTCTCGGCGAGAGAATGGGCCGCTGCAGGGTCCTTGTCATGGTCGAGTCGCGCCGACGGTGAGCGTCCGTAGAGTGAGGTGCCTCCGGCAGCCCTGGCACGCCTGGATACGGATTCGGATTCGGATTGGGACGGGTTGGTCGGGAGTTGTACGCGCGAAGAGGGACCTCGGCTGGGTCTTTGGGATTATCGTCGTTGACGTTAGAAGTATGCTGGGCTTGCGAGGCCATTGTGACGCTTGTCTCTCTTGCTCTCTTGCTCTCTTTGCCTTGCTCTTTTTGCCTTGCTCTTCTCTCCTGCTCCTGTGGCTCAAAAGCTATAGTCGAGGAATACTGATAAAGGCCCTTACGATGCCTTGAAAATGTGCGTCTTGCTCGCTCTCGCCTCGGTATGCACGAGAACCCAACTTGTTGTGGAGTTGTTACGGTTTTGTACTCTGTACTCTGTACTCTGTACTCTGTGCTCCTCGGACGCAGACCTTAATCTCTGCGCGTCTCGGCTTCGCCGCTTCGATCTCGGGATTTTTTGGCAACCCCGGAAGTACGTCTAACTGGCAACTCAACACGATTACTCCGTACAGGCAAAGAAAAAGACCGAAAAGTCTGAAAAGGGTATTCAAAAAGCAAAAGGCATAAAAAGGCCTCGAAATTGGATAAAAGGGCAACATATCAACGGACATATACCATAGCTACCACTAGTAGACCAATCTAACTTACCTAAGGTATCCGTAACTCCCGTCTCAAGTAAGCCATTTCCCCCTCCCCCCGGTCACCTACCTACTAGTCTGGTAACTTGGTTGCATAACAATCCATCCCATTGAGGTTGGTGGATGCTTGCCGTTGCTGAATCAGCACCTGAAGCCTCTGAAGCCTCCCACCCGACAGAACAGGGGCACAGAAGCGGGCCACTTCATGTCATTTTGTTCTCCGGACCTCAGGACGCAACGAAAGCAACCTTGAATAAGGCTGGTGAGGCTTAGAAGACCTACCTAGGTAGGTATATTACTAGCAAGCACCTACTAGGTAACACTGTCCACAGTCTGTCAGCTGTACTCCACCCAAGTCCATTTTCAGAGCCCCAAACATGATATCAATAAAGATGTCGACACTTTTCGCTCTCATACGCATGCATGCTAACTAGCATCTGATTGAAAGATTTCACCGAAGTAGTAGGAAAACACCACCCCGTTGCAAACACAAAATCCGTTTCCTAGTCATCATCCTCCCGTTCAAGATGATCATCGTCGGGATTCAGCAAAACACCAATGTTCGTACTCTCTTCCAGGACCCTTCTCCCTTGGTCCACATCATGAGCAAGTGACATATCCTCCATCACCAGCCTGAGCGTCAACGTCGGAACCAACACAGCACTAACATATCCGCCAACACCCGCAGCTCGAAGGACCGCGTCGGATTGTAGAGCTTTTTTAAGCGTCTCTGTCAGTGCCTCTGTGATAGCCGTGACCATAATTCTCGTGCCTTTCGGGCCGTAATAGCCTGGCTTAGCTACCTCCACGACTCCTTCTCTCAGATATTGGCGTATCGTTTTCTGATTGCCTTTCGCAGTCTTGACTTTCTTGTCGAGTTCGTCGAGATAAACACTCGATATTTGCCGGTTGATGAGCTTCTTCAATGAAGGCAAGTGGCCAGGTATTCGAGACTTTTCGAGTTCTGCCCAGTCGACATTCGGGTAGCGACGCCGCTCCCATAGCTCCTTGGCATCGGCCACCTGGTGCTGAGAGCAGAAGTTTTGTTGTTGCTTGAACGACAACGAGCGCAGATTGTCCGGAATATATAACGAGATCGAATCGTGGACAACTTTCTGGCATACTGGACAACGAACACGATCTTCGACCGGCTCAATTTGCTCGATGAGGTCAGCTTCGTTTTCCAGGATGAACATCGAGTCAACAGATGATAGAGAAGACGTCGATCCTGATCTTTGTCGCTTGCTGTTTGATGGGAGTGCATCTTCAAATACGGAAAGAATATCTGTAGCTGAAGTTGCAGCCGAAGAGGTAATATCAGGTAGTTCGGGAACTCGGAAGTCTGTCTCTTTCCGTGTTCGCAGAGCTTGTGGAAGGTCTGCGATATCCAGTGCTTTATTTCGTCGAGATGCGGCTCTGGTTGAGTGTTTTTCGGGTAATGGAGCAACGCCAACATAGTCTCCTCTGATTTTAAGACCATTCCCAGGCCTTTCAATTTCTTCGTATGAAATGAATTCTTGCTTCAGGCTGGGCTTCATCCCCAGCGTGTCTATGGCCTCGGGTTTCTCAAAGCATTTGCGACCAGCATATGTTTGTTTGAGCTTTCTCTTTTGAGAACCCTTTTGAGAGCTCTGGGAACCTAGCCATGCGTCTTGCATGTCAGGCGGGTTGGGTACATCGATCGTGTCAAGGGAGTCTTGGTCCTTGAGTTTCCTCCGCTTGCTTCTTGAGGATGCTGCCGTGGTGGCCGGGCGTTTCGGTGGGCTGCGAGTCGGGCTCTTCGTCGTGTTCAGAGGGACATCTGCTTTTGTCTCGAGGTCGGCATTGGTGTCTTCGTCATCGCTGCTCGCGGGAGGACCATAGATTGCCACCAGGTCGTCCTCGGCGGGTTGGGTCTGCATGACCGCGCTTTCCTCGTCTGCGTTGATTCCGGAGTCAGAAGCGAAAGCAAGTGCAGTATTCCTTCCAAGTACGGTCCGCAACAGAGTCGGCCCCCGATAGTTCTTCCGCGTCAGAAACGTTTTCGAGTAACTGGCATTTGGCCTGTTCATCAGACCGCAGGGACCATGTTCGAGGACGATTGAGGTGCGTGTCTGTTGTCAGTGACACCAGCTGGGGGAGTTTACGTTCGCAAATGTCGTACAATTCTAATGGTACAAGATTGTCAGTAAAGATCTAATATAGCACTTCAATGCGGAGGTGAGACCACTGTATTACCTTAGGTAGGCACTGTAGGGTGGGGATGGTAATTTAATGGGTGTCGCACTCGTGACGCGACAATCAGCCGGAATTACGGAGGATAATTTTTCCGAACACTTACTAAGCAAGGTAAGGTGGTCTCATAGTCAAGTACTCCTCCGTACTGGATATTCACCTCCGTAACCACTGTGACAGTGAATCTTTCTTCTTCCTCTCATTCCTTCGTAAGATCATTGAACTGGGAAAACATACTGATCATCATACATGTCCAGACAGTCTGTACTACCATTACGGAGTTACGGACTTCATCGCACCAAATTCTCTCGTCCTCAAGCCAGGCTGAGATCTGAATATCCTCGAGCTGCAACCTCATCACACCTCTTCCTGTACCCCGGAGCAGGCCCCATATATCTTGCAATTGTCCTCTTCTGCTTGTGAGCCAAATTTTTGTTGATGCCAGTCATCCAGGAGTCCACTTCATTGGTCAAGAGGCCCTCTGAGCATTTATGGACGTGGTCAGTCCACTCTTCCACCCCCTTCTCCGTGGCTTCAATCCGGGTGATGTTGTGGTCTCGGCAATAGCATATACAGTCCGCTATCCACCCCACTGCAAACTCGATGCTCCGAGGTATGTTGCCAAACATCTGATGCGGGCCCATAACCATCATCATGTTAGGAAACCCACGAACGAAAAGACCTAGTTGTGTCTGAGGACCCTCGCTCCAGATATCCTTCAATTTCACCTTGTTCACGCCCTGAAAGTCTACTGCGGTGAAACATCCTGTCACGGCGTCGAACCCAGTGGCGTAGATCAAGATATCCAGCTCAAATTCTTCATTCCGGGTTTTGATTCCTTTCTCGGTTATGCGCTCGATTGGATCCTCTCTAATATCGACCAGTCGGACATTCTCCTGGTTGTATGCCTCGAAATAATGCGTCTCCATCGGTATACGACGCGTGCCCCAGCCGTGATCTTTCGGAATGAGCTTTTCTGCGGTTATTGGATCTTTCACCCGCTGCCGGATTTTGTTCGCAAAGAATTCGCTACAAGCAGCATTTGCCTGCCTGTCATAGGCGATATCCGCAAAATTACTGACCCATTTAGCGAAGCCTGGCCGAGAGTATATTTCTTCCCAATATGCTATTCTCTCCTCTCCTGAGACTTCGGTTGATTTTCTGGGTTCTGGCGGATGTAGGAAACAAGTGGCGGATTCTCTGCACTGCTTGAATATTTCAGGATACCGCTTGCGAATGTCTTCCATCTCTTCGGGAGTAATTTTGGCGTTTCGAAGAGGAGCGGACCAGTTGGCTGTGCGCTGAAACACTGTCAAGTGACCGACTGTCTTCACGATTTCTTGGATGATCTGAATGCCGGTGGCTCCTGTGCCTATGATGCCGACTCTTTTACCTTCGAGCGACACCGGCTTGCGTGGCCAACGTGCTGTATGGAAAGCCTGTCCTTTGAAGTCGTCAACACCAGGGACGTTCGGTAGTGTCGGTTTGTTCAACAAGCCCATCGCTGTTATCAGGAATCTGGAGGTATAGTGGTGGCCTTGATGATCAATCAACTCCCATGATCGACTGTCGTCATGGTAATGCGCTGACTTGATTTCAGTGTTGAACTGCATGTCCGACCGCAAGTCGAACTTGTCTGTGACGAACTGAATATACCGCAAAGTCTCGTGCTGAGGCGCGAAATGCTCTGTCCAGTTCCATTCATCTAGGACATCCTGGGAGAAGGAGAAATTGTAAGAATAACTCTCCGAGTCAAAGCGGGCTCCTGGATATCTATTCCTGCAGGAACGTCAACACCAGCCAACAGATACAGATGTTCGGCTCGACTCACCAGTACCACGTACCTCCTTCACCAGTACCGGCCTCGAGTACTCTGGTCCTCAGACCAAGCTGCCTCATTCTATACAAGGAGTAGATCCCACTCAGACCAGCTCCAATGATCAACACATCGTAATCGAATTGCGAATTCATGGCGGCAAAGTCCGTCTCGCCCACGCTTCCCATGTTGGCCAATAAATAGATGGAGGCGCTTGAAGAGTAGGAACAATCTGACGACGGTCTTCAAGTATCGGATAGGGTGTGAAAGAGCTGCTCAATTTGCCAATACTCTGGCAATACCGTCCGTCAAACATCAAGTGGCGACCGGCTGGAGACTTCGATATTCGTCGTGATCAGTATTCTCCCGGGTCTCCTCATACAAACCGAGGCTGCGGTCATCGTGCGGAGTGCGGAGAACAAGGCGAGGCTGCGCAAGGCTGGCAATAGGCAAGGAGCAGAATACGTCGCAAAATTCTTTGATGACCGCTACAAAACCCAGCCGAGCATCGTGACTCGAGGTGGCTACAGGGCATTAAGCGGGCTGTTTAGCTTTGGGCAAGATAAACTCCATGCATCAATGATCACAGATGCATAATCAATTCAATATCTGCAGCAGAGTTGCCCTCACCAAAACAATTAATTCACTCGGCGATTCTGACAATCCACCACGACTGGCCCAAATACAAATACGAGAATGGATGGACTGAAGTCTCGAGTAAGGCCTCCAGCCAATCTTGCACTCCTCGCAGAGGCCAATCTACAAATCCAGGATCACAGTCCAGTCTCATCCGTCACGAACCTGCGAGGCTCTGAGCAGCTCAACCAATCATTTATCCACCATCAAACCAACAAGCCCGGACAAGCACGGTCGAAGGCCTGACCGGTTCAATCCCACCCCGAGCCTCACGCACGCCAACCAATCACAACACCACATATCCATACCCTGGCAGCAGAATAGACACCTCGTCCTTGCACGACACAATCTCGCTGCCTGAAATCCCCAAATGTCTATATAACCCGGTCGGACCTCACCTATGCTAGTACGAACACTATGTAAACATACACATACACACCCAAATACCCCCTCTCAGTCCAGCCAGCCAGCAAAGCTACTAGTAGCTAGCATGCCAGGAAGCGCCATCAACCCGGTCCACGACGACCACCACTACGACCCGGACAAGCACATTCCCGACCTATCCTCCAAAGTGATCATCGTCACAGGCGGCAACAATGGTATTGGCAAGGCCGCCGTGATCGAGCTGGCCAAACACAACCCCAAGCGCTTGTACCTATCGGCCCGAAGCAAAGCGAAATACGACACGGCAATGGCAGACGTCCGCGCCGCCGCACCCACGGGTGCTGCGAACGTCGACTTCCTCGAACTCGACCTTGCCTCATTCGCGTCCGTCAAGCGCGCCGCGGACCAAGTCCTCGCATCCAACGACAGGCTCGACATCCTGATCAACAACGCCGGCGTCATGGGCCTACCTCCGCACCCGACCACGAAAGAAGGCTACGAGATCCACTTCGGCACGAACCACATGGGCCACGCGCTCCTGACCAAACTCCTGCTGCCTCTGCTCCTCAAGACTGCGGCGGCCGAATCCGAATCCAAATCCGAATCTGCACAGCCGGCGGACGTGCGGATCGTCAATCTCAGCTCCGGCGCCCACAACATGCCACCGAACGGCGTCTTTCTGCCCGACAAGGTCGTCACCCCCATGGAAGGCGTATGGTCGTACACCCGCTACGCGCAGTCCAAGATGGCCAACGTCCTGCACGCCCGAGAACTCGCCAGACGGTATCCCCAGATCATCTGTGTGTCCGCGGACCCGGGCCGTGTCCAGACGCCGCTGCTCGACGAGATGTTCAAGACCAAGAACTTCACCACGTATTTCCAGAAGACGTACGATTATTTCGCAAAGCCCTTGTCCGCCAGGCAGGGCGCCTACACGGAGCTGTGGTGCGCGACCTTCAAAAAGGACGAGGTCAAGAGTGGTGAGCATTATGTCCCATTCGGGCATCGTGTTCCCGGGCACAAGAAGAGCCGTGATGAAGCGATTGCGAAGAAGTTGTGGGACTGGCAGGAAGCCGAGTTTAAAAAGCATGGATACTAACTTTCGTATCCTTGATTTGGATGTCAGCTTTGCTTTGTACTCAAAAGGGGTTATGGAAACGAGTGGTAACAGGGCGAGTTTGATAATCTTGGATACTAAGTTAGTACGCTTGACTGCACAGGTCATAATGCGATCCATCATCGTACAACGTCCCCTGCGTGAGTGCTTCGTACTCGATTAGGGCCGCAGGCAGTCATGTTATCCCTCTTTCACGCATTCTTCATGTACCAGAACCAACTGCGGGTCTTGCACTGTTTCAAAAGCTTCATATGAGGCAGTCCATCCGACAACGTCAACGTGCCCTCACTGACCTTGCCCACACACAGCAAGCAGACATCGAAATCATTGCAGTCTCCACACCATAGGCCCTGGAAATTGCAAGCCATAAATGCTATTTAAGAAAGCAAGAAGTTAATTATCCACTTCTGTAGGATGGACGGCGGATTGGACTAGATGAGATTACAGTAGTGCTCACCTTGGGTGCAGATGCAGCATTTGATCATGTTGGTGGCTCCGGACGGCGGTCGATTCACCATGACCTCGTATACCCTGTGCCGGTGACGGACGCGCTTCGAAGAAGTGCACTGGCCACAATAAGCCCAGGTGCATTGTTTGGTCAAGCAGATGGACGCGCGTTGATCGTAGCATAGGACTGTGATGTTGGTCCGTCAGTCACTCATCTAGTCGATACGATCCAAAAGCCAATGACGAAGCAAGGTTCGGATCAGATATGGCAAAGTACTATCAACCAGTACTGTACTCACCAGTGAGGCAAGACATGCAAAGAACCGTCGTGGGATCAATGCAACGGGCTCTATCTGCTTGAATCCGGTCAGGCTGGCATGCTTGTTGCGCATTTATTGCACACAGCTCCACCAGGAGCGGGCTGAGCAGTAATTGCAGATTAGGATGCGGATGGAGGTGTTCCAGCCCTTCAAGTATCTCTGCGTCGCAGGTTTCAGTGGTCGGAAAATAACTCAGCACGCATTATAGAGTCTTTGCTCACCTTGGCCAGGACACTGTGTACAGCTGAAGGCTATTCTCGCCCCCGGCGTCAGCACGTCCATTCCACCAGGGGAGATGATGAAGTCCGTCGTCATCCATTGGTGCGCTGAAAGGTGCTTCTGGTCCTCTTGGGCATAGCAATTGGTGCATATCGCCTGCGTGGAACCAAACTCAGCCGTGCAGGTCCGACAACTGTACGTTCGTGAGCCAGCCACGATGACTGGAAAGTAATATTTGTCAGCAAATACGTTTCTAGAACCCAAAGTATGGTATCATCCCACTCACCGCCATGGCAACGCTCGCAATGCCCTGCGAAAGGCCCAGTATCCTGACACGGGCAACGATCTGTGATCCATCTTGTTGTCGTGGTCCAATGCTGCGGATAGAGCGCCCAGAAGCTGCGATGATCTGGGTTCTGCTGTGCATGAGCTTTCAGAAAAGCATCTCGTCGTTCTACGTGGCCTGCGCAACGTCGGCAAAGCGATGTCTGGCACTTGTCACATTGCCACCTGGACTTTGGCGAGTCCTGCGCGCAATGCCAACATGAAGCGGCATCTGGGACACCAGGGACATTCGGCAGCCACTGCATCGTGCGAAATCGTAGGAGCTTGCGCATATGGCTTTCGTCGTGAGTTGGATGGCACTCTTTGCAGATAATCATCCTACATTCAGGACACATGAAGAGACCATCACAATACGGAATTCCTATAGACAGTCTCAGCAGAGGGAGTCAGCGCCATCAAGAGCAGGATACCTACCTGTATGACATTGTTCACAGAACTCGCATCTCAGAGCCGAGACTCGTTTGATCTCTTTGTATGTCTTCAATTCTTCATGGCGATCAACGTTAATCGATGGGTTCTGATCCATGGAGAGAGACATAGTCAAGCCAACCTACCTTCGCCAGCGATGTAGCCTAGCCGCTGACCGCTCTCACTCAGTGACTTGGCGCATCGTTCTATATCAGCTGCGGTGTCGAATCGACGAAGATAAGTACCTGTATGGGCACCGATTTTTCCAACGGCTTCGTGTTCGGCCAGTCCGACATCAGCAAGACCATGAAAGACATTGAACCTATAAAGATGTCCGGCGTTGACCATATCTCTGTTCCGTTTCCGAAACGCATTACTGGTGTCTTCCGTCTCTGTGACAATCTTTTTAAGCGCGTCAACGAGAGCCTTCAGGTCCCCAGTCACATCAGGCCCTGGAGCCGAGCCTGTTCCGATGCTGACGATGATCCGCTCCTCTCCAGGCCATAATCCTTCACCAAGAATGAGTCATTGAATTGAACTTGAGATCCTTCGTTAGAACTTACCTCGAGACTCCTCATCAACCTTTTCGATGGGGTTGTTGTGCTTCAATGCACCGTCAACGTACAGCCGATCCCCAATCTTGATCGGATCAAAGAATCTCGATGCTGCAGATGTGGCTCGTGCAGCCTCCCAGATCCTGCATTCCTTGAGGTCATCGAATTCCCTGCTCTTATACGACCTGATCACCACGGCGTCGCTATTGATACCCTCTACAGCGCAGACAAAAACCGCCGGGGAATCCGAATCGCGATCCGCAAGTAACTCGTCCTCAGAACGGCCAAGGAATCGGAGCATCTGCTTGATACTGTTCTCCAGAGGCTCGCTCTTGAATCGGCCTCTTGCGTGCAAGAAGTCAATGGATCTCCCGGCGAGGTTGACCGTTCGCTGGCTTGGGGTGAAGATCTCCTTGGACATCTCCTTGTACGCTTTGATGCAATCTTTGACAGACATACGGAGTCTACCAAGCATGAGGGCGATCAATCCGCCGGTACTCGTACCTGCAATCATGTCAAATTCCTGCCATGGTTCAAGCCTCGCGCCTCGTACATGCGCGAGCGAATCCATGAGGTGGTCAATGATGATCAGCTCCGATAGACCTCTCACCCCTCCTCCGTCGAGACACAATATCTTGCGAACTCTGGGCTTCTGCACATTCTCCCCAACTCGAAGAGCCTCCGAATGTAGCTCAGAGTGATGTTGAGGAGCATCCACCCTGGGAAACGGTTGCTGATTGGCGACAACAGACCCGAATGCGGCCGATCGAGGATCGTAATTTTGCAATATGCTGTGCGACACTGGGCTTTTTGGAGCTGCAACGGGTATGAGCTGGGCAGCGATGCTGTTCCATGGCGTTTGAGCTTGATGTGTCTGAGCATACATTGTTGTAGCCACTTCATTCGAGGGAGGTCGGGGGGTGACCATGGCATTAGGGTATGGAAGATTGCTATCAGACCGTAATGTCGCAGGAACAGGTGATGAAGGGGTGGGCATCCTCGGACTGGCACGGTGTATATCGTTAAGAACAGCGGCCATTTGGTGAACATCGAAGGGCCTGCTTTCGACTATTGGTCCTTGATACGGAAGACTAGGACTTTCTGACGGCTCTGTTAGGGGCCTTCCCGTAGACAAGCTTGAATTTGGGCGATCATCGTGATGTCTGTTGAGATGAGGCGAGGTCTCTTCCGGAACCGGAGTCGTTGCTGTGGGAGGAATCCGTGAGGAGGCGGTCGCGGTGGACCCCGGGTCCTTCGGTGAGATGATCGAAGAAGAAGTTCCCGTCGAGACGGCCGCCGAAAGGGCCTTCGAGCTTTTCCGACGTTCCTGGGCAGGTATATCTTGTATCTCGGAGCCGTAATTTGCAGCCGGTAACTCAACTCGGCCTGAAGTGGGTGCACTAACGGCGGCATGAGCAAACTGATGTTGCTGGACATGAGTGCTGGAGGCGGGCTCAGCAGGCAATTCATAGTAGGTGGTCATCGGTGGCCACAGGTCATTTACCATAAAACCTGATGGCGAGGGAGAACTGCTCGACTGCATCTGTGACCGGACTGTATGCTCAGCCTCATGTAGCAGCTCCGGACGTACTTGTTGAGTAGGAGACCTGTGCGGTAGTGGAGGTGGTACAGGCCGGGTGGCGGGCAACTCAGCCAGGTGTTGAAAGCGGTCATTATTCGAGTGACACGTAGCAACTGATGGTGGAGCGGAATGTGGCGGTGGAGGAGAGTATCCCGGTGTCGCAGAAGGCGCGGCAGGCGTAACCAGTAGAGATTCAGCATTCTGCCATGGTTGACTCTGTGCTCGCGGCGGAAGAGGCGGTTTTGGTGGGATGAACATGTGCTGACCACTGATCGGCTGCTGAAGTCCATATGGCTGATACTGTCCCGGAGGCGCATTTGGCGAAACGGCATTGTACGGATGGTTCAGATACGTGTTGTGAACCAACGGCGTCGTTGGACTTGGTGTGTGAGGCGGAGCCTGGGACGGTAATGGGGTAGACCAGGCGTTGTTTGATGAGGTCGGCTGCTGGCCATGATATTGCGAAGAATACGGCGTCTGCAAGCCTTGAGGCTGTTGATATTGGCCTTGGACTGGAAATGGTTGCAAATATGGTGATGATGGAGATTGTTGATATGGAATATTGGGCTGTACGAATTGAGTCGAAAGTCCAGTGGTCGGTTGAAACCCTTGCGGGTGCAGAAGAGGTCGATCGGGGTTCGAAGCAGCTGTGTAGACATCTCTAATGAAATTCATCGACTTCTTTGCAAGAGAAGGCATTTTGCGGCATGCTATCGTACAGAGTCCGGGCGAGAAGAGGTTTGTTGCAAAGATGTGTCCAAAACACCGTGCTGGTAGACATCCAAAGGGGGAGCCTCGAACGCTGAGCTCGTATTCGCTTCAAGCGACTGACATCCAGGGGGCCGGCGAGCTACCCCTTTCGATCACCAACTCTCAGCCTTACCAATGCACGACGGTCCAGAAGATGCCGTAGTCAACGATCGAGGTCCGGTCAATGCGCGACTGTTGTTGTAGATTAATTCGACAACTCCCAGGTCCTGAGATACGAATGTCCGGCGATCTGATTTGGCTCGTTGGGCTAAGCGAAGCTTGCCAGAAGCTCGGATCTCTGGACGATGCGCCGCCAATCTCGCGAGTGAAACAACTTTGTTGTTTAGTCTCGCTTCGCCAAGGATTCGGTCGCACAGAACCCCCTTTGTGGCGGTGATGTTCCTGGCATTCTGGCCTATCTCAGCTTCGAATGCAGGGCTGGACCCGCCTAAACACCCGATCATTGGGCGTCCTTTCATGCAGCTGTAACCCTACCGACGGCCCATCGAGAGTGGTGTCGAACAACGACGGTGCACAACATGCACAAGAATGACTCGTACGAGATATGGACGCTGAAGTGCTAGAAGAATGATACGAATATCCATCCTCTCTAACAAGGACGGTATCAACGAGCAAGTCCAGCCCCATTTCTAGACCACCGATACCTAGCAAGAACAAACGTCAATTGCTTTTCCGTGTCGCTGGGGTTGTTCCTTCTGCCCTTCGCCAGGGCAATGGCAGATCTCATTACGTTTCGAAATTGTCGCTGATAGTCCGTAGGAAGAGTCACAAAGCAGGCCTCGGTCGCCCGAATGACGGCTTCGCAAGCAGCCAGGATGGCGGTACCTGAATCTGCTTGCAACCGATACGCGACAAGCAGGAGCAGAAGGCTGCCGTGAAGCAACTGAATACCAAAGAAATATGGCATGAAGGTGACATCGGGATCATGTTCAATGATCTGAGTCACACACTGTGCTGCCATCATCGTATGCGACATCGAGCTTTTGAATGATTCAGACGACGTGAAGAAGTCGTCATCGTTAAACAGCGACACAGGATCCCACTTGCTGCCAACCAGGATTTTCAGCACAAAGCAAATGTGAGTTGCATAAGCAGAGAACGTGTTGATAATATGGTTGGCCTCAACATCATCGGTTAGAGCGGCAGGCGACGTTGTCCAGGGAGATCCCTTCTCCGAAGCAGCCTCACGGGCAGGAGTGATGGTAAGCCTTTCCAAGCTCTCCTGATATTGGTCCAATTCCTGGAGTATCCTGCGTTCTTGAGAAATCCACATTGTAGAACCTGCCGATGCGAGAACAGGGTTGCTTTTGGCTCGGTTGTAGTCCAATAAATGTCCAGTAATGGTCATAAGGGGTAGAAAGAACTCGAAGAGACCAGGGCCCGAGCACGTTCGTGGAGGTCCATGGAGTCTTCCTGTGCCCGCCGGAAGCAACATGCATCTCGGACCGTCAGCACGAGTGCCATGGCTGTGTGGCTGGATCCCAGATTGCCAAGTCACGTCGTCGAGGGGCAACAACAAATCCTTGCATTCGGCCTCAAGCAAGGTCAGAGAATGATTATAGCACAGGGCCAAATGTCTGTCCATCAGATACAGCATGTACCATGTCCGCCGTCTTTCTTCACGATGGACTTCGCCTATGAGGTCTTCGGAGGCATCCTGGCCCAAGGAGCATTTGCAATTCACATTTGGATGAGCGTCTCCGTGGTCCTGTGGCATGATGAAAGACTCGACTTCTTGATTAAGCTTGAGATCCCTCGCCAGATTGAAAGCAACCGACCACCATCTGATCGATGCAGCCTTCTTCTCCGAGCCGGAGATGACGGAGGAGACGTGGATGAGAGCAATGATGTAATCGGTGCCCCAGGCGACAGGGAGGCCATCAGTCAGCTGTTGAGGGTCGAATGCCCGCAGGAGGTCGTCGTTGGTCCAACCGATATCCGAGGGGAAAGCTGGAGGCAGACCAAGATCTTCCTGATTGAGGAGTGGCTCGTATCTGGAGGGATTGAGGAGTCGATAGGTGAGGAGACTGAGATATTTGCAGACACGGTCTCGTTCTTCAGGTCCGCTAAAGAGACCCAGGGCTTTGTCGCTCAGTGCAGCAACAAACAACATACTTCCCAGCAGGGCAGGGTGTGTTTTGCGTGGGTGTACCGGATCGAGGACGTCACACTTGCGCAGGATGAAGTTGTGGATGTGGTAGCACGTCGGGTGCATTCGGCTAGAAAATGCACTGGAGAAATACGTGTCCAGCAGGTCGCATGCAAGATTCGAGCTAAATTCTCGGTCCATGAAAGGTGAGAGGTATTGCAGGACGGCGTATCGGCAATGTGCAAGTGGTTGACTGCTCGGTGTAGGCGCTTCTCGAGAGTCGGCCAAGGAAGGTAGCTTGTAGGAATAAGGGTCCAAGATATACATCGTCGGTGATACATAGGTCGACTGAATGATTGGGAACTCTTTGTCGTCGTTGAAAAGTAAGGCTCGAGCATCGGCATCTGCATCGAGGCTGAGACGCAACATAGCCGTCGTGCTCTCCGGTGAGGGACCCGGCATCGCGTCAACTGTGCCCTCAGGGCTTTTGACAGCATCTAAGGAAATATTTTCCGGCGCAGTGAGGACCGGATCAACAACTGGTTCCTCGACATCCAGAGTGGCTCGCCGGGAAGGACCTGCTTGAGCATGCGTGTTTGAGAGCGTCCGCCGGGGTTCGGATGGCTGCGGCGTGACCGAGGGGCTTGTTGCAGATGCTGGCTGTTGATCATCAGGCTTTTGACCATAGTGACAATTGACGCCCGATTGTTCGCATCTAGAGCAGGGGAGGCTGCCAGTGCAGCGCGTCTTCAGTCGACGGCAATTCTTACACGCCCGAAACTTTTCGTTGCTCAGTATTCGATGGAATGGCCGTTGATCAATGTGACTGGTGTGAGTTTTGAGATGGCGATTTAGAGAATCATTCCGCGAAAAGAACCGCCCACATTTGGGACACGGTGCTGAGGCCGGGGTTCTTCGACGGGCTGCTTTTTTGGAAGCCATGTCTCCCTTGACTTAGCGAGGTCCAAACGAAGCGCAGGACATGGCGCAAGTTGAAGTGCTGGGTCAACGACCCATGGGCCTGGGTAGCACCGTCGAAATAATGAGGGACGACGCGTCAATGGCGGCAGCGGAGGTGGCTCGTTGGAATCTGATGGAGAGATGATGAAGTGGTGATGGAGGGGTAATAATGATGCGTGGCTCTGATGGTGTTGAGGCAGGCTCCAGGCTCGGCAGGCCTACGTTATTGAGCCTAGTCGCCCAAGTTAGTGAGCTTGGTGGTCTAGTGGGCCTAGTGAGCCTAAGTTAGTGAGCCTAAGTTAGCAAGCCTAGTGGCTTAAATTTGTAGCTGGAGTTGAAGAATTTTAAGCGGTGGATCCAAATTGACGCCCAGATTTTCCTTGATCACGAGCCCCGTTTGACAGAATCTGGATTCCTTCCTGATGATTTGTTAATTAGCGAGGTCCTGAGGCGATGAGAGATGAACAGAGATGAACAGATGAACAGCGATGAGGTCCACGCTTTTTCTCTGGCTCGCTTGCATACAGGCAGCGCAGCAAGCCGGATGGCCTGTACTGTGTAGAACAGGAGAACAGATCTGTGCATTCCAACACTAGACTCGCTTATGCAGCGTATTGTGGGGTATACAGTGTAGAACCTGGGGCACATCATGGGCATCCGATATTCAAGGATCTACTACTGTAATAGTTGTCGACTCGCTACTGGCTTCCGAGTTTACTGGATTATCCTCCGTCACATACTAATAGTCCTAGAGTATCTTCCCTCATTCATTTCCTCCTCTGTCCATACGCAACGTACTGGCATCAACAATACCAACGACGCTCAGCTTTGGACATCACCAAATTCGGGAAGCCCGAATCACGATTCGAAGTCCTCAGCTCGGCACGCCGCATCCAGCCAAGCTTAGGCTTTTAAGTGCTCCTGCTGGCCAGGGTTGGTCGCTTGTGCCTTGACCTGTTCAATAGCGGCCTTCTCTTCGTCATGACTCGCTGACTCAACATGAACATCATGGCCAACTGAACCAGTCCTCTTCTGAACATCCTCGACACTGTAGCGTTTCTCGCGAGCTTCGTCGACGAGTCTGTCCAGTCGCGAGTCCCCCATCTTCGTCTTCCAGGGAGGAATCTTGGACCAGTCGGCGAACATCTCCTCAATTTCTTCGAGGGTTTTGTTGCAAGTCTCAGGATATGTGAAAAAGAATTGGATCTGACGGAAATGGAGTTGTCAGTTCCAGGAGTCAGGGAGGATCGTGGTGGTCTACTTACTGCACCAAGAACACACATGCAGCCGAAGACGATGAACATGCCCCATTTGATATTCTGGAAGCCCGGGGGAATATAGAGTCCGAGAGCGAAATTGAAAAGCCAGTTGCCGAGGGCAGATATACCCATACCAGTGGCGCGGGTCTCCAAGCTCCAGACTTCGGCAGCGTAAACCCAGGCGACAGGAGCAAGAGTCAGTGCGTAGACGATAATCAGCAAATACGAGAAAGCAATGACGGTGTTGGCCTTTGCCCCTGAGACTTTGATGACGACCTGTGCAAACCAGGAGGTTAGTCGAGGCCTGTGAGACAATCCCGGTCTACTCAACTCACATTCGGGTTTCCTCCAACACCTCCAGGCACATTCACGCCCGCAGAAAGAATGCCTCCGACAACGAAATGGCATGCACCCATGGCCAAGGCTCCGTAGATCAATAGCTGCCTTCGGCCAATCCTGTCGATGCAGAAGAACATGATGGTGGTGAACACGATGAAGAGAGCGTACTGAACCCCTGAGGCAATCAGGTTGATGTTGCCCGTCAAGCCCGCCATCATGAAGATGTACACCACGTAGTAAGTCATCACATTGGCGCCTAGAAGAGGGATTAGCACCAAAGCTGAAAACAACATAGAATGAAGAAGCTTACCGGAATTTTGCTGCCACATTTGAACAGTGAAGCCGGCCAGAGTACGCTTCCACATGCCGTTAATGACAAACTTTCGCCATCCCGGCGCAGCTGTTCTCTCGGCGGCCAGGGTCTGCGTAATATCCTCCCATTCGGCGACGACAAGAGGGTCATTGATCTTACCGCCAGCTTGGATCTTGGCGAGCACCATAATGGCTTCATCGGTGCGGTCCACTTTTGCCAGCCAGCGAGGGGATCGGGGGAGGAAGGGCAGCCCGATCATGAGGAAGACACAAGGGACAAACTGTATGCCCCAGGCGGTGCGGAAGGACGCCGGGCCATCGATGAAGCTGCAACCATATCCAATGAAGTACATGATGAGAATACCCCATTCTGCCACTGGTTAGAACCTCGGAGCCTTGACCAAATTGGAGGTACCAGCCTTACCAATAGCAAGTTGTTGAATGATGATGATAGCACCCCTTTTCTCCTTGCGAGAGATTTCGGCCAGGTACACGGGGACTTGAGAGCTGGTAATGCCGACACAGACACCGTTGAGAACCCGTCCCGCAATAAGAGAGCCGATTCCAGAGGTGCTCGTCTGGACCGCAGTTCCCACAAGCCACCTATTCGAGCGTTAGAAGATTCGATGCAGCGCTGAAGACTCAGAGCACCAAGCGCCACCGATATGCTCGCAGGTAGCGGAAGGCAAGAGATGGCTCACCATAAGCAAGCAAAGAAGATTGAGTCCCGACGACCAATTTTGTCGCTGATGGGTCCAGCCATAATCGATCCTACGACCGATCCCGCTGCAAGCGCCCTGCGTGACTCCAGCGGGCTTGTTGAAGAAGTTGTTGTACTGTTCGGTACCAATGATAGCCGACATGCTCGAAATATCAAAACCGAACAACATTCCACCTACTGTAGCGACGAACGCTACAAAGTAGGTATTGTAAATCTTGGGGAACGTAATGCCACCCATTGCGCCCATTGAACAATTTGCTAGTACTGTGGTAGATGTCTATAGGAGGACAATGCCGAAGCGTAGGACAACATAACCAGGCAAATGATGGATTGGCCTGAGGACTTATATGTTCACAACATTCGATCCCTGGTCCCCTACCAGCATCCGCATAGACGGAGGCCATCCCTGCCAGCTATCTGGAGGTCGTGGAAGAGCAGCATCATCTGCCTGAATGGACTGGGATAGCAATGATAGGCACCAATCATGTCTCAAGAATGGACACCATACTTGTACCGAGTTGCGGCGATCTTCTGCCGAAGAATTTGGTATTGGATGTTCACGGATGTTGCATTCACCTGATGGACCGCCTTCCTTGCGTGGAGGTTACAACAAGAGCGGGCGATCCAAGCCGAAGCTTTCATGCCCACAACCAGCTTCCTGCGGATGTTGCCTGGTTGCGCTTAGCCTGGAGAATGATATCCAGGATTCCAGGTGGGATGGCAGGAGGGTTAGGTGTTGATGTGGAGAGAAACGGGGCGACCACCGGTGCACTGCCTGAAAAAGCTAAAGTCCGGGCGTCCATGGAATGATCTGGCGGTGTCTGCGGGAATCACGGAGACGTGATCGACAGTGCTTGTGTGTAATGATTGAAGCTTCTTCTGATCATTTGTGCAGCGCCAGTGATGGCTCCCAGTCTGCAGCAGGTTGAGCGATATCATTTTCCTCCCACTAGCTGCCGCAAAGCTTATCGTCATTGTGAAATAAGGGCGTGCTAAACGTCAGCCCTTGAGGCAGGGACAGGACACTGAGTATGACACAGTACACAAGGCACGACAAGGTTGGTTAACAGCTCAAATGCGTGGTCTGGTCAAGGATATTGTTATTGTTGTTCCGTTCTGATGCCACCAGGATCCACAGATCAGTCCACATGATCATGCCAAATGACACGGTCGGCAGTCTTCTCCCTTCTGTGAAGGCGATGAGAAGTTCTCCGGGGAAGACGCAGGCAAGAAAGAGGTTCAGGGCAATCGGCACGTCTGCATTACTAGTTCGATGAGACTGGACACCTGTACAGTACATGCTTCTCTAGCAAGGATGATGGACCTGCTTGACATTGGTAGCAGCCGTTGAAGGGTTCACTTGCTGTTGGATTGGTTGCATCCGTCTCATAGAAACGATGACTCAAGCGGGCCACATTGCAGATTTGCCTGCGAGTCCATGATGTCGTCTGAATGTACCTTGCGCGATGGCGTTGGCGGTGAGATATGTGGCGCTGGAGAACCAACGCCAGTGGTAGCAGTACTTGTAATTTCAAGCTGTAGAATGGTGGTAAGGAATCGCCCTCGGCTGCTTGGGCCCTGTAGTTTTGGGGCCGAACCGCAGTCACGTGGCAGTATATCACGTGGCTAATCCCATTGAGGAGGTACTGCCGTCATACGTTTCTGTAAAAGGGTTTGTTTCATTCCCTTCATGCCCTAGAAGTCTCTGTTCTCAGCTTTTTTGTACGTTTGAAGAAATGATTGATGAAGTTCTCAGATCATCATCTCAACCCTGATACTATTCCCAATAACCCACACCTTGGCAGCCTCCGGATGCCGAGATACTATCCGCCGTCTTCCAAGTCATGCATCGAACAATCGCTTACATCGATCAGTTCCAACCGGTAAGACAATCTGCCTGTGCCTCGTCCTAAGCGGCCCATATGAAAACAAAAGGACAGTAATGGTACTGCAAACGCAAGATGTCAATCCGATCTGATCACCCTACATCCGGTATCCCTCGCGGCCCAATCTCAACTCTACGCTTCAACTCAGCATCTTCCTCGCCGTTCCTAATCCTGTCGATCAAGTCCTCAGGATCGATGTCCGTACCGATCGGATTCTCCGCGAAATACTTGCCCTTCATGAATGCCGTCGCCTCTTCGTTGGTCTCGAAATTGTCCACCTGAGTCTCCAGCAAATTGCCATCTGGATCTTGATAATAGATCGAAGTCGTCGGACCATGATTGACCGACCAGGTGGGTGAGATTCCTTTGGCTTTGCGCTGTCGGTACGCCAACAGCAGATCGGTCAGCGTCGGAAAGGTGAAGGCTACATGGTGCAAGCCCGCACTGCTGGGCACTTTTGGTCTGGTGTCCGGCAACCCGATGAGGGCTATGCGGTGGTGTTCGTCGTCGTAGGTGATGAAGCAAAGCATCCCATCACGGTGGCTGATGGTGCCTCCCAGGAAGTCCAGGTAGAAATTGACCGATTTTTCGAGGTTTGCTGTGCGCAACACCACGTGCGCCAACTTGACTGGGCTCAGGACCTTGTCGCCAGGAGCGTCGAAGTCCACTGCAGGTAGAGACCCCATTTAGCGTAACGACCTCGAGAAGGCCGTGCCGCGGTAAAGAGTTCTGACGGGAGAAAGATGATACTGTGATGACACTGGAGTGAGCGAAGGGTTAGCAGGGCATATGAAAGAGTCCGCTCGGCGTTGAGATGCGCTCCTGGTTTGCAGGCTTATATCTATTATCTGAAGTGTCTCTTACGAGGACGTCCAGCTGATCCCCGCGTTCAAGAGTGCTTTGTAAGACGCTGACTTCTCACATTGCTTGGCCGCGGGAAGTCTTTCAGGCCTGGTGTTAGGAAACCCAGCCAACAAATCATGTGCCTTGGCCGAGACATTGAACTGAAGAAGAGAATTCCTACAGGATAACGCTCTTCGGACCAGTGATACCGGTCGTCACATCGTTCGTGTTGAACAGATCTGACACGAACCAGCTTACTCAGCTTCGGTAGCTGATTTGTATCAAGATGTCGTCTCAATGCCTTTCAGGTGGAATCAACTCCGCACCACCATATCCCCATGATGGGCCCCATGATGGCCCCCATATCCCCCACTGCTGTCCGAATATGGCCCGAGGTACGAAGTACAGTACATAGAGGGGGATCAGCTTCACTAGCTTCTTTCATGGATCAAGCACAAGCGTGTTCGAACAAACCGTCTCGGTCTTTGGTCGGGTTTCGAATGGTACTTGCTGGTTGGGAAGCATGTAAAAGGTACATGAGCTGGCACGGCCAGACACTTCGTCCCTTCTTAATTCCTCTGCTTAACACTAACTTGGCGATCGTGACTTGACCACAAGTACCAGCATTCGAATCATACAGACGAGCAGCTGCACCCTTGGAATGCTGACATAGTACCAGCCTGCTTCAAACAGAACCACCACAGATCAAGCTTGCTCTTTCGCCCTTGTACCCTCGCAGACTCATCAGACCATGTCCCACCGCCAGCGCAACCTCTCCGTCGGCCTCTGTGGCGGCGGGCTAGGCGGCCTCACCGCTGCCATCGCGCTCGCCCGAGCCGGAGCCCGCGTCACCGTCCTCGAAGCCGCCGAGGAGCTCGGCGAAATCGGCGCCGGCATCCAAATGACACCCAACGTCGCCCGTTTCCTCGTGAGATGGGGCGTCAGCGACATCATCGGCCCGGACCTGGTCCAATGTGACCGGATCAACATGCGCGACAAGGACGGTCAAGTTGTCGCCTTCTCCGACTTCAGACGCATAGTCAGGGACTACGGGTACCCCTGGTGGGTCGTCCACCGGCACCACTTGCACTCCGGTCTCGCAGAGAGTTGTAGACGGCATGGTGTGCAACTCGTCATTGATGCCCGAGTCGAGAAGATCGAATATGACGACCACCCGACCGACGCCGACACCAACGAGGTCAAAGTGACCACAGCCAAGGGCAAACAATACAACTTCGACCTCCTCATCGGCTCGGACGGACTCAAATCCGTCGTACGCAGGAAGTTGTTCCCCGACGTCAAGCCAGCAGCACTGACCAAGAACGCCGCCTACCGCGCCGTCATCCCTTACAGCCAAGTGTTCGCCAAAATTCCCGAAGCACGAGGCGTCCTGGGCAATGCCATCGACGTCTGGACTGCGCCGGGGAGCTACTTCATCTCATATCCCATGTCCGCGGGCCGGGATTTCAACCTGGTCCTCTCGCACCACACCCGCGACGGCCACGTTGTCGAGGATGTCGAAGAGGCCGATATGGATGAGCTCCGCTGTTCTTATGAGCACTACGACCCACTGGTCCAGAAGATTGTCGCTTTGATCCCACAGTCGAAGCGCTGGCCCTTGATGGTCACGGGACCGCTGGAGAGCTGGTCCAACAAGGCCAAGAACGTCGTTCTGATGGGCGACGCGGCGCACTCGATGGTCAATCATATGGCGCAAGGCGCGGCCACGAGTATGGAAGACGGCGCATTCCTGGGCAAAGTCGTTGCCGATGTCATACGAGGGATCCTCACGCTTCGCGAAGCTGTTGAGATCTATGAGCGGACGAGGATGCCGAGGGCGTGGACGAAGCAGCAGGCTTCTTTTAGTGCTGGTAAGCGTTGCATTGTAGCTAGTTCTACACATTCGGATCCTTAACTATCGGAGACAAGTAACTGTCAGCTGACTCAGATCACTCTCTAGGGCAACTGTACATGGCCGCTCCTCCGGACCTCGAGGTCCGGAATGAATCTTCCAGGGTTGAGAGAGAAGCAGCGTTCTCTAACGTCACAAATCCGCCACATCCACCACCAACGTACCGGTCATGGGATCTCTGGGGCTTTCCTGACAGCATCCCTGGTGTATATGCTTACGATGCAGAAGCGGACGCAGACAATGCAATCTGTGAGTATCTAGCCAAGGCAGGCGAAGTCGATCCGAAAACGAGGGTGAGTAAGCGTTTGAAGGAGAAATGGTGGAACTGGGGAGACACGAATGGCGAAGACGTCTGGACCAAGCAAGTAGCAAAGTCTAAGCTCTGAGGACAATGGCCCCGGACACCGTGGCTGTTGACAAATTTCCTCAGTACTCGATTTTTTTATCGTGTTCCACGCAAGTCCTGTCTGTCGTTCATCACTTCTGATTTGGCCATCGGGCTGCTGTTACACCAAGATCGGTCCTGAACACACTGCACTCATCAGGCGCCTTCCCAACTCTTTGATTTCATCGCAGGGGCCCACCGTCACCCATATAATGTTGTCGTCCGAGTCAGTCTTGCCAGCTTTGCCGAGGAAGCTGCTTCGTTTGCTTGCCTGATACCATTTTTCACGACTCTGGGCGGCTTGCTACAGCTCGCACCGCCGTGCTCCCAGAGTTGATCGGGAATCGCTCTTGATTTCATCACCAGCCGGCATATATGACATCGTTTGACAGCAGTAGCTGGAGGACGAGATCTGACAAATACACCAAAGCTCCGAGTTGCTTGTTCGCCTTCCAAAGTATGGGGGCCCAGGTAAACCAGATCTGGATTCTGCCTGTGACACAGTTGATGGCGGAGCTTAGATTGACCTTGGATCTGTAGTGTGTACAACCACATTGCTATTATTGCACAGCGCGGACGTAGTTTCCCGTGACGGTCATGCCTGATCCATAAAACACATCTACTCCTGACCGGTCGGCGAGGGGTATGAGCATCGGTAGTTAGCAAGGCATAAACAAGCCTACGCCAAGAATTGCTGTATAAAAAAGAAGAGGTCACATACCACCCGAACTCCATCCTAGTATCCGACCACTTCTCATCATTCCTCATTCCTCATCACTCATTGCCGCCTGCAAAAATGCATATGGTACTGTCCTTTCTTGTTTTCTATATCACCCAGACGATCGCGAAGGCAGTCCCATCGAACCTTGCCGCCTTCCTGAACAAAATCAAAGCCGATGGCGCATGTAACGATCCCTTCCCCGGTAGCTTCTACGACAAAGAAGGTGGATCTAAGTGTATGTATTTCGAAGTATTCAACGAAGGCCAGACCTTTGCCCTGACCGCCTCCAGCGTTCCGCTACTGCAAAGGCGACGGCTACATCTACCTGAAAGGACCGAGCGACAAACTGGCCAACATGGACATTGATTGCGACGGCGCGAAGAATCCGTTATGCCCGGTTCGTGCAGGCTCCGATACTCAACTATGGACTTCTTTTCGAGACTCTGTCCGATCGTACGGCATCTCCGACTTGGATGCTTCCATCCACAACTATGTCGTCCTCGGCAACGCAGACGACGACCATACGCCAGGATACACGACGTTCCGACCACAAGATTACGGCGTCCAGCCTTTGAGCCTGATGGCAGTCGTCTGTAACAGTCAACTCGTAAGTGCTTTCACAGAAAAACGGAACTCTGCCCACATACTATACGCGCGCACTGAAATATCCCAAGTTCTATGGCATATGGGGAGACGAGAATGGCAGCGATGGACCTCCTTTGGTGGGTGAAGCATCCATTTCTTTGGCGAGACTCTGCTTCGGCGACTCCATGACGAACGACAACGGACATGGGCCTGCGGATGTATTGTACATCGCATTCACAGGCCAGAATGCAGTACCGGGTGGTGATGGCGCGGCCTGGAAAGCGAAGAGCTCGAAGGAGTTTCAGAACCACGAGGCGTTCAATGATTTGGGTGACAGTCTGGTCAAGCAGATTCATGTCTGACTGCTTTGCCTGGGAAAGTTCAGGTCTTGGTAGCCTGGATCTCACCTCCCGCTTCATTTCCTTTCGCCCTCCCATCATCCGCCGTTTCTGCACTCGCTTCATGAACGTCAGCACTGCCGCTCGACACCAAACTCTGACCGTCCCTCAGCTGGAGATTAGGTAGCAAGAAGGCTATCACCAAGCAGATTGCCGATGTTCCCAAGGCGGCGTATGTGATGTTGCGAAGTACATCGGAGTAAGCTAGGTTGACAGCCTTGCGCTGTAGGGTGCCTTCAGCAGGTATCGTTGCACTTGTAATGGACTCGAAAACGGCGTTCACGACCGAGTCTGTGGCTCCAGCTCCTAGATGGTTTCGCAGGGCATCTTTGAAAGTGTCGCTGTAGATACCGCCAGCAATAGCATTGCCAATCGCAGCTCCGACGAATGCGCAGAGCAAGACGAGAGCCGTCACCTATGTTCGGTCAGCAATTTTTTGCGAAGAGGTAGAAGTATACACCAACCTGCGCCATTTCTGTGTGAGGAACAACAACCTGAGCTCCCACGATGATGCCGATTTCAATGATCCCAGACCCCCACCCCTGGATTGACTGGACAACGAACAGTTCAGCCCATGAATTGTTTGCACCTCTCAAGCGTATCATCATGCCGAAGCCAAGCAGTTTGACTGCTGTGCCAATCACCATGAGCCACTTGTAGCGTCTGGTTTTGTACATGATTGCGCCGGCTATGATGCCGATGAGACACTGCCAGACGCCATTCGTGTAGTTGAGAAACGTCGCATCCCGTGGTCCCATGTTATGGACGGTCGTGGCCCAGGTGTAGAGGTAGGTATGTGTCGCTTGGAAACCCAAATTATCCAGGAAGCCGAGTGAGCAGCAGATGACGATGGACGCATTTCTGAAGTATCGAGCAGGGAGGATTGGGTGTGCGGCGACGAAGATCTCGTACAGTATAAGCCCGCAAAGCGTGCAAGCGCCGAGTACTATCAGTGCGATGATATAGCCGGTATTCCATCTCCTGGGGGTCGTACCAGCCAGACTGAAAGGGATCAAGAACATCGAGAACCCAGCCGCAAGAAGGAATGTTCCTCCAAGGTCGATCTGAGAACAGAAGTCGCGCAACGTCATCTTCTGTGTCAAAACAACACTCATCCTCTTGGCTCGCCTTTGGTAATACAAGAGCGGTCCTATTAGAGCGATGGCCGCCACTGGCATGATGATTGCAAACATGCCTAAAAATTACTGATCAGTCTCGCAACATCAGCATTTGTAGAAGGATTACGAACCAATTCCCCACCTCCAACCTATGCCTCCAGGCTCGACGACGTCTTCAACGATGAAGCCACTGATCCAAGGAGTGATCAAAAATGGAAAGAAGCTGATGCCAATGGCAAAGGCTCTGGACCTCATACTTGTGATGTCGGCGATGATGATGTCGTTGAGGATGTTGACTCCGGTCTGGCCGAGATTCGCAAAGACAAAGCCCCCAGCATAGACACCAAAGCTCGACGAGCTGGCGCAAAGGATGTACCCCAATAAGTAGCACAGGATGCAGAAGACATATGTTTCCGGACGGCCTATCACATTGGAGATTTTGGCGATAGGTGGTTTGGCAACAGCGAAGACGATATTTCCGGCTACAGCAAGAGTACCCAGACCTGCGACATTGTTGAAGGCCGAGGCAGCATAGTTTCGATAGTTGTAGAGCAGAGCATTGTCGAATTGGCTAAGGGTGGTCAGTAGCTTTCCTTCGCTTGGATAGGAAAGGGACTTACTAGACAATCAGCATCATACTGATGCCCAGCCATACTATCAGCCTTCCATGTCTGCCCCAGACAAGTTGCATCGCCTCTGCTCGAGCTGTGCCGCTAGTCAAGGTGGAATCGGTCACGATCACACTCTGTTTTGCCGTTTCCAGGTCATCATGTTGATATCCTCCATCTGTCGCAGCATGGCGGCCATCATCAGACTCTTGCTGGCTTGAAGGGGCGTGGTGGTGGTCCACCACGGTTACAGCATCCATCTTTGCAAACACCAAGTCATACAGGTCAGGTCCAGGTATGGCCTGGGGGAGGGACGTGGCTAAGTATCCCCCAGTTGTGACAACAGGTGACAGGCGTGGGATATGTCCGAAGACATGACCATCCAGGATCACAGCCGTAATGCGGGCAAGACTTCTGTAGCATGCCAAGTGCAGATTCGTGGAGGACGTACAGTACACCGTCACAATCGATTCCAGCTAACTATGATGCTGCCATTGGTACTGAGAGACAAGGGGACATCGATAGAGTATGCGGCCTGCGTCTGATTGGCTGACATTCAGGACATATCGAGGGATGATAGCGTCTTAGAAGAACGGTGGCCTGAAGATAGCTTCGTCTGCCACTGGCCTGGACAACGAGTGGTTGTTGATAAGGCCGGCGACCAACTGCATCAAGCGTATTTAGACATTGTAACCCTATGCAAGCGACACTGCATCCTGCGATCGACCCCTCAGTCAATTGGTGAGTGAGAAGGAGATGGCCGACGATAGTTGACAAGAAGAGATAGCTATCAGATGAGATGCATGATGGTAACTTAGTCATGGTCACGAGTACCGTAGAACCAGCAGGCAGTTAAAGGGAGCCGCTAACGAGGTGCCATGGTCGCTATCGGTTAAACAGTTTAGGCTCACTAGGCTATACTAAGTTCGGCCACTAGGCCTATTCGGCACCTACTGGCCACTAACTTAGGCGGACCCCGGACCTGGTAACTTGGCCGATAAAACCACCTCCAACACCAAATCCTGGTTTGGGCATCTGGCAAGAAGTGCTTTTAGATACGTCAGTCGTGGTCAACTGAAGTAGAGTTGGGATCGAACTGAATCAGTCGCCATGGACATAAAATTCAGCGCCGCCGACTATGTCCCGCAAAGAGCGCGAGACCGACGGAAAATGGCCATATGGCCGAAAATCGTTATCACTTCCCTCATCGTCGGCCTGTGTCTGCACAGCATCGACAAATTGATTGGCGGACTGCTTCCCGAAAGATATCGCGCGGAACGTGGTTTTGCAGAGGGGAAGCAGCCGATACTACTCGCGCAGTCGCCATTCCGTTGGAGCACCATCGAACCGTCCAACGAACTTCAGTACCACGACTGTTACGATGGTCTACAATGTGCTCGGCTCGACGTCCCCATGGACTACCATGCATCCGAGGTCTCACCAGATCGAGTCGCGCTTGCCATAATTCGACTACCTGCGAAAGTGTCAGTTAGCGACCCTCGATACGGCGGCGCCATCCTGATCAACCCAGGCGGCCCAGGAGGCTCTGGGGTAGCGAAACTCCTACAGCACGGCTCGCAAATGCAGCATATTGTCGACTCCGACAAACCTGTAAATCAGTCGACCGAGGAGGACGACGATAGGTATTTCGACATCATAGGATTCGACCCTCGAGGAGTCAATCACAGCACGCCAATCCTGACCTGCTTCCCGGACAGCTTTGCGCGACAGACTTGGAACCTGCAATCCCTCGCCGAAGGGCTCCTGGGTAGCTCGGAGGGATCCTTGAGGACAGGCTGGCGACGAGCGAGGGCGTTTTCCATGGGCTGCTCGAGCCGACTAGACTCTGGGAACGGGACGACGAATTTCCTCGAGCACGTCAATACGACACCAGCGACAGCCGACATGGTTGAGATCATCGAGCGGCACGGCCAGTGGCGCGAACGAGAAGGACAGAGAGCCCAAGATGCATACGACCTCACTCATGGCCGTAACCCAGACCCATCCCATGTAATCGCCCAACGTACGAAATGGCAGAAAGGCCATGAACCCTTACTCTACTGGGGATTCTCCTACGGCACGGTGCTCGGCTCGACTTTTGCAGCCATGTACCCGGAGCGAGTATCTCGCATGGTTCTTGACGGCGTGGTCGACGCAGAGGACTACTACAATGGGCCCTGGCTCGGCAACCTACAGGACACCGACCGAATCCTGCACAACGTGATGCGATATTGCTCGGAAGCCGGACCGGACAATTGCCGCCTATGGAGGCCCGGAGGCACCCAGGCCGTTCTCGCAGCGTACGAGAGACTTCTACAGGATATCTGGGATGACCCGCTTTCTGTTGTCGGCGACCAACGCCGCGGACCCGAGATCATCACCTGGACCGATGTCAAGATGGTCGTCAAAGACGCGCTCTACCAGCCCATCATCCTAGGCCCGATAATGGTCGAACTCCTGCAGGACATCATCAACGGCACCGGCAGCGTGTTCGCCGAGTACAAGCAAAGCGGCCGCACACCCAGCTGTCGGTCCGAACAGTGCGAGATCGACGGGCCATATTCCGAGGAATGTGTCTCTCCCGGCTGGAACGAGCTCGAAGCGACATCCGCGATCCTGTGCACCGACGCTCAAGACATCGGCAGTTTCACCGAGGACGAGTTCCGCGGCTACTGGCGCACCCTGCAGGGCCAGAGCAAGGCGATGGGCGACTACTGGGCGCAGACGCGCCTGGGCTGTGCGTCGTGGCAGGCCAGGGCCAAATGGAGGTTTGCCGGGCCCGTCGCCGCGGCGAACACGTCGCACCCGATCCTGTGGGTGTCGAACACGCTGGACACGGTGACGCCGCTGCGCAATGCGAAGAGGATGAACGAGCGGTTTCCCCGGTCCGTGCTGTTGCAGCAGGATTGCGAGGGCCATTGTTCGTTCGCGGCGCCGTCGCTGTGCACGGCCAAGGCGGTCAAAAAGTATTTCCAGACTGGAAAGATGCCGGAGCCATGGACGCTGTGCGAGACCGATGCGAAGCCCTTCGAGGCGGGAAGACTGCTACGGCAGAAGATGGCGGCACTAAGCACGCAAGATGCACAGCTTTTGACTGCGCTGCAGCAGCTGGCCGAGAGTCAAAGCTCTAACCGATTTCTATGAAGGCATTCACGTGAATCGTCCAAGGATAGAGACAGACTAATGCGAGCACGAAGAGATGACATGGAACGCAGCACAAGATAGTGACTTCACCACACCACATTGACTTAGGTCGTGTAAGTAGTACCACACAGGGTATCAAGACGGCACAGCCTGATGTGCCCACAATCACTACATCTAACCACACAGTACTGACTTGTTTTGTACCCCACGTCTGCCTTTTGAGAAACCAGCTCCTGGTTACAAACCTCCAGCCCTTTTGATATCCATTCCCATGCACTGTTGTCGACAGGGAAGCGATTTCTGACACTACAGTTCCACAAAAAGTCCAGGCCTTGACACTTCCTACAACTCTCCATCCATCCCGACCACCGTTTCAAGCCCCTATCGCTTTCTCCTTCTCACCTCTCGGCACGCTTCTCAGATCCTCGATATGCGCATTCAAAAAGTAACCCCTCAGCTGCTCCGGGGTCATATCCTTCGCACCGCTAATCACCCCTTTACAGCTCGCCGTGCCGCACCCGCATTGGAACGGCTGCTCCATTTCCCACTCGGTGCTGGGGTAGAAGAAAGTCAACTCGTCGCCCGTACTCAGACCTCTCGTCGGATTCCCGTCCTTGTCCAACCTGGTCGCGACGCGGATCTCGATGACGGGTTCTTCGGAGTCTGGAACGACGTGGAACTCCAGGCTCGGCTCGCAGCTGTGGTTGATGTACAAAAAGTCGCTGTTCAACTCGATGTGCTGCGTCTCGGAGACCTGCACGGTCGACCAGCGCTTGGCCGGCGCAAACGTCAGCGGTGGACTGGCAAGGCGGGCGAACAGTGCCCCGGCCGGGAGTGAGACGACGGAGACGCTGTATGAGGCGTGAAAGCCCGATTCGCGCACCACGCGTATGACCGAGGGGTGAGTTGGTGCTGGTGCTGCGTCTGCATCTGCATGTGCCATGGCGGATCGATGCTGGTTATGGGCCTCCGACAGATTTACCTAAGATACCTAGGTAGGCAAATACTATAGCCAAGGCTGATACTTGGAATTCTCAGCTCGATAGACAACGAGCGATGTGATGCTTCCCTGAGGAAAACGAAAGACTGAGAAACCTGAAAGTAGAACTTCGACTCCTCAACAAGAATGCGGCATGGGGGATAATAAAATTGATCCCGTGCACGGAGTAGCTGAGATGGAAGTCGATTTACACTTTTGTACCTACCTGGCGAGCTGCATACCGAGCCGTCCTCCTCCTCAGGTCCAGCCCTGCACGACCGAGGCTTGCTGTTGCTCAGGGTCCGAGGCACCTACCCTTAGAGTAACTAGGCTGACCATTGTAGCCGAGTACATGACGTTCCACATCTCAACTGGTGGATTGCTTTGTGTGTGGAGCTGGCAAAACGGGCTGATCTGGCAAAGAGCGAAGAGAAAATGCCCTTCGCCCGGTTTCAGGCGCAGCTGGAAGAGCCCTGCAAACCCGCATGTGCCGAGAGACGGCAGCTAAAAGGCTGGCTGGAGAGTTGGCTCAAGCTGACCAGTCGCCAAGCAGGGCAAGCGGCATCATGGTTCAGCCTCGCGAACTTCGGCACCAATCTTGAGCTGCAGAGACGACACGCTTGAGGCCCTTTTGCGGGACAAGGGACTGTGCACAATGCGAGAAGACCCCGAAGAAATGGGGCCCATATTATTATGGCCCTTCATCCATGCGCCGCTAGAAAATGGAAAGTCCAAAGGCGATCGATGCAAGCTGAAAAAGTTTTCTCTCCCGTTACTCGTATTCTCGCCAAGTATTCGTGCATGATGGTGCCATCCTCTATGGGGTTAGAGCTTCGCCTCCACAAGTCCAAGAATTCTCCTCGGACGGGGCGGGAGAGTCCTGGATGATCCATAAAACCCATATCCATCGAGGAAGAGCTCTCGCTTGACCTTGGCCGATACGCGGCCGAGTCGTGAATCCCACGATGAGCCAGGTCATCCTAAAACCCCAGATCACAGCCGCTGATGAGCTCCATATCTCCTCGAATCTCCCAGACGCTCCCTCCAGCTTTATCTGCACTAGCAACTCTCTGCTGCGTGCTCGTCTCCCACCATCTCTTTACCAGATTACCATCAATAATACCTCTGCCGCCGATGCCGTCCGTCTCGACTTGCCGGTAGGCACGAGGGTTCAAGCTGCAAGGCTGAAAGTCGAGCGTCGTCAGCAGCGTGTTCTGAAGCGTTGACAACCGTCGATATGCCGCCTCTGGGAGTGGAGTAAGCATGCACAGAGATCCGGACTGTGTAGTCACCAGAATTCGATTGAGGCTGGCCATCTGTGCAACATCCAGATCCATATCCATGGCGGGATCACCTCGAGTGACTGTGCTCATTTTCGGTGGGAGCAGTGACATTTTTGTAGGCATCACTCCTGCGTTAAATGTACTTCGAAGCAGCAACTTGGTCCCACGCTCTGCCTTGGGGTCTTCAGGATCGTACTGAAGAACCCGTAATATCCCGCTCTCCTCAGCTGAAATGATATACAATTGCTTGCCATCAGGCAAGAATTCCGCCGCCATGACAGGGGGATTCTCCAAATCCCGACCAATGACTTGCAATTTGTACGGCTCCTCAGAGTACCCGACAAGCCATAGCCCGGAGAAGCCGTCTCCAAGTATGCACAATCCTGTCCCGCGCAGCTCCCTTGCGACATGGACATAGTAGCGCATGTCAAGAAAGGCCACAGGAAGGATCGACATGTCTTCTTTAAGTCCTCGCACCATACATTTCTGTCCTTGAGCGGCGAGCATGAAGCCTTGTGAACCAATATCGCAAATCGCGCTCACTGCGCCTCGCACATCTTCTTTCGTGATCAACTTCAACTTCAGGTCACTTTCTGGTACGCCGGGTTCGGGAACCACGTCAACCACATCGAAGATGTAGATGTTTCCTCGTGTAGTAACATTTTCGCCTTTGACAATAGCGGTGCCAACCACTATCATATCTTTGCGTTCATGAGTTTCTTCAGATACTTCCAGACTAAGACTTTTGACACAGAGGATCCGTTCGCACGCCTCAAAATGATACTGGCTGATGAGCGAATGGCTTTTGGAGCTGATGAGCTTGAGAGTGCTTTGCTGCGAAGTTGGCAGAAAACTTGTGGCTTCGTTCTGCCACTCTGGATGCCATTCATCATCCTGAGGAAGTTGGAATTCAATCGGATAATGTGTGGCCAAGGCATACGAGTCGGTCGGTTCATAGTAGGCAATTGAGCTAATGTCCTGTCCAAATGGAACTCTCTTGATTGCCCAGTCTGACTGACCAACCATGGTCGAATCTTCTAGTTGCGCGAAGCAAACATTCTGGTGGTCATCTAAGAAAGCAAAGCCCTGCGTGCATTCTGTGGTATGTACACCACTTAGTGACTTGATCCACGTAGTGGCCAACTCGTGAATGTGGGGCATCGTCGCAGCTTCGCGCATGATGAGCGATGGGCAAGGGCCAGGTATGAATACACAAGCGTGGCCTCTAATGTCCGCGACGACTTGCATGGGATGAATCGAAGACACTTCTCCTTCTGCTCGATATTCAGTATTTTCCGGAGGTTTTGTTGCCACCTTTCTAAATTTGAAGCTTCCCAGGATGTTGGGATCGGTGAAAGGTTCATAAAGAATAACATCGCCCGTTAGATTTCGGACCATCAGAAATGGTCGACAGTCGGTAGCATCTCCGAGGTCAGCTAGCAGTATCTCACCCAGATCGTCTCTGTTCCTCCAATGTTTGGGTACCTGCAAGTTTTGCATCAGGCATGTAGGGAGAAATGGTAGGCTGTCACATTGGAAAATCTGGATCCCAATATTGGGCAACGACAACATGCAGAAGTGGCCATCCGCGGTCAGGACTGCAAGAACAGGGCCAGCGGAAGTAGCGTTGCCGTAGAACCTTGAAGTGTCGAAAAAGTCATCGTGATCGAAGTAGAGTGATGCAGAAAGAATCGTCTTGTCCTTCAACGGGGTTGGAAGATCAAGTTCGTCAAGTTCGCCAGCTTTGTCCGCTTTTAGCAGTGTCATAACCCGATCGTCTCTGATCACGGCCAGATACGGATCTGCGAATGTGCTCTTGACCGCCTTAGCCGACTGACCCTCTTCCTCGTCCACGATGGGGAAGATCTGCGAGAGCCCGAACTCGGAATCGTAGACTCGGATTTCGGTGGGCAATACTTGAACAGTGTGAGCCGTGGTCTTTAGCCTTGAGACTGATATAGTCGGTCCCGCCGTCTCGTCGAATTCGCAGTCTGCCATAGGATCCAAGTTACCACCGCTCAGCCGACATAGCGAAGACTTTCCCACGCCTTCGCTCGTGGTCTGGGATATGATCACGAGGTCATCGAAGGCCTGCTTCTTTTCTGATTGGTTTTGGCTTGACGAAAAACACCACAGTCCAGCAGCATCTCCGTATTTGAACCGTTTGATTACCTCAGGTTCAAGGTACTTTGACACGAATGCGAGTCCCCCAGCACTGCCTCTTCCGTACGCTACTGCAAGTTCACGTTGCGGACTTCCTTGTCCTTGAACTCCATCCGTCTCCTCATGTTTGCGCTTTTTCGGGTTTCCTAGGACGAAATCGTTGATGGGTGCTATGCATGGAAGACGGTCCATTAAATGGAAGGTCTGGCTGTTGGCGTCCGCTGAAATATGCCCATTAGCCCCGGTGTAGACTTCGCCGTAGAGATCGTCCTCATCCTCAATGTCATCCTCTTCTCCATCAGGCTCGAAACCATTCGTTTCAGGCTTCATTCGAGACGACGTTCTCTTCAACTGAGAAGACTTCCTGGTAAGAGACACGAGGACTGAGTCGCATGCTTCACTGCCAATGAACAAACACCCAGATCCCAAATTGGCCGCGCAAGATGCGGCTGTCAGAAGAAGACTCTGCATTTGTCCTTCAGCCATTCGACGGAGTGCCATGCTGGTCACGGAGCGGCCATCCATCCGGAATGTTAGCAGCGCGAGGTCGCCCGTCGCGAGAATGATCAGCATGTCACCACTAGCGTTGCCCAGGTGTTCGATACGACAACCCTCGAGTTTGAGCCTATACTCCGAGTGGTCGGTCATGGGGAATGAGGACGCGTCCTTCGCAAATTCATTGACAGCAATTGCGCTCGCTCTTCCACCCTGATCAATATGGATCAACTCATTGCCGCCAATGAGTAGTGCTCCGCCAACTGGTAGCGGCAGAGCCATAATGCGATCAATGTCATTAGGCAGTCTTTGGACAGACTGCAGTGTGGTCGACGCCTTTTGCTCCAGATCCAACGCATATACCGCATATATTGTCACGTCTCGTCTTTCTGCACTCAAATTTGAGGAGCGCGCCATTGTCGAATATACTATGCCGATGGTCGGGTCGCGATACTCGTGGAGGAAAGCCATGTCGACGGGGTGTAGAAGGCCCGGGTCGAGAACTGTGAGTGGCAGAACGAACGAGGGGCTGTAGGGAGTTCCGTGTCCGTCGACGTTGACATCCGTTTGTTTGGTTGGTGAAGGGCGTTCCTTGTCTTCGCCGTCAATCTCATCAAAATCGTCCATGGCCAAATCATCGCCAGCTTGATGAAAAGGAATGACGGCAAGGTTACTGACGCCAAAGTTGAAAGCGGCACATCTACTAGAAGGGTCAATCGTCAGATGACTGACACATTCAGCCAGATCGGGCTGCCACGGCGCTGATTGCAGGTCATGATGCTCGTAGTAATGTATTGACAGGGTAGATATGCTATGCAATGCCGGATCCCACTCGATCAAGCTCAATTTAGCATCCAGAAACGCAACCAGGACAGCATCTCCACCACTTTTCGATTCTGCAAGTTTCACTTTGTCTAGCGACGTGACAGTACCAGCAAGAGTGTACTCGGCGACCAGGACAAGTTTGGTGTCGTGGGTGTGGTCGAGCTGCTTGCACCGGAAAATCTGAAGCAGAGATGTCCGGACAACTATCAGATTGTCGGTCTTTGCTGATGTGAAATGGACCGATAGAGCATGAGTGACACCCGAAGGCGGAAGAAGTTCAGTATAGCACTGCATCTGGAGGAGTGTTTTGACTTTCGCGTCTCACAACCAGGGGCTTAACATGGGCGAACGCGCTGATTGTTCATCATGGTCAAAATTCCAGACTTCGAAAGGATTCCCCGAGAGTAGACTGATGAGAGATAAGCTCCAGAATTGATGAAGTTGTCCTAATATAACTCGACGTCGGGACAACGAAATGAAGGTGAACAGCTTGGGACTTTGGACGTGAACCCTGGTTGATGTCTTGGCTAACACGTGATTACCCTCTTCTCTAACCAGGAGCTAGTTCGAATTGAGCTAGTGAAGAATATAGCTATGCACCGGCTAGTCTGCATCAGGCATCACCAACAACCTAAGCTCGAGAGGAAATGGCGAGCTGCATAATGACGGATGGGCTGCGGCTTCAAGTCATGCGCCTTGGTTTCTGTCTGCAACACCCTCCATCTTGTCGCACCACCACTCCAATTGTGAACGGGTCTTCCGTTCGTCTGATCTTCTATCTCCAAGGCTCGTCTGAACAATGACCATGCAATTCCTCCCATCTCTTCTGGGGGTTGACCCGGATTTGTCGACCATGGCCAATGCGGGCTATGTTCAGATCACCTTGATCTGGGTCGTCTATGCCATTGCCGTTGCCATCCTACTGTCGATTGCCTGCCTGTTCGTCTACCTCTACCAGGCTCACCGAGAACGCTCCCTCTTCGTTACGATAGTCTGCATCTTCACCATCACCTCTCTGCTCGCGACTGTTTTGCTCCTCCCCGTCGACGTTGCTTTGGTCTCCAGTACCACAAGTTCCAAGTCGGGCAGAAGAAAAGAGTGGGCCAATCAGGGCAAGGTCGACAATATCACATATACACTACGCATCGTCTATTACCTGCTCTATTCTCTGGATGCTGTGCTCTGTCTCCTCGTGGTGCCGTTCACCTACTTCTGGTATGAAGAGCACGACGAAGTTGCGCAAGAGGAGGGGTCGCAGACTTTCGCATCCAGGTTCTGGGCTGCGTTCAAGTACACACTGATCTTTATCTTCCTTTGCGTGGCTCTTTTTCTGGTCGGATTCTTCGTCCCAGTTGCCCGCCACCGGGAGGGCGCCCATTTCGATCTGGACTTCTTTAAGAAGTTGCTCTCCGAGAACCATGGGGAGCGTGCGTTGACGTTTGCACTCGGCCTGCTCATCACGATTGGAGTCATCATCTACTGCTTCTATACTGCGGCTGGGCTGGCCCTCCTTCCGCTCACCTTGATCAAATCCGCTCCTGGCATATCTGCACCAGCATTGAGCGAGTCGTCCGCTGCACAGTTGGAAAGCAACCTCGAGAGACAGAGACAGCTGGAGGGACGTGCCCAGGGCAACCCGGATGGCCTGTCCTCTAAGGACCAACGTGAACTAGACGCTCTAGTTCGCGAGGAGCGCACCCTGCGTCGCCATCAACGGCTGGCTGCCGAAGCTTCAGGCGAAGATCAGAGCATCTTCTGGAAGATATGGTTCAAAATCGAGGCCATCTTCAGACCTATCAAGCTCGTTCTCGGTATACTGTTGGTGATCATTGTATTGCTGATCTTTGTTAGCATGCTTATCACTGGCATCGACAAGGCCAAGAATTCCATCTGCAAACGCCATTGTGGCTATCTGCTGGCTCACATCAACATCTTTCAGCCGATAAATTGGATCTTGGTCGAGTCCGCCAAAGTATTCCCAATCGACTATGTCATCTTTCTCCTGTTGGTGATGCTTTTCTTCAGCGCAAGCATCATTGGGATTGCCACCATCGGCATTCGGGTGCTCTGGATCACCATTTTCCGCATCCGCAAGGCTCATACTTCGCCTCAAGCAATGCTCATTGCGACTGTCATGCTTACGTTGATGACCTTGGCAATCAATTATTCGATTGCAATGATGGTTGCACCTCAGTACGCTACCTTTGGTCCGCAGACATTCTGCGATCATCCTCCGAAGCATCCCGGTGAACAGCCAGACTGTTCGGACCATCCTCAACATGTTGTTCCCTGCACGGAACTCAGTGACAACCCTGCAGCCAGGAATGTCTGTACGCCATCCGTGGTGTCTACCTTCCTCAACAGGGTAACTGTGAATTTCCCCTTCTTCGGCGTTGTTGATTTCTGGGCACAATTTGTCTTCTTGGGAATCTTCCTACTCGGCTTCATTGTTTTGCTCTTCCGCACACCGAAACTATCTGATCCGGATGCGGAAGAGGACGACCTCGAGGAGGAGGAGGAAGGACTCCTGGCCAGTACGGGCCGCAGATTTGGTGCTACTTGGCAGGATATTACTGGAAGGGTCAGCCATTCGGGCGGGAGAGGCACAAGGGACGGAGCAGATGATGCCTAAATCCACACTCATGACGGGCGTTTCAAAATGCGAAATAAAATGTCTGAGTATGCATTTCATGAAGGATTCCAGGCCACTAGGTCACTTTACTTTGGTACAGCATGCTTATCAAACTCATGGAAGTCGTCTAATGTTCAGGCGGCACGATTAACGGGCTCATAACATCATAATGACTTTGTTGACTGATTCACTCGGCTTTATGCCCATCGCTTCACTCGTTTCTCGGTGCACTACTGAGTCATAGCCAGCGCTCCTGATCGAGAGACCATTTATTACCGTATGGATAGTAGACACATCTAAACGATGTCACGTGCGTCGACAGAAGACAACAGATAATTCGCTTTCTTGGAAAACAATCGACGAGGATGGCGACCACGGCCGACCACACCTTTCCGGTATTCTCAAATCAATCAGGCTGAGGCCGCCTGGCCATGAATCCGGTTTCGGGAACAGCCAATATTGCCTTTTGTTGACACGACCTCCCCAGACGAAGGCACCATACAAGTTAAGCCTCCTGATTCCTAGAAAGTGATACGGTGTTGAATATTTCATCAATACTTCATAAGGGATGACAATGCTATTCCGAAAAGCCTAACTCTTCTCTCTCGGCATTGGACATGCAAAGGATGGACCTGACGGCCTCCCGTTGGGCAAGTCCGGACGTAAGGCGTGAGCGAGAGTACCAGACCAGAACCAGAAGCCCATCACCGCACAAGCAACACCCTCACAAGCAACACCCTCACACGCACACACTGGATCACAATGTCCTCCCCAACCTATTACCGAGCAAGACTTCGTCAGGGCCGTCTGCGACTCCTTCCCCGGCACCGCCTTTGACCTCTGCACAAAGATTGTACCTCACGCGCCAGACCGAGTTGCAGCGCTTTCACAGGCTTTTCCGACGCTTAGCGTGGAAAGCGAACAGCCTGACACACTGGTCACACCGGGCTCTGAATCTGGCGCAGGAGTACCAGACACAGAATCACCATGCTGCAGATTGCCACACCCACCCAAGTACGCGGAGAGACAACCAACCACCGGGTCCGAGAGCATCATTGGGCAGATATGACATGATAATAGATCCGATAGAGGCTGAGCGACAGTTCAAAATCGACTTTTACGAGTTTTACGCCATCTTGGAACGAGGACTGGTCCACCTCCTCAGTGTCTGGGGCATTGTCATTACTCCCTCAGCACCAGATTATGAACATAGCAATTCGGTTCCCGCAAGTCATCCCCTCCGGGTGAAGTCGACGCCCTCAATCATTGGCGATTCTCGCAATTTCCACGGTGCATCACATCGCTTCCACGCCAACGTCCTTTCGGCTCTCGATCACCCTTCAAATCCGCTGCACAGTATTTTAGGCACTGGAGACGCCCGTGCATACATCGGTGTTGCAAAGGAATTTCGCAACAAGTGGAAAGACGTCGAACAGCGACCGAACGACTGCTTTGTGGGCCACGAGCGCACCGAGGAAACTTGGGACAAGGCAAAAGTGAAACGATACGAGAAGGTTCTGAGGGATCTAAAGCTGGATGAGCTGTTGGGCACTGTGCTTCAGGCTCTTGAAGAGGCAGGTGGAGAAGCAGATGCAGAGGTAAAGAGGTTGGAGCACGTGGCTGGCGGTGTTAGTCAGAAGGCTAGAGAGGCAGACCAGACCCGTGACGATGGAGATTTTGACATGATGGATGCCCCCTTTGAGATCATGACCGATAGAGTGGATGTTGACCATGATATGGAACTCTAAGGTGAAGGCACAGGAAGACGTACTCCCGGAACGTTCTTGACACAAGCTCCAGGAAAGTTCACAACGCTCGCCATCTAGCAATAGGCCAGGCATCGTGAGATGACCCAGGTTACCCATATCCTGCTTCCGGGCACTGGACATCTCCATGCTGTTCCGAAGCCCGAGGTTCCTAACGTCTCGAGTTGAACGTGAGACAGGACGTCATGCCCGGGAACGTCGGCTTGAGGCCACGATTGATGCATTGTTTTGCTGATCAGAAGCTGCGAACCTGCAGCAGCGTATGACATCCGACACTTGTGAACGCTGCTCTTCCCAGACCTATACTCCGTCGTCGACGACGAATGGCACGGGATAATGACTCCCAAAGACAGTCGCAACTGCTATACTACGACCGTTGTCAAGTTCGAGATTCTGCTCCTCCGCAACTTTCGACCATTTGCGAGCCTGAAGAACCATCCAACCCTCAGCCCAGAAATTTCTGACAAGATATTCCCACAGAGGAGATGTGAAGTCATGTTATGTTGCATGCTTATTTTCATGAAGATTGGCAGTGGCGCGTGCCAGCTGTATCTTGAACGACGGACTTTCGACAAAACTCAACGAGGAGCCGCATTGATATGTCCCGAGTGCGGAGTGGGCGTTCGGTTGTCGAAGCATCGCTGACTTGACCACGTTTCAGGCACATGCAAGCCTAGCGGGGCCCGGAAATACTGTCATTAGGCCCATAGTGGCCCATAGTGGCCACAAGCGAGCCGTCATTAGCGCCGATCTTCGACCCCCTGGCTCCAAGGTCCCACGTCAAGGTGAGTCGAGAATTCGTCGTCGACTGAGGACCAGTTTCTTCAACGCCCCAAGCCACTGGCAGCCACTGCTTTGACATCGGACTGGACAATGCACTGCGAAGGGGCAAGCACTCCAACTGACGACGAGGGTCTAGGTCTTCACCATTGTGGTCAAGTCAGTCCGTCAGTCGACGTCTGTCGCTTGCCTCTCCATTGTTTAAGCTCAATAACGTCGCAATGATGTGCCGGGCATAACGTGCAGCGTACATGAAACTCCATCAGTTGACGAGCTGTACCCCGGCTGATGAGCCGCGTTATGCTTCAAGGCACTAGAGTCGTTGAAGGCACGCCGTCTCCAGGGGCAGCTCTCCCCAGCCGATGCGCTTCAAGATAGCTTCAGCATCGCAGAATCTGGCCCTTGGCTGCAAGGGTTGCAGAAATCCAATCTTGGCCAGCCGCGAACCTTAAAAATCTTCAATGAAGCTCGGGACTGGATCCGGATTCAAGCTGTGCATTTTCCCCGGAGCCCGCTTCAAGCCTTGTTCCTAGCTTGTGCAGGGGCATCGTGGCTACTTTGTCTTCTGTGGCCAGATCAGCGTGGCATGACATCCTGGTTAGAAGGTGCGATCATCCATACAACTTCCGCGTGGTTGAGCCCAAGACGAAATGAGCAGGTACCTGAAATGAACCATTCTATCACTAATTTCGACCTCGGACTAGGATGTTGGGAGAGTTCCTTTGCCTCCCGTGTCTGTGCTCTTTTATTTCTTCCATGGAAGCATGTCAAAGCGGGTTCTATCTGTTTTTCCTTTTTTGTTCCACCCGCACAACTATCGTCATCACTTTCAATCTGACAGCCACCCTCTCCTCATAAGGATTGGTTGCTAACTATTTTGGGTTCTGGCACCACGTTAAAACACAAAGATAACGGAAGATTGAGGTTTTGATCATGGAGCCACCGTCAATTCCATTAAACCCTCGCCGGCGGCTGACACGAGATTATACCTCTGGCGAGCACACTACTCCGAGAACGACACCACCGTCAAGGGGACCTATGGGGATGGAAACAGATTTCGACAATCCTGTGCGAAAGACAAGTCTTGAGATCCGCTCAGAGTCTGCCAAGTCGAATGATGGTAGATACAGCAGTTTTCGGAGTCATGGCACGAGAAGTCCGACGACCAGAGATCCTTCCGAGACACGTAGCTCGGAATCTCAGATGACTGCGACTCCCATGTCGGAAAAGGAGAATTTCGAAGAACTACGGAAACTCGACTTCAACTTGGAAGCCATCGACGAAAAGAGCTCATATGAGCCCTCATTGACCAGCATTTCTCGAGCCTCGCACAACACGGGCCTAACTTCGACTTCCGGCAGTAGACTGGCGGATTTCTTTTCTCGAGAAGTCTTTCAGATTGTTCTGCATAACCCGACCACATCTCACCAACTATTAAAATTCAGTCGGTCAAGGCTATGTGGCGAGAATCTGGAATTCCTCGAGAAAGTGGACAAGTACAACGCACTACTCAACGAGGTCGCCAACAGCATGTTCGAGATTCATCGCGACTATATTTCCGTCAACGCAGAAAATCAGATCAACATCCCGGAGAACATCCTGCTCAAAGTGAACAAGGATCTCAAGTCCGCCCTTGCATCCACGCTGCCGAAGCTCGAATCTGTTTTTGTTGATGCTCAGAACGACATCGAGAGGCTAGTTAGCATGGACATCTACCCCCGGTTTGTGCGGCATCAGATGACCATGAGCGCTGCTAAAGCTCTGGCTGGACATCGAGGAAAATATGCCGGCTTGGGTGACTGCTTTGTTCTCACCGATCCAGCCAAAGCAGACAACCCGATCGTCTACGCCTCGGATGGATTTGTCAAGGTGACCGGCTATGCGCGCAACGAGATCATTCCTCGAAATTGTCGATTCTTGCAAAACCGCCATACGGACAAATCGGCAGTGGCCAGACTCCGGGACGCAATTCAAAACCGGGAAGAGTCAGTCGAATTGCTCCTCAACCAGAGAAAGACGGGTGAACCGTTCTGGAACTTGTTGTACGTGACGCCTTTGTTTGATGCCACAGGAAATGTGGTCTTCTTCCTCGGTGGACAGATTAACTGCTCGACCACCGTTCACAATGCCTCGGACGTGCTCAGGATACTAGCCATGTCGAACGACACGGATGAGAAAGCTGCTGAAGACGTTTTATCCCCGCCACCAGAACAACAGAGGCAACAATCTCGAACGAGTAAATTCTTGTCGTCATTCAGAAACAAGCCGGCTGCCGAACCACACCAGCAACCTGGTATGGAGGGCGGACTTCTGACCAAGATTGAGAAGATGAATTTAAGGAAGCAAATGGACACTTTTTATACTGCTTACTCCAAGGTCAGTCGTCCGCAGGTCGCTGGTTAACTTGACTTCCCTTAGGGCTACCAGATAATACCATGTCTGCTTTTGACGGAATGCTAACTTCACTTCACTAGTTTCTTGTGATCAACTCCTCTACAATGTACGTCTCATTCCACTCGGCTGGCATCGCGACGCTCTTGTACCCGACCAAACCAGTACCGAACAATACCATCCCACAGATTGTCGGCATGGATATCTTCCGCTTCCTGTCTGCACATGCTCAGTCAAAATTGAGTAGCGACTTTAAGAACCGAGTCCGCTCGTCCATGAGGACGGGCCAAGCGGTATCCCTCGACATCACCCTCTGTACGCGCCGGTTTATGGGCTACGAGAGGTTTGCGACGCACTGGACGCCGCTCAAGAACGAGGCGGACGAAGTCTCGTTCATCATTTTGACGCTGGGAAGTTTCCAGGATTAGGAACACCTGGAAGACATCGACGTTGCTAAATTGAGCGAGCCTGAGGTTGCAATTCCGAGAGATGACGATGACCGTGCGTAATTACTGGTCAGGGCGCACGATCGATCGCTGCCTTGTGCACTGTCCAGCGTGCGACCCGGGGGTTACGATCTGGAAATCGCGCTCGGGCGCATCTTGCGGTCATTATTTTACAACGGATATAATAACCTTGTCGGATGTTGGATGTTGGACTACTACGCCATTGGCAGTGCTGCTATTCGGACTCTTCCTCCGGTCATCTTGGGCTGGGTACTTGTACACAAAAGGGCTTGTCCATACGAGTACCACATGGCGCGCAACATCGTTGTCGATCCAAAACATGGGTCCGACGCATGGGCCGTTGGATCGGTGTATTGATATCGTGGGTGCATGCCTGTCGGTCCTGGACACGAGCAGGAGCGGTCGTCGTTGGGGAAAGGTCGCGTATCTGGTGTTGTTTGCACAGTAGATGATACCCCGTTTTAAGACTCCGTATTATTTCCTCTATCCTTTTTCAAGCCTTCCTGGAAAGTGGGTATCGAGTATCTTTGTTTTGGACCATCTATCCGAAACCTTGTAGGTGGTAGGCGCAGTGAAAGGGGGGCACGCTTCGCAACATATTCTTCGCTTTGGCTTTTGTGACGGCAATCTCACCGAATGACCACAGGGGCATGGGTGCGAGGTACTACGCGTTGTTCAGCCCGGCCTGGTCGACTGCTTAAAGTCGACAATGAAGGTTGATATTGCTAAAAACAGAAAACCTTGCAGAGTGTCCTCCGCTGTTTTTCCAAGTATTGATTCCGGTACGTAAGACGTCTGGGCCGTGTCATCGCAACAGGTAGAGTACCGAGGTATGTAACGGGTACGAAACCGAGTAGGTTACATTACATCCACAGGCACATTTTCCCGGACGCGGTGCCGCCGGCTATCCAGTCTTTACTTGGGTGGAAGACAGCCACGGCGGGGACAGCTGTGATGCCCTCGCCGCCGAGTTGGGCGAGCTGCGTGCCGTCGGCGGAGTAGACGTCGACGAATCTGCGAGCAAGCAATTGCATGTCAGCAAACAAGAACATTTCGACGGACGGTGTTTCTTGCAAAATCCTGAACCTACCGATTCATGTTACCCACGACCAATTTGTGGATATTGTCCGGCGGAAACATTTGCCATCGGGGTTTGAGGATGGTTGTCCAACGGCCTCTGTGTCAGAATGTCAGAATGTCAGAAGATGCGAAGATGTCGGTCAGCAAAGTGAACCAGCGAACAAGCGATCAACCACGCTGTGCGAATTGCAGCCTTTTCCCTCCCAGAGTGAAAGACAAGACTCCATATCTGATGCCTACCGCCGAGGAGGCGAAGCACCCAGAAGAGAAGAAAGGAAAGAAAAGAAAAGGAGACAAGACGTACGTCTGATTGTTATGCCTGATGACGACTTCGGGCTTCATGACCTCCTCGTCGAGCTGGTAACCGGCTTTCCAAGTCTCCATGCTCTCCAGCGCGGCTGTGCCCTTGGCCGTCAACCCCTTGACACCGAAGGAATGAATCTTGATGGTATCGTCGTAACTCGTGGTCGCTACCTGTCCCGCCGTGTTGAATGCGGCGTGACTCACACTGAGCCGCGATTCGTGCTCGCCGACCAGTGTGGGCAGTTTCTTCGAAATCTTTCTCAAATCCCACAGTTTCATGGTCCGGTCCAGCGAGGCAGTCGCAAGGTAATGCGGCGCCAACGGGTTCAAGCTGAACCCGCCAATCTTCTTCTCGGACAGTTGATACAATTCCGCCGTCGATGCCGGCTGTCGTGTGTCGTATTTGCCAAATGCCCCGTTCAACGTCGTGAAGTACACCACGTTCGGATCCGAGGCCGCCATGTCGACGCCCGACACTGGCTCGTCGTCCTCTTTGTCCGTGGGGCCGTAGACTTCGACGGCAACCGCCTTGGTCAGGTCTGTCGCGCGGATCGATGAGTCGTACGACGCTGTGTATATCGTCTCGGGCTTGGACGGGTGCGTGTGCATGGCCGAGATCGTCCTCGTGTGCGGCTTGATGTGCGTAATTTCGGGATCCGGGTCGTCGTCGTCCTCGTCCTCGTCGGCTTCGGATTTCACCTTTTTCGCCGGTTTCTGCGATGCATCGACAATGCCCAACGTGCCCATTTTGTCACCGGCAAAGACGATGGGTTTCGTCGCCGCAGGGTGGAAGGACATGCTGTATATCCTTTCCGGCGTGATCTTGATGCGGTTCGGCTCCCACTGATCCCAGAGTTCCAGAGCGCTCATGCGTTCGCGCAGCGCCTTGAGATCCTTATCGCTCGTTTCGCTGATATCTTCTGCGTCGAACGTGCGCTCGTACGGCTTCGCCACGCCCTTGAGCAGGACATCCGTCCCGATCACAAGACTGGATCCAAAACTCAAGTCTCCCGTGACTCTTTGTCGGCGTTGTCTTTCCACCTCTTTGACCTTTTCGTATTCTTCTTCTGCTTTCTGTTTGGCCACTTCGCTGTCGGCTTGGAGGCCTGCTAGCCGGGACGACGTTCGGCGAGGAGCGATGTCTTCTTTCTTGACTCGTTTGGCCGGCGGTTCTTTCCGTTTCGCAGGACGTTTTTGGCCATGTTGCGTTCCTCCTGAGGCTGGCTTCGAGTATAGACCGGCCTGTTGCGCCTCTTGGGTCAGCTTCCGAAGGAGTGCGTCTCGCTCGGCGATGTTGGCGAGACGCTGCTTTTCGAAGTCGGACGGCTCTGCGACAGGCTGGGTACCGCGAGCCATCTTTGAGCTGGAGCTGGAATGGACTTTCCAAGATCTATGACAGTATGTAAGTGTCGAGCTTCCACCTTGCGACTGAGTACTGGACAATGACGTGATGGATGGCGATTGAATAGTGATATGGGACGCGAAAATGACGCGAATGACGCGGGTCGCGTATAGTGCATGGAGAACATTGATTGCGGAATTCGTCCAGAAAGTTAGGAGTATGCATTGTGGTATATTTTCCACACCTAAAGCACCCTATAATAAACAGCTGTCTAACCATAACAAGATCAATACAGCCTTACAATTATCGGCTGCCCAGCGCCTACGGCTCTCGGGGATGGGTGCTCAACGGGAAACGAGCAGAGGTCAGGAGTTGCTGATCCAGAGCATCACTTATCACCCTTTCCTGTCCCCAGGCTGCCATACACTCGAATTGCCCCATGGATGATCATGTTTCTCCAAGGTCTTCACATATCAACCCCTGCACCCGTGTCCAGGCCTCCTCTGAAATATCCATTGCATGTCCGGCCTGAGGAACCACGCTCCGCATCCTCTCATCCACCATGGCACGCAAAAGGACGCCGTTATTCCAACAAACTTGAGCCATCGTTTTTGCAAACCATCCCTTGCTCTGTTGGTCGGTCCGGGAGCCCTGTAGTCCCAGATTCAGCACCCAAAGCAAGATTGCAAGTTCGTCACCTCGCAAGAACTCGTGCGCATAGATTTGGGACAGGCTTCTTACACCCGCTCCGGACAACACATGTGCCTCTTGCAAGGCGGACAGCGTACTCCTCAGTCGTGCACTTAATTTGTCATACAGTATTGGTGCTGTCAGATCCCTCAAGTAAGAGTACGAAAACAGGAGCGCTGCAATGCCTACAGCGTCGACCATTGACTTACCCCCAAAAAGGCCGGAGTGATACTCTGCGGACGTATCTGGAAGATCATGATGGTCGAGGATAGCATACTCGAGCTTCCACAGCAAGTCGCTGAAGGTTTGGCACATTTCCACATTGCGCTCGCCAAGAAGAAGAGCCTTGATTCCTGATAGAATCCGTAGTTGGCGGAGAATGTTTGCAATGCTAGAGGGCAATTCATCCCAGAGGATACCAGGTGCATGCTGGATGGATTTCTGGAGGGCAATCTCGTCGAAATCCTGAAAAGAACGCTCAGTTAGCCTCGAAGGGATCTTGATCCTGAGGCCGGTGCCGTACATTGCAGAATGAAGCAGATCGGCCCATCCTGCTACTCGCTGAACATGCCGATTCGAGCTCAGACGGTCCATACCTCCACGGCGAGCAATCATTTCAGTCAGCCCCAGAGAGTGAGTCTCCTGGACGCTGGGGGGCCACTCAAAGTGATGGTCAGAACTCGAAAGAATAGCTACGGCACCAATGGTGGCATCACTGATGGCTTCTTTCGGATCACTCAATCGACCAGCGATGGATTTCATGGCGTGCCCTCGGTGCTTGAAGTAATCTCTTGATATATCTGTCGAAAGGCAGTCTCTCCTATGGATGATCACGAGGCAAAGGGTCGCATGTATGATGGCCGGGTCTGTCCAAGCCACCGACATCCATCGGCCTTCAGGGTTGCAAGCATAAGAGTTGGCCCAGAAAGAGCTGTGATAATATTCAAGGAGTAGAATGTCTGGCTTGGAAATGTCGAGTGGAAAGGTACGAAAAGGGTCCAGCATATCCAGGTCATGGAGCGGTGACCATGACGAAGGCCGATCGGGATTTTCCAGAATGTCTACAATGTCGTCCACTTCACTACGGGCAGAAGCAGGAACAAGTCGCCTTGGTCGTGTACATGCCAACATTGGAGGCCGTGTTCTTCGCGATTTCATTGTCCGTGCCCTGCGATGTGTCGTCGAAGCTGGCCTGATAGCTCGAAACCGAGAAATATGTGAGCTCATTCGGTTGTCCACCTTTGCTGGAGCAAAATGCCAGTCTGGGTCATTCTTTTGCCGGAGATAGTCTTGCATAACAAATGCACGCAAGGATCTTCGTTGGTCTGCATCTGGAATTGAGGCTGACTTGCTACTTGTGACGGTGACAAAATGAAGCTCACGCCCTGATTGAGCGGCCCGTGCCATTGTCAAATTGAGTGACCACTCGAGCTTCCTTTCGTGCAGAGACAGTGCTTCTCATCATGGGCAGTTAGACCTTAGATGTACAGTGGTGTAGCTGACTCATGCAGGATTACTAAACTGCTGCGGAAAACCCCGCCAAAACAAATGCCTCTGTCTATACCAAATGTAGGTTCAAGAAGAGGTCAGTAGTGCAACGTCCATATATTCATCCAAACTCAACGTTTGTTGTTCAGGAGCTTTTCCGAGTCTTCCCATCGGACATGGCGCATTCCACGCCCTCACGGGTGGTTTCCACGCTGGTGACAGTAGTCGTCCTTCGACAAACCGTCTTATTGACTTGATAGTCTCTGTTATCTGCAACCAGTTTGGTATCTCACTCGAAAATTTGGGTTTCCCTCCAGTTCAGCTAGACTGGAAGACGCTGAAACGAGTTTGTTCCAGCTGCAGCCAGGATCTGGTTGACCACTCTTTCTGAATGCCATCCGTGGGTAGACGAGTTGTCCTTCATCAATGTCATTTGGCCAGTCCTTGAACCTCCACGTTGCTGACATAAGCGAGGAGATATTTGCAGCATGTCAAGGCGTATTTACACGCTTTTGTGAAGTTTTCGTCCTGATGGAAGCCAACCCCTAGTTTGATGGAAACATTCCCGATCTTGTCATCATCAATCTCATAGGGTAAGATGCTTTTCGACGCGGCGTTTCGGGGGGTGGCATTCTTGCTGGGCGTACGTTTGAGGTCGACTTTTGAGGTTCGCTGGATATACCTTGCAAGTTGATTGATGCAGTCCAGGAACGCGACCATTCCATTGTCAAATCGTCGATGGTTGAGAATGCGTCCAATAGCCATGTCACCGCTGCTAAACAGGTCCAGCACAGTGACCTTGGGTTCAGGGTTGGCGGCCGCCGACTGTAAACCACGATCTTGACCGGCTGTACTTTGTCTGACCACGCTTGGAGACTGCTGAGGATACTCCAGTTTCTCGATGCGCGAAGTGCTGCCTTGAGGTCGGAGGCGATAACCCTGAAATGAGTACTTCAGCCTCTCTGCAACGGTAGCCAGAAGAAGTATAGCCTGACCCCATGCAGCGTTGATTTCAGTCCAGTCCACGTTTTGATTTGGCAGACGACCCAATCGAAGACCATTAATCGTTCCGAAAGAGCCGTCATGGCTGATGCAAAATGTGTCGTTGTAGACGTTGGTGCGTTGCAATCGCTCCAGTTGTTGGCGGTCATGGGTGTATTTTTCTTGCAAAGACTGTAGCCGGACCGTGGTTTCATGCAGCTGGTCATCGATGGCATTTCGAGCGGACCAGTATGCTTGTTCCTCGAGTTCTGCCTGCTGCATCTCCTCCTCAAATTTCCCTATCTCTTTCTCGATAGTTTGTGATTGGTCCTCAGTGCGCTTCAAGAGCTCGAATGTCGACTGTCCGGCCTCTCGAGCATCCACGGCTGTCTTTGCAGCCTTTGCAGCCTTTGAGTCATTGTTAGACGTCGTGGAAGAGACTGTCTGCTGCACCGACTTGAGGAAGGAAGCATAGGCATCCCTTTCCCGGTTGGTGCTCCCTAGACGGGCACTGAAGGAAGCCAGCAGTAGGGATGTACACTCGGCGCATATCGGATGGTCGACATCTGAGCGCGATGACAGGACTTCGTATAGGACTTGTGCTTTCTCGACATCCGTAGAAAAGCGGTATTTCTTCTTGTCTTTCTCGCTGTCGCCATCTCTTCCCCCCTTTGGGCTCTTTCTCTGACCATTGACAACATCTTTATCTGGCAACACGGCCTGAGATTGTGTTATCTCAATGAAGGACATATCCGGAGGAGGAGCGCGAGGCCCGTGATCTGACACAGCACGGAGATTGATGGTAGATTCATCTTGAGGTGCGGGAATCGTTCGCTTATATACGGGAGAGGTGGCTTGGGTCGAGACACGATCATAGAGGTCTTTTCGTTCCTGCGGGTAATTCAAACGGGATATGATATTATTATGCTGTTGCGCTTTTCCCGTAGATGCTTGGACACAATGAGTGGTTGGGAAGAATACAGCGGGTAAACAGAGAACTCACCAACCAGCAGATCAAACGAAGCCGGGTTCAGGTCGTCGATTGTAGTGTCCGGGTCAACATGCTGTCGGCATTTCTGACAGTACATGTCGGCGGCATTGTCGAATCGACGGTGACTCTGGCTGCTGGATTATGGCTTGAGTGGTTGTAGCCTAGGTGTGGTAGGCAGTATTACAGGAAGACGAGCCGAACTTGAAGTGCAGAAGATGAATTGCAGATGACGCACCTCGTCATTTCGACGCGCTCCAGACGCGCCACGGATTTCAATTTAATCAATGCTTCCACTCTGCATAGTACTCTCAATCAATCGCCTACTCTCCCTCGCCAATTGCTCAATGTGAAATGCCTATGTAGGGAGTAGTCGTCTTTTAACAGACTTGCAGTCAACCACGTCCTTTAATCCCGCAACTCCCTCGTAATGGACTCGCCCTTCCGCAAAAGACCCCGCCTTTCCATGTTCGCCGACCAGCCCTTGGACGCAGCACTTGACCAGGACCTCGACGCACTGCGCTATCGGAACGACAAGCTACTGAAATCGCGGTTCGAGTCAATCTTTGAGAAATATACCCGCGATTTCACTGGTGTCGGCGACGAGATAAGCTTTTGGACTGGAGAAGTCGAGGTGAACAATGGACATCTGGAAGGGCTCAAGAATGAAACAGATACTGGTGCACATGAAGACGCCAAAGCGAAATCACTCTTGAGGGTCATGACCGAAGCGACAGACGACGAAGATTCAGACTTTCACAATGAGGGGGCTGACGAAGTCATGCAGAGTATCGAGGAGATGGCCGAAAATGCCGCCGTATCCGACGAGGACGAGGATGAGGAGGATGAAACGCCCCAGAACAGCGACGAAGAGCTTTTTGCTTCTGTACAGCCTCACACTTCGTTCGATGAACCGTCAGAACCATTCAGAAGTAGTATTACTGCTAGGTCTCCAGTCAGCAATTCCGAAGGCGACTCGCTTTTCGAAGTGCCAGACCCCAGAAGATCGGATAGTCCCGATTCTCTGTTCGAGGTACAGGTCAATCAAGAGGACTCTGCCTACAGGAATACCACACAATCTTCTACAGAGGCGCCGGCGGAATACCGGGACATCGACGAGCAGGATATCCTTCAGAAGTTCGGTCCTGAGATTGGCCGCGAAGTCTTAGCTATTGTGCGAACAACAAGAAACAATGCAGAAGCCCACATTGAGCCTGCATGGCGCATACCGGCCAATGTGATTCCGCCAAAGCCAACACGATCTGCCTCTGCATCAAATACGCCACCACCTCCTCCCAATCTTTCACCCCGAGGAGATCAAGCAACTGCCTCACCTAGAAATACCCGATCCTTGTGGAAGGCGCCAAGGCAACGCAAAACAGCCCGAGAAATGCACACGATGCGTTTTAGAAGAAACATCAGAGCAGACTCGGAAGACCCTCTGCAAGAAGATTTCCAGGACGAGGGGGAGCAACCCCAGGGAGAGGCCAACCCCACCAGTGGTGACGAATCCGAATGGAACGAAGAAGAGCAGCAGCCAAGACTGCCGAACGCAAAGAAACGCAGAGTCGACGATGAGAATAACGCCGTGATGGAATCCGAATTGGATCACGACGAGCAGCAGCCAAGATCGACGAATTCAAATAAAGGCAGAGTCGATGATGAGAACATCGCCGCGATGGAATCCGAATGGAATGAAGAGGAGCAGCAGCCAAGACTGCCGAACGCAAAGAAACGCAGAGTCGACGACGAGAATATCGCCTTGATGAAAGAAGGCATATGCTCGTTCTGCCGCGCAAAATATGCCTCGAGAGCTGGCGTCTTCCATCACTGGGCTCATCTGGTAGTCAAGGCTGACAAGACCGGAGCCGACCCTGACGAAGTGCACGACATGGCGTATATTAGGGAATACCGGTCTCTGAGTCACACTAAACCCAAGACACCGCGACTGGTGCTCTGTGACTTCAAGACGATGGTGGAACTGCATGAAGGCGCCGGTTTATCATTTGCCGAGATCGCCAGCTGCAAAGTCCTCCGTACACGGAAGACCGCACCGATCCTCAACGAGCTTTATGACAGGTTCCGAACTCCACCTGGACATAACGATCCCCACGCGCGTCGCCAGTGGTCCGACGAGGAAATGAAGACACTTGAAGACCTGTGCAACAAGCCGCTGCAAGAGCTTGGCACTTTCAGGCGCTGGTTGCGAAACTGCAGTGATACTGACATCGGCAACAAACTGGCAGAAATGTGGTTGAAACCAATTGGTGACCGCAGTGTACCGCGCGAGACTGGGTTATTGGCAGGTATCCAGCAAGCGGCCGGTCAGTATGTTGGCGGAACCACTCTTGGCCCGGAGTACGTCAAGACCGAGGATTCCGACGACGAATTGTTCGCAGTGCGTTGAACGAATTCAAGCCAGAGTCCTGCCTTCCAGAATATCCTCAATGGTCGTTCGCGCTTCACCTCCAATGTCACCTATCTGAGCCCAGAACTTGGAAAGATGTCGTGCGCCAGAATCGCACAAGATAGTCACGACGCGATGGCCAGGACCAATTTTCAACGCTGTTTGTAACGCAGCGACGCCTGTTATGATGTTAGCCTTCACGCGGATACCCACATAGTTGATAGAGACACGCACAGTTGACTGCACTGCTGCTCCCGATGAATATCCCATCCTGTTCAACCAGCCATCTCGCCATATTCTTCGCTTGCGCGTCCGTAACCTTGACAGCCTCGTCAATCAACTCTCTGCCCCGCTCAAAGTTGATCGTAGACCTTGTCAGACCGATCCCCTCGACAATCGTGTCGACTTGATCCCGCCGACGTGTTCCCTCGCGCTCAAGGGTGTGAAACATGACACCATGCTGGATCTTATTGTACAGCCCACTACCCTGCGGATCCGCCAGGACTACCTTGACATCGGGCAAGCGCTCCTTCAGCGCCATTGCCACGCCCGAGACCGTCCCGCCTGTGCCCGCGCCCGCGACAAACGCATCGACATTCCCACCCGCTTGTGCATAGATTTCGGGCCCTGTGCCCTCGTAGTGGGCGCGCCAGTTGGCTTCCGTCTCGAACTGGTTCGCAAAGTAGCCCCTGCCTTTCTTCGCCGGGTCGGCGGTGTGTTGCTGAGCGAGAATGCGGGCTCGGTTGACGAAGTGCTCTTGATCGACTATGGGCGCGGGTGTGACGCGTTCGACGACGGCGCCTAGTTTGAGCAGCAGGTTCGACTTCTCGTGGCTTTGATCGGACGGCATGCAGATGTGCGCGAGATAGCCTCTTGCTCGGCACAGCGTGGCAAGCGAGATACCCGTGGATCCCACCGTCCCTTCGTATACGGTATCACCAGTATGGGGTGTCAGAAGACCTGCGGACTCGGCGCGCGTGATGATGGACAATGCGACGCGGTCTTTGGGAGAGTTGCCAGCGCCGTTGAGGAACTCGCATTTGGCGAGGATCGTGCAGCCTGTTGCAGCGGACAAAGAGGGGATGACAATTAGGGGTGTGTTGCCGATTGTGGATTCTATGCCTATGCCCACGGGGCGGAGGGATGGAGCGGCTTGAGGTTGCAGGACAGCGCCATGGGTGCCAGAGAGGGCTGCTGAGCGTGGCCAGGTGAAGCCGGGCGACCTAATGTACCGACGGATATGGTCAAGGATGATTGTAACGGCGATGCCAGAAGTGAAGCCGAGGAAGAGATCCCTGCCTGTCCATTGCATGCTCGGTACGCTCGGTCTCGAACCAGTTGTGAATATGTTAAGAGCTTCGGAAGGCGGCGTCAAGTTAATTGGTGGTTAGAGGAGATGCCAGTCAGGCTCAGACAGTTCTGGTGATGTATTTTCGTTAATTTCGGTTTCACACGCGTGTACCTTCGCCTGACTCTATTAACAGGCCCGTGGTTGCAAAGCCGGTTCGAACGCAGATATCATGTCAAGATGCAACCTGCCGGTGGTAACGCCCACACAGAAAAAAGCTGAGCATAGCCGTTGCCTTGAAAACAGCGATTCTGTGATGAACCTGCGGTAGTGGTCGCGTCCTTAGACGTAGAGATATGTACGGCAGAGTGGAAAAGCTGGAACATGCCAACTCGCCAAGCCGCTCGATCGCCTTCCACGCTCCTTCCTTCTGATACATAGACTGGGCCCCTCCTGCGTTGACAAAGATTCGATTCATCCTGTACTCAAGCACGCCGAGACATATACACACGCAGACATCTCTGTTTCATCAGCTTTGAGTTGCGCACTATGCTTTGGCATTGCTCGACGTTCGATTCGGTCAAGCAGATAAAACATCTCCACACATCGGTTTTAACACCAATCTCTGAGCCAATATGGCATCAATGCTCAAGAAGCAGCACTTGTGGCAGAGTACGCCCGAACAAGGTAGATTACGTGGTCATCACGCAACGCTGGGTAATGAGAATGAGTCGCTTTGAGCCATGAAACAGTGAGACATGAAAAAAACTTTGTCCTTGACTGAGGACCTACTCGATATCTGCCTGAACCATGGAACTCAGCCAGACACACTTTGACTCACATCGATCCTCGTCCGCAAAATATATATAGCTGAATCAGCCATCTTCCCCCTCGAATGACCAAACTTTTGATCACTAACAATCCATATGTCCTGTCTTTTGGAAAGCCATATCTGCGGCAATTCTTCTCTAAATTCGAGAAACAGGTTCCTTCCCAAAGTACTTTTTCCATGGAAGGAGCTTGCTTCTCTCTATTTGATAACACTTCCGAGGTCGAAACCATGGCTCCCCCAACCCCAGAGTCATCCCTGGTCCCTGGCTTGGGCAATTTGATTCTTCTGCCAGCCGAGATCAGGTCCAAGATATACGACGAATGCCTGCAGCAACGACACTTTGGCCTGCTCTACAGTTCCAAAGAGATATACAGCGAGTTCATTCCACTTTTACGAGAAAAATTCGTCCTCACTTTCCACATCGATCCTAGCGAATCGGAGATGTCGTCTTCCAGGTGCACCACCGACTCCAGGGTTCACATTGTGAACAAGTACAATCAGTCTTGGGGTCACGCACGCAACGAAATCAACACTGCATCTCCACATAGGGACGAGATTCTTGACGACATGCCGATCGACGAATTCGGAAAGATACGGATCCTCATCGACGCACCAAATCCCAGAGATCCCGGCCAAATTGTGAGAGTTTGGTACCAGTGCACCCGGTTGATGTCAGCATTACTACCTCAGTGGAAGTATGTCATAGAGGTACCAGAAACCCAAGCGGACCTGATCATCCCTCGGGGGAGAAAATCAAGCGAATTGCCACCGATTGAGATTGTGCTTACGAGGTCTGGAGCGAAAACCTGGAGTTCAGGCGGTAACTTAAATCACAGCGTCCCCTGCTACGATGGTTGGAACCCTGTCACCCAATCTGTATGGATTCTTCCAGAAGGACAACATTCTGATCTAGAGGTGGTGCTGATGCCTTTTTGTCGGATTCGCAACGCGGCGTCCGTGACTGTTCAACTGCCACCCGATTGCCCGAACAACAGATATGTCAACGCCATCCGAGCCTTCTTGTCCGATGAAACAAAAGGCTCCGACCCCTTTGGAACGCTTGTTCATAACGGCGGCCAGTGTGCGTTCGGTTCCCCGTGTTTCCTTTGGGGCTCATGGGACTCTCAGGGCGAAGGTTTGGATGGATTCGAAGATGACGAGACCGTTCTTGGCAGGGAACACGCAATGAGCGCCTGGCTCGATTATCTCTTGGATGATATGGATGGCGACACAGCTCGCCTTCTGAGACGAGAGAGGTTTGAGAATTGGTGTTCGGAGCATGAATATCAGCACGGAATGATATTGGCGGGCGCGTCCGTCAATGACCGCGACTTCGGGAGTCCATATGGGTTCATCAACCCAGCTCTGCTGGATCGCCTCTGCACGAGCTTCTACGACCGATACGTGGGCGGCATGAACCTCAAGCAACACGAGGTATGGCGTCTGCTTCGTGAAGATGCATTTGCGTGGAAGGATTCTTTCCTAGATGGTGTGGAGCGGAAGAGTTCCCTGGGCGATTTTTGGCCTGATAGCCAACCTTTGGACTTCTGGTGGAGTGAAACCCTTCCTCGACACCGTAGCGGGTTGACAATGTGCCTGATGTCTGGCGAGCTTCGCGACTCGAGATGTGAGGTTTGCCGGGACGACAAGGATTCTTGGGCTGTGGATGAACGATATGATTGTGACGTTTGCAAGGAACAGGGTCATTGCTCAGTCGAACATGGTTGCAAGTACCCATCCTGCCTCGAGTGCGAGGAAGAGAACGAGTGCTACATTGGTGCAGACGAGATTCGAAAGACCATTCATTCCGAACGCTGGGATTGGGATCTATATTCAGAGGTGGTCGACCACTTCGCTGGGCTTCGAGTGGGACCCGATTTCCGTTGAACCGTGTCTGACGCACAGAAGGAGGGAAGTGGTCAATGGTTTGGGATAGTTTTTGAGCGAGGCAATGCATGCGTGTTGACGAGCAAGTGTCTTTGTCTTTGAATACTCCGTACATCCACAGTTAAGCTATGTCGTTACGACTCAATGTCCCCATCATCTCCTTATGAATGAACTCGACAGTTGCTTTTCATTCACTCTGCAGGTAACCTCTCAGTGTCTCCACTGTCTTGCTTAGCACCAGAGAATCTTTCTGGGCTCGCTCTCGCCGTTTAGCAGCGGCTTCCTTTTCCCCAGCTATTTTCTTTATGGTTTCCGCGGTTTTGTTCTCGATGGTCGTTTGGCTGAGAATATCCATCGGGAGCCGAGCAAGAATTCCATTCTCGACGATCATGGAGTTAACATAACCCACGAACGATATCATGCTTACCTATTGGGTTGACTTTGGTTAGACGACACTCTGGCAAAAGGATTCGGTGACATGAAGAGCAACAAGGACCATCTCACCTTATAGTATGATTCTACGTGCTCAATGACACGTGCAGCTGTGGTTTGCCTCCCACGCTCTTCGCCAATTTCATGGTCACTTTCATTCCCGCCCTCGTCGACGCTTTCATAGCCGGCATATTCCCTCAGAAGACGCTGGAACGTGGGAATAGCAATGTCTCTGATGACACGCCTAGGAGTGAAGCCACCTCCAAGCATTGAGATCAGGAGATCGATGACCTTGTCAGGGACGAACTTGCCGTGATGGGAATCCTTGCCGCGAAAGAACCTCCGCGTGGCTGAGGCCAACCTGGTAATATCCAGGAGCCTCTGGTCTTCAAATACGTCACAGCTGTCGTAGAAGCCTGTATTGTCCTGTGCATGGCAGTTGAGAAGCTCTTGCATCTTTACGAACGATTCTTTCTGGAGTTTCTCGACCTCTTCATCGATTATGTACTTCTTCAAGGCTTTGAGCACATCATTCTCATTGCAGGTAGCGGCCAGCGCCAGGTTAATGAACGTCTCAACTGTTCTCCAGACGGCCAGGAGGTGGTTTTTGGCAATCTCAGACCAATGACACGATTGGTATTGCAAAAGACGAGAAACCAGGGCGGTACTGGCCTCGCCCCGAGGTTCTTGTCCACTCCATCTCTCGATAAGTTGGTTCAGCCAATTTTCAAACTCACACTGAGTGATCGTGACCGACTCCCGCTTGATAGGTCCATAGAAGGTCTGCAAGTCTTTCCGCGCTGCAAACCCTTGGACCTGGACCTCCTGCCGAGTTGGAATTTGAGTCTCATCCGTCACATCGCCCGGGGTACTAGCCTGATCGGCCAGGACCTTGGTCTTGCCAAATTCGCGCATCACCCTGACGAATGCCTCGTTCAACGATCGGACATTACCGCGAAGAAGTTTGTCCACGCTCTCAGGGCGACCATCATCAACACAGGGGAAGAACTTTTCACGGGTCTTGTAAGTAGAGCCGACCTTGTAAAACTCCTGTGGTCGCTCATCGTAGTATGTACCTCGGCTACGGCGGCCCACGTGGACCACTGTCTCATGCAACTTGGTTTTTGAGAAAATCGATCATTGCACCAACACTGCCACAATGCGTAATATCGACTCGACCTTTTATATATTGATCTGTATATCAGATTGAAGGGCTGTATCTCAGGAATCTAGTTACTATGGGGCATTTCTAGATTTAACGCTGTCTTAATGTGCGCTGACAGTCTAAAATCTACCTCTTTGAGTGAGAGTTCTTTTTTTTTTGATATTTCGAGTGCCAAGACTATCGCCTATAAGCTCTTAACTAAAGACGTCTAAACTTATAGGTATCTTAGGTAGTGAGATAGCCTAAACTTTAGGCGTCTTTAGTTAGGAGCTTATAGACGATGGTCTTGGCACTCGAAATATCAAAAAGATAAAAGAACTCTCACTCAAAGAGGTAGATTTTAGACTGTCGACGTACAACAGGATAGCGTCAGATCTAGAAATGCCCCATAGTAACTAGATTCCTGAGATGCAGCCCTTCAATCTGACATACAAATCAATATGTAAAAGGTTAAGTCGATGTTCCATGGATGTGCTGGTGGTGCAATGATCGATTTTCTCAAAAACCAAGTTGCATGAGACAGTGGTCCACGCGGGCCGCCGTACTCGGCAAGCCTCTCTGGTCAGGGCTTGAAACTTTCCAGCAATCTCATTAAGGTACTTCCGCTGATCCCGCTCTGTGCTTCTCGATCGATCGGTGGTTGCGAGTTCAGCTTTGACATTTGCAAGCTTTTGCTCAACCTCGCTAACGAGGTTTGGGAGCTCCCTTGTGGCGTGGTTCCAGAGCGCAGCCTTCAGTGTCTCTCTGAGAGCTTTGATCCCCTTCTAGCTCTCTGGAACTGTCGTCCAGTCCTTTCCGCGAAGAAACTCTTCTTCTTCCGAATCCCTGTCTCAAGCTTGGAATTTTGGAACGTATCCTGGTTCTTCACCACATGCCATCCAAATTTTCGATTCATTTGGCCCTTAGCTCCAAGCATGTTTAGGACTTGTGGAAGATGATGTGTGGCCTTGGCTGGTTGCGTGATGACACCGACTACACGGTTCAGCAGGTTTGAGTCGGTCTCCAGCATGATGTTAATGATTCGCCCTGTGGCGGAGTTCTCCAAGGACGCCGGAGCGGAACAAACAAACAGAACCACATTCCTTGGTGACTGAATATGCATCTCGACCATCTTTTCGACTGTTTTCCTGTCCTGCTCAGTGACGGTACCTTTGCCGAGTTGGAAGACGCCCGGCAGGTCCAGTAGGTCGAGATTAGGCAGATTAGGTTGATCTATCTCGACCCTGAGGATGTCGTCGGTGGAATTCCTCAACACTTGGTGGCTCGTGGACGCTGAGCTTGCACTTTTGTTGGAAGTGGTCCCAGAATAGACTCCAAGTTCAGTGGCTGCTTTGTCAATCCATCCACTTAAGTCTCTCAGATGGATGGACTGCCATTGAATTTCATCAGAGCCTCTCTTTCTTCCACCGTCGTCCGTGTGATTCCAGGCTCAATGGAGAGACAGATCCGCTCCTTGCTGGAGTTCCTGAGTATGAGCTTGGTCGGGAACCTGGTGCAGAGTTCCCCACCTGTTGGAAATCGAAACCGAGTGATCGCTTCTAAAGTGGAGGTCTTGCCGCTGCTCTGATCGCCTACCACAATCATCTGGGGAATCTCCATCTTGTTGTCGGAGCCCAGGCGTGACAGCTGATCAAAGGCATCGAACAGAGCTACTTGCTTTTCGTCGATCAGGCCTTGTATGTCACCCATGTTGGATCGGGTTTGCTAATATCACCGTCCAGCCAAGACAGCTTCGTGAATCCTGGGCAGATGTGGTGTGTGTTGGAAGTAAAATGTCAAGCAAGGTATGTATTCGGTGCCAGGTGATTTGAGAGTTTGGCTCCTGTTGATGGTGGCATGAGCCGTTCGAGAGAAACATCGGATCTATTTGTACTTGAGAGACAGCTGTTGTGGAATCTCAATCTGTAAACGGTCTGAAAGCAAAACTTCCAACCCTCGAATGCCTCGTCGCCGCTCAGAGAGATGTGGATGATCCAAGTGGTGGAACAACCGAGTCTGTCTCGGCCTTTATGCATGAAGAAATGGTACTTTAGGATCGACCAATTCCCATGGTTCAAGCCGTCGCTGAATCCCCAGACTAATGCACGAGTCACGAAGTAACTTAGGATCGACCACTACGCTGGTTTCTGCTCTCGTCTCATCAGTGCTGAGTCTGGACCCCACATTGCCATGCATGTGTTGTCAGGCTTCTATAGGCTATTTACTCTTTCAGCGCTTCTCTTGTCTTATCTTTCTCTTCCTTGCCCTGGCTCTCGTTCTTTCCCTCTCCTTGAAGCACAGACTCATATCGTCTATTCACGAACAATTGCTGCCTGGCGCCGTAGGACGGGTCTAGGGTAACCCCACCTGCAGCCATGGACAACCTGACGACGTCCCGTTTGGATCAAATAACCTTGAATGATTAGGAGCGGACTCCCAGGCTGCTCTCGCCGGACCAATTCCCGAATCAGCTTGTCTTTTTTCGAGACAATTGCAACAGAACAAACAGCACCCTCACTCATCCTACCTCAAACGCAGTGCCATAGCAAGGAGGACCATATGGGTTCTCGCTTATGGTTGAATATGGACTACTCGGCTCGACGACCACAGCCACATGGCCGATTTCCGCTCGCAGGCTTTCACGACCATGCTATGGTTAACGCATACTCAGTTGCAGACCTTGGCACTACCAACCAATTCCACGTCGGAGAACCTGTGTACCACGAGACTCAATTTGCCCCTTTGTCTCCGGATTGGTTCAACAATGGTATTGCCTCCGCCAGTTTCGATGGATCCGGAGATATGGCCTCTGGGCCCTTCGAAAACCTCTTCTACCAAGGCGACTTCAATGTCCCTCTCAGGTTCGAACATGCCAACGTTGGCGTGCCTGCCATGCTCAACCAAGAATACTCGGACTTCCTTGCCCCTCAAGATCCCATCAGCAATATTGTCGTCATGGACGGCGTGCAGGATTCCTACAATACATGGCCCCTCGATGATGAAGCATTCCCGGGCGATATCGAGGTTATCGCCAATCAGCAAAACTTCTTGAGCGGGTTGACTCTGTCACAAAACCACCTCAACCAGGGATCTGACGAATACTGCTCCAACAATGACGCCCTCGGAAGAAACGATATCGAAAGGATTTCCCTTCACCAACGGCAACATCAAGATCCCATTCCAGTTGAGTTCCGTACTTACCGTCCCAGGCCCAAGCAGAAGTGCGCCAGAAAATCCCGCGGAAAATTTGACTGGGAGGTCATACGGGAACGCTCATACCACCCCTATATGATCCTAAACCACACGGCGGAGCAGGTCGCCTTTGAAATGTCTTCGATGTTTGGTTACGAAATGGCGTAAGTACAACTGTAGCATCCAACGATCCAAATTGGCACGACATTGGGCTGACTGTATTTGACAGAGTGAGTACCTTCAAGAACAAGATAGGTGGATGGGACGAATTTCGCAAGAATTCAACAGCGCAGCCCGAATCACAAAGAGACCGCCGCCGATACCTACAAAAATCACCAAAGGTACCAAAGATAAGCAATCCTCTCCATTTATCTAGGCGGATACCGTCAAACCGGAGCCCCCAGCCTGTCAGCATCCAATCTATCCCTGTAGGACTGAATGATGATCAACAAATATTGCTCTCTTCAATGTGCAACGCCATCAGTGCGTTGGTCAAAAGCCGGTTCGGTACCAAGAAGGGTCTATGGAAACCCGACATCATCAACCTGATCCGACCGGCCGGGGCAATGGACAGTGCAGCTCACTGGCAGCTCGTGTTTGACAAATGCATAGGGATTGTGACCCTCTCCGAGGGAAGGCTGGGCGGGAAGGTCCAGTTTATGCTCGGCCAGTTCTTTCACGCACTGGACACGGCTACGCAGTCGTGCGATCCAGTGTTCCTGCTCCAGTTCTGGAAAGTTTGTGTCAATTTGTGGCGGATCAAGTTTCCCGGTCGAACGAAGGCCGGGCCATTCGTCTTTTTGCGCCATTTCCTTCAGCGATTGAAAGCTGGGTTTTTCAGGTCCTGCAGGAACAAGCATGATGGCCTTGTGATGTTCGTCAACTCTCTCATCGAAATCTTGCAATCTGAGCCTCGCACGCTCAAAGCAACGCTAGGCTGGACCTATTCACAACCCATTAAGGCCCTGGGAGATATGATAGGCAAGGAACATGTCATCGTTCTCGGCATGGTGGCGGATTGCACGACACACTGGAACAGTATGTTTCAAGTCGAGGAGGCATACAGGGCGGAGTCGAACAAGATATCAGAGAGGGAACTGCTAGAGTCGCGATTTCAAGCTATTTTGCAGAGTTGTGGTCTCAAAGAAGTGGAGACAAGAATCGGTCTCTTGTACCACTACACAAACGCCGTGTCGAATGGAAAGTATGTCTCTGAGACGGTTGGACATCACGCCAACGAGCTGCGGAGTCTGACACTGGATCGGTGCCGCACGGATCTTCAACACAAGAATCTGCAGTATACGCTGACCAGTCGGGCATTTGCGTCCTCCACGGATTTGCTTGCAAAGTATCACCTCGAAATGTGGGAAATGCGAGGGCGGGAAAAGGGGCGCAGCCCCTACAAGATTTCCGCTCTTTTAATTGAGGCAATCGAGATTCTGCGCCTGGGCGATATTGAATGTCTAGTGCAAGCCGTGCACTGTTCGAAACGGCTGGCAGTGTGGTTCAAGACATTCGATCCCGACGACCAACACAGAACGAAGGGCCAAACCAAGGGAAAGAAGACTTAGGCCGAAAAACAGCGGACAAAGGAAATCATGTCGAACATCTCCAAGGCGCCAGTCTCGATTCCCGTAGATGGCCAGGCAGTCCGATGCAAGGAAGGGAGCAAGAATAATCGGCATCGACGCAAGCAGAGGGCTGAGAGAGAATCGTTGCTACGTTCTCTGCGGTCGCTATAGGGGATGAATTGAAAATCAACGTTCACCGTGGTTAGCTAACACCCAGCAAGATGAACAGTGTGGAAATACTCAAAACATCGGCAAAGACCAAAGACGCATCGTTGATGGGAGCGGTCTGGACCCGGTTCGTCAAAACATTGTGCGCAGTGTTCAGTCGCGGCCGGGCCGATCGACAATCATGCTTCAGATCACTGTCGCATTCGTCTAGTGTTATTTCTGCGACCTGACCTTGGGATTCCATTTATTTGCGTAGTGTCGCTGTTGCTATTTGAAGTATGATGTGATCTCGGCTGATAACCTGCTGATAACCTAGGTAGGTGTTGGAGTAGCGTCTGCTCTGGGGAAAGAATGACGGAGGTGGAGGGAGTGGGATACGTGTATTGACATCGAGGATCCTCTGTGTTCTATCTGGCTGGTGAGGCACACACGGGAGCTTGCCAATATCTCGACTTCGGTGACTCAACCTTCCTCTTTGCTTGGGCTGTATGTCCCAAACACCATGCCCTCGGGCACATTCCTCCACTGTTTCGTCTCCGGGTCCAACAGAGTCTCCTCACATGTCTGCCACGTGCTCCTTATCAGGTTCGCATGATGCTCACTCCTCGGCTTGATGACCGCGGGAAACGGTTCGGGCAAGACGAAAAGTCCTTGCGTCAACTTGTCGATATCCGGGGTGATCGGGTGGCCCTGGGAATCGCAAGCCTTCTGGAAGTCAAAAGCCCATAGCATCCGCGCAATTGCCAGGAACAGAGAGCGTTCGGCGATATGCATGCCCTGACAGACGCGCCGGCCTGCACCGAAGACGAAATGGTCCCGCTTGCTGACGTCGGGATTCGTGGCACATTCAAACTCACTGAGGAAGTCGTTTGCGTACCGGTCAGGGTTGAAGGACCTTGGGTCGGCGTGACGATTCGGGTCCATATGGATGGCCCTAAGTTTAGCGAAAGTGTCAGCGTACTTGGCTCCCCTCTGAACAAGTCAAACAAGTCGGGAGGCAAAGCAAAGCAAAGCCTGTTTATGGGCCCCCGTGCGCGCTGCTTACCAGACATTGTTGATAATAGCTGCGCCGGCGGGGATCTTGTACCCCATGTACTCATCATCCTTGATGACCGAGTGCGGCACTCCGAGAATGTTTGTCGGCATCCATCTCATGCTTTCCTTGACGCATCCACGGATGTACTGCATTTTCTGGGCGTCCTCCATGGTCGGTAACCGCTCTGATCCAACGACCCGGTCAATCTCCTCCTGTGCTTTCTTCTGCACCTCGGGAAAGACGACCATGGCTTGAATGAAGCCAATTAGCGTCGCTGCCGTGGTGTCTGAGCCGGCCTCGAGCAATGACCCGCTGGTGTAACCGGCCAAGCCATCGGAGAAGCCCTCGACCTCTTGTGCTTTGACGAGGTCGACGCAAAAGCACGGCTAAGAATATTGCGTAACTTAGCCCTCAGTCCTCAAACCTGTTTGGGGATTCAAATTCAATCCAGTTCACTGCTCACCTTACCAGTCCCCTTCTTGATCGCCTTTTTCGCGTTCAACCAGTGACCGACGTACAGAGCCTTCTCGGCCTTGTGAAGCTTCTCTGCGTAGCGGTAGTTTGGCACCAGGAATTTGGGAAGTCTCTGGAGAATGGGGAACAGGTCGAGCACTTGTGCGCTGGAACTCCCAGTGACCTCTGCCCATTTCTCAAAGCCCTGATATACACTAAGGTAAGTTTGCCTAATTTTTCACCAGACAGAAAGTGGGCTCTGCTGCTACTGACATGGAAAAGCTGCTGTAACTTGGGATCGTTGATGTCTATGGTCCGAAAGCCGAAGACCATTTGGGTCGTGAGTGAGTTCGTATATCGCCGCATATGATTTGCGAATTCCTCCGGTTGGTTGAGCAATCCAAGCAGCATGAACTTGTTCTCCAGATCTTGATAAGGCACATATGTGACTGCAGCCTTAATATTGAGGATGTTGTGGATCATTTTGTGGATCATTCTCCAGGTCGGTCCATATTGCTGAATGGAAGGTCAGTTTTCTGTTGTGACGAGGGCCAGAACCACGGATAGGGGTATGATAGAGGTAGACACGTACCATCAGAAGAACCCGCAAGCCTCCACTGGCCAACGTCGAGCCGATATACATATCGGGCCTCGATGAATAAATGTTGCTCCGCTTGTCCAGAAGGTCTTTCACTGCTGTGTCGGACGACAGGACAATAAAGGTCTTGGTTCCGAGTATGAGCGAGTAGACCGGTCTGTGACTTTGTCAATGGACACTGTCGTCGCTGGCTTTTCGCGAGGTATAAGGCAGCGTCATACCCATATTCCTTGGCCCACTTCTGAAACTGAAGGTGTCCATCTCGAGCAGGCATCTAGCGTCACAAATACATCAGTTCGCCGGAAATGGGAGAAAAGATATGTGTACGAGTGCCACCAACCAGGTGAAGGTTGCCCAAGATTGGGATTGTCGGAGGCCCCGGAGGCAATCCTGAAGGTCTACGACCGGTTTGGAGTAACTTGACGATGAGCATGAGGCCGGTGGCTATGATGGCCACCGTGGCTGCGCCTGATAATGCCATGCTGTATGTACGTGTCTGATATACCTAGCAGTGTCGAGGCCACACAGCGCAGTGCACATCACGACGCAAGGTACGAAAGGTCAGTGTGCTTTATATTGGGACCTACAATACCTGGTTCGATTTCTCCCACTGGAGCTGTAGTGGTCGTTGTTCTGCCCCGGCACCCCCGGACAACCCCCCTCCCACAGTGACGTTCTGGAGCCCCACTCATTCAGCAGACTACGGTGGTAGACCACAGATCTGCGACGAGCAGTCCAATTGAGCATCGCGAGCTCATGGCGTTGACAGTTTTTGGCACATCCTCGCAGCATCGGGGATATGACCATTGGTAGTTCAAGCTCGACCTGGTGATCCTTTGGTGCGGGACCCTGGAACAAGGTACCCGACTCATGTCAACTGCCCACTCTGTTGTCTGTAGCGACTCCGTGCGACTCGCACTGGAATTTCCCCCGTATGCATCGGAGTTACCCCTGTCCATCCCACATCCCACAATTCGAGCCATATCAAGCCTCAGACAGCGCAAGACACCATGGTGAGGATTTGCGCGGAGCCGCACGGCAGCAGGAGAAAAGACAGAGAGGAGAATCCTACTGTGTTGCATGGCCCAAGAAGGCAAGCCCCCTTGTCGTTGGCTTCCAAGGAGGAGGCTTCATCTCTGCCACGGCGCCAGGCGGTGATCTTGTTCGTACCCTGGCTTTTTTGATACTTCCAGTAACTCGGTGCTTGCGTAGTGTGGCTGTTGCTATTGTGCCATCTCGGCTGATAATGATAATCGGAGAGATTGTTCGTATTCCGACCACTCACGTGACCAGCCGCACTCCGCATTATTTGCTGCTCTCTAGCACCTCGAGACAAAGATGTGTCTACACACAAAACCATCAGCAACAGTAAACAGACGTCGCCATCCCTTTTCCACCTTCTTGCCAGAGGTGCCGACCCAGCAATCGCATTTCCATGAGCTAGATGGAAGCCCAAGCTATCACCCGCATATTCCAGCAGCTGTTCACCCGCCCGTCTCGACGATGCTTATACTACGCCAATGCAGCCCGCCGCCCAGTAGACCGCTCGTTCGGCCAGCACAGAACATACTCAAGCCGTCGGAAACAAGATGACAAGGATGGAGGTAGCCCTTGGCAGCAGAGAATCGACGCCTTTCCCAGGGACATGAGCCGCCAACTGCAAGAATACCCTCGAGTCACCGCACGCGACCTACAACAGCGGAACCAGCGGCCGCGCAGGGTGAAAATGTACGCTCGGGACTTCATTGAAGTTATGCCTCCCAAGAAATCTCCCATGCCATGGCACGGCTTCTCTAACACTGCGCAGACAGCCTCTACAACCCTCAGTACGGGTACTTCTCGAAACACGCGACCATCTTCAGCGCCGGCAAGCCCTTTGACTTCCCCTCCATACGCGACGGTGCCGAATTCAACCGCCTTGTCGACCAGAGCTACGTCGATTTCGAGAATGCCCTCGATGAGATTGAGCCCAACGAGCTTCGCCAGCTCTGGCACACGCCAACCGAACTCTTCCGGCCATTCTACGGTGAAGCCATCGCCCGCTACTTGGTGACCAACTACAAGATGACGCTCTTCCCCTACCACGATCTGATTATATACGAGCTGGGGGCCGGAAATGGGACACTGATGCGGAACATACTGGATTACATCTTCGAGAACGAGCCGGAAGTCTATGAACGCACAAAGTTCAAGATCATCGAGATCTCCAAGTCATTGGCAGATTTACAGCTGACGAGCCTTTTACGTTCACCCTACGCCGAGTGCCACGTCGAGCAGGCGGAGATCATCAATCGTTCCATCTTCGAGTGGAACGAGTACATCCATTCACCATGTTTCGTCCTGGCCCTGGAGGTCGTGGACAATTTCCCCCACGACCAAATACGCTATGACCCGGAGACCGAAGAGCCGCTGCAAGGCAGCGTGTTGATCGACGACGACGGCGAGTTTTTCGAGTTCTATGATCGGAACCTTGACCCCGTGGCATTGCGGTACCTGCGTATGCGAGAAGTCGCCGCCAGATCACCTTTTATCACGCCACTGTCACAGCCCAAGTTGCTCCGACAATTGAGGCATTCGCTTCCATTCGCACCGAATCTTACGAAGCCTGAGTATATCCCGACGCGGCTGATGGAGTTCTTTGACGTGCTGCACCAATACTTCCCAGCGCACCGGCTGGTCTTGTCGGACTTTGATTACCTGCCCGATGCGGTGGAGGGGTTGAACGCGCCGGTGGTGCAGACGCGGTATCAACGGCAGAATGTGCAGGTCTCAACACCCTACGTGCATCAAGGGTATTTTGACATCTTCTTCCCCACGGACTTTGCCATGATGGAGGATATCTATCGGGCTATCACAGGGAAGTTGACGAGAGTCTCGACGCACAGTTCGTTTCTAGAGAGTTGGGCGTACCTGGAAGAGACACAGGTCCGCAATGGGGAGAATCCTATGTTGTCGTGGTATGCGAATGCGAGTGTCATGACCACTGTGTAGAGACCGGAGACTGGAGACTGTACTATCGGATAGTCAAGATGCCAGTACTAGTAAAGATGTGGCTACTATTGGTGCTGGAGACAATGCGAACGTTGACGAAAGAATTGTACGCTCCAATGTTGATGATGTCCTTTCCCCTCAGGCTTCAGCTGTGTATATTGCTCAGGTGATTAGCAATTCTAGAAGCGGATCTTGAGAGCGGAATGGTACTGTGGGTACTGTAACACAGTAGTTCTGGGCAACTCCACTCCACACGACTCACTCACTTACTAAGCTCGACTGTGTTTCGACGTACTTGGTAGTTGACATGACCTCGTACGGAGTACGCAGTAATTGCTTGAACCTGTCCTCGACTCGAGCCGAAGCCATCTGAGAACGAGTTCGAGTCCGAAATGGAATGGAATGGACATGCTTTGGAAGATTCCGTAACGGTCGAGCTTATGTCGGCTCTCGCTGTCATCGAGGAGCGCCAACGGAATAGGCGAACAGTAAGGAAAGTTCTTCTTGTGCGCTCAAGCTTCGTCCTGGATGTTCCTTGCACCATTCGGGGATTTTACCATGGTCTGGTAGAGTACTGGGGAGTCTCTTTGACTCTGTCCTGATGTCCTCCCGAGTATGTGCAACAGCCTGCGTCGGCCACCATCGCCTGGTCCGGACTCAGCGTTGCTCGCTCGCATCTCCACAAACGAACGAAAGGACAGAGACCGAGACCTCCGCATGCCTCTCCTGGGGGCTCACCACCATTATCCACGACATGTCGACTGTCATCGTGGAGCCATCGAGAAGGCGACTGTCCTGAGGTCAGTATCGTGTGGCAGCACCGCTCCGCCCAGCGAAAATACGCCGAGCACCCTCCGCGACCATCCCTCTCCACCGCAAACACCGCCTTGGGTACCGGCAGAACTGAGTGAACCACCTCATTCACTACCTTCGGTGGGTAACCCTCATATATTAAACACCCCCATTCTCAGTCAACAATTACCTCACCAGTGTCTGGACAAACTAGCATCGGTTAGGGGCGTACTAGTGACGAATTGTTTGTCGGCATTTAACCACCAACAACAACCAAAATTCAGATCCGGGTTCGACTCTCACTGCCGGCTACAGTATGTCACATGATCGCTTTCCCGGTACTTTCCAACACAACTTTCCCACCACATTAAGGCTGCTTTGCGTCAGATGAGGGGAGGGAATACTTGGGGGGTAGGAGAGCGCAGCGCGGACAAGAAAAAGGTGGACTAGCGCTGGTACGGAGTATACAATTGGGATACGACGGGCACTTTACCATCACCATACAACTACTAACAACTGGATCTGGATTCGGATCGAGAAAAAACCACCTAACCCACTGGGGAGTTTCCCTCACCAGCCCACCTTCTAGGAACATCGGTTCCTAGGAGCTGGCTGGCAGAGTTTTTGTGTTTTTGGTCTTTGCCCCTCTAGGTCAAGGTCAAGGTCAAGGTCAGGGTCAAGGTCAACCCTTCAGTCTTCAATCTTCAATCTTTAATCAAGTGTTGTCATACCTGGTCGCAAAGGAGTGCTATACCTGCTTACCTACTTACCTACCCTTTAGGCAAGGTAAGTAAGAGCCCGGAGTATCCGTATCTTGTACTTCGAACGAAAAGATCGGTATGCCGTCTCCCTTCTCGCCCATCTTTCCCCTTGTACAGTATGCGGCCTCTTCATGCCAAGAACAGAGATTAGGCATGGCCTACCTGGGTAAATGGCCTACCGAAGAGGACGCCATGATGACGCTTCCATCGTTGCGGCCGCAGAGGATGTGGACAGACTCCTTCACCAAGAGTGTAACCTCCCATCTCCCCAGGATCTCTCACCTTGCTACTAGGTAAAAAAGCCATGCCCCCGCTCGACTTGCCCAATCTGGAAGCTCCAGTTTCTATCTACCTTAGTCAGCTTGTGTGTATCTCGGTGATTCACCACACCCATGTGAGGCCGTCAATGGATCGCGCCGAAGGGTGATGCAGATGGCCATGCCATGCAAGTTCTCGCCCTTTCGATTACAACACCAGGTATAGAGAACATCCCTCATCCATAGTCTTCAAGGTCTTCAACTTTTTTCCCGCCCACACCCATGGCGCGTGCAATGCTTCCCATTCGATCTTTCATCAAGGAGGAGCCGTCTCATAGACCTCAGCATACATATCCAGCACGCTTCAGCACGCTGTATCGTATTCATCCCTCGACTGTCGCTTCAGACGTCTGTCTTGTTTCCATTCCAAGCACGTCCATACCCCTGGACCTCGACCTGTTACATTGCGGCCGCATTCTTCTCCATCTAAGAGCATACCGCCTGTGAGATGTGTCACAATTCTTTTCATCTTTTCCATTCCCCGCGTCCTCTCATATGACCTTCGATTGATCGCCAGACCTCCTCCACCGTCTCACGATCTCTCCATCTCCTCGCCACACGGGTCTCCTGATCGACATTGGCCCCATGCGCTCTCTCATCCCATCTCTCCACTGCAAACGTCTTAACACTACTTCCCCAACCCTTCACCTCCGGCGGTGTCGGCAGGCCCTTCTCACCCACATACACCCCAAGTACGTGCCCAAACAACTCTTGCGGTTCTCGCCACTTATACCCTCTGAACTGCCAGACCTGACCCGTGGTAAACACCGCGACGACCCGACTCCAGTAATCAGGCTTGAATTGCTCCGGCGAATCGACCAGGATAAACCGGTAAGGCTTCTCGCCCAGCGAATGCAGCGTGCGCGTAATATGCAGCAAATTCGCCGTCGTTTGTGTCGAAAGCGTCGGATGGTCCGGCGGCACGTACAGCCCTGTGTCCAAGAACGTCTTGACATTTGACATTCTCAGCAATGACGACGCCGAGGGCGACAGCAGAATGATCGGATCGGACCTCTTTGACGATACCGCAGATGCCATTGGCTTCGACGGCCCGGTGGCCGGTCGAGTCGCCAATTGTGCCGACTTGCTCACTTGACCGGGCCGAGTAGACGAAGAGACACCCTTCCGCCGCCCGAGGAACGTTTCTGCGTGTTTACGAACGTGTGAAAAGTCCTGTTCTGTCATTAGCTCACGACTCCCCTCCAGACCTCACACATCTCGTACCGTAGGCTTCACCCCCCTCAACACGGAGTTATGATCTGAAATCCGCCGTTCGCCATTGTAGATGGCCTGCAACCGCGCATCAATCACCTTGACTGGACGCCCACCGACCGTCTGTGTGACGCCCACGCCCGAACCGCCCACCGTCGGCACAGCTGAACCGCCGGCGACGTCCGCCGCTCTGTTTGCTAGATCGCCTTGCCCCGCCGCAACGCCTTCAAGAGGCTTGATGTATTCCGACTCGTCGGACGCTCCTTCGAGCCACGTAATGAGATCCAAACGCTCCACGAAGATCAGGTTTCGCACTTTCTGCCCCTCGGGGAGTTGTTTGTCCAATTCACCTGCAAGCGCAATGTACTCGGGCACTGTGACATCTTTCTGTAGCCAGGCGAAGAATATGCTTCGCAGATCAACTGCCGTGGTATCTGGGTTTTGCGAAGTGAAACGCGTCTTGATGTCGAGAGGTAGACAGAGCGGTGATGGATATGTGAAGTAGAGATGCGTAGCTTCGACGAAGGAATCTGTTTTGTTTTCTTCTGCGGTCGCCGGATCGGGAGACTTTGTAAGGATTGGAGGTTTCGAGGCTGCGATGGAAGATTTGAGGAGTTGTAGGGCATCTGGCGAGGCCATCTTCGCCGATTTTGGAGGGTGTAACTTGAGAAGTGAGTGATTGCCTTGCTACCTCATATTTCTGAGTCACTCCGGGTCGAGATTTGTTGTGAGCCCTGCGAGTCGATGAAATCGTAGGACATCCACTTGCATGGCATTCAATACAAAAGTCGTCAAGGTCGTGCAGCCCGCAGCGCGCCAATCACTGCGCGCCGGAAGGATCATCCTTTCTCCGAGAGCTTAGTCAGCCATGCTGTTACGCAGCCTTGCTGGCTCTGCATCTCCACTCGCTCTTCCTTACCCCTATCTCGCGTCACGTAGACCACGGGTTGAGGCCACTAGCGACCTTGTCGGCGCTGCCGTTATATGTGCATAGCATTTGTCACATCAATTTCGGCTTGTGTCTGGCGTACTAAAATGTACGGCAATATGTAGCCGGCATGATACTGCATAACACGGGCGTTTCTGGAACATGGCCGTCAGCTTGTCATCTCGCTTCACGTATCTTAGACGGACTCTAGGAGCATCGGGACCGCCGTGTGCAGGATAAGCTCCACGGTAGCACACTGCGCCTCGTCAGGTTACGTCCGCTGACTAGGGGAACGCGAAAGCTCGGTCACCAGCAAGTGGTTCGCCCGACCAAAAGTACCATCGTGAACAAACTGCATGATGGACTTCCGATGAGGACGCAAGGGACAAAGTCACAATTCAAAGAAATTTTAGAAGGGATACACGTTGGTATTGTGCAGTAATTTCATGTTCGGTCTTTCTGATGTCTATCCCAATGCCACTCTCAACAGCTTCAGCCCCATTGGCCCCAAGACTTCTCACAAACCGGCAACCAGCGCAAGACTTCCAGAGTCCTATGATGCTCACGTCCTTCGCCTCCAATCCAGGGTATTTGCATCCTCCACAGGGGTATCTTTCCAATGCAAATGCGGAATGGGAGAACACGCTGCTAGATTGGCCCATCCCAATCAATTCATAACTCCACCCATGCAGACCTCGCTATGCGGAATCCCAGACGCATCTATGCAGAAAATGTGGTAATCCACCCGCAGACAAGGTTCGATGACAGTCTTCAGACTCTCAAGAACGCTCGTCGAAGCAATCTTGATTATTGACAGTGGTGGGAACGTCCCTTTTTTGTACATGAGGGATCCACGGTGGTAGACCCTGTGTTCATAATATTCGTCACATTTAGATGTGCAATGCAAATAGATTCGAGGCGGTTGGTGTTGTTCGATGGTTCGGACCTCGAATGCAGAGAGAAGGGTTATGTGCGAGTATTCGATCGGCTCACCGTTCGATCGGGAGCAGGAGACATGGCGCGGTTAGTGCCTGATGTGAGATCGACCTCATGATCCCGAAGTACGGCGGCGTTTTTAGGATCTCGAAGGAACTTAGGGACCGAATCCTGCAAGCCAACATTAGTCGTGAGCACGCTACGACCGTCTCAAAGTTACTTACGCTTGCCATCAGCTTGAATACAGCAGCCTGTGCAAGCTCAAAGAGTTCCACAACTTCTTCGAGACTTTCTCTCATGGAGTCATCGTCGGTATTTGTTCGGATCATTCGGCTATCCAGACGGTTGCGGAGTGAATGATCGATGTTGAGCTCGGAGGGTGCTCCTGATGCCAGGAAGGAATTGTACAGACCTTGGAACGTTAGCTCAGTCTTGCAGCGGTTTCTCCCAAGACGTACCATATGCTCCAGCCAGAGTTTCCCGTACGATCTCAGGTCTCTCGAGTCGTTCTGACTCGTCCAGATGGCGATACGCCGTGATGAAATCGGTCACATCGATGTAAAATTGCAGATTCTCCTCACAGAGTGACTGCCGGAGAAATTCCCTGAATAAGAGACGTAGGGCAGCATCCTGAATAATAATATTGAGGCGGCCGACGTTGGAATCTCGTGTTACCCGTGCCTTGTCTTTGGTGTCACGGCTGTCTTCGCTTTCAACGCTGGCAGGCCGCGCTATCCAACCACACACACGCTGCCCTCGCTCAGTGACGGTGTAGACGGCGTTTCTCGTGGGCTGGAAATAGGTTGCCATTGGATTGACGCGGGTGTAACCTCTATCTACAACCACAGGTCCAATGAGCCCCCATTTGACAAACAATTCTGCCGTTTCGTAGGTTTCTCTGCGGTCAATGGTGGTAGTGCAGTCTAGTAGCCAGTCTGAAGCAGCCTTGCCAGTGAACGTGTAGGGATAAATCTTATCCATGACCCGGCGTTCTTTGGCCATTTTGACACCGACCAGACCGGTAGCATAATCCGAGACGGAGTCCGAGTCTGAGAGAGATATAGAGCTCTTCAGATTTGGACCGTCGGCACCCATAAATCTTCGGAAGATGATCTCGACTGTTGCTCTATCCTGGTGAATCTTGTCCGTTACCGTGTCTCTTTCGAGAGCGACGATTTGCATTTGACTTCGCTTAAGTAGAGGTTCGATGTGGCGGGCGTTGATCCCGTTCCGGTTGCAGAATCTGGACAAAATGGACAGACCTTTGGGGGTCAATTGCCAGACTCCTCCCTTGGTGTTAAATGTGGTTATGGCCTTGTTCTCGGCGGACTCGATCATGCGCGCATCTACGAATCGTTGACAGACCGAACGAGCCATTTCCTTGGCCATGGAGAAGGTCGTTGTGGTAGTTGTGACGACCCATCTCGAGGGGTTCTTGGGATCCGGTATGCGATTGGACTGTGAGAATTTCAAAGATCCCAGGTTGGTGATGGCCTCCTCGGACAGGAAGGTCTCTTCTACCCTAGAGAATCTGACACGATGTGGAGTGAGTGGTAAACTCGTAATTAGCGTCGAGAACAAGTCCTTGAAGTCTCTGGTAAACGGTCTCTCATCGTCGGTCATGCGCAGGATCTTGGATGAGGTCTGGTGCATTCTCCCATTGTTCTTGTCGGGGTTCGGCATTGGGGGTATTGATGTGCTGATCCTTGGTTCTTGGCCGGAAAGAGGCACGCCACTGGTTCTTCGCTGTGTTGCAGTATGGACTTCTGGCGACGTTGGGGAACGTGGTAGATTGGGTCGCACCGAACCGGTAGCCGTGGAGTGTTTGCTCAGACTTCCTGAAGATGTGGCGGAGCGAAGACTTGGAGTGGATGTGGTGCCTATGGAAGCCAGATTGGCGAAAGCGTTTGATGTTTTTTCTCGTGCCAGCGAAGCCAAAGAACGTCGACTACGACTCTGGGTTATACTGGTCGAACTTGTATGGTGGTGGTACGGCGGACGAGCAGAGACCAGGGTAGGCGGATTCGAGGTGGAGGAGGGATATTGGGCGGTACCGGACAGGGTGATCTCAGCAGCAAGATTGTCAATTGGCGAGGTCATGGATTCGTCGTCGACGGGCGCATCGCTTGGTTCGGGCATGAAGAGGACTGGAAACCATGCGGGTAAAGATGTTCAGGACTTGGACGGAATCCGCAACACATCGCAGACAGACTGGCGTGTCGACAGGCAGTGCCCGACCGCCAGTGGGCAGAAAATGCGAATGGGGCGCAATCCACCACCCACCAAAGAGCCGGGATTGCCTCACCACGAGACCACGAGGAGGTGGAGCCCTGGAAGCCGCAGGCTAAGCCAGGGTGCCTGTAGGGAGGTGGATAAAAAGTGTAATTCGAGAAGAATTCGTCCCCGGCCGCTCGAGTCGAATGCGAGTTAGGCCAGGAGTTGCTGACAGGGTATGTCGCGCCGATAGGGTTAGGCGCTACTTTTGGCGATTGCACCGGACGCCTTGGGGCTACTCCGTACCGTTGGCCTTGTTGGTCTTGGAGGTCTGTGTAGGGGACCTTCCACGCCTACTGTCTCAGCTATCTCTTCTTGACGAAATGATTTGTCGACTATGCTTGCGCGAAATTGCGTCTTTTCCAGAAGCCTTCCGCTTCCACTTCCAGCTTCCCACTTGGTTTTGGCCGTAGGGCAGAGGAAAAGGGGCCGTTTCGTCTGAGTGGCCTGGCAGGCGCTGGGAGATGAGCGGAAGGTAGGGGGAGTTTCGATCGCTGGAGCAAGGATGAGGTCGCCGCCGTGCAGCCCGCGGGGGGTGAGATGTGACGGGTGAGTGGTAAGTACCTAAGTAGATCGGCTTAGAGGCTGATCTGAGTTGGACCGATTTTCGTGCAAGCGAGCTTGTGTATGTCAAGGTGATAGATTCGATTCAAATTAAACACAAAGACATGACAATGATTTTTGTTGCGAGCCGATATGATATGAACGTGAAGCTGAACGTGAGCGAGGAGGAAACGAGGAGAAAGCCAGCAATGCCATTGAATGGCAGTCAAAAGCAGTAAAAGAAAAACGTGCGTGCACGCGCCTGCTGCACGTCCCTACTCTCGGTAAGAGGGAAGAAATGGCGGAGAATTAAAGGATGGCGTGGATGGCTAATCAATGGTCACTGCCACTGCCAGACTATGGATGATGATGTCCATGCTTGACAGCTGCAGGCACAGATCACTCACAGCTGACAGACTGAAGGCAGTCAGCGATGCCAGGTACTCTTCCCCCGTCGTCTGGCTGATTTCACAACAGGACCTACTACCTAGGTATACAACAGCCTTTGATCAATCGTCATATCGTGGTCTGGAGGGGGCTGGTATCACAGCCTTCAGCATACCGCTATGAGTAGTACTACTCCATGTTACGCGGAATTTTGTTTCCAAACCGACTGCATTCCACGCCTCGCCTGACTGCTAGGCTACATTCGCCCTACTCCGTAGTAGCTGGTCAGCTTGTCCCAAATACTTTGGCCTCTCTTACCAGAAACAGCCTGAATTCAGTACCGGCGTGGGCGTGGGGGTGTTCGCAACTTGGTCAGCCTTTCAGGTGGAGTTCTGCCGAATGCCATTACCTGGACCCTACGGTGTATGAGTCGTGCCCAGCGAAGACTATAGAGTTCATTCGACTGCTAGTCTACCGGTACTTACCTAGGTATGGTAGTCTGAGCACTATCCACGTTGTGTTGGACCAATGGTCGCTAAAATTGGGTCATTATGCGGTCAAAACAGGTAGGAGCCATGGGAACGGTCCAGCTTGAGGTCATTGCTCCCATGGATCGCTTTCATCATTCTTCCAACTACCTCACCGGGTGCCTCCTGGTGATCCTGCAGCGGAGTACCGCAGCTGGGAATCCAACATGTGGCCAGTGTCGGAGGACTCTCGCATTTGTCTCGTGCAGGAATCAGGTATGGCAAGCATACACTCTGGCACGGAAACCGACGATCCTGATCACCGCTGAATTCACAGAGGCCATAATGGATCCATGCCACCAATTCTATGTATCAGAGGGCCCGCTTGGGCCGCCCTGGTGCGAGCCTAGTTGGTCGTACCAAATCGTCAAGTCACTTGTACGAGTACCACATCCATGAGCCACATACACAAGTATCGAATCGACCAGAGCCAACTGACAAGGTTGCTGGGCATAAAGCTGGAACATAGCAGCAATGACAGTGGCCTGGAAACGGCTTCTGTTTCGGAAGACCGGAGAATATCACATAGTATGGTAATCGCATCTGCACGCAAGGCCCCCAATAATGAGTCGACGCCCCACAGAGAGGTAACGTGGGAGGAGGAAACGTGCTCAAGTCTTCAGGCACGAGTGTCAGGGCGATCTGCTGGCTGGCATGCGGCTTAGGGCTAGCGACGTATGCGTTTTTGAGGTCTACCTGCCCGAGGAGCATCAGACCATACCTCGTGCGAGTAGATCAATCGACTCTGGGCTTATTATTGTGGTGGAGTGTACTTTGTATGGATTGAAGCATCAAGTCCTGGTGTCATCTTCACAAGCCCTAAGGATGGAGTTGGTTGGACCGAGGCTCCCGGCCACTTTCCGGTGACACGATTCGAGACTGGGATTATTGTTGTCGTCGAGCGTGTGCCCCCACCTTACTATGGTAAGGCTCTCACGAGTCAGCGCGAGTCAGTTCGGAGAAAAGGTCGAAAAGCGCAAGGATGAACGACCCCAAGATCAAGCTGGAGCAGCTACTGGATGGGATGGACACTGGATGGATTGAGGCATCCGAAGGACGGCCAGGCGATATGACACAAGATGTGACAGTTCGAGTCGACTCCTCCAGTTCGGCCATGATCGACCAGGCTAAGGATGAAGCTGAAACAAACTAAGGGCCGATTTTTGGCAAGTCGACGAGTTTGCTGGGTGCCGTCTCCAAAGTCTGTGACGCTGTGTCCGCTGAGAAGAGACGCCAAATCCACCAAGGATGTGGCGCTGGGAAACAGCATCACGTCTCAGCCTGAAGCAGATTAGAGCGACGTGAGAGACAAGGAATGAACAAGTCGGTCCTGGAGCTAATGCAGAGTTGAGTGCCAGGCTACCAGGTTGGAAGACGGGGACTCGTCAGGGAGGCCACGTGGAAGGAAGCATCATGAAGCCTGAAGGAAGGATGAAATCAGTTTCCATCTCCATCCCGGCCCCCTGTGCAAACCGGGACAAAGAGGCTCCATTGGCTCCTTACCTTACCTACTATGGTACAATGGTTGGCACCTAGGTTGGCTCGTCACGGCCGTCATGGCAGGCTGACAGGCCGGGCGGCAAACGCCCACTAAAAGACGCCTTCAAATTTCCCTGGGTGCCTCTTGTTTAACGAGGTCTTCGAGAAGATTTCCCGATCCACCATGGAAGCACCTTAATTTGTTCCTTGAACTCTACCACAGAGTAGCGAGTTACGTCGTACGAGGTAACGTCGCACTCGTTCTATGAAGCATGTTCGACCTGGAAGGCTGGTGGAAGGAAAAGAAATTGGCCCCCTGGTAGTCGTATCAGGGCTTCGTGGGCTTCTCGAATATCACCATCATGTCCCCATTATTATTCTTGTTTCCATACTAGGTATTCTTCTTATTCGCATCTTCATTCTCACTCATTCTCCACGCACCCTTAGTCCTCGAGCTAGCGGGCAAGTCCGCACGTCGGTATCACAACTACACCGTCCTCGAACCTTTCCTACTGCATGGCCTCAACGGCGAGGTCCTGCCATTCGTCCAAAGCTGCCGTTTCCATTTGCCTGTTGTAGTTAAGTCACCCGTCGCAGATGTGAGGGTTCTGACTCAGAAGCATACTTCTTACTACTGTACTCCGTACTACATACGATGTGCATCTTTCACTTCACCGACATTTTGTTATTGCTGTACTAGCATTGTTGTTTTATCCTACACACTACACAGTCACGACAGCATTCAAGAACTTGAAGTGAGCATGGGCCTCGAAAGGGTCTCGCCCTTTGCCGGTCCCGCTCCGGTCCTGACGCCTTCAACGGCGACACAACCGTGCACAGCATCACTAGTACTGGTGACCACCTGTGACTATTAATATTGCTGGGCTGCACCTGGGCCGTGCTTCAAAATCTTCCGTATGCGCAATTATGCCCCCTTGGGTGCTCCCCTTCCTCACATGATCCGCGATACGAGGTCAAGTTACCTACCACCTAGCCTACTGTGAGTACAGTAAATGCTGGCAACGGGCCTTTTGGGGCGGCAGCCCTTGACGAATTCTCGTATTTGTCTCTCCTGTCTCTTCCCCGCCATCAGTGCATGCTCAACGGCCACGCTGCAGCTGCCATAGGCTATCCCATACACGACCATACGAGTTATCTGGCAAGAGCCAGGTATTGCTAAGGTTCCCTCGTGGCACCTGCATCTGTGCCACCGCTACCACGACCACGTATTTCCCAACTCTAGCCGCAGCCCGCGTCATGCTTCCCTGCCGCCGTCACCTTAGCTGTCACATTGGGGTGTCACACACCTGCAAAGGCCTTTTTTCCCCTTTACCAATAAATTTGGCGCGCACGGCACCAAATCTTTTTGAGCAAACCATCAACGCCTCCCTCGCCCAGTCCACTATTTTTCCTGTTAGCCGCCACGCCCGCCCACTGCTTCTGATTCTCACCATTCACCGTTCTCCATTACGGGTTTATGCCCGGTCACTATTGGTTTTTTTCATGCATCTGCATCCCTCGCTTCATGCATGTTCCCTGCCCACACGTGGACGAACTCGAACTTGAACTCGGCTCCACGGATCCACGTGTCTTTGTGGCTGCCACGAGGCAATTTTTTTTTTGGCCTGTCCAGTGTTGGCTGCCTGTGTGACAGGCTGACAGCAAGTGGACAGCCCACGCTAGCTCATTATTGAATCGGCTGGCCCGGCAGAGCAACCACCTACCTGAGGTAATGTACGTTGCTTGCTAAGTTTGTAACCCAGATGGCGGCCGAAAATCCACCCCTTCCATGTCCAAGGGAAACTCTGAGCTCCCTTGAGTCTTGAGACGGTTCCCGCTCTTCACGGGAAGTTGAAAAGCGCCACGAACTCGGTTGCATACGAGACATCATTACTATTACTAGGTAGTAGGTACTAGTATTGACACGGTCTGGATTGGGCCCCTTTGGGGCGGCGCAGACAGATAAACGCCTTCACACACGTGCGGCCACGGGCTAAACCGTGGCTCACTAGGCTGTACGTAGTAAGTCTCCCAGAGGTCCCCTCTTCTCAATGATGCGGCACTATTGACACAGCAATTGCAACAAATCCTTCTCGATGCTTCCTCGTCAGCCTACTGGTGCACCACAGTTTACCACTACGTATATGATCATCATGCCTGGGTAGAGTCCTGAGTGTGTATCACAGCCGCAACAGAATCTCAAATTACAATGACCTTCCACATGACTTGTCCACTGCCACGGGCTGCAATGGTCTGCTGATCTACCAATAGTAGGCCCAGCAGGTGCTGTGTGTGGCATTCGAAGCGCTAAGTACCTATCGTAGAACGAAGTAGCCTTCTCTTTTTCCACCCCCCACTCGTATCACAATTGAAGTGGTGGAACTTCGCTGCACGGCAGACACTGCCAGGTAGAGTCCCTTGACCTGGCTTCCTACGTACAGGTTTGTGGGCCTTCCACAAAAGGACTGGGTGGCCGGGAAAAATACCACTGATGGCTGTACCGTAGTAGTGTTGAGCTACCTGATCTCCTTACCGTAGCATGCCGAGGATGGCCGCAGTGCCAGAAACCTCGTACTATGTATTGGCTTGAAGCAAAGAGTCACACAACACTGAGGATCTCGTGCGTCGAATGTACTAGTACCTAGGGGCGAGGCATTGTTGGCGCAGAACTTTGCAGCAATGCGAGATCCGGCCTGCGAAACTCTCTACGAGAATTCTGCAAAAAAAAAGACTCTCACGACAGCCTAAAACCTCTGGGAACTTTGCTAGGTATCTCGAAGCACTTTGTGAAAGGCTCGCTCATCGGGCCAACACGTCTGGCATCTACCGTAGTATTGACGGCATAAGAACGTTCATCACTGTCGGTCGTGAATATTGCACCAGGGCGAGCAGGGCCGGGTATATATCATCGACTCTGTCCTCGTCAATATCCTGCCAAATTTGGCACTTGTACGTTCCAAATTGAAGGTGCTTTTTGCCCAGTACTCTGTCAGGTCACATTGACATCCCAAACCGCATTCGCCAGCAACATTGAAATTCCCACTCGATACTCTCACTCGATGCGTCAGGCTCGTTCGGCTAACGCATTCGACCGGGGAAGCCTCGAGTGTGTAAGACTCGCGTCAAGCGAGTGAGGGCAGAGAAGATGAATTGACTACTGAGTCCGAGAACCAGAACGAGAACGAAGTCGACACGTTGCTTGCAAATATCTGAATCTGAATCATCTCTCCTCCGTTCATGGTAACACTCGAAAGTACCGAATATCAAAGACCCTAATACCAGCGCAACGTGTCCGACCAAGGCATACACCTCCGCACGGAATATACCAACATCAACTGCATCAGCAAGACTAGAGACATCATTGTAACAGGACCTTCGTTTTTCCCACCCATCGAGCGCCTTGACTATCATACCAGGTACGTAGTATGGTAAACGACAAGCCTTAAGCTTTTTGTATTTTGTCTCCCGCCAACCATATCGCGGTCGCGGTCGCGGGAACCACGGTGTCGTGAGTGTCCCTCCCAGTCCAACTCCCATCACCACTCGACAGGATCGGTCTTGACTTCGCCACGATTCGTCTTGGGCACAGGAGCAGCCTCGACCTTGACGGGGCCTTTGCGCCATTTCTTCAGATATCCACTACCGTCCAACCAAGGGGTATCGAGAGTCCTCTTCTGCTCGAAGCTCGCAATCTTATCGTCCATCTTCATCGTCAACCCGATATCGTCCAGGCCCTCTACGAGACAGTGCTTGCGGAACTCCTCGACATCGAAGCGTGCGAGCTCATTACCATCCGCATCGCGAATCACCTGGTTCGGCAAATCGACCTCGACCTCCCTGCCAGCTTTGGCCTCCTCGGAGATCTTCTCGAGCTTCGCCTGGTCAGGCATGATGAGCGGCAACATGCCGTTCTTGAAGGTGTTGTTGAAGAAGATGTCGGCGTAGCTGGGTGCGATGACGCACTTGATGCCAAAGTCCAGGAGTGCCCAGGGCGCGTGCTCTCGAGAACTACCGCACCCAAAATTCGGACCGGTGACAACGAGGATCTTGGCATGTCTGTACGGTTCTTGGTTGAGTACAAAAGATGGGTTCTCGCTGCCGTCCTCGTTGTAGCGGAGTGGGTGGAAGAGCGCGGAGCCCAGACCGGTGCGCTTGATGGTCTTGAGGAATTGTTTGGGGATGATGGCATCGGTGTCGACGTTGGCCTTGTCCAGAGGAGCAGCAATGCCCTTGAGCACCGTGAACTTGGGCAGGCCGCCGACGCTGGGCGCGCCACTGTGGTTTGCGTGGGGGCCAACGTCGGTTGGGATGTCAAGGATGCGGTCGAGTTCCTCTTCCGAGTCGACCTCTGCGAATTCGGGCATGACGTCGAGCTTTGGAGAGCCTTTGACGGATACGGCATCGTCGTGATGTTGGCGGACATCGGTCAATTTGCCGACAATGGCCGCCGCAGCAGCCATGACGGGCGACATGAGATGTGTCCGGCCCAGGGCACCCTGTCGGCCTTCGAAATTGCGGTTTGATGTGCTTGCACAGCGTTCTCTGGGTGACAGGATGTCCGGGTTCATGCCGAGGCACATAGAGCAGCCGGCCTCACGCCATTCGAAGCCAGCGTCAATGAAAATCTTGTCCAGACCTTCGCTCTCAGCTTGGTTTTTGACGTTGCCTGAGCCAGGCACGACCATGGCCCGTTTGATGTTCGGAGCGACTTTCTTGCCCTCTACAACCTTTGCAGCCAGGCGAAGATCTTCAATTCGTGCGTTAGTGCAGGATCCGATGAAGACTTTATCCAGCACGATATCCTCCATCTTTGTGCCAGCCGTCAGGCCCATGTATTCCAGAGCACGCTTGCAGCTAGCTTGTCTGTTGGGGTCCTCAAAGTCATCGGGGCCCGGGACAACACCAGTAATCGGTACGACGTCCTGCGGTGAAGTACCCCAAGACACTGTAGGGGCAATGTCCTTTGCGTCGATGAAGACTTCAACGTCATACTTGGCGCCGTCGTCCGATTTCAGACTGGACCAGTACTTCACGGCTTTCTTCCACTCGTTGCTGTCGACCTTTGGTGCCAATGGTCGCCCTTTCAGGTAGTCGAATGTGATCTGATCTGGGGCGATCATGCCTGCTCTGGCGCCGGCTTCGATGGACATATTGCAGATAGACATGCGGGCTTCCATGCTCAGACCACGGATAGCGGACCCGCAGAATTCGATGACCGCACCAGTACCGCCCGCGGTACCGATGACACCGATGACATGGAGGATGATATCTTTGCTGCTGACTCCAGGTCCCAATTTGCCGTCGACCTGGACCCTCATGTTCTTGCTCCTCCTCGTGATCAAGCATTGTGTGGCCAGGACATGCTCGACTTCACTGGTGCCGATACCAAAAGCGAGTGCGCCAAAGGCACCGTGTGTGGATGTGTGGCTGTCACCGCACACGACCGTGGTGCCGGGTAGAGTAAAGCCCTGCTCCGGACCGATAATGTGCACAATACCCTGATTCTTGTCTCCAAGGCCAAAGTACGTGAGGCCAAAGTCTTTGACATTCTCCTCCAGAGTCATGCATTGTAACCGCGAGTCGTCCTCTTTGACAAACTCTGCGACGTTCTTGAAGTTTTTGCGCGGGGTTGTAGGGACATTGTGATCGGTGGTGGCAAGGGTGCAGTCTGGTCTGCGGACTTTTCTCTTTGCGTTTCTTAGCCCTTCAAAGGCTTGTGGAGAGGTTACTTCGTGAACGAGATGTCTGTCTATATCGAATATTAGGACTTCTGTACTGTAACTCCTAGAAATGCGGTGACCTACCGATGTACAAGAGAACAGTGCCATCTGGTTGTTCATTGACAATGTGGTCTTGAAAGACCTTGTCGTAGAGGGTTCTGGGCTGGGCGTCTGCTGAAGGCATCTTGAAATCAGTCTCAGCGAGAGCAAGCCTGTGAAAGAGTCAAAGAGAGAAATCTTGAGAATGATTGTCTTGCGAATGGTCATCTACGAATTGCACGGCACGAGTTATAAGCACAAGTGCCCAAAAGTCATTGTGGTCCGAGATCGGAGTTCGAGGATGACTTTTGACCACCGCTCATTGGCTCATTGTTCGCCTCCCCCGCACATTGGCGAAATGAGAACGTCTGACATTATATTCTACGTCCCTGAAGTGGATGAAGTGTGTGAAGGAGGCGATTTAGCCCTGTCAGACGGTGTCATCATTTCTCTCATGATCTCGACTCGATTCCTCGGCTTACGCAGCAACCGGCCTGATGAACATGTCTCGCTGTTTGAGGAGAAACAGGAGTGTGCCTGTGTTGGGCAGAGTGGCGTTGTCTGTGATAGGAAATCTCGATAATGAGCTTCAAGCGCACAGGGATTTGCTTAGTTCTTCCGTCTGTATCTCGAAAGCCGTTGCCCCGGTACAGCTCAGCAACACCTCCGGGAGAGATACACTCAGCGACCAGTCCCTCTGACCGCGTCGCGCGTCATTCATAAGGTACCGTAGGCAGTATTTGGAGATATTGCTATCCAGCTATGCAGCAGGCGATCGTAGCCGAATAGGGATCTGGCGTACTTCGGTCCTACCAGAATGCAACGAACCATGAGCAAACGTGCTCCGTATAGCCAGCAGTACCTGGGCACCATTCTTCGGGGAACATTCGTAATGTGTGGAAGCAATGTCAATTGTGACGTCCTCGCTGCCATGGTCTGCCATTTGCTTGTACTTCGAGTCGCAAGACTCGGACTGCTTGTTGCTGGTGCATTGCGTCCAGAATAGTCTCCAATATCACCGCCAGCAACTTCAAGCCTTAGCCAGATAAGCCAGACGAAGCTCATTTGTTAGTATAAACTTGCTTGTGTGCTGTCCAATTTCGTCTTCTCCCCATTCATCCGGTACTGCGAGCCTGGAGGCCGCAGTGTCAGGAACATGTCCAAAAAGATCTTTGAACTCTGCTTGAATCAGAAATCTTTCGGTTATCTGTGGTTGTCAAGCCGAGATCCTCAGGCCCTCTTCGTCGCGATCTCTTGCCCGCCAATACTGCGTTAGACCTGGATGCCCCAGATCGACCGCTAAAACGCTTCGAGTCCAACGCCACAGACATAACGGCTGGGCGGGACGCAATAGATCGGGCACGGCCCAAAAACTGGGCATACGGACAACCTTCAGAGCTGCTGCAGCTGCAGCTGCAGCTGAAAGCTTCCCATTTGTCTTTAGACCCTTCAAACGTGTACATTCCACAGGCCAGATGATAAAAGAACACGCTCCGACTTCTCAGACCTAGGCTTGCGCCATCCCGGGTCATTTTGTTGACCCTGATTTGCGGACCGGATGCCTAGGATCGGGCGCCATGCGAGGACGATCCTTGAAGCAACAACAATAACACCAACCTCCTGCCGTGTCTTGCTACATCGTTCATCGCGGCGGGGGAATCTCAACCTCCCAATCCGAGCTTACCAAACCAATACACCACATCCACTTCGACAGTTCTCGAGCACGAATGCCCGCTATGATCCAGAAACCAAAACTAAGCGCGTTGTCGACACCCATGGCACCGTCAATTCCGATCCGGACACCCTTGATCGCAGACGCCACCTTCACACCGGCACACCTCCTCCACAAGGTAATCTCAGCATCGTTTTCACCGACATCGTCAAATCCACCTCGATATGGGAAAAGGATGCCCCCGCCATGGTCCGCGCCATGCACTTGCACGACAACATGATCCGGACCCTCACCGAGGAGAATTCGGGCTACGAAGTCAAGCAAAACGGTGACGGCTTCATGATTGCCTTTCCAACCGCGAGCTCGGCCGTCCGGTTTTGTCTGGACGTCCAAGAGCAACTTCTGGACGAGCACTGGCCGGCCGGTATTTTGAAGCTCCCTTCCGGCCAAGAAACTACTGATTCCGACGGCCACGTATTGTTCCGTGGCCTGAAGCTGCGCATGTCCGCGCACTGGGGCGCGCCCGTGTGCAACTGGAACGACGTGATCCAGCGCATGGACTACCTTGGGCCGATGGTCAACCGGGCCGCGCGCTTCATCGAGGCAACCGAGGCTGGCCAGATCGTTGTATCAGAGGAATTCCTGCGCCAACTCCAGGCTGAGCTGGAGATGGCGAAAGGCGAGACATCCGAGATGGGCACCACGGACGCCTGCAGCGCGCGGGATCCCGCCAAGAACGAAGCGGAGGCTTTGGACTTGAGTATGCTGAGGTCGAAAAAGGACCAGAAGAGGATCACGCATCAGACTTTCGCCGTCCGCCTGCTAGGGAACCACAAGTTCAAGGGGCTGGATGAGCCTCAAAAATTGTATTTCCTGGTGCCCTGGTCGCTTGAGGGGCGGGTCAATCATTGGCATCAGGTCACGCATGTTGCCGGAGTAAAAGGAAACGTAAGAACGCAGGACAGTTGACATCGATAGAGGAGGCATAAGCAGTGGGAATCGTGAGTCTGGCGGCCATGGGAGTGACAGAACAACGGCATGCAGCGTACGGTGTGAACAGGTTTAAAGAAAGGGAGGGATTCGTGCATAAAATGTTAGCGTACGGAAGGCGCATGTCTGTCAATTGTAAGGGAAGGGTTAGAGCAAAGGCAACAGTCAGTCCATATATGCTGTTCGTCCATATTGATCGGTTTTGCCATTTGGAAGGACTCAAGGATTGCAAATACGAGACGGGGAATTGGAACTACTTCAATCTTGCACGGACCGCAAAATGATGACACTTCTAGGCAATGTGTTCATGGCAAGCACTCCAATATGCCCAACAGTCACTCTGATCCTTTTCCTGTCTATCATAACACATCAGACTGTGGCCATGTCTTAGCACCATCACTGAAATCAAGTGTCGGCTTCAACTGCGGCATCCTCTGCAGCTGGCTCATCGTCTGCTGTCCCGTTCGTCGCCGGCTCTTCATCACCATTGACATCGATAAGATCTGTCTTTGGCTCAACCGACCCACTTTCCTGCTCGAGCTTGATATACTCATCCCACTCGGGAAACAGCTCTTCATCCTGACCCGGCACACCAAGCAAACGACTGACCTTGCCCTTACCCTGCTTGTCCAAGCTTTCTTTCCATTCGAGAACCAGGTCTTTCGTCTTTGATGGCTTGTATGTCTGGCTGAAGAGGACAGCTTCGCTCAAACGACCAGTGCGCTTGAGAAGCTCAATTGCAGCTGAAACATCACCTGTCGTCCACAAGCTGGCGAACGCCACATTGTTGCTGCCCATCTCTTCAGCTTGTTGAGCCAATTTGGACAGTCCTTCTTGATTGCCCGAGCTAGTGTACAGCAGGAGCAAGCTGCCGAGATCTTTGGCATGGAGAAAACACTCTTCTGCAAGCTTCAGATCCCACAGCTCAAGTGCCTTGTCAGCCACGGCTGACCATTTAGCTTGCATGTCCACTTCGCGAGCAATCTCCAACGCCACAGCCAGGTTGTTCAAGCCAAGGGCCAGCTCGAACCGATGCTCCGGATCTGTCGCGACCTCCAGGGCAAGTTCCTTGTGGCCTTGAGCTTCTAGGAATCGGGCGATCTTGTTCATTTGATCTGCCGGAATTTCAGGAAGCAGCTCCTGGGCAGCGTCGATCTCGCCGCGAAGGACCAGGGTCTGGTATGACAGCAAGGCGGTTGACAGCCTATAGCTCACGACGTTGACGTCCTTATCGCACAGATAGACACGCTCGTCTCGTTGCAAGTATCGCAAGAGGTATATCGGCTGATCGAACTGGGCAATGTGAACAACTTGCTCACCAAGAAGGTAGCTTAGCCGTGTGTTTGTGGTGAAGAGAAATGCGTCTCCGACCCACTCTCCGCTCTTGACGGATTCCTGTAGATCAGTGACGACGGAGAAGGCGGCCTCGACACCATCTTCATCAGCTTCGCCATTGTTGAGACCTTCTAAATAGGCTTCCCGGTCGAAGCGAAGGACATATGTCATATCGGCGCAAGCCAGAGCCACGAGCTCACCAGACTCACTCCAGTAAACCTAAGAAGCAGTCAGCAATGGGGTATAGGTGACATTCATCGAGCATACTTCTCTGGGCTCCACTTCGATTCGCCGAACAAGATTTCCGGTTTCCCAATCGAACATTCCAATTCCACCTTGACCTTTCACACCGAGGAGGAAACCGCCGCAGAGGCCTTCCGCGTGGAAGCCCACGTCAAGGCTACCACTTTCCTTGAGCTTCTTGAACAGCTTGACGCTCGTGCCTGATTCTCGAATGGCGTAATCTGTGGGGTTTTGATGTGAAGCCCACGCGAAATCGAGGGCCGAGCCAAAAGCCTGATTTCTCCAGGCTAGCGCAGTGTAGATAATAAATTCCCCGTCACCACAGACACTGACGAATCTGCCATTGGGAGAGTGAGATAGGGTTGTAGGATAGATCTCGGTGGTTCCCATGTCTTTGCTTGGAAGAGCAATCGGACCACCATCCTTGACTGAGGCATCACCTCCCTTGACGATTGCGGAGACAACCTCATTATGTCGCGCCCATACCAGCTTTCCAGTGCCATCCATGGAGACAGCAGGCTCTTCCCTCCCCATTTTCACCACAACCGCACCATCGTCGAAACCCATCGCGACACCTTGCTTTCCTCTCTGGTAGGAAACGCACCATGCTCGCTCCAAGCCATAGCTCAGCGATTGCTCGAGCCGATAGGTATTGGCATGCCATATCTTGATCGTTCCATCTTCGGAGCCGGATATAATGACTGGCAATTCAGGGTGGTAGCAGGCAAAGCTGACATTGCTCGTGTGTCCTTCCAACGTGGCAATCAAGGCCTTGGTCGTGTAATCCCATACTTTGACGGTCTTATCATCAGAGGTACTCAGGAGGTAGGGTTTGTCACTGTGAGGATAGTAGTCGATGTGGTTGACGCCCTTCTCGTGGGCTTCGATTGTCTGCTTCGCTGTTGGGTTGTCAATGCTCCAAATCTTGATGGTTCTGTCTAAGCATGCGGAAGCGAAGACGTTGGTATCTTTCGGGTTCTGCAAGCCATGTCAATAGCACGTCCAATAGGTTGCGCCTCAGAGGAGAGCTCACGATTGAAAGTCCCATCACATAGTGTTGATGTCCAACAAATTCACGAACGCACCGCCAGTCTTTTTCCCAGTCGAACATTCGTATTGTCATATCATCGGAGGCTGTGAGAACGACACTGAGCACGGGGTGCACCACAATGGCACGTATATAGTCGGGGTGTCTAGTGCCACTCAATAAGCCTCTGGAATCAACACGTCGAAGCCTTATACTTACGCCTCGAACGATTTGACCTTCTCGCTGGTGTTCCAGTTCACAACTCTTAGCTGGAAATCATCGCTGCCACAAACGATCCAATTCTTCCTCTCAATAAATCTTCCGGCTCGTACGGGGACATCGGTAAGCTCGAAGGTTTTGATGATGGCTTGGGTCTCGTAAGACCAAATGTGGGCATGACCATTGTAGAGTGTGGTGAGGATCTTGGACAGTCAGTTTCGGACATAATCTGTAGGTATAGATCTAGCTACCCATGGTTCGGTACTGCGCTGATGTTAGATACCCAAATTCCATCAGTACAGAAAGGACGCGTACCTGTGAAAATCAATGCCCTTTACTCGCTCGGAGCCTGCGTAAGTCAGTCAACAGCACCGATAAAAGGTAGACCAGGGCATACGAGCAAAGAGCTGTCTCTTGACATCCAAACGCATTGTGCCCCTCGCTCGCTCTATGCGAAGTCAAAGAAATTGTTGAAGTTGTGCGCACAGTGGAATCTAGTCTGAGCGACTAGGGTTTCCGAGGAGAAGAACACAGGCCAAGGAAAGTCGTCGTGTAGGATTCCATGTCACTTTGCCATGGGATGTTGTGCTGTGAGTAGACCCTGGGCAATACGATCAATAGTCGTGGTGTTGACACATGTCCCTAAAGTGCAGTCGTTCAGCCTGCGGTCAGAACAATTTACCCCGAAGCTCAACTCACGTGTCCCACATCTGACGCCCCTGTCTCCGGTCCACCAATCTACCCTTTCAATGCTCTACACGAAGACAATTATATAGTGCGATAGGGACTGGAGATGACGAGTATATGCTAGGTGAGATACTCCAAGCATCAAGTACCAACACAATTCTCGCAGAGCTCAAGTCAAGATACCTCAGCTGCAAACCTGACAGGCTTTCGTGTCTTGCGCTATGGAAGGACGAGTGATTTTCTGAGACCATATCATCTCGGTCAAAGGAAGGTAATCAAGCCTCATCTGCGCAGGCATCTCGGACGACTCAGACTTCGTTGCGCGAGCATGTGCATGGATGCACATCTAAACTGCCATCAGGTATACGAGGATACTGGACTCTCAAGCGAAGCATTAGTTCTGCGCCAAGGTTGGCTGCCTTTCGTCCTCCAGCCTGCGCTTCTATTCTACCCTGCTCGCCTGCTGATTTATTGCTGGGCTAAGATGATAATCAGTCCACTGCACTTGAGCATGTCTAACCTCTCCGAAGGATCCTCCCAGGCAAGTCTATGAGCAAGGTTCGTCACTGCACCGCCGCGATCGCCCGTCCTGGTTGTGTGGAAGGGGTCGCTGCATGATAGCCTCAAGCCTACCTACGAAAGGATAAAAGCCAACCACCCACGTCCCTCTTTCTTTCCCATCAACCGGACGCCTGTGTCACTATACCTATCAAAAGTCTAGGACCGTCCACACTGTCTAATTAAGATACTATGGCAGACTCCAAACCAACCCTGCATCATCTCAATGTGCGCTCTGTCCACCTGGTACCTTATGAGCATTGCTGACACGCAGCAGGACTCTCAGTCTCAGCGCATCTTATGGCTCCTCGAAGAACTCGAGATCCCTTATGACCTCGTCCTCCACAAGCGAAATGAGACCGGTCCCAACAAAAGAAGAGCTCCGGAAGAGCTGAAGAAGACACATTTCCTTGGGAAGAGTCCGCAGCTGTGTACAAGCGATGGCAGAGTTGTCATCGAATCCCTCGTTATCGCGAGATATCTGATCGACAAATACGACAAGAAGGATAGATTCAAGGGAGATGGCGACTGGCTTCGCGACGATGAGCTGTGCAACATAGCTGCCGCTACCATTGGAATCCCAATGTCCGTCGAAGTGCTGTTCACTATGATGGCAAAGTTGTCACCCTTCTTCTTGCGGCCACTGATCTACCCTATTCACAGAGGCATACACCAGGGCTACTCGGGACCCGAGCTCGATCTCAACTTTGGCTATCTGGATGAACAACTTGGAGATCGAGAGTATTTTGGAGGCTCTTCGCCATCCAGAGCCGACTTCATTCTCTCTTGGCCAATGGACGTGTGCGCGCTGAACCACTTCATCGACCTGGAGAAGTTCCCAGCTCTGGCTAAATGGCACAAGAGATGTCAAGAGCGTCCTGCATGGAAGCGAGCCCTGGAGAAGGGAAACGGCTACAATCTGAAATACTGATCATGCGTTATCTGGAGGTCATGTTGATCGGATCGAACAGCGGATGGCCTGATTATGAACCCGACGCGCAGAAAGTTGTGTATCAAGTAACTTAATACTCTACTCGAAAAAACATGCATGAACAAATAATGACCAGAAATGAAACGGTCGCTCGGATTCGTATTTGAATCCCACCGCGGAATCACCGTGCAGCCGGAGCACCCAAGATCCGAGTCGTATACCATTCCCAAGATCGTTTAGATGCCTTTTAAACGAGGGTCGGTTGTAGGAATCCTCTTTCGATACGCAATCATGCTCTCTTCGGGAGCTCCACAGGTGCCCTTCGCGTGTTCTTCGCCACAAGTCCTGACACTCTCACTAGCAACACTGACCAGCAATTGGGGCAGATAGCGCCCTTAAGGCCATACCGATGGCTCCAGAACGGAAGATTAGCGTCGCAGTCGTTTGTCTTCCAAACATTCTTCTACCTCGCCCTGGACATTTATTTCTTGAGCAACATCGTCTTTTATAAGCCATCGCGCTGTCCTTTTTGTGGGAACATTGAATTTGTACTTCCCTCTCATTTCAAAGAATGACCAGCGTCTGACTGAGAGATCCCAAGTCCGTCTATTCGATTTACTCGCCAATTCCTTGTCGATCTTCCGCCTCGGGTCTCCGTCCCTTCTAAGTCATATACAAAATGTCGTCCAACGGCACACACCACGCTCGTCGATATTGTACACAGATAACTCCGGAATGTCCTGTGGAACTAACGACTTACGGCTATTATCCCAATCTCAGTGTCAATTCATTCTTCATTGCGCTGTTTGGCCTATGTCTGTTTGTTCAACTAGGCCTGGGCACATGGCGACGGACATGGACCTATCTTGGTGTCGTGGCCGTGGGCTGTTTTGGTGAAGCTGTCGGCTATATTGGACGAGTCATCATGCACTCCAATCCCTGGTCTCCTGCAGGATTCAAGACTCAGATCTGCTGCCTGGTTCTCGCACCTAGCTTTTTGGCAGCAGGTATCTACGTCACGCTGAAGCACCTCGTCCTCTACTGTGGCCCGGAGCATTCGAGACTGAAACCGAGGCTATACCCCTGGGTTTTCATTGGTTGCGATTTTGGATCGATCGTGCTGCAGGCCATTGGCGGCGGTACTGCCGCGGCCGCCGGTGATCAAGGCCAAAACAAGAAACTGTTGGATGTTGGTGATGGATTGATCGTGGCCGGTATCGCTTTTCAAGTTGCCACAATGGCCGTCTGCGCTGTGCTCATGCTCGACTACTTCCTTCGCTTCCAGAAGGCCAAAAAGGCAAACTCGGTCACCCATTCGGAAAGCGAGTATGAGAAAAATGCGACTGATGCTAAGACGAGTCGGAATTTCCGCATTTTTTGCTTTGCGATTGGATTTGCGTTCCTTACGATCTTCATCCGATGCATCTATCGGTATGTCTCGATGCGCGCATTTCCTGGGCAGTGATTCTGACGAGAATAATATAGTCTTCCTGAAATGGCAGGTGGCTGGGGAAGTAAGTCATCTCACTTTTCAAGAAGCTATCATGTCTACTCGGCACATTTCCTTCTTGTCTGCTCAAAAGTGGGATTGTTTTCTGACACTTCACAGATTCTCTGATGCAAAAAGAGACCGAATTTTTAGTGCTTGATGGCATGTGAGTGGTCTTCCACAGTCAAGTTTCATACCGTAGACTGACTTTACAATTCAGGATGGTGGGCATTGCTTCTGTGTTGATGACCGTCTTTCACCCCGGGTTCTTCTTTGAACCAATGAGGAAATTCAAGAAATGATCTTCCTCCGTATAACTGCATTAGCCGGCGCCCTGCGAAGTGGACCACAACCGTGATGGATGACAGCCGAGAATAGTGATGGAGCATCTTGACGAGCATCAAGCATGTTATGATAAGCAGCGCGAATATTGCCTAGAATATATGATCGCTACAGTAGCCTTCGGGCCTTGGGAAATGGAAGGTTATTAAATTCCACCGCAGCTCCCAAATGTCGTGGTGGCCTACATGTTAGATGCTGCTGATCTTCTTACTCAAGGTCGATGGCCTGGAATACTTGCCATTGATGTCACTAGATATATAGTCCGGCGGTGATAACGTGGTGAGACAGAGACGTCGTCCGAGGCTTTCCGGGCAGGCCGAACACGAACTTTGCGGCTTGCCAAGTCCGATACCTGAACGTAGGTACGAAAGGGAAAACGTCAGCTTGACCTCTTCATTTCATCACAGAAACTTGTCTAACCAAGATGCACAAACATAAAGCTGACAGACAATAGCCCTCGAAATGCCGTCGCGTCGGTCGCATACCAAGTCACATCATGGATGTAAACAATGCAAGGCCAGGAGAGTCAAGGTCAGTCCCATGCCGACGCTTCAGCCTTACGAGGAGCTTCTTTTCCCGAAACCCATCTAACCTGACCCAAGTGCGATGAGACGAGTCCACGATGTCAGCGCTGTGTGAAACGCCAAATTGCATGTTCGTTCCTGGAAGATGCTCCTGAGGGTATCTCAGCCACTCCGACAAATCTGTCCCTACACGACACCTCGACATCGACTCCGAAAAGCCTCGACTATCAACCTTCTGACCCAGAGCAGCCACATCCAGGAGTGCTCCCACCTTCCAGACCCCGGACCACAATTTTCGCCGCCGGAAGAGACTCTGTCACAGATATCCAGCGTTTTGAACTGCTGGATCTCGAGCTCGTCCAGTTCTACTCGACTCGGACGTACATGACTATGTCCTCCAGACTCTCAACGCACGTTGTATGGCGAGACACAGTGTTTACGGAGGCCCTGCGCCATGACTTCCTTCTTCACGGTTTGATGGCTACTGCTGCGCTCCACAAGGCCACAATGCAAGCCAAGACGTCCGAAGCATACGCCGAATATTCCAAAGTCGCACTAGCTCACCAGAATGCTGCATTGGCCGGATATATCCCTGCAGTCAGTAAACCGAATCAAGACAACGGCATCGCCCTGTTCTGTCTGTCGCTCTTCCTGAGTATCTGGGCCTTTGCATCGAAACGGCTCCCAGAAGGATTGAACAGTGTGAAATTGGAGCTGACTCAAGGAGACTCCCCCGGTGTCATACTTCCTTTGCATTCGCCCACGGCTGAGTTCATTGAGATAGTCATGATACTAAGAGGTGTCTATGCCGTGATCAGAGAGACAGATACCTGGCTTCAAGGAGATATCGAGGAATTATTACGATACCCTCAACCGGGAGACCTCCCTCCGCACTCCGCAGATGTTGTGGAAGCTTTCGAAATTCTCGCCGAAGCTGTGGACGACCCCAAAGTGACGCCTATGTTAGCGGGCGAAGACGCTTCGACAAGCAGAACCTTTTTCCTTGAGCATCTACAACGGCTACGTGACATTACGCGCTGTCGCTCCGTTGTCGAGTGGGATGGGCATATATTCTCCTGGTTCATCATGGCTCCAGCCCCGTTCATTCAGTCCTTGAAACGGGGCGAACCTTTGGCCTTGATTCTATTTGCACACTGGGCTGGTACTTTCCGCTGCATGGATCATCACTGGTGGGCAATGGGATGGGCGTACAGATTAGTCGTTGATATTTCCAGTCTACTCGATCCAATATGGGCACGATATCTTGAGTGGCCCAAGAGACAGATCGGCCTTGTGTTTCAGGATAATACTCTCTTTGAGGGACGAAGGGCGGCTTGAGACCTGCCTTGATTCCGGTCGAGTTATGCGAAAGATCAAGAAATTTCTAATGGCGATGCAGACACCCGCTTTCCGATAAGGTCATGCGCCTGACACGCATCAGTCAAAGGATTGGGTTGTGATTCAATCGCTCTTTCCTCATGCTGAGGCTTCTCCCTCTTACATCATCGTCGTCAACAAGGAAGTTATCTCGAAGCGCAGGTGGCCATGATTAGGCGCCAGAAAGATGCTTTCCAGACTTGCGTTCAACCATTCTTTTCTCGCATGCTCGGGTTGGACCTAACATCATTATCCTGGGCATATCGACTATTATTACTAGCATCCCCATCGCAAGAACAGTCAGCAATTCTGAATCATGGCTATAAGCTTCTATTCCGTCATCAAACCCGCGGGTACTCCCAGTAGCCTGCGAAGTGAGCCTTTGCTGAGTCCACCACTGTCGCACAACAGCTCGGAAGACATTCCTTTCAGACCAGACGACAGCGATCGAATCAGCTTGACCATGAAAAAGCACAAAAGCCATCGGCAAGGATGGCACGATCCTTTCTCTCCACATACACGACCTACGAATCCGACCGTGAACGCGCGACAACCGCGTCGCGGACGCAGCCTTCGGAAACGAAGTTGTACATCTGATTCAGCTACCTTACGAAAAGCACGCTCACTTCCAGACGTTCAGTCAAATCAACGACCTTGGAGGACTGGATTGGTCATCAACCATAATATCCAAACACGTCGATGGACAGTGTCATCCAAAGCGGCTGCCACAAGAGGCCTTGCTACAGTTATACCAGTTCCGGAGCCCGCAGGTCGAATATCCAAGAAAACAGCTATAACACAAAGCCCGGCAATGATTACGCTTCGTCGTGCGACCACCACAGCGTCACCGAAGCGAATGTCCCTCACCTCGTTTCCAACCCCGAAATTCAGCAGGCAGAATACTGGCTTCTTGTCATCTCTCCTGAACACAATCACGGGCCAAGACGAATATCGTGTTGGTCCCAGTGAAAGTCTGCAAGCCATAGGAAGCAACTCGCAAACTCCACGGCGTCATTCGGTAGATCGCAACGAAGCCCGTCCAGCCACAGGTACGATTGCTCCTCCAATGTTTACAGCGGTTACGCCAATTCCACCGCGCCTTTCACTGGCTGGCCAGAGCTTCGGAGTCTTCGATCCGATGCGGCGATGCTCAATCAAATATGTTTCAGAGGATGTTATGTACGAGGTTATCTGGGACGAGAATTCGTCGACTCCGAGTTCCGAGGACGCCGGTCCTAGTCCAGCGGAAAGAGACATTGGAGTACATGGAAATTATCCGGAAGATTCAGAGACATTGGAAAGGCGGCTCTCGAAAGTCCTCACTCAATCAAGAAGGCCTTCGACATCGGCACAGATGAGTCGAAGGACGAGCTACTGGCCAGGCAGCGAAACCTTTGCTCATGGCATCCTTCCATTAATGACAAGTCCCAAGCTGGCCAAAATTGCGCGGGAAGCAGCGTTTCGGAGCTTACCCCGGTCGAAAGGGTCCAGAAAGGCGGAGGTCATGACACCATTGGCTTCATCGATTGATGTTGAGCAGCAGCAGCTTCTTCTCGATCCGTTGATGAACGAGGCTGGAAAAGTCAATGTCCAATATTTCCCACCGTTGCCTGATCCCGAGGGCAGTACAGAAGTCACGACACACGTCGGCTTGTCACTGGACGCGGACAGAGACCCAACTAATTCTATCAATTTAGCAGGCGATCCATTTCCAGGCGCTTCAGGTGAAGAGGGTTTGGCTTCGCCACCCGCAAGAAGCCGATATGGCAGCATGGTCGGAGTCAGCAGTCACCAAAAACGGCTGAGCCTCCCTGCAGACACGATATCAACCGTCAAGGGCAGGAAATATAGCCTCTAGGATGGGCTTGAGGGTGGGAAAGATGGACGGATGTCTGATGATGACACCGTGCCATTACTGAGGGCTTTTTGACGGCTAGAACTGCAGCATAGTGGCACCGTCGGGACCCAAGGGGATCTACGTCTCTCTGACTAGACAGTATTCGCAAGGACAATGCCAGTAATCCCAGGTGGTGGTTGATAGTCTGCTTGCGTCCCGACGCTGACATGAGGATTAGAGACGTGGCCTAGGCATTGTTCAGAAGTTGTGAATAAATTGTGCCTTCTCACCCGACATGATCGCGTCCCTAGTGACACCCGCACCTAAGACAGGCACGGTGCGGCCGAGATTTGTCTCCCGATACTGCCGTGAGCCAATTGAAGATCATGCAGGGAGTCGGGAAAAGATGGGGTTGGACGTCCGAGTGGATGTGCCGGCACTGGCGAGGCAAGAGGTGCGGAAGATAAGCTCGCCATCGTGGGCCACGACGATGAATGCCGCTCGATTGTTCCGTAGTTGCTTTCTCGGAAGAATTCAACAGCTACTAGGATGTTTCCGGACGGATGCGGCGCAATCCAAGTACGAGTGGTTGACTTTTTTTGTTCCGTATCTCAACGAGGAACAAATCTCACCCCACATAGGGAAAGTGGAGGGCAGCGAAGACACCAGATCCAAGCACGAGTAGGAATGCTGGAAGGGCAGTTGGATTGCCGAAAAGACAAGGACAAAGACACCCACGGTACTTACAGTATCAGGTAGGTTCATTGCTATTCACTTTCCGTAGAGTCGATAGACTTCCGTAGAATGTTCGTTCGGCCTTGAAGAGGAAGTGTCGAACAAGAGGAGGTGTCGAACAAGAGGAGGTGTCGAACAAGAGGAGGTGTCGAACACGATGCATCGATGATATTGTCGCAAACCCATCGATAACACCACGACGGATGGGTTTCCGATAAGCGATGTGACGATGTGGTAGAAGCACGCAGAAGGAACTTCATCAATGGGTGGTACTCGTAGCGTGTCGTAGGTGGGTGGTAAATCGTAGGAAGGCGAGTCAGTTCCAAGACCTACGGGGTCGTGGGAGTAAATGTTAGGTAACTTGAGAAGGCTCAAGGTCTGACCCAAGCCGGCCGATTTGGCGAAGGCAACGCCGCAGTGGGTGAATCGGGTGAGTTGGTCATGCCGCGCCATGCTTATCCGGCGAGAGGTCAAGCTCCAAAACCCGCCGTGATCGCCTATCAGCCACCCATCATTTAGGTGATTATGGGTGTCATGGGTATCACGCGTGTCGTGGTCATCCTCCGTCGCTGAATCGAGGAGTTCCAGACATGATTCAATTGTTCCTGCCGAGCACCAGGTGAGTATGCCTGAGGCCTGTGGGTAGGCACTGTAGGTACAGAGCCCGTTGTGCATATTTGATTTATCAAACCCCATGTGTGTCTCAATTCTGTCTTTCAAGGGTGTCTCGCTTCTCTTGCCCTTACCTAGGTATGCTCAATTGCTGCCAATCATGCCCGGAAGGTCGGAGGGACGAGCTCGTAACGATGCTTTGATGATTATTCCCGAAGCTCGTGTTACGCCGACCTCGACCTTCTCCGACACAACAATAATGGGCACGAATGATGGGCCACCAGTACACCCTTGGCCCTACCGGTATGGAGTACCTTCGTACCCAACGGAGTACCACTCCGTTAGCAAGTTAGTGGCTCACCAGGCTCTAGCCGGGGCCTGGCACACCAGGGTGATCAGATCGCTGCTTTCCATCTTCCGTCTTCCATCTTCCAGGCCCCATACACTTCCCACTGGCCATCTTCCCTTTCCAGGTGCGCCATCTCAACCCCGGCTGCGTTGGCAACCTTCTGAAAGGCTCAGCGAGCTACTCGTACTAACTAGGGTAGTTCTGCCGAACTGGTTCCTTCCGAGCCCTTGTGCTGCGATCCATCACTCAATTCGTTCACCCTATCTCAATTCCGACCATCCTTCCTGCGGACTTGTTCCACCCACCTCACTTCGCATCTTCTCCTTCTTCTGCTTTACCACCATATACATTCAATGACTTTACTGAGGCCGCTTTCTAGTGACTCATACCAATAGCGACTGCCTCGTTGCCTTACAGTCCGTTATTCATCTGTCCCCACACGCTTGGCCAGTTCAACTCTTGCGCCGATTTGGTCCGCGCTCTCTGTACCCTCGGATTACCCAGGTGACCTCGAACGTAGGACCAGCCACACGACGGAACCTGCTCGAGTAGCCTAGCCATCACCTTCGTGGAGGCATAACACGCCTTCTTGCTTCCATTCCTACTATCAAGATGATCAGGTCATGACCTCGAACCCTCCGGCCGAATCGCGGCCTCCTTCGTTAAGATGTCCTCCCGATTTGCATCGACCTTCTCTCGATCGAGCCGGGAGCGATATCTTTCCACCCATTGGCAGAAGGCCACCCGGTTTACAGAGACAAAATACTGAGTCCGGGCAGGATAGACCGGCCAAACGAAGGAAAGTGGAGGGAGATGTCCAACCAAATCAGGCTTCTACTTCCAGCAATGGCTCTACAGTCACGGCCATAATAAACGCCACCACACCGACCGATACCAAAGGCCCTCAGCTACGTCTTGTAGCGCCTGCGGCTTTGCAATTGGAATTTCGCACTTTGCAGGACAAGAAGTCGGAACCTTTGGTTGATCAAGAGCCGCCGGATTTTCCAGGCCGTCCGTGGAATCCTTCTCAACAGTTCAAAGCTGCCGATGGGTCACAACCTTCTCATCGGTCTAGAGTCTATGTTCCTGTACCCACGACTCCTGATTCTTTGGATCCGCCTGGCTCGGCGCCACGTTTTGTTCCCAAGCGAGCTGCCGGCTTCTTTCCCTGGACCGGAAAGCACCCCGAGGACGTATTGAACGACACCAACGTAAAGCAAGGATATTTCGATAAACCACCGAATCCGACCGAGAAAGAGCTGAACACGGCTCGGGTGCCACTATATAACGCATTCAAGCACAAATCAGGCGTGGACAGCTTATCCACTCTGTTTTCTCTCATCTTAGACAAGAAGAACCAGCAAAGTCTCATCAATCCTCACACGACTTTCAAGCCTCCTCCAAGAGTCACCCTGACCGAAGCGAAAAGGAAGTCATGGATTGCAGATCTGGCCAATGCGGATGTGCCGTTGAGAAAGCTGAGCAGGACTATTCCACAAGGCATTCGGGGCCAACTCCTGCTTGATCAGTGTTTGCAGAACGTTGTCCCCATGAGTCGTGCAATATGGTTCGCAAAGTGCGTCTGCGCAAACGAAATTCGGACGTTGAAGAGAAAGGGGACTACGCCGGCTCTTGCGATGGGCGCCGAAGGAAAATGGCTACGCGAATGGACCATTAACGTGGAGCAGTTCTTGGAAGCCCATTTGGCACAAATTGGCAGCATAGGTTGGAGGTCCAATATTCAATATGCGGTCCGTATCACTACGCGGCTTTACATGGAGAACCTGCTTGACCGCGACCACTGTCTCGACTGGATACTCCGATCTTTTGCCACTTCACCACTAGATCAACTACCTTTTTGGCTGATGATTACCCATATCTTCAGGCAGGATATGAGTTACTATCGAAGGCGGGGCAAAAGGTTTGCCGAAACACTTATCGAGAAATATGAGCTGGTGCGCACAACTGCCGGTCAGGCTGCAGTTCCGCTCACGCAAAGACTGCACCATGCGATCCGCGGCCTACTCCTCACTCGCCCAAGGAATTTTCTCATGCCGGATAAATGGCCAGAAATATATCCCATCATCCGAACATGCCTCGATGGAAAAGTTCAGCAGGAACGACAAATCCTGGATGAACTCAATCGCATCAATGAAAGGGCAATGGGTTTCAACAAGCGACAATTTTCCGCCAAACGCTCACCAGTACAGGCGATTGTGGAGGTTTTAGACTCTCTTCACGCACCATTTGATGTGGCCAAGCTCGCAGAAACCCTGACAACAGTCTGCCTTGATGCTGATGTCGTCATCTTCTCGTGCCTTGAATGGGCATGTACACGCTTTCAGTCTTCCAATGCCCGAATATACCTCTTCGCTCGTTTGATCCGACGGTGGCAACGAGCAGGTCACGACACAGATACTGTCATCTTGAACTATCTTTCCGCTTACAGGGAAGGAAAGACAATGACGGACGTCCAGTGCTTAAGTCATCTGATTGCGCAACTCTCGAGGTCGAATTCTTTTCCAACGGCCAAATATTTGCAGTGGCTTATGGTAAGGGGTCTTCCCAAAAAGGGAACAGTTCGCCTGGATACTACTACCATACCGGATGCTGGCATGTCTTCCTCGGACTCCAGCCATTTCTTACTTGATTTGTCCCTACAAAATGCAGGAGAACATGTTCTCAACCTGCGGAACTCACTTTTGGAACGTTGTGGCTTCGATTTGAGTTCGGAAAGAGACCTTTACAATCATTGTATCCAGTATATCGGGCAAGAGTTGTCACAGCTAGGTCCAAGCTCTCGGTCGGAGACGTCGAGCATAGCGGAGCCTGCCTTGGCTGCCCTGCCCTGGTCTATCAAGTCGAGGATCTCTCTGTGGCTTCGTTCGAGAGTTGTGCAGACCGCGATGCATGATGTGCCTGGAATTTCATCACCTTTAAGTATGCTCTCCACCTTGAGGCTGAACTGCGAACAGTTCTCGTTCATTCGATACGTTCTCGAATGCATGAATGATCAGGCTGTTCTTGCTGATGTGATTGGAATCTTGTGCAGCTCGCAAGATGATGATTTGGTGGCGTCGCTTGTGGCTACGATCCAGTATCACGCTGAACCCTTCATGGCAATAGGCGCTTTCGAAGTGCTACACAAGAGGGCGTGCCAGATCTACATGACTTGGCGCACTACCAAACCAGCAATGACGCTCCTCACCAATGCTCTTCTCGAGCTTTGCACCGCATTTCCCGTCAAGACGCCAACACTAAAGTTCTTGCAGCAGAATTTTGTTCGAGGCGACAGGGGCCGGGCAGTCGCGGCGTGTTCTCCGTACAGTGACGGTATTGCTGAATCATTACAGCAAGCGGGAGCTACCTTTGTGGAAGACTTCGAGGCCATATTACAGTCCGAACCCAACATGACTGAGCAGACCATGAATGGACTCTTTTCGGTTCTTGTGGACCGAATCGAAAAACAGCAGAACTTTGGAGACGATTCGCCAACCATGTTCTCATTCTGCCTGCTACTGAGTCGCTTGCGGTTGTGTAGAAAGGCTCAGGCAGATCAGCTGATCCAGCAGTGGTTGGGAAAACTGGCGCCGTTTCTTGACGGCGATTTTGGTCCTGTCATCTTTCAAAACCTCATTGGGGCTGGATGTCTCAACTTCGTCGGCTTTTTCGAAGCTATCAATATCTCGAAATTGGCATTGAGCAAGCTGCCTTCGGCCACAGCTCTGCTGCGCTATGTCACTTCACCAGACAAGGGGTTGTTGGGCAATGCTGCCCTCTACCACACTCGGACTCAGTGGTCTAACTATTGCCATCAAGAACCCCGGCGCGTATTAGAAGTGCTTTGCCAATTGGGAAAGGAGAATGTTCAAAACCCGTCGGAAACCCGCCTCGTCTACCTCCTGGCAAATGACCGTACCCTTACCTCATCCGCCTTGCCCGAGCCAGCAGCAAAACGGCTGGTGCAAGCACTCGATCATTTGCTGAGCTGCGACCGTGGTGGGAACATTGATTCTGCCAACTTACGACCCCTGCTCGACTCCGTCAACATCTTCTCACACCGATATGTACGGTTGCGGCTATGGCTGATCTCACACCTCGGAGCAGAACATACCGTTCCTGTGGATCAAGGTCAACTAGTGGAAGCTCTTACAGACGCACTGGAGCAGATGCTGCATGAAGCGGATGGAGCCCAAAACGACGATTCTCGAATTGCACAATTGCTTGAAGCAGTGGGACCCGAAGTTGCCAACAGGCTCCGACACAAGGTGGAACACGAATTCCTGGAGGCGTTACCGAGGTTTCCACCCAGCAAGACGACAAGTCCGTTGTCGGCAATGTTCCCAGGCGACGTCCACCATCTTTCTTCTATCGTCAATCGAGCATTTCGTGTTTGTACAAAAGACACCAATCCTATGCCTGGATTTGCGGGACAATTGATCGATCGACTGTCACAGTTCTTCAAGTCTCAGGGTAACAATGTGGCGACCCCTAATTCTGCGGCAATACCTGGGCTGTCAGGACATTCCGTCAATGGAAGCCCTGCTCAAATGATGTCGGTCACATCCAGCCCGCACGCAAGCTCTTCAGATGGTGTGGGCGGGGCCAATGGGTGGGCGATCTTGAGCTGCCTGGACCATATGCTCCAAATGGTATGCCTGCAAAGGCTGGCAGTGATTTCTGCAGGACGTAGCGGAGCAAATATCAAGCAGGGTCAAACGGAGCAAGTCCAGCTTCTCGTTCGACTCGGACTCATCTTTACGCACCCTACGATTTCTTCTGCGTCGAAACATCTGAGCAACAAGCAAGAACAGGAGAAGGTCAAGAACGTGCATGATTTCATTCTTGACGTGCTTGCCACGATTGTGGATGAGGTCGGCGACGAGGTTAAGATGATGTGTGGGAAGTTATTGAAGGACAAGCTCCACGATGCCCGACTTAAATATCTCTTTGGCAGCGTCAACACTACAGGATCTCTACAAGCGCAGGACATGGGCCATGGATTGCAAATGTTCAAAGAGGGTAAAGGGATGATTGGAGAATGGAGGCCGCGTGTCTGGGAGGTACTGGACAACGGCAGCGGCAAAGAGAATGAGACGTCGTTGGGTCTGGGTCTTTTTACTGCCCGACGCGGAAGAGCTACGGAGGATTGAAAGCACAAAGCAAGGCCCAGAAGCGGATTTTTGGACACTTCGACGCTGATTTTGCTTGATGAGCGACACCCGGATGGTCGACATTGTTATGTACAGCCATTTACGACGTGATGAAATGTGTTTGTCCATTTTGCTTTTTCTGTGGTTTTATTGGCAGGTCCAGCCTCTAGGGAAGGTGGAAATTGGACAAGGGACGGGGGGTTTCTATGAGGATAGATGCTAGAGACAAGTCGGTGTTGTCAGCACCCATTGTCACGGGGGTCTTTGCATGTGACAAGATCCATCAGGCAGATGATAGATGTATGCATGGCGTGGCTATCCAGATGATATCTGCACAACATGAAAACCCCATCACGGTGTCGAATCTGAATGTGATGCTTGCGTCTCTCTGAATCATCTGATGAGTGATTGAGTGATGGTTGCGGGGACGTGGGGGATAATCGAGGATGATATGCAGAAGCGGTCTTGCATGAGCAGGGGCGTTTGGGTCAGCAGGTCCGACGCAGTGTGACTGTTTTCGCGTAGTAGTCGTAGGCGAAATGGCACGAAAGACTCGGCAAGCTTTAGGGGCCATCGGGGCTGTTGCTCGACAGAAATCATTGTCGCACCATCACGCATGACACGCAAAGTGACGTTGATAGGAATGTGCCAATATCAGCAGAGAATGCCAGTAAGTCTGACAGGGGATTAAGCCTGATGGTCACGCATGGTCTCTCAACGACAGGTCTGCGGAAGGCAGGATCCCCATGTCTGACAGCATATAATATGTTCAGTGTCTGACTTCCCCGGATTGCGATCATTCTGTGCCCAGACCGCAGGCCTCTTCATTCCTGACCTATTCCACGCATCCTACTCTCATCAATACCGTTGTTTCTCTATTTCGTTAAGCCTACCTAGTTATGTGCTTTGACCGTGGCTCTCCACCCCAGACCTATGGCTCGAAACATAGAGAGATGGTCATTGGGTATCCTTAACGACAAAGAGACAGAGGAAGTCCCCGGAACCGTCCTTCTACTCTCCTCAAACCGCAATGAACCTCTCGGCCTCGAACATCAACATGCCCGGAGGAGCTCTTCCTCTATGCCCCCGCAGCCTCTCGCTCCTCCCGTCAAACGACCCTCTTACTCGTCCAAGAAGAAAACAAGAGATGGGCAAATCATTCTGGATCCGCAACCCGACGATTCCATGAACGATCCTCTCAATTGGCCCTCATGGAGAAGAGATACTGCCTTGCTTTCCCTTGGCTTCTACTGCATGGTTGGTGGAGGAATCACGCCCCTTCTGGCGGCTGGCTTCAACAATGTTGCCGAGACGTTCCATGTGTCCTATTCAAGAGTTGCTTTGACTACCGGTCTTTATATGATGGGCCTGGGAGTGGGTAGTGTTATTTTCTCCCCTACTGCTATTCTGTGGGGCAAACGACCTGTCTACTTGGTCTCCGCGATCATGTTCATTCTCACATCGGTCTGGTGTGCTGAAGCCCCCAACTACGCCCACCTGGCTACAGCACGAGTCTTCCAGGGTATCTCCGTCAGTCCCGTGGAATGTCTCCCTTCCGCGACCATTGCCGAAATCTTCTTCTTGCATGAGCGGGCCTTTCGAGTAGGTATTTACACTCTCCTTCTACTCGGCGGCAAGAACCTGGTTCCCTTGGTGAGTGCTGTCATCATTGCCGCAAAGGATTGGAGATGGGTCTTCTGGTAAGCTTAACCCTGTGAATCTGACTGCCACCTTCTGACCGTTCACAGGGTTGTTGCCATGGTTGTGTCGTTGTGCCTATGCCTTCTGTTCTTCTTCGTGCCGGAGACCTTCTGGGATCGAACACCTCGAGCCAAATCAAGGAGGCCGACCGCTCAACGAAGCCTGTCCAGCATTTTCCGCCATCCCCTGCCCCATGCGAAACCACACCAACCACAAACTCCTTCCGCGGACCCATCTGCATTACGACTCGCAATGGAGAAAGCCATGACGCCGAGACAGCATATGCTTCATGAGCAGAATGTGCACGCCAGATTTGAAGATCCCCTGAGCGACAAGGAGGAGGATCCTGAGGTCGAGAAGTCCACAGCGACAGACGCCGAAGCTCAACGCCTTCCAGCCCATCGTGAATCAGTGAGGCCAGCCGTGTTCCCAGGTAATATGACAGACGGACCGAGCGACGAGAAAGAGAAGGAACCCATTCCGCAAGCAAGTCAGCCAGACACTCCCACCAAGGGGCAATCAGGACGGAGAAGACCCAAGCCAACAGGTCTATCTATGCCTCCGCCACCGGATCTTAGAGGGTTGAACGGGCCTTGGGACGGCACCATCAATGGCAAAAGGGTCCCGACGATTGTCTTACCTCCTACTCAAAACTTTCCGAATATTGCAGCACCCGGGGCTGCATCATCCGACGCCAACGCTTCGGTTCCGCATCTGCACAACCTCAATTCGCCCTATTACCTGGAGCTCGAAAAGAATGACAACTATCTTAATCACCATACGACACCCAACGCAGAAGTTGTTGAGGCGAAGACAACAGAACAACAAGATGATCTGACAAGAAGCACTAGTGTCGTTTCGTTGCCTGTATCTGACTTGCAAAGTCCAGTTGCATTGGAGACATCAAGAAGCCCTGACGATTATATTGGCCACCCCAAGCCTGCGCGCTATACGACCAATCTCCGTCACGCGCCTCCAAAGTCCTACGTTCAGGTCCTCAAGCCGTGGAATGGAAGATTGTCCAAGTCGAAATGGTATTTGGTGGCTTGTCGACCTTTCATCCTCTTCGCTTACCCAAGCGTCCTATGGTCGGCACTGGTCTACTCATTGTCGGTCGGCTGGTTAATTGTCCTCTCCGAGTCAATAACGGCCATCTACAAAAATCGCGACACATATAACTTCACCTCGTTACAGGCCGGATTGGTTTACATTTCACCATTCATTGGCGGCGTTCTCGGTACCGTCGTTGCAGGAAAAGTGTCGGATGTCATTGTTCGATACATGGCGCGGAGGAATGGTGGCGTATACGAACCGGAGTTTCGGCTGGTCATGGGCTTCCCTATTGCCATCACCACCGCGATCGGCCTGATGGGCTACGGCTGGTCCGTCGAAGAGCACGACAACTGGATTGTGCCGACCGTCTTCTTCGGACTGATTTCATTCGGCTGCTCACTCGGAAGCACGACGTCCATCACTTTCTGTGTCGACAGTTACCGGCAGTACGCCGGCGAGGCATTGGTGACTTTGAATTTCAGCAAGAACATCTTCCATGGCTTGGTGTTTAGTTTGTTTTTCGCACAGTGGTTGGAGGACGACGGCCCACGGACGACGTTTTTGTGCATTGGCGCCATTCAGATTGTTTGCTTGGTCAGTACGATCCCGATGTATATCTACGGCAAGAGGGCGAGGATGTGGACTGTCCGGAAGGCGTTCATGGAGAAGTTTTGATTGGTACCTTACCGCCTACTAATAGGTGGCACGGAGGGTACGGCGGTTACGGAGTTCTTTCAGGTGTGAGGGTGGGATCTTACGGCCTGCACGGGCCTGTAAAGGGAGTCGGAGTAAGCTTGTAGTTCCTCGGATACAGCCTCACAGTGCTCACGCAACCGCATCCGCATGGCGTATACCTGGGCAGTAGACTAGACCTGGCGTATGACTCTAATGACATGATATGCTTATGACGAAGAGGGCGTTCTCGATGAAGGAATAGTAAGGCACCAATAGAAGTACGGAGTACCGCCAGTAATGTCAGGATCTCTCTTTGGAAGGGGGAAGGGGTGGTGGAGGAGGAGTTTCCCAAAGAGCGTAAGGCAGATGTAGACGTAGATATCTCCCCTGTCAAGGGTGGTTATACGTATCGATGGTGTGGCGCCCTCGTGGATACCCTCTCGAAGCCACTTCAAGTAGGTCTGGGAAGCTGTCGGGGATCTTGCTCAGAGCCTTCTGCTCGAACGAGAAGAGAAGAGAAGAGAAGAGAAGAGAAGAGAAGAGAAGAGAAGAGCAGACAGTGTACTGCGACAAGATACTTGAGACTTCAGGGCGCGAACGATACAGAGGGTGGATGGCATCGTTCGGGGGGCTGAGGGCGAAGGCTTTTCATATGAGATCTGGCCTCGCCCTCGTCGCCTCTCGTGGACAGCAAAGGATGTCGACAACCTACTAGTATTTCCGCATGCGCACAGCTGGCCATCCCCAACACCATAACTCAACACTTCGTGGCATCCTCGTGCATCATCATGGTATAGTTGACCGCAGCCATTGTTCTAGAGGTATTCGAGACATGAAGGAGGCGTCAGAGGCAATGGTTGTGTCCTCTGGCGCCCTTCAAACCCGTTTCTTCTCGGGGTAGAGGGTAGACTGGCCTGGTATGAAGAAGCCTACCTAGGTTATGACCCTTTTTGTTCGAGGTTGGTTCACTTTGACCGCAGTGTCGGTCCTTACTCACCATTCCTAGAATTCAATCAGCCCTGAAGCGTAGTGCCGATCAGTCAATGCCGAAAGGAGACAGACGGGCAACTTTTATCTCCAAGATCGAAAATGGTTCCTCCCTACCTCCCGCCCTACCTCCACCCTGCGCAAGGGGCGGCAACGATGCCACTGATAAGTATGGCGCGGTTGCAACTTGCAAGAATATGGTCCCGGAACGGCGGATAGAAGTCAGAGTAGCGCGTCCTGGCTTCACCACTTTCCAGATCATCCCAGATTCACACCATAGGTTGGTTGAGCAGGAAACCTCCTACCTTGCCAGTGCACGTGCATGAAAGTGTTCCCAAAAATAGGAACGTGTTCGAATCTGCACACAGAAAAAGAACGAATGACCTCTTCGAAGGGGGTGAACGACCGAATGCAACAAACACACTATACGTAGTGGCCAAAGGGCGTGCCAGGCGGACGGATGAGCTATTACCCAGATTTTCGATGCGGGCTCGCGGGCTGTTGCTGATTGCGCCGTGAAATATGCGACCACTGTCCAATCTTGGTTGAGGGCGCTGGATGATATACTGTATGGGTGGTTGAACATACCTAGGTAGGCTCCCGCGAGAAGAGCCACTACAGTACAGTACGTGTTGGCTCCTTCGAGGATTTGCTAAGTTAGTTTACAACTTAGCAGAGTGCTAGATGTGGTTGGGCGTTCTTTCTATGTCGGCATGATGCTGGCTTCTGTGTATATATTACGTAGTAGTACATACTTGATGGAGGACCAGGCAGACTGGGCTGGTGCCTGAGTCATGGCCGTCGGCGAGCTATAATTAGAACGACCTAGATTGCTCCGTCCAATGACTCTGGTTGTGGAAAGGTAAATAATAACGCGTTTTATCTGACAAGTACATCCTTTGTGCCTTTCGGATCCTGTTGTGGTCGCGTGGGACACTTCCTGACCCTCGGCGGCTTGTTACTACGTAGGTTAGCGAGGCGTAGGTAGCCTGGCCTGGTCAGTGGTAGCCGGACTGTTGGGATTTGACTTCTGGTTCCTCGCCCTTCGCGGAATCTCTACGAGTACCGTAGCCGTGGAGAAATGGGGGGACATGGTGTCCATATCCAAAAGAAGTCTTTACGTAGTAATCCCGGAGAGGTGCCATTTCGCGAATACTGTTAGGACAAGTACATAGTATGATCAGCATTTCTCGTTTGGACCGGAAATCGCCAACCGTGACTAAATCGGTCCCAAGCCGAGGGATTTTCTTCTCAATAGAATGTTGCCCGGCGCAAGGCAGGCAGACGACAGACACGCCTTTTCCGCGCAGACCTACTTGTAGAGTTTCGCGCACGGGATGAGGCACGTGGGGGAATCTGGGATTGTCCCACCCTAGGCTCACAAGATTTCCCTCGTCGACGGTTGCACTACTGCAGGTCAAGAGGACCTTCCTAGAATGGGTTGCAGATATGAGGCAGGGCGAACTGGCAGACAGATTCGAAGGCGAACCAGGCAGAACCCAATCTGACCACCAAGGTAGGTATATAGATTGGAAATCAACAATGGCCCAGAACTGGATCGATTTTGCTTGGCCCCTTTGCGGAGTACGTAGTATTGCAATCCGGACACAGTGGACTGGCACACGAGTCGATGTCGGATATGGTCGCTTAGGAGCAGTGCCGAAAGACCAAGCTGTAGGACGATCGCCTTGCATGTCGTTATGGTAGACTACGTAGTAATGTTTGCGGGCTGTGACGGGAGACAGGAAAAGGGTGTCCGAAGGGGGGTCATCTGACTCCCAGCGCCGTCTCGACCCTGCCGTGCCTGCTCAGATGTAGGCAGCAAGATAAAATACCTCGTACGTATTATTCTCGCAGCCTTGGGATCGGAATATTGTGGGAGTCCCGGGCCGACAAGCGTCGTCTGGAAAGGGCCTGTCGAGCTGTTAAACGTTTAGTGAGTCCTCTTCCTTGTAAAAGGTTTCCAGCGAGGCGGCACTGGATCAGGGGGGCCGAATACTGGCGTCGACTTTAGTAAACTTCCCTAGCAACACTTTCTCGCTTGTTGTCTCGATGCGGACTGGCCTGTGCGTTTGCAGGGGTCATGATGGGTCCAACAATAATGACACAACTCGGTTGCTGCAGGCAGTCTTTATGAGTCGAAGTCTTATTATTGCTTCAAGTAGAGGCTTTTTCTGGTCCTGTCAACATCAAAGCTATTTCCCCAAAGAGGATAACGATGTAACGCCAATGGTCCAGCATGACTACATCTTGGTGAACCCTGCAATCTTGGGGCACGTCGACTATTCCCGTTCGATGATGCAAATGGCTGTCCTTGTCCACCTAGCGATTTCGGTATAGTACAGGGCACGGTAGTGTCTGTATGCCTGCAGGTTGCTGGGTATAACTACTCCGTAGTATAGCCCCTTTGCCACGTCTAGGACTTTGGAAACAGACATCTGTGTGGCGATTCATCCTTATTACTAGCATCTTTCAAAGAACAGGTGCGTCGTTCATTGGACCATTTGCATTCTTTGATACGTGTCCGACACGACATTCGTACTTTTGCTGTCGTCGGCCAGGCTGTGCCTGTGGAGGACAGGGGACGGTATCAGGCCTGACTTAGTCTCAGGCTTCAGCATTGCAGATATCCGCTTGGTGGAGCGGCATAAAGTCCTTGTAAGGGTTTGAGGCAGGCTCATGGTCGTGGCTTCATAGCTTCTCACAGTCAGTCGACAAGCATTTGTTGCTGATAGACTGCCACGCTTTTACTTGGAGTCTTGCATTGTTATGGACGAGAGTCGATCTGGAAAATCCCCTGCATACGATCAGCCATCAAACGAAGAAGAGCGCCGGAGAACATCTGGTTCTGGGACACCCACCGTGCATCGAAGGTCGTCCGAGAGAAGCTCACACGACAACCGACAGAGAAGTCCTCTCACCTTCGAGCCTGAGATTATCCTAGAAAATTTTGCCTTTGAGGACACAGATCCTTGGAGTGACCGTCGATCCACAAGCCGAAGTCCGCAAAGCACTGGACGGTGGTCGCCTGTAAAGCAAGACAAGGGCAAAGACAAAGAACGAGCAATGAGTAGCGGAGCGGGAGGATCGTTGCAATCTGGCAGGGACACCACGAGCTCTCCCAGGAATGAGCGAAGAGCCGAGCCATCGAGAACGAACAGCGCAACTAACACCAATGTATCCCGACAAGGATCAGAAGGGGCAAGAAGCCAAGGCAATGAGAGAAGCGATCAGCGCACAGGCAGTGGCAGTGGCAGCAATCGATCAAGGCTGGTGTCGGGGGTTTTTGTGAGATATTGATGGACGGGGGTCGCAGAGTCACCCGGATGACATGCTTCATGATACTCCTCTTCGCTTTTATAAGCACGAGATATACCTGTATTCTTAGTCAACTCCTTGCGTAAGAGATATTAATACGATGTATTGCTCTGGATCGACTGAATGATGCATGAAAGGCCGCTGGAATGGCTGTCCTCAAGGATCTGTAGCAGTTCTGCCCAAGGTTCCAACAATTCACACACTATCAGCGCAGGATCTTACATCTCTCAGTAATCTGACAACGGTCCTCCCACAAAACCTCTATGAACCACTGCAGTAGTTGCAGGGCTCCATCGCGCACCCAGCTTGCCTTGGTCTAAATTACGTACGCCTCATCCGAGCCCATTTTCTTGTCCCGCCCAAAATCATGTGTATCGTGTCTGTGGCGGAATCTTCGTGATCTCATTGTGGCGGACTTTGCTGTTGTGTCAAATTCCGCTTCATTTGTGGCATACCTGGCACTGGCACGCGCTGAAGCTGCGGAGGAGAATGCAGTTGCTGTGAGAAAGCGTTACCGGGCACATATCGACTTGGACTGGCACTGCTCGCTGATGGCGATGCCGTTGGTGCATTCGGTTGATATGATTGTGGTGACATAGGTCTGGCCGAGGCTTGCGCGTAGTTCAGAGGTGCCACATTGGTCCAGCCTTGCTGTGATGCTGAGGGGTGAGCCATTGCTTGGTTTCCGTCTTCGAAATAACTGACTCTCTCCGGTTGCGAAGCCTCCATCGGTACTTGGGGTGACGGTTCAGCGATGCGAGGGATGGTACGGGAGCCCAAACGAGCGACGTCAGAGCTCTCTTCCATGGACAGACCACTGTGACGAGCTGCGCGGCGACGGCCAGTAGTGGACTCACGTTTCAACAGGTTCTTCACCTCTTCCACGTCCTCCGATCGTTGCTTGTTCAGAAGAAGCTCTTGATGTTGGTCGAGTGGTTCTGCTGGGTCGACGGCGACGTCACGTTTGGTCAGATGATCCATAGCCGCGGCCTCCTTTGCTTCCACTCCTGTTGACATTCCAAGGTAGTCTGTCTTCCTGGAATCGGTCTTTTCCAGACCCTTCTGGACCCGATTCTGTGGTTTCAAGGGCACCAGTCTGTTCTTGTCTTGGTTCTCGTCAAACTCGTCCTTGTTTTTCTTTGCAATATCATCGGTAATGGCCACCGAATAGGTTGGGTTGGCTCTGTCGCCAGCAGCAGGACCACCACCACCGGGTCCATACAGAGGGATCTTACGCAACGCCAGAGTGAGCGCGCACATAAACTTGCTTCTTCTGGCAGCTCGGACTGATTCGTTGGCCCAATTAGACTTGTGGCGGATCTCGAGTCTCAACTCCATCTTGCTCTGATCAGCTATATCGAGGACTTCGATGTCAATGTCGGGCTGGAAGTCACGAGCATTATCCTTGTCGCGAACGAAATTCGTCATCTCTTTCTTCAGCAGGTCGATATCCTCAAAGGTGGTGTCAAAGGCGACAAAGATGCTAATTTGTTCCCGCATGGCTTTGCTTCGAGAAACGTTGTCGATCCAGTTCGAGTTGAGTACAATATTAGGAACTTGCGTCCGTTTCTGGTCCTTGACGCGCCGGAACACAGTATATAGTAGAGACATACGCTCTACCACATACTGGTTATCGCCGACATCGACTCGGTCGCCCACATCGAAAGGATGCTTGACGAACAGAAAGATGCAAGAGCCAAGGACCTCCTGGGCGGTGACTGAGAAGACGAAGGACATCGAAAGAAGCGCGGTACCTGCTGTTGCAAGAGTCGTCGTAAAGTTCTTGTTGAGCCAAGCAACGAAGATAAAAATGACAGCCACAAACACGACGGTGCACAGTAGGCTATCGAGCACATTGATGGCTTGGTCGACGTCGTGCATGCTGCTGGCAATTGATTGGCGTTCCCGACCAAACTCGGTGACACGAAGTATCATTTCATCCAGTGAGATGTCGCCGTTGGAGTCCACATCCAGAACCTCGAATGCCTCGTGCGCTTCGGCTTCTTGTTCAGACCCGAGCACATCAACGAGGTCGTCAATGCTCAGCGCATCCTTGCCTTCGAGAACAAATGACATCCAAATCCGCTTAGCGAGAGCCTCGGCCGAATGTTTCCTCTCCAGGGCTTGCACAACGACAGAGTGTGCAGCAGTTGGGTTAAAGACTTTCTTCCCTGTGATTTCTTGGGCGACGTTGCCAAAGGCCGACGTGACTTTATCACCCACTCTGGCAACATTTTGGATGAGCCTCATAGGCGTGGCAGACCCAGATCTCTTGTGTCCTTTGAGGAGAAGGCTGCTTCGTTTGCTGGCATCGGCAAGGTCAAGGATATCGGTGATTAAGTAGTCTTCTTCAAGGAATTCTCGCGAATACATTGGGAACATTTTTCGAGAAGCCTGATACAGCAGAGTGAGGAGGTACACGTGCCTCTTGGACTCCTTGATCCTGTCGTCGAATTGCTTCCGGTGATAGCTGATGGAGAGAAGCTGAATGAGGAACTTCTCGCCTAGAAAAACCAATGTTGAAAACAGGGTGGCGAAGAGGATATCCTTGATAATGGACTCCCATGGCTTAAGGCTTGTCTCCCCACGTGCTCTCTGATCCGGATTCAATGTCATGAGTGGAACAAAGGTCGTGAGCGAGGTGACAGCCCAGCCGACTAAGGACAGGGGGATTTCGAGAGCAGCAAGTACGAGAGCGTACTTTCGAGTGCCAGAACTGACCACGCCGCTGAAAAATTGGAAGAGGTAGGGCAGAAATCTGGCCACCAATTTTGACACCCATAGAGACACCCACAGCACTTCGATCCATGTGAAGAACCAAACGATCTTGACTCCTCCGATTCTTGCCTTGGGAGCGACAGAGGCGCCAATTACGATAGGGACGGCGATTGCCAAAGCCAGAGGGGCCACGTATATGAAGTAGCGGGTAAGGACCGAAGCATTGTAAATTTTCTTGTAAAGTCTGCCGACTGCATTGAGAGTGCCATCGTCCTTGGTCTTGTTCTCCATTCCTTGCTCTTTGTATCTTCTTCGTCTACCGCCAGGTCCATTGTGAAGGTGGTGTCCGTGTAGGTGTCCGGTCTTCTCGTCCATCTCTTCAGGCAGATCTGCATCTTGTTCGGCATGGCTTGGGGAGAGGTCTGGACGCCGGGCACCAGTAGCGCTGTTGCTGGTGGCCACACGGGTCATAGGAATATCGATCGTAATGTCGTTGGGGTTGGTCATTTCTCGAGATGTTTTGTGTGTCAGTGGTTGGAATCCGTCTCGGGAGAATCTCTTGTAATGAACTTTTTGTGACATGACCTTTGTGGGTGATGTCACCGGGGGTCAAGGTGTGTGGGCGGTGAAGCCCAAGTGAAATTGGTCTATTCAGCCAAGTGACTCTGTCGACAAACACGGATACTCTGCCAGAGAGGTGTATGCTGGTTGGAATCGAAGCAGTCTCACAGAGTGCTGCAGTCGGGTATGTCAAGCGAATGAACCTGGAAATAAGGAGAATTGACTCGGCAATGTTGTACGACGAAGTGGTCAACGAATGTGGTGGTTGCGTCGAGGAATGAAACAATGAAATCGAAGCAGCCTGTGAACAATGAAGAGCGAGTGTGAATATGTGTGGGAAGCAGAAGGAAATGAATCGTGAATGAAAATGAATAGAAAGAATGAGGTAGTATTGGTTTTCTCGAATGCTCTACCTGTACCCTTACCTCCCCACCTGCACCCTGCTAGATGCGTACATAGTATACCGTGATCGAATTCCCAATGCGTCGGGGTGTGATGATTTTTTCGCAGGTGAAGGAATTGGTTATGACGAGGAGGATCTGGTGGAGTCGTAAAGACTGGAGAAAGAACGCGGGCCCTTTCCACCTTTCTTTGTGGACGAGGGAATAATTAATTCAGGGACACTCGGAGCTTCCTGGCCACTCATTGCCTGCGCTCTGCCTGCGCCTCGTCAACCGACTGGCTCGGTATGCGCGTCAATGGTCCTCTGGCACCTGGAATTGGGGCATACTGGCCCTGGGCACCCACTGGGACAGGGAGCTCACAGGAGTCGCCTAGCAGCTACCGTTTGTGGCACCGGCTATGGCTGGAACTGATACACCTTCTGAAACACGACCGTGCCACCTGCAGCGAGAGACTTGCTCAATGCTCACCCTGACGCCCGAAATATCTTTTGGCTCATGATGGCTCTCAATCCATTGCTAATAGATGGAGACCGCAAGGACAAAATGTTTGTCTGTGCATACCACGCATGCTCAGCTCAATGCAGGTCTCACAAAACCTCAAAGGCAGTGCACACGTCCTCTGTCCTCGGTACATTGCTACGTACTGTGTCGGATCGTCACGGATCGCCCAACAATTTCAGGTCACTGGCGATCGAAGCGATCCCCAAGAGCTCGGTTCCGAGATCCTTGTTCATCATCTTATCCGTGACATTCAGGCGACCTCATGCTTCAGATAATGCTTGTGTGCCGACTGGATATCTCCCAACATCCTCTTCCACATCTTTTCTCTCCGCTAGGGGACGTCTTGTCAGGCGGATCGATCTTCGAGAAGTTTGATTAGACACCCGATACATGGAACCGAACGACGGATGGGTGCAACCATTGGGTTGTCCGATGACTAATTCGACACGTCTGTGTCACTCGCTCTCCGGTTCTTGCAACCTTACAATCACGTCCGTCTTCGACGCTACCAACCTTTTGCCATCAATCTGGAGGCATGGCTAAATCATGCGTCGACCAACTGTGTGGTGGTACCATCACGCATCTGCTAGGGAATGACTGTCCCATCGTTTGCCGCGCCAGTCATGTTTGCACATCGTCATAGTGATGTCGTATTATGTTCTAACTATCATTAGGAACGCATCTGCAATATCATATGTATGTCCTCTCGGTTATTGCTTGTAACATCTAGCATTCTTCACCATTGTCTTCAAGGGATCCCACCAGCCGGCGGCGTGATGTTGAATCCAATGTCCGCACCCCATGCCAGGCTGTTGAATTCGACATACTGCTGCGTGATTTGACTCATCCCATCGACCGTGATCAAGGTCATTCCCCTGACTCGATTCGCACCTGTTCCAATTCCAAGGAACTCCCATTGCCAAACCATCTGGTTACAGCCGTGGACAATGGCGAGTGTGTTTATCTGAGGGATTGGCGGCGTGGACAGGGTGTCATTGATGTAACGTTGCTTGCCATTTTCGACGATTGTACCAAGCTGTGCTATGTCAATATCCATGCCCCATCTCGGTAGGACATGCAAAGCAAGAGTATGGAAAGCGAGTTCGATCAGGCAGGGTGGGCAAAGTGGACAAGATCAACTGCAACAGGGTCTGTATGGGAAAGATGAAGGCAGGCTTACAGCATCGCCCCGAAGCGAATTGATGGAGTCGCCGTACTCGGTGATGTTGTTCGCGAAGAGTCCTTGAGCAGTCATATTGGCCTCGGTGACATTGAGATGCTGCAGGAAGATGGTGGATCGGTCGGCGATGGACTTGGCGTCGGCGTCGGAAAGGCAAGACCAGGCTTGAACAAGGGATGCCCACAGGCCAACACTGGCCGCAGTGGCGAGGAATCTCATCGTAGGTCAATTGAGACTGATACTCAGGTACGAGGGAGATTAGCGGGAAGAGGAGGTGCCAGATTGTCAAAGTGGCCGTGAGGTCACTTATGGTTTGGAAGAATCATCCCTCAAAAGCACCAGCTCTCCCGTCAGTCGAGGGTGCCTGTACCTGATCGGCTACCGGAGTTCCTGGAAACTCATCAGAAACCCATCCCAGCAAGCCCCGTCTGAGACATTCTGAACAAATACTCGCTCGCTAAGGGAGTCTTGATGTCATATATATGCTGCACCTTGCCAGTCACAACGGCGACAGCAACCTTAAAGCCACACCGTGCAGAGGGGTTGGCGGCAGTAGTGTACAGGTTGTCTGCGTGTTGTACCCCGGACCATTGGACACGTGCTTGCAACGACGGGTTTGCGGAGAATTAATCGACATGCAGATGTATGTGAACGAGCGGCATGAGGAGGCTGGAATCCCTGAATGTTCGCATCATCATCTTCTTCAACCGCCCTTCTGATTGGGTGCGTGCGATGCTTCCCATCAAATCGACCGTGATACCGCAGATTTTGGACAAGGGGCCATCACCTTCAGCCGAGGTCGCAACCAATCATTCACCCGTTATGCAATCAAAGATCGCTATCGCTTGACCAACGAGGCGCTGTAGAGACCAAAAGCAGCACCCATCGAGACCGTCTTGGTTTGTCCCCGGAAATATCACATCTTCCCGGGACAATAGTTCGCACAAGCTTCGTTGAAAGCATTGCCTTTGTCCATGTTGGAGACAATGCTTTGCGGGCCCATACCTTCATGCTCGTGGTGTGTCTTTGTCTTCAAACAGGCGGAGTCAAAGAGAAAGACCGAATTCCACATTGGCTTTGACTGACGATGTTGGTCCTTTGTTACCAATGGGTACAATTTGTTGCATTGTCATTCCTTGCCCTAACACTGCTTCCGGCAATCTATGCCAGACGGACTATTTAGGGACCCAATGGTCTGGCAGGTTTGAGATAGTTATCATCCTCGAATAGATATCAGCGTTCAGCTTCTTGGCAAATCGTTCGTAGGTTTTCGACCACTGCCCACAACACCCTTTCAACATGTGCTCGTGCGTGATAATAGTCACTCGTTTGATCTGTGAGCGGTGCGCCGAGCACGATGAGATCACTCTGGTCAAAGGGAACTTCTTCAGAGACAATCCAGAACGGGCAGTCAGTCTCAGCAAGGGATGTTATGATCACCATATGCTGGCGCTCCCACGAAAGAAACAGTTCAGAAACAAGCTGCGACATTATTCAGGCTGTCCGAGCTGTCACCAACGCAAATCTGGGGCCCCACCAAACGGACCGGTCCAGAATGCGGGTAGAAGCTCGCGACCCGAAGCGTCCCCAGCACAGAATCGGTATGGCTCTCGTGAGCAAGAAGTCATAGCCCAGAGCACGCTTGGACCCGGAATTAATGTGCCAGGTAAGTCAGGAGGTGAATCTCAGCGTCGACGAGAGTATATCCGACAGCCTCAGCCCAAAGGTCAGGTTCTCGGAGACCAAGGGATGGTTTTGGCAGGCGAAGAATACCCTGTCCGACGGGCACGTTCTGGAGTCAATCGAGGAGTCAAACGCTCTGATGAAGGACAACAGCGACCTCAATCGTCCCCTGGTCAAGGACGAGCGGCGAAACAGCAGAAGAAGAAGAAGCAAAGATTGGCGAAGATGTTGCAATGGCTCTCACGGTGAGTCCAGGATACGAGAAACTGTTGCTTAGGCTCTTCAGCTAGTCCAGAGCGAGGTACTAACGTATTGTCCGAGTAAGAGTGTGATAGCCACGAATTGGCACGAAGGTAAGCTAGTTTTAAATATCGAATAGACTGTTGAAGAGTTCCCACAAGTGTATCCCATGGATCTGAGATTCATCACGTCCGCAGCAATGTGGCCCCAGGGTTCCTAGGTTTGGGTGTGCACATGTTCGCCAGGCCCAAGTTTCCGGCTCCCTTCGTTTATAATTTCCCCCTTTTTCGGCCATTGTTGCTACCTAAAGGACGTAACTTATTATTACGGATTAGATGCCTATGGCTCATTCAAGGACAAAGGGGGTTGCTATATGTGGCTTCAAGATTCCATTCCAGATGACATCGACTCATTGATGAAAACATCAGGTTTGGAGTCAATGTCATCTATAAGGGTTCTGACGTACGGCTATAATTCACGTCTTAACAACAGCCATTCGTTTCAAACAACAGAGGATCTTGCCAACCGTTTCCGAAGCTCTCTTCGAGCAGTAAGAAAAGTAACTCCTTCCACCCGGCGTGCCGATGAAGTTGGTTAACATGCCACAAGGGAGATCTGAATCAAAGGTACCTGATCCTCATCGGCCACAGTCTATGTGGCTTGGCCATCAAGGAAGTACGTGAGTATCCCAGCAGTCTCCACAAATGTCTAAGCTCTTAATAGGCGATCATACAAATGAGTCAAGGCGATAAAACGGACAAAACAAATGTTGACGCCATCCTTGGATGTCTTTTCTTCGGTGTTCCAAACCGTGGGATGGACATCTCGTCGTTGATCCCTATCGTTGGTGAAATGCCTAATAGTGTTCTTTTGCACGCTCTAGGCAAGGACTCCGAAGTCCTGATGAAGCAGTCATGGGAGTTTCGGGAAGCCCTGCCATCGGAGATCACCAAAATATTCTCCTTTTACGAGACTATGGAGTCCCCAACGGTCATCAAAGTAAGCACGGCGGGGAAGTGGTCGGTTTGCGAAACCAATCCAGGCTAATAATGTTACAGGTCGGCGATGTCTGGAAAATGGAAGGCCCGACAGCGTGCCTGGTCAACCAGGAGTCAGCAACCCATGGGGGGGCGTGGGAAAATCGCAATCGGTTCGTTATAGCCTTGAACCGCAGCCACTCTGAACTGGTCAAGTTTCGGAAGCATGAGGAGGACTACGAAATCGTCCTTGATCGGATCAATGAACTCTTGCAGGAAATGAAAAGAAGGGAGAGCGGAGCTCGCGAGACTGAGGATTAGCCAAGGACGGTAGACTTTCGTTTACTTTCATTTTTCGTCTGCCCAAGTTTCGACGTTTGGATATTCTCTCGTCCAGGACATTGTCCTTCGTTCCAAGTTGCGATTGAAACGGAGGGTTTGGAACAAGTGAAATAGGAAGACAGTGATGAAAGTCCATCCATCCACACCAAGGGCAAAAATCACGGGTATCGCGACGCAGAGGATCGCAAACCCTATGTAGATAGACTGATACCCTGGCTCTTTACCCGAGCGTCCCGTGGCGAGCCCAACTTGGGGTGCAGAGAGCACCGTGGAAAGGAAGATGAAAACGATGATAAGCCACCCGGACGAACGATCGAAAAACGACCCGTAGGTCCTGTAACCCAGACCATATCCACGAAGCAGGTGCTGATGGACGAACTTGGGCGACAATCTGTATATCTGATTGAGCCGTTTCAACTCAACTCGCCAAATGCAAAAGCGTGTGTTGGGCGTGCTCGATAGTATTGGGGTTGATCTGTTGCATAACGTTCCTCACTAAGTCATGCCACCGCACCCACTGCGCACACTCTGAGAGCAACCGAATTTGCTTCGCGATCTCGAGGTCGATCTCATACCGAACGAGCCATATATACGAGAGAAACAGCCCCCACGCGTTCTCGTACAGCGTGACGTCGTCACAATATCTCGCGCCAGGGTACGTTAGCGATGTCGAGGGCGAGCAGGCACCGGTCGCCAGTCCACCAAAGACTACCGTGTGCCTCGTTTAGTCGAGAAAGTTCCAGTTCTTCTAAGAGGTGTCGTCGAATCTAGTCGGCGACTGGGTTGCCAGCGAATTCGATAAGGGCAGAGAGACACTCAAACATGAGTTATCCAAGGTTAAATCACGTATTCATGTCAGCTTTGCAGCCCAATATTGGGAATTTGTGCGCATTTCTTCAACGATATGTACGAGCTTGTGCATCCTGTCTGCGCTTCGTTACTTAGCAGGAAACCATACTGGCCTAGTCAGGCAGAGGTAATCGAAGCCGTGATGTACGAATTCGGAATCGTTGACAAATGGGGTGTTTGCGTCGCCGACAACGCTGATAACAATGACACCTAAGATGCTACAGTGCCTATTGCAATCGCATCGACAGGGAATATACACCATTAAACTCGACCCGGCGCGAAACAACTATCCACCAGCCAATCAGGTGGCGGCAGCGAGAGTCGATTCATGAATCGATTTTTCACCAGAAATTCTATACTAAGACGCTAATCTAAGGCAAGTTTTGAGTTCACCAACCAGTTACCGACGACGACCACTGCTCCTCTCACCCCTGAAGTCAGATCCGCCGCTGAGTCTGCTTCTTCCCGAAGTTCTGGCGGCCCGAGCTGGCTCGACCTGGGCGGCAAACCGGTTCGTCGTTCCCACTGGAACAAGACCTTTCCTCTCGAGACTGCCAAGAACTTCGACAGTCCACCGTTGGCAACGCTGCATGGGGATCGATGGCGCAGACGCACGTAGCTTTCCAATATCCTTTTCCACGATTCGACCCAATAAACTGTTTGCTGGCGACTCCGAAGGAATCCATTCTCTTATTGGCTTGGATTCTGAGAGCGTATCCTCGGGTCGGGTCGCCTTCCACGTGATACCATGTGCAATGTTGGGAGCCTTGTGGGCGGACGATGAGGATCCAGTGTAAAGGGTCATTGGTTGGTCGCCTGTGACAAAAGCCGACGTATATTTCCGGAGTCTGCGACCTGGTACAGATACTTTGAAATAGTGGTTATACACAGAAAAATCGATACTCGGAATGATATGAAAGTATAATCGCAAAGCTGAGGCCATGCAGCATTGGGGGACACATAGCACAAAAAATGGACGCTTCATGCCTGTGTTGAGCGACTCGAAAAGGAATGTTGTAATTTCAGTGCAAGGGCCTTGTGCTGCTTGTGGGAAGTCAGGCCCGAGATACCAGGTACTCAGTAGCAGCTGGGTGGCAACGAGGCTGGAGGTTCCGGGAGACCGTAGGGAACGGAAGGTGAACCGAGGGTGAGGTACCTGTAGTTATGTTCATTAGCGCCTTGGCACTTGTCTACACACGACGTCTCCCGATCGAGACTTGATTTTGATCGTCCACTATCGTCCTGGCATGAACCATCATTACCATCACAGAATCGTGTCACTACTCCCCTATAGCATCGGATGACAAGATTTCCCTCACTCTACGAGCTGCCTTGTGCAGTTCGACAACGAACCTTTCTGTTTGGCCGACCTCGCCGAGGCCGCTGAATTTTACTCTGCAAGCAAAGTCAGGAGCTGGAATTCCTCATGCAAGGTGCAACTCACCTATCAGCATCAACCTCAAAATGCAGCCAAATCGAGTCATCGTCCCGTTGAACGCAGCCATTCTCTGCCATATGCGTCTTGAAGCAACTGCTCATGATCTTTCTTGGGCGGGAGCGCATATACGCCGGATCTTTGTACAATTCCGGATCTTCTTCGCCATCCTTGCTGATCTCTCGGAGTAGAGAGAGGAAACGATCGGAACCCCCCGATCTGGTAACGGCTAGGATGTTCCCTGCATGCCTTCGAGCTGCTTCGGTGAACTTCCGCTTGCAGACAGACAACGGCTCTCTACCATCTGTTACGGCCTGCACAAAATCTGCAACTTCTACGGTAACGACTTGATTGATCTCGACTCGGCCTTTGTGGAAGATTGTCTGTAAGACGGTCTCCCAGCATGATGGCAAATACCCGAAGAAGTATCGAGAAGCCAGTTGGACGATAAGCTGGTAGCCGCTGTTGGGAGCCACTTTGTGCTCCCTCATGAAAGTCGAACCCAAGTCAAATGACGTGAAAAAATGACGCCGTATGGCGATCGTCTTGTGGTACCATGTCATCACACGATGCACATTGGAGTCAAATCCATCAAACCCAGTATGCTCGACTTTTTCGACTGACATGCCGTGGCCGTTTCTCTTGACGGTGCTCGGCTCATGATTCTGTATGGCGGCGGCTATTGCCAAGTTGATGTCCGCTACGGTTGGCGCATCGAGACCTGTGTGATCGGCCAACATGCCGGAAACACCATTTGAACATACGATATACTCGACGCTTTTATCAAACCATCGATTTGATCCGTCTCCGAAGTGGATCTGGCGTGCTCGCTCTTCCGCAGTTTCCGGGGAGCCGTCGTCCAAACAAATGATGAAAGCGGAAGCCTGAATTGTGCGCATGTAATTCGCATTCTGGTTGCTGTTCTCGACGAAGGCCTGATAGTTTCTAGCCCAAGAAGTCCGATGCTCGCCCGACAGTATACCAAGCCAATCAATGTCTGTTGAGCCAGACTTCAAGATTTTTGTGAAGGTGGCTTCAAGCGAAGCAAACGTGTTGCCGACAGGCAGGCCACCGTAATCAACTCGATATATGTGTCCCTTTCTCAGAACCACGAAGAAGTCGTTCGCTGGGTGGCGTGCGAAAGCGTCCAGTCCTGTTTTCGGTTGCCGACAAGCATTGAACAAGTTCTTGTACAGATCCATGCATAACGGTTGCTCGTTCATATGTCGTGGCTTGATGACGCCGTTATCCAGGTTTCTCTTGTATTCAATCAGCGTGGATGCAATCAGTGCTGCGCGGTCTGCTTGCGTATGCTGCACTTGGCTCTGCGGATGTGTGAAGAAGAACAGCATGTACGGTGCTAATGGGCCCTTGCGCGACAGGTACTGGTTGTTCAGGAACAGATCGTGGTACCAGTTCTCCGGATCATCCGCTTTCATTCCCTCCATTCGCTCATAGAGGCGGACGCCCAACCCCCCTTCTGCTTGAAAATCTTGAGCCAGGCGCTGGGTACGCCCGTATTCTTCGTTCGAAGCAAAGGGTCGCACACCGGACAGGTGCTTCTCCACTAAGTCACTGAGCTTCGGTAACGGCAAAGGAGGTGGCAATGGCTGAGCTTCGACTTCAAGTGGAAGACCGTTCTCATGAGCGGGCGGGCATGGAGAAGCCCTCAGCTTGTGCCCATTCATGACCGCGGTACCATTGTTGGCGATCTCATGATTAATGAGCTTCGAGCGCAGGATGATAAGATTTATGAGATCATGCAGGCTTGACGCATCCAGAATTTCCGTGGTCTGCATTGGCGCTTGCAGTGTGCGCACAACCCAATTCTTAAACTCTATCGCCAACAGCGAGTCCAATCCAATGTCTGCAATGGGAGAGTCGAGGCGTATGTCTTCGCAATCAACAGCACAGAAGGTGGCAAGCTGCTCGCACACCGCTCCCTCGACCAGCTTCCTTACTGCTCCAGGGTTGTTGTTTAAAGCCAAGCTTTCGTTCAACGTGGAGAGCTGTGGGCCGTTTGAGCCAGAGCCTGACGTTGCCGCGACTTGTGGGAGGTCACTGAAGATGGCATTGCTTTCGTCTGGCTGGATTTGTCCGCGTCGAATCATGACAAGTTCCAGCGGTCTGGCGCTCCCCTCCGCAGTACTCAGACAATACTCGAGCAACGCAGCGAGTTCCTGGGGTAGTCTTGAGGTGCCCTGGGCGGACGGAAGCAGGTTGTCCTCGAACGAGTCGGCTATGAAGGGTACCCGCAGCACATGCTCCCGCATCTGGTGTCGTGGGAGACCATCCAACCTCACATTTGTGGGGCACAAATGCTGCATTGATCTCACGGCCGCCCCTGAAGTCAGTGGATGCTGCGATATCGTGATCATGAAGTCCAGAGCCTGACTTGCTCCGGCTTGCTGAACAAAAGGACTGCAGTGCTGCGTGTCGAACCTATTCATTGGGCCCTGACCATCTGCATTCAGCGTTGTTGGCTCAATGTTTATTATACCCGCCAACCTCCCACGATATGACACAAGTGCTGCTTCCGCTTGCACGTGGTCTCCGACGTCGATCTGAAGCCATTCGCAACAGGGACTCAAGTCCTGCTCGCAACCCAATATTTTGGTTTGCCGGCCTTGATCGCCATTGTTGTAAACGATGCTTATGATCTTTGCTGCACCACAGTCTGCAAGAAAACCACAAAGACTCCTGTTGATCATGTCAGTGCCACCAATGACAGCGTAGCACGCGTTGGGTCTGAGAGTCCCCACTACTGATGGCGACGATAAGACTTGCCGGACAGCAACATTTTCTTCCACAGTCAAGATCACTTTGCCAACGCATTGCTGGGTATTGACAAGTCTGAAGGCCTTCTCAAGTTCCGTAACAGGTAGGGAGATCGTACTAGGCTTCGTGATCGAGCCTGATTTGTACATCGCCATTGCCTTCATGAAAGCATCTCGCAACTTCATAGGCTTCTTTGTCTTCAAAGACTCCATGCTGAGGGAAGAGTACAGAATGTCCTTATCGAGGTGTGGCAACGAGAACTGATCCCCAGACAATCCAGCGTCGACGATGACTGCTGGATCTGCTAGAAACGGCTTGATTGCATCAACAAGGTCTCTGGAAGCGCAATTCAGGACGACGTCGATACCTCGTCCACCTAATTGGTGCTCAAGATGCTCCCGGAAAGCCCATGTCCTGTGCAAGGCTATGCAATGTTGACTCAAACCCTGCGCCTCGGTCAGCAGATGTGCTTCTTGCTGGCTTGCTACAGTGGCAAGGATATCGGCCTCAAGGTTTTGAGCAATGGATATAGCCGCTTGTCCCACAGCTCCAGCGCCACCGAGTATGAGGATGCAGTGCGACTTCTCTAGTTGGGCGATATTCATCAGGGCGTGATATGCGATCACGAAGGCCTGCGGAACAGCTGCGCCTTGCTCGAAAGATATAGAATCCTCGATTGGTTGCACGAACTCATGATGCACTTTGGCGGTGTTAGCGAATGGCGGTGCTCCCAACCCACAGACGCGGTCGCCGAATTTGTATTGTAACTGGAGATCAGCTCCAACCTCGACGACTACTCCCGCAAATTCTCCTGTCATTGAGTTTGAAGGGCTCGCTCGTCCCATGGCAACTGCGACGTGGCTGGTATTGACAGCATGTGCGTATATCTTGACTTTAAGCTCGTCAGGTGCGGGAGGACTCTCCGCGGTTTTGTTCGGCACGAAACGTGCGCTGCTCAACAGGCCGGGAACTCTGAAGTCTAATGTCAAAGCATGCTCGCCATGCAGCTTGCCCACCTCTTCAAGCTCCTCTCCAAAGCTCGCTCTGATTCTGCGCGTGGACGCATCGTGCTGGCGCAGCCTTGGGACCAGCAACCTCCCCTCTCGATATTCGTACCTATAATCTCTAGCGATTTGATCTTCTGGCCTGAGAAGTGACCTGTGGATCACCTCTAACATTGTCTCGGCGAAAGCCTCAGCGCTTGTGATCGGATCAGCGTATCTCAGCAACACAAGATTTGCACCTTGCCGTTGCAGCATATTAGGTGCCAATGGCTGCGGTACCTGATTTGTATCCTGGGAGATGTCACACCATAAGACGTGTTGACTCCGAGTGCCGTTCATCAATACTCTTGATGCCAATTGCTCAGGTGCGACTTCGTCCGTCACGATTACTTGAACCGAGTCTTCGCCTGGACCCCGGACTCCCAGCTCCAAAAGGGGGACTTGTACTTCGGCATGTTGGCGCAGCAGTTCGGTGGCGTTCGCAAGAATCCCACGTATCTGCTCATTCTGAACTAACAGCAAAAGCTGCAGTTTTTGCCCCAGCTGCTGCTGATGGACTGCAGCTGCCGTCCCTGCTGGGACCCAGTCGATGCTGCAGCTTATGGCTGTCGTTGTTTTGTGACGAGGCGCGGAGGAAACTCCTTCACCGATGCTCCGAAACTCTTCGCCCTTCAGACATCCAACCTCGATCAATTGCCCATTCTCGCCTTCTTGCAAGATTGAGACATCCGCGCGTCCGGACTTGTGACCGCTTCCTTTCAACTCGCACACCACTGTGATGCTATCGTTGGGCTTGTTCAGTATGTTGGCTGCGATCGAGCCTTCTTTGATTGAAGTCAGCATCACTGGACCTTCGCAGCAAAAGCGATGGTACAATGGCAAAGCAATGTGCATGAAAGCATCAAAGGTCGCTGGATGGATCACATGCGGTTGCATGAATTGCGAAGGCATGCACTCTGCAATATCAGGCACTACAACCTCGCCAAAGGCCATCCATTGGCCTATCTTCAGGCTCTCGATGATGGAGAACTTGTCGCCATAATCAACCCCATTTCTACGCAGGCACTCATAGAGTTCGGAAGTCGGCATCTGCTGCGTGCATTTCTCTGTGGCTGCACGCATCTGGCGCGCGATACGGCTTGATATCCAGTCCTGATCAGCAAGAACTGGTTCCGACGCATGCTCATATCCAACAAGGCCGTGGCAGTTGTCATTCCAGGTGTCATCGGCTGCATGCGACGTCACGCGGAAGTGGTACCATATTATACCAAGTCTCCCAACAACCTCTTCGCTTGGCCTCAGGCTGATCAACAATTCAACAGTTGCTGGTGGATCAGGCATCACGATCGACTTCGTGAAGTACACGTCTTTGAAGTGATATCGGTAAATTTCGCGTACCTCCTTGGAGCCATCGGTCACTTGCTTGAGTCCTTGAATTGCATGCACAAGGAAAGCAGAACCCGGGTAGAGAGCAAAGCCGTCAATCATGTGCTGCCTAAGCCACGGCATTTCGTCCACGCTTAGTATCAGACGAAAGACCGGTTCGATGTTTGTGGTCCCGGGGAGGCGGAGGCCCAGCAAATCGTGAGGGGCTGGCTTCCTGTGGCGGTATTCCCTGCTGAGTCGAGACTCGTGCCAGTGTACCTTTGTATGGTCCCACGAATACGCAGGGAGATCATTGATCATTTCAAATCCCCGAGGCTGTCCATCGTGGTACAAAGTAATCACCTTGCATAGGTCCACAGAAACACCCTGCTCCCAGAGTCGGCCGCCGAGCTCAAGTATTGCCTGCGAAGCATCACGGTTCCGTACGAGCGACGGCGAGTAGGTCCATTTATTTGACTCGGTGGCTGTGGTCATGAACTGGCGGAGAGGACCTTCCAAAGCGCTGTGGGGTCCGACCTCGATGAATGATAGATTTGTGTTGCCTCCCCCATATACTGACACGAGTCGCTCGAGACCTTCAGAGAAACGCACTTTCGAAACCAGATTGTCGACCCAATATGACGGACCTGGGGCCCCGTGATACGCGTCACCAGTCGTTGAAGAAAAGAATTTTGTTGCTCGGATTGGCTTTGTTGCACTTAGCCCGTGAAGGGAATCCTCGAACCTGTCGGCTATTAAGAGCATGTGGTGCGAGTGATATGCGACGTCCACTTTGAGGCGTCGGTTAAATACGGCGTCTTGGTCCAGAAGCAACTTTAGGTCAACAACCGCCTTTTCGTCGCCAGAGATTGTCACACTTGACGGGCTGTTGACGCAGGCGACGACAATCTTACCAGAGACAATACTGTCAAGATACTTGGAGACGGCTTGCTCGCCTAAGCCGACTGCCAGCATGGCGCCCTTCCCGTTGATGACCCCTCGACACCATTGAGCGACAAAGGCTTTGCGATATGAGATTTTTAGAGCAGCCTCTTGGTCAATCATGCCAGCGGCAAAAGCAGCAGTAACCTCCCCACTTGAGTGGCCGAGTACGGCTGCTGGCTGTACGCCTATTCGATCCAATAGAGTCACTAGAGCAATCTGAATGGCCGTCGTCGCAGGCTGCGAAATATGACTGGTGTTGATCCGAGACTCGGATTCTGGCTTCAGAAGCTCTTCTATGAGGTTCCATGAAGCACCTAGGCTGTGCAGAACCTCTTGCGACTTATGGAGCGAGGAAGTGAAAACCTCGCTCAGCCCAAGGAGCTCTCTGCCCATAGTGGCATACTGCGCGCCCTGGCCTGTGAACAACAACACCACTTCCGACTTTTGGGGAGCCTTGTTTAGACGGACGCTGCTGAGCCCGAATGCCACCTCTGCTGATGTCGTCCCAACAATACTTGCTCGCCAGCTGAAGACCGAACGCCTCGTGATTAGGGTCCTTGACAACCGACTGAGCGCACGGGCTTGGTTTTCTTTCGTTTTAATCCAAGCGCGCAAACCCTCAATGCTGGCTTTCAGGGACTCCTTGGATTTCGCTGAAATTACAAAGAGGTGCGGTCCGTCGCCGTCGTTTGCAGGGAAGTCATACTTGAAGTCTCGAGGTTGCATCAATTCATGCTGCTGGTATTCGGCCTTTGTTCCATTTGTGTCACGGAGGCTTACTTTCTGCTCCGGCTTGTGGTCATGGAAGCCGTTGCCCTTTGCGAAACCATTCAGATGGGTACAAGGTGCCATAACACCACGGCTCTCTGGATCGAGCGCTACTGTCGAATAGCCCTCCAGGATGAGGTGTGCATTTGTGCCTCCGAACCCGAAGCTGTTTATGCTAGCTCGACGTGGTACATTAGACGGCCAGTCAGACGCAGTCCGCGGAATCTGTTCATACTGTCAATCAGAGGACTTTCAACATGGCAAGAAGGAAATACCATAATTGTACCATCCGCCACCACCTCGGCGACCTCTGCTTTGAGCGTCCGCAACGCCGCAACTGGCGGTATGCGACCTCTTTCCAACGACAAGACTGCGCTGATCAGGCCGGATAAGCCACTCGTGCTTTCTGAATGGCCAAGATTGGCTTTAACCGAGCCCACTATGAGCGGCTCACGTCTGCTCAATCCGTCGCCAATGAAGACGTCGCGGATTGACTTGATTTCTGCAGAATCGCCAGCGGCTGTCCCTGTGCCATGCATCTCCACATATCCAACATCCTGAGGGTCGAGGTCGACTTGTTTGTACAATGCACTCGCCAGATCACGCTGTGCGCCAGCGTTTGGAGACAATATTCCATTCGTCTTGCCGTCTTGCCCGATGCCGGAATTTAGAATTACGGCTCGGATTGCGTCGCCGTCACGGCGGGCATCCTCGAGCCTCTTCAGAACCACCACAGCGACTCCTTCAGCTCGACCGTAACCGGCTCCGCGGCTATCAAAGGGATAGCAGCGGCCATTCTCATTCACCATATGGAGATTGCTCATTGCTATTGTCATGTCGGGGCTGAGCAAAATGTTTGCTCCACCAACCAATGCCATATTTGCCTCGCCCAGACGAAGCGCCTGACAAGCAAGATGAACCCCAACCATGCCGCCAGAACAGCCCGTGTCGATCGTCATAGAGGGACCTCTGAAATCAAAGACATACGAGACCCTGCCACAGGCTGTTGCATCTCCACACCCGGTCAAGTGGTGCTTCGGGATTTGGCTTGGGTCTTTGTATATCTGTCTGTCATAGTCCCTACTAACCAGCGCAATATAAACGCCAGTCTGAGATCCTCGCACATCCTCGACGGGCATCCCGGCATTCTCTAAAGCCTCATACGACACCTCTAACAGCAGTCGCTGTTGTGGATCCATTGCAGCTGCTTCCGCGTCCGATATGGCGAAGAACTTCGCATCGAAATTCGAGATATCCTGTTTGAGGAAGAACCCACCCCGAGCATTGTGTGTCCCTCTTGCCTCTGGACTAGGGTGATAGAATGCTCTCCAGTTATACCGACTCTCGGGGACGTCTGTCCAGACTTGCTCGCCGTTGACCAGAATTTCCCACAATTTGTCCACATTGTCCGCACCTCCTGGCAAACGGAAGCTGAAGCCCACGACGGCAATGGGTTCTGGTTTCATCTTTACGACGCTGCTTCCGCAAGGTCACGCATGTATTGGCTTTGCAGAACGGAACGAATTCACCAACGTTCGACGTATAACTTCATAAACCACATACAAGTCTGCTAATGTACATCCACAAGGTAAATGACCACCAGCGTAGCTGGGCCAGGAAGCTGACCACGAGGACTATGTCCCACGGCTCAAGGTAAGGTCAGCTCTTCTCTGTTCCCAAATTCCCTATCTCTTTGGCGCTTGGTTTCTCTGAGCATTCACGGCAGTCCAGCTGCCGGTTGTTTGATTGTTCTTTTCCGGCTGAATATCGCACCACATCTGGCACCTGCATTCTGCAATAGCGGCTGTGATCAAATCCGCGTCCCTTCAACAAAAGATGCTATTAGCTTCATCCGCACCAGCTTGAGTAAAGCCTCCTGAGGGCCTCGACTTCCTCGAAGATCGTCTTAGGACGCCCAAGAGTGGAGTTCAGCTCCATCTCAATGCCAGGCTAATATCTTCCAGACCAAGCATGAATCCCTTCTTAGTGTAAGTGCGTATTAAGTCTACTAGCGAGGATACCGGAAGTCAACGTGGCATGGGCGGGCTGCATTCAGATGTTTACAAGCGTCTTACAAATATGGGTGTCTGACGAAAGATTACCAGACCCGTGACGGTGCTGGAGATACTGACTCAGTCCACGGGGTTGTGCTTGCGCTGCAGACGACCATCTAACCTCTGCTTCTGTGCGATCCACTAAGTCGGGTGTTAGCCGTACATCATCGTCTTCGTCAACGCCCTCTCTGGCAAGACTTGTACCTCCGCGTTGCATGTTCACGAAGGCGAAGCTTCAGGTTCCCGAAGCTGTCCCAGGCGAGACAGCGTCCCCATTTTTGGACCCCATACTCTCTCCGCACGTACTCGTATCCCGGACTGAGGCTCCTCAACGGCGGCATGCAGTTCTCGAATAACCCTATCGAACAACTAGCGGTGACGACCAGCTGTTTCCAAGATGCAGACTCTCGTCTGATTTTAGCCTGAATCTGGATATCCCTGTTCGGCCTCTCAAATTTGACATCAAGTGCCGTTTCTGGCAAGGTGATTCTCGAACCTTGTCATCGATGGTCTTCATGGGAGTGTGCCGAAAATCAGCCACCACTAACTATGGTGTGACACAGTGTCATGTCCGGGTAGTGAAGCATAGGCTTATTGCCAACGCTCCAACGGCTAACCTCAGTCCAGCGGACCCAGCATTGGGGCTGAAAATGAGCCCAACCGACCTTCACTCGGCAGATATGCGATTGCAACGACGAGCTTTCGTCCAGTATATCTGCTCAAAGCCACTAGAGTACGGGGACTTCTTCAGTTTTCTCGTAGCGACGGAGCTCGAAATTCAACTTATCGATTATTGCGGAGTGGAAAGATTCTCGCACATTCAACATGAGCAGAACGTACCAGGTCGTGAAATTCAAGACCATCGATGGCCTTTGGTTGAGAGGTAGGATCTATCCGGCAGCCCAACGCGGGCCCGCCGTCATCCTCAATCCTGGGGTGAGTCTCCTCACCTACGGAGCTGGCAATGAGCCTAACAGCGAGGTAGTACAACGGCGTTGTGGTCAATTTTGCGCCAGGCGTGCCCGAAGAGTTCCAGAAAGCAGGCGTCACGGCTTTCATCTATGATCCACGCAATACAGGCAGAAGCGGTGGTTTCCCACGCAACGATATTGACCCATTCAAGCAAGCGGAGGACTACTCTGATGCATTCACGTTCCTCAGTCAACAGCCGATCGTGAACGCCGAGCAGATTGTTTATTTTGGCATCTCGCTCTCAGCTGGCATCGCCTTGGCAGCTGCTGCGATTGACCGAAGGGCGGCGGCGGTCATAGCCGTTGCGCCAGTCTTTGAGTTCACGCCGATCACACCGGCAGATGCTCAGAGACTGAAGTTCAAGTTGATGAAGGACCGAGAGTCGCAGGTCAATCATGGAACTCCGCCTTACATTCTGCCGATTCTGGAGTCTGTGGCATTCCTGCCATTCAATTCTCATATCAGCATCACCGACGAGGAGCGGCGCAAGGAGGAAGATGAATACCATCGTCATCTGGCCGATTGCTGGAAAGAGGAAGACTCCGAGCAAGTCGCCTATGATCCGACACTTACGCACAACGCGTATGGAACAAGCTTACAATCCTATCACCGCATGTTCTTGTGGGAATCCATCCCGCTGGCTATGATCAAGCAGATCAGCCCGATGCCGTTGTTCATGCTGACTCCCGAACTCGATCAGATCTCCCCCATGGCCCGGCAGACGGAGGTTTTTGACTCACTGCAGGGACCTAAGCGCCAAATGATTGCACCCGGCAGAGAGCATCTTTACATCCTTAACGGGCCAGATATGCCTACCTTGGTGAAGTGGCAGTGCGACTTCGTTTGGCAGGTCGTCAGAGGTCGCTTTAAGAGCGCAACTTCATGTGAGACAGTACCGGAGAAGATGGCATCCAGTGTTTCGGTCAGCGAACCTCAAGCCGTCAGCAACTGACCGGTGGGCACGATTTTGTACTCACTAATGCACACTTTCACAGAGAGATGAGTACCTTGAAGAGAGACGGAGCCATCAGGAGCCTTCCGCTTCCACTACTGCTAAAGTCCTTAATGCATGGGTATTTGGGAATTAGAGAGACTTGGCTAAAAATATGGACGTACAAGCATGGACTCTCGCGAACTGGAGAATTCATTTCATAGCGTAGAGCTATCAATTGCCATCAAAGTTGGACAGTACGAGAGGCCCCTAACCTACCACGCCTACTAAGGTAGTGGTCTGCTCTTAACAACGGGCCTGTCCAAGTGCAAGTTAGCCGAGCTTTTGCGTTTCCACGGCAAGTTAGCCGAGTCTTGCAACACCCTCCGTGACCTCCCAGACACATCCTTGTCCTCCTTGATATTGCAATTTCCAACTTCCTCTTTGCATATCAATGCTGACCCCTTCGACCATTGCATTCAGCCTATTTAGGACCATCGGCACAACGTAATTTTGACGTCCATCCGCTGGCTAAGATCATATTCAGGTTGTCAGCCATAGCCTAACGGTACAGTTTCGGCAACGCTTTACCCCATTGCTTTAGCGACATGGCTAAGCACAGAATATCCTGCCTGGCCCCTTCCGACATGGATCTCCCCAAGTTGCACCACCGTTCCGGGTGATATCGACCATGGCATTTTGGGCGAACCTGTACGTACCGGTGTATTACAGCTGTACCCAGAGTCTCGTCCTTGACAGAAACGGGCTGCATACAGGCATCCGGGCTTCTTGGAGTCTTGCATGAGCACTACTCCCAAAATGCCAAAATGCCAAAATGCAAATAATGGACCTCCGCAAACGCTAAAAGCGGATGGTCCGCCTTGTAATGGTCGCACGAATGGTACTCCGAGACGCCAATGTTCTTTATCAGGACAGAATTTTCGTCGTCTGAACGGTAGCCAGCGACCATGATTGAGTCCCAGGGTGGCTCCATCAGCGGCCATGTCAATGGCAAAGAAAATGGCCACATCAACGGCCGCACAAATGGCTACGCCACCAGCAAATGCACAGAGAGACCGGTCATGGCTCCATCGCAGCCTGAGCCGGTCGCAATTGTTGGCATGGCGATGCGCCTTCCAGGGGATATACACACCTCAGAAGCTCTGTGGGAGCTGCTGATCAACAACAAGACGACTAGAGGCCCGGTCCCACGCACAAGGTACAATTCAGATGGCTTCTTCACGGCAAGTGGTCGACCGGGCAGCACTGGTGTTCGCCACGGCCATTTCCTTTCGGAAGACGATGGCATCGATGTACTGGACACATCGTTCTTCAATCTCAGCAAATCCGAGGTTGAAAAGCTCGATCCGCAGCAACGAATGCTGCTCGAGGTTGTCTGGGAATGTGCGGAAAACGCAGGTCAGCAAGATTGGCGAGGAAGTAGTACAGGCGTCTTCGTCGGTGCTTGGGGTTACGACTGGGTTGACTTTCTCGCCAAAGATCCCCAACAGGTCGGCGGCCTTCTCAATGTAACTGGGTCACACGATTATACGCTTGCCAACCGGGTTTCCTACGAATACGACCTACAAGGGCCGAGTATGACGATCAAGACCGCGTGCTCTTCTTCCATGATCTGTGTCCATCAAGCAGTCCAAGCTCTTCGCAACGAGGAATGCGATGCGGCGATCGTGGCTGGGACGAACCTGATAATCACCCCCACACAGACGATTGAGCAAACTGAAGCAGGAGTTTTGTCTCCAACCGGCGAATGTCGCACTTTTGACGCTGATGCCAACGGATATGCACGGGGAGAGGCCATCAACGCACTTCTTCTTAAAAAGCTCAGTAAAGCCATTGAGGACGAGGACACTATCCGCGCTGTTATCAGATCAACCGCCGTCAACAGCGATGGGCGAAGTGCCGGACTTTCTACGCCGAATCCAAAGGCACATGCACGCCTGATGCAACAAGCATATCGAGCGGCCGGGTTGAATGATCCGTCAGACACGCCATATGTGGAAGTCCACGGAACTGGCACCAAGACTGGCGATCCACTTGAGCTTGAGGCGATTGCGGAAGTTTTTGGAAGAGAGCAAGAAACGTACGTCGGCGGCGTTAAAGCCAATCTCGGCCATAGTGAGAGTGCTTCCGGCATTACCAGCATCATCAAAGCTGTCGTAGCACTCGAAAAGCGCGTCATTCCGCCACAGGCAAACTTCAAGACACCAAACCCCCGAATCGCCTTTGAAGAGGCACGTTTGATTGTACCGTTGAAGCCCACGCCGTGGCCTGAGGACCGCCCTGAACGAGTCAGTGTCAATTCATTTGGCATCACAGGCGCTAATGCTCATGCCGTGATTGAATCTGCTGCCTGCTATGCACAACGACTGTCGCCTGTGCCAGAAGGTCAAGCCTCCTTCAACAAAGAATCCGAGCTGCTGTTGGTCTCTGCAACGAGCGTACCCTCCTTAAGAGAGCGTTGTACGCAAATGCAAGACTACGTTACGCAGCATCCCAACCTTGTGGCCGACCTTGCCTATACTTTAGCCTGTCGTCGATATCACATGCCTCATCGAGCATACTGCATAATCAGTGGCCTCAAGCCGGCAGAATTCGTACTTGCCGATCGAAGCAAGCACCCCCCCAAGCTGACCTTCGTCTTCACTGGTCAAGGAGCACAATGGCCAGCGATGGGCAAAGAGCTGATTGAACAGTTTCCGACGTTCCGCGGTGACATTGCCCAGATGGGGAATGCTCTTGGGCAACTTCAACAGGCCCCTTCCTGGGACTTGTTGGATGAGATCATGCGCGAGGGAAGGAACAGCAGAGTCAACAAGGCCGAGTTCGCACAACCTCTGAGCACTGCTATACAGATTGCTCTTGTCAATCTCCTCAGGACTCTTGGTGTGGTACCCTCCGCAGTTGTAGGTCACTCCAGCGGAGAGATCGCCGCTGCCTACGCCGCCGGCGCTGTTACTTCTGGAGAGGCAATAGTCACCGCCTATTACAGGGGATTGGCAACCACTATGTGTGCACAGAAGGGAGCTATGGCTGCCGTTGGTCTCAGCCCAGCCGAGGGAAGGTTATATCTTGAGAGGGGAGTTGTCGTCGCCTGCGACAACAGCCCTCAAAGCATTACCATTTCGGGTGATGAGGAAGCTCTTGAATGCACACTCAAGCAGATCAAGCAAGATGATCCAAATGTCTTCACCCGTCGGTTGAAAACCGATGGAATGGCATACCACTCACATCATATGACGGAAATTGGCTCCACATACGAAGAGTATCTGAGATCGTCGGTTAAGGCGACGCGCCCGACCGTTAGATTCTACTCAAGCATTACGGGCAAGCTGGAGGAGGACCTTATTCTAGGTCCAGAGTACTGGCGAAGGAACCTTGAGTCTCCTGTTCGCTTCTATCCTGCCGTGAGATCCATCCTTCAAGATCAGCCTTCGGATCAGCTGTTCCTGGAGGTTGGACCACACTCAGCGCTTGCTGGGCCTTTGAGGCAGATTTTCAAGGCGTCTGCATCCAAGTCGCGACTCACGTACTGTTCGTCACTGGTTCGCGGCGTCAATTCAAGGGAAAGCATTCTCGACATGGCCGGGCAGCTGCACCTTCAGCTCATCCCACTGAATCTGCGTATGCTGACAACAGGATCGCATTCACTTACGGACATTCCTATCTATCCCTGGAACCACAGCATCAGCCACTGGACCGAACCCAGAGCAGTGAAAGACTGGAGGTCACGAAAGTTCCCACCGCACGAACTCCTTGGATCACGCGTTTTAGAAGGCAATGACCTCGAACCCACTTGGCGGAATATGCTTCGCCTCAACGACAACCTCTGGCTGACAGGTCACAAGGTGTATGACGATGTGGTCTTCCCTTGCGCAGGATACATTGCAATGGCCGGCGAAGCAGTTCGGCAACTGACCGAAAAGTCTGGCTACACCATCCGCAACCTCAATGTGAAAACAGCGATGGTGTTGCAAGACAATGCCGTGGAGATTATGACTTCCTTGAGGGGATCAAAGTCGCCTCAAGCATCGGTCAGTGGCTGGTATGACTTTGCGATCGTTTCGTACAATGGCAGCACATGGGCCGAGCACTGCAATGGGGAGATTCAAGCAGATGAAGCGATAACGTTGGTAGACTCAATGCCTGAATCTATGGAAGCGTTGCCGCGAAGGGTCCAATCACCATACGATGCGTATGAGTCTGTGGGCTTGCACTACGATGGCTTCTTCCAGGGCCTTGAAGAAGTGTCAACAATGCCTGGTCGAAACACAGCAGTTGCAACGCTCAAACGTCAGGCTGTGACAGACTCATACTATGCCTTACACCCGACGACGATTGATCATTGTCTCCAGCTACTTGGAATGGCTTCCAGCGGAGGAATGTCGAGACGTCTAACACATATTCCATTGCCGACCCTGCTGGAGCAGATCTCTGTGCAGCCTGCCAAGATGCAAGATCGCTTGCGGGCAAAGGCGGTTGCGAACCACACAACAAAGCAAGGCGATATCGAGGGCGAGATGGTTGTTGTTGGTGATGAATCTACTGTCCTCGCAATGACTGGGTGTCATCTGTCTGGTTTCGAAGACAGAACGGCAGTTACTCTTGCCGACGATCCGATAGCGGCTGCTCGTGTCAGCTGGCGACCGCACATCGATTTCGTTCAACTAGACACCTTGATGGTTTCACATGAAAAGGATCCTCAACATCTTATCAACATCGAGCAATATGGCCTTTTGTGCTCTGCAGAAATACTTGATAGAATTAGGGATACACAAGATTCGTCGTGGCATTTCTCCAAATTTCGGCGGTGGATGGAAGACATTGTTGCTGCAGGCCGCCTTGGCCAGAACGAGATCGTGACCGCCAGCAAGCAACTGCTGGAGCTCGATAACCAAGAGCGGCTGCACCTGATGCAAAGTCTGAGAGAGCAGCTCAGAGATTCACCATTTGTGCATTTTGCTGAACTCACAACACGCCTTCTTGACAACTGCATCGGCATCTTCAACGGCACAATTGAGGTGCTCGAAGTGTACTTCAAAGACGACGCTCTCACTAAACTCTACGCTTTCACTGGTGATAGGATCGATGCGTCGGAGTTCTTCATTACTGCCGGTCACAGCAATCCGACCTTGAGAGTGTTGGAGATCGGAGCCGGAACCGGCGGTACTACCTTGGTTGCACTGAACGCGCTGACCGCAATCAAGGGTGAGCCACTGTACGCAAGCTACACATTCACCGACATCTCGTCCGGCTTTTTTTCAGCGGCGAAAGAGAGATTCAAACACTTCCCGGGCCTTGAGTTCAAAACCCTGGACATTGGCCGAGACCCAGGGGAGCAAGGCTTCGAGCTTGGCACATACGACCTCATAGTCGCCTCCAATGTTATCCATGCGACGGAACGTCTAAACGCAACACTGAAGAATGTCCGTAAATTGTTGAGTCCTGGTGGGCGATTCTTTCTCCAAGAGCTTACTCCTGGCTCTGCAAAGACGAAGAATCTGATCATGGGTCCACTCCCAGGCTGGTGGCTCGGAGAGGCTGATGGTCGGGTAGACGAGCCCATCATCACGGTGGAGCGGTGGGACAGTGAGCTTCGCGCCGCTGGGTTCTTTGGCATCGAGTGCGTGGTCCGCGACGATCCCAGGCATGCTGCATCCTTCGGAGCAAACATGATTGCCAAACCCCTGATCAGCCCGAAGGACTACAAGTCGGTCACGATCCTAGTCGGCCAAGGGAAAGGCGATGCCACCATAGTTGAGCATTTGCAGCAGGCCTTTGTGGCGAAGGATTACTTCGTGGACATCTGCACTTTCGGCGAAGCGATACCTCCATCTCAAGACATCGTTTCGATTGTTGAGGTGGACGAGCCGTTGTTTGACAAGCTGTCGGCAGCTGATCTCCTAGCATTCCAAAAAGCCGTCGCTGGACTATCGTCGGCTCGAATGCTATGGGTCTTAGGGTCCGCCCAAGTCCGGCCCAACAACGCACATTTTGGTCTGACGCTAGGCATGGTACGTTGCATTCGTGCAGAGATGTCCACTCCTCTTGCGACGCTGGAGGTTGACAGGTTTGATGCTTCGACAAGCGAAGTCGTGCTGAGAATCTTCGAAAAGTTCTTGGAAACAGCATCCACAGAGCGGCCGGACCTCGAATATGTGATCACGGAAAACGTAGTGAAGGTGGGTCGATACCACTGGTCGAATGTTTCACGCGAGCTTGAGGCATCGCAAGATACCACCAATCGTCCTCTCAAGCTTGCAGTGGATGATCCAAGGACGTCCAAGTCGATGATTTGGGTGCCTCAACCTGATATCGAGCTTGCGTCTGAGGAGGTCTTGCTCAGATCGCTCTATGTGGACTTGGGTCACAAGGTGAGCTGTCTTTCCACTCATGTAGATCGCTCCGCTGACAACCGTGCAGTGTTCCAGGTCACTAGAAGAAAATGCTGCGCGTGGGTACGTTGCTGAAGTTATCCAGGTTGGCACCAGCGTCGACAGTTTGCAGCCTGGTGACTATGTGATGACTTTCGGCTCACATGGAGTGGCGACAAGATTCAAGATTGCAGCTGGAAATGCGGTCCGCGTGCCCGAAAGCTGGACCTTGGAATACGCGGCAACAGTGCCACTGGCATACGCTACTGCACTGTTCTGTCTTAAGTACTTTGCCAGACTGCAAAAGAACGATGCCGTACTTATTGTGGACGCGTGCTCAAGTGCTGGTATAGCGGCCGTTCGCGTCTGCCACTCGGTTGGTGTGAAGGTAAGTTCTAATGGCCCGCGTGCTCGGGAACCGTGGCTAAACAAGACAGGCTCACCTTCATGTTCTCAGCAAGAACCAAGTCACGTATCTTGCTGCCGAACTGGGCGCTTTGGACGATGTGGCCGTGACCTGTGAGGTGACCGAACAAAGCACTGTGGATGACGCCCGGTTCGATGTGGTACTCAACCTGCTACCGGCGCAGCTCGAGAAATTGTCCAGGAGACTCACGACAAGGGGAAAGGTGAGGAACCATTCTTTCCGACGGGAGGCGATTTCACTAAAGAACCGCAGCTTATCAACGTTTGCAATAACCAAGAGGTGGATATGAATGCATTTGCCAAGAACATCGTCTTTTTCAATGTCGACATGGCAGACATGGACGATCTGTCTCAGGAGTAAGTGTCTGATTTCGCAGAACTTCAACAAACAGCCGCGCTAATAGCCATTAGTCTTCTTCAAGAGGCAATCTCACTGGTCCAGCAGCAAGGGATCGGGCCACTTCAAGAGACAAGGGTTCTTGACCTGCAAGGATTCGAGGCCGGACTTCAATCCTTGGACAACGATGATATGCGAATGCTACTTTTGAAGCTCCCCACAGAGACGACCTCGCTTGCAATACAGCCCCCAGTACCGATTCTAGAGTTTCAAAGGGATGCTTCGTATCTCATTGCTGGTGGCCTTGGTGGCCTCGGTCGTGCCATCTCAACATGTATGGCCGAGCATGGAGCTCGACACTTTACATATCTTTCACGCTCAGCCGGCAGCACCGCACATGAACCTTTTTTCCGCGAACTCGAAGCGCAAGGCTGCACTGTTCAGGCGATCCCCTGCGATATTTCGTCGCCAACATCTGTCCGGAGTGCGGTCCAACAGGTCGAGCTCCCCATTGCAGGTGTCCTCCAGATGGCTATGGCACTTCAAGATCGGCCTTTCCTGTCAATGACTCTCGAGGACTGGACAACGGCCATCAAGCCCAAAGTCGATGGCACCTGGAACTTGCACACTGCACTGATTGAGACAGAAGCCGATTTGGACTTCTTTGTCATGTTCGGCTCCATCTCGGGCGCGTTTGGCTTCCCCGGTCAAGGCAATTATGCAGCGGGCAACAGCTTCCAGGACGCATTCACCCAGTACCGGCATTCTCTGGGCCTTCCAGCTTCGGTCTTGGACGTGGGTGTCATGGCAGACGCCGGCTATGTGAGTCAGAACAAGGACGTGCACGAGTACTTCCGCACTGCCGGCATGCCATTGCTCACCGAAGGTCAACTTTTCGAAGCTCTTCACCTGTCGATTCTCCAGCAACATCCATCATCACAAGAGGAGCGGTCTATACTTTTAGCCAGAAGCGGGTCAGAAGCGGGACGGGGACTGGGATCGGCAAGTCCAAGTCCAAGTCCAAGTCCCGGATTCACGTCAAGAAGCCAGCTCACTCTAGGCGTGCGGGCGACAAAGCCCATGACGGACCCGACAAACAGGGTTCTGTGGAAGCGCGACCGCAAGGCAGACATCTACCGAAACATCGAGGCTGCGAGATTGTCGAACTGCTCAACGACGGCCACTGGCAGCACATCGGGCAGTAGTGGTGATGACGAATTGGCGGCCCTCATGACATCCTTGAGGGCTGCAGCTGCGGCTTCATCAGACCCAACCACCACCATCACCACCGTCCTCGGTAGCTCCGAGACAATGAAGTTGGTCAGGCGTGAGATTGGAGCCTTTGTCTACGAGTCCATGCTGAAAGCCGTGGATGACGAGGCGGACATGGAGTACGACCGCAGCTTGATGACTTTGGGTGTGGATAGTCTCGTCACGGTCGAGGTGAGGAGCTGGCTGAGACGGAAATTCAACGTCGAGGTGAGTACATTGGAAATGCTGAACGGCGGCACGATTGAGGTTTTGGCATCGTTGGTTCTGGAGAGGCTCAAGAGTAGATTTGTCGAGCAGAGCACGCAGAGCTAGGAACACTAGTACTAGCTTGAGCTAGGGACGACATTTGGTGGCAAACAACTTTTCGTTTGTTGTTGCTCTTTTTGGTGTTACTTTGCCTTTTCCTCTTCTTTCTCTCTTTTCCCAATACGAGTACGATGTTATCTACGACGCGGAAAAATCTATCTGGCAAGCCAACGGGACGCTGGTCAGGCTCTTAGACACCTAGTAGAACTTGTTTCTCTTTCAAGGCACGCACGGGATTGGTGCCGTTCTTCTCCTTTCCTCTCATCTACGGTCGTTCTCTGAACGCGCTTCGACCTTGGCCGGCCCGGTAAACCGTCTGGGGTTACTCGAGGGCACCATAAGGGACGTGAGGCCGTCTTGGAAAGGGATTGCGGGAAGGTGGTCTGGCGCGTGGTTGTTTTAGGCACAATCTCTGGATAATCTACCTCGTAGTTAGGTTCGCCCGGCAAAGGCTTGATTGTTTGGCTTGATTGACCACTTAAGGTGGCTCGAGACTGTCGTGAGCAGGCTGTGCAGCTACGGCTTGGGGGAGAAGTGAGCAGACGAAAGCAGACCGAGCTGGAAATGTGCCGAAAATTCATCAGAAATAGGTAGGTAGGTAGGTAGGTAGGCAGGCAGATTTACTCGCACGAGTCGGTAATGGCCCCAGGGTGATAGGAAGATCCCGAGTCATACTGTACATGCACGCCGAAACCTTGGTGTAATTACAGTATATACCTATATCTTGTAATGCTGGAAATACCAGTACTACTAGTACTAGTACCTGGTATCAACTTGGACCGTTGAACTTCAAAGGCTACCTACCGAGCCACCAGCTCGTATGTCCTGTAGAGGGCCCCGGCCTACCTAGCCTAGTCGATATCCATTGATCTTTCTACCGGGTATCTCCTACCCTGTCCTAGGGGACTACTGTGTACAGTGATCAAGGTGGAGGTGACTCTTACCCTCGCTTAGCCGGGTATTTACAAAATCTTGGTATAACTCTGGCGACGGCGAGCTCGTAACACCCGTGGACGGCTTTTGACAGCGGAGTCAACATCGCCTCCCGGGTTGTTTGCCAGTGGCCATTGCGTCGTCATACTATGTACACTACAGTAACACCTGCCGGACTTGCCAAAAGTTCTGTCGAGCTCGTCTAGAGGCGGATAATAGTCACCATCCCTGTCACGGACCTGGGCCGCCTGATGTAAGTTTCGCCTTACCCAGGGCGAGGCCAGCGTATGTTTCCATGCACCGGTACCACTAACAACCACTAACACATTAGGCAGTGTCATGCAGGGCGCCATGTGGGCGAGGAATAGCCATGGTTGTTTTGGCCGAAGAAGAGTGATACGAAGTTCCGGACAATCAACCCCCGGGCTCGATGTAGAAAGGTGGGTTCGTTCCCTCCACGTCGAGCACAATCTAGCATACTGCCAAGGAACGGAAAGCTTTGCAAGGCTGTGGCCCCCCTGTCACGTACACGTACGGTCTGCGCATCAGGTTGGTCACGTACTATTCTTCTGGCTCTCGTGAGTGGATTGCGAAAGAAACAGACATGATTTTTGAAACGAACGCTGGTGTTTGGTGAATTAGGCTGTTTCTCAAACAATCTGGAACTTACCGAATTGGCCGCGGCATCAATTTTTCCAATTCCAAATGGGCCGAGTCAGAGTCTCTGCCGGCAAAAGGCGACTGTGCATCCGATGTATTCCCGCCTCTCAGGACCGTAAGTGTTCGCCATACAGACCAAGTCGAGACTCGGTTGAATGATATGATTCCGCACGCCTTTAGGCAACATTGGGCGAGCGAACGGGTCGACCGCGTCATTTGAGGAGATGCACGCTGGGTTGCCAAAGTGCAGCGGACATGTGCTTGACAGAACTGTCGAACTGACGCTGAGACAAGACAGTGTTCAACACGTCGAAGGTCAAACCCCCAAGCAAAGACTGAAGGCTGGTTCAAAGCGTCTGGCACCGTAATTGTAAGCACCGTTCTTCAGACTGAAATCATGGCCATGGTTGTCCTCAATATCTGGCTGCTGTTGTGCAGCCTCCCTTTCCTATATATCACTTACATCGCTCTGAACCGAACACACAGATTGTTCATCAACTACCGTGCGGCACAGAAGTTCGGCATACCCATCAAGATCCTTCCGTTCAATCGACAGGACAACGTTTGGCTCTTCACATGGCGGTACTTCTACCGCTTAATCAAAGCCCTCCCCTTCGGGTTGGGATCCTGGATTGACTACTCCTTCCACGGCTGGAACGTGAACATCCGCTTCAAACCCCACGAGGATCTCGGCGACGTCTTCTGCTTCGTCACGCCCAACCAGAATGAGATCACCTTCATTGATCCGCTGGCCGGCCTGGAGCTCGAGGCCAAGTACAAAACGTGGCACAAGCCGCAGCAGCACTACCACATCTTCGACCTGTATGGTAGAAACCTCCTGACTGCCAATGGCGACGAATGGCAGAGACACAGGAAGATCACGAGCCCGGCCTTTCGTGAGGTCAACTACAAGCTCGTGTGGAACGAGGCATTGCAGCAAGCTGGGAAGATGTTCAGGATAGCCAGGCAACGATCGCAGGGCCAAGGTCACAATCTGATGGAGGACGTACGGAATGATTGCATCATCATGGCCATGCATGTTCTGTCTGCCGTAGGGTTTGGCCACAGATACGACTTCGAAACCGGCCTCCGCCAAATCCCTCCCGGACACAGGGTCAGCTTCTCGGCAACAATGTGGTTCATATTCACCAGATTCCTGCGGATTGTCGCATTCCGCCACGTGAAGTTGCCGCCAGCATTGACGCCTCGTTGGCTCCAAGATATCAAAGTCCATCTGGACGAGTTCAAGCAATACATGGACGAGGCTATTGACCGACAACGGAAGTCAGGACAATCCCATCTCGGTTCGGGGGCGGACTTGATCAACGCTTTCATCCAGGCGAACGAGGTGGCCAAATCTGAGGACAAGAATCTGCTAACTCCGGCGGGTAAACGCTCGTACCTGTCAGACAGTGAGCTTTACGGCAACATGTTCATCCTGAACCTGACCGGTTTCGAGCCTCCGGCAAACGCAGCCATGCATGTCCTTCCTTTCCTCGCTGCTCATCGAGAAGTGCAGGACTGGGCAGGTGAGGAGGTGGACGCTGTGATCGGTGAGGTCGGCACGCTGGAGTATGAAGAGGTCTTCCCGCGCCTGTTAAGATGTCAAGCAGTTCTGGTATGTTTTTCCACTTTTGATGCATCCACCCATCTGCTGACCCATCCCCAACAGTATGAAACGCTTCGCTTCTGGGGCCCTCTTGGTGATACCACTCGGATATGTCTGAACGAACCACAAGTTCTCGGTGTGGGAGGCCGTGATTTGCTTATTCCGCCAGGTGTCCATGTCAACTGGGACTTTGCGGGATCTCAGACTGATCCAAGATGGTGGGGACAGGATGCGATGGAGTGGCGTCCCCAGCGATGGATCAGCGTGGATCGAGTAACGGGCTGTGAAGGATTTGGTGCTCCTTCAGGGGAAGGTGAGATGGCCTTCAACGCTTGGTCGGGAGGACCACGAGCTTGTCCTGGCAAGAAATTCAGTCAAGTCGAGATTGTGGCCATGATTGCAACATTGTTGAGGTCGTACCGTTTGAAGCCGATGACAGTGCCAGGGACCAAGATGAGGACTGAGGAGGACGCACGAAGGGAGTTGCTGAGTGTGACAAACGACCTTGAATTGCCTATCAGAGTGAAGGCGGAGAGGTTGCGAGATACCGGCATTGTCTTTCTTGATCGATGAGATGAAATTCGATGAAATCTACTCTAAATGGTGTCAACCACTCTCGAGCCACTACATGATCAGGAAATTTTTACCTGGCCAGTCTCTTCCTTTCCTTCGTTGTCTGCCTCGTTCTGCCTGAGGTTCTCAGAAATACGAAGGAGTCTTGCTTGATGTCGGTGTATGACGCAGCTTTGGTATTTTTGTTACCCCATATTTTGATGCCAGCGTCACATTGTCTGCATCACCTGAACTGGTTATCGCGTTCTGTCGCTTATTCTCGGGATTGAAACGGTTGGGATGATTCGATAATTCGATACGGTAATGGAGAGTCGCAATGATGAACCAAAGAATGTACTCCGTAAGCCTACCAGAATAAATGTTTTGGTCTCCACCCCCTTCGCTCACGCCCTATGCTATGTCCTTCACCAAGTACTTCAACATCCAGAAACATTCCACAAACCCCGGTCAACGGATTTCTTTCCAGTCATTCTTTTACAAGGCCATCAAGCACAGCATTGAGTACCTAGTATACACACAACCAACAAGGTCACAAACGACACTCCTTGCAATCAATTTCGGCGGCATCCTTCCAACATGTCCTCCTCCACACAGCCACAGCCCTACACACTCATCTCCCCCAGCTCCATGACCGACCTAGATCGCTTCATCGACATCATAACAGACTCATTCGCGAACACCGCCCTGACAACATCGTTCATAGTCGACAACGATAACACACCACCGCCCTATCCATCCCCACGGATCGACGCCGACCGTCGAAGACGCCATTTCGCACAAGGCATCCTCGACAGCGCCGCGTCCAACGCCGAGCTCGTCCACGCAGGCGATTGGTCCGTCATCGCCCTCTGGGAACCGCCACAATACCAGGGGAAGGCATTCATCGATTCCAAAGCCCGGCCGGGCGTCCTACTCAGCGAATGGAGAGCCAAAGTCAAGGCCGCGAAGGAGAAGCATCTGGCCACTAACGTTACCGTGCCTCCACAGCCTCCAGAGCCTTCCCGGTCTTTACGGCCTCTACAATCCGACTCCAACCCCTCGACATCAGACTACTCCTCGGAGTCGAATTCGAATTCAAATTCGAATTCCAACTCAACATCGGATGACTCGGACAAAGACATCGACAACGACAACGAACCCCAAACCTCATCACCACCCCTACGGCCCTACTACCACCTATCATTCCTGGCGCGGAACACATCCGTTCCCCGAGTCAGCGGCAGCATCAACGCCGTCATGCTCCCGTTCCTGCAGCGTGCAAAGGCAGAAAACGTCCCGGCCTGGCTGGAAGCCACGACGCCCCAGGCCGTCAAGATCTACGAGCACTTCGGCTTTCGGGTCGCCGAGCAAATCGTCGTCGGCAAGGGCAAGGTAGACCACGAGGGCTGGCCCAGTGTGGATGGGAAAGGCGAAGGCGTGACGGCTTGGGCGATGATTCATGACTGAACTAACTCGCACTCGCACTCGCACCACTTGAGATTTGAGGGAGACCCCCTCTCCGAGGTTCCCGAAACCAGGGACGGGGCAATGACGGAGTTGTTTCTGGGACAACTGGGAAAAGGGGTACAGTACAAGAGCAATCACACCTTAAAAGATTTGTCCTCTACTCCGTACAGCCCCCGTCTCACAGGCACCCTTCCACCCACAAGACTTGACGACTAAATTGCTTTACAGCAGTTGCCGAGGGAAAGGATGAGATGTGGAACTGCAAAGGACGAGCAAGCAAAACGACCCCTCTAAATGTGCGCTGTTCTCGGAAGCGCCCCCAGTATTCGACCTGGGACCGGGATTTGAGAGGCCATCGTTGAGAGCAAAAAAGAAAACCACCGCGCTCCAAAAGCAGAAGATGAGAGCTCAAATTGCTTGCCAAACATCTCAAAAGACTGGCACTCCTGTTGTATGACAAGGCGAGTGCGTGGATGCACGGCACGTAACGAAAGCCGGAGACAAACACAGATACCATGCGGTGACGGACGAGATTGCTGGCCCGGTCGTGCCCGGTTTACCTTGGCCTATGACTCGAATGCCATTCCTCGAGGCACATGCACAAGCCTGGGATTTGGCGAGGTTTAGCACGACCTACAGTATCCTCTTCTCTCGATAGTCCGGACACTGCAGGCAGGGAAAACAAAGGCCTGCTGAGCATGTACCTAGGTAACTTTGTATTGTTTAAGAAACGAGGACTTTGGCACACTCATGCTCATCTCGATGATTTTCTCACGGCCCCTGCCTTGAAATTCTGTTTTGTCTATGGCCTTCGTAGAAACTCTCACGCAGATCCCGTCCCCCATGATGGTACCTAGCTTGCTAGGCAAATTCCCTGAATATCCGTAGAATGCTGTCCATTCCATTCCATGTTCATCGGCATCATTGGCAATTCATGCACCCATGCCGGACCTCGAAATTCAGCTGCTGCTAAGTCCAAGTCCAAGTACAAGCACAAGCACAAGCCCATTGAGTGCACAGCAAGATCTCCCGAAGCCCAGAGCTAGAGCCACAGCCAGAGCCACAGCCATGATGCAGATATGCAGCCCCTTCTCTTCTTTTGATCAACTCATGCAACAGGCAGGCCGCTGAACATCTGCACCATGCCTCCTTTTGCCTTCATTCTCCCGCCGAGACAGAAAACCACGCGCTCACTGGGTCAGATTCCAAAAGCACCAAGCTTCCGATATGCTTGCCACCCTCATTTCACTTCACTCCGCACCGCCCTTTGTCGTGCTTCCCTTGCAATCCCCCATCAGTCAATTCGGCCATCATGCGAACCGGCCGGTCCCTATTTGACGTTCCTCACCACATCATCCAACGCCTCGGCAAAGTACTTCACATTGCCCGTATTCAGCCCCGCCATACTGATCCGGCCATTCTTGGTCATATACACATGCCACTTCTCCCTGATGGCGAGAACCTGCTTCTCACTGATGCCCGTGAAACTGAACATGCCGATCTGACTCGTGATATGGTCCCAGTTCCCCGGTGTCTGCAAGCGATCCAGCTCCGACTTCAAGCTCTTCCGCATCTCGATGATCCGTCCAGACATGGTGCGCAGATCACCTTCCCACTGCTTGAACAGCTCCGGGTCGTTGAGAACTATACTCGCGATCCGTGCGCCGTACGCCGGGGGGTTACTGATCTCGCTCCGCTGCAAGATGGCCAGTTGACTCGCGACACGCTTGGTGATGTCTTGAGCCTTGGGCCCGGGCGCCGCGACCGAATGGAACGCACCCGCGCGCTCGCCGTACAGGCCAAAGTTCTTGGCAAAGGATTGCGCGATGACGAGTTCGAATCCTTGCTCGACAAAGTGCCGAATCGCCCAGTTGTCCTTGGCCAGGTCGCCCGAGGCGAAGCCCTGGTATGCGCAGTCGAAGAACGGGAACAACTTCTTCTCTTGACAGACCTTGGCAATCTGTGTCCACTGCTCCTGAGTCGGGTCCACCCCAGTCGGGTTGTGTGCGCAGGCATGCAGGAGCACGATGCTACCGGGCTCCGCGGCCTTGAGAGTGTCGAGCATGCCGTCGAGGTCGAGCATCTTGGTCTTGGCGGAGAAGTAGGGGTACTGTTTGATCGGAAGGTGGACGTTTGTGAAGATCTGGTTGTGGTTGGCCCATGTCGGATTGGACAGGTAGATGGTTGGCGAATGCAGGAATTTCGAGAGGAACAGGCCGCCGAGGTGCACGGCACCGGTGCCGGAAATGGTTTGGAGGGAGCAGACCTGGCGTCAGCAATCAATATCAGCAAGTTCAGAAGCCACAAAAGTATGAGTAAAGGGGGAGCGCACCCGTCCTTCTTTAATAGCAGGGCTGTCCGAGCCGAGGATGAGTTTCTGCGCGGCTGAAGTGAAGTCTGCAAGACCTGCTATGGGAAGGTATTCGTGGTTCAAGTTTGGGTCGTTCCGTAGGATTTCATCGGCCTGTCGTGTTGTCAGTCACTTTTTGTCTGCTTCGTTCACGCACTATTCGTCTCTTTAGAGCTTAAGGATGTGATTGTGAACCCACCTTCTTGACGACCGGCAACACCCACGGTTTCGCATTGTTGTCTCGGTACGCCCCAATGCCCAAGTCGACTTTCTTCTCGTTTGTGTCTTTGCGGTACGCAGCCATCAATCCGAACAACGGGTCTTCTGGAGCTTGAGGGACGACATTGTCGTTGAACCGGGTCTCGGGATCTAAACCTCCTACTGAACCCATGGTGTGCTGTCTGACCTGGGAGAGACGAGAGTTGGCGTTAGTCGTGGATCGTGAGGATGCAGGAGAGGAAGACGAGGTAGAGAGTCTAGGCGGTGAGGGCATGTCTTTGAGGATCAAAAAAAGTGGCGTGGTGGTGCCCAAAACACTAAGTTACTCGTACTACGGAGTGCTGTATGCGCGTTTCTTGGAGTAAAATGTGTCAAAAGGCGGATGGATGGCAACGTACCTCTGTACCTCTGAGGGCGGATCAGCGATATGTTAGGCAGTGCAGGTAGCTTCTGATGTTGGTGTCGATGCAGGTGACAATAACGCCACAGGTCCCCGGTAATTCGGTGGGATGTAGCGAGGTACAGCTGGAATTGTCAACAGTCATATGCTGTGAGCATACGAATGAAGAGCCAAAGAATCGCCGTATGGGCAGTCCTGCGAGCCCCTCCACGCCCCTCGTACCCCGATAGACCGAGGATATTGGAGAAGCCAATTGGGGCCGCCTAATTATCATACGATTTTAGTAGCCCGCAGGCCAGGTGATCCCTACTCGTGCCCTACTGTAGCCCAAGGAACCCTCACGATTTGTCGCACATGTGCTTCATACAGACTGTGCAGCCTCGGAACACAGCCTTGATCCCGTCTCACAGGATTCACTTCATCACTTCTACAAAGCGAGCCTCGAATCTGTTCCCATTCAAAAGATCGAATTCCCCCATGCGCCTCTCTTCAAATCGAGGGGCTCCACCATCTGCTGTTGGAGGCGTCCATCGGGCAAGACCGGGGCAAGAGGAGCAGCATGGAGCATGGAGCATCCGGGGCAAAAGCAATTCGAATGGTGACCGCGGGATACCAGAGTAGACATAGTTATACCCATGTCGCTGCCCCTGCTGCTTGCAAAGACATACATCTGACCTGGTTGGCATGATGCTTCCCCCCAGAACTCAGACTGAGCCTCGCATCCCTCAGAATATCAAATCCCAAACCACCAAGAACGAGCAAAATCCCGCCGTCGCATAAAACACCAACCTTGCCGTACTCCCCCTTTCACTCGCCTTCTTCAACTCTCGATTGCCCTTTCGTACATTCACATCCGTATTCGCCGCGTCCGTCACAAGGTTCCCAATCATCTCCCCTTGCACACTCAGATGCCCCACCAGCGTCTGCTGGAGACTGCTGATTTCCATCAGACTCTTCTCGACCTGTGTGACTTTGGCCATCTGTTCATTGAAATGCTCAAACATGCCCTTATTCTCCTCTTCGAACAGTTGTAGTTGTTCCGCCGACAATTCCGGCTCTCCGCCTTGAGATGGGTCGTTCCAAGGCTTGTATTGGTCGTGCGCTCGTAGATCTTGATTACCATATGCTTCTCGCCCAGTAGGCATGGACGTAATCTCTCGACTTGCCCGTACACCCTTGTTCCTCGGGTCGTAAAGCACGCTCATCTGTTTCTGCCGTTCGCGGTCAAGACGTTTCTCGACCATCTCTTGCTGTGCCGTGATGGCATCTTTCAGCCTCTTACCCAGGTACCAAAGCACTCCGTCACGGAACATCTTCGTCGTGCGCACCCTTCCTTCCTCGTCTAATTGTGCTTGGGATTTTCCCGCGTCCGGAGCGTCGCCGTCTCCAGCAGCCCAGCGCCAGAGAAGCCCGCTCGGACGACCATATTTCTTCTCCAAAACCTTGGTCGCAGTGTCATGCTGCAGATTTACTGCTGAGGAGAGGTTAGATATCTTGCTGTTAATGTCTCGGAGGATGGAGGATGTCTCGGAGTCGATCGCTTCGCGCTGAGAGTCGCTCAGGTGTTCGGGAATGATTCCCTCCTGCGCAGGAGTGGCGGGTTCAGCTCTTCTTGAATGACGGGGTGGTGGTGCGGTGGAAAGATACGGAGTGCGTATTCCCCGGAGGTAGCTAAGTAACGAGGAAATGGATCGGTTCTGTGAGGTCTAGGTCAGCCTGGAAATGAGCGAGGCTGCGATTGCGAGCGTACTATCTGATATGCCTCTCTCAAGAAAGAGTCGAGGTTCGCGGTAGGATCTCTTGTGCGGCCAATCACTGATTTGGCGGAGTGCTTCTCAACTAGAAGTGAAGACAGTGTTGGAGATATGTCTGTCATGGTTGCAATACTGGTTGAGGGAGATTGGCTTCAAGATCCATACGTTCAACGCTGTAAGACGTTCACAGCAAGTGGAATTGATGGTGCTCTGCTCTGAGTTGACACGGCGTCACAATGAGTACGACTTGCCCACCACGGCCACGCACGGCCAAACTTTTGACGATCATGCCGGTTACCTTGACGCGACGTGATGTGACGCTGCTTCAAGTAATCCTCGGCTCACCTTCCACCTCTGGGGCGTTCAAGCACGCACTGCACGTAGGTAACTTCTAAATGTGGCCTGTGTGCTCTCTAACAGGGGGTTAAACACACTGTCCAGGAGCAAACAAGACGATCGTTACCGTGGACAATTACAGATGGCGTGTCAGGATCAGGAAACCGGGGTTCTCATCGTGAATATCGAATCCTTCTATATTCTTGATGGCCAGCGTGTCACGCCATTACTCGATGGCTGACTCAGGGAGCCTTACAAAGAATCCATTCATTAATAAATACCATGTGGGTAACCCTGAGACGCGCCGATGGTACCAATATTTCCGTTCATTCGGGCAGGTGAGAAGTCCAACTTGGGCCAGCAAGGAAGAAAAGCCATTTCAGAGATAGTGTCTCCATCTCCGATCGCGTCGAGCCTTGCCGATCTTATCCATCACGTCCTTGGATCCGAATGCGTACCAGTTGGTGGCCATGGTATGCTCGATATTGTGACAAGTTCGCTCGATCGACTCAATGAACTCTTGACTCGGCACCACGTTGGCTTCGACCACGGCCGCCAACGCGGCCAAGAACTCGCGCTGCAATGCTTGATTGTCCTGCTTCTCCGGCTGGTTGCCGACGAGCAAGGTGAGTTGATCCTGTTGCGGATCCATCACAAGGTACCTTGTATTAGAGGTGCTGTCGTTGGTGCCGGAGTCATTCGACGATGATGCGACGGCGTTGTAACCCTGTCCAATCCACAACCCGGCTGTGGTCGAGCACCAGTCCAGACCTGTCTGGCGGTCGTGGAAGATGTTCCGGTCGGTCGTGACCTTGTGGCAGCTGAGACCATCTCCGAGTTGGACCTTCAGAGGTAGAAGATGAGGTTCATCGCCGATCCCGTTCGTTCCACTTGTTGTGTTGTTGTTGGCGTCCGCGATAACACTTGCAATTTCAATCTCCCGCGTCGGTTCGAGACAAAAGATGACTTTGGTGAGAATGATGACGACCTCGATCCCAATCCACGGGTACGCCCAGGTGGTCAGTCCAACAATCAGGACGGTGGAAACGACGTCCAGGATGCCACTGACGAGTACAAAGGCGCCCGCGACCCTCAAGATTGGTTGCTCGTACTTGGCCCCATACACCTGGAACCCGCCGAGGTTATTGAGGTGGAAACTGAGCACCTCGCAGACGACGTGCTCGCCCGCTGTCGGGACCTGGAGGCAACGGTACTCGGCGGACCCTGTGCGGTTGAGCTGCACCTGGGGCTTGCCCTGGCCGCGCGCAACTTGGGTCAAGATGACGGCCCCGAGCCACAGGCAGACGCAGATGGTCTGCACGGCGATCAACAGCCGGGCCGTGCCGTCGGCGCCGTTCTGGACGGCCAGGAAGGTCTCGGCGGTGTAAAGGGCGAGGTAGACGACAGATCCCACCAACAGCTCGTATGGTTGTTTTGTCTCAGGCGCACAGTCGACGGACGCCCCCGCGCCTGGAACCAGGCCTCGACCATGTACGCCTCGGCCGGGTTGTGGTTGACAATAAGGCTGGTCGTGTGCCGCTCCGCCGTACCCGAGGGGATGTGGCGAAGTTTGGGCATGAACCGGTTGACGTATTCGTCGTGCGCGTACGACAGCTCGGCCACTGTGTTGCGGTAGAGCTCGAAGCTCCACAGGAGGATGCCCAGTTGCAACTTGGACAGCACTCGGCCAGCGCCGATGCCGGCCACGACGAACGACGCGGGAAAGACGCGGCTCGCGACCAGCTTGATGTTCTGCACCTTGCCCGTCAAGACCGGGAGCAGGGTGAGGATTGAGTTCATGCCGTTGATGTTTTGCACTGCCGACTGCCAATCCCTATCCCTTCCGCCGCCGATGTTCGCGGCGGCGGCAACAATATTGGTAGTAGTAGTACTACTGAAGTTGTTCCTGGGGATGACGAAGGCCTTGGTAAACTCAACAAGAATGGCGAGCAACGTCGCCGGAATCAAATGCATGGTCCCTCCTGGTTTCTTTCTCATCTTCTCCAGTTTTGGTCAGTCCGATGACACGGGGAGATCGTAGGACGTGATCCAACAAGGGGGACCACGAGGCTGAATGCCTCCAGGGCTCCTTGATTGGTATATATCAAGCCAGCCCTCATAGCCACGCTGGGCTGGTCGCGTGACCGACAACTCAAGGAAAAGGGGATACGTTTCGGCTTCAGCCTCCTTTCTAAGCGATCAGGCTGAGAAGCCCAAAATGGATTCTTGCATGAAAGGGCCCAGGACACGTTGTTTAAGCGAAGCATTCGATACGTTACCATCTGGAGCTACCTCGGCTGTGCTTCGCTACTTACGACGGTCTTGGTGACGGCCAGGTTTTGATCTCGTTCCTGGGCAAGCAGCCTCTCAGCTGGTGGTACCAGTTGTTCGACGCGGCCAACGACGATCTGGAACGTCGTCACTCGTTTGCTCTGATCAGCTCGGTTTCCAACACGACTGGAGGCGACCCGTATTCTCTTGCTCTCGTTTCGAAGTCGCCAGCCACTCTGGGAGACAGGAAAGATTGTGAAGCGAGTGAGCTGACCAGACTGTGGAAGATCCGCGTTGAAGCACACATGACCGCCTGGTTGGGAGACATCGTGATGGTGACATCATGTGCCGCGAGTTGTGAAGAAGGAGATAGATGGTGAGCGGTGAGGCTGCCATTCCTCGATTCCCCTGGCAAGTAGCCTCACAGTATACCTTCAGCCTTGCCATTATTACCCCCACCAAAACCGCTTTCGCTTGGGAACTCTCTCCACCGGCATAATAGGGCTCATCTTGAACATGCGTTTGTGTCTACAGTGTCCGTTTTTTCCAAAGTCGGATATTACCGCCGTTGCTGTTACCCGGCAGCCCCTCTAACCCCGTACAAATACAACCATTGCTTCCACTCATGTGTAACATATACCATACGATACCCCTAGGACCGTTTGCCCAACTCCATACCGCCGTCCCAACCTGTATCGTCCTCAAAAGTCGCCACACCGGATATCTGCCGTCCAAGAAAGATGCCCGTCGCGGTAGCAACCACGGCAAGCATGAAAAACCCATCAAACCACCTCTGCACCCAAGCCGGCTCCAATAGCCCAGCACCAAGTGCACTGTTGATCACGCTGCCCACCTCTTTCGGCATCATGCCCCTGAGCATGATCGCAGAGCTAATAACATACATCCCGCTGATCTGGCTGATCAACAGCGCGAAATTGGTCTTGGTGGCATGAAGCACGCCCGGCATGAACCGTGCAAACAAATGGAACGTCTGCGTGACTGCTGTAAATGACGCCAATAGCATCGCCCCAGATAGCAGAAAAGAAATCTGCTGTGCCCACGACGCCTGGTCGAGCGAGGGGTAAACATGCCGCGCAAACAGAGCAATCGTGTATGTGACCGGGTCCGTGTCGGAGGACGTCGCAGGTCCTGAAGAGAATATGCGCCGAATGATGTTGATCGTAGTCGTGCAGATGCGGTAGACACAGTAGCATGAAAAGACATAAGAAAACACCAGGGACAGACGTCCCAACGGCGTCGTGGCTCTCAACTGATTCGCACGCCGCGCACGCATGATTGCAACCGAGCTCTCGAGTGACGAGGCCATCGTCTCGAGCCCTGACTGCTCCATCTCCAGTGTTTCTCTTTCCTGCATTTCTCGGTTCCCGCGCAGTGAGCCGATGGTTCGACCCCAGAATCCTTGAGTCGGACTTTGGGTAGCCTTTTGCTCCAGCATTCTTAACTTCTCTTTCTTTTCCGCGAGCATATCGAGAGTGGCGTCCAGCCCAGCCTGCTTGCGCGTGATATCAGTCTCCGCAACAGGTCTCACTCTAGACCCGAAACTTTGCCATATGGCGCTGACAGAGGCAAAGCCAGACAGTAAAGCCATCAACGACACTCCGGTGATGCCTAGCCTATCCAAGCATGCTTGGAAAAGACCCTCATGTCGACTGATACTCTCGGTTATGCTCGTCGACGTAGTAGGCAGCAGGGCCCCAATTGCCCAGAACCCAAACAGAAAAGCGGCGTAGCCAGCAAATTCCAGAGTCCATGCCAAACGGACCCGGTGCTTTTTCTCTCCTCGAAATTTGTATCCCGATTTTGAGACAACAGAAGATATCCCTAGCAGTGGTATGGCAACCACCAGTAGACCCAACAGGCTCACCACCGTTGTTTGCAGCGCAACGGTCCTGGCAGTAGGATTAAAGGAATTGGAGATTTCGCAAAGTAGTAATTCTGTCAGCACGGCGGACAGAGCGATGGTAGAAGCAAAGGTGATCGCAGCGACGCGGCGCGCAAGTTGTTGCGTGGCAGGTTCGAGTGGCGACGTCGCCGGTCGAGGGAGGTCTTTAAGGCCATCTTGCCCTGTCGAAGGGGATGATAGTAGTGGGTAGACTTTGCGGTAGGCGATGAAGGTCAGGACCGCAAATGTCGCGATGAAGGGGAGGGTTGAGAAAGCTGCCTTGGTTCCAAATTCCTTCGATGACCTGAGATAGTCGGGAGTGCAGTCATCGCAGTCCTCCAGAGGGTTGGACGGTAGCATATTGTGCAGTCTGAGTGAAATGAGGCATGTGCGAAAACTCGCTGAACATGATCTCTGTCTTCAATTCATGATCTGGCCGTGAAACGCGAGACAGGCGGGAAGGGAATCGACGGCGCAACGACTTGCGTGGACTCAGGTACCGTACGACTTATGCCACAACAGGCACTACAGGCACTGGGTGACAGGTACTTGTATGCAGCCATCCGGACGAGGGCCTGAGGGGCGCATCATGACGCTCGGCCACTAGGAGAAAGCGCTCCGGATGTGCAGAAAAACTGGCGCTAAAAGCCCTTCAAGCTTCTGGCCTTCTGCTACAGCTACCCACTACGAGTAGATAACGATACCGTAACCGAGCAGGTGGTAAATTCTAGGTTGGAGGCTATTTGAATGGGCTGGCTTTCACACAGCTGAAGAAGTGTGATCTGAACCCGGTAGAGCGCGCACACCAGGACTCCCTCGGTCGAGGCCCACTTTGGTATCTTGAGCCTGCGCATGCCAGGATCACGTCTCACCAACCACAATCTCACGAAACCAGCACCTCTGTGCAACGGTCGAACACCTCTTCACCTGGTCAAGGGGCCATCTCAATCGTCGTGATCGAAGCTCTTGTAGACAGGTTGCAGCTTCGAAGATGTCATCTAGAGGTGACCACGACTGACCAACTATCAGTGCTCTGCTGAGACGTCCCTTCCTCCTTGCAGGAAACCCCATTCGAGGGATCAGCATGAATGGCTTTGATAGAATGTCGCCAAACCATGCCACCCAGAAGCCAACGTTATCGAGAAGGAGATCGGCCGTGACTCGGCGACCTCCTTTGCGGCTTGTCTCGAAGTATATCCGCCAACCAGGGCGTGGTCTCTCTGACGGACGGTCGCCGTTCCTCCACAATCCTCGGCACCAGCAGATGAATGTCCTCTTCATCAGAAATAGCAGCATCACTATCTCGATGGTCCTTTTTCGCAGATTGTCTGGGCGATCTGGGAGGTTTATCATCGTCCCAGTCTTCTGCAAGGGCGGCAATGCTCGGGCTTTTCATCGCGAGATCAGCCCGAGGCGCACTCTCGGTGCTCAAGAACCCAATCGGTAAAGCAAAACTCCTTTCGGGAGAGTCCTCGTCTGAAGTGATATCGCTTCTGGCCGAAGTGACTCGCGCAAGAGGTCCCCCATACGTCCCCTTGAGTATACCCTTTTTGGGAGGCCCGATGGCCTTTTCAACCGCGTCAGCTTCCTTCTGGGTGGCTTCCATTGATATCGAAGTGCTATTAGCCTGCGCGTACAAATGACTGCCACCAGCTGATTGGACCTGTTCAAGCATGCTGCTGTAAAGGCTTCGACCACTCTCCATCTGCCGTTTCATTTTCTTTTTCATCCTTTTCGAAGTCGGTCGAACCACGATCACAGGTACGGGTGAGTGTTGGAGACAGTATTTTGAGACTGATCCAGGAAGCAAACCTTGCATTCCTCCCAGATTTCTCCCACGGGTACCCACAATTAATACCGCGGGCTCATACAACTGGATCTGGATTTGGGTCAGCATAGAAAGAACATGCTTCATGTGACATGCTTACCATGCGCTGGAAGATTTCCTGGACCTTCCCGACCGCAAGCTCCATGATGATGCTGATCGCTTTCTCCTCCGAGCTGTTCTTCTTGATGACACTGTCCAGTAACTTTTGCGCCTCTAACCGATATTTGCCACGGTCATATGCTGTCTCGTTTGGTCTCGCATCTTTCTCGATCACTCGCAAGCAAACGATCTCGTCTCCGTCGTCAACCAACTCGTCCAGCATCCACTCCAAGGCATATTCCGAGTAGTCTTTCGCATCGGTTCCGCACAAGAAGGTTCGACCTCGAGAGTTACGAGAATACTCGCAATGCTTGTAGTTTAATGTAAACGATTCCGTCGATGCGTCTCGGTTGTCAAAGGTATCGAAGGAGACACCACGGTGGTAGTTGAAGGGAGGCGGTGGCGATGACAGTCTTCTCAGAGCACTGGAGGACATTCTAGCACCTTGGGCGACACTCTCTCGTCTGATGAGGTCTTCTGCATCCGCGGTATGGAACTGGATCAATGATTTGCGCCGACTGCAATCAGACTGGTCTGCGGATGGGGGTCGTGACGAGGGTTTGCCTGCGTCCTTCCACGCTTGGCCAAATCTCAGCCCTTTTCCATCTTCAGGCGATAAAGGTCTAGCCAAAATAGATGATTCTGTTGGCTCGTGCGGCGCGGCCGAAGCCATCTTATAAGGACAGGATGTACTCGTAGCGCGGGGTAGGATTGACTGGTTCTCCAGCAAATGAGGAATAGGGCGGGTCAGCGATCGGTATGAGCTAGCGAGGTGTCAAAAGGACGCGGGAGTGGGTGGAAGAAGTGCCACGCTCGTCATTGAAAAGATTCTAGACCTTGGAGTTCGTCGATGATGGTACAGTACACCTTTACTCGGAGGGAGAGATGTCGCAATGCAGGGTGATGGAAAATCCTTCAGAGTCAGCCGGCGTGAAGCTGCATCAGGTCAAAGGTCAAAGGAGAGCCAGAAGGCATCATGGTCGGAACCCGAGTTCTTTTCAGGTCATGAGAGTCTTGACAACAGGCTTGGCTTCGAGCTATATCTGACTCGAGCTTTCAAATTGAGGCGAGGGCTGCGGGGCAAAAAGACGTCGGAAAGGTGGTGGAGAGAGTGTCGGCAGGAAGGGATTCGTCGTGGTCTGAGAAAGAGAAGAACTGCCAGTGTCGCCTAGAAAGGCGCAAGCTGCTTCACTAACAATGCCAAGGAAGTAGCCCCCGGCCTCGCACTCCTCCTAAGTTTCAGATCGCCATCTCATCGCCAAATAGAGCCAGTAGGCGTGGTCAGAGGATGTTCTGCAGAGGCTAAAGCAAGAAATACATGCTTGAGCACCAGTGAGCACCGTAATGAGTAAGCTGGGATGTCATTGTGGAGTGACAGACGCCTATCGCAGTGTGTTCATGCAAGATATGGGCAGCTCCGAGTCTCGAGTTTATGCGCTGGCTGCTCACGGTGCGCCGCCCGGATAGACGGTCCCATGACTTCGCCGCTGTAATCCACCTGGGTGCTTGCTACCGAGAGCATGTTGGTCAAACCCATACGGAGTACTGTGATGCCATATTCAGGCAGTCTCGGAAAGCTGACCACATGCCCATAGCGAAATAAGACGCTCAAAAGAGCAGGGTGCATGCACTCTAATCAGACTCTTTCAGAAATACTTTCAACTGTATCGCACGCGAACACTCTGTAATAGCGACTGCATGCTTGTAATCTGTCCGCTGCCTTTCAAAGTTATAAGATCAACGTGTCGGCGCAGGCGCTCTAACGATTTACGTGACCACACTCTCCGGTGATCTGGCAGCAGTCTACATTTTCTCCTCTATCGTCACATGATTATGACCGCGGGCTCCTCAGGCTGGTACATAGACGTGCGACGTTCAATCTGAAAGGCCTTTGGGCTGAGTTGTCCAGGCATAGCTAGCAGCTGCAGTGGGATTTGATGGCCAAGACATTGACAATGATGTGTTGCACTGAACTGTTGCACTGAGTTTCAAGAAGCTGCTGCGGACTGGCGATCGAGAAGCGAGACAGAGTGGAGATCCATTGTGAGATGGCATTTCTTCCATCGAGTACTGTTGCGGGAGAGGTAGACCTATCCTCTCGTCCAGAAGAGCCTCCGCGTAGAGCAGTGAGGCAATCTCCAGGTGTTGTAAGTGGCGAATTCCTCGTCGGATCTGATCAACCTTGATCGATATCGCCCGTCCATCTGCCGAAAGCCGTGCGTGCCATGCCGTGCGTACAGGATGAACGCGTCTCAGAATCGATAGCCGAGACACGGAGGTCCCGTCAATTTGCTGTCGGGACTGGGTCGAAATCGTGTGGTCTGCAGTGTATGCAGATTAGGGCGGTCTGTGATTAATGGCGAGCCCGAAGGCAAGAGCTAGACCGTTGGCTATGAATTGCCATCACCGTGGTCAACGCTTTAGTTCTGCGTACGGGTATGATACTGGATCGCCCTAGAAAGAGGTCACCGTCAGCAGGGCGGTCGTCGGCCGAGGCCAACTGGCACCACAACGTACCTTCCGCAGCCATATCTTTGTTCGCTTTTTTGTTCCTTGATGCTCGACGAATACCTCCCGTGCATGTTCTGTCTTCCACTTGCGGATAAATCGTGGATCCCAAAGCTCACTGGCAACACCAAGATCTTTACAACAGCGCATCATGGCGTTGGATTTACAACCCTCTGATGCTGTTGGTATGCCGTCCTTATGAAAGTAGTCTTGCTCCCCTCGGGCGATAGAGACCAATCTAGTTCTTAGTCAACTGTAGCCCAAGTACGGGTTCCATTTCCGCTTACCTTCCATGAGCCAACAAGGCGTATTCTCGCGTGACCGCTTTCTCTGTAACTATTGTCTCTCCTCTAGGCGCCAGTCCCCAGCCACCTGGCCCAAAGGCTCTGTTAAGTATCCGTCTGTATTTGATCTCCGGCAGATACACTATGCCGTCAGGTTTGATCTCGACATCGTCCGGACTCAGAGGCTCCATGAGTATACCGGCCGCTTCCTTGGAAAAGGGTTCGGCAGAAAGACCATGAAACGACCGCGTCCAATCAACATTTGAAGGATCGTCATCTTGTACCGCGAACGCCTGGGCAGTCGGCGGCGCAGGCAGTGTTTCACTGGATGGTGGGCTTGAAGTCGCGTTTGGCTTGGAAGGTTGGGTTGCTGTTGATGCAGGTTCGGCTCCTCGAGGCGACGACTTCGTAAATATTGTGCGGAAGGAGTAGGAGTTCCTGCACAGCTTCAACTGTGGCGACGCAATATAGGTTGAGGATCGTGCAAGGTCTGTTCGCAGAACCCGGAAAGTCGTCGCTCGTAGTCTTGGAGCCTGAAGAGGGAGTCGAGAAATTGGCAGCATATTTGCAACAATGGACAAGGTAGGACTTAGACGGTAGGCAAGGAAGGACTGAAACAGTAGAAAAGAGGTCCGGGAGGTGTGATTTATTGTACAATCAAGGAGGAGTCGGTGCGATTATGTTCTATGAAGGAGAGAGTTGGTGGAAAACCGCAGTACCTTGTGCCTTCACGCGCTCTGCAGTGGCGGACGAACTGCATCGAAACACCAAATCCCGTGACGAGCCTCAGTGGACAGCACCAATTCTCTGCAGTGAGCCTCCACGCCTGCACCATTGCGATCTATCATTTCTCTGATGAGACGTCTTTGCTCTGAGTCCGCTCTTCATTTCCTTTGCGCTTCCAGCATTGTCTGAAGGCCTCCATCTGTGGTGGTCCATTAGCACGTCGGCCAGTTGTGGTTACCGAGAACGAAGCCGGAGATAACCACAAAATTTGCATCGATCTTGGGGTTCAACACTCACTTCGTTCCGGCAAACCCTCCAGTCTTTCTTCTCGTAATAGCAGTCATTCATTCGAAGCTGTTCCTCTGTAGTTGCGGGCGTCAGTCACGGTCTCTTCGTCATGAAAAAATAGGGGTTGATACCTGCACAGCCTGTACTGAAGATCCGTTGATCCCTACGAGCCACATTGTGAGCATCACCATCTGCAGAGAAAGCTCGCCCGAAGACACACCATTCGTCTACTTCATCATCCTCGTCCACCTGCGGTTGAGAAGCCTTCTGTTCGCTAGCCATCTGGATCTTCTGAAGCAAATCGGATCTGGAACAGTGAGAGAGAGGAAGAAGTTCAGACCCTCAAGCCACCCGGAGGTTCGCAGAGTTGTCTGACATAGGCAAATTCCCGAGCTTCGTCGCACCACCACTTAGTTGGTGAGCCACAATTCACCATGGCCACCAAACGAATGAATGTGCTTGTCTACTCTGGTGCGCTCACTCAGGAAGCGTGGCGAGCCAATCCAAATCTAATGCTTTCTTCAGGAAACGGGAGCACAATCGAATCAGTTCGCCACTGCCTCTATACCCTTCGACGGCTACTTTCGCCCAACTATGCTGTTATCCCCGTCACTGGGGATATGCTTATAAAGGAACCGTGGACAGCAAGTTGTGCTGCTTTAGTGTTTCCAGGCGGCGCCGACCAGGGTTACTGCAGAACCCTCAATGGCGATGGGAACAGGCGGATTCGTCAGTTCGTCGAGCGCGGCGGCACCTACATTGGATTTTGTGCTGGTGGCTACTACGGCAGCAAGCGGTGCGAATTCGAGGTAGGAGATAAGCTCATGGAAGTTGTTGGCGATCGAGAACTTGCATTCTACCCTGGAGTCGCTCGAGGCTGTGCGTTTCCGGGATTTGTCTATCATAGCGAGAAAGGCGCTCGGGCTGCAGATCTCAGAGTTGACAAAACCGTTTTATCGGCTGGAGCAGTGCCCAGTGTCTTCAAGTCTTATTACAATGGTGGTTGTGTCTTTGTGGATGCGCCAAAGTTCAAGGATCAAGGCGTCGAAGTCCTTGCCAGCTACCTAGAGCCTATTGCAGTTGATCCGGGGGAAGGTTCCGCTGCTGTTGTATACTGCAAGGTTGGTCAAGGTGCAGCGTTACTGACAGGACCACATCCAGAGTTCGTCTTTCTTGGAAAACCAGCCGATGACTGGTCACTGACAAAGCCTAGATTTGCAGCTGCCAACCTTGAGTCCAAACCAGATGCCCCGGGCTTCTCAGAGGTTATCGCGACCTTAGCAGCCGACGAGAAGCACCGGATGGACTTCGTCAAAGCATGCCTGACCAAGCTCGGCCTCACCGTGAGCGACGAACAAAATGTACCGTCCCTTTCCTACATGCATTTATCCTCGTCCACTCCCACCGAAACAGCCAACATATTGTCTTCAATAAGCCACCTTATTGAGAAGGATGAACGGTCGGAAGAATATTTCAAGGATGAAAATGACACATTCCACATCATCCGGCCATCAACCTGGAGAATGGTTGATTTGGCTACAGCATTGCCTTCGCACACTGACGGCAAGGAAGTTGCTGACCAGCTCGATGGCAGCTCCGACCGAATAGTCGACTATAATACGGTAACGAAACATATCATCGTTCACGACGACGATTACCCCGAGTCGAAATCAACACCATATTTCAACCACCAGGCCTTCTATGCAAATCTCCACCACTATCAATCCCAGCTCCCCGGCGCATCGAATTTTGGCGCTCATCTACTCTACGGCGAAGTGGTGACTTCCACGAATACGTTGCTTGAGAAGAACACTAAGCTGCTTCGGAATCTTCCCCAGGGTTTCACAGCCACAGCCACGGTCCAGGTTGCTGGCAGGGGCAGAGGTTCCAATGTCTGGGTTTCACCCCCGGGGAGTCTAATGTTCAGCACCGTCATTCGACATCCCATGGCCCAGATGCAAGCTGCTCCGGTCGTGTTCGTTCAGTACCTGGCAGCCATGGCGATAGTGCAGGGCATCAAGTCTTACGACGGCAGACTTTACCGAGATCTGCCTATCAAGTTAAAGTGGCCGAATGATATATTTGCTTTGGATCCTGCCAAAGCCAAGGAGAATGGTGGCGATAAGAACGAGAACTATACCAAGATTGGTGGCATCTTGGTCAACAGTCATTACAACAGCAAGGAGTACATTGCCGTGTGTGGGATCGGTCTGAATACAGCCAATGCTGCGCCCACCACGTCGCTGAACCAACTCACGCAGTTCCTCCCGCGTGACGTGGAACCATTTACGCTAGAAAAGCTGCTGGCGAGAGTCCTGACTGTCTTTGACGACCTCTATGCTCGATTCTTAGTCACGGGGTTCGATGAAGTCATGGAAAAGATGTACTACGAGCATTGGCTGCACATGGACCAAATTGTCACTCTAGAAGCTGAGGGTGGTCAACGAGCACGGATCAAAGGTATCACCAGGGACTATGGTCTGCTTATCGCGGAGGAGCTAGGATGGGAAGATCGGGAGACTGGCAGAAGGTGGACTTTGCAGAGTGACGCCAATAGCTTTGATTTTTTCAAAGGTCTTGTCAAGGTACGTACCTGCTTTCCCTTGATGGAGCGCACCTACTGACCGCGACTGTCTCCGCAGAGAAAGCTTTGACGCACAGGTTTGAACAGGAAAGTAACAGCCCTACCGTCAGGTCGGTCTTGGCCTCAGCCTAACCGGCTGTAGACCTTTACCGTCGTAACGGCTTTTGGCTGCAAATCAAGCCTGATGGATAAGCCATATAGATCGCATTGAGCAGGTTCACAACCTACAGCTCGCACACTTGGCCATACGCCACGCACCAGTAACTTGAAGCACGTCCGAGGTGGTTACTGCCAGTGCCACTCCTCAGCAGCTTTGGCCAGCTAGGGCGCACGTCAGCCCACAGACCTGCTGCAACAGTGTCACTCGATGTGGCTGCAGTAACTGAGAGTCAAGGATTGGGTGTGGACCATGAGCCTCCACCGAAAGATGTTGACGATGCACAAGAGTGGCTCCCGAGTTCGGACTTGCAACTGACTGAGGTATGCTCACAGAATCCTTGGCGTCTGGCTCTCTATCAAAAGGATGGAGAAACGCACATCCGTGACTATCTCAGAAACTGGGCTGAGGAGTCTGCCTGACACAGTGCCTGGACATGAGCTTGTGCTGCTGAAGAGTATGTTTGTACGAACTTGGTTTAGTTGAGACAACGCGTCAAAGGCACCCTCTGGCGTTGGATCGCGCTGGATTCCGTATCGAGACACATTGCCTTACTCTTCACCTATAGCCGGCGTGGGACTGAGTTCTTCCATGAGCAGCTGCGAAAAGAACCTTGCCTCAGGACTAGCCAGCTAGAGCAGGTCAGTCAGCTTGTGGCTTGGCGTGGAATGCAGACAATCGACGATCTTGTCCTCAGGCTCTGCGGAAATTTGAAACCTGGGGCCATGGGAGCCTCATGACGCTTACAATATCCTTGTGTCATCAGCTTGGACAGACGAGGATTGTGTTGCATACTCAGTCCAACGATGCTCAGGACACTGCAGCGAGTAAGCCCACTGGCACCTTGTTGTGATGGAACTCCGCTGGTGTCGAAAGTTTCGCAAGCAGTGGAAGCCATACCCTGTTCCAGTTACATTCACGACCTGATCACCGCCATTTCCACTCTTGGAATGGCCTTCTCTGATATGTTGTTTATCGGCTGGGGAGACCAGCTGTTACAGAAGCTGGTTGTCGGGTGTCATGGCGACGCGCCGTCACATCAGGCCCATGTCCCACTGGATTCCTCCAAATGAACAAGGGTTTGGAATTTGCGCAGCCTGAACGCTTGAACGTACCCGTGGAGCCTATTTGCTGGTCACATAATGATCGCATCTGCTGTTGACAGAAACTTCCTTCGTCTGGCCTTGACTTTACCATACAACTAGTACGAGCTGTTCCTTGCGGTGGGATGGGCAATGTGTGGAGCTCAAGAGATACCGTTGGCTGGTGCAGCCGCCGTACAAGGCAGCTGGACTCCCAGGCTCGCGTGCATTCGTGGGTGGCGTCCCGCAACCTTACATGGCCCTCGGATGTCAGACCGTTGGAGGGACCGGGCGTTTGATTGGCACATGGCACTCGAGTCAAGGAATACCATACCAGCTCCATACCCCAGTTCTCGCTAATGTTCGGGCGTAGTGGCTTGCCTCTGCTATAGTTACTGGCGAACTGCCGTGCTGAAGTTTGGTACTCGTCTGTACAATGCGACAAGTCATGTTGCACCCGGGACATCAGTGGAGACGCCTACCAAGCCGTCGACTTTTCTTTTTACAGTACGGAAATATTTGTGGTTACTCGCCAGCGTATGTAGACGAGAGAGTGACAGCCCAGCCGAGGAAAGACTTGGTACTATGGAAGTGTGGATAGGATGCAAGATGCTCAGAGTGATCGCCATCAGGCAAGGGACCAGCAGTCGCAGCTGCTGCAGAGAACCCATTGTGATATGCCTTTTGACGTAATGGTGGACCAGGGGCATATGTAGAGTTGCACCTGCCGTGACCTGCGTCTACCGCCTCACATCCTATCCACAAGCTGAAGGCCCAAAGAATCAAGCAGAGTCACAGGGAAATATTGGTGGACTATTGAGCGCTCACAACACTTCCACGACGTGTCTTTTATCCGGTATGCAGTACCTCGTATCGGCGATGTATTGACCTATTTTCAGCCACTTAACGAATTGCAGGAGACATGGAGACTCCCACAAACCAGGGTGGCGACTAAGTTAGCGACGATATTTCCCGTCGACGTCGTCGTCCCCACCCGGTCGACCTTGAATTTTTATCATCTCTGACCATCGAATCCCCGGTCTCTACATCAGTGTCTGAGGTTCTAGCCTTTCTATATATCGCTGCAGGTTGGCTTGTGTCGTTGCGAACCGAGACGAGCTTACGGACATCCACTCGGCGTGCAGGATTTGCTCGCTTCCAGCGGCATCTTTAGCTTGGAAAGCGAGTCCAATCGTCTACGCTGTGTCCGATACGATATCAGCGAGCGCCACTTCGAGTTAGATGCTTGTTGCCAACTTGAGCACACCTGCAAGCGCAACTGTGGCCCTTGACCAGCTCTGACCTCTACGCCTCTCCACACGGCCACCCAGAGCGTTGAACTCGAACGCAGATCATCCTTGCTATTCACGGCGCGCATCCAATCCCATCCTTGTCACATTCGGATTGGCTAGGGGGACAGCCTTCCGGTACAGGGAGCTACCGCTGGTAGTCGGAGCGGAGAACTATTAAAGCACTCTCCCACCCCATGGTCTGGCAGGAGGCCAGCGTCTTTTAGGGCTGCTCGGCGCACACAGGCTTCTTGCCTTGTGCTTCTCCTTGACTTGCCGTCGAGATGGAGACCGTGTTCATTACCATTCATGGTACGTCTTCCGCATTCCTCTGTCTCCTAATGGTTGGCTAAAGTCTGCAGATTTATCTCGCGATGCTCGCATCAAGTACTGTTCGGACTCTGTTGAGGACATCCTCGGATACCTGCCCCATGAAGTCGTTGGCAGGTCGTGCTGGGAGTATTTCCATCCCGAGGAAATACCCTTTGCCCGCGAGATCCATGACCGTGGCATCGAACTGGATAAGGCGGCTGTTATGAACTACGCCCGGATCAGGCACAGAAATGGCGAATGGATCGGCTGTGAATGCGTCTTCACAGTTGTCCATGATGTCCTTGTTGCCAGTACCGCCATTTACAGAAGAGGGCCCAAGGCTCGTCGTACGCAAATACCCATCTTTCTCTGAAATCTTCCTAGGACTGACGGTCTTGCAGAAAGGGCTCTGGATGGGGCTGGCATACGGCGCATATTCTCTTCCTCCCCTCGAGATCCCCGTTACCACATGTTGTCGTACTTATCCAACAAGTTCTATCAAGAGCCAGCTGCCCACCACCCTGAACCTCGAGCTGCATTGTTCCTCAATCGCTTCACCCGAACCTCAACCATCATGTATGCCACGAGTGGAGTGTCAACCATTCTGGGTCTGGAGCCAGAGGAGATCATCGGCAAGAGTTTCTACTATTGCATTCAGGAGAACTGTCTGCCAGACGCCATCAAGTGCCTTGAAAGCGCAAAAGCTAATGACTCCATTGCATATTTGAGGTTCTGGTATCGAGATCCCTTGCAACAACGAAGCAGAGCACATTCCGAGGCCTTGCCAGAAGACGGGAGTGACGAAGATGAAGAGGGCGGTGTCCCCCTTGGTGGTAGTGGACGCTCCGACGCGAGCGTTTCGATGACAGACGCTTCGACACCACGACCCGCTGAGGCTCCGGCTGCTGCTCTTGATAGTGCTGGGCCACGTACTTCGGGCCAGGTCACCCCACCACAAGACGCAGATCAATTTTCTACACAGCCACGACTGTCTGAGCCCCATTTAGCACGTGTGGCTGACGGTGAGGCCCATAGGACGACCTCTGACAACAGCACGTATACTGAAGGAAATTATACAGATACCGTTTTCGACCGTCAAGACTCAAACAGACGAGAGTCGTCTCAGACGCCACCTGAAGACCTTCAGCCCGAACCCTTAGAAATTGAAGCTGTGGTCTCCTGCACGTCCGATGGACTTGTCGTCATCCTACGCAAAGCAAGACCTCTGGTGCCTCACAGTCTCGGCGCTACGGAAGCACCTTACTACGCTAACGGGCTTTTCGCCTCCCCTTGGGCACCTGAACCGGTCATGCCACCTACCATGGAACAGACCACTGTTGCTCCTTTTGCGTCATTTCCCACTGTCGCAGCGACCGACAACGTTGACACTGGCTTCATGGCTGCAATCAGAGACGTGGCGGTCTTCGCTTGGTCGCTCACTGGTATCAATGGTTCTCTGGCGCAGTACGCCCGTGGCCATGCCAGTGCAGATGCTCTGCCTCCCGATGGTCTGCCTATCTGGGATCCAAATGCTGAGGTCGATGAACGAACTAATGAGCTCTACAATGGCTTCCTGGGAAGTGCTCATCGACCGTTTGATGGGCTGGGTGAGGCTGGTACACTGCGAAAAGAAGAATCAGGCAGCAGCGAGGATGAGGTTGTCTGGAAGCGTACTCCGACAATGCAACCTTGGAGGCGACCTAAGAGAAGAGCACATGATGACGCCTTTGGCGGTGATGAGCATGATGGCATGGATGGCGCAACTGAAGATGGCGGCCGAAAAAGGGCGATAAGGTCGCATGCGGGTTCTGCGACTGGATCTTCCACAAGCTCCGGATCGGGCTCTGGCTCTGGCTCTGGGTCAGCAGAAGGATCAGGAGCCGGGTCTGCCACTGGTTCTCTCTGATGATCCCTTTCTAGTGGTATACTTTTTACGCTGCAAGGACAAAAGATGTGGAGGATTTTCTTTTCCACGATGTTATGAAGCATGCGATTACTATTGCTAGGTCTATTAGAAATAAAAAATCATCCGCTGGACTCAGGACCCGCTGCGAAGCATAAACTCTGATACAGTCGGCCCCGGCTATGCTGGAGGCTGTCTGCACTGTCAGTGACTGTCCATGCTCGCCATGGAGGACGTACCTCATACAGCCTCACGTGATCGCCCTATCCGCCGTACTCTGGGGGTTCATTCTCATGCACGTGATCTCGCGCCTCATTCGTGGCGTGTCCTGCAGGCACTGTTCATGTCGACTTTCACACAATACTCTCAAGGACTGTCTCAGACATTAGCCAGAACCTCAAACTCAATTCTGCCTCATGCGCTCAAGATGCCTCTGGTCGAGCTGCGAAACAAACGCCTAAACGGCGTCAATCAATATTTGCAGAATCGCGAGGTGGGAGGTGCCCAACCGGAACCAGAGAAGCGTTCTCTTACGCCGCAGCCTCAGCGAGAGCGGTCAAAGCAGCGTGCCAACGATACTGTCGAATACAAGCCACGGGCTAGTAGTCGGGATGCCGTTGGTGGCAAGCAAGGGAACATGCCACGGCCAGATTTTATCAAAGGTTTGAAAGTGGCTGTTCCAGATACAATTGCAAAGGCCAAGGCAGATCCAACGCAGCCAACTCACCACCACAGTTCTGATATTGTTCCAAGCACCGTGCAGCACAAGACATCTCGGACCGATCCCCGTGCTGAGGGACACCATGAAGTGAGACCCTGTGTATGCCTATGGCCGGTCAAGAATGTTGACTCTTCCAGCTTATCGGCAGTGCCTTCGATGACACCCAAAGCATCCACTTCGATGACTCGACCAGTATTGCGGATGGTCAAGAGACCCAGGTGAACCTAGGTTTCGGCTTCGACCCACAGGATGGACCACCTCCATACCAGCGACCCATCCCTTACAAGCAACATACCGTGGCATCGAAGAATATCCAGCAATCGTACAGTAATCTGGTGGGACCAGGTTGGCAAACGCAGGTCGATCATGAAAGAGTTCGGCGAGGCGAAGCACCAAAATATGGCACACGTTTCGATGAACATACAAAGGACAGTGTCCTGACAAGTGAGGCACTTGACGATGGTTACGAGCCAGACGGCGAGTTTGCTGAAGATGAACCTAATACATGGGATACCCCGTCACGTACAAGAGTGGTGCCTGAGGAACATCATGCGTCTCAGGAGTTCATCAAGCATGAATCTCAGCAGATCGTGCCCGAGGGCCGGGTCAACCCTCCCCTTCCACATCAGAGCCGACCATTGGGCGAAGTTCCTGTTAATATCAACGGGGAGATTCCTCACCAGAAGCACAAGACTCGTTTCCAGGTGCCACAGAAGCAGTTCACTATCAACAATTCTGCCGAGTTACCGGAAGCCAGTGGATCTGCTGATATCTCACAACACCCTCGGCAGCCAAATATCCAACCGCCACCATTCTCCTCAAAAGTCTCTTCATACCACGAATCCTCCTCAGAAGAAGACCACGCTCAGTCAACTGCCGCCCCTACTTCACCAGGCCCTCCGAGCAAACGACCACGCGAGGAGGATCTGGACTTCGATCCCGAAACGCTCACCGGAAAGACCATGAAAGACATCGACGACATGCCCTTCACGACTGACCCGAGTGTTCCTCAACTCGAACCTGCCCTCGACATGAACGGCACGCCGATCAGTCTGGCCACCAAACTCACCAATTTGACCAAGATGCGCGAAGAAGATCAAAAGCTCTTGTTTAGATCTCTAACCGACAACGACCGCGAGCAGACTGCTTCATGGTTCCTGGAGAAATTCCAGGCCGATGTGCGGAAGTTGATGGATGTCAGACTAGAGCGCAGAAAAATCGCGTTGAAGTACGAATTGGAGGTTAAGAAGAGGTTTGAACGCGTCGAGACCAAGAAGAAGGATGTTGATGAGGAGTTGGCGGGTCTTAGGAAAGGCGGCGGCGAATTAATTGCCGGCAAGAGTATGGCGAAGGGCAGTGGTGGTTGAAATTCCGAGCGACTGGTCGAGACGGTCTGGATGGGTAGTGGGCGTTGCGTTGGGCAGTTCATGCTGTTTGTGGTTGTTGACTTACGAAAAGTAAGGTAATGATGCTATGAAAGATATGAACGAAACTGTTCACGAGGCAAGATGATTTCGATATGATACCCCTGTATAGTTATGAAATAGGTACTGAGTGCTCGGTAGACACAGACACAGACACCAAATTTGATATATACTTAAGCACTGTGGCACTGCAAGCCAGAGGTCAGGACGTTTAGATACAGATTGCGGTACAACACGTTCCTCAAGTAACCGGGCACAGAACTTCGGAATGAAAAGTGCAAGATTTGTATTTGTACTCGCCCGCAGCCCTGTCGGCGTCTACGTTACGCCAGTGGAGAGAGAGACAACCTGCATCAGGGGCATCATCAGGTACGGCCATTCGAGGTTATCACTGGTTCTGGTCTGGCCAGGTACTACTGAAGGTCAGAGCCTCGGAGCCAACTTGAGTTCAGTGCTCTGGCAGTGACGCTCAATGATAAGCAACACTAGGTACGTGAGCACTGCACCCGTGCGTTGCTCTGTATTGCTCTCTCCATCCCCTTCCTTCTCCCCTCAGGATTGGAGATTTCGTTTTCACTGAATGTGGATGCAGAGGAGCTGTGGCCGGGTCCCTCGATGCTTGCGCCTTTTCTTGGCCCTGCTGATGCTGCCTCCATATCCGCGGTCGACAATAGTCTTCGCAGTGACTTCATGCGGGTTTTTTGCGCATGTATTGCACCCCTCCGGGTCCCCTTGGGATAGTCGGAGTGATACCCAGAGCACTGGGATATGGTCGTAAAGCGCGCTGGCGCTAAACACTTCTCGGAGGTGCTCGTGGCATCAAAGATGTGGGCCGTTCTGGTTATGGCCCGGGCAAGCAAGTGTCTTCTCAAGCTCGTCGATACCGGTCCAACGGGTCGGACAACCCAAAGTCGCTGATTCCCGTTCGGGGTATCAATTCTCAGCTCTTTTCGTGATCACTACCCACGGTAGAGCCTTCAGTCTCGCCTTCGGCATGATCGGTAACGGCCTCGTCTTCAACGGCCCTTTGGACAAGCTTGCCCAGTACCCTGGCCAGGCGTTGATAGTCCGCCAGCAAATCCTGCACATCTCGAATCTTCAGCTCACTGGCATCTGTCACTGACATGAAGTGCGTTATTGGAGGTGCTGCCCTGATAATCGACAACTCCTCCTCGTTAGGAACACGGAGAGGAACTTTCCCCACTTCATGGCCATGTGCCTTCTTATTGCTCTCTTCTGATGCAGACTTAGTGTCGAGGACGATCGTTGGAGCCGACGTTGTAGGCGCTGCTGCAGGCGGCGAAGCAGATACACTGGTTCTGCTGCTAAATCGACCAAATGCTCCGCCAAACGCTGAACCTATATGATTGATCGGATTTAGACTTGTACCAAAATTCTTGACCGACTCCAAAGGATTGCTGCTCGATGGCTGAGCTCCTGGAGCAGCCGTCTTCTGTGGGTTGGCCAGCCCATTTGGCGGCGAGTTGGTGTGGGGTGCACCCAGTCCTACCCTCTTCCCACTTCCACTGCTCGTGACACTATCCACGCTTCGTTCCCGCGCCGTTGGTCTGCGGCCACCAAACAGCCCCAGCATCTTGTCTTCGGTCTTGGTAAGATTCGAAGGTATGGGTGTATGCTGACCGTCGTGGATAGAACTCGATTCGCTAAGAGCGTGGTCGTCCTCGTCTGGAGTCAGAGGTCGATTGACCAGTTGCCTTGCTTCGTCGAGCGTTTTCGGAACAATGACTTCCGCATTCGCGTCGTCGGTGCTGCGCTCTTTCAGCTTCCCCATCAGGAACTTGAAGCTGTTGTCCAGTGTGCTTGAGATGTTTTTGAACCCCTCTTCTGCGGTAGAGCGGACAGCTTCGTTTGCATTGCTTATTGGTTGCAGGAGATCAGAGAAGGTGCGTTGGTGCCTAGCGGCTGGAGCTGGAGTTGGCTTCTCTGGTAATGGCTTGATAATGGATGACGCTGGACTTGATTCGACATTTGTGCCAGTTGCGTTTGACATTGATGTTACTGTCGTCGGAGTAGAAGGTGGTGCTGTGCCGGGGAAGGCAGGGAAAACCTCCAGCTTGGTTGGATTTTCCACTTCTGCCTGTGCAGGAGCCTTCTTTGGTCCTTCAGGCAGTTCATCTGCTCTTAGACTCGTAAGATCAACATTCTCGAGGAAGCTGATAGCGGCTTCTAGATTCGTCAAGCAATATGCTGCCTCGCCGTCCATCTTCGGTGCTGCTCTGAAGCGTTGAATGAAATGTAGGTTGCTGATAATGTTTATGCCTTCGATGGGAGATGTAATCAAGGTGTAGATCAAGGTAGGCAGGATCTCGTCCGCGGACGATGAGGAAGGGTGTATAGTGTATAATGTGTCGACAATGGCTTTGTGGGTGGCGGTCAGATGTTGTAACTTGCCTAGTGGATAGTGTTCATCGTTCATCTTTGCAAGGCCTTCTCTCGCTGGTGCCAGCGAAGCTTGCACATCTTCAACCGTCTTTTCCGTTGCGGAATCCCACTCAATGCCCAGGTCTTTCAGCCCTATGCCTACTAATGACAGTGCTGCAGTTTTTGACCTCAGCTTCTCATCTCTGACTTCATCCAGCGTGCTCTTGTGTCTCCAGATTTTGTCGTATATCTTCTCGCAGACTCTCTTCTCCACCGCCTCTTCCAACAAAATCCTCTTGTATTCCAACAGTTTTCTCTGTTTTCGCTTTTCGGTGACTTCAGATGCCGTCAACATCTGGCGGGAGTTTGCTGACTTAGTTGGAGGAGCCAGGTTCGACCCTTTCGAAGGTGCAGGTGAGGACTCTCTGTGTATTCGAGACTTGAGGGCGGAGATGTGTATCGAGATGGCGCCAGATGCTCTTGCGTAGAATTCTTGGAATAGGTCGGCCAGTTGATCAATCGAGGGAGGCTCATTGTAGACTTTCACACTCAGAGATTCAACAAATCTGTCTGCCAGGCTTGCCAGTTCTATTGGTAGTTCGTCGAATCGATCTGGCAGGGTCTGGGACCTCCCAAGGTCCGGAGAAGGCGGCTCATTCTCTTCGTTGATAGGTTTCTCAAAGACATCATCTTTCTCCGGGGATTTCGAGGAGGTAAGGGAATGTACTGTGCTGGCTCTGCTTCTCCCCAGTGTAGGAGAAGGATGCTCAGGTTCATAACGGGCGAAGGACTTGGTAGAGACGACGGAAGGCCTCGATTTCATCGACCCTGTGGATGCGTTTCTAGACATGATGGCAACAGCACATCCGGCGAAGATTCGATCCAACCGAACTGGATGTGTCCAAGATCGAAGAGCCACTTGAAGCAGGACAAGTCAACTTGAAACAGTGGGACAGAGAAGCTTGGTGACCGTGCGTCAACATGGCCTGCCCATCAGCCTCCTGAGGCAGCCTTATTGATGTCAGAAGAGCATAGTTACTGATTGTTCACGAGGGATCAGTGCCTGACACCCGGGTCATCCGTGGAGGATTCGTTGTTGATGTTTCGCAGGCGACAGCGCATGTGATTGGATTCGTTGATGGTGGAGTTTGCGAGACGAGACACTCCGCATGTCACCATCGACGTCAACGCCTCCAGTCAACAGCATTCCACTTCTCTACGTTGCCATCATCCATTCACAAGACCGAGACAACATGAAGATTCGGAAATCGAAAGATCGGGCTTGCAACTCCCGCAGGAGAGTCACCGCAGGCATGCTCCTCTCATTCCTCGCCCTCGCATCCCAAGTCGACGCAGCCAAAGCCCCCGCCATCGACCCTTGGTATCCGCTGCCTGCGCCCAAACAACACAACACTCACGACTTTACATTAAGGCATATATTCCACCGCGGCACATATCAAGACCCAACCCTACACAAGCGATATGATTTCCGTCCTCAGGAGCCTTTGCTCGTCGCAGAGGAGCAGGATGGTCTGCGGCATCCGTTGGAGCAGCCGCCACACTTTACTGCAAGATCCGCCTCCGTGGAGATTGAGAGACTGGTCGACAGGCAGCCATACAATATAGAGCGCTATTTGGAATATGCTCGCTATACAGGTTCTCCAGCTGTCCTGGATGCCACGGACTGGACGATGGATGAAGTCAAAGGCCCCAACGTCTCCGATAAAGACACAGTCCTCAATCTTGCCATAATGGCAGCAGACGCATATGCAGAAATACCAGGCGAAGGAGACTGGCAAGATGTTGGCCAGGGGTACAATCGATCGACTGGATTTGGTTGGCGGGGGGATGGCCTGCGAGGTCACATCTTCGCCGATGAGGGTAATGAGACCGTCATTATCAGTCTGAAGGGTACTTCCCCGGCTGTATTCGATGGAGATGGAACAACCACCAGAGACAAACTTAACGACAATCTGTTCTTCAGTTGCTGTTGTGCCCAAGGTGGGCAGTATTTCTGGCGTCAAGTCTGCGATTGCTACGACAGCACATACACCTGCAATCAGACATGTCTTATGAGGGCTCTGAAAAGAGAAAACCGCTATTATCGCGCAGCAATCGACCTGTACACCAACGTCACCGAGTTATACGCTGACTCCAATGTCTGGCTTGTTGGGCATTCGCTGGGTGGCGCTGTGACCAGCCTTCTTGGCCTTACCTTTGGCCTTCCAACTGTCACTTTCGAAGCTCCAGGTGAGGACCTTGCGGCAAAACGTCTAGGTCTACCTTCGCCACCATCTTCAGATCCCCACAAACCTCGGACGAAGTATACTGGAGCATACCACTTTGGAAACACTGGCGACCCTGTATTCATGGGCACCTGCAACGGTGCAACGGCAACATGCACTCTCGGCGGCTATGCAATGGAATCGCAATGCCACACAGGGAAACAATGTGTTTACGACACCGTAAGCGACCTTGGCTGGCGCGTGGGTATCGGCAACCACAAAATCCGCAACGTCATTGAAAGCGTGATCAAAAAGTACGACGTAGTGCCCGAGTGCGAGCCCGATGATGAATGTGTCGACTGCTACAACTGGAAGTTCTTTGAAAGCAATGGATCCGCTTCGACAACAACAACGAGATCGGCCACCACGACTTCAACCCGTACGAGGACAACCACGTGCAAAACGCCAGGTTGGTGGGGCTGCCTGGACGAGACCTCGACAACCAGTAAAACCACGCCAGTAGTGACCACGACGTATACCACAACCACTTGTCTGTCACCGGGGTGGTTCGGCTGCAAGGAGACCTCCAACCTCACTCTAACCACGACGACAGCCCCGCCGACGGTTTCGGCTCCGACGACAACTATTCCCGTTTCAGCGACTTCGACGTCCTCATCTTGTGAGCATCCGGGGTGGTGGGGATGTCACGATCCGACGACGACGCGCAATCCAACTCCGTCCCCAACCTCGTCACAAACGCGGGCGACCAAAACCCGTGAGCCGCACACGTGTGCGACGCCGGGTCTCTTCTTCGGGTGCCACGATCGTCCGCGTCACACCGGTCCGAACGACGTCTCGACCATACCGACTACGGGAGTGATTACTGGTGCTCCGAGTCCCACTGCGAGCAGTGAGCAGCCTACGAGTACAAAGGCAGGGCACGGTGGGAAGAAGAAGCATAAGAGATGCAAGCATCCTGCCTTCTTTGGATTGATATGTTTGGACGGGTACGAGGAAGTCGAAATTCCTGAACTGTAGAGATGCAGATTACGAGATTCACGTTAATGTGTGGATGTGGTTATACTCGGCATATCAGCCGAACGAGGTTTAGTGTTTGTTTGTGGTCTTGCGGGCATTTAGCGTCTTGTGTTGCTTTGGGCGTCAGGTCGATATCAGGGCTTGGGGAGTTACGGGTGGGATTGTTACATTGCTTGTCAGCAACATACGAGAGCGACCAGCAGATTCACTCGTTAGTTTCGCGTTTGCCGGCTTCTTGAGGTAGATAGCTTCAAATGAGAGACAGTGCATACGGTTGAATGGTACTATTACACAAGCATGCCATTCGTCTGGTGTCAATGCATATCATTTCGTATCAGTCAAGAGTTGTATGATTAAACCTCCATCGTGCTACAGCTTTAGTAGTGGTACTCTGATCCTGGCCAGCAGTCCTTATCCTTTCAGTGCACAGCCAATTGCCGTGGACTTGACAATTACAACCCCAGAGGATTATCCCCAGTCTGCTTCTTTCCGCCAATGCTATCTGTCGTGCCTTTGGCCGTGTCGCCCACGGATTTGGTAGTGTTGCCGAGCTATATAATGCATCGCGGGTAAGTTAGCCAATGTCCTACAGGGAATTAAAGTTTGTTTCGATGCCTTGCTCTTGCCCTCGTCCTCGTCCTCGCGCTGTGTCATTGTCGGGTCGTCCAAGAACAAATACAAAATGATTGTGCTGTGTGACAGGGTGCACTTCTGAGAAGGGTGGAGACCAAGACACAAAGAATGGGAAGAAGACGTATGAGGAACGTACCCCTTCAGTCGCGCCGCCGACGGTTTTGCCGACACCCTGGCCCACGCCCGAGACGGTGTTGCCGACCGTGTCCTAGGTGCTTGGTCAGTATACTGTAGATGCGTCTGCATGCCCAAGACCCGGGGGGAAGGAAGGAAAGAAACGCACAGTGACGCCGCCGACGGTGTTTCCTACGGTGTCAGTGACGCCGCCGAGGATGCCGCCTAAACCGCCTGACGAGTTAGTTTGTGAATTTGATCGTGGTGCCTGGTTCTTCGAGTCAAAGAAGGGAGGAGGATAAGGAGGATGCATTGACAAGGACGACTTGTTGGCGAGTGTGTAAGGGGTCACTAGTGGCCCGAAGGCATAACATGGGGAGGGGACGTACCGCCGCCTTGCTTCTTCTGTTGTTCCTCAGACATGTTGTGATGATGGCGTACTAGTAACTTGACTTAGAGTGCTGTGGTAGTAGTACTTGACGTGACTGGGATCAGGTACCTAGGTTCAATTGTTCAATTACGAAGCAAGTACGAAAAGCAGATCAGAAGCGGTGTGTGGTGGCTGGAACGTAACAGGTTATATATACCTTTGGTCTAGACTTCATACTGTGTAGTTCCAAGGCACAAAGGCGGGCTGAAAGAAGGCGGATGGCTTCATCGCGGGCAACAAGACTGTGAATGGTGAATGGTGAACGAAAGGGTTGACGTCAATCTTGACCCCTCAAGGCCAGGGTTCCTAGCCCACGTTCACGGCCACAGGTGGCTTGAATCGCGATTTTGACTCGTATCGAGTGGCTTGAGATTCAGACATCCTTGCAAAATATAATCGAGATCATCAGGCCAGTCGAAAAAGAAGAGAAAGATGCGTGGGCGAGATGAGGGGGTCCCAAGAGTGGAAGCAGGGTCCTGGTAGGCATTACGTAGTTTCTGGCGAGTGAGAACGAGGCTTTGGAGGGAAGCAAATGGACTTCATCATCGTGTACAACCATGGATGTGTCTAGCCAGCAAAGACACGAGAAAGAGTGTCGTCGTACTCAAAAAACAGTCCATGATCGACAGGAAACAGTCTGATCTCCGTAGCGAGACAACTACCATTGAATACCTTATGGAGACCATTGTTTGCAGATAGTACTCCTTATACTGCATACTATCCGAGACTCATGGCAACATCCTCTTGGACACTAAACGACCTGTGTCCACCAGTATTATCTCGCCATTTGTCGTGAACATCTTCCTCTGGACCTTCGCGGCTTCGGTCGCTCCTCGTACTGAACTGACCTGTATTCTTCCCACTGCTGCTCTTGGAACCACTCCGCTCACGTTTCGAGAACCACCCTCCGCTTTTCTTGCTGGTGGCTGACTTGGCCACACTGGTATTGTCGTCGTTCGACTTCTGTCCTCCATTAGAGAGATCGTCGGAAGACGCAGGACTCTTCTCTGAAGTAGTCGTGGCAGCACCAACTCCTTTAGCGAAATCTTTGGCTCTCTTGACCTTCTCGTCTTCCGTGTCGGACACCTGCCGGGCTGGCGTCCCGCTAGGACTTGGATCCGTACTTGGTGTAGCTTCAACAAGCTCAGCGTCTCTAAACCATTTCCGCCTTCGAGTATATCTTCCCCATCCATCCTCTTTGCGCCCATCCTCCCATCTGTTATCGTAGTAAATCCAGCCGCCACCATCATCGGCCGCCTCTTTACCGGTGTTTCCAGCTGGTCCCGTCTTACTTTGACTAGCAGCCCGCTTGTGCTGCCTCGCATCGCCGTGTTCGATCCTCCATTCAGAACCATCGACCCATCTCCACCGGGAATGTCCACCTTCCACTTTTGGCAGTTCAAAGTCATCCTTAGAAGGCGCCGGGTTGAGATGTTCATCAGTCCAAGGACCACGCTCATACGCAAAAAGAGATGTTGTCCAACCAAGACCTATCCATCGCCGCTGGTTTTCGTAAAGAATAAAAGTGAAACGCACACCTGCCGAATCTGGTCTTCGTTTCGTGGCAACTTCGGATGCCACTCCGGTCTGAGATTTTGACCTGGGTCCAAGATTAGGTCGAAGCAACGAGTCTACCTTCGGAGCTGGTGATATGTCAAACTGGAGTCCAGTCACGAATACTGCGGTCTTCCGCATAAAAACAGAACGCCAGAGAATAACACGTGCTACCCTCGCCGGCTTCGAGTGCCAAGTCAAAATTATAGTGCCAAAGGCGAGTATAACCCTCCGCGGGGTTAGAACATAGAAAGGAGGTAAGGTTAAGAAGATCCAAAGAGGAGTGACTAGAAGGACACGGATGAAGAGAGTCGTCAATGCAGGTCGCGTCGTTGCGGCGGTAGGCGTTGTCTGGGTAGAAAGGAAGTCGGTCAAGTTGAGAAAGGGATCGAGCAAGATATTGCACCGTGCTGTCAGCTCTTGGAGGGTATCGACAATTTCATCCAAAGTCTTGTGTTGAGACAAGGATTCTGACGCTTCTCGTTTATGCCCCTTTGCATGTTTGTCGCCTGTCTTGGTGGTCGAAGACAGCGGAGAATATCGTCTTGAATACATTCCGAGAATCAAACCAACCACCACGATTATAGGGCTTGCGAAACGGATAATTTCGCTGCCGTAAAGTGTAATGGCCCAAAAGACGGCCACGAGGAGATATGACTCCCACGGATCTTGAGTACTCCATGACAATAGCCCGGCAAGTTTATTCAATGGCAACAAGAACGGGTGGGAATGGGCTAGTGCTCGAGTGATCTGGGGTGGTGTCGCTACTAGTAGAGGCGACTTTTTGTGCACTATTATCGTCGAGCGTTGTTTGGAGGTGGCAGAGTATCCGGAGGTGGATGTCGGAGAGAAGGCTGCATAAGTAGGAGGATTGGGATCCCAGCCCTGCTGGGAATTGGAGGGGTCGTTGGCAGAGGCATAGGAATTTGGTCTGGACATCGAGGAAAGCCAGGGAGTTTCTATGGAAGACGGTCAGTGCCTGAGTGTGCTGCATCCAAGGGATCACCCTCGTACCAAATGCGGCCATGCAACGTGGATCATATGAAGCGGTGATGGAAGGATTGGTGACACTGATGTGTGTGGACAGGCAGTTGAGGTCGCATATACATTGTCAGCAACGACGGAGCGGTGTTCAAAGAAAGGTAACTCTTGTGCCAGGCACGAGGCATGTGCACAGCGCAGGCAGAGCCAGTGTCCAGGTCATACCCATAGGAGCGGAGAGCCGCGGTTGGGCGTTTGTGCTGATCCGTTGTCGACATCATCACGCAGCAAATGGACCACAGTAAGAGGGTCACATGATGCCAGGTTTAGCCGGGCATCTGCCGGCAGCATCAAAAGATTTCCTGCAGCTTCCATGTCAAGCACGCCTCAATTGTCGCCGTCGTCTCTGTGTGCCGCGGTCCCTTTTGAATCCCTTGTCTCTTTGTGAACGAGACAGATGGTGAGTGTGGTCCATGCTTGCTAACAATGCTCGAGAACGACGGGGCTGACACTGCGCAGGCACATCGAATTATCGCCCAAATCGTCCTCACGGGCGGCCGTGTCTTTGGAAGAGCCTTTGCGGAAGCATACAAACAAGCCCAGGCCTCCTCTCAATATGCGAGGGCCGCCACGAAGAATGACCCAGGCGCCCTCAATACCGCTGCCGCATCCGGTATGACCCTCGACGAAGCCTGCAGAATCCTAAACGTCAAGCCGCCGCAAGGCGGCAAGATAAATATGGAACAAGTTATGGAACGGTTCAAAAAACTCTACGATTTGAACGAGCCCAAAAAGGGTGGCGGTGGCGGATCCTTCTACATTCAAAGCAAAGTTCTTCGAGCCAGAGAACGACTCGAAGCCGAAGCTCGCTCAGCCGAGCGGAAAGCGCAAATGGAGAAAGAAATCAAAGAAGGTTGGAAGCCCAAAATGTACAGAGACTGATATTCTGTGCTAACCGTCGACAAGGACGGTGACCACACGCGATGGTTTCTCCAGCTGGATGAGAATCTTCCAGCCATTCACCCACTCCACTTTTTCCGGTCGGTCTTGATGCATAGCGAATGGCGTTGGGGAGAACTCTACAATGGAATTGTACAATACAGGGAAACTGCGACATCATTTCGCGAGCGACTTGATTTTCAAGAGTCTTGGATGGAAGGATCGTGGTACAAGAAGAAGTGCAAGAAGAACATGACCAGGAAGAAAGCATAGGTCGAGTGACTATGGCAGAGGAATACAAGTCGAATAAGTCCTGAACAGAAGGCTTGAATGCAAGGAATCGCTTCCAAGGCCACTACTCTACTCTGCCAAGCGGGCGTTGATCAGGCAAGCTGGAAGGAAGGGAGAGCTGGTCGTCCATTGATCAGGTATACTGCCTGCATACTCCCACGCCTTGCGCAGAATACGCTCGCAGCAAGGGATGCCCCTCTTGGAGGATTCCTGAACAAGAAAGAGCGGTATGCTGAAACGGTATCTGGACTGCGACTATGTGTGGTAATCTCAGCCTGGCCATTTTTAGGCACACATTACGTTGTGCGGCAGATACGAGCTAGTACCATGATAATTCTCGGGCCATGCTACGTCTGCAGATGTTGGCTGGATATAATGCTACCATTCGCCCATTAGGAGGCAATGTGTAAACAGAATGTCAATTGATATGAAGTGCAAAAAGGCGTGGTTTCAGTGGTATGCATAAATGCACGATGCTTGATCATCAGCCAATGTAAGGGCGTCATGGATCTGGGTGGCGTGAACCTGGATTCTGCTTCGCCATCGACGTCTAGGCTGCATTATCTCTTGTGTAACCAGCTGCAGGGCAACTCTATCTGACATGTTGGATTTTCGGCTCTCGCTCCAATCGAGCTCACTCGTATCGTACCAATCCATTGATTCTCCTATCTTCCTCCACCTTCATCCACCTTTCCGAGCCACGGGAGGACTCATCTAGCCACGCAACTCTTTTCCTGCTTCTTCCTAGCTTCCCCGTCCCCTTCTGGGCTCGAGCGCAGGTACGCCCCACCAGCATGTCGCAATCGCCCGAAGCACGAAAAAAGTGTCGGCATCTCAGGCTCTCCGAGGCGACCCATTGAATGTACTTGTATTTGTTGACCGCCAGGACAAAAGGTAGTACCTCTGGCAGTCCTTCCCCTTTGTTCATCTCACTCGCACACTTTCCTTGCTCCCTATCGCAGAATCGAATTTCTCTTGCTAGGACTAATAAGCCATGCCTAGGCCGGTGTCGCCTCTGTCGGAGTCACTCCCGCCCCTGGTATTCGGGACCGCCACCTTCAATTATCAGGTATTGATAAGCTCTTCAGTTTTGATTTCGCAGCCACTGACTCTTTTTGTAGTACAATGTCGATCCATATGCCCTGGGACCGACACCCCTTGTCCAGAAAGCTCTTGCGCTAGGGGTACATGCCTTCGATACATCTCCGTACTATGGGCCCGCCGAAGAGATCCTCGGGACCGCGCTTGACACCGACTTAGTTCGCAAGCAATATCCGCGAGAGAGCTATTTCATACTCACCAAAGTCGGCCGAATAGCCTCAGATGTCTTTGACTATTCTCCGGAATGGGTCCGGAAGAGTGTAGCGCGCAGCTGCAAACGCTTGAAAACTGATTACCTTGACGTGGTGTACTGTCACGACTGCGAATTCGTCTCACCACAGGAGGTGCTTGGCGCAATTCGTGAACTTCGGCGCATTCGAGATCAAGAAGGCACGCTCAAGTACGTCGGTATCTCGGGCTACCCGGTACATGTCCTCTGTGAACTTGCTGAGATGATCCTCCGCGAGACTGGTGAGCCCCTCGACATTGTCCAGTCATATGCGAACTTCACCCTTCAAAACACCAGACTATTGAGTGAAGGCTTCCAAAGATTGGTCAATGCCGGCATTGATGTTGTCACAAACGCCAGTCCTCTTGCTATGGGTTTGTTGAGGAGGAACGGTACTCCATTGGGCGCCATGGGCAATTGGCATCCTGCCCCGGATGGCCTTCGTCAGGCCTGCATTGACGCTGCAAAATGGGCAGATACTCAAGGTGAAAAGCTTGAGGTTGTGGCAGCACGATATGCTCTTGAAAATTGGCTCCGCGAAGGTGCCAAAGTGGGAGCACTTGGAAACCCGCTGGGAAACAACGAGTCAACTTATGGCCACGCTCTTAATCTGCCTAGGGAGAAACTTGGGGTTTCTGTCATGGGCGTCAGCAAGATTGAGGAGCTCGACGAGACAATGCGGGTGTGGAGAAGTGTGTTAGATGGCTTGGCCGATGATCTCGATGCTGAACCTGGCACGATTACTCCTTCAGATGCGGTCACTGACCATGAGTGGTCTCTATGGCGTCGGCAGAACATCCGCGTGCTTGCAAAGGGCATACGCCAGGTCATTGGCCAGCAGTGGGTTGATTATGCCTGGCCTTCGCCGGATCCTGGATTTGTGGCTCGATCGCCCTCGTCGGAAGCCAACATGTCTCGGTCAATCCTACCAGCGACAAACTCACCAGAAGTTGCGATGCTTACACCACCTTCAGAGGCGGAGGATGATGGTCAAGCTACCGATGTTCCTGAGATGCGGTGTGAAGCATGATTGCCAAGAGGCAATTCTGCCGCTACCGTTCATGTTGTTTTGTTGGTGAGTCCCTGGAACGGCTGGTTTCACACAATCAAACACCAACCAACATTTTTGCGCCTCTCCATCAGATTTCAGGTGCTTCTTCTAGCAGCAAAATGGCGACAGATCCAGGTGAAATATTTCTCCCGTTTCTGGAGAACGGAAAATTCTCTGATTTCATCATCGAATGTCAAGGGGTCGTGTTCAAGGTTCACCGCCTCGTCATATGCACGCAGTCTCCAATGCTCGCCGCCGCGTGCAGCGGATCCTTCGAGGTGTGTCTTAGTGTATGTCCAGGTGCCATTTAGTACCTCTGACGTTCTCATAGGAGGCTCTCAGCGGCAGAATTACGTTTCCAGAGGAAGATCCTGAGATTTTGGCTCGAGTGATCCTTTTCATGTACAGCAAATATTATCACGAGTTAAAACTGCCTAGGTTCTATCACGGACTGATCAAGGATGACGGTGAAGGCGAAGAAGACAGATTCCCTTCTGGCCGCGGTTTCCAGGAGATCGATGAACTTGGCCTGAGACGCGGTCTGAAAGTGAACGCGTTGGTGTACAAATGTGCTGAAATGCTGGGACTTGACGAATTAAAGGATGAAGCATCTGCTCGATTCATGAGAGATGCGAAGTCGGCGTACGACATGGATGGTTTCGAGGATCCGCTCCGACTTCTCTACGAGTCTACCAGGGCCGATGACACGGATCTTCGGTTCAAAGTTACCTGCCTTTGTGTCGAAAACCATGATATTCTCGAGTTGCGGAAAAAGACGATTGAAGTCATCAAAGAGCACGAGGGCAATGTCTGGAGTGTTTCTGGGGAACTCTTGAAGCGTCTAGCCAACAGCTCAACATCCAAGGGAAGCAGCGATAAGAAACTAGGAGTCGAACAAGTCGTGATGTTGTGCAATCGGCGGGCAACGAAGATCAACTGCAACCATAAGGTCTATGTAAATACTGTGCGAGTTGCGGCGGCTGGCCCCTTGCATGTTGTCATCAAGTGTCCAACCTGCGACCTGGAGGACGAAGGTTGAGATTTTGAATTCCGCGAACAGCGCAAAGAGGGACTCTGCCTTGCATCAAGTGAACTGGAAGTGAAGCTTTCCGGTGGTGCGTGGGACGATCGCCCTTGAGAACGAGAATATCGGGACAACCATGAGAATCGAATCAAGCAGTGTCCATGAACCAAATCAAGCAGAACAATTCCTCTTCAAAGCGAATCCTTGAATTTGTGAAGTACAACTGGCTCTGGGTTTCCCAATGTTCATGGCAGTGAGCGGTGCCTTTCTCTGGCCTCAGTCTTTTTTTACACCCTTTTCACTTCGACTTCTAAGAGTCTCACAGTCGTACTTCTATATTGTCAGCAACACCTCATCCATCAAATACCAGATCCTCGCCATCATCTCAATCCGTTCGCCCTACAACAAAATCCCACCAAGGCTGGAATAGCGCGGGACTCATACCTACATCTACTGAAGTCCGGCCTTTTTTCTGATCTCGTCGTCGAATGTCAAGATGTCGAGTTCAAAGTTCACCGCGCCATTGTGTGCTCAGGTTCACGTTTGCTGTTGGCGGCTTGCAATGGGACTTTCAAGGTTTGTGATGGCGCCGTAAACTTGGCTTTCCACTGACCGCGCGCAACAGGAAGCTGAGGATGGAAGAGTCAAACTCCCGGAAGAAGCTCCGCAAATCCTAAGCAGAGTGTTCTTCTCCCTGTACACTGGCGACTACAATGAGACCGTTTCAGAAAGTGTTCCTGAATGTTTCCACATACTGCTGCAGTATCATCCAGTCGAGAAGCCTACGCCTGACAACGAGAAATGGTCGGGGTTCATTGTCGAAAGCCTCAAGACCGACGCTCTTGTCTACAAGTGCGCGGACATGCTTGGTGTTGAGGCGCTGAAGAATCTAGCTGTGGAGAGGTTCTTGTTGCAGGCGCCCGCCGCGGTTTCCATTGATGGTTTCGAAGAAGCTCTGAGAGTCATGTACGAGTCGACTGCCAGCAACGATCAGATGCTACGGATCCCCGCTACCCGTGTCTGCATCCAAAAGTACAGTCTTGTGGCCAATCGCGAAGAGACGATCAAGGTCATACTGAAGCACGAGCCCGTTGTCTGGGATGTGGCGACATCGCTACTCGAAGAGTTTGCTGCTGAAAAGGCAAGCCTCTACGCAAAGTACACGAAAGAAAAAGCCAAGCTCGAGTTTCAACCAAACTTTTTCAGAGACGAGCTTGAAAAAGTCGTGGATCAGATGTCCGACCGGGACAAGGCCGCAGCGAAGCGTCGAATTGCGAGACATCAGGCCTACGCGCAGGCCTTACATAGGTAGACCACTCCTAAGAAGTGGTGAGCTAGGTTAGATCATGATGCTTGATGCGACTTAAGCTAATCATCTGTCTACCTGTCCTGGCTCGTCCCGTGGCAGCCAACAGCTTCGGCTGGCATTCCGCCTCCTTCATCAAACACAGGAGTTGAGCAAATACGGGTTACTACCACTACTTGCATAAAGTCTACTGCAGATGAGATCGCCTCGAGGGCGCAAGGCTGCAGCTATAGGGCAGAATTGGTTTATTTGGATTACTGGCAAGGGTGATCTGAGGCAGATTTAAAACCAGCGGTTGTGCCCTTACCGAAGAATACGGAAGTCGCAAGCATTCGAGGCCTACGCATTCTGGCTTTTCTTGATTTAAAAGTTCTCTCGCCTATTCATCTACGGCGGGCCTCTTTTTTCTCTCTTGCTCGTGGCATGAAGGAATATTCCTCTTGCAAACTCTTGTAAACCTTCTTCGTGACTTCCCAACCTCAAATATTTATCGAGGGCACTCGAGACGACGTTAGACATGGTCCTGACATACCTACTTAGAGTATATGACTCTTCTACATGACATAAAGAAACCAAAGGAGAGAATCAAAGGAGGTCGAAAGCCGGAATATAAGCAAAGTCACTATATGGGTATCAAAAGTCATCGGTGCTCCCCAATGCTGCCGTCCAAAGCTTTATGCCGTACTCCCCAAAGCCCAAGACACCCACCAGCATCTCAGTCAATATCAACCACAACACACCGCTCAACCACGCCATCCACCACGCCCTGCACACTCCATCTGCCCTCCCAGAACCGTGCCCAAAGCGTATCTTGGCCCGCAACATTGCCCACCGCATTCTCCAGCCCCTTCACACCGACCATACCTTCTCTCTCCCTCCACAAGCGCTCGGCCTCCTGGCCCGCCCTCTTGACTTGCGCATCCTCATCTTCAGCTCTGTACAGGTCACACTTGTCACATTCGCTACACTTCATGCCGGCCGTCGGGCGGAAGTGTTCGCAGAAATGTCGGTATCCTTCGCCCCCTTCCGAGTTGTTTCCGGCTTTACCTATGTTCTTCCGGCACAGGTAGCACATGCTATACCCGCAGACGCAGGTCAACTTGTTGCAGCCCGAGGACTTGACGAAACTCGTCCCGCAGCGTGGACATGTTCTTTTGACGGCCGCGGTGCGCGCGGCTTCGACGGTTTTGCGAAGCGAGAGGATCAGGGGCTCGTGGCATACGTGCGGATCGTGCCAGGCCTTGAGGCATTGGAGGCATGATTTCCGGGCGCACGAGGGCCGGCGGCATGTGAAGCGAGACGTGCGCTTTTGCAGTGCTGCGTGTCCGAGCGCAGTGTAGAACAAGCCGACGAAAAAATTCGGGAAGAAGAGCATAAACGGGATGAGAAGGAAGAGTATGCCGGGAAGGAGTTCGAGAAGGAGGATGAACATAAAGATGTTGACGCCACCGGGTCTGCGGAAGCGCCATGTCAGGTTCGCTGCGGAGGCACGGTCGTAGGTTTGCTCAGCTTCGGCGTAGGAGCAGAAGGGGCAGCGGATGAGCTGTAGTGCGGAGGTTTGCAGGTTGTATTCCGCGAGCCTGTCTTCGAATTTTGTCCATGTCTCGGTGCCGGACTTGTCGCGCAGAATGGCTCGTTTGACGAGGTCTTGGTGGATACAGCCGTCGCAGGAATCGGTTGCGAGACATCTCAATGTGCCTCGTTCGACGTCGACTGATTTGGCCCAGCCTTGTCCAAAGATGGCTTCATGTAGTGTTCTGCGTACGCAGTCTAAGCAGATGGTATGGTCTGATTGTGTGCATGCTGAGACATCTTCGAAAGCAAAATCGTTGTAGCAGACCTGGCATTCGAAAAGGGCATCGGCTTCCTCGGCTTCTTGTGTATTCAGCGCTTGTGCTATTTTGAGGTCGGCCGCTTGCTGGTCCTCCCTGTGGGATTGTATAGGCGTTGTGAAGAGAGCTGAAAGTTCTCCGTCAAGCTCTTGACTGCCAGTACTCAGTACTCGTGCGCTGCCTGTGTCCGTCTTTGTCTTTTCTAGGAGAACTGACGGCGCTTCACTCTGTGATCGCCTCTTCTTGAATAGATTTGTGAATGTGTTTCTCCATGATCTGCTCGCAATCGCTTGTAGTGTAGGTCGTGCCAGAGTGTATGAGTGATTGACCTCGGCCAGTACAGCATCTATAGCACCCTTGCTCAGTCCGTTGAACTCTCGCCCGAGCGTCCACTTGACTGCGTCGATGTATTCTCTGGTCCTAAATTGTTCTTCCACAGCAATCGGCTCCTCTAATCCTCTTGGTGGTATATTCACCCGACCCCTGGCCCATTCCACCTTGTACTTAATGAGTTGTTCGGTGCATATCGGCAGCCTGCTGTCTCCGTCGAACCGGATGAGTAGTTCTCGAAGTACTTCGATCTTGATGTCGGGAAAGAAATCGGCGAGCACGGAGAGGTCTTTGTTTAGTGATATCGAAGGGTCATCTTCATCTTTGCGAGAGAGCGACTCTTTGGAGCCTGCTCGAAAAGGGTTCTTGCGAAGCACTTCAGCGAGGGTAGATCCTGGAGATGTTGGGCGTGAGGCAGCTGTAGAAGTTCGGCGCGGAGAAGGAGAGGAATTAGCGGGACGTTTCGATGATCTCGAAGAGAGCCACATTACACCTGTCGCAGAGGGTCGACATGGTCAAAAGGTGTCGGGATATACATGCAAAAGGTACTCTGGCCTTGTACACAGTACTGGGGCAATATGACTGAGTAAGGCTGATGAGAAGCCGAGTGGCCTTTTGCTGCAGTAACCTACCCGTGGCCCGCCGTGGGTCGAAATGAAAAGGTCAGCTTAGACTTATTGCGCACCCCACCAAATTTGTATGGCACTTTGAACACTCGCCAGCCTCTTTTCTCACTCTGTCTATGAAATAAATGACAATTGGGGCTATTGATTACTATGACAATGGTCTTGTATAGACGGTTATATGGTGGACAGTGTCTGACGGCAAGACATCAGCTTCAGATAGAGGTACTCGGTCGTTATCTCTCCGGAGACGTTCGTATTCAACGTTATTGGCATGGAAAGGCCGTGGTAAAATGGTGGAAGATGCATGTATGAGGGAAGAAGCTATGGAATGGCCGAAGGCCATGTCTACCTATCCTCTTGGCATCGCCAAGAGGTAGTCACGTGTCGCCACGTGACTCAGACGTGGTCTGGGTGGCCCATCGGGGCATCCATGACAGTTATGGCGTCCTTCCTTGATGCTTAGACAGTAAGTACCTCTCTCAGTGTAACCCAAGGATCTGATGTTCAGGTGCCCGCTACACTAGAGTGGCTAGACGATGAAGTTATCGTCTAGGTATACTCCGTACTTAGACAGGGCGCGATGGCTGGCGGCTTCTTATAGCCCGTGGTCGATACTGCTAAGTAAGATCGGGGTCGACTGTGTCGTCGTCATCGCTCGCTTCATCGTTATGCTCGTCGCAGTCGTTAAATCAATGGCCGCTGCTGTAGCTCTACGTTTACCAGTCTAGATAAACAAGAGACCCGGATTCGAATGCAGACTCTCGGCGTTAGAATCATAGTCGAGAGGGGCTAAAGCCTTACGCTTGCTTGATTTTGACATAGGCGTGGGCGTCGACATCGGCTTCGCCTTGCTAGGACCCGCAACGCTGCCAGGGAGAGAATCGACACTTGTGGCACTGGTGTCGATAGAGAGAGCGCTGGTGAACGGAGTGTTGGCAAATGAGTCGTCACCAATGCGAGATGCTTCGCTGATTGGAGTTTCCGCATCGTCAATAGATAGACGAGCGGCCTTGATGTCCTTGATAGACTTGGCCTTCTCTTCTTGTTTGGTCCCTAGTACCTCAAAGCCGAAGACTCGTTTACAGTACTGTAGAAATCCACCCAGTTGTTTATGTAAACAATCCGACCGATCAAGTTGGCGGAGTTCGAGCTTGCCCGTCGTAGCGTCATTGCGGATGTCCTTGATCGTTCGCCTAGCGTTCTTCTCCGATTGTATGTAAGGGGGCTGACAGTGACATTCCTCGCAGTGAAGAGTTCCTTGACCGTCCGTTTCGAAATACCATTTAAACGCAGCCGATGTATCGGATCGAGTGTTGCCTGAGGAGTCTTGACAATCAGAACATTCGCATCTGTACTTGACGTGGTCGATGGAATAATCAGGGCCGGGAACGGGAAGTAAGACGTTGTTTTCCCTCTACAGATTATAACAAGGCTTGCAGATGTGTCCGCCAATGAACGCTCGGGGGAATGTCTAACAATACGCCTACACTGCGAGACTAGTCCGGCCAATGTGGGATGGTATTGTGTTAGGTAAGTAATATGGTCTCATGGGTAAATCGTGTAGTTGGCGCTATGGTGGTCTGTAGGCACCGACTTATCACACATTTAGTGATGGAGGATCTGTGTACATAAAGTGATTTCTGCGAGAAGAAGATATAGACGCAGTGAGGGCTACAGAGACAGGAATATGCCAAGGCGCCAAGCACTATTTCGGTAACTGTTAGTGCACGTGACCACCACCAAAAAAAACTAACTCAACTCACCTGATTTATCCGTTTTGACACATGGACTTTCAGCAAGCAAAAAACATCAACACAACCATCCAGGAGTGTGGAAAGGGGCTTAACCGGGATTTGAACCCGGGACTGTCGTGTCAGCATCGCCCAGGTGGAGGAAACAAGACGCCAGCTTACCCTGTCACAGTTCATGGCTTTTACACCCATGGGGCTGAACCCGAAGCGACAATCATACGACTAGACCATTAAGCCGCGAATTTCAATCGTTTTTGTAACGCAGAAATTGTCAATTTTTGCGACCGCATAATATAAGTAGATCGGTTTTTCTAGAGTGATCTTCAGCCCCATAGCCCCCTGGACATCTCCTTCTACGCCCCACCGGCAGCCCCAAACTCACCCGTTCGTCCTCAGTGTTCCTTTATTATGCCATCAATTTCGGCACTGTTGTTGCCTTAGAACATCTTGCAGGTCTACCTCAAAATCTATTGTCAGAGAACTACCCTCCATATCGCGTCCATACCTACGAACCGTTCGGCTTGAACACTACTTTATTGTACTCGGCGCGTTCAAAACGTCGCACAGCATCCACCGCCGATTCATCCAGCCCCGGCAGAACGAGGTCAATAAACTCCATCTTTTCAATGATACCCTTATTCCTGATCAGAGCTTGCAAGGCTTCATCGAAGACATATCTTGCCGGACAACGACCAAATTGGATATGGACATTCTTGTTGTAGCAATCTGCGGCGCTGAAAGGGAGCTCTCCATTGTGGACCCCTGAGGAAGGTCTTGGTGAGCAACGGATGGCGTACGAATAGGTAGAGAAGCTTACCAACGGAGCTGATCTTTCCACCCGGACTGATAACATCATAAGCAGTCTTCAAAGCAGGACTGAGCCCTACAACTTCAATGACGGCATGCGCACCGTTGCCATTAGTGAGCCGCAAGATCTCCTTGACGACATCCAGTTCCTTGAAATTGAGAGGAATACAACCCAGACTTTCTGCTCGTTTCAGTCGATCAGGTACCGAGTCGATTGCAACAATTCGAGCTGGCTTATACTCGAGCGCACATATCATCGCGCAAAGTGCTACAGGCCCGCAACCGATTACAACCACAGTCATGTCCTTCCACTGGTCACTCAGAGTCTCCCGGAAGGCGTTTCTGGCGCCATTGAACCTTGAATCTCTGATCAGCGACTGTTCGATCATGTCAAACGTTCCAACTATGTGCTCACCCGGTCGGAAATATGTCGGTCATCATGATCAGCAGCTCTCCAAGGTCTCCTTCCTGTGGTACGTGGAACAGAGTCGTATCTGCTAATGGTGCTCTGAAATACTGAGCTTGTGAACCATCAAGAGCCACTGAACCGAACGACTTGCATTTGACGCAACGACCAGTGATACCCCTTTTGCAATGGAAGCATTCGCCGCTTGACACGGTCAATATCTCAAGGACAACCTGCTGTAAATGAGAGCCTACCAGCTGATTGTGAAAGGAGCGATAACATTGTCTCCCTTCTTAAAATTCCGCACTTCGCTGCCGACTTCATGAATGATCCCCATGCCCTCATGGCCGCATACATACCCCGGTTGCATGTTGATCTTGGAGTGTCCGCGGTATCTGTGAAGCTCGCTAATCGACGTGCGGTGAGCCTTCCCAGGTCAAATGGACTACTTCGCTTTGGTAGCATTACCTTCCACAAAGAGCGGCTGAAGTGGTCTTGATTACCACGTCTGTAGGGTCGATGACCCTTGGAACTGCCAGTACTCAGCATATCGTACCAGGCTGTGAGCTTTTCAACACACTTGGCCTGTCCTCCAGTCTCACATCATATGGGCCGTGGAAGATCAGGGCTTTCATGGTCTCAAGAGAACCCATTGTGGTTAATTCCGATTGGTCCACAGGCAGTAAGGCTGACCTCCGTTCTCGCCGAGACTTGAGAAATCCAAGACAAAGGTCGTCTGTGAGTCCAGGAAGGTTCCAAGGTATGCTTCAGTCACTCTTCCCGAACAAAATACAGTCCATGTCAAATACCTACCCTCTCACGCCAGGAACATCATTCTACCCCAAATCTTGGAGAGGCTATCCTCGGTAATTGCCTCCACGGAACAGCGATTCTCCACGACCGGCACCAGCTCGGACCAGAAACCGTTGTATGCGTGAGAATGCACGTTCTTTCTACGTTTGTTCTATCATACCAGCTCCACAGTAAGAGCACACTGTTCAAAAACATGCGATGACTAGTTTTTGGACGAGACAGCCCCTCAGCACGAAGCAGGATGCCATCAAAGGCCAATCGTGATGCTCTTGATATCCAGGTACTCTTCCAAAGCAGCAATACCTCCTTCCCTGCCGAGACCACTTTCCAGAACACCACCAAACGGCGCTTCAGCTGCACTCACCAGACCAACTCTAACACCAACCATGCCGACCTTGAGGGCTTCACTAACCCTCCACAGCCGTGTAATGTCCTCGGTGTAGAAGTATGCCGCCAGACCGACATCGGAACTGTTAGCCATCTTGATCACTTCTTCCTCGGTATCGAACGGGACGAGGAACGCTAAGGGACCAAACGTCTCTTCCTCCATGAACTTCATGCCGGACTTGCCGCCCTTGAGAACTGTGGCAGGGAAGAAGTTGGGCCCCAAGGTGTTGTCTTTTCCACCGTAATGGACCTTTGCTCCGTTTTTAAGCCCATTTTCGAGGTGAGCTTCCACTTTGATGATACCCTTGCCAGCGTACAAAGGTCCAAAGTTCACTGTCTTGTCCCAGACGGAACCGTATGTGAAGGTCTTTTTCAGCCCCTCGGAGAGAGCATCTGCGAACTTGTCCAAGATGGATGATTGGACAAAGATCCTGTTCGCACAGACGCATGTCTGACCCGAGGATCGAAACTTGGAGGTTATGAGGCCTAGAATTGTCAGGAACCATTTGTCAAATAGGAAGGCCTGGTTCAATGCCTATCTGGAAGAAATGAGAAGGAGGCTTACCCGCGACGGCTTTATCAATATTGGCATCGGCAAACACAATAAATGGCGCATTGCCTCCTAACTCGAGGCTCGTCTTCTTGATCGTCTTCGCGCACTCCGTGTTGAGCAGTTTTCCTACAGCCGTCGAGCCCGTGAAACTCAAATGCTTGATGGCCGGATGGCTGCACAATTCCTGGCCGACCGCCGGCGTATTCTCGAGACCAGTAGTAACGATATTGAACACACCAGGCGGCCCACCAGCCCGTTCAAACAACTTCGCCAGGGCTATCGCACAAAGCGGCGTCTCAGGGGCGGGCTTGCAGACGACCGTATTACCTGCTGCAATAGCCGCGCCGACTTTCCGCGTAACCATGGCGACAGGCGAGTTCCACGGCGTGATGCAGGCCACCACACCCTGAGGCTCTCTGATAGTGAGAATGCGATTGTTCCCACGGAAAGCCGGGATTGTCTCGCCAAAGGTCCGCTCAACGGCGCCTTCGAACCAGTCCACGAAATCGACCGCATACTGCACGGTGCCGAGGGACTCGGTATAGGGCTTGCCCAGTTCAAGAGTGCAGAGAGCAGCAAGATCAGCCTTGTTGGCCTTGATCAGATCGGCCCAGCGACGCATAAGCCATCGTCGCTCTCGGTGGGGAGTCAGCCTGTACGTTTCGAACGCCTTGCTAGCTTCCTCGATGGCTTTGCGAGTATCGTCGCCATTCAAGTCGGCAATGTCACAGATTTCGGCGTCGTCTTCGGGATCTAAACAGCTATGTCAGAGATGTTCTGCCTCCTTGATCCAACATCGATCTGGCGATGAGTTTTTACCTGTGAGTTTGAACGTCTTGCCAGAAGAAGCGCCCACCCATTCTCCGCCGATCAAAGATCTCGTGTCAATTAGGGACGGGTCTTGAAACTGAACGCATGTTTTAGCATGAAAGCTCTCTGGATTCGGTCTCTAAGTCTATTATCTTACCTCGTACGGTATAGACTTCTTGAACGGAGATTTGGCCGTGGAGCCCATTGTCCCGTAAGGCTTCGAGTCTATCCTCGCCGACTTGGCTAATCTTGCTATGCGATGGGTCCGGAGTATGCAAGAAGCGTGCACTGAAGGAGTGAACGGAAGACCAATAATTAAGGGTCTTAAAAAGCTGGATCGCATTGCTCTTAGTTGTCCTGGTCACGGAGAAGCGCCGTGTCTCTCCATCAGGTCCAACAGCAACGTAAGATGTTTGCCGACTCCAACTGCTCAACCCATGCGAGCCATGGTCATCCCTGCGGAGATTGATGCGTGTGCGGAGAGCTGCGAGCTGAGATCCCTGTCTGGCCATGCGGAGAAAATGCCTCCCAGTTTCTTATGGCATGGACAATATATCTCTTTTGACATGTGTACTTGTGCTGAAAATGATTTACAGACTTCAGAATCTATAAGAAAATGACCCAAAAGCTACATTTCCAAGCCTCGGTACGAAATGGCTCCTGACTGCCTCAAGTCTTCTTCATAGGTCACGTGGATACCCCTTACTGACGGCAGCCTTGTTGCAAGTCCATAATTTGTCTTCGGACGACGGATTCCGGAAGAGAAGCACATAGATGTTCCTGAAGGAGGTCACTTTGTCCTGAAATCTGCTAGAAACCATGCTGGTTGACTATGCCCTCCATTCGCATTTCCCAGCATGACAAGCCGAGAGCCACATTGTGTGCTGAGGTCAACTGCAATGCGTCGGAGACTCTTCCTCCGCAGCCACAATGTATTGTCTAGCGCATACTGCCCCGGAGAGTCCCCAGTCGAAGCGATCACTAGCATGCCGCTTACCCGGCAGAGACTGATGGAAGCATACATCAAGCCGTTAGAGCTGTATGATCACAGTCCGGGGTATGTGCGGGGACATATGCTCCTTCACGTTGCAACCAGATCCGGGGTTAGACTTTGGTTTACCATGACTGTGTAAGCCTAAGCGGTCCGTTGAGAAACGGAACATGGCTTGTTTCAGTTAAGATGTTCGGGAGATATTGCTCCAGGAGCACCCAAGCCTCATACAAGCGGATGTCTTTGTGCTTTCAGTCAGCCTGTGTTCATATCTTCTTTCTAGCATTTCCCTCCCTCTCCAGCCTTTGCAGTCATTTATATTTTCCCCGAGTAGAGCCTTACTCGCCATCATGACCGAAGCTCCTGGGCCCAAATCTAGCATCATGCATCATGTCGAGGATGCACGAAAGCAAGGCACACTTGGAGACTTCATCTCCCAGCAACAGCAGCATGACGCTGAGGAGCTTCAAGAGAAGTATCACATACCCATGAAAGCGGTCTTGGAGTCACACTTGGAAGAAGACCCCAGAACCGTTCGCAAGGTTATGAGAAAGGTCGACTTTCGTCTGGTCCCCATGCTTTCGTTGCTGTACATGTGGGCTTTCATTGATAGGGCGAACTTGGGCAATGTACAGTCCCTCAACCCAGTTGACCAAACCAGATTGCTGACCATTCTTGCAGGCCAATATCGCAGGCATGAGTAAAGACCTCAAAACCAACATCGGCAACCGCTATTCAGTCCTAGCCATGATCTTCTTTGTTGGTTACTGTCTCATCGATATTCCTACAACCTTCACCGTCCGCAAAGTTGGGCCAGCCTTGTTGATTGGCACTGTCACAACGCTCTGGGGAATCATCACAATATGTCAAGGATTCGTCAAGACATGGGGCGAGCTTCTCCTTTGTCGCCTGCTTCTTGGTTTTCTCGAGGGAGCTTTAGTGCCCGCGGCCATGTTTCTTCTGTTCAATTGGTATACACGTTACGAGATCCAAGCTCGCATTGCCTCATTCTATGTGATTGGGAATGCATCGAGTGGTCTAGCTGGCCTTCTCGCCTATGGCATCGAGCAGATGGCTGGCGATCAAGGCCTCAACGGCTGGAGCTGGATTTTCATCATAGTAAGTCAAAGGGTTCTTCCACTGCACACCAGAGCTTTCTCTGATCACAGTCAAATAGGAGGGCGTCATCAGCACCGTTGTTGGACTTGCTGCGTTTGCGGTAATCGTGGATTTCCCCGAAAAAGCAGCTGTCAAGAACACCATCGGTCTGCCAGGATTCCTTACCCCCGAAGAAGCTGCAATCGTGCTCGCTCGTGTCGAGCGAGACCGTGGAGATGCAGTCGAAGACAAGATCAGCTTCAAGATCGCCATGAAGCACTTTGGAGACTGGAAACTTTGGGAGTTCACCCTTTACCTTGTGCTGAACAACACCGGCGTGTACGCATTTTCCTATTTCCTCCCTGTCATCCTGAAAGACGGCTTTGGCTACTCTACAGGCAGAGCTCAGCTCTTGACCTTTCCCCCATATGCAGTTGGAGCGGTCTGGATCATGATCTGCGCCTTTACTGCAGACCATTTCAAGGTCCGAGGCCCCGTCATGCTCTTCAATGCCAGCCTCTACATCATCGGCTTGTCCCTGACAGCGTTCGTCGAGAACGTCCACACCCGCTACGCTGGCGTCTTCCTTGGAGTGATGGGCATCATCGCAAATATCCCGACCCAGTGGGCTTATGCCCATAATAACATGGTTGGGCAGAACAAGAAAGGCCTCACGATGTCGTTGATGGTCATGGGAGGGGCTTTCGGAGGCATCATTGCCGGCAACATTTTCCAGTCCAAGGACGCACCGAATTATCGAACTGCCCTTTGGATTTGCATTGCATTCCAGGTAAGGAAGACCGTCAGTGGGAGCAAGATGTGTACAGAATTGCTAACCCTGATTGCCAGATCCTCTATTTTGTGCTCGTCACGAAGAACTTCTTGATCTTCTATACTCAGAATAAGAGGGCTGATCGTGGCGATATCATCATCGAAGGACAGCCAGGCTTCAGGTATACCTATTAGACAAACGATGAAGCGAGCTGCGTTGGTTCACTCAGTTAAGTGCCTCAGGTTGGACTTACCGACCATTTGGTCTTGGAAGGTGTATTGTCAGTTCTCCCATGTAAAAGGCGTACAGGTGAAAGGCCTTTGAAGGAATTCAAGGGTTTACTATGCAATTGAGTTCTTTTCCAGGTCGGTTCTATCTCAAGTCCATACTGGGCAACCTTCGCTCCAATCATCAACTGTGGTGATGTTCAGAGCACCTTGGTGTATCACCCAGATACCTCGATAGTGATGTTTAGCTTATCCTAGAACCTGGCACTGACGGATCAAGAGCGTAGAAAAGAAGTTAAGACACAAGTAGCCTGTGATGTATCTCTTTCGCAAGATAGTATGTCGTTGAATACCGTGCCGGCTGTGATTACGCCCGGCTGAGGCGAACTTCGGAGAACTGCCCTCCTCTCCAACGCTCGGATTGTCTGCTTCCGCTACTGTCACAGATGCTCGAGTCTTGACACAAGTCTCCACCTCGAACAACATGGTGGGTACATGGCAGGAAATGGAGTAGACGCTATAGTTGGATCGGCTTCAACATTGATACAGAGTCGTAACGCTTGAAACTCCCTTGACTGCGTCTTCCGTTCAGCCAGATCTTGTTGCTTCTCTAGTACTTGGTACATGGGCAAAACATGGCTACCGGCTCCAGCTGGAAGATGGCCCGCGAGGACCTGGTCAAGATCTCCATTGACGACGCTCGAGCACTCGCAAAGTCCGCCCTGCAAGCGGTGGGTTATAGCGACCATGACGCCGAGACGATCAGCTCTCATATCATGGACGCACAAGTGCGCGGGTACGGTCCGACCGGGCTAGCAAGAGCGCTCACGATCGCAGACCGAGTCCGATCCAAGCTCGTCGGCAGCACAGATATGGTCATAACGCGAGAGTCACCGGCGTCAGCCCAGCTCGACGCCAAGGGGGCAATCGGGTATCTGTCTGCGTACCGAGCGACGGAGCTCGCCATTGCGAAGGCGAAAGCAGGTGGCGTGGGCATAGTCGGCGTCAGCGATACATTCTTTGCCGGGATGTTGTCGTACTATGCCGAGATGTGCACGCGGCAGGACCTGGTGGTCATGATTGCTGCCAGTGCCGGGCCTTGGGTCGCGCCCGAGGGGAGCTATACTCCTCGCTTTGGCACGAACCCCATGTGCATAGCGTTTCCGTCAGCATCGGATACGCAGCAGCCCGTCATCTGGGACATTGGCACGTCCAAAATCATCCACGCCCAAGTCAAGCTGGCGCAGTTGATGAACGAGGAACTGCCAGAGGGAAGTGCTTACGACGCGGATGGTGAAGTCACAAGAGATCCGTTCAAAGCGATGGCAGGGGCAATGGCTGTCTGGGGCGGCCACAAGGGATCCGGTCTGGCGGTCGCCATCCAGTTACTGGGAGCTCTGGCCGGGGCGCCGGCTCACACTGGCGACCATGAGGGCTGGGGTCTTCTTGTCATCGCGATGGATCCGGAAATGTTCAGACCGATTGACGACTTCAAGCGTGAGGTCGACGAATACTCAAACACCATCAGATCGAGTCGGCCGTTGAAGGGAAACGGGCCCATCAGGATGCCCTTCGATCGAAGCTGGGAAGTGCGTGAAGCAACCAAGGCTGATGGGTTCGTGCAAGTGGAGAAATCTGTCATAGATGGCTTGAGGACTCTGATAGATACGAAGTCGAACAGTCACCCAGGCGGTCATTGAGTAATGTAATCCTGCGTGTATGACCATCCTTCCGCATCAAAAGCTATGAACATGACTCTTCAAAATCTAATCAGAAAACTTCTCTTGCCATTCCTCATCGCCCCCAATCCATCGATATATGACTTTGGAGTCCATACCAGCACATTTCGGATCTTGCCCAGCTTCCACGTACGAGTTCCAGGTAGTCGGACCGAGACACAGCTTTGCCCCGACCCTTTCGCAAGCGGCTATGGCCAATCCAATATCCTTCTTCACATACTCGATCTTGAAGCCCGGTTTGTAATTCTTCGACGAAGGCGCGTCCGGGCTCAGCCCAGGGACCGGATTCGCCCACTGAGCATTCCTGTTACATCCCGTTGTCGTCTTCAGGATTTCCTGCAGCGTCCTCGGGTCCATTCCAGACTTGATGGCGAAGTTGAACATCTCGGCGTTGAGCAAGGTGATTGAAGAACTCAGGTAGTTGTTGCAGAACTTGGCAGTGAGACCTAGACTCGGCCCGCCACAGGTATAGATATTGTGGCCCATCAGCGACATCAGGTGCTTCAGCAAGGGCAGATGAGGATCCGACTCGGCGCAACCGATCATGAAGGTGATGGATCCTTTCTTCGCGCCAGTGGTCCCGCCGGAGACGGGAGCGTCGAAAAAGCTGGCTCTGGGGTGCCGTTTCTTCGTTTCCTCGCCGACCTCGAGGGAAGTGGCGGTGTCGATGGTACTGCTGTCGATGAGAATCTTACCGCTCAAGTCGTTGGCTGCCAGGACACCCGTTTCCGGATGCAGATAGACTGCGCAGACATGCTTGCCTTCGGGCACCATAGAGATGAGCACGTCCTGATCAGGTAACCTTTGGTCAGCTTCAAGTTTCTCCATTTTCATTTCTCATGCCCTTCTTTCGAAAGGTGATTGACAGCCCACAGACGTACACTTTTCTCGGCAACTTCTCTCGAACTGTTACATGCATCGAGCTTAGCTACTGCGCCTGATTCCTTCAACCCTCTCTCAACAGAGTCTGGGTTCACGTCGTAGAAATGCACTGTCGTGGTTGGCGGGAGTTTGCTGACCAGATTCGAGAACATGGGGAATCCCATATTACCAAGGCCAATGAAGCCCAGGTCAGAGGGTAATCGAGGTTCTGAATAAGAGCCCATGTTGTGAGTATGCTGCTGCTGCTCTGCCGGTATCAACACTTCTTCAGTCACGTTGTCAGATTCTTTAATCTAAAGCTGAAGCACTAAATAGTCGAAAGTCTTCAACCATACTGCGGACCAGGTAGGATTCAACCGTCGAGGGTCTGTATTGCTGGGAACGCGCCGAGGGATCCGCAGAATCATCGTGCACACCAGTCATCGGGGATCGACTTTCCTGGGATTGCATATCCATCTTCGCAGGAGACGGGGTCTTGAGGGGTAACAGGGTTAGTGACAGGCTCGGACAGTCACTCTCCGCGTACAGGGTAACTCGGTTGAAGAGGTCAGTAGACTGAAATCTACCCCAGACATACTTCCGGGGATAGCCACTCTTCGTCAGCAAGTGATTCCATCCTCCGCACTGAACCACCTGGCTGGGAGTCCTTTGTGAGCATGCAGCTCCAACTCAAATGCGGCCGCCACTAAGGTGAAACTACAAGCCATTCTGAATGGGCGAGTGGTCAGGTCCCCCGATTACTAGGCTGGTTCAGCATATATCTCTCTAGTATAATTGGGCACAACAAAACACCAAAACTGTGTCTTCATGCTACAAGCAGGGCTCTAAGTTAATGCGACAAGCACAACTCTCTCCTCTGAAGAACCATGGCACAGCAAGAACAAACGAACAATGACAGTCACCGACTGCCGCCTGCAGGACCTGACCAGATCTATGTGAAAGTCGCGGCTCTGAACGGAGGCTTCCTCACGCTTCCTGAACGCAACTTTGTCACAGACCCGGATCCACAAAAGGGCACGACGGTACCGTCAATGTGCTTCTTGATTGAGCACCCAGGCAAAAAGGGCAGCACGAACACCACAGCGCGAATAGTGTTCGACTTGGGGATCAAGCGCGACCTGACCAAGTACGTCCAGCCAGCGACGCAGCACCACATCACGACACGACAGCCCGTGTACTCGTCGGCAGACGCCAGATCCAGTCTCTTGAGCGGCGGGCTTGATCCGGCCAAGGATATCGACTACGTAATCCTAAGCCACATCCACTGGGATCATATCGGCCTGCCGTCCGACTATGCCAGGTCGAAATTCATCGTGGGTTCTGGCACACTGTACATTGTCGAGAACGGCGCACCACACTACCCTCTCGAGCGGATCGAGAAGGGCGCGTTGCCGGTAGACCAGACCATCGAGCTGCCCCCTGTGCCGGGGTCTGACAGAAAACACATGGCAGCCACCGCCCAGACGGACCACGAGTGGCAGTCGATATCGACGCTACCCGACGCCGTAGACTTCTTCGGCGATGGAAGCTTGTGGATCATCGATGCTCCCGGCCACATACACGGCCATGTGAATGCGTTGCTGCGGGTTGGGCCCGATAGATGGGTGTATCTGGGTGGAGATTGTTGCCATGACCGTAGGATCATGACGGGAGAGAAGCAGATCCTCGAGTACGACAATGGACAAGGGAAACTGAAGAGCGCACATGCAGAGTTGTCCAAGGCCAAGAAGACCATCGAGAACGTCCAGGAGCTCATACAAGTCAACGGAGGAGAAGTGGTCGAATGGATAGTCGCGCATGACTGGAAGTGGGCTTCCGAAAACCAAAACAGGTTCTTCCCGCGCTGGATGTACTGATGCACTTTGAGGCAGCAGAGCGTTTTTCATATTTCCTGCAAGAGTTCTATGCTGCATGTGGGCAACACGCGTAGACGAGAACGGCGTACTGTGTTGTCCCCTTTTGTGCTCAGGAGTTTTGACAGAGATTGACTTCCTGCGTACTCCGGACCTTTTGAGTCTCCTCATACTTTCTCCTTCAACTGTCTCTGATGCTCACCGCCCTCGACCATTTCATTGATGGCCGTCTCGCAGACTTTCAACGCTTGGACACCCGACGGCACCCCACAGTAGACCATCGACTGCATGACGACTTCTCGAATCTCTGCCTCTGTCACTCCGTTCCTCAAAGCCCCTTTCGTATGAATGGACAGCTCATGCCAGCTGTGCAGGGCGATCATGAACCCGAGATCTGCAACAATATGCCTCCGATTAGAAGACCAAAGCACAGAACAAAGCACATCAAGCTCGGAATGTGGGCAGTAAAGTAGCAATACTTACTGACGAGGCTTCTTGATCTGCGGTCGAGCTCGGGACGAGACCAAACCTTGCCCCAGCAATATTCGGTGGTGAAGTCCTGCAACGGTTTCGCGAATTCGCTTTGTCGCGCTGCAAGCGATCTCTGGACATGCGCTTCTCCTAGCACGGTGATACGGACCTCCTTCCCCTTGTCATATAATGACTTTTCACTGCTCATTGTGAAGGATGTCAATGGTCGGCGTAGCAGCAGGGACCTGATTGAGTTTCCTGATGTCGGGTGAGTTGATTTTTCTGCTCAGCGATTCCGACGATCGAACGACCTAAAGCGGTTGTTGGCGAGATGAATTCAATGGTTGCCAGTAAATTAGCACTCACTTGGCCAGCCAGTCAGCTGCACATCAAGGTCAGGACTCGACTGTCCGTAGACGGGCAGGTACAGTACCGTGGTGCCGCTGCTTCCAGCGTCGGAGGGTTACTCCCCGACAGACGCAGTCGACCATTTCTCCGCACTTTTGGAGCCATCTCCAGTCCCGGCGCTCCAGTAGTAGCTTAAGGGTGGGAATCGGTTGCAGGCAATGGGGACAGTCGATTCAGAACCACGTTCTTCGCCCGGAAAGTAGCAGTGCGTGCGAGTGTGGTAGTCCTGTCAATCTCTGTGTCTCGCCAGTTGACCACACGGCCACAGCCGTCGGCGCGTGGCAGATCAATATACCAGCGGTTGTGATTGATTGTTGATTGCTGTGCTCTGATCCAGACCGCCGTGTGCTCATGCACGCACCCCAACAGGACCGTGTGGCTTGCAATCAAAACGCCGAAGTCCCAGTGAAGAAAGTATCAGTCACATCAGCAAACGATATCATGGATTCGTCCATGAGGCCAAAAAGCGGGTCGTCCGGGATGTTAGAGTCAAACAACGCTTCTCCCGAGCATTGGGGATTTGGATTTGCCGCTTTTCTTACAGGAAACATGCTGTAAATGGTATCAAAATCGAAGGAAGCCGGAGAGTAACTGGGAAAAGCGTTTTCCTCTGAGACGGACTTGTTAGCGACCAGACGCAGCATTTGCGGAGAACCTTGGTACTTACCCTGATGTAATTCAATTTTGCTAGCCTCCATCAGTCTTTGGATGATTTTCATTGGTTTTGCAACCCCAGGGTTGGCCATGCACAACTGTTCCAGGCATGTTAGGCTCGCCGCAAGGAGGGATCTATGTTCCCTGTTCGAGCCGCTTGCTTCGGCTGCCGAATTTCGCACGTGTATGGTGCAGGCAACGTATATGGCGTAACTCAGCAGGTAGGGAGCGCCTCGGAGGCCGTATGCTGTCTTCCACGCTTGTGCTATGCTTGTGATACTTCGTGCTGCAGATGTGCATCGACCCCAAGATAACGCAGGCGTAGCGGTGCAGCGCAAATGACCATCTGATATGAAAGGGCGATGCAGCAGAATAAGAAGCGAGTGGAAGAGTGCGTGAACATTCATGAGATTTGGAGGAGGTAATGGCGTTGAGTTTCCCTGTATGTCTCGAGGTTGGAAGTCAAGATTGGCGGGCAGGCTCTCTCGCCATGATTGCAAAGCGTTGTCAACTAATTGTAGACTGGCTTGAGCATTGCGAGGATTTGCTCCAACAACGTAAAAGGTGGTAATTATTTTCGTCATGATTTTGGACAGCAAGCACAGTTGCTGGAAGGTCGAGACCGAGTAAATGGGAGAACCGGCAACAGTCGAAGCGTGCTGCAGACTGGGGTATTTGGGGTCGATGTAGGGCATGTAAACTTCCTGCTCCTCAAGGGTATCCAGAAAGTCTCGCGACACATGCGAGTCCCGAAGGTTGATTGCAGCAGGACGACCAAGGTAGAGACTCTGCAGCTTGTCAGACACGAATGCGCCCCAAAACACCCTCCTTCGGATTTCCACCTGCTCGGGGGAGTCGCTGGTTTCTTTCGGGTCAAGATGCAAGCCCAGATCGTAGATCATACGCAAGGCGTAACCGGTATACAACCACCCTTTCGAGGTTTCGCCCCTCGCGTTATAGCTCGAACCTAGCAAGAGTAGTCCAACGACGGTTGGAACCTTCGGATAGATGAGCAGGGAGTCTTCCGCGAGCAACTCATCGCAACGCCGAAAGAACCGTCGCCCTGCTGTGGAAGGATCTGCAGGGTCATCCCGTACCTCAATGCGGGCGGAAAACTTGCTGGAGCAAGCAAACAATGCATGAACCAGAAATCTTGAACATTGAGGGCCGTTTCGGAGCAGATCCCTCATTATCGCTGGACGGTACGTCAGTAGAAGAGTGTGATGCTGCCGGCTCCAATGCAAGTCGAGGAGGTGAGTAGCTAGCTCGGTAGGCACGCCATGTATATCGGGCAGGGAAGCCAGGTGCCGCTCGTTTTGGCGCTGCAAGGCGGCTTCTGCGATTAAAGAATTCCGGATGTGATCTCTTGCCAACGAGGCTGCAGATTGCACCGGATTGTTGCCATTGCTTGGGTTTGGGTGATAATGCAGCGCGGAGGAGGGTCCGAAGCTGCTAGGTTTTCCAGCTTCATCCACAGAGAGGAACGGCCCAATATCATATTCTTCATCTGATGAATCGGCCAGACTTCCCAAACTAGTCCGGCGTGTCAAAGTCCTTGCTCTGACGGACGTGTCCCTTAGATGTGCTGCAGGGTGACTGAGATTTTGCGAATGAGGTGGGAACTGTGCTTCAGCCTCTTCTTCCGCACCGTCTTCATCTGGGAGTTGAGCATGTCCATCCGATATCGAGACCAGTGTCAAAAGTCGATCACGGTCTGGCGAGGCCGCAGATCTGAGCTGCCCAATAAATGCATCAAGCGAAGCAATGTGCTTCTGAAGCTCGTGGATGCGTGCGAACGTTGGTCTGGATGCAGGTGTCAGTACTGGCGCTCAATGCATGGGATCACCTCACCTTTTATGAGGTGCTTCTTGTTTGTAGACACATTCCTTTCCTTGCGTGGTACAAGCGCCACATCGGGGTCGCGCGGTGTCACAACGAATCTTTCGAGTACGACAGGATAGACAAGCTCTTGCGAGTGATTTGGGACCCGCCTGCTGCGACTTGTCATTCATGTTTCCCATTGACGATGACAAGCGAGAGTCCTAACACATGTCTCCGCTGCAAGCAATCCACGGCTCTGAAAAGTCAATACACTGGAGGTAGCTGGGACTGAGACCCTTCATGTCCTCGCATCGTGTATTTCAGAAGGCAGAGGCAGGCAAGCGAATGTCGGATGGAGTTCAAGTTATCGACAGGCCGACGCTGAAAGAAGGATTAAAGAAATGCCGATGAGCCACCAGCCTCCTCGTGCCTCCTCCACACTCACCAAAGCTCCAGGATACTCCACAGCAAGTGTTGCACTCGGTATAAAACATCTCACAGTGAAGCGATACAGGGAGGCTAGAATCTGAATAACTCAACATTTCACACAGACAGGACACGGAATAGAAATCGTCAAGTCACGGATTGTCTATCGCAAAAAGATCCATGAGGCGACAACCATGCTAAACCATCCGACAACCATTGTTTCCACTAGATTACAATTTTGGTTTTGGCGAACCAACCAACTCTGCACCAGCACCAGCAATGCACAATTTGCCAGTCTCCTTGACCCTGGTCTGGAAGATAACCTTGTTACCTTCCTTCCACATCTCAGTCACTAAAGTCTGGCCAGGAATGACTGTACCGGCGAAGCGGACTTTGATGTTCTTGAAGAGACCAAAGCTCTGCACAATATGCTTCCCGCTGAAGCCGAAGAAGCAAAGACCGTGCAAGATGGGATCCTTGAAGCCGCCAACCTTGCTGAACTCGGGGTCGATATGTAGGGGATTCCGGTCGCCATTCAATCTGTAAAGGGCGGCCTGGTCCTCGGAAGTCTTCTCCTCGACCACCGCGTCAGGAGCACGCTTAGGTGGTTGATACACCGTAGTAGCACTGCCGCGGTTGCCACCTTTCTTAGGTCCACCAAAACCACCTGAGCCTCGGACGAAGACAGTCGACTCATTGTAGAAGAGGTCTTCACCTGTATTCGCGTCCTTGGTCGTAATGCCAGTAACGACGATACCAGCGTTGCCCTTATCCACAACTTCGATAAGTTTTGGAAAGGACAGTGTCTTTGCACTCGTTGGGATGGGGAATTTCCTGATCTCTAGATATTGTTCGCCGTGCAGCAGCATCATTGGGGAGAAGTTCGGCAGAACTTCATCCATCGAGAACGGAACCTGAGCATTGAAGAATGGAATGACGCCAAAGGTAGGTAGCACCTGGAAATTGTCGTCGTTCTCGTAAACCAGAGGTAGTTGCGTCCTCCTGGCGCCCAGGGATAAGTTGTAAAGGATAACATCCCGGTCGTCGTAAGCGTATTCTGTTCCGTCAGATGTGGCTTGCTTGGCTTTCTCAATGGCTGCGAGATAATCCTTCTTGGAATCAGATCCAGAGGATTTCTTGCTCTTGTTCTCCATGTTGGCCATGATCGACTTGAGGCCTTCCTGGCCGTTCTCAGGATGATCTGCGCGACCGTCATTAAAGTCGATGATCTTTGACCACTTCTCAAGAACGTGCTCAGGAGTCAAGGTAACATCGATCGGGAAACCATGGCCACCAGAGCGCTGCCATCTGGTACGTCCTTGCCAACCGGATCCGACCTCGAAGAGAAGACCTGTTGGTGGGTCTGGAACCTTATCAGAGCAGAGCAAGAGGACGAGCGGAGCCACGTAATCTGGTTTGAAGGCTTGCACGAGCTCCTCTGGCAGGATTGTTCGGGTCATCTGAGTACCAGCGTTGGGCGCGATGGTATTGACAAAGATGTTGTTCTTTCGACCTTCGAGTGCAAGGGCTCGAGAGAAACCAAGTATACCCAGTTTCTGAGACTGTCAGCGAATATTTTGGATGAGTGACGGAAAACTTACAGCTGCAGCATAGTTGGCTTGACCGAAGCTGCCATAGATACCACTTGTACTAGTAGTGTTGACGATGCGGCCATATTTCTGCTTCACCATGTAGGGGTAGGCGGCCTTAGTGACCTTATAGGTACCGCGCAGGTGGACGTTGATAACATCATCCCATAGCTTGTCGTCCATGTTGGTGAAAGCCTTGTCGCGCAGGATTCCGGCGTTGTTGATCAGTATGTCAATTCTGCCAAACGTGTCGATAGCGGTCTTGACCACTGCGTCTCCGTCCTGAACATCAGCCTTGTTGCCGACCGCCTTGCCGCCAAGTTTCTGGATTTCCTGAACAGTAGTATCAGGGTTGACAAGATCATTGACGACAACGGAAGCGCCGAGTTTCGCGAAGGCCAAGCAATAGGCCCGCCCAAGGCTAAACGAGCGTTAGCTAAAGGTTCTTCTCCAACAATCGCATAACACATACCCAGCACCGCCACCTGTGACGAGCACGACTTTGCCATCGAATCTGATCTCCTCACCAGGATCATTGCTTCCCATTTTCAATGAGTTTTCTAACTTGCCCACGAAATCTGTCGGACCGCTAGCATATTCGGGCTCCGAAAAATCGTTGACGGCGTCCCATTTCTTCAAGATAGCGCCAGGAGTGTACGTCGAATCAGCCTTGAGCAGCAGACCCTTTGCACGCTCCCATCTCAACTTGGCAACATGGCCACCACCAACCTCGAAGATAGAGCCGGTCTCGGTAGTGTTGGAAGGGTGGACCAACACTGCCACGAGAGGAACAACCCAGTCTGGTTTCAAGTTGGCAAGGACATCCGGGGGCATGATGGTTTCCGTCATACGGCTAGCAGCAATGGGCGCAATGACGTTGCACAGGATATTGTATTTCTGACCTTCCTTGGCAAGAGTCTCTGTGAAGCCGACTTGACCGAGCTTGGCGGCAGAGTAGTTGCATTGACCGAAACTGCCGAACAGGCCAGCCGCGGAAGCGGTGTTGATGACTCTGCCGTATTTTTGTTTTCTGAAATGCGGCCATGCAGCTCTTGCGCACTTGTAGGCGCCCTTGATGTGTACGGCGTTGATGAGATCCCAATCAGAATCTTTCATGTTCTTGAAACTTATGTCTCGTAGGATACCGGCATTGTTCAGGAGGACGTCAACGCGGCCGAAGTTATCGATGGCTGTTTGGATGATCCGATCGCCATTCTCGACGCTGTCGTAGTTGGCCACGGCCTTGCCGCCAGCGGCTTTTATCTGATCGACGACCACATCTGCGGCCTAGGAACGGAAGACGTCAGAAGTGATGACCGAAGCATGTGACGGGAAACCACCAACCTTTGTGCCAGCCCCTTCACCCTTGAAAGAGCCGCCCAGATCGTTGACGACGACGTTGGCACCTCTTGAAGCAAAAAAGAGGGCATATGCCTTCCCTAATCCGCCGCCTGCGCCAGTAACCACCACGGTCTGGTTGTCAAAGCGAAGTTCTTGAACCATCTTCAGGTGCGGCTCATGCGGATGCGCTGGGGATAGAAACCAGTCGGACTAGGTCGGAGTGTGAAGGGAGGTCTCGAGCAGAATATCAGGACGAGGAGAAAGAAGATGGATTCTAAGCAGACGAGACAGCAGAGCGATGGATTTCGACAAAAACAGAAGCCGAAAGACAATGGAGTAGATGACCTTCTGCTGAAGGAAACAAGCAGTTGTTTTGTGAAGACTGGAACGTCAGCCAATCCGAATCTGGAAATGCCATGAAAGAGAGCCGAGGCATTTGAACCGAGGCACATTCTAGATCACGTGAGTGGGCTTCGGAGTGAGAGAGCTGTCTGACCGGCAAACTTGACTCCCACAGGACCAATAATTAGTGTAATTGTGAATGATCTTGCCAAAGTTCACTGTCAGACAGCCTGACGGTTTAGGCACGTGATGTCGGCAGCCCCAGCTTTGCTCCCTTCATTGGCCCCACGAAGTAATCCTCAATCCTCGTCCCGGTCGGTAAGTGAAAACACCGTCCACCGTGACTGGGTCTCTCTTCCGAATCACTTTCGGCATGTGAAATACGAGTACCTGGTAGGCAAAGGAACGCCGGGGATTCATGTCCAAACAGATTATCCAAAACACGGTACCTTGCCGCAAAGATTGTGTCAGCAGCATACTAGATGAATACCTATTGCAGAAAGGCAACCAAAAGTCATTAAACGGGCTTCTGGAGCCTAACACAGTCGTGCACAGTACACTCCGGGGTAAGGTCATTCATGAATTACTGTGTAGGGTCGGCCTACTCTCCGCATCTCGTGGGCCACATTCTCCCTCCATCTGCTTTTGCTGCAAAAGGTCGAGTATCAAACACAAATTTCCATCCACACTTAGTACATCATCGAAAATTCCTTGACCTTGAATTGAAAAGTCAAACCCTGTCGAAACTCTGCAAGCCGCTCAGGATGCCTGAAATCCAAGATGACAAAGGCCAATACGTGATCCCGTTCATCCTCTCCCTGCTCTCCAAGCATCAATCCAAGCACTCCAGCAACCCGAACCCGCCTCCCTTCTTCATCGGCCTCAATGGCGTCCAGGGCGCCGGCAAATCCGTGCTGGTCGACATTCTGAAGAAAACGCTCTCCTCGTCACCACACAATCTCCCGACGGTCGTTTTCTCCCTGGACGACCTGTACCTCACGCACGCAGACCAAGTCGCCCTGGCCCAATCGCACCCGGACAACCCACTCGTCCAACACCGAGGCCAGCCCTCGACGCACGACATCCCCCTTGCACTGTCCGTCTTCGCGAGTCTGAAGGCCAACAACCCCACCAAAATCCCCCAGTACAACAAAGCCGCCTTCTCGGGCCAAGGCGACCGTGTCCCCGAGAGCGAGTGGGAGCAAGTCAACACCGACCCTTCCAACCCAGTCCGCGCGGTCCTGTTCGAAGGCTGGTCCGTCGGTTTCCGCCCTCTTGATCCCAAAACACTCCAATCCAAACACTCATCTGCCGTCTCTGCGCTGCAGAATTCCACCCCATCGAATCCTTACCGGGGCCGTTTAGGCCACAACACCCTGGAAAGCGTCACCGCCATCAACGACGCCCTCAAGTCCTACGACGAACTGACCTCGCAACTCGATGCGTTTGTGCACATCGACGCCGCGGACCCGCTGTACGTGTACAAATGGCGGCTCGAGCAGGAAGCCAACCTGCGCGCCACCAAGGGCAGTGGCATGACGGACGAGCAGGTCAAGCACTTCGTCGACGGATATTACCCGGCCTACGAGCTGTACACCGACACGGTGCGGGCGGGCGTGTTCAAGGACACCACGCCAGACTGGCAGGGCAGGCAGCTACGACTAATTGTTGGCGAGGATCGGAAGGTCAAGGAAGTAGTGACAATCTAAAGGGGAAAGCCATGGAGGGGCTAGTACCTAGGTAATAAAGTGCCGATCAGTGTCGGCCATGTCCTCTCTCTTTTCTCTTACCGTGACAGGCATTCGGCTTGAGGATGATCTCAGATCCCAGCCAGCCATTGCGAAGGAGTGTGTCAGCCTTCAAGGCTTGAATCAAGATGACGATGCCTGTTTGCGAGTTGTCCTTTTTGGCGTTTTGGCGTTCCCGTCCATGTCGATCAAGTGTCGTTTGCGAACTCCCCTTGACTGAAAAGCGTAGCTGGTCTCTGTCGGCTTCCAGGGAAAAAGCCGTGCTTTAGGCGGGCTTTCAAAGGCATGGGGGGAAAAAGGAATTTTGAACTTCGGACTGTTGGCACAAGTCACTCCAAGTCAATTTTTCCCTGGGATCTACACAGTATACCAGTACAGTTTACACCCAGCAAGGATTGTACGGATACTCACGGGATACTCTACTCGCTACTTTTCTGGTCCCTTTTCCCTTGCATGCCCCACCCAACTACGGAGTACTCAAGCGACATCTACTTGTACTAGCTACGCTCGTACGGAGTACATCATTCCAAATCCATGCGCCTTGGAAGCCAGCACAGAAGTCATTTGTGGCATTTTACAAATAGTGATTCGCTTCATTTGACGGGCTGGGGGCTGGGCTTTTCCGATCGGTGAACCATGTCCTGATGGAGTTGCGTTGGCTGCTGTTCGAGGTTAGCGCAATCACGGGGACGGAATGTGCTGCGCATGCAACCTTGGTGTTTTCAAATACTCGACGACTCGTACAAGGGAGGCCGTAGTAACTAGTATTTGCATTCGGTCCTTCTATTACCGAGAAGAGTAGTGAGATCCCGGTCGACAGCAAGCTTGGAGTTTCTTTTTAAAACGGTTGAAATCGGAAAGATCTTCGGTTCGACAAGCGGTCAGCGTTCTGTGCTTTGCAACTAAAAAGACCTAGCCGTGCAAGCTTAGGTGCCAGCAGTCGTGGCTATCATGCCTCGATGCGAGTGCCCCGCAACACCTGCGTACTGTAAATCGTCGCATACGATCTACACCGCCGTCTCTTGTGTTTATGCAGACCCTAGTCATGATTGTCCCGTGTTTTGACGATGCGCTAATAAATGGCGAACCACCGACCTTACGGATGGGAGTTACTGGTACCCCTCCACGCCCTCGCACTGTACCTCTCTGTACCTCCTGTGGTGCTCCGTACTCGTACAGCACAGTCATTCCGAAAACACCCCACTTCTGCTCGCTGGGTGAGCCAAGTCTAACGTTTGCCAGCTGTGGGATTATTATTTGGATTTTGTTATTTTTCGGGAGGGCAGGATTTACCCAGGAGTGCCAGGGTTGTGGAGTCACCATGGGAGTTCTCGGGGCACATCTGGTCCCCTCCAGTACTCGTAGAGGATCATTCACATTGCTTACCAGGATCATCATGGATACTCTGTACTATTTTTTCCCAGGCTTACCTCGAGCCCGTGTGTCGGTGTGCGTCAAGGACATTTTTTCGAGACCCTACGGAGTAGGGTCTTTTGGCGTTCGTCCCGACACAATTCTCTCGCCTGGAAATGCCCATTGCGCAGGCCGTCTGCCCCCAAAACGAAAAAAAGAGCAACATCCCGCATAGCTCCGATCATGGCCTTTTCCATCTGGATTTGACCAGAGATTTGCAGTTTCCCCCTCGTTCATACGGCGCATTCTGATATGCGACAGGAAGTCGGTCCCAGGCTTTAGCTTGAACTCTATTCGTACGACAAAAAGCGATCTTCACGGAAAAGGGAGCAAGAAGCGACGGCGATGACGGTCTAAAAGGACCAGAGACCAGCGATAGCCGAGTGCGAGGAGGGGGGGAGACTGTCCATGACAATAAGGTTCTCGGGCCCGAAGGTCGTCGTTGCTGTTGCGAGACAGAGAATACTACGAGTAGTAACCGGTGAATAACCCAGGCCGAGGATCACAGTCGTGGGTTGATTACCTACCTACGTGATACCTACCAGGTATGTCCCATGCCATACGGAGTAGGCCAAATTGAGGCACGATCATACCTTGGCATCGATTTGTAAGGAAGATCTACTACGTGAGATCTCGCCAGATCTACACAGTGACATCCCAGTTTGGTCCAGGTAGTGAACGACCAGATAAAAACTCCAAGATCTTGTGAGAACATATCAAAGACGGCGGCAACTTATTATCTTGCATTGAAGTTCTAAATACTATTTTAGAAAGAGAACTTTTAGGTAAGCGTTGGTTAAAGTCCTTAGCTAAGCTCATTAACCAAGACGTCTGAATTCGAAGCATCTTCGAGCCATCTCTAATTATGGAATCCATACCAAAGTAGGCTGCGGAGGTTATGTCGTATTTGGCTCCTTTCTCATTCTCTACATCGAAGCTTCATTAAACGAGACGTCGGCGAGGGTATCAAAATATCGTCTCGTAGCATGTCGACGACAATTGCTACGGAGACCGTGTCCATTCCTCAAAGGAACCACTGAGGTTTCAGAGTGCTGTTGGAGCTGGAGCTGTACCCGACCGAGCAAACCCTCCGGGTCAAGCAGATTTCTTCTTCAACCGCCTCCAGCTGCATGTTCAACTGTGTCCAGAGAAGACATGGCACAGATCATGCGTTCCGGCGTGATCATATTGGTAAAATGCCCATGGCGTTCTGCCACTTCACGTCAAGGGGCCTCCAAGTCGGCAGCAATAAGAGATAAGCGAGCTAACCCCCATTGGAGTGTGGTATGCGAGATGCCTCTGCCCTAATCACATTCCCAAACCTCTCGTCCTTCTTTCGATGTTTCCGGGCGCAACATCGACAGGTGACCAGTAGAAATGGTCCGTTTCCCTGGCGGTGACAAGGTTGAGGTCTTCTTGTCGGCTGCCCAGGCAAGGGGGGTTTACTTGGGTCGCTGAGCAGAACCGAAGATTGGACCGTGGATCGGGTCAGCCGAATGTCGGCCCAGTGACAGCGACGGTTGGACAAAACTCTTCGCTAAAAGATGCTTGGTTGTAACTCCTCAAGAAAAGGCAACCCATCATTATTGGGCTGGGCTTCCTTCGCAGCTGGGATGTGCAAACGGATGTGTTAAAAGGATGGCGAGCACGAACCCCCTTCTTCCCGGGAACCTCGGAATGGTGCTCGGTTAACATTGCTCCCAGGAGGTCCCTCTAGTCGAAAAGCTATCCTGCTCGCTGGTACTCGTACCGCTGACACCTTCTCTTCTGGCCCCATGAGTTGCAAGCCGTCTTTGGCAGGCCTCGGATTTCTTTCCCGCCGGGCATTACACTTGTTTTTTCCCCTTCCAACTTGGACCTACGAGGACATTCTTGTGGTGGCCACAAAACACCATGACGTCAATTTGTAGCTCATGCACAAGTCCTCCAAAAGAACGATCGTCAGTGTGCCTTCGGCCGAGTTGAAGGGATTCTTGTATAGGGCCAGAAGAATTCGAGGAGAATAGCCACCCCTTCACGACCAAAGACTCAATGATTCGACCACTTTAAGCAGCTTCATGATGGCTTCCGTCCACGTCACCTATATGCCAAGAGCCACGCCGATCAACTAGTAGACTCGCTGTACACTAAGGGATCAACCATACATATAGCACGCCGTCCCCAGTGGCGTTCATAGGCATTGCTCATCGACATCAACGACGGAATTCACACACAACGCCGGATGGGCGTCACGCTCTCGAGAGCATCGCGTCTACTGGTAGGTGCTGCACGCAGGGTTTATGCAGAAACAAACGAGATGTCCACTCACATAGACCAGGACCAGCACATAGCCTGGGGCATTACTCCATAATAGAGCTGCGTGTACCATTCCCATTTTGCCATGCTGATACGAGTACTAGTAAGACCGCCATTTCGTAAGTGGGGTTTGCCCTCTCTGCCTGCTAAGGACGACAGATATTGACAACCTCTCCACCACGTGGAATCGACCCATAACCAGGTCAGAGCCATTGTCACTAGACTCTTGCTCCTACAAAACGCCAAAAGCAACATTACTTTAGCATATGAAACCTGTCAATGCAGCATGCCACCCCTCTCAATGATGACACTATCCTGACGCACATTTTCTGGCTACATAAGCCACGGACTCAAATCATATCTTCTTGCTATTGATGCCCTTGAGATAGACGTCACTGAAAGCAAAGGTCAGCACGTATTCTTGACTGTAGAAAGAGAAAGAAAAACACAAGGACGGCCAGGAAAGTGCTTCTATCTCCCGAGGTATATGCAGGCCTATCACATGAAAAACCATAGCCGTGGATCGGCCTGGGTCGGGACGTGTGATCTGAGCTTGCTTGACGGGAGGCGAGGCCCCATTAGTCGGGGAGAAATTGCAGAAACTTACAAGATCAGCGTTGCGTCCGGAGGGATCAAGCCAGGAAAACCCCTGTATAGAGAGATATCTGTTAGTCTTGGGGGTCTGTACTCGTACGAGAAGTCTTCAGGCGGATTTCTGCCAGCAATGGTTCATGCAAGTTTCTTCAACTTTGCACCGAAAAGGCATCGCGTGGGGCGGCAGCACGCTGCATCCCCTGATCATGCATGGTCTTGACGAAAGAAACTTCAAGATCGAGCCAACGAGAAAGCTGGCCTCAGCCTGTGGGGTTGGTGTTGGAGAACTGACCTGTCGCCGTATGCCATGCGTCTAGAACCAAGTCAGCACACTGTTCAATATAGTCACACATGCGGTAGGATAACATCGATGTCAAAGAGTGGAGATCGAGTTCCAATCCCAGAGAGCAGAACCGACTGTGAAGCCATCCGAAGTTTCGGAGCAGGGGTCCGACACCGATAAAGCAAGGGTAGGATACGACTCACCCAGGAATGGTCAAAGTGCACTTTTCTCCCAATGACATCTGAAGAACGCCCTGGTCCCAGCCTTTACGAAGTTAGGAGGGGGGATCTCAGAAGCTGAAGCCCGAAATAAGGGACACACCTGGAATCACCCGTCCAACGCCGATTTGAGTCTTGAAATCTCCACGGCCAACAGAGCTGTCGAATCTGATATGATAAAGATCAGTACCCGTAGTGGCGACGAATAGACGGGCTCGCATCCTGAAGAGTAACATACTGCTTGCCCTTGTATCCGTTGGCGGCCTTGGAAGGCTCATGTAGCCAGCCGGTATACTGGATGGTGACTTCATCGCCAGTCTTTGGGTAGTCAGTTTTGTTCCCAGGTTGGATCACTTTCTTTTCGAGCTGAGTGGCCATGGCTGTGGTAGTCGTGAACGAGACAGACTTGGTAACTGCGAAGCGAGGCTGAAGCACCCGAAGGACGAGCCTGGTAGCAATGGTGACGGTGCTGTGGTAACGAGTTTGATGTCGGAGGAGGGCCAAAGGAAGTGAATCTGAAAGGTTGATTTATTCAGACGATACTGGAGTATGGGAAATGGGGGACAACCACAATGTTTAAAAGGTCTCCGGTACAGAGGCTTGGCGTGGATGAGATAGGCAGGACGCACAGACACGAGCAGGTAAGGAAGGTCAGTGGCCAGTCGGCGTTGGATGGTCCTGTTTCCAGGCAAGAATGGCCGTGGTATTGTGGTCTGGCGGTGACGCTGACAGGAACGAATGCGTCAGTTGATCAGGGGAGAGTCTTCATGATGACTTGTGCAGCTCCGAGAATATGACAGGTGCAAGCCTGGCTTTAAAGTGGAATACAAGATGCGCGCCTTGGACGAATGCAGTCGATGGGACCATAGGACAGATCCTAGATCGGACAAGGAACTGGCGAAAAAGGCTGGAAGAAGCAAACGTAGGGCTACTGGTAGTATGCAATCAGCCAGCTAGGTACGTACCTAGTGGGGGGCTCATCAGGCTCTGACAGCGTATGAGAGACGACTAGGATGGATTCAGGTGCCGAAAACTTTACCCTCTGTTCGGGCACGACACGACTGGCGCAGGGATCAGGGATGATGGATTTGTGACAAGGGAAATAAATGGATTTTTGAAAAGGGAAGATCGAGAAAAACGTCAACCGGGCCCGTCAATGGGATGTGGATGTGACAATGGCGGGGCAGACGAGGAGGGTCGCGGAAGGTGTCCTCAGTGTTCTGACGAAGGAGGCCGAGTTTGGAAGGGAGAATTAATATGGAGATGGGCTTCTGTGGGCAAGCACCCACTCGCGCCACTTTAGCCCGTGCCCTTGCTAGATGTGCCCCCCTTGTAGTCCGTAATGATGATGGCATACCACGAACAAAGGCGGCGGTGAAGACCAAGGTGCACTGAAGGGGCAGCACGGGCAATCAGTCTGGAGGAGGAGGGGCTGGCTGCTGTATCTTTTGGCTTGACAGTGTCTGTTTCTTTTGCCTTTTCTTTGACAGCCTCCTCCTTTTCCGAATATCACAACCGACAGTGTCAGCTGTCACTTTTAGTTCGGATCTCTCAGGCTGCAGCAGGCTAAAGGAGAAGACAGCATGGGATGTCGCCCTTGGGTACGGATAATCAGCCACCGTGACTACTCCAAGTGTGTCCTTAGGGGCTGTTGTCCGACTTGGAGCAAGCATACTCGTGCTTGGGGCACTGCATCTTGCAGAGTCGTGACGGAAGATCCTGGAGGTTGTACAGTGCCAGGCTCGTCGACTAGCGCTTGACGTGATCGAAGCCGGTTTGTCACCAACAGCGTGGTTGACCACTGACATGCCGCGGAATCCTGGGTCGCCAATGCGATCTGTACTGATCCACTTACGCCGTCCCTCGCTAAATACGAAGTACCTTGGAGGCCTTTCTCTTGCGTCTCCAGCTGAGGGGCCAAACCGCACGAAGTTTTCGTGGCATGTCCGAGGTAAATCGAGTCAACGAGCCCTTTCCTTCGCCAGCTCCGTTGGTTGTCAGGTGCTGGGTGTCAACACATGCGAGTCAGAATGTACTGCATCAGGACGTATCGGTTCGGCAAGATAATCCAGATGAAGCATGGCGTGGAATTGATTGGCGCCATGATGCGCCTTCAGGAGTCCCTGCAAAACGCCCAGTCCACCATTCCAGGGCTTCTGCAAAAGCCTTGGGCCCATGGTTGGCGCCTTCGACTCGTATTGCCTGCAACTAAAGCCGAGTGACAATAATATTCCCGAACTGACGTGGCCGAAAGAGAACTAACTACCGAGGCCATGTGTTGGGGAAACGACGGATCCCGGCTGGCGGGACGACCGAGTACGTACTTCTTTGCCAGGATGCCAGCAGATCCTCGTCTGATGGTGCGCCTCTTACGGTTGTTCTGTACTCGTAACAACCACCTCGTCCACTGACATGGTTGAGGAGCGGCTCGTAAGTCGTATGCACGGAGTTTGTGTCGCTAAATCCTGAGCCCTGTTGCTGCTCACTGCAGGACAGTCGCTCGTTTGCATGCTTCGTTGAAGAGACTGTATCACAACGACTTCATAAGAACCAAATCGGCCAATCGTAGGCGGTTGCCAGGCTTGCTCTCGACACCCTCGCATGTTATCCATTCCAAGGTGCCTGGTATTGAGATTTCCAGCTTCTCGGCTATATCCGGCCAACCATGAGGTATGGCATCGTTCTTGGAGGGCCGTCACCACTTCTTAGAGGTGCTATTATTGACGCCGTGCACGGAAGGCATCCAGCAAAGCACAGCCCTGTTTGTTGGGGGTACTCACCTATCTCGAACGTCACCTTGCCAGCCCACTTTCACACTGCTTACGCAGTAGACTGACCGCTATTCCGCCGACCGGAGAGAAAGTGACGGTGATGAATGACTGGCGCAATAACGTCTCCCGGCCGGGATCCATTAGAAAGGCTAGAAAAGAGGGATATCTCCGTTGGGAAGTTCAGTCGGTACCCAGTCACAACCTTCCCTGGACTCCCCGCGTACTTCGGATCGACCGACCTTTGCTTGGGTCACCAAAGCAGATCCACTGACCGACCGAAATAGTCTAGTCCGGTCTGAACTTCGATTGACAACCCAAGAATGTTGAGGTAATCGAATCCTTGTACTGTGTACATAGTACATACGGGAGAGCTGCACCATGCATGCAAATCTTTGAATTGAGACTCACCATACCTGGTCGGGGTCCAGGACGCCCCACGATGCTCGTACTGCCCTTTGCACGGCTGATCTTCATGCAGCAAATATGGACCAGACTCTCTTGGCAACCTGCAGGCTCTTTGGAGGACAGCGGGGACGAATGACGTCCGGCAACGAACCATACACAGCCGGGATGGCATTGTATCACGGCATTGATACGACTGTGAATCTGTGGCTCTGTCTAAAATATATTTCGATTCCGTATTTCTCGCAGAAACAAAGAATATGTGCCGGTCCTGCTCGCCAGCCTTTTCGCTTGGGAGATCGGCTGATCTCTCGACTCACGCCGACTCCGAGATCAGCTCCGATTGATATTGAGGGATCCTGCCCAGAGCTCACGCCAAATGCGTCCTCAAGATATGGCCCTTTCGTAGCACCGGCTGCAATGGTCCTGATGCAGAATACGGATCGGTGGACATGCCAATCCCGGCAGCCGTGAGCGCCTGGGGCAGACGGCGCACGAGAAAGCAGCCAATGAAAGCCGACCACATCTCTCCGCTAATGCTTTTGGATAGAGATGCTGTGCGCAAGATTCAGCCTGTCTGAGAATCGGAACCTAATTCTATCCTGTCGAATTAGCGGGCGGCTAGATCGCTCGACGCATGAATGCCTCTCTTTGTAGGTGGTCTCCACCAGTACGAAAAGACATGCTGGGCAGCAACAAATCTCACTGCAATCAACACCTGATGTTCGCCTGAGAGCTGCTTTGGTGGCTTACGAGCCAATGTACCTTGGTGGAAGCGGGCGGGCGAATCATCATGGCAACATATTTGTGACTGGCCCGTTTGATGGCCGTTCAGAGCTACGAGACATCCCAAAAGGCATGGTTCCGAAGCTCGTGCAGCTCAACGTAGTCGCAGCGTAGACGTGGGAAGCGATTGTCCGATTCGTCCTGCTGAGGACCATCACACCTCAGGAAAGTCACTTGTGTCAAACCTATTTCCTCAAGGAAAGGCAGCACACGGCCGTAATTGAGAGCAACTTGATCCAAACCATGACTGTCGTCAGACAGACAGAATCGAATGTTTTTCTCTAGGGCAGCCTGACAGGATCAGTCCTCAGTGGTTTCCTGCGCAGTCTGAATGGCTTACCTGACATATCTCCGCCTTGGGGTACGGCTCATCCATCCCTTTCCGTAAACTGGCAGAATTGATTTCAAGGATACCGCCATACGAGGCGATATAGTCCAGATTGCGCAGGATACGATCCCACACACCGCTCATATTTTGAAGGCTCCCATTCGGACTATCGCTTTTGAGACGAATGAGGTCAAAGTGACCCACTACAGGTGGCTGGAGAGCTTGCAACATAGCCAACTGCATGTCGAAGTAGTCTTCGAAGAGTCTCCCGTCTGTTCCGCCTGACACGTGGCGTGCTTCTTCGTACATTTCACGGTCGTAGTCAATGGGAATAGTATGCACATGATGGACTGAACCAATAAAGAAATCATACTGGTAGGTCGAGATGCTGCGCTTTACGAGGTCTGCTGATTCGGGCCTAATCCATTCTCCCTCGAAGCCAACAAGCAGGTCGATTTGGTCTTTGTATTGTTCCCGCAGCCTGTTTGCTTCTGCAAAGTAGGCGCTTTCGTTACTGTAATGTGAAGCAAGCGTCACGCCCGCTTCGATTTCTTCTGGATAGCGGTCTTCGTCATGACGAGGCATGTGCTCCGTCAGCGCTAAGACCTGCATGCGTTTGGAGATAGCGGCATTGACGATGTCTTCGAGAGAGTCATGAGCATGGCCCGGGCAAAATTGGCCCGAATGACTGTGGTGAGAAAATGGCATATCGGTGTTTACTGTCCGACTGAGCGAGTCTGCGGCGCGCTCTTGTCTGAACTTGGTAGAGATCGGAGGTTCTACACAACAACCATCATGGCGAACTGTGTAAACCTCTACAAGCTCGAACTTGCTGGGAAATTTTTCACTGCGAGCTCAGCAAAGAACCGAAGTAGAGCCGGAATAAATTCCGCCAGTTTGAAGCTGGAAGCTGCTGAAAATCCCAACTACAGATTCACAATGCCTCCAGACGTCGCCCAACAACGTGTCCTACACTCATGATGTTGGGGGACCAAGTATGTGAATGGGCTATCCGCTTCAAGGAGTGAGGGATCCTCAAGGCTGTTCAATCGATTATGTTGACTCGACTTCCTCCGATAGAGCCAGTCTTGCCCCCGAGATGGCCACTTCCCTGGCCACAACTGCACGCCATCCTTCGTTCAGATATCCGTTGAAGCACGAGTGGATATCAACCACGCAGAGGTAGACCACGCATCTCGGTGGGAGGGGGTGAAAGCTGCTGGGGCCCATCCTGTGCAAGGTTATGTCCACAGTTGTGCCACGTTTTCAGCAGGTGTCAACTCCAAAAACCATGCTACGGAAATCTACGTTACTGCTCTACACCCAAGAATTGGGACATGAGCATAGCTCGTTCTAGACCAACAACACGCAACCAAACCAAGCATTGGATCCGGAAGACATGTGCTGGTGATGATGAATGGAAAAGCTGGATTTATTCCGCGACCTCAATCATAACACCGGGCAGTAAAAGGTATCTGCAGCCGCCGGTCGCTGAGAGACTCCGGCTAAGGGCTCATCTCTCCGAAGAAGATAAGGTTTGGGATTTCGTCCCGGCGTACAGTAGTGCGTGGGCGTTGAAGCTCGGTCGACCGTGCTGGCCCGAAGTTCGTAAAGCTTCAAGCACTTTGGCGAGAGAGAGGCGCTTCTCTGTGGGCTAATTATTACAAGGAACGCGCCTCAAAATCATGCAAACAGACCTCGCGGGACCGCACATCTCTATTCTATTGAGCTTTTTACTGGTACCGACTTCGCAACGAAGACATTGCCGAAGTTTGATGTCTCTCACGTACCTTCAACCTTGACAGGCGCGACAGGCTATGACCGAGGTTCCCGCTTGTTACATTACTATTGGAAAATGCATCCGGGTTGTTGTGGACAGTCTGAGGGGCGGCTGATGCGGGAAAAGCCCGAGTACCGGAAGGTCGAAACAAGGGAGTCTGAGTGGATATGTTACCTACAATTCTCTTGTACCACACTACACTGTAGTCTGTCCTCCTAAGCGTAGCGAGAGATCCGAGCAACCATCCTACGTAACGCGCCATCTTAGGTTTTCGCTTGAGAGATCTTGCATTCTCAAATCCTCCTCTGGAGTCGCTGGCAAATCGCTTCTGATGATTTAGGCACTGTGGGGTTTTCTTATGGATCGATCTGTACCAAGAATTTGGGCACGTCAATTGGCATCCATGACCTGCATCTGCGCCAGCTTATCAGTGGTCAATAATCTCTTGTAATCCACAGCGGTCCAACAGCAGGATGATGCCACGTGATTTCAGAACGCCAGTTTGCGCAGGTCTAGCCGATACCTGTGATCCGTGTGGAAAAAAGTTCCCAATCCAATGATCGTATAGTAAGGCATCCGGGCAATTCATTCTACGAGACGAGGTTGATACTAGGTAGTTGACCGCTAAGAGGTATGCCAAGAGCCACTGAACAATGCTATTGATTTGGGAATAAATATGAACAACTCAACACACCTCAAAAAATGATAAACCTGATTAGGTCAAAAATTGACCCTACACCTTCAGGTTATCCCGATACAAGGTTTTAGGGGGCAAAAACGAGGAACAAGGGACTCGAACCCTCAACCTTGGCTTCACGACGAGATCTCTCATCATGTAGGATTTTGATCAAGTAGGAGAGCCTGATGAGATGATTAGAGCTAGCTTATAAACAAGAAGAGCAGGTGGACGAACCACGCGCTACCATTGCGCCAATCCCCCCGGGATTTGCTAACGAAATCTCTGTCAGGTTTCGACAACATTTCAAGCACTTTTGGCGCCTCATTGGTATATGAAGCACAACTCTGAATCACGTGATATTTGAGTCTGCCGAGGTTCCACTTGCACCTTCTTGACCTCTCTGGGCGCCTCCCGCTGTATCTACCTTACCTGAGGTAGATAACCCGACTTCAGCGGTCATATATGCTTTCGCAGAATCGACGACCCGTAATTCATAGCTGCACTACGATCAAGCTTTGAGTCAAGCCTAAGTCCCTATGTCGAGACCATAGGCTTCAACGGTCCGGGTGATCTTCCCAACGGTGTTTTATCCTGGCTAACGATCCCATGAAGAGTGAAAATCCGAGTACCCGGGGCTGACATGCCAGCCAGCCAGCCCGGCACATGACGCATCCTTCTCGCATGTGCCACTTCATTCGTGAGCGCACTCGACGTATAAATCCGAAATCAGAGCGATGATCGGCTACAATCGAGAGCAATCTCCTCCATCTTCAGCATCGGGAGATTTGTCTCACAGCCTCTTCGAGAGTGGTGCTTCAACCTTGATTAGACGTCACTCCCAGACTTTCTTGGAGAAAGGTTACAGGGCGGTCATAAACGCCTTTACACAGTCCTTCGCCAGCAAGAGTTAGCATTCCACAGGACAAGTCCAACGGGCTCCGGGCTTTCTCAGTCACGTTGGCAGGAGAGCCTTGTCTGTCTGGCTAGATTAAGCGCGGAAGCAGGCGTGTGCTCCTGTTTCGGGCCAGAGTAATTCCTCTTTCAATTCGCAATGCATGTCTTCGAGGTTGACTTACTCGGTAACTGATTCTGCAAAATCTTGTTCATGATTGAATTCCCCTGCGCCATGATCGAAGCAGGACTTTCAGCCAGTCAGCAAAGGCCTTCGACTTGCATCGACCTGAATGCCTTTTCAAATCTAAGAATACGATTACACATTCCTGGCCTGCCAGCGGCATCAGCATCAGATATGAATCTACCATGCTACGATTCTAAGCTTTGCTCTGACCGCGGGGTTCGACGGGTTTAATCCCTGGAGATCAAAATCAGGAAGGTGGTGTTGATAGTCTTTGTCAAGCAACGTTTTCTTGGTCAGTATGACGAGCTCTTGTCAAACATCGCGCGAGTCGAAGGGCTCCGACTTTCCATCCTAACAATCCAGATCACTGACCCCACAGAGGGCGAAGCCTAGGATGCTGTCGTGTGCTGTGCACCTTGCAGTCGGCGTGATCTAGCTGCGCATGCAGGGAAGAGATTGCGTATCAATCCCATAGGCCCAGCTCTGCTCGACTGCCTCACAACGTCGCTTCATGCTTCTTCTCTCTGCCTCTCTCTTACACCTCGGTCGCCGGCTTCGAGATCAGAGGCCCCAGGGGTTTGCAGTATGCAGACCCAATGAAGGACAACGGCTTTTGCTCGCCTACCCATGGTGCTGTTCGACGTCAACGAGGAGCGCGTAGACGCACGACCAGGCTTTGTTCAACCCTGCTAAGTTTCTATCCGTACTATACGCACATATGAGTCAGTCTCTTCGGTCCTGCGCCCCTGTAGGATCTTTGTTGCTGCAGCAACAAAGGGGCAAAGCAGTGTCGATGAAAATTTAAGCTCACGTTGCAGTTCTCAATGAACACTAGCAACCTCAATACCGCTCGGAAGTGTGTCTTGCTATCTTATACAATCCAATCAATCATCGCGACCTAGCTTCCTGCTCTGCTCTTGGATCAACAATGCGCTGTCTTATCCCACGGACATGTGCCCGTCAACGGTCATAGGTCGAGAGTCTCCTGATGTTCTCTAAGATATCTGGGCAGGAGGAGGTTCAGCAGCCAGGACAGAATGGATGCCCCGGAGTTCCGATTGACAGGCCGTAATAGAAAAAAACCGTACACATGCCAGCAGGATCAAATCTTCCAATGCTGTGAGCCAGCCGTTGACCACTCGGACTCGCTAGCAGAGAAACAGGAAACACGATGTGCAAAGATCCCATGGAAAGGGGAGAAATGGACAATACTGATCATATACTGGTATATACATTTTTCATGAGCCTTTACCTGACAGTGGCGCCAGACAGAAATGCAGAGCCTTTCCAGCCTTCCCGCGAGGAATCGTTTTTATCTTCGCTTTTCCGTACATTGTGGAAAATAATCGTTTGGACTATCCCAGTGACCAAAGTTCAGATCCTCACAGATTCTAATCGGATCATCGACATCTTGTACGCAAGATGGTCACTTCAGATCCATATCCATCAAGGCTCATTCTCAGCAGCCGCCTCGGCGGCCAAATGTTCACCCTCTTGAGGATGCTCGGCCCCAACAGTGGCGTTCTTCGCGTAGATGCCGTCGAGGGTGACATTCATGGCACCAGACTGCACCAGGGCACTACGCAGGTCATCGAGAAGATCTTCACCGTCCTCGATACCGACGCACAGCCGGATCAGATCTTCTGGCACACCACGCTCCGCTCTCGTCTTCGCATCGATGCTAGCATGACTCATGCGACAGGGCATGCTGATCAGGGAATTCACGCAGCCGAAGCTTACGCTGATGGCCCAAAGTTTGGCAGATTCCACAATCCTTTCGGATAATTGGACATCACCTGTTTCAAAGGACAGAACAGCACCAGGCCCGCGTGACATGGAGTTGAAGAGATCGTATTGGGGATGGCTCTTCAGGCCAGGGTAGCGCACCTTGAACCCCGCCGATTCGAGGAATCGCGCGATCATCATGGTGTTGTTTTGTTGTGCGTCCATACGGACTTTCAGGGTCTTGATCCCCCTCATCAATAGCCAGCAGTCGAATGGTGCAAGACCGCAGCCCGACGCGTTGATGGTGAAGTATAATTTTTCGCCGAGCGCTTCGTCGGCGACAGCGATGACGCCGGCCATCAAGTCATGGTGGCCGGATAGGTATTTCGTGCCGGATTCGTAGACGATGTCTGCCCCCAGCTCGAGCGGATTTTGCAGGTATGGAGAGAGCATGGTATTATCCACACTCACGAGACATGCCGGGTTGGCGGCGTGCGCCATATTTGCGATGGTGGGAATGTCCACAATCTTGATCAAAGGGTTGGTGGGTGTCTCGAGGAGGACCATCGCCGTCTTCTCACTCAACACTTCTTGCACCTTTTCGGGGGCTGTGGTGTCGACATGGTGGACGACGATGCCGCCGTGTGTGGACAAATATTTTAGCAGTCTGTTTGTTCCTCCATACAAATCATCTCCAGTCACGACTTCGTCGCCAGGTCTAAGCTGGCGAGTTATCACATCGAGGGCACCCATGCCGGAGGAAACCACTAGGGCTCGTTTCGCGCGCATGATCTTCGCGAGGTGTTTCTCGAGGTGCGTGCGGGTTGGGTTGCCGCTGCGGGTGTAGTCATAGTCGGCGACTCCTCCTGTTGCGGAGGTCTGTTTAAATGTGGCGGACTGTAGGTGGTTAGTGGGAGTGGTTTCATAGGAACAAGAGAATAGCTGACCTGGTAGATGGGCATGCTGCTGGCATTGTACTGGTCATTTCCCTCGGAGAAAACCAATTGAGTTGCGATAGCGTAGTTTCGACTCCCGCGTGGACTGGAAGGGGCCGGCGAAGGAGGCATATCATGACCGTCCAGGTCAACCTGTGCGAAAGCCTTGCTCATGGCGCTGAGTTTGGGATTTTTCAACGGCGGTGTGGAGGAGGAACCTGACTCAGACATGGTGGCGGCGGGGAAAGGGTGGTGGAGGAATGAGCTCGAAGACCTGGAGCGTAGATATGAGGATGTTCAAGGACATATGAGATCAAGGCAAGCCGGTTGAAGAGGTCCGGGGTAAAGCCAGAAATCAATGGCAACGGCTCATAGGAATAGCGAAATCGAAGAGAAGGTCTAGATGTGAAATGGAGAGGCATATTGGAGTAAGAGGAACTGTTCGTATGGTGGAGCAATATAGCAATGACGCGATCGGCTAATCCTTTTCACAGCCCAAGTTTTCTTTGCTTCCCCGGCTTGGGCCTGATACTTAAAACTTATTCATCTTTTGTAGCAGATGCCGACCACTTCTATCCTGCATTTTTTTGTCCATACGATATCCCATCGATCATGGATTCAGATCTGACATCAGAAGTGCAATCGACACCTAAAGAAATGAAGGCGGTAAAGTCGCCGAGGATTGTGCCATTCATCCTTGGCAGATATTGATGCAGCCGAAGGGCAGTGACAGGGTAGAACTTACTGTGTATACGTTATGTTTGCAATGTTCGAGGGCCCAAAAAATCAGCCCCCATCTACTCGGCGCTCATGTGAATGAAGAAGGAGGGCTCTTCATCTTTGAGACTGGGAAGCCAAAAAGGGCAGACACATTCAAGAGAAACTTATCACAGAAGCAAACTCAGTCACGGAGAACATTGCTAACTGTGTGATTTCAAGTCGGCTCAAATCGGACTTCATGAGGCTGTAGCAGTGAGGTATTATTTGAACGACTAAGGCCTGCAACGGTTTCAGGGTGTGTGTATACATAGTACTAGTAGGTTCAGCGTTGTCTCAATGGGCTAACGACATCTCATTGCGGAACCATCACTTGCAGTTAGCATTGCCGTTGATATCAGAGCCTCATGAGAATGGACACCATCATCAACATGCCAGTGAAGAACAACATTGGGGATGTTTACTGTCATGCTGATAACTTACATACCTGATGACGCAGCATGATACTCGCCATGACTGGGTTTTGCTGAACCCTCTATTCCTGGTGGCACGAGCGTGCTCATCAGAACGGCTTGACATGGCAGACGTCTGTGTCTGTTTCAAGTCCATGTCAATACGCCACGCATACTCCGGTTGGCAAGGATAGGCAAGCCACCATTCGTCTGAACATACAAACACACAAACACCAGAGAAAATGTGCTGTGATCATCTCGAGTTTATTCGCTCTACATACATAGTAGGCGAACTTGACGGGCAGATGGCCAACAGCTGCGCACACGTCGACCAGAGTCCAATGCGTAGCATATCATCACATGTGAAACGGTGATGGCATGCGCATTCATCACCCCAAAGCAAAAGCCAGCAGGTGCGGATGGTTATGTACGCATAAACCTCCGATCAGAGGTCAGATCGCAAGACAGCCCGCGCTAGGCATGAAAATCTCCAAGTGTGTCAAGGTGATGTTTTTGGCATCAACTCAGGACCCCTGAATGAAACAGACAGGCATACCAGCCAGCGGGGCCGAGGCTTACGAGGGAGAAACGAGAAATGCCCTGCTTCCCCTGTCTGTATTGGTGGTACGAGCCACCTTGCGTGGCTGCATTGTGAAGGCGAATACTTCCAGGTCGACACCAGAGAGGTCAAGAGATATAGGTCGGCATGAAGATGTGCACGACAGCTGCAGTGGAATGAGATGGTCACATCTCTTGGGTGTACCATACTCGAGTCCGTGTCAACACTTGCGTTGAGTTCCTGGACCGCCAGAAAACTGGATCCATGGCGGCAGGGAAGGAGGTTTTTATCCGATCCACTAAAGGACCGGCGTTTCGCCAAGTCAATGGCTGACACGCTGTCGGCTCCTTGGTGCCCTGACCCTGAAATTGCCATGCATCTTTCTCTCGGGCCTTTACTGGAGGCTCTGTCACCAGGGCCGCGTGTCGCGCCAGCCATTCTGGCCAAAGCAGAGACTGAGTCGCGACCTGTCTCTGCGCAGTGCCGGTCCTGGTTGCAATCGGAAGCACAAAACGTTTTGATGATGGTCTCGCCCAAAATACCCTCATGCATTGGGAGCTGGTCGACCACTCAGGCCTTCGTTATGAAGCGTGACTGTTCACTGTACCGAGCAAGACATACTTGCAGTTCGGGTTGCATGGAAGGCTGGATAGCCATGCCAACGCTACAGCCAACGAGATTCTCAGCGAGATTGATCGCGAAATTGGCCAGAGCGGAAGAGCCAGGGCGTGCCAGGGTTAAGACGATTGCAGCAAGGGCAGCCAGGCCGGTGTCACGTAAATTGAGCGTTTGGCGGTAATTTTGCCTATGCCGTTCGCAGTTAGCAACATAACTTCAGCACGCTTGGGACTCCTCCAGGCGCCCCGATCACCAGCTGTAATGGGTTAGGGTTGTAATTCATGTGGAATCCGTCTTACCAGGTCCCGTCTTTACAGGCGCCATGGTTGAAAGCTACCCAAAAAAGAGCTTGCACGCCTTTGTCTCGCCAAACCCACGGTAGCACCTGCACCTGCGCCAGCGCCAGCGCCGGCTTTTGCATTCGCACCTGCAGACTGGGGCACCCATTTCCTCCTTTCGAACGGCCACCGACTAACCTCATCACAACCTGCACAATGCTTTCATTCTCACCTACACACTCTCACCTCATCGTCCTCAACACTGAGCCTCGATGATCCGTCAACGTCGCCGTGGTCGCTGTCTCTCGTTTTGCGACCGATAATCCTCTCATCCGACTCGATTCGACGGCCACCGCGCTCTTCTTCTCAATCCCGCCCTTTGTTATCAACTTGCCAGCACCAATAACTCAGTGCTCGCGTTCGTTCTTTCACCCGTCGACAGTCAGCCTTCCCTTTGACTCGATCGACCACGCTCCCTCGCACTCATTCCTTCTTGGACCACAATCGGAATCTCGTGGCCAGTTCCAATAGCCGACGTACCCCTTACCGCGCCCTCGCGCTTGCCGACGAGTCTACACCTACAATTTGTGGTTATTGTCTTTGTCTTCTCAATCACTTGGCTGGACCAACTATTGGAGGAACCGCAACGGCTGCAATCTTCTTTGTTGGACAGGCTCGGACAAGATTAGGTCAAAGAACACTCGAAATACATGCTCAGCCGTCTTCCATACTAGGCCGCTCTCGACTGTTGAAGATTGGACAAAGCAACCTTGTCGACAAATTCTCCTGCAACTGAGCACACCCTCACTTGGATTTGGATTTGACACAACTAAGACGGTGCGACCGCTCGCGCAAGATAGACGCACTTTCAGAGCCTGTGAAAGACGATTGCATCCGGAAGCATTTTAAGGGATCGATTGATCCTAGCCACTCTTTTGAACAACACGCTCACCCTATACACTCGCTTACTACAATTGAAAGTAGGTCTTGTTCAGCTCAATTCGTCGGGCCTGCGCTGACTGGCTGCACAGTACTTTTTTCGTCTACAACATGAAGCTCTCATCCATTACCCTGTTTTCTGCACTGCTAGCAGTTTCTTTCGCAGAAGCGGTCCCTGCCTCTGATCCAAGACGAACCGACCTCAAGCCCAGGTACTATTTTCCTCGGGTCGTCAAGAGACAGGTCCTTGGCTTGAACACAACTTCAACAGACACCAGCAGTACGAGTTCCGCTGATTCCGGAGTCGGAAGTCTTCTCGATTCTGTAGGAAACGCACTGTCCGGGGTAGCTTCCGCTATATCAGGCGATTCCACGACCACTCCTGCACGCACAGATGCGACTGTAACGGATTCCTCGACTGATTCCCAGACGACAAGCGCAGCCACAGGCCCAGTATCATTTGCGGCTAGTACAACCACGGACTCGTCGGATACTGCGTCTGAAACTCAGCAATCTACTACTGACACTGATTCGGCGGCGACCACAACAAGCACCGATCTTCCCAGTACCATCACAGACGCTGCGACCACAAGCTCATCTGACGATGGTATAACTTTGGGATTAGGCTCGATTATAACGGGTAGTGATTCATCAACGCCAACTACCACCGATGATTCGGCCACGGCCACGGCCACTGCAACTGATTCTACGACCGACACAGCGGCTGCGAGCTCTGCACTGGTATCAGCAAGCGATGCGGCGACATCAATCCTTTCTGTCGCAAGTTCACTACAATCTGTTGCTGTGACAGCGGCTAGCTCAGACATCGCATCCATCTCCTCAGCCCTGTCCTCTGCCGCATCGGTGGCTTCCTCAATCGCGTCCGATGTGAGCTCAGCGGACTCTGTGATCTCCACTGCCGACCCAACTACAACAACATCTAGCCCAACTGATGTGGTATCTGACTTGAGCTCTTTCATCTCCGATCTCACTACAACACCCACGGATGTATTCACGACACCTACAACTACCCCAACTGATACACCTACTGTGGGCACAGATGTTACGACAACTCCGACAACGACGCCCACTGATAGCCCCACGATCGGTACTGCCTCAACAACACCGACCGATAGTCCGACGATTGGCACGGCCTCGACGACCCCAACGACAACACCAACGGACAACGGGACCATCACAACAACACCCACAACGACACCCACTGACATAAACACCACCACTCCCACGACCACTCCACCCCCTACCGATATCACAACCACTCCAACAGTGACTTCCACTCCAGACGCTGGGAATTCCACGACCACTCCGGAAGTGACGTCTCCGACGACAACGAGCGATACGATCGTGACAACTCCTACTGAGACCCCTACGCTTGCACCGACCCTGACACCTTCGGCTAATCTGACGACTATCCCCGCCACCACAGAGAGGCCAAGCACCTCAGTACCTCTTACCAACACTATCAAGCCTACTGGTACTGATTCAGCTACTGCTCTGACCCCGGAGTCCAGCATCATCTCGGCTACCTCTACGGCGTCATCGAGCTCCTCGAAGTCAACGTCTAGTGCTGCTGTCATTCCGACCTCTCTGCCCCGAGTCATTCAACCTCCGGGAGGCGCCGACACTGCCCCACAGAATTCTACTTTGATCCAGATCGGCTTCAATTATGGTCTCAACTATGCGTTCGTGGTTTCATCTCAGACTGCTGTCTCACAGATATTCTCGTATCTTCCGCCTGGAATTGGCCATGGTATCGACCAGGACTCGAGTGACGTGATTATGCAGTATTTGCAGCCATACAACACTCTGAACACACTGGACTATATTACAACTCTGGCTATGGCATATATTCCTTCGGAGATGGTCAACGCACTCTCGGTAAATCTCCTCAACCCGAACTCGGACCTCTATAGCAATCCCAACCCGTCAGTGGCCACCTTGATGAGCATGATCGACCCGTCAATTCCCATCCTGCCTGGATCTGCTATGCAAAACTCAGGCACTCCCATCAACACCGCAAACAGTGCTGCCACCACTTCCGACAGTGGTACATCAAACGATGGAGCACCAGGTTCTTCGGATAGCGGTGGTGACTCCTCCGTCCGTCCTTCATCGGTCGGCATTGCGGTGGGTGCCGTTGCCGGTGCTGCAGTCTACGGTGCAGCCATGTTCCTTGTTGCGCGGCGATACAAGAAGAAGAAAGCAGGCCATCAAAGGTCAAGTAGTGTACAATCTGGTCGTGGCAACCGTCCCGGAGAACAATCAAACCTGATGGTTGCCGGTGCTCGCGGCAGCTACGGTACACGCTTTGGTGGTCGAACATCTCGAAACAGTGATCACAGTAATTCCAACCGAAGCGGTCGGACATACATCAGTCCGCCGGTGATGGCCGAAAACAGCTTGGGCTGGAATTAAGAGATGACATGATGCGCAGAAAGATCTTGTACAGAGATGATCATCCACATGCCCGTCTACGACAACCTCACCCTTTATCCATATAGTGCTTTGTTTCCTTTTTACTACTTTGATTTTTCTGGAAATTGGGGTGGCTTGCAGATTTTCCCTACATTCCGTGGCATTCAGAGGCGCAGGTCAAAAGTCCGGGGTTGAGCAGATGTTGTTGGGCGATAGCATGCCTAGCAATGTTTGGACACAACGGAGGTGCATATTACGTGTAGTGGGGGAAATGTGGTGAGCAAGCATTTCGAAGATAGTTTGGTGATGTGATAGGACCAACGTGAAAACTTCTGAAAACATACTCTTCCACGGTTTTATGATGGTTCTGCTGGTCCATGGGTTTTGAACATGCCTTCCTCCCTGATCCTAGACGTCCCCGACAGCGTTATATGAGACGAACATGAAAAAGTTGAATTCACCAGGATGGACTAGTAGGCCCTCTATCGAGGCTGCTAGAGTTCTCAAAGGCAACATCGATGGCCTCCCTTGCAGGTCGAGCACGATGCGACTTAACACACAGGAAGAACTAGTGAACAACCTCGCAACTAAAACGAAACAACAGAAACAGAAGTTACTCCATATAAGAAGCTAGCAGTATGCAATATAAATAGCTCTGGCACGGTCTGCGCAACCGAAACCCTTCGTTGTTGGCGCATTTCCCGCACAAAGGCAGGCGGCTTGACGTTAGTCGCCCTTATCCTTTCCTGAGCTCGAACTCGAAGTATTATATGCGTTCCTCACCCGTCCTCGAATCGGGAATCGCTCGTTCAGCAGCGCTTCTTGCGTTGTTGTTGCGGATGAAGTCGTTGCGCTTGTCGCTGCTCGACCTGCCGTCGGCGTTGATACATCTGATGTGTCCTCCGGCCCTCTCGATGAACTGGAGCCACCATTACCCATCCCGTCAAGCTCAGTATTCGTCTCCAATTCGATCAAGTCACCCATCTTGTCGATGGCGGCACCTCTTTCCCTCTTGACGCCCGCCATCTTCCGCACCCAGCCTTCGATTGCGCCACCGACCTCGCCAAGCCCGGAACTGTTCGACCTAGTACTCCTGGTTGAATCTGTACTTGGGCGTGGCGTTGCCCGCGGTGAGGGTCTGAGAGTGAGCCCCGTGCGAGGTATGTCCGCTGGTGGAAGCAGATCTGGTAGATATTGCGCGAATTGACGGTTGAGCGTGTCTTCTGCAGGTCCAGGGCGCGATGCTTCGGTCCGTAGACCACGCAGGGTCCCGACTCCGCCAGGTCCGCGGAGTGCTTCGACGAAAGAGTTACGTGTTGCGCTAGAAGAGCGCTGTCGGCCTAGGCTTGGTCGAGCGTTCATTCTCGAAGATCGCACAGGCGATGCATTTAGTGACAAGGAAACTTGGGCAGCGTGCGTCGGAGGATGGCGGAGCATGTCAAAGGACGTTTTTGGCGTAGAGGTGGCCGATGCCACGGTGGTCGTAGCGTTTGATTTCCGCCTCGTGCGAGGGAAGTATCCCAAGGCGCGTCGAGGGACGCGCAGTATTTCGACGGGATCTTTGATACCAGGGAGCACGACCCAAGAGTCATGCTTAAAGTCGATTTCTTCGGACGAAGAGGTTATTAGAGACAAAGGTTCTGAGGCGAATACGGAGGGCGCCGTGGAATTTGTTAGGCCTTCTGGCGGTAATGAATCGCTTCCTTGAGAGGTCGAGCTTGTCCGAGTCGTCAAATTATCCAGCCTAGAATCAAACAAATCGTTCGTAAGATATGGACTGTCCACTTTCTTGCCCCTTGCTGCACATCCTTCAAGCGGTACGAGAACATGTGTTCTTGTCTGGATGTTGTCGTTCGGCCAGAATCTGTTAATCTTCCGAAAAGGATCAGCTTGACAATTATACTTGATGATAACGCCAGCTAGAGTGTCCCCCTTCTGGACTTCATGAAGGTAAACAAGAGCGTCTTCCGCCGAATCAGTCGGTGTAGATCTAGACGCCCCTGCGTCCGAGTCCCTCCTCTTATACCTTCCCAGGCTGTCGCGGTTTTCTGATGCGCTTGGTAGCAGCAAGGCTTCTCTTTTCTTCGCTTGTACCATGGCCTTCCTCTCCTCGATGGCTTCCTGCACAGCGCTGGACGGGGCCTCGTGGCTGGGACCCCATTTTTGCGTAGAGACCTTGGTTCCGTATGATTTGTCTTGTTTCATCCATAGAGGTTTCTTCGTAGCACCGTTAGCTCTCGACCCAGAGGACCGCTGGGTCTCGTTTCCCAACAAGGTCGAGGCCAACCCTTGTATCGAGGACCATGGCTCCCATATCCCTTGTCCTCCTGCGGATAAGGTCTGCGATCCTGAAGAGGACCTCGTATGTGTATTGTTGAAGCGAGCATTTCGGGACTGTTCTGTAGACTTTGAGCGGCTCACCGAGGCATTTGGATTGGGAGAGGCGCCTCTGCTTGGTAAACGTGGTGGGGTGGAGGAGGAGGATGTAGAGATAGCGGCGATGTCGTTCGAATCATCGTCAAGGTATGAAATCAATCGAGGGGCGCGAGGCCGTAGGGTCGAAGTGCTACTGCTTGCAGATTGGTAAAGGCCGGTCTGAGAGTTGTTGTTCATGGCTGCTGGCCTTTATGCCAACACGAGGCGTGGGAGACTGACGACATGGGAGCGAGGTGCCCGGATCTGGAGGCAGTCGACTGGGTCTTCCTGCATGTAAGGCTCCTGATCCGTGCCTGTGTGAAGTATAGAAGTCCAGCCTTGGAAAATGGTCTAGAGGAGGCAGTGTTGGAAGAGTTGAGATGTGGGAGATGATCGGTCTCCAGGAGGTCTTCACAGTATGGTTGAGCCAGGAGGAAAGCGGTGCGTGGGTACGACTACAAGGTAGGGGGTCACGTAGAGGTGGGTAGCGCTCCAAGCGGCATTGCTCGCCTTGGGGTTTGTACGAGTAGGTAGGTAGGCTTGCGGAGCATCCTCAGCGACAATACAATCCGCCCATTTACTCTCACGTGCCAGTCCCGGTCTCGATGCCTCGCATGTCCCCAGGAGCCAGACTATGAGTGAAACGCGAGATACTAATTCCAGCACGAGTACGGAGTATAGATGCTTCAATCGCTTGGTAGTCTTACATACCTTAGCCATGCTGAACTTTCTCTTGGGGCCGTATATGCCCTGGAGGGACTCATGGCACGGTTATTGTACTAAGAGGTTGACATCCTGACACTTGCGAGACAGGTGTCCATAATCCCCTTTTTCAAAGAGTCGGACTGACGCAAGCCGTCCCTATGATATAAATGGTACGTGGTGAACGCAGGCGATGGTTGAACCTCCAGCGGACTGGGGTTGTCAGAAATTTCTCGCGCGACACCCTCCGTGATCAAGTTCCATCCATGTTCATCCCAGCCATCTCGCCATTAATGCCAAAGAACTGGAACCAGTCCTCAACATTCAAAGTAGTCGGCGCCACTGGAGCATTACCAATCGAGCTAGTTGACCATCCATCGCTGTCGTGCATCTCCATCCCAGCGCCCATCATGCCTTGCATTCCAGGCGGCCATACTTGGGCCTGTCCTGCCATGTCAATCTGCGGCATTTGCTGGCCTGTCATGGGGTGTTGCATTTGTAGTTGAGGATCGACAGCGTGGTTCAGGACAGGACTAGTGAAATTCGTCACATCTCCGATAGTCCCGTCAGGGAAGAGCTGATCAGGTTGAAAATTCTCCCATAACTGCTGTGAGATATTTGGCGAGTCTCTGGTAACCAAAAATAAGTCTGGCGGTGTCGCCGGTATGGAATACCCATTGAAGGGCGAGTTGGCTCTGGTGGGACCTCGCGAAGGTATCCGAGAAGCTCCACGAGATCTTGATGCCGGTAAGTGGTCAGCCGGCAGCGGAGGGGAGCCGAGGAAGTTGTGCTGATGCTGGTGTTGAGGGACTTCTCGAGAAGGTGTAACAGCAGGAGTCTGTGGTCGCGACCGCTCATATGACATCTGCGGAGCTGGAGGGCCGACATTAAATCCCAAGTCAATGTCATCAAATTTGCGCTTCGCTGGATTTGTGGGTGGCATTGGTGCATGTGCAGGAGCAGTGTGGGCTGTACCGTTGGCGTTGCCATTTGGCTGGCCTGGAGCACCAGCACCTTGGTTCGTTTTGGCTCGTTGAGCTTTCTTGCCCGTCGCTTTCTGCAACCTCTCCTCCAACACCTTGTTTCCAAGGATGGATTCGAACAGGGTGTGCACCATCTTGGCCACTAACCACACCTTGGACACCTCCTTTAGCGCATTCATGCATACGTTGATTCGTTCCTGGCTGGCCGCCACGACTGAAGGCACTGAGGAGCGCATCTGGTAGACGTGCATAATCAGCGCCGAGAACAGACTGTAAACACTAGACAGAGCGTCAGCAATTTCCAGACACAAAGAGAAATTCACTCACATAAATGCAGGCGTGTACTTGACTTGGTCGTGAGCAAGGAGGTTCTCCATTATGGAAGTAATCATGCCAGCGGCCTGGAATGCTATTGTTCTCGAAGGATATGACATGTCGACATTCTCATAGTCGTGCGGTTTTGCTGTGGCAGGCGGCATATGAGCACGATGTAAGAGACATAGTGTGGTGCTGCAAAAGCGATCAGTCTTAGGCCACAAGTAAGGGATACGCACTCACTAGTAGTTGGAATGAAGTAAGGCAGACCAAAAATGATGGCGCGACCGTTCCCAGTATACCTCCCGAGGACAATTCTGCAACCAATCTGCCAATGCCATGTCGCTATGTGTAAGGTCTATGGCATTGGTCCTTCGAGCCTTGGATGCGACCGAGTATTGCTGCGAAAGCACGAGACCCATAATCTCGCAGAGCTTGACATATTGTAGGAAAAATTGGACGTGAACAGGATCCGGGTGATAGTCACTGTTTGGATCCCCTTCGTCCTCAATGAAGTCGTCTTCAGTAATCATTTCGACATCCGAATCGTCGGTGTTGATCGAGACAGGGCGACCTAGCGCGACAGCAACAGACCGATCCCTTGTGAAAAGAGACCACCATACTCTCTTCCACAGTCTCTTGTCTTGTCGGCTTAGTTGCGAGCTCTCAACACTGAAGAGCTTGTCAGCAAACGTTCTTTCCAGACTGGTGGCTGCACGCACCTCCGATGCATACCAGCACCTTGAGCGACCACAATAGCCACCCTGGTCCAGTAAAAGACATTTTTCGTCACATCTGCCGCAATGTTAGACCGAGCATAGTCGGCAAAGTCGATTGACTCCCGGCCCTTACCTTCGGGGCCCTCCCAGTACCAGCCCATCAATATCAAAGCTTGGACTATGGTGATGCGATCATCTTCATAGTTGGCGTCGTATAGTGCTTTAGCACGCTTGTAGAAGGTCATTGCTGCAGGCGTTGTCGAGCCAGTGGCGTCCATCAGTTGTGGGTTTGTACACACCCGTGAGCCAGCCAGCAAGATTGCCTGAAGAAGCAGCAACGACGGCGGATTTTTGGTGTCTTTATACCTCTTCATGAATCGTGTTTTATTGATGACTGGCACAATGGGATGGACCCAGCGAAAGTAGGCATCAACAAGTTCGTCACACAGCGCTCGAGGAGGGAGTAAAAAGGCGCCTCTCTGTTGCAGGATCTCGATCTCCATTTGGTCTGGTTCCGTCAAGCGTGCACGCGCACCCCTGATGTTCTCCGGGAGAGGATAGTGGACTACATCGGTGGTGCCGTGCCGATCGTGAACGAGCAGTGACAGATTCGAGGATTCTCCCAGGTAAGCGACTCGCCCAGCTTCCTTGATCGGTGCGCGAGCAAACTTAGGCTTCATGAATTGGGCCATGGTACCGTTATTGGCGGCTTGTTGGGCGGCTTGCGCCTCCGACATTTGCGTCGAGGGGATGCCATCTGGAGAATTGAAGCCGGCGGTCGGCCTCGGTTGTGGAGGGCGTGTTAGACGGGGATCTGTGGGAGTAGGCGGTTGCTGGGAGTCGCCAGTCTCACTGTGATGCTCGCTCGAATTAGCTTCTCCCAAACCCAGATATTCAGATGGTAACGTCTTGATACACATTATAGAAATCGGTTGGATCATACCTTTCTTCATCTTTTGCTCGCGACGTACCGGCCCTCTTCCTTTTGGGAACAGGGATCCGGCATTCGATGGAAAATGCTACACAGTTGGTGCAAGGGACACTACACATGGTCAGCAAAACCATCCCTTTTGAAAACTGTTCATGCCTCACCCTAGAGAAGCCGCATCACATCGGACCTATTAGGTGGCCCGGGTTAGTATCAATGACTGCCTCTCCAGCAGGGTCAAGCGATACGCGACATACTTTACGTGCATGACATGTTTCTGCAGGCTGGTGCGTTAGCGAATTCTTCGAAGACAAAAACTAACAACGACTCGTGATAAGGCTTATAGGCATGTTGGGATATGGACATGGTATGCCGCAGTCTCCTTCGTCAAAGGAGCCAGCTGCTTGGACCGAGGTTCTCGGTATGTCGCGTCCACCCAACGAACAGGACTGATAAATCGACGTTGTTCGCGACCGCACTTCTAGCATCTGTGCGGATTGGCAAGCAGCAGCGATATCAATCCGGCAAGTTGTCTAATCCACCTCTTCCGTATGTTCCGCCTTTGCTACGATATGAGGGTTGAACGGAAAGTTGAAGAGCTTACCACACGCTCGAGATGCGCGCTGCCTGTTTCCCAAGTTAGAGAAGACCAAATGGCACCGATCTAGGAAGACGAAATACCTTCTGAAACTGGGATGCCCAGGAGTTTGATTTGCAGGAGCCTTGTTCGTTGCTGGTTGTTCGTTTCCAGATTGCGACTGTGCTGGAGCGGAAGTGGCCTGCGATTCAGATTGTGGGCTTGGATCAGCCATAACTGCGACTGAAAATGCGTCTAGGTGGAGGAGTTAGGGACAGAGGTGGTTTCTGGCCTCCGAGCAAAACAAAATCGCATCGCCGCAATGGCACATGGACGTGGTTCGGCGACGAGGAATCTTTCAGAACGGGAGAAAAGATGCTCTGTTCCGGGGTCGATGCAGCAGGCGGTGATGAGACTTTGGAGCAGCAAACTGCGTCTTAGCAGGAGTGGTGTGGCTCCGTACCTCAAGGAATAAGCAATGGTTCTGGAGGCAGGAAGGCTAGCAACGCCTAACTCAGGCTAGCAACCAGGCTACCAATTGGCGGCAATCCGCCTAAGACTGTGGGGGGTCTCGAAAAGTCTGGGGACAACGTTACGCCCATCATGCGCTGATCTCACGGAGCAAGCACTTTTTGAAAGCCATGCCCCGATTCTGCAAGGCCTCCGGTCGATTTTCGAAGTATCCCTTGTTCTTCTTGCAACCTAGGCGTGCCTAGGCTCGTCTCCTGGTATCAGATAAGCATGTGCCATTTTCTTCCTTCCGGTTCAAATAAAGATTGTCAGAATCGACAGACCGCATGAAGCCTGCTGTGCAGGTGCATAATCCCCATGAGCCTACATAGTATTTATACCACACAGTTAAGTATATATGGGTGCTATCGCTGAATTTCCTCCACAGCTTCTTCCATGTCCGAATCAGCGCCTGGCGAAGATGACGCCGTGCTCCATTCCCCATCTTCCTTCCCTTGTTTTACACCCTTAGCAGACTTGGATGTAGCTGTACCAGAGAAAAAGTCCGATGTTCGAAGGCCCCGAACCTCTCCAGCCTTCATGTTCTCCATCCTCAGCCCGTTCTCTCTTTGACGCTGGATCATTTCACGAACGGGATTCATGGCGGCCTCCCGACAAGCTTCTTTGATGTCGCTTCCAGACATGCCAGCCATTACTCTCGATAGATATTCCAGGTCAAGCTGCGCTCTGTCTACCTTGGTATCTTTAAGGATGATCTTGAGGATCTTCAATCGCTGTGAAGTATTCGGCAAAGAAATTGGGAACTTTTTCGGCATACGTCGCAGAATTGCATCGTCGATATCCTGCATACGGTTCGTTGCTCCGAGAACCAGTATGCGCTGAGGGCGTCCCGACGAATTGGCCGAAGCCAATCCGTCCCAGTGAGTCATGAATTCTGCCTTCACCATGCCACTTGCTTCGTGTTCGCCACTATGGCGCGTACCTAAAACTGCATCAATCTCGTCAATGAAGACAATGGCTGGCTCCAACTTGCGAGCCAGAGAGAAGACCGCATTGACGAGCTTGTTTGAATCGCCAAACCATTTTTCAGTCAAGGTCGAGATGTGTAGATTGATAAAACATGCACCGCTTTCGTGAGCCAATGCTTTGGCAAGCATGGTTTTGCCACACCCAGGCTGCCCGTACAGTAGTACCCCGGAAGGCGCCGAGAGTAATGAAGAAGATGTTGAGTAGAGATCCGGCATAGTCAAGGGGTATATCACCGACTCCTTCAGTTCTTCTATGATGTCCGACATGCCTCCGATATCCTCGAATGTGACGCGTATATCTTCAGGAAAGACCAAATCTTGTAGGATGGCTTGTTCATACTGCGACAATGCGAGTTGTTCTCTCAGTGGTATTTGAGGATCTTGAGATAGAATGGCTTTCGTGGTCTGTGGTTCATCGAGTCTGCGCAGGATCGCCTCTGACTGTAGCCGGGTGCGCTCTTTCGCATCCGCTTCCGGATCAAGGTTCATCTGCTTCAGTACATATTTGACAAGATAGAAGCCTCCGATAGCCTGTTACCATTAGACAACACGAATAAAAGCGCGGGCCTTACTGACCATAGGAGCTGCAATGAGGAGCTCCTGTAGTACGCGATGCCACCAGACATGCCCGCCTCTGTCGGGAGACATCTTTATGATGCTTTGGGCAGGATTCCTTCAGTTGAGCCCATGGGGGTTTGGGAGTGGAAATGAAATGTTTGGAAGGCCTCCGCTGGAGACAGATGATATTGCGTATGATATCAAAGAGGCTGCATGCGCCACGACCGCTCGCCACGAACGCCACTTCAGGCTAGTCCATTCCAGGCTTTGTTTACTCCGAACATTTGTTTGGGGAGTTTATCAATGACACTCGCAACCAATTCAAGCCTCTTAACTGACACTGTTGCCATTGTCTACGCGTCACAATGAAGGGAATAGCCGATCTGTTGGACTCAGACATGGAAGAGTCAGCCAATTCTATCGATGAGAATTCCATTCTCTCTTCCGTCTCGGACGCGACTACCACGAAGGATACTCAAGCAAAGAAAGGCCGGAAGCGACATAGAGTGACAATGCCTGCCAAATCAAAGTCGAAGACAACAGTTTCGCAGAGCAAGAAGGCGATCTCGAAGCAGACCGTCCCGGCGAAGCGCAAAGCAGCAGACGAGGAGGTCAACAGCCGCGATCTCCGTCTGGGGAACGACGCGCAGTGGTCCGAAACGGAGCAGCAAACTTCGGAACCCAAGCCTATGAAACGCGTCCGCGGCCCTAGCAAAACGAAACCCGTCAAGCAAGCGAACGTGATCCGGACGCAGGATGTCGCAGAAGAAGATGTTATGGACATGGAACAGCCAGCGACCGAAGCAGCGCGCCCGATGCAAGCCTCGAGTGGAGACAACTCTGAGCCCGTCAAGGCTAGAAAGAAGGCTGCGCCTGCTAGGAAACCCAAAGTCGTGCAAGAACTTCAGACACTCGTATCCGAAATACGAAAAGAGACAACTGAAGAGGAAGAAGAAAATACCGAACCACTGTTGACAGAGAAGGTATCAAAATCAAATGTCGCACCTCGCAATGTTTCACGACCACGACCGGAACCAACCTACAGGCGTCGAGCAGGGAGCGCATCAGACACGGAAAGAGCAGACCCAAGTCTGCGGCGCAAGCTAGGTGATGTCACTCGCAAGTTCGAGAATGTCGATTTGAAATACCGTAACCTGAAGGAAGTCGGGATTCATGAAGCAAACACCAACATGGAAAAGCTTCGCAGACAATGTGACGCGACAATGCAGGCGTCCAATGATCTGATCGCGTCGCTCAAGAAAGAGCTTGCAGCACAAGCACCACTTGTTCAAGAAGCCCGAAGGCTGAAGAAGCAGATGCAGAGCCAGGAGGTGGAAGTCAGCAGGATGCGGGACGTCGTAACAGAACTCGAGAGTTCCCTCACTACAGCCCAGAACGAAATCAAGGGTCTGCAAGCTAAGCTAGCAGCTGCACGAGCACCATCGGTTGACACTGCGGCATCGAAGCCTCCAGGAAGCGCCATTAAAGGAAAGTCACAGCGGCCTGTTGTAATGGGCAGTGCTGAAGCTGCACAAGCCGCTCAATGTGCTCAGATGAAGGAGGATCTTTACAGTGACTTGACTGGTCTCATCATCCGTAGTGTCAAGAAGACCGATGAAGGTGATACCTACGATTGCATCCAGACGGGACGAAACGGCAGTAAGTAGGAGCACATTTGCGCGAGATCCCTGCTGACGAGTTCTTAGCACTGCATTTCAAACTTTTCGTCGATCAGGAAGATGCCAGAAACGCCAGCTTCGAAGAGACGGAGTTTCTCTACACGCCTCTATTGGACGCGAACAGAGATCGCGATATGATAGAGCACATGCCGAGTTATTTGATCGAGGACATCACGTTTGCACGGCAAAATGCCGCCAAATTCTACGGACGAGTCGTAGACACCTTGACGAAGAAACGAGCAGAAGAATGAAGGGTGTCTTCTGGACCAGTGCTTTGTGATATCTTTTTGAGCATTGCGTTGGACAGATCAAGGGGGATATCTCGAGCTGACAATGCTCGCCCATGGAAGGCGTGGTGCTTGCATCTGCGGCGCATGAAGGCTGGGATAATCGAGGCTTGTCAAGGTCTGGGAGCGTTGTTGGACCCCTCATGTTGGCCCATGTCAGTGATTCCCATTCTGGCGTATCGGCAAGCGAAGGAAAGGCTGATTGATGAAGTCAGGCGTTCGATGGAAATCCAACCAAGATACGAATACTCGTAGAAGGTGTTGAAACGCGTCGCGGATTCTCCTCAATGCAGCTTATCCTTATCGCTACCCCTCAATCATCTCTCCTTCCTAGTTGTACTGCCGCGACTGTACATCAACTCCGCCTCCTAGTAGATCGGGTCATCTACTACTTCACCTTCAGATTCATTCATTTTCCTGCTTGGATACGGGGGAGTCTGGATGACCATTGCTCTGTGGCCCTTTGCCATGCGGTGAGGTGATCTACCCATAGTTTGGACGTCGACCCCTTTCATACTCACCATCCCCGCAATACACAGCATGTCAGCCTGCTCTCGATCAATGACACCGCTTTCAGACCCAGCATCTCTCGAACATTGATTCATCACGGAGAGGCTGCGATCGCATCCTACAGGCTTTCACCCAAGTCGAAACGATCTTCTAGAACAATTGCCATATCTTCGGTCCTCCTCATCCTACCTCCATCGGTACAGTCGCTACCCCATTGATTGTCCGCCATGCCACTGCCACCGGTCTGGAATGGCCGCTTCGGCACTAACCCTGGTAAAACGACCCTTTGGTTGCGAACTTCCATACATCGAGCAAGAAGGACACGTACACACCAAGTACGAAACCTGTGGTGGTGGAGCCGGCACTCGAGCGAACACCCGCTTATGATCGATGACAACCTCGAGGAACGTATGAGAAGGCATCAAAAGATCATGAGGTCCAGATACTCGAAGGCCTTGAAAAGAAAGGCTTTATGGGAGAGAGAAGACAGCCATCACTCGCCATGGGCTGTGCACGGTCGATTCTGGGGGAGTAGGCATTGTGCTTACAAGCCGCAGTCCCCAAATTCTGATAGACCTACACAAGATGAAGAGCACGCGCACAAACTTCATGGTCAAGCTGCTCGCAAGCCCATACACCAAGGCTTTGATTCCTTCAAAGCTGCGGTTGACCATGCCATTTCAGAAGATCCATATGGAACCCTCTTTGGCCGACGTTGGCGTGGCCATCCAACCACCGATCATTCGACATGGGATCCATTCTCCTGGATGTTCAAGTCTGGTGCCATCAAAGAAAACGATGTAACCGCGTCTATGAACTCCTCGTCGCACAAGCCGGCGAGTCCGTCAGATCGGCCGCTATACTCACCTTCAACCGTCGCGGCTCCTCCACAAGAGACTAAAGCAAAGTCCATGCTAGGGTCTGAGACGGAGGCGACCATTGATAGCGAGGAGGATTATGTTTACGACCCGATCTCAATGCGGAAGGTCTCAAAGAAGAGGACCAGCGAAGTATCCGAAGAGAAGAAACCTTTGCTGGATACGCTGTTCTCAGAACATGGGGTTGATATTCCAGTGAAGGCTTTTAAGCCTCGCAAGGTGTATGGCTATGGCACATCTGAAAAGACTACGGCAATCTCGTCCTCTGACACAAGCGTGGCGACTCACAATAAGAGTTCGAGTAGCTCGAGGAAGCAAGAATTGCGCGATCTCATGTCCAGAGCGAAGGGCAACAATATAGATACCACCGCTCAATTCACTGAGCCATATAGCAGTCATGCGGCAGACGAGAAACAGGAAGGGTTGGAAGCTCCAAAGAGAGTTCGTGAGTCTACCGAGCCAGATGACAGCACTCCGTTATTTTCGGGCACTACGTACGAGACCCGTAGTGAGCAACGCAGCAAGCTCGTTACAAAAGATCAAGACTGGCTGGCGAAAGAAGGGTTTCGGACGCAAAACACCGGAATTCAACCCCCAAGAATGGAAGACACATCTAACGACATTCCGGTCAAGAAGTACGCCGGCTTCAGACCACATGTTGACGAAAGCCGTCGGAATGCCAACGAGACCAGCACTGAAATTCCTGTCAAAACGTTCGGCCCCAAACTCGAGCCAGCGCTGGATCGAATACAGATAAATTCCCTCGCAAAGAAGGAAAACAGCAGTATTATGTTTGAAACAGCTCTTGATCGCCGGAACAACACGAACAAGGCAGCAGAGCAGAAGGAAGAAGGCTCAAAACCAGCCAAGGTCTTTAAACCTTCAATTCCGGCAACCGAGGAAGACATGGACCTACTGCGAGCCAGCGATGTGCGTGCGGCCACGCGAACTGCCAGAGTCACGAAGCAGGAGAGTGTTAATCTCAAGAAAGAATCAAGGGGAAAACTCGAGGCCGATTTTGCAGCAGTCCCAAATGACCAGAAGGACGCCGCCAAGGCAGTTCCTGAGGATGCCGGCATTCAAACGAGCAAATTGAGCAAAAGGCTGGACAATGTCTGGGACCACATTCGCGACTATCCAGATGGCATCGTTGCCAAAACACTGAGATCTGTGGGAACTTTCAACTACAACTACGGTACCTATCTTCGACATCTACGCGGAGAAAAGTGGATGGATTTGACTAAGAAGCTTATTTTCAAAGATGACTCCTTGAGCAAAACGCCTTCGATCTATAAAGACAAGCTGCAAACTTCATTGAAACTTCCTACGCCACCACGTGAAACCACAAAGGCTTTGGAAGAGCGTCGTGAACGCACTGCGGCCTTGAGGGAAGCGACAGTCAGGGCAAAGAACGACTCAGAAATAACGAATGCTCAACTCACACGACTCTCTAACGATATCAGAGCCGTGTATGAAAGTGAATATGGTCCGATCGATATCAATCACCGCCAACCTGCACCAGAGACTGAAGTTTTAGAAAATCTCGCAGCATCTGCGACTCCAGATCCTGCACTCAACAAGCAACCGCACCCTCTACTCAGTGCCACTGTGAAGCCAGGGGTCTCCACCAATCCCGTCATTGACAATTATGTGAGCGACTTTGAGCCCAAGTATGCCGAGCTTGTGGACGCGACTAAGGCAGTGAGAAGAGAGCTTCACGAAGCAAAGATGGCAATCCGTGCAATCGAGGCCAGAAGACCAGATAATGTCTGGATTGCTCCAGACGCGACAGGGTCGAATTTTGGCAGGAAGAGAATCGACTTGAAAGCGCAAGAGGTTGCGGAGGTCAAACCCGCGATGTCTGAAACTGGAGATGGTGACCCAGATGAAGTTGCCGAGAAGAAAGCTACGGGTTGTGCACCAAGCGACCAGACGGAGAGGCACACAGTACCAGAACCGGTCTTTACACCTGCAGGCTCGCCCGTTTGGAACGATGAACAGATACCGCCCATTGAAAGCCTGAGAACGAAGCGTTTTGATTCGCCATACCTTATCCTAGCGTACGACTCTTCGACAGAGAAGGTCGAAATCTCGCCAATGAACGAGCCATCAAAGACAGCAAAGAAATCGGCGGATGCCGTGGGCATTCTGGCAAGGCTCAAGCATGCCCCAGAGTTTCTCAAACACTTCACAACGCTCAAAAGAGCAGGTTACGCGCTTTTTAATGGAAGCGAAGACATACTGATTTTCAGGAAACAACAACCAGAACTTGTTGCAGGATCGAAGCCCTTCAGTGGCGCAAGCAGCAGTGATACAAAGGCGGACTGTATGCACTCAAGCAAATCGGCAGCTCCAGTACTGGATGAGGTGAACGGAAAGACAAATCCATCTGGAGCACCAGCACCGCCGTCCCGGCCGTCTGTCAGTAAACAGCCAACCGTCAGGAGGCAAGAGAATGTCTTCTCCGGCACGATTCGGCCTAGTGTGGCAGTGGCGTCTTCTAACACCGAGACCAATGCCCACTCTCCGAAGGAGCAGAATGACACTTTCTGGAAGCGTTTCACAAGTCGACTGAGGCGAACCTTTTTGACCATTGCAGCTCTTGGTGGCGGTGCGTATGTGATTGGGTTTATCGCCGAGGGCATGGGTGCGCAAGCGCAGAAGCAGAACGGAATTGAGGATTCTCAAGCTCAAGGACCCAGAAAGCGAATTGTGATGACTGGTCAGAGACCGGGAATTTTCAGCACAGAGAGCTCAAGGTGACAATGCAGTTCGCGTAAGAATGTTTACGGAGTTATTGAGTGCAGGAGGCATTTTAACATGTCCTTGTAGCGCGCATCGGCAACAAATCTGTATCGTCAGCGGTATTCGTGAAGGATGGTCTCCCCTCGTTGTTAGGTAAGGTAGTTAGCTATGTTATCAGATCCTCTCCTGGCATTGAATATACATACGTCGAACACGTCAGGCGAGAGGTGCATATCTTGCTAGGACAAGTTTTAACCACCTTCCTGTTTGGGAGTGATTGCCACCATAACCAGCTCGAAATATGTTTCTTTGTTGCGACAAGCTGACCCGCAGGACGTACTTTGCTCATAGTGATGTCGGCGCCTCAGCAGCGAAGTGTCCTCATCACAGGGTGCTCTCGGAATGGCTTAGGCTATGCTCTGGCGGTGGCCTTCCACCATGCGGGACTCCGTGTTTTGGCAACGGCGAGAGATCCGGCTCGAATGGTCGGATTGAAGGATCTCGGAATCGAGTGTCTGCGGCTAGATGTCTGCAACGAAGAATCGATCCGTGACTGTGTCGCGCAGGTCAGACAGTTGACGAAGCGCTCTGGAGATGTCGAGGGGAGCCTGGATTGTCTGGTCAATAATGCTGGTGGAGGTATGTCCCGCTTCTTTCACTGCCTTTTTCCGGGAAGGCCCAGGCTGCCAGCAGTTCCCAGCAGATGAGATTGCGTGCCGGTCACTCGATGATTGCACTGCGATAGTCTTCACAAGCTCTTGGGAAAGTGAGACACAAGCATATGCTAGAGACTGACACGGTTTCAATCTACAAGGCTATAATATGCCCATCTCCGACATTTCGGTCCCAGAAGCAAAAGAGCTATTCGATTTGAACGTCTGGTCATACATCAGCGTCACGCAAGCTTTTCTACCAATGCTTCTTTACGCCGCCAAATCTTCACCCAATTCCAGTCCGAGCCTCATTGTCAACAATACGTCGGTCTCGAGCGTCGAGCCTACACCTCACAACTCTGTCTACCATGCTTCAAAAGCCGCCGCGGCGATGTTCAGTACCCACATGCGTATCGAGCTGGAACCTTTCAATGTGCGGGTGGTCGACTTGAAAACCGGCTGCGTGCACTCAAAGTTCCACGCGAATCACCAGGGTGGGAATGCCAATCTGCCGGCGACGTCGATCTACATGCCTATCAAAGACCAGACAGAGAGTGCGATGCGCAATGCGTTTCCTCACCGAGAAGATCCAGAGAAATGGGCAAGGGATGTTGTGAAGGATATTGTGAGGAATTGGGACAGGCCACCTAAGGAAATCTGGAGAGGGACTGGAGCGTGGACGACATGGTTCTCGAACACGTTCCTCCCCGTAGGTTGGTGGGATGCGAGTTGGAGGAAAGCGGTAGGTCTGGATCTGTTAGAGGGGAGGCTGTAGGAGATGTTTGGGAAAGGGCTTGTGGCTTTGATGGGGACCGGGAGTGTCCACACATTGTGGCAATTCCTCTTCTCGTGTCTCTGGACCGGGTGCAGAGGACTTTTCAGATATCAGTACCTTGGTAGCTTTCGAGGTTCCGAGTTGAGCCAGAAGTAGTCGCAGAGCAGGATTACCTTGCGCATAGAGATTGCCCATAGAGGCTTGTCAGAGATCCGGCGGGTGAAACTAAAGGCAAGGACGGGCGGGGGGTATCGCTCATTTTAGGTAAGCAGAGCCTAACACCTCTTTGGAAATGGTGCCCACAAAGTGCCTGGCGAGTGATTATTGCGCCTAGAACAGCAACTGGCGGGGTCAATGGATACCTGGAACTCCCCGTTAGACGCTCGATTCCGGCTCCCCAACGGCGGCATCAGTCACTTTCGCAGTCAAACGACACCATTCCCAATGGACCCAGCTGGACTACCCTCGCGCTTCCATGTCCTTACCTCTGTCCGTTCATTTAGCTAGGTCATGGACCAAAGTCAAGAGCCATCTACGAATGAGCGGCCGCTTCTGGACGGCCACCTCGAGCAAGAACAGCCCAAGAGAAGACGTTTGAATCGACCATTTAGCGCCTGCAATACGTGTCGAAAATTGAAGACCAGGTGCGAGATCGCTTCCAGGGATACCTGCAGAAGATGCGCAGCACTACGGTTCGGCACTACCTCTCCTATCAAGCTTCTTCTGCTAACTCGTGAGGTAGTCTCAAATGCGACCTACCAACACTGGAGCAGGAAGCGGAGTCATCAGAGTCGTCCCTGCCTTTTGGCGTTGAGGCCCGCCTCGCGCGTAACGAGGAGAGCGTCGAAATCCTCACAAAGCTATTGACCACGCTGAGTGCACCGCCGAAGAATGATGAAGGCCGAAGAGCTTCAGCTCTTTCCGAGGTCTCTGGTGCAGACTGGACATCGACTTCTGTCCGCGCGAGTTCATCGTACCAAACCGGAGTGACAAGACCTGTACCTCTGCTAAAGAATCTCCAACAACGTCTCTTCGGACCCAAACGGCGAATTCGGAGATGAAGTCCTCGCAATAGGAAACGTGGTATCAACAGGCATTCTGGGTGCCTCCCTGGCCAACTATCTGATCAGAGTGTAAGCACATTCCACGGTGTCATGCAGAATGTGCTGACAGTTGCAGTTTTCTTCAACGCCTTGGGAAGTGGATAGCTGTCTATTCCGAGAACGACCTTCCAGATGACCTTGAAGAGACTCACCCTCTTCTTTTCAGCGCGGCATGCCTGCTGGCATCACCACATGTGCCAAACGTGAGCAAGGATACGATTCAAAGAAGAGACAATTTAGTCAGGCGCTTGACCGCAAGCACGATTCTGAAAACTCCTGTTCTGAGCCACGAGTCGATCCAGGCGTTACTGCTGCTCAGCATGTCCAGCCCGACAATCCAGACCACCATGCCTATGGATAGCTGGATGTTGAGCGGGACGAGCGTCAATCACGCCGTCTTATCCTTTAACCTAGCAAACCCGGCTTCAGAAGACGATGACGATGCACGATTGCGAAACCTTCGCATCTGGAATGCTTTGTGTCTGACGAATGTCCAGTAAGTCTGCCTGGTATTGTTAAAGTAGCTCGCACTGACGGATATAGGTTCTCTGTCGGTAATGCTCGACCGAGCGTGGTCTCTCAGCGTTTCGTAGACTATTGCTCGCAGATATTGGATTTTCAGACATCAACCATGGCCGATGCAGCATTGTTTGCTGAAGTATTGCTCTACAGCAGGACTGAGAAGATGCTTAACGACGTCCCCATGGTCACTGAGACCCACGTGGTCCCTGTGTACAGAGAGCTCGAAGATTGGCATGCATCCTGGAAACATGTCCTCGGAAGTTGTGGGTTTCTCATTGCCAGCATCAAGCATTCACTAATGATGGCAGTCCCTCCCACATATTCCAAACCAGATTTCAGTTACGACTTCTGCTATCTCCTCCTATATCGGACGGCGTTAAAAGCCAACTCCGACTCAACTCCTGTTCAAGAAGCTATCACTCAGACGACCAGCAAAATCCTGGAACGGTTCCTCAATTTGGACTTCTCGGCTGCTTTAGAAATGCCGGACTTTTTCTTCTTCATCGTCATATACGCAGCTCTCAACTTGTGCAAGTTCGCCGTCGGCCACCATTTGATCGCCGTCACTCAACAATATCTCACGGACATTGCGCCCAATGACGAACATATTGCCTACAGATTCGGCGCCATTATTGGTGAATTGCGACGGGCAGCAGCTGAAGCAGGAGTATCGCTTTCTGACAATATTGAGGCAGAGAAAGCATTCATAGCAGCACAACTTATTGCCACAGAGGACGGGTACACGTGGCAGATGCTCACGACAGGGAACTTGGCTAATCTGGATTTCTGCCTTGATGATATAACTTTCCCTACAGAGGACTTATTGGTTCATGAGCCATGATTTTGGTCCAAATTTTCGACAGACAAGCAGTGATCTTTTCCCATTCCGACACCCGCGCCTAGCGCTATGCCACACCGGAAGAATGCACGCCGACCTCGAACATCTCTGCTGGCCCATGGCTGCTCATACAGCAGCTGGTGTCACTATATATTGGTTGCCTTGAACCGCAAACGGACCCATTCCTGGCACGAGATAGGCTCATATTTCGCTGGATGGTCCTCATCGACGCAACTTGGAAGCACTCCGCACGTCTCATTGAAGTTGAAACGTAGGGTATACAATTAGCATCGGCTTCGCCACTGCTGATCTTGTCATACCAAAGAAAAATGGCATCGAAAAGCGTTCGTTAGTGTTGAAATTCTTTGCACGATGGACAGTCGATACAAAGCGGTCATTGGTGATGCGCATCAGGTAATCTCCGATGTTGAGAAAGGTGCCTTCTATCGGAGTTGCATTCAACCACTGTCCGTCTCGATTCAGAACCTGAAGGCCACCATTCTGGTCCTGCCAGAGCATGGTGAAGAACTGAAGATCCGTATGCGAACCGATGCTGACGGCCTCCTCCTTATCCTCCAGAGCGCTTTGTGGAATCGGAGGGTAATAGTTGAGTGCAATCGCAGCATTAGGGTGCGAGGTCATGGTGTCAAAATGATCTTCGGGCAAGTCCAGGGCGAGAGCAAATGTCCTCACCAGTCGCCGAGCAGTCGAAAGGCAGGCTCGCCAGTACTCAATCACGGCTTCCTTGAAGCCGGGGACATTCGAAGTCTCGTTCCAACAGCACTCCTCTGCGCGGAAACCGTCTTTGATGTTTTGTGGGATAGATTCAACGTCATCGACAGCAGGATCGTAGTAGGGTCATATCGCATGCCGAAACTCTCTCGATAGTCGATACTTTCCACGGCATTGGCTCGGTGAGACTTGGGGCCATTCCAGCCATTGTGCCATTTGGATCCTGACACGCTCACGCGTTCCTTGGTCTCTTGTGGTTGATGGAAGAAAGTCTTAGAAGCCTTCAGAGCCGATGCGATGGTGTCTTGTGGGATTCCATGGTTCTTCATGTAGAAGAACCCAATGGTAGTGGCAGCCTGTCGTATTTGTGCTGCCACAGCTTTCCGATCTTCAATGTCCTTGCTGAATATCCCATTGACATCGATCACGGGGATCTCCTCTCGCGTGGCATTGCGAGGCGGTGTTGTTTTGACGGAACGAAAGACTGGACCGTATGCACTTGTGAGCTGCAGAGTCGTCCATCCCTCGATCTCAGCTGGCTTGCTCTCTTGCACCACGGTAGATGACATTTCTCGGAGTTCAGTGTGTGGTAAAATACTTCCCTTCAAATTTGCAAGACTAATATAATTCAGAAAGAAGTCATGTGTATATGAAACTGTCCTGTCTCGATCAGCTGGCACGACCTACAGAATTCGCAAATTGGGTTTCCCAGGGCACCGTCGGGTCTCCGCTCGGCTTGCCCTTTCACGACGAGCCGCGTGTCCGTTGATACTGTTATCATCTGGGGATGATTTCGAGATATGGTATCAAGAAAATGTATCCACTCACAGCGTCGATCGGGGCAAATGGCACGGACAACCGACGGAGAACCGACATGGTCGCAGCTCCGCCACGAAGATAAAACGTTTGTCTCGAGCAGTCGAATATTGTCATCCTCGACTACAGTCATCATGGACAGAATAGTGCAAGATCGTATAAGGTAGTACATCACCACCTGCGTCTCATGATGCACTCCAGAACCAGGAAGCATACCGATCGCGCTGCTTTCAGAACCACACCTAGACCATGGGCTCGGTGTCATTCCTCAGTCGCCTCGTGAAGCGAATCGAAACGAAGGAGTACCGCAATGCTGAAGCAGAGAATGGCCATCAATGGCTCGACAACAATGATCTGCGACCCGTCCCCATTGCCGACCGAACATTTGGCTGGAAATCGTACTTTTGGTTTTGGCTCTCGGCGAACGCCACTCCGGCCTCATCCTATGGTGTCTCAGCGGCACTGGCAGCTGGGTTGAGCGTCTGGGAAGCACTCGCATGTCAGCTGGGTGGACAGAGTAAGGTAGTCATGCTCCATCGAATGCGCTATTGCTGACCAACGGCTATAGTCATGATTGCAACCGTCTTTGTATTCAACGGAAGAGCTGGTGCTGCATACCATATCCCTTATCCGACCATTGCACGAGCGTCGTTTGGCATCTGGCGCGCCTACTGGCCGGTCGTGAATCGGGTGGTTATGACGCTTGTTTGGACTGGTGTGAACGCCGTCCAAGGGGGTCAATGCGCCTACGTGATGCTTCATGCCCTCTTCCCTTCCATTGCCAGGATCCCGGATGTCTTCCCTGATGGCGCTTCGGCCTTGAATTCGGGAGGCATGATCGGTTTCTTCCTCTCCTGGTAAGAACATAGGCTTGTGATAGGGACGATTTCTCTGACAGCCTGCAGGATCTTGACGACCAGCCTGCTTCCTATCAAAATTCCAAATTTGAGACCCTACATGTACACCAAGCTTGGCATATTCTTCCTCTGCTCAATTTTTCTGCTCGGGTGGGCTCTTGCCGAGGCAGGAGGTATTGGTCCTGTCGCTCGACAAGGCTCGACTGTCCACGGTTCCACCAAGTCATGGACCGTTGCTCGATACGTCTTCATCTACTGTGCCAATGGTGCAACCTACGCAACGAATGCGTCCGACTTCTTGAGGTGAGCGCAACCCAATGTTTCTGGGAGCACCAAATATTCCGCGGTTCAAGCCAGTTTTGCTAATGTGGTACTAGATATGCTAAGAAGCTTAAGGATGCATTCTGGCCACAATTAGTTGGGTTTCCTCTGTCAACGTTCCTGGTCGGTATCATTGGCAACTTGATCGTGTCCAGCTCGGTCATCACTTTCGGCGAGGTATGGCTCAAAGTCATACACCTTCATATATACCTGCTAATTGATCTTCCCAGTTAATTTGGAACCCCATAGATTTCGTGGACGCTCTGTTAGAGAAGCGCTACAACTCCGCGACGCGCGCAGGTATCTTCTTCCTTGCCCTCGGATTCCTCTACGCTTCGATCATCTCGTCTATCTTTGAGAATTCGATCCCCGCTGGTAACGACCTTGCCGCCCTGTGGCCACGGTTCATCACCATCCGACGAGGCTTCTACATCGCAGCCATCATATCCTATGCCATGTGCCCCTGGTACATCCTTGGCTCAGCATCGAGCTTTGTTGCGTGGTTGGCCTCGTACCAGTATGTGCTGCCAGGAACATCTTCCCGGGTGTCTCAGGCTAATATGGTGTCACAGGATCTTCTTGTCATCTATCACCGGCGTCATGCTTTGCCATTACTTAATCGTCTTGCGTGGATACCTGAAGATCTCCGATATGTTCACCCCGGCGCACAGTGGCCTCTACTACTATTGCCGAGGTTGGAACTACAGAGCGTACGTCGCTTACCTCGTGGGAATTGTAAGTTTTTCAAATCTCTCACCAAAATCCTTTGTCGTCGCATTTCGACACGGATATTACGCCTTATGCCCTTGTCTAGCTACACTGGTAACAGCTTTTCTGACGACTTCTACAGGTTCCCAACTTCTATGGCTTCTTGGGCGTCTTTGGTGTCCGCGTCACACAGCCGGCGACGAGAATGTACTATTTTGCCTACCCCATGGGATTAGCGCTGAGTTTTGGAACATACTGGGCGCTTAATAAGTTGGATCCGCCCATCTGCTCGAATATGGGGCAGATGTTCCATGAGGTCGGGTCTGAAGCCGAGGATGCGGTCATTGAGTCGGAGACTGTGGCAGTGGATATGGATGTAGTTTTGAGAACAAGCAAGGGTGGGATGGTTTGGATGCCAGTGAAAAAGACGCTGTTCTTGTGTAGTATTGTATACCTGGTACCTGGGCATGCGAATGAGATGAGGTGGGGTTCAAGGTGACCCCAGGCTACATCATGGGTGTTTTCTATGAAGGTTTTGTCGTATACGGGAGCTGGTAGCCGCTACTGGTTCGATAGAAGCCATTCGCGACAGAAAGCATCTGGATAATTAAGGCTCTGCTCGTGGTTTGAATAGAAACAGGGTGATCGCTATGGGACGGATCAAAGGCTGGGAAGCGGCTGTTCGGTGTTGGTAGGATGTCGGGAATGGACTTCTGGACGAAGCCTTGGGCAGCGGATCATCGAATTCAATAACAAGAGACGACACCTGTTTAGGGGTGGGAGGGTACCGTTGACAGTGACATCGCAAGGGGGACGCTTCGCGATATGCCAAGCTCCTATGGTGAAGACTGGGGGAGTACAGTACCAGTGAATGATGTTAGACGGTGACATTGGCGGAGGGGCCTCTTCGCGATATGCTAAGCCTCTGCTAGTGAAAATATTGAGCCTAGAGTGACCGTCACTCATAAAGGGTGTTGGACCTGAAGTCTTCCCATATGCCATTTCTCACAGAAACAAAGAGCGTTGTGTGCTGTGCAAGTGACCCACGAAATTGGCCATTAACATCATAACAGTTTCCAAAAGCATGCTCACGGGCATACTCTAGTTGAGTACAAATCCCATATTCAACCAGTCCATCCATCCATGTGCGCCAGCATCATAACGCCATGCTTGGAAACATATGTCAATCGCCAATGAAGACTTTGCCGACCGTCGTTAGTATCTGTGCCAGTGTCGACACGAAAAACAGCAATAAGAGTCTATCACCAGAAGCCCGACTGTTGAGAGCAACGCTGGACAGAAACCCCGGCCATCAACGCCTCTAAACCTTTCTTTTCTGGGGGATTCAACTGCCCTCGATCTTGGTCATTAGATTCTTGCGCATGTTAGCATTAACGACGCCGCCGACGCCGAATGCAGGCTGGTTGTGTGGGTTAGCCAAAATGGAGACTTGAAATAGACGGGAAGCAGCATGGTCTTACGATGATCCTGCCCATTCTAGCAAGAGCGCTGACACCCCAGTCCCTCAGAATGCGAGGATATCGCTCAGCGAAACCCAGGCGCCCTTGTCTGTTGTACAAGTCCAAACCGAGAAGATGAATCGGCGTGGAAATCATCTGTATCGCTGCAGGAGCCAGGAATTGTGCGGTGTTCGCTCGTCCAGATTCGGTGCTGAGGATTCTCGAGAATCGTGATGTTATGGCGGAAGGAAGGCTGGCCAGCTGTGGTGCGATGATGGGAGGGAGGTTGAAAGAAGCGAATATCGTCATGCTGTCTCGGATGGCGAACAACGCATATGATAGCCTGGGTACCACGGCTGCGGGAGACGACGACGGCGCGCCGAACATACGCGCGAAACACGAGTCTTTATACACACACAGACTCATGTTCACGGACGATATTGCGAAGAATTTTGTGGGTCCAGAGGAGACGGAGGATGCTTGTTTGCAGGTCAGAGTCGACGTGAGAGTGTCAACCGTGTTGGCGGTCATGTACGTCGAGAAGTACAGGCCGAAGATCAGAAGGAAGGGCCTAGAGAAGAGGAACGCATGCGGGCGAGTAATGGCCGGACGCAGCGAGCGCAGAAGGCATGATGAAAGGGATGCGCCTTTGGCGACTTTTTCAACTATCGAACTGGATGTATCTCAGTATTTGGTTCGCTACGACAGACGACGTCGATATTTGAGATGAAAGGATTTTTCTTGTTCAGGACACCATACGGAGTATATACGGGGCCAAAAGGCATTGTAGGTGTTTCTCGAATCTCTAACATACCGGTCTATTACGCATATCACTGGTGCTATTAAAGCCGACGCGCTCGCGGCAGATGTAAGGTCCGCACCTAGTCTCAAGCCTAGGCTGGCGGTGTTCCACTGTAGCAGCTTTTCTGGTTCGATTGAGGGTTTCCGTAGGGTGGATAGAGGGATGTGAGGTCGAGTTAGGGTGGCAACCGCCGTGGAAGGGTTCAAGGTCTTCGGAGAGTCGTTGTCTCTGCCGCTGTCGAGCGCAGGCATGGTAGCAGGATCTCACACGAGCAGTACATCGAAGTACTCCCGGCTGGTTGGTTGGTGAGGGACGGCGAGAAACGAAAATTAGCCTTGTCTAGAACACCAAGTACATTACTCCCATGAGGACTCGTCGGTGACTAGAGGATGCTGTAGGGTATGATGACAAAGGGCGTACCGGAGATAGGTGCCCTGGGAAGACCTACACAGTAGACTGTAGTGACTGTTGAAGTTGGACAAAGTTTACTTCGGAGGGTAATGCACCGAGTCCGATGTCGGCGGAAGCTTCTGCCGTTGAAGCCGATAAGCGATAACGAGTCTACGCTGGCTCCTTGTGCTCTTGACCTCTTGCCAGCCCCTTTATCTCCTTCATTGTCCCAGGTTCTGACTGTGCACCTTGTCACAAGGCCGGTATCCTTCATGGAGTTGAGACTGTCACGATGCTCGGCGGCCGCCGTTGAAAGCCGTCAAGGAGAGTGTTTTGCGCAACAGACAGGATGACACTTGGCTCCGCCGATACCCGTGCTTACAGGTGAAAGACATGGCTGAAACCATGTAAGTTCTGCCTACCCCAGTCGGATTGACCTTGTTCTTGCGGAACTGTGTCAAGGCTAGCATTGGGAAAGGATACTCCAACTGGGCAGTTACGCAAATCCAGGCAAGAACGTGGAGAGACGGCAACAACGAGGAGTTGAGGGCTTCTGCCTGGCGAAAAGGGACGAGACCTGGCAGTGCCGGTCGAGGTGGACAGGCCCGTCATGGTATTTGCGGTGGCCATGATGGCAGTGGTGGTACTCATGGTGGCATGTGGCATGGACATGCCGTCGACTGAAGGGCTGACGATCAGTGCTGATTAGGTACAAGCTGCTGTTTCATGCGCTTTGTAACTCAGAGCATGCAACTGGGAGTACCTGGAGATCCAGAAGACTCCAGTTGTATGAATATCATTGATGAGAAGCGAATTGGACATGTACAGTTACTTCCCAAGACGAGTGGCGGGCTAATGAAACAGGACGAGCTAGAGACCGCTTTTTTATCCTTTGACGCTCTATAATTCCTTCCTTTCTTTCAGTAGTTTTACTTCGGCCTTGATGGCATCTTGTCTGCCAATGGCATGCCTGTCTCCCACGGCTCTTTCTCCACCAATAGCACGGAACGCCTGGTAGAAGGTCCATTCTACAGCCTCCTCCACAGGCTTGTCGAACAAATACGGAAGTGCCGGGACGGCTGCTAAACCGAGCTACAACTCCGTCAGTATATGGCAACAGTTTCTTGATCTCTGACTTACCCCAATTGGACCCCATGTCCTTACTTTGACATTCTGGACGTTCTTCATAGCCTTCCCCGAGTACTTGACGATACTGTGAATCGTGAACGCAGGCAGACCCATCGACGCAAGACTCTGGAACACCGCCCTCTGCGCCATGACACTCCGGTAGTCCTCGATGGCAGGTATATGCACCGGTTGCCGCGTTAACTGCTGCGCCGCCTCTGATTTCTGGCTTGCATCGCGATACTCGTCACCGTCAGGGTGTAACCGCTTCTGGTTTCTTTTGTAGGCCCTCCAACCTTCGTTGCCGACGTCGCCGAGAATATATGCCCACGAGATGCCGTACGCGCCTCTGACGAGCCAAGGGTGTGCGACAGGCCGGAAGGACTCGCCTATGTCGGAGGTGTAGGCAACGTATCGGTGGGCACTGAGCATGATGGTGCGCAGCCGGTTTGCATACGCAGCGTACCGCATGCTGGTGTCTGTAGTGTCGGGCGTGGCGCCTTCGTAGAGGTCATCCATCCAGTCATCTTGACTGTGTCTGTCGACAATTTTCTGAAGTTCCTTGGGGAGGCTTTCGCGGGGGAACGCGCCGTTGGGAACGCGAGACGAGTCGTCGGAATTGCTGTTGCGACCCGACATGATGTGTAGGGCGGGAGCTATGCGAAGCTGTCTGCGACGAAGGATGGAGACTTACATTCGCTGTGTCGCATGGGCAGTAGGAATCGCGAGGCGTAGGCAGGAATATTGCCTCACAGCTAGCTAAGCCCCCCGGGGAGCCTCGGCGGTTTGCGTCCGGGGACCGTGACGAAACAAAAAAGACCCAGAGAAAATCCGCCCCGGTCCGTGTTCGCTTGCGTGGGATGCTGAAGTGATCCGCCACTATTACGTCTGAGCGACTCATGCTCTACCGTAAATCACGTGCAGCTTCAGAAGCTGCGCCGTGAGGTGGAAGTCGCAGTTTGCAATTCAATAGGAACATCTGAGCAACCCTACGCGCATACCATTATTTCTACCGCCACGTCCAACTTCTTGTCACTCCAATACCTTCAAGATGGTTGCTATGTACAATATTGCCGGTCGGCAGGTCGGCTCTCACTGGGTACGTCGACTTCTCGAGATACCTGTGCCATTCAACTCCGCAGGGAAACGTATTGTGGAAGCCAAACATGTAGCTGACGATATCTAGCTGGCCATGGCCACGCTTGGTGCAGCTTTTGGTATCCCTTGGGCCATGACAAGAGGCGGCAGCTCAAAGAAGTCGACGACACCTCCGATCAACGCTTCAAGCAAGGACGAGGAGAAGTTCATTCAGTAAGAGACCGGAACACTCTACCTGGGATTACGCACCCTCCCTAACCCTTTTTGTAGAGAGTTTTTGCAACAAGTCGAGCAAGAAGACAAGGCAAACAAAGTCTCAGGGAAGGAAGCGCACTAGACTATTGACGGTTGTTCCAAGATTGGAAGATGGCTGGTCCTGCACATCGCGATTTGTACATACGGTAGAAGGATGGAAAGTCAAATACATCAGCATTTCTTGAGAGCGGAAGGATGCCTTTGTCAGGCCAAAATCCACTGAAACCCAGCGCGTTCACGGTCTCAATTCAAAGACTTCTCCATTCTCGCTTGGCCGACCCATCTTGACTCTGGCAAAACCTTGCGTCAGGTCCATGACAATCGAGAACAGGGTCTGCATTGCACTCTTTTCACCCACAGCTCGACAAATTGAAGCTGGGTAATTCTTCTCATCCTTCAGCACTTCACTCAGGGCCTGCATGTTTGGTCTGTCGATGCCTCCCATCAGCTCTTGAATGCGGATCAGGCGGAACGGTGAGTCAGGAAGAAATGCAGAACCTTGCACTTTGTGCTCTTTGACAAGATGGTTCGAGTGAGTGCATATACCTCTCTGGTCCATGGGCATTTCCACAATGTCAAGAGCAGAACATTCGAAGCCGATAGCGCCCGTGGGTGCATCTGCGATGGTGATATGACCGGCTGCGGCCACTCCGACTTTCCGCAGTGCATTGGCCGCTTCTTCGCGGGAGGAACTGTCAAGGACTGTTCTCAGAGCAAGATGCACCGGAAGTTTGTTGTACGATACCCCAGGTGCTGCAATGGCGTTCAAAGTGACTCCCACTCCGGCCGAATTCAGTCCAATCTTTCCAATGATGCCGCCCTCGGTCATCATTTTTATCGTTGGCTTTGGCAGCTGTTCGATGGAAAGTGATATTATGTTTGGGGTTTGCTCGATGCGCCAATCCCAATTCTGGGCGATGAAGCTCTCGTCTGATGTCTTCCAGGTGAAAGCCGTACAGCCATCGCTTAGCATGCCATAAGCGATCTCCGTGCGCACATTGAGCGCAATGATGGAATCCAGATCCGTGCCAGCACCGTCTGCTACGCCTTTCATCTCCTCCATAAAATGGGGGTAAGTCGATTCCAGCAAGGGAGAAAATGCGCGTGCTACGTCACGGACTTGCGACCATGAGAGTTGGGTCCTCTCCTTGAAGAATGCCTCATAGAAAGCAATGCTGCCGTGCACTTCAGTTTTGGCATTTTGACCATGTTGTTGCCCGATCTAGAAAGTGTCGTCAGCCAGTCATTTTCTAGGGTTCGCGACCATTTTTGTTTACTTCATAAGGAGTCCCTGAGCATTTGATATGCTTCATCTTGGATTGGTCTTGTGGATATAGTTTGAAGATATTCCGTATTGATAAGATATCCCACAGCGTCTGGCTGTATATAGTTTCCTTTACGCTGATTGCCACGGACCAAGATCCCTCCCCTCAATGCGGAGTTGAGCGAACTACGAATGCCGCAATTCCAGGTGCATTGATGCGTCTTGATTAACTGATCATTTCGTAGCAAGAGCAAAAACAAGCTTGATCAAATCCGGCATAAGGACGAGGGACATGTCCAACCTTGGCCAGCAATGATGGAGTGCTCTCAGTATCTACCTAGGTATGGAAGCGATTCTCAGTAGTAGAGCAGGTGTCGGTAAGTATCAGGGTCGTAGACGCTTCTTGCTCCAACTCAGGTCTAAGCTGGCCATAATTTCGGTTTCTTCCCTCGCCTACATTTTCCACGTCCAGCTTCTGACCTGCAGCAAAGCTGCGTTGCGCATCAGAAAGCGACTCTTTGCGGATGCTGCGTCTCAAATGAGGCTTCCGTTCCCGCTTGCTTTGCGGTTTGGAACCGACATCATCGCAATCAACCGCATCCTCTGCTCCGCCAATCCGGACAGTAAACGCTTGACCAGATTAGCTGCCCGCTTTCTGCACCCGAAAGAAGTTGATGATCTGAACCGCCGATTCCCCTCCTGGGCTAAGTCAGAATCTGAGAACGAGTCAAAACGCCGACAGATCGCTTCCTGGCTTGCTGGCCGCTGGGCCGCCAAAGAAGCAGCCAAAAAGGCATGGGATGCCACATTACTGTCCTTTCGAGACCTTCGGGTGGAGACCGAAATCGGAGGCGGAGTGCTGATCGTCTGTGATACGTGCTCAGCGGATACAGATTCATCAACTGGCAGCGAGAGCAAGGTGACTGAGCAGACGGCACAGTTGAGCATCAGCCACGACGGCGACTACACAATCGCAGCAGTCATCGCAACGCCTTTGCACATTGACATTTCATCCGTACTGGCTACTAGGAAGGCCGAGGCCGAGGCAAAGCTGATCGATAAGGACGCGTAAGCTTCATTAAGTGTGCCAGTACTTGTACTAGTGGTCTTTCGATGCAGCCCATTCATCAAGGCGATACACCACACCATTTTATCTTGAGCTTCCGGACAACAATCTTCATCTTCCAACATGGCCCAAAAGTTCAATGACCGTAGCCGATATGAGCAAGATCCTCGCTGGGAGGCGGTTGATGCCTACACGTCCGCGCACTTGCTCGATCCTTCACGAAATAAACATCATGACGCTCTGGAGTTCGCCTATTCGAATTCACTGAAGAAGGGCCTTCCAGATATTGCTTCATATCCATCCCAGGGAAAGTTCTTGTCCATACAAGTTCAAGTCACAGGAGCAAAGAATATTCTGGAAGTTGGTACGTTGGGTGCTTATTCTACTATATGGCTGGCAATTGGAGCCGGTAAGGATGGGAAAGTCACTTCGGTCGAGGTGAACCCACACCACAAAGAAGTGGCAGAAGAGAACATTGCCCGGGCAGGATTTAGTGACAACGTCGACGTGCTGCTCGGTCGAGGCGTCGATGTCCTGACCGGGCTGGTGCACGAGGTCGAAAGCGGCAAACGTGAGCCGTTCGATTTCGTCTTCATTGACGCAGATAAGGAAAACAATCTGGCATATTTTGAGCTGGCGCTACGAATGACAAGGCCCCGAACCTGTATGTATGTCGACAATGTTGTTAGACGCGGCCGACTTGTTGATGAGAGCGCCATCAAGGAGGATCCACGTATTGCTGGCACACGGCGGCTAATCGAGGCTGTCGGCAAGAATGACAAGGTCGAAGCGGTCGTGCTCCAGACGGTGTCCAACAAGAATTACGATGGTTTCCTTTACGCATTTGTCAAATAAAAGGGGAAGAGTGTGATGGGTCAACAACAAGAATGCATGAGTTGGCTGCCTTGCCGCTATGCAAGAGGAGGAGCAACTGCAGCAACCGACGATACTACGTTACTACTTGTATTTTGATGTTTCTGGAAAATCCCATTGTCCCTATTCTCACGCCTTTGAATCCTTTTACGACAGTTTCAATCTGCATTTCTTGAGCGATGGATTGGTTGACCTCCACAAACCGCAATAATCTTCAAGACTCCTTGTCCAGATCGGTCACCGTACCCGGCTTATGCGCAACCTTTTTGTTGTTTTGGTCGGTAAACACAACGGCTGGAGCATGTTTGGTTCCTTTGACGCCTAGGTTCTGTGCTTCATTGTCATCCGTCACGATCTGCTCGACCTAAGAAAGTTCAAGTCAGCGTGCTGTTCGTTTGGTAGTATTGACTGCAAATCACTCACTTGGCCTTCATGCTTTCCTCCACGATACTGCAGAGTATCAGCACCTTGGTCATCAAAAGATGGGTAATCTCTCAGCGTACCGGTGTGCTGACAGTATCCCCCTTTTCGATGGTAGCTCCACCTTTGGACTTGACGTCGGACATTGTGGATTTTATGATACTCGTTATAGTTCAGGCTGTGTTGCAACTTACTGTGATGGGAACAATATTGACATTTGTCTGGTAAGCTGGGAGAGGTGGGCGTGGTGTACTGCCCTTGTTTTTATGCTTTGATGTCATAAGGTAGGATTCCTCCGACGTAATATGTAATCCATTCAGCAGGACCTTGTCTATCACTCCAAACTCGCCGATCCAGCTTTAGGCAAGGCACGCCAGGCAAGAACGGGCACACGGATCGCCTACCTGGTACCTTTGTCGGACCATGCGGGATTGATAGCTGGGAAATGTACCTTGTGCCTCATCAACTCGTTGGAGTACTAGGACGATCCTGGCTGTCATTATCACAGTACTGGAGTGCCTGAGTCGCCGGGTTCCTCATCGCAAGGCTCCGCAAAAGAAGCCATATCATTGGCTGGACAAGCATATCCGTGTCATCATCTTCCCCTCAACAAGGTAAGTACACTGGCATGATTTTTCTACGTCTGATTGCATTTACGAGTTGCTCCCACAAGAAATGGTCACGAATAGAAACGCGTAGAGAGCATGAAGTCATCTCAGGCCATTACATCACTATCACCAGCCATGCTCAACAACAGCACACCATCATTTTTTGATTTCTCCTGTACCTTCTCTCTACTCTACACAGTACATCATCTTCCCAATCATTCCAGAAACCTGAAAGTCCCTCCTCTACCATCTCGAACAACCACATCTACCCCATTACTATCACACACAAATCTCCGTACACCATGGCAGCACGAAACCCCGACTCCATGACCAACGCCCAGGGCGAATTCAACCCTCACAAGCCTCGCTCTGAACCCATGGAGAAGCATGGCGTAAGTCTCCCCATTCGTGTCCTTTTATTTTTATCCAGCTGAACTCCGATTTTAACACTTGCTTTTCTGGTATAGCACCAAATCGGCGTCAAAGCCAGCCCAGCAGACAACGCCCCCGAATTCTCCGCTCAGACCCTTCCCCCAGGCACCGCTCCCAAAGAAGCCACATACCAGCCGAACCCGGTCAACGAGGTCCCCGGCCAGGCGAACAACCCCGACGTCCTACGCAGCCACGGCAAAGAAGGCGTCCGCACCGACCCACTGAGCACCATGCCCGGCGCCACCTCTGCCGACGTGCACACGGGCCTTGGCCACCCGGGCCAGGGCCAGACGTCGACCGAGATCCGGCACGAGGGCCATCACACCCGCAAGAAGTGGACGAGTGGACCTGAAGGCGCCGGTGCGACTGGCGGAAGCGGTCTATACCCGGGAGACGAGAACGTCGAGTTCCGCCGGCTGAAGGAGGACGGTGATCACCCTCGCGGTCCCATCAGCGGACACAACGTCTCGCGAACTGGTGCCGAGGCCAAGGAGCCCGTCGGAGCGGAAGAGGTTGCCGCCGAGGGTGACAAGGTCAAGAAGGATCCCGGCTACAGTCGTTCAAAAGACGCGACAGGCGTACCGGATCGAGGGGCCGGCAGTGATCGTCAGTATTAAAGTTTTCCGAGTCCCATGTCGGCAGCGGCCACGTTCGTCGGAAGTCGATGGACTGACTGACTACTCGTACCTCGAACTGGGTGTGGTGACGGCTTTGTATCAACAGCAACTTGTGTCTATGAATGACGACGAAAAGAAGAAAGAAACAATGAAAAGGTGGTGAGCGTGGGCTTTTGAGTAGCCTACTTGCTACACACCCTGATAGAGTGAGACCGACAGGAGGAAGAATCAGCTTGCATTTGCATTTGCATGGAGAGGGGGCCTTCAACTGAGAATAGGGAGCACATCTGAAAATGTTTGTAAAAATGTTTGCATGTCTCAAGGAGATCCACGAGACGCCAAGCTATCAAAAGGCTTAAGGTAGCCATCAATGAGATACTCCGTACTCCGTACGGATTCCAGAAAATCTTATAAAGAACTGAAGCAATGGTCATGTTGCCGCCATGACTCTCCCGCTTGACAACAAGAAGTAAAAGTTCTACAACATGAAATAATCCCAGACTTGTTAGCCGTAAGCTGCCAATCATTCAAATTGTTCATGATCCTGGGCTTTATAGGGCGTCGAGATCTTGCCTTGGATAAGGTATGTATCTAAGCCATTTCGTAGGTAACTACACACAAACATTCTGTACATTTCCCAGTTGGGCAGATTCGACAATAAGGCTTCTTATCTTCCACGATGATCTATTCAATCACCGGCCTCTCGTCTATAGCTGCTCTAACGGTCCCTTTGGCAATGCCATTACTTTCCACCTGATTGCCCTTTACTGTCTCCAAACCACCATTCTCCCTGACCCGATCCTCGAAAGCATCCACTTCCACACCACTGATCAATGCGTGGCTCACTCCTTCCAGTCCTGCTACGAAGACGCATAGGACACTTCCAATCACAAAATGGCTGATCGTCGTGCCAATCTCCAACCAGCTTCCTTCGTCTTTGACCATCCAGAAGAAGTTCAAGGTCATCAGATCGCTCAATGCCATGACAACCATGAATAATGCCGATGATTGGAGTCCAAGGCGTCGGTTCAATATGCCGAGGGCTGCGGAGATAAGAGCGAAGGGGACCATAATCTTGAATAGGAGGAGTGCTCCCTGAGAAAACGGATCAAAGATGGGAATGAGCCGGTAGACCGCGTCCAGACTAAAGCTGGATACCGAAGCGATGTTCCCAGTAGAGAAGAAAGCGGACTGGAGGAAGAAAAGGAAGAAAAGTGCCCGCCGAAGATCGGTTAGCGCGAGCGTGCGGAATGTCTTCTCTGGATACAGGTTCGCGGGTTGAGAGGATGGCGTAGACGTAATTGTTACTCCATTCGCTGATGGAGAGGTGGCAGTCCCAGTTTGAGATGCATCGTGTACTTGTATAGCATGTTCCAGCCGGACCCATGCTAGTAGCGTGAAGCAGAAGGCGAAATAAAACAGACCTTCGTACGAGATCGTGAGGAGGATGAACGTCGGTGAGAATGTGAGAAAAATAATGACTAAGCGATGAAGGTAATGCTTGTTTGGCGAGATCCGATGGACAAATGGTAGAATAATCGATGCCAGAAGGACGAACCAGCCGACCGCCTGGTTGCCGAGAGGCAGACCGTTCTTTGCTTGCAACGATGCCACGCTTGAACGGGTTACGATAATGGTAAGGAGGATGATTCCAAGCTGAAGACCCATGATCATCCGAGATATGACATTAGGCTGGGAGTCCGCGGTTCGCGATGTGGACTGGGCATGAATGTCGTGCTCGTAGTAGAGATAAGCGAGACCTGCCCCAAGCATGAGAAGCCCACCTGCTGTAATGGTGTTTGCATCTTCGACTTTGATGGCTGGTAAGAGGGTAAATGTACTTAAGACAAGGCAGCCAGCTGCCCATGATAGTACAAGAATCTTGTTCTTCTTGACAAACTCAGCACCGTATCGAAGGGGGAAGGTTGCGCCAAAAGCATAGCAGACACTGAGTATCGTACGATGGAAGTATGATTGTACCTGCAACAGTCAGAAGATTGCTACGATGCCAAACTTAGGACCGAAACTCACCAATCCTTCAATGATAATCAGGTATAGGACGGTTTGTATAAAGAGTAGTGAATAGGCCGAAACTCCTTGAACATGATAGAAGAGAACTCTGAATCCGGAAATAAATGCCTTTCTTCTGGCAAAAATCTCTTCCCAGAAGAATACGGGGAACAAAGCATAGGCGTAGTAGGTGGCAGGTGATCGTTCAATAATGAAGAAGGAGAATAATAACACCAGGGTGGAAGAAAATGCCATAGTGGTACCGATCGTCCTGTCGTCAGAAACTGCTCCATGGAGCACGTGCAAATCGATGACAGTCGTTGCAGCATAACCAATCCAGCCTAGATAGCCCATGGTAATCAGAGCCCGCAGAAAGAGCCAATCATAAGTCTGCAAATACCGCAAACCCTGGAGACCATCACTGAAAAGGCTCGAAGACAGCTCAACTGCATCCTCGTGTCGACCTTGGGATATAGCTGTCTCGACAGCAGAAAGCCGATCTGCGATAGAGGCATTGGTCTTCGAGAAGGCGGGATATGGTCGGAAGTTGAGCGATGTCGCTCTCTTCTGCTCCTCCTTCACACGGTACATCTCCAGGACTTGCTTGGCGTTAACCAGCGCTGCGTTGGCTTTTTGCTGGGAATGAGCTGCGAGATAGGTCAAGGGTAGCCTACCCACGGAATTGACCGGGAACTCCAATCCAGCAAGGTATGCCATCAAGGCTGCAACGTCTGCTTGACCGACGTCGTGTCGCCGGATGTGATCCAATCCCCAATCAAAAGAGAAGCCATCTTCGTGACCAGGCGCTTTGGCCTCATGATAGATATCAGGTCGAGCAACGCCCGCACCCCACACCACCAAAGGCGTCCTCGTGTTGTCAGGATGACCATCACCATGGCTTCCCCAGTCACTCATTCCATGATCAGCGGTGAAGACGTACGCAGTTTCTCCATCGCCATAGAAGTCGTCTATCAATTTTGTGATCTCCTGGACTCCCTGGTCCACCACCTTGATGTTGTGCAAATACTCTCTCGAATAGGGACGGTATGAGTGTCCAGTAGTGTCCAACCCGAGCAGATGGAGGAAGAAGATCAGCTTGTCCTTGCGGAGCTCGGCATCAAGAGTCGAGTTTGTGCGGGCAGAGCGGAAGAGATCCTTGACTTTGTCAAATACCCAGGTATCCAACATTGTTGCATCTTGTGTATAGTCCTCAAACTCTGCACCATACTGGTCCGCATCGACCCTTCCCGGTACCGCTCCCTCTTTGAACATGGGAAGAATGTCCGGACTACCCCAGCTCCAAGTATGCCGACTTCGATTGAAGACACTGTCAAAGTCGACCGGGTTTAATTTCCAGCCCGTAGTGACTGCGGAGACATCTTCGTAAAGTCCGGCTATGAGGGCGACATGACCTGGTCGAGACTCCGTAGGTACTCGTGTGTGAGAAACGCCGAAGGTGCCGTATTCCAGCACTCGTGATCGCAGGAACGGCGCAAGAGGGCGGGGGGTTAAATCGGCATTGGCAGGATCTGGAGGAGACGGGTCAGGAAAGGACTGGAAGGCTTTGTCGGCACGTAAGCCATCGCCAACATAGAGAACAAGTCTTTTCGCAGGAGCACGGTCTAATTCGACTCGATATGGTCTCATTCCATGGACGATAGGACTGACAAAGTAAATGTCGAAGATGGAGTAGATGTACACTAGATGGAAGACGACGGCAAGGGCCAGAAACCCTCCCCGACCGAGTCTTGCCATACTTGTCGGAAGATATCAAACGAAGGAGTGACTTGGGTGAGACAATATCATTGTACAGGCAAAAGAAGTGTCCTCTCGGATCTTTACATGCGGGCGTCGGTGTCGCATTGTCCTCAAAATATCTCAGGAGCAGGAAACGCACTGTATACGGCAAGTACGCCGAGGCATTGATTTCAGGAGCACAAGAACACGTGGAGATGTAAAGCCTTGTGGGTGGTACTTGTAATGGTACACGCGTGGAATAGGGGCGATCGGCTGTCCTGTTACCAAGTACTCAAAACACATGGTGTCCGGTATGTACAGCTAAATCATTCATTCTCGAGCAGGAAGTTGAGCCAGAATTTGAGTCCTTCCACACCCTCCTCCCGGCACAGTGCTCCTCTCTCTTCAGCCATCTCCAGTTCTTCTACCGCAACCCCTAGGCTCCATCCGAACTTTGCAGCTGCTTGCTGAGCGGTCACTCCAAACCCGTGAGTCGACCAATCCCACAATGGAACCTGCTCTGGTACAGATGCCCGCAATGAGTCAAGCCAATCTTTCAGCTGCTTAATAGTCTTCTCATCGCTGGCATCGTGCCGCTGCACGGCTAACAGCCCGCTTTTGAATCTTCGCAGCTTGAGTGGCAACCCCAGTCTTTCCCATGCTTCGGCGGCTTTTTGGAAGTCGGCAGGGCTGATCAACTCAACACCGTTCTGACTCCTGTTGAATACGGCCCAGAAGTCCACCAGACTCATTGTGCCTCCCTGGTTTCTCAAGATGCCCCTCCTATCATCTGTAGCATACTCGGCAAGATTCCGTGCCAGCTCAGAGATGTAGAGTGTGTTGGAACTGTCTCCGAGGATATCTTTGGTTGTGGTCATGCCAAGAGCAGCCGCAGACTGCGACAGAAGAGGATCAGTTGCAGCTCCTGGGAGACCCATCTCTGTCCCTGCTTCGATCGCAAACCGTTCAGCAAGAGCTACGATATCCTTTGCAGAAGCCATCAAGGCTTCCAGGTCCTCGAATGCATTACCCAGGACTGCTTCATTGATTCGCCGTGTCTGCAAACCACGCTGTTCTAGACCAGCAATACCTGCCGCACGGCGTTCACTAGATGCCACAGGGCTTCCAGTTCCAAGCGGCGTCGGAGAACGATCATTGTCTGCTCGGGGTATGGGTGGTGCGCGCTGCAATAGCCATTTGCGTTGTATCAATGCATTCTTCAGTCGCTCGTAGAACACTCGGTCGCCACCATTTCGGAAAGAAAACTTCACACTGAGAGGCTCATGCTCCTCTTCTAGGGACAAACCAGATATCTCTGGCCCAGGAGACTCGGATCGCGGGATAGAGTCCTCGAGAGCCACTCGCTGAAGGGAACTTGGGACTGGGAGAGAGCATGAACATAGTTCACATATTCGCATCCCTGGATGATTGTGGAACGTACACCGAGGGCATGTTACGTCGGCAGAAACGCTGTCATCGTCGTGAGTGGCGCCGGACCCAGTCGCCCTCACGCTGTTCGAGGTTCGGGCGCTGCTGGATAAACGCTCAGCCTCGGGAATACGTTTGGCATTCGCAGCGATGGCGGCCTTGAGTACCAAAGCAAATGGAGGTTTGATGCCACAGGCAAGACAAGGTGGTAACGGAAAAGCTTCCGTGGCAATGGTAGGGTCAAAGTTGGATGGCACAGGATTAGAAAACGAGCAAATGGGGCACACCCAGGTCCCAACCACAACAGGTAAAGACGGCGTTGGTAGAGCCGACGGGCGAAATGGGCTCGTTGATCGGGATGTTGGTGAGGATGCCGATGCGACCCTTTGGAAATGTGGCGATTGCGATACGCCTGGTCTAGTTATACTGCCGAACCCACGTTTTAATGGTTTCGGGTACAATGTGATTTTTGGTGAAGACTTGAGGAATCTAGCCTGAAGGTAAAATGTCAGTGTCAAATCCGCATTAATATTGTACACCGTACCTGAAAATCATGTCTCTCAACATGTTTCAGATCAACAGCCCACGAATTGTTTCGAGGGTCTGTATCATCAACATAACACGCGCGATGAGAAGTCAGATAAGCATGTCCTTTCTGACAGCTAGCGATCTTGTAATCCCTATCCAATGGTTAAGTATTCGTAAATTCCGAACAGATTCATGAGGCTTACCCTTCATATAATCCAACGCCATCTTGAACCACGAGTAAGGCCTCATCTTCGGCGAGCGTCGGGCGGGAGCCAGCAGTCAAGTCTGGCTTTTTGAGGAACATCCGGCATTCGATGCAGGCAGGGTATCATCTTCGTGGAATCCTCCGAGAATTTCAACCTACGACACGAGCATGCTCAGGAATTTGGAAATGATGCTGCGGTCGACATTTCTGCTGCCTTCAAGATTGCAGAGACAGATATCGTCAACCAATGATTGCGGTTAGACTGCCAAGGGTCATTACTGCGGAGCATTTTTCCATCTCACGTACGGTATTGACCTGGAGTACGGAGTATTCTCCAGTGGAGGCAATTTATTTGGGAAGTGCGCCTCGAGTTGCCCTGTATTGGCCCTTGAGTTGCAACCCTATTCTTCATCATTTCAAGCGTTGAGAAACGTGATAATGCTGAAATGCTCAAGCGTCAGGCGACGTTCTGAAGCTCTATCTCAGAGGTAAGTCCTGAATGTCGTGCCTAACATGCACATTTACAGGACGACTACGACCAGTTGGAGGCTCAATCCCAACGGCTTTGCTTGAAAGACCACAAAATAATGAGGACCGAGGTAAAGGAGTAGTGGGGGTGAGTGATCGAGGACCACGTTCCCACGGTCCAACATTGTGGGGTACCGTATTCTTCACAGTACATAAGTCGTCTCAAGACTCGGTCCGGATTCCGGATGTCTGCCCACAACGTTGGACTCGACGCAAAAAGCAGGGTTTTGTCGCTATATCCTATCCTAGGAGGAACAATCACCTAACAGCATAACAAGTATGTCTGGCAGCTGGAGCAAGTTCTTGCCTCTGCCCGTTCTGGTGGCAGCATTGGGCGCCCTATATTCTAATCCTTCGTTGATTGTCCCTGTCTTGGACAAGTATGCTGGTCGAGTGGCAGATTTTCAGCCTGCAGCTGCTCATCTAGGCCATGGCCCTTTGAACAATGACAAATGCTGGATCAACACTGGTTCGCCCTCCCGCACCACTTGGTCTCGGACAATTTTCTTATCATTCACAGTCGGACAGGCCTGCGAGGATGTGCGCATCCATGAGCCATCGGGTGAAGTATTCTTAGGTATGTCTATAAGGTCTTAAGTGTACAACTCTTCTAAGAACTACACAGCGTGCGGTTACCCAGAGACAAGAAACCTCTTCTATCCGCCCCTTAACCGCCATGACACAGTCAACGCCCAGTCATATCGTGAATACTTCTTGAAATATGATATCAAGGTCTGGTGGCCCGCGCAAGTACAGGATCTATACTGACGATGCAAGTCGAACACAACACTTCCTCTCAAGATAGAGGGTCTGGAGGCATCTCACGACCTAGTATTGCACGGCATTGACCTCTTCGTCCCCAGTGGTGAAAGTTCAACGGTATGTCCGAGCTGCTAGATGCAGTCGCTAAGATGACTGACCTGGAGTATCAGATCTACGTCTTCGCTGTCAACCACGCTCGCCGAGGTGAAGAAATCCTACTGTTCTCTCATGAATTGGGCTCAAACGTTCTCACCTTCGTGCGCGAGTTTAAGCACTGGAAGATCAAAACTCCGAACGCAGTGGCTGCAACTAGCCTGAAGTATGACACAGTTCCAAAAGGCCTGGTTCTAACTTATTCCTGACACATTCACAGCTCCTTCTTTATCACGAATGACCACTACTTTTATGGCGGAGCCTTTGGCGGCCTCTTGAGAACTTTTGAGGATAAATTTGGGCCTTGGAAATGGGCATCAGACATCGTCCATTGCACTGCTTCGGACTCGTCCGTGGATTGCAAGACTGTTTCACCTACAAATTCGCACCCTTCCGCAAACGGGGCCCTGCTCGTAGACGATGGGAAAACCCTGATGGTCAACGATGTGATCAAAGCAACAACCACAATCTACGCCGTAGATCCTGTCACCAAACAACTGACACCGAAGCAACAAGTGGTAAGTCGAGTTTTAGGAGGTAGTGCTGTGGTCGATTTACTGATGGGGCTTTGCAGCAACTGGGCGCAGGAGCAGACAATTTGTCTCTCATACCCGGATCTGAAGACATCGCTGTATGCGGTAGGTCTCTCTCGATTTGCTACCTTCTGGTATTCAAGATGCTGAACGATATGAAATAGTATTTCCCGACCTGCCAAGATTGATGGGCCGCCTGCACAACCCGTTGAACTCATCATTTCACGCTGAGGCAGCGGTTCTGCGTCTCGTGAAGAAGAACAACTATGAACCCGAGGTTTTGTACTGGGACGACGGCTCGCTGATGACGCTTTTGACCGGGGCAGCTGTTGATCCGGAGTCTCGCCGGCTGATTGCAGGCGGTGTGTTTGAGAAGCATTTCATTGTGTGCGACATTAGCAATGTTGCCCTCTGAGAAACTTCTACCCCGGACTAAAGAAGGGTTGCATTCGTTTATGGACAGGATCATCAAAACAATCCAGTCCGAATGTCACTCGCCGTTGGCACAGCGCACAAATCGGAAGGTTGTATCACCATACTGTGCTTCGTGGAGGTAAAATTTTTATAGGCGGCCAATTTGTTCGATGCTTCTGCAGCAGTCCTCTTACCTTAGATCTTACAACCTCGCAAGTATCGTGGTAGATGTATGGCTTGGCGTCTGGTTGAGTTGCCAAGGCCTTGGTTGGTGCGGCTTTTCTTGCTTCGTCGACTTTGAACTTCAACTCATCCCTAAGACCGTCCATCTTCCCTTTGATTCCATTTGCCACGTTAGCTTTTCTTGTTGGCAGCAGTTTCACGCTCCTCTGAAGATCTGCTGCAGGTGATAAGATGTATTCTTCTCCTGCGGCAGGGCAAGCGCCCTGGCAGTCTCATCCAACTTCCTACGCGTCACTTAACAATCAGAATGCTTACATTTCAGTTCCTGCGCGTCAGACTTTTGGATCGCAGTCTGCTCTTCCTCCGCCGCCTACCTATCTACCGATGCCTTCCCACCAGTACATGCCACCCTCTCCTGCAAACACCGCCGGACCACCGCCCCAGCCAGCCAAGAAGAAGATGAGCTGGTCTCCGGATGTCCGTGACTACGTCAACCGATCATTCGCTCAGACCAGTACCGTTCCCGGAATCACCAAAGAACAAATTGAGGCAAAACTGAAACAGATTATAACAGACGCCACGCAAAGCGGCAAGCTGGATTCAATAAACTGGAAAGAAATGCCATTACCTCAACAAATCTTACAGGAGGAACGGACCCGTGCTCTTCTTGCTCCCATAACCCCTCCACTTTATGTTCCTGCTATACCTGCTCCGGATGCTCCCACTACCATCTATCAGCCTCGCACGGATGTTCCTCGTAAACGCAAATCTACGGAGCTCTCCACCGATGCTGAAGCCGCTGCGCCGCCGCCACCTTGGAGAACCAATGGACAATCTTCCGGATCTTTGGCAGACCGTGTTTCCTTTGTTTCTGCAGAAAAGCGACCGAAGCTCGACATGAGCACATCCGTAAGTAAAACAAACGCAAGTTTGGAATCACGCAAGCGGCGGTTTGAGGCTCAGCGTGCGGGATCAAATTCGCCGCGGACGCAAGATTTGTCAAGAGGAGTCTCCCCTGAACCGAAAATGACGGGGCCTATTGTCGGGCGCTCCCAGAAGCTGGAGAAAAACTACTTCAGATTGACATCTGCACCCAATCCTGATGATGTGCGACCTCTGGAAGTTCTGCGAAAGACTCTCGAACTGCTTAAGAAGAAGTGGCGCAGTGAGGGCAATTACGTCTACATATGTGACCAGTTCAAGTCACTGCGGCAAGATCTGACCGTGCAACATATCAAGAACGACTTCACCACGAGCGTCTACGAGTATCATGCGCGCATCGCGCTAGAGAAGGGTGACCTGGGTGAGTATAACCAGTGTCAAACGCAGCTCAGAGCGTTGTACAAGCAGAATTTGGGCGGTCACCCTGTGGAGTTCAAGGCCTATCGCATCCTGTACTTCATCCACACGTGCAACCAGACTGACATGAATGACGTATTATCCGATCTAACTCCAGCAGACAAGAAGGAACCGTCCATCAAGCACGCTCTCCAAGTTCGGTCAGCGCTGGCTCTTGGGAATTATCACAAGTTTTTCAAGCTCTACCTGACCGTTCCTGACATGGGAGCATACTTGATGGATATGTTTGTAGAACGGGAAAGACTCGCAGCGCTTGCGTGCTTGTGCAAATCGTAAGTCGCTCCGCATGTTCGACCAGAAATCCCATTGTGCTGACTTTCTGAACAGGTACAAACCAGACGTACGACTGCGCTTTATTACTGAAGAGCTCGGTTTTGAGTCTGACGAAGAAGCTTGCCAATTCATTCTTGACCATATACCCGAGGACACAACATTATTAGAAGAACGTGATGGAGATGTTCGGGTCCTCACTGGCAAAGCCGGATCAATCTTCCAGATCGCCAAAACAAGAGCTTTCGGACTAGTCGACATCAAGGGACAGATTTAAGACGACCTCGCGTTGTCTCTTCTACCCTTCTTCGGGCCGACCGGCACTTATCCTGACAATTCCGCGCAATTTACTGGTACGCGCGTTCTTGTTAAGCTTCACGCGCTGGCCGTTTCCTGATCTGCTTACAATATCCCACATCTTTCTCTGCTTGCAAAGCGACCTTGCCTGTTATCCTTGTCTCTGGGTGTTTGTTCTTGGCGGTGGTCGACGGTGGAAGCAAAAGCAATTTCGGGTCTGCAGAAATGGAAGAAAAAGAAGGATATCGCTCCAGTTGGCCAATGGTGGAATCACTTGCGAGGACGAGACTTTGGGTTTACAATCTTGGTGTATGTAGCGTCGGCGCGGGTGTACTCATTGACACCGTGAGTTCTCGCTAGGCGACCTGGCCAGGTCAAGGGTCCTTCAAAGGGCAACCCCTCAGCCATGAAATACAATGATTATCAAACTTGACGATAGTCTTGACCTGTCAAAGGAAATTTCTATTGCTATTTTCGATGGCCTTGTACTGATGCTTGACCTTGACAAACTAGCCGGTTCGAAGAAGCTGAGAATTGACGGTCTGTCAACTGGCTGTCACGGCAGAGCTTAACGACATCGTACGATGCCTGAGTGGAAATTGATTGGACTCATCACGCTCATTGTCACAGAGGACCGATCACCTGTCTGTTTTTGGGTTCCGGAGTATCCTAAGCAGATCTCTTCTCTCGAGGTCTTTTGAGGCTTCTTGTGTCGCATCTCAGCTGAGGAAGACTCCGGGCTGAACAAACGCATCTGCTTGACCGTTTTGATTCGGCAATTACCACGACTGGCGTCGACCTTTGGCCATCAAATTGTCCAGTCACCGATCTTGATGAGCCGTGGCTGACTTGTTATTGAGCGTACCCGCTCAGCTGGAATGCACAGCATGGGTACTGTCATGGGCCATAGAACGTCCTTAACCCGGATTTTCGGTTTTAAATGTTGGGGCGGACCCAGCAGAAGAAGAGCGTTTGTAGCGAAAGCCTCTTGCGTGGAATGCAATTCTTGTATCTGACACTGTCGCAACCTGCACTCGGAGTGTCTCTCTTAGATTGTGTTTATATTCTCGTGCTCATCGATGTCGCCGTTCTCGCTAGCCTAAGAATGCCGGACCACGAAACGGAGCTCTGAACGGACTCTCCCGCTTAACACTGGACTGGACGTAAGCTCTTGCTGCGCATCGTCACAACTACCACGACAGAACCTGAGCATTTGATGACTAGAGAGTATCTGGCCCTCGCAATCTTGCAAAGGGGGAAGTGCAGCACGGAAATCCCGTCCTGATACGTTCCCGTTCAGATTCTGCCGAATCGCAAACCCTGCAGTCGCCTCCCTTTGTCTGCCCCCAGACAACCCGTCTTTGTCCACACGAGACACCACCGATCTCAAATCCGGTCGCGACTGACCACACGCCACGCAAGCATCGATCCAGCCCTGTTTCAATCTGCGACTGCACATGCGCCCACTTCAAAACCAAAAACAAAGAAGTTCCTGCTGAGCGTCTTCTCAGGCCACTGCGGGGCATTTTGAATGCGCCATGAAGGTATGTCCGCCATTCTGCACGTATGCGCTGTTCGCAGACTTTGAAGACTGATTCGTTGTTACCTTCAGGCCATTCGCCGATCTCTAAAGAGCGATAAGGAGTCCAGACACGCACCCTCCCTGTCCATCACACCCAAGACGATCCAGGCACTTCCACCGAAAAAGGTCATCAAGGCGCTTTATGACTACGAACCGCAAAATGGCAACGGACAAGAGCTGGCGTTTCACAAGGGCGACTTTTTTCACGTCTTAAGTCGGGAAGACGACACTGACTGGTACGAGGCGTGCAATCCGCTCATCCCCTCCGCCAGGGGTCTCGTGCCGGTCGCATTCTTTGAAGTGGTTGGCAAACAACAGCGACAAAGTGGAAATTCAATTTCGTCGCCGGGAGACCGCCCAGACGGCCATGATTCTGGATTTTCAGAGAAAGGCTCGACCAATTCCGGCCACACGAGATCAGAGTCAGCCGCCACCACCAGACCTGCGGGACATCAGAGAGGACCCAGTATCATGGGAAGATCTGGCGGCGCAATGGTCTATGGCGTTGTGCAGTACGATTTCAACGCTGAGAGAGCAGATGAGTTGGACGCCAAAGCTGGCGAAGCAATCATCGTGGTCGCACAATCGAACCCAGAGTGGTTTGTGGCGAAGCCCATTGGGCGACTAGGAGGACCAGGTCTGATTCCTGTGTCGTTCGTGGACATCAAGGATACCGCAACCATGCAATCGGTGACAGACCCACTGGAAGCCGTCCGTAAGGCGAACGTGCCAAAAGTTGAGGAATGGAAGAAATTTGCGGCAGAGTACAAGAACAACAGTATCAGTCTGGGCAAGTTTTCCAGTCCTGATGCTCAAATGTCGGCCGATATGGCTCGGATGAGCTTGCAAAATGCAGGCTCGCAGCAATCGCTGGCAAGCAATACATACGTAAGTGACCAGAAGAGGCTCAGGTCAAGAGAGCAACGCTGACTTACAAGCAGTCCCAGGGATCTGGCCCAAGGACATCGACATCACAACAGTCACAAATGCCTCTTGCACCGATTAGTGCTTCCGTTCCTCGATACTGCTTTGACAACGACATGTATTGGTACATTATTGAATGTCAGATGGAAGACGGACGATGGTGGGAATTGTCCCGATACTATGCAGATTTCTACGACTTTCAGATTGCGCTCCTGGAGATGTTTCCGGAAGAAGCCGGCAATAAGGGCAAACCTCGCACTCTACCTTTCATGCCTGGTCCGGTGGCACATGTTACGGATGCGATCTCCAACGGACGGCGTCAGAACCTGGACGAATATATTAAAAAGATTGTGGCAATGCCAAATCACATCTCGAAGAGCATGCTGGTTAGGAATCTCTTCAAGCCCAGACCAGGCCAAGATTTTGAGATCGATCCGAATGCTCTGGGTGAGGACTACCGACTATCGGGAGGATCACAGCAGTCGCTGCAACCACTCTCACGAGTGTCTACAAGCCAACAAGGGTCAGGTCCAGGCTATGGCGGCATACCCATGCCCGGTTCTTCTCGATCGTCACAACAACGCCCACCTCCGCCTATGTCGAGTGGACCAGGGATGGCAATTGGAGGACCTCCCTTCCTCCATTCGCAAGCTAGTAACCTAACACAAGCCTCGACCTCCTCGAGCATGAAGGCAGGCAATGCTGGTGGAGCAATGAAGGTGAAGGTCTTCTTCCAGGAGGACATCATTGCCATTCGAGTACCGCAGGATATAGTCTTCTCTGCGTTGAAAGAGCGACTGATGGAGCGACTAAAACTCAACGAGAACATTGTCATTCAGTACAAGGACGAGCCGACCAACAGTCTGATCGACCTGGAGAATGACGACAATCTGGATGTGGCATTACAGCGAAACCCGAAACTCACGTTGTATGTGAATTATGCTGCGAGTTGAGTGGAAGCTACAGGGAGGAAGCTACAATGACTGGGTTGCGGTCTATGGGGCTGTTTCCGAACACGATTCCATGTCCAAAAAGCGTGGGATTGAGATGGCCTTGAATCTCCTTGAGGAAGTATAAAGGAAAGACAGGGCAACCTGATGAGCTATGTCTTTAATGTGGTTATGTCCTGGCGCATAGGGTGGTTGGATCTTGGGAAAGGTCTCTTCTAAGACTGCACCTCTCGCAAAAAGTTCCAAGTCATTATGGAGTTGAATTCGAGCTGGGACGATTTCAGGTGCTATGCTTGGTGGGAATTCTCTTCAATCAGGACTGGCTATGCAGCATGTGCTTGCTGCTAAAGATTTATCTTGATGTGCTTGAACGATGGAGCTTTGGAGGCAGGGCGCTGGTGCTGGTGCTTGTACTGGTGCTGGATCGTTTCTGACTTGAAGTCTTAGACTCAGTCATTGATGCTCTCACTTCGTTGAGCGGGAGTCAGTGTCAGCTTGTTATAGCTTTTTGACCAGCAATGTGGATTGTCGTGAAGAGCGGCAGATTCTGAATTCCCTGTCGCCTCATCGGCAATTCTTTTTCTTGGTACCCATACAATGCTTCATTGACATACCCACCCAAAACCTAGCCTGGTGGCCCCTTACTGTATTGTAGCTGTAGGTCCTTGTGGTGCCCCATGCGTGGTATTGCGTGCCCATGGCTCCGGAACGAACATTTTTGGCCGAAGCTCCACCCAGACTGCGGTTTGATCCCGATGCCACTATGCATCTTGCTTCCTCCAATTCGCTTAAATGCATGCGATTTATCGCTCTTTCGTCATGTACAGCCACGTTCCTATTTTCTCTAGAGATCAGAGCTCGTATCGGAGTCTGTGAGCACTCTCACATTGCTCGCGCTGGTTATCAGTCAGCATGAAGAAGGCTTCAGTGCGCCCGACCCGTCACGCCTACCTCAGAGCCCTTTTCTCCGATGCCGCAGCTCAACCTTCACGAAGGACTGTATGCACAGACTGCCTGAGAGTCCTGCGGCACCGGAGGAAGCACCTCGACTTCGCTCCCCGCCAGCTACATACTCTGGGCCCACGACCAAATGCGACGCACTTGCAGGGCGCAGTCCGGTTTGCCCAGTCAACCCAGAGAAGGCGCCTTGCGACGGTGACCGATGTTGTCCAGCGTGGACCTCTCGAGGAATACGATGAGCGAGTACAAACAAGGAGGTTACGAGATGACGAACACCAGAGAAGTGAGCAGGGTAGATTTCGCGATTCGGCGAAGCCCGAGCTAACGCTGCAACAGCGCTTATCGAACATTTGCAAGATCTGCACGACACACTACGAGACTACACGCCTCCGAAAGTAATACATCCGGACGTCAATGACCTCCAACCCGCAAAGAAAAGCCTGTTTGGGTCCTTGTTTGGCGCAGCGAAGAAGAAAAAGGCCATTGGCGAATTGCCAGAAGACCTTCCGAAAGGGCTATACATGTACGGCGATGTCGGTTCGGGAAAGACCATGCTCATGGATCTGTTCTACGAGACGCTGCCGTCGAACATCACGTCCAAGACTCGGGTCCATTTCCACAACTTCATGCAAGACGTGCACAAGCGCCTGCACAAGATTCGGATGCAGTATGGCAACGACTTCGACGCCGTCCCCTTCGTGGCGGCCGATATCGCCGAAACAGCCCAAGTCTTGTGTTTTGACGAGTTCCAATGCACCGACGTCGCTGACGCCATGATCCTCCGGCGTCTGCTGGAATCGTTGATGTCTCACGGCGTGGTGCTGGTTACCACCTCCAATCGGCACCCGGATGACCTCTATAAAAACGGCATTCAACGCCAGTCGTTCATTCCGTGTATCAATCTCCTCAAGAAGCAGCTCAAGGTCATCAATCTCGACTCGCAGACTGATTACCGCAAACTGCCACGCCCGCCATCAGGCGTGTACCACCACCCACTCGATCGTGCAGCAGCGTCACACGCAAAGAAATGGTTCAACTTCCTGGGAGATCCGGAGAATGACCCTCCGCACCCAGCGACCATCACGGTCTGGGGTCGTGAAGTCGAAATTCCCTTAGTATCTGGACGCGCCGCGATGTTCACGTTCCATGACCTCATTGGTCGAGCGACCGGAGCGGCCGACTACATCGAGATGATGCGCAGCTTCGATGCCTTCATCGTGACAGACGTGCCGGGCATGACGCACCGTGAACGAGACTGGGCCAGACGGTTCATCACGTTTATCGACGCCGTGTACGAGTCGCACGCGAAGTTGGTCCTGACTACGGCGGTGCCTTTGTCGCAATTGTTCCTGAGCAAGACGGAACTGGACGAGTCACTGGAAAGCGTGACTAAAAAGGTCGACCGGGACGATAAATCAGCGGACTCGCACGATAAGAAAGTCGTGGCGCGGGCGCAGGCCGCAGATACGGATGGTGAAGGTGCGGACGTGGACGACGTCATGCGTAATTTGATGGATGATCTGGGCATGAGTATGAGCATGCTCAAGCAGAGTAGTTTGTTCAGTGGAGACGAAGAGCGGTTTGCGTTTGCGCGAGCGCTCAGCCGGTTGAGTGAGATGGGCAGTCAGGAGTGGGTCGAGCGTGGCATGGGCCTGGAGAAGCGTGGTGGATTGAATGAGAAAGAGGGATGGCTCAGGGTAAGGTCGAGATGGAGGGAGGATAGTCTGTGAATACCTTAAGGTTGTGATTTGGAAAATAAGACCGATGAGCAAGTCGCCAAAGAGGTGTGAGATGCGTTCCGGGATTGGGAGCAAAACTGGGATTTTGTCCTGCATTTAGCGTTCTATGAGCGATCAAGTACACTTGGTACATCAATCTTGAGATTTCACTCTACACGAGTACTGTATGTTTCCGCGAAGCGACACAAGGTTTAGAGGTGACTACACCAGCTACCCGCTGACCGCGGCACTGGAACTAAATAAGAGCCTCACCGGGCTCAGCGTCGCCGTCCTAGCCAACGACACCTTCTTCAGCAGCGCCGATCTGAGCGCCATGCTTCCGCTACTGAATGCCGTGAACGTCTCCGTGACCGTCGTAAGCCCTTATTTCGGCGAACTCGTCTCCGGAATCAATGCCACCGCCTCGTACATCACGACGAGCAGCATCTTTTTTTTTTGACGCTGTCTTCATCGGCTCAGCCTCGTCGATCACACCCACCAGCGCCACGCTGGGCCTCGACATGAACGCCATGAACTTTATCACCAAGGCGCACAGTCACGGCAAGGCTATCCGTGCGCTGGGAAGTAACGGCGCAGCTGTTCTTGGTGTGCTAGGTTTGGATTTCACTCCGGCGCGCGATGGTGCACAGGTCACGGCGAGTGCGCTTGCTGCGTTGAGCGGGCCCAGTGAGGTTTCGATGGGAGATATCCGGGGGAAGACATTACAGGAAGTCTGGCCAACGTTATCAGAGGAAGGGAAAAAAAGTTTCGCCCGACGAATGAATGCGATATTGGAGCAGTTACGATCACTACAAGGACGGTATATCGGTTCTGTTGAAGAAGGGCCGGCGGTGGATATGCGGAGGAGCACTGAACGAGGCGGTCCATTCTCCAGCGAAACTGACTTTAATACCTTTCTCCGACAAAATGCTATTTCGAAGATTCCTAAAATATACCATCGTATGCTGGCCAGCCTTATGTCAGATACGCACAGGATTTTGTTTACTCACGGGGATCTTAGCCCCCGCAATATTCTCGTCCGAGAAGGTCGTATTGTGGGTTTACTGGACTGGGAATGCGCCGGATGGTATCCAGAATATTGGGAATTTGTCCGATTCTTTAGAAATATTTATACTCGGATCGACTGGCATGAGTACGCGGATATCATATTCACCGACTCATATCCTAGTGAAGTCATGACGGATCATTTTCTTGGACGCCTAACTAGACATTAAACGATAGAGGTGAGTGCGAAGTTGAGAGGGAGGGTGAGTGGTTATAAAAGGCATCAATCGGCGTGAATCGCACGTAAGTTACGGGCAGTTTCTTCTTTTTGAATGCCAAGACATATGTTCCAAGACGGAAGAGATCCATCGACAGACATGGAGCCCCATTGTGAGGAGCAGCCTCCTGAGGGGAGACGCTGCAATTGAAAGTGACGGTTTGGCCGAGTGGAAGATGGTCTGGGAATCGCCACTGCGTGGACATACTCTGTCCCTTAGCAAAAAATCATGGTAGGCTAGCAGATACTGAATAAGGTAAGCTATTTTACCCCGGGTGTAGTTGGGGAGTCTTGTCCAAGCTTTCCCGAGAAGCCTGAAGACGATACTGCTGCTGCTGCTGCTTAGCATTGTCCGGACCGACGAAGTAGCGCAACAAAGCACCCCTGTTGCACCGCCAGGGCCAAAAGGTTACAAGGAGCCGAGCTGAGAGACAGGTTCTCAGGTCCACTCGACATGAACGGCACATCACATTCGAGTGTCGGTGCGCAAAAGGAGGAGTAGCCTCTGGATGGGAAAGGTCAAACACGCATCAATCTTGGCCTTTTCGTTCTGGGGTTTATTGCTTGCGCTGACACCGTGGGAGCGGAAGCTATTCTGCTACCTCGCTGCGTCCGCGGTGCGTCCGTGGTACGTTGCCATAATTTCTCCTCGCCAGAACGTCTTGAAGTGTTCATCTCATCCACTGGGCATCGGTACGAAGTGGGTGGTGGTCGAGAGTCTCATTTCATTTCACGCCCACGGCCCTCAAGAACGTCTCTTTATCTTGCTCACGCCCGATTGCCCTGACTAGGTCAGCCATGCTTTCGACCTCGATGATCTTGCCGTTTTCGTGGGTGAAGGTCCATTCCGTGGAGGAAGAAGAAGAAGAAGAAGAAGAAGAAGAAGAAGAAGAAGAAGAGGCAGTGTGTTTCTGTTCTTCGTCAGAGTCGTATCGGACCTGGAAAGCCTGCCAATTCAGTGCTTTGAGTTCCTGGACGTGCGCGTCGACCAGTTCTCGCGGTCCAGAGAAGAGCATGATACCGGGGTAGCCGGGTTTCGTGAGGCCGGAGATGGAAATGGAGATGGAGACTGAGGCCGCGGGCGTTCCGTGGCCGGGTGCATGCATAGTTGTTGTCGGCGTGACGGCGAGCTTTCGCTTCGAGGTGGCGAGGAGGTGGTGTAGCCATATTATCACTGTTTTCGTTGCCGCTTGTCGTCTCCCCAGCAAGTCACCTCCATCGTGGTTGTTGTTGGCGGTGTTGGCGCTGGTTGATGTGGCACTGCCGCTGGCGCTGGCCTGGTTAGAAGATAAAGAAGAAGAGGAAGAGGCAACGACATCCTCGAAAACAGTGATGATCTGGTCGAGCACTTCGACACCCTCCTCAAGAGCCAGGGCACTACTAGTAAGGGCTCGACGCGTCTTGTCGCGAACGTCGTTCTTGCTGCCATCGCTGGCGGATATTAGTTCGGGAAAACCTGTGTTCGGATAATGGCTAGGGATGCGCAGGACGAGTGTTGCTGCGCTGCTGCACCCAGATGTAGATGACGCTGGGGATGCGGATGTGGACTTGTAGTGGAGTTCGCGAGTGTGGATGTTGAAGGTCATGGTGTCGGGGTACATCGCCTGAAGGAGGTCGACTTCTGTGTCGAGACGTTCCTGCGAAGAAGAAGGCATTGGGTCTGCCATTGTCGTAGACGACGACTACTTCGTGAAGATGTGCAAGGTTGGCAAGTCCTTCAGACTACCCGTAGGTGTGGGAGAAATGTCCTGTTCTTTTTCCGTTCCACTCCTTCATCGCGTCATGGCCATTGTAAGTTCGTCAATCCGTATGAGAAAATGCCCCTGGCAAGAGGTCTCGTAAAAGAGGTGGACAGATGAGGAGAACGAACTCTGGGAAAATATGGCAATTATATCAGGTAGTCATGGAGGGAATCCTGTATATATAATAATTGTTAAATAATGAAGTCATTTCTGGCCGATGTCAGCCTCGCCTCTTTTGATTCGCACTGGCAAGGCGGCGAGACGGCGAGCTTCTGATGGAGCTGCTTTTCTGGTCGTTCGCAACAAGGAAAGAAAGCTACGGACATGGACGTGGAATTGGGACACCGTGAGATGTGTAAGTTTGATCACTTTCGGTCGTTCTTTCAAGAGTACGAGTGCATCGCTGTCAACCCAAACAATATCTGCACCTATTCTTATCGTCTAGCGACTGGCTTCTCTGTTGCCCAAAACTATTGCAATTGCTGTCGCCCAACACCGATCATCTGACTCATACAGAAGCCCATTGCCAGGGGCCACAGCGAAATGGTTGTGGGTAACGCTATCCGCTCAAGTGTGCCCTGTTGCGTGTCATGTGTCGTGGGTACTCGTGCAGGGCTTAGTTGCATCTGGCCGCCTCTAGAGCGGTCCGTGAAGCTGAAGGAGAAGATTAGAAAGCTACCATCAAAGGTCATCCTTAAGCTCCTGAATCTTGTGGTAGATTTCTCTCAGAACATCTTCTTTTCCAACCTGGACAGAGAATTTGCGTAAGAATTGGATTGATCAGCAGACTGAAGGGACACTGCTCACCTTGATCTGGAAACCCGTAGGTTTTCCTTCTTCTAAGCCGGTCAAATGCATGGTTCTTCCACTCGGTTCTTTGCCATCATGTGTCCCAACATTCATGTCTTTGAAGACCGGCGTGTTCAGGACAAGTCGATGTACACCATCTGTTCGCATGATTAGACGAGCCTTCCGCTCGACTGTCGAAAATTCGGCCTGGTTGCCAGCCTCGACGTCTTCTTCCGCTTCGGCCTTTTCTTTCTCAGGCGTGCCGTCTATTGCCTTGTTTTCGTAACGAATGTTAATCTTGAAGACTCCAGCGCCACGTTCTTTCCACTCCTTCTCGAAATGGTAAAGCTTCGCTCTGCACGTGAAGATGGTCTCTTCCTCTTCTTCGCCCGTTGCGACTGCTTCAAGTCAGCTTTGCAAAACCAAAAGGTATGATCCGACTTACTCTCTTGTTCCTTAAATCTAGGATCTTGTGGGGCATCCACAGTCGACGCTTGCGCTTCGTCTCCTTCACCTTCGTTCTCGCTGCCTTCTTCCTCGTCTTCGTTCGTCGACCCAAATGGCTTAGACTTGCCAAACGTGCCGGCCGCACCCGCAGCTCCTGCAAAAGTTGATACACCAGTACCGAATGGTTTTGGAGCACCGAAGCTCCCACCAAATCCCCCAGCCGAACCGAATCCACCACTAGATCCAAACCCAGCCGATGGCTTACTTGCGAAAGGCGACGGGCCGCCGAACCCACTTGAAGCTGCGCCGAACCCACTCCCTCCACCAACTCCGCCGAAGCCGCTGCTTGCTTTTGCTGTTGAACCTACCGATTCGAAAGGAGACTTCTCTGAAGAAGCGAACGCTGACAAGCCCGAAGAAGCAAATGCTGATGTTGAAGTAGATGTCTCCTTAGCGGCTGCAGGCTCAGATGCTTCTGATGGTGACTTGGGAGATTTGAAACTGCTGAAGGGAGATGCTGTCGAAGTATTGGCAAACCCGGAGGAAGCTGGAATATTTGACAAGGATTGTTGCCTAGTGGTTGAGGATTCATTGAGCGTGTCATCTGAGGTTGTGGGCTTGTCTGTAGCAGCAGGCTGGTTCTCGTCCTTCGAACGTGATGAGACAAGGACCCCTGGGCCGCCTGGTGACTTTTGCGCATCGTCGTCGCTCTCCTCTTGCACGGGGCTTGCGACATCCGACAACTTATCCAATCCGTGTACCTCATCGTTGCCCGAGACTTCTCTTGACCTCATCCTCTTATGATGACCCTTCTTGGGCAGTGGCGGTCCGCCATTCTCGATTCCGGCTGGAGAGTCTTCGGTCTGCAGGTCTTCGAACGATCGCTTCTTGGACGGTCGCCCTCGGAGCCCGGTCTCTGTATGAGTCTCTGACATAGGATCGCTTGCGTTGGCTTCGCCTGACTGTAGATCTTCGCTTCTAGCAATGGTAGTCTTCTGCAACTTCTCTCTGGTTGTCTTCTCTTCTCTTTCGCCATCTGAGCTGTTGTCTTGGGGCGCACTATCTTCTCCGAGGTTGGTATGTTCAGGAGGATGTGCAGTCCCGTTCTCTGAAGCCATGTTGTGTGCAGACCGTCCAACAGGGCTTCCACCGCCGTTGATGCCTTTCGTTACGCCTCTGTGTGCCCTGTTGCTCCGTGACCCCGTATGGCAGTCGAATCTGCCGGTCAATTGGCTTTCCCCTGTCGACTATGAAAGCGGCCCTGCACGAAAGGCGTAAAATGAAGGTTGTGGGATGTTTCGTTCCGTCTCCGCAAGTAGAAGACTCGACACTATGTCCTTGACTCTCTTGCCCTCTTCCTCCGTTTGCACGGGAAAGTAGGACTCGTGCGTGTCAAGGTACGTCGCCGACAAGATCCGTGCGGAGGTACTCGAACTCGGGTAGGGTGTCAGAGGGCGATGACGAGTTGGGTCTAGAAAGAGGTGAAAGCGGCTTGTCCCACAGACTGGTGAACAAAGACCGGGTCAAATACAACGGGACGCCAGTGGAGGGTGGTAAGCCTTATCGTCGAGTACAAACAGAACAAGAGGAGAGACGGATACAAATTGCAGTCAGTGCCTGTCATGAAGGGTTTGTTGGAGTTGACAGAGTGATCGTGGATGATTGCGCTTCGGTTCAGATTCAGGCTCCGCACAATCAAAAATCATCCAATTACGCCCCGCTTGACAGCCTGTGATATTGCATCAGACCACGATTATGGGATGGATGAAAGGCATCAGTAGGGAATATATTGAGTCCACCTGTTCATCCTTCTCTGATAGAAGTCCTGTTTTACAGCCGTATTCGATTAAGAGTAGCATTACCCGTATGACCGCCGCTGGTCTCTGGGAGACTAACTAATAAAGCAGAGGCATCCCAGGCCAACATAGAATACAAACAACGGGTATACACTTAAGGCAACCCGGTTCTTGACCACTCCCGAGCCTCCAAGGATGCTGACTCCCGCTGCCAACGACCATGCAACAAGCACAATGTAGACTGGAATGCGGGCGATCATAGGTAGACCAAAGGCACTGAAGAGCGAGGCGATGGTTAGGGGAAACAGCGTATACCCGATAATGGAGACCGATTGCATGAAGGAGCTGTGAACTGTCAGCACATCATCAGTTGCGATGCCATGAAAAACTCACATGTTGCCGCCGAGCAGTTTGATCTGGAGTGTAACCACAGCCTCGCCGATCCAGATCATTGAGAAGACTCCAGAGAACACTAGATCGCTTTGATCGCCTTTGTGCATCGACAGGAACACGCTCAGAAGCAAGCAGAATATCAGAGGACCCCTATGCGGATAGTCAGAGCGAGTTTGAGGTTCAAGAAGCCGAACGGTACTCACCAAAGATCCCAATCCCGGAGACCCTCACTCATTGCTCCTTGTAGGATACCGTCTGCATCAGGCCATCGTCCTACAAGGCCACGCAGATCTCTACCGAAGCCCTGACTTTCGACATCTCCCATGCCGTTTCCTTGCCTCTGTAGCATACCACCTAGTAGATATTTGGGCCAGAGGACTTGTTTCATTTTCTCCCATACGGCCAAAAGATCTCGAGAGACGGTATCCCATACGCTCTCATCAATTGTGTTTTGAGGAGCACGTCGATCTTCACCCGGTATTCTCGAGGTCAGGTAGCTCTGATTCAGGGGGGCGCTTGACGAAGAAGACTGGATGTTGCCTGTCAGTGGTGCGCGGTCGGATGTGGTTGCAGGCTCATCCGGTTCGACCTCTGTAGGGGTCAGCCAATAGCTCTCTGAAAGAAGTTTGATTGCGCACCATCATTGAGAAAGTCATCATCGAGGACCGCGTGGTCGTCGTCATAAGGATCGTTGGACATCCCGCTGGCCATTGTCGCAAAGCTGTCCTAATACGCAAGCTCCGACAGTCAAAGGCGACCCAAAGCTGTGCAGGTGGTGAGGTGTGCTTATAGAAACGATTAGCGGAGTACGAGCGTCGCAATGCTGGCAGAGAATGGGACACGTAGTAAGGAACCAATGCAGGGGATTGCAGTGGCAGCCGTCAAGCCAACATTTGGTATTGCGGCATGTGCAGGGCTGAAAGACGCGTTCACCTAGCGATTAAAGGAGTCGCTGCTTTATCGATTGCCCAGCATCATTCCACTATCGCCTTGGTATTTGGCGGCGACGTCGACTCCTGCCTTTGCATCCACACGAGAAACATATTTATCCAGCATCATGCCCTGCCTGTTCGGTGGAACGAGCATCTTAAGCCATCACCGGAGCATATCACCCAAGTCTTTTATTGCAATGCCGCTGACGGACTCGCGAGATGCTTGACATTCCACTGTGTTACAAGTCCGCAGAGATTGGATTAGGCCTACAGATCAAGCCCTGACGAACATGGATTCCAAGGTTTCGGCACCTTCGCTCTATGTCTCCCACTTCCTGTCAATGTGGAATGCCCGAGGTTTCGAATTTGGTGCGATTCTCTTCCTCGCAACGATATACCCCGGGACGCTCTTGCCTATGTCGATCTATGCTCTAGTACGTGCTACGGCAGCAATCGCTCTCTCCCCCAGCATTGGCAACTTCATTGACTCGAGCGAACGCTTGTCTTTGATCAGAGTCTCGATCCTTGGTCAACGGTTGGGTGTGGCAGCTTCTTGTGCCACTTTTGTCCTGTTGTTCCAACACAAAGATGCTCTTCCGAGCCATGTGGTGGTCTTGCTGCTTGTCTTCCTCGTCGTCCTGGCCTGCTTGGAGAAGCTGTGTTCAATCATGAATACCGTTGCTGTGGAAAGAGACTGGGTGGTCGTAATTGCCCGTGAGGATGATTCGGCGCTCCAAGTTCTCAATTCACAGATGCGGCGGATCGACCTATTTTGCAAGCTTGTGTCTCCATTAGCGATCGCGTTGCTACACGGCTGGTCACCTCCCATCGCCGTCTGGTCGACTCTCTTCACCAATGTGCTGTCCGTTGGCGTGGAGTATCTCCTCATTGCTAGGGTGTTCCACCAGGTGCCAGAGCTGGCCGAGCGCAGACGGTTATCACAGCTGGATAACCAAGATCCAAGGGATGTCGAGCTGTGCCCAGATCAGACACAATCACTTTTACAACCAATCTTCTTTTCACGATACCTTGCACCGATTGGAGAGTCGCTCCGCATTTATGTTAGACAGACGGCATTCTTACCTTCTCTTGCCTTATCCATCCTATACTTGACTGTACTGTCCTTTTCAGGTCAAATGACAACCTTCCTTTTGGCGACACCCAAACCCAAGATAACATCAACAATGGTGGGAATACTTAGAACCGTCTCCACAATCTCAGAAATCTCATCGACATGGCTGGCTCCGAGGATGATGTCCAAGATCGGACCAGTCCGAGCTGGCATATGGTTTCTCTCCTGGCAGATCCTTTGGTTGACTTCCGCTGTTGGTGTTCTGTGGACGGAGACTTCAAAATACCCCTACTCAGTCATGTCAATATTCATCATTGGGGTGATTTTGTCCCGATTGGGCCTCTGGTCTTTTGACCTCTGCGCACAACTGCTCATCCAAGAGTCAATCAGCCCGCCTCATCGTGGCTCGTTCTCCTCGGTGGAGATGTCTTTGCAGAATTTCTTCGAACTCTGCGCCTTTGCTACAACCATCGTATTCTCCAAACCGGATCAATTTCGATACCCGTGCCTGTTCTCACTTGTGGCGGTCTATTGCTCTGCCGCGCTATACGCCAAGTTTGTTCGCGACCGTCGTGGACATCTCCTGCATTTGCCGTCATGTCTGAAATCGGCTCATGATCGAAACGGACACGAATATCAATCCTTGTCAATGGAACTGGAGTAAGATGTACGCTGCAAGCCCAGACACCTTTATCACAATCCGTCTACTAATGCAGCTAAGACTGGGGAGGAACACTAGGTCAAAGCTGCGTATCCGGAAGTAATGCCAAATGAATCCCAAGGAGCATCAGGAAATTCACTGCTTGGCGTCTGACGAGGTAGAAGCAACCGGATTTCCGACTTTCTGCTCGCTGGCCTGCCATTACAGTGGCAGCATGGGTGCAGGAGCGTCTTCTTTACATTTGGCGACTTGCGTTGTCCGAGAGGGCCGGCTGAAGCTGGATATGCATTACTCGATGTGGTCAACACTGATATCTCGCCTTGTCCAGATTGGGCGATGTGCATATGCAGTCTGTAGTCTGCCTCATGCCTGGCGGCGCAACGGACGCACGCTACCATCCGGCAACCCAAACATTTCATCTGAAGCCGAAATCTGGGAATTAATTCCGTCAGAAGCACAGAAAATGCTTCGATTATCAGCATTGTTCCAGCAAGTCGGTCTGCACAAGTCGGATCAAGCAAAGAGTTGGAAGAGACATCTAACTCGCCAGACCTTTCCTTGCGGCCGCCGGACCTGCGTCAGGTCACAATGTCCCGCGGGGAACTTGGCCCGCAGGAAGTAGTTCTCTTCCTCAGATTATTGCCCCTTCTCTTTGCACTTCCAAGGTGTCCTGCAAGGCCTCCTGCTTTGATACTTCCTGGCTCTTGGTATAACAAACATATCCGTTATACGTGCCGATATCCGATGAGGACCGTGGGAAGAGACGCGGGCTCTCGCACTCGAGTCGCTTTACTCATGCAAGTCTCTGGTGATGGGAGAAGACGGGACGTACAGCAGTGCCAGATCACTGTTGCAGACTTTCTTGGCCATCTTGTACAGCAGGCTAGACCTAAAGAATCCATTGCCTTGGAATCGCCTAGTCTATCTTCAAACATCCCTGAAACACGGCGCGCAAGACCTGAAAATGGTTTCGTATCAATGCCTCGAATCGACCTCCGCTTTCATCCTGAGAAGCGATATCCTGCAAGGTGCAAGGGTTATACATAGTACACAGCAAGCACGAAAGGCACATGCCGCCGGGTTCGGTGCCTTCGCAGGGGTTGGCTCGACCAATCTTCCACGTAATTCGTCAGTACTACCTAGCAAGTTGTGGATGGGAACAAGATGCCCGCGCTGAAACGAATACGAGGTCTCGTCTCCGTGTGCATGCGTGAGTGCCTTGAGACCTGGCTGGTGATTATCAGTTATACGTAGTTATCCGATGCTCCTACGTCCTTTTGATCCAAATCCAGTCCTTTTGATCTGATCTTTGGCGGTCAATCTGCAAGGGCAGAAGTACGTAGTATGGACTTCCCACATTCAACACTGCAGTGCGCGGGACGCTAATGACGGCGCTGCATCTTGTCTACGTACTTAGTATGGTCAGGACACAGTGACTGGTTCGCATTACCATGTAGATACATAGTACATAATACTAGGGCGACCGCCGTGACCGTGGGATACCAATGTGCCACCTTCACTTCCCTTGTATTTGTGGGGATCCTACTACGTAGTAAGTACTTATGGTAAGGTAGTTGCTATTCCACTACAACGTAGTACTGCGCTCGACGACTCGTACATAGTAGATTGTACTCCGTATCCAGATTCCAGGCAGTATCCAGACTAACTCGAAGATACCTAGGTGGCCTTGGTGGTCAACTCGAACTTCCACGCCAAACGAAGACGAGCTTGTCCGTCTCTCCACTACGTATGTTAAGTTAGTCCCGCCGTCCATAGTACTGTACTGTACCATACTATGGTAGTAAGTGACAAAGGTGGGCCTTGTGGCCACTGTCGAAGTGTCAAGCCCGTCACTCTCATCAAAATCCATCCATCAACATTCGGATCCGACATTTGCCGGTCGTTCACAGAGCTACGGAGTAGGGCTCGTGCCAAAGAAAGAGCAAAGCACCAAGAGCTGCCCCAGGAAAGCCTTCAAGGGGGTTGCGAGGGGCGGTTGCTGGCTGCTGATTCAGCGGGGTGAGGGAGATTCCTCTTTCTCTTCCTCATATCTGTTACTCAGTTCTTTGATATCGGTTTCGTTTCCCAAAAAAAGGACGCGGGACCTTACGGACGGGAGTACTAGTATTTCATTTCATTTCTCTCTCGGTGTGTGCTGCGTGTCTGCCAGTAGTGTCCCAAGTTCATACTTGTGGCCTCAGCCAGAATCTGAAGCCGTGTCATGCAATAGGGACCGAGAACAATGAGCACTATATGAAAAAAAAAAGTCCACGAGAAATGGATGAGAAGCTGCCTGCTGAGAGATGATGTCCTCACCATTCAATGTAATTGCACAGCAATATCAATTAGGCATTTCCTTTCTACAATACAAGAGTTGTAGACTGCGTATATAAGCGGCTCTTTTTGGCCTTTCGCTCAATATCTCATCTCATCTTATTTCACCTCACCTCACCTCCCCTCGTTACATCAAGGGTAAAAGACAATGTGAAGAAATCAAGCACTAGTGGGCATCAATTTTCTCGTCCACTCTGCTTGAGGGGTGGCCGTCGTTGGGTGGCTCAAGTACTATGTACAGTACTACCAACGACAACAGTGCTTGACCGGGGATGTGGTCTAACTAACTAAGGGGGACGGAGTATTGTTCACATACCATAGTAGAATTTTGATTCGGCTCGATTTCGTATTGGATTGATAAGAGGGCGGAAGTATAACGTAGTATAGATGTTGGGTGCGGGCGAAGGTCGTTCTGCTCACGGCGGTTGGGTTCAGGACCTTCTTTCTTCGATGGGATGGGGGGGGGGCGACTTCTCTCTTCCGTCGGCATTTGTTTGGTTTGCTTGAAACGAATGAAGACAGTTTACTACGTAGTCGGCATCATGGGTGGACATATTACTACGTAGTATAAAAGGCGCAATGGCGCGATGCAAGTGAGCAAGTACGCTTGTATTAGCATGAAGCTGACGCCGATCGAAAATAGAAGAAATTGAAGCTAGGTCCTGAAACCCAGACGCTGCAACGAGCGAGGGGTGACTGTTTCAAATCACTACGTATCGAAGTTCTGTGTGTGAAGATGTGTTCCGTTCTGTTGCCACCGCCAGGGAGAACATCCAACCGAGAAAAAGATGGGCGTTCCAGCATACATAGGACACGGTGCTTGATGTTATGGGGGATGGTACTCTGTAAGGGGCAGAAAGCTTGTCCACGGCTGATCTCCCGCGCAGTCGGAGTCGATGGTTACTGTATCCAGGCCTTTAATCTCCGTCGCCTGTGAGGATGGCCTCGAGGAGCTCCCTCAATTTGGTTTCCTTCTTCCACTGCCCTGAGCATGTCCCTGTCCCTGTCCCTGTATGTTTGCGACGCGACCCTCTCCAAAGCTCACACTGGTTGGGCTCACACTAATATTGCTTCCTCGCTCGCCACTTTCGTCGCTTATAGGGCTGAAGTTATCCGTCGTCGACCCGGTTTCTTCGGCTGATTGCGTTCGAATGTCGAGCTTTGCAAAGATCGCTTTCAGATCTCGGACGTCGGTAAGCGCCTCTGCACTCCTCACCGCGTCCGTGCCTTGTCGTTCCACCACGACTCTCCGAATTTCAGTCAGCATGGGTATATTGCCTTCGTTGTTGGGTAGCCACCAGTCCTCGACTCCATCATCGCCAGCAAGGTCGCGCGTCAACCCCCACATTTCTGCCATTTTCCGCCTGAACGTTGGAGGGAACACATAGCCCAGTCTTTCGATAGTAGCAAGTTTCCTCCGGGCCCACATGGTATGTTTCGCATCCTTTTTGAGGAAGAGCAATGCGATACCCAGATTTGCGTGTACTCCCAGTATCGCACCGTTGGGTGCATCGGGCCATCGCTCGATGGTTTCGTATATTCGGCAGATCTCCAGGCTCATTTGTTCCAGTTCGGGTGGAATAGGTTGTTGAAGCAAGAGAGCGGTCTGGTATTTTTGCATCAGCTCAATGCCATACCAGTCGAGCCACATGAAGTTGATGGGCCAAAGAGCGTCTTTGAAGAGACCCCCGGGAGTGTAAGGGTTGACAATATCATCATCGTTCAACGGGCGCTCCGCGGCCACGGGGAATTCTTTCACCCGATGATAGTCGTCGTTGAACGACTGAATATGATGCTTCATTTCGTCGAGTCTCTGGATGATTTTGGCGTTTTCCGCTCGAAAGTCTTCGATGCCAATTTCTCGCTTGGCGAACCCGGCGAAAAGCGCCGCCATGTCCATTCCCAGGAGGCGGTTGGCAGCAACGAAATACGCCAGTGTATTCTCAATGTCGACATCGGCTTCTGGACCGGTCTCGATCTGGTCATGATACCAGCCGGAATTCGCCTCGAACCATCGGCGCTCCAGCCTTGTCTCGTTGCCGGCCATTAGACCGACTATCACATCCAATCGAGCATACCAGCTGAATATGCGACGCCCTAGGTCCGTTTCCATCATCATATCGCAAGTAAAGAGCTCTGTGACCATGGTGTAAGCAGCCCGGTGATGACCCACAAGGTTAACCCAGTCTCCAATGTATTCTTCAAAAGTCGCCAGTTGCAATACTGTGAGCAGTGTCGCTTCTGTGACTTTTGCATTCTTCTCCAGAGATTTCCTGAGCATCGATAGTGATTTGGAATGGTAATTCAGGAAGTGCGATAACCTGGGGTTGGGCTGCTGCAACTCGTAGTGGTAGGCTGCAAAACCTACCACGGCATAGAGTAGCGGCTCGTAAGTCAAAGCCAGGTCGATCATCTCACTATGCACGAAATCCGTAGGATCCAGCTTGTAGAAGTAATGATAATATGTCATGTACTCTTGCTGAAATTGTAGATACTTCTGGATATCGGGTTTCAAAGATCGAATTTTCGCTTGTCGGGCTTGCATGTCCGCCGAATAGGTCATGGTACGGATGGAGGAGGCAGGCGTCTCGTCTCTAGACCGGGAATCTGACATGTCCGTAGACAGTGGGCTAGCGTGATCCTTGTGGGCTGGCGGCGTGTCTGATGTGACCTTGGTCGCTTTCGTTTGGTTCACAGATTGAGTGCTGTTGGTCCGCTCTCGGGAAAGTTGTGAGCGCATCTTCGGCGAAGCGGGCATCTCATCTTCCTCTTCGCTTTCGTCCTTGATTGTCGCTAGTCCTGACATAGCTTCGTCTTTGTGTTCGTGCTTCGTTGAGTGGTCTTTGGGGCTGCGGGACTTGTCGTGTTTGGACTGCTTGGAGGATGAAGTCGGCTGTGGAAACTCGCATTCGCGATTGCCTTTTCTGCATCCTAGGCATGATCAGCTCACAAAGGATTTCATCCATATACTTTCGAAGACCTACTGTCACAGATCGGCCTGGTCTCATCGCACTAGGGGCAATGTCAGCACAATTCTGTGGTGATCAACGAGTTCTTGTTACCTTCACACGTCTGCTGCGACAGGTAAAGCAACCACTACGTGTTCTTCGATGCTTCACGCTGGCACTTTCCATGTTGGTCGCTTGCTGACCACCAGCACGTCCACCAAATAGATTTGACTCCCTATCGTACAGTTGATCTGTGTTGTTGGGATTGTACCAGAAAGCAACGCCGTCAAAATGAGTTGGAGGTCCCGCCAGTCTGCCATGGGGGTATCCTGCGTTGAAGTTTCCACTGTACACTGTGTACCTAGGGTCCATCATATTATGCATTGGCATATTCATGCCATGATCGTAAGGTCCGCTCATGCCGAAATGAGGCAGTCGCACAGGCGTCCGTGATAGCTTGACGTGACACGGATTGGCACAATCTTGGGTATTAGTAGGGCAGACTGATTCTCGAGCGCTTCTGCGGCGACCAGTAATTGGCGCCAGGCCAACGTAGCTGGAAACGTAGTGACTGGGTGAAGGCTTTGCGGTGTTCGCCCGGAGTGGTAATTTCGACCGTCTGGTCGAGCAGAAGAAGTCTGAATGTAAAATCGTGAGCCTTGTGAGCCTGGTGTAACTGTGACCTTGATTTCGTGTGCCTGTCTCAGTCCTTGACCACCAGATGATTGTCAATCTGCACAATATCCAAAGGAGTGAATGATTTCGACCATGCCACAGGCACGGCAAGAGGATGGTCGATGTTCGTGCAGTCGAGCAACTGATGCCGGGTAGAACAGCGCCTGTGTTCACCTTGGATCATGCAAGATCTTGTAGGTGTGTATGATATCACCTCGATCCGTTGCGATTCTGCGTGGCGCATACCCGAACAAGGCCGAAAACCGGTGTGAAAGGACGAGCTGCTTCGATCAATGTGCGGCCCCTAAAGGCGCATCCTAGGACAGTGAGGATGTGGTGATAGAACCAGAGGTCGAACCCAAAGCAATTCGATGCCGCCCCGTTGCCAACGTCGGTGATGTTCCACTCAATTCATATGACAAGGACCATCCGATCGGCGATAAAGACACTCAAAACCGGGGAACAATGACTTTGTGTCAGTGGGCACATCGAGGCCTTGAAATTAAAGGGACATCTGCGGCAAACCTGAAGAGAAACATAGATTGCGATTGTACAACCGGAATAATCTGTGTTTTTGAGACGAATATGAAAAAGGTCAAGATTCCAAGTCGATGGGGGGTATCCTAAGGTTTCTGAGGACCCGCCGAAGGGCCATTGGACTGCAGAACGCTATGCCATGATGGTGGCTTTCGGGGAGAACCAGGATGTTCGTCCATCCCAAGTTGCCAACCGCTTTGGCTTGCAAGTAGTGTCGTCAGACATTTATTACCCCCATGACTGGGGCCCTGGATGGTCGATCCCACTTGCGATTGAAACACGGGCCTCACTGGAAGCCCTTGAAGCCCCAAGCTTTGCAGCCCTAACCAATTCCAGACGACGTACTGGCGTGGCGGAAAATTTGGTGCCTGTTCAGCATGTGCACCAGTGCTCCATGCATCATGAGCCGCACCGACATATTCTCAGCTAGTCAATGGCACTAGAAAGACCTGCTCATGGCGCATATAGCGCTGCCTTAGCCTACGGCCCGAGGTTGGGTTTTTCGAATCTCCAATGTCTTACCACACAGGCTTGAAGCCTTTTGACGGGACGGATCACCAAACTCTTGCATCCGTAGCAAGATTCAGCTTGCTGGTCGCACTGGTTGGTTGAGGAGAACGCCCACAGTCAGGATCTGAGGATAGGGCGGCCTCAGATGAGATCCTGGACGCTGGCACGGAAGATGAACTAATTGAAACTGTCGGGACCCGAACTATAGACATATAGGAAATTGGCTTTGGACGGAAATGATCGTTGTCGCCGTTGATGGCGGAGATAGTGCTCAATTCGGTCCTGCAAAGCCTTTAGTATTATTGCACCTTCCGTCTCCCTCGTCGCCTGGTGTTCTGGTTTAGCGTGGCCATGCTGGTGGGATTCGTCATGCGCATCGCCATTGTCTCCCAAATTGTGCAGGAGCCATATGTTGTGGTGGACGGCCAGGCAAGTTGAGGTCTGCGCAGAGAGCTTGTCGAACAGGGCAGGTCATTATTGTTGCGGGATTGTTCTTTCAACATGTGGCGGCCCGGGAATCGCAAATGACCGTGGAGGGTGAATCGAACCTTTGCACGCTTTTGCAGCGAAAGCTAATGCCACGTTTCTCGGTCCGCAGAATTAAGCAGTTGGCCAACATGGTCCGGCGAAAAACCACGTTGCATAAGTGGCGTGCGTGAACAATATGGCAACCCCTCTTAGCTCGTGTGTTTCCAAGAGCATTATTACTCCGTAAGTGATGTGGAGATGGCTTGAGAGACCGCATATCGTCGATGTACTTTAGCCCAGGGGAGCTAAGGGCGTCTGCATGTACGGAGTACGGATACCAGGGATTCGGATTGGCCCCCAGAAGGCTCCGAGGCTTCTGAGGCAGGGTGGTACAAAACAAGTACACAGATCAGGTCGTCCGTATTGGCCATGCTTTACGGTGATGCCTATCAGCGCCAACCTCAAGAACCCATCACAACGTACGTCTAGCGCTCAGCATCTCTGTAAGTGGCATATACAGGTGACACTAGACTTCAGCAGTGTGCTGAGACGGGCGTGTACGTGGGCGATACGTGACACGAAGACGGGATGGATCTCCTTTGAGCAGAACCAAGCCTTCGGCGGGGGTTGGATTGTTGACTGATGCAGCATTTCGCATCCCTCACGAACGGCGACATGTCAAATCGAGTCTTTCAGGGGTGTGGCTCCTTCACGATGGTTGGCAGAATTCTGATCACGGCGTCAACCTCTGCTGTGCGGTGCAATCAACAGTGACCAGGCCGTGGGCGACCACCTCATTAAGGCCTTCAGACGCTCATGACTGCGTGAACCGGTACCCCAGGTACGGTAGTTGATTGACATCAACCAGGTGGGCTGAGTGAGAACTTGACCATTATTCACTCTCGAGGCTGTGCCTGCTCGTACTGTAGCTACTGTACTTGCACTCGTGGGTTGGCGGGTTGTCTGGGGGCCTCGTAGAAGCTTCCCAAGCTTGTACTACTGGCACAACTGGGTACTAACTTAGAGGTGTGCAAACCCCAGTCGCAGATCGTCATGCGCCCAGAGAAGCGGCTTGCTTCTTCCTGCAGGCTTCCAGGTGCCGAGGGCGTGCGAGGGATGCCTACCTTAGCACTAGGCTTGTCACGCTTGCCCACTGTGATCGAATTGGTGTGCTTAAGACTGAGCTATTGACAAATTTGACGACGGGGTGAGAAACCAGGCCAATTCTTGTCGTCCTGACCGGAGTTCCCGAAACATGGTCCGCCCACAGCTCGACATGTACTGCGTCCCCGTAATATTATTGTGAAACTGGTACCTCGCTGACTGCTTCGGAGACAAGTCCCTCATTATTGGCGATCCGCTAGAGCCTAGATAGGACGAAGACTGTCGTGACTGTCTACTGGTGGCCGTCGACTGAGTGTCTCCGTCGATTCATACAGGCCGGTGAACTTTCGAGAAACTAAGTCTCGCTGGGAGTTGCCGTGATCTTGGCCGCCACGGCAGCCATTGCTGGCTCGTACCTGAAAGCTGCGCTGGGGTTTGCTGATTCGGTGTCACAGAGGAGGATCGATAGCCATATGGATCGGGAAGACCAATCAAGACCATAATGCCGAAGAATGACAGCAAATGCGGCAAGCCAAATGGAGACATTTACGGGAGTCTGTCAAGAGGACAGTCGAGTCAATGGGCTTATGATAGGTGCATGGTGGGCAGATGACATAATGATGCACGTCTTATATTGGGCAAATTCACGGAACAGAGGAGTCGTGAGAGTCTTCTCGTGGGAGGAAAATCGAAAATCAAAGGTTTCAGATGCGATACTGTAGTGACTGTGTAGGCGTGGGATCTGTCTACTGTGTAGACTGGCAAAAGAAGCATGGAAATACTGTAGTACTCGTTGCGTCTTACCCTCAAGTCGCCCAAAGCATTTCTTGTATACACGTGGCTGTCCCGCCCCATCGACCCTCGCTCGTACTGTTCCCCAATACTCCGGTACTCACTATCCATATCGGGAACGACAAGGAACAATACGAGATACTGCCATGCAACCTGATGCAATGCTAGGCGTCGACATGATGTCCTAATGACTGTAATGACTCAATAAAGCACCGAAAGCATGGGCTACCCCAAGATCAGAGCCAACATCCAAGACCTACCTAAGGTGTTGGAAGTCTGTTCCGTGAATCAGGGGGTTCAAGATGGGCTTGAGGATCGTCTTTGTTGTTTCTATTGATGTGCGTGGCGCTCAGAATTGCGCAGGATGCCTTGTAGTGGTATAGGTCTTCCCCAGAGCTATTTTGGTCACCATGTCTGAGGACAATCTCCGGATGCATCACCGGCTAATACGAAAACGATGACTGCCGGCTGAGTCCAAGCCATTTCGCATCTGTTCTTGCATCTCAATTTCCGAGACTGTCGCTGACCAATAAGTGATGAGGCATCGTTTCGTCAACAACATGAACGCAGACACAGAGTCGATAGGCATAACAGAACTGGCACCGAAAATGGCTCATGGCTGCAACTGACACGTACATTGCTGAATGTCATGTCTCATCCTAAGTTAGAAGCTGCACTGACTCCCAGGGAAATAGAAATCATACAGAGAAGCCAAAGGCAACAAAATTCGTTCCCAGACCGCCCCAGGTCCCAGCACAGTACTGTCGGAGGTATGCGAGACAACACAATCGCCCTTGAAAACCGCATCTTCAGCCCCTCTATCGCGGCTTGTGGCTTGTATGAATGCCATTTACCGTACGGTCGTCACAAGCATCGTGAGATTGAAGGTGACACCTCCAACTGAAAAGTCCGTCTCAGCGGATACCCAACGAGCGCCAACCCAATAGCCTGTTTCGCAAAATGTTCAAATGAGATTCGTACAGCATCGTAAGCCTTGGCAAGGGACTGCTTTCATCGAGACCCTGTCTCGGGGCAGGACTCATGTGGTGACTGGAGCTCCTCCAGCTGAAGAATCCGAAGGCATGGCCTTCTCTTGCACGCCCTGACCTCGACAGAGAGGACAACTATTCCGGCCAGTTGTGAGCCACTAGAACTTGTCAGCGTGATCTTCATGCACTTGGGAAAATGACAACCTACCTCGTCAATGCACTCACGGTGGTAGACGTGCTGACATTTGTCTAGACGTCGCACTTCCTCCGAAGATGCATAGTCCGATAAGCAGATAAGACACCGCTCCCCTTGATTGACCATGATGGAAAGGCCATCGGTCTCCGAAAGAGCTTCTCCTCTGAAACCAGACGCATGATCTACGAGGCGAAAGAGCCCGCCCGCGGAACTCACGTCCTCGCGTGTCGCTACCGGCGGCTTGACCGGTCCCAGGAGGGTGGACAACATCTGCATATCCTCATAAGAGGGGTTGTCTGTGAATAGACTTGGCATCGTAAACGCAGGATGGTCAGGCGAGACATTCGTGCCAACCACGTAAATGAGCCAACTTCTTCCGGCTCCAACAGGCGGATGGTCAGGCTCGACCATGCCATTACGCCTAGCCGCGCCAGAGCCCAATTCAGGCCGGCGAGCAAATTCCGAGTCGCTACGTCTGCGTTGTCTGGCCGTGTTGAAGGAGGTCTCTGAGGGAACATGGTCGTGACTGGGTGGAGGTCGGTCTTCATCCAGTTCAGGAAGAGCTGGGTTTTGAGCTGCCGAGGCTGAAGAGGGCCTGCGGATGGGGGAGGCTTGCCCACTCCTGATATCGGCTGGAGTTGAGGGAGGCGGATTTGGTCCTGGCGGGCTTTCAGAAAGTTGTGGTACACTTCCAGCATCAGATGGCGCTGGTATACTCTGCTCTGCTGTACTTGACAACCGCCCCATGCTAGTGCGCGTTCGCTGATGTCTTTGGGTTTCGTATTGCGCAGGGAAGCTGAAATTGGTCATGGAATGTCGTCGAGGACTCGACCTTGCCCTTCCATCTGACCGGCCGAATAAGGCGCCAGAACTCCCATTTCGTAACACATTCGCAGGTGGTAGGAAAGGAAGACTCAGTAAGGTATCCAGACTTGGACCCAACGTCCCGTTCTCGCCGCTGCCACTTTCTTGACCATGAGGCAGTGATCGCACGCCGACCAAAACCAAGGTCACAGATCTGTCATTCTCACTGGGCGCTGTGATTGAGTCTATGTCCATTTGATCCAAATCCCGAGACTGCGCTTGCGAAGCGATTGGGGACCCATTTTCGTCGTTCGGGAACTGGAAGACTCTCATGAAGTTGACTGGACGCAGATCCCCGTCTGCAGAGTTGATGTCCAGGCCTTCTCCTGCCTGTGCTGTTGCCGCATCTTGAAGGGTTTGCACAAAGTTCTGGATACTACCGTCGAATGTATCGCTACCGAGATGACTGCCGCCAGCATTGCCCACGGTAGCGTGTCCTGAGAGTTGAGCTGCAATGGCGGCTGCTGCAAGTTGCAAGACTTGAGAGAGAGGTGGGTGCTCTCCCCGTCGTATCAGCCGCGTCGAACGCGATCGCAGACCGGGTTGAAAACGCCTAATCGTACTCATTCCAGAAGTGACCCTTGGACTCGCCAACAATGTCCGCGCTTCGGGCTCAACCGCATCCAATTCGTGAGGGGCGTCGTCCGTCTCCATACGCTGATCACTAGACTGGAGTGAAGGTAGTAAATGATCGGATTCGTCAGGGAAAGTTGCCCTTGCTGGTCCAGCAGGTGACGCTCTCCCCGTCTGACCTGGTTCAAGCTGGTCGGCGGAATGCCCGAAAAGACCGGAAAGTCGTGCAGAGAGCGAAATCGAGTCACGTACTCTGCTGAATCGGTTGCGATGGCGAAGGGAACTTGTAGCTGGAACAGGTACATCGCGAGTACTATCGAAAAGTTCTGCAGCCGAAGCCGCGGGGTCCAACGACTGATCAGAGTCGTGTAGAACTGGGAACGGCCCCCGGATTGCGCGCCGTCTAGAATCCGTCCGATAATTGTTCCTCCTCGTGATCGAACCTGTGAGTGATAATCGATGGTTGGACTCGTTGTGTGGTGATCTTTCGTACACAGAACGTCGAGACCGTTCTGAAGCTCCGTAGCGTAACGCGTGTCCCTCTTCTGCAGTTTCCTCACCACTATTCAAGAGACCTCTGGCAACAGAATCTGGCAGGAGTCGTGACCCGAGTCTTGACATCGCTGTTCTCGTTCTAGACAGTGGCTGCGCCACATTATGCGGCGAGGAGGCATCTGGCATGTCGATGCCTCCAGGACCTACCAGAGGTCTATTTTCTTGTTCATATTCCATTTCCTCCAGAGATGGCGACGTGTGCGCTGCACTCGTCCGCAAAGTCGTCGATTCGTTCTGTATATGGCGGCGTAGGGCATCGTAAAATGTGCTAGCTCTTTGTCCGGCTGCTCTGAAGGAGGCAGGGTTTCTTCTGGCTCGGCGCAGGCTTCCATCGCCCGAGCCATCATCACCATTTGAGGATACATTATTGTTTCTTGCAATCCTAGACTCTTCTGTTTGTCCGTCATCCGCCTGACCACGTGGGCTAGAGGTCGTATTCCCCATGGTGTGTCGACTTCGCCGCCTGCTCAACAGGTTGCGCTACTTGTGTGGCATGGCAGTTCGGGGTCATGCAAGGAGCATTCGGCGGACGTGACGGAAGGTAGGGACGCTTTAGACCGTTTGACGGCAAGGCTGATCGCTGCGACCACACTGGAGAGAAGTTTTTCGAGGATAGGCCGTCAGCAGTACACGAAGTTCATCGAGGCGCTTGAAGAAGAGTGACGGCTTTGTCCTCAGCCGATGCTTGTAGGATGTCGTTCGTGCTGCATAGTAGTGTGCTTGAGATATTAACAACGAGATCAGCAAATATCGTGAATAACCGAGCAAACAGGGATTTGTTTGGCAGTGAAGTCGAGTGTTAGTGGTGATCTGTTGGAAGGCTGAAGTGAAGCGAGGCGACGGCGCAGGCGGAACCAAACCAAACCAAAGAAGTTGAGCAGCACAGACAACCCTGCCATCGATTTGCAGAATGTCGTCTGATCAAACGCCCTAGCCCCCAACCAATAGTACCATCATCATGCCAATAGTCTTGAGATCTTCTTTTCCAAGTCTTCCTCAATCCTCTACTCGTACTCTTGCTCATACGGAACCGAAAGTGCTACCGGCCTGAAGATCCGATCCTCTCCTCTGGAAGCGTACCGCATGCACACGACCAGCTCAGGACCTTCCATCCGAGGCAGAGCCTCAGTCTCACCGGTTCTCAACGTCTCCTACAGCATGTCCACGATATTTACTCCGCCTGTAGGCAGTCAGTCGTTATCTGGAAGCGCCAGGCGATTAAAATCCCCAGGGAACAAGCGCAAGAGAAGGAAGGCAACAGATGAAGCAGACGAAGTACATGAGCAGGATGAAGCTGCTGATATCCAAAATCCCGCGCACAAAATTGCTGATGTTGAGTACACAGCCGTCGTGTCTCCCATGGCACGGCACCAGCGCCGTGTTGCTGGTCAGCCTTTAGATCAGCCTCCGCCCTCTTTGCCCTTTCCTCATGCCCAGACCTCCTCGACTGGTAAGGAAAAGGATTTTGCCAGAAGCCGGCTGTCCACCGCACCACGATCGCAATACGCCGAAGCTCCACGTTCCCTACACCTTCAGCATCTGGCTGCTTTGACGGCTATAGTACACCGGAGTCTTTTCGAGGAAGACTTTTCCCGTGCTTCGCGAGCTCTGGGCTTGTTGTTTCGAGACGCTAGCATCAGGCGCAGTGTTGCTGTCCGCAACCAGGGCTATATGGGCATCGGTGCCGAAGTATTGCTGAGGCAAGGCAGCATCACCAGACCAGCTTCTGGCAGTACCTCTGCATCATTTCCCTTCGCACGTGAAGGATTTGAGAATGCTAAACGCTTTTACGAGAGACTTATTGTGAAACACCCTTATCACAAGTCCTGGCCAGGCTCCGTTAATGCTGTGGACTTCTACCTTGCATTGTTCAACATCTGGATATATGTGGTGCATGCAGAACACAATGCTGAAGTACCTGTGCCTCCGAGGACTGAGAGTCCTCCTGGATCACCGCAGCTTCTCCCCTCGCTGGAAAGAGCAGACGTGCGCTCTGAGCAAAAGGTGAGAGAACTTGAAGAGGCGGAGGAGATTGCTGCAAGGATGGACACCTGCATGGCGAGTCTACCATACAAGGACGAGCCTGAGCTAATCAGGTTGCGTGCCATGGTTGCTCTGTGGATTGCTGATCTTCACGAGGTCATGGCGAGAATTGCCCCAGCTCATGTCGAGGTGAGCGATCCGGACTTCTCTGATCTGAGTCTACAATTACCCCTCGTCGACGAGGGGCAAAGTTGGCCTTTGGATCACAGTCACGAGGCTACGAAGGCCCGGGTTCTGGCAGAGGAGCTTCTAGCTAGGCTAGAATATGCCACGGACCCTGATGAAGACGAATGACTTGCATGAGAGTTAAGGGGGATCGTCAGCAGCGTGAAAATTTAGGCCCGAATGCGGCGAACAGACAGCGGTCGTGAGCAGTCAAATCAAACAGCCATGCCGTATTTCTTGGTGCTTCTCTGGCTTATGAAAGACAGTCTATAGCACCACGTGTGCCAGGGCCCTCGATTCGTTCGAGTCTTTTCTCAATCGACTCGGACGCCAGGGCGCTGTGGATGCCATACACGTGACCTGCATGCTTCATTCACCTATTCTGATTGGTTCATCTGACATCTGCATCGAGCATCTGACCAACTGTCTATCGCTTCTTATTTCTCACCAGCTCAACGCGCCAGCTTCAGCGCTGCACATGCCCCAGAGACTCTTGTCTATTGCTGGCGACTACTCTGGGCCCTTTCAAGATTGCTGTGCTCGCCACTCAATCCGCCTCATGACTCGAAGTATGAACTTGATTCGTTGGATCGCCTTTTCCATGAACCTTTCGCTGCAAGAGATCCCACGGGACGGCGATAAATCAGCAAAATGCAAAAGCTACGGGTGAGAACGCGACACAAAAGCAGTGTCTACTCCTCTCCTTCTCGCTTTCCGCCAGAGTGTACCTGTTGCTTGCCCTCGATACGCAACAATGGACCTCTTCAGCTACTCAGAATGGCAGCGACTCAAGGGCTTTCAGGTTGATATTGCGCTCATAGCAGGGGGCTTTCTTGCCCTCGTGACCATCTTGGGTTGTCTCGTGTACAAACTTGGCGGGCATTTGAGCTTTGAGAAGATCTCAGCACATCCCTATGTTCGGTTCGCCTACGTCTGTCTGATCAAGCCTCACGATCACAACAGTGAGGCTGGGCAACAATCGGCACTCGAAAGCTTCTATGCTGCTCAGGTAGGTCATACACTCCATGGTCCCTCTTGACTCATAGGTTTTAGGCAAACGTATACGACGCTACAAGAAAGCGCCTGCTGCGAGGAAGAGAAGAGATACTGGCGGTACTAGCGGCTCAATTGCAGGCTCGGAGCGCCTCGAACCAAGCCCGTAAGCCGGTATGGTATGACATCGGCGGTGGAACAGGTTACAATATCGAAGCAATGGACAACCTCGTCGGCGTCGAAGGCTTCTTCGAGCATGTCTTCCTGGTTGACTTGTCTACTTCGTTGTGCGACGTCGCGCGCGAACGAGTCCGCCAAAATGGATGGAAGAACGTTACAGTCTTATGCCAAGACGCGAGAACGATCGCATGTACAGCCTCGTCAGCTGATCTGATCACCATGAGTTACAGCTTGTCCATGATCCCAGACTTTTACAGTGTGGTTGATTTGATCTCGGGCTTCCTCGCCCCCAGTGGCATCATCGGCATTGTCGACTTTTACGTGCAGAGTATAGTGGACATTTCCTCCCGAAACTATATTGGAGGGACCTTTAATCGACACGTGAACTGGGTTGGAAGGATGTTTTGGCGAACATGGTTTGACGCCGACCGAGTCAATCTCGATGGTGGCCGAAGAGACTACGTCGAATACCGCTTTGGCACGATTCTCTCGGCAAGTGAACGGAATTATCTGCTTGGAGGGTAAGTCATCCGGACAGTCACAAATTCAAGCCTACTGGTTCCTCGCGGCTACATCGCTTGGAGGCTGCGAGTATCTTTGAGAGACTAACAAACCGAATGTAGAATACCCTACTACATTTTTATTGGATGCAGACGAGATGCAGATACCCTGGGCGAACATGGCCACGAAGTCCTCGAAAAGCTTGATGCTGCTCTGACCGAGTCGCCTTATCTTTCACCCCTGGAATTCCGCAAGCAACAAGCCATCGAAGCCCAGCAAAGTATGCCGCGATCCAAGTCGTACGAATCTGCCATTGTCAACCTAAGCTCCAACCTACCTCTGCCTGCTACCTTCTACCAGCAACACCACTGGCGAATCTACTACAACGATCTCCTCCAGAAACATCAACAATTCGGCAACGAGTACATCTACGCTTTCAACTGGGAAGATCCCAAAGTCGACCGGCAACTTCTGCAGATAAACAAAGACGACGTCATCCTTACCATCACAAGCGCCGGCGACAACATCCTCGACTATCTTCTCGAGCGACCTAAGCGGATTCATGCAGTCGACCTTAACCCGTCCCAGAACCACCTGCTCGAACTCAAGGTCGCCGCCTTTACTGCCCTGCCGTACAGCGACGTCTGGCAATTATTCGGCGAAGGCCAGCATCCTAACTTCCGCAACCTTCTCCTCCAGAAACTCAGTCCCCACATGTCTAGCCAAGCATTCCAGTACTGGTTGAACCGAGCGTCTATCTTCTCGACACCGGGCGGACTGTACGAGAGCGGCGGCTCAAGGCACGCGATCAAGCTCGTGCGACGACTCATCAAGCTGTTCGGACTCACTGCCAAGGTGCGCACGATGTGCAGAGTCGAGACCTTGGCCGAGCAGAGGGAAATCTGGCCATGCATAAGGAGGATACTGCTCAGCTGGCCGTTGCACAAGGCTGTCGTGTCGACGGAATGGTGGGCGTGGAAAGCCGCCGGCGTTCCTCCCGCTCAACATGCACTCATCGTCGATGACTTTGCGCAGCGCTCGAAGTCGCCCAAGACCAAAAAGATGTGCGGTGAAGCCGTTTGGCAATACGTGGTCGACACGCTGGACCCTGTCGTGGAAACCACGCAGTTGAGCAGGGATAATTACTTCTATTATGTCTGTCTGCAGGGGAAGTATTCGAGAAAGTATGCCAAAACACTGAGCCCTGCCATTCGATGTTGTTTTGCTGACAGGGGTATAGATGCCATCCTAGATATCTGGGCGCAAAGGCGCACCCGCAGCTGTCGAAGCAGAACACCTTCGATGGGCTGCGAATTCACACAGACGAGATCATGGAGGTCATTGCGCGGATCAGTCCTTCGACCTTAACTATTGCAATCGTGAGTCGACCTTGGAAGCCTTCCCCGGCTTGCCTACTCAGCCGATGAATCTGAATACTAATCAGGGGATGTGTGTTTACAGCTCATGGACTCAATGGACTGGTTCAACCCGGCCGAGATGGCTGCCCAGGAGCAGATTGCTGCTCTGAACAAAGTGATGAAGATCGGGGGACGAGTGCTCTTCCGCTCAGCATCTGTGCGGCCATGGTACACGCAGATCTTCGAGCAGAATGGGTTCGAGGCCAAGTGTGTCGGCCGGAGGGATTCAGGAAAGTGCATTGATCGGTATGTTGTCCCGGTGAAAACGCCGAGTCTCTAAGCCTTGGAAGGAAGAGCTAACACGTTTGGCGGACAGAGTCAATATGTATGCTTCAACGTGGTTGGCCACAAAAAGGGCCGATATGGTGACGAGTCCCGTGGCCGAATTGAACAAAGTCGGGACTGCAGCATCGTTGGAGGAACTGTCGATATGAGGTACGGGTTTCACGATTGACGAGCAGCAATGCCCGGCCCCAATTCGAAGGTTGCCGGATTCTTATCTTCGACAGCAAGAAACTCTCAATCGGGAGACGGCACGGATTATGGACATCCTAGCCACGATACGGAGGAGATGATGATGATTTTCATGGATTCAGCATCGCATTGAACAATCATAGAAAGCGAGCAGAACTGGCTCAGTGCTCTCCCCCTGCCCTGACTGCCGTGCCGCAGGAACTAACTAGACCAAACCTATATCACACTTTGACATGCTGATAGAAATACATTTTCTGAAAACAGCGATTCGTGCCCTAACGACGGCCATATGCATTGCGTCTTTGGTCTTTGGTATGTTGTCTTGTCGTTATAACGAGTGGAGTGGAGCGGTAGAAACCACGAACTCGATACAGCGTCCAGCAGCCGGTGCTGAGTAGTTGGGCGAGAGCTGGTGAATGAACGTTTAGGTTCTGCTGCCTTACTCGTCGAACATATACCTAGGTAGCTCCCGACCCCTGGTTTTCGAACTAAGTCTCCCTGGATTGTTGCTCGGAATCGGCATCGCCATCGGCATCGCCATCGGCATCTCCAACGCCATCGGTGACATCCTCGATCCTGGCTCTGTCGGACCCAGAAGCGCCGGTCGTGATCCCAGTCGAGGCTGGTGGGTAGAAGATTTCTTCCTGCATTGTGGGCTTGCCGGTTTCTTGATGCACGCGGCGTACGGTGGTGCCATCACGGTCATTGCTGGTCATTGTCTGGACGTAGCGTTGTGAATGACCTTGAGGATTGTCTGATGAGGAGGAGGTCGAGGAGCTGAATGACGAGGCAGAAAAGGAAGAGCTGCTGTAGCTATAGTTGTTGGACATGACGGTCTGATGGTCTGATGGTTGGCCTCCTGGGGGTGATTTGCTTTTTGCGAATCCGAATACCACGTAGGTACCACGCTCGGCTTTGTGTTCGCTACAAGGATACCGTTGGATGGATGACTGAGTCGGTCGATGGGCAAGTGTGAAGTGATATATAAGTCTGTTCGAAGGAAGGGAGAGAGAGAGGAATGAACGAGAGTCAGACTGGACTATTATGTTGTAATGGCCGGCCCGCGGATAGCGGCTATCATACTACTCGTACAAGTATTGGCTGCGTCACCTCGACAGGGAGTGATTCGATGGAGACAGTGGTGGCAAGATGGAGTAGCGAACATACGAGTAGCGAGGGAGAGAGACAGAGGGCTTTTCGTGCCTACTAGCATCGCGAGTTGGTGAATGGCCTTCACCCACCTTGAGGCCGAATACTGCGGGGAATATGAACGAATATGAGGCCAGAGGACGGATGACATCATAATGTACCTCAGCCCACGCAAACGAGCAAACGACGAACCAGCCACCTAGCAGCTGCCGTATCGTGAAATCGATGCTCCTCGTAATAGTGACATGGACAGGAGCTGTGGCATGCTGAGCTGTGGCATGCTGAGCTGTGGCATGCTGAGCTGTGGCATGCTGAGCTGTGGAATATGTCGGCTGGAGAAGGAAGCGATGGTTGCGCTCTCGAGTAAATGCATTCTGAATCCTCAAGCTCTGATCGTGTTGTAGGAAATGGTAGGGTGCATGGCTTTCCTTCAGACTGTGCCACTCTTTCTGTCGTTAGCTGTCCGAACAGAATCACGGCGCTCTGTAAGGTGGTCAAAGGATCCAGCTGAATAATATCATGGACTCGTTGCTCGCCAACAGCAACATCACAATGGGGAGAGAGGACATCACCATGCGCTTTGAGAATGCCCACCAACGCTTCTTGAAGGGTGCCAAAGCTACATAGCTAACGCATCGTAGAGACTGAAGATGTGGACTGCCAGTCTTCAAGCCTTTGCTCGGTTGGTCAGTGGTCAGACTGCTGGCTATTTCTGTCTTTTGAGAAGCCTTTCAAAGCTTGTGAGATCAAAGGAATGTAGGTCATGCATGCCTGTGCGCATATTCTTCTGTATGCAGTCAATGCTGCGCGTGGCCACGACCAGACGAGGTGACCATTGAATAAGTCGAGGTCGGAGTCAATTAATTGGCCCTCGCAAGTAACGCCAATCGATAAGGTGATAAGGAATACCCCGCTTGTCAATCAGCCCACGTTTGAGACGTTTGTTGTCAAGTCCTCCGTAAATTTGGGTACGACAGATCAGGGGGAAAGCAGGATAGTAGCCGTGGCTAATATGTGTTTCAACTTGAGAGCTGGTGTTATTGTGGACTATTTTGAATTGCCCGTCGCAAGCTATCAAGTGCCGTATGTATTTGTTTTGCTCTAGCAGCAATCACTAGCGTCTTCAGTTCAATGAGTGTCGGATTCAGCTCATCTCCAGCACCCCAATGCCAGCCGGTTTCGTGTAACTAAGCCATGTGTATTGAGAAGCAGAATGCAGGAGACAAAGACGTCAAGAGCATGGTGTTGGCAAGTTTATTTCTGTGTCGACGGTCAGGAACCGGTCAAAGCAAGAGGTTCGTTCAGCATACGCATGTGCATTTACCCGCGGGGCAGCCACCTGGTTGTCATGTTAGCCGCAGCGCCTTGGGGCGAGTCTGAAAAACGAGGGACTTACAGTTGGCGCCACAGCTGCAGTTGCATGGACCTGAAGCCAAAGTCAGCGACATGGGCACTCATAGCGGTCGTGGCTGAAGGCCATACCCATTTTGTATTGGAGAGGGAGTGCTCGTGTGGTGAATAGAGATTGCGTATGTGTAATGTTGGACCGCGTAGGCTGGGAGATCCGAGGATAGAGATTGCTTGTTGCTGTTTTGAGGAAAGGAAGAGGAGAACAGCAGACAAAAGGTCGAGGTGAGCAAGTTTTTATGTTGTCTGGAGGCCGCAGCTGACTTCTTGGATCCCGCCGCACTAACCGGACTCGCTTGACACAGGGGGCCTCCTGCCCCTCAATGCTCGACTCTTCTCGACCACCAACAACAATCTTGGGAAGTCGATAGACCACTCAGCCGTTAGCTTTTCACCTCGGTGTCTTCTAGTGCCACTGCTCGTTCGAATGATTTGTGCATTGCTGCAGCAGTGCTTGCGTGTTGCACTCGAAGCGACCGTCGACTGTCGACTGTGAGCTGCAGATCGCTCGAAACCGGACAATTGGCGAGGCTTATCCTGACCGTCTCGTTGTCGATTCCAGCAGACTCATGTGACTCATTCGTCCTGCTTGTTCGTGTCTGGAGGCACAACCGGCTCGAGTCTGTATAGTGGAAGAATACTCTGATGCTAAACAGGCTCTCGAACGCCAGGTCTTTTGATAAGTCCGGACTCCGCCTACCTTCACAGTGTAACGACCACCGGGCACGAAGTGCTTCTGGCTAGCGCATCATGAGCACAATCGTGCAAGTCACTTGCTTGTGTGGGAAGAACTCGGAGACCCTCCAGTTGAACGCGCAGCTTCCTGTTAGCGTGGCTCCATGTTCTTGTAACATCTGCCGTTACAGCAGCGGTCTGCTTTATTTCTCATGTCTCCCTATCCCTTCGCGGCCGCATGTCCTCGAAAACTTGACGGAATACAAGTCTTCCTCAAAGTTGAGCAGATACTTCTGTCCGCAATGCGGCTCACATATGTTCATACACGTTACTGACCATGATTCTTGGGCCGTCTGTTCTGGCGTGGTCGAACAAGTGGTGGGTCATGAGCAGGGTTCTTGCCTTAGCCTGGAAAAGATCATGCAGCACGAGTTTGTGAGCGATACCAGGGATGGCGGTCTGGCGATCTGCCTAGCTGGCTTCGATAGCCATTCAGTGCCTCTCTTCTCCCAAGGACCTGATGGGGTGAGCTTTGAGAGGCCAACCGCTACTTGCCTACCAGCGCTGGGTCCGCACATTTATCCAGTGGTCGCAACGGTTGTCGATGATATTGCTGCAGAAGCGACTCGCAACGGCGAAATCAGCGCAAGGTGCCACTGTGGAGGCGTGGCCTTCCGCGTTACTCGTCCAAATCCGCATTCAAGCCTGTGTTCCTCTCCTTTCCCAGACTTGTTGGTCCCGTATCATTCGTCAAGCTCGGACAATCCTCAGGACATCAAGTGGTGGCTTCGATCGAGCCAGTCAAAATACCTAGCTGGCACTTGTGCTTGCAGGTCGTGTCGTCTTGGTTCTGGATCGCCAATCCAGTGCTGGTCATTCATACCCAAAGCTAATATCCTGCAAATGGATGGGAGCCCATTGAGGTATGAAATGGGCACTCTCAAGCAAATCGAAAGCTCTAAAGATTGCTTTCGGGAGTTCTGTCGTGTCTGCGGTGCGACGGTCTTTTGGCATTGCCGTGAGAGACCTGATCTGGTCGATGTCAGTGTAGGCCTATTGCGAGCCAACGAAGGATCAAGAGCTGAGAATCTGCTGGAATGGTGGACGGAGAGAGTTAGTTTCAAAGAAGATGCCTTAGATCAGAGTCTTATTAGAGACCTGGAAAGAGGGTTGAAGAATATTGAGCTGAAAGAATAGCTGAGGGTGTCTGCGCAGAAGGGCCTGTAATGGAAGCGGAGCGGTTGAGCGAATACTATTCCACTGTCCCTCCGGCCAAGGCATGCACAGCTCCAGCAATGGGGAGGGCTTGGAAACATCTAAATCCTCTGAAGCATTGAACAGTCGTATGGAGAAGCGCGAGAAGGGCTTAAATATAGCTAGGTACCTTAGATCTCCATTTCATCTACGGACTACTTGTAGCTACCTAGGTAAGGTAAGATGAGGACCTTAAGCAGGGCACGGTAGGGCTCCATGTCCTGGGATCAATCGACCCTTCGACCCTTCGACCCTTCTCTTGGCTTTATCAGAGCTTAACGTCGGCTATCTAGCCATATCGGGATTAGGTTTAAAAGCCGCGTCAAAACTCCAAAAAACCACGACTCGAGGTCAAATTTTAGATTTCGCAGTCCCCACGAGTCTTGCTCACTTCTTCACGTTCGTCCTTATCTCCCTTTCGCGTGTGTTGGATGAAGTCGCACCGCGATGGACTCCTACCGACCAGGCGGCGGCGACCATCGCTCGCGGCCGGAGTCAAACTCATATCGCCCAGATCGCCGTGACGACCACTTCCGACCGCCGTGGGCTCCACGCGACGGGAACGACTCAAATGGGATGTACTACTTCAGAGGTTCTCGCGACGAAGACGCTCGATCCCTTGACACGTACCGGCCCAGACCCAGGGAGCCTTATAGAAGAGATGGACCAGCTAGACGTGACCAGATGCGAAGATATCCGCAGGCGCCACGGGTGGCCCAACGACCGCTGTTCAGACTCGAGCACAACCACGAGGACTCGTCCCTTCTTGATCCTAATGCAGATTCCAAATTTCGCAGTCTTGACCAACTCAGCGATAGCGAGGAGGAGGCGATGGACCTTTCGGAAGATGAAGAGCTGGAACCACTCGCGAAACGAGCACGAATCGATAAAGATGACTCGAATACCGAGACCGCAGCGCCAAAGTGGTCAAATCCTGATCCATATACTGCTCTACCCCCGCCCAGCGAGGCAACTGCCAAGAGAACCGATGTTCTGAAGCTGATACGGAAGGCGCGAATTGACGCCACCCCGCGCACCGAAACAACGTCCAATCAAGCTGACTTCATCTCCTTTGGCATGGATGAGGTCGAATCGACGGACACTGAAGTCCAGCCTAAAACCGCCTCGATGGGCGCCACACCTTCACGCTCCGAAGTGCCTGCACAACCACGAGATGCTGTTCAGGATCGTGTATTGGGAAAGAGAAAGCGGGATGACGATACTGGCAAGCATCTCCCAGAGTTGCAGACCAACAAAATGGTGTACGGAGACAGATACATACAAAAAAACTGGGTGGCTGTCAACGGCAGAGACTCTGCGCCATGGATGACCGCCAGAGACTCGTCCGATCTTCCTGGAGTGGCGTAAGCTGGATATCCTCCTGTGCCGTTGCAAATATACTAACAATCTCAGCCTTCACAAAGAGGTCCTCGACTTCTACAACTGGGTGAAGCCGAAGGACTTTGAGCAGCGAATTCGAGACGAAGTCTTCCAGCGATTGCGCGCCGAGTTTCAAAAATGCTTGCCTGGTGGAGATCTCCACGCCTTCGGATCATATGCGGCTGGGCTCTATCTTCCCACAGGCGACATGGACCTAGTATACGTCACGCGAAATCTGAGGCCGGGAGTATTGCCAGAGCCACGGGCCTCACGTCCACTGCTGTCCAAGTTCGGTACATATTTGAGGAGGCACCATATCGCCAGACCTGGATCTGTCCTCGCCATTGGTGGTGCGAAGGTACCAATCCTCAAGTTCGTGGACAATATCAGCGGATTGAAGGTTGATCTTTCCTTCGACAATGATACCGGAATGACGGCCATTGAGACATTCCAAAAGTGGAAGGAAATGTACCCGGCAATGCCTATAATCGTGGCGATTGTGAAGCAATACTTAATGATGCGCGGACTCAACGATGTGGCTACCGGTGGATTGGGCGGGTTTTCCACTATATGCTTGGTCACGAGTCTGCTTCAACATTTACCAGCAGCAAAACAGCCTTTGAATCTAGGCGAGGTCCTGGTCGAATTCTTCAACCTTTATGGGAACGTCTTTGACATACGTGCGATTGCCATCAGGATGGACCCGCCGGCATATCTGGACAAGGTAATTGCTCCCATATTGTTTCGAATTTACTAACGCAGCCCCTCAGAATACCTACATGCCCTACATTTCCCGGAAAGACAAGTCAGACGCCCGACTCACCATTATCGATCCAAATCGTCCAGACAACAACATATCGGGTGGGACAAATCAAATCACTGAGATTGTGAGATGTTTCTCCTCCGCTCATCAAAGTCTCATGCTGCGACTTGATGACTATGAGAAGCGCACGGCGCAGAGCCCAACCAGCAGTCTGCTGGAATGTCTCGTAGGTGGGAATTTTGCTCAGTATGAGGCGCAGAGACAGGTGCTTCACAATCTTAGTCTCAAGTTGGCCCCTCCTCCCAAGTTGCCGGCGCCACCGAAGACATTGCCCACCAAACCAAAGACAAATGGGGTTTCAGCTACACCGGCTCTTTCCTCAGCCATGTCAAAAAATTCCCTGCCCGCGAGACCTCCTAGGGGACCTAAAAATGTACGTTATTGATGATGTCACCACATGCCACGCATCTTGACGCCTCGTAGGCCGAGAATGGCGAGCCTGGCTCGTCTGTACTGCAGACCTCTTCCACCGATAATGAAGAGGAAGAAGATGAAGAAGAGATTACGAGAGGGAACTCGACTGTCGAGCCGAAGGGTCTTTCGAAAAGCGAGAAGAGGGCCACGCGCTTTAAACGACTGCGACCTGAGCTGGCATCGTCTGTTGGCAAGACTCTGGGGAATTTCCAGGCTATGAACCTCGGAGGTTATACAACCAAGGAAGCGATGTTCAAGGACCTCTCCATCAGGGAACTTGCCATGACCAAAAGCCAGAACAAGAAAAGGTGAAGACGGATCTTGGGCAGACCCCAATGCTTGACCGTTGCATGCATGACTTATGTTGAGATTACCAGCGACATCCAGGCTTGCCCGTCCCGAAGCGGAGGAGAGTGGCTAGTGGGAGCATGTCTACAGTCTTATTGTTTGCATGCTTCTTCGAAGCCCACTTATTGCTGAAATCAAATAACATTCACAGTCTCTTTCCAAAATCGGCTACCTACCTACCTACGGCAGCCCATTGAGAAGCTACAATTTTGAAATGACTAATTGATGTCTAGGATGGCGCAAGGGCACGAACGAGCAGACTCGACCAGCACCTTGATGTGCAAGTTTCAGACCCTCCAATGCCAACAAATCCGAGACAGGTCATCTTTCTGCTGGCGTCTCTTTTCGAGTTGTTCCCTCACACGTCTTTCACGTTCCTGCGTCAAGGTAAGAAAACGTCTGAATCTCGACCATATCTCTGCTGCGAATTGCGACCACGAATCCAGCTCGGAAGCTGTCCCTCAGACCACTCCCGCCTCTTCAACCGCGGAGTCACTCAACGTGGACTCTCACGACTATCCAACGCATACGTTGTATGCTTGCATGGTTGCATTAACCAGAATCTAGCAGATCTCAGAATGAGCGAACGTCCCATACCTGCGTGATAGCTGTGGCTTTGACAGCCATGGTCTATCCAGTATCGGGACCTCCTCTTTTCTGATCATTTTTCTCATTGCTGTAGTGCTTGATGCACCGCAGCTGAGAGGAATTTGGTTACCGGAATGCGGAAGGCCGATCCACATTGGAGACTCTTTTCTCGCTGGAGCTCTAACGCTACCCAATCACAACCGGTGTCTTACCATTGTGGTTTCCATCTCCTGGAGGAAACGCAAGGCAAGCTCGGTTTAACTTCAGTTCGACCTTGGAATGTTCACGTTTGCCTTTTGGGAACATTTTGCAGCTATGGGAGGAGACTCGCACAATGTGAGGATGACTGAGATCTGGCAACTACCTGCCAAAAAGTTCACTCACATAGTAAGGGCGGACTGTTACCTGTGCATAGGTATCACACGGACTTTGCCAGGACTCCGTAGAGCCTGGTGTCATTCACAGGGCTGAGGCCTGGCCAGCCTGGGAGCCTGGGTTAGTAAGCCTGTTAGCCCCTAAAAGCCTCGCCAGCCCCGCGTCAATCTGTGATTGATTGGGGGAAGATCTTAACTAATGCCAAGCGGCCTATCTGCCTTTCTGCCACGGCGGCTGCGAACTCCACCTAACTGGAAAGTTGAGGAGCCTCCAAAGAACCTACCTCTGCTGCTCTCTCAATTTCACAACATTGTGCAATCCTTGTGTTCATCTTGTTGCCGGGAGATCTTTGTGAGGACCATGGTCCTGCACCATGGCGTTGCAAGGTCAGGGTCCCGACCCAAGTGAACGCATCTTCGTTGAGTTGCGCAGCAAGAATGATGAAGTAAAGAACAAGGCAGCATCTGAGCTGCGCGACCTCATAACATTGCTGTCAAGAGGTAAAGCTTCCATTTTTGTTGGGCTGGATAAGATGCTAATTGCGCGCTAGAATGGTCACCTGAACGCTTCGGTGCATTCTACGACAGAGTCACGAACCGGATCAGTAACCTCATCGTTCAAGCACCCGACCCAAGCGACAAAGTTGGCGGAGTCCTTGCCTTAGACCGGCTGATAGATTGCGAAGCAATTGATGCTGCGCAGAAGGCATCGAAATACTCGAACTACCTTCGGGCTGCTTTGAAGAGCAATGACTACACGGTACTGGACGCAGCCAGCAGAGCGCTGGGCCATCTGGCTCGGCCTGGAGGGGCTTATACTGCAGAGCTTGTTGAAGCCGAAATGACATCCGCATTCGAATGGTTACAACCAGAGAACAAGCAAGAGAGTCGCAAATTGGCCGCGGTCCTCCTCATCCGCGAAATGGCAAGGAATTCTCCAACCCTTGTCTACGGCTTCATACCTCAGATCTTCGAGTTGATCTGGAACGCACTACGAGACCCGAAAGACCTCATACGACGAACCGCTGCTCATTCCGTGAGCGCCTGTTTTGGAGTCATGGTAGCAAGAGACGCTCAATTTCAGGCACACTGGTTTGCAAAAATATATTCAAAGGCGCTCGAAGGCTTCCGTCCGACATCGACGGTTGATGAGACTCTTGGATCGCTGCTTATCTTGATGGAACTCCTGCAGCAAGGAAATATGTTCATGCACGATTTCTACAGAAATGCTTGCGAGATCGTGTTACGGCTCAAAGACCACCGCGACCCCAGAATCAGAACGCAGGTGGTACAAATGATACCGGTGTTGGCCGAGTACGCGCCCTTGGAGTTCATCAACAACTACCTGCACAAGTTCATGATATATTTGCAAGCCCAGCTGAAGCGCGAAAAAGAACGAAATCAGGCTTTCATTGCAATCGGCCAAATTGCGAAAGCTGTTGGCAGTGCCATCGCACAGTATCTCGATGGCATCATTCTCTACATTCGAGAGTCCCTCAGCGCAAAGACCAAGAACCGAGCAGCAGTCGACGAGGGCCCAATGTTCCAGTGCATCAGTATGCTTGCTGGCGCGGTTGGCCAAACGCTTTCCAAGTACATGGAAGCACTCCTCGATCCCATTTTTGCGTGTGGACTCACAGAGCCAATGGAGAGAGCCCTCGAAGATATGGCACACAACATACCTCCCATCCGAACAACGATACAGGACAAGCTGCTTGACCTCCTCAGTCTCATACTTGTACGATCTCCATATCGACCTCTAGGCTGTCCTCCAAACACCGTACCGCCCCTTCCTTCGTTTGCCAAGGACTATGGCGGCCTGCCTGCGGAGCATAAAGACCATGAGATCACTCTAGCACTCGAGACAGTCGGCAAGTTCGATTTCTCGGGCCACATTCTGAATGAATTTGTCCGCGATGTGACGCTTCGATATGCCACCAACGATAACCCAGAGATTCGACGCGCAGCGGCACTGACGTGCTGTCAGCTGTTCATGCAAGACCCCATTCTGCATCAGACCAGTAACAATGCCATTCAGGTTGTTAGTGAAGTTGTCGATAAGCTCTTGACCGTGGCTGTCGGCGATCCGGATCCCGACATTCGAATGACGGTTCTCCGCGCTCTGGATAAGAAGTTCGACAAGCATCTTGCAAGACCTGAAAACATAAGGTGCCTCTTCTTGGCCGTGAATGATGAAGTGTTCGGCGTTCGTGAAGCTGCCATCGAGATCATTGGCAGATTAACGACTGTGAATCCTGCTTACGTATTTCCACCTCTACGAAAACTGCTGGTCAACCTCCTTACTGGTCTCGGATACTCCAATACGGCCAAGCAAAAGGAAGAAAGTGCACGCCTAATCAGCCTGTTCGTATCAAATGCGACCTCTCTGGTCAGAACGTATGTCGAAGCGATGGTGTCGGCTCTGCTGCCGAAAGCCACAGATCCAAATCCAGGAGTTGCTTCGACTACGATCAAGGCTCTGGGGGACTTGACTTCTGTCGGCGGGGAGGAGATGGCCCAGCATATTCCCGAGCTTATGCCTATCATCATCGACGCACTGCAAGACCTTGGGTCGCACGAAAAGCGCGAAGCCGCTATGCAAACTCTAAGTTCTCTCGCTGTCAACTCTCAGTATGTGATAGAGCCATACACTGATTATCCAGAACTGCTTGGGATCCTGATCAACATGATCAAGACTGAAGCCCATGAAGATCTCAGAACAGACGCCATCAAGTTGGTTGGTGTTTTGGGAGCTCTAGATCCCTACAAATATCAGCAGCTCAGCGAGTCGGTGGCTGAGAACCAAAACAAGACCGAAGTACCGCCTGTTTCTGATGTCGCCTTGATAATGTCGGGACTGGCGCCGTCAAACGAAGAATACTACCCCACGGTCGTTATCAACACCCTCATGCAAACCATTCTGGCAGATCACACGCTGTCTCAATATCACAGCGCAGTCATCGATGCCGTTGTGACCATTTTCAAGACGATCGGCATGAAGTGTGTCCCCTTCCTAGGCACAATCATACCGGGATTTCTTGGTGTTATCCGAAGTTCTCACCCGACCCGCCTGGAGTCATATTTCAACCAGCTCGCTGTTCTGGTGAATATTGTTCGTCAGCACATCCGAGCTTTCCTGCCAGAGATCATAGTTGTGATAAGAGAGTATTGGAATGTCTCGAGACAAGTGCAGTCCACAATCCTCTCTTTGATCGAAGCTATATCCACATCTCTCGAAGGGGAGTTCCGGAGATACCTCGCCGGTCTCTTACCCCTGATGCTTGCAGTGATCGAAAACGATACAGATTTGCGAAGAGAATCTTCGATCCGGATCTTACATACCTTCTTGGTTTTCGGCTCCAGTGGAGAAGAATATATGCACATGATCATACCAGCAATCGTCGGCGTCTTCGAGAATCCAGCGGCTCCTCCCAACGCGAGGCGAGCAGCAATTGATACGCTCGGCAAATTGTCCAGGACCGTTAACGTGACAGATTTCGCATCACTTATGATACACCCACTTGCAAAAATCTTATCTTCGCCAGAAAAAGTGGTCACGAATTCCTCAGAGCGCTCCCTGAAAGCTGCTGCACTGGATTGTGTCTGCGCATTGATTTATCATTTGGGGCAAGACTTCGTCCATTATCTTCCTCTAATCGAAAGGGCCACAAAGACGGGTCAAATCAACTCCGAACGTTTCCAAAAGCTAGTTGAAAATTTGAAAACCGGAAAACCACTGCCAGTTGATTTTTATCCAGAGGAGCAATATGGTCTCACGGCCGAGGATACGACTTACTCGAATATTACGTCTATTAGACTTCCAGTGAACCAACAGCACCTGAAAAATGCATGGGACACATCCCAAAAATCCACAAAGGAAGATTGGCAAGAATGGATGAGAAGATTCAGTGTCGAACTTCTAAAGGAATCCCCATCTCATGCGCTGAGGGCTTGTGCAAGTTTGGCTACCGTCTACCAGCCGTTAGCCAAGGACCTGTTCAATTCCGCTTTTGTGTCCTGCTGGACCGAACTCTATGACCAGTATCAAGAGGAGCTAATACGATCAATTGAAAAAGCTCTCACGTCGACAAACATCCCACCAGACATCCTGCAGACGTTGCTCAATCTGGCTGAGTTTATGGAGCACGATGACAAATCCTTGCCAATTGATATACGGACGCTTGGGCGATTCGCGGCCAAATGCCACGCCTTTGCCAAAGCATTGCACTATAAAGAGCTTGAATTTGAGCAAGATCAAAACAGTCAAAGTGTCGAAGCATTGATCAGCATCAACAATCAGTTGCAACAATCCGACGCCGCCATTGGCATTTTGCGTCGGGCGCAAGTTTTTGGTGAAGTTGAGTTGAAAGAGGCCTGGTTTGAGAAGCTGCAAAGATGGGAGGAAGCGTTGGCTGCCTACCAGAAGCGCGAGAAGATCGAACCCGAGAATTTCGACATTGTCATGGGTAAGATGCGCTGCTTGCACGCTCTGGGCGAATGGAAGATGTTGTCAGAGATAGCTCAAGAACATTGGAACAGCGCAAGTGTGGAGAATCGCAAGAACATGTCAGCACTTGCTGCTGCCGCTGCTTGGGGCAGAGGCGAGTGGGATTCCATGGATAACTACATCAGCGTCATGAAGGAGAATTCGCCTGACAGAGCATTCTTCGGTGCTATTCTTGCAATCCAACGCAACAATTTCGTGGAAGCTCAGAACTTCATTGTCAGAGCTCGCGATGGTGTCAATTCAGAGATCACGGCGACCATTGGCGAGTCCTACAATCGTGCCTACAGTGTGGTGGTTCGTACGCAAATGCTTGCCGAGCTTGAAGAAATCATAGTCTACAAGCAAAGTGAGGGTCAGAAAGACAGACAGAATTCGTTGAAGCTGTTGTGGAACAAGAGACTATTGGGTTGCCAGTCGAATGTCGAGGTCTGGCAACGGATGCTCAAGGTGCGAGCCCTTGTTCTGACCGCTACCGACAATCCAGACATTTGGATCAAGTTCGCAAATCTCTGCCGGAAGTCAGACCGCATTGGCCTGGCAGAAAGATCGTTGGCTTCTTTAGGAGGTGTCAGTGATGCCGCTGCCGGCGCAGGAGCAGCACCGCCCCCGGTAGCATATGCTCGTCTCAAGTTCAATTGGGCTACGGGAAACCAGCAGCAAGCACTATCTTACCTGCGCGAGTTTACCATGCGACTTGCCGACGATTTCCAGCAAGAAAATGCAGCTCTTGCAAACGGCATCCACAATGACCGAATGAACAACATGAACGGCCTCGACGTGATTGGACAGGATGCTATCACTCAGAGGAAGAAGCAGGATGAACTCGACAGATGCGCGAAACTACTGGCGAAGTGCTATCTCCGGCAAGGAGAATGGCAGTCTTACCTGCTTAGGGGTGACTGGACAAGCCCTCGAGCTCAAGAACCTGTTCGAGACATCCTCCAATCGTATCAGGCTGCTACGCAGTATAACGAGTCATGGTACAAAGCATGGCACGCTTATGCCCTGGCAAACTTTGAAGTCGTGACTTCCATGGCATCTCACACCGATCAGGATAAGGTCCGAAATTTGCCGGAGCATGTCATACAGAATCACGTCGTCCCTGCGATCGGGGGCTTCTTCAAATCGATCGCTTTGTCAAAGACGAGCAGCTTGCAGGACACTCTCCGGCTGTTGACGTTATGGTTTGCCCATGGTGGTAACAGTGAGGTCAATTCGGCTGTCGTTGATGGCTTTGCATCTGTCAGTATTGACACATGGCTGGAAGTCATACCTCAATTAATTGCCAGAATCAATCAGCCAAATGCGAGAGTCCGAGCAGCTGTTCACCGACTGCTGGCTGAAGTCGGAAAGGCGCATCCCCAGGCTCTCGTCTATCCTTTGACTGTGGCTATGAAGTCGGCAGTTCAGCGTAGGGCCAACTCGGCAACTCAGATTATGGACAGTATGAGGGTGCACAGCCCAGTCCTTGTTGAGCAAGCTGACCTTGTGAGTCACGAACTCATTCGTGTCGCTGTCCTGTGGCATGAACTCTGGCACGAGGGTCTTGAAGAAGCTTCTCGCCTTTACTTTGGCGATCACGACGTCGAAGGCATGCTGGCCACGCTTGCTCCGTTGCATGAGCTGCTCGACCGTGGCGCTGAGACCCTGAGAGAAGTGTCATTTGCTCAGGCTTTCGGTCACGACCTTGCTGAAGCTAGGGCGTTCTGCAATGCGTTCCGCCGGTCTAAAGAGATAGGTGACCTTAACCAGGCATGGGATTTGTATTACGCAGTTTTCCGCAAGATTGCACGTCAATTGCCGCAACTGATGAGTCTGGATCTGAAATATGTGTCACCACGCCTCAAGGATGCGCACGATCTGGACCTTGCTGTTCCTGGCACTTATCAATCCGGCAAGCCGATCATCAAAATTATTAGTTTTGATCATGTCTTGACTGTTATACCATCAAAGCAACGCCCGCGAAAGATGACTCTGAAGGGCTCCGATGGTATCTCGTATGCCTACCTTCTGAAGGGTCATGAGGATATTCGACAGGATGAACGGGTGATGCAGCTTTTTGGTCTTGTTAACACACTTCTCAACCATGACACCGAGTGCTTCAAGCGTCATCTCACTATTCAGCGCTTCCCAGCCATTCCTCTATCTCAGAACTCAGGATTGCTTGGTTGGGTACCGAATTCAGATACTCTTCACAATCTGGTCAAGGAATACCGCGAGTCTCGCCGCATTCTCCTCAACATTGAACATCGAATCATGCTGCAGATGGCCCCAGACTATGACAACCTCACACTTATGCAAAAGGTCGAGGTATTTGGCTATGCCATGGACAACACTACTGGCAAAGACTTGTATCGTGTCCTGTGGCTCAAGTCGAAGAGTTCCGAAGCCTGGCTGGACCGACGGACCAACTACACCCGGTCATTGGCTGTTATGTCTATGGTCGGCTACATTCTCGGACTAGGCGATCGACATCCATCTAATCTCATGCTTGACCGCATTACCGGCAAGATCATCCACATCGACTTTGGCGACTGTTTCGAGGTGGCCATGCACCGCGAGAAGTATCCCGAGAGGGTCCCGTTCCGCCTGACCCGCATGCTCACTTTCGCCATGGAAGTCAGCAACATCGAAGGCTCTTTCCGAATCACCTGCGAGAACGTGATGCGTGTGATCCGCGAGAACAAAGAATCACTGCTTGCTGTGTTGGAAGCCTTCATCCACGACCCCCTACTCAATTGGCGTCTCAACACGCGCGAGTCGCCGCCCCGTCCACATTTCCGCTCCGAGCGACGACAGAGCCTTATCGACGCTCCTGGTGCGCAAGGGGCAGAATACGACCGCAGCCCCATGGAGACGGCGCATAACCCTGCCGCTGCAGTTCTGAACGGGAATGCACACAGCCATGTCGGCGCACCGCCTGGTAGACGGCATCGACGGAGCAGCATCCTCGACCCGGCCATGGGAGGTGGCAGTATCCTCGACGCGGGCAAGGGCACAGAGGCCAACCCTGCCGCGCAGGAAGCTAAGGAAGTACAGAATGCGCGTGCACTACAGGTTCTGGCGAGAGTAAAAGAGAAACTGACGGGTCGTGATTTCAAGCCCGCGTCGCCTGGCACGGCGGCAGCGCGGCTCGGTGCGGATATGAACGGCCTGGGCCTCGAGGCGTTGATGGACCTGAATGGCGGAACGATGAATCATGCCACGGGCGTGGTGCCGGCGAATGGCCCCGGCAAACAGGGACTCACAAGTGTCGCGGGTGCGACGCCAGAGACGACCATGGCTGGGATCGGTGGGTTGGGGGTTCCAGAGCAGGTTGACAGGCTGATTTTGCAGGCGACCAACGTGGAGAATTTGTGTCAGCATTACATTGGATGGTGTTCGTTCTGGTGATGTCCTCGTACTGTATCAGAAACGCGGGAATCGGGATGAATAGGATTGTATTGGCTGGCGTCCGGTTTTCTGATGCCATTCCTAGGTAATTGGGAGGATTTGCTGTGCTATGAAAGGAAGTGAAGGGAACGGAAATGGGACACATGATGAGAAGGGTCGTGGAATCAAATGGGCTAGCATTAGCATGGTGTCTATGACAAGGCAAAGTCGAGCAAAGCATAGCATAGCATAGGCATAGGCATAGCGTGCGTATGGAAGGCCTTTGAGAATAGTGTAATAATTGACATTTTTGAAGTGTGAACTCTCGATGTCCTTTTTAAGATCCCTTTTGCGCCTTTACATATCAAAGCCAGAGTATGGGAAGGAGAACAGAGAAGCTTTCTTTTCCGCCTTTCAGTCCTTGTGGAAATGCGAAAGGATACGCCCGCCGTATGCTCCATAAACTTGAGAATGAGAATGAGTCTTGGAAAGAAGACTAATATCATGTCACCCTAGATGTTTGCAAAGTCCAGGCCGAATCGGCTCTAATGATGGCCGTTGACACCGTTCGTGCCATTTTGCTGCTTGGCTCTGACTTGTCGCCTCGTCCGGACGGCATCCGCTAGCTGCTCGAGGACTTGGACCGTGGTTTCCCAGTCAATGCATGCATCGGTGATGCTGATGCCCTTCTGCAGACTGGCGAGACCACCCTCGGAAGGCACTTTCTGACTGCCCTCGTTGATGTTGGATTCGATCATGACAGCGACAATTGAATCCTCGCCCTGTCTTAACTGGTCACCTATTGTCTGGGCGACGCCAGGTTGGTTCTTGTGGTTCTTTTTGGAGTTTCCGTGCGAACAATCGATCATCATGACTTCTTTGAGTCCCTTTTTCTTCAGGGCTTCTCTTGCAGCCTTGACGCTCTCGGCGTCGTAGTTTGTGCCTTTTGAGCCTCCTCGAAGGATGACGAAGCCGTCCTCGTTGCCGCTCGTCTTGGTGATGGCAGCTAGACCTTGCTTGGTGACACCCATAAAGTGGTGTCGAGCAGCAGCCGCACCGACTGCGTCGATGGCAACGCTTAGGGAGCCGTCTGTGCCGTTCTTGAAGCCGATGGGGAAAGAAAGGCCGGAGGCGAGTTCACGGTGAAGTTGCGATTCTGTGGTTCGGGCGCCAATGGCACCGAGGGAAATGAGGTCGGCAAGGAATTGAGGAGAGATGGTATCAAGCATTTCGCTGGCGATAGGCATGCCCATGCCTGTGAGGTCGGCGTAGAGTTGTCGTGAGACTCGCAAGCCCTTGTTGATCTTGTAGGACTCGTCAATGTCGGGGTCGTTGATCAGTCCCTTCCAGCCGACAGTGGTTCGCGGCTTTTCAAGGTAGGCTCGCATGATTATGCACAGATCGGAGGATAGCTTCCCGGCGAGCTCTTTTAGTCGGCCCGCGTACTCGAGAGCTGTTGCCGGGTCGTGAATTGAGCAGGGTCCGACCATGACTAGAAGTCGGTCGTCTCGTTGGTGGACAATCTCTTTGCATTCTCGTCGGCCTCTGGAGACGGTCTCGATGGAGGCTTTGGAGGCTGGAATCTCGCTTTGGAGGAGGGCAGGAGGGATCAGAGGGTCGTAACCAAGGACTCTGACATCTTCGCTCAGCTCGAGAGGAGCGTCAATGGCAGGCATTTTGTGGAAGTGTTAGCGGACTTGGGTGACCGGGTCAGGACTGGGAGGAGGGAGACCAGAACAGGAGGCTGAGAGGCAGAAGATGTAGAGAAAGGCGAGTGAAATCTCGTAAAGAAGAAGGATAGGAGCTGCGTCAATGTGTGGAAAAGAAAGACAGCTTGTGGTCCGACAAGAGGCAATATGATTCACACCCTGCAAAAAAGTTTGGAACGTGGAGGGGCAGAATCAGACATTCGACAAGGCGGTGAAGGTGAAGAAAGGCCGAGACGAGTCTGCACCTGCACCACCTGGAATAACACGTGACAGTAGCTGCGAGGCTTGGGGGCCATTGGCACGTGACCTGGACCCTTGTTGGCCTGGAAAAATGTTCTTCCTGCTAAATCCTGCCTATGACGTCATTGTTCAGGGGCCGGTCTGGGCGAATCCTCTTTGTGCTTAACAAGGCAGCTGCAACCTGAGATACTAGTACCAGCACTGTACCAGGTATGCAGTGGTCACTGGGCCGAGAATGATGTGCCCTTCACTGCCTTCACCATCATCCATCAAACAATCAACACTTTTTCTCTCTCTGTACGTGTATCAATTTGACATTTTCTGCTCAGCCTCTTCGCTACGGCATCATTTTACCGGAAAGCTCATCATCCGTCTACCGCGTCATACATTGGCTGTTCGCCTGTCTTCGCTTCTCTTCGGTGACGCGCCCTGGTTGGTTCGTCGTCGAGATTGTCCGTGTTTCATCAGCTTTTCTCGTCAACCCGCGACACTGCCACCGTTTGATCGACTCCCTTTTCGAGAGGGGTCATGAACTGCATGAACTGCTTCTGGGAGAGATAAAAAGTTCTGGTCAACTCACCCTGTCGCGGCATTCGCCATGTCAACTACTGATCAGCATTTCACCGCCAATCTCACCATGACCGACCTTCACTCTGGCTTTCACTTCGACACCACTCCCCACAAACGGAAACGAAGAACTGATGATCCGAATGATGACCCTTTCACGCGGAGTCCAAAGAGGAGACCAGTTCACTGTTTGCCGATAAGGTTGTCTCCTTCGCGACCACGGCCTCATCCTCAAGCATTCTCGATGTTTACCTCTATCTACCAACCACCTCCGACACCTGTGGATACATCCGAAGACGAAAGTCCGTCTGAACCACGGGAGGAGAGCCTTTGGCCCTCCAAGTCTCGCTCAGCACATGACTCTCAGGGAAGTGATAGTAGTACATCTTCGCTGCAGGCGCAATGTGGAGATCTCGACGTCGATATGGATATGGCCTCTGCAGCACAGCCGAAGATAAGGAGGGCTCGGTCGAATGATATTATGCCTCCTCAGCGTGATACGAACTTCTTGAGTGCCATGGACACATTTGCTAGGGAAAGAGTGCCGACCCCAATCAGCAGCCATTTCGACAATCGTGTCACGGATTTGCCAAGTGTCCCGCGACATCAATTTCCGCCTTTGCGCACGAATCTTAGTCCGATGATCGAGCAGGACGCCTGGATCGGTCGAGATGGCCTGCCAAGTCCCGTTGAGGATCACGACATGGACAGCATGATGGTAGATCAGAGTGATGAAATGAACCAAGGCCAACCCACCAACTCCCAGGCGGAAGAAGGATATGGACTGCAAATGGACGGGAATTCGAGCCCTGGCAGGTCAAGGACGGCAAGACTTCACATGGGCTTTCTCAACGGCTGTGACAAATGCATCCAGAAGGTACCGGGACACTACAGCCACATTCTATGGTCCTGAAAGAGAAGCATGATATGTGTATTTGCATGATAAAGATGATGATACGATGGTTTATGAGGGCACGACGATACGTTTTATCACCCTAGAAAGATTTGTTATTGATGAGTGTGGGATGAGGGCGTTACGTGGCTCTTTCACGTTACCGGTTCTGCGTCCTGGAGGATTTCGATTCCAAAGTAGATTCATACCACCGTTTGAGATGGTGATCGCCCCATAAGCAATGAAAGGCATGACTTCAAACGTAACACTCTTACTTACCTGTTCCAAGATCATTTTATTGGCTGGTGCTATCACTGTTCGCCATACGAGAAACGCAATTAAGACTTAAGAAGCTACAACACAATCAGACTGGTTGGTGCTTCCGGTTGTACAACTCTCGTTGCGACTGTAAGAGAAGACATTTAGTTTGAGGGCGCTATACAGGTCTCTCCTTTTCGGCAATAGGTGTACAAATTAAATGTCACTTTGCAGCGGAAGATGTCCCTGTCTATGACTTGCTGCCTCTTAACCAACTCAACCATCCTTGGTTCTGCATCGGAGGCGTCACAGCTCCAGCCACGTTGTCCGCGAGCTGGTCTAGAGATCCTCCACTGGTGCCTGTTCGAGCAATCACTTCCCTCTCGCCCGTCCTTCTCTCATCGTCCATCTTGGTCTTGACATATTCCACCTTGTTCTCCGGCACCGGTCGGCCCTTTGAATCGATCCCCACGCCCTTGACACCACTCGACGCGACGGCAACCGGCTGGATTTCTCCCTCGACGGAGCCGTCCTCGAGTGTTCTCTGCCTCCGTGCTCTCCGCGCTTCTCGCTCTTGCTTTTCAGCCTCGGTCTCCGTACCCATCTGGCCTTTCGCCGCGTTCGCGCTCATGACACCTTTCAGCTTGCTCCAGTAGCTCTCGCCTTTCTTCCGTTCGACCTCACGCTTGCGCGCGGCCTCCATCTCCTCGCCAGCCCGCTCCTGTTCGAGAAGGTGTAATTGCTCGGCGGTAGCGTCGCCGCGGAGAAAGGCTTGTCGAGCTGTGTCGAGCCGATCGAGTTCACGTTCGATCCACGCCCGCTTCTGCCGTCGGTTGTGTGCGATCAGGCTTGTCGTGCCGTAGGCGGCGACGACGACGGACACGCCGGCGAACAGGATCAGACCGTAGGCTGTGAAGCGGTGGGCCCGATCCGCCCAGCGGCGGCCACTCTCGATTGCGCGCTCGAGAGGCGAGGATGAGGCTTGTTCTTTGGCAAGGCGGGCGGCGGCGCGGAGACGAGCGACTTTTTCTTGTGGTGTTTCGTTCGGCGATCCTTCAGAGCGGAGCTGTGGAGATGAGGAGGATGAGGATGAGGATGACGGTTCTGTGGCTGGACGGGAGGCGGGTTGGTATGTGAATGTCGTGGAAGAGGAGGCCCCCGGCCGTTGCATGGCGTGTGGTGTGCTCGAGGTGAAGCGGGTGAAAGTGTCGGAGGGAGGTCGAGACATTCTGGGGGTGAAGATTTTCATTGTACTCAGTGGGCTGGAGAGAAGTGTAGACTGGTGTTACAAATGCATGAGGTTCAGAGCGAAGTAAGTAGTGTACAGGCAGGAGATGAAGGACCGCTGAGGGAAGTTTAATGGCAGAATGTGAAGGATTTTGGTAAATGTGAAGCTTTCGAATTCGCCGACGTACAAAACAGCAGACTGCATGACGGATTCCATTCTTCAAGCTACTACGGAGTGTAAGGAACTACTCGCCAGGTATTGAGTGGAGAAAAGTACGGTAGGCGACAGATTCATCGGACTGCAGATAGATAAATGCGTGTCAGATCAGACCACTTCTCCTTGGGTATCTCTCTCCATTTCTCCGTATTCGTCTAGGCATCCTTCACGGCATCAATCACTGTGTGCATACCGCCAGGAGGCCAGGGTGAAGACTCCTTTGGACCACCCGCACATTTAGGTACCCAGAAGTCCCCTCTTCGACAGGACATCCTTGATCGTTTCAGCAACATTTCCATCAGGAAGACCCAACTTCTTATTCCACAGTCCTGTGGTTTTCGAATACTCACAGAACCCTCCTTCGTTCAACATGATCAAGATGATACCTTCAATGACTGCCTGGATCCAGACACCACCTTTCTCCGGATCAGAGCGCATCTTCTCCTGCGCGGCCGATCTCGCGTCTGCTTTCTTCGCATGCTTGATTTGGAATTTGTCCCCACTGAGACCCTGGAAGATCTCCAGCATCTGATTCTGAGTCACAGTGAAGCTGTTGATATAGACGTATTGATTTGCCGTCTCGTCCAGATGTCCAGCGGACAGGATCGCGGCTACAGCACGACCAATCTGAACGACGTTCGTGGCTTCGAATGGAATATCTCCGCCGTCGAATATCGTTATGGCCCTTTCAGGTATGTTGACTCCCAATGTGCCAGCAAGATCGAAGACGGCATCGAAGAATGCCCCCACGATTAGAGCCGTCCATGACATGCCGGTGTTCTGCTTTGATTTGAGGTACGCGACAACTTCATTCTTTGTTCCTGCCGGTGGGGCAATCTCGCCGATGATGGGGTCCGAAGTGTCAACGCCGTATTCTGAGGGGATGAAGCGGCGGATGCCGGCTTCAATGGCGGCGTCGATGATAGGCAATTGTTGGCCGACCAGGAATGTCGTTATTGCCGAGACCACTGCGTCGTGACCCTTCAGGGCGGCCACAAGGGACTCATGGGAGTAGTCTGTCTTGATGATTTCTGCACCGTCAGGGGCGGTAGCATTGGACGACGCTCGACTGAGGACGGATACTTTGAAACCACACCGCAGCAGGGAACGGACAATTTCTGCGCCGGTCAGGCCGGAGCCTCCTACGACGGCCACTTTTTCAATTGGGGACGACATTGTGATTCCTTTGGATGAGCAAAAGCAGAACGAAATGGGAATTGAAGTTTGTGTCTACAGATTGGATCTGTGAGAGAACCATATGTCAAGTAGAGGAGAACTGTACCTTCTTATACTTTTGTGGTGCTTTGTGTCTAGAGCCAGCAATTCTCCAGGTATCCCTTCCTTGTCAACATCATGCCCATAACTAAACCGACTTTCTGATTTCAAGCCGTGAAAAGAAATCAATGCCAACACTTGCGGACGTAAGCTAAACTACCAGGAGCCAACATGATTAGTTTTGGCAGCCTTGCGCCCTTCACGAACCCTTGCAAAGCATTGCATACTAGTATTGATCATAAGCCTGCAAGTTGTGGGGAACATGGCAAAGGGCTGGTACTGTACAGTAATGCAGGCAGCATAAGCCATAAGCCATGAGCCATAAGCCATAAGCCAAATTCCCGAAAAGGGCATGCCTTCCTGCTACATATTTCAGAGATGCGCTCCGAGTCCTTCGCTCAGAAGGGTGGAAGGCCATCCATAGGGTTGATTGGCTCGTCCCTTCGGAGAGTCGCACATAGACTTGCCACAACTTGCCCACCACTCCTCGAAAATTTTATTAGTGCGCATACCCCCAGGACCAGATCGTGATTATTTCCTTTTGTTTTCTTCGACATTCTGCTGGCGCCATTCCAAATGGGTCAAAATGCATCCAGACGGTCTTTGGCAGTATCATTCAGATTGTGAGGACCATTCCGTTCGTTCTTTACAGAGACCATGACGCGGAATAGAGGCACAGAAGGGCCTAATCTGCCAAAAAAGGGGGCGGCGACATATGGTACTGTAACTGGGCTGCTCGTGCAGGACGACCTAGAGCCGCCGTCTTCAAAGTCACGGAGTTCGAGCTTGCATTCGAGCTTAAACCAGTGCTGCTCGGTAGAAGCAAGGCTCCCAATCGCTCACCTACGAACGAGCATTCATATTCGACACCTGAGCAGAGCTGTCGAGCTCTGCCTTTGGCAGCCCAGCCGCTGAAACCACGGGGTTGAGCGAGACGAACATCACACGGTTCAGCCCCTGCTGAAGTTGATGTCCAGGCACCTCGTTCCGGCGGAGACGATTGCTCCCCCTTGGCTGCTGTGATAGAAATCATGTATGTCGATTGGAACAGGCGCCGACTCACATCCCAAAATCCCACCACTGCTTTCTTGCTCGCATGAGCACTGACTGAAAAAGCAGGCAACAGTTTTGTCGACACGCCCACGCTCACAACAGGAACGCCCCCAATAAGATGCACGCATCCTGAAACATGGGGGGCAAAATCTGCTGGTTTCCCTCGTCGGCGCAGTCAATTCCGACGCTGCTCTTTCCGTCAGTGCTCATGTGTGGTCATCAGCAAAGGTTTTCCGTAGCGTCGTCGCCATCAGCACGATCTTCCCGGCGCAGAGCTGGAGTTTTTGGATCGATTGAACCCAACAACCTCCGCTCGCTGGACTGCGCTGAACTGAAGAAAGGTGACTGAGATATGTCGTGGTCGGACGTTGCGATCTGTTGGAACGGCAAAGAACTCGGACACAATCTCATGGTCACTACTCAAGCAGGCCACGCGGACCGTCACGCTGCTGGGGTGAGGTGAGTCTGCCCGCGCCCCGAACTCCGACCTCGCCTCGCTGCCACTCTGACTCTCGCCAAGTGGTCGTCGCCGCCTGCAGTTACTTATACCTAGGTAGGTACGGTACAAACATTCACTGGCTGCAGCCAATCAGAAATTAAGAACCGTCCCTAAGGGTTATATATTTGAAAAGTACAATTTTCCCCCAACAATCTCATATCTATCCCGGGTCCGGCCAGGGTGGTTCACCAGATATGAGACAGCTTATCCTGCAACCAAATGAAGGAAGTACCAGTGAAACGTGCAACTTATACTAGTGTTACCACGTGCAACTGCGAAGGGCCTGAGGTTGTTCCTTAGCTAATATGGCTCTCCTCGGAGTGTCCTATGCGGGAGGTAACCTGACCAACTAACCGGACATAAAAGAAATCCCTCTACAACTGGGATTTTCCCTCGGCCTGGCCGTCAACTACCAAGTGTGTAGTTGGCCCGCCAGGTTAGAGTTTTGCTTCTTGAAAAAAATGAACAAAATATCTTTTTGGAAAGTGAGGGCAACGGGAATTGAACACTCGTCGTGTGGGCATAGCCCTGGGTGCCTGGCTTGGCTAGAAGACAGTGAATGAAGCTGATCTGACCACATGTCCAGGCAACATAAGTGAGTATCCTATCCGCTTTCATCCCCTCGTATGGTTCTGGTCTGTTGCTCTGCTTGCGACGCGCCTCAAACCAAGGTCGGGCTTTCAAGTGCTCGTGTTCGAGATGATACTTTCTTCACATTTGAGCTTCCAACACGGTTTTTTTGTTTGGATAGTACTTGTGCAATGCTGGCATCATCTGGTTTTGAAGGGACCATCCTCACGTAATACTGGTATCTACCCAGAAGCGGCGTCATGAGATCCTGTTGTCCGCCAGCACTTTCAAGGCAGGCTCTCAGTGCTTAGCTCGCCTCGTGATCCGCGGCCTGTGTTCGGCTCCCGCTCACGTCGAATGGCTGACAGTTGACCATCATCCAGCCAGGTGTATTTGTGGACGATTCTCCTTGTCCGATCCGGTTGCCAAACAAATCTGCTCATTTGCAGCGCCAGCCGCAGTCTTCCGTTCGATGCCTCTCTGCTTACCACGGTCGTGAAAGCAAAACGACGTTCTTCTGGTGGCCAGGCCGTGCCATTGGAAGACATTGAGTCATTCACCGGGCTGAATCCGTCACCACCTTCCTCTTCCAAGATGACTTTTTCGGCCACCCTATCTGGTGCGAGAAACGCCCACAGATTCTCTTGCCGCGGAGCATCACCCATCAACTTTAGCGCCTTTCGACGAAGGATCGGATCTCGACACTTCATCGCACAGAAGTATAGAGGCGGAATGATTCCAGGGTCGAAACCTGATATCAGTAGTTGGTCTGCAGCCGTTCCCGCGCTGTAGCGGAGGTAGACCTCGACATGCTCGATAATGGCAACAAAATGATCTGTGTATCGGTCGAATGCAAGTTCCGATCTGCTGGCACAGGCTCCGAGCGAGATAAAACACACAGCCCAATACATCAGCATGTAAGAGTAAATCGCCTTGGCCTCACTATCTGTGGTCTGGCTCCAGTCGCGCACAAATGAGTTCCTCCAACACGTCAGCTGCTCCAGCAAGGTTTCCCGGGACGATATGAAAACAAGAAGTCCTGGGTCGTCGTCGTTGTTGTCCGGTACTATGTCTCCGACTCTGCTGACTTCGTAAGAGTGATATACCAAGCTATGGAACTCCATTCTGGCTCGGTTCAGCGCAGGGCGTTTGACAAGTACTGCCTGCAGCGTAGAAGTCGGCTCGGCATTGACAATCCATTCAGGCGGTAGAACAGTACCCAGTGTGGCAATAAGAACGGCTTTTCGCAAGACAAAAGGTGCCACCACCTGTTGTACGGCTAGGCTCGTGGGCGAACTTTTTGGGTTTGTGAGTATCTGAGGCAACATTTTGCAGCCCATTTTGATCAGGTCTCTCCCGGTTTTGATGTTTCTCTGCTGGTACTCGACGGTTGCAAACAGAACGCAACTTAGTAGAGCAAGGGAGTCGTCCATTTCGTTGCGAAGAGCTTGCTCCCGAACATTGGCGATGGCTCTGTTATAAAACTTTAGAGCTTGTCGGTGTCGATGATTGATGATAGTACGAGCACTGGCCGGCTTGAATGTCGTGACCAGTGACCCGTATGGAACGTGCTCGAGTAAAGAGCTGATGCAGACGACCATATCCCATACGAAGTCTCGCGTTTGAGCGAGCCGTGGAACGAGGACTCTCCAGAAGTCGCCATCAGCAGAGCCCGCGAAAATGGGCGCCGCCCGCTTCGTGAAGTAATTGAATGCCCGACGTTCATCTCCATCGCGATGAGGTGCTATGAGAGAGACCGCTGGCAGTAGTACCGGAGTGCTCGTTCGGTCATCTCGAATGAAACGGACTTGATTCACAGCAGGACCGTCACATTTCCGGCCGGATTCCGTGCACTTGCGACAGTAAGGTCTTGTTTCGTCACACTTGATTCTTCGAGTCCTGGCCAGGTCTGCCGTCAGTGTACGGATACCGAAGAATGCAAAGTGGAAAAGAGACACACTTGCAGGTCAAGCACCCATTCCGAGACTTTTCGTGACCAGCACGTCGCAGTCTCATGTGGTTATTATGTTGTATCGTCATTGGTCTTGGCTGGAAACAGGCATCGCCTCAAGAACAAGACATCGAGTTCAGTGGAATCTGTGCCCCTAGCACGCGCGATCTATTCTCAGTCGCGAAAGCCACCGGACAATAAGCCGATGGCAAATCAGAAGTCTGGCGGGGCCGTCTCTTGGCCATGCAAGATTTGTTCCTGGATCTTAACAGTCCTTGAGTCGGGCTCGGCGACTTGTGTCGAGAGGCACGGAGGGAGGATAAGCAATTCGCTTTGACAAGAAGACAAGAAAAAGGGAGGGGCTTGAAATTTGCTGAACCATTGAAAATGTGGATCCACAGCCTTGCCGTTGGTATCGCTCATTGGTATATCCGTATTGTCGGCTTGTTTAGGCTTAGTCCTTTGCATGAAAGATGGATGCAAGATGGAACATCACTAGCCTGATCTGTGATGGCTACCGAAAGACCGAGCCTTCGAACCGCTGGGAACAAAGCGAATTGCGGGTATATGCATCAGATAATGCCTTGATTTCCAACAGTAGGACACTTTCTCCGAACTGAAGGGGCACCCTGATCTCATGTTTGCTTGTCGCACTGATCTCCACCTGTAGATTCGAAAATGGACATGGATACGGGCGGTCTGGTATATGAAGAATGCGTGACCTCTCTCCCCGACTCTCTTGCTCGCCCTGTCAAATTGTGCATAACTAATTCGTCGAGTCTCTTTCCACCCCTTTTGCTTTTGTTTGTCTTCGCAGTTATCAACTTCGGTCTGTTCCTGTCGAGAAGAAATCTACCACTCGCTTCAAAGCCGCTGCCTTACCTTCTACGCCTATCAAGGAGCATTCGGCATTTCCCATCCGCAATCATCCCCAACAGATCGACACCATGAGTGACCAGATGGCGCTGCCCGACTCGGTGGTGGTCTTGCTGGTTATTTTGGGCGCAGCTGCCTCAGTCTGTCTGGGCTATGCCGTCCAAAGGAACTTCGCCAAAGCCGATTATATGGACGACAACTTCAACCAGAAGCCGACTCATCAAATGGAGTACATGAGAGAAGTCCGATCAAGAAATCAGATGGCTGCCTATGCAGATGCCAGGCCTCAGAGATATCCTCCCCCAGAGATATGAGCTTCTCAGCATCGAGGTAGAGGGAGAAACATGAGCTCGATGTAGGGAAGACCTGGCGTCAGAAACGGCGCTGCTGTCACAACGGAGATTGACCAGAAGTCATGATGGTGCTGGAAGACGACAGCACGATCGGATTGGCACTCATCGCCAGCAACCCGAGGACCTACCTGGAGGGCTCAATGAGAAGACAACGCGGCGCGCAGAAATGAATGCCGCGTTGACTCCAGCGGGATGAAGAGATGGTTTCACGGCCAAACGATTGGCACGTATTGCATCAGCGGGTAACAACATGGACCGCGTTTTGGGTAGATGGCTGCATAGCAAGCGGAGTTTGGCGTTCAGGACTAGGCTGGTAGGATGTCAGGGGAATTTCTGCACGCTTTAGCACATATACTTCGGTACACACGAGTACGTTACACAAGTTTCTTGAATCAAAGGAGTCGTATTTCTTATCGTCCGCCAGGGCAAAGCGAATCAATGGGTGTCATTGGGAGGATTTGAGAAGGACTGATGCTTTAGTCTGTGAATGTCTGGCTGGAAATAGAACCAGAAATGTGGATCGCACCTTCTCATAACACACTTACCGCCACTCCGGAAATAACGGTCCCTGCAAACGTGCACGCTTCTTCGCAGTTTGAGCCCCATGAAGGAGTGTTACTTCAGAGGATTGTTAGAAGATTGTCAGAAGATTGATGCAGCTTGACACAAGGCAGGTTGGAATATCAGTTGAAGTTTGTCATAGTTTCAAGATTGCCAGGTCACCATAATCTAAGCACTCCCATCTGTGACCAGCCGAGTTCTTGACGACCCGTGGGCGACTCTGCATCACGGCCTGATAGGTGCGCAACCTCCACCATCATATCGGCATGGACTACCACGAAAGCATGTCGTCCCATAATTTCTTTTGCGAAACCCCGTAACCCAGTAAAGCCTTTACCGATTGCTCTTGGCCACACGCTCCAACTCGTCCTTCTTCTTGATAGCATAGGAGTTGCTGCTTCCCTTGGCAGCGTTGATCAGCTCTTCAGCAAGGCACTCAGCAATGCTCTTGACGTTTCGGAAAGAAGCCTCACGAGCGCCGATGGTGAGAAGGGCAATGGCTTGGTTGACACGGCGGAGAGGGGACACATCGACGGCTTGTCTTCGGACGGTACCGGCGCTTCCAATTCTGGTGCTGTCTTCTCGAGGACCACAGTTGACAATCGCATCGACAGCGATTTGAATGGGGTTTTGATCGGTCATAATGTGAACCTAGATGGGTAGTCAGAACCTCATGTAATCTGCCTCATCATGTTGTCCAAGACGTACGATCTCAAAAGAGTGTGCCACGATTCTGATAGCCATCAACTTCTTGCCGTTGTTGCGACCGTTCATCATCAGAGAGTTGGTCAATCGCTCGATGATCGGGCACTGAGCCTTTCGGAATCGCTTTGCGGCATATCGACCGGCAGAGTGAGGAGTGTAGACGGGGGCTCGGATCTGAATGTAGTCGCTAAAGGTGTTTTGTTAGCCTTTTGCTCGACTCTTTTTTCGTGGATTTCTTTCGTACGTCAAGGAGATGTCTCGAACTTCAACATCCGAATAATCCCAGCGGCCGAAGAGACGAACAATACCGGCTTGACTCTGGACATCCTTTGGTAGCGCAGGGTAGTTCGAGGTAGGAACCTCAACCTCGACTTCTTCGCCGTTGCTCGACATCTTGAGCCGGTGAGATCTGCGGGTTGTCAGACGACTGTGCTGAAATGGATCGCCCAGAGAGAGAAGCTCGGTGAGGGTTGGTACAGCTCTCTGGGACCAGGAATACTGACGGATATGTATGAGTGTTGAGATGTTGAAAATATCGGGGCGCAGTCGCACAGTTGGCGACGAAAAGTGTGGGATAATCAATTATTCGCCAAGGCCAGATAATGCCAAGAGTTACGGTCACGTGTAAAACTAGTTCCTCCGGTGTTCTGCCGAAGCTCAATGTAGAGACCAAGATTTGTCCACTTCATTTGCCATGGAGAGAGGCACCTTGCACAACCTGATTGACCGCCACGACAACTATGATGCTGCACTACTCAGGCAACGCAATGTGATGTCTATAACATTCCTACAGCAACATTTCGACAGGAGAATAACCAGCGTGCTTACATCTTGTTGCCTAACATTCGGTTCTTGCAAGTGCAGCAATCGTTAGCCAGCTATCTTTCACGCTATGTTCACACACCCGCTCTCTTTGTCGCACTCGCCCTCCTCATCCGTTCTACACTTGCTCTTCTCACTTGCTCAATCTCAGCATTTATGCCTCCAGTCGTCTTCGGACCGACATAGCGACCGGCGCCCACGAACCACCAAACGGTCACAAAGATGGTGAGAGCTCCCCAAATCAAGCACGCATAATTCATGCTTTGTGCGGTGGTTGGTAGAGCGAAAGGGAAGCAGTAAATGATGAACCAGACAATCAAGTATCCACAAGCGATAACGTTGAAAATGACCCCGAGTTTCTTCAGTTGGAATGGCCCAAAATGAATGTTCTTCCGGCGTGTCAGTAGGTGCGGCAAGATTGCTGCAATATACCTTTTCTGGGTCAGCGAGATTGTTATGACAACGGTAAGAAACGACTGACGATGAACTGCTCATAAGCACGAAGCTTCCAACAAAAGCATTGAAAGCTGTGGTGCTGCCCACATAAATGCTACACGATAGTAAGTACAAGTTTGAGAGCGGTTCGAAGTAGCTTACCATCCCAACACTGTTGCAATGCAGCCACAAGTCAGAGTCGCCACAAGAGGCATACCAAACCGTGGAGACACTTTCCCAAGGTATTGAGGAAATGGTGTCGCTCCATCTCGGGCGAGCGTCCAAAGCGTCCGGCCTGCAGTGATGTAGACTCCAACCATGCAGACTGCAATACAGAACAACAGCAGACACAGCAAGCCAATCGCCCCGCTTGATGATCCCGTGGCCTGTCGATAAATCTCTGCTACGGGGAAAGCCGAGTCGAACAGGGCGTCGTAGTCATTTATGGCATACATCTACGATTAGTCAGCAAAATATAACGACCACCACCAAAACACCAAAGCTTGCACATAACTGCTGAGGGAAGCAACTTACAATCGCGATGATATACAGCAAACCAGTGAAAAATCCAATGGCCATCTGCGTCGCAATCGCAATTGGAACGTTTCTCCCTGGGTTTGGGATCTCCTCTGCGATATGGCTGAAGCATATCAGACGTCAGTAAACCTCACGGGGAGAGCAATATTGCTGCATTCGAGTCTTACCTGACAGCGTCGGGTGTACCAACTGCATACGCTCCATTGAGCATCCCGGCGACGAATACAAAGCTTTCCGTGTAAGTCTTTGGTCGTCGAGTATGATGCCAGACCCGTGTGTAGCTGTGCCGAGCGAACTCACCCACTAGGATATCCTATATCCGCCGTCCAATCTGTCCATACAAAGCTCGAAGACGCATGAGGTGGCCGCCCACCTGTGCCAGGCATGGCAGCGCTGCAACGCATTAATCCGAGCGCTCGCTCCGCATGGGATGGGCAAGGACTTACACAACAATGATTGTAATCAAGAATCCGGCAAGTATCAGGAATATTCCAATGGTGTTGAGGTGTGGCATCGCGCTATTGAACAGACAAACGCAGGCACAAGCGATCCAGGTAGCGATCTTCAATGTGGTCAGCGGTCGCACGGCTTCGAAGACAGCTCCACTCTCATCGATCTCTTGAAAGACAAACTTACAAGATACGTAACGAAAACATGCCATTGCTTGGCTTCGAAGTCGCTGTGGGTGACGCCGTACATTTGCACAACAGTGTTGGCTGGATTCGTCATTGGATGTTATGGTGCGAGGAAAATCCAAGGTGACTGACCAAAGATGAAGCTCATGGAGGCTACACCAAACACCCAAGCCAGCCAGTTCCAGTATCCTGCATAGAATCTGCCGCGACGTCAGCTATGGCCGTGACGTCTCTTCCGGAAGCTGAGGTATACCCGATGACCCTGCCCCATTTCTTTCCTGGTGTGACGGAGGCCCAGTGGTAAACGCCGGCACTTGAAGGAATAGCTGAAGCCAATTCAGCAATTGAAGCCGCCACAATCCAATAAAAGACAGAGACAGCGATGAACTCGTAGATAACTCCGGGCGGACCACCGTTGAAGATCGCAACAAGGATCGATCCTCCTACACTATCACATTGTTAGCAATGAAAGGCTGCATAGGGAATGACGGAAGTTCCAGCAGGACGTGTAGGACTGTCACAATCTTCCAGCAAGACTTACGCAGGCCATACATTGCCAACAACAATGCCGACTCCAGCTGCTGCGAGCAGACTAAAGTTGCGGTCGAGTTCTTGAACGTGGCCTGATGCATTGATCAAGTCCGAGACTTCGCCATCCGCCGCTTGGACATCCGCGTTCTCTGGCAAGCGATCTCCTTTCTTTTCTGCGGTGGCCATGGTGTCCGAGCGATCTAATGTACGATAGGGAGCAAGGAAGTATTGAGACAGTTCAGAAACAGGAGGACAAGGAGTCAAAGCTCGAGATATACGATAACGCGACCATACGTTCAATCGTCTGTGTCAGACTCGAATGGGATATCTCCCGCCCATGCCTGTCTAGGCTCGATCTTGTCGTTCACGGAAAGCCGGTCGCTTGCAAAAGAGTGGATGACGAGTATTCACAACATTTAGTCGTTGAACGGGGACTTCTCTATCGAAACATTGGCCCAAAGGCCAATCTCCGAGGCCATTCACCCATTCATTGGCGGATTGGCGACAGAATACGAAAGGACTTCGATAAGGAACATGAAGCTGTCAGCGAGCGACAAATAAGAGGACGCGTTTCAGACATCGAAGACCAGCTTAGGGTTCGCGTGGCTAGGATGAACAAGGCAGGAAGATAAGTGTTACCAGCTCTGGTCCAAGAGCTCGGGTCCTTCCACGTGCGCGCGCTTATCTCCTGGACGGACAGTCATGGTCATATTGCAATTAATAGTATTACTCTTCGACCGTGAAGGCTTTTGCGGTTATCACGAAAGGACAATAGTAGCCGACGTGAATTGGTCGAGGGCTCTAACAAGCTCGCGGGCGTCAATTTCCGACCACAACTCATATCCAAGTCTCGAAGCCAACGACCCGCTTGCCCCAAGCTCGAGGAATCAGTGGGGATTCCTTCTATGCCAACGCCTAACTGCCGAACGTTACCAGAACGTCAAAGTAAATAAAAATATTCCTCGGACATGTCCGAGGCTGGATCCTTGTCACTTCATGATGCAGCTTCTGAAGAAGAGTAGAAGTTTACCTCGACACTGCTGATTCCAGGTCCATCAAGATGTCTGAAGCAAGGTACTCTTTCCTCAATCTCGAAGGTCTGCATGTCTTCATCACCGGAGCTGGCGGCGGTATTGCAACTGCTGCTGTAAAGGAGTTTCTTGGTAAGTGAACAGGGCAGCGAAAATGCGATGGGCTAGAAATATGTTGATCTGACACAAGACCAGCTCTGGGGTGTCGTGTAACAGGCTTTGACAGGAGGGCTATTGACAATTCGAAGCTATGTTCTACTCCAGAGGAAGTGTCTAGGTTTTACGGTGTGCAAGGCGACCTGACTTCTGAGGAATCTGTTGCCGAAGCATTTCAATCTGCACTCGATCACTTCGGCCCTGTCAACATTCTCGTTGCCAATGCAGGAATCACTGATGAAAGCGGCCATCCCCCTATCTGGGAGATTGACACCGAGCTCTGGGACCGGGTGAGAGGGGTTCAAAACCTTTGATATATGGATTATGACTTACGACAGGAAAGGTGAACACGAATAATGTGCGAGGCACGTTCCTCACCGTGAAGCACTTTTTACTCTCTGTGAAAAGGAGCCAAGAAGCCCAAGGAGGCGAGCTCGACAATGTCGCCATCGTTATTACCGGCTCAGAAACGGGAAAATTTGGCCAGGAAGGGCATTCTGAGTCTGTTTTCACTTCGGCCTGATGACGAGGATTGCATCTTACTGACCTGATCAGGTATGCATCTGGGAAAGCTGGCCTGCAGTATGGTCTGGTCCGGACCGTCAAGAACGAAATTGTCCGATTGAATTCAAAGGCTCGAATCAACGCCGTCGCCCCTGGCTGGGTAAATACTCCTCTCATTGGAGACCGCTTGGATGATCCGAAGGAGATGTGGGCTGAATGCCAGGCCACGGTTGCTTTGAAGAAAATCTCCCAGCCTGAAGATGTCGCACGAGCAATGGCATTCTTGGCTAGCCATCGCGCCGCTGGTAACATCTCGGGAGAGTGCGTTTCTGTTGACGGCGGTATGGAAGGAAGAATCATCTGGCGACAGGATCAGATACTGGGCTCAGGCACAAAGCCTGGCAGCACTGATACTGTGATCCGGAGCAGACCGGTTCCCGCATCACTGAGTCCTCCCAAGAGGAAGCGACGCTTACGGATCTGCTTGTCTGTTGATTTCGACGCCATCTCTGGCTACTTGGGAACTGGGCATGACCCTAATAACACTCTTGCGGACTATTCCGCGGGCATATTCAGCGCTAATGTCGGCGTTGGCAGATTGCTGGGGTTGTTCAAGAAACACGGCATATCCGACAAGCTCACTTGGTTCGTGCCAGGTCACAGTTTGGAGACCTTTCCGGCTCAAGCACAGCAGATTCTGCAGAGCGGCGCAGAACTTGGACTGCACGGATACAGCCACGAAGGAGCATATGCCATGACGGTTGAGCAAGAGAAAGATGTTCTTCAAAAGTGTATCGAAATCATCACAAGGTTGAAGGGTGGGAAACGACCAGTGGGATACCGTGCGCCATTATACCAGATACGCGAGACTACTGTGCGGTTGCTCCAGGACCACGACTTTTTGTACGACAGCAGTATGAACGCACATGACGCCCTACCTTATTTCTTGCCTAAGCCTTTTCCCGAAGAGCCACCGCATGTGCCTGATTACAACAAAGAGGCAAAAAGCTGGATGGTACCGACACCTATACCCGAGCAGCCAGAAGCAGGATCCGCGGAAGCTGACAAGGCTCTGGTGGAAATTCCCGGAAGTTGGTACACGGAGGACATGACACCAGTAAGTTGGGGCCTTGCCATGAGAAACATTGAGAGGTCTACTGATCCCATTAGCTCGGATTCTATCCCTACGCGGCCAACACGCAAGGTTATATTAGTGTCGATGTTGTCGAGAAGATGTGGCTCGATCGATTCAACTGGATCTGGGAGAATGAGAGCTGGTTGGATGAGGGTCCTGGAAAGGGCTATGGATCTGTCTACCCGTAAGTGGAATCCAGCCTGCGTCCGTAAAGGATATCAATCCGTGTACGAGTACTGATGCAGTTTGTGCTAGTATGATCTGGCACCCGGAGTCAGCTGGACGTGCACACATTGTGGGCATGATTGATCGATTTGTCTCGAAACTGGTCTCGCGCATGAACGCAGCAGAGGAAGGCGAAATCACATTTGAGACGATGGAGAGTGTAGCTCGAAGCTGGAAGCAACGTTGAGGAGAAGTGACTAGTCGAGATTACCTCAGCCGTGAGCTCATCAATTGTGGCGGCTTCGGAGGCGCAAATGATGTGAGAAAGCGGTAAAGGGGTCAAAAGTGTTTGCGCCTGGGCCCGGGCTGCTTAAGAGCTTAGGTACTCACCACCAAGGACGGGCCCAATAGGCGGACGTATTAGAGCCCACAGGCTGCTCTACGGCCGAGGACTGGCGGTGATAGGTGACGATGGGGGTGAAATGGACAGGGATGGATGTTCTTGATGTGTAGTTGCAGGCTGATTAAGCGATGCGCTCAGACCCGGTGGGATGCTGAGTGGATGGCGGGGTCTGGATCTCGGTGCCAATGATGGATGCTGCCAAACGCCACTGACACCCAGTAAATGCGCATGTCCAATGCATCCAGATCGGAAAAGGCATCGACTTGTTTTCTGGGCTGCGTGAACTTGGATTCCTAGTCAAACGCAAAAGATGCCGTGTCAGAGTCGATCATGTCTCCTCTCCTTCTCATCGTCCTCATGATCACTGCCACTAGTTGATAGAATTTCGCAACGATATACCATCTCTGTCTTCCAAGCTTCTGCAAGCCTCGATACTGGTTCCCATCACGTCTCTCTATCCCCAGTTGGTTATTACTTGCTTCACTTCCTCCCCACAACTTTCTCGCTACATTGACCGCAGCGCCTGGTCCTGGTTTGCCCGTTCCTCTCGCTGCTGATCGTCTTTCAGCCCCTTCACTACTACTACGTGTACAGGCTTGGCCCCTCTACTTGACCGCCCTTCCTTGCATTCTTACAAAAGCGACAGGAAATTCGTCTTCCCTACATGCCTTGACCGACAGCGACAATGTCTCCTCCAGATCCTCCCTCCGACCAACTGCAAGAGCCGTTGGTGATCCCTCAAGTCATTCTTCAAGAGGCGACTGCGGCAGCCGCAGCTAATCAAGAGGAGGCAGGAGCTGTGAGAGACACCAAGAGTGCTTCTCCTTTCCCTGAGGATCACGTCCGACATCATGGTGGTGCCTCCCCTCACCTGGAAGAAGTGCCTAAGCCGGCCTACAATGCGGCCCAATATGGTCAACTGGACATCAGCCAAAATGGATTTGATACAAGTGCTCAAGTCAGCAGTAATGGCAGGATAAACATCAAGATCAATCAGCGCAGCAAGAAGCTCACAAACCTGTTGATCCCGGCACTGCGGCATCAGTTGGAGCTTCAGAGGCAGAAGGCAAGTGCAGAGCCTCAAATCCCAGAAGGACTTGGTGAAACAGATGCTGGTCTGCCTCCGCCTCTAAACATTGTCATTCAAATTGTGGGAAGCAGAGGAGATGTACAGCCATTCGTTGCACTGGGTCAAGTTTTGAAGAACAAATACAATCACCGAGTCAGGATAGCCACGCATCCCACCTTCAAGCAATTTGTCACAGAGAATGGGCTTGAGTTCTTCAGTATTGGCGGAGATCCAGCCGAGCTCATGGCTTTCATGGTCAAGAACCCTGGTCTTATGCCTGGCATGGACTCCCTCAAGAGCGGCGACGTGGGAAAGCGAAGAAAGGGCATCTACGAAATTGTCACTGGCTGCTGGAGGTCTACCATTGAAGCAGGCGATGGGACAGGAGTGCAGGTCTCCGACGATACCCACAGCTTCGACAGCGCTATTTCCTTGGGTGTCGATCCAACATTGAATCCTTTCGTGGCAGACGCCATCATCGCAAACCCACCCAGTTTTGCTCATGTTCATATCGCCGAGAAGCTGGGCATCCCTCTACACTTGATGTTTACCATGCCTTGGTCACCAACGCAGTCCTTCCCGCATCCACTTGCCAACATTGTCTCGTCGAATACCGACGCCAATATGGCCAATTTTGTCACTTACGCCTTGGTAGATATGCTGACCTGGCAAGGTTTGGGAGATGTTATCAACCGCTTCCGTGAAAGAAGCTTGGGCTTAGAACCGGTGAGTATCATGTGGGCTCCAGGCATGGCCAGTCGGTTACGCATTCCTTGGACATACTGCTGGTCGCCTGCCCTAATCCCCAAGCCAGCTGACTGGGGCGACTACATCGATATCTCGGGCTTCTACTTTCTCAATCTCTCCACCAATTACACTCCGGCGAAAGACCTAGCGGACTTTTTGGCTGCCGGGCCTCCCCCCGTCTATATCGGGTTTGGGTCAATCGTGGTTGACGACCCCAATGCAATGACCAAAATGATCTTCGAGGCGATAAAGAAGACCGGCCAACGAGCGCTCGTCTCCAAAGGTTGGGGCGGTCTCGGCGCCGATCAATTAGGTATTCCTGAAGGCGTCTTTATGCTAGGCAATTGTCCGCATGATTGGCTCTTCCAGCACGTTTCGTGCGTTGTACATCATGGCGGTGCAGGCACTACTGCGGCCGGTATCCTTGCCGGACGACCAACCGTCGTGGTGCCATTCTTTGGCGATCAGCCTTTTTGGGGTTCAATGACATACAGAGCGGGAGCAGGGCCTAAGCCAGTCCCATACAAGGTTTTGACAGCAGACAAGCTTGCAGAGTCAATCTTGGAGGCTTTGAAGCCAGAATCCCTCCAGCGAGCGAACGAACTGAGCATGAAGATCAAGTCAGAAAAGGGTACAGACGCTGGGGCCGAATCGTTTCACAAGCAGCTGCACTTGTCTGACCTGCGGTGTTCTCTGGCCCCTAAACGTGCAGCAGTCTGGCGGGTGAAGCGGACAGACATTCGCCTGTCACCACTGGCAGCTGTGGTTCTCGGCTGCGAGGGTCTACTTGACTTTTCGGACCTAAAACTATATCGACCTCGAGAGTACGAAACTGAAGATGGACCATGGGAGCCAATCTCTGGCGGCGCGGCGGCTCTCATGGGAACAATTGGGAATTTGTCTATGGGCATTGCAGATTTCCCAGTAGAAATTTTGAAGTCGCTGAAGACAGCTAGCGGCGACCTGAAGGATCTCCATGAAAGAAAACATCCAGGGAGCGGGATATCCACCCCAGCTGCTCAATCGGAGCGAACCTCCACAGAAGATACAACGAGTCCCGCCGATGCAACTTCGTCAGGTTCGTCTTCTGGAGCAGCTTCAAGTGCTGCAACCCAAGTGGGACAGGAGACACCATCTATTTCACCCAGACCTTCCGCTATGTCGAGTGTCCTATCTGCAGATGGCAACACACGAAGTTCCTCCCATCATCGATCGGGGTCTCGTCACAGTCGTCATTCTCGCTCTCAATCTGGTTCACGTGGGCCTGGTCATCGCGAGCACTCTCCGGCCTGTGAGGAAGTGGGCCAGATTTCATTGGACACCGCCATTTCTGGAGCGAGAGCCGTGGGAAAAATTGTGTCTGCAGGTGTCAAATCGCCCATGGATTTCACGCTGTCCTTGGCGAAAGGCTTTCATAATGCTCCGAAGCTGTACGGTGACGACACAGTGAGGAAAAGCGAGAAGATTGTAGACTTGCAGTCCGGACTGAAAGCAGCTGGGAAGGAATTCGGCTACGGCTTCTATGATGGCATTACTGGGCTGGTGACTCAGCCTCTGGCGGGCGCAAAGAAGGAAGGCGCCGCAGGCTTCTTCAAAGGCGCGGCAAAAGGTATTGGAGGTCTGGTGCTCAAGCCCGGTGCCGGCATTTGGGGTCTTCCTGGGTACACTGCAAAGGGTATCTATGCAGAAGTTGCCAAGCACTTCGGTAGCTCGGTGCAAAACTACATCATCGCTGCTCGAACAGCTCAAGGATTTGAAGACTGGAAGAACAGCACCCCAGAGGAAAGGGAAGCAATTGTTACGGCCTGGAAAGACAGCAAAATCGAGACTCGGAAAGGTGGCAGACTTTATGGAGATGAAAGAAAGGAGGCGATCGAGAGCCATATCCTAACCAAGACGCAGAGCGACTCTGCCGCGCTCCTTCACGGCTTCAAGAATACCAAACACCTGAGCTGGGATGATCGCAAAGCCCTATCTGAGAAGAGGCAGCAGCTCAAGAAGGAACAGAAAGAGCTCGAACGTCGCGAAAAGGAAATCAAAGACGAAGAGAGGAAGCGCGACGGCAAGGTCAAGAGTCGTTGCAAGTTCTGTCCCTTCGATCATGACAGTAGCAAACATCCCGAACATGCCCGTTCCTTGCCGAGTATCAGCTCTCGTCTCTCTCACGCGAAGACCTGGAGTCCAGATGAGATCCCTGATGACCACCAATATGAGGAAGCCATCCTCAGAGCAATCACGGAAACGAGCAAAGGTAATCCGGAAGAAGATGCAATCATTGAACGTGCGCTCCGAGCAAGTCTTCGCGAACTGCACAATGCCAATGGAGGTGTCCAGGACGACCTCGCGTTCAAGACTGCTATGAGGGCTAGCATACGGGAGTTCCAAAGGGCGCAAGCCGAGCGGCCACAGGAGACAGGCGTCGTCTCTGTTGCGGGAGAGAAGCATAATGCCGATGATGATGATGATGATCATGCCCAAGTACTGGAGAGAGTGTTGACTAAGAGTCTGGAGGAATACAGAGCCGCTCAAGCTGCTCAGCCGAATTCGCAACCGGAGTCTGTGGAGTATCTCGACTACAGCGACTCAGGAATCGATACTGAGTACGATGAGGACTTTAAGCGGGCGGTCAAGGAGAGCAAGAGGCTGCATACGGAGAATGAACAGAAAAGGAATGACCTTGCCGAGCGTGAAGCGATGCTGGTCACGAATGGACATGAGGCCGTATCAAGTGGATCAGCGGAGGCTCATGATGACGATGACGAGGAGCTGAAGAGAGCGCTCACCGCGTCTGAGCAGGAGGAGAAGCTGAGGCAGGATGAGCTGACCCAGCAGAGAACAGAAGAGCAGATTGTGCTGGATTATATCAAGAAGCAGAGTCTGCTCGAGGAGGAAATGAGAAAGCAGAGGGAGGCGCAGAATGGTCCTCCTGCCTGAGCATGTGTGGGTATCGACGGCTGAGCTTGATGCAAAAGTAGACAGGGGAGCATATACATCGTGGGGCCCTAATTTGCACATGGAATGACGATGAATGAAGTGACGAGCTTGACACTGTTTTGAATGACGGATGACCTGGTTGACAGAATGTTGGTCTCTGCAGCCGAACTTCATAACTAGACAAGGGCTAAGCGAGGATTACGATTGCATGATATACACAGTACACCGTGGCACGGGTTTGGTCTCGTGTTGAGCTGCTGATGCAGAACTCTAGATATGCTCACATTGGCTCGTATTTTCTAGAAATCACTGTTCTATTATTTTCTGGTTGATCTCTCTAAAATAAGTGACCACGCACCATGTCCCCTTCAATACACGCCCAAAGGATATGCAGCAGGTATATTCCTCAACAGCGTCACCTCGGGCACCGTCACATAGGAAGTGGTAACTTCAACCGTCTCGTTCAACCCGTTGGTTACGGGCATCTTGCGCGCGTGTAGCCGGTCATCTATACTCTTGGCCAGCTGTAACAGCGTGCCTTCGGACCAGGGTAGTCCGAGAATCTCCATGCCAATTGGGATCCCGATGGGCGCGGAAGATGTCGCCGGCGAGAATCCAATGGGGATCGTTATAACGGGACTGCCCGTCAAGGCGGCGAGGATGCCGTTTCGTCCGGACTGGCTGGGCGAGCCGACGGGGACAACTAGGTTCTTCTGCTCCGGGTATATGATCGCGTCGAGGTTGTGCGCGAGGAAGGTCGAATGGAGAGTGCGTGTCAGGTTGGCGATCATGGACTGCCTGGTGAAGTAGCTCGCATTGCCCGTCGACGAGCGTAGCGCGGTCTCGACGTAGCTGTATTGGGATGGGATGACGAGGAATTCTGGAGTGGTGAGGTTGGTCGTGTATAGTTCCGGCATGCTGAGCGGTCGGGCGCCTTTTAGGTTGGGCGAGGAGAGGTATGCGGTTAGACTTTCGCGGTATTCGAGTTGTTGGACGTCCATGGCTGAGGAGATGGCCGTGGCGTTGTACGTGGTTGTGTCGGTGATGTTGACTATGGTGGCGCCGGCGGTCTGCAGGAGTGACAGGATGGTCGACATGGCCGCGTTGACGGGGCTGGTTTCGTTGGTGGATGTGCGATTGAAGAAGCCTTCGAGCACGCCGATTCTGATGGTGGAGAGGCTGGAGAGGCTGGAAGTGCTGGTGGAGGAGGAGAGGAAAGATGTGTAGTCTGTGCCGATGGTGGATGGCGGGATGGCGGATGTGGCGTTGTCGAGGGAGTCGTAGCCGACGCTGGACATCACGGTCAGAGCCGTGGCGATGTCGTATAGGCACCGGCCGATCGCGCCGACGGTGTCTTGGGTGTAGGAGATTGGGATCACGCCGGACCGTGAAATCAGGCCGCGCGTGGGTCGGAAGGAGAAGAGCGAGTTGGCGCTCGCCGGGGAGCGCAGAGAGTTTACTGTGTCGGTGCCGGTGCCGAACTGTGAAGGCGTTTAGAAAGTGGTCACCGCCCGATGTGGAAACATGCAAAAGAGTTCGGGTATCTTGGTTGAAGGGGGACAGAAACTTACCACGGCAAATGAAGCTGCTATGGCTGCACCAGTGCCACCGGAACTGCCGCCTGGGGTGCGGTTGAAATCGTATGGGTTGAGGGTTTGGCCGCCGAGACTGGAGACGGAGAGGCCTTCGAGAGCGAGTTCGTGGAGGTTCGATTTGCCGAGAATGACGGCGCCGGCGCGGCGGAGGGCGGCAACGGTGGGTGCGTCGTGCGTGGGCGTGGATGAGTTGAGGGCCAGACAACCGGCTGTTGAGGGCATCGGAGTTGCATCGTAGTTGTCCTTTAAGAGGATGGGGATGCAGAATAAGGCGCCTGTGGCGTTTCCTGTTGAGAGGGACACGTCGAGGGAGTCGGCGATCTGGAGGACGTCGGGGTTGAGGGTTATGATGGCGTTGATGTCGGAGTTGAAGCGTTCGACGCGGGCGATGAAAGCGCTCACGACGTCTCGGCAGGTTGTGACTCCGGAGAACAGAGAGCTGTGGAGAGAGGAGATTGTAGCCTCGCGGACGTCGATGGGAAGGGATTGAGCGAAAGTGAATGATGTGAAGGAGATGAGGGACAGCAAGAGAGGGCGAAGTGCGTGCATTCTGGCTGTTGATGGGAGCTAGAATGCCCGTCCAGCTACTCGTGGTCGGTGGGTGTGAAGGCCACTGGCGAAGGTGTTGTACGTGTTTACTTACATGACGCTTATGATGTTGTTGAGACGAGGCTCGAGGCTGGTTTCTGCTGCAAATGTTTTCATGTAGAGGAAAGGAGATGCCCACCTTATCAAGGACGAGAGCTCGATGATAATGACCGCACCTTCCTGATCCAGCTCGAACCCGAGTTAAGTACCTGAAGATCGGCGACGGAGACTCGGATAGCTGACCGAGGACAATCGACTTCTGTTGTTAGTCGGTGCCGTCGGCATTGGGAATTCAAAGGCAGGCAGAGTAGAATGTTCCTGCTGGGAGTTGAAGTGTTGACTATGGTATTTGGGGGGCTCTGATGTGACCAATGAAGACACCAGATGCCTCAAGTCTGCTTAGGTAAGCATCAGCCTCGTTGAATCTGTGTGACGTCATTACAAGGCTGATCACGTGTGGTACTCCAATGCTTAGTCGTAACTTGACTTCCACTTCAAATTCCTCTTGCACAAAATATCACCTCGATTCATGCCATCCATAAAAGGACAATGACTACAAGCCTCTGGCTGACTGATATGCACATGGTTATCAGGTGATACCTCGAATATTTTCGCTACATCTTCCTGGAGCCTCAATGGACGACATGCCGTGACACTACCATGGCATCAACTCCAACGTCACCTTGGGTCAATGCTACTCCTCTTCCCTCTTGTCTGCTTTCGGCATCTACTGAGGCACGATCCTCATCTCATTGGCCCTATGCATGTCTTTCCCAGAAATCTCCGCCTTTGAGCTTTACCATCATCACCGTTGACCGCAGAACTGCCATCTCAATGCTACTTTGTGGCTTTGTGGGGGTTCGACCTGACATGAAGATTGCAAAGGACTGGTCCTAGGTCAATAGCTTCGGCTACATATGCCGATTATCCACCTTAGTTCAGTCACTTCAGTGCATATGGCCTTCCTGACGAATGTCTCTCGACTTCGCCAGCTCTCTTGTATCTAAACACTGCTGTCTCCCCGTGCTGTGCTTGCTGCATCTGACCTACTGACTCGGAAAATTGCCACTGTGCGCTCAGCATGTTACTTCTTCCTGTGCTGCTGAGCCTGAGGCTACCTACTGTTGGCGCTGCTCAGCAGAAGTGTCCAGGATATGCTGCCCGCAACATTCGTCAGACCACCAATGGCCTGGCGGCTGACCTGCACCTTGCAGGGACCGCATGTAACATATATGGGACAGATTTACCCAGTTTGACACTCACAGTCGAATATCAAAGCGGTATAACTGCTGATGGAATTGAGCTTCTGCTGTTTACTGACTCCGAATAGCAACCAGGCTCCATGTTGTCATTCAAGATCAGAACAGAACCGTATATCAAGTCCCAGAGTCGGTACTCCCGAGGCCCAATGCGACGGACCCAGCGACAGCAGCTACTACTCAGCTTCAGTTCAATTACACAACCAATCCGTTCAGCTTCGCAGTATCTCGTCCCAATGGAGAAGTTCTGTTCAATACTTCCGGCTCACCCATGGTCTTCGAGTCACAGTACCTCAGACTTAGAACTTCTTTGCCTAATCACCCAAATCTCTATGGCCTCGGAGAACATTCAGACCATTTCAGGTTGAATACCTCCAACTACACCAGGACTTTCTGGTCAAGGGACGCGTATGGAATCCCTCAGGGGACAAATCTTTACGGGAATCACCCTGTCTATGTAGACCATAGGGGTAAGAACGGAACCCATGGGATACTGTTCCTTAACTCGAATGGAATGGATATCAAGATCAACGACACAGCTGGTCAATACTTGGAATACAATACGCTCGGAGGGGTCTTTGATTTTTATTTCCTTGCCGGGCCCTCACCTATCGAAGTTTCTCAGCAAATTTCAGAAGTTGTCGGCAAACCAGCCATGATGGCATATTGGACGTTTGGTTTCCATCAGTGCAGATATGGATATCGCGACGTCTACCAAGTGGCGGAGGTAGTCTATAATTATAGTCAAGCCAACATTCCTCTTGAGGTACGACCGATCCCCCACAAGGTTTGCATCATTGAACTGACGATTCTAGACTATGTGGACTGATATTGACTATATGGTATCTAGTTCTCCTCTGTTGGCCTGCTGTCAGGTACTCACACAGCTTGCAGGATGCCCGAAAAGTCTTCACTCTTGATCCACAACGATTCCCGCTTCACAAGATGCGAGAACTCGTCAGCTATCTCCATGCGCATCAACAACACTACATCGTGATGGTTGACCCTGCGGTGGCATATCAAAACTACTCTGCTTTCAACAATGGCAAGAACCTGGATATTTTCATGAAAGACGCAGACGGCTCAATCTTCCAAGGGGTAAAGTTTGAACCTGGCAACGGATGTCGATATTGCTTAGCCGAACTAACATTACGACAGGTAGTCTGGCCCGGAGTAACTGCATTCCCGGATTGGTTCCATCCAGACACTCAAAAATATTGGAACGATGAGTTTGGATCCTTTTTCAACCCTGATACTGGGCTGGATATCTCAGCTCTGTGGATCGATATGAATGAAGCAGCGAAGTACGTAAGCATTCGTTTACTTGATATCCGATGCTGATTCGAACCTAGCTTCTGCAACTATCCATGTTCTGATCCAAGCGGTTACGCTGCAGAGAATGGATTTCCTCCTAAGCCGCCCCCAGTCAGAAACGGACCTGCTGTCACCCTTGAGGGCTTCCCTGCCGATTTCCAACCTCCAACAAACGCGAAGCGGCAAGCTTCGCCAAGGGCAAGTATGCTTGGTCTTCCTGGCAGGAAGCTAATCAATCCCCCATACACAATCCGAAATGCAGCAGGTGGACTTTCGAACAAGACCTTGGGTACGGATCTTGTGCACTACAATGGCCTTGTGGAGTACGATACTCACAACTTGTACGGAACCATGATGTCTTCCGCTTCGCGTCAGGCCCTTCTCCATCGTCGGCCTGGAGAGCGGCCGCTGGTCATTACTCGAAGCACCTTTCTTGGGGCCGGTGCCCATGTCGGTCATTGGACTGGCGACAATGTGGCGAGCTGGGAGCAGTATGAGATTAGCATGACCGACATGCTGAACTTTGCCTCGATTTTCCAAGTTCCCATGGTTGGATCGGGTAAGTTCAGTGCCGCTGAACCAGCAGACCTACACTAACACCACTATGCAGACGTCTGTGGCTTTTCTCAAAACACGACCGAGACCCTCTGTGCGAGATGGATGATGCTTGGGGCTTTCCAGAGCTTCTATCGCAACCATAACGAGTATGAACCCCCATTGCCTAAGTGGCCGACTGAAACTGACAGACTGCAAGACTTGGGAATATTGGACAAGAGGCATATCGATGGCCGATGGTAGCAGAGGCCTCTCGAAGAGCGATCGACATTAGATACCGAACCTTGGACTATCTATATACAGCATTCTACACACAGACACAGACCGGGAAGCCGTTGATGAACCCTATGCTCTATATTTATCCGGAGGATCCAAAGACCTTCAGCATCGACGCACAGTACTTTTACGGCGACTCTCTGCTCGTATCGCCTGTCATCGAGGAAAATAAAACAGCAGTGGATATCTACCTACCAGACGACATATTCTACGACTGGAACGCAGGCTTCGCCCCGGTCAGAGGAAATGCTTCACTGGTAACACTCTCGGATGTAAATTTCACCACAATCCCACTGCATGTTCGCGGAGGCAGTATCATGCCTCTTCGAATTGAGAGTGCAAGTACAACAACCGAATTGCGCAAGAAGGGCTTCCACATTCTGATTGCTCCGGGGTTGGATGGCAAGGCTAATGGCTCGCTGTACCTGGACGACGGATTGATGATCAAGCAACCGCAAACGAGCTTGATCAACTTCGCCTTCAACAATGGGACTTTCACAATGTCTGGACATTACGGCTACCCTGCCAACGTCAGCATTGAGAGGATCAGCCTGTGCAATATTGGCTCAGCTCCACAAAGGGTGACGATAACCGGTCAACCAAATTCCACGTTCATCTATGACAAAGACACCCGAGTGGTCGCCGTCGATACCATGATTTCCCTCACCCAAAATGCTACCGTGCAACTGCCTGCTTCGTAAAGTGACCGATGTTGGTGGAGTCCCGCTTTGCGGTCGTGACGAGCTGAAAACGAGGCACGCGGAGAGTTCGAGAATGGATAGGCATTAATGACTGACCAAGAATCGATTAGCGTCTTAAGGTCTGGTCAGAATCCTACAACCTTGCTCCCGCGCACAGGACAGTGCTGAAGCCACTTCAGCCACATATTTCATTGAGCGGTGAGCGACATAGTTGATGTCGGACGCTCGTTCCTAGTTCCCTCGCGGGCCGCTGGGTAAGTGACAACCTTGTTTCAACGGCGGCGACATGGACACTTTCATTCTTGCCAATACGCGTTGTGCTGAAATGCAAACCATGCATCTCTTCATACCTCTCATGTGTGTCCAATCAACCCTGGGAAAACCGTGGGCCCGAACGAAACGTCATGACAACAGCTCTATCGGTGATTGCATATCAACGAGCTCGAGCAGGCCCGCCAGGAGTGGTGGCTCAGCAAGTCTAATATCGTCGCCGCATCTTGTCCATGGCATCCTCGCTTCGAGCAGCGTATCGTGAGTAACACCCGCTGCAATCGATCGGGACCACGCGAGAATAAAGCAATCAGCATCCCGGGCCCCATTGCTGATTCGAGCCATTGCACCGTGGGCTGTTGGCGTGCGTCCTTTCGGAGTAAAGGGCCGACCTTCCCCTCTTCAGGTGGTCTCTACAACCCACCCACCTGGCCACCATATCAGCAACGTGTCTGCCATTCCCTTGACATGTCCACGCATGTCTAAGTTTGCCGCTAAGCCTTCGGTGTTGGCCGTGTCCATCATTTGCGACACCGGTTGCACACGGCGTCATTTGAGCCCCGGAGGTCGTCTTCGGCAGCATTATCTCGCTCTCATGAGCGCTCTTGAACCGGACGGTAGGTGAAGACGACAGCATGGCGGGGTAGTCCAGGCTGCCCGTTGTGTTCGCAATCATGTGTTCGCCCTTCCGTGGTCTTCATTCGGCATACCAGTTCTTCGCATGCAGCAGCCCCATTCCTGTCGTTTCCTTCCCACTCACTAATGCACTCCTGCCTCATTTGCCGTACTTAACGGGCCTGACAAGTCATTTTGCCAGTTTGTTCTCTGGAGGTTGGCCAACTTACCACCAGCCGAACGATGCATTGGCCTCGGCCGCAGTTTTGAAAACTGCCACAATTGGTGTCTTGCTTGGGTGGTTTCTCATTGCTATCTGTTTCCGGGCAGTCTGTTCTCTGGTCTATCGCGTCTGGATCCGCCTCATTCCTTCCCAAGCATGCTCATTCGGTCTCCCACTGTGTCATCCCTCAAATCGCCAGTCAGCCTGCTCTGTGACCGAGGCTCGCGGCAAGCTGGACAGTGGCCATTGACAGCCTTGGTCGTGATCGCTCCAAATAAACCCGCCCACTACCCGGTCCCGTCGCCATGTCCAAACAGTCGTCCAAGTCCAGCAAAAAGCAGAAACGAGAGGAACAGTCAGAGTCTGATAGCGATGACGATCTGCAGCCAATCCATTTCTTTGTTCCAGGGGAGAACATCAACGCCGCAGTGCTTGTCGACTACATAACGCAGTACGTCGATAGAACCGCAAAGATCACGTCAAGTCATCATCCAACTGTGCGAATAACCGATCCCACTTGATATGCGCTAACAAGTACCAGGATAAGTCGCGAACAGGCTTCAACGTGTCCGCAAAGAAGACACTCAATGCCGTAAGAGCCATCCTCGAAGTGAACCCTCCATGCAGCGAAGCTGATCCCTTCCGCGCAGGTTAGCCTCCGCGACATCATCAACGACTCGAAAGACTGGGATCTAGAGACACAAAGCAGTATGGGAATTGTGTTGCGGGCGCAGAACTATATTGACCGTTGTCAGAGAAATTCCGAAAAGACCCATACCGATATGCAGACTCGGAAACAGCCCGCCGGCGTGGGCGTCAAGGCGCATCAAGAGGTGGCACGACTCGTCCAGCACAACAACGATCGACACGGGAAGCATCGGCGGAGCCTGAGAGTTACCGACGAGACAAGGTCACCGGTCCTACAACCACGGGCAATGTTCCCGCACAGTATTCCTATCAGGGGTCACAGTCCCCAAATGCAGGCGGATACTATCAGCCTCCCCCAAAGGCAGACTATGGTTCGAGCACAAATTATATCTACAACAACGTAAATGCCACTTCTTTCAGTGCTAACCTGCCTGCCAACACTGCCCAATACCCATCCGGTCAATACCAGAGCGCCTATCCTCAACCTCAGAAAACATATTCTGATCTAGCACCACCCTCTTACGAGCAGGCCGTTCCGAGAGGGCCACCTCGACCTCAGACTCCGGGCAATCCTGATCCCGACACGTTTGACCGCGAGGAGAAGCCCAGGAGACAGGGCAGCGATGCACCCGCATCACGTCAAGGTTCGATAGCCCATGGGGACGACGGGTCTCGGTCCTACAGTGCGCAAGGTCGTAGGCAACATCCATATGATGAAACGACGCGAAGGGCCAGTCATCGGTAGTCAGTCTCGAATGGACCGCATACGACCCCGTCGTCGCTGGAAAGGATTTGGGTTCCCCGAGCATACTATTCCAAGAAGCAGCTGTGGTGATGGCAACAGTTGGACCGAGGAGGACCTCTTCATGCTAAATTTGCTGATTAGAAGTCCCAGGCTTGCAGTTCCAACGTTGGTGACCGGGAACACCACAAGGATCTTTGGACGTGGATGCCAATCTCTCTGGGTTAAGGCGGCCGTGCCTTTGTCGATGCAGAGCTGATCGAGCCCCGCCGTGCAGTACTCGCACTCACTGTTTTGTTTCCCCTGCGGCGCGCATCAGGGAAGGAGTCACCACCTGGTTTCTGGCATTCGACATGAGTCGTGGATATCAGTGTCAGTTTCTGATTTGCATTTTTGGGCGTGGCGCTTAGCATCGAGCTTGATGTTAGTTTCATTCTGGATGGAGATGGGATACCTGGACCAAGCGATAGATTGAAGAACGGGGAGGGATATCGAAGAATGAAATCCGTGCCTGATCGGATCAAGGTTGCTTGCCGTTGCGTATGGGGCGTTGGCCAAAGAGCCTTTCGCCGCATAACAGTCGTTGCACGGGAGGAGAAGTTGACAGGTGGGAAGTTGCACATCTCCCAGATCTGTGCGCATGCAGTAATCGAGCTGTTGCAACGTTCTTGCATCGGCAGTTTCAAGTCATGTTATCGCCTGTGACCGCGCACAATGGCAGCTGCCCACGACTGCATCGACCAGGTCATTTTGGTGTTGAAAGTAGATATACACACTCAACAATTTTTGTCTTCCCAACAGTCGCGCTTGCGAGGTAGTCCGTCAGCCGTCATGAGACCTTCGATATCATTGTCACCTGCTGGTCAACTTCAGCGTGATCTACTACGGTCCGGAGCTGATCATGGTCTCTCGGCGTAGCTCTGAAACGGGGCAAAGCCATGTTCACTCAGGCCGCTTTCTGAAACCCGCTCGTATTGATCGACGACCATCGATCCAGGAACTAACGGAGTAGTCAGGTCGACATTGGGAAAAGACATGCTTAATTGCCCTGGGATGGTGACGTACGAGGGCTATATAATAACGATCAATGTCCCTCTAAGATCTGGTCAGGATCCGCCCCCATCATCACCCATCATTTGCTGGACAAGTACTTTATTACCAGCGTGGCATTGCCCGAAGCAGGGTTGTTGGGGGGCACCATCACACACCTTTGATGCCCGCAATCTTACTCCCTGGGATGGGCGTTTGACAATCCACGCCATCGCCTAAATCCCAGTCATGCTCCCTGGCTGATTGGCCGCATAAGGGACTTTGCATATGCAGCAAGCTAATAGACCGGGCCCGTAGCGTTGAGCGATGCATGTCTCACGAGCGCCACGACACACCTTCAGACGAGCCACCTACGACTACTACAGGCCACACCACCCACACCCCTCTTCCATCGAGGGGCAGAGTCAGATCCTCTCTCGTAACGGGCCGCACTCGCAAGGCAAACAGTCTTGCCCTGTCACACTCTGTGTCCACTGTCGACCTAGCCGGACAAGGCGGGAATCCCCTTCACAGCATTGCTTCAAAGGCCGAAAAGTCTCTCGGCAGTTTAATTTCAACCTCACTTTAGGAAGTGATGAACGTTGACAAGAGCACAACAGAATCGAGTCAATGGCCTTGAGCCTGGAGAACGCCCCTGGATGGCCCGCCAACAACAATAACAATGTTGCTCAAAATTCCATTCAGGCTCCTGCTGCTCCTCCCACGACTCAACTTGAGGCACGCGAAGGCCCCGCTCCCGCTCAATGGCAAGCGGTGAGGGAGGAAATCCGGGTCTTGTACGAGAAAAAGCCCTTGAGAGATGTCAGGAGGATCTTAGAACAACGGCACGGGTTTCGCGCGACGTAAGTACCATGCAAGCTTCCGGATCCATTCCTTCCCCAGCCATCGCCCTCCCTCCAAACCTATCGCTTATGCAACGACAGTGAGCGCATGTATAAAGCTCGCCTCGCGCAGTGGGGATTCAGCAAAAACTACTCGGATAAAGACTATCAAATATGCGCGGTGCTGCATCACGCCCGACAAAAAAGCGGTAAACGAAGAACGGCCTTTGTGATACATGGCCACAAAAGATCAGTCAAGGACTTGCACAAGTACATCAAGGGCCGCAAGATGTCCGAAGATGCATTCCTGGCAACCGCACTCAAGAACATCCACGTTGACAGCCTTGCAGAACACGAACAGGCTCAGTATGCCCATGTTCGCGCCTACACGCCACCTCCGGGGGGACCAAACACCCCGAAGCCGGACGGCGACGGCGACGGCGATGAACCGCTACCCTCACCGACGCAAATGCAATCCACGCAAGCAGCCAAGTATCCCTCTCCGCGAAGGAAGTCGGCATCGGGTTCTGGGTCTGGATCGTTCTCCAACCACCAAGGGTCACACCATCTCCTTCAGACAACATCACCCCAATCGGCGACGTTGGTATTCCCATCACCTGCGACACAGTTGACAACACCCACGCGACACATGTACGGTTCGCAATTATCCCCAAGCGCAAATAGTGTCACGGTCACTTGGCCGTCACCGTCCCATCCTCACCTTGCAACCTCACCGTTGGACGAGACTTTCTCATCGGCAGCATTGTCCTACAAGTCTGCGCAAGCCGTACCCTTGAGCAACTACCACGATCATAGCAATCATGTCAGTTCTGTCCACAGCAGTCCGTGTCAGCGACTTGGTAGGGACGTGGAGTACATGGCGCTCCAGGTGACCGACGGACCGTCTCTGAGGTCGCTTTGCGGGCACGACGACATCGAGGCCTGGCGACTGCTGAGTGACACGTCGTCTTCGGACAGTGGAGAGTACGAACACGTCTGTCCAGGCTGCTATGAACCGAGTCGAAGTCATTTTGTCAGTCTTACAAATCTAGAGTTGCCTCAGCAATCACGAAATATCCTCAATGAGACCGTCGGAGGCACCGATCGTGCGATATCCGTTCCACCATCATCTCGCGATCACCAGCACTCCTGGAGGTGGGTCGCTCGCTGTTTCGCTGCGTGCATCTATCTCAGCAGAGGTGACGACGAGCTGTCCCGACGAAGTCTGACCGACGCAAATGCAGAATTCAAGCAGATGCTCGTTCCGACGCAAGATCCCAAGGTCGTGTTGGCTTTGAATCAGACCCTCCAGATCCTCCACATGCATGACCAAGGCGAAATCACCAAGAAGATCATGCGGTCGGCGTATAATGTGGCACAGCGCGTGCTGGGGCCCGACGACCCTTTGACGGTCATCACGCGGTGGATGGTGTACGTGGCGAACCTCCAGATGCGCGATCAGGACATCACAAGTTCCACGCTCTACGGAGTGTATGGACACTATCTGCGGCAACATGGGCCCGAGGATCCAAGGTCGATAGCCTCGTTGTACTGTTACGGGTACATGCTCAACGTGGAGCGGCGGCTCGAGCAGGCGGAACAGGTCCTCCGAGACGTCTACACCATCTCGTGCGCAAATCTCGGCCCCCGGCATTTGCAGAGTTTGTCGGCCCTGACCAACATGGCTCGGTGTCTGGAGCGACAGGGAAAGCTGGACCAAGCCATTGAGATGATGGAACGGGTCATCAAGGATTCAAGGGATACGTTGGGTGAGAGCCATCCACGACGGCTCGAGAGCATGCGGATACTGGGAATGTTCTTGGAACAGCGTGGGGATCTGGACCTGGCAGAAAGACTATACTGGAGAGTCCTGGAGGGACGGATCAAAATGCTCGGTGTCAATCATAAATTCACGCTGGGCGCCAGGGACGTTTTGGAAGCGCTTTTGAGACGGTTGGGCAAGTGGGATGACCCTGAACACGAGGATGGGGGTGAGAATGGGCAGAGCGAGGCGCAGAATCGAATTCAGGACTTGTTCGAGTGGAATCCGTATGAGATTCCAGAGGACGTTGTGGCGAGTGATGGGGATTTGAGTGATGGCGTGGGGAGCGAGCATGATGCTTTTTGATAACATACACAGGGCCTCTGAAGATGGGCTGCGTGACTTGACCGACCTTTACAACGGACTTGCGAAGTACTACCTTATACAATGGCACTGGAACTGGTACTGGAACTGGCTATGGCATGAATGAATGAATGACCCCAGCGAGCGTGGCGTAGGTGTCTGGCGCACGTTCGGGCATTGATTGATTGAACTTGAACTTGAACTTGGCTATTCTGACTGGAATGGATACTAGCGTAGCATATGAAGTACGGAATATGGAGTACGGAGTACCTCGCAGCACGATTCGTTGTGAATAGTGGACTGGACCGAATCGAGTTGCGTGGGGAAATACCGGTGGAATGGGGAGATGAGGCTGATATATATATGTGTGTGTGTGTGAGAGAGAGAGAGAGAGAGAGAGAGAGAGAGAGAGCGCTCTCGATTCATGACGCTGTGCTATGCTGGACGTGGGATATCTGGACAGACGCGCAGTAGTGTAGTGAAAGATCAGAAAGACATTTGAAGGATATCATCCATGTTTAGAAAGGGGTTCGCAAAGGATGGTGCCCAGGAGGTACGGAGTACAGGGAATTACAAAGGAAAAATCAAGACAAGAAAACCCCTCTCTAACCCTCCCAGAGGTACATTCTGATATCTCTTTTTTTTTCCGGTGTCGCGACAGCTTGAGAGTCTGAAAGGGTCAGAAGCGATGAGATGGACTGTACTCTTCGCCGTGAAGAAGCTCGAGTATGAAAGCGTCAAAGCAACGAGACTGACAGTAGTCGATACGGTAAAGGAGCAAGAACAAGGAAGCTGCTCCGTACGGAAGAGTCGGCTAGATCTGTACGGAGTACTGTGCACAGTACACTGCGTCAAACCAGAATCCGCTGTTCCAATCCCATAGGCCAGGCACGGAGTAGAACGGAAATGAAGTCGAAGCCCAAGGCAAAGAGAGCCAGCCCGTCGGGCCCATGAAGATGGACCTGTTGAAGAGAGCGTGGTGGGTTCGGAAAAGATTTCCCAAAGACCCCAAATCAACAGATTCTCTGGGAAAGTGGGAGAGAGTGTAATGCCCTGCAACTCCTTTCGCGAGACCTTCTTGCCGGCATGCCTTGCAGGATACGTACCCACCGGCCGCACGCTCAGTAGGCGGTTGTTTCTGGTTATGTTGAGTTCGGATCTGAGAACAAAGAACTTCGGATAAGGGGGAGTCGGGACGGACTGTACGGAGTACTGCACAGCTCACACGGCTTCACATGTCGGTACGAGTACCAAGCCAGAGACAGACAAACAGCTGAGAGAACGACTTTTAGGCCAGCCAAGGTTCTTGGGATGCCATGCGAGTGCTACTCGCACAATATCTGGTAAATCTGCGAAGACCGTGGAGGACATACTCCGTAGAACGATCGTGGTTACTAGACACAGCCGAAATAAGGCCTGGAGTCTGAGTGGGGCGATCGAAAGGCTGAGGAAAGTAGTGGGCGGTTCGGCTTGTTGACGTTGGGTGAAGTTGAGTATGTAAGAAGGGGACAAGATGCAGTCTCATCAGGCTGTGCTTTTCAAGATTCCACGAGGTTGTCTGCTGGATTTTTTTTTGTTTTTGAGAGAATCTATCTCTTCAATGTGCTGCAACGCCTTTTCCGTCTTCCTGTGCATTCTCGAGATCAAAGAGACATCCGATGTCTTGAGGCACGTCTCTGAATTTGACTGGGAGAACCTTTGTTTCAATGCACCTTTCTATTGATTCTCAAACTTCAGCCCACTTTCTAACCTCTTCGCGCCATAAATGCCGGCAATGTCACCCTTGGCCCCTTGAGTCTCTTTGACCACCTTCAAGTAAGAGTCTGCCAGCTCGACATTCTTCATCTGACATCCGGCGCTTTTGGCCAGGTCCATTGCATGTCTGGCGTCTTTCCGTGCCAGGTCAACAGCGAACAGTGGCTCTTCACGTTTGTAGTAGTCACCACTTCGTAATCGGTTGGAGTAAGCGGTATATGGCCCCGGAAACATCATCTCGATGAGTTTGTGCAACTCATCCACTCCAAGGCCAGTCTTTTCGGCCACAACGTGACCTTCGGACAAAGCCTCTACCATGTTCACGACAAAGGTATTGCCGATCACTTTCAGTAAAGTGGCCTTGCGAGGCTCTTGACCGGAGAAGTCGATGTTCTCTCGACCCATGACACCCTTGCAGTATGGTTTCACCTTTTCAACCGCGTCCGCCTTTCCAGCCAGCACGCACACGAGTTGTCCCGAGTCAGCCATCGCAGGAGCACCGAAGACGGGGCAGGCCACGAAACTGGCACCTTTTTCTTCAATCATCTTGGCTTCTTTGCTTGTTGTATCGGGATGAACAGTGCTACAGTCCACCAAGACTTTGCCCTTCACATCCGTCTTGAGCATCTCTTCAACCATTGTCAGAACCGCAGCGTCATCTCCCACACAGTAGAGTATTATGTCTGCCTTGGAGACTGCATCTCGGATTGAGGTGGACACGGTTGAATTGCCAATCTTCTCAGAGAGCTCTTCGGCCCGCTTCGTCGTGCGGTTGTAGATGATCAGAGGGTTTGAAAGGTTGCCTTTCTCGACTAGATTCTTGCACATGCCCTGTCCGCTGGTCAGCATTCGGTTCAGGGACGTGGAAGGACACGTCTGACCCTGCCCATATTACCTAGGCCGAACCAGGCCAATTGCGGTGCCATTTTGGAGGATTTTGTACTGCGCACCCACTACGTGTAGGAAGCAAAGCAGAAGCGTATTGATACAAGTCGGTGGATATAGCGCTATTGATATCGTCGTCAATGCTCAAGGAACAGCCACAGCAAACCTTTCTACGACGGAGAAAGTCTCAAAGGCATAAGTCCACCTTCCATTATGTATTGTCGACCATGACGTGGTCTCCATGGTTCGTGGGGCGGCGAGCCCCCGCGCTGATAAACAACAAGTGGGAGGACGATATCTGACTAGCCATCGATGGCTTCAATGAGTCGGGCAGTTACGGAACGAGCTCCAATGTGGCTCCAGACGGTCAGTAGTGACATACCTTCGACTGTCAGACGCCAGGGTCAAATTGAGATATCAAGGGCAAGCCACCGGACGCAGCACCGAGTATTACTTACTACTGTGCAAGCCAGGGCGCGGACAAAGAGCTGATCGCCGCTTAGCAGATGGCGAGCATGGTGAGGATCTGCGATGGCATCGATGGGGTAGCGGCAGGCGGTGACTCCGCATCGCCAATGATTCATACGGCAGTATTTTGTTATCTTTTTTTCTTCGACAATGCACGAGAATGAAAATTTTCCATGGCTGCATCGTAAGGAGATCTTCTGAGAGGATTACAAGTCTTCGCTCATGACAATTACACCTTCACTTTCTCATGCATTATTGTTCTTGTTCCGCTGTCGTGCTCTCTCTGCATCATGAAACATGAGCCAGACCGCCTTCACATCGTCCACAGCGTCCTTGAGGAGTCGTTACTCACAGTGGCAGAACAGGAACGATGCTGCTGAAGTGTTGAGATCCTACCTCCGTTCAAATCCTCCTTCGACCTCTCGCTCATGCCACAGACGTCGTTATTCTGCTCAGCCTGCTCCTAGACCGGACGACCCTCCGACGAATGACGTTCACAATGTTTCTGAGCAAGAGAAGAGCAATGCATTTGCTCGCTGGGGCAGGCAGAGACTGGCAAACAGGGAATTCTTTACAAGTCTGTTGAGCTCCGCAGCTACGAAACGAGACGCAAAGGCATATATCTCCAGACTCAAGACCCCGGCGAAGGCGGCTTCTGGTGCAATCACTGCCCAGCAGCCTGCATCTGCTAGAAAAGATCCACCAGTGAATGTGGGCAACCTTTTCGGCCGTGCTCGAGCTGTGGAGGAAAGTCCGATCTTTACACAATATGAAGATGAGTTGTCACAATCGCTTGGAGAGCAAGAAATTCTACATGTTGCTGTGGTCAAGCTCAGTAATGTCAGTACCATGGATGACAGTATCTTAAACGGCATTGCCCAGACCCTTTCTTCCCTATCTCGTCTGAGTATGGCTCCATGTATTGTGTTGGAGGAACCCGAACAAGGTGATGAACAGACTCGGCGGAAGCAACTGGCACAGTCAGCAGACAAACTCGTGGCTGCCATTGATCGAGCCAGTGAGGTCGGTGCCCGGAGGTTAGACAATTTGTTCAGCTTTGGTACAGATGGTCAACCTCAAGTCTTCCTCCGGAAACTTCTGACCCGTCCCCTTCGTCGAGGCCGAATCCCGGTGATTGTGCCTACCGCATACTCTGAAGCGCGTCAGCAGGTTGTTCCCATTGGCGCGGATGAGGCTCTGCTAGGATTGATCAGAGAACTTGCAGGTCTCAATTTCACGCCCAGGAAGGACGAGAATCCGGAGGCTGTGGCGCAGAAAGAGAATGCCCTGCGCAAACAGATTTCTGTTGACAGGATCATCGTTGTCGATGAGACTGGCTGCATACCCAGCACCAAATCACCAGACCGAAAACATGTCTTTGTCAATCTGCATCAAGAATACCCATCTTTACAAGAAGAGCTAAGGAGTTCCACCAGCGGCAATGTATCCAAAAAACATGCAACGAACCTGAAGTTGTTCAGAGAAGCTCTAAGGATGTTGCCACATTCTTCATCAGGGTTGTTGACGACTCCGTTGGAGGCTGCAAACACAGCCCGAGCATCAGATGACGGAGCCTCCAACGTCGGCACCAGACGGCAAAAGAATCCTCTCATACATAATTTGCTGACCGACAAACCGGCGTATTCTTCCTCTCTACCTACAGGACGCTTGGCTCAGGACACACCTACCACGTCTGCAACGACCTCGACTTTTGTCAAGCGTGGCATGCCGTTAACGATCTTGCCCAACCCTCACGCCCAGGTCTGGACATCAGTGAGCACACCTCGACTGAAATTGACCGACCCTAGAATCGATCTCGAGCGGCTCGTTTACCTGATTGATGATTCTTTCAATAGGAAGCTTGATGTTGACGCCTATTTGAGACGAGTCAACGATCGGGTCGCCGGCGTCATCATCGCTGGCGATTATGAGGGCGGCGCAATCTTGACTTGGGAGACACCGCCTGGCGCTTCTGATGAGGACACCTCCCGTCTGGTCCCATATCTTGACAAATTTGCCGTACTCAAGAAGAGCCAGGGTGCTGGGGGCGTCGCCGACATTGTCTTCAATGCCATGGTCAGGACATGTTTCCCCAACGGTGTCTGCTGGCGGAGTCGGAAAGACAATCCCGTCAACAAATGGTACTTTGAGCGATCCAGGGGGACGTGGAAGATTCCAGAGAGCAATTGGACCATGTTTTGGACCACACCGAATCTGATGGAGGAGACAAATAGCCAGACCTTTTTGGACTATGAAGGCGTCTGTCGTACGGTCAAGCCTACCTGGGCTGACGGGAAGAAAGTGGCAGACTGAATTTGAGGGATGAGGTTATGATGTTGACGTAGCGAATCTATGAACATACAGGGTATATATATATATGAACGAAATATGAAACGAAAGGCACGCTTAGACCTGATGGACCCTATTCGGTACTGCCTCTCGCCCCTCCCGGCGATTCTCTCATGTGTACCTGCTCCGTGGGATCTCTCGGCAGGGCGTCTTCGTTCAACTTGCTCTGCAGATGTGCGCCCTCGCCTGAAACCGCCGCCGCTTGCTGCGGCACGGCGGCCGACGTCTTCAACTGTCGCACATTGCCCCTTGACAAAGCCAACAGGAAACTGGACGTAATGAACTCGACACCCTGCGTCTCCTCGGCAGCAACGTCGCGGCCCGTGGCAGAGTTCGCATGGCGCCTGCACAGTCCATCTTCCCGAAGCTGCTGAAGTTCGCCTTTCTCCTGGTCCTTCTCCTCGTTCTCGGATGACTTGCGCCTTGGGATCCAGACGTTGCCCAGCCCGACGCTGGCAACCAGGCTTAGTCCCAGGATCGGCAGGATCGAAATGAAACTCCACATCGTGGCCGTGGCACCCTGTGCGCGGATGGCGTCTTGTTCGGCCTGCGGCAGGCTGCTTATTGCGTCGAGCGAGGCTTGATTGTGTAGATTTATGGTCGCCGTCGACGTGCTGTTGTTGGAGCTGGAGTTGGAATTGCTCACGGCGTCAGACCCGAAATACTCGCTCATCTGGTTCTGGAAGACACTGCCCATGATGGTCAGGGCGAGGGTGCCGCCGAACGGCAGCGCGAAGCGCAACAACGAGTATACGCTGGCGAGTTGTGACCGGAACATGCCTGACAGGTGCAGGTTGGACGGCATGAAGCGCATGCCCGTCCCAGCGCCTGCAATCGCCATCATGACGTTGACGAGCGTTGGGTCGCGGGCTTTGACAGCGTAAGAGAGGACCGCGATGCCAGCGGTTTCGACCACGGTGCCAATAAACAAAGGCCAGAATGTCTGCCGCGGATACACATTGCAGATGAAGATTGCGCCGTAGACGCCGACGCCCAACCCGGGGACGTAGTAGAGCAGTTGCGTGCCGGCGTGGGACGAGGTGTAGGATTCCACGAGGGTGAAGTAGATGCCTATGAAGTAGAAGACGGAGTAGAGCGCGGAGCCCGTGGCCGCGGCGATGAAGCAGACTAATTTGACGTCTTTGGCTGAGAGCACGGAGGAAGGGATCATGGGTACGGTCTTCGGGAAGTGGCGGTTGAGAATGCGACCTGGGGAGAGGAGCGTTTCGTACGCAAGGAACAACATGATGAGGAGCGCTCCGAGGATGATGCTCGATATTACCGCGCCTGATTTCCATGGGAATGTCGAGCCGCCCCAGGCGGTGCCGAGGATGACAAGGCCGACACCCAGAATGAACAGCGTGATCCCGCCGATGTCGAGCGTGGAAAGGCCGGAGACAAGCGCTTGAAAGCGTGTTTGAGATGGCTCAGGCCGGGAGAGCGAGATCTTGCCAGGCTTGAGGTCGCCGCGGAGGAGGAAGATGGTGCAGAAGCTCATCACGGAAAGGCCGGTACAGAGGACGAAGCAGTAGCGCCAGTTGGCGTTGGTAATGTAACCCCCAATGACGGGACCGATGCCTGGATGATGTTAGCAATGAGGTGTAAAAGGTAGCGAAGTAGAGCGAAAAGGGTACATACTGTATCCCACACCGTTCATTAGCTGGAAAATACTGGTGTTGACGGCTTGTTCTTTGAGAGAAACGGAGTCGGCCAGGATGATCATGGCCACATTCTGGATGCCCGCCGTGCCCATACCTTGTAGAGCTCGACCAAGGAGCAGCACGGGCCAGTCTGGTGCAGCGGCGCAGAGAACGCTGCCTATAGTCAGGAGGACAACGGCGGATTGGATCGTTGCATGGCGACCGAAAATGTCTGCTGATTGGCCGAAGACGGGGATGAAGGCTGTTGATGTCAAGGTGAAGGCTGTAACAATCCAATTGAGTTGATTGAATTTGTCTGTTACATGGTCAGAATGGCAGGGCTCTTAAGCGCAAAGGGTAGACGTGGAGGCTGACCGAAATGAGAAGCGATCTGAGGCAAGGCTGTTGCGACAATGGTCAAGTCAAGACTTGCATCGAAGAAAGCGGGGAGCAGGCAGAAGAGGAGTTTCCAGCGATACTTTCGAGCGACAGTCTTCTCCTGTGCGCACTGCGGGCATGGTTTCTTCGGTGTAGCTGCTGTTTGAGGTGAAGTGTTGGTGGAAGCAGTGGTCTTGGTGTTGATCGAGGAGGGCACAGAAGTAGGGACTGCAGAAGTCGGTACTGCGGCCGCTGCGGTAGCTTCTGCGGCTTTGCGAGCACGGTGCTTTTTGATCTTCTTGTATGCCAGATACATTTTGCAAAGAGACGAGTTGCTATATGCTCAGTGAAGGGCAGGGTGAAGAGGACGACACATCGGTACAGTGTGCACGACTTCAGACATGTTAAATAAAATTTACCTCGAACTTGCATCAAGCACCATCTTTACGACGAATACGTCGTTCACATCTTTGCCAGGCTGAATCACAGCCTCTTTTTTCGCAGATTGGACCTGAACAGGCATGGCGCGGAATGGTCGTGAATTGGGTCAATTAAAGCAAGGACGCACCCTGTGGGACGCTCTGTTGTTTCTCAGCTAATCCAAAAATGGTGCATACCACGAGGTTCGACTCGATTGGCGAGTCGTCCTGGAATCGATAGACCAGCGAAATTGTTCAGTGTATGATATCGTCCGATGGTCAAGGCAGACTCGCGAACCTCAATCTGGGGCATTGGGCGAACGTGCCAGACTCGTGACGAAGAAAGCCATGTACTGTGTAGGATGCAGTGGTGATGGGGATGACAAAAGTCCATCTTGAGAGCAGATTTGGTGATTCATCGGCGAAATCCTTGGTTCACCGTACAATTGGGTACGGTGGGTTTTAGTGACCTTACTACTACATGATCTCCCAAACGGCGAGACCAAAGCTCTATGGGTCTTATCTGTCTCGACAGTTCGCAATAAGTCCATCCTCGGTTCTCTGCCATTTCGGCAAGCATGCCAATATGCATTACGTGCAGTACTCCAGTCAAGGACCTGTACACGGTCTACAGCAAAGCAGATGACAGAACCTTAGGCAAAGGCGTACGCTTAACCCAATGCCCCAATTGCAAGCGGTTTGCCGACAAATATGTCGAGCACGACTTTGTTGTCCTGTTCATAGACCTTGTCTTGATCAAGCCCCAGGTAAGCATCTGCAACAGCGAGAACATTTTGGCCCTGACCTTTTCAGGTTTACCGCCATCTCCTGTTCAACCGGCTTGGGCGCTCGGATAACAAGTTCGATCCTAGCATCTTGCGCCTGGGGATCTTGCTCGTCCTATTTGACGTCTACATTACGTGGGCTAGGATCGAGAAGACAAGTGCTATCAGTCCACGCAATGGGGCCGGCTCCAGACTCAGTGGGATGCCTATCCTTACGCAATATCTTTTCTTTCTTACCATGAATGTCATGGCGACAGTTGCGCAGCATGGAATCATCCGCCTGTTGGCTCGAAGTTTTGTCACACGACATGAGCTTCAAGGAGACTTTAATGGGTTAAACCAGAAACCTGCCCTGTCCTCATCTGGCGCTCCTACAAGGCCGCCGACGGTCGCACCCGGTAACGCCAGTCCAAGTGCAATCAGCACTGCTTTATTAGTGTCCAGCTGTACCAAGTTGTTTCCCATCTTGCTCGTCATATGGCCTACAGAAGCAAAGGAAGGTGACTCCCCTGGATTTGCTTTTCGGGCAACGAGTTATGTAGGATGGGCTGTACTCATCAACAACATCGAGGCCTTGCTGATTCTACTCAACTGCGGCTACGTGACTGCAACCGGGCTAGCCGTCTCGGGAATGCTTGCGAGATGGGTTGTGGAAGGTTGGGCTTTGAGCCTCGTTGGATTAGGGAGAGATGCTGGACCGATGGGAGATGTTGTGGGCGCTTTGATGGCAGTAGCAAAATGGCTGGTAGGAAGATGAGACTTTAGCAGGAATAAAAAGAGTATTCGTCAGTAAATCTATACATCCACCTTCCGCCCACCGTACACGAGCTCTTGAGTGCTCGCTCGGTATCCGGTCTCACGTATCGACGACGACGAAGCCCTGCAGGGCACATTTCAAAAGTCTTGAAGTGTCACGAATCATGTTCCATATTCACTTTCCTGATTCCTAAACTTCGACCCTGCAACCCCATGCCTGGTCACCGGTTTCTGGAGTAATTAGCCGGGGTTTTGCCGTCATTTTGTGGCGGCTCGTGTCTACAGTCTGCGGGACTCGAGATATTGTAGCACGCGACGCCATTCTCTGTTGACCGGCCACCTTTCATCTGGAAAGGCCCAGCATGGATGAAACTTCTGGTCGCGGCCATAGGGAGAAGAAACCAAGCGAAAAGTTAAAGGAACAGGTGACAAGCAAGATCGACAAAATCGAGGACGAGAAGTCAATCGTGCTGCCAACCTACATTGCACCCAACGACCCAAAGTTCTTTCAGGACCAAAAGGAGGTTCCAAAGATACACGACCATACAAAGAGATCTCTAAATGACGACAAGGTTGAGTTTTACTCATTGGGCACTCAGTGAGCCATCACTTTCAATCTGTACAAGAGCCCCGGCTAATCGAATCAGTGTCGAGAGTAAAGAGAAACGATACTATATTCGCGCAAAGAGAGATCCGAATACTTTCTACTTCCACGCCGACGAAGCCCCTCCTCGATATGCCCGTTTAAGTGATGAGAATCACCCACAATGCGGGGTGGAAAGCCTGAAGAATGTTTTCACCAAGGATATGCTAGGGAAGAGTGGAGAGTTTGGCAGCTATACAACGAGAGCAAATGTCTTTGCACGAGAAGGAAAGTTCTTTTTCGAGGCCAAGGTCATAAGTATAGCTCCGCCAGGCAGAGAAGAACCCGATCGTGCTCTGGCCGATACCCAGAACTCTGACAGGACCTCTACGAACCGAGGAGGGCTACGCGTTGGCTTCTGTCGGCGAGAACATCATTGGAGTGAGAATCTAGGTGGAAATGCGTACAGCTACGGTGTGGTTCTACGAAGTGGGAGATCAAGAGAATATGGCAGTGTGCGCTTCAACACTTTGATGTATCACATGCAAGGCGAGGGTGGGAAGGATCCTGAAGACCTCTCTCCAGGAGATGTTGTTGGCCTTATGATAACACTCCCGCCTTTGGAGGTGCACAAAAAGGTTGTCGAAGGTACATTCAACCCGGCCGAATATCCACACCTGAAGTGTGGTCCTGCGAGCACCAAGAAGAAGCCTGGACCGGGCAAGAAATCTGCCAAGGGCAGTGCGAAGCCGAAAGATGGGGAAAACATCAAGAGCAAGGAAGAATTCACCAAGAAATCCGACTGTCGGAATGCCATAAGAGGCGCGCTTCAGCCTTTGTACGGGCTGACTGCACCGTCAGACCACGACATTATCCGCGACCGCAACCCTTTCCTCCACAAAGGCATGACTTATTTCGAATGTCCAGAATACACACCAAACAACGATCTCAGTCGGCCCACGTTGAACGCGAAAAACAAGTCCGTCAATCCTGAGACTGGCAAAAAGTACGACTTACTGAACGATCCTCATCCGAATCACGAACTACCACATTTACGAACCCTCCCTGGAAGCAAAATCGAATTATGGGTCAATGGGAAATATCACGGTGTCGTGTGGGAGCACCTCTTTGCATTTCTTCCGCCTGCTTCATACATCGAGAAGGGTAGCCGAGCTGTCACGGGTCACGGCGACGTTGATGATGGCTTGTTAGGCTACTACCCGGCAATTAGTCACTATACGGGTGGCGCAATCGAGTGTAAATTTGACGGACCGTGGTGGTACGGATATGAACAGGACGGTTCTCAACATTCGGATGCTCGTCCCATTGGCGAGCGCTATCAGGAACAAATTGTCGAGGACATGGTCAATGATCTGGTGGACGAAATCTACCAGGAAAAGCTATATCATGATCCAGACTGGATGAAGAAACGAGTTCTGAACGCCGCGCCAGTCAATGTCCAACACAACTGAATGGGTATGATTTCTTTTGAGCTGGTGCATCAATGGTTTCCCGGTCAAGCTCGTAGTAGGCGCACGTGGAATAGTGATTTTACCGCATATGGCAGGATATGGACGTGGGATGGGCACGTGGATGGGTCGACTTGGGCACGGCGGTGAAAATGTTGTTTCAAGCATAGCGAGATACCCCTTGATGCATGGAATGTAGAAATAGCAACATCAAATAACCATGAACACATCAGCATCCTATGTCACTCCAGGCGGAAGGATTCTCCTCGCAGAAGCAGTGGAACGGCAAATGAATTGCTGTACTCCCTACAGTGTGAGATTATACGAGGCGGCTGCAGTCAGCTTCTTGCCCAGCATCACGAATACCAGGGCAGAGCATCGGCAAACCCGACGACTCTCGATTGACGCGTGCCTGAAGTTTCCTTTTGAGGATGTGGAGGATTCCCCTGCGTAACTGACAGTCTCGTCGTGGTACAAGTGAACATCTCCTGATGCACGAAAGGAATCGATAATCGTGATGGAGACCCAGCAAGTGGGACAAGGAAAGGGAGATGCCTACAGCTGACGAGTCTGAGGCTGAGCTGAGTGTGGAGGGAGCGGTTGAAGCGAACAGGATGGAAGGCCAAAGCAAGGGATGGCATGTGTCTATGGTTGGTTGATGGCTGATGATGGCGGTGACTGGCCAACAGAATTAGGAGATGCGTGCATGATGCGGGTCAGCAACTCGGACAGTCAGGAGTCGTGTTCGCCCCCTTGTCTCGCACCATGATCTTGGGGGTCCTCACTTCTGGACACCTGTCCTTATATTTGCTGCCTTCACCCAACACTACCATCACTCTTTCTTTCACACGCATCAACCACTTTGACCATCTTATGATTGACCTCCACTTTCCAGTTTATGGTGCTGCCTGCCATGGGGCATAATACTTGAGGATACGTGGCCACTTTGGCCATCATCCATAAACACTACACCATCACATCTACGTAGTGGCATCTCCTCCACACGTCTCCTCGATCACACCAAGCCCGCCGCAACCATGACTGCAATGGACGATATCGTTGACCCCACGATGCTGGACGTCTCTGGCTACGGCGAGTCCTATCCTTCTCCTGCCACTACTGCCGACGATATCAAGGAGTCCAGTCAGCCACCTTCAGAGCAATCCTCCAAGAAGAAGCGGAAGGCATGGGGTCAACCTGTTCCTGAAATCAAACAGATTCTTCCGCCGCGTAAGCGAGCAAAGACAGCAGAAGAGAAGGAACAGAGAAAGAACGAGAGAATTCTACGGAACAGAAGAGCTGCCGACAAGTCGCGACAACGTCAAAAGGCAGCCGTCGCCGAACTCGAGGCTAGGCAAAATCGGATCGTAGAAGAGAACGCTTCTCTGCGTGAACTCTTAGCTCGATATCAGTCAAGATTCGGTGTCCAACAAGACTTCCCAGCACCAGTTCCCGCAGCTGATTCATCCATGTTGGAATTCGACATAGCCTCTACGCCGATCGAACTCAAGTCTGATTCACCATTCACACCCTCCTCGTATGAAACTCCCCAACCTCAACATCCCACACTGGTTCCATCCGACAATACCACTCCTGTCAAACACGAATCTCCAGTCCTAGCACCTCAACTCAACATCATCAACCAACACGTCGAAGCTGAACAGTCTGATACCATGGCGACGTACCAAAGCTTCCCAGCCGTCTCCGGGTTGACACAATATCCTGCCGTGATATTGTGTGACCTGCAGTGTCAACCGGAGACCTGGGCTTTCAAGCTGCCGGCGTTCCCATGCAACCAGACCAACAACTTTGGACTCAGTTACCTCCTGCAAGTCTTCCAGACCTTGACGATATTTCAGACCTTCTCAACGACAACTCTCTTGCCGATCTACAATCTCTTCCAGATTTTGGCACAGAAATTGTCGGCGACCTCGACGGAACAGGATTTCTCCTCCATCCTGAACAATTTCCCACTAATTCATTCTTTGATTTCGATGCCTTCGACACCGACCAGACCAGCGGTCTTCCGCATGAAACTTCTGAGCCGACTACTTGCATGCAGCCCACACATGGCGCGCCTATTGCTGGCAGCGACAGACCGGGCTTTGCAGCAAGTGGTTAGTGAGGACGGTTTCGCCGAAGACCCTGATCGTCGGTGGACGTGGTCGAGTCTGATGACTATTAAGTGGACCATCTTGAGGTTAGAAAAAGAACATCGCAAGATACGACGAAGGGTCTGGGCGAACCGTGATGAAGCACTTTCAGGTGTCAAGGTCATGGCGGGAGTTGATTATCGAGCAGTAGCCAGGAATTCACAGCTTTGGCAAGGGATGAGTCCCAATTGTACTATTACCACGAGAGATGACGGTTATTGGATGCCTGCACAGGAGGTCCATTGAAAGTCCAATGTGGCTTTCCTTTCTTCCATAGATGAATCAGATCAAAAGCGTGTTTTCAAAGTCATATTATCTGGCCAAGTCTTGATCCTAACCCTCTACATGTGGTAGTACTCCAGATGTGCCTTCCACACCCCTCCTACATGACTGACTGCTCTCGGCTCATCATATCACGTGATCCGTATCTCTTGGCGCTGCGCTGCCCGCGTTTGGAGAAGTCGCGGTAAGTTAGAGAAGTTCAAGTGAAAGTCAAGCGCGACCGACCTACAGCCTGGCGCCGGGCAACTGACGAGGTGAAACCATTGAGTTCAGGACCTGCCGCAACCATGCCTCCCTTTAAGGATGAGCATGTGCTCGTAAGTATCTTCTTCGCAACATAGTCTAACCTCGCTAAAGCCACTGTCCAGATCATTGCACCAGGCTCGCAAATCACCGCCGCGCAACTTGGCCTCCCCGAGTCCTTCACTCCGCCACGGTACCGTTTCCCTACTCGAATGTTCCCTGGCGCAAAACCTGGAGAATGGGAACCTGTGCGGATACGTTCCAAAATCACGACCACACGAAAGGAGCCACCACCACAACCACAACTTGGTCAAAACGGGGATGCGAATGTCGAACCACCTGTCACTCACCAGGGAAACGGTGTACCGGCCGCTTCAGAGCAGAAAATTGCTGTGTCCGCGACTACGCATCAAGCACAAGCCGCGCAACCCACTGGCGATGCTGCCAACGGTCAGACATCCGTCGCAGAGCAGGCACACGTCGAACCATTACCAAACGACCAGAGTCAGAACGAAGTCGCTTCCTCTATTGAACAGCCTAAAGCCGAACAAAGCACCTCCGCACCCGCGCCATCGGGGGATGTAGACATGAACGAAGCTCCTACGGCGCAGGAGACGACAGACGAACCCAAACCGGAATCCGACAAGCCGGACACTGAGATGACGGAGGGCGCAAAGCAGGAAGAAACCAAACAAGAGCCTCCCTCTGCTCAAGAGACGATAGCTGGTGCGAAGCCGGAGCCAGACACGGAGATGAAGGAGGCACCACAACAAGAAGTTCCCGAAGAAGCAGAGGAAGAGACAACAGAATCCTTTGAAGATGACCCCTGGAACACAGAAGGCGCCGTTTACCCTTTACAAGAGGGTCGCATCGACAATTGGCCTTGCTTCTTTGCCCTTTTATCGCACATCTACAACATGATTTCACCTCCTTTCCACATGCCTGTGTTATTCGTTTCACAACCTTGCTGGTCTGCGCGAGACAATGAATTGATCACTCAGTACGTCTTTGAGAATTGGAAGATTCCCGCTTTTTGTCTCATGGATGCTGCTCTCACTGGGATCTATGCCTACGGTATACCGACAGCATTGGTGGTTGATGTTGGATACGAAAAGTGCGATGTGACGGCTGTGACAGAGTATCAGGTCAACGAAATTGGTCGAGGCGCTGGTCTGAGCGGCTGTGGTGGACGAACCATGACGAAGAGACTGCAACAAGTTCTGGAGCAGCAGGGATTCAACGAAGATATGGCTGAGCAGTTAAAGAAAAGTCCTATATGCGAGATTCTTCCAGCTGGAACGGCTTACCCACGAGCAGGGCCCAATGCTGCAGCTCCCAATCCTGCTGCTGCTGCTTCCACAGGAGCCTTGGATTCGGGCGTGAATGCCAAGGATGTCGATGGGCTGAGACCCGGTCAAGCACCTAGGGGTCCGGGCACGGGCACTATGGTCGGCGATGAGGCAACGAATGGGGAAGAGGACGACAACGAAGGAGTTTTGGACGTGGCAGCTATTGTTGCTCGCGATAACGCCGCCGAACTCCTTGCGAAGCGAGAGAAGGAGAAGGCTGAGAAAGCGGCTGCGGCCAAAAAAGGAGCTGTTGCTGAGGCTCAAAGACAGCTCCGGCTAAGGAACTCGGAGAAAGAGCGTGCAAGTTTTACGTACACCGAGTATCTTCCAGTCGAGGAAAGCGGTGACGGTGAGCCGACCAGTCGAAAACGAAAGCGCGAGATTGAGGTTGGCGTGGAACGATTCATGGCGGCAACACCTCTGGCCGGATCTGCAGAGGGTATCATTGACACCATCGCAGAGGCGATGCATCACGCGGTGCTGAGCGTACCCGAGGTCGGTTTGAGATCAACGTTATGGGAGAACCTGATCGTTCTTGGTAATGGAAGTCGTATACGAGGTCTGTTGAGCATTCCTTCTTTCTTGCAAGCTTTACTAATTTGTCTCAGGCTTCGCATCTAGCCTCATATCCGCTCTCAACTCGAAATATGTCTTGTCGCCTTCGACCGCCACTATCTTCACCTCGGAACTGCCCTCGAATTTTACTACTCCTGTAGCCACACCAGGCACAAATACTCCCATTCCCGGACAAGGTGGACAACAATTGCATCATCCAGGAGGTGGCGTCAATCCTCTTCTTGTCGCTGCGACGAAGAATATGATGCAGCCGAACCAGCACCTGCAAGTTCCTGGACAGGGCCAACCTGGTCAAGACTTGGGAATGCAATATCATCACAGGGGGTTCAGCCAATCTCCGACATCGATAAAGACTGTCAAGGCACCAGATTACTTTCCCGAGTGGAAGGATCCGAGTGTGAGTGGAATGGAGGAAGCGGCCTTCCTGGGAGCACAAGTCGCTGCCAAAGTCGTGTTTATCGTGGATCAGGGTAACAGTAAGGGATTCTTGACGAGAACGGAGTACAATGACTTGGGACCGGGTGGGATTCACGAGTGCGCATTATGATGTTCGTTCTTGTGATTGGGGACAAGGTTGTCGGACATTGCAGTATCCTGAAATTAGATGGTTGGGTAGCCGTCTGCATTCTGGGCGGGTTTTCTGGTCCCGGGGCATTACCAAAGGTCTAGTCTGGATGGGTCACGATGGTGGAGTAAATAAAGAATCTGGACAGAGCATGGTGTCAAAGGACAGTAAAATGGTCGGCTTCCACGTCGTGATAGGGGTCTGACTTGGAAGATTGAATCAGAACATGCATTTATTGTGAGACTGTGGAACACTGTTTTCAGTCCCTTGTAGAAAGCCGATCAAGTTCGTCCTTGCAAGACGCAGTATCTAGAGGCTTTTGCGTGGAGACTCTCGTCTGCTAGAGAGGCGGTCCCTTTTCAGGCCCTGCTGGCCCAGTTGGAATACTACAAATACTACCTAGTACTCCGTAGTTATACGAGACCCGGGTTGCCTTGAAGAGAAACGAGTATTTATGCGTGGTATCGCGCCTGCACCACCTCCCAGTTTAGGTCCGGTCTTGTCGATCTTGTAGGTCTTGTCGATCTGACTACTGCAGATGCCGGGTGAAGATATGAAAGACTGTGGCCGTCCGCTGGTCTAGAACAGACGCCGGATGAAGATGTGAAGACTGTGGTGTTCTCGCCATTCTCCAGCAAGGAAAACACGTCGACCGGTCAGCTCGTAGACACCGGTCTTGGTCATGCCGGTCTTGTGCATGACTCGCATGCTCGCCGGGTTGCCTTGGTTCACGATTGCTCGGACTGTGACGGACGAGAAGGGGGACCAGAAAGACAGAGACCGCGATCCTGGGGCTCCCGCTCTCTGACAGGATGAGAAGACTGCGTTGACGGACTCGGTGGCGTAGCCTTGACCCCAGGAGGTGGGGAGGAACATGTATGCTAGTTCGACGGTTAGGGGTTTCGTCGTGGTCGCGCTGGTGGTGGTCGTGCTGGTGGTGCTAGTGGTCGTTGTTGTCGGAAGAGTGGTGAGATGTGTGGGGAGGTCGAGGGTGTTGGCATTTAAGGAGGTGAGAGTTACGAGACCGATGAAGGTTGTTGCTGTGGTTGGGTTTTGTGATTGTGATTGCGCATGGGATTGCGATTGCGACTGGTCTACGGTAGTGGGAGTGGTGGTGGTATTGGTTGTCGTTGCGGGTTGATCTGTCTGTTCTCCAACAAGAGGAGGGTCTGGCGATCTAGGGAGCTGATGCACGGCGTAGACGACTCGGTATGTCTTTTCGTCTTCTGCGTCGGAGGTGTCGGGGTTCTGGGGGTTGTCGGTTGGCAAAGGTGCAGGCAGAGGTACAGGCAAGAATCCTGCGATGACCTTCTCCGTGTCCTCGAGGGTCTTTTGTTGGCCGTGAATACTTTGCAAAGTCAGTCGATGCGGGATAAAGTTCAAAAGGGGGCAGTACAGAGAATGAGATACCTCCCGCATGGACCTGGGACTGCAGCAGTAATCAAGAGGAATGGAAATAGAAACACATTCTTACCTCCACCATGTGGCCTTTTCGTTGCTGCGTACTTCATGTAGCCATTCGAGTTCGGGACTGCCTCGCTCTGCTTTCGTGATCAGAGTCAACTTCAGCCGTGGGGTGAAGATGATCGGATCCATAATGTGATGGGAGGGTGTGACTTCCGCTGTGGTTGATTTCGTCGAGGATTTGGCACGGGCATTACAGTATTTGGATCGAAGGTTGGCCCTCTCGGTGGCCCTGGGGAGTGTCCAGACTATATTACGCAGTGGTAGCGAGTAATGTTAGGTGGGATTCCAGCATGGGTGATGGGGCGTACGGACTATGTACAGAAGGGCGTGGAGGTTGAGTACCTAGCCAGGGACCGGCCATGACAAGGTAGTACAAGGGACCGTAAGGAGATGTCTCCACAGGGGTATCATTGCATGTCTTGGCACATTAACCCATACCTGACGGAGCTGACTACGGAGCATTCGTCCAGCCGTTAGGTACCGCGGTTGTGCTGAGACGGCATGGCCTTGCAGTCACCATGGGAGATGTGCGACAGACTTTTCTTTCCCAGCGAGACTACCTAGGGTTTTTATGTACGTGACCAAGTCAGTGACTCAATTTAGTCCCTACTCCAGCCTGGCTCGCCGCTCCTTTCGCGGATGCTCTTTCCCCTCCACATCAGCGTCACAATGCACAGCGGGAAGAAAAACACGATCAAGGCCGCGAAGATGCCGAATGTGGCGCTGAAGTCGATGTGTCTCAACATGTGGGGGACGAAGAATGGCGTCGTGTACGACAGGAGGTTTCGGCTGAGGTTGAACACCAGACTTGCCTCGGCGCCTTGTCGCGGGTATGATTCGAGAATGTACGTCTGACTGTTTGTTTCGAGGTGCAACAGTCAGCTATAATGCGAATGCGGGCGGAAGTGGTGATTGAGTGCGTGAGACACAGGGACATGGTACTAGGGCCAAAGCACGGGTAACGAGCGACTTACATGACTGTCGTGGCGATTTCGACGCCGAAAATGTAGATACCCTGGCCCACCAGCGGCGTGACCCAACTGGACCCGAACTGTATCGAGACACCAAACATGAGCAGTCCCCCCGGAGCAGACACCAGCGCGGGCCAGATGGCCCTGAACCGCATCTCTGGTCTCCATTCCTTGCCTTGACGTAGATGTCGTCTCGCAATGAGGTCGATCGCCGGTCCGGCGTACGCTTCACCGATCAACGCACCAATCAGGCCCGAGAAGGCCGTGAGCCCGACCCCAAGCACGGAAAAGTTGTACGGCGCCGCTTCGAAAATGAGCGGGATTTCGGCCGTAATGCCCACGTGCAGCATGTAGGTGACCCCAAACCAGAAGGAGGCCAAGAACACCGCTGGATAGGTGCACATGATGAACGGGCGGGTGAAGAGGTACGAGAACGTGTGACGCTTGTCCGGGTGACGTTTGGGTATGCGAATGCCGTATCGAGCCCAGAGGCTTGGTTGCGAGCGATCGATAGGGTTGGCCCGGATTTGATCACGGACGTATATCGTCTCCGGGAGGAACACGATTTGCATTAGGAGACCCGTGGCGATGAAGATCAGAGATATCCACTGGGACCATCGCCAGCCCAGGCTCTTGTTGTTGATGATTGCGCCGCCGATAATGCCACCGGCGAAGGGGGAAACGACGATAGCTAGCGTGGATGTACCGACCTTTTTCCCCTTTTCGTGTCGGAAGAACTGGTGGGCATGTCAGCGTTGTGATGGTCTCATGTCTGCAGGAGGTGAGCCTTACAATATCGCCAATACTCGCTGGGCCGAGAGTCCAAAATGCAGATCCGCCTAGACCTTGAATGACTCGCCCAACCATGCAAGCTCCGTAGCTCGGTGCACTTGCAACCACTATCGTGCCGATGACAGAAATCAGATTGGCAAGGAGTAGGACCGGCCGCCGTCCAACAAAATGGCTCAGAGGGCTCCACAGGAATGGACCGACTGCGTAGAGTGCAACGGGAGTGTTGCCCAGGTACACGGCGATGTCCTTTGTTGTTCCGAATGTTTCGGCCAGCTGCAACGTTCCCGGCACAAGTGATGTGACGGCCATGTAGCAGACGAATGCGAGGTACGAGATGGTGCTCATTGCCATGTGTTTGCGGAAGGATGACCTTTGATGGTTGATATTGTGTTAGACGAGAAGAGAACTGCCGGGGGTGACACCGCAGGACAAGGGTAGGGCGCTGCTCGACGTTGCTTACCAGTTCAAGGGATCGTTGGGGTCATCGGAAGGCTGGGGCATCAAGATGATGCCATCTCGCATCTTGAGCGCACCGTTGATGCTCGAGTCACTGGCATCTTGACTGTCTGTGATCGCTCCTTTCTCTTCTCTGTTTGGGGCCTGATCTTCTAGCTTATGGTTAGTACAGAGCCGCAGACAGCGTCCAAGGAAAGGAAGGCTTACCCAGGTGGTTCGAGTCGACTTTCGTGGCCATGTTTGTGAATGCGCGTAAACGTCCAATGTGCTCGGCTCCATGCGTGCGTAGAGTGCGGGCAGTGATAGAACGTTATATAACAAGCTCTCAGTGCTTCGCAAGCGTTGCTATCCCTCCGCGATTCCATGCTCGGAACAGCTTCCTGGAGAATGGCTCACCCATTGTGGAGGCACGGGGTAGGTCTTTTGTTGCTGTATCCACTTTTGTCGGCTCCGGGTGTATGCTTCCCATGGCCTCGCCCAATGAGCATCCCCCTTTGACACTGTTCCACCGGGTGCACTCATCCGGACAACGAAGCGAGCAGGCCGCTGTGGCTGATGAATACAAAATGCGCTCCAATGGCAGATATCCCCGGAGGGGGTAGGAGGGCCCGTCCAGGCATTCATGCAAGGGTGTCCACTTGACAAGGAGCTCGTCACGAGGTTGGTCGATCGCTTCTGATATTTCAATCTCATACATACCCCAGAATGCTTCAGCAATACCACATTGACCTACCTCTGATATACCACACCTGCCGAGGTGTATCTTTCAGCCATGCCATCAGCGGTTCCTGCCCAAGTGCCCACCTCATCAGCTGCCGCGGTGCAGGATGCCAGCACAAAAATCATCTCAACGACGCAACGGACTACGCCGGTGCCAAAATCGACCCAGGTCCTTGTCAGGGTGAACTACACAGGAGTTTGCGCGTCCGACCTGCATCTGAGCAGGCGAGACCTGCCTTATCTTCAACCTACCGTATCCATTGCTGGACATGAAGGTACTGGAGAGATTGCCTCCCTAGGACCCGAGGTCGACTCTACGACTTGGAACGTGGGCGACCGTGTGGCGATCCGATGGCTGCATAAGGTATGCGAACAATGCGAGATGTGCACGACTGGGTACGAGAACCTGTGCCCCAACCGAAAAATAAGTGGCAAAGATGTCGAGGGGTGCTTTGCCCAGTACGCCTTGGCCGACTCGGAGTATCTCGTTCGCATTCCCGAGGGCGTCAGTGACGCTGACGCTGCGCCGATACTGTGCGCCGGGGTGACAGTCTTCAAGGCGCTGAAACTAGCGCAGTTACGAAAAGGATCCTGGGTTGCTATTGCCGGAGCGGGCGGGGGCCTCGGGCATCTTGCGATCCAGTACGCGCGAGCGATGGGACTGCGACCGCTTGCGTTGGATGCAAAGAAGCGTGGCATTTGCTTGAGTATCGGCGCGGAAGCTTATCTCGACGTACTGGAGACGAGCGACTGCATCGCCGAGGTGCAGAAATTGACAGACGGCGGCGCATCTGGAGCACTAATATGTGCATCAAACGGAAGGGCATACGCCGATGCAGTCAAGTACCTCCGCCGGGCAGGGACACTGGTCTGCATCGGATTGCCTCCGAAGCCATCGCCTATACCGGTGCTGCCAGAAGACTTCATAGCGAGGGGCATCAAAATCATGGGAACGTCGACGGGCACGTTGAAGGATACTGAAGAAGCCTTGAAATATGTGGCACGTGGTGAAGTGAAGCCAAGGCTGGTCGAGAGATCATTGGACGATATTGAACAGGTGTTGCGGGACATTGAGGAGGCGAAAGTCGAGGGGAGGGTTGTCATCAAGATAGAGTGATAGGGAAATGTCCGCTTCAATACAGCCCTCGGAATGGGAGGTAGCAAAACAGTGGTTCAATCAATAGCCCCGAAATAACTCCAGAGTGGTTGATGCACCACTGGATTGTTCTGAAGATGTGCGATTAGTGGGAGCCAGCTGAAATTGTGTCGAGGGTGATTGTCATCCATCAACAACATAGATAGCTTTGACACCGTCCGAGGTGATGCGGCCAAAAGTGTCGAATGGCGTCTCCGTTCGGAGGACGATGGGACGTATGGGGTAAACACGGGACTGTCCTTGTTTGAGGTGCTCCTCGGGATTCCGAATGCCCCGACCTTCTCGTGGATTCAAAGGCCATTGACTCCTATGGTCAGGACTGGAGCTTGTGCAAGAAGTAGTGTACTCCATCAAATGATGAGTCGGTCCGTCCAGTGCAAAAGGACGAGATCGGTGGCCTTTTGTCGCCGGATAGCAGGTTGCGATACTGCACTTCATCGGGTACATGTACCCTTAGCCGCCGGTTCACCTCATCTCGTGGTGGTGGCGAATTGCGGAGACACTGTCGGCTGATCAGACCCATGGAAGCAAGCAGATGTGAAGGGAGTAGTAAGGAACGTCGTTGGGATAGGTATAGCAGCTTCCCTGAAGGAGCGAATGGGTTGGTGGTCATTCACTGCTGTCCACATCTGCCACAGTAGAGTACCTGGAAGAGTACCTGGTAGGGTAGAGAGACGGAGTCATTCACACGAAGTGAAGCCGCCAAGACGCGTCCTCGGTGCTTTCTCATGCCGAGTCTATAGGAGGCAACTGTACCGAGTCCGTGTTCTTTTGATTCCATCCCACACTCAGCCTCACCCTCCACCTGCTGTTCTCACCCGCTCAGAGGTAGTGATAAGAAAACACCGGTTAACGATGCCTGCGCAATTGGAGACGCACTTCCCAGCGTATCTGATCTCTATTGGACCCTTCCGCTTCTCCAACAGCTTGCATGCGAACGAAACATGGGAAATGCGGGAGAGACGGTCAGAGGGAGACCACTAATGCTGATCGACGTCCCAAAAGACAGCCCACGACAGCCTTAGTTCCAACGCCGAGTGCATCAATCCGTCACAGATCTACAGAATAGGCCGTTTCAAAACCAAGGAAGCAGTACTATCAGAGCCGTCTATGACTTGGCGGCATCCGATCAGTCGAAGTGTCGTACAGCTATTGGACCTCGTGGACCTCTCTCCGCACTGTTAAATCTGTCGGCATGGGCCATGCCTTTTAGCCGACTGCCGCTGCAATGGCTAGCTTCAAGAGCGCTTCAATGGCTTGTCCATTATTGGCACTTTTCCAGCATCGGCGCAACATGTGGTCAAACTGGTACTGGCCAGATGGAATGATCCTTGACCTTACCCGTCTTCTGCCCTGAAAGATCATCCTTGGCCACGTTCTCGGCGTGCGGAGTACCATCAGTGATTGCTCTAACGGAGGGCAAGCGATGAGTCCTGTTGGCGGTGCAATACCCGCTCCTGCATTCCTCGCGTCAAATCGCGTCAAAACGGCAATAGCATTGCTATCTACAAGTAAGTATCACTTCCCCACGGGGCTTTGGGGGTTATTAGCATCGTACAGTATACCCCTCGCCGTCCCCTATTTTCCTCGGTTGTCCGAATCGAATGTCGACTGGTGCCGTGACATGACCCCCAAGGCGCGTGCTTCGTTGGTTCAAATAGGGTTCGATGCCCACGATACCTCGCTTGCTGCAGATCACTCTTCCAAACTGCCTCTTCTCCTTCACATCGATTGAGTCCTTACTCGCTTCATTTTCGCCCTCTATCTAAGCCTAGGTCGCCCGCACCTAAGGCAGGACGACGCCTCAACGCCATGGCAGGCATTACCACTCTCCCAGAACCCATCACTATGTCGAAGGAGATAGAGTTGGATACTAAGGGCATCCATGTCGAGAAGTTGCCCGAGCATGAGAATCTGGTGGCACGCATGAATGCGCTCGATCCTCCTGTCACCCCTGAAGAGGAAGCGCGCGTGAGACGGAAGATCGATCTTCGCCTTCCTCCCTTTCTTCTGGTGCTCTACATGTTTACATGGCTGGATCGTGGTGCCCTGGGAAATGCCGCGTTGATGGATATCAAGACAGATATAAACCTGTCTGGCCCGCAATTCAGCCTCGCTGTGAGCATGTTCTTCGTCGGTACATGCGTTGCCGACCTGTTCACCAATATCGGCATGCGATATATTAGGCCAAGTCTCTATCTCGCTGGCGCAATGGTGCCCACTCTCTACTTTGCGACTATTTGGAAGCCTTGCTGATCGAGAATAGGTCGTCTGGGGCGCCGTGGCCTCACTGCAGGCTGTCGCAGGAGGGGCGGCAGGAATGTACGCTATCAGATTCTTCCTGGGTGTGTTCGAAGCTGCGTTCATCTCTGGGGCACCCTACCTGACTACCGTTCTTTATCCACGAGCTGTGAGTTCAGGCTTCTCGTTGTCCACCTTCCTGACCCGATGTGCCCGATGTTGATGATAGCAGGAATGGGGCAAACGCATCTGCGTCTACCTGGCCGCAACTCCACTTGCCGGCGCCTTTGGCGGCTGGATAGCATACGGCATTGCGCACATCAGCAACCCTGGCATCCACAATTGGCAAGTCCTTTTCATCCTTGAAGGCCTTCTGACGGTCGCTTTCGGCATTGCTTGTATCTGGGTTCTGCCCGACCGCCCACACAACACCCGCTGGCTCACACCCAGAGAACGAGATGTTGCCGACTGGCGTATGATGCGCGATGGGAATCGAACGCACGGTAAGATCCATTGGGCCGTCGTCTTCACACAATTGCAGGACTGGCGTCTCTGGTTGAACATTGCTATCTATGTAAGTCCCTTGATCTTTCTTGTCTTATCGTACCAGGCCTCTCTTCTCTTCGTTGCCCTAAGCGTTCATCCCGACTCCATACCGTCTTGGTCCATTGCTCTTCTTGAAGCCATCCCAAGTGACGAGCTATCATACCATGAATGGCCTGCTGATCTTTCCTTCGGAGGCGCTTCGCCTCTCACCTCTGAAGACTCTGTTACTGACCCTTCGACCTCACTAGATGTCCCAAGTAATCTCAACCTACACAATCGCAACCTTCACCCCTATAATCGTCAAGACAATGGGCTTCACCAACGTCAAAGCCCAATTGATGACCGCTCCACCCTACGTCGTCGCTTTCGTCATGGTCTTTGTGGTCGGATACCTGTCCGACCGTTTCCGCTCCTGTTCAGGCATCATGGTCATCAACTCCGTCGTTGCGGCGATAGGCAATCTCATGCTCGTCCTCGTCCCCGCGCATCACAACAACGTACGTTATGGCGCAACGTTCCTGACCATCTCCGGCATTCTGTCCGGTGTGACTTTGTCCGTGGGCAATATTACGGGCAATTGTTGCGGTGATATCAAGAAGGCTATTGCGACGGGACTGTTCCAAGCGTTCGGCTCCACCATGGGCGTTGCGACTGGCTATCTGTTCCCACAGAAGGACGGACCGTCGTACCAGACCGGGTTTTGGACGTTGTTTGCGTGTACGTGTTTCACGGGCGTTGGGTCCGCGGTGGTCACGGTGCTCAACGTGCGTGAGAACAGGAGAAGGGATGCTGCGACGGGGAAGCCGCCGACTGATCGAGTCATCAATTTTGATGAGGACGGCATGATGGAGAGACATCCGCATTGGAGGTATTATAGATGATCCTTTACTAGTCTCTGCTGGCCCGATAATAGGAGGTATGGAGATGAGCAAGGCTGTTTGGGTAAGGGGACAGAGATGATGGGAAGCACGTTGAATATGGTCATTAACGTCGGTCCCTCAGCGCAATAGTGAGGTGCCGAACGACTATAGAGGTGAGAATGAGCTTGTCAGTCTAGATGCACACGTCTTCCTGACCTGGTGCTACACGTGTCGCGACCCGTCTCAATTCGTTCCATCATACCCTCCCGTAGGTGCAACCTTCTCCGTAGACCAGTACTCGGGTCATTAAAACACCGAGCAATCGCGGAGAATGGCCGGGGACCCCACCAATAGCCATCTATGTAATGTACCCGAGGTACTGTAGTCTTTGTCAAGCACAGTATGAAACAACACTGTGATTCTGTATTCTTGTGGATGGGGCACGCTTGAAGAACGTACGGAGTACTATAGCCATGTCATTCCTGCTGGAGCGGCACAGTTGCAACGCAACCTCGACGACCGCCCGGTGGAAGGCTGTCGAGCTGCTGACTTGGCCGCTGTTGAACGAGGCAAGACGGACATTCAGTGCCAGGCAGTGCTTAAGAGAGCGACGGCTTCCCTTGGCTGAAGAGCGACAACCGCCAATTCCAAGACACGCTTCTTCCAAAGTATACCAAAGTGCCGACGACGCCATTTCAGATCTCAAGGATGGCACGACCGTTCTCAGCGCTGGCTTCGGGCTAAGTGGAGTTGCAGGTACGTTCATCCTACACCCCATCAGACACTGCCAGACTCTTCTCTACTGGTTTGCTCGTATGCTTCTCTGCAGTTCTGATTCTTTGTTCTCTGCTCCCTGTTTGTATGCCTTTCTGCTTTCCAAGGCGTAGCGCGAGAGCCAGGGGACACGACTGACATGCGCTGTGGACGTCTGCTAGAAACACTCATCGACGCGATCCGCAAAAAGGGAACCCGCAATCTCACCGTGGTCTCGAACAACGCAGGCGCTGGCGAATACGGGCTCGCGAAACTCACATCGACAGGCCAGATTTCGCGCATGGTCGTCTCGTTCATCGGCAACAACAAGTCGCTCGGCCAGCAGTACCACGACGGCCGCGTGGCCATCGAACTCTGCCCGCAAGGCACGATCGCCGAACGGCTACGCGCCGCGGGCGCGGGGATCCCGGCGTTCTTCACGGGCACGGGGTCACGCACGCTGATCGAGACCGGCGGGATCCCGATCCGGCTGGGGCCCAAGGACCCTGCGACGGGGAAACACGCGGTCGTCGAGCCCGGCCGGCCCAGGGAGACCCGAATCTTCGACGACGGGCGCAGCTACATGATGGAGACGGCGCTGCGGGGCGACCTGGCCATCGTGCGGGCCTGGAAGGTCGACGAGGCCGGGAACTGCATCTTCCGCAGCACCACCAAGACGTACGGAGTGCTCATGCCCAAGGCGGCCAAGATGGCCGTGGTCGAGGCCGAAAACATCGTGCCCGTCGGCGCGCTGGACCCAGACCACATCGATCTGCCGGGCATATATATCGACCGTATCTGTCCCGCGACGAGTGAGAAGCATATCGAGAAACTCGTGCTTGCGTCTGCGTCTGACTCGGAGAACGTACCTGCAGAGAAGAAGAAGTCTGAGGAAGCCGTCAAGAGGGATAGGATCGCTAGACGGGCGGCGAAGGAGTTGAAGGACGGCATGTACGTGAATCTGGGCGTCGGCATCCCCACGCTCGCGCCGAGTTTCTTGCCGCCTCGCACAAAGGTGTGGCTGCAGTCTGAGAATGGGATCATCGGGATGGGTCCGTACCCGAGCACAAAAGAGGAGGCCGACCCAGATACGATCAACGCGGGCAAGGAAGCTGTGACGCTTGTGCCGGGCGCATCGACGTTCGATTCGGCGGAGAGCTTCGGCATGATTCGCGGCGGACATATTGACGTCTCACTCCTGGGGGCGCTCCAGGTCAGTGCGACGGGTGACTTGGCGAACTATATCGTCCCGGGGAAGGCGTTCAATGGGATGGGTGGCGCAATGGACCTGGTGAGCAACCCGGACAGGACGAAGATTGTCGTGTGTACGTATCACAGCGATAAGGACGGACGCAGTAAGATCGTAGATAGCTGTGACTTGCCACTCACGGGGAAGGGAGTAGTGAGCACCATCATTACGGAGTTGGGAGTGTTTCAGGTCGATAGAACCGGTGGGAAGGGGCTGGTGCTCACCGAGACGGCGGACGGTGTGAGTGTGGACATGGTAAGGGAGAGGACCGCTGCCAAGTTCACTGTTGCAGAGGACTTGGGGACAATGGAGTAGATATAGGCGATGGACTCGGGATCATCGAGGAACGGAGCAGGAGACTCGGATGGTTTCCTGTACACTCTTGATGCGATTGTGTGCTAAGTATGTACTGGCTTTATCAGGAAAAGAGTATTTCGTGTTCATGCTTTTCGTGACCATTCCTGCTGCTACATCCCAGCTTAGAGCGCATCGATCCTGCCCAGTAGCCACTGCAAATGCCGATACGAGCTCCGGGGCTGGAATTGTGGCTGCATGTGTCCACTCAGATACGTCTCCGCCCACATGAGTCCTCGCTCGTAGTGCTGAATGCCCATGATGCCTTGAGTCGGTCCATCCAGGCCACCGAACCCGCTTGACACGAATACCTCTTGGTACTGGACATCTGGTATCCTGATCGAGATCGGCTTAGAAGGCGCGGACTGGAAACCCAGCTTGCCATTCCATGTCATATTCTGGATCGCAAGAAGTGTACCGTTGGTCAAGATTTCAAGGTCAAGGTCGCCATTAGACCTAACGGTAGGTGTTAGCTCAGATCTGATTTTTTTTAAGCGATGCACATAGGGAACATACACGAGAACACGATTCGTTGCCTCAATAACGCGAGGCAGCACCATCTGGATTGGGTCTGCACTCAGATCATTCTCGTCTTCTGGACCATTATCTTCAGCGACGAACACCGGCCCCGTGCATAGTTCCCAGTCAGTCGTCAATGGAGCGTGCATCGCCTTCTTGACGTCTGTGCGATTGAAATAAGGCGGCAGTCCAGGATATGAGTAGATTAGATCCGAAGGGAAACCGAGGGGATCAGACAGGAGCGGACACTGCAGGTTCGGCTCGTAAACGTTGAAGCAAGGATTGACAGAGTATGCGGTATCGTACACGCTATCCCAGAGATCACAGCCTGGATCCGCGGTAGTGTTCAAGTACGTTGGTGGTTGAGTACCGTTGGGCGGGAAGTGCATGAAATTCTTGCGGTACTGGGAATAACCACATTTTTGGTCCATGTCTGCCAGCTTCGAGACATACGACTGATTGAAGCCCATGATGTTGTTGTTCTGCTGGATCCAAGGGTATACGGATAACGCATTGGCTGTGGGCCAGGAGCCGATACAAGGATCATACACAAGTGCGCCTATGGCGAATTTGTCAGATTGTCTTGGGATGCAGGCCAATATCGGAGAGACTTACCAGAGACATTGAAATGTGTGGTGTCGTTCTGGTCGAGCATGGCGTTTGCTACATAGGGTACGTAGCGCCCCGCGTACGATTCGCCGGTCACATAGATCGAGTAGTTGCTGATGTTAAAGATTGTCTAGAGACATCTGTGAGCCTGATTCAACCTTCAGAAGGTCAGTAATACTTGGAAGTTTCTGAAGAACTCCACAAATTCAAGTGCGGGTCCTTCTTCGTCCGTGGCGGTTGCATCGCCAGGTGAGAACCCCACACCAATGGGATACTCGACCCAGAGCATGTTTGTCAAGTTGACCCAGGAATATGGGTTGATGGTCGGGGAATACTGTCCCCAAGCCCATTGAATGCGGCCATTTTCCTGCAGAAAGGCTTCAAGCGAGCTGCATCCGGGCCCTCCGTTGAACCAAATGGTGACCTCCTTGACCGGCGGGCCAACGCGAGGCTGGTAAACAAAGAACATACCACGACTGTCATCGGACATGTTCAGGGGAATGACCCCGCTATACATTTCAGTCATAAAGCTTTGTGGGACCTCAGGCAATGATTCCACGAAGTATTCTGCAGTTGAACATAGTCAGCGTTTCGAACTCCATTGGCGGGTAATTCGAGGACGTGGCATATTCATGAGCTTACTCTTGGTCTTGTTGGTGTAGTACAGTCGCTCCGATGCCGCCGCAGTCTCACGGCCTAGCAGAGAGCGAGCTCGCATTTCTTCCATTGCCTGCGGCGTGAAGCCTCTCCGGTGAGCGACATCACGACGTGCTGACACAATACCAAGGAGAAGGCTGCAAAGTAGCAGAACTCTATCCAGATGTTGAAGCGTCATATCGTCAGCGCATGCGATGGAGTTTGCGAGAAAGAGATAACGTTGAAGTAAAGGTGAGCTGGTGCAGCTCCGTGCTACTTATGGACTCTAGCGAACACCCGCAGTGAAAGTCCTCTGAGCCAGGGTCGGTCCAGTGATATGGGGTAGCATTTGTTGCACTTGCCGATCAGTCGATAGCTATCGGTAGGATCAAGGTGTTCTCCACCCCGACTTTGCCGATAGAAGCAGCGCTGTCTAGAGATTAGTGTGATCTCTGGAGGTTCTTTGTACCCGATAGGACGCTTGCCTGATTCATTGATCAGGTAGGGATTCCTGATCATCAGGCATCCACAAGGTTAATCACGAAGGTCCTGACATAGAGGGTCGCCCCATTCACTCAGCATGAAAGATAGCGGACTCTCCTGACCGCGGCACACCCAGACAGTCATGGTTGCAGGCGTGCGCCTTTGCATCAAGAACATCTTGAAATGCTGTCAGGCAGTCCAGCGTGGAGTGACAGGCTAAAGGCAGAGCAGATTTAGGCTCGATTTGTTGTGGGTATGGTGATAAAGAGGTGCAGAACTTTACTTTGACCTATGTCAGCAAGCACAACGGTGTGGCCGAGTGCCTTGCGAGTCATATCAAAGGCCCACTGTGCCGGGTAAGCCCAGCAAAGCTTCCGTGAGCTTCCTTGAGCTTGTGTCTGATCGTTATCAGTCAAAGGGACCTCCTCTGAGGTCTGATAAGGAGATGGTGCTAGACCACAATAGGAAGCAGTCGCAAGTGTTACATCGCGCGGCCGCTACCTCTGATGTAGTTAAGGCGCGTCCTGCTATCGAAGCACGACAACGTCATGTGGGGAGTGCAAAGCAAAGCAGAACCTGCTCAGAAGAGCCATATTTGGATTCGCAGCCGGACATATACTTCTGGGCTCGGGATGCAGGCCAGCTCTAACTCCTGCTGACTGCCCTCTGCAGCATAAAGAGTGTTGCGGACAGTCCAGCGCAACGGAAGCGTATTTTTGTTGGACAGCACAGCGAGAGTCGGCATTCTTGCATAATAGCATCTGTGGTCTCCAGATATTCCAAAGTCACGCTCGAATCGGCGAGACCGGTGCCAATTGTCTGACATTAGTCTCCAGGTGAGTGTCGCGGTCTCGACTTAGTTCTGAGGCGTGGGAACGAGAAATGCCCCGACTGCTATAATGAAATAGCATGCACACAATATGCTTCCCTCCAAAGCATTGGTTCTTGAGTTGAGGATCAAACAATTCACCAAGAATGTAGTGGCAAACAACGCCACAATCTCGAAAAGCCCAAAGTACATCGTCATGTCCTTTTGCATGGCCCAACCGCACAGTATGACAAGTGGCGTCACGAACAGGGATATCTGGACCGATGAACCGACAGATACACCAATCGCTAGATCGAAATTGCCCCTTGCGGCGACAATGATGGCGGTCAGCAGTTCAGCACAGTTGCCGGCTATAGGGAGGATTATCAGGCCGATGAATGCTTGAGAAAACGGTCCTGAGGAGATCATTTCATCAAGAGTATTCACCAGCAGTTCTGCACAAATTGCCACAAGAAGTGACGACACAATAAGGAGTAAGATTGATGTCTTGCGGCCAATAACGGGACTCATCTCGGGTAATGCTTCAACACTGCCCGGGAGATCGTTGGTCGAGGGGTTATTGCCGAGGAGAAATCGAGGCAGGTTCGAGGTAGAGTGTCGTTGATGATCAGATGTTTGACTGTGGCTGCGATGAGAATCTCTCGACTGTGATCGGTAACGTTGGTGTTGATGATAGATGGACTGTGCTGATAATGTCTTTTTGTCACCATGCGTGTTTCGTGCTTGGCTCAGAAGCGCTTGAGATTCTTCATCGGGTCGATTCCGAGTGTGCCACCGGCTTTCGTCCTCATCAAAGGAAGTATTGGCTTCATTAGGACCTGCGATCGGTGCTAGCTCCACGCTGTCTCTTCGCAGATCGCCAGTCGACAGATGATAGTCTACCATTTCTTCATCCTCAAAGCGTATGGATCGAGGAAGGATGCAAGGTGTCGAGGATTCTCTACCCCGGCTATCATGAGACGTCCTGGCTGGCAAAAAAGGAGGCGGGTCATTCAAGGCAGTTGTCGAAGATGGTTTTCTGACCTGGAAGAAGATATAGAGGAGGTAGATGACTAATAAAGTAAATGAGGATACACGACTCAGTATCAGCACAGCCACTTTCGCAGTTTTGTCATCGTCGAACGTGTGGTAGAAAGCATTCTGAGAGACATTAGACTTCGTCAGTGCTTCGTGAGTGTCTCACTCACAGGTATTAAAAGACTGAATACTGACACGCTAAGGAGGCAGGCAAGGCCTTGTGCTTCTTCTTTGTCATGGTCTTGTTCATGATTGTGAAGACTGCCTGCCAAAATTGCCATTCCGAGTATGAGCAAGAGGTTGACCAGGATCGAGCCCAGAATGGAAGCCTGCACCACTTCGAATTGATTGTGATAGAGAGCAGCTCTGTAGAAGTCTATGAGCCTGGAGAAGCCAGATGTATCCGTCTAGTCTTACATACTGTGCGAAGTCAGTTCATGCGCCCATGAAGGCAACCGAGTCACTCACAAAAGAACAATTTCAACCAGATTTCCAAACGTCACGTTCACCAAGGCCCCAATCGGCATCCCCAGACTCTCTCGAGATGTTTTCGGTGGCATATGTGAGCAAGGAGGACAAAGGGATGACAGCAATGACATTTGAGCTGAAGACTATTACGGGGTTTGCATGGACGAAGTAGCTTGTAATGGCCAGAGGTACAATCACGAGCAGGACATTCAACCACGAGGAAGTCGCTATCGTGTGACTGCAAGAAAGGAATCTTTTCCAACTATCACAGATGACAGCAGACACCCTTCGAAGAGACTGCGCCATCAGCTGGGTCGGTCTGAGGTGTCGAGAAAGAAAGGAAGCAGGTCGTGGCATGTCGAGGAAGATCAAGATGCGGATGGACTGGCCTGGCATGTCCTGCATGTCGACGCTCGGTCCGGAGTAGTCGGGTCTCACCAGCCGGAGCCGCTAGTTACTCCCCACGATTCCCTTGTCACCGGGTTGCTGGATGATTGGCTACAAGCCAGGATTTCTTCGTTCCGTCTTGCCGGTGAGCATGGTGTTGCTGCATCTGCCAATCCATTTTATGTCACTTTCGATTTAGTAGGACACCCTTGCTGCGGCTGGCCAGGGTTGGCGAGAGGGATGCTGCTTTTGCTGGACACCCTGATACTGCCAGAGGGTATTTGATCCATGATACGGTGGTGTACGGCGGGACTGAGTGGTATGAAAGGGACAGTCCAGCAACCACGGCAATGTCGCGAGTGCCAAGAAGTGATTCTGACCTCACGGTCATGTGACACCTCGGCAGAACTACCTACGTTGCAGCAGAAGTTCGGTTACGTTTTACGTTACAGCATAAGGCGAATGCCGTAACCTCTCTCGCTCTGTCGGTCTTGCTTCTTGGAAATCCAACGTTAACACAACATTCTACATGCGAAAAATGCAGCTAAACATAGGATACGACGGGGTGTACGGTCATGGCGATGGATGATATTGCGGCGGCAAACACTCGCAGTGGGCGTGTACTGAAACACGAACTGTACCCAACCCCACACGCAATGGCAATGATATCCCTTTGCCTCTTCTCCTTGACTCTTTGGACTGACAATCTTCACACCTCCTGTCGTCTGCGAAAATGAGTACAACTCGCGAACTTCCCGATCATATCTTGCATGAAACGATTTCCATGATCATCGATTCAACACGATCAAAAGGCTGGCAAATATCGCTAAGATTAGTCAATCGTAAGTACGACAGGAATCTTTGCTCAACTCTTCTTAACCTGACTTCTCTGATGCAGACCAATTCAATGAAGCCGTGCTGGATGTATACTACTTGCGGAAAAGACTTGTGGCCAGAACCAGAGACCACTCACTCGATTGCGTCAATCCATGCTACAACGGGTTCTGCCAAAGTAGAATGGCTTCCCAACTGAAAGAATTCTACGCGGCGCGCTTCACCTTCCAAAGCTTGCTTGCAATCCGACACTTGGATGGCAACCCCGCGCACGCTCATCAGCTCCTACGGCAGTGGCAAGCCACAATCACGATATTGCGAGGAGTGGAGAGCCTCAAACAGCTCGATTTAGAGCGAGTCCGATTCTTCTCGACCTGTAGCGACAATCCGAGCTTTAATGATGCCCCCAGCGCGATTCTTTCTGACTGGGACCACAATTTGCGTCAATACTGGTCGATGGTAGAGGAGAGAGTCCTTGTCGTTCAGATGGGTTCCAGATCCACCCTCCTGCGTTCTGGGTGGCTCTCAGTGCATGCGTGCTGGGAGACATTCAACTGTTTGAGACGTACAGTAGCAGAATGACACTACCAGTCGAAATTTCCTCCCGGGTAAGCACTCCGGATCTGTTCATCGCAAAACAGCCTGTCAACCTATTGAAAGTGGCGATAAAGCATGCGAGAACCGGCATAATAAGCCGTTTGCTTGAGCAACATCCAAATCTAATGTCAGATGACCATTCACCTCTACGAAGAGCCATATTCTCCAACAACAACCAAGTCCTGAAAGCTCTACTCGAGTATACGCCGCACAACTTGCCCGACCTGCTGACTGATGCCTTGAGTCATTATTGGACACTGCTCACTCAGTCTAACAACGGCTCAGAGACGATCAGATAGTTGTCACGGCATTTCAGCCCCCTTTCTGCAAAATCACGTACTTGGCTTATCATGCAGTCATGTGCAGTGGGTGACGTAACGCTCTTGGAAGAGTTCTCGAAAACGGAATCGCTCTTCAGTCATCGCATTGACGACGCCAGCGGTCGCATACCAACATACATCCATTTCGCTATCCGCTGCGGGAATATTGACAGTTTGCGCTTCTTGTTCGATCATGGGGTTCTCGAATTTCAGCGTCGACAGTCGGTGTGGATGGCGACGGAACAGGCTATGTCATTCAATCAGATAGACTGCTTTCGAGAACTGTACCAGCGGTGTGAGGAATCTCGATCGGCACGCTTCTTCGAGTATCTCGCAAAGGCAGAAAATGCAGAAGAAATGATGGCCGAGCTCATCTGTACTAGTAAAGACAGGGACCTCATTTTTGAACCGTTGGGCGAGCCGGATAACCCAATACCGTCAGTTGCTCAAAGAGCACTGCGGAATGCTATACAACGTCTCAGAGCCGGAAATGTCCAGTTCCTCCTCGACGCAGGGGTATGCGTATCCGGTTGGCGGCTGCTCGAGGACTCCTTTGAGATCCAATGGCCATATTACAACCTGAACCGAGATGCGTTCCAACGCAATCAAGTGGTGCTCGATACTTTCGGCTTGCCAAAATTGAGGATAATTGTGTAATGCGACAAGACTACTGGTCCCAAACGGGTGCCAAAGTAAGGTGTAGTGTCCGCGCTGGATATCGGAGTCTCATGAGCAGTTGCGAGCTTCCTGTGTCATAGCCCTGAGACGGCGTTTCAACCATGCTGCTATGAGGCTGGGTCACGTGCGAGGCTGGAGCAGCTAGGGGCAGTTGATAGCTGTTCTGACTGCTAGGTGAAGGAAGTTGGATCATACTGTTTCGAAGAAGGGATTTGGTAATTAAAGCAGATAAAGATGTCCAAAGGACGTCATTACTCTGATACCGTCAACAAGACTCGTGTTCCAAATCGATTGGTACTGACATATGCCGCAGCCCCCCTTCCAGATCTCCTCTGGATCCCTTCGCCGAATCAAATGTGATTATTCCGCTGCTAGAGCAGCCCATGGGTTGGCTGGCAGAAACTTTCCTTCAACCATACAGCTATCTTGGATGAGAGGAGGCATCTTGTTCCTCCAACCCCAGCTGTCCGTCGGCCCCGTGGTATGGTAATCGGCTCCAGTAACCTTTTGACCAGTAGCGACGTCCTTCCCGAACGTAGTGCGGTTGAAGATCCTGAACACCGCTTCCGGCGCGTATGCAGACAGCGAATGCCCTGAGTCGAACACCCTGGTAAATGACAATTGACCGTATTGTTTCACAACGCCACCTTTGGCGCCTTTACCGAGACCTTGGAGTTCTTGGTAGCCTGCAGCAAGGAATCCCTTCTGATTCTTCCATGACGCACCTTTGGCCGTAGCTTCGCCACCAGTCCAAGGGCATCGATAGTCTCGGTCTCCAAATAACATGGCGACCTTGACACCTTCGTCGAGTAGGTATTCAATGTTCGGCATCCCGGCTTGCCGGACGATGTCACCCGTCGACCTGATAGGACCGTCTGTGACAAAGCCGAAGAGCGCTGTAACCACATTGGAATCCCATGTCCAATTCAAGGGAACTCCCATGGCAGATTGGATATCTGCTGTGTTGAGGTACTGCGCTACCGGGACGTAATATGGACATGTGTCTGGAGTTTCTATCGCAACATCAAAGGCGGACACCTGCAACTATGTCAGCTTCATTGAGAGGTCTTAGTGGAATGCCGTCTCATACATTGTGCAACACGTTGAGCAGACCGATGATGCTTTCGCAATAGACAAAGCTATCCTCGCATAGCTCATTGACAGTTGCATTGTTGCCGGAGAACCCAGGGTCGCCAACTTTGCTTGCCTGACGGCATTGTCTTATCAGGTCGAGGCAGCCACCAGGCTTGGTGACATTGTTATGAGCATCTTCGTACAAATCCTGAGGAAGGAATTTGACACCGTAAGTGTTATTGTTGGCAAAGTCAAGGTAACCCTCCATGGAGTACTCAAAGTCGACACATCCATTTGTTATTCCGATGGCATCGACTTTGAGATTCTTCGCTTTTAAAGGATGAGAATCTGTGAGGTTCTTGAGGTGCTTACTGATTTGGACCGCGGTTTCGGGTACCCAGAAGCCGCCATAAGAGTTCCCCCACACACTGATCTTGTTCGAAGACGTGCTATACCCGGGGAAAGAGGAGAACCAGTGTTCTGAGAAATGCCACAGAGCTTTTGCTGCCGCAACAGTCGTATTCGCAGTGGTCGACACGTCTTGGTCTGCAAATGTTCCATATCCAAAGGTACCGTTCACAATTGGGGAGGAACTGGCAGTGAATTTCTCTGGAGTGATGTTCAAAGATTCCAGATCATAGGTTCCGTTGATGAGCGAGCTATATGAAAAGCCGGTTTGAGTTGGTTGATCGATGTAGAGCATATTGACATTGTTGTTGAATGACCATGGATTGAGCACGGTGTCAGTACCATTGACATTGACATAGCACGGCCCGCTCTCGCTTGCGAACGCTGCATAGGTGGAGGCTTCACCAGGGCCCCCTGCTAAGTAGATGCCAAGAGGAGCTGATTCTGGATTATTGCGAGCTTCGAAGTAGATGAAATAGGTATTGATATCGTAACCTCCTACGTCGGCCAGCAGACTTCCAGGAAGATGGACGTAGCCACTATACGTCTTGACTCCAGACGTCGTTTCACATATTTGTGTCTAAGAGCCATCAGATAGTGTAAGACGGATTCGACTGTTTGCTCACTTTCTTCCAGGAAATCTTGACGGCCTCATTGGCTTTGGAAGTGGTGATAGTCACCCCAGACGGCGTCGGAGGGAATTGTGCGTAAGCGATGGACACGAGGGCAGTAACGCCCAATCCTAGGCTGAGAGCTCTCATTTTGAATGTATTTGAGGAAGGAAAGAGTGTTGGTGATGGACTCCATGAAGCTTTGGGCAGATAAATTTGCTTTATATGTGCTGAAGAAACGGACTTCAATTTGGCGGCCTGATGAACTCAGAAAATAGAAGTTTCGCTCCGCTGGCCGAAAACAGTTAATCAGGTACTGACTCCTCTGCAGACATGGAGATCTCGCAGCTAGCTGTGGCTAGGACCGGTGCTAGACTATCAGGGGTGAGGCAACTGGTATTCGAGTCGCTATGCATCTTACACGTCGAGCGAAAGGTCTGCTCCACGTCAGTGGCTTGTGGCTCGTGGGCTTGAACGCACATCGCCATGGAGAATTTTGTATGCAGCAGCGTTTCAACCGTTGACCTGACCTTCTTGTGGTAAGCAAGCAAAGTGCTGCCTCTCGCGCATAGGAAACATGGGACACACTATTGGTTGGGAGCTCCATCAAAAGCGGTTAGTCCATACGAGTTGTCCAGAATTGGCACCCCTCGGGTGAATTGGCCATGATCGCGCTGTATGGGCGAAACATGCGGTCCTTGGGACGTTGCTAAGTAAGCCTCGCTCAATGCTACAACATCCGCAATACCGAGGTTTGTACTTAGTGGTCAGAGACGAGGGAGGAGCGTGGAGGAGAGGGGGAGGTCCTTGGAGGCATTCGATTCCGAAATTCTGTGCAGATTCACCCAAGAGTCGCCAAGTCGGCTAAACTCTGGGAATGGAGGGCTTGGCCGTTGTCGGACTGCTCACGTGACTTTTCACGTGACTTCTCCGGCGCAGTGCAGTGCCGTGAGTGCCTGCGCTCATCGTCATCGCAACCTCCAACCGCCGTAGGCTTCACGATACTACTTATCTGAGAGAAGCGACTCATCAGACCCAGAAGAACATACGCCAAAATCGAATCCCATAAGCAAGCACTCTAGTGCCATCATTATCTCGAATCCAAATTTTCAGTGGTAGAAGAGAGAGCGCGACTGTCATTCACCAGCACTCGCTCCCCCCAACCACACCAAATCCACTTACAGTCGACATCTGTTTGAGCCGACTCGATAGCGGCTGTCTCAGAATGTCGGGCCTCGAGAAGGCACTATTTAATCTGAAGGTATTTCCTTTGTCTGATCTTCCGGAACGGATGAAGACGTGGTGCAGAGCGTCCCGACTGGGCGCCCGCCGCAGCCAGATCCAATGGCACTTGTTCCGGGGAGTCACGAAAGTCACTACTGACATTACTCTCTTTCGCAGTTCACCTCCAAGCAATTGAATCGACAAGCCGCCAAAGCCGACCGCGATTCGCGCGCCGAACAAGCCAAACTCAAGAAAGCCCTAACCCAGAACCCACCTCAACCTCAAATCGCCCGCCTATATGCCACAAATTCGGTGCGAAATTCCCAGCAACGCATCCAGCTTCTTACTCTCGCTGCTCGTCTCGATGCAGTCGCCGCACGAGTCCAGACGGCCATAACCATGCGAACTGTGACAAGCTCGATGGCCCAGACGGTCAAGGGGATGGACATAGCGTTGAAGAGCATGGATCTGGAAAAGATAGGTGCCGTCATGGAGAAATTCGAAGCGCAATTCGAGGATCTTGATGTCGTTTCTGGATACTACGAGGGCGTGGCCAGCGGCGTAGAAAATCAGCAGGTCGGTGTCGAAGGCCAAGGAGAAGTTGAAGCCTTGATGAGCCGGGTTGCCGACGAGGCAGGCGTTGAAATTTCCCAAGAAATGCAGCAGAAAGTACCAGAGCACGAGCTCCAGCAAGCAGAGACCGCAGAAAGAGCGAAACTCGAGGAAGGCTTGGGCGACAGATTAAGAGCTCTGAGGAATTGAGAACCTTTCCTTTGTGTGGTTGACGAGAGGCTTCACGAGCAATGACGATTTTATGCAGAACTATGTTATTATCCTGCTGGGGTTTGCTGCTGACATTGGTATATGGAGTGCAGGTCTATGCACGTATCTTGTTCGATCAAAGATTCTAGCCTCACCATTCGAGGGCCACTCCACACCCAAAGGCTCATATCTGTGCTTCTGGTCCTCAGGAGAGATTGGAAACGGTAATGTCCAGAAACAGTTATAGTCGGTACAGCCCGATTATCATGTTCAACCGTAACAGGGACGCCCAACGCTTCCAAAGTATAACTGGAGAACAGACGACACCGCCCTCGATCATTTGGTCTTCCTACCATCCTCCGCTTTCTGTGCCTTCACTCTCTCCTTCTGCCTCGTCTCCGCCAATTGATTATCCCTGATGATCTGGTCTTTGGCGACAGGCCAGGCTTTCCTCTTCCCCATATCAAACAACCTCCATATGGCAGGCGAAAAGACACCGTTCTTGCACAGGTTATAAAACTTCCGATCGCGGCACCAGAAGCGCCAGGCCTCGATGCTGGAAAAGCCGAAATTGGCGAACAATCCTGTCCCGGCCGTCTCGTCCAACCAGGCCACGTAGTCCGGCATGCGTACGAAGACCGAGTACCAATTCCCAGTGGTCTTGTGCTTTGCAAGGACATCCGCGCGCCACGCAAGGTGCTCGCGGCGCCATTGCTTCATCTCCTTGAGGGGCGGCAAGTGCGATTTCCCACGCCAGATCTGCGACACCGCCATGCCGGGTAGCTCGAAGAGAAGAAAGCCCGGGAACGGGACGCCCGCGAGGCCCAGGAAAGCCAGCGAGTTGCGGATTGCCGGGTCGTCGTGCAGAGGGAAGATGTTTCTGTACAAGTGCGGTGGCTGGCCCGTGACAGGGACTGGGTCGTATTCGGCCGGAGCGCAGGGCGCGCAGAAGTCATAGCCTGTGCAGTATATGATTGCGTCGATGTCCTCAAGGAGTCGGCCGTCGGCGAGGCGTACGGATTTGGGGCCCGAGATCTCCTGCACAGCGGCGACGGGAGTGGCGAAGCCGGATTGCAAGTGCGGGTAGATGGCATCGGCGACGAGTGGAGTGGTCGTCGCAGTGGACGGGAAGGGCGCGAAGTTCCATTCCTTCGGCTGGGAGGGGAAGGCAGTGTTTGTCATGCTTGCGAGGATCTTGTCCAGGATCCAGATCCAGAGTGTCGGGAACCAGGTTTCCATCTGCGAACGGTCAGAAAGCGACTCCATAGGTCGGCAGGAATAAAATGCGTAAGATATTCGTGTTGGAATGGTAAGCTCTTTCTTCTAGGGGGCCGAGACTTACGAAAAGTTGGACGAAGAAGAATGCCAGGCTTTGCGCTTGGTCCATCGAGCGCCCGTCCTGCGTGAAGCGTGGCACCTAGATATATCAGTATCAGAGGTCGGTCATTGGTATAGGGAGCAATGTATGCACCATTACGAGCCCATTCCTATGCGCTATGTACACTTTCTTTGCGTGAGAGGATAGCTCGACTGTCAAGTCTTGGGCGGTGGCGTGGAGCCCGACTAAGAGGACATTCTGGTCCTGGAAACATGATGGATCAGGGAAGTTCACAGAGTGCAGCGTCGTGCCCTGGAAGTATCCGATGCCGGCCAACCTGGGCGATCTGGGACTCACGAAGGAGCCTGTGCAGACCATGACCTTGTCGAAGTACTGTGTCGCCGTCGTGCCATTCTGCTCGAAAGTTAGAGCCCATTGGCCCTCCTGCCTCTTGAATGTCTTGATCTCGGCATTCAGCTTGATGTGCGCTCGTAGGCCGAAATGGTCGCAGTAGCTCTCCATGTACTCGTGGATCTGCTTGGCCGTTGGGAAGTCATCGTAGTGCTCTGGCATGGGGTAGTCTGAGATGGCGGAGCGAAATCGACTGCTGTTGAAGATGGTGTTCTCTGTGACCGAGAGCGACGAATCGTGTGATTGCTTCCAAAGACCTCCCACATAGCCGCGCTTTTCAAACCCGGTGACTTCAAAGCCGTCTTCTTTAAGATTCTTCAGGGCCATGAGTCCCGTAGGACCTGCACCGATGACAGCGACCGTCACCGTCATGTTACCACCGTCGGCACCAACGTGGAAGGGGCCCGAATTTGAGCCAGAGAACTTTCGACTTACTGTTGAGATACCGCATATAAATATCTCGAATCCCCGTCGTAGCTACCTAACCCGATGTATGTCAATGCTCGATCCCGAGCGCCTGGAAAGAGACATCTTAGAGCCGTGTTGGCGCGGCATCAACAACTATGGATCTCACCATAAGGCCTCCCAACACAGAATATACCTCGAGGAATACGAATAGCTGGCCAATGGACACTGTCTGCGGAAAAGCGTAAGATGAACGCCAATTCAGGCAACCACCAATGCGCGACGGCTGATGCCCAGAAGGAATTGGAGCGAATGATGATGCTCCTCCATTGTTCAATGCCACCTATCTGCCGGTTTGGCTTCCTAATTATCCTGTGATTCGCGAGTCAAGCGCAACATAATGGATTTCTGGGAGGCCCTGATCTACTCCAAGGAAGCGGGGAACTCGGTGTAAGCCTTGTCTTCTAAAATCTTGCCCGTACCCACTCCTCCTCGCCCCACAGCATACAAGTGTCTGAACAGGCATAAAAGGAGCTTGATGGTTACGCCGGTGCTTTTGATCAGACTAGGACAATTCGAAGACGAGCCTCGATGGCGGCAAATGATGACGAAAACCTTTGTCTGAAAGCCTCAGGCAACATTGCCATCGAAACCATATCCAGCAGTGAAGGATCAGGATTGCCAATCTCTATCTTCAGAGATCACATCGGTCGACCAAATTGATCTGAGAATGGACATTGTATTCTATGCGAAGCACGTAGAAGGTCATCCGAATGGGGCGCTCCATTTCCTCCAGACCCTTACCTCCTTAGGGCGGAAATGACTCTCACGGAAGATATCAGCAGTAGATTAAGATTTGCTAAAGTAAAGTCATCAGCAAGCGGTTACACAGGCGTGGTGTTGAAACTTACGCCATCGATTGTCGGTGTGGTGTTTTCAAAAACAGGCTCTGAGCATTGCAGTACGATTTCAGTCCTCCATGTCCCCATTCATAACCTATACCACTTTCCTTGTGACCGCCAAATGATGCCATTGGGTCTCCTTCCTGATGGACGTTGACCCAGACACTCCCAGCTTCTAGCTGGCGTGTAATTCGAGCAGCTTCTTCTGGACCAGACAGACGCTCCAAGTCCCATATTCGTGTGTTTATTTGATGCATTGAACGTTTTCAAGCCAAAATCAAGCATGAATGCTTACTATACTCCATTGGACAAGACTAGCTGTACAAGTCCGAGGAATTATCAGGGCCTGAATAGTACCTGGGCTCTTTGGGCCGTGTTGCAGCCGAGCGATCTATGGACAGAGCTGTCAGCACAACGATGCTATCTGTGTTTCTGGCTAAGCCTTGACAGAAAACATTCTAGTAATTCGTAATAAGTGAGAGCCTTGAAAAGCTGGAGAAGTCGACATCTGGTTCTGCTTCAAGAGTTCCTCGACTGTAGAACCATGTAGGTACTAGAGAGCCGAGGCAATAGCAGATGAAAACTTGAAATTCTGTTGGCAGCTCCGTTTATATCTAGCACGGAAATCTGACCGTGCTTCCAAAACTACGGTATATTCGGAGGTCTTGTTCAGCACTTGTAGTAGATGTGCAAAAGGAAATAAACAGCTGTCGAGCAGTTAAATGCCCTCTCATAGGTACTCGTTAGCTGTGTGCTTGTAGGCCCTGTTACCTGCAACTGTGGGACATGGTTTCGGAGCGGACAAAACATTTCACCTATTACCGACGACGGTAGCCGAGGTTGTTGATGGACAACGAGGAAGAGCAACCAGACTTGGCCACAGCATAAGTGCGTGTCCTCATCCACAACTGATGCAGACGGTAGCTGAGAGAGTAGTCTGATGCAACATGAGGGTCGCCCGATACCATGGCCGGCGAGACGTTCGAATCGAAAGTATTCCCACGCCGGAACCTGGCCCTGGGGAATGTCTGATCGAGGTGGAATGGTGTGGCATATGTGGCACTGACTTACATGAATACCTTGCAGGTACGCGGTTCTGACATCAGATAATTTGAGTATAAAGTGTGCAACCAGTGTCCACGTACTAAATGTGTCTCGCAGGTCCATTGGGAATTCCCACCCAAGACCGTCCCGACCCCCTGACGGGAGGAACTATGCCCGTCACGATTGGACACGAAGTCTGTGGCCGTATCAAGACTGCTCCTCCTGGATCGAACTTGCAGGAAGGTCAACCAGTCATGGTGGATCCTCATGTCCCGTGCCGGAAGTGCCTTTCATGCAACTCTGGTTATGACCACTTATGCGATAAGCTTGCATTTATCGGCAATAGCGGACGTAGTTGCGGTGGAGGGCTGGCAGAGTTTGTGGCCGTCAATGCTGAGCACGTCCATCCTCTTCCCGCGAATGTTAGTCTCGATTTTGCAGCCCTCATCGAGCCATTGGTGGTTGGCTATCACGCGACACAGCAAGCGGGCGTCAATTTAGAAGGCAAAAGCATCCTCATTCTCGGCGCTGGGCCTATCGGCATGGCTTTGATATCCAACCTCCGAGCGTGCCGAGTCAAACAAATTTTGGTCAGCGAGCCCACGGCGAAGCGATCCTTGACTGTGAAGGATCTGGTCGAGAGGATTATTGACCCCAGATCGGAGGACGTGGGAGATGTTTGTCGCCAGCTAACTCATGACAAAGGCGTGGATATTGTTTTTGACTGTGCCGGTGTACAAGTGGCGATGGATGCAGGGCTTGATGCTCTCGCGTTCAAAGGTACCTACGTCAATATCGCTCAGTGGGAAAGACCGGTAAGAGATACCGAAACGAATTCTGGTCCACAATTAACGCTGATCTATAGTTCGGTGTCAACTTCAGACCCTTCTTCCTGAAGGAGATCAACATTGTCAGTTGCTGCTGCTATAATGACAAAGACTTTCACGAAGTGTTAGAACTGGTTAGAAACGGTACGTCTTAAGATTTTGTCGCCGTATGACTTACGCTCATTTGAAGAAGACAAGTTACATGGGTATGAGCAGATGGTGACAAAGCGTATTGCCTTGGAGGACCTCATCTCCTCTGGCCTCGAAGAGTTGATCAATCACAAGGATGATCACATCAAAATACTCGTCTCACCTAAACTCAAGGCTGCAAAGTAGGTAGAAAGATTGTATGCGTACTTCCATGGGCAGCGGCAGCCACAAATACTTCATATGCTTCTGGGTGAAGGTTTAATATGGAGAGTATGTATTTATCTATATAGTACTTCTATCTATCCCGGCTATCATAGAGATTACTATGACAGCCGCGTCGGATCAATGTAAATCCGCTACGGGACGGATTGGAATCCGCCAAGTGAATCTTCCTGAGTCACTCCCCTGTGTTACCCCTGAGTTCTTGTGATGCGGTGCGAGTAACCATGGCAAGAACTTTGGTGGCTGATCAATGACCTGGAACCCCTGGAACACCGATGCCCTGGGTGATGCGTCTATCCCTCGGGTCTATTCCAAACTTCCGAGCCGATACGGTCTCTCGACCCTTTCCACGGCTCTCTAAGCTTGACAACGTCTCATGTTCTGAGCGATCACTCCTCGGATACCGCTTCAAACCCCCTGGCTCCTGACTAATTGTACGCAGCAGCTGTCGTCCCGGACATGGGCAGGTCGAGGACTTACTCAAACCCAGCACTGACGACCTATATGTAGACATCTTGCAACTGGCTCTCAACAAGCGGACCAATTAGATACAGTACGCACTAATCTACGAGACTTTTCGGCACGGCCAAAATGCCACATATCGCAGAGCAACAAAATGACCTTCTTCCTGACCAGGTGCCTGATTTTCCACAATGCACGCCTCGATCAATGAAGATCATTCACGTCGGTATGGGAGCTTCGGGAATGCTGTTCGCCCATAAGGCCGAGAAGTTCCTGAAAGATTATGCGCTTGTGTGCTATGAAAAGAACGACCAGATTGGAGGTACTTGGTACGAGAACCGGTACCCAGGCTGTGCTTGCGATATTCCTGCACATACGTATACGTTTCCGTGGTTTCCCAACCCGGATTGGAGCGGCTACTATAGCTATAGCGATGAAATACAAGAGTATTTCTCGCGATTTGCCCGGACTTACGGGGTCGAAAAGTACGCTGTCCTCGACACAGAAGTGACGGCGTGTACTTGGGATGGGAACAAGTGGACCGTTCAATTGCGCCGAAAGGACGGCTCCACGTTCTATGATTCTTGTGATGTACTTGTGAACGGTACCGGTATTCTCAACAAATGGAAGTGGCCAAATATTGAGGGTCTGCAAGACTTTAATGGTATTGTGGCACATTCAGCAAATTGGCCCAAGGATCTCAGTTGGCATAACAAAAGAGTCGCTGTAATCGGCACCGGCTCCAGCTCAATACAGATGGTCCCAAAATTGGCTGCCACTGCGAAAGATGTTACGGTGTTCATGCGAAACCAGACCTACATTGGTCCACAGATTGGGTCGGGTATATCCAATAAAGCGGCAGACGACAACGCAATGGACCCCGAGGCAGCTGGTAAACACATCTATACGCAGAAAGAAAAGGACAAGTTTAGGAATGACCCAGCTTACCATTTAGATTATCGACGCGCGATCGAGAGGGCGGTCGTGGGCGGCTTCCGCGCCTTTTACCGAGGGAGCGAAGCGAATCTTCAAGCAAAAGCAGTCATGCAGAAATCAATGGCTGAAAAGATAGGGCCTGGGAATGAGGAGTTAAAGAAGCATTTGATTCCTGATTGGAGTCCCGGCTGCCGTCGCTTGACCCCGGGTGAAGGATATCTTGAGGCTCTCACTCAGGCAAACGTCAAGCCGATATTCGAAGAAATTACCAAGGTCACACGAACTGGAATAGTGACAAAGAACGGCGTCGAGCATGAAGCAGACATCATTGCCTGCGCGACAGGCTTCAACATCCAATTCTTACCGCATTTCACAATTACGGGTATCAATGGTGTGGTAATGCAAGACCACGAGCCGAATGTGTACGCGTCTGTGGCCTCACCAGGGTTCCCGAACTACTTTGTCGTAAATGGGCCTCGTGGTAACTGGGGTCAAGGGTGTGCTCTCCCGAGCCACGACGTCCAGATCGAATACATCATGCAGATATGCCGCAAAATGCAACGAGATCGGATCAAGGCCATAATGCCTAAAGTCGAAGTGACCGATCAAATGAATCTCTTCATGGACGCATGGCACAAGAAGAACTCGGTGTGGGCAGAGAACTGCAGGAGTTGGTACAAGGTCAGTTGTCACCAACGTTGTCTATCAGGTGAACGTGGATCCCTAACTGGCTACCAGGATAATAAGCCTAATGGTCGAATATATATCTGGCCCGGCAGTCTGCTGCATCACCTTAAGTACATGAAGACGCCTCGATTTGAGCACTACGACATCATCTGTGAAGACCCGGGGAACATGTTTGCGTTTCTGGGGAATGGATTAACCATAAGTGAATCAAAGTTTAGAGTGGAGGATTTGGCTGTGGACTACATTCGTAACGATGAGGACGAACAATGGGACATAGAATAGACCAATGCTGGTCTCACTCGCTATGATAAATCTGATGAAACATTTTCGCAGACTTCCACAAGCCACGATCGTAGAGCCGAGGCAAAGCTATGGTAGAACGCCACCACCACAATCGACGCTGTTGCCAGTCCGATGGGTTGTTATTTAGTAAGCTGCCCCGGTAATTGCGAGGCTATGTGTGCAAGGGGTAGTGGTGCCGAAAACGTAACGGCTGGGCTCCTGCCCAGATACCTTACCCCGCTCTTCCTGTGCTTTCAAGATTGAACCCATCCAGTATCTGTCGTTGCAGGGCGAGGTAGAGAGATGGGTTCCTAATGCGACTTGTGCTTGCTCATAACCTGTACGCCGTCCTGTCTCAGACCGCCCAACATGACAACGGCGGCCGCTACAAAAGTCCCAAAGCACAGAGCCTCGAAAGCATGTGAGCGTTGCCGTACCCGAAAAGTCCGCTGTGACATTGTTCTGCGGAAAGACAGATGCACCAATTGCACCTTGGATGACCTAGATTGTGTTGAGTCGGGCCCACGGCGTCGGCGAGGCACTGTTCGTCGCTCCAAGGCAACATCAGATACTACAAACCCGAACAACCCATCTGTGTCCGAGTCGGTCAGCTGGAGCATAGTCCAGGACATGGAAAGTGTTCTGGCGGCAAACCTCCAACCGAACGAGGATGTCCAAGGACCTTCAACCGTCAATGGTGCCCCGTCGCTGTCGACGACTAGTCCTGAGGATGGCCATCCTGTTCCTGATTCAAACGAAGACCTCTTCCCTGATTTCTCTGGCGATCTACTCAATAAAGGTCTCGAAGTTCCACTATTTGGACGTGGGGGAAGAGGGATGCATATCAATGAAGACGACAACGCTTTCAGAGACCTGCAAACCTTACTCCCTCCATTTGCCTCTCAGATACGCTCGCCGCGGATACACATGTATGCCGATTTTCTGCAGAATCAGAAAGCTTTCAAGATCCCTCCACCAAAACTACTACAGGCGCTGTTAATACGCTATATTGAATTTGTTCACCCTCAACTCCCGCTTGTTGATCTCCATCATGTTCTTCAAGCAGTAGCGACCGGCGGGAAAGAGGGCAGAGTGAGTCTGCTGCTCTTTCAGGCGATGTTGTTGGCTGCGTCGGCGTACGTCGATACGCAGCACCTGCTGGAGGCTGGATATTCTAACCGCATGGCGCTGCGAAGAGAGCTAGCCGAGCGTGCTAGGCTCCTTTACGACTTCGACTGCGATGCAGACCGACTGGTCATTGTCCAATCACTAATTCTAATGACCAGTTGGCAAGACAGGGGCGACGAAGTCAAACACTTACGCCATTGGATATCTATTGCCTATAACATCGCATTCTTGCTGGGCCTCAACAAAGAGGTACCAGATTCGTTGAATCTTCCAGCGAAGAGTCGGTCTCTTCGGAAACGAATATGGTGGTCGCTCTATATGCGGGATCGAACTCTCTCCTTGGGACTTCGACAGAGGCCTATCATTGCGGTCGAAGTCTGTGAAATCTCGGCACCGGTTGTTGAAGATTTTGATATTCGCCCTGCTTCAGATGAAATCTGCGAACTGGTGCACAATTGTGCACTTCTAAGAAATCTTGATCAACAAATTCGGCTTGTCGACGTATTCCGAGCACAGTTGGAAGTCAGTCATCATATACACGAGGTATTCAAGGCTAGATACACAGTAGTGACGCCGAAACTGGGGAGCAACCATATGATCGCACTTGTTTTGGTGCCTAAGCCTTTGACCACGACTCTGCATGCCGTGGACGAGTGCTCGGAAGGTCTCGACAAGTGGCTCAAAAACTTGCCAGAGAATTTGAGGTTTCGAATGCCGCTATCACTTCACTTCGACCCGGGAGAGGACGTCCTGGTGCTTCACTGCGGGATTTTGAATCTCTTTTATTATGCCCTGGTGTGCGCGTTACACCGACCATACCCTCTACCAGTCCAACGGGAGCTACCTGCATCAGAGAAGATGTCCCAGCGCAGAGCCCGACACGCAGCAAATGCGATCTTTTCTATATTGGAGGAGTTTCAGAATCTTGACATTGTCTGCTTCATGCCAACGCAAGGAATCACATTCATGCTTCAAGGCGCAATGACAGCTCTCTGTGACACAACATCGAATAACGAGCAAATGCGAACTCAAAGTTGTCGTCGCCTTCAAACGTGTCTCGAAATATTGATGACTTTGAGAGACATGCACTCCTATGCACCTTATGCAACGAACATCCTCACAGCTGCTGCTGCAAGACTGAATCGGCAGCCTCAACCCTCTGAATATGGAGAAAGCCAGCACCGAAACCAGTCTACAACCACAGCATCATCTCAAGGGCCAGTTTCAGCTCAAGGTTTAAGTCTGTCTCTCCCTAGTCCGCAGCTTGGACATGACGACTGGTCTGCAACAACAGACTCAATCGCGCCGTCCGCCTTTGAGCAGGCATACGAGACGCAGGCAGGGCTCCAGGCGCTTTTGTGCTACTCGGAACAGCCTGACACCGGGTTTGACTATGAAACAGCTAATTTCCTCTCTAGCTGGGAGTCCTTCGTGGGCCTTCCTTGACTTAAGCCTGTAAGGGAGGATATCTCAGTCAACGTCAGTTTTTATTGGCGATAAACTCATTATAACTACGTAGTATAAGCAGCGGAACTCTGAAAGATGTTCGATATGTCAATTTCAGCGGTGAGATATCCTCCAGCTCTGGGGGTTTGCTGAAGGAGAAATGAGACCTCGACCAGAACCTGAGTTAATTTCTTGCAATGCCAGGAAAGGTCTTGAGAACCGATACATGGAAACTGCTGGCCAGCCATGTGAGCCCTCGGTAATATCTATCTATCCGAGGATCTAAACCACCCCCCGCACTAACACAAAAGTCCGGAGTGGGTGAACAATCACCGGTTGGCAGGCAGCATCCGCCAGCAAGGTTCGTTATTATGCGTGCCGTTCTACTATGCTTCCATGTTCTCCTGGCTGCATGTTCTCCATGCTGCAACCCGCCTTCGGTCGGCATGTCGTCTCAATCCGAACAGCCCCTCACATTCACGGACGAGGACTTGAAATTGAACTTCAATGCGACATTCTGCGACCAAGTCGTGCCCTTCAACATCTCGGTGAAGCAGGAATTTATCGACTTCACGAAGCTCAAGGTTTCTCTCACTCGCTTCACGGACGATCAAAAAGACCTGGAAGAATATGCCGATGGACCTCCTGAACACTTCGTCAGGAAGATTACCGCATTCTGGGAGAATGTCTATGACTGGAGGGCTGTTGAAACTGGGCTGAATGATGGTTTCAATCATTTCACAACAGTAGTTCAAACACCACAGACATCGCATCATGCATACCCGGATCCTATCCCTCTACATTTCATCCACCAAAAGTCCTCACATCCTGACGCAATTCCACTACTTTTTGTCCACGGGTGGCCAGGATCCTTCTTAGAAGTCAAAAGCCTCATCGCACCACTAACAGAGCCACCTGATCCAGCTCTTCCTGCTTTCCACATTGTCGCACCCTCAATTCCCGGTTATGGCTTCAGCCCTTCTCCTCGGAGGCCAGGTTTTGGATATCGTCAAGCTGGCGCCACTTTTCGGGCGCTTATGTTAAAGCTTGGGTACGACAAGTACGTTTTTCAGGGCGGCGATGCTGGTGATCTTATCAATCGCTATGCCGCTGTCGATTTCCCCGACAATATTGTCTCAGGACTCTCGAACTTCTGGGTCTGTCCGCCACGACAAAGCGACCTCGACTTACACGCGCAAGGTCGAGCGTCCGAGGATGAAAACTACCTCGTCAATCTATACCAGAAGTTCGTCGGGACCAGGTGGGGATACGCCCAGCTTCAACAGACCAGGCCGCTACGCCTAGCAATTGGATTAACGGATAGTCCCATCGGACTCGCTATGTGGATTTACGATAGTGTTCGGCCTGGTGTTGACGACCCCTCGCTTTGGACGGAGGAGCGAATCATCACTTGGACCATGATGCACTGGATCAACGGGCCTTACGGAGCCTTCTCGCTGTACAAGAATGGTGCCCATGTGAGTCACCGCGGCCTCGGGAAATGCGATTCAAATACATCCCTCATCTCCCCGATACTTCCTCCTTACACACCATCAGTTATGTTTATGACAAATTCCACCCTCCTGTAATGCCCAACTATTGATACTGATACTCACCGAATTTATAGGACGGCGCTATTTCCCCACAAGGCATTAACGAGCTTCCCTATGTAAATCAACCTGTTGCCATTTCCGAGTTTCCCTACGATCTCTGGTACAGAACTCCCTTAAAATGGGCCCAAAGATTAGGAAACGTGAAGTACCGCACCGTGCATACCCGAGGAGGACACTTTGCTACTCTCGATGCACCCGACCTGCTGATTGATGACATTCGAACATTTTTCGGTGATCGGGAATTGTCTGGCACCAAGGTCTTTGAGAAGACACAGGATCGATAGACTACTAGTATGCAATGAGATCGACAGTGCCCAATCACGAATTTTGCAGCGTGGACAGGCTATTCTACTAGATTAGGCGATCAAGTACTCCATACTACGGATCAGATTGTGCTTAGGCTGGCTGCCACATCTTCACCGGCCTGGAATAATGTCAAGTCGTTCCAGCTAGAATCTTCTGTTCGTTCAAGCTTGGTTTAATTTAGCATCCCAATATTATCGCTCTTCTTGCAGGCTCGTGAATCAGGCGTAATTAGATAGGCTCCAACTAGCTGCTTCGTAGCTACCACTCTGCGACAATCGTTCAGTCTAGAAAAAGGGATAAGAGCACATATTTAGGGTAAATGAGACCATCTGCCTTCTTTCATGTGTTAGTTACGATGGAGGGATGCGTATTGAGGAGTCTTCCGAAGCATATCGACTGTGCTAGGGGGCCAGCTTAGGCATAGCCGTGGGACAGTATATTCACACTTTGGCTTCCGCCTTGTCAGAGCAAGCTTTTTGGTCTTCGACCATCTCAACCCTTTCCTTGGTTTCGACTTCATACGAGTCATGATTGCCATATTGCTCCCCGTGGTCACCGAAAATCCTGGCAATATCCTCCAAAGGTATACCTAAGGTATCGGGATAGAGAAACCAGAGAATTGCCGTGCACTGCGAGATCATTAGCAGCCGAGGCGTCTTCGGAAGAAAGAGATACTCACAATGTAACCCGGAATGAAGAACACCATGTAGAACTTGTACCCGATGGACTTGAAGGCCATCGGAGCCAGTTGCAGCCAGAGAATATTTATAGCACAGATCGTAGCTACGCCCACGACCATCCCTTTTGCTCGCAAATGTGTGGGAAAGATTTCGCCCAAGTACGCAAACTGCACGCCGTCGAGGCCCAATTGGTAGAAACAATTAAGGAGGTAGATCATTGCGATGACGGCATGCAGAGCTGGCTGGTTGGGGTTTTGCAAGGCCTCTTTTGATGCATATCGTCCAATTAGGCCACACACGATGGTGAGGCAGCATGCGCAGCCGCCGACACCGAATGCCAGTAGCTTAGGCCGTGGGAATCGGTCAATGAGGAAGAACGACATGAATCCTGTTCCCAATGCGACGAAACACCATCCAAGCTGGAAGAGCAGTTGTTTGTTGGTGTTGAAGCCCAAGGATGCATATATCGTTGGGCCATAGTTGTTGACAACGAGAATGCCAGAGGTATGGATCGAGAGAGCCATGCCCGATGCCAAAATAGTACGCTTACGGTAGCTTGGTTTGGAAACCATCGACCACCACGAGCTGACCAGGTGACGCTCAGCACTGATTGATTGCCGAATCTGTATGGCCTCCACGCAGGCCTCTTCCGGGTTATGGAGTCTGGCCAATACGCGTTCGGCTTGCTCGGTGCGGTCTTGAGTCATCAGCCACCTGGGGGACTCTGGCATCCACCGGATGCAGGGCAACAAGATGACAACCCATAGTGCCTGGAATATCATCGGTCCTCTCCACCCCCAGTTATTGGTTGGGGGCAGGTGATAGAATGCATAGCCGAGAATTGTCGCCAGGTTATAGCCAACAAGAAAGCCGACGTTATGGCAATCCACAAAAATGCCGCGGACCTTTGGTGGAACGACCTCGTTCATCCAGATGGGAATGGCGGTGACGATCATGAAGGCGCCTGCACCTGCGATAGACCGGAAGACGATGAATGTCGCAATGTGTGTGCTACCAGTAAGCCCAGCTGCCGACACCAGATTGACAAAAGCGGACACAACAAAAGCGAATTTGCGGCCCCAGCGATCGGACATCCAGGACACGGTCCAGACTGCCAAGAACCCGCCTGCGTAGTAGAGGCCATTGGTGGTCGCGATCAATTGCGTTGCATCGCTTCGTTTGTCCAGTTGAAAATAGGAGATGAAGGAGGGCTGTGCCAATGTTGTAGAAATGATAGATGCATTATACCCATATTCGATCGAGCCCAGAGACATCAGCAGAACCATAAGCACATTGTACCAACGGAACTGCCGTGCGGTCGAATGCTGGAGCTCGGGGCCGGGAGATATGGCTCTAGTTTGGGTTTCTGCCATCCTGAATAGTAGATGATGTTAAGCCTTGTGTAGATAGCCAGAAAATATATCAATGTTGTCGATATCCTACTCTTTTATTAAAAAAACAGGTCTGGAGTCTGCGATCTCGAACCATTTGTAGTAAGACAAGCAGATACTAGTATTATCCGCTTTAGATGTTTACCACCACGACCCGTGGCGAACGTGCTCGATAGTCAGGGCCAACACATGAGATCCGAGGCTTCGAGTTCGGCATGGCAGAAATTCTCCGAGTGAGGCCAAACCATTCTGTGGAGAGTCTGAACAGGAGGAAACCCCAGACCCCGGATATTGAGCCAAGGCCTGGAGAAGATGACATTTACCTCGGGCCAAACAAGTTCAAGCTGGAACGAAATGAGAAGCAATGGCAGTTCCGAGCTTCAAGTCCTAGTTTGCTCACTTGTGCCAACTCGCCCTCTTCCATTTCGGGACAAAAATTCAACAGACCAAGGTTCATTGACCGCTACATGGAGGTTTGACCGCTTATCTCTGCGAGCGAGGGAATTATCTTCTCCTTAGAGGGCATTTGGTTAGAGCCACCAGTGGATTTGGGAAAGGGGCGACTGAACCATGGTAGCAGTAACTTGTAAGTATCGTTCTGGGCACATGGATCCGAGTTCAGAACGGAAATTGGTGGTTTGAAACGTAATGATGTTTATGATACATAATGCCCGTAGCGATGCCTGTGCCAAAGAGGTTGCATTGAGTAGTAATGTACAATTAGCATGAAACCAATAAGCAGCAATAAGGATAGCTAATCGACGAGTAGCAGAAGCCTGTGTGGCAGCACTGGCCAGGAATCAGGAATAGGCAATAGTATGGATAAGTTGAGCCGCCCCCGTGATGACATCTAACAAAGCACTTCAGATGGGCCCGGACCCGGATCCCTTTTTCCTCACGCATGACGGAATGCACTGTTCTTCCGGGTCAGCAGGGGCGGACTTGGCTCACCAGGCTGATGCAGGTTGACCAAATCCCCGAGATAGCCGCACCTTTCGCTGTCACATACCTCAACCACATGACGGCACACGAAAACAATGAAGAAATCCCCCAAATCCGAGCTTGAGTGTGACAACTCTACTATTCAATGAAGGGAGAAATCATCGGGCTATTGTGATTTGCGGATGGTAGTAGTCCGAGATCTCTTTTGTCAATGCTTCCCTCACGATTGAGCCGCACAGTTTCGCATAAGGATTCGTCTTAACTGCCAGTTGCCTTGCCGTCTCATTGCCATATCGACCACCAATCCCCAGCTCTCGGCTTGCTGCTTGTTCCAGATCCGCAAGCGACAGGGGCTTGAGGCCCGGAAGCGCACTCAGCATATTGCGATTGTCCTCCGATTTACTTGCAAAGAGGAGGAGGTATCCTCGGTGCGTATGAGCCGATGCGAGAACTCTAGCATCCAGGTGGGAAATAGACCCGTGTAATTGTTTGGGTGTTGCTAGCGAGATGGCTTGCGTAATGTCCTGGAAAATCTGGGCCACGGCATCTGGCATCGTTGGAAGATTTTCATCCTTGATTAGCATTCGGCGTGCTTGGGCTCGGTTGTTCCATGCAGATGCGTAAGATTGGTCGTCTTCGATTATGGATGTCAAGTCTGATATTGCAGATTTAATGTCGCATGCAGCTGGCGTCTCATGATTGAGCAATCGTAAAGCATCCCGTTCGCGTTCTTGGAGTCCTTGTATCTTCGCAGAATCCGAACCCTGGGGTAGACTGTTGTCGACTTGGACAGTGCTTGAAAGGGACGACTCGGGGTCAAACAGTGCTGACAAGACCGATGAGTCATTGTTGCTAAGGCCGGCCGCATCCATCCTTTCGGGAAACAGTACACTGAGTGAACGCGAAGAGGGTCGTGAAGCTCTCCAGGGTAGTGTTAGTTATTAAGACAGAGAGAGCAGCACATCCGGCAAGACACGGTTGGCGGATTTTGAGGAGACTGGAGGTTAAAGGGCTTGACCACGCAGATGGTCCGCTGATGCACGGATTCGCCAAAACAATGGAAGCCGTGCATATCCGTGCCCACCCACCACAATGGCAGATAAAGGTCACGCACAGCGCTTCCGGTTCGTAAGCATGTGAACAGTAATAAAGCATCAGTGAACCTCTTGAAATTTGCTTTTCCTCCGTACAGCGCTCTGGCAGATTTTGGATCGACATCAAACCAGATTTCGAGCATCATGGCACCCATCGCGTTGGCACCTACACCTGTACCAAGTCACAATCTCAGCAGTACATACCAAGATCAATTCTCGAACCCTACCCTTCCTAAGACATCAAAGAAAGTGGTCAGGTATCAAGGGTATGATCACGTACATTGGTGGGTTGGCAATGCCAAACAAGCCGCAGCGTACTACATCTCTCAGATGGGCTTCGAGAAGATAGCCTACCGTGGGCTGGAAACAGGTTCGAGGGCCATTGCGTCGCACGTTATCCGTAACGGCGATGTCACTTTTGTCCTCACCTCGCCGTTGCAAAGCCCTGACTGCAAGGGTGTGTCACTGTCCGATGAAGATCGACAAGCTCTTGAGGAGATGCACAACCATATAAGAGCTCACGGTGATGCGGTTCGCGACGTTGCTTTTGAAGTCGACGACGCTGTGGCAGTGTATGATGCCGCGGTGGCCAAGGGCGCGCATTCAGTACAAGAACCTCAAACCGTTAGCGACGATTCTGGTTCAGCGACGTACGCCCAGATTCGGACATATGGAGACACCATCCACACTTTGATCGAACGTCACCAATATCATGGCGCCTTCTTCCCAGGCTATCGAGCGGTAAAGGAGATCCAGAAGGCTTCGAAATACTTGCCGAAAGTCGATCTGATGCATATTGACCACTGCGTTGGGAACCAAGATTGGGATGAGATGGAAGCCGCCTGCGATTATTATGAAAAGACTCTCGGCTTTCACAGATTCTGGTCAGTGGACGACAAAGATATCTGCACAGATTATTCTGCGCTGAAATCAGTTGTCATGGCCAGTCCTGATGAAAAGATCAAGATGCCCATCAATGAGCCAGCCAAGGGCAAAAAGAAATCTCAAATCGAGGAATATGTCGACTTTTATAATGGTGCTGGTATTCAGCACATTGCTCTGAGAACGGAAGACATCATTTCGACAGTGATCAACATGCGGGAGCGTGGTATCGAATTTATCAGCGTGCCTGATACCTACTATGAGGCCATGACCAAACGATTGGAAAGTTCCGGTATGAAGCTCAATGAGGATTTTGCCAAACTAAAAGAGCTTGGAATCCTCATCGATTTCGACGAAGGTGGTTACTTACTGCAACTTTTCACCAAACACTTGCTGGATCGGCCAACAGTGTTTGTTGAGATCATTCAGAGGAACAATTTCTCGGGTTTTGGTGCTGGAAACTTCAAAGCGCTTTTTGAAGCTATTGAGAGAGAGCAAATGGCCCGAGGCAACCTGTGAAGAATGAGCATTGATGGACAGTCTCTCAAATTCCGGGGGTCGATTTTCTTCTCTATGCGCAATCTTTGCCCTCATTTCATCACGATGGTTCGACGAGATGAGGTAAGGTAGTACTCCGTATCGCGTGTGGTGGACAATTGAAGAGAAAAAGGACCAGATGACGGGCGCGTGATGAGAGCAAAGGCGAGTTTAACTGTAGACCCAAACAGGGCCTGAATTGAAGCCCGCTAGCAGAGGTTAGCCTACCAAGTTAACCTCATCATGCCTCAGGGAGTGAGTCTGCCAGGCACCCCTAAGGTTAGGTTACTTGGCGCACTGACCGGGCTTGTGCATCGCCTGTGACTTAAAACCTGCACTTCCCGCTTCCGTCCTCCGTCTTGCTCTTCATCCGTGCCCAGCAGCCGTTCTGCTTCTCATCCGTCCTCGACTAGTAGGTATACTCCTATCGATTCGCTGCATACTGGTGGCCGAAGAGGAGCCAGATTATTCCTAGCATGAGCGACAGCACGCCACCACCCATCCGTGTAAAACAGGCTTGCGAGCCTTGCAGGTACGACCTCCTCACTTCTCCCCAGAAGCCTTCGGTTGAATATAACCAGGAGGAAAAAGACAAAATGTCCCGGAGAACGACCGGCGTGCTCCTTTTGTAGTCGTCTCAACCAGCCATGCACGTATCTCTCAAGCAATGGCCCACCCGTTGCCAGAGTCGAAAAGGCCCCGCGGAATCCCAGAGCAAGGGTCAGTGACCTTATGAAACCCTCCCGACCAGTTGTTGAGGTATTTGATTCGCAGGAAGGCCGCCATCCCGCGGACCGCGTTGAACGACTGGAAGCCCGAGTCGATCAGATTATGGAAGCTGTTAAGTAGGTACATGATGGTACCTTCTGATTACCTGACCGCACCAGCGGCACCTTCTGGGCAGGGATATTTCCAGTTCAGTGACGACTTTGTACAGTGCCTTGTGGCAAGGCGGCAACTTGGTCAACTTTTGCAAAGTCCTGATCTGTCAACTAGGAGTACTCTTTGCAGACTTGACCATCTGCTAATACTGCACAGTACACTTGTTGAAAGACAATCAGCAGAAGCTTCCTCTCGGACAGAACAGTTTCCTTCGACGCCGGGAGGGAGAAGCCCACCATATGGGGGCGCTCACGGCCACGGAAGTCGGACTGCAGACTTTGATGCTACCAGCAGGTAAGCCCATACCTCCTTTAGCCCATTCAAAAGCTGGCACTGTATGGTAGACGTGGTTCGCCCATGTCAACCAGTATAAGATAGTCATGCTTTTTATGCCCCGAAACGTCGCCCCTCACTTCAAGATCGAAGATGGCTTCAAGCCAGGGGCACATCCGTTCCGCATACGAGTTCACTGTTTTGGTGCTGAGCGGGAAACCATCTCACGTCCAGACGAGCTCGCTACCAGGCCTTGGGAGCTCCTCTTGTCAAACTGAGTCACTCCTGTCGCCGGCTTGTTCAGTCCATAGTGCTGCCGGATACAAATAGTAACATGATCCAGGCCATACCCCCCTTCCGAAGTGCTGCAGTCTTTGGTGACACTCTACGTTGAGAAGATATCCGATCAGCCTTTGCCACTTTTCGACGTCTCTACGCTCCGATCACAAGCCGAAGACTTCTCCGGAGCTCTCCTCGACAGTTTCCTCGCGCTCACTGTTCGATTTTCCCACAACCAGTTCTTCGAAGGCGTCCAATCGAAAGCTGTAGAGTTTTACAAAAGCTCGGCTCGAGATGTACTCTTCCGTCGCGCTGCCGAGCCCACGGTCACTCTGGGGGTGCTGCAAGCTTTGTGCCTTCTCGGTATGGCAGAGATCTATGATGGCAAGATGGTCAGAGCATGGATGGCTTCTGGAGTCGCTGCAAGAGTCGTCATTTGTTCGACCTTGGCAATGTCGGAAGGTGGGAGGACGTCGACGAGGAAGTCTGATCTTTCCAGATGCTGTTGGAGCCTATTTATCCTCGATCGAATCCACGGCAGCAGTCTGCGAACTCTCCCCGCCATCTCCGATGAAGGCATACTTCCCGATATGCCATCCTACGCATCGTCAGGAGAGACGATCTCGTTTCCTCATACCGCTATGGACTCAAATGATGGACGCTTTCAAGCAGAGAAGGACGTTGGCATCAACTCTTACGCGTTGCAATTATTGACGATCTGGGGCCGCCTGATGGGATACCTCAAGAGCATCAAACAAGGCAATCGCGAATATGCATGGGTCGCCAATTCCGGCTATGCTCAGATCAAAGCACGAATGTCTGAATTTGAGACAATCTTTCCCGAGGTGCACCGGTTCACTAACGCGAAATTTCATGAGAGGGCGAGCATAGATTTGTCGAAGAACAGATCATACTGGGCACCCTGGATCTTCACACAGTGTATTTATCACACCATACACTGTACTTTGAATCACCCGTTCCTGCACGTTGCTCGGATCCATGGGGAGCAAAGGCTTCGATCGCCTTCTTTCCTTCAGCAGGCGATAGACCAGACAATCTTACATTCGACCTGGGTCGTGCAGCTGCTCAACATTTGCGAAGAGAGGGATTTCAGGATCCATGATCCCTTCATCGCGCACCTCGCCTCAATGATCGCGACAGCGCAGTTTTTTCTACGATTCTCGAAAGATGAAGCTCTTGGTCTCAGAGCGACCAGAGATTTTGAGACGCTGCAATATTTCGTGGAAAGAATGGGAGCTGAATACCCTCACCTGCTCCACACGGTGAGTCGTCCACCTTTCTTCCTGCCAGCACGATGCTGCAGTTGCTGACTTTGCTGTGTAGAAAGCGAAGCTATCCAAACTCGCGCAGCTTGCCGCACCGTACAACAACACCGCTCGACCAGTCCATCCGCCGAAAGTCGAAACGGCCATGTTGTGGGATTTGCTTGATTACGCCGTCTCATCGTCACCAACAGTCAGCAGTGATGGTGGGCCGGCAGATGATGTCGAGCTGAGCGTGAACACGCAATTCCTTTTGCCAATGGATCAGACAACGCCGCACTCTGCAGCTGGAGCAGCACCCTTGCCAAGCAGAAATGGCCCGGAGTCCTTCTCGCCGAACTTCTGGGATGATTCCGCATTCGCCTTCGACATGGCGGACTTTTCGAACTTACCCGAAATGTCGACAATATTGATGCCGAAGGATGCCTGGGTCAATGGCCTTCTTTGATCAAGGTCGACGGTCCTGCCTTTTTGTAGAGAGCAATTGCTGGTCAGAATGCAGCACGTAGGCATGCCGGAATCAATAATCTAGCAGAATCTTTTGGATCAGGCACAAGCTAGGCGGGGCTAATGGACAGCTTCCGCATCTGCAGCCGTATAGAGGAGCTCGCAGCCTGCAAACTATCGTTAAAATTGCCCGAGTGCAATGCTGATACCATGACCTCCTGGATCATGTCAGGAGTTCATGACAGTGTTGCAACCATGGTGCCACGGTTACGCACGGTGTCAACCGCTAAGAGCTTTAAGGTGGAAGTTTCCAGGCACCCATAGGTAGGGTATAACGGGTTAAGCTGATCACGTTGAAAATACTAGGGATATGAATTTTAGTGCTAGACTTACTTTCACAATCGACCATAGGATGCGTAATCAACAGGGCTTCCCGTCCGCTCAGCCGTACTTAAGCCGCATGCCGATGAGTTAGTAGTTGCGTCGGTGACGAGCAGCGAATCCTCATTGTTGATTGTTTTTGTGTCTTTTTTGCAAGAATTGATGCTGAATTGGTTAAAGGAGAGGTTCTGATGGCTTTATATATATATATATATTATATGCCCCGAACTGTGCTTTGTCCCTTACCATTTTCGTTCAGGAAAGGGAGCGCGGCCGCTTTAATCGCACGTGTGACGGAGCATCGAGGGCGCCCCGGCCGAGCACGGGAAAGGGTCAAGGGAGCCACGGCAGAGTACGTGGAACACCGGGGGAGTACTGAGGGAGCACACCCGAGCACTGCGCGAGCCCACAGAGAGCGCTGCCCTAATACGGATCTGCAGAAGCCAGTTCAGGCTTAGGTGCGCTTTTGGGTCCTCGGCTATAGTTGCCTAGCTGTGCTCTTAGTAGCCTACTCCTGGCGTGGTAACGCGTTCAATCCTAGCGTTTATGGTAAGTTTTTACTTCAAGAATTCGAAAGTTTTTTGACCTATTTAGCAGAGTATTGCCCGATCATCTACGAAGTGCAGACATACCAATAAACGAGTCGTCTATAACTAGTGTTTCCAAATTTATGATACCGATTGATACAGTAGATAGCGCCTTCGTACCGAGCCTACCTATCTCCAAGTCGATGACCATCTACTGGCTCGTTTTCGTCTATTTGTAGATGCCACTATCCCACTGAGACTACATTGTGGCCATCCCTCAAGGTCCCCAATCCCTCCATAGCACAACCCCGTCCACCGTCTGCGTCTCGACCAGGGTCCTTGATGATATGGGTGTCACTGTCGGCATCCGTGTGACGGGCTCTTCTGGCGTTTTGTTTCGGGCTCGCCAAAACCAGACTTGCGAATTCCTGGGGAGATGGTCAAAATTGAAGATCTTCAGTCGCCGTAGTTAGCACTCAGCTCTGCGTGCCGTACAGCTGGGGGCTAGGATTCTGCATCTTGACCTGGTGCACAACAACTCTTTCGGTGGGGACCGTCATCAAAATTCGTTTCAAGGAGCGTAATGCTCTCGAGCTGTTGTTGAGAGCCTTGATTATAAAGCTCCGATGGTTGCAGTATATTCATCCATAAGATACTTTTCGTGCTCATAAGGCTCGATCATCCTTGGGATCCAACTTTTCTGCCACTCGTCTTCCCAGTGTGTGGTGTAACACATTTTGAAGAATTCCCAGTAGTCTGGATACCACCCAGATTGGCCCCAGTCGATCAGCGCAAGCACCCGCGGTGGACCGAAGGCCGATGTAGAGACAACTATGTTGGTAGGATGTACATCAGCATGTGTGAATTTAATAGTTGTATCTTTCGGCATCAGATTAAGATACGGATCTTGATATCTCTGGGAAAGTGATAAGAATCGTTGGGGAAGCCATTCGAGCCAGTGGTAAAACTCGTGAATTGTATCAAATGGTCCGGCCTTTGGGCGATCATAAAAGACTCTGTCGATTAATGGACCTCGAGTAATAGATCCTACGAGGAAATAATTAGTATAGAAGCCTTGTTAAATCGTGAATTTCTAACTCACCAATAAATGTATTTTCTTGTTCGAGTTGTCGTAGGGAGGAAAGTATATCACGAAGCTGACCACAGATAGCGTCCTTGTCTGAGAGGTCCATGTCGCTCCAACATTCTTGTAGAGTTACTCCAGATATAAGTTCCATGTAGATAAAAACAGTGTCCTGATAGACACGCCATCCAAAAAGCTCTGGAACCGGAACTTGAGAACCAAGACACTTCCTAACTATCCACATTGTCACTGCTTCGTCAATTGTCACACGTGGTCCAAATTTGATAACAAGCTGCATTTCCGAGATAATGATAATGCCTTCTCGCGAGGCACCAAGTTGTTCGGGACGTGGCAGCTTTCGGCCAGCTGTCTTAAAAAATGAGGAGTCAACGAAATCCATTTCATCTTTGAGATGATTGGGAAGCGAGCTTTGGCTTATCCTCTTCAACTCAGTGGTGCTTGTCGAGTTCATTGTTGTGGGTAGAGTCGTGTCGGTATAGAGATGTCCACGACGGCTATCTTCGAGATCTCGCATGTATGCTCGATCGTGCTGTGTCTGTGCTATCTAACTATCTACGTGCCTTCTATATACCGCTTTGATACTCCTGACACCTGCCTCCTTGGCCCTCGTCCACCCCCTAACTATTAGGAGCAACGATCATCTCCACAACAATATAATCGGGAAAAGCTACTAGAGGCTAGGATATACGCGACGTTAGCGCCTATAAGACTAAAGCCCGAACGGGAGCCTCAGCGGCACGTAAGAGAGGACTGCAGGTGCAGGCCAGAGCCCCTAGGGAGTAGAAGGGAGTTGAAGGGGAGCGTAAAAGAGAGGAAGGGAGCAGAAGAGAGCGGACGAGGGAGCGAATCGACTAAATAGTCGTTAGCGGGAGAGTAAAGCGGCGAGGGATAAGTCAGCGAAAAGATCGTGGACGTCGACTATTCGGGGATTATATATATATAGAGGCGTACACTATTACTATTGATCGCACTAAGTTAAATAATAAGGAGCTACTACTTAACAGTCAATTTTTTTTAGCTTCTAAGTGATTGACCTTTATTGATACCTAGGCTTCTAGGCGATCAGTCTCTCTCGATACTTAAAGATTATCCCTTATTTAAGGAGACTAAGTAAACACTAATAAGCGCTTTAGGCGTCAATTGTATAACTTTGGAAACTCCGGGCGACGTCGTTAAAGGTAACCGATAAGAAATCTTGATATCTTTTTATAACATTATCATTCGATTTAGCGCGGTCAATAGTAATAGTGCACGCCTCCGTATAAAATGCCGAACCGTCGTCTCCCACGATTCTTTCGCTGACCAATCCTACGCCGCTTTGCTCTCCCGCTTACGACTATTTAGCCGCCTTGTTCCCTCATCCACTCCCTTCTCCTCCTTTCCTCTCTTTTACGCTCCCCTTCTGCTCCCTGCTGCTCCCTCGTGGCTCTGGCACGCTCCTACCAAACTCCCTCGCGTCTCTCCCTGCTCACTCCTACTCCTCTACATGCCGGTGAGGCTCCTATATTGGCTCCAGCCTTACATACGCCTGCGTCGCGTATACTCGGCCTCGTAGTACCTTTACCCGATAGTATTAATAATAGCCTATTTCGGGCCCTTGATAAAAGGTAAGATCTCTAAGAGGATATATCAGGATTAGTTCCGTAGGCCTCTAGCTCTCGCTGCCGAGACAAGTGTCCTCGGACGGTGGATGTCTGAGGACAGACGTCCCGGCAGAAATAAAAATCACAGGACGAAATTGGGCTGAAGATTCTTGTACCTATCCGATAAGGAGCTCTAAGAGGGATCGCCTGGTATACAAAACAGCCTAAGACAGGCATCCCCGCCCCAGAAGTCCGCTGGAAGTTTGAACACTGGTTTCTGAACTTCAATGACCTTGAGATCCTAAGACGTAGCACTTAAAATATTAGATCGGTGTAACCTAACATTGCTCGTGCAGAAGACGGCATACCAGCAGGAGGTACAGTCTGAGGTGTCAGTCCCTTAGCAGTCGGTGTACTGAATACCACACTCAGCTGAACCCAGCACAAAAGCTTGCGGTATGCGACCTCGAGTGACAGGTCTACAACCCGGGATCATCCCGCCTACTGTGGCAATGGACTATCATCATCATGCTGGGCATACTTCTGGTGTTACTGCTCATAGCCATTACGCAGTACATCGCCCATCATGTGTCGCCAGCGGAGTCGCTGACATCTACTGGTATACTGGTGGCTGCCAACTTATCTTAGCAACTCGACATTTCTAACCATGATTATCAGCCCGGGCGTAAGGATGGCGTGGACAAAGGACTGTTTTGGTGTAGAAATATGGGTGGAGGTCGAGTCACGAGCAGTGACAAGCCCGTGACTTGGTATAGGAGTTGCTAGATAGACGTACTAGTGGAAGGAGGTTCGAATTAGAAGATACGATTGGTAACGTAGTATTCTTGGTAGATCATAGGTACTCAGTATGGAGCTAGACTCGGCAGTTCAGAAAATTTGGAAGTCTTGCAGGGGCAAATGCGGCATGTCGGATCTTTCAATCTGATCCTTCAGTGAGACCAGCGCCAGTGCAGCCAATGCTTCTCCGTGCATAATTTCATGAACATAGGCAGCACCCACAAAATGGTAGCCACCGTCAGAGTCACGCTTTCGCAAGCAGACTGGAAATTTGGAACCGAGCAAGATGCAGATAAGATCGCCCATCTGCATGTCTGCTGGACCGGAGCCAAGATATCCTTGCGATGTAATGAAAAAACGCCGGCGGTATCCGTGAAGAAATGCTGCTCTGTAATAGAGCATTGCGGGGCCCGTTGGTACGATACGTTGGGGATGGGGAGGTCCTCGACAGGAAGCTCCGTATGTACCAGTTGTACCATCTTAGTGACCAGATTAGTTACATCACTTCCGACCTTTCTGGAAGGCAGGAGGAAGTGCCTCGAGGTAGTAAGGGTTGAGAACAGGTCACCAAAGATGTCTGGGGCCGGATACCGCCCGGATGCGTCGGAGTTCCAGATCAAAGTACGCCAGAAGGCCTCGTCTCGCTCATGCTGCTCCACGCGGTCCCGACAATATTTCCCATCGAATTCAGCCAGCCTGCGCTGATATCGCCGGACTGTGTGGAAGAACATCGATTGCTGCTCCTCCGGTTCCCCGGACCATTCCACGTCGATCACGAGAGGAGTATCGAATGTGAATCCTGTCAGGCTCAGTTTCCCAGCTGTATCTTTGGGGTCGAGGGCGCATCCTCTTATGTTCGCCCACTGATTACCGTCTGCCCCGAAGAAGCCTGTGGGATGTGATGCGTTATAAGTCTCTTGACTCACTGAACCAGAAGACGAAGACCACTGGCTTCGCGAAAAGTCAGGGACCCACGTTGGGAGATCAAGGCTCTTGGGAAATCGATTGAGGAGGAGCATGCCAAGTATCCTGGAGGATCCAATCACCGTCCTAGTCACCTCCTCGTATACCTCTTCTGCCTTTCTAGTATAGTCCGGGAGCAGACCTATGGAAGGCACAAAGCCTAAAAGAGCGAAGATCTTGTCCCTGGGGTCGCTTGCGAGATGGTCACGTGTTTGGGTCAAGAGGTAAATGAACCCAGTGATGTCGTCTAAGTTCCTATGAGCCCGAGAACGTAGATCCGTAAGGCATTCTATCCTGAAAAGGGCCATGTCAAGGTGTCCAAGTTGTTGGAAGTAACTAGGGCAAGACAGGTACTCACGTATGAGCTTCGCTGCCCGCTCAAACATCCACCAAGGCAGCCAGATTGTCCCACAACCAACCCAAATAGTGCCAGATTCTCTCCTGGCGGCCGCGATTTCTTGAACGATCCATACTCGGCGCCACCACGGACGCTTCATGAGCTTCTGGAATGCTATCCACTCATTCGGTTTGTGTGGGTATATCTGCTCGCCCTCGGTGGAGTCGTGGAGCTTTAGAAGCGAGCTGAAGGGGTTGATGCATCTCTCCACTCCGAAGAGGATCCCAGGCGGAGTGATCGTAGAGCCTGGCTTTGTTCCTGAGTCCAAGACACTAACTAATATCATGGCAAGGTCGCTCTCATCACAGGCATCACCGAGCCACACCAAAACCCTCGATGCTCGGGCATATATCGACCACATCATTGCGACCTGAATATTCCGCTCAGGAATATTCTCCTGGTCGATGCAAAGGGCATCGATCCAGAGCCGCCGATGAGATTGGGATGATCCTTTGTTGGTGCACACCTTCCTCCGTCTCAACCACTCTAATGCAATGCTCACATTGCCAGGAACCAGGCATTCCTTGCCATTGACAACGATCTTAGCCACCCTGGCGGTAGAGCCCCACGCGTAAGAAAGTGCCTCATATGAAGGTGCCTCGTCAAGTGAGACTGAGAAGATTGCGCATCTGATGATGCTCTTCGTGCCATCCTCCTGGTCGTCCGAGGCATGGCAGAGATCCAACAATCGAATTTCGCGTCGAGAAACATCTAAGGGATCATAATGATACTCATCCATTCCTCGCGCGTTCTGGCGAACCCCGAAGAGTCAGGTTTGTGCGGTATGTTGGGTTTTAGTAGCCTCGTCTCGATCGTCTGACTCTTATCCGGAGTTCGCGTCAGTTGCAGCTGGAACATAGAACACCGAGCGAGAAGTTACAAAGTAGTTGTCGGCCAGGATTTTCTTCAGATTTGCCGGAACGACCCTTTCTGTTCTATAAGCAGAGGCCCGCAGAAAGACGGTGTAGTCAGCCATGGCTGCAGAGAACTATTAGATAGCTCAAAGAGGAAAAGGCTGTCATCTAAAGTGCCTGAGCGGATGCGATTCGCAGGCGCAAAGAGACCCGCATCTGATCGGTTGTCCATTCTCAACATATTCCATTGACACGTCTACTCTGGGCGCAGAAAATCGTTTTCATAATGCTTGTCAAGGTGCCATATGTCTCACTGTCATAGGCTTGTCCGGGCGGGCCTTAGCAGTGGCAATGCGGCCAAGGGTGGTTCCCCTTTCCATCCTCTAATCTGTAAGTGTCAAACCGACGCCCAGGTGCGCACCTCCGTACAATTCGACCACACGCCCTGGCGCACCGCCAGGCCCAAGGTTACAGGGGAATTTAGGCAGCAGTGTAAGGGCACGGAATCTACCAGGTTCCCTGACGCGCATCTGAAACAGATGCCTAGCCGACAGGTAAGTTATAGCCGAGGCCCAAACGGGACCCTTGAGCCCGAACTGGCTTCTGCGAATGGGCGTCAGGCAGCGCTCCCTGTGGCTCGCGCAGTGCTCGGGCGCACTCCCCAATACTCTGGCCTGGGCCCCACGACGCTCTCACGTACTCGGCCAGGCCTTCTCGATGCTCCGTCGCGCCCCCGATTAAAGCGGCCTCGGTCCCTTTCCTGAACGAAGATGGTAGTGGATAAAGTATAGTTCGGGGTATATATAATATATATATATATATATTTTTTGGCGAGGCGAGATTATGCGGCCTCATGGTCGCAGTTGGCTAGCAGTTGCCTGAACATACTGTGCGCTTGTAATTGGCGGAGTAAGCTTACCTAATCTCCATGGATAACCGAGATTCTGCCGGGCTATGACATGGTGCGGATTGCTGCTGCTGCTGTGCGGAGCAAAATAACCATCACATAAACTTGATTGTATCTTGCAATGTGAATGAAAACTGTTGTAAATCGCCTGGTGATATGGTCTCCATCCTCCGCTCTCAACAGCCCTTGAAGGCAGCTTCACGGACCTTGACCTCACACAGCCGGCCGATATGCCGGAGCTGTTCTCGGAGGTCAACACCCATTGACCAGCGCCGGACAATCAGCAGCTATGGCTACGAGCAAGCCAAAGCTCTCGTCTACTCAAAGTATGGAGAGCCCCAAGATGTCCTGTCACTGCACGGCCACTCAATATCTCCTGCCGCCGGAACGAACGTAGTTCTGCGCATGCTCGTCGCTCCGATCAATCCCGCAGACGTCAACCAGATCCAGGGTGTCTACCCGTCGAAGCCGGAGATGAACACAGCTCTCGGCACCTCAGAACCCGCTGCAGTTGCGGGCAACGAAGGAGTCGCAGAAGTCATCAGCACTGGTTCTGGGGTCAAAACTTTGAGCAAAGGCGATTGGGTGATTATGAAGAGCACGGGTATGGGAACATGGCGAACACACATGGCTATTGACGAGAGCAAGCTACTGAAGATTGACGATAAAGAAGGCTTGACTCCATTGCAAGTCGGGACAGTGTCAGTCAACCCGTGCACTGCATACCGCATGCTGCTGGACTCTGCCAAGTGGGGGTTCCGAGGAGACGAATGGTTCATCCAGAATGGGGCCAACAGTGGTGTCGGGCGAGCTGCCATACAACTCGGCAAGGAGTGGGGCTTCAAGAGTATCAACGTGATCCGGGGTCGGGAGGACAAAGAGGAGGAGCAGAAACTGAAGCAGGATCTGTACGACATTGGTGCGACGAAAGTCATTACGGAAGAAGAGCTTATGAGCAGAGAAATCCGGGACCAGATCAAGGAATGGACCCACGGAGGCCGAGAACAGATCAAGGTCGGGCTGAACTGCGTGGGAGGAAAGCCAGCTACAGCACTAGCCAAGTTTTTGAGCCCGGAAGCAACGATGGTCACGTATGGTGCCATGAGCAAACAGCCTCTCATGCTACCCGCGTCGTTGTTGATTTTCAAGGAGATCAGTTTCACCGGTTTCTGGGTGAGTAAATGGAGCGACAGACATCCCGACCAGAAGAAGCAGACTGTCGATGATGTGCTTCGGCTCACGCGGGAGGGAAAATTTAAGGATATACCGGTTCAAGAGTGCAAATGGGGCTGGAAGACGGAGCTTGACACGCTCAGGTCGGCTGTGCAGGGGACATTAGGCGGCTTCAGGCCTGGGAAGGGAGTCTTTGTGTTCGAAAAGACATAGGATGACCATCCTTGAAAAGCGCCAAGGCGAACCTCAGGGTCATAGCGAACTTCGCCGACGAATATGTAAAGCCAGAATAATGACTCGAATTGTCTTGCTTGCCCAATGTGGTGGAAATGGCACAAATTAACCAGACCTCATCTCCAGTTGCGCTTCCGGTGTGCACAAACGACGAGCAGTTCTAGCGGCCGGAATTTGTTATCTACACACCACAAACAAGTAAATGGCAGTTCCCTGAGATATGGTCTCTCTGAACTCGTATTCACGAGGCTGCATCGACTCTGGCCAATCACAACAGGGTGTCTCCCTCGCGCGCACTGTTTCCGCCGCGGAATGAATTCTCATATCATATCCCATCCAAGCCCAATCTGACACTGCAATTTGTTCTGGAAGGGCGTGCAACGAATTGTCATCACTTCGGGGCGGTATTCTGTTGTTTTCTAGATCCATCTTTAGACAAAAAGGGAAGGGGTTGATGGTGTTGTGGTATTTATGCTCCAACTTCAACCGAGCTTTAGTACGCGTAGTACCTTCATTTATCCCGGCGTTGGCTTCATCCAGGTCCTTCCATCGATCCAGGAGTCTAGATATGAACGCAGACGAGTTCAGGAAGGCGGCTCACGCTGCTATAGAAGAGAGTATGGCACCGCTCATGAAATCCTGCGGAAAGCCCAGATACTGACCAGCCCGAAGTCATTGCATACAATCAAAATGTAGCTGATTACCCTGTCCTGCCGACCATCAAGCCTGGATTCCTGGCACCTCAATTACCCAAGTCAGCACCGGAAAAACCACAACCGTGGTCTGAGATCCAGCCTGACATCGCGTCCAAGATTGTGCCAGGCATCACGCACTGGCAGTCGCCCAACTTCATGGCTTTCTTCCCGGCCGGAGTGACCTACCCATCCATGCTGGGCGAGATGTACTCGGCGGCATTCACGGCTCCGGCGTTCAACTGGCTGTGCAGCCCGGCCTGCACGGAACTTGAGACCGTGGTGATGGACTGGCTTGCGCAGGCGTTTGACCTGCCCAAAGAGTTTCTCAGCACGTCTCCCAGTGGCGGCGGAGGGACGATCCAGGGTTCGGCATCCGAGGCCGTGGTGACGTGCATGGTCGCTGCGAGAGAGCGCTATCTCCATGGCAAATGTGATGCCGAGGGTCTTCCGCCGGACTCGAGAGAGCGAGAGGATCGAATTGCGTACTTGCGCGGACGACTGATCGCGCTGTCGTCCGACCAGACGCACTCGTCCACGCAGAAAGGCGCGTTGATCGCGGGTACGAGGTACCGTGCTATCCCGACGAAGCTCGAGAACGGGCTCTCGCTGAAGGGACAAGATCTCGAGGCAGCTCTGGCACAGTGTAACGAAGAAGGCCTCGAACCATATTACATCACACTTACGATGGGCACGACTTCGACTTGCACGACGGACGACTTTGAGAGCCTGGCTCCCGTGCTCAAGGCCCATCCAAACCTGTGGGTGCATGTCGATGCAGCATATGCCGGCGCCGCTCTGGTCTGTCCGGAGTACTCTTCGAAGTATTCACCCTGGATGAAAGTCGCAGACTCCTTCAACATGAACATGCACAAGTGGTTGCTCGTCAACTTTGATGCGTCGTGTCTGTTCGTGCAGGACCGGAACCATCTCACGCGTGCATTGTCGATTTCCGCCGCATACTACGTCAACAAGCATACGGACAGTGGTCTCGTCACGGATTACAGGGACTGGCAGATTCCGTTGGGCAGACGGTTTCGTGCACTGAAGATATGGTTCGTCATGCGCAGCTACGGTCTGGAAGGCATGAGGGAGCACATCAGGAAGACTATCAAGATTGGCGAGGTGTTCGCTGATCTTGTCCGAGGCCGCTCCGATCTTTTCGAGATCATCACCACGCCTGCCTTTGGTCTAACTTGTTTCAGAGTCAAACCCTCTCTGGTCTCGTCGGGAGGGACGGCTGAGACAGACGCAGATTTTGTCCCGCAGGTATCGGCCGCGCAACAGAGAGAGCAGGATGCCAATGCGGTGACGAAGCAGATTGGAGACTTGATCAATGAGCGTGGCGAAATCTTTATTACCTGCAGCAGTACGGCAGGGAAGGCTTTCATGCGGGTAGTCAGCGGCAATCCGAATGCGGAGGAGAAGTATGTGAGGGCGGCGTTTGACATCATTGTCAAGACCACGGAGGAAGTGCTGGCGGCTGGCTCTGACAAGGGGGGAGGCAAACATGCAGCGAACGGGCATGCGGTATAAATATAGATGTCGAGGCATACATATCGGGGAAAAGGCGGTGTTGTACATATGTTTAGGAGCGGATCGAATTGCAACCCAAAATGAGGGTTCTTGAGCAATATAGACAATCACGAGATTTTCAGGTAGATTCGAAAGGAATGTCTGCTTGGCACCAATATGCATGGGACTTGCGAAGAAGCATGGACTGTGTAAGGTATTGGATATCTATCTATTGGTATGTCTTTGGCTTCGCTGTGTAGGTATCGAATCGTCGGCAAAAACGCGTCTTTCGGCCGACGCGTAAAGTGCTTTCTACAACGCGCAATACTGTACAACAAACCACCACACTCACATTTCTTACCACCAACACTGCCGCAAGTATGCCAGACTTTGGCCATACAGATGGCTACGACGACTCGAACCGGGCTTTTCTTCAAGCCTTTCTTGCTCGCAGCGTATTGACTCTCGAAACCGCCAAACCCATCCTTGCTGCACTCTTAACCTACCGAGACGGCCGCGAGGTCCAGCCTCAAGATGCCACCATCGAAGACCTAAATATGTACATTGCAGAAGCGAACCGCAGACTATCCCCTCTCGACCTCGAAATCAGAAGCACATTTCACCAACAAACCCGAGAACGAGTCTATGCGTTGGTCAATACGACGAGTGATCCTCTCACACAGCTGGCCACCACATACACACCCGACGAGATTGTCTACCTCAAGAAGCTCCTTGACGCGATGTTTGATGGCCAAAACAACAAGGGAAAGAGGGAGGCTATGTGTCTGAGCGGTATCGACGCTATACATGTTGGGCGAGCGCAGGGCAGTAGGCGGGACACGGAGAATGGGAGTGCGACGCAGTCCAATGCTGGCATGCTGGGCGCTAGAGACGCCGAGGCAATGCTGAACAAGTTGCTTGAAGAGGGCTGGCTCGAGAAGAGTAGACACGGCTTTTACAGTCTGAGTGCCCGGGCGTTGATGGAGTTGAAAGGCTGGCTCGTCGACACGTACAATGATGAAGACGACGATGGGGCAAGAAGGGAGAAGATCAAGTTCTGTCATGCTTGCAAGGAGATCATAACTGTGGTAAGTGTCGGTTTCTCGATGCGGGTGAATGGTGAGGGCTGATATTGGACTTGTGCAGGGTCAACGATGTGCGCGACGGGAATGTCCTTGTCGGTTGCATGATATTTGTACGCAGAATTTCTTCCGGATGCAGAGATCGCAGACGTGTCCTATCTGCAAGACAGAGTGGGACGGACAGCATTATGTCGGGGAAAAAGCAATAACGACATCCGAGAGTTATCAGATGAGTCGAAGAAAGAGTGGTCATAGAAGGCAGACGGAGACCCCAAGACAGAGGGAAGCCGTTGTTGACGAGGACGAGGGAAGTACTTGAAGATCACTTCGAAAGTTTGTGCTCTGGACCAACAAGGCGCATCTCATCGCCATCGTCGAAGTTCTCGTCGCCTGTATGATCCTGAGTATGAGGGATTTCATCGGTGGCGCCAGCTGCAACGACCGTTTTGATCTTGCGCCAGTGCTGGACTCTATTCGATTGTTCTACTCAATGGCCGACTCTGGAAAGCTTGACTTTACTTCTATGTGATCCATGGTAAGTTTGGACTCTCATCCAAGTCTAGGGCTTGTGCTAACGTATGGGAGTACCTGAGCAAATTCTGTGGTGTTGCAATGGATGGTACCATTTCCATGCATGCCATTGGTGCTGTCAAAAAATGGGTCGGGGATTTTGGCCTCGAGCCAGATTTTGACGGCAAATCTTGAGCATGGACCACCTGCGACTCCTACCCAAGGTCGATTTGAAGGCTACCACCTTCCCCGTGCTTTCGATGGAAACGACCGTGCGTCCAGCTCTCGAAATAGCAAATCACCATCTCGTGACCGTCCCAGACTGTTGCAAAATGGACGCAATAGGACCGTACCCCACAGGGAGTTGAGTTCAGCGAGAATTGGTGCAGTTAAGCTCTCATTCTTATGAGCTAGATACTATTTCGGGCATGCGGCTTTTGTATCATGGACTGGACCCCTAGGTCTACACCAGATTGTGACTTTCCCCTATCCGCGAAAAGATCTATCCTTCGGGGAAGACTTTGCGTTGGCAAACAAGGTATATAGGAGTGCTGTTGATCAACGGTTCAGGTATCATCTTCAGCATCAACAACAACAATAGCAACCACAAGCACACATCCACCGAAAAGCAAACAATCGCTAAAAGCATTCACTAGCATCAATTCGCTACACTCAAACCAGCCTCGTCAGACTATTCACAGCTCTTCTCGCTTCCCACTCGATTTCTTACCTTCATAAACTCCCAAGATGCAATTCAAGAACGCTGTCCTCGCCTCTCTCCCAGCCCTGGCTCTAGCTGCACCCACCGGCTCTTCAGGCCAGAACCCAGATGCCCCCGCCACCTTCCCGGCACCAGCCTATGGCTTGATCGTTGGTACTGACGTCCAACCATTCCACTTCGAGTCCTTCAACGCCAACAGCGGCAAATTCTGGCTCAACTTGCCACAAACTGCCTCTTCTTGCCCCTTCACTGGCACTGCTCAAGCAAGCAACTGCCCGCCGGGCAATGACACCGCCTTCGTCGGCAATGGTGCTCTGGCCGTTGCAGTTCCCGGAGGCCAACAAGTCTACGTAGCCGAGAGTGGCGCGCTCATGTTCACTCAAGCTCACTCCGCTGTCATTCCCAACGGCGCAGTCACCGATCCTTTCATCTACTCCCTGGAGCAGGGAGCCCAATACGGATCGGTCAGCACCAACGCTTTCGGCGCGGACGGTTTCATGGCCTGCCCTACCGCCGGCAGCATTGCTTACCAGGTCTTCGCCAACATCGACTGTGCGGAAGTTCCATTGGGCAATGTTGACGACTGTGTCCCAGTGGTGCCGCTTGCTGTTCCCTACACTCAGGGCCAAGCTGCTGCCTGGCAGTACAACTAAATTATCACCCAGAAAGACGGAGGAGAGGAGGTATTTGACTTGCAGTGGGGATGGTATCACTGGCAGTTTTGTTATACTTGCATAGCCTGGTTGAATTATCGGGTTCATTGTTATTACAGCATAGCGAAGCGGAGCATGGAAGAACATGGGGCAAAGAGCATAGCATGGCATACCAAAGGATCATAGTATGAATTCACCTTTGACACAATATTTCTTGTGATCTTCTCTCCGCTGCAACTGGCATTCCGGGTAAGCCGAACCTTTCTGGAGAAGATTGTCAGGGCCAACAAGGATCCCTGTGTAGTTAGCACAGTACGAGTACGAGCATGCATCAGCCCGAGATCTGGCACGTTGCAACCATGAAAATCCCTTTCAACCACCACTCACCACCACTCACACTCGACTGATGGGATTAGTCCGACTCTCCCTTGCATGGGCCAAGTGTCCGGGGTGTCTGTATGACATTGTGGCGTCTGCGCCTTGCGCCTCCACCAACTCGATTCAGCTAAAGCTACCACCACCATCTGCACCCACAGTCACTTTTCCACCTTTCTCCGCACCCTTCACCCAATGACGGAGAGCTGGACACGAACAATCACTTCCTCTGAGTGGTGGAAGAGCTGGTAAACACGAGGGATGCATCCATTCAATGATGCTACAAGCAGCCAAGTACTCGATGTAACTCCTTCTTTTCCACCGAGCCACCCAAGATCTAGCGGGGTGCTATTAGTACTTGCTTCTATCGACCGGCACTGTACATAGCTCTACCGAGGTGTCCGCCTTCCATCGAACTCGCTTTCCCATTCCCAACCCTGTAAATCACCTCAAGAGAGCTCTACCATCCAGTATACCTCTCTTGCGGTGGAACTCGAGCCTCCGAAAGAACGAAGGTCCTGGGTTTGTGGTCTAAAGCATTATTTCGTCTATGACGAGGGAAGGGTCACTCCCAGTATTTCAAGGTCAGTCTCTGCATCACAGATCCGATAGGAGAAATAGCTGAGACCATAACTACAGATGAAGAGGAAGACCGATACTTCGTTCATCGCTCTGCTCACTGCTGGACTGCTGTTCTCCGTAGCATCAGCTCAGTCAGGCAATGCCTCTACCAGCTACAAGACTCGCTTCCCAGGCGTTACCTGGGATGCTGCTAACTGGGTCCTCTCCACCACCAACCTCGACCCAGGACACTACCAGTCCCGGGCGACAGTCGCCAACGGCTATCACGGCATCAATGTAGCCGCTCTCGGTCCGTTCTTCGAAGTTGACACGTCAGTTGCCGGTGACGACATCAATGGCTGGCCTCTTTTCGGTCGACGGCAAACGTTCGCGACTGTCGGCGGCTTCTGGGACTCGCAACCAAAGCTCAATGGCACAAATTTCCCCTGGCTCAATCAGTATGGCTGGGATACTGCCATCAGTGGGATCCCCCATTGGGGAGGTCTAGTCGTGGACCTGGGTGGAAATAACTTCCTCGCTGCCTCGACGAACAAATCCACCATCAGCAACTTCAAGTCGAGTCTGGACATGAAGAATGGTCTCATGAACTGGGCGTTCACATGGAAGCCAAATGGCGATCATGGCTCATTCGACGTGTCGTACCAGATGTTTGCTCACCGACTCAATGTGAACCAAGGCTTCGTCACTATGAACATAACAGCCACGAAAGCCACCAATGTCAGCATTGCCAATGTTCTCAATGGAGACTGCGCGGTGCGGACCACAGTCGGTCAAAACGGCATGGACTCGGCAAACGCGAACCTCATATTCACCTCTGTTTCGCCGAATGGTGTCAGCAACGTGACCGCGTGGGTGTATGCCGCTGTCTCGCAAACTGGTGCAAATGTCAGCTCCGGCCAGTCAGGCTCTTTGGATCGACCGTACGTCGGCAACAACGCGTCGTCAATCGCTTCCATGTACGAGATGCACCTGCAGGCTGGCAAGATGGCGACAATCACAAAATTTGTGGGCATTGCATCATCTGATGGATATGTCCAGCCTCGTGCAGTCGCAAGAGATGCAGCACTCAAGGCAGCAGAAGCTGGGTACAGCGCATCGTTGCAAAGTCACATCGCCGAGTGGAATGCCAACTTCCCTACGACTTCGGTGGACGACTTTTCATATCCCCAGAATGGAAGTTTACCAGATGACCCATACATTATCGAGGCAGCTATTGCAGCAGTGGCCAATCCATACCATCTGCTGCAGAACACGATATCTGAAAACGCATTTATCGCGTCCAACAACGCCTCAATCAACAGCCACAGCATCGCGGTTGGCGGGCTGGGATCAGACTCGTACGCCGGCCAGATCTTCTGGGACGCCGAGATCTGGATGCAGCCGGGCCTTGTCGCAGCATTCCCAGCATCGGGTCAAGGTATCGCCAAATATCGCACGGAACGGTACCAACAAGCACTCGCGAATGTCAAGACCGCCTACCAGTCTTCGAAGAACAAAACGCACTTCTCGTCGAATGCCGCCATCTTCCCATGGACAAGCGGCCGTTTCGGCAACTGCACGGCCACCGGCCCCTGCTGGGATTACGAGTATCACATCAACGGCGACATTGGCTTGGAATTCACAAATTACTGGGTGGCCTCCGGAGACACGTCGTTCTTCCGGGATTCACTGTATCCAATCTACGACTCGGTGGCGACGCTGTATTCCGAACTCCTGGTCAAGAACGGCTCGAACTGGGCACTGCGCAACATGACCGACCCCGACGAATACGCCAACCACGTGGACAACGGCGCCTTCACGAACGCCCTGATCAGCCAACATCTCACCCAGGCCAACGCCTTCCGCACCATGTTCAACGGCACGCCCAACGCGACATGGGACGTACAAGCGGACAACGTGCTGATCGCCAAGGATGCCGAAGCCGACATCACGCTCGAGTACGTGGGGATGAACGGCAGCGTCGCCGTCAAGCAAGCCGACGTCATCCTCAACACGTTCCCCCTCGGCTTCACCGGCCAGAACTACACCTCCGAAGACAGCCTCACCGACCTGGACTACTACGCGGCCAAGACGGCGACCAACGGACCCGCCATGACATACGCCATGTTCAGCATCATCGCGAACTCGGTGTCTCCATCCGGCTGCTCGTCGTACACCTACCAGCAGGCCTCGACGTACCCGTACCTCCGGGGTCCGTGGTTCCAGTTCTCCGAGCAACTGGTCGACAATTACCAAGCCAACGGCGGCACGCACCCGGCGTACCCTTTCCTCACAGGCCACGGCGGAAGCAACCAAGTCGTGCTGTTCGGCTACCTGGGCCTTCGTTTCGTCCCGGACTTCAATCTGCACGTCGACCCGAGCCTGCCGCCGCAGATCCCGCAGATCAAGTACCGCACATTCCACTGGTACGGCTGGCCGATCAGCGCGTACTCCAACCAGACGCACACGGTCCTCAGCCGGGACGGCAGCCTGTCGCCCGCCGAGGGCGCCGTGCCCAACGCCACGTACGCGAACACGCCGATCCCCGTGCTCGTGGGACCGATCGGGAGCCCGCCACGCCAGAAGCTCAGCCTCGCCGCCAATTCGAGCATCACGATCGAAAACAGGCAGATCGGGCAGCTCAAGACCACGCCAAACAACCTCGCGCAGTGTCTGCCCGTCAGTTCGCCGGACGAGTTCCTGCCGGGCCAATTCCCGATCGCGGCCGTCGACGGCGCCGCCAGTACAAAGTGGCAGCCCGCCCTGGCGAACCGCACCGCGAGCATCACGGTGAGTCTGCCGCAGGGATACCGCGTGACTGGGATGCAGTTCGACTGGGCGCAGGCGCCGCCGTGGAATTACTCGGTCCTGTTCCACAACGGCACGCTGAAGAATCCGAGCGCCGCGAGTGCCGGCTCGAGTGGGCAGCCCGGCGTGCTGGAAGTCGCGAGCAATGACCGGCTGAAAATCACCAATGCGTACAACGCGACGGAGATTCTGAACATCGGGCCCTTGGAGAGCAATATCACCATGTTCAACGTGCCGGCCGCACGAAAGGTGTACACGGCGAAGTATGCGACGCTGCAGATCTGGGGCAGTCTGGCCAATGGGACGGCGACGGCGAAGAACATGGCTGGCGCAGGCGCGACAGTGGCGGAGTGGAGCATCATTGTCGAAGGGCTGGAGGACGGTAGTACCAGTGCCGGTAGTTACAAGAGGGAGTTGGGCGGGAACCTGAGGCCGAGAGAAGCCAATGTCGATGTCTTGATGAAATTGGGTCGTGTGGCGAGGTATATGGAGGTCCGGAGGGGGATGGAGATGGGAATGTCAATGTGAGTTTGCCGTGCTTACATCTTGTGTGGAAGGATAGAATCCATGAGAGGGAAGCAATGAGCAACGAGCAAAGGCTCAACATACGACCAGCATAGGTTAATAAAATGAAACGAACATTATGTATGCGTTGGGTGTAATGGAAGTGCTAGTAGCAGACAGACGAGGCCTTGATCTGGAGGAGCATTCTAATTCCGATGAGCTCAACAGCACTTTGCAGACTCGCCTCGCTGGATGCGACAGCCTTGCCAGATGCACAATTGACATGTGCAAAGGTGTTTGGTTCGATTCCGAGATCGAATCAAAGATAGCGGCAGCTACATGCATAGAAATAGTCGGTCTTGAATGTATGAAATTGATGACCTATCTCGATTTTGATTGCATCAAAATGCGCCGCCCGTAGCGATCGACGCTCACAGGCGCCGGTTGCTGGACCATGGCGATCGTCATCACGGTGCCGCAGACTGTGGCATTGCGCCGTCAATGTCGAGACCCATGACTGTATCTGATAATATGTGACGGATCTCTGCAGTATTTGCTTGGTCGATATCTGCCGAAGCTGAAGCGGGACGTAGCGTGCCAAATGAGGCTTCTTTCCCCTCATCAAGAGGCCTCAGACTGACAAGTTGACTTTATCGGACGGGACGACGTGATCGGGCAAGTAATCTGTGTTTGGAAACCCCTGGATGTTCACATGGCCGGCGAACTCGATCGTCGTGGCGCGGGGAATGTCTGTGTCCCCAGTAGCTCCAACGACGGCGCCGCGTGTATGACAGCAAGCGAATAGGTCTTCCTCTGTGTTGTTTAGTCGGTTAAACCACCTCGACAGTTTGGTTCCTGAACGAACAAGGACGCGGTCGTCATGACTCCCCTTGCGGATCACTGTGACCTTCCATTCTGCCTCGGGCTTCACCGAGCAGAGCTTCTTGCATCTTGCGCAATTCTTCCTCGCCCATCTTATCGAAGCCACCAAAATTTCTCATCTTCTCACCACGGCCGACTCTCTTCTTCTGTACTTCCTGCCATTCGCCCACGACCCCGCGACAGCCTTCAATGTAGCTTCCGAAGCCGAGATCGGTCAAGGCTTGTTCGACATGTTCGACACTAATGGTCTTTTTGGATTCACGTTCGGATATTTCGTTGGACTCGGAGGACAACATGCGCAGAAACTCGAGCGAGCAGGAGATCAACAAGTCGCGAGCAGGTCTGGTAAACGTCATCTCGCCTTCTTTACCTCCGCCGGTGGTGTCATGAGGAAGTTGTGGGAGGATTTCGGCGATGATCTTTTGGACTGTAGCCTTGGGAAGCGACAAGTCGTCGTTACCTGGAGTACTTTGTTAATTCTTGGGCTAGTAGGTGACGCGATGATTGTGGTACTAGAGGGAGGGGCAGACGTACTACCAAATTCCTTGTCCGACATGTTGGAGGCTTCTTCGTGACTGACGCTAAATAGGTATTACTGAATCAAGCGTCGGGGGCGTATCGCCGTTGAAGATTCATGCTGCCTACGCGGCGCATGCGGGAGGAAGCAGGAGCAATAAATACCTTTAGCTGAACGTGCCTGAGTGAGGCAGTGAAGAACGGGATGTCAGTCTCAAAGAGGAATGGCGTGATAATGTCTTGGCACTATTTGCATGAAACGAAAGAAATCTCGAAATCTTCTCTGTTTTGTTTTCATTCTTCCATCGTCTTGTCATCTACCATCAACTGACTCTTGTTGTCTTGGAGAATGCACAGAGCTGCAGTAGAGGATGTCACTCATGCTCCTTCAGCTGTCAGCCTTGACTATGTGACAGGATAGTTGATGCCTGCAGTTTGTTCTTGAGCACATCTCAGCCGTGCATTTTCATCACCCAACAACGCCGAGACCAGGGAATTTCAACAAGTTCTAGGTGAGTTCCATCAACTCTTTCGTTGATCCCTTTTTCATGATGAACATTCGTGTCGCCCCTATCTTACGATCTCATGTCTTCGAGATCCGTGGTGATTACCTGTCCAAATACCAAACTCCGGACTTTCTGACCCTATCCGTCCATGTCAACATTGCATGATTCAGTACCCAACCCCGAATTTTGCTAATGGTTCGAAATAGGTTGTATCTATGTAGGTAAATCTCGCTCTGGTCGGAGCTCCCTCAACATGATGAACAAAACTCTATGTACTATCAAATTCGGAACTACAATGACGAATCAATTGGTTCGATTACCTGAACTCGACTTCAACTTTTTACTCTATGGTCTTCATAAGCAGAATCCTATTCTGACTCGTCTCTCTAATAGTTTGACGGCTTTGTGACACTCTTCTCTCTCATCTCGTAAGTCTAACTCGACTCTCCTTCTTTTCCTATGATGAACACATTCACTCTTCCATGCTAAACATGAAGATCCTATGGGTCTAATGCTTAAAGCTGTGTATTCATTTTTCATCTTTCGCCTGAGTTCTTGTCATATGATGTTGTGTTTTCCACCGATCTGGAAGCCTTGACTGACATTGTCATACCAGATCGTCCTATTCATTTTTTCTCTGCCTTGCTATTGAGATCGCATGCCAATGCGTTCCATCGTCTTAAATCCGCCCAGTGTCATAATGGCCTCAGTCTGTTCGGTAGGCCGCTAACTTGGGATCATCCCAGCTTGAAACGAATCAGCAATCGTCGTATCCATAAACTTCAGCTGGTCAGGTCTTTACCTCAGAAATTGGCCTGACAGAGCTTTCTCCGCTCTGATCGCCAATTCTGCAATGACCCGTCCCGGTTTTTCTGGCGGCAACAGAATACCATCGTCCTTGGCACTTCCGAATTTCTTCTGGTCTTTTTCGTCCAAATTCTGGAGGAACTTCTCCCTGATATCAACCTGCATTGCCGTGTCGACCACGCCAGGGCGGACAGACACTGTCGTTATTTCAGGTTCTTCACTCTTCAAAGTCATTGCAAGATGGTTGATGGCGGCTTTCGAAGCGCCGTATGCGCCCCATGAGGAGTAGGCGTTTGATGCGGCACCTGATGATGTGAAAACTATCCGGCCCTTCGATGGCCGCAGAAGAGGCACAGCTGCTTTGATCTAACAGCCGCCCCAAGACATGAGTTAGCTGGCACTTCTCTTCTTCATGGGCATGTTGGCACGTTCCCACACAACTGTAGGACAGGATTGCCAGGAATAGCCTAGGTAGTTTTCGAATGCAAACACTTACCAATGCCACACAACTTGAGACGTTGATTCTGAAGGTGCTTTCCCAGTCCTCGACCTCGATATCCTTGATCCGCAAGCATGACCCGAAGGTTCCATGGTTCAGAATGAGTCCGTCGAGCCGTCCGTCCAGATGTAACCCTTGTAGCACAAGCTTCACATAGTCCAAGTCGGACATGTCGCCCGCCCGAGAGATGACACGATCTGGATTCTTGGCCTCCAAGTCCTCGAGGACATCTATCTTGCGCCCCGTCAGGATGACGAGATGCTGCGAGCTCGAGGAGAGCAGGTGGTTCGTGATTGCGAGGCCGATCCCGGCGGTAGCTCCAGTGACTACAATCGTGCGGGACGAAGGATTTTGAGACTGCTCACAAAAGGTTCGACAATGTCAGACCCTGTATATTTCCTACCACTTGTCCGTCACACGGGATTGGGATTGCGATGAAGCTGTGCTAGAAACGTACCCGGTGCTTTGATATGTAATCCAGCGAAGAGCCAAAATGGGTCTTTGTTGGAGCCATCCTTCCGGGTGAGAAATCGTTGAGCTTTGGCACCTTGAATCGGTATTTCCCTGCAAGTCTAGCAGAGGTAGAAAATGATTGAGCAATCGCTGGTATTTGGGCTTGGTGGACCTTGTAAGGAAATGAAAGGCTGTTTGCTCTACAAAACATGAAAGTTATCGAACGATCTTTCACCATGTTTCGATCGTTTGGGGGATCGATGGATAAACTTCGGCATTGAGACACAACACACGGAGTGCTTGTCTCAAGAACTGATGTCAACGCACATCGCAGTCAAACGCCTGCATTTTGCTTTTGAGTCCCACTCGCTGCCAGTGTTCAACACGGAATGATATATTTCAAATTTACTCGTTCGTCATGAGGAGTGTTCGTAGCAGCCATGTCCTTTCCATCATCTAAGAACACGCATGCCAGCCACAGAGTCGCCCGCTCCAACATTCTCCCCCTGGTCAACATAGGTCACCATGACATCGGCAACATGTTTTGGCAGGGGATCAGCACCACTTGCATCTTCGTCGTCCTCGATCAGAGCGCTGAAGGCACTGTCTCTGGTCACGCGCAGGATCGTCGAGAAGTTGTTCGTATATGAGACCCGGTTGTCGAACATCGCCGCAAGGCCCAGCGCGAGGCACAAGGTCGCAAGCAACACCGCGATACCGTATGAAATGAACAGTGCACGAGGCGAGTATGTAAATGTGTCGAGGGCTTGTCTCAGCGTGGCCTGTGTAGTGACATGGGAGCTGTAATTTTGTTGTAAATATCCACTTTGAGTGAGCGGTCAGTAAATGCCCCGTTTGGCACTGTATAGGTTCAGAAGGGCTTACAATTCCATGTTGCCATATCGATAGCTTAGGGTAAAGTTCTGGAAGAGGCTCTCCAAGGCCGCTGTGAATTCATCCCATGTTATCGAGAATCCAGGGTCGGAATACATGGCGCCTGAAATTGCTGCGCCAAGGACCGGGTTGACTTGGACGGAGCTTCCGGGTGTGAAATTGTTGCCGTCGACCTCGATCGTTGTCGTTCCGCTTGCATAGTAACCGAACGCTTGCATGAAAGCCTGGGCGTTGAATCGTTCCGCGGCTTGGTCGATAGTGAAATTGGTAGGAAGATACTGCACGGCCTCAATTCCATTGAGCACTTGGCGCTTAGCTGTGATCGCCTGCTGCCCATTACTGTTGAACTCAAAACGTGCGTCGTAGGATGCATTGTGCAGGGAGCACTCAGCCATGCGGTAAACCCAATCACCGGCCGGGATGGCAGTCATGTTGTCTGAGAAGTACATCACGTGGTAGACTTTCGCTGGGCCATTGCTTGGTGCCTGTAAGCCTAGGTTGGGAGTTGAGAAATTATACTGTCCATCGCCGTCAATTAGAGCTTCAAAGAATGTGGCATTGACTGTGTCTGGCCCAAAGTCGCTCTGAGGGACGAAACCAGCCCAGTAAATCATGTTTCCAGTGTGATTCATGTAGTCGTAGAGTCCATTGCGGATGGTCATAGTGGTGGCGGTGTCGGGCTCGGTACAATGGAGAGCGGGGGCCTGGAAGCTCAAGCTGTAAGTGAGGTTCTGCGTGCTCAAGCCAGAAGAGACTGGCAGCACATTTCCCTGTTGGATGTTCAAATTTGCCACTTTGATGAAGGTTGTCGACATCCCGAAATATATCCAAGAAGAGCCATCGTCGGTTTTCAGCATCGTCAGCTGTGAATCGTTATTCTGACGTTGGGGCACCTGCAGTAGATCCGAAGACGAGTGCATCATCGACCGTACCGAAAGTGTCGATGGAGTGAAGATCGCAGACAATGGGATCAGCCTGTCACTCTCGTCAGGACCTTGGCCATCGAGCACAGTACTGACTATGGTGTAATACTTACCATGTGGTAGCGGCAGTCAGAGTTAAAACAGGATGTCGCAGCCAGAATTGCATGTAGAGGAATTGAAGTGGATTTGCAAGGACGTCAAACATCGAGTCGAGCGAACGGATCTTCATGGGCTCCGATCTCAGTGAGCGCCATGAACACTGTGTGAATGCTGTAGCAGAGGTGAGCACCAATGACACCTTAACCAGGAAGGCCAAAGCGAGCCCGGTTGTTGATATGATTTGTTGCTCGTGCTCGAAATCGATAGTGCGGTTGTTGAAGGTTGAGTAGAGAGCATGATGAGAGGCTGCACCCATAAGTCCCACAACGAAGGACGACACCATAGTCGCCGGTGCTCTCCAGTGTATACGGCGTCTTCTTTCACGCGGTATGAATCGTTCTTGCGAGTCCATGGTTGGCTTTGTCGTTGACAGATTGGTCCATGACCCGTCTTCGTGGCCCCGATGTTCAATATAGATATGAGAAGCCATTTCCCGTGTGATACCAGACTGTGCCAAAAGATGAGCGTAGCGAGAGGTCATGCCTCGATAATATGTGCCAGCGATCTTATTGAAAGAGCGACCCAGTGGATGGTCTGGCTATCTTCTTCCATGACTTGCCAAAAGCTTTGCATATGCTGCATGCTCGCATGGCCGCTGATAGCCTCTGTGCGAAGGTATGCGATGATTTTATCCCTGAAACACGTTGTGTTTCGAAGCGGGCTGCATATATGCGAAAATCAACCTATTCGAAGGGTCCGGCCTTACCAGCTCTTGCGGTATATCAGTGTAATTGGCCCAAGGTGGTCTGCCATGATAGGCAAGCACTATTGTCGAAGCGCTAAATAGAACCTGATAAACCTAGGATTGCGAATCATGCCCTTGGTATGTCACGTAGGTGCAACCCGGATGGGGGCTGGAAGTCAAGTTCGGCCCCCCGGCGGCAAACGTCATGAAACATCAAGTTTAAACCGAGTCTGACGAGCCTCAGCGAGACGTAGCCGCAGGGAAGTGCACAGGGTGTGCATTGCCGCCAGGAGGCCAGAGCCTCTTTCGTCGACGACCGTTACATGACTGTTATCCAAGGTTGCTGGGTCATGGCAACAATGGCTAGAGAACAGAATCCCTACCAAGATACGGAGAAGTGCACCAAATGTAGTTGCCGCGCTAAATTTTAGTGCGGGCGGGGAATGCGGCTTGGCAGCTCTCAGAGTTGCGGTGTAAGGATTGCCTACCAATTTGTATGGCACTTTTCAGCACTCGCCTCGAGATTTTTATACTTTGTATACAAAGCCTATAATAATCTTATCTCTAGTATTTGTAATTGGCTTTATTTTATATCTATTTTTCTTTAGAATAGCCCCTTATTTACTTAATTTTGTCGATCCTAGAGGGTACGCTAAGCGCGGAGACGATAGTAAGTAAGAGGTATATCAATGGATATTTGTTTTATCGACGATAATCTAGTAGATAGTTAGTTTTTACCCTTATACTTTCTTCTATCTCTTATCTTACGGTAGAAGTAGCTAAAATTAAAGAAACTAAGCGGCCGCGGCATAAGAATTCGCCTATCGTTAAACTTATAACTAAGTTAGCTTTGTAGAGAGATATTGGTACTAAGTATTCTATTATTTAACGGTCTTAGGCTTTTACTCTATATTTTATCGATTAAAAAACTACGTAAATTATAATCTATACTAAAATCTTTAAGTAATCTATTTAAGCGATTACGAAGAAGGTAAGAAAGAGAGAATTTACGCTATAAGAGAATCCTCGAGTCTTCGATTATTTTGTTAAAAATAGATATAAACTAGGGCGTCTAAGAGAAGTATTAGAAGTTAAGGAAGAGAAAGTTTTAAGTTTATTAAGAATAAATAAATTTATAAGAGAGAAATCCGTAGAAGTTTTAGTTTATAAGTATAGTATTAATATATTAATAGCCCTTTATATTTTTTATAAATATAGCCTAAATAGTATAAAATTAACGATAAAACTAGGCCTTAATTTAAAGTAATATACGATATAGTTTACATTTTATCTTATATATTAAAATTAGACTTTCGAGGATTAGAAGAAAGTAATTTAGAGCGATAAAACAAGTGTTATCCTAAGGTATCGATAAGATTCTATTTAGGTATAATAAATATCTAAAGAGCTATTTAAGAAGTCTATTATCCGTTATCGCTAAAAAGATTACTTAGAATTTATATTTTAGGGTTATTTTACTTACGATAAAATTAGTCTCTATTATATTTATTAAGTAAAGACTACTATAAAGAAAGAGATATCTTAGAAAGAGATTAATAAATTAAATAAGACTCTTAAATTAAAAAAATATAAGAAATAAAAATTATTAAATAGTGTAAGATAACTAGATTTTAGAAATCTTCTAAAATATAAGCTAAAATAGTACTTTACTAAAGAGATAAGTAAACTAATAAAATAAGGTAAAAAAAGAATTAACTAGTAGCGCTATTATAAAGTCTAAAATCTATTCTCTTAAGATCTCTTTATCTAATAGAAATTAAGAGATTATTCTTTTAAAGCTAATTTTATTTGCTTATAAGTATAGTTTCAATACTATTATCTAAGAGAATAATGTTTTACTATATATCTATTACTTTATTAGATAAATTTACTCTATATAAGGCCTTAATAGAATATTTTAATTAAGTAACTTCTTTAATCTCTTTATTATTAAAAAAGATTAGTTATAAATAAAAAGAGTTACTATCTTTAAGGGAGCTCTATAAATAAGAACTAACTTAGAAACCTTATAGATAAGTAAATAAGAAATAATTCTATAGGACTTAATTTAAGGCTAGATTAAGGGTATTATAGAGAATATTAAAAAGATTATTATATTAGAAAGTAATAATAAATATCTTAAGAGCTATAAGAGTAAGAGATTATATAAAGGGTATAAATATATTAAAGAGTTATTTAAATACTCTTAGATCTAAGATAATTAGAATAGCGACAGCGAGGATAGCGAGAACAGCGATAACTATAAAGATATAGAGATAAAAGAGAAGGACGAGTTTAATGCGGATACTACTAACTAATTAAACAGCCGACCTTACTTTCTATAGGAGTACTATAGTAAAAGAGGCGAAGGGTTTAAATACAAGGATAGGCATAGATAGATAGAAAAGGTATAGATAGACGGAATGCCTCCTAAATCAATAGGAATGCCTTAAAAATCAACACCATGGATCTCTATACTAATCCAGCCTTGCGCGTAAATAGCAAGGCTACGGCGGCGGTATATTACTACAATATAATGCCGTTGTGTTCATTCCATATCAACTGCTCACCTAATTTTGGTGAGGAGTCGATGACATCCGAATACCCTTGCAATGCCGAGAAGCTAAATTTTAGCGCGGCAACTACATTTGGTGCACGTCTCCGTAATAGATTGTGATTTCTTTCTCACGGGTCGGAAGTCACCGCACTATGCGGCGATGGGGGCGAGCGGGAGGTTGTGACTCCCCACAAATGTGGGTGACTGTGCTGCTGCCTCCGCTTGTGGCCACCCACATGCCACCGTTGCGGAAGATGATCCGTTGATGGAATGCTGCTCAAGCACCGAGAGCGATACCGCTGTTCAGTCAACGCAGACCCAAATGACCGTTTCTGGGAGTTAACGGTAGAGGCGAAGTCGACGCGTTAGACTTTCACGACCATGGATCTACCTTGAATGTGGGCATAACATTTTGAGAAAAGAACAATATAAATGGACTAAATCTCGGCTTCTTACTGCCTGCCTTCTTCACCCGTCATACCCAACTGGCCAATACCAAGTCAGCCCTGCCGGAAAAGGTATTTTCACGTTACTGCCCGTCAATATGTCGATCCAGACAAATCTCTTCATCAACAACGAGTATCTTCCATCGTCAACTGGTGAAACGCTCAGCATCTACAGTCCAAGTGACGACTCCTTAGTTTCGGACCAGATCCAAGTAGCTTCGGAAGCAGATGTTGACAAGGCAGTCGCTGCAGCAAAAGCTGCTTTCCACACTTGGTGGGCAACTCCAGGCCCAGAGAGAGGTCGAATTATGCTCAAGTTTGCGGACCTTCTTGAGCGAGATGCAAAAAAGCTGGCGAAGCTAGAATCGATGGCAATGGGACTACCAATTTCTGTTTCCACCCGTTTGGTCCATAGCCCTGCTGCCATCTGGCGCTATTATGCTGGGTTTTCAGATAAGCTCGCAGGCGAAAGCTATCCCCCAGATGGAGATGGCATGTACAAGATTGTAGCTTACGAGCCACTCGGTGTTTGCTCTGGGATTTGTGCATGGAACGTCACGCACATCCTGGCAGGTAGTTGTCCTCATTCATCAAATACTGCCACATACTGACCTGACCAGCTTGGAAAATGGCTCCGGCATTGGCTGCTGGCAATACCTTTGTCATCAAATCATCCGAGAAATCCCCATTAGCACTGGCCGCATACGGAGAGCTCGTCAAAGAGGCTGGCTTCCCTCCTGGTGTTATCAACATTCTGTCTGGAGCTGGAGCTGTTGGTGCCATGTTGGCATCGCACATGGATATTGCAAAGATTGCGTTTACCGGATCGGTGAGTTGTACCATAAGTGGAAAGACCTCAACACGACTGACTCCATCTCCAGGCTGGAACTGGTAGACTTGTGCAGATTGCCGCGGCCAAATCGAATATGAAACACGTCTCTCTTGAACTTGGTGGAAAGTCCGCAGCGCTTGTATTCGAAGATGCCGACATTGAAAATGCAGTGCTCCACAACTCAGACAATTTCCTGGCAAATTCGGGACAGGTTTGTGTGGCTGCATCTCGAGTTTTGGTTCACGAGAGTATTGCGTCAAAGTTCATCGAGGCTATGAAGGTTGCATTCGAAGCTGCAGAAAAGGGTATGGGCGATGCACTGCTCGAATCCACAGTGTTTGGGCCTCTTGCAGATAAGAAGCAGTTCGATAACGTCATGCGTTTTCTTGACGAGAGCAAGGCCGATGGTGTTCGAATATTGACTGGTGGTGAACGGAAAGGCGAGAAGGGCACTTTTGTCAAGCCCACTGTGTTGCTCACCCAAGATACCAATGCAAAGGTATACAAGGAGGAAATCTTCGGCCCTGTTATCACGGTGAGGACGTTCAAGAACGAAGAGGATGCTATTAAGCTTGCAAACGATACGACTTATGGTCTTGGTTGTGAGTTTGTTGTCATTTGAGTTGATTTCTGCTAAAACTTTTGTAGCCACCATCTTTACCGCCGACATTGCTCGCGCTCTGCGGGTAGCTAGCAAGCTTGAGGCTGGTACTGTTTCCATCAACAGTTCATATACGCCGAGCGTGCAAACACCCTTTGGGGGGTACAAACAAAGTGGTATTGGTCGCGAAGGTGGACTTGAGGGATTGAGGGAGTATCTACAGGCTAAAGCTATCCATATCAACATGGGAATTGGTAAATAAAGAGATGCCTAAAGTAATGTGCATACCACATACTGCTTGTTCGGGTGAGTGAATGAAGAAACCTCTAAATTCTGCAATCAGAAGGGTATGACAGGCCTTACACTATACGTAGTACTACGTATACCCTTTTACTAGCGTCTTGGAGTTGTTAGGATGTACCAGTATTACCACGCTACACCGCGGCACGCGTTGTCAGTGGCGTCGTCTTTATATGCCTTGGCGTCTGCAAAATCACAAATACAAGGAGTTAGATGGGAGTGGTCCCGGGTCCGATAGAGATGTCCACCCAACATCCACCCAACGTCCACCCAGACGTTCGCACGCCCTCGCAGTGGGCCATAGAATTGCGGCTTTTGGTTAAATCCGACTCAACTCGTCAGTTCTCCAATTCGGGGGTCTCACCCCTTGGGGACTCGGACTCACACCATCGCCACCCATCGACGGACATTAGCGAGCGATGCTCTCGGAAAAATCGCGAATGATTTCGGGGCGAAACGATGTAGACATTCCGCTGCTTTCTGACGGTCGGGTTACGGGAAGAAATGTTTCAAGCAAAATCACATCCTCCTTGAGTGCGATATGACCCCGTCACTGACCTATTACTACCTATATTCTTGATGTCTAGCCAAATCTAGGCCATAATATCACATCTTCCATACAACGATATATTTATTGCACCCAAGAATCTTTTATCGACAAATCTCTCCTACGTGAACACAGTTGTTTGGATTCAAAATGATCAGCCGGGAAAAGGACGACGTAGACTGGTCTCCGGATGAGCTGATGTCCTCAGCCCTGAAGGTCGTGAAGTTGTCCCTGGCCAACCGTCAGGGGATATCTGACCAACGGATTGTGAAAATCAGCCAACCGGACGTTGCGCAGAGATTCTCGAACCTTGCAAGACCACCGCGTCCACCTACTCCGATCGACATCGTTCTGGAGCATGCGCGAGACGTGTTTGACCACCGCATCCGCATGGATCATCCAAGGTTCTTTGGTTTCATCCCGTCTCCCGCATCCGATTGGTCTTGGCTAGGAGATATCCTTAATTCAGCATTCAACACGCATGCTGGCAGTTGGTTTCAAAGCTCCGGACCAAGCGCAATCGAGCAATCTCTGATATCATGGTTGGCTCAGGACTTGCTCGGGCTGCCACCAACTGCTGGAGGATGTTTCGTTTCTGGCGGATCAATGGCAAATCTATCGGCCCTCATGGTGGCGCGGGATCAAAACCTACATTTCGAAGAAAGGGCACGAGCGGTCATCTATACTTCCGACCAAACTCATTCTTCGATTGTGAAAGGGCTCCGGATTCTAGGCTTCCACGATAAGCAGGTCGCCCAAATTGAGTGCGACCAGCAGTACCGCTTCAACACCGCCACATTGCGACTTCGGATTGAGGAGGATCGTCGATCGGGGAAGAAACCATTCCTAGTCGTGGGAAGTTGCGGTACAACGAACACGGGTAGCGTTGACCCTTTAGAGGAGTTAGCCGCCATTGCGCGAAAAGAGGGTCTATGGTTTCATGTGGATGGAGCTTATGGCGCCTCGGCGGCACTGTCCAAGAGTCGAAAGGCTGTAATCAAAGGCGTAGAGCTCTGTGATAGCATCTCTTGGGACGCTCACAAATGGCTCTTCCAGACTTACGGCTGCGGAATGGTACTCGTGCGCGATCGCCAATTTTTAATGGCTTCGTTCCGGACTGGGGCTGAGTATACCCAAGACGCCCCAGATGGCCCTGAAGAATATCCAAACTTCTGGAATTATACCCCGGAATTGACACGTCCGGCAAGAGCTATGAAGATGTGGTTCTCATTTCAAATGCTGGGGATCGATGCGGTGGAAAGCGCTATCGAACATGCGTTCGAATTGGCGGAAACAGCGCAACTAACTTTGGAGAAGCTTGAGCACTGGCAAGTCGTATCCCCTGCACAGATGGGTATCATTTGTTTCCGCTACCAACCCCCTGGGCTCGATCAGGCAGCCCTGGAGAACCTCAACAAAGACATATCCAGGATCGCGATCGAGACCAATGTGGCTGCGGCATTGACGACGCGGTTGTCAGGAAACCTTGTGATAAGGATATGTAGCGTCCACCCGGAACTGAAGAAGCATGAGATGATGCAGGTCATCCTAGACTTGGATCAAATTGCACAAGCCCAGATGCATCACCAAAGGTAGAAACGTACTTCACATGCTGGGCGAGTCGGAACCCACGAGATCCCTCATGGCCATTAAGATGATCTAACCGACCGAAACTTCTCTGGCAGCGGTGACATTGGTAGTTTGCCTTGCTTTAGCGCCTCTGGGCTGCATCGCTGGGTTCGATTGACCCTTTTTGTTTCCGATATCATCAGATTCCCAATTCCGCGATATATCAGGAGAATGTCTTCCAATCAAACTAAAGCCTCTACTAGCAATCTGGAGGCGGCTGCATCGGCATCCTCGCGACAGAGGATACGCGAAGGAGTTTGGGCTTGAGGCGATTCACAACTCCCAAAGTCCGCGTGAGCAAGGTGATAATCGGACTTAACCATCCGATGTATTGATCTCCAAATTTCTGTGCCCCAAGCATAAATACCAGTACTAGATCCTGTAAACTTCTGTTGTCCGAATCCTGCGTAGAAGGCTTCTCGAACATTGGTGACATTGCAGAAACACCGAGTTCCCACTTGAAGCGGTTCTTACTCCAACAGCTACAGACGGAGACATGGCTCCTCAAGCTGCAGGTGTGTGGTTTATCACAGGCTGCTCGACAGGCTTTGGAGCAGCTCTTGCGAGGGAGCTTTTGTCTCGAGGCCAGACAGTCATCGCAAGTGCCAGAAACGTCGACAAACTACGCGATCTGGAAGCCGCTGGTGCAGCTGTTATCCAGTGCGATGTGTCTGCGCCGCTCGATACTTTGGTCAAGACGGCTCGACATGCCCATAGCCTTCATGGCCGTGTCGACTATCTCGTCAATAATGCAGGCTTTTGCGTGCAAGGCACAATCGAGGAGCTGACACCACAAGAGATACAAAACCAGTTCGACACAAATGTATTTGGAACACTCAATGTCACCAAGGCGTTTCTGCCTTACTTCCGATCCCAACGATCAGGCGTCATTGCCAACATCTCATCTATGGGCGCGTGGCGTGGCACTCCCGGGTTAGGGATATATGAAGCATCTAAGTGGACGTTGTCTGGTCTTACAGAGACTCTCAAGTCCGAGCTGGCAGACTTTGGGATCAAAGTGTGCTGCATTGAACCGGGGTCGTTCAGGTCGAATTTCCTCACATCCGGCAACCGCAAGGTAGACGAGAGTCGAATTAAAGACTATGACGGCACAAGTGCGAGAAAAGTTGCGGCTTTCATGGACCAGCGAGATGGTGCACAGTCCGGAGACTTGAAGAAGGGGTCGAAAGTGATTGTGGATGTCCTGACTGGTCACACTGGGAAAGACATACCATTGCGACTGCCACTTGGAAGGGACGCGTATCAGACCATCAAGAACAAATGCGAGGCGACCTTGCAGCTTCTGGAGGAGTGGAAATCCATCATCTCGACAACCGATCACGATGATGTAAGTGCAGCATCGTGATCAGTCTGGGCAAATTGGAAGCTTGCCGGGCATATTGAGCTTTGTAAAGCTGTATCATCTTTGAAACAAAGACATGTTTGACATGCAATCCGCTCAAAACTACTAGAATCATGTGTCTCCTGGCTGATTAAAGGTGAACATGTGCGCTCGTCAGGAGATCTTGACCCGCTCCAAGCCAGAAGAAGCACTCGTATCAGTATGATGATTGGCGACGTCGGAGGCGATCCACTCTACCTGTTGCATGCACTGGACGATTTTTTCCGTGTCTCCAAATTGGAGATGTACTAGTAACGTTTGAGCTTCTGTAGCCTCGTGTTCTGCGCTGATCCACAATGCCAAAGGCAGCCAGAGTACATCATGGGCGTTGACTGAGGTGTGTTGATGATGGAACGACTAGTCTGAAGGCAAAGCCGGACATAAACTTGGCATATATCTGCCATGGCTGTTCATATGGTTCTCAGTCTGGGCCGATTGGGGGTGTCTCCCATTGAGAGAAATACCTACTAACCCGAGCACGACCTGGATGGCAGGAGTCATGTACCAGCAAGATTTTACTCATACACTAGAAATTGCTCTGCCTTCCCGGGCTCCGCCCAGATTGTTATAGCCACCAAACTAATGTCTGTCGAGCAGATCTGCGTATTCCTCCAAAGAGTCTCCTACAAGGTCGACAAAGTCCCAGACACTGCCGGCACGAAATAGTTTCGCCCATATTCGCACAATAACTGAATTGAGACGTATACTGGTCGCACTAAAACGTTCGGAGCAGTACCTTCTTCGGTCTCCGCCATAATCTCATTGACAAAGTCAAGGAGCCGGACCTCGGCATCCGTTAACGGTGGTTATAGATTTACGACTATTACGGCTTCCAGCCATTTCAATAACAGTACAGCCGATTCCAAAGCACAAAGTGCATACTAATCCGACTAGAAAAAGGATATTGTGTGAGCAACGAATTCGATCCCGAGCTTAGCAGGTATATTGAGCGTATGTACGCAATGGAGGACGGCTGTTGTCACCCGGTCACTTCGTTGTATGGGCGGTACATTACCGAGGAGTTGCGCAATCTCCGTCGGATTCCACACGCTCAGAAGCGGTGGTAATTTCGGGCTGACGCTAATTTAAGTATATACCAGCCGTAACAACGCTATAGATATAAATACTAGGGGCCTAGTCGGACTAATAGGATCAATAGACGATTCTTTATTTTGTTCCTATCCAATACACCATCGACGAAGAGCCTGCTCTATCATAGCACAATCTATACTTTACAATACCAGGGGGCCTACACGTACTTGTGCGGTCTAATACAAGAGCCAAATGTACTGAAGATTTGCATAAATAAGAGCGTAACCACCAAACAACGTAAAACAAAACGAATAACTCCCCCCACCTACGAAAAGATAGTTATAAACCTCCTTCAAAGTAGCATATACATTTTCAGCGTTTTCTTGAGCTTGGTTCTAATTATCCTAATCTATTGCTCTCCAGCGGCGCTTGGAGCAAAGAAGTAGAACGTCGAGGGACCACCAGATCAATGTTGGAGCGGTATCGTGGGCGATTGTTTGAATGTTTGTTAGGCAAAAAGCATAGATTTGGATTCGTTTCAATGTTTCCTGCTGGATCCAAGTTTCCCGTTCAGTTCTTAGTTGCCCTACTAGTGGCTCTGTGCTGATCTCGTGGACCATCACGCCCAGCAAAGTCCGGAGAGTTATAGTATCTCGGGAACGAGCAAAATCCTTTGTGCTGGACTAGGTGGATGCGCCGACTAAGGTTAACAAGGCTTGCGCTCCTTGGATTCTAGCCTAATCAGTAAGAAATCTATCCACTAGGCCAGACTAAGTCTCGGTCGGTAGGGACAGATTGATAATGCCGTGCGTATCACTATCGCTGCTGCCAGATGATTTAATCTTTCGAATATTACAGCCTTTGCTGCTTAGAAGAGCTCCTCGCGGCAGTAGCGCACCCCAATGGACGTCAAGGCTAGAAAGAGCTCCAAGGCAACCTCCTCTAGATCGAGCGTAGGAAGGTAAATGACTGGATTGTAGTCGTAAAAGCCCAAAGTTTAGCCTGCCAGAAATCGATTAAGTACATGTTTGGTAGACAGGACGAGCTGCGGAGAAAGTACGGCAGCGAAGGCGCCTATCTCTGCCGCAATCCGTTCACGGCATTTGCTTGAGACTCACAATTTGGAATGTAAAGGTCAATTTGAGGTTTGGAGAGAGTAGATCTTCCAAAGAACCCAACGCAGGTTTTTCTGTCTAGCTATACTTTATTCGCGATCCCGAGGATATCGTCGTCGGCTCCAGCGAAGGCAATCGAGATCTAAACCTCGAAAGTCCTTGTTCAGAATCCGGCTGAAACCCGTGTTGAATAAATGCTTCGCTCGTATGGAACATGCCGAAATCCGTCTGTGGCAGCGGATAGATGAAGTCGTAGGGCATGGTCATGAAATGCTCGAAATTGGGGGAGAACATCTGGTCCGTGGCCTCAGAATTGTTCACCCGCGTGGACAGGTCGACGTCCGGAGCCGGTATCGAATCTTTTGCCGCAAAGTCAACAGCTGGGAAGTCGCGAAGGTCACCACTTGAAGACATCAAAGTATCAATGCTGGAAAATGTCTGCACACACGAGGCGCCATCAGCTGCGATTGGAGCGAGAGTGGCATTGTTTGGCAATTGGGCCTTCAAACGTAGTTGATCTCCAGCATTAGTTGTCCCTGGTCCTGTTGGTGCCATAATAGTGTCTTGAAGCGCATGTTGCGACTCCAGCTGGGCTGCTGGTGGCGGTGCATGGTTTAGTTTATTGTGGCGAGTTAGAAGATCACTTTGGCAAATCTGTCAGCAGGTTGTCGACCACAAGACATTGGGTTATGTACCGTCGTGTAAATGCACCATCACATTTCATGCAGGCGTACGGCTTTTGCAACTCAGCATATGCGCTCAGCTCTGATAGTCGGGCATCCTACGAGATCGATCTTGCCGTTTGAGATGCTCGAGTCGACCAAATTGCCGAGGACAGCGTAAACACTGATGCTTCTTCATTCAGACGGAGCGATAGGAAAATGTGGGAGAGCAGGAGAGAACAGAGGCTTTGACAGGCATGTCAGGCAGGTACCGTATATCACGGGTTGTCTTGACTAGATGCTCTGCCGTACATTGTAGAGCGGAGTATTTATGCCAAATTATGCTCGACGTTTAAGTCAACTACAACGCGCCTGCTACAGAATAATATCATTGACAATAACCCAGCATCTCACCCGTCTATCCCTGATCTCAGAATGGGCATCTTGGAGTGATCTACCCCTGCCATATGTCTTGCGTCAACAATCTGGGAAGCTTACACCCGTACGAGGTCGGTGGAAAACAGCACATCCGGCTTGTGCCCGCTGTCGTTCCGCTGGCATCGAGATATGCATAAGCGAAAGTTATCGATTGTTGCATTCCTCGGTGACACCGAGAAGACTCCACTGTGTGCACCAGTTCAGGTGCGCGGGGCACGGGGTGGCATTCAGTGTTTGCTTCACTATGGCAAACTCTGTCTTACCTGTACCAAGATTGTTGATGGCGATCGTCCCAAAGCAGTCCGCGAAAAGGTCAATCCAAGGTTTGAATTCGACTGCCTAATCGCTGGACGGGGCAGCCTGTTTCGGTCAGCCAGATACATATCGATAGCTAGCAAGCCATGGCATCTTCGATATACCACACTTCTCTAACGGTCTTCTATGACGACAACGGGTGAATCACTATCACAACTCCCGGTATGCACTCCCAGTCGGTCTCTCATCCCTTGGGAATGGGAAGTCCTGGCGAGGTCCTCACTCGGTCAATATTGAGACGATCGCTAAAGCCATGAGCTGTATGACACCGACTAACCCGCCCAACGATTGGTTAACCATTGCTGTCCGATGCAGGCTTGCGGTCGATAAAGTCAGTCAACAGTCTTGGTCTAGAATGTCCAACTATCATGGTTCAGTTAGGTCGGTGTCTTGCGATTTCGTCATCATTCTGGGTTCTAGAGAAGGAAAAATCTTATGCTTATTCCCCTTTTCAATTGTGGCGCCTTATTGGAGGATCCACGGATAACAACAGCTGTCTCCTGGAAGACTTGCAAGTGTCCGTCAATGGTTTTGTGCTTTTGGACTTGATAACATCCTTGAACAATGCCTCAGAGCTTGTGACTAAATCAGATGAAAAGTATTTGACATTCAGGATTGAATGTCCACACGGGGCCGTGTCCTCCCACACGTGTGAATGTTTCTCCACAGGTCGGGTCACTTGTACCTGCGCGTGAAGCTTGCTTCAGAGTGTCTGTTTGCTCATAAGTGAACATCACTTCACGACTCACTGTTGACCGCAACTCACCGATCTCACACCAAGTGCTCATCTCAAACCATATCCGCTAACCTCCCAACCTTCTCGCATATTTGCACCACTCGTTGCCTATTACAATCAACGCCAGAACGAACGACAACATGGCTATGCCAGCAAGACCAAAAGAATGGCCCAAGTCGAATTATACCGATCCTGAAACGCGGGGTTCGCCATCGCTGTTCGTGGTGATGATGGTCATATCGACGATAGCCGTGCTCCTCAGACTCTACTCTCGGCGGTATCTCACAAAATCTCTAGGTTTAGACGATGTCCTCCTTCTGGCGGGCTGGGTAATGATGCCTCCCTTTCTCTTTAGCTCGCAGCTGACGCCTAGAGTTCCTTTCCATTGGAATGACCTTTGCCGAATTCAAAGCAATGACCACTTGGGGTTGGAACAAACATATCTGGGACATACGACCTGAGAAGTTGCCCAAGCTCAGACTCGCTGCATGGCTCATTGAATTCTTCTTCCTCTTGGGCAATGCCTGCACCAAAATCTCGATCCTCCTTTTCTATCGGAGGCTCACGTTGGGACTTCCCAGATTCTGGTTTTTGTACCTAATATGGGCTGCCATTGCGTTTACCGTCTGCTACACGATCGGCTTATTGGTGGAACTGTTCGTCATCTGTCGGCCCTTGACATCATATTGGGAGTCATACAGCCCGACATATGGCAAGGACTTCACATGTGCCAACGAGCATGTGGCATTCCTTTTCAGCGCCGCAGCCTCGGTGACTTCGGATATCTATGCGTCGGTGTTGCCTATGCTGCTGGTCCGAACACTGAATATGACCTGCAGACAGCGACTAAGCATGTATGCGTTGTTCTCTGCAGGTCTGTTGACAGCCGGCACAGGAGTTGCCAGGCTCATTACATTCATCCCAGCTACGACCAACTATCAACCTGGTCCACATATCGACGATGTATCCTGGTTGGGCTGGCCTCTATTGGTGAGTACTTTTGACTCTGAGTCGACCCACTGCTGACACATTCAAGGCGCTCACCGACGTCGAAGCACATCTCGCCATCATAATCGCCTCTCTGCCTGCTTTAAAAGTGTTCTTCAGACGTCGAGTCTCCGGCCAGCTGACCAAGATGCGCGGGTCGATTCGCTCGATGTCGACTTCTAGCAGAGCTCAACTGGCCATCACCCTTCGTTCTGGACCGATGGTTGAGGAGCCTCCACGTGTGGCCGGTGGCTGGTCTAAGCAACCAGTCCACGCCAACATAACTCCTTGCAGTCCGTCTTCGGGGTACTCTGATGAACGATCTGCTAGCTTTGGCTCCGTCTACACCTTAGAAATGGACACGCCGAAGATGCCCCGCTATGTTGATATAGTACAGGCTGCGAAGATTCCGAGATGTGTTCGAGTGGAATCAGTGTAGAGGATATCAAGGGTGATCTCGATCGGAGCGATGATATAGGTGCAATTATACTAGTAGGAATATTGCAACATGTACACCATTCAGCATAAGAGGAACTTTCATGTTATCTTGGCCTTGCTCTACTTTAGGTCGAATGAAACTTATTGCAGCTACAAAGGCTAAGAATAGTACCGATATCATGTTGAGGTATGACACTCTCGTGGTCAGGGTAGAGAATTAGTTAATGAACAACAGCTGGGAAGCAATTTGTCCACAACGGGAAATCTTCAAGAAAGTAGTACTATCCAAACCCTCTAGCAACGTTTTCGCCTCTGTCTGCACCAGGGTTGACCTTCAAGCGCTGGATACGCCAAAGCTCCATGCGTCCCATTCAATCGCTCGGAGATGGCCACGTGGATATCACATGTATTATCAACGAGAAGATCCCAGCCCTCCTCACGTTTTTATGTGTGGTCTGCCCATCTTTGTGTCCATTGTCCAGCAATGGGCCACTGTGGTTTCTCAACTGGACAGACAAATCCACCTGATTCATCTCATCCCAAGAATCTCCTTTGGTAGTCCTTTCTCCACTTCTTCCTGAATTTGCCTTGCTTATCCAATTCTCACTCCTCGCTTTACAACTCAGTGAGTTGTAGCTGGCGGGAGTTTTCGCATCTGGTTTCGGAAACCCATCTGCATCTTCCTGCCTATTTGCGTAATGCTATGCTCTGGTCCGTTGAATCGGGCGCAGTTGTCGACGATCAAGCCGAAATCGGCGACGAATTCGGAAAGCATGGTGTACCGCTTGTCCTTCAACTTCCGATCGATTGTTTCCAGGTCAATCGGGGTTTTTATGATCTTCGGATAGGATGGCAGGCTGAGCGCCACATAGTCTACCGGTTTTCTGAAGTTCTCGGAGAACTTGCTCGTTTTCAGGTTTGAGATGGCTCTTTTCATGTGTGTCAATCGTGCCGGCGTGATGGTCTCATCTAAACTAAGTTCTTCCAAACTGGTCACCGGGGTGGGAGAGCCGCGGGCCCTGCTGTCTGAATACAGCGATGTGGAGGAATGTCGATGGTCTCTATGTCGGCTGCCGAGCTCTTCACTTCCTAGTCTTGCTGGCGATCGAGAACGAGCATCCCTCGAACGAGGGATCCGGTTGACAAAACTATACGACGGAAAGGTGCTTCGGTTGACTGCTTCTCCTTTCGGAGGCTGTTCAGCATAGGATTGTTCCAAATTGTGGCGGTCGATTCGTCCTAGCTCTTGTAATCCAATGCCTTGTGTACTCTGTACGCGTAGTCCCGAATCGATGTCTGGTTGGATGCGGTCCGGGATGGTTCGACGACGAACAAGAATTGTGTCCTCGTCCCCAGCTCCGCTCAGTTGACTTTGAAGAGGAGGATAATTGGTGCCGTCGGTCGACTTGGGTTCAAGGAAAGGGAGGACGCCGCGCGTCTCAGCGGCGCGTGGGAAGTCTGTGGAGTCTTCACCACTGGGAGGTCCGACATCCACGGTAGCAGGAGTCCCTACCACGAGATCGGTAGCGAAACCGATCTGGCTCTCCGAAGGCCGAACGAAGAGTCTAGTCCCGCATTTGAAACAGTATTCTCCCTGGATCTGTGGAATGACAATGTGGCACTTGATGCAGAAGCCCTCCATATTTGCCACTAACGCCGATGAGAGTTGGAGAAAGAGAAAAGCGATGGTGCAGGTAGAGAAGTTGAGAAGAGCAACAGTAATGATGAGTCGTGGTGCTCGGCTCAGTTATCACAAGCAGTCCGTTATGGAAGACAGAGACGCCTCATTCGAAGTGGTCATCGTAACTTCCGTTAGATGTGAACTGAAGTATGAGCCGCGTTGCAGAAACATGAGAAACCATCAGGCAATGAACTGTCGAAACTGGAAAATCAAGGCACCCCTCCCACCCACAACAACAAGAACAACAACGCCTCCCCCAGCCACCAGTGGGAGGCCGGGGGGTTTCAACATCATCACATATCGAGTTCATTGGCAATGGCGATGTCACCACAACGGCCTGGAGTTCATTTAGCCTATCGCTTGTTTATGGGCCTCGAAACGGTTTCGATTCTTCCACGTCCTATGATCCTAGCAGATATATGTCCAGTATGCGAAAGAGGCCAAGACTGTGTAGGATTTGTTTGTGCCCAGGAAATCGCGAAGATGTTTGGTTACCCTCAAATTACCTGCTTACCTTCTCTTCAATGATATAAAAGTGGGTATGATGATGTACTGCTCGCGTCCTCCATGAATAGTACCACATGCAATGTTTGCTTAAGTAGTTTGCGATGGGAGGTTGTTGAGATACGAAACTCCTGAGAACGAAGAAGGCTTTAAAGCGGCATGAAATTTCACGCGAACCCCTTCGACAATTCCACGCGTTCATTACCACGGCGCGTCACCCTCAAACATTGCAATGCGGTGATGCGGCCAGGCTTGAGGTCTTTCAAAAGCTGGGATCTTCGCCTGCTTGGAACTCTCATACGACCCAACAGCCATCCTACCCTCCGAGCATTGCCACTCCAGCGCAGCGGCCCCTGGCTCGCGTCATGGCGCCTCACAGAGGGACAACGGAGAGGAGCGAAGACCACCTCAAGGAAGAAGGTCAGGGAGTTGCAACAAGGGGCAATTCAGGGTGAAGCCCTGCCTGAACTGCCCGGCGATGACGAACCTCAATATCCTACCCTCCTGCAGGGCGTGAAGAATAATATTGCCAAATTTGACAACTGCGTTCTCCTTACAAGAGTTGGTAACTTCTACGAAATGTATTTTGAGCAAGCAGAAGAGTTTGGACCGTTGTTGAGTCTTAAAGTGGCCTACAGGCAGACGAAGCTCGGTCCTGTGGCGATGGCAGGCTTCCCCTTCTTCCAGCTGGATCGGTTCTTGAAGACACTGGTTCACGATCTGCACAAATATGTTGCCATATGTGAGGAGTTTCTCATCCCTGTCTCTAGCAAAGTCAAGTCTGGCGGGCTGAAGCATGACAGACGAGTCACTCGAGTGGTCACTCCAGGCACATTGATTGATGAAAAATTCCTCGACCCGTATGAGAATAATTTTCTGCTGTCAGTACATCCAGAACCAGCCCTACACGCCGATGGTGATAGCCACGAAGTCCATGGTACGGATACTGAGCAGCATGTTGGGCTTGCTTGGTTGGACCTGTCTACCGGTGACTTCTTTACTCAGACCATTGCCCGCAGTTCTCTGTCATCGGCTTTGACTCGAATCTCTCCGCAAGAGATCATTCTCCCTTATGGCGTGGCAGAAGATGTAGAGAATGAAATCCAACAGATCGTCGGACATGACCATCGGCTGCTCACATTGCATCAATCAGAGACTCAATTCAGTTCGATGAATGAGTGGAACACTATGTTGGTGTCTGCGGTACAAGATGATGCCGACACCATTTTCAAACATGGAGAGAAGCAAGCCGGTAACCTCTTGTTGGACTATGTTCGTCTTCGGCTGCAAGGACTACAGCTGCGACTGCAGCCCCCTCGTCACATAGAGCTTCACGAGATTCTGAGCATAGATCGAAACAGTCTGCGTGGACTGGAAATCCTTGAAACTGCAAGAGACGGTCTCGGGAGAGGCAGCCTATTTCATGCTGTAAAGAGGACAGTCACAAAGAGTGGCTCGCGTCTCCTTCGAGACCGCCTGACATGCCCATCTGCCTCTCTGCCAGAGATCAATGATCGTCTGGATCTCGTTTCAGCTTTCTTCGAGTCGGAGGAGCTGACAGAGTCATTGGTCTTCAGGCTACGTCGGACTTATGATGTCCAACGGATCGTGCAGAAGTTTGCACTCAACAAAGGCGATGCAGACGACATGCTGTCGCTAGCGAGTGCGATTTCTGAAACTGTCTCGACCCGTGATCTTCTGCAGTCCGCCTTTCCAGCAACGGAAAGATCCCGGGCCAGTATCATTGAGTCAGAAAACCAGATCAAACCACTTCAGAAGCTCCTCCAACGATTTGACCTGGACGACCCTGTTGAGCTTCAGATCCGGATCGTCTCTGCCATTGACGAAGAGGGACTGCAGCAGAAGCATCGCCTGGAGGAAGATGAAGCAGCCAGTGTAGCGGCATTAGCTCATGATGTTGTCCTTCAAAGCGCACCAGAGGAGCTCGAGTCGATGCCAAAAGCTGTCAGGTCCAGAACCAAGTCTGAAGACAACAAGGATGACATTGTTTTGGAAGAGCCTTGGATCATGCGTCGAGACGCTAGCGACATAATGCTACGTTTACATCAGGATCTTGATGGTTTGGAAGCCGAGAAAGTCGTTCTCGCCGAAAGGCTGCGGAACGAACTTTCAGCACCAACATTGACGCTCAAATCAACGCCGGGGCTCGGCTACATCTGCCACATCCGAAGCGCCAACGGCTTCAACAGAGATAAGTTGGAAGCTTTGCAAGCAAGGATGGTCTCTTCTTCCAAGAGCACGCGGTCGTTCTACCTGAATGACTGGACCCGGCTGGGCCGCAGAATTGACCAAGCCATTTTCAACATCAGAGACGAAGAGAAAAGGATATTCGCATCCTTGCGAGAAGACGTTATTCACAATCTAGTCAAATTGCGTCGCAATGCAGCAGTCATGGACGAATTAGACGTGGCTAGTGCATTTGCTACAATGGCCAAGGAACAATCATGGGTTCGTCCTGTACTCAACAATGGCACTGAGCACAAAATCATAGGAGGACGCCACCCGACTGTCAAGCTAGGTCTGGAAGAGCAAGGCCGGTCATTCGTCAGCAACAATCTTGTTCTCGACTCCAATGAGCGAATCTGGCTTGTGACTGGGCCCAACATGGGCGGAAAGAGCACGTTTCTTCGACAGAATGCCTTGATCACGATTCTCGCTCAAGCGGGTTCGTATGTTCCAGCCACATATGCGGAAATCGGGCTTGTGGACCAGATCTTCAGTCGCATTGGTGCTGCCGACGACTTGTTCCGTGACCAATCTACCTTTATGGTGGAGATGTTGGAGACGGCAGCCATCTTGAAGCACGCAACGCCAAGGTCATTCGTGATCATGGATGAAGTTGGACGCGGGACTACTCCTGAGGACGGCACAGCAGTGGGATACGCGAGTCTTCACCACCTGTATTATACCAACAAGTGTCGGACGCTGTTTGCGACGCATTTCCACGCTTTGGCGGATATGACACGAGACTGGAAGCAATTGGCATGTTACTGTACGGATGTGCTGGAAGAAGAGAATGGGTCTTTTGCCTTTGTGCACCGACTGCGAAAGGGTATTAATCGACAATCCCACGCACTGAAAGTGGCCAAATTGGCTGGTCTGCCCCCAAGTGCACTGAAAGTCGCGGAAGATGTTCTGAAGCAGCTTGCTGAAGAGCGGAGTAATCTACAGGCGAACACTATCCATGGTCAGGAAAAGGACAAAGCATCCACAACGGCAATTGAGTGACTTAGACCAATAGGTCACTCGGGAGGGAATCTCGGCGGCTGTTGTATCTCTCCCTCTGCAGGTTTTGAGGTGGCCACTGTCCCGCAGTTCTTACACGTTCTGGCGTCCATGTCGTTTTCGAAAGCCAATACACCCTCTTTGATCTGCGTGCCCAGATCTGTCAAATGGAAGCTCGCCTCGTGCACGATATTATGACAGTTCTTGCAATACCACCGCATCGTGTCGACTGAATCTTCTTGTCGCGGCTGCTCCAGGACCACCCCAACTGTATCCGCGAATCGGACGGGATTATGAGGAGTGTTGGCGGGTAAGAGGTACAGCGAATTCTCATGGATGGGGATGTCTACTGGGGTGTGAGGCGACGTTGATGTGTCCATGGTCTTGAGGAGCATGGAACCTTTGTGCTGGTAGAAGAATTCTGGAGTGGTGTTGATGTGGTAGTCTGTTCGAGCGTTGGGCCCGCCGACGACCATGACCGTCAGGCCACCTGAGGAGGGTGACGAGGGATGGTAGACGCAGTAGTTGTTGATAGGAGGTTTAAGGAGGTGAGAATTGTCTTTGAGCCTGGAAGGCAGTCAGTCTGCGGGCGTAGAATAGTGTATCAATAGAACAGGACTTGCCATTTGGGCAGGTTCAATGCGGCCATGTCGATTCTCTGTATCGTCGATGGTATGACGGAATTGTGGAAGAAAGTTATCTCGCTACTCCAGACGTTGGCTCAAGCAAAGGATGTTCTCGAGACTAGAGGCGGTATATAAGACTTTATGACTCCCAGGAATCGATTACTATATCTTGTGCTGCATCTCGACTTACAAATGCGTCGTGGACCGCAGACAAATCTGAGGGTCGTCGGATGATGCACGACGTCAGTCCGTCAATCGCCGTTGCGTCGGAAAAATTGCTGCAGATTTGGCCGTGCGGAGAAAAATTTTGTGCAAATGCGGAGAGTCGGCGGAAGGAATCTTCACATATTGATCGATTCAAGAGACATTTCGAATGAACATGCGGTGGTAAACGACTTCGACGCAAGACTCATTCGACAACAATGTCTACATCTCAACCTCCTCTCCGCTTGTCGTCCCACAAGTCTCTAACTTCGCGACTCGTCCTTTCGACTCTCCTCGGCCGCGCCGTCCGCATCGACCAAATCCGCCCTGACTCTCCTACAAACCCCGGTCTTGCGCCTCACGAAATCTCCTTCCTGCGCCTCCTCGAGGCCGTGACGAATGGCTCACACATCGAGATCTCCTACACGGGCACTGTCCTGCTCTACAAACCGGGCCTGATCACGGGCTCTGCCGCGGGAAGCGGCGCCTCGAGTGCCGGCGTCCTACGACACGAAGTTCCTGCGAACAACACGCGCGGGCTGAGTTATTTCCTCATACCGATATGCCTCCTCGCGCCGTTTAGTAAGACCAAATTCAACATCCTGTTTACCGGGGAGGGGGTGATTACGAGTTCAACGGAGCGGTGGGGCGACATGAGCGTCGACGGCGTGCGGACCGCGATACTGCCCATTTACGAAAAATTCGGGATCGAAAGGGACATTGAATTGAGAATATTGAAGAGGTCGAACCCGGGAAGAGGGGGCGTGGGTGGCGCAGGGGAAGTCCAGCTTGTGTTTGGACATCAGGTCAGGCTACCCAAGACACTGCACTCTTTAAGTCCCGGGAGGGTCAAGAGGATTCGGGGCGTGGCGTATTCTACAGGCGTGAGCGGGAGTAATAATGCGAGGATGATCGAGGCGGCGAGGGGCGTGTTGAATCAATTTGTGCCGGATATCTACATTTTCAGCGATATGGGTGGTGCGAGTTTGGTGCCAGATAAAGGAAATCCAAATGCGAAGAGAAAGGTCGGGCTGGGTTTTGGATTGTCCCTTGTCGCGGAGACGACCAGTAGGTGTTTGTACAGTGCGGACGCGGTCTGTCCGCCGGAGGGCGGGAGTGCGGCAGAGGACGTGGGACGGATGGCCGCGTTTCAGTTGCTTGAGAGTATTCAACGAGGTGGGTGCGTCAGTCTGGAAGCTTTCGAGACCGTGGTCACTTTGATGGCCATGGGAAGTGAGGATGTGGGGAGAGTAAGTTTGGGGAGAGATGTGTTGGCGAATGAATCCAGCATTCGGCTAGCGAGGGATCTGAATGCTTTTGGGGCGGCCGGCTGGGGAATCAGAGAGGCGGATAGTGAGAAAGCGGAGGGACAGTTGCTGGTCAGTATTGTGGGGAGAGGTGTTGGAAATGTCGGTAGGAAGATTGGGTGAAAGAAAATGGAAGGACATCAACAGGATGTCAAACAGTCCAAACGGCAAGGCTATGATTGCTTGGAAAGTCACCGATGCTGCCGTCGGTCTCGCAGCCTTGCGGATTACAGATGTCTGCCGAGAACGTCTCTGATATCGACTGAGAGCGGCCTTCGACCACACAACCAACCGTCCGAGTCGACAAAGGCACCTAGGTACAAGGTACGCCGGGATCCCCGAGGAACAAACCAGCAGCAGCCGCAGCCCGACAGGCGAAGCCTTGTACAAGAGCGGCACCTTGAAAGCCCGAGGCCGAATGTGCACAACTGAGGGCCATCAGGTTCACAGAATATGCAGAAGGAATCGGACAGCCAATGATGAGTCTGTAAAAAGACTGGGCTCCGGATTTGTCGGAAGCTGTTGATCTGTTGGTGTCGACTCGGCTGATCGTCACACGACCACAAGCGCTTTCGAGATAAGCAGTGAGAACACGAGCAGTCAGTAGAGTGCACACTACCTATCTAGGTATGTTGGCTGTGAAGGGCCTGTGCTCTTTGCCCTCATGTGTCGACGAAAAGACAACATCAACCAGCAGGATGACGAGCGACTGTTGGGAAGAATTGGCTTGAATACCTAATGATTAATATGCCATCGGAATTGGCGGAACGACGGACGTAGGAAAATAAGAGGAAGTTGTCTCTATGTGGATCCTGGTTCTATCATCCATTTTGTCACTCGATGCTTTCTTTCTTACTTATGTCGTGCTTGTTCCTATCTGCAGCCTCGCTCTCCCGGCGGTCCTGAGGTAATCATGGTCCGCTTGTTATTCGATTCGAGCACACAAAGCGCCACCGCTCTGTTCATTAGCTTCGCCCATACGTGCCTATTTACCGAATGTGGTTGGGTTTATGCAACTCTTCACGGAACGCTTTCATCCCATTTGCTTGCTCGTGGGACCTTTCACATCATCTGCTGACCGAACAACCGACCAACGGACCAACGTATGCAAATGGGAGGCTCTCTGCTCACTAAATGACTCTAGACTTTATCGCCGGCTCCGTGCTTAACTCATCTTTTTTCTTGAAGCAGTCATGCCCGTCCGAACCCCCGCAGTTTGTAAACTGATGATCAATGTCCCTGCCTGTCCGCATCCCTGCGCTTGATTTCTATATCTGATTACCTATCCTTATCTTCTTTGGTGTCGAACTTCACGTACAAAATCTGCTGTCACCAATCCCTTCCACGGTCCTTACCTTGGTTGCCAGCTTTTCCTCGCGGCAGCAGGAGGAACACATACTCAAGATGGGGGCAGGCGCATTCCTTGAGCCGCTGGTAGTGGTGGGATTGCTCTTTGGTGGCGCGTGGATCAATCGAACCACTGACTACACGTTTTCTGCGAAGAAGACTCGTTGGGATGAACGTTTGCCCGAGGCCCAACGAATTGAAACCGACGTGGACCTTGACATCGAAGAAGCCCGTCTCTCACAAACCAAGAGATCCCTGTCGCCGTCTCTACTACCTTCGCAGGAGAACAAATGGCGCGAAAGAGAGATCAGAATCCTGGGATATCGCAAAGTCATCGAGACACCCAATACCGCTGTCTTCCGCAACCGCCTGCTCAGCAGACTTCTACACAAGTTTCCCTTCCTGGTCGAAACATGGTACTGGGCGCTTATTTACTGGGTAAGAAATGGGCCCCACAAACGGAGTCACGCCGATCTGACATACGCAGGTCTACCAACTCGGTCGAGCATTCACGGCCGTCACCCTCGTTCAAGGTACAGTCCACGTTGCGCGCCGACATGCGCTTGAAGTCATTGAATGGGAGAAACGCCTGCACATCTTCTGGGAGATCCCTATCCAGAAATTCTTCATGTCCTATCCACGGCTGATGATGTACATCAACTGGTTATACTCGTTCATCCACATCCCCGGCACCATCGCATTCCTGGTCTGGCTGTATTACTACACCATCACGAACAACCGCCTTGTTCAACACAGGGGGAGTCGTCCGCTGACTGGTGGACAAGGTGGTCCAGGCTCGCCACCTGGACCGTGGCTGTACGAAGCGCGAAGGCGGACCATGGCTATCTGCAATCTGCTCGCATTTGTGGTGTTCACGCTCTGGCCGTGCATGCCGCCAAGGTTACTCAGTGATCCGGAGTACAACGGTCCACAGGCTGAATTGGCAAAGAGTTATGGGTTCGTTGATACAGTGCATGGCAAGGACGGCGCGAGTAGCGTCTGGACGCAGAACAAATTCTGCAATCAATATGGTACGTTTCACACTACCCTAAACGTTGAAATCCGGACACGCGAAAATGAAGGTTGTGGTTTGGATCCATGACTGACGTACTTGTGCCTTGCAGCTGCAATGCCATCCCTGCACTTCGGCTATTCCTTACTGGTTGGCCTGACCATCATGACCATTCCGTTAGCTCCTGAGCATCGCCGCTCGAAAGCGATTCACTTACCTCTGTTCAACAACTCGCATCCTGAACTGGCGCCTCAGATTCGCTTGCCCAGCACACGCCGGCTGGCTTGTCTGACCATAGGCTTCATGTACCCGTTCGCCATCCTGGTCGCGATCGTGTCGACGGCGAATCATTTCATCCTGGACGCTGTCGCGGGTGCCTTAATCTGTGGTATCGGATGGAATACCAATGGCGTGTTGTTGAACTTGTTGCCGCTGGAAGATTGGTTCCTGTACGTGGTGAGGATTCATAAGCCTGTGCAGATGCCGCTTGAGGAGACGAGGGCTTTCGTATGGAAAGAGAAGATCGAAGGATGGGTGCCGGAAGGGCTGGTGGTGGTTAACAGATGAGATTGTTTCTCGTTACCCGTCAAGACGATGTGTCGGACGTCCTGGAGCCCCTTACAACTCCGCAGATTCTCGTTGTGAGCCACCAACGCTGAGAGCTGGCGAGGCTTGAAGGGCTACTTCTGCTCGACGAAGGACCGATCTCTGCGCTACAGAGACTCGACCGACACCAGAGGTGCCCATGTTTATCCATTGCTCTATCTCACGAGCTTCCCTCAAATGGCTCGAGGATACAACGTCCGCCCAGATCGGTATTTGTGGCAGACGACCGGCATGAGTTGGCTTATGCAGGAGGAGTTCGCCATCGGAGCTATTTTGATCTGCGAGACAGCCAATCTAGACGACACAATCCCGCTGCAGCTAGCCTTAAGCGTTGGTAACAACGTCAATTGTTCCTGACAGAGCTGAGAGTGTCTCAAAACGAGGTTGGGAGATTAAATGTTCGAGGATGGTGCTGCTGCTGCTGATGATGATGATGATGATGACATTACGAAACTACTACGAACCTATCCCTTGCAATTGCATTATGGATGGTGGTAGAGTAAGCATGCATTGCATTAAATTGCTTAGACAGTATTTAATCAATCTCTCATGTTGTACTATTTCGGCTCCCCTGTACTAAGACTGCGTGTACGCATGATATGATATGAAGTCGAGTGGAGTGGTATTTTGTTCAGCCAGGCAGTTCCGCTACGCGACTTTGAGCTGGGAGTTCTGCCACGGAGTGATGATTTGAGACTTGCCAGGATGACGGGCTTCGGAATCCGTATGTGGCTTCCTCGGACAGGTTCCAGGGAGGAAGACTCGTGTATGAGTTGTTGTTGCTTCTTTCGTGGGGCCTTCCAGTGCACTGTGGGATCTCAACCTTCTGCTCTTTCCCTCGTTCTTGACGTCTGCGTCGATATCTGCGTAGCAGCAGGAATGCTGCGACTGCGATGACGGCGGCCGTAGTGCCGCAAACCAGGCCGATTATCAGATTGAGCGTCTTGCCAGATATAGTTGGTTCGCTTGATGTTCCTGTTTCTTGACAGTCTGGGCAGGAAGAGGGCCGGTCGGAGGCAGCTGCACCGGTCGAAGACGGTGCGCTGGTTGGACTGGGGGAGGATGAAGTGCTAGTTCTTGAGGACGGGGTCGCATCAAAAGTTGCAGCAGTATTGGTAGTGTCTGCTGTCCTGGTTGAACTTTGTACTGAGCTGGCAGAAAAAATGCTGCTTGTAGTTGTTTCAGGGGCGGAACTCGTTGGGCTGGATGTTGCCGCTTTGGAGGACGTGATTGAAAGACTCGATGGTATGGTTGTTGCAGCCTCGGAGGACATGCTTGAAAGCGTGCCCGCAGGGACGATGGTGAAGTTCATCGAGTAAGCGATAGCATAGTCGGTCAGATCATCCATAAGCTCTAGATAGAAGCCCGAAGTGTAACGAAAGGGGAAGATGTTGTCAGGAAACGTCAGAGGACCCGCGAACTCGTCGAGGGGTGAAGTATCTATGGTGCACATAATTAGTGGTATTCGGGCAGGAGGTGGAAAGACGACGATTCAAGTGCATCCGAACCCGTAAATAAGGCTGCCCAAGGTAACCTTGGTTTGGCGGAAACAAAGGGATGGAGTCGAGCGTACACAGCCGTTATCTGCGAACTCATGAGGCAACGGCTTGTACTTTTGACGGCCCTGTGAACCAGCAACGCTCATAACGGCGCAAGTCATACTAGGACGGGCAAGAGGGAATTGCAGGATAGGGATATGCTCAACTCAAGAGGATGTAGTTCGTATGGGTGCATTCGTCGTAGCAAAGTATGAGATGAATGCCAGAGGAGACGTTCATGACCCATTCGAAATTCGGTGTAGAGCCATATTCGAATGTGTAGGTCATAATGCCGTCTGGAAAATCTCCTTGGTTCGGAGGAAAGACAAAGTAATTCTGAGGTCCACTACTCGAAACTGATCGCGTCGGTTGTGAATGAGTTATCAGGAGGAGGGTCAAGGCGAAGCGTAGTCGGAGGAAGGATGAACTTAACGCGCAGGGCATGACGACCGGTCGCTGAAGAGAGTTGACGGTGGGATGAGCTTCGGAATTGAGAAGTCCCAGATAGCCAACAAAGTGAGAGTGCCAGTAATGTCGAGATTAGGAGCGATGGAGAATTGGACTGCCATGACTGCGCTGTCCAAGTCGTTGGTAGTGTTGGAATATTCAAGACATGACTCAAACGTGTCGTCAAGTATCAAGGCGCAACTGACAAATTCTTGTGCATAGTGTGTGGACGTCCTCGAAAAACGGAGGAAGCTCCTTTTCGGTCGAGACAACCTGATCAGTATTCTGTTCCGCGTGGTTTGGACGATACTTGGTTGCTTGGTACACGAGTGCGGGTTCTAGCATAATGTGGATCTAACATCGACGAGGAACCGTATTTGGGCATTTTGTTGATTCAGCAGAGTCTTCGGAAGGTTGTGGGCTTGATAGGACAACATTGCATCGAAGTTAGAATGATTGCAAGCTTCTGTCTTGCTACGATGCTGGCGTGAAGGCCGGCTGAGCTCCGACCGCCTGGTTAGCAGAGCACCGAGGGCCGGCTCAGCAAGTCCGGGCAATGTTTGCTCTGCCGTGGTTGTGCAACAACGCGTCTTGGCTCCATCCGCTCCGATGGACCTGATGAACTCGTAGTGTTGAAAGAGCCCTGGCCACATATGCAACTCAGCAAAGTCGGTAGACTCGGTATGGAAGCTGTAAACAACCATGGTCACCTGATCTTGGGAAGGAAGTACGGTGAAGCACATGATCCAGCGTGAGAATCTACACTATTGTTAGTGTGCGTCACCGAAGCTTTCCGGTCAAGCGGTCACGAGCGGTCTAGAAATGATGGTACCATTTTGGGCGAAACAGCACCGCCTTGATTGATGTTTGATGAGATATCTGTCGGGGAACTAGGACACTCACCTGCGCTCTCAGGCATGATACTTTTGAGAGCCAATGACCTCAGATGAAAAGGTGAGAGCCCTCAGGCAGTCACTTCCAGCGGCCTACCTTCCTCTTCGGAGATGTCGGCGAAAGAAGGAGGCTTCACTGGTTCGGCAGACACAGTCAATCACATCCCAGCCATCTATTTACGCAGGTCGTGAATGAACTGCAGCCATCAAAGGTTTGATTCTGTGGCGAGCTGTCTGTGAAGTGAGTGTACCTGCAGCATCAAGAGCATTCGTTGCCTTGCTGTTCAGTGGGCACTGCTATTGTCTTGTCGCGCTCTTCATCCTCACCACGTTCGCCAATCAAGCTGAGGTGGCCCTTCGTCAGAGGACATTCAACTGTGAGTAAGTCTTCATTCTCCTTGCATTAAATACACAAGAAAGAGCAATGGTCGGTCGAAGACAAGACATCTTGACAGCCCCAGCCCAACTGCTTGAAAGCTCTCTCGATCTGAAATGAACGCGGCTTGGCAGAGTGATTGAGAGGCAGGTCGATGAAAGGCGGTGATTGGCTGCAGGTGGTTTTCTCTCCAAAGTCTTAGTTGCGTTGCTTCTCTCAATTCTCCTCCCCCATCATTCATTACTGCCGTCACTCTTGCCCGTCGGTCGGAGTCGCTCACACTCTTACATCTTCGCAATACCAACACCATCACAGTTCTTGTCGCATTCGATCCAGCACCATCATTGTCATACTGAACAGAGTCTCTTGGTTTGTGCTCCCTCCTGTCTGGCCCAGATCCACCAGCCGTGCCTGCGCCTGCTTTTGTTGTCGCGTCATCTGTCCCAGCTGCCCAGCACCGATCTGACTGCCCCACGACTTCAACCCATTCGTATAGCTGTCTATCAGCTTCGGGCAAGGCTCTGTTGCTAACTCCTTGTCCCGCCAGACTCTACACTCCGATCGCGCAACGCGTCGCTTCAATCAAGTTGTCTCATACTCAACATGGATACCGAAACACCTGCTCAAACCGAAGTCCCAGTCAAGGTGACACAGCCTGAAGATAATGCTCCTCCATCTCTGGCTGAGCCAGCTTCGGGCCCGGTTGCCGAGATGTCGGGAGCCTTGCCTACAGAGCAACCAACTGAGCCAAAACCAGCTGAACCGACAGGTAAGTAGGGAACACCTATGTAGCGCTGTCAGCGAACTGATGACCTCTGAAGTGGAATCTGCGAACAATGCCCCTGAGTCAGCTACTGAGCCACCCAAAGAAGCCGAACAGCCCGCTGTCGACACAGAAGCCGCAGAAGCCCCTGCCCCTGCCCCGGCTACTGCTGATACAGAGATGAAAGAGGCGGACGAGACGGTGGCTGCAAAGCCAGAAACAAACGGGACCCCTGCTGATAAGAAACCGTCCTCTTCCAGGAGAAAGTCATCTGGTATCACTGAGCACAAGGGCAAGAAGCTCAACAAGAAGAAGTCCATGCCCAAGATCACTCATACAGATGCCAAACCTGGTGAATATTACTTTGCCAGACTGAAGAGCTACCCACCTTGGCCATCTATCATCTGTGATGAGGAGATGCTCCCAGATATTCTCCTTAGCACTAGACCGGTTACCACCAAGAAAACCGACGGTAGCTACAATGAAGCATACGCCGATGGTGGAAAGAAAGAACACGAACGAACATTTCCTGTAATGTTCTTGCACACGAACGAATTGTAAGTTGATTCCGGTTTTGCAAGTAGCCGCTGTTGCTGACGACGTTTAGTGCCTGGATCCACAACACCGACCTCACCCCATTGAACCCAGAAGACTGCAAGGATGTTCCAGAGAAGGGCAAAGCGAAGGCGCTGCTGGCAGCATTCCAAGTTGCTGCCGAGGGGCACGACCTCGAATATTTCAAGAATATGCTCCATGAACACAACGCAGCAATGCAAGCCGATCTTGACGCAAAAGAGGCTCGTGAGGCCGAGAGGGCCGCAAAAGCTGACAAAAAGAAGCGCAAGAGCGAGGTGAAAGCCGACACAGACGTTGAAATGGAAGATGCAGAAGCTGCACCCAAGAAGTCCTCCAAGAAGAGAAAGAAGGAGGTCGACAGCGATGACGAGGAGTCTGAAAAGGTGAGCATTTCCCCTTTCTATGACGACATGATCTGATTCTGATCGTAGCCTGCAAAGACCCCTAAGACCACCAAGATCAAGTTGACAACCAGCAAGACTCCTAAGACCGAGGAGAAGAAGCCCAAGGAAAAGGCTCCCAAACCCAAATCTGAGAGAAGAAAGTCCAAAGCTGCGGCAGAGGACGAAGAAATGGCCGATGTTGCTGAACCAGAACCAGAGGAGAAGCCCCTGGATCCCGTCGAGGCACGAAAGGCTCGTGAGAAAGAAGGTGAGCATATTTTGTAACAATGATAGTTCTGCGATTGACTTGCTCTAGTTTTGTTCCTTCGACATCGCTTGCAGAAAGGTTTTCTTTCCCGAGATCAAGCGCCTCAAGAGGAAGAAATGCCACAAATGTCTAGTTTCATCAAGAAGCTCGAGGGATACACCGATCTCGAGGTCAGCATCATCCGACAAACCAAGATCAACAAGGTTTTGAAAGCTCTCATCAAGCTCAATACCATCCCGCGCGACGAAGAGTTTCAATTTCGGAAGCGCTCGCTCGAGCTGCTAACTCAATGGAACAAGATTCTCGGTGCTGAGCCACCTGAAGCTGAAGCTGGTACAGACAAGGAGGCCAAGGCATCACCAGCCACAAACGGCATCCATGATGAGAAGACAGAGGAAGACACGGCTGAAAAGGCTGGGGAGAAGGCTGAAGAGAAGACTGAGGATAAGACCGAGGAGATGACTGAGGAGATGACTGAGGAGATGACCGAAGAGAAGACCGGAGAGAGCACTGAAAAGCCGGCCGAGGCTGCTGAGACTACTGAAACAAAGCCTGCCACCGAACCCGAGACTGAGAAGCCTGTGGAGCTCACCGAACCAGCAGCCGATCCAGTAGAGACGGCTCCAGCTGAAGACGCACCAAAGCCCGAGACGACTGGTCCTGAAATTGTGGAAAAGGCGCCAGAGTCGGTTGAGGCTGCTGCCGAAGCTAATGAGGTCGTCAAAGCCACCGAGTAGGCAGGTCTCATACGACAGGATCCGATGCCGATTTGGGGTCATGAAGAAAGCATGACGGTGATCGGAGGCCGGATCGCGTCGAGATCCGGGTTCGTCTTGGGAGACAGGGTTGAATCTGGGAGAACCTCCAGGACGATGCGCGGTGTCGAAACACGAATGATTCAGCCATGGTACTATTATTTGCTGTGCACACGAGCTTTCCTTATCGAACGACATAAAGGAACATGGAGTGACGAATGTGGGTTGCTGATCTTGGGGTTGCTTGGAGGCAAATGAAGCAATTGGGGACTTGTGGTTTTTCATTCATTCCTTAGGGGCCCTGGCAAAAGCATAGAAGCTTGCCTATGTCTCATTGATGCAAGTTTTGATGGCTTTCAGGCCTTCGATGTAAAGGGCGATAGAGAGAGTGAGCATAGGTTTGATTACGGAGAATATTTTAGGAAAAAGCAGGCTGAATGGAAAACTCCAAAACAGCCGTTTTTGTCTCTGTTTCGTGTGGCGCTCAAATTGAATCCGATTAATCTGTTGTACATATAGAAACGTGCTCGGCTTGACCTAAAGCCCAACCTGACAATGGGACGCTTTTATAACTCACCGGCTGGGCTGTCTCCTTCATCGTCCTCAGGTAACTCGCTCAGGCACGTATCAATCAGCGTCATGAGCTCGTCGACGTCGGGACGTTCGGAAGGTTCTACCTGGAGGCAGCGCCTTACCACCTCCCTCGCCGCCGGGTGAGGGTATACCCTCTCGTTTGACGCCTGCGGTTCAGGATTTGCATTCCCATTCACTGACGATTGTGTATTCGAGCGTGACGGTGCTTTGCCCTTATTTGCATTGCCCTCGCCAGGCCACCGCCAGTCACCGCCCAGAACACAGATACTCAGCGACCCACCCGTTTCGTCGCTGCGGGCTTCAAACGGCGATTTGCCGATCAGGCATGCGTACATGGTGCATCCCAATGACCAGATGTCAACTTTCGTGTCGATTACGCTGCCTGTCTTGACATCGAAGAGTTCCGGTGCGCGGTATGGCATAGTCGAGTGCTCGGCTGCGATGTCCTGCACGGCGATGGCCTGCGAGCGAGATGTGATGGGTGTCGGGCTAGGCGCGAGACTGCCCAGGTCCATGAGGATAGGTGTGCGGCCGTCGTCGGATAGCATGATGTTGCCGGGCTTGATGTCACGATGGGCGTATGCGCGCGCGTCGCCGGGCTTTTTGCCCTCCTGGGCGCGAGTGATTTCGTCGTCGGGCATGAGTGGTTGTTCTTGCTCCTCTTCGAGATCCTGTTGATGTGTCTGGTCGGCTGTCATTGTCCGTTTTTGGGCGCGGGCATTCCGCCGTGCGGCGTCGGCGTCTTGGCCGGCTGCTTCGTCGCGGACGGCTTTTGCAGCAACGCGGGAGGGAGTATCGCGCACGTGGTATTGGTGCATGGCTTTCAGAGCCTTGCAGACACCCAGGATGAGTTGCATGAGACGTTGCTCGCCGAAGCGTGTGTGGTTCACGAGGTTGGCATTGATCATGTCCTGTAGGTTGCCGCGGCGGTAGTAGGGGAGGAGGATGTATACTGTTTTAGAGGTGGAAGAGGCTTCATTGCCGATGCCAGAGACCTTTGTGCTGGAGTCGTTCTGGACGGCATGGTCGATGCTGTGGATTATGTTCGGGTGAGGTGCGAAGAGGGTGTAGGCTTCGACTTCTTTGAGCGCTTGGGATACGGATTCCTGGCCAAAGGGGCAGCGGATCTTTTTGAGGGCGTAGAGTGCTGAGTCGGACGTGTCTTGGACTAGGTATACGTAGGAGAAGCCGCCCTGTAGAACAAGGTGTTAGTTGGGCAGGCGCAGTTGGAGATGTCGTAGGACGTGGTTGAGGCTTACTTCGCCTAACAGTCTGAGCATTCGAAAGCTCCTGTTGTTTATCTTCAATTGCGGAGTGCTCGGAAAGCAGCATACGCAACTCCCCAAGGAGTAGAAAATGTCCATGAGTGTTTGCGCCATGGCTGGCATGTGCAAGACGGTCGGACGTAAGCAGACGCAGGTAGGAGGACGGCTGCAAAGCTGGGGAAATGCGGAATGTTGACGGGGCTGATGCGACCGAAGGTAGACGAGCGGCAAGAGGTAGGCGTGAGTATGGGAGCGGGAGCAGTCTCGTTCGTATCAAGAGCGAATGTAGATTCAATTCGAGGTCATGTTGATATCGGTCGGCAAGCAAAGACGTTGCCAGATGCATTGGAGGCCGGATATAAGTAACGCGAGGCCTGCTCAGGTGAGATTAGGCTAGTGAGGCTTAGGGCAAGGCTGGAACGTGCCCCCATCGTTCCCCTTGGGGCCCATCAGGGCCAATCGATGCTCTATCATGCTCACTCACCCATGCGTGCCCATCATCATCTCTATCTCGTCCATTGTCGTCCACTCCTGTCCATAGACCGAGGCTCAAATCTCTACCGCATTATGGCACTCGTGCAAAGAAGAGGTGCAAAATATGCCTTTAGACCCGCTATGCGATAAACGGTCGCTGTGTGAGGTTTCTTTTTGAGAGTTTGATGGCTCCTTGATCAATGCTCAAAACGAATTCTTTGCTGCCCTCAGTCCTCTTGCCTTATGGCTTTTCATATGTTAGTGAAAGCTCTTGATCTCTCTCGGTCGCAAGATGAGCCAAGATCCTGGAGGCCATTTGTTCTGCGCTTCCTGCAGCATCTCCTTCTTGCATGGCTGGTCTATCCGACATGAATACTTATATCCGTGTCCTCAATGACAACGCCGAGCTATCTATCCGTGCAAGCAAATGAATTGTTGATCGCCATCTTTCCCATGTGTGCAGTGTGGCGCTGTTCATGATCCTGATGCTGTTACTATGCTTACTTGTATCTAGGAGGCGTATTTACTCCATACGGACAACATGGTCTCTCCCGCTTTGACAGCGAGACTAGCAGTTCCTTTCTTGCCGAGAACAGAATATTCCACGGCGTCCCATCTCCGTTCGTGTGAAGTTTGAACACAATATCCGTCATCATTCCTCTCTGGCCGCCGTTGGCAGGGGAAGTCCTCCGCTCCGGTGGGCAACCGGCGTTGCCCACCGACTGCCTCCACACTTGCAGTTTCTGGGAACCCCCCCATCGGCGGCGGGAAAGGTTAAAGATCATCTTGTTGGAAAACCAGCTGGGGGAATCTTTCTTTTGTTCTTTACACTTGACCGGAAACACTCCTATATCATTTGCTTGAATATCTGGGACAGTACAATGGCTGATACATACAAAGACGTACCTGTCCGCAATGTGGACATCTCGTCCCCTTTCTGGGCCCATATGCGAGAATGTTCACGACAGAAGACAATTCCCGCTATCATCAAAGCGCAAAAGCTTTCAGGCCACTGGCAGTGCCTGACATGGAAGGAGGGCCATGATGCCGAAATCCATGTAAGTGGTTCACTCGTGTTGTGCTATATGGACAGACTTACTGAGTGCTCAGCCCTTCTGGGACAGCGACATATACAAGACGACTGAAGCAGCCTGCTACCAACTCATGACCAAGGATGATCCAACAATGAGAGCCAATGTGGAGGAAGCTGTCGATATGATCAGAGCAGCTCAGCATCCCGACGGCTATATCAACTCCTATTATACCGTCAACGGCATCCAAAATCGATGGACCAATCTGCGGGATATGCATGAGTTGTACTGCTTGGGTCACTTGTTCGAATGTTGCGTCGCCTACGAGACTTTGACCGGTAGTGGTCGACTCCTTGAACCTGTCATGAAAGCTGTTCGACACATCGACTCGGTTTTTGGCACGGAATCCGGTAAGAAGCGAGGCTATCCTGGTCACCAGGAGATCGAGATCGGCCTCCTCAGGCTTTACGAAATGACTGGCGATCCTCTACTGCTCAAGGTTGCGAGCTATTTCATCCATGAACGAGGAACCCGGGATAGCAACGGAGAGACCTACTTCGACCACGAAGCCAAGGCTCGTGGGGAAGAATATAAGCACCATTTCCATATGAAACCCTGGTACCGGTTCCCTCGAGACTACGCTTATCAACAGGCCGATTGCCCGTTGACCGAGGCGACCGAAGTTCAGGGCCATGCCGTTAGAGCAATGTATTACTTCATTGCTGCTACGGACCTCTTCCGCCTCAAAGGCGAGAAAGATATCAAGACCGCTCTGGACCGCATGTGGAGAGATCTTGTCGACACAAAACTCTACGTTACCGGGGGCATTGGATCTATTCGACAATGGGAAGGGTTTGGCCCTCGATACTTTCTTGGAGATACCGAAGAGGGGGGTATATGTTATTCGGAGACATGTGCATGCTTCGCGTTGATTATGTGGTGTCAGAGGATGCTGCGATTGGATTTGCGTGCTGAATACGCAGAAGTCATGGAAGTCGGCCTTTACAACGGATTTCTCGGAGCTGTCAACGGAGTTGGAGACGCATTCTATTACGAGGACGTACTGCGTACCTTTACAGGTCGTCCCAAGGAACGCAGTCGATGGTTCGAGGTCGCTTGCTGTCCGCCGAATGTTGCCAAGTTACTGGGCTGTATGGGCTCTCTCATATACTCGTTCAAGGACGATATGGTGGCAATCCACCTCTACATCGAAAGCACATTGCGTGTGCCGGACACCGACATTGTCATCACGCAGAAGAGCAACCTGCCGTGGTCAGGTGACGTCGAAATCAAAGTTCAGGGCACGACGGCTTTGGCTCTGAGGATCCCTTCATGGGCTGACGACTACAAATGCTCCGTCTCAGGTGAAGTCCGCAATGGTTATCTATACCTTCCAGCATCGAAAGATGCGGAGGTAAAGTTGACGTTCACGATGAAACCAAGGAAGGTCTTTGCCAATCCGAAGACCGGAAAGAACGAGGTATGCATCATGCGCGGGCCATTGGTGTACTGCATTGAAGATGCAGACAACGACGTTGACGTTGACAATGTGTTTCTGACTCCAAGTTCTTTCAAGGAAGGGAAAGCGACCAGCATTGCTTCTGTACAAGACGTTGTGCCAGTCATTGCCCGAGGCAAGGAGATCACGAACGCCAACAGTGTGCCGCTGTATGGACAGCAACCATGGGAATATGGCGACGAGAAAGAGTTGGTATTCATACCATACTTCCTGCGAGCGAACCGTGGTGGGAAAGGAGGAATGAGGGTATGGTGTCCGAAGCTTTCATAGGCCTGCTCTCATTCGATAACGAGAGCTAAAAGTATGTGAGATCTGAGGACCACAATGGTATGATCGTACGAAAAGATGTTGAAGTGTTGATGGATGTATCGAGCGCTGTGCTAGGACGTGACAGCAATAAGAAAAAAATTTCCCGCGGAGAGTATCCGCCAGTATCGATTCTGCAGACACCGCTGCGACCATCTTTATACACCCTTCATTGCAAGCTGCAATAGGCAAATGGCCATAGCGGTACTTTTGCTGCAATCCAGAGCTCGTGTTTTTGGGCCTTGATTAATATAGCAGCTGAAAATCATGCATGTCAGATCGCCTCTCTCAGCAGCCGCGCCCCGCCCAAGGCGCGTTCGAAGCAGCAGTAAGAAGACAAACGCACCGCTTCCACAAAAGGTCCAAGAAACAGACTGCGTACTGTTCTAAGCACTAAGAAGATTTGCAATGATGGGACAATACTCTTGAAGCCCAATTGGTCTGTTCAGCGACGCTTCCCAGCCTGGAAACCTTCAGCCTGGGCCAGATATTCGCCATAGGCAAGCACCTAGCCACCCACATAGCTGTAATACCGACCGCATTTCATACAGATATTTGGACCGACTGCCACATGCTTCGCGCACATTGTCCTCACTTCTTGACAACATGTTGTTCGGAGTGACCAAAGACAATGGCATACGAGCCCGAATCAAGCAGCTCACCCCGGGAACGGAGAGGCCAATACATCTTCGGCAGGCTAGATCACCACAGCCAGCACCACGCGCAGCCCAGCACCCGCAGCGTTACCACGGACAGCGAGACCTGCACTTTGAAAACGTACAGGAATCCCCACCAATGGCCAGTCATTCCTCTAGGCTACCAAGTTTGCCTGCGACTACTGATTCTGACACTCTCTGCATTGGTTTCGGCCGCTTTGATATACCTGATCATCATTAGAAGTTCAACGGGAGATTCTCGACATCTTGACAGGGAGGGACACAATGTGCCTGCTTGGCCGGCAACTGTCTGGATGCAGCCGACATTCGTCCTACTAGGAGCTGCGGCTTTTTGCACGCTAGGCAACTTCTCATTTCTCATAGCAGAATGTTCAAAGGTCGGTTCGTCCCCACTGGTGCATTCGCCCTCTGACACTGCACAGTTCGGACGACGATGGTTGGGCTCGAAGGCTGCCTGGATCGCGTCATTATGCATCGTCTGCATGATCGCAGCCTGGATTATTGCAACGGCGTATGCGAAGACCTTCGGTGCCACCAACACATTTGCTTCGGATCTCTGGTCGTGGTCATGCGCACGAAAAGACGTGCAGCTAAATTACGGGAACAGCAGGATCGGGTTTGTCAAACTCTGTCAGTACATGGTAGGTCTCCAGTGATGCTTCGCCTGGCTGAGGTTGGAAGTGCAGGCTTCAGCTAACAAGCAAACAGGATTTCGTGTTCGGCGCTGGAGTGGCCACAATGTCGCTGGAGCTGATGGATCTTGTCCTTGTATGGCTCAACGAGATGGGGCATCGAGCAAGCAAGCAGAAATCCAGGCGCAATGCGCTCATCAGGAAGCATATCACCGGCCTTGAGATGGCCGGGCTGGACACCGTGGACAGATGAACCGGAATTGTCATGGTCTGAATATTTCTGCGTGGGAGCAGACATGCCAGCAAGCCGTTTACCACGATCTCGCCACCAATGCCTGTAGAGACGGTAATAGATGTGACAAACAGTTGAGCAGTCTGATTTCATCAGGCGTCCAGGGAGAGCCTGCAGCTCCGTTGGATGGTCGAGAGACACACAGAGAGTAGGGTGGAATCGAAGGCGCCTTGCCCGGCGTAATAGAGGTATTGAGTGCGTCGTACGTGGTCGTATTAGGAATCTTTAGCGAGCCCCACTAACTGCGCCAAAATTTGGGGACATGGACTTTTCTTCAGCCTGCGCATCGTTGTTGCTGCAATACATTCGCCGCCGCGTTCATTTCTCAGCGCAAGGGGGAAAAGTGAAGGACAGTCTATTGTTGACTGCTATTTATTGCGCACAAGAGTCGCAATGCTATGACGCACCATCATTGAACAACGGATTAAATCGCTCCATTGAGCATACACCACAACACACCTTTACGAACTTGTAGTGTCCTCTCTTTCCTCGGTCAAAATGGCGGACCCAAATATCTCTCGGTACAAATACTCGGCGATGTCGAACCTGGTTCTCCAGGCCGACCGTCGACTGTACTCGCGTAACAAGGATGAAAATACCGGCGACCCGGAGTCCCTCGCAGGGCGGCTCAACATTCGAGACATGGGGTCGCGAATCGCCCGAGAAGAAGCTCCAAAGCAGAAAAGGTTGGCTCCGGGCCTTGAAGGAGTGGAACGAGGCGCAATTCGTGAAGGCGAAGATGTCTTGGAAAGGGAACAGCGGAAACGAAAGAGGGGTGAGCCTGCCCAGACTCGAGGTGCTGGCATCCTGTCTGCTGGCGATGCACTGATCGAAGGGCTTAAGTATCGTCCTAGGACTCCCGCCACCCGCGCGACCTACGATCTCCTGCTTACCGTGACGGCGAATGCGCTCGGCGATGTGTCGCAGGAGATTGTCAGAAGCGCCGCCGATGCTATCCTCGAGTATCTGAAGGATGAGAACATGAAGGATCTTGACAAGAAGAAAGAGATTGATGATATTGTCGGGTCGACAATGACGCCGAAACAGTTCAACGAGCTTGTCAATCTGGGCAAAAAGATCACGGATTATGATGCGCAGGACGAGGACGAGGATATGGCCGATGGAGAAGAAGCCGAGCTTGATGATCGGCAAGGTGTTGCTGTTGTCTTTGACGAAGACGACGAGGATGAAGATGGAGTTGGCAGGACGTACGAAGTCCGAGACGACGATGAAGATACGGACGAAGACGACGACGTCCAAGATCAGCCCGACGACGAAGCGGCTACCGCTGGAGGTGCTGGGGCACGGGACCTTGAGCCTGATGAAGAGGATACCGGTATAGTACTGGATGGCGGCATGACCGAGTCTAGTCGCAGGAAACGAGAAGATTCAGACCTTGTTCCAATCCACGAGATAGATGCCTACTGGCTTCAGCGACAGATTGGGTCATTGTACGCCGACCCGCACATCCAGCAACAAAAGACCCAGGACGCTTTACAAATACTATCTGGCAAGTCACTCGAAGGAGAAGAGTTATCTCTTCGTGACATTGAGAATGACTTGATGGATTTATTTGACTATGACCACCCAGAGATGGTCGGCAAATTTGTTGCCAACCGCGACAGAATAGTTTGGGCCACGAGATGGCGCAGAGTGGCCGAGGATGCTGATGCTCGGCATCTGGTGGAAGTCGAAATGGTCGAAGCTGGTCAGCGAGCTATTCTCAATGAGTTGCTCGGCAACGAGGACCGTGGCGAGGAAGCGCCTCGACCAGCAAAGAAGATGAAGCTAGATCTGATGGACATCGATATTCCGAGAGCACAAACGGAGAAACAAGAAGAGAAGAAAGACGGTGTGCTCTCTGGTGGGCTGCAGCCCCAGCGGCTCATCAACCTCGAGAACCTGGTCTTCGAACAGGGGAATCATCTTATGACCAATCCGAAGGTTGTGTTACCTCAAGGCTCGACGAAGAGGACGTTCAAAGGCTATGAAGAAATTCATGTGCCTGCACCTAAGCCGAGACGCGATCCAGGCGAAAAGAACATCCCAACCAGCGACTTGCCTGACTGGGCAAGACAAGGATTCGGCTCTGCCAAGGAATTGAACCGGATTCAGTCGAAGTGTTTCCCGTCTGCATTCGGCGATGATGGCAATATGCTGGTCTGCGCACCGACGGGGTCCGGCAAGACTAACGTGGCTATGCTGACGATGCTGCGAGAAATTGGGAAGCATAGAAATCCCGAGACCGGCGAGATTATGCTGGATGACTTCAAGATCATCTACATTGCCCCTCTGAAAGCTTTGGTCCAAGAACAAGTGGGCAACTTTGGCAAACGACTTGAGACATACGGTATTCGGGTGTCTGAGTTGACAGGAGATCGACAGCTCACCAAGCAGCAAATTGCAGACACTCAGGTCATTGTGACAACACCTGAAAAGTGGGATGTCATCACACGGAAAGCCACCGATTTGAGCTATACCAGACTTGTTCGCCTTATCATAATTGATGAAATCCATTTGCTCCACGACGACCGCGGGCCAGTTTTGGAAAGTATTGTCAGCCGGACAATTCGAAAAATTGAACAGACTGGCGACCCCGTGCGCATAGTCGGATTGAGTGCAACACTTCCTAATTATCGGGATGTTGCCACGTTCCTTCGAGTGGACCCCGATAAAGGTCTCTTCCATTTTGACGGCTCTTTCAGACCTTGTCCTCTACGTCAGGAATTCATTGGCGTTACCGACAAGAAAGCGATCAAGATGCTGAAGACCATGAACGACGTTTGTTATGCCAAGGTGATGGAACATGTTGGCACAAATCAGCAACAGATGTTGATATTCGTTCATTCTCGGAAAGAGACTGCCAAAACAGCCAAGTACATTCGTGACAAAGCTGTTGAATCGGAAACCATTGGACAGATCATGCGAACAGATGCAGCCAGTAGGCAGATCTTACAAGAAGAGGCCGACCAGGTACACGACGCCAATGTGAAGGAGTTGATGCCTTACGGCTTCGGCATCCATCACGCTGGATTGAGTGCAGCAGACCGTTCATCGGTTGAAGACCTTTTCGCCGATGGTTCCTTACGCGTTCTTGTCTGCACAGCAACACTTGCGTGGGGTGTCAATCTTCCCGCACACACGGTCATCATCAAAGGCACGCAGGTTTACTCACCCGAGAAGGGTAGCTGGGTTGAGCTCAGTCCTCAAGACGTGCTGCAGATGTTGGGTCGTGCTGGTCGACCGCAGTACGATTCTTACGGTGAAGGTATCATCATCACGTCGCAGGCAGAAATTCAATATTACCTGTCACTCCTGAACCAGCAGTTACCCATCGAAAGTCAGTTGATGAGCAAGCTTGCTGACAACCTGAACGCCGAAGTTGTGCTGGGAAACGTGCTGTCCAGAGACCAGGGAGTCGAGTGGTTGGGCTATACATATCTGTTTGTCCGTATGATCCGCTCTCCTGGTCTGTATAGCGTTGGTGCGGACTATAGCAACGATGAAACCCTTGAACAGAAGAGGGTCGATCTCATTCATTCGGCTGCTGTGGTTCTCGAAAAGGCTGGCCTGGTCAAGTACGACAAGACTTCGGGGAAACTGCAAGCTACAGACCTCGGACGAATTGCTTCTCATTATTACATCACACACCATTCTATGTTGACTTACAACACCCATCTACAACCTTCGATCAGCACCATTGAGCTCTTCCGCATCTTTGCTCTCAGCGACGAGTTCAAGTACATTCCTGTTCGACAAGATGAAAAGCTGGAACTGGCTAAGCTATTGGGCCGAGTGCCAATTCCGGTCAAAGAGGGAATGGAAGAGCCGCAAGCGAAGATCAACGTATTGCTTCAAGCTTTCATTTCCCGGCTGAAATTGGAAGGTCTCGCCCTCATGGCTGACCTTGTCTACGTCACACAGTCGGCTGGACGTATTCTTCGGGCCATCTTCGAGATATGTCTGAAGAAGGGCTGGGCCTCCGTGGCTAAGATTTCCCTAGATCTTTGCAAGATGGCCGAGAAACGAATGTGGCCGACGATGACTCCTCTGAGACAGTTTCCTATGTGTCCACGAGAGTATGTTCAGAAGGCCGAGAGAATGGAAGTCCCCTGGTCAAGCTATTTCGACCTGGATCCTCCTCGGATGGGAGAGTTATTGGGACTTCCCAAGGCTGGACGCGTTGTGTGTGACCTTGTCTCGAAATTCCCTCGACTGGAGGTGCAAGCTCAAGTTCAGCCTATGACAAGATCCATGCTTCATGTTGAACTCACGATTTCGCCCAACTTTGTCTGGGATGATGCATTGCACGGGAACGCCGAATCTTTCTGGATTATTGTCGAGGATTCTGATGGTGAAGAAATCCTCTTCCACGATCAGTTCATCCTGCGAAAGGAGTTTGCTATTGGCGACATGACGGAGCATCTTGTTGATTTCACCGTGCCAATAAGCGAACCCATTCCACCCAACTACTTCATCACGCTCATGTCTGACCGATGGATGCATGCGGAGACTCGAGTTCCCGTATCGTTCCAGAAACTCATCCTGCCTGAACGATTTCCGCCTCATACTCAGCTCTTGGACCTGCAGCCAGTGCCTGTCCAGGCACTCAAAATCAGGGAGTATGTGGACCTCTATCCCCATTGGGATAGGTTCAACAAAATTCAAACACAGGTCTTCAAGTCTTTGTATGACAGCGATGACAGCGTGTTTGTTGGTGCGCCAACCGGAAGTGGCAAGACTGTCTGTGCCGAGTTTGCACTATTACGGCACTGGAAGAACCCCGAATCTGGGAAAGCAGTCTACCTTGCGCCATTCCAGGAGTTAGTTGACGGTCGTCTTGCTGACTGGCAAGAGCGGCTATCTCGAGTGGGTGGTGGGAAGACTATCTCAGCACTGACGGGCGAGACCACTGCTGATCTACGTATACTCGATCGGTCAGACCTCGTCCTGGCCACTCCTACTCAATGGGATGTCCTTTCCAGACAGTGGCAACGTCGCAAAAATGTCCAGAACGTTGAGCTATTCATTGCCGACGAGCTCCACATGCTTGGCGGCGAGAATGGCGCCATCTATGAGGTCGTCGTGTCAAGGATGCAATACATTCACATTCAGCTCGAGAACAAACTGCGGATCATCGGGCTCAGCGTACCACTCTCAAACGCAAGAGACGTTGGCGAATGGATTGGGGCAAACAAGCACACCATCTACAATTTCAGTCCACTGGTCAGACCTGTCGGCTTGGAATTGCACATTCAGTCATTCAATATTCCGCATTTCCCATCCCTGATGATGGCTATGGCTCGACCAGCATACCAAGCCGTGCTGCAACTGTCTCCCGACAAACCTGCCATCATCTTTGTACCTGGCAGGAAACAAGTACGAGCTACTGCTGTGGACATACTTTCGGCTTGCATTATGGACGACGACGAGGAACGATTCCTGCATACCAACGTTGAAGAACTGGCTCCCTTCTTGGAACGCATCCATGAGCGCGCCTTGGCTGAATCCTTGACACATGGTATTGGCTACTACCACGAGGCGTTATCCGCAAGCGACAAACGCATTGTATCTCACCTCTTCAAGATTGGCGCCATTCAGGTTATGCTCGCCTCTCGCGATGTCTGTTGGGAAATCCCCTTTACCGCACATCTTGTCATTGTCATGGGCACACAGTACTTCCAAGGCCGTGAACACAGATACGTCGACTATCAAATCGCCGAAGTCCTGCAGATGTTCGGCCGCTCCTGCCGGCCGGACCAAGACAGACTCGGCAAGGGCGTGCTTATGGTTCCCCAGGTCCGACGAGAGTACTACAAGAAATTCCTGCACGAAGCGCTGCCCATCGAGAGTCATCTCTCGCTATGGATGCACGATGCATTCGTCACTGAGATCAGCACCAAGACCATCACATCAACCCAGGACGCAGTTGACTGGACCACATATACGTACTTCTACCGCCGGCTGCTCGCCAACCCAAGCTTCTACGGCCTGAACGACACATCGCACGACGGCCTGAGCACATTCCTCTCTGAACTCGTTGAGAGCACTCTCAAGGAACTCGCGGAAGCCAAGATTATCGACCTCGACGAGGAAGATGACTCCGTCTCGCCGCTCAACCCAGCCATGATCGCGGCATACTATAACATCAGTTTCATTACGATGCAAACCTTCTTGTTGTCACTCACGGGCCGGACGAAACTGAAAGGCATGCTAGAGATTGTCACCTCCGCGACCGAGTTTGAATCAATTCAAATGCGCCGCCACGAGGATCACATATTGAGGCGTATATACGACCGGGTGCCCGTGAAGATGTCCGAACCGGCGTATGACTCGCCGCATTTCAAAGCCATGGTCCTTCTGCAAGCGCACTTTTCACGTATGCAACTTCCCATTGATCTGGCCAAGGACCAGGAGGTCATTGTCAGCAAGGTTCTGAGTCTCCTCTCCTCTTGCGTGGACGTCTTGAGCAGTGAGGGTCACTTGAACGCCATGAATGCCATGGAAATGTCCCAGATGGTCGTGCAGGCAATGTGGGATCGTGATAGTCCGCTGCTCCAAATCCCGCATTTCGACAGCAAGACTGTGGATGTTCTGGCCCGGCACGATATCAAGGACATTGATGAGTTCATGACGGCCATGGACCCGAGCGAGAACCCGGACCACGCCAAACTCGTGGCGGAGATGGGCCTGACGAATCGCCAGCTCGTGGAGGCGGCCAACTTCACTAACAACAAATATCCCAGCCTCGAGCTGGAGTTTGAAGTCGTGGATAAAGACGAGGTCACTGCGGGACAGCCAAGTCTTCTCCAGGTCAAAATCGCAAGGGAGGTGAACGACGATGATGAAGAGGAAGAAGGCGAGGTGGATCTCACAGTGCACGCGCCGTTCTATCCGGGCAAGAAGTTGGAGAATTGGTGGCTCGTCGTGGCTGAGGAGAAGACCAGATCGTTGCTGGCAATCAAGAGGATCACCGTCGGCAAGAGCCTCGCGACCAAGTTGGAATATGTGGTCCCGACGCCGGGCAAGAAGGATCTCACGCTGTTCCTCATGTCGGATTCGTATGTCGGAGTGGACCAGAGTATGGCGTTTAGTGTGGAGGTTGCCGAGGGGATGGATGAGGATGAAGAGCAGGATGACGAGGAAGCCGGAGAGTGAATATAGTGGTTGAAGAAGAATTGAGGCTGATGGGGATTTTGTTTGTATTGCTGCAGCAAAAGAAACAGGCACTGGCGGTTCTGTAAGTTAGGTAGATCAAAAACTTGAAATGTTCAGTGATTATGGTTCTGCATATACCCTATATCGCTTCCCACCCGAGAAGCTCTACCTGGCATGCGATGGCTGCCACTGGGGATATATGTTTCCCAAATACGCACGTTCTGTCTCGAGCTGGCCTCTCGTGTACATACCATATGGTCCTATCTGACCGCTCACAGACATTATGTGCCCCTTCTTCCACCATGGCTGCGTCACTTTTTCAATGACCTGTACCTAGCTGCCCCTATAAGCCATTGAAGCCGACGAATGGCTCGATTGTCCCATAACCGCACTTGACGCTCACGTATCCATACTCATGATCGTTTCGACACCTGGGGAGCACTTCACCCTCCTCAGGCTCAAACCAGAAGGGTATACTCTCACCAGTGGACGTGAAGTCGTCAATAGCAGCTTCGAAGACCAATTTGTTAACTGCTTCCAGTTTGCCACCCCCTTTGAAAAAGTTTTTGGTATCGACTGGGATCTTCTCGTCCGTATCATGTACGCTCATGATGTTGAATTCGTTTGGGAGCATGCCAGCGCACAAACAATTGGATGTATGCTTCAGAAGACTGATCAATCCGCGACACATGGATTTGCTGTGCCTCATCATATTGACGCAGTAGAATGGAAAAGCATCCTCGGCATTTTCGCTAACCCACTGTCGAGTACCCATGACAGCCAATTGGTCAGTAAACATGTCGTGAAGTATTCCGGCCTGCAGGGCCAAAGAAAGTCTCATTCGTGGACTCATACACCCCTCGAAACAATGTCCGCAAGTGCAGCCACCGGCCAAGCGCTTCCACCCTTCATCTTTGGGCTCGTGGTGGACGCCCTTCAAGATTGCCAGACACCGAACAGCATTTTTCGGATAGCCACGGAACGCGTCCGAATAATGAAGGAGGAAGCGCCCCCCAGTAAACAAGCGGGTTCTGGATTTGTCTAGTACCAGCTCTAGCGCCTCCAAAGGGGTGTCGTAGTCTTGATTGCGAATGTTTTGTAAACGGCGGCCTCCTGGCTGAGCCATCATCCAGGCCAGACATGCCGGTTCGTGGGCCATAGCCGCAATATGCATGAGAGTATTTCCTTTCATGTCCGTGGCTAGCCATCGTTCGTCGTTCGGTTCGGCTTGTCCGAGATGTTTCTGAAGGGCTTTGACAAGAACCTTGTCCTTGGACGTCTCGAAGGCCCGCCGAATGGACTCCGGTACAAGATTATTAGAACGGGATATTGGTGGAGGGTCGTAGTCTTCTGCAATGGGCGGAAGCTGGGATTGAGCATCATGGCCAACAAGGGTGCCAAACCAGATGGAAGACCCTATCCGCCTGAAACCGACGGATCGAAGCCACTTGATAGCCTGGGCGTCCTTTCTCTCAATGAAATTATAGCTGAGGTATCCGACAAGGTTCTCCATGGTTTGATGGAAGTTGTCACCTTTGAATGGATCCGGCCACGCCAAAGCAACGAATTTTCCACCATCAATCTTCTTGCTTGCAGCACTGAGCAGTGTCTGAACCAATCGAGTCCCGATGCCGCGTTGTCGATATCGTTGGTCGATAGTTACATCTTCTATCAGTAATATGTCGCCTTCGTCAAGCTGATCTTTCCAGAATCCCGAACCTTTTCGGATGGGGTGATGTTTGTAGTCGTCTTTCAGTCTTCCATAACGATCAAACAGGTCGAATGCCAACACAGTCAACTCGTTGACTGGCGCTCTCATGCTTTTATGGAAAGAATGCCATATTTGCTGCCTCCTAACCAAGTTGGCCATGCAACAGCCCACTTGTTCAGACGTCTTCTCGTCAGTCGCGATGACATCGATGGGTTCCAGCCATGTGAGGCCATTAAACTCGTCATATGTCTCGTACTTGTCATCCGAATACTCAATATGGAGGTTTTCACCAGACACGTTGAGTGAATTCACTTTCACCTCCCCTAAATCACACTTTGGTTCCGCACCCCCGGATCCTTTGGGATCATTTATATTGGCCTTTTTGCGCGAGTGAAGGCGTATCTTGATTGCAATGTGGTCTTGGAAAGAGGATGAGGTATCGGCAAGGGAGGGCTGTACGCGGTCAATAACTGCCTGGTGCATATATGCGTTGAGTGTCGCGTGTTACCTCGTGCTCGATGGATTCTCGAGTACAAATCGTTTTCGCGGGTTGTTCCTCGGAAGCAGTCCCGATGGGACGTTTTCTAGATTCCATTATGGACATGGATCTGACCTCAAAGAAGTAAAGAGATGATGGGAAGAAAGCAGGGGTGTGTTTCAAGACAAGAATTTCAAGAAAGAAGATTGTTAACAGAATGACGCAGGCAGCCACAGGGTCGTTTCAGCGCACTTCATCGCACTTACCGTTGCTACATCTTCACAGACAGGGCGATTGATAGCACCAAACAGGTGCCAATAGCTTCAGTTATCGCGACTCTCCCCAGTCGGTCTGAGCAGGGGTTTCGAAGACGCTCAGTACTGTTTCCATCGAGATATTATCGCGAGCGCATCACGCCCGTGCATCCCTCCGTGATCCTCTCAGTGCGGGATGTGATGCGGGGAGAAATGGAGGTCCTCTTCCGGTGCTCTTATCCGATGGCAATGGGCGTGGCAACCTCAATGAGCCATGTCTTTACCCGAGGGTGGATTTCTTTGCGCCGGCGACTGGCTGAGAGATAGTTCAATCTTTTATAACTCTGTCGCTTTAAGACTCGCTCATTCCTTATTCTTGCTTCCTTTCGTTCGCTAGAAGTGCTCCCACTGACCAGGACCATTTCGTCGACCCAGACGTACTCAACAGCATCTTCACTTCCTCCTCCGACTCATAAAAGCACTAGACAGCATGGCAAATGCCCGAGGCTTGAAGCAGATCCTCTCGAAGAACCCCTCTGATGTTGTCATCCTATCCTCCCTGCGAACACCCGTAACGCGAGCAGTCAAGGGCGGTTTCCGAGACGCTTACGACCATGAGCTCCTCTCACACGTCCTGCGGGCCACACTCGCCGCAAACCCCAACCTAGACCCTGTCAAAATCGACGACGTTGCAGTTGGCGTCGTCCTGGCTGAACTAGGTGGATCAAAAGCTGCAAGGATGGCACAGCAACACGCTGGCTTTCATGAGCGAACATCCCTACACACGGTCAACCGAGCTTGCAGTTCGGGGCTACAAGCTGTGACCAACATAGCACACAGTATCACCATGGGCCAAATCGACGTAGGGGTCGGCGCTGGTATGGAGAGTATGACTAAAAACTACGGTAGCAAGGCCATTCCCACAATGCTCTGGGATGAGCTCAAAAACAGTCCAGACGACAACACTAAGGACTGCATTATGCCGATGGGTCTGACGAGCGAGAACGTGGCCAAGAGATATGGCGTAAGTCGAGAGGATCAAGATACCTTTGCTGTCCAATCACACCGCAAAGCCTCAAAGGCACAGAAGACCGGATTGTTTGATTCTGAGATCGTGCCTGTCAAGGTCAAGCAGACGGAACCTGAACACCCAGATGTTCCCAAGGAAGTCGTGGTAGACAAGGATGACGGTATCAGACACGATGCCAGCGCTGAAAAGATGGCCAAGCTCAAGCCGGCATTCTCAAACGACGGATCATCCACGGCAGGGAACTCATCTCAAGTCTCAGATGGGGCAGCCGCGACGTTACTCATGCGACGATCCACTGCCAATGAGCTCGGCTTGAGTAAAGACATCATTGGCAAGTGGGCTGGTACGCAAGTTGCAGGATGCAGACCAGACGAAATGGGTATTGGTCCTGCAGTCGCGATTCCGAAATTGCTCGACTACACCGGCTTGACGACGGAAGATATCAACATATGGGAGCTCAACGAAGCATTTGCCAGTCAAGCTCTGTATTGCATACGCAAATTGGGATTGGATGTCGAGAAGGTCAACCCCAGAGGCGGAGCAATTGCCTTGGGCCATCCATTGGGAATGACGGGCACGAGACAGCTTGCCACCCTGATGCCTCAACTGAATGAAGGTGAGGTCGGTGTGGTAAGTATGTGCATCGGCACGGGTATGGGCATGGCTGGTCTGTTTGTCAGGGAATAAAAGCCGCAAAGTTCTCTTCTCGGGAAGACCGAATTATAGGACTGGGGGAAGCGATGAGTCAAGAAAGGGGCTTGGGGTCCTGACGGACGATTGCTCATGACGCTTTCTCGATTAAACGATGGTGCAAGTCACGTCTGGAGCCCTTTTTCAACCTGGAATCTGTTGAGCTTACAAGAAGACTTTGAGTGCACGAGGATCTTGTGCTCCAGCAGGACGCCAAAGAGTCTGTTCGGAACCAGAGTTCACGGCTTCCGTACATTGACACGTACTGACGGTCATATGTTTATACAGCATTTCACTGCGCTGAGACGGGCAAAAGTAAACCAGCATCATCTCTGGATATATAGATTGACAAGAATATATAGTGTACATCTATCGTTGCTTTAGCCTGCCAAAGGATTTTGTAACCCTTCCTCGCCCCTTAAACAGCAACGCTCAGCACACCTCCGGTATTCCCCAGATGCTTCGGACGAATCGGCCATTAACATGCTTTCAGCATGGCACAAGTCTGGCACACCAGTGACCTTTGTGAAGGTTAACACGATTCCGCCTTCACTTAGCTTGTATTGTTGACAGTCTGCTCCCAGCCCTCCCGTTGCGGCGCCAGGTTCTTATGCCCCAACACCGGCAGCCCTTTAGCTCTGAGTTCTCGCTCAATCACCTTCCACCTGCCAATCTCCTTCTCTTTGTCCACGGGCGTTTCGCGGCGTGAGAGGACCATGACATTCGGTCCGAGAGGCTGTGGAACCTTTCTCTTCGGCTTTGTGTTCTCAACTTCACTTTTGGATTCAGGGTCTGGTAGTGCTTGAGACTCGTCTTCGGCCTTCGCGGTCCAGCGCAGCGCCTTGAGCTGCTTTGCAATGAGAATGTCTGCTGTTTTCTGTGGCTTCGGCTTGGAGGCGGTGTCAAGCAGATTGACGAAGTCGAGAAGAGATTTGTTGGTGCGCATGACGGTGTTCAGAACGGGATCGGGAATGGGAATAGAGGATATTCGGGAATATTGTTTGACAACCTGATGGATCTTGAGTCAGCGAGAGCCATCCCCCTGGAGCAGTCTGCGCAAATTGCTAGATATAACTTACAGAGAGCGTGATCGGATCATTAAAGTCGAATCTCGCCTTCGACAGCAGCTCCATGATATCGGATAAGGGAAGCTCAACAGACTTGTCTTCTGCCGGGGGTCCGGGATTTTGCAGGACTCCTGTCGGATCCTCGAGGTGCGACAAGGTACCGGTTGGAGACAAAACGATCTTGACTGCATTGTACGCATCGGCGCCGATTGGGCTTAATCCTCTGACCAAAAAACTTTTCGGTTTGCGACCTTGCTGTATAATCTCTTTGTATGCAAGGCAATCCACCACTGCAATATATAGCGAAGCCAGAAGATTTGTACGATCAGGAGTTGCTGTGTCGTCCTTCAAAAGCCAGCTAAAGATCGTTAACCGTCGTCCTGCCGGGTATGTTGTTTTGACTTACGGTTCAAATTGATCCTGTGGTTTTGCAGGGATGTCTTTCCAATGGCCGCGATGTCCAACGTGTTCTAGTCCATCCCACGTTTGAGCTTCGACGTAGCTTTGCACCGGTACGGTGTCGGTGTCGGAGGAGGTAGTGGCCTTGGTTGTGCTAGAAATTCCGCGAGTCTGCTTCGCATTGAATTGCAGGCGATCCCTGCATGTTCGACAGATGTATCTTGAAGTCGGAACTCTGGAGAGATCATATAAGGATTGAAAGGCGCGGCGTGATGTCGCCATGTTGCTCACGAGCAGCTTGAATACACCGGATATGAAGGAGCAGTGCGTAGTTGTCGTTCTGACGGATCCAGAGAGATAGTCGACTCGTCCAAAATCTTGTCAAGCTCGACTTCCTCCGCATGCGCCAAGATGAGACTGGCAGCTCATCCCGTTTGGGGAGGAAGGCGATGCCGCCCTATGGATATACATCAGTCTGTAGTCTCCGTACTCCGTAATACTACTCAACATTCATGCTACAGTACATCTAATGTCTAATCCCAAATAGTGAACAATCTATCTTGCAGTCGCCTTGCAGAACGAACTAGCGCTCTGTCGATCTTTGTGAAATAATCTGCGGCTGTTATTACGATGACCGTGATGATGAGTGCCATCAACATGTAGGCCCACAAGGAATCACCCAGATGTGTTTGCCGCCATGAGTCCAGGAACTGTTGCTTGATCCCCATACCGAAAGGGACATGCATAGCGTAGAGGCCAAATGAGATGTCCCCCAGGTATCGTGAGATCTTCCAGCCAAGTGGCCTCTGCAGGGCCGGATAAAACTCCAGCGAGTACACGAGGGCCAAGCTGCCCCATCCAAGCCAAAAGACATAACGTCCGGTTTCCGGCCACCAAAACGGGATAGCTTTATTCAGATACGCCCAAGGGAACTGTTTCCAGAGAGGGAGCTCGGCCTGACCATCGTCAACTTCTCCTAGAAGAAGGAAGCCAACGATGAAGATGGCGACATGTGTGATCCTCGAGATCAATGACTGATCTTGAGCAGGCTTCTCATCGTTGTTCGTCGGCAATTGCGGAGGGCCCGCGACACGCTCGGGATGACAACACAACGACAATTGCGCGATGAAAAGACCGCCAGTGAACTCGGCAATGTAGACCGCTTGCCAGCAATAGCTGACGACAATGATAAGCCACATTATCAGCATGCGAGCGCGGGGCGTCAACTTGCAGATGGCGGTGCAAAACGCAAACAGGAACACGCTGCCACGAAATTCCACGGGAATGGTCCACATCTGTGGTAGGTAGTCCGAGGAGAGCGGGTGGTTGTCCTTCAGATCCGTCACGTTCGCGGAGAACGGATTGCAGAATTTGAAGACATCGTTGAACCAGTGCAGCAGCTGGGCACCGAAGTTCTTGTGGTAGATCTGGATGAAATATACGCCGTCATACAGTCGTAGGCGCAAAAGGACAAGCGTGATGAGCAAGGCCATGACGCTACTGCCGTACAGACGCATGTATCGTCTGAAAGCGGAGGACGCGAGGCTGTGCAGCATTGGGCCTTCTTCCCTTCTGTGCATATTTAGAAGCAGGCCGTAGCCCAGGGCATAACCGGATATGACGTAGAATACGGCTACCATGCCAGATCCTGAGAAGAGTGTGCTTACGAATGGGTAGCGTCGCCACGTTACCTCGCCTTGTCGGTCATACAGGTGGAAGATGTAGACGAAGAACGCTGCGTAGCCGCGGAGCGCGTCGAGATATGCAGTGGGACTGTCGCGCGGCGACGAGATCTGAGATGGTACGCAGTAGGTCGGTAGGGCGGACTTGAGCACCTGGCCAACGGCGTGCACGCATTCTTTGAAGCGGGAATAACGCGAACGGTTTTTGACCGCTATAGGGGATTGTGAGGATTCTGAGCGCTCGTCCTCTGCTCGATCCATGAGAGGAATGTTTTCGGCATAATCGTCCTCGTCTTGGACTTCGAGAGGAATAGCTGGGGCATACCCGCCTCCCTTCGGAACCTGAAAGTGGATGGGTTCATCGTCGTCTGTTGGAGCCTCCAACAAAATGTCTTCGGCATGTCCATCACGTTCTCGTGCGTTCGGAGGGTCATTTTCCGCCATAATGAGAGCTTTGAGAAAGCTCGACCGGCCAGTACATCGAACAAGCAAGGGGGAAGACAGAAAATCAAGAACTTACGGAGCACAGGAGGCGGGAGTGGCTAAGACCTGAAATTCGTGATGCCCCATAAAGAGACAAGTGCAAACTCAGTATCAGACGAGCTAGAAACGCCACAATTTGCTGCAACCGCTCAAGGAAGAAGTGCCGACACATTCCTGTCCTTACCTCAAGCGGGCGACAGAGATATGAAGGATGGGGGTGTCAAAAGAAACTCGGAATGTGTAGAAACTATGGAATCAAGGAGGCCGACAAGGTGAGGTTTGAAATGTGGTGCGAATAGTGTAGGTAGGATTGAGAGACGGCTGAGACGGGTACGGTCGCGAGTACGGAGTACCTAAGTTGGTGGTTCCTATCGCGGCCATGGCACATTTTGCCGACCTCGGCTGCTAGTTTTTCCGGTGCTGGAACCGCCAAGACCTCGTGGAGAGGCACGTGACTGCTGCTTTTTCGTCTTCACTTTCGAGCGAGGACTCGTCCTTGCTTCCATATACCATATCCATCCTGCTCTTCAGTTGACATTGATAGCTGTCTATCCATCAACAGTGACATGCGTTGTACAGCTTGGAACCATCACTGTCGATACCGACGTCGCCAAGGTCCTTGACGACATCACCAGGCCTTGTCGGATCCCGATGCCACTTCCTCTCACTCCACTGCCATTCTTTACGCAGACCAGTCTCCCTGCCTTCAAATGCATCTGCGATATACTTGCCAATAGTTGGCAGAAACTTGAAGCCATGACCACTGTCGCCGGTGGCCAGAAGCAGCTCACCCCCAGGATAGTTTGGGTGTGGGCCTATCAGCCAGTGTTGGTCAGGAGTGTCTGTGCACCAACAAATGCGGGCTCCAAGTAACGGACGTCCCGAAAATTGAGGTACCACTGCATCAATGAACCGGTTGATTGCTTGAACAGCTTCTTCAGGGATGCCATCTTCCGGATGATCACTTGCATATCGCGGAACACTGTACTTTTCCACCTTCCCATCATGCGCGTACTCTCCTTTCCTCCACTGGTACCCGGGAAAAGCATTGCAAATTTTGATCCATCCACTATCAGGGTCGGGCTCGAAAAAGAACCCCAACTCGTGATTGTCCACCACTGGCATACCCTTGAACTGTTCTACCTCTTCTTTCGTGAGCTGGATATGGGCCAGCGTCCAGCATTTCGACCAGAGTTGAGGGGAGAGCTCTGGTAAAATTGCCGGCGATGCGGCACCTGTTGCAAGGATATATCTGGATGCCGTAAGAACAGCGCCAGACTTGACTTTGACGCCTGTGATTCTGTTGCTTTCCCTTACGAGGCCCGTCATTGTCCCTCCAGCTCCAGAGATGAAGCGGACCCCTAATTGTTCTGCTTCTGATCCGAGTTTTGCAAGAGCATTCTTCGCATGTGCCCAGCCTGCTTGTCTATTCCACAAGCCTTTCCAGTTGTCAAGGCCTCTGGCCGCAGTGATCTGAGGCACATATCGGGTGATCTGGTCTTTTCCCCCCACGAAGTCGATGCTGTCAGCGTGGCCTTGACGTTTTAGATTCTCATAAGATCGACGAAGGTGCTGAGCCGCCGCTGGCTCTCCGCATGTTGTCACTATCCACCCAGTTTCGTGGAATATGTCCTTCCACATGGGGTCACGCCATGCTTCTAGTGCCTCGATCGCCAGTTCGGCATATAGCGGCTCATCGTATTCCGTGCGGATGATCTTGTTCAGATCAAACGCCGCACTGTCCAAGCTCGGGCATGGATGCTTGTCAATACAGGTGATGAAGGTATACCCTCGTTTGGCGAGATGGTATGCTGTGCTGATCCCAAAGGTACCACTAGAGACCGTCAGTGTCAATCCAACATACGTCACCCGGCCAAAAAGCATACCTTCCAATGATCAATACCGAAGCATCCATGATTGCAGACTTCAACCTCGTACAACCGAGAGTACTGACAGTGACTGGAGTACAATGCGGATGAACTCCTTACTCCGAAAAGCTCGTCTCCCACTTTGCCCCACGGAGCAATTCAGAACATCACCAACATGTCCCCAGGCCTGCAACATTACGACACTAGCATCTCGATGGTCTTGCCACCTACCTGTCTGGAATCGATGGGGGCGAATTGGTAAAAAGGACGTAAAGGTGCACGCGGTCAAATCACATCAAGTAATTGATTTCTCCAGATAGAGCTCCCCTCAACTGGTTCGTCGACTATTGCCCCGTACGTCAAGAACCTACTGCCGGCGACTGAAAATATTTTACAAGATTCAATACGAGTACCCCTTGTCCACAGCCCCTGTGACCACGGATATGGCCGCTCTTGCATATAACATTCAATTGCGCGTGAGGGAGCCCGGAGAAGTTGATTAGTTAAGGTCCGCGGCCTTTCCCTATTCGTGCCAGTATATCAAGGCACCATTACACAGAACGACCAATGAAACTCTTATACAAAGCCAACAGCCAACGCAAGACTTGACATCCTGTTTCCAACCGCCCCGGATTAGTTGTAACACTCAACCCAGACATGCCTCGAGCATGACGTCGACGTCCAAGCCAGCCATTTCACGACTGGTCGCCTCACTGAGGGCATATGTCGCAGAAAATCTCGAAACCCTAAATTTATTCCCCGTCAGCCAGCCATACCTTTCAGCCACGACTCAACAGCTGGTGACCTGAAAAGACTTACAAGATCTTTCCCCGGCGAATTGGAACAGTTGGTCGAGAGCGGCCACTTTTGCTGAATCGCCCAAAGCGCCGAGTCGGGACTGTGATCGAACACGATCGGAACGAATGGCGCCTTGTGTCGGTACAAGTCGATTGTATCTGCGTCGTTATACTTCTCGTTAGCTCACGTCAACCATGCTACATATCAGACAGTTCTCTGGCATCACATGTTCCTCAATCACTATTTGTTGCGTCGCCGCCATATTGAGGCACCGGAGAAGAGAGGCAGCGCCAGAGCCAGAACCTGACATTGGAAAGGAGTTCAAGCATAAGAACGTACCAGTGAATCTGAGCGTGAGATTCTCCAAACGCGAACCCCTGACGCCGTACCCAACGCCCGTACCGTCCCAATTGATGCCGTCCATTTGGCCTGACAACACGCTCAAGGGCTGCTCGGGGCCCATCAACACGACTACCACACGACGGGTGTTAGTCACCTTGGAAGAAGGGCAAGCCGAGCAAGGCAATTGGACACCATGGCATCCAGAGTGATCCTGGCCTGGGTGGAAGAGGAATGCTAGGCCGGAGTAGACCGGCTGGACATACCTCGCAAGTTATACCCGGCTTTGACGATATCGGCGGCGTCCCCTCGTAGCGCGGCATCAACGGCTGCCGGGTCGAAGCCCTGCGCCGTGACCAGGGGATGGTATGGTGGTAGGCCACTGCAATGTCACCCATAAGTGTCTGACGCTCTTGTACCGTCCGTGATGGATACTCGAATAAAGACAAAGGCAGGCAAGCGTACGTGAAAATGATATCCAGATCTCCGCAGCCAGGCTTTGGAGGCCATGAGGGCGCGGCCAAGGTGAGACTGGCTGCCGGAGCGAGTGAGAGCAAAGTCTTGAAGGAGACCATGGCTGAGAATGTTGGTATACCGTTGGTAGGAGGTTTGGAGGTAAATGGAAACAGAAGTCGGTTGGAAAAGTGGTTGACAACATATCATGAAGGCCATTGCAGGGGGTAATTATCTGTTTCTCAGAATTCTTGTCTAGCACCAGAAACGACCGGGAAATTAGCACCGGGGCATGCAGCGTGCTGGAGCGACGCCAAAGCCGTACAGGCTCGTGGAAGTATGATCGTAAAGTCTCTCCAGGTCGGTACGTATACAATAGTCACAGCCCCCAATTCAACAGCCTTGCAAAGAGTTGAGTGCCGGGCCTTGGTTGCCGATACTCCGACTGACGTGGCTACACCGGAAAGGGTACCTCCTGGGATATTCTGCGCATTAACCTGCCTGCAGAGCAAGAACATTTAGCGTACCGACAGATACGTTGCAGAAGGCCAAGAGATGGATCGTGATCACCTAGGTATCTTCAATTCACATAGTGGATGGCAGGCCTGAAATATCATGCTCTTGCTGAGCCTGTGGAGAATCGCTTGTCATTCTTACATCGCACGTGTCGCGGTGATCAACCACGCTTGCAAAACGACGCTATCTCCCACCAGACAGACAGGAATATGATGCGCCGGATATTCCACAACCAGACTATTGCTGCCAAGAAACGCGATCTTGCTGTACAAAGGCCGGAAGTGTCAGTACATGGCTGTGGGCTGGCAGTGAAAGGGGCGCGAACGTATCTAACGCCAAGGGTAGCCTCAGGCGATCAAGCGCCACGACCGGTCATACCGGATGGCCTAGGGGCAGCAGTCTGCCGATGACGACCAAATTCATACGGGCAGCGCTCCTTGTCAGGGTCTTGGCAGGTTTCTGCAGCCCTGTCAGGTACAAAGACCAAGATCGGCTTGTGAGGAAGGGATCAATGACGGCCATCAAACAAGCCTCAACAGGCTAACCCGGGATATAGCGGAAGGAGGCCCGGCCCTCTCTACATGGACAAGCATCCCAAGTCTGCAATGGACGGCCAGGCACTTCCGAGCAGGTCTGAACGATGCATGAGGCGTCCTCCTCGGGAAGAATGTGTCGCTCGCCTCGTCTTCAGAGGTTATGCGTTAGAGATTGCGTATACGCAACGAGACATGCGGTCGCAGGCGGCTACATGAGCTTACCGCGTTAGGCGCCCTGAACAGTTCAGATGTCGGTGAGTCTTGTTGGTGTCTCCTTGTAGCCAAGGATGAGGTGACCGTGCCAGACAATCCGGGCGTCGGGTACCTGCGCCAGCCACCACTCCCGATCATGTAAGTCGAGTCATGGGCCACTGCCGGTGAATCTCAGGATGTTCCAACAGAGGGGAAGTTCGGGGTTGTTTCGATGTCGAGCGAACACCTCGATGGCATGTCCGTCGTCTCGCTAGCCCTTTATTGATGCCGTGCATTTGCTGGGATCGTAAAGCCTCTGGTCATGAAATCACGGCCTCTACTCCCCTGTCCCTCAGACTTTGTGGTATACAAGGAGCTGATATTCTCATTCTCGCGTCGCCTCTTTTTCCTGGCTTCTTCCTCCTCGAGGACGCGAGCGGTGAGACCTGCCGTCGCCGCGTTCTTTATACCACTTGCACTTCTCGGTGTTGACGTCCCAGACTGTGGCGTCCCCGTCTGTGAGATACTTGCCGCAGCAGGTTTGCTCTCGCCATTCGTCTTGTTTTCTTTCGTATCTCCAGAAAGTCCGGTTGATGACTCGGTTTTGCCTTCACCATTTGCTTTTCGCTTCTTGCTTCCACTCGCCTTCTTTAGAGAATGGGTCAACCCCAGCGACTTGAGAGTGTCCATGCGCTCCATCACAAAGGCCTTGTCTCTCTCGGTACTGGGCAGTATAGGGATGACATCACGTTCTTCATATGGTGTAGCACACTGGACACATTTCCCCTCACTCTTCATCTCTTTGATGGCCTCTTGCGAGAAGGCATGGCCGCAGGGCACCAGGTAGACCGCCTTGACATTTGGTCCCAGCTCCTTTGATGTGACTGGGCAAATCCATTTATCTGTCTTTCTTTGTTCGTCATGCTCGACCTCGAAGTGGACTTCCACAATGTCCTTCAGGCTCTTGATACGTCCTTGTATAAACTTCTCATATTCTTGCTTGTCTATCGAACTGGCTTCGGCCGGCAAGAGGAATTGGATGATGGCATCTTTGTTGTAGAGGTCCCCTGAATAGTCTGAGACTATTGGTTTGGCGAGCGGTCTGTGCGATACCGGACATTGTGACCATCGATGTGCGAGGTGTTCTTTCTGCTTATCCTTGAGTTCAGTGGCAGTCGGGTTTCGAGCGGCTTCCTTGACCAGCTCGCGTCGCGTAGGAATACTGCTCTATGTTAGTGCAGGCGCAACAAGTTTGAATTTCAACGGACTTACCTGCCTCCGTCGTTACCCATCTTTGATGAAGCAGTTTCGTTGAACTTGTTGAAATATAGAGACTGCGAAAGCCAGGTCACAGCCTTGTAGATAATTGTGTTTGCAGTAGGTATAATAAGTGGCGCCTGCACCGAATTAACCTAGGCGCCATTTCTTCCCCTCAGTGGCGTTTGACCCAACCAAATGTCCCCCTTCGCCCCTAGCGTGTCCCTAATTTCTCAGCCCACCAGCCTTAGGCATCCCATTTGGCATCCCAAACCTTGGGAATTCCTGCTGCCACGACCTTTCACTTCCAGGCTTCAATAACAACGACAACCTGTACCGTTTTCGGTGTCTGGTGGACTCGAATATGGAGAGTCTCATGCTGTCATATTGTCTACCGCACACTTGTCACAGATTCATGCAAACTGGAATCCGGTGGTAGAAACCTCTGAGTCTTGCAGTTCTCAAGGCTCTCCTACACGGACTTTGGACTTTGTGTAAGGTAGGCTATCTCAGCGCCACTCTATGGAGCAGTGTTAGGGCAATCACGTCTTCCCACAACCAGGACTTTGACCGGAGAGACGATAAAGCCCGACTATATCCGAACATGACTCGATGGACAGGATTTATGACTTTCGGCGAAATACTATGTTCACCATGACATTTTCTTGTGACGATGATGATGACGAAGCGAATCATCTCCTGGCAAAGACAGCAAAGGTGGGTGAATTGATCAGCAGAAACGTTCAACCAAAAATCGTGACGTGAAAGCTGCATCTGGGTGGCATCTTCAGTACATACTCCGTACGATCTACCGAACTTGGGTCCCGGCTAAATCCCGTGGTCCACCGACTTATCAATCCTTCAGGCGATATAAAAAGCACCCATGCTTCGTTCTGGAGTTCGATTGATTCACGCTGCTCGACATCTCAACCCTGTCACACAGACTTTCAAGAGATCTTATCACGCTGCAAACATGAAAGTTCTTCTCAGCGGTGGTTCAGGCTTTATCGCCGCGCACTGTGTTGATTATCTCCTGCAACGTGGCCATGACGTGGTTTTTACCGTTCGCTCGGACGACAAAGGCCAGAAAATATTGAGCAACCACCCTGGGACCCCTTCGAGCAAACTCAGCTATGTCATCGTCAAGGATATCGCTCAAGAAACCGCTTTTGACGAAGCTGTCAAATCTGACCCGCCTTTCGACGCGGTTCTGCATACTGCTTCCCCATTTCACTTTTCGGTCACGGACCCCAAGAAGGATTTGCTTGATCCAGCCATTATCGGTACCACTGGGATCTTGAAGGCAGTGAAGAAGTCAGCACCCTCAGTCAAGCGGGTGGTCATCACCTCATCCTTTGCCTCTATCATCGACCCAAGCAATCATCCAAAGATCTATTCCGAGGAGCATTGGAATCCCATCACTGAGGAAGAAGCGGTTAAAAACCCTGCAAACGCTTACCGAGCAAGTAAGACGTTCGCGGAAAAAGCCGCCTGGGATTTCGTAAAGAATGAGAAGCCCAACTTTGATCTTGCGACAATCAACCCCCCTCTTGTCCTCGGACCAGTGGTGCATTATCTCAACTCCTTGGATGCCATCAACACATCGAACGAGCGCATTCGGAACATGATTCAGGGAAAATTGAAGGATGGTCTTCCACCTACAGGAGTCTTCCTTTGGGTTGACGTCCGGGACGTCGCGCTGGCGCACGTAAAGGCCATGGAAGTACCAGAGGCTGGAGGGAAGCGGTTTTTCGTCACTGCTGGGTATATGTCTAACGGCGAGATTGCCAACGTCATCAAGACAAAATTCCCAGAGCTGGCAGACAAACTTCCAGCAGACCTCAAGAGCGATCGTCCCAAGGACATCTTTGGCTTCGACAACTCCAGAAGCAAAGAAATTCTGAAGCTCGAGTATCGGAAATTGGAGGACAGTGTTGTCGATACTGTCAATTCGTTGCTGGCAGTCGGAGCGTAATTCTCTTAGAGAAGGACAGGGTTCTCACGGGAACTCATACTGAGATAGAATGTCATATATACGCATACTCTGAGATGATCGTTCCATATGCAGCGAATCTTTGTTGTGACGACTTACCATAGCCCTTTTCGCCGAACGTTTGGCCGTGAGTTGCACGGCACACTTCGCTCAGCCTCGTCTCTTCCTAACTCCAGCCTTTATCAGAGGCTGGTTGAAAACACCTCAAGATGATCCATGCGACTTTCGGCCAATCACAAGGACCTGGAGCTGGGTTTCTCCAAAGGATGTCCGGCTCGTCGGTCAAAAGTTCTCATACTCTTCGGTTTCACTCCATGTATCGCAGACACTGGAATGGCCTCGCAACACGTCGTCGACTGACACGTTTCTTGCACTCGTCAAGTCGAGAATCTAAGAGTCAACAAGTCCTTCGCCACGTTGTTCGCCGAAACCCCTTTTTCAGGCCCCCCAGGATCCTCTGCAGTGAAGGCGACTGGCCCACTTACGGATACGGAGATTTCACTACGGTCCTGTTCATTTCTCATTCCGGCTGCACATATTAATGTCCGGCCCACGACAAGGAGCCATCAGTCGGCGTGGTTACTCTCAACTGTTTCAACCCTTTGCAATCATGCTTCACGTGGGAAATGGCGGGTGATTCTGTACCTCCGTCTCCTCCTGACACACCTGGATTGAGAGCAAATCGCGCGTGCAGACATTGTGTTCAAATCAAAGCTAAATGTATCGCTCTCGAGGGGTCCGACAATTCGATATGCCAAAGGCGGGTGATTAATGCAGCCGCTATCCAAGTCAGATTGCTCATATACCCGTTAGGTGTCACCGACTGGGCAGACAGTGCACGACTCCTGCTCCTGTACCTCGCAAGCGTGGTCGAAACAAGTCAACGTATGGTGCACCACAGTTGGCATTGGCTGTAGTCTTACACATTCACTAATGCGCACTAGGAGAGTCGCTCAACTTGAAGAGAGAATAAACAACTTGACGAGTCTTCTGACCTCCAACCAGTCACCAGAGGAATCGCCCAATCCACCAAGTGGCATTCGCTGTCGGCAGCCGCTTCTTACCCCTCCAGTCTCAATTACACGGGAAGCAGGTTCTTTTGGGCAGTCCAACCCTACAGTTGAAGTCGGAAGCAACGCCTCCCAGCGATGCAGACCTGCTGCCAATGATGGTGCCAATGCCACAGCTGATATCAAGACCATCTTTCGAACCCAGTTGGCACCAGTCGTCGAAGAAAAGTTATTTAGCGACTTCCGAATCAGTTTCAACCAATATTTTCCTTATGTCATTATCTCACCTCAAGCTGCGACAGCTTCTATTCGGGATTCCAAACCCTTTCTCTTCCGTACATGTATCGCCGTAGCTTCCCATGCGGATCCTGTTGTGCAGAAGCAAATGGCTGAGGAGTTGCTGCGGTATGTCGGAGAGCGGATGTTGCTCAAGGCAGAAAAGTCACTTGACATACTGCAAGGCATACTAGTCTTCATTGCGTGGTAGGTCAAAGATCCCCTATATGATCCTTCTGAACTCAGCTACATTCTCGCCATAATATCAACATGGCTCCCGAGACAGTACTGGACCCCGCGGACTCGTGGCGCAGACGAATGACTAACGCTTTTCAAGGTATCAATACTACAACCATTACAATCCTCAGCTTATGAATCTGCTCCATCTTGCTTCAGCAATGGCTATTGACCTGGGCTTAAATCGACCAAGTCACCCAGGACCTTGGCCTCCAGTCGGAATGGTGATCGATACGAACCAACTAATACATGGAAAACCAGTTCATCAAGGTATTTCAACATCCGATGAACGGCGAGCACTTCTCGGTCTGTATTATTTCACGGCGAACCTATCGGCATGCTTCAGGAGACTCGATTTCATGCAGTGGACACAACACCTAGACGATTGTTGCACGGCGCTCACGGTCGCTGCTGAGTATCCTTCTGATATCGAAGCGGTCCATTCCGTCCAATTGACGCGCATGTTGGACCGTTATTCACCTTATACTGGCGCAATATCGCCAAAACACGTACCTATCAAGACGTTCGTCAAGTGTTTCCAGGAAGATCTGCAACGGGTCAAGCAAGCTGTACCTGCCAGTCTCGCAGAGAACAGTAAGTGACCATTTTGATGTCTCTAGGACGATAACCACGACTGTTGCCCATACAAAGCCTTGAGACGTCAAATATTCACATCCCTTCGAGTTTGAAGCATGTACTGACAATACCTTTAGCGCTGTTCAAAATGCAACTTCTCAACGCCGAACTCGATATTTTCGAGATTGTCGCTACCTCGGAGCAGGGTGCACCGCTGGAACGAGCTCAGGCGCTGCATGCTTCTCTTCAATCGATGGACTGCCTTATTGAGCTGTTCTCGAAATTACCAGCAAGCAGTCTACCTCACCTACCATTTCTGACCTGGATACACGTCTTGCACTGCTACATTCTCTTGGCAAAGCTTTCGTTCCTCGTGGTGGATGGATGGGATCTACAGTATGTCCGGACGTGTTGGACAAACTTTCCGACAATGGTTTCTCGTTTAGTTGGAATACTCGAGGCTGCAGTACGACAAATCATGGGTGAATCCCAGACACCAAACGCCGTCTCTGTTCGCTACACTGCGTATGCTGAGAAGATGCGTCTATGTGGGAAGTGGTATGACAACAAGATCCGAGCAGAGACTGAATCTCAGGAGACCACTTCTGAAGCTGGTCCCGCTCTTCCATCTTTTGACCCTACATTCGAAGGGTTTTTTGAAGGCGTCGATGATGGTTTTTGGACAGATTTCAACACCGACTGGGCAACTGCTGGTATACAATTCTGAGCATTTATCGGCAAACAACATATGCACCTGTTTGTTCGCTACGGTCAGTGGGAGTTGGTATGCCGGTCCCTCTTCACCACCAACAACCATGTGATCGCTATCTTGGCAGAATACCACCCATTCTGTTTACAGAGCACCTGCAGGCCGAACCCCTGGACTCTAACGCCTAAGCCTGACCAAGTTGATGCAATAATGCAATACCATCTCGGGACTCAGCGAATCCGAGATCCACTTGGCGTCGACCGGAGTACAAATTGGTGATCCGCTGAACGGACCCGGACTCAAAGCGATATCCACGCCTGTTTCTTGTTTCTAATATACATCAGCCTTGTTCAAGAACCTCTCGACCTAATTGCCAAGCCAGTCGCAAATTGAATGGCTATTTTGTCAAACCATCAAACATGGAGCAAGATATAGACACCGTCAACACGATTCCAGCACAGCCACCGATCACAGTCCTCCCAACCACAGTACCTGAAAATGTTGTCACTACCGACTCCTCATCGGCGAAGGAAGACCGGGAACCTGAATACCTCGGCCTACGCGCTTTGGCATTGTTGATGTCCTCCCTGTTGCTGGTCGTCATCATTCTCACACTCGACCAATCGGTATGTGATTCACCTCTGCGAACGACGAGGCCATTCGACCACGAGTCTTATGCTTTTGTTCCAGCCCACACCCGCATAGACTTCTGACTCTGTACAGATTCTTGCTACTGCGATACCCAAGATCACCGACCACTTCCACACAATCGCCGACATAGGATGGTATCCAGCAGCGTATATGATCTGCAATGCCTGTCTCCAGCCTCTCACGGGAAAAGTCTACACCTACTTCTCTCTCCGCTACGCGTTCCTGAGCTTCGTCTTTGTGTTCGAGCTAGGCTCTCTCATCTGCGGTGTTTCCCAATCCAGCACCATGTTGGTTGTTGGTCGAGCAGTTGCAGGCATGGGCGGCTCAGGCATTCAGAACGGTGCCCTGACCATGATCGCAGTCGCAGCACCACCTTCTCAAAGACCAACATTGATGGGGATCGTCATGGCCATGGCAGGCGCGGGACAACTGATTGCACCCCTCATCGGCGGCGCACTCACACAACACGCATCGTGGCGATGGTGTTTCTACTTGAACCTGCCCATCGGAGGCCTCGTCCTAGCTGTCATGGCGTGCATCCAAATGCCAGCATACAAGAATCGCAAAGCGAGCTGGACCTTTCGCGATGTGATGCGTGACTTTGACATTACAGGATTCACCATCTTCGCGCCCGCCTGCGTCATGCTCCTGCTTGCGCTGGAATGGGGCGGTTCGACATATTCATGGTCATCAGCCAAGATCATTGGCCTATTCTGTGGATCTGGCGGCACGTTCATTGTCTTCTTCATCTGGGAATACATGCACGACGACAATGCCATGATTCCCTTGCCTCTGTTACGCATGCGGGTAGTATACAGCGGCATGGGCGCTACCTTTTTCCAGTTTGGTGCTCTTTTGACCTTCTCCTACTATTTGCCACTATGGTTCCAGGTGGTGAAAGGGGCCAGCCCGACTATGAGCGCCGTCTATATCCTCCCGACATTCATCTCCCAAGTGGCGTCGGCGATCCTCGCCGGCGTGTGGGTCTCGCGGATTGGCTACGTCGCGCCCTTTGCGCTTGTGGGCTCCGCTCTCGCAGCACTGTCGTCTGGCTTGATCACCACGTTCAACGTCAATACCGAGCCAGGCCCCTGGATCGGGTATCAAATCATCAACGGTTTCGGTAGAGGCATGGCCATTCAACAACCCATCCAAGCGGTCCAGTCTGTCGTTCAACCGGCAATGGTCCCCACAATTACCGCCTTGGTCTCCTGGTCGCAAACATTCGGCGGAGCTATCTTCATTGGCCTCGCTCAGACTGCCTTCATTAACCTCCTCAAAAGCGCTTTGAAGAGCCATGCTCCCGGAGTCGATGCCGCTGTTGTCATTGCCACCGGCGCAACAGAGTATCTCGCGGAACTCGTGGCCAAGGGCGACACGACGACCCGGAACGGAGTATTGCTTGCCTACAACGAGGCTATCACCAAGACATTCTATCTCGCCCTTGGATGCACGCTGGCAGCTTTCATCGGCAGTGCTGGCTTAGGCAAGACAAGAGTCGAGACGAAGAAAAAGCATGTCAAGGGAGATATCGAGAAAGGCGGCAAAGGAAAGAAGGCTGAGACAACGTCATTGGGCGGGCACAGCGAGAAGGCAAATGCAGACTCCAACAGCGACAGGATCATGAACGACCACGAATCGCGCCCTGTTTCCACCGACATCGCAAGCACTGGGTCGATCAAGGCTGCATAGCGAGACTTTTGCACACGGGTCGTGACCGTCAGCAGCAACGGCATTGATGTGTTGTTGGCTCATGCGCTTCAAGCGACTCTTCTCACAGTTGGAAAAGCATGTACTAAAACCCTTTTAGCGTTTGTTTCAGACTTGGTCTACGGAGTCGAGACGGCCGGATTTTCAACACTTTCATGCATAAAAATGCTTTGGGCGGAGTTCAGTTCTGCTGACTACGGAGTACAGGGCCTGAAACTCGCACTACGTGCACAATTGGATGGATAGCTTATGTCTTGTTGAACACGGACTCCGATCCAAGCAGGGGATTCTGAAAGTATAATTTTGGTTAGACTGGATTCAAGGGACATACTACCGTAGTAGTTGTATTTGTACATTGCATAGATTGCATAAACAGCATTGGAATTGCGCACAACATTACGAACAAACACTGGAAACATCCTCATAGCTCTGAGACCAGCGAGGAGTAGTCGTCGTGCTCTTCAGTCCGGGATTCGTCCTCTCCCCCTCCATCCGGATGTCTAACGCACACTATGATGTAGAAATAAGCGCCAGTGAGAGAGATCAGCGATGACTTGGATTCTATCGCCAATATTTACGGTTGCCGAAGTCATAGCGAAGAGACCGGAACATGCCCCATACACAATTCCATCAACTGTTGGAGTGGCTCCCCTTGGTGCACCGACCACACCAGCATTCAGTGATCTTGCAACAGTTCCTACAAAACGGCCTTCTGAACTCATGCCGACACATGCACTGACCAAAGGCTTTCGAACAAGCCAAGCACCAAGGTCTCTCTAGGTGCATAGAACATTGACAATAATCTGGCAACGAAGCATGGGCTGAATCCAAAGACAGTCCGTACCCATGCTGATGATGCTGTTGATATGAGCCGGAACTCCATAAGTGCTGTTGTTGTTCACGTTGTTGTTGTTGCTCGTGCAACTGCGCCCGCATCAAAGGAGGTGTATCTTGATCCATTAGCATGTCGGCAGTAACCATGATTTGGTTCAAGGGCTCGGTTCGTTGAAGTCCATCTCGATCCATCGCGCTGGGTATACCCAGCCTTGTAAACAATGGCGCTGTACGATCCAGCGGCACCATCAGACGGCTCGGATCTTGCCCCAAGGCTGGGTCCGTGAATCCCGAGTTAGGGCTAGTCTCCATGGCTAAGCTCGATCGGCGTGCGGCAGGTGTGCGCGGACCGGCGTTGCCTGTCATGTGGAGGAGTATGGTCTCTTGATTCTCGCGAGACCCTTCAGACATGATGGTCCCTTCTGGGGAATACTGACCCGTATCAATGCGCGTCGGATTCGTGGAAGACGACGTCACAAGCGTATCAAGGGCTCCGTCCAGCTCTTCCTGGGAAGTGTTCAAATCTTCCTGAAGTTCGCGCTCGGAATCAGCTTGTCTGTGAAGATGGCGTCTCCTGGCTTCAGAGTCTCTGACGTCCTTCTGTGTGACAAGGTCCGAGTATGACCGAACTTGGCTCAAGATTTGTTGGATAATGGGAGGCGACATTGCACTTAGGCTGATGCAATGCATCAATTGCTCGAGAAGGGGCGACACAGGAGTTCGATGATGCGTTTCGGCTTTGTATGGACACACTGCAGGGTCGGTGCCCCCAAAAACCCGGTAATAGCGCCTCCATCTTTCTTCAGGCTTGAGCTTGGTGCCCGACAATTGTTTGACCTGCTGGGTCTTTACTTCATCACCTTTCGTATCTCGATACATGTGACGAGTCACCGCTGCTATCTTTGACCCACACCAATGTCGGCACTTTTGATCATTGCAAGCCCGGGGGTTGGCAGCAAACTTGGGGCAGCGAAACCCTTCTGTCCGCTTCCTATCAAGCGATCCTCCTTGATGGATATCAGAAGGTGAGTCCGAACCCTCCGCATCTTCCTCGTCCTCGTCATCAGTCGGGTTTTGCTCTGCATCGCTATGGCCACCTCGAAATGAAGCGGATCCGGACCCGTTTGCACCTATTGTGTAGGTCGAAGATTTTGAAGTCTTCGCTTTTCCTTTTCCAGAACCTTCGCCGACTCTGTGTCTGATGCCATGGCTGGTAACGCTGTCCAAAGGACCTGCATTGTAGGTACTGTCAAGGTCGCTCTTGTGGGCCGGGTCTCGAGCTGGTTCGTCCGAGTGACATCCTGTTGCACGGCTCTGGATCTCAGCCTGGTGAGCTTGAGAACTAGCTAGTCTTGGGCGCCCGGTACGTGCAGGGGGACACCTGGACCCTTTGCATCGCCGACGGGGTACTCCAGCAGTGTTACCAAATGCTCTGAGCTGATTCTGAGCGATGGACACCGCAGTTTCGATGCTGGCACTTGCCGGGGCTTTGGCTGAGGATTTGAGCGGGGGTGGCGTCTCAGGACGGCGTGGCGCTTTTGGTGGTTCTTTAGGCCGATCGCTACCTCGCTGAGTTGCGTCCAAGGTCTGCAAGCGAGGACGAGATGGTGAGCTGAAAGATTGACGCAAGGTTCCATCGTCTCCTCGCTTCGAACCGCCATCACGGCTTTTGAGCCTCAGGGTCGCATCGCACCCCTGGGCCCTTGGTTCGCCATCGCCATTTCGGGCCTCAAACGAATCAATCAAGCCCGCGTTGCGATCTTCATCATTCCTGTTGAGGTTGGGCCTTCCGAACTTGAACGGCTCAGAATGCTTTCCTGATGTACACGCTCCATCAGACGCATCACTACCCGCATTCTGAAGTGACATCAGAATGCAGATAAGCGCCTGCGTTGCGGAAGCCCAATCCTGTGACGAATGTCCGTCCTGACCGTCACCATCTTTGCATAAGCGAGGCTTTGTCGCATATGTCTCTTCTCGAGATTCCTTGTACGTGGTTTGATGGTGAGTGTCCGCCCAGCAGAGAATTCCACAAGCTTGCGAACGACGGCGCAACCACCAAGACAGCACAACGCATGGGATATGGTAAACAGCCAAAATACATAGGCGAAAAATCAACATCAACATTATCTGGGGCAAATAAAATAGAAGACGTAGGATCTCAAAAATCCCTTTCGCATTCGATCCGATTGAAAGGGCGAGTCTGCCGTCAATCGTAAGCAATGCCCGCTGTTGCCCTGCAAATGCATCCATGGTGCGTGTATGGGAGTCAAAGAACGCAAAATAGCAGAGTGGTCTTGATTCAGTGAGTGGTGTTCTGATGTTCTGAAGCTCGCGGACAAGAAGGCAAATAGTGGCATGTGCTTGGGTTGCAAAGTATATGAAGTATTTCTGGCGGCAACAAGGCAGAATATTGAGTGGGTGATCGATCAAACGGGCGGTGCACTGAAGATACTAGTAACAGTTCGACCACTGTTGATCATGTTGTTGGTTTCTTTCGCTTTTCAATTTGTGGTCACCTCGTGAGCCTTCCCAAATATTCCCTTCTGCAACTTGCAATTTGCAATTTGGGAACGACCAAAGTGTAAAGTGGAGTTGATCTCTGACCCAATGGGGTGAGAACGACACCAATGCCCAAAGATCCCGTACTGCATCGTGCGTGGCGAAGGCTGCAAAGCCCAAGCACATAAAGCCCGAAGCCACAAAGTCGGATATCGGGTGGCCTTAGGCAGCGACACAAGTACGTCGTCGGGTTCAGGCTCGTTTATGGTCCAAGCCTCGTATCGGGGCAGCTTCACTTTGTGGGCGTAGCCGTTGGCGCCGGTGTCCTCTGCAAATGGTCACTTTGAGCGTTTTCGATGGGTGTCCAGCGCCACCGAATCGTTGGGTCACTTCCATCTCCAACACGAGCAGTTCTATTTACTCTGAGGTGGAGGGCATATTTCCACAGAGATCCATCAGGGGCACAGAAGACGTCCTGCCATCACTGCGCATAGCTTACTGCATGTCCCGAACAGTGTGGGTGTGGCGGAGATGGTTTGCTGACTGGAAACCAAGACGGAAGAGGTGTACACTACGTAGTGCGGAAGTGATCCCTACACCGGTCGTATGCTCCTGCCGCTCACCGAATGATGATGAGGCAATGCCAGCGGCCCGCGCCTGCTGCTCAGCCAGGGACACCGCGCAGCGGAGAAGGTGCTCGTTTCCGGCTCGCCGGTCCCCTTTGCACCTTGCTCCAAATCTTGGATGGCTCCTGCGTTGTTCTTTGTGACATCGTTTTAGTCATCCGAGGCATCGTGGAGTCCTCGCAATGCTCCATTACAGATAACTCGAGTTGTAATCGTCCCAGTGGAGAACCGGAAGCCTCTGGGGGAATAAGGGACTGGGCGTGTCGATCACCGGCGGATTCTGCTGCTGAGACCTCATGGCTTATTCGAAACAATGCCAGGGGCTTCCTCTGTAGTCGTGCTTTGTATAAGTGAGTGATGGTTGGGGAGCATTGCAGTGACGTGGAGCTCGCAGTGACCGGCGGAGTCATCTCTCGATATGCCGTCGACAAAGCCACTTGCCAGAGTCGACTTTTGCAATCTTGAAGATTGGGAGCAGGAAAAAGCGACATAAACTCAGCAGAGTAGTTGTGTCCCCTGAGTAGTGTCCTATTGTCCAAAAGGTACCAGGCTGCCTAACACGCTACGTCAACATTCAGAAAAGGTTGCATTGGGGAGGGTTTTTGCTGGGGCCAGACCATGTCCCTTCCTGTCAAGTCGAAGCTCGTACTCATTCTTTTCCTCAGCCCAGCGCGAAGCTGAATACACTCATACGGCTTGTGAGTCTTGCCGCCAACTTCGACCGACTGCTAATCATCCCAACCTCTCTCTGTTACCTCTCACACCGCCGCATCTTTAGGCCGCAAGGCCACATGCTCTGCATTCCAGTTTTCAACGGAGACTGATAGCGGTGACGGTAGCAGAGGCATGCCTCGGCCGGATCATTGACGACCTGATGAAAACAGCGTCACATACATTATTGAAGAGTCTGAGAGTGCAAGTTTCTCTGCGATTTGATCGTGGTAGAGCTAGCAGCGTTTTTTTAGAGTTATTCAAGACACCAGGTATCGAGAAACAGTGCAGCTGAATTCGGCATAGCATTTTTGAAGGCGTTCACATGGAGAAGACCGAGCGGTGCGTCGCGAGTCTCTCATGTGCTGTTCTGGGAGACGTAGGGCTCAAGAGAAGGTTATCGTCAGCGAATCTGCCAAATGTTGCACCGGCGCTCCGCAGCGTCGAGCTGCTTTCTCTTTTCTCATCGGTTGATACGAGACCTTGTGACTTCAGCCAATCCTGAAGTGGTTTCTTGAACGTTAGAGGAATATCTCGAACACGAGATGGTCTCCATTGAGCAATTGGACAGAGCAAGAAATCTTTCCACCCAACCAGAAATCCGTGCCAATGGGCCAAAGTGAGGCGAGTCCTTGCATTCGCTGATTTTGATCCAAGCGAAGACGTTAACTTCCTGGAGGCTTTGCCCCCCTTCGAGTGTACCGCTGGGCCGATGTCTTGACGTCGTGAGCCCATGTTCAAGCGCGTAGATTACCGTGGTTGGACACACGCTGCCAACGAGGGGGGCTTTCGAGCGCTGTTTGGCACGGAGCTTGTGACTTGCTCACCGCTTTCCCTTCTCTACAGGATGTGAAATCCTCGCCCCACCAATTGCTACAAGACCAAGGTTATATGGGTCTGATGGCTTCAGCGCATGCTGGATGCGCCTGAGATGGGTTTCCGGAGATGACTTGTCTTTCCCTCGAGTTTAGTTGGGGAAAGTCGGACAGGAACGAGTGGTGTTCCCACACCGAAGTCTCGCATCCACTATGCCAGGCCATAAGCCGAAGTCGCTTTCCGGGTGTGCTTCCGGTACATACGATCTCCATTGTCCCGCAGATTCAAGCCATCGAAGCCGTGGTGCGGCCTCGGGGCCTTGCAGCCTTGCCTGAAGGATATTCTCCGGAAGAGGATTATTCCGTAGTTAGTTGCGGAGTAAATGAATCATGTGCGGAATTGCCATCCATAAATAACATCATCCGCCTTGCTATGCCTAGCAAAAGAGCGGGTAAGGTCCTCCACAGAGCCAATGCCAGATTTACATTCTCTACCGGCGGGATCGCGACCTGAAAATGCTGTACGTAACAATGGACCCGAAAATTTGGTGTTTGAACGTTACAAGCTGAGAGAGCTGGCCGAGGGCTGGCCAGCGTACAGGTCAGTGTTGGAACCCAAAAACAGGGTACTGCTGATATGTGAGCCCAGAGACGCCTGTGAGTGGGAGAATCTGAAGTCGATCTTTCACCCAGATGCATACATCTACACGACATGGACGGGAAGAACACATCATCTCGACTTTATCGCAGCGTCGCAGAAGGGCATGGACAATGGTGCCTTCATCATGCATCGCTGTCATGGAGTCGCTAGTGATATAAATCTCGACGCAACCCGTGCTGTGACCAAGATGAAAGCCACCATTACCCAGCGATTCAATCTCGACGGATGTGAAGCTGATGCGGAGAGTGACTGCCGGTTCTGCTTCTTCTGGGTCAAGACTGAAGCTGGTGAATGGCGGGCCCGATATGTGAGACACTGGTATGAGAAGGTAAAAAGCATCGGACTTCGTCTTTTGTCTAGAAGGCTGATCTGCTAGGACAAACTCATTCCTGTCAACCCGAACAAGGTGCCAAAGCTGGATGAGCAGGAATTGCAAAGATATCCCAGTGGCTATAGATACTTGGCATACTGCCAGGAGAAGACAATGGGTGTCAAGGTGTTATTGGACATGCCCGGCCATAGGCGTGAGAGTGGGGTTTCAGGAGGAAGTCAGGCGTGCGGCGACAAACATGATTTGCTGTATTGGCAATGTAAGCGATGGGTGGAGGGCGAAGTCTTCGAGATATGATACACGAGATAACCCTTTGTCTCATTCTCAGATGGATATTCGCCAAAGTAGGAAGCTAGGGGGCTTAGTTTTGCTTGCCGTAATCAATTTACCGGCTTTAGTGAAGCAGCACTCTTCTTCCCATGATCTTTCCGTCTTCTAAATCCTTTAACACTTGCGGTAAGGTGTTGATGCCGTCTGTGGTGATTCTTGGCCTGATGATACCTTGAGCCATCAATTTCAATGCTTCTTCGAGTTCATGTCGTGGCCCGTTGTAGGAGCATAGTAGAGTCAATTCCTTGGACATGGCGATGAGTGTGTTGATAGGAAACGTCATGCTGTTCATGCCCACCATGACGATCTTACCTCCGGGACGCACTTCCAAAGTCAGCAAAGTAGGCATTCCTACAAGGGGGACAACTCACCAGCTGACTGGGCGCTAGAGAACGTCTGTTCGGCGCCCACGAAATCAATCGCGGTGTCCACGACAATCTTCTCGGCGGCAATGTAGTCCTCGATCTTCTTGTCGTCCGAGGGGCAGAACACATCCTGAGAGGCAACACCAAGCCTGACGGCTTCAACTAGGAGCTCCTGTTGCTTCTCGACCACAATTACCCGCTTCGGTCCGAGGTGCAGTATTACTTGCAACCCGTTGAGACCGACTCCACCCAGTCCGTAAAGAAGGACTGTCTCATTCGATTGTATCTTCGCAAGACCCTTCACTGCGTGGTAGGAGGTGAGCACTGCATCTGCAGCGATGGCCGCAGCCGCGGCCGAGACACCTATGATGAAAACGTGAGCGATCAATATGACAGTGCTCAAGCAGTAAATTCTTACCCTCTGGCACGGGCACGGCGGCCCATTCTTTCACGGCGGTATACTCGGTAAAGAACCCATCGTGCCCAAGTCCATATGGTTCCGCTGCCATGCATATCCGCTGGAGTCCTCGATTACATTCTGGACAGTCGGGGCGCTGACATCCTGCACAGCACATCAAGGTTACCATATCTCCCTGCGTGGTTCAGCTACTCTGATCAACATCAACGGAATCCAAAAGGTCGACTCACGACTTTGAGTTTCGACGTGGCGGAACCGACCTGGACCACCTCACCGCTTGCCTCGTGACCCTAGCTAGCATCAGCGTTGCTCATGCTGATATCAAATGCACACCTCTTACCAACACAAATTTCCTCGTCCATGAAGGAACCGGTAGGTCCGGGAGACTGAGTATGGTGCAATCACTATGACACACTGTAGTTGGTTGTTAAGTAACCGATACACCTTTGCTCTGGAGGTACCTCACCTCCCATGGCTAGAATTCTGACAAGGACGGCATCAGAGGCTGGTTCTGGTACAGGCACTTCACACCATTTCTGCGGAACCTGGTCTGCAAGGAGCTTCGAACAGTAGGGCTTGGGAACCAACCAATTCTTTTGTGCCAATTTCCACTGTCCACGCGTGCATCCTGGAAGGGATGGAAGCCATGACTATAAAGCACAGAATCGAACACAATGAAGCCTAGTAGGGATATATGACACTTGTAGTGGCTGGGGGCAACAAGACAAGTATGCGGCCACAGCGGCATATCAGATAATAATATAGCAGGATCGGCAACTCACCTCTGATAGGCTTGGTCCCGAGCCCAAGCAGTAGTGACGCGGGAATATCCAGTGCACAACTTTACTCCATACCAAGAGCGGGAGGCACCGACGTGTCTGGGGGCCTGATGTACGCCTTACGAGTCCACTCGAAGACACATTCGTAGCATGGTGCTATTCGAAGTGAGAAAGTCTCAGATTAGGTCGAGCGATAATCCGGCAGATGGAGAATCAAATGATCTCGCTATTGTCATCAGAGCAGGCTCGACTGAAAACGTAACCTTGGAAGACATGTTATGGTGGTGGTGGTGATGGACTTCAGCCTTGCCTCGCTTGTACACAAGATTGCTCGCTATGCTCCGCCGCACAAGGCTCTGTTCCCAGCTTGGCGCAGATTTCCCTCGTTAATCTGCTGCTCGTGTTTCCATCGTGCTGTCTCGAAGCAACCATCTTCTGCGACCATTTAAGCTCTCAGCAGCTGGGCCAGACTTTGCAGCAATGACGGCTGCTCGTCTGTCGCCGGCGGCGAGCTTGCTGCGCAACTCAAAACTTTTTGCGCTCCCTCCTTCGTTATCCCTGCCGCTCACTGAACCGTCGTCCGAACCGGTCGCCTTTTCAGACACTGCCACGACTCCCTACCCGCTTCGAGCAGCCCTCGAAACTCCTACCTCATCATTAAATCGAGGTGACTGGGGTTTGAAGCGGTCACTGCCTGTCAAGACTACAACTTCCTCCGGCACACCTACCATTAGAATCCAAAGAGGAATAGACACTCCGGAGCACGTTGCTGATTTTGAGTCTGCGGCCGACCATGTCATCACTCTACGAAAATTCCAAGAACTCAATCTGAGAGTTACGCTTCCGGCCCCGAAAGACAAGAAGTACAATGAACGGACGAGCGCCTTCAGCCCAGAAATCGATCATACCGCAGACACAGCACCGTTAATATTGGACAAGAAGAACCAACCTTCATCATGGCTCGCGAAGTCCTCAGGTGAGCGTGTGGCTGAACTGCCCAAACATCTCCGAGAGACGTTGGATGAGGTCACGAGAGCCAGGTCTGCCGATACGGCGTCAGAGATTGCAGATGTTCCTCCACCACAATCGACCCAAGCACCAGATGTTTTTGCTAGGCGAAGATGGCGCTACTCAGGCCCTTACTTGGCAGGCATGAACGGCATGCAGTTGGAGAACTTCTTGAAGAAAATCACAAGAGAGAAGAGAGCGGACTTCAGAGCACATGTGAAACAAAACCTAATCAACGAGCGGTTAGCTGAACGCCGTGCAGAGGCGCTTGAACAAGGACAGACGGAGACTGTCAACGAGACACCTCTAGAGGTGACCGAACAGGATGTCACCCAGTATCTCCGGCACCTCCGATCAGAGCCTGGCAAATTTGGTCCGCTCATAGTCGAATTTTTCGACCTCGCCGACGGTCCCAACCCGTCAATGATGGCTAGAGACCCCTGGTCATATGGTCGCGATACCATCGCTGCGGATCAGTTCAGAGAGTCTGGACCACCTCGGACGCATCCTTCTGCCGGCTTGTCCTACATCAAGTCAGAATCATTCTCCCAAAACGATGTCGTCGTAGGTCCAAGGGAGACACGTCCTCCGGTACCAGCACGGTTGCTGAAGTCCGTTCCAACGGTGCATCAAAGACACATACCATATGTTGGCATGGCTGGTTTCGTCATTCCACAGCCTTTGTGGGGGTCAACGCGAGATCGCAACTGGCAATGGAAAGCCGTCAGAGATGGGCCAAAGACAGTGGTAACGCCTACATCTGCCAACGTTTCGCAGGCCGGAAAAGTGGAGATCAATACCAAACTGCTACCGGACTGGCATTTGGAAGATGATGTGCCTGTTAACATTGCTGACAAACCGCGAAAGCAACCTGCTACTGCGCGAACGACTCCTTCTACGAGAGTGCTGCCTTTGGACAGACTAGCCTCCAACAGACTATCTAAGCAGACGAGGCCTGCTCCAGCGCCGAGTCAGGATGTTAGTGAAGAGTTGGCTATGATGGGACGAGCAGCGTTTCAATCATTTGCCAACAAATCAACGTAGCTGTAGAATACTTTTGTATAGAATTTCATCTTCTCATGCTCATACTTGCAGACTTCAGAATCGCATTGCTCCCAGTAGAAAATGCTGTCCGAATGATGATTATTGATCTGGACTTACTGTGTCCGATAGGCAACTTGCTCCAGCAGAGAAGTTCGGCCTAGTAGTCAGACACTTTATTCCTTCATCTACAATTTCCCAGTGGTCACCGGCGTGATTGACTCGTTGGCCCACTGGTGCGATTATGTAATGTAGCTCTTGGCAAACTTAGCGCCAAGAACCAATTCCACATTCAAAAAATCCCACCGCATCTGGCTCTGAATCTCGACGCCAGCACAGCTTCAACTTCCATTCCTCGATCAAATCTCCAGACCAACCGTCAAGATGGGTCGCGTTCGCACAAAGGTCAGTTGTACTCACTCACTTGATCACAATAGAGACAGCAGACCTGACCGATCAATAATAGACCGTCAAGAAGTCCGCCAAAGTCATCATCGAGCGATACTACCCCAAGCTCACCCTCGACTTCGAGACCAACAAGCGCATCTGCGATGAGATCGCTATAATCCCGTCGAAGCGTCTTCGGAATAAGGTACGCCGCTTCCAATTACTCGTCTGCGAGCCGTCCATGATATGCTAACGAGATGATCAGATTGCAGGCTACACAACCCATCTGATGAAGCGCATCCAGCGTGGACCCGTCCGAGGCATTTCATTCAAGCTGCAAGAAGAAGAGCGTGAGCGCAAGGATCAATACGTCCCCGAGATCTCGGCCTTGGACTTCACCCAGAACACCGAGAGCGGACAACTGGATGTGGATGCCGACACCAAGGACCTGCTGAAGAGCATGGGCTTCGACTCGATCGCCGTCAATGTTGTACCGGTCAGCCAGCAGCAACAGCAGGAGCGTGGCGGTCGCAGAGTTTTCGGTGCCGGCCGATAAATTTAGACGTGAGGTGATGTGGCAGGGGAACAAAAAGTCGCTGCTTGATCAGTGACACAAAAATCCCAAGTGTCCTCGACAGGAGAGGGAGTCCTGTAGGCGCAGACAAACGAGACGCCCCGGCGGGCAATCACGCCCTAGACGACAGAAATACTTGGCAAGAGAATGGGACGATATCCAGACCTTGCATTACGCCGGAAACCGCAGCAGGCTGAGACTATCAAAAAAGAACAAAAATTCCACAAGAACAAGGTGTCGCTTAGTCCGTTCAGGACGAAGCTTGATCGCCAAGTCCGCTTTCTTTCCCTGCATGTGTTGTATCGCTTGCTGTCTCCTCCCTATCCTCTAGTCTCGGCATATCGAACCTCACATATGCCCAACCTCTCTATTACACTGACGTGCTGGAACGGCTAACCTGAATTGGCGTCAGACTCCGTTTGATAGACCGACATCGTAGACCCTGCTGAACAGACGTACAATTACTGTCCGACACGCTACGAGGTGCGTGACATAGCACAGATCATGTACGGAGCAGTATACATTACGGATTGAGGATGTACCTTGTAGGTCGTTTCAGAAGAATCTCCATGGTTCTTCATTATACTTGATACACGCCTAATATCCAAAGCATTGCAACGAATACCATCATTGTTTAGTCTTGTCGACCTTCCGGAACGCCATCGCCATGCACTGTACATATAATGCTCATCTCAAACCTCAACCTCAGACACCGTGATACAATCCTGCTTGTTAAGCAGAATCTAATCTGCCTTCCCATTCGTTGTACCCAGGAGCCCTTCTTTCCCATCAAGATGGAAATAGCCACTACTATTCCTGCTCAGATTTCTCTTGATAGTCGTTCCGTTCTTCAAGACATAAAGCAGCATGACCACCGATACGATCAGAATGGCAAATGAGAAGTATGGATGGTACGTGCCAAAGTTCCTGATTTGAAAGAAAACATTTTCGAACGTGCCGATGGTCGATTTGGGCGTCAATTTCGGCGGATTGGCAATGATGCGATTCAGCGTTTCGAGAATCGAAGTCCTTGATGGAACGATGTACGCGCCGGAGTCAGTCACGTCCCAGTAGCGTCGGTTCTGCCGCGTATCAGTATATGATGGTTGAAACGGGGGACGAACACTCACATCCTCATCGTTAATGATCACCCTTTCACCTTTCGACACATCCACACCATAGGTCGACCTCAGCCATCTTTCCCAGAAGACACCGTCAACCCAGGCGAAGCTTACTTGTTTTCGGAAACTTTCTTCTGTGATACTAATAACTCGGCTCTTCGCCTGTCTCAGTGCACGTTGATCATTACGGTCTTCCGCTTCTTCGATCCGTAACTGCTTAGAGTCGCGCAACTCTTGTCTCTCGAGTTGGAAGGCTTGTGTCTGTTTGTCCATCCATTCCAAGGCTGCGTTCTTCAGCTCGCGCCTTGATTGCAGGAATTCATCTGGTCGATCACGGGATAGAACACCCATGACGACGTATTTGCCTGCCATGATCTCCTTTGCATTCGAAGGTGTTAGTTCAGGGACAAGAGGCAACCATACGGATTGCATCCAAGTCAGGACACGCCGGAAGTCTCTCATATCCTTCGGAGCGAGAGCGTTGTAGTAAGTGGGTCTTCCGTCTCGAGACACAAGTAATCTAGGCCATGTTGAGATTTTGAAGCGGTTGGCCAGGATTTTTGAGTCTGTTTTGACTATCTTCCCGTGTCCGATTAGACTCAAAGTTAGTCGGTCGATTGCCGCAAAGTCCTCCGATGTGGTTGCATCATCGAAGAAATAGGCAAAGATGACTTCTTCGGTCTCCTCCATCTCTTTGAACATGTTGGCGTCAACGTATTTGACATCGCTATCCAAAGCCTTGTTTGCGAAAGACAGCAAGTCACCGAGTCCACGGAGCCCTTCATATTCGACGCGTTCTCCGCCACGGAAGAAGTAAATGGTTGGATAAGCATTGACCTTCGCGTCCTTGCACAGTCGTGGAGACTGCTCACAGTTGACCTCTCCAATGTTCAGCTTGCCTTCCATCTCACGGCCCAGCTCGGACCAGGTTGGGGCGAGATGTTGGCAATGAGAGCACCATGGGACATAAAACTTGATGAACCATGGATCTTGGGATGTGGTGACAAGCTTCTGGAACGACTCCGCAGTCAAAGGAATCGAAGCGCCTTTGGGATTTGGCATGAGGCCGGCCTTCGCGCTGTTCTGTCTGCCCTGTCTAGCCGTTTCTGATGCCAGCATGGCGGATGTGGTCTCGGTAGCATACTGTTTGTTCTGCTTGTTTCCAGCAGCGGCGCCAGCAGCAGCATCTTTGTCTTTTGCTAGAGGGATTTCGGGCGTGGCGGTTCGATCGACACTCTTTGCCCCTGGTTTCGGGACTTTGACGCCTTCTCGCGGTCTTGACCCTGGTTTGATCTGTTCCAGCTTTTCCTCAACGTAGCTGCTGAACGCCTCCATGGATTTATCACCAGTATATTTCTCAACGAGCTCGCCATCTTTGAACAAGAGGAACGTAGGCCATGCACGCACGCCATTCTTCTCGCAGATATCGCCATAAGCTATACAATTCAATGAAGCAAAGTGGAAGTTGTAGTATCCATGAAAGCTGTTCGGTGACGATAAATCCGGCTGGCCTGATCTTGTCAGACCGTCGAGAGGATCGGAGGTCTCATAGAATTCGTATAACGTTTGCCAGTGAGGTGCGATGGCTTTGCAATGTCCACAGTAGGGCGAGTAGTGTTTAACCCACCTACAATTTGTCAGTAATGACTCCTCCATATGTCGTACAAGTCATACCAATAACCGTCTTTTATCGTCTCTGCAAACTTGCTGCCTTCGATCTCTGCCATTGGCGGCACTTTAATGCCATTGAAGACTGTGTAGTCGACAGCCTCTCCTCCTTCTGCTTCAGTCTCTCCAGAGACTGCATCGTCTGCTAATACATTTCCTCCTTTTAATGACCCGGGAGGAGCCGCGAATGATGTCGAGAGGACGGCGGCTAGCACCCAAGCCAGCAATGCTGGTCTCATCTTGCAGGTTTACCAGCAATGGCTCGATCACCAGCGAGGATGAAGTGTCTCTTTTAGAAGGGTGGCTCGGGGTAGCGACGGTACGTCGGCGTCCAAGCGCAACACGGGGATGGGAACGAATGTAAGAATCGAAGAGACTATGACTGTCGGCATACAGAATTGAATCTCCCAAAGAATCAAGGCACGGCGAACGGCATGTTCGTGGGGTTTGCGCGATGGCGATGGCGAGACAAGTCGAGATACGGCGTTTGATCTGCAACGTCGCAGTCTGACCCTGACCCTGCCCCTTGCCGCACGTTGCCGCTTTAGTGGGCATACGACCGCCCGCTATCTTCGTACGAACAACAACCCGATCCCCTTGCTGTGCTAAATAATGATCTAACTAACTTGCTTCTCTCCCCTTGCACGGCTCTAGCTGCCTGCTCAAGAACCCTGGCTGTTATGGTCAGTACATTTATCAGGTTTACGTAGCATGTCTTTCGCACGACCAGATATGAACTTCCGATCGTGGCGGAGGCTCTTCTATCCAGTGAGGATGGCCGTCAGATCTTATTCTCAACACCAAACAGGGAAGCAATCACGACCATCGCGAGCACTACCAAATGGAACGTGGGACAGCCATATGCATGTTGTTGACCCGAAGCGTTTTTCACTTGCTGCAGATGCTAAATACAAGCCCCAAGTCCACACATTGGAAGATGCAAGAGCATTCTACTCTCAATTTGGCATTGAAAACATGGTCCTAGTCCAGCCCTCAATCTACGGCAATGACAATTCATGCATGCTTGAGGCATTGCGTGAATTGACGCCAAATCACGGCCGGGCAGTAGTCGGCCTCGATCCAACCAATATCGACCAGAATATTATGCAGAAATGGCACGCCCTGGGTGTCCGGGGAGCTCGCGTCAACCTGGTCTCTGTGGGAAGAGAAGTCACTGAGTCAGAGCTGCGAAGCGAGTTGCAAGCCTACGCTCGTGTCCTCAGGCCCTTCAATTGGGTGCTGCAATTGTACATTCCCTTGAGGCTTGCAATTCCACTTGAAAAGATCGTCCCGGATCTAGGGGTGAAAATCTGTATTGATCATTTCGGCTGGCCGTCTCTACCGGAGCCGTATGATCCGTCGCGAGCTGTTCCTCCCTACGCATTACCTGGATTTGAATCTTTAGTCGCACTCCTGCAGAAGACTACTTGGATCAAGCTGTCCGCGCCATACAGGTTGTCGAAAGATCCTGGTATGCGAGATCTGGACCCAATCGGAAGGGAATTGATCAAGGAGGCTAAAAGCCGTGTCGTGTATGGCACGGATTGGCCTCATACGAGGTTTGATGACATCGACTCCGTGCCATTTATTGAGAAGTGTTTTGAGTGGTGTGGAACGGATACTGGACTAGTAGAAAATCTTTTCAGAGATAATGCTGAAGAGCTTTGGGATGCTCCAGCCTCCAGATGAGCGTGGAAGGCTCCTTGCATCGCTGTGATTTTGCAGACAAGACAGGCCGTATCTATTCGCCACTGAGAGCTATAGAACGTATAGCTGTAATCTGGGTTCCTGCCAAAGGGTTATCGTGCATGCAGGATGACTTTCGGCAACTTGCAACACGGAACAAGAATAGGAAGCAGAAATTTGTCGATAGAATGCTCAAGCCCATTGTATACGAAAGCCTCATTTTCACTGCTTCGTCATTAGGGCAGAACTGATTGAGACCGCTTATAACTCGATACCCGGGGACCAACGCCTAACAAGCAAGACAAATGATGTATGTGCATGGAATAAGACAGCGCCCGCTGCTAGAGCGATCTCCTGACTTCCACCGTCCTCAGTCCTCCTGCAGCTGCTCATCCCCTTGAGAAGAAAACGGTGCTTTCCATGCATGAAATCTTCTCCTTGTCGACAGTGTTGACGTCGGCCAGCACAGTGTATTTCCCGGGAGGTACTTGCTTAGGGATGTCGACTTCCTTCTTCAGTGTCATAACACCCTCCTTGATCGGGCATGACATGTCTATTTGAGGTAAGTTGTCGCAGAGATCGGCTTCTTGTTTGATGAGAGTGATCAATCCGTATTTGACTTGGAGGAAGACTGTAGCACCAGGCTCGATATCTTTGTGGAAAGTGCCATTTGCAGTAATAGTCAACTTCTGACCCCTTCAAACAGTTAGCAATATTCAAGCAAGCTACAGCAACAGGACACGTACGGTAGAGGTGGATTAGGCGACAGGTCAACGTAGTCAACTTCGAGGATATAGTCTTTGGGGTCGGCACAGAACTACAAGACAATTAGTACAGGGTGTGCAATAGTGCCGCAGCTGTCTTGCTCACATTCAATGGGTTCTTGCCTGGGACAGGGAACTGGGGTTCATCGACGAGCGCATTTTGATTTGTAGCGCCGAACAACGACCTCGAAGAAGCGACGCTGGCGGTAAGGAGTGACAGAATGAGAACGGTAGCCTTCATCTTGTCTTGTCTTGATGCACAAACGAACAGATCAACGGGAGTAGGCAGGCTTTATTGCGCCTACAAGGCTGGATATGCTGTGGATTGATGGATTGATAGTCGATATCGCAGCAACGAAAGAGAGTGGCAGGGCAAGATGAGTTGGTTTGGTTGGTGGCGCATGACTGATTGCGCTTCGCTCCACATTCTTCTGGACAATTGCGTCACCGGATAGATATGCTCAGACCTCTCAGTACTCCGCAGTATACTCTGCACTTTGCGCTAGTTGTACCCCGTGTGCCCGTACACGCCTTGACGCTCGCTCAGATGATCCAATTCAAATCCCTCAGTCGCAAAGTACGTGAACATCGGGCCATGGCCCATACGGCTCACGTCGGATATGACGCCGTCTCGAACGAGGCCAGACTTGAGTTACGGTAAGCTTGTATCAAGCACGGTGATATTCACCCACGCTCTGTCTGTCGGGGCAACAAAGCTTGTCGACTCTAGCAGTATTCGATACGCTCTGGAACTCGGACACATGTAGTTTCACTCTGGACATGCCCTACCCTTTTACAGTCATCGCTTGCCAAAGGGAAACTGTCCAGGAAGGTTCCCTGAGGCATGAGTGGGCAAGATCTCCCACTGTACGAACCTGGAGAATATGGCAACAACTAGACAATGACGCGGCGCCTAACCACGATGCGTTTCAGCCATAAGTGAAGACATTCTAGCAACTCCAATAATACTCCCCTGCCGGTCGAACCATGGGAATTCTCGGGAAGCTCCAAGGCCCCCGGCCAGATTCGATCGCTCAGTAGCTCTGTACCGGTCAACAAAACTCCAACCCCAAAAAGGAAGTATGGGAAAGCATCTACAATACCTCAGAACACTGTTACCGCACAAGGATCCAGAAGAATCCGCGAAGATGCTTGGATAATTGCGTTGGTGCTCTTGAAAGCCAGATTGCTTTTACGGCACAGCAGACTAGATATGCAGCTTTCGTCAGGCTGAGGGCAAAATGGTTCATACTCAATTTTCGGGGCTACATTAACTATATCCAGCAGACTCGGAACAGAAATATACATTTGCGAATAGATCTTGTTACTGCAAGACTTCGCGGGCTACACTGCTAACCCCCAGGTTTTCAGCATCACTTCCCGCTTTTCGATCAACCATAACGGAGCCCCGCAAGAGACCTCGGCAGCCTGAACGATTGATGTCCCTCACCGCCGCCTTGATCATTTCTCGCGAGGACTTCCTGTTCCCACCAAGACTAAGGAACATCCTGGTGGGAAGCTATCCTGGACTTGTACTATTCCCGCAAATCATCTCCAAGATCTGCGTTCAGGTGGCCCGTTGCATGTACAATCGCAAACCGTCAGCCTTTCCGATCCATGCCCTGGAAACTAAATTGCGGAGTTCGCATGGCGTAATCCAGGCTCTTCGGCAGTGCATCGCCAAAGCAATCAGGGTACCGTCGGGCTATAAATCTCCAGGTACCGCCTCTCCCACAGCGTAACGAACCGATGTATCGAAGAAAAGTGCAAGTATACTTCTATTGACGGCAGACATGTTGCGACTAACAAGCGCCCTGGTGCTCTTCCAAGCCATCTTGTGCTCAAGCTTTGCCCAATTCCAATCCCTTGGACACGCGCAATCTTTCAACACAACTCCAAGTCACTTGCAAATTCCAGTCGTGCAGTCGACCAAGCACGGAAAGACCGAGGCAGGCTACATTTTTGTGAATCCGCTCAACCGTACAGCAGGAACTGTCACACCATGTATTTTCACCGATGATGGCCGGCTGATCTGGTACAGCTCGTCGCTCTCGTTCGGGCCGTTGAGACCGCAAACATACCAAAACAAGACTGTCCTGACCACGTGGATTGGTGCCGTCTTTTCCCAAGGACTGGGCTGGGGTTTCGTGTCAGTCCTCGACGATACATATACTGTGATACACAATGTCACCTTGGAAGATCAGAGTTTCCAGACGTTCAACCATACGCCTTACCAGTCCTACATGGACTTCCACGAAAGTCAGGTCACTGATGACGGGTCGATTCTGGTCACAGCATTGAATATTACTCCAGCTGACATGTCCTCGGTTGGTGGTCCGAATGCTGGGTTTGTCATTGACAGCTTGTTTTACGAGATCGACATTGCAACGAACAAAGTGCTTTTCTCCTGGAGCGGTCTGAATCATACCTCGCAGATTCCTATGAACAATAGCATGCTTCCCCTGACGAGCACGATCTCTGGCAATGGAAGTTCGTTTGAACAGCCATGGGGCTACTTCCACATGAATTCAGTTGCGAAGTACGGGTCCAACTATCTGATCTCGTCTCGGATGTTGTGCACTCTTTTCCTCATAGGACCAGACGGTAACGTGATTTGGAGACTATCCGTGAGTGGACTGCCCAGTATAATACATCCACTGCGACTGACATTCGACGCCAGGGTATCGGTGGAGGCGATTTCAGACTGGGCATGAACACCCATTTCTGCTACCAGCACGACGCACGAATACTGCACCAAGACAGCAAGAAATTCACTATAACGTTGCACGACAACGGAGACACAGAGTACGACAACAACACTGTAAGCCGAGCGTTGGTGTTGGACTTAGACATGACCACGAAGCTTGTCACCGTCAACCGATCCCTGAGGAATCCACATAATCCTATCTTTGCTGTTTCTCAGGGCAGTTACCAGACTCTCCTCAACGGACATGTGCTCACAGGCCACGGAGCATTTCCAGTCATCGAAGAATTCGATGCCCAGGGAAATATCACTATGACTTTTCAATTCGGGTCTACGTACGAAACATCCACATACCGAGCCTACAAATCCCCATGGCACCCCAATCCTGCCGCTCCACCGGTTGCAGTCGCTTACACAGGCCACGGAACGGACGTCTACATGAGCTGGAATGGAGCGACGGATGTCGAGTCATGGAATGTCTATGCAGGCTCAAACGTAGCGTCCTTGGCTAAGGCGACCTCGATACCGAATGGAGGCTTCGAGACGTCGGTCAACCTGGCCAAACAGTTTGGTATGGTGCAGGTGGAAGCAGTGAGGTCCAATGGAAGCACCATGAGATCGATTGTCGTGAAGGTGACCAGTCCACCTTGAGAAGGTCACCTGCTGTTGGCCATGACGGGGTGGCGACCGATCGACGGGCACACAGGTTGGTCCCATGTTGGGCTTCTTTGCCGTACATCTAGAGACAGGATACAACGTCAATCAATCGACATGAGCGAAAAGTAGCAAATTGTCTTCCCTAGATGCTACCAAGATTAATGACCTACATTTGAGCTACAGTCAATCTTCCCGCCTTGAACAATGGTCGTGCAGCTCTGGTCACCGGCTGATTCGAAGTTGATCAAGGATGGTGGTCGCCGTGACGCTCTCTCGGCGAAGATGCGGTCATCTTTTACGGTTTCCGCATATCTGACTGCTGGAGCATTGTACTACGCACGCACCAGTACCTGCAGATTGCTGCTTCCTTCTCTTTCTGCCACTACCCCAGGCGGCTACATGTCTTCGTAGATTAGAAGTGTATGGCCATACCTCGGTCGAAACACATCCAAGTCGTATGAAGCTGTTCATTGACGATTCGCTCCTCTCAAGGAACTCACTGGCGGTACGCGCAGCTCGCTTCAAATCTTGATGACTTGTAGAGCTGTCTTTGACGTTCAGTGTCAATCACTTAGCAACATACGGACGCTTCAGAAGGGTCATCCATCACCCCCTTTCTTCGCTCCCAAGCCTTGAGAGCGCCAATTGTATGTGGTCTTGATGAAGTTGGCCAACCTTATCCCTACACAAATAAGACGAGGATAGTTTCGTTTGGAATATGTTGGAGTTTGAAAGAAATGGACAGTCAGAGAAGAGGCAGATCGCCAGGATGATGAGTTGTTCCGGCTCAAAGCCCCTGACGAGCTTTCGCCGCCACCGTACGACACATAAATCTTGTAACCTTCTGCGTAGAGCTTCTTCTTCTGCCTTTGGCAATCAGCGTTGGCACTTTGGACTGCACGTGTCGACCGTAAGTATATATATAATGTTTGTTGCGCCATGGGAGGGAACTCCAAACTCCGGACCAGGCCGGCGAACAGTGACTGTCAAGAACGCAAAGTAGCAGATTGTGGAGGTTGATTGAGAACGAAAAAGAGACTTAATTACTTGTTTGGAAGGATTGGATAACTGACATGTGCTCAAGTTGCTGCAGGACTGTCTCGGGAATTGCAGTTCCAGAGTCGCAGTCACAATTATGATCAAGATATCAGTGAACACCCCCTGGGTCAATGACTCTTTCCTCGTTGTGCCACAGGAGATCTTCACCAAAACATGAATTTCACGACAGCTTCTGGCACGATCTCGGCCCAAGACAATTTTTCATGCAGTCGCAAAATTCAATGCGCCAGACATGACCCTTAACCTCTTCCCAAAGAATTGGAGGAAGACGATCAAGAAGAATGCAAAGGCACAGATTGCAGCTTGAATACCGAATGAGGTTTTGGTCCCTTGCGCGTTTGCCCAAGTTACTTGGAAATAGGAAATCTGCAGTTAATGTGAAGACGACATCAGCATGGCGTTCGGTAGGGAGACAAGATGGGGATTACACGTACGATGAAGCCGCCTGTTGTTCGGCAGAAGTTAATCCAAGCAGCAACCTCTCCCGAGGCCTCGGGATAGCTGTCGAGGTTGTAGGCATTGAGTGCCACCGTCGTGATCATAATACCAAACACATATAAGCCCCAAAATACGCTGGTAACCATGTAGTGGTAGGCATCTTCAAGCGCAAAACCTAGACCAACAAGCCCGGCGAGCATAAACGGGGTTGAAATCCATATAGCTTCAAGTCTGGTCTCTGGCTCGAAATGCCCCTTATGTCGCTTGATGTAGTTATTGGCGATGGCATCGTGTAGCCAGTGACCACTGATCTCGCCCAGCAGTGCGGCTACAATCGGAGTGAAGTAGAAGTATCCAATTTGCAAAGGACCAAAGTTGTAGAGTGGTGTGAGGAAGATTGCCAATGTCGTATTGATGCCGACCACCCAAGCGAAGGTCAGGAGGTAGTAGAAGCATGAGATGAAGACTGTGGGCTTTAGGACAACCTTGATAGGTCTCATAAGTGCCTGGGTGAGGGTGTTGCGAAGATGGCGGGAGCGGTATTGTGCAACACCAAGGAGTCGGCAGATTTTGCTGCCACGCGGTGGCTGAGAGGATGCCGGAATTCTCCGGTCGTAGTAGGTCTCTTCAACGAAGAGAACGGTCAGAACTAGGCATAAGGCGGTCTGAGTATCGATGGGTTAGTTATTGCTTGGGTAATGAACATGGGGAAAGGAAGTAATGGGAGCTATCGGAGTGACGGAGGTCGTGGTCCGCGTCAGGCGGGATCTTTAGATTTCAACTCACCTCAGCAACATATACTTCAAACGGTACACGCCAAGATTGTGTACTGATGATGAAAGCAGCAAATAACGGGCCGAAATATGGCGAAAGAATAATAAAAACTGCCCATATATTGATTTTCCTCGCCCGTTCGTGGAAAAAGAAGAGATCGTAAATGAACATCAAGCCTCCTCCTTGGGCAACGGTGCTGAAGAATCCATTCAGGATACGGGCGGCCATGAAGGATTCGAATGACTGTGCAGCGGCGCACCAGACTGCCGTGGCGGTAGCGAGTACGAGGAAGTAGAAAAGTACCGGGAGACGGCCAAAGTATGCTGACAACGCAACCACGACGACACCTCCAGCACCCAGCATGAAGACATTGCCGACTTGTGAATGGTTGACATGATCTGGAGTCATTCCCCATACCGTCGCTTGAGGAAGCAAGGTCACGGCACCCGTCGCACTGCCGTAGTCGGGAAGGAATGCTGCCATGGAGACGATGATCAAGATCAAGTGCTTCTTGAAGCGACTCCAATTGAGAGGATCATTGGGGTCGGAAGAAGGCTGAGGAAGAAGGATGGTATGGCCATCTCGTGCTCGTTTCAAGTTGGCATGCTCCGGATCGCTGGCGTCGATAATGTATCCCTCTTTGTTCTCGAACTCGTGGAGCTGGGTAATATGCTCGACGGTATTGGTGGGCTCTCCAATCTCCTTGTCCTCCATCATTGTGACCTGAGGTTGTGATATGGACTATTCCCAGCTGGCTGCGGAGCAGGAAGTACGATTGCAGAGATAATCGCTGATCAGAGGAGGAGAAAAAGAAGTAGATCGACAACTGCCTGTGATGCGGACTGGTCTTATCGAAAAAGGATCCATGGCCTGTTTTTGTACCTGATCAACAGGTCAGACGCCTTGGGATTATTCATCCGAAGGGTCTGGCATTTGCGTGGAGTATGGAGTATCAGTCGCAATATCCATGCCCCGGATGAGCGCCTTCGGATAAAACCCCATGGCATACCCCCAGGACTTTTCCAGGCGTGTGACGCCCATGGCAATGTTGTGATTGGTTGTCCAATTCGTCTTCAATATTGGCACAATTTGCTTGATCAACCCTGAGTCGACCTGCCATCCTGAGGGAAGTTGGCGGAAAGCTACAACTTTTCCAATTCGTCCTTTTGTCAGCTATTTACCAACTCCAACGAATTAGGATATCGTGGCCTTACCTAAGAGGGTGATGGGGTAAGCCCCAGTTGTATGACCGGTTAGCTCTCGCTTATACCGGCTTTTCATTTGTTGGAAAACTCGAAGCTCCCTCCTTCCGCGATCCAGTTTGCCAGTGCGGGTGTCCCCATGAAACTACTTACCGTGGGGAGCATTCCGATGTGGAGCGGGAAGTTGCACAGTGAGTATTCAACGATTCAAATCATTCGTTTGCTTTGGAGGCCAGCGGAAGCAATACGGCCCCTATCAACGATGCTGTTATCCATTGTGATGAGAAGGAGAAAGGTGACATAGTCTGGATCCTCCAACTCTCCGGTGGCGTTGCAGAAAACGCTAGAACAATTAGCAGGTGAAAACACCTCTCAATACTCAAAAGAAGTCTGGCCATCCCAAAGTCGCTCTTCAAAGTCGAGGACTTATCGATAGACGGCCTGGGGCACCTTCCCAATGAGCCAGCTCTGTAAGGACGTCAATGAAGATCGAGCTTAACGTTGCTAATGCACGGAGTAACTGCACAGAATCTGGAAGTTGAGTGCTCAAAGTTCGCTTACTTTATGAGCTTGGTCTCTTCAAAAGTCGAAGTTCTCATCAAGACATGGGCTCTTTGTGGTAGACATGACCGCTTGCGAAACTCTGACTCAGGCTGTAGCACTCCGAAACCTGCTAGTAAGTTTGCGATTGAGGTCTTACCTGTCATACATCAGTCGCAGGCTCTTGCTTTCTCCGGAGGCACCACTTGTGGCCGTTCGGAGCACATCTGGATTACTCTCTTCCTGCAAATCCGAGCAGATCTTCTCGGTGTCCTTCGGCTGAACTATTGCTGAGCAAAATGCTCCACGTAGACCGAAGTTGATAGCCCTTCGTTTCGTAATCCCGGGACTGCCAGTATTTGTCGTGCTGACAGTGCCTTTCGCTTGGGTACGGTTGACTCTTTCGACGAACTGCACCAGGTTTGCCCGGGTAGAAGGTATCCCAAGATGCTCTAGAAGCATGAGCATGCACAGTACGGCCTAGCTTGGTGATGAACCGGCTTGTGATCGACAAGCTAGAGTTGGCTTCCAGGCCTGAGAAATTTTCCACAACTTCCTTGAGGACGGATGTGGACGTCTTCGGCACGGCTTCTGCACAGTGTAAGACTTTGATTGCCACTACCTCAGTGGCCGTCATACTTGCACTCATGGACGTGGACGACTTCTAGAACTTGGAAACTCATACGAGTACAAAATACCTTCTGCCAAATGTCGCAGCCTTGATTGGCCAAGACCGACTGCGCTTTATGGCACGAATAGCCTGCCATAGCGCAGTTTGCGAGCTTCCCAACTCTAACCTCAATCACATCAGCGACATTGGAATATTTCCCTAGCTTCTGCACCTACCGAACAGTTCGTCGCAACCCGATTTTGTCGTCAAGAGACGTCCCCAGTCATCATGGCTATCTCTCAGGAAATGTTCCAGTCCTCCGGACGCACGCCGCTGCGAGTCTACAACAAGCAACCTACATACAACACATACATTTCACCTTACGGACCCAAGTACGTCGTCCGGATTCGATCTTGTCCTATCAGTGCCCTTACATGAGCGCTGCATGAAAAAGTACTTGGTTACTAACACAAGTCTCGCAGAACCAAGCACATTCCTAACCTTATGGGCCTGAGTCTCGGCAAAGCAGTGCGCTACGGATACATCGCCTCTGGATTTGGGGTTGCAGCTGGTGTATTTGCGCTGTTCTTTTTCGCCGAGGTCCCCAAGGTCCGAAACGATATCCTATCGAAAGTTCCAGTAGTGGGCGAATATTGGGTGCGAGAGATTCCGCCCGAGGACAATCCTTTCTAAGGGAGGAAAAAGAGTATGGAGATGGGCGAGGTGCAGCTACCTGGAGCTGAGTGAGTGCGACATTGTAAATATCACCACGGCATGATAATGGCACAGAAGTGGACAAGTGCTTGCTTGAGAAGATACAGGCAATGGGAAATGGAGTCCACCAATACGGCATGATACATCAAAGCTCTTCCTTTTGACGTTGCATCCCAGACTCTTATCATTTGAGAGCCGGCATATTTTCCCAGAACGAGATCATGAGCCAGGTTCATAACGCTGGAAGACCGCCAGACGACGACAGGAGCTGGTAGTCGCAATACAGCCTTCTTTCTTGCATTTTGATATCGTATATACAAGCTTGCCCATGCGCCAAAAGCATCTAGACTGTGTCTCCACGCTCAAAGTAGGACCATTGGCCAGCCGGCGCCTTCTCTTCGAGCTCTTCCCATCTAGTCAATGTTAGCAACCTGCTCCTCTGGAAAAGCAGTGGGAGACCTACGGTCGGTGTCTCAGCATCTCATCCACAAGCTCTAGTTCACCTTCTGCGACTTGCACGACCTCTTCGATCAGTCCGGCGCCAATCTTGTTTTCAATAGACTCGATCCTGCCACGACCGTTAGCAACATACACAACATTCAAATCTGTCACAACGTACTGCTCTCTTGTTAAAGGCGGCTCAACTTCCAATTCCTCAACAGTTGGCAATTTGCCCTCGACAGCCTCTCTGTCCACGGTCTGCACCTCTGCATTGATATAGCGAGCCTTCCGCTCTGCCTCCGCTGAACTGTTTGTGCCTTCCTGGATACCATCATTCCGCGTGATCATGCCATCCCAGACATCCACAGGCTCGACATGCGCTTTTTCGCTACCAAAAGTCCCGTCCTCGTTCAAAAACCTATTGTACGCAGCGGGATTCGCTTCGATCTGCTTCCGGACTCGCTCGAGCCATTTCTCATATCCTTCGGGTTTCTGTGCCTCGACAATTTCTAGGCGCTGTTTTGTGAGCGCTTCTGTTGACTGTCGGTACACCGAGCTCTTGGGTATCTGTTCGAGCTTTTTGAGTGTTTGACGATATGTGTAGATGAGGGCTGGACGGGGTGCAGGATGCGTACTTAGGCCTGTCAGGCCCGTAGGTGTGTTGGGTTCTAGGTATTTTCTAGCCGATTTGACTGTGGCTAATAGCCGCGATGTTGAGCGCATATTGGCAGACCAAGGTTAAGGGAATTGGAAGATATGTCGACCTCAACTGTGCTGCCCAAGAAAGTCTTTAACGTTCGCTTGTCCCGGAGCTGTAGATGCGCTTCCTGACGTCGAGCATTGATTGGCTTTGGCAACCTTCGGCAGGTCTAGCGAGCTTTCGCTGCTTTTAGGCTCGATCAGCCTCGAGCATGGGAGAGTACTTGTAGACTGACACTTACTGATAGGAGTCCGCCTCTACAAGGGATGAGGATCTTACATGGGTACAGGACTCATGGCCTGCGTTCGGTGTGACCTTTCTCGTTGGCTGGAAATAGTCTCTGGCCCCGAGAATCGTCCATGGTTTGGCCCATGGTATGGGATGCCTTAAGCTCCGCTGCACTTAACGACTGTGAAGCAGCTCAATTCAGGCGTGTACCCTCTGTTGAAAGGGATTGCCAGCGTATTCGACGTTTCAAATTCGGATCTTCAAGTCAGAGGATATCAAAGACTCTGGTCGCCTCAGCCTTCCCATGACTTCGTTCCGAGCTAGACTGATTGGGACCTGGGAGCTTGTCTCATTTCAGGCTGTAAACGTCGCAGATGAAGCTGATATCATATATCCCTTCCAGGGAGACTGGCATGGTCTCATCATGTGTACGTGCTAACTCTATACCTGCGTCTTTGGCATCCGGTCGCTAGAAGTGGCGATGTTCTGATGATACAGTTGTCCGAGCTGACCATAGCTTTGCATTCTCTTCCAGATACGTCGGACGGCTATAGGTCTGTGCAGATACAGAATCAAGAAGTTCCACGAACTGGTGGAGGTCCAGTGCCAGGCACTGTTGAAGATCTAGCCGAGCTTGCCAGGCGGACGACGAACTACACCGGGCCGTACCACTTGAAAGACAACGGCCCAAACGATGGCAAGCTTTACCACGAGAACATGATTTCAATCCCGAGCATATACAATGGGATTACCCAGACCCGTCTAGGACACATATTTGTTAAAGACGGAGTCCAGCCGCGATTGGAATATCAAGCGCGATGTTATCGTGACTTGGAGAAGGGCAAAGGACAATAGTAACAGCAAGGAGCCCAGACAAGAGGTCTCTACACCTTTCTCGTGACGGGAGCAGCTTGTAGATACAGAAAGTGGAATCACTTCATGATGAGTTTTCCTGTCTTGACCGTTCACTATTCAGGCTCGGTAAGGAAGCCCGGTCTCAGAGCAAGAAGAAGGGCTCTTGGATGAATGAAAGCTAACATAGTCGTCCAGCAGTGGCCTAATGTTCATGTGTAGATTTATTTCATGTATCTCGCCTTTGAAAGGCTAATTCGGTTCGCATTGATTGGGCTCTCTCTTTTGAGAAACAGGCCAGGAAGGGTCGATCGAGCAGAGAGACGCCAAAATCAATGGACAACACTCAATGCTCAGACCCAGTTGTTCAACGTCGATGCTTTGTGATGGCACATTCCAGGCGTCCATCAGGTGCAGATATCAGACTACCCCTCCACAGGGCCGCGGCGCTGCTCTTACGTCCGTATGTGCTTCCCAGAATTAGGGCAGCAGATCAGATATGACCTGGGAATGATTCTGTTCCTCGGGATTTTTTGACCTGTTGATACTCTCCTAGAGCACGTAGAGCTGGGAGTGTTTACTCGCCAAACAATCTTCGCACCCTCCGGAGAACGCTATCCTTCTCCGGGTCGTATGGATGATCTTTGCTCGGTATTTCCAGGACTGCAGGGAAAGGATCTTGAAACTTGTCGACAGTATCGCGTATGATTTCTGCCAGCTAGTATTTCAGTCAGCTCGATGGCCTAGACACTGCGTCACTTCGAGGGCCCGGACATACATGTTGATTGATCAACACAATGCCAATATCCTTGCGCTCCTTTGTGAATCTGTTAAATGCCTGCTCTATTGTAGATTTCTCGGTTTTCGAATCGCAAACGAGGAAGTTCTTCTGGGAATCGGGGGGATCGGTGATGTGACCAACGCCGGCGAGTAGCAGGCCTGTCACTGAGCTGACAAGGGGTCAGCTAGAGCCTCGATTGTGCCCAGGTCATATCGACTCACTCTTCATCTCCAATGACAGCTATAAATTGCCGGTCCTAGCATGAGAAGTCAGTAACCGTCTCGGTAAGTTGAGGTCCAAAGCACCTTGTAAGCCGAAGCTGGCGCAGCCATGGTGGGAGGGTCTGCGCGACCGCAGCTTCTTCACCCTTGCCTTTCTACCTCAACTCTTTCGCGAATCCGGTAGTAATGGCGAGTGCCCGTAAATGCCAGATGTGTTGCTGTGAAGTGTCGAAATGACGAGCAGCAGTCTCGCCGGCCGCAATTGCACCTGCATTCATTATCTTATCGAAGCCAGGCGCCTGATTGGTCGCAAGGCTATTGTTTACCTGTCGTTCTCCGCATTCAAGCACATTTCATCAGCAACCCATTTTGAGATATTCACTTCGGCTGTTCCTATTCATCGAGACTTCCTTTCCTCTAAGCACATCTCCCTACGAAGGAGATGTCTGCTTCGAGGTTGCCAACCCAGTCCTCTTCAACACCATGCCCAAGTACGTAAGGCGTCAGCCTCTCATCGAGCGAGTCAGAGCCTACCTCAATCCGTACGATTTCCTGCTATGGATCTCTGAAGAGATTGAATCAAACGGATGGGACCAGCTTGAAAAGGAATGGGCTACACCGATTGGCCTTGTGCTGAATCTGGTCTTTATCATTGCCAGGGCGAACTCAAAGGGCACATCTCGCGGCTATGACGACGTCTTTGGAGATGTTCCACGGATTGCTTGGACGGCATGGCTGGTGAGTACGGAATCTTAGAGTTGCGAATAGTCAAGCTGACAGCATGTAGGCCGCATTCATCGTTCATTTCTTGACGCTCTTGTGTGGTGTCAATGCTGTCTACACCTTCTGGCGGAAGAAACACTACCGGCTATTCGAGAACTCCGTGGATACTGTTCCCAGTACTCCTTCTGCGAAACGTGTCCGAGTCGACTCTTCTCCTGTCTCCTCCTCGCCCCTACGATTTCTTTCCAATATCCTAGGCACAGAATCAGCGCAGTCAAGAGCACATCCGGACCCTACAAGAGACGTCTGGGAGATCGCAGTCTGGGATCCCTTGCCTGTGTCACTTCGACTGTTCTGCTACTTCAGTCCGGGCCATGTCCTCATCTACTGGCTTTTCTTACCCACGCTGTCATCTGATTCTCGACCAAGTGTCACGATTGCTACAGCGATGTTTCTGGCATTGCTTCTGTCGGCTCAACTAAGTCTCCTTCAGTCGAGCTATTCCACCCAAATCAAAGATACTGCATTCATATCAAAGGAAGTCCTGCATGAGTACGACACAAAATATGTGAAACCAAGAACACAACCTGTTTACCGCGATGTTGGCACACAGTTCAGTGAGCAGGCGTCCTACAGTTCTGCCCGCGACGGACAATACAACAAAGTGGATGTCTACACTCCCATGGTTGTCATTAATCGTGGCTTCAAGACACACGCAAATCCGAACTACTCCCATTATACAGATCCGGACGGAGCGGACTCAAGTAATTTTCGACACCGCATATCTACACCTGATTTCAAGTCACCTGTTCAAGTCCCACAGGCCAGCTCTGCAGTGAGACCTCTGAATGCTATGCGACAACCAAACTTCCGACCGACTTCTTCTGGTGGTGATGGTGGAAGCCTTGGTGTGTATTCACATGCTGCGTCGCCTCTCAGAAAGAGTGCCTCGACCAATTTCTCGCGCGATCGCATCACTCAAAGTCCTGAGAAACGATCAATGAGTCCTGATAAACGGATGAGTGTGCCTGCTGGAGGTATCAATACTCTCGCTGCTGCTCAACGCTGGGCCCATTTGAAACCTGATAGACATCGAAGAGAAAGCGGCCGTTTCTAGCTACTGTATGAAAATCGCCCCTTGGCTGGGTCATGAGCTTGAACAAGGACACTTGCCATTTATCTTGTTCGTATCTCGACGTGCGGTCGTGCCTTCCTTGACTCAGCACTGTCCATGGCCCAGATCAGAATCGTTGCCGGGGCCAAAGTACAGACCACGAATACCAATCATCGTGGGGCGTTGTCCTCAACACCAGCCCTATGCACAGACCAGTATATGCCACTACCATACACATATCACAGCAACCATCTCAACCTTCGTCATGTCCTCGGAGCTTTACTTTCCCTCACTTTCTCGTCGACCTCGCCGAAAACCCTCGCTATCGTCCATCTCTTCAGCCAGCACACAGCAGAGCGTGCGGCATCAAAGTCAACCACAGGAGGGTAGAAAGGTCAACCCGCCCTTACGGAGTGCTCTGAGGTCTCCTGAGCCCAAGCGTTCCAATCGCCCTTCCCAGCCACAACAGCTTGCCTCTCCTACTATTCGATTTGACACCAAGCAGTGTGACGGTTTCGCCTCATTTCGACCTGCACAAAACCATTCAATTAACGACTTCGACAACCGTCAGGAGTTGGCAGCCGACATTCCAGGCGACAAATCTCCCATATTCACAGCCACTAGGGGGGTGGATGCTCAATCCATCCCCTCGGATCAATCTAGGCGAAATACCGCTATCTTCATAGGGCCTGAAGCAGACAAAGCAAACATTGCGCCCGAAAGCAGTCAGTTTGGTATGTCTGCTCCAGCACATCAGCGAGATCTTAGTGCTTGTTCGGACATGCATCGACCTGTCAACAAGGATGACTATTTGGTAGCTCGAGGGGCAAATCCGCGAACCGGAGTTGTAACACCAGGATCGCATAGTGCTAGCAGTTCTCTTGACAATAAAGGTTCTCGGGGAAGGTGGCGTCAAAGAGGCGATCAATGGGTCAGTCTAGATATGGAGCCGGAGACACCTCCTGTTACGCCGCCAAAGGGTCGACTGCCAGAGCCATATCATCATGGTCTAAGAGTTCCCCCAAAGCTTGTACCCGGCAAGCGACTATCTTCAAGGGACGAAACCGACCGACCGATAGGTTATCCCGGAGGCTTGCCCAGTTCTCCAAAGCCAGGACGAGATTCGAGCGCTACGTTCCACCTTCTGAAGCACTCGCAAGGGCCAGGCATCTATCCAGAGGTGGCTAGGAAGGCTACGGGGCCTCCAGCAGCGCAAAATCCGGCGGCTGGAGAAGTAGCAGTTCGAAGAAAACCAGTAGGGAGTCCACCCAGCCAAGGTCAGTCTGAACACTGCGTTGAGGGCTCTTCAGTTGTTGATGGCAGTGATGAGACTGTCCTACGACGCCCTCGGTTTGAACCAGAATTGAGATCTTCATCAGCCCCTATACCGCCTCGGATGCGGAACATTACGCCATACGATGTTGACAAAGACTTGCCCAGACTGCCCACAGATACCGGCACTTCGGTCCTCCAGGAATATCAAGCTATGGCAACGCAAAATCCTTTTTTAGGGCCGGAGCAGGTGGCCACGAACGACCCGAGTTCAAACCCCTCCAGCACCTCTGGCCCTCCAATACCCGAAAAAGATCTACCATGTCTGCCGATGAGCAGTGGCCCATCCCAGTCGCCTCAGGGATCGATGCTGTTCGAGGATACCATGAAGGAAGAGCACCCGGTCAGCCCAAAGAACCTCGGAACTCGCCAACCCCAGATTCCCAGGGGTCCGAGGGGAGGCGACCCACAGTATCCTTTCGTTCGCCCAGCGAGACAAGTCCACCCGTCCCCTCCGACAAAGAGAAGCATCGGCCCGCAGGAGCAGAGAGCGATGCCCGTACCGGTGTACGACAATCCTCCGAAACACCTGTCACCGCCGTTAATGAGGACCCCTCTAACGAGAGCAGAAGGGCCCAGGTCGATGCCGGACAGGATCAGGGAAAGTCGCAATTTGTCATTGAATACCACTATCACTCCCACAATCACTACTATGAACCGACCAGGGCTTCCGAGGCAGCTCCGCGTGGGACCAAGACCTCCAATCCCGGATGCACGCATGGCGAGTCATGGCCGGCCTAGTGTGCCGAGAAGGCCTCCTCTGCCAGATATGTCAGGCATTTTCATGAACACTGGCATGAACGTGAGTATGGATTCAATCTTGCCGGTCCCTCTTCCGAGGGTCAGGCCGAGAGCGATGTCCCGCCCGCAGATGGCCTTGAGAGGCGACGGGATGTACGGTATTCCGAGGATGGGACCCGTCCACAATCGTCCAAACACGACAGACATGAAGGTGCAGCCGATGTGGAGGGACACCGAATGGGAAGAAGGCGCGAGAAAGTACCGGGCCGACCGAGAGACGAACCTCGTTCCGCCACCTTTGAGACCACGACTCCCGCAAGCGAGTCACGAGGGCATCGCAGCAGACGATATGGACGACATACCAGCAGACGGAGGCGAGGAAGTAGCGACGGGCCTTGGCCTGACGAGGAAATGCAGCCGTTGTCACAATGGATTCGTGGACGTCAAGCGTCACAATACCGATGGTGTCACCCATACGCCCGGCCTCCAGAACAAAGACGGAGAAGCACACGAGGGCTCTAAGAAACTTCATCCAGCTGCAAGTTCACTTCCAGGCCTCTCAGAAGAGAGTGAGCCTGAGCCAGATCATGTCCAGCATAACACTACTACAACTGCGACCAAAATTGAAGGCACTGTTGAAGAAAGTGCTCATCCAGTATGCTGCCCTGATTGCTGCAGAGAGGAGAACGTCCATGGCAGCTGTCTTGGACATCCAAGTCCAAGCTCTACGACAAGTCCAACGAAGAGTCTTTGGTCTGATGCTCAAAGCCCGAGCAGCGCTAGTGAAACAGATGACTGGGAGCATACGAAAGCACCAAAGAGCAATATTAGGCCTTCAAGGCTTGTCGTCACCTCACAGAATTCGCAACAGCAGGGACATTCGGGACCTTGCAACCAGGGTAAGGCGAACACCAAGGGTAAACGCTCAGCCGATAAGTCACCCTTCGAGCTATCAGCTCAGCCAAGAACACCTGCCACTCCCTCCAGATACAGTCCCGTTCAGTATTCAAGTAGTGCATTGGCTGCGGCTCTGCGTGCCACGGGATCCTCCAATCAGAAGACGTTCGGCTCCGGCATCCACAAGCGGCAAAGGAGTTCTAGCTCGCCTGCTATCGGATCTGTGACGCCTTCCAGAAAGCCCAGCGTGACTCAAGGTGTAAGGATACCCAGCGGCTCCCGCTTGAGACTGCCAACACCAGCAGGCCTTGCAATCTCCTGCGCTGGTCTTCCAAGGGGTCGCGATGTCAGCGGTACGAGTTTTGCGACATTGGAATTGCAGATTCCAGGTCTAGGCTCATTTGGCGGCGGTGCCCTTGGAGAGATGGTTCTCGTTCCCTTTGAAGCTTCAAAGATGTGGATCCGGAACCATCCTCAAGTGATCAACTCGGGGTGGGAGGTGCTTCAACGGGGCTGGCACATGGGACAGACCACGATGACAACTGCTTGGAGGCTTTGGGCCGTCATCTTTGTCTACTCCAAGACTGGAAAGTTGAAGCTGAACGTGGCCAAAGGCGAGACTGCTGGTGGATTCGTCATTGATTGTGCAAGGAGCGCTCTGTACCTGCTCGTTTTCGCTGCGGTCGCTGCATTTGCCGTCAGATGCCTGAGAATCGTGCTTGGCCTGGTTGGTGTTGTTGGCTGGCTCTTCAGGGCGGTATTTTGGGTGTTGAAGCAAGTTCTTGGGTTAGGAACTGCGAGGTGACATTGACGACATGTGAAGCGCCGAGATGAAGGACAGAATTAATTATCCATAGCCTGAACGGCAAGGGTAGACAGCGTAGTACGTAGAAATGAATATCAATATTGTTGGGAAATTATATGCTACGAAGCTTCCAGGGACGTGGACAAGTATCAGTCTGCAGTCTGGATGACGATGGGCAGGCTGAGACTTGTTTTAGTTATCACTCGGCTCTACGGGATGGGGGAACGTATGGACTCAGCCTGAATACTATATCTTTGGTATAGGGGAGAAGGTAACGTGGTCCTGAATACGTTGTGAGTGCTACTCCGGGCCTGCCGTTTGCCAAGCCTCCGTCCTCTTTGTACATTTTCTGCCCGCCTCAGACTTGGGTTTCTTGCAATATATGACACTCATCGGAATCAGCTAGTTCAGGTGCTTCCAAACCTCTTCCTGGTAGGTTATTGTCCAGATGTTAACCAACTTTTATTCTTTGCACGTGTAACACAGAATTTGAGGACATGTCCCCGCAGGTAATATGGATCGAAAAACAAAACCCGGAAGAAGCAAATTTCCCGAAAGATCGTTGATGATCTCATACGCTCAATGCCTCAGGTTATGAACGCAAACAGAACAGACTAGGGTTCTCGGGCATTGAGTGTGCTCTGTTCTCACCCAGTCACTGCACTTCGATAAGACAAAATCTCATCGCCGCGGCGTCGGTGATTAGCTAAGCTGCGGAGTCGCTGACAATTCAACACGGCAAATACGGTAATGTATCAAATTCGAATGCCCGAGCCTGGGATTCCGGATGCTATTTCAAGGGTGGGGTTCGCACATAGGCCTCTGGTGTTGTACTAGATGAGTCAAGACAGGTGAAAATAATTCTTACATCAACCAAGGCCAGTCATGAAACCAACACTTTTGATCATCGGAGCTGGTTCCAGAGTTGGCCAAGCGACTGCGGATACCTTTGCGGCCGCTGGATACACCATCGCCGTAGCCTCGCGGTCAGGAAAGATCGGATCCAAGTACAAGCATTTCACCTTCGATGCGTCCAAGCCCGAGACTGTACGGGACCTATTCAGCGAGGTCCGGAGAACTACCGGCATCCCAAGTGTCGTGATTTACAATGGTAACACACCCTCAGTTTCTCTTCGGTAGGTGTATGGCACGAGAGTCTTCTGACCCCCGAACAGCTTATTCGGCTCATATCACCCGCCCAGAGACACCATTCGAAAGTCCAATCGACGAGTTTCAGGCTGACATGGACGTCAATGCTACCAGCGTTTGGGTGGCAGCTGGGGAAACTGTGAAGTGCTTCGAGGATCTTGGTCTCGACGCCCTGGGAACGACGGGCGGGACTTTCATCTTCACTGGAAACTTGCTCAACCTGGCCGCGGCTCCTGGTTTCCTAACGTTCGGCATGGGCAAAAGCGCGGCTGCACATTTGATTCAACATCTTGCCCTGGTGGCTTACCCAGGGAAGCCATACAAGTAAGCTCACAGCGATGCAGACGGCGAGTAGCGGCTAATCTCGATTGTGTAGATTCTACTATGGCGATCAGCGACATGCCGATGGATCGCCAATGCCCACGGGTCTCAGTGGTCTTGCCCATGCGGAGACGTACCTACAGCTAGCGAAGGATCCTGAGCAAAAGCCATGGCTACATACTTTCGTAGAGGGCCAGGGATATGCCGAGTTTCCCCGTCAAGAGGTCTGGGTCCCCGGCTCATGAGCAAGTTTGATGGTCGCAAGGCTGTGTTTCCCTATTTTAAAGGCTTGATGCTGGCTTCAATTGAATGTGGCAACCAAGCACTCGTCCATCGTCGAACGAGGTGCAGAACACGTGTGAAGACGTCCAAAAGCGCAAGCGTACTTGATGGGGTCGATAGTGGCCATGAAAATACCATGGGCATCGCCATATCGCTGTCCAGTGATGAAATGAGCTGCGCGCGTCGCAGTATTTATCAGTACTGTACTCGTACTATACCACTTTGTGTCCAAATGAAGCAAGTACCGTCCCATACTTTACTCTACCGGGTTTGGGCTCAGAATCATGAATATGTCACGATTTCCGAATTTAAGCATTTAAGATCGACGTGGGTGTAAATCATTGGCAATCATCGTTGATCATTATGTAGATCTCGTCGTGATATCGTTCACGTACTACTTTTCGGACCAACACGAAAAACTCTCCGAGGAACAAGCAGGGCGGCCTGATATCCCGCATTCCTCTCTCTGTCGAGTCCAGTTCCTCGCCTGATACTTTAGGGCGTACGCTCACTTACTGGCATTTAGACGCTACTTTGAGGGCACAAATCCAGACATGGGAATCATACATGCGAGTCAAGTCAAAGCGGGGATAGCGCCGCATTGACAAGAGTCTTACGACGAAGCACGCAATATGCATCCCCGGACCAAGGGACATAATGACATCCGGCACCCCTGCCCTTGTATGGAGGGTCTAGATTGCGGGTTCTCGTCGTGCCGGCTAACGAATTGCTAGGATGACACGGGCACAGTCATCTGCTTACACTGCTTCCTGCCTAATGCATTATGCATGTCGACTTTGCATATGGGATGACTGATCAGCAACTGGTTGTGGTGCTTGCAGGTTTCCTGATGGCTATATGGGCTGTGTAGGAGGAGAAGATTTCCGCGTCACCTCAAAAGGGGGTCGAATTTAAGTACCGGAGGGGAAGCTATCGGACAAGTTTGGAAAGGTATTCAATTTCCTTGCCTTGCTTCTAATAAGCAGACTGAGTCTGTTGGTGGGTATCTCAAGTCATGATAGGCTGGGATCAGCCTTGTAAAATGTAAAGATCCGTGTTGCATGTCCAGCATGATGCTGTGAGCTATGCCATTTCCATGCATCTCGTTGCTCGCGAGTAGAAAGTGGAAGAACAGGCCAGTCAATCTTTCAGCAGGTTCTGCCCACTCAGCACGCTCGCAGAGGACGAAGAGCGGGACTCACCGTGACGAGTCTCGACGCTGGATCGAATCGTGTTTGTTTGCCATGTGCGGATTGTTCATTGTCGAGGGCCAGATTTTTGGCCAGCTCGGACAGAAGGAGACTATGCCATTTGCAATCGCACGGGAGAGTGATGGTCGTGCATTTCACCATCCATCTCCGTAAACAGTCGACGCAGGAGATCCTGCGATAAGATCAAGGTTTCCCAACTCTGTCTGGGTAGCGATGTCGTGGTTGCAGTGAGTTTTGCGTGTGACTTTGTGTACACCATCATGTCGATCGCCATGAGGGTGAAGCCTTGCCAGCCCGGAGACTCAATGTGAGCGAAAAGGGAGGACTTCTCAGCTCTTCTCTGGCTGGAGGAAGGCCAGTGATCTCGCTGGAATGTCGAATACCTCGTTCGGAAGTAAAAATGTCGAATGTCGGTGGCGGCATCGTTTTGATCTTCTACCATTTCATGATGCTGGTCACAAAGGTTGGAGAGGCCGGCAGATTTGTGCCATGATCAATGTCAACCTCGACGACTTCTAGAGGGAGGTTCTGCGGAATATCGAGTCCCAGGGCCGTGTCTTTGAGGATCTCGAGTCCCCTGATGTGCTGCTATTCGAGGTGGAGCTGCCGCTGCTCTGACTGCTGGAACGTTGGGTCATGGTCGGACGGGCATGGCCAAGCCATAACGGCATGTCAAGGGCGTCTTCGATGCGGAACTGGTTGAATTGGGTTTGCTCTTGTTGTTTCCGCTTGCCCTTTTTATCGGAATTTTTCTCCTTGGGGTGACACGGGCAGCCGCTTGGATAGTAGATCTCGCGGAGGGTGATGGTGGTATATCGTCTTCGGCGATCATTTGTGTTGTTAGCAACAGGCTCATCCTCAGGGAAGAGTGTGTTGTACGACGGAAGGATATCCCCGTCTGTAGATGCCATTGCTTCAGATGTGTCGACGTGCTCTGCCTAGTGTGGGTGGGATAGGAAGGGGAGCAAAATCGGTCAGGAACAGTAAGTCGGGGCTGACCTAAAGGATATAGGAATTTATGAACCGAGATGTACTTACGACAACAACAATGAAGCAAGGGGCCACAATTACGATATGTGGATAAGTCGAGGGGTCGAATGTTTAGAGTGAGCGCCGAAGAAGGCTGTGACTGGATGGTTGGCTGTCCGGCTCGGATGCGCACGGAAAAGGGCTGTGCACTTTGGACGAGCTGATGCTGAGTTGGACGATGCGTCAGCGTGACTTAAAGTTGTGAGGTTCTGGGTCTTCGGGTTACCGAGTCAATATCTGACCACTTACAACCTATTGAGGCTGTTCTCGTACAGGCTGGCGAGTTTGTGTCTGGCCTGGATGTTGGGAAATCCCCGAAGGCGCAGTTGTGATTGTGTAAGATTTCAGCGGCGAGACTTGCATGTGTTTGCCATATTACAGGTTGAAACTGGCAAACAGACCAAAGCACCGTGATTTAATATAAGCATGGAAAGAATAGAATGTACCTGAAGGCGGCAGAAAGCGGTGTCTGCCTCATGAGGTTCAGAGCCTCGGAGCATGGTCGCGTCTTTGTCACGCGATGCCCAGAATAATAGGCAACGCTCTGACGATCTGGCGGCGGCAGCATGTTGGCGGGTGGAACAAGATGGAGATGATCAGACAGATGATCAGCCTGCGGACGACTCATTCTTGGATTTCGTCTCATGCTGTGTCCTTTCGGCCCTCGACGTATCCGCACTTGGCGAAGGCCCAGAGCGGTTACGCGAGATTTTCCGATTGACCCCGGACTCTGCTGGGTGTATAGCGCAGTACGAGTAGTGCACAAAGCATTGCCGCAGCCAGAATACGGGGTACTTCTTGGACAACTTACCTACAGAGCCTTGCCTAGAAATACAAGACTTGGCCATTTTCCAGCTGACATGGAAATCATGAGATTTGCTTTTGTATATACTTGAATAGATGCTTGGCGCTGACGACCTCTTCTGGGCGAAATGGTACTCGTCTTGTGACGAATGAGACGCCACGCGAGTGTCTTGAGACTCGGACATACGAGAACCGCCACTGTGTACGTTCTACTGTCACAGTACATGTTGTTGCTGCTATTTATCAACACGAATGGACAAGTATTGAAGAGCGGTGGTGTCGTGGCTGTTCTCAAGTCTGAACGAGATGGTGGGAACATTATGTGACGCCTCAGCCAGGCGAAAAGCGATATTCCTGGATTACACATTATGATGGTGATACGGAATGTGAAGTTATGCAGTCAATCATGCGACTGAAATTGCCCTGTTCGTAGGCGAGGATCAATTTCTTTGGGGTGCATGAGGTTGGGACGATCCGGTCTGGAGATGGGGGAGACTTCGAGCACAATCTGGAAGGGACTATGGAGGCCAGGCCGCCGTATTACGAGCCCAGACTGTTCCAAACAAGCTGTCCTCGAGCATAGCCTCAAAGAGACACATTCAGTGCGGATTCGAATGGTGTGAGTCGGGCAAAATATCATGAGATTTATCATTGGGATGGCAAAATTGAATGGTTCACGATGGTTGAAGCAATGGCCAGACAGGCCACGTGACGTGATTCTCAACTCTAAGGAAGGTCTGCCGAGACGCTTCAAACAACCAATCAGCTCGCGCGACACTTGGAAATGACAGTCTCGCACCGTTTTTCCATGATCCAATCATCATCTTGTCTTTCGGAGCAGCTCAGACTTCGATTTCTCTCGTAGTGATCAAACAGCCACAGCTCCCTCTACGCAAGTGACTCCGGCCTTCAACCAGTCTCCAACGGGATTGGGAATGTCACACCATTCATACCAGCTTCGGCGTTGATACCTCCACCTTCACACCCCAATCATGAAGGGCCCAGCGACCAGGTTAATTCTCAGCGCCCAACGCCCACGAGTTTTTACTCGTCCGTCCTTCGCAACCACCCCCTTTACCACGCCGTCTGTACGCAGATATGCGTCGACAACCGGGACTCCTGCAAGCGGCAGTTCACGTGTGCTCAACTTCTTCTATGGCTCAACCATCGTTCTAGGGTTAGGTATCATCTATGTCTACGTCACGGACACCAGAGCTAGTGCACACCGGTATATCGTCATTCCAGCTCTGAGATGGTTCTATCCCGACCCAGAAGAGGCTCACGAGACCGCTAACCAGGTGTTGAAGTCGCTCTGGGACTTTGGCCTTTACCCACGAGAGCGTGGCGATCCTGACCAGATAGGGGATCTGGAGGTGGAGGTGTTTGGCCGTACCATCCGAAACCCGATAGCAACTTCTGCTGGCATTGACAAACATGCCGATATTCCTGACCCTCTTTTTGCTGTTGGCCCTGCCATCATTGAAATCGGCGGAACGACTCCCATGCCGCAGTCCGGTAACGTCAAACCTCGAGTTTTTCGGCTGACTTCTCAACAAGCGATGATCAACAGATATGGCCTCAATTCCGAAGGAGCTGACCATATTGCCATGAGGCTACGAAACCGAGTGCGCAAATTTGCCTATCGACTTGGTTTGGGCCAGGATGAGGTTGCAGAAAAGGCTGTGTTGGACGGCATTGCTGGTGTTCCGCCCGGAAGTCTGACACCTGGTAAATTACTTGCTATCAATATTGCCAAGAACAAGATCACCCCTGAAGATGATGTTGATGCGGTCACCAAAGACTATGTCTACTGTGTTGACACCGTAGGCCCTTATGCTGACATACTGGTTGTCAATGTTTCGAGCCCGAACACCCCCGGCCTTCGGTCGCTGCAACAGTCGGACAAGCTTCAAAAGATTTTGAGCGGTGTGGTCAAAGCTGCCCATTCGGTAGACAGGAAAACAAGACCTGCTGTTATGGTGAAAGTCAGTCCAGATGAAGATTCGGATGCCCAAATTTCTGGCATTTGCGATGCGGTGTGGGCAGCAGGAGTTGACGGCGTTATCGTAGGCAACACTACGAATCGACGACCAGAACCGTTGCCACATCTTAAAAATCTGTCTTCGCTCGAAGAACAACACCTACTTGAGACGGGCGGATTTTCTGGCCCACACCTGTTTGATAGAACCGTCTCATTGGTCAAACGTTACAGAAAACTTCTGATGGAAAGGCCTCCCACGGATGAACGTGTGCCTCAAGCGCCAAGTGCACTGCAAGCTGAAGCTCAAAAGATCAAGAGTGCTCTTGAAACTCCATCAGGGTCAGCCCCCTCTACGAGCCCTGACGCTGTAACGGCATCGGTCGATACTGGTGTCATCCCCGCTCAGCCTATGCCCGAGCAGACCAATTCAGAAAAGCAGCCTCTTTTCAATCTTCCCAAAGATCGCTTCTACGACAAGCCTCTAGAGGAGCAGGATAATATAGACAACTCGAATGCTGCGTTTCCAGAGAAACCTTCTGCCCAGCCAGTCGACGAAGTAGGGCGTCTGCAAGCGATTCAAGAAGCCATTGAACGCCTTCCGCCTCGAGAGCAGCGCGATGCATTCGACAAGTTGGAGACACCCGTCCATCTAGCCTCAAATGACCAGCCGAAAGTCATTTTTGCGACTGGCGGTATCACCAACGGAAAGCAGGCCCTGGAAGTACTCAATGCGGGTGCCAACGTCGCAATGGTGTATACGGCCCTGGTCTACGGAGGCGTTGGCACGGTATCACGAATCAAAGATGAGATGCGAGCGGAGATGAGGCGTCAGGCAGCGGAAAAATACCCTAATGTTCTAGGTGACGCGGTCAAAACCCCCTGAAGCATGCTACCATGACTCCGGTCGCGCCAACTCGAGATGGATCAACCTGACTGTCTCGCCATGCTCAACGATCATTTCCTCCGAAACCTTCTGGAACCCATATTTAGCCAATATTCGAGCACTTCCAAGATTGTTCTCAACTGTGTCTGCCGTCAAAACCTCTGGCCTCCACGTGTCTGTATTGTCATCGTCATCTTCGTTGATTACCACCTCTTTCCTGGGCAGTTGCCAGTATGCTTGCAGCCATCCCTGGAAGGCTTCCGTGGCATAGCCCTTACCCCATGCCTCTTTAACAAACATATATCCGACCTCAGGCGGTTCGATAATATAACATCCCATGACCCCTATGGCTTTCCCTGGGAGCAAACGCTCTTCCACGGCGAAGTTGAAAGTGGTAGCATCATTTGGCGGCAGAAATCGATTCATCCAGACTTGAGTCGCATCTTGGCTCGCGTCTGGTTTCCCCTGGCTCGTCCATTTCATGACCTCCGCCTGGTTCCGTAGTACAACAAAAGCAGCTAGATCAGTCTGTTGAATTGGTCGAAGAAGCAATCGAGGTGTTACAATCGGTGGTGGTGGGACCGGGAACACGGGACGCGTGGTTTTCATATTCACTGGGAGAGACTGGGAGGATTAAGCCGGAGAAAGAAATTTACGCCATTGACAACAGGGGGAGGGTTCATGTATTCATATATCGATGCAATAACTGCCATGTTACATTCTCCGGTGACTCAGTGATACCTTAATTGAATGAACTCCGTTCACCGAAAAAAGGGGAGTCTTGAAGAAGCAAAGACTGTGACCAATCGGAAAGTGACAGGCGTAGCTTAGCGTGCCAAGAGAATGCCTGATATCGGCCTACCTTCCTTGCAGCCGATAAGAAATTCTTCGTGAAATTTTGTCGATGCGGACCAGTGCATTTCTGCAACCGCCACTTACATTCGCAGTGCCACGACTCCCAGGTCAGTCGGCAAGATGAAGACCACTTGGAAGGATATCGCCCCGGTGCCAACTTCTCAAGAATTCATTGATATTGTCCTCAGTCGGACGCAGCGGCGGCTACCCACCCAGATCCGCGCTGGGTTCAAAATCAGCAGAATTAGAGGTGAGCCTTCCTCGAGCGAGGTTATGTCTTCCGTGCTGACCACCGGCCAGGTTTCTACACTCGCAAAGTCAAGTTCACATCCGAGACCTTCTGCGAAAAGCTGCAAGCCATTCTGGAAGGGTTTCCCCGTCTCCAAGACATCCATCCGTTCCACAAAGATTTACTCAATACCCTCTACGATGCCGACCATTTCAGAATAGCACTAGGCACGTTATCGACGGCCAAGCGGCTGATTGAGACCGTGGCAAGAGATTACGTTCGACTCCTGAAATATGCGCAGTCACTGTTCCAATGCAAATCGTTGAAGCGGGCCGCGCTCGGTCGTATGGCCACAATCTGCAAGAGACTGAAAGACCCTCTGGTGTATCTGGAACAAGTACGACAGCATCTAGGACGTCTGCCTAGCATCGATCCAAATACTCGCACGCTTCTCATCTGCGGTTATCCTAATGTCGGAAAGTCCAGTTTCCTCAAATCAGTCACCCGTGCCGACGTGGATGTACAGCCGTACGCATTCACCACAAAGTCCCTTTTTGTCGGACATTTCGACTACAAGTACCTCCGATTTCAAGCCATTGATACGCCCGGTATCCTGGACCACCCGCTCGAAGAGATGAACACCATTGAAATGCAGTCAATCACGGCGATCGCACACTTGAGATCTGCCATCCTCTATTTTATGGATCTTTCAGAACAGTGCGGATATTCAGTCTCGGCACAGATGGCTCTTTTCAACTCAATCAAGCCATTGTTCGCAAACAAACTTGTCTTCATCGTGATCAATAAGACGGATGTGACAAAACCTGAAGATCTAGATCCCGAACAGCAACAACAGCTCAAGGATCTCCTTACTCAAAATTCGAACACCGAACTTCTTCAATTATCGTGTATCACCAATGAAGGCGTTCAAGAGGTCAAGAATACGGTCTGCGATCGACTTATTGCTGACCGTGTGGCTGCGAAACTCAAAGCTGGTCAAGCCTCACAGCCCGCAATTTCCGACGCTCCAACCGGACGATTGGGAGACCTGCTTGCGAGGATCCACGTTGCAAGACCGCTTGAAGGCGCAGTCAGCGAAACATACATTCCAGAAGCGGTCAAGAACGGCACACACAAGAGATACGAAATGTCTGACCCCGAGAGACGGAGATTGGAGCGCGACATTGAAGAAGAAAATGGTGGTGCGGGCGTTTACAACATCGATTTGAAGAAGTTTTACGACCTGGCTGATCCAGAGTGGAAATCGGACAAGGTTCCAGAATTCTTTAACGGCAAGAACATCGCGGACTACGTCGACCCGGATATTGAAGAGAAGCTCAACGCCCTCGAGGCGGAGGAAGAGCGTTTGACACAGGAGGGATTTTATGACGAGAGTGATAGTATGAGTGATGAAGAGGATGCCGAGATACGAATGAAGGCGAACCTGATCCGCGACAAGAAGACGTTGATGAAGAACGAAGCGCGGATGAAGAAGAGTCTCAAGAACAAGGCGCAAATTCCACGGGCGAAGAAGTCGCGGACTCTGGGCCAGATGGAGAAACATTTCACCTCCATTGGTCTGGATGCGGCTTCCGCCACCGATCGAGCTAGGGCACAGATTCGGAATGCTCCTGCTCCTTCGACTGCTGGGGATCAGATGGAGATTGACACCCCTTCTGCGAGGGCGAAATCCGTCTCCAGAGCACCGAAGACAAACAGGTTGACCGACGGGTTGGGCCTCAGTGCAACTGGTGTGACGGATCCTGCCAAGCGTGAAAAGGCAGAGCGCATGTCGAAGTTGAGCCAGCGGAAGATGAATCGCATGGCCCGGCAGGGTGAGGCTGATCGACACGAGACGGCGTCCTTGCCTGCTCATCTACTCAAGGGCAAGAGAAAGATGGGTACGAACAGGTCGAGATAGTCGGATACTTGGTTGATCTCTTGATGATGTGATGAGGCGTACATTGTAGTTCTTGCGGCATTGGGTTGTGGTTGTTGATAAAGGAGTCTGAGTGAGAGTGACCCCGAGTTTTACACCATCTGCTTTGGCGTTGACAAGACCAGAGCTTGAGCAGATAGCAGACAATATCTATGCCTGATTACTGCTTGAGACGAGTACGCTGTCCCTACCATGTTCCCGTGTGGAAGCCATTCTTCTCTGTCCATCTTCCACCGAGACATGAAGTCGGATCCTACAGACACCGACATAAGCATCCTTGGAATGGTGCAAACCATGGTCACCGACTCGGCCAGTTATAGGTTTCCAAACCGGGATGCTTTTCACTTGGTCAGCCGGTTGCCTTAAAATCTGGCATAACTCTGAATGTTTCGGTATGCTACTGGATACGTGCAATCACCGGGTGACCTCAGTGATCTGGGAAGTGATGGAATATTGAGTCGGAAGTGTCCGAGCGAACATAGTATGTACGAGCGTGTTGATTATTAATAATGCTCGTGCCAAACTTATCAGACCATCCATATTCCACTGCATAGCATCGCATCCCTACGTCCAGCCTACATGTCACCTTACTAAGGACGGATGATCTGAAAACGCCGGTTCCACATCCTTATTGACAAATGATGGCATGAGACTAATCATGGGGCGTACACACATAAGTCCATCAAGAAGCATGAAAGACATGAACCTTCATGCCAGACCCCATCGTCTTGTCTACAACTGCACTGCTTCCATTGCCTTGTCCTTCAGTAGAGTCCAGGATGTCTCCACAGACACAGAAAGCACTTGTGGTTACCGAAATCGGCAAGCCAATCACCCTGGTCACAGACTGGCCTGTCCCGCAGCCTGGTCAAGGCCAAGTCCAAGTCCGAGTCATCGTTGCCGGCACAAATCCTCATGACCAGAAAGCCCGAGATTTTGGCCTTTTCATCAAAGACGGCCTCCCCGCCATCCTGACAAACGATGTCGTTGGCGAAGTTACCGCCCTTGGTGAAGGCGTTACCAAGTACTCGCTTGGCGACCATGTCTTCGCCCAGTCGAATTTCGCGCCAGGGTGGGCGCAGTCTGGACTCCAGGAATACGCGATCCTCGACGCAGACTATAGTGCCAAGGTACCAGAGGGACTCAGTGATGATGATGCGGCAACACTTCCGTGCAACACTCTGGCTCCGGCCATCGCCATGTTTCATGAGTCAAATCTAGGCTTTCCAGCTCCCTGGACGCCCGAGGCCTCGCATTTCGACTACAAGAGCATAACGCTCCTAATCCTTGGTGGCGGCAGCAATTGTGGCAAGCTCGGCGTACAGTTTGCCGCGCTTGTGGGTATTGGACGAATTATCGTCGTGGGCGGAGACGAAGCGACGTTGAAATCGTACGGCGCTACACACATCATCGACCGCCATGGCGCACCAGAGGATGTTACCGCAAAGATTCGCGAGATCGTGGGAGATGACCTAATCTACGCGTTCGACGCGATCAACCCAGCTCCTACTCAGGCCATTGGGATCAATGCCTTGTCGACCACGAAAAGGGGCAAATTTGCGCGACTTTTACCGAATGCTCCGGTTGATGAATCGCAGGTTAAGCCGAAGAAAAAGGGATACGAGCTGATTAACATCTTTGGCAGTTCGCACGCAAAGCCTGAATGGGGGTTGCAGTTCTGGCAAAACTTGCCCAGGTATCTGATCGAGAAGAAAATCCAGCCGACGCATTATACGGTGGTTAAGGGATTAAATGCGGACAAGGTGAATGAGGTGCTGGATGCCTACAGGGATGGCAAGAGGGTGGTGAAGCCACATGTCCATGTCAGAGAGTAAAGGCGGTGGAAGCGAAGGATTCGTGAAAGTGAAGGCCATCAGTCAGAGGTAGTCGGTAGGTGAAAGTGAATTGATGCTTCATGCCAGGCCTCTCGAAGACACGTTTGCTGCTTCCAATTCACTGCTGCTTGACTGCCTTCCTTGTGCGCATGCCAATCAAGAATTCTTTCGTCTGTGTATTTCCTGCCTCCTCTAAACTTGCAACTCATGTCTGCCTGAAGTCCATGCTTCACACATTGAGAAGGTCGGCGAACAATTCCTAACCCAGGGCCACCGTCAAAGACCATGAAAGTTACTAACGCTTTTGTAGTGCCGATATTGGTGGCTAATCAGCCCTGAGCCAGGATGGCAGGATTGGAAGGCGCATTTTTCGGGATCGATCTGTCTGATACAGACCGTCACCGTTCGCTGCAACGACTAGAAGCGGAAGAGCAGACTGAAACCTATGATTTGTCCCAGCTGCATGTCGATACTAGGAAACTGGTCCAGGAAATCCAAAAAAGAACCAACAGAATCAGGAGCGAGATTTCTGGTACTCTCGAGGGTATTGAGAAGGCCTACTGGTACAAAAAGTACGGTGGCGCCGCTATGCTCAGGGCATTTCGAAGCGAGATCGATGGAACTGCGACGCAGGTGCCGGTTGGGCAAGGTCTCGGAACGGCGGTCCGACTCTACATGAACATCATATGGCTTACAGAGATTGTTCAGAAGCATTATCCCGACCGAGGACCGCCCCTTCCTCCACTCTGGAGGTCATACATGGCGATGCGGGTTTATCTTGAGCTTTCGCCGATGAGGTTCTTGTTAGTCCTGGACAGGCTGGCTATCAGGAATCAACTCGAGAGGACAACGAGAAACAACCGTCGTCGTGCATCTGAGAGCGATCGAGACATTCAAGAACTTAGGAGCCTTGATAAACAATACCGAGACGACAGCAACGCCTTTCAGCAGGTGATGCGTCAGCTGTCCCGAGCCCTCCAGTTTGCACTTGCAAAGGCAGAAGGACCCGAAGCTGTGAGGATTCTACAGGAGGACCCAACACAGCCCACACAAGCTCGGGCATGGCCGATACTGAGAGATGACATTGTGGCAAGTGACCCTGATCTTGACCTTGCTGAACTTGAGATTCCTCCTCAAGATTGTTCCGTCTGGGCTCTACTTCCACTGTTGTGCAGGAAAGGAGCTTCGGGCGCGAAGTGATGAATGACTCCATGGGCAAGCTACTGAGGAGAGTTTAACAGAGCCTGTGTGACGTTGGACCAAAGTCCTGTAACATGAGAAGTTACAGGAGAAGAACTCGGATTCGAGTCACATAATGAGAATGCGCAATCCAGCATGACTGAGACTGTGAAACTTGCGATGTTGTGTCCTTCATTTCCACATTACAGGCTCTCATTTGCGCTTGCAGCCCAGTGAAACATGGTCACACCTGGTCTCCTTAGCCACAGGAAAGTCCTCAGCACTGCCCACTGCTGGAACTTGCAAGCGGACAGCCAACGTGCGGCGTCTCCATGAACCCCTTCCCAGCTGCTTCTTTGCCGGCCTTTTTTGGACCAGAATAGTGTTAGGCGGCCGCATCTTGACCGTTCTCGCAGTATTGTGTCGTGCTTACGCATGAGAACTGTAGTGTACTAGTGTCGCGTGATCTTGGGTTGACGTGGGTTGTATCCAGGTCCTATCTAACCGCGTTGATATGCCTCCCCAAGGTATGTAATATCAGCCTTCGCCGTTAACATGTAGTATCTGTCGGCTCTGACTGTCTTGTCTTTGCCAATTTGTTGAAGGTATGCGAAACACACAAAGCAAGATAATTGAGCGGTTGAATGGAAGTGATCCGCTCAGACAAATGCCCCGATTTTGCAGGAGCCAGCTGCAGCCTCGCATGGCTTGGCGTTACCCCTTGGGCGAGACAGCCTCGCAACAAAGGTACCGGGCATCTACAGTCCAACAAAGTGCAATTTGATCTGAAGACGGCCCTCGAGCAAGCAAACGCCGAGCGAGATATCCTCCAAAAGGAAATCACGAATGCCAAAGCCGAAAAGGATCAGCTGCTGAAAGACCTCGACGAAGCCAACAGCAGAGCCGAGAAGGGGAAACGATCATTGACCTCAACCATGCAGCGCCTGGTGAAAGATGAGCCAGAGCTGGAACAAGAACCGGCACAGCACATCGCAAAGCTTACACAAGCCGTCGTTGAGAATGAGAAACCCCAAGTTGCTCTCAATGAAAGCGGTGCAGAAAAACACGCGGCGCAGAAGGTGGCCGAGAAAGAAGAGCCTGGCATTTCCACTGCTGCTCTGCAGAAGGACGAAGAAACAGTCAAGGCAGATGAAGAGACTCCAGAAGCCGCCTATGGAAGATCGGTGCGTCCAGCTAGCGAGATATCCGACTTGAAATCCAGCATGACAACTCCAAATGGTCGGAATCATGGCTTTGCACATGGCACCTCAATGCTCGGTCGAGGCCGGGGCAAGGCCCGTCACCGTGGCTCTGGACGAAAGGGTGTTGGCCCGGAACGATGTGGCAAGTGCGCCATGATATCGCATCTTACAGAAGACTGTCCGATCAAATGAGGTGAAAGCGACGGCGAGGTGTCTTCAAAAATGATTGCCACTTGAGACCCAAGCAAACATGAAACATCCGCGAGAATATGGGTTGACCCGGCGCAGGAACAAGGGTACCCAACAATGAAATTGAACTGGCATGAAACTGAAGATGAAAAGGTGAAATCGTTGGAAAAGGTGGATTTGAACATAAATTCTGGAGAAGGAGTAGGATGCTTCTACCGGAAGAGCTTTGTGAGCTTTCAAAGATGAGGCCATACAGCCTGTGGGTGGGTAAATGCCTGACTCAGTGTGGTCCACGTGACTCGGCGTCCGGATCAAACGCGCTATTCGCTAGTCTGTTGACCTTTCAACGACCTTCACGCGTCTCCTATACGATATGACATCTTTCCCCCTCCGTGACCTTGATTGCTTGCGCTGCCTCTGATCTCATACTCCCTGATCTACAGTCTCACAGCTACAAATATACGTCCCTTACAGCCCATATTCAAGATGTCTGCCTCTCGACCTATTCCACCGGCTGTGTACCCACAAAACCCGTTCGACAGCATCGCAAGCAATCTATCCAAGATTTCTGCTTCCATCAGGATGCCCGATCTAACACCTCCTCTGACACCTCTGGCGGAGCGCAGCGCGAATATCATGCCGCATGTGCATGCGCAAGTAAGTTCCCACGCGCCTCCAGCACCGCAATCCGATTCTTGACTCCAACGAAGATGATGACACTGACTGGAAGTTCGTAGAATTCCGGGGACAAGCCAAACTCAGGGAAAAAGCGTAAGAGTACTGATGTTCTTCTATCAATCCGGATGATATCGACCTCCCGTATGGCATGCCTATCGTAAGTCTCATCCCTGTCTCTGCTCCACGCGTCATATCGTAGTACAATCGATTATGAGGCACTGCGACGCAGCCCAGTATGCATCCCAGAGGGGCTGTCCACATGGCTGACTACGTTTTGCTTGTTCCGATTCTAATTTAGCGTCACAGGGATGGAGCCGTCACAGGAATGGAGTACGCAACAAATTCGGGCCAAAATCCGTCAATATGTCAACAGCGGCGAAAGGAAGATCGGCGAGTTCCAGAACAAGCTAGGCGTTAGCTCAACGTCCTATTCCCGTTTCACGCCATGAACGGCGCAGACAAGGGCACGAGCAGCGACACATACTTCGCCGCCGCCGAGTTCCTCAAGCGCCGGGAACTCGCCGGAGTCAAAATGCCACGACAGAAGAAGGCCAAAACGACCAGCAACACCAAAGAAACGAAACACGTCAGGCTCGACGGCCGCACCGAAGAAGTCGAAGAAAGATGAAATTGCCGAGACCGAGAAGGCCAATGACGTTTCAGACATGACGCTGCCCGGTGAAGAGAAGGACGAGGTACCCGTGTTCGACACGTGCGACGACATCCGCACCAAGATCAAACGCTACATGCGCGAGACACCTCACGCCACGGGCGCAGGCTTTGTGCGCACCGCCAACCGCGCACTGCCGGAGGACAGCGACCGTAAGGCCGGGTCACAGACATTGACAAAGTTCCTCAACGCGAAAGGGCCGAGGAAGGGTGCGGAGGGTAACGTCTTCCATACCGCGTACGTCTTCTTTGAGAAGTTGCGCATCAAGCAGGGCAAGCCGAAAAGCAAGAAACGGGAAGAGATGGAGAAGGCATGGGGACGACAGGGTATAGACTTGGAGGATTCGTCCAGGACCCGTGTCTTCGTGGGACCGAACCTTCCGCCTGTGTATGAGGACCAGTATGGGAAATTGAGGAGACATTGACGCTGAAGAAGAGTCTACAGGATACGCACGACTTAAAATGTCTGTTGGTGCGTTGTGCGTGGTGTTCCGGCAATACGGTCGGTGAGCGTGCAGGTGGGTGATGCGTGAATGTGGGTCTCATTTTACATGTATCAGTACCCCGTACAGGCGACAATGAGGAGGATGCCAATTCATTCTCTATTTTTATGCAGATGCCGGTATGCTCTACGATGCTGCTTGGGCAGAGTCTTCTGTTCAAATACATCCGCGGATTTCTGACCGGGAAAGTGCCTCGCTGCAATCATGTCGTCGAGGCGCCGGACTGCGTACCTTTCGTCAGGCCAAGTTCTTCGTAGAAAGCGTCAGTCTTGGGCTCTCTACCGAGAAAGTCGATTAGCGTCGTCATCTCGTCCTGGCTGCCGCCCTTTTCGAGAACTGTGTGACGGTAACGACGACCTTCCTTGGGGTCCATCGGGTTCTTCTTGAAGACGGAATAGAACATATCGGTTGAGTATACCTGAGAACTGAGGTAGCCATAGTAACCTGTTCAAATTTGGTCAGTGTCTGCGAAATACATTGTCGTGGTAGGCGATCTTACCAGCATCATAACCTCCCATCAAATGCCCAAAGGTGGCTTGACCGTTACCCCATTTGTTCCCTTCACCAAGCACTTCTGGTCCGTCGATCTTACTGATGTCCTTTCGCAGGGCATTGTATGTCTCAGAAATGTCCATAGCCTCGAGGCTGGCATGATCCTTGGGCTCGTGGATCGTCATATCAAAAGTGCCAAAGTGCAGTTGGCGCAGGTTGAATAGCGCGCCGTTGAGGTTCTTGGTCTTGATCAATTTCTGGATCAAATCATCGGGTATCCGTTCCTCGGCCTTCTCCGCATTCGAGCCGGCAGCTTCTTTCCACGAATCGTAGTAGTCAGACGACAGAGTCGAGTAGTGTCTGCTCAGGGCTTTCAGCTGTGACGGTGTCCAGCACCAATTCTCCAGCATCTGACTGGGTGCCTCAACGAAGTCTCTCACAGTGTTCGTGCCGTGGAAGCGCGAATAGGTGGTTCGAGAGACGAGATCGTGAATACCATGCCCGAGTTCGTGGAAGAGAGTGGTGACTTCGTCATGTTTGAGTAGGCTGGGCTTCTTGGCCGTCGGCTTGGAGAAGTTGCAAACAAGTGCTGTTGCCGGATATCTTCTCGTACCATTTTCCTGGATGAAGCCTGGCTGAAGATTGAAGTTTGCGGCATGTCCGTACTTGCCCGTTCGAGGGAAGAGATCGAGGTATAGATAGCCAACAAATCCGCCTCCTTCGTCTTCGTCATCCCAGACACTAAACACCTGTACTTCTTCGTGCCAGACAATATCTTCGCCTTTTCCAGAAGGAGAGATACTGTCCCGATCTTTGCCCACCACCTCCACAAAAGCTAGACCGAAGAGTTGCTCGAATATTTCGAGCATGCCTCTGATCGTCGTCTGCAGAGGGAAGTACTCAGAGATCAATTGCTGGTCGAGCTGATAGTCCTTCTCCTCCATCATTCTGTCGTAGAATCGGTGGTCCCAGAGGTAGTAGCGGCCATCAAACTTTTCACCCCGCGACTCAAGGTCAGCTTGCTTCATCTTCTTGAGTGTCTCGATTTCATCCAGGCCGCCCTGGCTCAGCCTCTGCCGCAGGTCACCCAAGAAGTCGTCCACGGTCTTTGGAGTCTTGGCCATCTTGTCTTCGATTCTGAAGGCTGCATGGTTAGGGTATCCCAGTAATCGAGCGGCTTCGTCTCTGAGAATGATGGCTTCCCGGAACAGTGGTACATTCTGATTGCACTTGTTCTCGTTCGAGACAAAGACCTTCTGACGCGTGGCGCTATCGGTGGCGTACTTTAGGGTAGGAAATAGATCAGGGTATTTGAATGTCAACCAGTAGTTATCTCCCTCCTTTTTCAGGAGAGACAGGACATCTTCGGGCACGCCGTTTAGCTCATCAGCAGTGAGCCACAGCCCGCCCTTCTCTTCGTTGAGGTTCTTCGAAAACGCAATACCGAGCTGACTTAGACGCTTCTTGATCTCCTTGAAACGGTCTCGCTTGGGTCCAGCTGGGATATCTAGACCATTGCGGACAAAAGCCTTGTGTTCTTTCTCAAGTAGCCTCTGCGACTCCGGGTCCAATTTGTCGCCCTTCTTCAACGCAGCATCCACCAGCTTGAAGACGTCCTCGCGCATGGCCGCTTCGATGCTGTACTCATCCATGAGCTTTTCTGCTTCGGTTGAAGCATCGCGCAATGCCTGCTCCGTAGACACTGATTGGTAGAAGCCCAGGATATGTGCCTTCAGCGTCTGCAAGTTCTCGTCATGCACCATGGGAAGCAGTACGGTTTGAAAAGTGGCATCTCGCTCAGCAATCTGGCCAACTACATCATCTGTGACTTTCTTCGACTGCGCCAGCATCTCCTTTGTATCCTTCATAACCGACTCTGGGGTGGCCGTGAAACTTGGAGGTGCCTGCGGAGGCTTGCGAAACTTTGCTGAAGTCATGGCCGAGGTCGTTACTGGTCTGAATGGACTGGACGATGAAGTAGCGGGCCCAAAAGGCCGTATTTGGTTCAAGATGGTACCGAGGCGGGCGGGAACGCGAAAGGGAGCCAGGATGACGAGGCAGATGATGGTGAAGAGGGCGGCGGAGGTGAGTAGGATGAGTAGGGGCTTTGGTCGAGCCAGATTGACGGATGTAAGGAGGTCGATCTCAACACATGGAGGAAATAGTTAAATTCCTGGGTGAAAGCCAGTGCGGGTTGCCAGACCAAAGATGTATGTATATTCAGGTCTGAAAGGGAACTGTCGACAAGTTACACAGTAACCTACCCTTATGCATCTGGACATAGCCGACGACACACGGACCAGTTCTAGTGCGGGCCAAAGTGCCCTTCCGGGTATTTGTTTGTGCTCGCCCGTGGTTCCCATTACTCCACCACAAAGATATCACTACAGAAATCACGCTCAACATCCCTTCCGGAACAATTGCCCATGGTTCTCATAGCTCCGAGGTCTTGGAGCATTTCAGGGGGACGTCTCTTCTTTACGCCTTGCTAGTCGTCATTCTCCAGCCCGATACACGGCCTAGCCCCAGCGGAACCGGCCATGCATGCTTGGCAACTTGCAGGGTAACAACGCACGCCGATGTACCTACAAGTATATCAACCATTGCTGGGCAGCTCCCATATATCAACATTGGTCGTACGTAGACACAAGCAAAAGAGATAAAAAAAAGCATGGACGACTTCCAGCTACCAACACCATAAGTCTCGAGACCGCCACAATACCTATACCATTCATTATCGCGTTCTCGGGGCTCCAGACGGCCAACCTCTCATATTCGTCCATGGCACTCCATGGTCGTCCAGGGTCTGGGTCCCGTATGCTCAAGCGTATGCTTCGGCGTTCAGAGTCTATCTCTTCGATAATCCCGGATACGGTGGATCCCCTGGCGGCATACCAATTTCAGACTCCAAGGGCGAACCGAATGTGTCGTTGGCTTGTCAGGCAGAAGCCTTCGCCTCTCTGGTGAGGGCATGGAGTCTTTCTGAACCTCCACACGTCATAGCCCACGACTTTGGAGGAATCATCCCGCTCCGGGCACACCTTTGCCACGGCATCCAATATGCAAGCTTATGCTTTGTCGATCCTTTGGCAGTCAGTCCTTTTGGCTCGCCTGTCTTCCGTCTGGTGGCATCAAATGCAGAAATCTTCAACAGCCTACCCAGTTATTTATCCGAGGCAATGGTTCGCTCATATATCCGTGAGGCAGCATTGAAGCCCCTCGGCCAAGCAATTGAAGACATGCTTGTCAAGCCGTGGTCCGCAAGTGGCCTGCATGGCATGGCAGGCTTTATCAGGCAGGTGAAGCAAGCAGATCAGCGCGATATTGAGGAGGTAGAACAACGGTTCCATGAGGTAGGTCAAAAGATGCCAGTTAAGTCATCTGGGGTGAGGAAGATGCTTGGATTCCGGCGGAAAGAGCCGATAAACTTGCGCGACTGATCGGTACGGAGGATGTTGTTATTGTTAAGGATGCCGGGCATCTCATCCACTATGATCAGCCTGTACGATTGGCTGTGGAACTCACAGACTGGCTTCAAAAGATCAAAGGGGTGAGACAACATTGAGACAAAGTTGTGTCCGGAGACAAGCGTTCTGTATCTTTTCGGGAAAGCGCCGTTCAATGCAGGGTATACCATAAACAATATCATGATTCTGATTGAACCGTTTGACTTTGATTAATCAGCAGATTGATGCAGTGTGCAACAAGAACGACTTACGAAAGCCAATCCATGCCTTCATTGATACCTTTACCATCGATCACCGAACAGGCAACGATGCTCCAATTACGGTCTCTCAACTCACCCAATTTCAGAGCTTCGGAGATTTCTCCAGCGCCTTGTGCTCCAGGCTGCGCGTTGTCAGTCAACGTTTTGCACATGTCTCATGCAACGTACCTGGTCCTGCTTATTGGCAAAGACTAACAGCGCGGCATCTTTTAATTCATCCTCGTTCAACATTGATCGTAACTCATCAGCGGCAATTTCTAACCGCTCGATATCCGTAGAGTCGATCACAAATATCACCGCAGCCGTATTGGCATAGTATGACCTCCAATAGGGCCTGATGGAAGTTTGGCCACCGAGATCCCAGACATCGAAGTTCAGGTTGCCATATTGCACCGATCTGTTTGTCAACGTCACAAAAGCTTCACGTAGGCATCGAGGAGTCCACTCACTCGACATTGAAGCCAATAGTCGGTATCGTTGTCACCACTTCGCCAATCTAGCACTGTTAGAAAGCGTTCCATACCGCCGCCATTGGAGCCAACCTTTAGTCTGTATAAAAGTGTTGTCTTGCCAGCATTGTCCTGTCGCAGTCAGTGAGCAAAATGTCCACCGAGATAGAAATCGCTGCGAGCATACAAGCCCAAGGATCAATATCCGAATGTCTTTCTTCCCCCAAATAAGGCTGGAAAAGTACTTCGATATTGAGCCTCCCATTGTTGCTGGCTGAACTGATTGGCTGTGAGGATTTGGGATAGGAGCGGTCACAAAACCATGCCGCTACTCTCGAAGACTTTTGATCTCCCACAAAGACTTGGCAGTTCAGTTGTTCACGGTATGCACACTCAGACTATCGATGCTGTATCCGGAGAAAGATGATGGCTTGGTCGAGCAGTATCAGATGAGGTGATGTTTGTTGCTATGACCAGATGTCGAGAGAAGTGATCGAGGAGCCTTGAAGTTCAGCCACTTGGCGGTGTGGCGCCCTAGCTCCTTGGTGACAGAGCCACTTCTCATGCGCCACAATGATTGAGGCTAGTGTCCGTCCCCGTACCTCGTCGAGCATTCGAGCGACTCATTCTACCTCGATGTGACTTTATCCTGGCATTTCGAACAACCCTGCGCACGCCGTGTTATGGTGAACAGAACTTTCACTGCACCTCATTCCGATCAATGGACACTGGGCGTAAAACCAACCAAAGGTATTGCTATTAGGCACCGTCACACGCGGCCAGAAATCTGATTCACCTCGTGGCCATACACACGCGGTCGGGACGCAGCACACGAGACGCATAGAAAATGGTGGGCAAAAAGAGCGGAAAGGCTCTCCTACGAGAGGAGGGCCTTGAAAGGACAGACAACAACATGGACTTGACGTCCTGGCCACAAATCATCCCGATTAATCAGAAGAATTATTACACAGGTGCGCATACATACCGAGTACATTGAACAGACTAACTCGGTTGGATAGACTACCTCAAACGAGATGAACAGATCCTCGCTGTGCGTTCTCAACAGGAGGAAGCCAGAAACAAGATGGTGAAGCAGCACAAGGACAGGGACCGCGCATTGGCGCAAGGCAAGACTGTGGGCACAGATGGTGATATCGAAATGGAAGATGGCGAGGACGAAGATGAAGAAGCTGAGGACGAAGCCTCAAGTGGTGCAAAGACCATTGTCATCCATATCGGTTCACAAAATCTGAGGGTCGGTCTAGCGAACGATGCGCTCCCTAAGACTGTGCCAATGGTCATTGCGCGTCGCGCACCCATGTCCGAAAGCGAAGAAAACGACGGTCAACCCGCGCCGAAGCGAGCGAAGCTAGACAACGGATTACCTCCTCCCGAACCGGAGAAGCGTTTCGGTGAAGACTTTCAGAAAAAGTTCTCCGGAATGTCCAACGATCTGAAGGTGAGGATGCGAATGAATAAGAGGAAGGTCTTACCACAATCCAGAGACATGGTTACCAGCTACAACCGAAGAAACACCTACGAGACCATAACAGAGCACAATGACACCATGCGCATTGAGTGGACGGAAACGACAGGAAGCGCCAATGGTGCACCAGAATACATCACCGGGAAGGCTGCGCTTCGAATTCCTGATCAGTCAACCCCTCGGTACAGACTCTACTGGCCCATCCGTCTGGGCTGGATTAATGAAGCAGATTATTCATCCAGACGCTTTCTGTACGAGGACATTCGGTTAATCCTTGAAGATGCCATCAAGTCCCAGCTAGAGCTCAAAATCCGCACACGCGATGAATGGGCCCAGTACAGCTGTGTCATTGTCATCCCTGACTACTACGAGAGGACCTACGTAACTAGTCTGCTCGATATGGCCATCTCCGAATTCGGTTTTGGCAGAGTATGCTTCATTCAAGAGAGTTTGGCTGCTTCATTCGGTGCCGGTTTCACCACCTGTTGCATAGTTGATATTGGGGCACAGAAGACATCAATCTCTTGTGTTGAGGATGGCATGGTAATTGAAAACTCCCGAGTCAATTTGAAATATGGTGGCAGAGACATCACTGAGGCCTTCGTCAAGATGGTGATTTACAACCATTTTCCTTATTCCGAGGTCAACTTGAACCGACGTTACGATTTTCAGCTCGCAGAAGAACTCAAGCAAAAGTTCTGCACCATGAATGAGGCAGATATCTCTGTCCAACTCTACGATTTTCATCTTCGAGCCCCTGGCCAAGACACCAGGAAATACACGTTCAAAATTTACGATGAAGTCATTCTCGCACCGCTGGGAATGTTCAGGCCTCAAATCTTTGACGAGACTGGAAAATTGAAGGGCCGCCGAAAATTGGTCGACAAATCCTACGACATCTACGACGGCAAGCCTAATGACCCCAGTTCAAGCGCCCAAGCCGAAATTCTCACAGCTATTGCTCCGGAGGAAGTACTGACATCGAACACCAAGATTAATCTGAAAGCGAACGGAATCACCAACGGGACCACCAATGGCACGAAAGACGAAACTCACACTGACTCGCGCCGTCCATCATTTAGCAATATCAAAGATATGGACGCTACGCCGCAGCCCTCTGCAGCGAGCTCCCCAGCGAGACAGCTCGATGGCACTCCCCAACCCGAAGACAGTGAAGGCGCAGCCCCTCGTGAGGAAAAGCCCAAAGTCGAAGAAGAAGTGGAAGAACCTCTCAGCATTGAGCGCCGTGACGATATCCTGCCCATTTACCCACTTCCCAACGCGATCGTCACGTCAATCACCCATGCGGCTAAGAATTCACCACAAAAGACCGGCGATCTGCTCAGCAGCATCATGTTAACCGGAGGTACCAGCATCATTCCGGGCCTACCGGGACATCTTGAGGACACACTCAAAGGTATATTGCCAGGCTATAGCAAGGATATCCTGATTTCACGACCACCACGAGAGTTGGATCCGCAGGTCGTGGCGTGGAAAGGCGGCGCAGTGTTTGGCCGCATGAGCCGGACTAATGATAGCTGGGTGAACCCTTTTTTGTATGAGAGATTAGGCGAGAGAATCCTGGCTCACAAGTTGATGTGGGCTTGGTGAGTGGTGGGACTCAAGAGTCCCAGAAAGCTCATTTGGCTTGAGGAATGGTGTAAATCTATTTTCCAGCACAAGCACGAACCAACAACTGCCAGGTCTCACAATGGTGAACGTTGAGTGGCTTCTATGTCGGCGCTAGTGCTCTACTTGACTGGTCGCAGAGTAAGCAGGAAGTTCTTCCCTCAGCAGAGCCGGCTATTGCACTCTCTGATCTCGTGTGCCCTCTTCGATCACTGGGAGACATGATTGGTCTCGAAATTACCTAACAGAGGGCCTTTTGGAAGACAATAGATGGGGCATCCACTCCTCCACCAACCAAGTACGATTCTTCTGGAGATCGCTCCGCAGAGCTAAAGGCCACATTTTCCTTCAGCAATGCTGGAGTGCTTGGACAGATGCTCAACGAAAATTATTCGTATTGTGAGAGACTTCAGAGCAACTCATTAACAAAAGGACCGGAAGCGAAAGTCGTGACGGCTACAATCCAAAGCCGATGCTGCAGACACATGCAGCATTGAATATTACCAACCCCAAAAGCCGAGTCGCATGAACCGGGAAGGAAGGGTAAGGCATTTGTCTGAAAAACTCCCTCGAGCGGCGTATGTCCTTGGCTCGTATACTCGATCAGAGGCGTGGTCTTGGGAACTTCTTTTTCAACCAGCCCAGCAAAGTGTCCCCGAAGTCTGCGGGACGATCCAAGTGAGCCCAGTGACCCGAGTCGACCACGACTTTCGTACAGTCCGGCAGGAGTCCTGCTTTGAAACTGTAATCGCAAAGTTCTGGCGGGCAGACATAATCCCTCTTCCCACCCCAAAACAGATGCGGCACCTTGACGACATAATTTTCCGGTAGTATAGCTGCGAGAGCCTTGTCTTGAGTGCCGAAGGTAACAGCACGGTAGTAGCTGAGGGGAGCGTCGAATCCACCAGATTTGAATCGTTCAAGCCAGCGGAGCCGTCTTTGCTCCGTGGCATACGGCAGGACAGGCAGCTTTTTGTCCTGGAGGATGAAATTGCGGACACCGTCCTTCACAGTCAAAGTCTCGAGCCAGCTTTCAGGCTCGGCGTGGAGTAGGGTCCATTGAGACTCGAGGTGGGCGTCGAGTATCTGTGCTGCATTGGGCGCCGTGAACAGCTTCCAGTACCAGTGGGTACCATGGCCGAAACGTTTGGTATTCAGCTCAATGACCTTGTCTAGGTCGAAGGGTTGTGTGGATGGCGCGATGTATGCGGCATTAAGCAGGACCAACCCGCAGACACGATTGGGATAAAAGTTGTAGAACCGCTGCGCGATAGGAGAGCCCTGTTGGACCAGATGAATATCTGTACCCTTTTTGGCACAGCAAGAAGAGTCCTTCATATGAAACACCAAGTGATGGACCATCGAAATGTACTTACCCAATCGTGTCCCGTGCTGATTACTTGGTCAACTGACTCTTTGTTGATGATTTCTTCGAGGTCTTGGGCAAGCAGCTGGTAATTGTAGGCTTCTCTGTCAAGTGGCTTTGAAGTCCCACCATAGCCGAGACAGTCAACTGCAATGACACCGTACCCGTTGGGAAGCAGATAGTCGCGGACGACATCGGAGAACTCTTCAGGCGAGTCTGGAAAGCCATGTATCATTAACAATGCGGGAAGATTATGCTTGGCCGCGCTGGCGTAGTAGGTGTAAGTGAAGCCTCGTGAGACCTGCAAGGTCTTTTCCTCGAGAAGCTCCATTCCTCAGGTCTCGCAAAATCAGTAGTATTGTGATGGGCAAGAAAATATAGCGAAAGGCGACACTGGCAAAGCCACGTACGAGCGGTTCATGCGGTCAGGGGAGACACGTTGATATAATACGATACAAGTCTGTTTCCTTGTGCGGGACACATCCAAATTCGATCAATAGGCCGAGGGTATGTATACGAAGTGACATGGGCCGTCACATAGGGTGCCCAGCTGCAGGAAGTTTGCGCCATGTAGCCGAATCTAGACCTACTCAGAAGACACATGATTTGAAGCGGATTAGTGATACCGAGTGCCCAGTTAGGAGGTCCGAATCTGCCGCGTGTTCTCGTCATAAAGGCTTTCGTGTAGGGTGTCGACCAATCCTCTGTCCGTAGCATGTAGTAAGGGAACTCCCCTGCTACATGCAGGTAGCTTGACAGTCGAGCATCATTGTCGAACTGGAACGAAAAGAAATGGAGAGGGGTGAATGTGAATAAGAATGCATCACGAGAGAAGGAAGTGTTGCTGTGATGGCTCGATGGGTATCGAATGCCCCGTCACGTGCCTCTCTGGACGTAAGGAAAATCCGACAATAGGATTGGTCAACCTTTTCTCTCTCGAGTATCGACTCGCATCCGACTTTTTGTAGATATATGAAAAGAACTCTCCCATACTTGGAATCTACACACCGTTCATTACTACTTAAAGTCTTGAGACTTGGCTACCGCAGACTGTGTTGTTCTCCGAGCTCGATACATATGTCGCGAAGATGAACGGTTCCCGAGCACGATATGCGTCTTCAGACTGCGGTGCAGGTTCGCGAATACCTCTTGACTACTTCCGTAGCACACTCACTGATTGATCAATTCCATGTACAGAGGGCGCGGCAGGCACGCAATCTAGATGTCTTTCCGGGGTTCTTCCATCTTTGGGGCCCTGGCGGCCCACGGTTCGGCACACCTCGAATCCGCAAGATCAAACCACGAACTCCTCTTCCTGATGAATCTCGAAACAGACGGGCTCTAGCATCCCGCCTTGGTCTAGTCAATACAGGAAGGCGTCGTGAGCAGAAGCTCACTGGACGTAGCCATCGACAGCTCTTCACACCGTTCGCCGGAGTCTCAGTGCGAGCGCCCATCTTGAAGGAGGAGTCAGAAGGTGGAACAACCTTAGCGAAGACCTCTGTGACGTCGGCGCCCACTGAAAGACACGTTGACACCGACAAGAACTCCGAGGATCACCAGGAAGCAGGGACAGAACATGATATCACGGAGGATTCAACTAAAGGGTTCTACACTGTTAGACCGTCTAGACTTTTCACCGTGAAGCTTCCCAGGGGAAATATCCTCTCATCAGTGAAAGCGTTGAGGCTGGCCCGCGTTCATGCCCTGCCGGAGCAAGAGATTGCTCTCGATCCTTTCAACCTGCCTTCGCCTGAGCCACGAGCCCCCAAGCGTAGACAAAGGAAAGACTACCTCCTTGCTGCACAAATGATTGTCGACCTCCGGCGCAAAAGAAAACAGGCGGAAGGAAACGAAATCCTACCCAGACGATACAGTCTGCCCCTGTTTGCTTCACAGCGAACGAGGGACACGCTAATGCAGACCATTGATGGTAACGACGTGACGATCGTTTTGGCAAAAACAGGTTCAGGGAAAACGACTCAGATACCTCAACTTGTCCTCGACACAGCTATATGTCGTCAGTTGGGACCAGAAACGCGTGTTCTCTGCGCTGAGCCACGGCGGATTGCGGCCACATCAACAGCTCGGCGTGTAGCTTTTGAGCGCGGCGAACCGCTAGGGAATTCAGTGGGCTATCATATTCGCAATGACAGCGAACTTCCACGACAGGAAGGATCCATCACATATTGCACTATAGGCATTCTGTTACACCGTCTACTGACTCAAGGATGGCGGATGCTCCAAGGTTATTCGCATGTTATTCTTGATGAAGTCCACGAGAGAGATGCTCAACTTGACCTGGTATTGTCACTGGTGCGAAGAAATCTCTACTCGTTGAAGGCTTCTCGACTACCTTATCCAAAGGTCATCCTCATGAGTGCCACAATTGATCCGAGCTCGTTTCTTGACTATTTTCGTCAACCTATTTCATCGGATACTCTCGAAGCTGCCAGCTTCGAAGTTGAAGGAAGCGGATATCCGGTCGAAACTCATTATCTGCCTGATATATTGACAGAACTTTCGGCGAAGGGCGAATTGCATCCTACAATGCAGGCTCTCTTACAAAGCAACAGTCGGAAATCGAAATCCAGCGCAGGTTACATCAAGGAAGAGCTGGCCTTTGCTGCTCTTGATGAAAAAGGCAATAAGCTGGAAGTTGAAGGCAACGAACAGAACGCGCACGGAGCTCAAACGAGTCTAAAGGTCGCCGCGCAAGCGGAGGCCACTGCCAACTCATCAGCCAATAGCTATCTGGGTCTGGTGATGGCGGTGATTGCTCATATATCGTCCACAAAGCCGGCAGGGGATGTGCTAGTCTTCTTGCCCGGCAAGCTAGACATTGACACCATTTACGATCTTTTGATCGAGAGGAGACCACTCGGTCTCAATTTCCAAGACGAGAGCAAGTTCAAGCTTTTCAAGCTCCACTCAACACTCCGGGACACAAACGACAATGTCTTTACGAAGGTACCCACAGGCTGTAGGAGAATCATTCTAGCAACAAACATTGCAGAAGCCTCAATCACCTTACCAGAAGTGGTCTACGTTGTAGATCCAGGTAAAGCGAGGACCAGTGTTTATGACCCGATCACCTTTAAAAGAAGTCTCCCCTTCGACTGGATCAGCAAGACAAGTGCGATTCAGCGTCGTGGCCGGGCGGGGCGCGTGCGCCCCGGACATTACTATGCACTGTTTACAGAGAAGCGATACGAGACATTTCTTCCTATGGCGCGGCCCAAAATCACAGTGTCCAATCTTGTGGACATTGTCTTGAGCTTAGCGGCACACCCACAGCATGGCAGTCCAGCGGAATATGGCGATCCACGAGAATTTTTACGTGGCATGGTCGATCCACCGAGCGAAGACGCCATTGAGTCAGCGTATCGAGACCTTCAGGTCCTCGAAGCCTTGGATTGTGACGGCAGAATCACGCGACTTGGCTACTTACTTTCTGAGATAAACATTCATGCGCCCCACGGAAAAGGCATCTTGCTGGGAGCCCTCTTCGGCTGCCTGGAGCCAATGTTGATCTTAGCTTGCCATGATTTCAACAACCCTTTGATCCACAACCCTGAGCTCAGCATCAACCAGGTTCGAGAATCGAAGCGACATTTCGATCGTGACCTCGAAAGTGACCTTCCGGTACTTATTGAGGCTTTTAGAGCCTACCATGCGGCTTATCGAGCAGAAGACCTTGCAAAGCTGGACAAACTCCGTGAAGAGAGGTCCATCAAGCATAGTGCATACCTGGAAATGATCATGACCAGTAAGGCTATCCACGAAGCACTGGTGAAATATGGCATTTTGCTCGAGGCGCCCCTTTCTGCGACAGTGTTTGAGATCCTGCCAAATTTCCTCAACTTCAACCGGGATAACATGACTTTAGTAAAGGCCCTTGCTGTGAACACCGTCAGCTCCGAGTTAGCCGCTTGGGATGCAGAGAAGCACAGATGGATTCTGGATGTACCGAATCTCGGCTTCTCATCCAGGGCCAGCATTAACCACGACAGGCTGAGCGTAACTCGCAAAAAGAAGCGGAAACACAGGGCCGATGGACGTCTAATGGCCTATGCGTGGAAGAGCTCCAATGACGAATCGAGTGGGGGTGAAGTCTGGCTGGAACACTCGTCCATGGTTACGCCTCTGATGTTGATTCTCTTCAGTCGGAGTGCGACCTTGGAATCTCCCCAGACCATCAGACTCAATGACTGGCTGAGGTTTCAATTCGAAGTTGAGCACATGGACGCCGCCCTGGCAGATCACAGCGCGCGGATACTCATGGAAACAAGGAAGATGCTTGATCGCTTCATTACAAAAACCTGGCTTCGCATCCTACCAAACAATGTCCCGGATCGCGCGGACTTACGAGAGAAAGTCGTGAAAGCTGAACTCGGAAGAAGTAGGACCAGGGGTATGATGGTATCTACCATCACGAAGATGCTTGAGGCGGACAACGCATTTTGGCAAGCGTATCGGGCCAAGCGTCGAGCAAAGATTGATGCCGAAGAAGCCCAACTTGCAGAAGACGCTCGAATACTGGAAGGCGGGGGTTCAGAGCCACAGCCAGAGCGATCACATATATATGATGGTGAGTGGGAAGAAACTGCCACACAATATGGGTCAGCCTTGGCCGTCGAGGGCGACGAGGGACCGCCTGCCGCTGATGATGACGAAAATGACATTGGCCTCGGAACTCAAACCACTGAAAGTGCACGCCAATTGTTCCTTACTCATGAAGGTGAAGATGAAGATGTGGTCGCATCAGGAATCTGACCACAACTGCGGCGGACCCGACTGAGCCACATGTCATCCTTCTCGACGGAGATACAGCCTTCAACAGTGTTCGTGACGCCACTGTCCAGGGGGACGGCATATACCCTCTGGCTGATGACGAACATGCCAGCTTCCAGAGTGGTCTACAAGGCGACGTGGTAGGCGAGGTGACACACCCTGACACCGACTCTTTTGGCCCCAGGTGGTCACGGAGCTCGGATGCCACCATACCATTCGGCTTATGCCTAGAATGGCAGATATGTCTCTTGTTCCGAGCCAAGACAAAAAAGTAAGTTTGAAAATCCAAGAAATCAGCGTCGGCAGCACTGTCATGACGATTTGTGCGCCAATCGGCGGAGAAGAGCTACAAACGTCGAGCGGCTGTCGAGATGATTTGCTCGAAGGGTGAAAACACCTTTCCGATACATGATTTGTTAGCGGTGTTTAGGGACATTTCCTGGTCCTTGTCCGTGGTGCAAGATGCATGATGCCAGCAAGCTGGCTTGTATATATAATCTTTTGTGCGACTCCTCTCTAGGATGGGAGGATATGTATGAATACATTCAGTAGGGACAAATAGCTGCCAGGAATGTGCATGCCTCGAGAGCCTTTTGGAACATGATTCCAAGCACGGTGTCAATACATTCATTCTGGTCGAATGGAGATGATGAATATAGCTGGACTGCTCCTTTTTCCCTGACACTGCTGATGTTGTAGACTTGCTTGACCAAGCTCTGGCTGCAACCCGACCCTCATTGCCATGTAAAGACTCACAGCACACCACGCTTGGATGCACAGAACCATCAAGCCTGTGCCAGACTTCTACCCTTCACCTACCAGAGTACGGCAGTGTCATGTTCATAGTCTTCCGTCGCTCGCTCGAGATATTCTTCATCTTCTACAGGCTCGGCTTGACCTCGCCATCATGTAAAGAATCTCCCCACAAGCGGCATAGCAGCATATATTTTATCCCAATTCGATGCCTCCCACCCAACACCCTTGCCCGCACGCCCTACCACTCCCAGTCCGCCTGCAATCCACAATGCAGCAACTGTTGCCGCAATTCCGTTCACAACCCGCCTTGTCCACTTCCTCCTCATTGCGCCCGACTGCCCACCCTCGGTGACATACTCACTCGACAGCTTGAGATACTTCGCAGTACCACTAACAAAGTGATAACTCGCTACACTCACGAACACAGTGTAGAAGGCGTTGGCAATGATAGGGTCATGTGCGACTCCGTGGGCGAAAAACCGCAGCCCGACACCCGCCGAAGAGCCCTCGACCTTCTGCGGTATGATGCGTTGCATGAGGACATGCGCGACGAACATGGGGTACAGTATGTATCCTGCCGCGGAGGTCAAGCTGAGTTTGGGCCAGGGAATCCTGCGACGGTCGGCGCGCGTCTCGGCGCCGTGGCGCGTCGCGTTGATCCGCCGGCGGTAGATGCGCAGGGCCACGCCGGAGACGACATGCGTTATGATCGGGGCGAAGATCAGGAGCGGCTCGAGGGGGAAGGACTGGTAGTACGGCCGCGTGAGAAGGAGGTATTTATCTGCTTCCACTGCATTCCGTGTGAGGAGAGGGATGAGCGCGGTGTTGGTGTAGTGCATTGTCAGGTAGAGCGTGGGAGGGAGGGTTGCGTATTTCTGCACGGAGGAGAGGATGTGCAGGGTCCGCGCGGGCGTAAGGCCGAGGAAATTCGTGGATGTCCGGGATGCATGTGGGAGCTTGGAGGCGTCAATGTCGGAGGGGTTGGTCGGGTAGAAAGCTGGGGGTTCCTCGTCGACAGGAGAGGGTTCGACTTCGTGCATGGGCACGGCGGAAATCGAGGAGCGGGTGTCGCTCGTGGTGAGAGGGGCGAGTTCGGAAGAAGACATGTTCGGCGGTGTTTCCGTGAACTCGTAGACAGACGATTATCGGGGCATCTTCTGAAGCAGGAATGAAGCGGTGATATAGGCAGCTGGGTGGTGGTAAGTCAATGTTTACGGATGAACATTCAGTGAGCGAGACGGACGATCGCATTGTAACCTAGGCCAATCATACTGAGCTGATTACAGGCGTGCAGCCTCGGATATGCTTATGTAAACAAGGATCAGCATCAGGGGCAAGGCTGACCTTTCAATGCTAACATCGCCAGCCTGCTCAATTCACGCTTGCACCCTCTTGCACAGCTTTGCTACGCGTGGACATTAAGTAAAATATTACATTCAGGGTCCCGTAGTTGAGCGATCTCACCGGACAACCTTCGATATTGTGATGGGCATTCTTCAGCGCAAACAATATTGGGCTATGACCAGCAAGCCACGAAGGCGATCGCAGCGACCATCGATCGGGAGAAAACAATTCTCATACTAAAGTTGAATCGGGGCGGATACAGTCGGGCAATAGTGGCTGCCAGACATCCCAAATGATAGGCCAGGGTGAGTTTAGGGGACTGAAGCATCGTCAGCGGATTGCTGCCATAACAAAGACGCTCAGTCGCGGTGGAAGGAGACTTACGATGCCAATGTTTGGATGGGAAGGCTAAAGCTTATTGCATCTTGCTTGTCTCCTGAGGCTTGAATTTCTGCAGGTTGATTGATGATACTGAATTTGAGTTTTTGAAGACGTTGTAGGCGGTATTTCATCGCAGCCAACCGGTCGACGATTGCTTGCGCCTTCTCGTGCGAAGCTGTGGCCATTTCCAGCTGTCGGACTGAGTTCGGTAGACAGTCTAGGAATGAGACTTCCATCTTCGGCCACGCTATACGCAGCTCTTGTAGATCTGGGGCAGCGATCAGAAAGGCTGAAATGTAGGCAACAAAGGCCTCTGAAGGCGGATCATTGGCGGAGATATGGAGCACCCGGAGACTGTCCTTGTGGATCTCATACAAAGCTTTCACCGTTTTGGGCGTCAGCAACGCGCTTGCTTTACCGTTCGAATCAATCACCTCGCTGAGCCTCAGTCGCTTGAGCGGTTTGACTTGCTCGAAAAGTCGATGCGTGGCCGATTGGACGATCTTGCTTTGGTATGCTGCATGCTTTTGTCGTAATTGCAGGCCTGGTGACGGACCACAAATATCCAGCTCCTCGAGATAGCCAAGTTTGCTGAGGACATCTGCGATCCTAACGCTACCGCTCTCGGAGCAGCCTGGCATACGAAGCGACCGTAACTCTCGAAAGCCGCTCAGAGAATCAAGTCGACAGGATTCGATCTCGACTCTCAGATGTTGGAGCTTGGTGTAATGTTGTGCTGCCCATTTGAGCACGCCAGTAACGACGATACTTGCAGGAATTGTCTTGTTCGCATCGGACGGTCTTAGTACCGCTAATCGGGTGACACTGGGTAGCTTAGCCAGTGCGCGCGTAATCCGGTCGATTTCCACGAGATATGGGTGTTGATCTGCTGGCATCGGCGTACCCATCACTATTTTGGTAAGATATGGCTGCATTACATCTGCTTCAACCTCCTCCAATCTTAGCTGCAAACTGGTGATACTGTCCAGTGTCTTTCTCTGACGGCTCTCCACAAACGTGACAAGATCATTCGGCGATCGACAAACAAGAGGTCGGTGGAAAAAAGATTCCCTGGCTTCCGTGCATATCTGGTTACAGACGCACATCAGACTCGAGTGGTCATGGGAGCTGAAATTCAGCATAAGAAGATAGATGTGTCGACGAATTTCGAGCGGAAGTTTGAGTAATTGAGGTGCGGTATTCGTTGCATTCGTCTGCGAGTGGTAAGCCTTGTCTCCAACCCGAGGAAGGAGTCAGACCACCTCTTTGCCGTGAAAATGCGTCCTACGTTGCATGTTCAGCGCCGAGCGACCAGTATAGCATGTTCAAACGACAGGTGTACAACACTTGGCTTCCCTCGATACGGGTTTTGTTATTTCGGAGAACAACTCGTGATGTATTTGTTGATTCCGGTGGCCTGATGTTGACTGCCATTCAAACAGTCAACATACGTGATGCACGAACAGGTGGAGTTTTGCGTAGTATAAGAAGGCTTAAAGAGACCCGTCTCGATTGCCGACTTGCCTACTTCATCCTCTAGACCATATTACGGCAGAATGTTTGCCACCCATCAGATGCAGCCATGACGATATAGTCTCTCCTTTTCGGCGACATCCTGGACTCACAGATAGGTCAAGATACGTGACGGCGTAGAGCTACGGGCGTTGGAGAGGCTGTGAGCTGTCGCCTGTGTGGGTGTAAATGAGAACGTGGTGTGACTTGGACGAGCATCAAGAGGGCGTTGGTTCGTATATGGTCTCGTAAAGCGGAGAGAAGTCAATCCGGACGTGGGTACTGGTCAGCCTTGTTCTCCTATGACCCAATATGGCGGGCAAAATATGTAAGTGGCAGCCACATGGCGACAGGGATGTGACGCAAGTTGATACCAGGAACCGAAGTAAACGTGCATATGTGTGCAATGTCAGCGCCGAAGAGATAACGAGTGCTGAAAGAGGCAATGCAGATGAGATGGGTAGAGCCGGCGACGTTCGGGCGGCCATGTGTTCGGATATGCTGACGAGCATCTTCCACGCGACAGGAGAGGACCATGGGATCCAGGAAGACCCCATTCGGTCAGCCCAGGGCCAGTAATTGTGACAGGGCCATCATATGGAGCGATGCGTGGACCAAGTGGATGACTTGATCTTAAGCGATGCAGCCTTGTCAAACAACTGCTTCAGGGCTCAAGGTCTGGAATCGATACGTTAACAGTTCCGGCGACTTTCTCCAGCAATGGGCACCATCGCTATGGTCTCGACTTTGCTTCTAAGACTCTAACCCAGAAGGAGTACCTGCCGAATTAGCAACTCACCTTCGAATACGATATCGCTTGGAACACTCGCTTCCTTCAGGATACTTGAAGTGCTAGGGAAGGAGGCTAAACTCCAGACACGAAGACATGGGGGCATGGGCGTAGGGGAGCTTGTGACGGACTCGTGGTCGTGCTTCCAGTGGTCGATCGCGCAACAATTGACCTGGAGACGCAGCCACTCCGATCATCGTCTGATCCCTGTCCTTGAGCACATTGAGACCGTCATATGTGCTTGCAGAATGTGAATCAACATGCAGGATGGTGAATGTCAACCACGCGAGGCACTGTCAGGCACGTGGAGGGATTGTCTGGAAGAGGGAAAGGCTTCGTCCACCGCTCCCATGCGTGTTTCACGGCCATTACAGTCTGGCCGAGTAGGAAGTTGACGGAGAGTCGACGAGGTGAACAAATCCCAAAGAGAGATCAATCCCAGTGATCGGCAACTGCAAAAGACTGGACAGCCACAGCCGGGCCGCTGGGAGATTTCGCGAGAAAGGGTTGAGACGGGCTTCAATGGGCGAGATGCTGATGACACGAACAAGATGGCGTCAATAGTTGCCAGGGGAGGGTTGGAGATACTAACTTCGTGGTTGATGTCGAAAGGAGGAAGAAAGCAAAGACACGTGTGGTCACAGTGGTGAGGTCGGACAAGTCTAGATCCCAAGCTTGTCAACATCCTGGTTGAGATCTAGATCGTCATCTCCTTCCCACCATGTCGCATGCCGGATTGTATACGTTCCACGTCCCTCGCATATACTTGGCCGATCGTGAATACGAATCCTGTATCACATTCAATTCGAGATACCGGATCCAGGGCTCAGATATGTCAAATACCTGGACGTTTGGTGCTACTATTGTCTGCAGCCTCCAATTCCACCGTCCCAGTGGCTTGGGATCACATAAACCCTGTTTATCAGCACGAGTCTCAATTCTTAGCTGACACCTGCCTCTCAAGGCGACGCCTGATTCATTAGGTAGGGGTCGTGCCCATACAGGGGGGTACTGGTTAGGTGCTTGTGGTACTTGTGGAATTGCACAGGCAAAGTCTTTGGGGATGATGAACACATGCATCTGATGGGTCTTCGTGTCATGCCACCTGTTCGTGCAATACATGGACTAGTTGAAGCTGAAATTATAACAATTCCTGGCCACCATGTGGCAGCCACCAACGGCAACCCATCCCAGACCTAGACCACCCGAAGTCGAAGAAACGCTTTCGCTAATACACACGTCCAGAATTCTGCTTTTTGGAGCCGAGAAATGGTTTGCCCAGTTACACCCTCAAAAGCTTGGCGGCGTAGTTGACGATGGTGTCGATTTGGGGGAAACTCATTTCTTCCAGTTTCTGTGCGTATGGCGTAGGCACCTCGGCACCAGTTACACGCACGGGAGGTGCTTGCAGATAGTCAAAGCCAAATTCGACAGCCAATGCCAAAATCTCAGCACCCACTCCGAAGGCCGGATACCCTGACTCGACGGCCATGAGAGCACCGGTCTTCTTGACCGATTTAATGATGGCCTCGACATCCATGGGCTTGATTGACCTCAGGTTGATAACCTCTGCGTCCACACCATAGTTCTTCTTGAGTTGCTCAGCTGCCTCCAGCGATTGGCCGACGCATCGCGAGAGAGTGACAATGGTCAGGTCCTTGCCAGGTCGCTCAATCTTTGCTTTGCCAAAGGGGAGCACGAAGTCGTTCTTTTGTGCTTCGGCGCTCATGGGGAATGCTTGGCCGTAAAGGAGCCTGTCTGTGTCAGCCGTATGCAGGTGTACTGAATATCACAGAGCACGCACTCGTTTTCCAGAACCACCACTGGATTGGGATCCCTGATCGCAGCCTTCAATAGACCCTTCGCATCCTCCGCAGACCACGGCGCAACTACTTTCAAACCTGGAATGCTGCCATACCAGGCAGTGAAGTCTTGCGAATGCTGGGCGGCGACACCGGCAGCGAAACCGTTGGGACCTCGGAAAACAATGGGACAAGGCTGAATGCCACCGGACATGTAATGAGTCTTGGCCCCGGAATTGATGATCTGGTCGATGGCTTGCATAGCGAAGTTGAAAGTCATGAACCTTGTCGTCGTGAGCAAATGTTCACTTGACGGGGCAATTTTGGGACTCGATCTTGAGGGACATACTCGCAAACCGGGTGCAGACCTGCCAAAGCTGCGCCGACAGCCAAACCACAAAATCCGGACTCTGTAATGGGTGTATCGATCACTCTCTTAGGTCCAAACCGATCCCTGCGATACCGTCAGAAAAATCAGGCCAACTCCTCGACGACAGGAAAGACTCGCAATAATCCTTTCGAGACTTTGTAGGCACCGTTATATTGAGCCACCTCTTCGCCTAGTAGGAAGACCTTGTCATCCAGTTCGAGCTCTTCCGCCAGAGCTTCGTTGAGAGCATCTCGAACGGTGAATGTCTGCTTCGATTCGGAGGCATAACCGCGTATCTTAGGGAGCGAAAGAGGCGTGACGTTGTTGAATACAGGAATAACGAACTTGGGAGAGGACCTGACTTGTGACAACAGCCTTGAAGTCGGCCTGAGAAGTCGAGAAGCAGACATAGCTGGTGATGGGAAGAATCACTGCAGATGGTGAAGCTGCGACACTGAGCTTATGGAGTTGAGCCCCAGCAGTTTCTGTTGTTCGATTTTCGGATAACTTCCTTAACCAAGCAATCCCCGAACTAGTTAACTTAGGCGTGTTTAGGACTGTCGGCCAAGGGCGTCGGGCTATTTCAGTGGCAAACGCCGGTATGTCTGTCGGCCACCGAAAAGTTTCGATTGAACGTTGGAAGCTACTATCAAGTACTTTCGTGACCCAGAATATAAATGATATAGCACGTCTAAAGAGATACTTGTTTCTATGTCTCTAACCAGAGAACCAGCAGCAAATAGTTGAATTCCGTACGAAGTACCTAGATCTACCAACTCTTCGTGGCTGTATAGCTGGCGTATGTTCCACAACGTTTCTCTGGCGCCTAAATCCTGTCCTTTTCTACAAAGCTCTATTCAGTCCGGTGCGAAGGAAGGTCTAGCAGTGTCGCCTCTTTCATGATCGGTACTGGTTTTTCGCTCATGACTTAGAGGTCTTACACTAGTGTCGATATCTGTACTGAACTGTTCGAGTTTGATGGCGGTTTCTTTATCTTGGATATGTGCCTGTTACTCTTCATCTGCTTGGTCGACAACCAATGCATCAGCCTTAGGCTCCTGACGCAAAACGAAGCCATAGCTGTCTTCGTAAGATGTCTCTAGGAGCTCATCAGGAGTGTTATAACCATCAGTAGTATCGTCTGTCCGATGTTGTTTGTGTGGTCGTGCTGTGGTCTATTGGCACAGCACCGAGGAGTCGAACGAAGAACAGGATGGCTCGATAGACTGGCCCAGACGTGTGCCATATTGGCAGCCGGCTTAACGACATTGCTATCAGCATTGTAAATGTAGGTTTCTGGACGGTTCGAAAATGCTTCTATCGAGTTGATGCCCGCGGACAAGTCCATGATATCGACTTGGCAGAGGGGGGACTGTTGAGAACGAGTTTGGTATGACTTTTGGTCATAAGATTGAGTATCCTGCTAATGAGCTGCAGGGCGTTCTGATCTTGGTATAATGCTATGATAATGTGTTGGATGTCGGCCGGAGCACCCATTGTTTCAGGGTTTTATTCAGAAAAGCAGAATTTGACCACCCCTTGGAGCTTAATCATCTCGACGCTAGATAGCGAGCTTGCAACCCAACGCTTGCCGGCATCGCGCATGCTTTGTCGCCTCCGAAGACGAGCTCGCAGCGACGATTCGATCTTATTTGGAAGTCTAGATAGGTTTCCATTCGCAGGATGGCCGACTGTTGAGTCATGGGAGGTCTTAACGCGTCATGCCCCTGTACCGGTCCTGAAATTCCAGAAGATCAAAGGCAGCAAGAGTCTACAGGTCGGCGAATTCGATTATCCAAAGCCTCGAGAGTACAAGACGAAAGGGTCTTGGTGGCAGTGCTTCTTGCGTCGACAACGCAGACGCAGGAGTGCAAATAGATCAATGAGCGAGGGGGGACTCGCATCGGAAACCGGCTCATGCGTCGTCTGTTGAGCGAGAAAGAAGGCATCAGCAATTGTCTGCCCAATATTGACCGACCCATTTAGCAATGAGAGTGGTCATGTTCTCATCCGGCATGTACTTGTCGACGTCGTCGTCGGTATAGTCCAGGCCCAAGAACTTCAAACCGACAAGCACCCATGGCTGAATAAATTCATTGAACACTAGATCAACGACGGTCTCTTCGAGGTCGACTCTTTGCGGGTTTATGGTTGACTGGATGCAATTTGGGACTCGGTAAAACGATATAGGTGCGTGGATTGTGTCATCCCCATCATTGCCGAGGTCGTCAATTGTAGTGTATCCCGGCGTCAATGCAGTGTCACCAGTGAGGGAGAACTGCTTTTTGTCGGGACCGGGCCGAGAAATCTCCTCGACGATGACGTCCCTTTCGATGCCTATCTGGTCGACTGGAGCCAGCTTTGACATTGCAAGCGTCGGGTCTGCCTTCTCGAAGATCTCGTCGCCTCGGTTCAGAAGGGTGATGAGCTTCTTCGCCCTGTTGTATGGTACATCCTTAATGTAATGGAATCCACTTGTGAAAGGGCACACAATAAATGTCGAGTCCTTCGTGAATGCTCCTTTGAAAATGTCGAACCGAATTGCTCCAGTATTTGAGATTACAAGCCGTGGTCTATCGTCTCGTCGAGAATCATTGACTATGCCGGGGAACACCCTGTCTTCTAGCCAGCTGAAGATGCTGTTGTTGCTTGGATATGGAGCACGACTCATCCACAGATCGCGGTTTGAGCATCCGAAGGTCTGGTCGAGGTCGAGGGCCTGTCTTGCTTGGTGTATAGCCTTCGTAATGTTCCTGCCGCGGTCAGAATGAAAAGTCGAAGAGTTGTGACCAGAATGGTGGTATAATGAATAGAGGTTGTTGTCGATGTATCTCCTGAAGAATGTGGGAGCTGTTTTGCGGCTGGTGTTTGTTGACAAGCCATTGATGGACTGAAATCCAATGGTCTCCATGAAGCGTCCGCTAGCCAGCGCGTGTGACTTGCTGTCGAATATTCGATAGTCTCGGACATGCCAGTGTCCACCGAAGAATTGGATAGGAGTATCCCATTGCACTGATCGAATTGCCCTGAAGACCATGTCGAACTCTTGAGAACGAATGGCCGAATGTCCGATGACGACAAACAAGTCAATTTCTGGGTCACGGATGGCATCTTGAAACCATTGTTCTTCAATGGTCTTCTCCACTCGTTGCACAATAGTATTGTTGTAGTTGCGATCAAAGTTGTAGAGGAAGCCAAATGCCATGATCCGAATGCCCTGCTTCCTTGTAGTGAACTTCTTGTATCTCGGCGCGAGCGGAACCAACTCTCCTGTTTCCGGATCGTGTATGTCGAGGTTAGAGGCAAGGTAGCTGTTCGGATACGCCGGAGCAGTGATCAGGTATTCATTTTCGGACGAGTTTTGTTTGTAGAGCTCGTGGTTGCCGGAGCAAATGAGATCCATATGCTGCTCTCGAAAGATGTCGAAAGTGAATAGCCCTTTTGGCTCTGACGCATCGTATAAGCCATTGCCTTCGATGCGATCACCAGTGTCAACGATCAAGAGGTCTCGTCCCTCCCCTTCCAGCTTCTCTCTCAGTCTGTCTGTAAAGTCCACGTAGTCGCCCCAGTCGGCACTGAAAGAAGGCTCGAGGAGGTGTCCAGCATGCCAGCCATGGGTATCGGTGGTATGGAGGAAATGAACTTGGCCGAACTCGAGTTCGCGCAGCGGAGCAGCAAGAGGTTCGGGAGCGCCTGGTTGTGCGGCAAAGACCCGAGGCGCCAGCAAGAAAAGGGCATGGCATGCCTTTCGAGCCCTCATTGATCCGTGAGGTGTCCTATACTTCAGGACGCAACATGAGTAGGCTGTATAACAGACCTATTGAGACGAAATAACTTGAACTGTCAGCTCTGTCAGGATTGCTGCCTCTTAGCGCTGTTCTCGGCACGATTACCTAGTCGGGAATTGCGCGGCGGCCTCGAAGCCGCATCCTTTGTTCATAGTTCCTGGCATTAACAATTCACCCGTTGCCCTAGTTGTTGGTTAGATCTGGTGCTCCGTCTTGCCTGATTCCAGTGACCAGGGCGACTTTGCCGCGGAGGTCAAGCGCTATAACCGTGCAGCGAAGGCAGGGCACGGCAGATCAACAATCGAATGACAAAAGACCGTCAAAGTGAAAATGCACCGTACAGTATACGCGCTGGTGAAATCCTCAACCGAGTTGCAGCCCGTGTCCTCTTTCGTGAGATCGACCGACATGGCCTTCTCCGCTATCAGCGTTGGTAGGTGTCTACGTATCTTTTTTCGATAGTCAAGCTTCAGCGGGATCTGAAATTGTGTAGGTAGTAGCTCGAGCTGATTCCGTATCAGCTCCGGGCTGGTAGCGAGCCGCTTCGGGTAGGCCTTAGGCTTAGTCTAGGCCTCCTTGGGCGTGAGATGAAGGAGGCCGTCATGCTCGCGTGTTTCGGAAATTCGCTACAGTTGGACATTGGATAGTGGTTGGCGCCGATGCTCATGCCGTGTAAGAAGGCTTCAAGGTGGAAATCGTAACCTTGAGCCCATGGTGACGGTGGTAACGAGATAATTGTCGAGTCTGTGTTGGCGTTGCGGGCGAGAAACAGTGGGGGTGGGGAGAAGTGAGAACTCGCTGCTGTAATTTCGCTGTAATTTCGCTGTAATTTAGCTGTATTTTGCTGTCTGGTGCTCTGGCGCTCTGGCAAGATACAACACCAAACCCTGCACCCTCTTTCTAAATTGTCAATAGCTACCAGGCAACATGCGAATACGACGGATTATGAGAAGCACGGCACCATCAGCAATACCACGAGCTGATTTTTCCCTGTGCTCACTGAATTGAAGACTAAATAGGAAGCAGGAAGCAGGACACTGTCCATCACGATCGCATGGAATCTATGCTATGTAACTGCTGCAGGAATTGCAAGACCAATGAGCCAATAAACAAAACTTTTTATGGCGCAACCAGTGCAGACCAAGGGCGCGAGATTCTTCTCCTTCATCTCATCATGATGATGCGAACATCCAGTTCCGCAAATCATCGAAAGAAGTAAACGCTGCCCTCCTCCAAGCACCACACTTCCCACCGCCCACTCCCGCTTCCCACTAGTCAGCACTCCTCGTCTCCCAAAGCCCTGCAAGTTCTTCACCAAGAATTTCAAGAAGCCCGCCCTACCCAGTGTGTGCAGGTGAGTCTCCAGGAAGGGTTCCTGCCCACTCCCTTAGGAAGGCTTTCTGGTTGTTCTATGGGGGTGGTGTATGATCATCGACGCCAAATTCATCATCGTCGACAGCGGCATTGTACTCGAATGGTGTGCCCATTTGATCAGTGAGAATCTGATCCAGCAAACTCCAGCCAGAGATTATGGGCAAGCCATGGTTTGGGGGAAGACGGGCATCGTCGGCGGGGACCAGTATGCCATTCCATTTTACCCAATCGCCGACATCAGGGATACCTTCTTCTTGATCGAAATCGGCCGCAGCTGCCGTGTAGACATCTTTGCCGAACAGCCTATCGCTAAGGCTGGCCAGCAAGCCCGGCATGGCCTTGCGCATGTTGTTGAGGAATTGCCGGTCGTTGAAGGTGTCCTTAGTGGAGAGAGTGACAATGTCGACGAGGTTTGATTGGCCAACACGGTGGATGCGAGCCGCGGCTTGCTCGCCGAGGGCCTTGGAAGGTGGAGGGTCGAGGAACGCGCCGTGATGGCAACGGTACTGCAGGTTCAGCCCGCACGATGTGATGGCATAGGAGCCGATCAGTACCAGAGGCTCATCCTGGCGGTTGAACTTCTTCTGCAGGGAGCCTTTTTGCTCACCGGTCAATTTGGCGTGGTATGCCTCCGTAGGAATCTGTAGTGCCTGCATAATAGCATAGAGGAAAACTTGCTGCCCTGGAAGTGATGTGAAGATGATCATTTTCTCTTGTTTCTTAATCACCACTTCGTTCACCCACGCCATCAAAGCGCGAACCTTGGGGGCCGAGCGGTAAATCAATGCTAATTGGCCTTCAGTGGTCTCTGGGAAGGCTTCCTTATTAGCCTTGCAGTACCAGCGCACAATGTCCGCAAGTAGATTTTTATTTGAAAGGTGTCGCAGGGTATCTTTGGCCGTAAATTTCTCGTGGATGTGCTGGAATCCTGTCCAAGTTGAGAGCAGCAGGAGCATTCGGTAATGCTTCCAGTTCCAGCGTCGCTTGCCGTCTGGACCAACAGTCACCAGCTTCTTGGTCGGGATAGAGGCGTAGTCTTTGTACCGGGTAAGCTCATCCCGGGAAAAGCGGCAGACCAAACGTCGATGCCGCATGGCGGGGATGTCGTCGGCCACTTTTCTACCATCGACTACGCTGACAAAGGTACGGCGGATCATGCACTGCTGGTAGAGCCGACGGAGTCGCGATCCCACTACGCCAGGGTCGGTAACGTCGTTTGCAGCGATGTATTGCTGGAAGAACGTCTCCGACAAGCGCAGGACAGCGCCAGGATCCTCGTCTTCCAGGTCGTCATAGGGGTTGACAGTGGCCGGGTTCAAGCCCAGGTCGACAATGTGGCGGTTCTTCCCGAAGCCTTTCACCTTCGGGGTGATGAACGGCATATAGCCGGCCACGTCAGCCGAAGAGTTAAGGTCAGGGCTGGCTGTGACCAGGGCGTAGAAATTGGGTTGTAGCCACTTGCACGCGAAATGAGAGGAGGATGCTGGGTTCTTGATGGACTGTGCCTCGTCGATGGCGCATACGTCGAAGAGACCAGAGAGATTGTGTTCCCAGCCCTCGGGAAGTATGTGCCGTCTTTCTTTCGCTGCCTGGTGGCTGAGCTTGAATCGCTCCTGGCGATATTTGATGATTGCCTGGGGACCATGGCGGTAGGCCAGAGTCTGCGGGGTGGTGATGACCACTTTCCACATGTTCTCGGCATCGCCATTGAAGATCTCATGGTCCCGGGAGAGAGTTCCCTTGATTACGCTTTCCGGCCCGTATACCTGCTTGGTGCCGTAATAGCGCAAGGTGATGATACGATCCGATATGTTTCGGAGCTCTTCTTCCCATTGCTCCACCAAAGCTGGTAAAGTTACGATGATCCACGGTTTAGGCTCACGTCCACCTTCGATCCAGAGACCTTTCTCCTCATACTCCGCACGATTCCGATCGTTCTGCTCCTTACGGAGGTTTTCCTATTGGAAAGAAGTCAGTACTCGCAATATAGGGTTATAGGAACGCTTCCTAGGGAATAGTATATAAGCCATTCCTTATGGGCTTCTCCGAAGGGAAATAGGAAGGGTAAGCGTAAAGGGTAGGGCACTCACTGCGATCAGCATGCCTGCAATCTCCCAGGTCTTGCCCATGCCCATCGAGTCACATAGTAAAATACCACCTAGACACTGTCGTCTCATCTGCATCATCCAGCGAATTGCAACTGGTTGCCAAAACTTGAAGAAAGCCGTCATTGGCATGCTGGGGAGCCGTGGCCGCTCGGGATTGGCGATGCGGAGGTATGCGCATGCCTCTGTATGACCTTGTGGCTGCACCATCTCATTGTCGACCATCCGCTGCTGATGGAGGTAGGCTTGGCGGTCTTGCTCGGTAGCCATCTGGGTGACAAGGGAATCATCTTCTTCAGCGCCTTGTGCCTCCAAGCCGCGACGATAAGCAGCATCCTCAGCACACAGCTGGGTCTCCATTGCGCTCAGGAAGCGGACGTCCCGCTCGAGAGCCTGGATGTCCTCGAAGTGCTTGTCCAGCCGCTTGAGGAGGTCATGTTGCCAGAAACGGTCGTCGAGGTCGAATGTCTCGTGGCGTCGCTCCATGCGCATGACGTCGTACGCGGTAAGACGGAAGTTCTCGACACGGTTTGCACGATCTGTGATTTCCTCTTGCAGTTCAAGCCGCTCAATCATGTCACCCACTTCAAGGCGAGCGGCATGATCTTCTAGCGGTGCTGCTCGTGCCGTTGGCAACAAAGCGAGGGCCTCCTGTGCGCCATCAGCCTCATCCACGTCTTCGACGTCATCAGTAGCGGATCCTGCAATCGTAGGTTGCATGAAAGGTTCCTGGGGACTTGGGGGTTGCTCATTCAACGTGTTGTCGGCCAATTCATCCTCAATGCTTGCCAACAGATTATCAAGATTAACAGGACGCTCTACTGGAGCTGAGGAAGCCTTCCCCGAAGGTTGCCTGGCTGACGAACCACCGGTACGCTCTTGCTCTGCTGCAGTCATCAACGCGAACGCACTCTCAAGTTGTTGATCTGCGTTTTGCCGTTCGAGATTTTCTTGCACTTGTATAAATGCAGCTTGCAGATCATTCATAGTGGGAACAGGTTGTATAGAGGCAGGCTGCGATGTTGGTAGTCGTACGGCAGGTGACTCCGAAGCATGTGACGAGGAATTGTGTGACGAGGAATTGCGTGTAGAGGAAGGGTGCGAAGAGGAAGGTTGCGTAGAGGAAGGTTGCGTAGAGGAAGGTTGCCTCGAAGAGGTGCCCGCGGAAAGAGTCCTCCTGGGTGGATGGAATGTCTCAAGTCCGCTAAAAGCCGGAGGGAGAAGCGGCTTGGGGTGCTTCTTCTCGTTGGTCTTGGCTGGTGATGCGCTGTGGACTGGAAACACAGGTTCCTCGGCATCATCGTCGGTCGAAGCGGGCAGAACGTCTGAGGTTTCAGTTTTGACATACTTGGCCGGTTGCTTAGCGAGAGGAGAGTCCCCTCTACGCTTCGGGGTGCGCTTCTGTATTCTGCTCGGTGAGTTGTCCCATACCTCGAATTGGAGTACAGACCACAGCAGATTATGTTTTTCTGACACCGGCATTCTGGCACGACTGTAGAAGAGCCCCTTGTATGTGTGGGTATTCTCCTCCGTCAACTCGTACAGGGTCCAAGCAGTATGGTCGAGAAGAGTCCATTGCGATTTGTCGAGACGTCGGCTAGAGTATTTGCGACGGCCGTTGCTCTCCCCTTCAAGTATCTTTGCTTCGATCGATACGAGGTTCATCAGTCGGCGCCGCATTTTACCTTCGGTTGTGGCTTTCTCGCGTTCGGGGAGCACAACATTCTCGAAGTACTCATCGAAGATGGGCTTGAAACACTCCGACTCCCGCCATTCGTCGTAGGCCCCGATATCCGCAAGGCCAATATGATGCGCGAGATCGGCTTTGCTGGTGAACTTGATGCTTTCGCCCTCTTTGCTTTTTGGGGTAACTGGAGTGGCGGGGTGTTTGCCCTGACTCTTCTTCGAGCGCGGTGGCGTCATGGTGGAAGCCATAGTGATTGGAATTGAAAAATCAACTGAAAAAAAGGCACACTGAAATGAAGCAAGAAGTGAACATTTGAGATCGGGTAGCCCTGGAAAGACCAGGGAAGGTTGTAGGAAGGCTTCCTAAACACTTGGATAGTCCTGGTGATGGTGTAAGCTGGTGGGAAAATAGTGGAAAGGAAGAGAAGTAGTTGATGAACTGAGGATATGGTGGAATGTAAGATAGGGAATTGAGATCGGGTGGTTGGTATTGTGTTGAGAGAATGGACACTATGAATAGCAGCAAGATGAATAGGTGAAGTTGATATTGTCAATAGGCATTGATTGGTCAATCGAGAGAACGTCATGTACAAACCGAGGCACCTTTCCCCATAAGGTTGCGCTAGCCGTGCCTGAATTAACCTCAACTCCCTGATACAGATTTTCGCCTCGCCTGTGCACTCTGGCCCATTCAGACACGCGCTGTATTAGTAGTGATGAGCATCGAAGCAAACTTCCCTCTTTGTCATTCTTCGGTTGGCCGACTCCTCACAGTCCGCATCCACCCAGCGTTATAGCCATGCCTTCCAAGCCTACCATCAAGCGGATGGCGGTAGACGCTTCGCCACCTGCCGCGAAAGTCAACCGATCTCCTGCAATCAAGTCGAGAGAGCGGGTCTGGACAAGACGAACTCGCACCGAGTTTAGACGACCCTAACGCGCGCAAGGTGTCCAGGAAGGTTGTGTACAATGTCGATAACAGTGAAGACAAATTCAATGAGGAAGATGAGGAAGACGAGGAGGACGATCCGGCATCACCAGCGAGAAAGGTATGGTATTTACGTACCTTGAGAGTGTACAAAATACTAGTATTACTAACGATTCAAAGCAATTCTCGCCTGCTACTAAGCTTGCGGGGAAAATATCCACCAAGACTTCAGCCCATCATCACCCCAGATAAGCACATTCAACTTCCAACTTCCAACGCTTACCTTACTTCTTGCCCTTTGCGAAATTTCGCCATAGCGTTTTGGCGTTATTGCATCCCGAACATACCCATATGTTTAGGTGCTTGTTAAATTGTTTGACAGGCTGATTGGGGCAATTAGGGCGCTCGCAGGTGTCATCAGCAGGTTTGGGTGGGTGGTTTTTCCATGCTCGAGTCTTCTGCAACACCTTGCTGTTTTTACAGCCGACGCAGGTCCAAAGCCCGAGGGTTTTGTTGAAGTGGTATGCAACGTGAGTGGCGTTCTGATAACCGAGAATCTCGCTGCATCCAGGCCGTTCACAAAGCATGTCTGCTGGCTTCGGCCTCTCGTTCTTTGCGACTCTCTGTTCCTCTTTTTCGGTTGGTCTTGTCGTGCCATACTTGAATGTCCATTGATAACAGTTTCGGCAGATCACTGTCATAAAGGGCAGCCCCTTTAAGGCATTAAACCAACGATCTTTATCGCTAGTCTTTGCCGCGCAATTCGCACAACCACCACCTCTTTTCTTGGCTTCCAGGCCCTGAAGCATTTGCGTCGCCCGGTTCAGCCCGATATACCTCTTGGGAGGAAGCCCAGGTGGCGTGGCCCTCTTCATGGCTTCCATTGCGACGATGGGAAGGTATTTGCCTTCCCTCTCTTCCCACGTCCTTAGTAGGATGGTATGCGTCAACTCGGAAAGCATCACATATGGTTTCGCGGTCGTATGTGGACCGAAGACCGATACCACGCGTAGGTTGATCTTGACGTTTTTCTTTGTGAGCAAGTCACAATGCTCGCCACCTTGATTCTTCTTGGTTCCGGCTTTCATCTTCACGTATTCAGACATCCTTCCTTGCAGGCCTTCTTTACCAGTGGCCGACCCGGTGTATGGCTCCATGCCTGCTTCGTTTTCAATTGGTTTTCCGGTGAGGATGTCGACGTACACGCCCCAGAGAACCACGCCTTCCCAATTCGAGGGCAGCATCAGCAGCTCCTCGCGAGTCAGAGGTCCTCCCAGCACCAGCTGTGCAGTTTCCGGGGCAGCCTCAATGATCTGGTTGGCGGCCTTGTCTAGCGCCAGGCTTCTCAAGAATCTCCACCAAGCAATGGTGACTGGTCTTTTGTTCTGTGGCAGATGGCTGAATTTGTCCCAGGGCAGATCACTTACCGTCTCTTGCAATGTACGCACGATATGCGTTATCCTGGTTTTGTACTGATTTCTTCGTCTACACTTCTCTTCGGCCGCCAAGGCTGCGAGCTCAGTGGGAGTTTCCTTGTCGGCCCGACTTCTGAAATTCTTCAGTACTTTTGCGGCATCTTCGTCTTCGATATCTGGCTCTTCGTCCTCATCTTCCTTGTCTACCACGAATGCGTCGGCCTGTGGCTCCTCCTTAGGCAGGTAAAGGCTAGAGTTGTCTTCCTAGGACTTCTCTACGAGCTCAGTATGTGAAGTAGGTCCATCTTTCCGTGGTTGTTTGATTGGTCTGGATGTGATTTCTCTCTCATCAGGCGAAGGCTCGCGCTTTGCACCACGTTCGAGTGGTCTAGTGAAGGCCTTGATGGATTGTTGCTTATAGGGAGCCATCTCTGCGGGGAACAGTATGACAAAGGTACTTCTTTCCAAGAGGGCAAAGGTACTTCTTTTCCAGAGAGCAAAGGTACTTCTTCTCAAGAGAGCAAAGGTACTTCTTTTCCAGAGAGCAAAGGTACTTCTTTTCAAGAGAGCAAAGGTACTTCTTCTCAAGAGAGCAAAGATTCGCACGGTACAAGCACAACCAAACAACTCGCTTCAATCCAGGTAAAGGAAATCGGACTTGTGGAGGTACAGGCCTCATCGAAAGCACACAGCAAAGTCGGTCGCTTCTCCCCTACAAGTACTTTCTCGCCTCCGTCGGCTGGCAGTGGCTTCCACACCCGTCCGCTGTCTCGGAGCAAGCCCGATGGAGGGGCATAGTTATCAGCACCTGCCTCCATGGCGATTCTCTTCGAGCTGTAAGAGAATAGCTTATTTCGAGTCAAGATTGGGGGTACTTCCTGAGGAACACTTCCTCTAAAGCCTACCGATGCCCGAGAACGCTTTCTCAGAGTGCTATTCGGACCAAAGCTGATAGTTTTTCTCTAGAATACTCAAGAACGTCATCAGCGCCAGGAGAAAGGCGAAGGCGTTGGTCCAGTGAAACTGTCGGCTCGTTTTACATTGCCCAACCTCGTCGATCAACAGTACGATGAGATTCATGAGTTGGACACGTCGCGCATACCCATCAAGTACTATGGCGATTTCAGAAGTGCAGCGAATATCAGCAGCGAGATATCCAGACTACTGGCTCGGGATCATAAGTCTTCAATGGCGACGAGCTCGATGCTAGGATCATCGTCATCTGTTCGGTTCCAACATGGGCTGCTCGACATATCCGTCGCCTCGGCTCGCCATAGGATATTGTGGTAGAGTTTGTAACCTTTCGATCAAAGACTCGTCCAATGATCGTCAAATCCAGAGCATTCTGGTGTCAATGTGAGTGTCAATGAAAACGATTAGGTGGATGTCGACGTTGGTGAATGGGCTTCAATGTCAGGGATATCTTAACTAGGCAGAGGACCCTCGGCTCCCCTCCAACCATGGTCTTACCATCCTGAATCGTCTGGAAGTCATCCACCAGATCGTTGACAAAGACATGGGAATCCTATGCAAGACGATCGGAGGTGAAGAAGAGGAAAGTGAAGAAGAGGCCGCTGAAGAAGAGCAGCCGCTCTAAGAGGCCATCTCGAGGAAGTGTTCCTCAACCTCCAACCTATGGCTATGACGGATGGCATAAGGAACATATCCTCGGATCGTTTCTACGGCGGTGGAATTATAAGACATATTGACCTCGGCGAACGAATACAGCCAACGAGAGGTGGCTAGGAAATGGAAGTTGATGGGCTTAGCTGCGCCGGCAGGTCGTCATCTGAAGACACGGAAAAGTCTTATGGCCGCTGTTGTGATGATGAATATACCAAAATTTTGCTTCTTGTTTTCATTTTGGAAAACCACAATTGCTATTGGAAACAAAAATACTTGGGAAATGGCATTGCAAGAAAGGGCCACAAAAGGGGCTGCACCTCTTGTTTGGCAAACCACTGCACACAAGCATAAATCGTTTGCCCTGCTGGTGTCGGTGAGAGGCTGGCCGGTGTCACGAGGCTGTTTTCGGATGCCCAACTTGCGGCAGGAGATCATGCACTAAACGCCGTCACCACCATCAAAACCGAGTATCAGACCCCATCATCGAAACCCATCACCATTCTCGACTCAATGACTCCCATACAGGGCGAGCCTATCTCCAACATCGATATAAAGGCCCTAAGCCGAAGGAGACTCCGCGAAGACTCATCTCATGAACCTGCCGAATCCTTCTCGGTACACCCTATCTCGAACGAGCAGTCATCACGCTCCAGGTTTTTACCGCAACGTGTCATCTTAACTACTGACGCCACTCAAATGATGGACGCGGACCTCCTCAGGCAGATCTCTTTGCTGTCTCACGTGCTCGACACGGATTGTCGGCGCTCGCACAGAACCTGGTAACGATGCGACGAGAGCGGGTTATTGTCTGGGTGATACTGACATACCCGTATATACCAACGTGGTAGAATTAGATTTGAGATGGCGTGGCATTTCAGTGCCTCTGAGGTCGAGTCACGCAATGGGATGATTCCATGGGCCCAGTCACGAGAAACAGGCTCAAGCGAATGGTTCACTGCTGTGGAAACATATCTTGTCGTACTCTACTCAGCTCACTGCAAATGCTCATCCCAAATCATGGCCCAAGTCTTGACTCCTTCACCTCCCTCTTGCGGCCACCCTTTAGCATTGACCCTGCCCTTTCCAATAACCACCTCCTCACACACCCTGAACCCAAGATTCTCATACTCTTTCTTCGAGGCCTCGCTGGCCGTCTCGAGCCAGACAGGCACATCCTCCTCCTTTGCCTTCTTCAGAAACTCATCCATACAAGCCTTCGCTGCCGCAAAACTCTTCTGTTCATCCACATCGGGATCTCTTGCCAGCATCGCGAGGTGATAAAACGGCCTCGTCTCAAAGTCCACGTCCTTGTTGAAATCTGCAGGGTAGGGGTCCTCGGACGGCGCACCAGATGACTGACTTGGGGCTGCGGGCTGGTCCCAGCTGTGTGGGCCCTGGTCAGGCAGGGAGAGGTATTTTGCTTTCATCTTGCGCGCGGTGGTGCGCCATTCTTGCAAGATTGGGCCTGGGTTGCGGCGCGCCTGGGATGGAGGGATCCCGCAGAAGTCAGGCGGTTCCCAGAGCGCTGCGGCGGTGAAATCCCCGCTCTCGATCACGACGACATTACTTCGGGCTGCGGCTGTGACGCCGAGTGTGAAGTGCTGCGTCAAACGTTCGGGGGTTATCACCTCGGCTTGATTGGCTGACGATGGTGTGCCATCAATCTCGGTAATGAAGGCTGTAGTGAGGGGCGTGGTCAGGTAGGAGCGCGAGAGGAGAGAGATGAATTTGTCGAGAAACGCTTTGTCAGGGGAGGTAGAGATTGTGGTGGAGGCCATGGTTCCCTAGATATCTGGGGGCAGTAAGGCTGACAAGAATGAGGCTGGAAATCGAGCACACAAGCCGCAAGACCCAAGTAGGTTCCCTGACTGCTTTGCGTACAATCGAGCTCAAAATGAGAATCAAGAGTGGTCAATGGGTATCTACTTGTGAAGCAACGGTTCTAGTGGTGGAATGGTGGAAGGCTGAAGCTGAAAGATATGGGAGGCCGTGCTTACAACCTACACCGAAGCCATTGGCATGATGGAGGGGAGCAAGAAGGTCAGCTCGTTGTCGGGCTGCGCTGCGTCATTGGCACTGGACAATTGGGCAGTGCATGTCCCTGTTGATCTTGTTCATTTATCGCTTGAGCGGGGCCGTGAGCGGACCACTGGCAATCCTTGGTCAGAACGCGGGGCATGGGACGGAACTGCTCCATCAGTGACACTGTTCGCCGAGTATCCAATAAAAAGAATGGTAAGCTGTCAGACTAAATGCTTGGCGAAGGTGCGGTTCGCCAGAAATTTTTTGTGTGAGATTCTGACATAATTCTTCTGTCACGACCACGGATTTATTCTCAGATCCATTCTCATCAAAATCCTTCTCTGCTAAGCTTCAGCAGATCCATCTGCGGTCCAGCCTTGGCCGGCAGGAAGCGATTCATAATTCAACCATGACCACCGTTGACGTGCGGAAGACCGTTCTTGTCACAGGCTGTGCACCAGGAGGCATCGGCCATGCGCTTGCTATTGCGTTCCACGCACGTGGACTGCGTGTCTTTGCCACAGCTCGTCGTACTGAACAGCTGGCGAGCTTGTCCGCAAATGGCATCGAGACCTTATCATTGGTCGTGGACGACGACGACTCGATCCTTGCATGCAAAGCCACTGTCGAGAAATTGACCAATGGTCGCGGTCTCGATTACTTGGGTGAGTTCTCTACCGAAGTTCCTAGTCTTTGGTCGCTGAGATGGATAGTCAACAATGCTGGCGTCTCGTATATCATGCCTGCACTTGACATTGATATCGCAGAAGCGAAGAAGATATTCGATGTAAACGTCTTCGCGGTCATACGCATTTGTCAAGTCTTCTCGCCTCTTCTCATCCAGGCAAAAGGTACCATTGTCATGATCGGTAGCCTTGCTGGTGTAGTTCCATATACATTCGGGAGTGTCTACAATGCCTCCAAGGCAGCATTGCACGCGTACTCCAACACCCTGAGAGTCGAACTTGCTCCATTGGACGTCAAGGTCATTACTGTTGTCACCGGTGGCGTCAAGTCCCGAATCAATGCTCACACTACCCGCGTCTTGCCTCAAGACAGCATTTATGCAGTCATTGAAGACAACTACGTTCGACGTCAAGGCCATTCTCAAGAAGGTGCCATGCCTAATGATGCCTATGCTGAAAGTGTCGTCAAACAAATCCTGCCCGGCGCCGGTCCATGGCCGTGGAGGTGGTTCGTGAGCGATGCCAGGAGGAAATGGATTTGGCAAGGGAACAAATCCTGGCTGGTCTACTACATTTCCGGAGGTTTCACGTGGACAGGTGTGTTCGACTGGTACTTCACCAGACTATTCCAGCTCTGGAAAGTCAAGCGCAGAGACAAGCAGGATTGATTCCACCGTACGGAGTATATTGTCGCCAACTCGCCCAATATGCGTTACTGAGGCCGAAATGATAATGATTGGGTGTCATCGGCATGCACTTGATTGTCTCGGAATCTCACTGATATAACCACCTTTTCAGGGCCGGAGTCTCTGACAAGGCGTGCCCATCGCCTCGAACCGTGCATGGCAATATTCACCTTTTCAAAATGGTTCTTACTTCCCCTAACAAGGCGGCCTGCCATTTTCTTACCGCCACATGATTCGGCCAAGATTCCCACTTGAAATCGGTCCATCACCTTGCCATCAGTCTCAACAAAGCCGTCTTTACTGGGCTGATCATGCATCACGGCAATACGAATGCACAGTTGCGCTTACGATACACGTGTATTGAGCAATAATGGAAAACCTCAACCCCTGCTCGACACACCATCTTTTTCATTTCGGTTTCATTCGTCAACAGAGGCACCACTTGTTTCCTCCTGGTTTTCTCTCGGCCGAATTGCGGACTAATATACATCACACGATTGGGGGCCAATATCACGCAGCTCGATTTGTGTCTATCTAAGCGTCGTCTATCAACCTCTATACTTTGACCACAGTGCGAGTCACTAAGCGCAACTTTCACCAAAGGCCGATGGCTTCTCAACACCAGACTGTCCTCGTCACCGGCGCCTCGGGCACCCAAGGTGGACATGTTATCAGAGAACTCATCACTGCTTCGTCTATCCATCCTGATACTTCGCTCACTATCCACGCCCTGGTCCGTGACCCAAATTCTTCCGCCTCTCGAGATCTACTGGCTCTAGACTCGTCCAAAATCAAACTTTTCAAAGGCAACTTCGACGACATAGGCTCGCTGTCCCGCGCCGCTCAATATTGTACCACGGTCTTCCTCAACGTCACCCCAGTCTTCGTTGACCCCTCGGGTGAACTCCGTCACGCTCGCAACATCCTCTCCGCCAGCCTCGCAGCAGGCGTCAAATACGTCATCCTCGCGTCCGTCGCCGGCCTCGACGAAAGCAAGAACTCTCCCAGTCTCGACGCTTACCCCTTTTTCAAGACGTACTTCGCCAACAAAGCCGCCATCGCTGATATGGTCCGACAACCGCCTTTTCCCACCCCAGAAGGCTACACATATACTATCCTCGAGCCCGCCACGTTTCTAACGAACTACCTCCCACCCGCTCAGACCGTGATGTACCCAACCCTCACAGCTCCCGAGCCTACATTCCACGTCGCGTACACGCCTACACTGAGCATGTCGCACCTCGATCCTGCCGACATCGGACGTTTCGCGGCAAGGGCTATCTACGCTCCCGCCGAGGAGTTTACTCGCTTGTTCGCCAACAAGGCCATCCCCATTGCGAGCGTGAACATGACCATCTCCGACGTCGCGGAGGCGCTGACCCGTGCTGCCAAGCACAAGAAGACTGTTAGGGTAAATTATCTTTCTCCCGAGGAGGTGGCGGCCCAAAAGGATGCGAATCTCTTCATCGAGGGTCAGCTCATGCTTAATGGGCGCGAGTATCTGGTTCATCTGGAAAAAGTCAGGAGTTATGGGATCGAATTGGGCAGTGTCGAGGGATTCTTTGAGCGTGAGAGGGAGAGACTGGCAAAGGCTTTGGCATTGTAGATGCTGGAATGGAACACATCTTAGCTGGATGTCTGGCGCCTATGCTTGTTTAGAATGCCGATTGGGCCAAGAGAATCAATTCAATGTGACTAAGGAGCGATGGCGATCAATAGGTATAGCAGAGGAAAAGGAAGTTGTCATCTGCATGCGTTGTAGTCAGTCATTTCGCGACGATGGGGCTAGACTCCAACACACCACCAATATGGTTTAAGAGCTGATGTATAGCATCGCATCTGAGGGTGCATGTTATGATTAAACTAGGGTATATACAATGGAGAAAGTTCGTCACACATGTCAACTGGCCAGGTCACCAGTGATATAAACATTTTAAACCTAGCCGAAAATGTCATCCAAAGACCTCACAAGCAGTTCCCCAGCGCCCAACGCTGTTTTGACTCGTCCATTGCCTGAAGCATCCTGCCAGCAATTGACACTAATCGTCCAAATATACATCCCTGCGAGGAGAGAATCGGGCCTGTTATAAGGCGCGTATTCCTCGGGGACAGGCTCCAACTTGACCGAAATATGCAACCTGAGAAATGGTATCTTTACATCTATTCCCCGGTCCCTGTGTCCCCGGAGGATGCAAAAATCTCGATTCTGCCACAAGGCTGCGATGTCCTTGATGTGCACGTCTCCGGCGTTCTTGACGATCCAATCATTTCGAAATAATAGCGCGTGTTCTCCGGGTGAAAATTCTGCATCTTCGAACGACTCCGGCGTGACGGCCAGATGCGCTGAATTGCCGCCCCAGAGTGAACGGCGCCGGCCGAAGATGCACATGGGACAGAAATCTTCGTCGAAGCCGAACTTCATCCAGCAGACCCTCTCTCCGTACTTATCTTTCTTTGAGGGTGGAAAATGCACTATACCTGCTGTGCCTCGACCGCTGGGCATTGCGAAAAATACTGGCCGTGGGGGCAAATCTAGAAGTCCATTGGGAAGATAGTTCAGGGCATACTGCATTTCTTCGGGTCCGTAGCGCCATCTGTGAGGCAGGGAGTTGCGAAACCGGAACTCAGCCTGGATGAGCTCTTCGGGTGTATAACCTGGTAATTTCAGATCGTGCAACCGGAAGCCAGGCCAGCGGCGCAGGGGTGGATCGATGATCAATTGTCTGACGTGGACACGTCGAATCCGCCTTTGGGTGTCTTTCATGACGTGCTCTAGGCGTACGGGCTGTACTGTAGCACCAGCATATTGAACTCGGGCGAATTGTTGTTCATCATGGGAGGAATATAGCCTCTCCAAGAAGATACCGAGTCTGTCGTGTGGATAGTTCTTGATGTTGCAATTGAGGATTGACAGATAGGTTTCCATGCCCCAGGGCACCGTCAGTAACTGGATGGAAAGGCCAACATTGGTGAGAGCGAAGCCGCCGGTGCTCACGAGCTCTGTTGAGGAACGGACAACGTTCTGACACATGATGAACTGCGACGGTGATGTTGCGAGGAGACCACTGTGGCCTCCAAAGAAGCCCTTGTGGCCGCGATCCCATGCAAATATTGAATGATCATCGGAGTGCTTGATGATTTCCTCCTGCAAACGCGTGAATGACCGCTCTCCTTCGCCGTAAAGCATAGGCATGCTAACATCGAAGATACCCAAGAGGCTGTATGCTCGGTCCTCGATGCGTTCTGTTTTCCTCTTGGCTGCCCATGACATCCGTTGTGCGACAGAGCAGCTCGATGGACTGTTCTTGCCGACCAGGACATCTAAGGCGATGCCGGTTGCCTGTGCGAGATAGACTGCAAGCTGTTCTTTCGTACCAAGAAATACCCAATTCTTGTCATAGAAAATGACATTTTTGGGTGCAATGAGCTCTTGCAAAGTCCAGCCTCGAGTAAACCACACACTTGTCAAGATTTCATGCTTGTGAACTTCGATGTCTGTAAGATAGGCAAAGCAGATCTCCGCTTCCTTGTACCACCTGTACATAGAGTTGATGGCTTCAGTGAGTTCTGATGAAGAATTCTTGTCGATACAACACGTGTCGACCCAGAGGTAGGGGAGACCCTTATTGCGAGCAATCCAAGCAGCGGATTGGATTTTGCCGTATCCTTTCTTGCCAAAGATTTGAGGGTTGCTCATGTCCTGGAAAGTAACTTCCTCGGCTTCCCATCGGTGCGACAATATGGCATACTTCGGAGCCTGGCCGCTATGAAATTCCTCCATTTGCATAGTCTTAACATTGATGAGGCGCATAGCGACGACGGAGATACCTAACGAACGACATGAGGGTTTCTCAGTGCTGAAGTTCCTGAGGTCCTATGCAGCCTGTGTGCTTCGTGACCCGCAATAGACAGGAGGAGACTATCACCGAAGAACAGCAGGGATTCTTGTTCGCGATCAACCATGTACTGTACGAAGGAAATTGATTCTTCTTGCGTCTCTTCCGGACCGTCGTAGGAGGGAACAGCATTGGCTCGAGATAATTAGATCCTGAGAAATTGCGTGAAGTTTAATAAAGCCCAGGTGCATGGTGACAACGAAGTCAGTGGGCTGATTGATGCGGCTGAAAGTTGGGAGGGGCATCGTTGGTTACCACGTTACCGAAGCTAAGCGTGCTAAGGTACCTATGTACCAGCTCGCCAGGTAGGTACCAAGTCTACCTAGTTAGAGGCTTAAATCGAGGCCACTAGGCCGGACCATAGAAAACACGACTTCGGTGGGTGCTACACAAATAGTCGCAATCATGCATCGCCACTCATCACTCCTTTCCTTCTTCTTTTCAGCATCGCCATATTCCGATCACCCTTCGGAACTCACTCCTGCCCATTCGGCCAAAGGAGCCCATTTGCAGCTTCGCGTTCGACTCGTGCAAGCAGCATCACTTCAATCATGGCTCCGGTAAGTCGCGCTGTTCATCGGCTGCTGGGTGGCAGCGATCGGTACTTGCATGATTCTACCTTGTTGGCATTATTGACTCGTACCGACCTCTCTAGCGAGGATTTACTCTTCCTCCAGCAAACACTCAGTCCGCAAAACAAGCACGTAGTGCCTTCTTCTGTTCATTGTGTCAAAAAGGTTACAGTCGCATGAACGAGTTCGAAGTACATGAATCATCCTACGACCACCAACACAAGAAAAGATTGAAGGAGATGAAAGAAATGCAAAGACAAGTACAACCGAAAAAGGAGGAGAAAGGACCGTTGATGCAGATAAAACTCGGCGGTGCGACTAAAAGCTCAGCCACGGGAAGCGGAGGCTTCAAGAAAGGCGGGTTCAAGAACGCTTTTGCTTCTGCGGAGGATGATACCCCGGTGAAGACAGAAAAGAAAGATGATGAGATGGAGGTTGTTGAGAAGCATACGCCGGAGGACGATGATAGCGATCTGACGGATGTCGAAGATTATTATGATCCACGAAAACCGACGGGTTGCATGCCAGGCTGCCAGGGTCACATTGCAGCGGGCTCTTGATGCCATCCAGTTGACACCATCAACATTTACTTCAGACATCATCAGCTTGACTGCCAAATAGGCACATCAAAGTCGAGCCGCACCTCTTGAGCAGAGACTGCCCTAGGCAGCGGCCGGTCCAGTGGTCGACGACGAAAGGTTCTCCTCGGCACGGAGGAAACTGCACTCTCGGGCTAAGTTGTTCTTATACGGCTCTTCGGTGGCTTGAAGGAGGCTGCAAACACTGGACCGGGCCAGGACCGATGTCAAGGGACCAAGGAAAATCCGGGACCTTGCGTGGCTGTTGGTCTTCGGTCACTGCGGGTGAAGAATGCTGGCATCACTACATGCAAAGAGCGATTTACACAAAGCTATGTCAGCTATATCATCACCGTGGGGGTTGCAATGGTGTTTATGGCTTGAAGAATTCCTGTCAGCCAGAGAGTGGAGGCGAGAAGCCGTGTCGCACAGATACCGTAGGTATTTCGACTTACAACTTGAGTTGCTAGAAGCAATGAAGCAATTGCAATATTCAGACATACTAGGACTCTTAACCTTGTTTCGTGCCATGAGCAGGGCTATCGTTATTCGCCTAGTTCGAGGGCCAGACTGTTAAATGACCTCCACCATGTGACATTTAACTATGCAAGGCTGACGAGGCTGTGCAATGGCCAGTCAGAGACTGGTCTTGGCATCAGTATCTAAAAAGTTTCCGGCAAGTCGTTCGATCTTTAAAGTCTTTCACTTTCAAGGACCATGCTTTGGCGATTATCAAAAGAAGACGAAGCCATGTCAAGGGGATTGTGATGAAGTTGGTATTCATCTCCAGTTCGCTTCAATCACGACCCTTTGTCAAGGGCATACTACATCTCTCGTCACCTTGCATAATCTCCTATTCATTCGAGGCCCGCCGAAGTATTTCCACATCAGTATTTCGGTTCCAGATGGCGCCATCAAGCCCTTTGGAAGCCACTGTAATTGACGGCAAGAAGTACAGAAATGTACGCGAAGGTCTGGCATCGGTTCTGGCCCCATACAGCCAGGACAGCCGACCATCTGGCAAACAGACCCGGAATAATGATGAAGGCGATCAAGCGGTCTTTTACAATCCCATTCAACAATTCAACAGAGACTTGAGTGTTCTTGCTATTACAGTCTACGGCGAGGGTGCTGTGGTAGAGAAAGAAGCTCGGCTCGGCCAAAAGAACCATGCTAGGAAGAGTGCAAAGGAGAGGAAGAAGCAGAAATCGAAGACCGACTCTCATGATGCAACAGCGGCGGAACCTCCTGCAACCCATACCGACGGTGGCAAGCGGAATGCTCGCGCCACAGCGGATGTGAATGGTGATGCTGTCGAGAGTGAATCGAACGACAAAGCCAAAACGAACGATGAGGCCGCGGGGATTGCAACAACCCTTGACACAGCTGTGGAACAGGCTAACGGTCGCAAACGTAAAGCGGACGAGATAACAGATCCATATACCGGACCAAGTGCGGCTGACCCGAGCAAAAAGGCCAGAACAAGTGATGATGTTGAAGAAGATGAGGACGATTTGCTAGTCGAGGCATTCAGCAGTGACCCATTGGCTGAGAAAGGTGCGGAAAGAGAAAAGAATCAGAACGGTGGCACAAGACAAGAAGGCAACTTACAAGAAGCTGCCACCTCGAGTGTTTCAGCATCTACCGAGAAACGTATACCTTTCACCATTCTAGACGCATTATCTGCAACTGGTCTCCGAGCTTTGCGTTATGCCAAAGAAATACCTTTCGCCACGAATGTTGTCGCAAACGACTTGTCGCCTGCATCGGTGCAAGCAATCGAACTCAACATCAGGCACAATGACGTGAAAGACAAGGTCCACTCCAATCTAGGCGACGCTCGTGGCTTCATGTACAGCAAGGTTGGAAACGAAAAGCAACGACAGGGAGATGGGTACGTACATCGCTTTGATGTTATCGACCTGGATCCTTATGGTACTGCTGCGCCCTTCATCGATGCCAGCCTCCAAGCTCTGCAAGACGGTGGAATGCTTTGTGTTACGTGTACCGATGCAGGTGTTTTTGCTTCAACAGGATATCCCGAGAAAACTTATGCACTTTATGGCGGCATGCCTGTTAAAGGTCCACATTCGCACGAGGGCGGGTTACGACTGATCCTGAACGCCGTTGCGATCGCTGGTGCAAGATATGGCCTGGCTATCGAACCCTTGCTTTCTCTTTACATCGATTACTATGCTCGAACGTTCATCCGAGTCCACCGAAAACAGAACGAGGTTAAAATGCTCGCTGGAACTACTATGACCGTATACAACTGTGCACATGGCTGCGGTGCATGGACAACACAACCTTTGCTGCGAAATCAACCACAAACCTCAAAGAATGGTGAAACATTCTACAAATTCTCTTTCGCACAAGCACCGTCGACTACCCCCGACTGCGAGCACTGTGGTTCAAAATTGCATCTATGCGGTCCTATGTGGGCTGGTCCACTCCATAATCCACATTTTGTGCAGCGAATGCTGGACAAGATACCATCCCTGGACAAGAACGTATATGGCACGACAGAGCGGCTCGAAGGGATGCTCACTCTTGCTCTAGAAGAAGATCTGTCACCTCAACCCTCTCCAGCCGCCACCTCAGCAGCACAGCATGCGACAACATCTGACACCAAAATCATTCCGCGGCTACCACCCAACGTCATCGATGGTGCTCCGTTCTTCATTATTCCTAACCAAATAGCGAAAGTCATCCACTGCGCAACCCCATCAGAGAATATGATACGAGGCGCTATCCTCAGCACAGGTTATCGTGTCACCCGCTCGCACTGCAAGCCCGGCAGCATCAAGACCAATGCACCCTGGAGTGTGCTCTGGGAGATTATGCGGGAATTCATGCGTACGAAAGCCCCAATCAAGGAAGGAGCCGTCAAAAAAGGCACCCCAGGCTGGAACATTCTATCCAGAGTTAGAGGAACAGAGAGATCCTTCGTTTCGGGGCTGGCAGACCTTACGAAAGATCAGCTTAAGAGGTGTGAGACTAAGGAAGATCTCAAAACGGTCCTGCATGGGATGCTTGGAAGGCTGGAGAAGGACAATCCCGCTTCCAGTGCAGGAGGTGAAGAGGCCACCACACAAACAAATGGCAGGCTCGAAGAAAGCGAGGCTTTGAGCGAAGACCAGCCTCGTCGGTCTCGCTCCAGGAGTTCATCAACCGTAGAAACGGGTAAGCTCAAGATTGTCTTCGACGAGAAGTTGGGGAAAGAAAAGCCCCGAGCCAAGCTTGTGAGATATCAGATGAACCCGAGGGAAAATTGGGGTCCTATGAGTCGGGCTGGAAAGATGGGCTGAAGATGACACCACAAAAGAGAAAACTGCCTTCGCATACCCACAGTCGCCACTTGAGCAATGATTGACACACCTGCCAACACTGCTCTTAGTGTAGCCGTTGACCACGATGGCGTACGAGCATGTGATTTGGTTTCCGGACTTGAAAGTGTTCATACCAAAGCATTTAGCACGTTTGCAGGATTCAGAATAGATGTGCACCTCCATCTGTACGTGAGACAGATCTGCTTTTCGATGAGACTTTGTAGGATTGAGTATTGACCGAGAGGGCTCAGGACTATGCGAACCACACGCCAAAGTACAGTCTGGCCGTATACCGGTTGAAGTTGCAGTTCGTGGACGGGAGTAGTTTATAAGCGGGGGGAGACTGTAAAGGATCGGAGCATTAAAAGCTGTGTTGACCACTTTGAAGCGTAAGACGTCGCTGCTACTCGATGTCGAAGCTTGTCCCGCAACCGCAGCTGCTTGTTGCCCTCGGATTGCCAACAATCTTGAACTGACTGCCAATCAACTCGGTCGTGAAGTCAATCGTGCTTCCTTTCAGCAGTTCCAGTGACGCCTGGTCCATTACGACCTGCGCCTTCCCAGGGGCCCCGCCATCTTCGCTGGCAAATATGGTATCCTCCTGCGGATCAAATTTTGAGCCATCCTCAAGTGACATCAGATACTGGAAGCCATGACATCCGCCGGCGGTGACCGTTACGCGCAAATGTGAATCTCGAGGAGAGGAAGAGGAGGAAGAAGAGGAAGTAAGAGTGTTCCTCTGGGGCGCAGCACTTGTGATTTGTTTGAGACGCTGCATCTGCGTTAGTGTCTGCCAACATGTGTCTGCTTGAGGAATGCTTGCCTTGGCAGCTCGTTCAGATATCTCAATCGTCATATCCTTCCCATCCTCGTCGACTCGACGGTTATGCAACACGACGGTCGCCCTTACCATATTCGTGCTCGAAAATGACCTTCTGGATGACTGGGACAGAGCACGTTGCTCGACAAGGGGCCTCTTATATCTCGGAGGCCGTTGCGCGGGAGAGGAATCTGCGATCGGGCGAGAGGCTCGGAAATACAATCTGGGATCTTGTTGCCGGCGCAAAGGCCTGGCGACCGAGAAGGCGAGTCGTAGAGGTGTTTGAGACATCATGACAGTGGACATTGTATCACTATAGACACGCCAAATGCCAGGCTCCAGTAGATCATGGGGATAAACAAGTGATGCAGAGTACATACGGACAATAATAGTATTATGAGGAGTTTCGGCGGCGAAACTTCGGTTGCTGACAATTCATCATTCCTCGAAAATCCATGTCCGCATCCACACCACCAAGCCGAATTCAGCCATTCGAGTATTGACATCAACTGCCAGCCCACCTACCAGCAACCGAAAACAGCAAAACATTGTCACAGAGGCGAACCAGAGGAACCTCTCTTGTCTCGGACCAAGACATACACCAACAGATCTCTAAGGACGAGACATCCCGGCGATATTAACGACGACCATGTCGACGGAAGACGTTAAGCAAGACTCAACCAACGGAACACTGGGCCCCTTCTCCAAAGATTATGCTTCTTCCCTCGATGCAGCGGACTCTCTGGCACATTTCCGCTCCAATTTTTACATTCCAACAGTAACAGATCTTAAAAGGCCGACCTTAGCCACACCTCCCGACGAGGGCACGGCACAGCCTTGCACATATCTATGTGGCAACTCCCTGGGACTGCAACCTGTCAGAACTGCCGAAGTCGTCAATGCCTTCCTCACTCAATGGCGCACCAAAGCCGTCACAGGGCACTTTGTTGACCATACCGACTCTCCTCTGCCGCCGTTTGTGGACATCGATGATCACGCAGCAAAGCTGATGGCTCCCCTAGTTGGCGCTCTCGAGGCCGAAGTGGCTGTTATGGGCTCGCTTACAGCCAACTTGCACTTCCTCATGTCCAGCTTCTACCGTCCAAGCAGGAAAGGAGAAGGTCGATGGAAGATTCTTCTCGAAGGCAAAGCGTTTCCCAGTGACCATGTGAGTCCCTCCCATGTTGGGGTGCTTTCTGGATTGCGCTGACAGCAACAGTACGCCGTCGAATCGCAGATTGTCCATCACGGCCTCGACCCAGCAGAGGCAATGGTCCTACTTGAGCCGACGGATCCTCGGTATCCCATCTTACCCACCGAACAGATCCTGGAGACGATCAACCAGCATGCCTCAGAGCTCGCCTTGATTCTTCTGCCAGGCGTCCAGTTCTACACAGGACAGTATTTTGACATTCAGAGAATAACCTCTCATGCTCACTCTCACGGTATATTGATCGGATGGGATCTGGCGCATGCTGTTGGCAACGTCGACGTGAGATTACACGATTGGGACGTCGACTTCGCCGCTTGGTGTAGCTACAAGTATCTTAACTCAGGACCAGGAGCAATGGCAGGAATCTTCGTCAACGAAAAGTATGGCAAAGTTGATGCGGAAGGGTCAACACCAAAATTTTGGCCGCGCCTAAGTGGGTGGTGGGGAGACGACAAGTCTACCAGATTTCAGATGACGAACAGTGAGTTCCATTTGAGCTTTTGTAATGGACTCAAGGCTAACTTTACTAGAATTTGTGCCCCGACCCGGTGCCAAGGGCTATCAACTATCTAATCCAAGTGCCCTCGATCTTGCCGCGGTCGTCGCATCCCTGCAAATATTCAATGAAACTTCGATGGCAGACCTTCGACAGAAGTCTTTGAGGTTGACCACCTACCTCGAGCAGCTCCTGGATGCTTTGGCACTCAAGAAGCCTGGGCTATTCGACATGGTCACCCCTCGAGATCCAAGTGAGCGTGGTGCCCAGCTAAGCATTCGCTTAGCGCCAGGTCTGCTCGATAGTGTACTTGAAAATCTTGAGCACGCAGGCATCATCGTCGACGAGAGGAAGCCGGACGTGATTAGAGTTGCGCCGGCGCCCTTGTATAACTCTTTCCTCGACGTGTTCCGGTTCTGCCATGTTTTGGAGGCAGCTCTAGATAAATCGTCTGCGGCTTCGAAAAGCTGAGAAGTCATACGCTTCAGTCAAAGGCGCCGCTTCCGTCAATCATCTTCGCTATCGCTTGTCTCAGCATCCCGCCACAAGACAAAGTCAAAGCGACCTTCAAGATTTGCCCGGATGTATTCACGGATTAGTTCTTGTTCCGAATCGCTCAGGTCGTATTCCGGAGCAGCAGCCATCAATGATAGGTTGAATCCTTTCTGGGTCTCGGTGTCGAGGCTAGCCAAAAATTCCATAATGGCAGAGGAGCTGAACTGTGTCATGGCGTACAGTGTCAAGTTCTTGAGGTTCTTCAAGCCAGCAAGCGCGGGTAAAATGTCTTCCGAGACTTCACCACCACTAGTCCAGAAGTCTTCGAGAAGTGGGAGGCTCACAGCAAGAGTCGTAATGTGGTCTCCCGAGAATTCGTCGGACACGTCTTTTAGGACGAGTTCTTTCAAGTTCTTCAATGCGCAAAGACCTTGGACCATGATTGAGAGGTCGTCAGGAGTGGTGTCTTCGCCGTTGCCCTTGAGCCACACCGACTCCAGGGACTTTTGCTCGGCAAGCGCACCGTGGAATAACTGTGCATTGGTATGACGAACGGTGTATCCTTCCAGCGACAGTTTGGTCAATTTAATGTTGGGCGAGCAGAGTACTCGCGAGAGAATAGCTGGGCCATCTAAGAATTTCTTTAGGCTCAAGTCGCGCAGATTTCGACAGGAACTGAGCCATTGAACCACTTCAAGGAAGACATCATTGTTTGATTCTTCCAACTGGACAGTCCCATAGAGGTCGTCGAGCTTGACAATTTGCAGTTCGGTGCAGCCCTTCAAAAAGTTCAAACTCCTCACGGCTTCTTGGTTTAGATTGCCAAGGGCCAATTCCCGTAGAGACTTGTGACGTCCTAGAGCTTCAAAGGAGAGCCTGCCAAGGTTGTTGTAGCTGATCATTTCAAAGTAATCTAATGTGTTGGGCTTTAGCTCGTCTAGGAACATCGCGAACGATTCGTCGGCGTCGGGGGAAAGCCATTCATGAAGCGTCAAATCCCGGAAATGTTCGCATTTTTGTGCGATTGCTGCTCCAGCTCCCCCGGCTAACGCGTCGCCTCTCCATAATACCATACTTGACAGTTTGGGAGAGCGAGAGATCCATCGAGGTAGGAATCCCGGACTGATGTGCCCGTCGATTTCTTCCAGGAGAGTAGCTTTCTTAGTGACAGCTTCACCAATGGCGTTGACGGTGGCGATGACATCGACAGCATTCCTGGTGAACTCTTTCCTCGGAAACCAGAACGCTTCGAGGCCTTTCTTGAAGAATGCCGTTTGAATGGTTTTGGTGAATTTGTAGTCGTCCAGCATTGCAGAGAGGTTGCGAAAGTCAAGCGTTTGGATGTACCGGCAGTAGGGCTTGTAGGTAAGGGGTTGCGTGTCGTCGCCGAGACTTGACAGGACGATGGACCGCCAGAGGACCGTCCATTTCCGAAAGAACCGTGTCTGTTCGGCAGCTTTAGTTGCGAAATCGAGGTCTGCTTCTCGTCGCAGAAGTTCTAGCTCGTCTCTCTGTTCGAATACGGGAGAGAATTGATGGCGTCTGCAAGGATCAGTCCAACATGGAAGGCAAGAGGGTGAGCGGGACGTACTGATACATAGTCCGAAGAGCTGGGTCGGCGAATGATTTTGAGGACAGGGCACAGTTGTAAAGAGAGCCAAATTCTCCATCGTTTCCAAGTTCTTGACAGACCATGGATAAGAGCTCGTCTGGCAGAGTGGTGCCGCTGCCGTTGGATGAGGACATCGTTGATGGTGCCCACCTCCGTGGCGAGCCCAGGAAGGTGGCGGGAGAAAAGGCTACAATCACTATCAAGACAGAAGGTACGGGTTGGATGTGACGGAAGTTTTCCAAGGCAATGCCGGTCTTGTCAAGTGAGTGCCATACATGGATGAATGGTGATGGTCTCGTGGTGAATGCAGCATCTTCGAGATCCTTTCCGCCAATGACATCACCGCCTTCTGTGTACGCGTTCTGAGCGCGTTGAGGCATGAGAAGTCCACCACCAATTTGACAAAACCGAGTGCAGCAAGCTGACTCTCAACGAGTCACCAGTGAATGATCAATGCCGACGTTCTTGTTCACAGTCGTTGCTCAGGGAGTCGGCTACATCCATGATCTCTTGATTTGCCTAGCAAAATTTGATGAAGATGTCTCACTAGAAGCTACGCCTCAATTCGTAAGTCTCAATATTCGACCTGCCATGCGTCCTCGGCTGAACAGATCAGCTTCGCATCTCAAGCTTGAATGTTTCCAAAACTTCACATGCATCGTTCACGCTCAGATCATCCTTCTTCAACAAATACCACTTTTCTCCTGGGCCGAGGAGCGCTTCAGGACAGCCTGTGCCAAAGTTCTGGTCCTGTAAGATTCAAAACAGGGTATGCTTCCCGCTCACGGTTGCAACTCCTCAGCTAATCATAAAGGCTCTTCTATCTATCTTCAAACGGCGCCTTGCAGATCAGCGAGATAGAGACACTGCTCTTGAAACTTGCGAGTGCGAATTGCAGGCCAACCCTGACCAAGCAGAATGCCGCCTGATCTTTCGACTGAACTGCCGACAGGGTGTCGTCAAGACGTACAGTCTGTTTTATGAAGCCGGAGAAATCTTGCATGCGGCTTTCGATCAAGTGGGATCTACTAACCACTGGACTGTCGCATCGCGGACATTGCGTGATGTCGTTGAGTACTTTGGCCCCAAGACGGATCAGCTCGACTGGTACTATCAGAATGGGAAGGTCACATTCACAAGCTACACTGAGAAGATCCAAAGTGGAAAAGGTAGACACTTAGCAAACTTCAAATCGAGCTACTAATCTAACATCTCAGAAATTCTCAAGCAGCCGATGCACACCTCCGTTGCCCTCGAACGAAAAGATTTTGCCAGCTTCAATGTTCAAGAAGGTCTGCATATCGGCACCATGGTCAAAGACTTCCGAGCCATCGTGGCACACGCAGAATCGATGAGAGCGCAGGTCACCGCAAGATATTCCAGGGGCAATCGCCCGATGCAGATCAGCTATGAAGACAACGGGGTTCTTGCCGAATTCACCCTGATGACTCGGGGCACGACGAATGTCCCCCATGCCACGAGCACAAGCACGCCAGCTCGAGATCTTTCGTTACGGCCTCTCTCTCGTCCTCCAGACAGTCCAGCCACAGAATCAGCTTCTACTCTTCCTGCAAGTTCTCGTCCTCCCGATGCTGCATCCATGCCGCCTCCGGCGCGGACCTCCTTTCGAGATCGTGACGCCGCACCACCGACTCTTTCAAAGACCGCATCAGGAGATTCTGCACCCCTTCCGGCTGGCAGTCTCAACACCGAGAGTATGTTCATCCCTGCTGATGATGACGATCACCAATGGGGGGAACCCAATTTCGAAGAGGAGCCCGATATAGTGACCTGGGACAACACGGCCGACGAAGTATCCGCATCGAGCTCTCGTCACATCCGCGATTCCGAACTACACTCTTTTGCATCGATGCAAGACCAAGATCGTCGGTCGACCATGACAAGGTCAAGATTTCCGCAAGAAATTGCGCCCACTCAGCGACTTTCTCAGGTTCGCGGCATTTTCGACTGAAATACATTCAGCGCTAGTCAAGTATCTCTCTCGCAAACCACAAAGCTGGTCGCGCAACCTGCTGCGACAGTCCTCACATGGATGCCACCGTCAATCCAGGGCAAAGGGATCGCATTCCATTGATCGGCGACGTACCCTGTAAGGTCCAATTTTTCGCCACAGTTCCCATGTTCACCCCATCCCCAGGCAACGATTTGACCATCGTGCGCGAGACCTATGCAATGCTCGCTCCCTGCGGCCAGGGCTCTCAAAGGAGGTAAATCGGCTGGCGGAAGTTGGCCACGATGGTTTTTGCCAGTACTGATTACATGTGCAGACGACAAAATGTGGATCGAGCTCCAGCCTGAGACCACAATATCTCCAGCTTGTAATGAATACTGCAGCACTCGTTCGTCAAAGTCCTTCATGCTACCCCAGATTAGCGGCGTCTTCCCAGTCCTCAGGAAGACAGTGTAATCTCTTCCAACGACGACTTTCTCCGGCCTGAAAGGCAATCCCACATCAATCCTCCTGGGCCGCCACAAGGCTTTGTCGGGTTTGGCTTCATCTCCTAGCTGTCCTTTCCGACAGCTTCCCCAGCCGAAGACACGCCCATCTGATGTAAAGACCACCGCATGCGACATGCACGCCGATATAGCGACGATCTCATTGTTCTGGTCTCGACCAAGAGCAGTATCTCCCACTTTGTCAGCCACGTCCAAGACCTTGGTCAACCGCTTCGCCTCCACAACATCCTTGCCCAGACCTAGCTCACCCTTTGCTCCGGATCCACACACGTAGACGCTATTCCCATCGACCACGAAGAATGAAGCCTCCCACGTTGCTGCGATATGTGACACTATGCCGGGGCCGGATGTTGCATCAATATAGATTTGTCGCTCCTGGAACTCGGCGCTCACACCATCCTCACCAGGACTGATCTTTCCAGCAGTGAAAATCCGACCATCAAAAGTCAACAAAAGCGTGTGATTGCCTCCCGCAACGATCTCCTTGACTTTGAAAGGGATCCCCTCCCCCTCAATGTTTTCGTGCTGGTTGCCTGGCTTGAGACATCGAAACAAGCATCTCTGCGGACGTGCCACATCATCTGTGCGCCCTATGCCGAGTTGTCCTGAACCATTAGAGCCCAAGGCATACAAAATGGCCGCTGATGTGTCGAAGTGTTGGGCTGCCATCGTTGAGCGGAAGGTCTTGCCGGCCGCCAGATTCAGGACAAAGTTGGAGGGTACCAACAGAGTGAATCGGCCACCATTGAGCGTCTGCTATTATCAGAGAGCGTCCAGGCGCCTGCCGTTCAGTACGAGGTCTCGTTGACGACCGGCATGAGGCAATTCAAGGCACGGTAATTCAATTGTATGCACAGAGTCGTCGCGCCTCTGATCGTAGGCGCTGCATCAGCTCAAGCTTTGTAAGCTGCAATGCCACACTGGTGCTCGTCCTGCGCCATACTCGATACAACCCCGGATAAAGGCGCTGAGAACATGGCAAGAGCTGTCTTGAACTCAAGCTTTTCATGTATCGCAAGTCCTCGTGTCTTGGCGGCTGTGAACGAAGTCAATTTCTTGCGTTTTTGGCTCGCGCGCTCCACCCGAGCTATGTACAGTCTGCAATTCTATCAACACCCTTTCGTCTCACTCGCCTTTGGACTTCTATGCTACCCTGAATCACACCGACGTCTCCCTAGCTTCTACCTGCGCCAGTTGTTGGATCTACCGCTTGGTCAATGCGGTAGGCTCACTCTTGACCAATAAGGGTCGTATGGTCATCATGGCATTTACGACTTGTCCTCGAGCGGAGACCTTTCAACTGCAGACGAAGGAGACCAGAGGACAGGCCGGTAGTCATCGTACAGACAAGTATATTCATGAGGCATGCTCTCTAATCTTTGGTTTGATAAGTCTGCCCATCCGATATCCATTCGGAAACTATAATATCCGCACCTCTATTCGTTCACACAACGAAGAAAAACACATTACCAGCCACACCAGTGTGCATCAGGAAAAGCATGCGTAGTCAATCCATCCTTACATGCTCACCCAACATTGCCTTACAAACCCCTCCACCATCTTGTCTCTCGGACCTTGAATTGCCCTTGGAGAGGCGTAGACGAGCTAGAATCGCCAACCAGCACATCATACGCACCCTTCTCCATCGTCCAGGAATCTCGTGCCTCATCCCAGAAACTTGCTGCATATTTTTTGGACATAAGTATCTTGACCTTTTCGATGGCTCCGGCTTTAACGAACACCTTGGCGAACCCCTTCAGCTCTTTTGGAGGTCGGTTGACGCTTGGGTTCTGTTGTGATACATATGCTTGAACAACTTGTGCACCATCAACATTGCCGGTATTTGTCACGGACGCGGTTATCACAATATTGGCCTCGTCATCCTCAATGGACAAGTCCTTGATGTAGAATGTAGTGTAGCTCAGACCGTGGCCGAAGGGGAAAGCGACTTCTTTCTTGGTCTTTTCGTAGAATCGATATCCGACATACACATCCTCGCCGTAGATGGCTCGGTTGCGCTCTGACTTGTAGTTCAGGAAAGCCGGATTATCCTCATTTCTGACCGGGAAACTCAAAGGAAGCTTCCCACTTGGATTGGTCTTGCCGAAGACAACATCTGCAATGGCATTGCCTGTCTCATTACCACCGTACCAAGCTTGGAGGAGAGCAGGTGCTTCCTTCAACCACGGCATAGCAACAGGCGTCCCGGATTGGATGACTATGGCAGTGTTCGGGTTTGCTGCAAGAACGGCCTTAATCAGGTCATCACTACCTGGTGGGAGATCCATGTGCTGTCGGTCATAGCCTTCAGATTCCCAGTCTTTGTTGAGACCGGCGCACAAAACCACTTGTTCAGCCTGTTTGGCAATTCTGACGGCTCTCTCAATCTCTGTCTCGATCTCGGCCTTGCGTTCAAGCCCAATTCTCAAGCCGCCAGCCCCGAAGCCAGTCGCTCCGTGGGTGTTGAACCGCATGGTTGGGAAGGTGCCAAATGTGATGTGGATGTTGTATGTTTCGCCCTGGTTCAATTTCAGAGTACCAATTTCTTCGGCTGTGCCGGCGCCAAAGAATGAATCTCCTGGTCGTTGCTTTGTTTCGTTGTCTACCACACATTCTCCGTCGACGAAGATCTTGCCAGTGCCAGCAACTGCCAGACTAAATTCATATTCGCAGGTCTCTGAGGGAGTGAAAGTACCGTCCAATTCAACCCAATAGAGAGAGGTCTTGATCAGAGGATGCTTGTAGTCAACGAGCAGAATATCTGAGTTGCTGACATAAACCTCATCTATAGGCTTGCGATCTCTCTCAGAAGGCGGGTCCAGGAACACTCTCATGGTCAAGCCGGGCTTGTCGTCCTTTGTTTTGGCAAGCCGAGTCATGAGTGGAAGAGATTTCCAGCCAGGAGCACCAAGTGCATATTTCGCGTCTGGTGCTTGGGCTCGGAGCCCATCAAGTGGACTGATGGCGTAGTAGGGCAGAAGTGAAGCTGAGCCACCACCGCAGTAGGCAGCATACGCAGCGTTAGGTCCGATGATGGCTGTAGTCTTGCTGTTGTCGAATGGTAGGACATTGTTTTCATTCTTCATGAGGACGATTCCGTTCGACGCTATCTTCCGGAGCAAAGCGGCAGTCTCGGGAGTATCGACAGTCGTCTCAGGGGCGTTCTCGGGAATGCCAAGAGATAAAGTCATTTGAACGAGCTTGAGCACCTCCCGTACTCGCTGGTCGACGTCATATAAGGAGAGTTTCCCGCAGCCGAGGGCTTGGTTGACCAATTTCCCACGGACGTAGGAAGGGCCCGGCATTTCAAGATCGAGACCTGCTTTGATGGATTCCGTCGTTGAGTATGTACCAAACCTGGGAGAGGTCAGTACCGCGTCTTGCAGCGCGTAGAAGGGCCAACCTACCAGTCACTCATAACCAAGCCATCGAAGCCCCACTCGCCGCGGAGGACTTCTTGCAGAAGTCGAGGGTTCTCGCTGGCGTGGACGCCATTCACTCGGTTGTAAGCCGTCATGTAACATTCTGGCTTGGAATCGCGCTGTGCGATCATGAAAGGCATCAGGTAGATTTCTCGAAGGGCTCGTTCTGTTAATATACTGTCGACTGCCTGTCTTTGATCTTCTTGGTCGTTGCAAACGTAATGTTTGATAGTGGCAGCAACACCGGTTGACTGAATACCGTTGACGGTGGCGGCGCTCATTGCACCTGCAAGGTAGGGATCCTCACTGAAACTCTCAAACCCTCGACCACCCAGAGGAGATCTCTGCATGTTGGTCGTTGGGCCTAGAATGACGGAAGCACCCTTGGCGATGGCTTCATGGCCTTGGAGTCTCCCCCCCTTCTTCACAAGGTCGATATCCCAGGTTGCGGCAAGTCCGGTTCCTGTGTTGCGTTAGTGGTCGTTCGATTTGACAACAGGAAGCGCACTTGCCACAGGGAAGACAGGCAGCAGGTACGCCATTGAAAAAGCGAGTGCCACGGACGCCATTGGGTCCATCGGAGAGTCGTATCGAGGGAACACCTAATCTATGGACAGGAGCGGTGTGCCAGAAGTCAATGCCCGAAAGCAAATCCACCTTCTCGGATGTAGTGAGTTGCGGGAGGACTTCTTCGACATCGAAGTTGGTCTGGGGGGCGATAGAACCCATGCTGGCCAGCTGTCTGGGTTCAAGATTTGGTTGTCCAAAAGGTCAAACAAGCGTCAAGAAGTAAAGAGTGTGCTGTAGATAAGATGTACAGTAAAAGACTGAGATAGATACCACTGCGAATACGAGTACTAGAAGTACCAAGTCAATGAATGGTTGATAAGGTCAATGGGTAAACATCGGTTGATGGCAACGAGAAGAATGGATCGGGATGGAGAAGTCACGAGAAGTGCATGGTGATGGCCGTGCATTCTAGTGCCCCTGGTTGACTACCTAGGTCGCAAGAGCGTCCCATAATCGTCCCGCGTAGGCCAGAGACCAGTGACAGCGCATGGCAATCGTCCGCGACAGGCACGACGCGGCATAAGGGGGATCAACGGCATCTCCACAGGAAAGCATCAAGAGCGACCATGAAAGATGCTCTTCTGGGCACAGCCATACGACGAGTCGGCTCTGCACAAGGTAAGATAGGCTTAAGACCACACGCGGAGTACCGGCTCGTTGGCAAGAGAACGGACCTCGCAAGACTGGCAGAATGCGGTGCGGGATGTCGTGGATCGAGAAACATCACCACGGAGGTTCTATGGAGACCACCCACATCACGCTTCCTCAGTCCTCACTGCCTCCCAGAATGGAAAATGCACTGAAGCTGGAATTAAGGCTAAACTTCGGTAGACTAAGAGCTTAGTACCTCTTTTAGCGCCATGTTTATCCTTGGCAATATATGTGTAAAATCAGCCGAAACCCCCATGATGCCCCCTGCTCCCTCCTCATTGATCAATTTCTCGTTCGGAAGTCGTTCCTTGTACGGAGTATCTCGCAAGTCTAGGTATGCAGACATCCTGCCGACACCCGCTGATGTAGGGATGTGTAGGGTCAACTGAAGGCGGTTCTCGGTACGCCGACAGCCGAAGTGTAGAAGAAATTCGTCCATCATTGATGCTTGAACCTCGTGGTCAAGTGAAGCAGACCACACATGCAGTCCACATATGCAGATTTCATAGAAATCCTTGTGAGCATTGCATAGATACAGGTGCCGGCCAATTCGCTCCCGCCACATATGCTGAACGACAGCCAACAGTTGCCATCTCTGCTTCCCCCAGAGATGGACGAATTAGGCAACCTGAGCCACCCACTACTGAATCAGGACGCATTGATAGATTACGCCAGCTTCTTCGTACAGGACCACAAACGCCTCTCCAGCAGCAGACATGTTTACCGAGAGCAGTAGATCTATCCACAATTGATGTACTGTATGTAACTTATGTTGCGGTGAGGTTGGCAGTCTTGATCCCGTGAAATCCAAACGTTCATGCCAAACCAAGTCATTGATACACCATCATTCAACCTCCTGAAGTGAGACACCCTTGGCCATCTCTCTTCCTCCCTCGCCGAGACATCCCTACGTACTGTGCCTGTCTCGTATCTTGCCTGCCTCACAGCTCCCACTCGACAACCTTCCACTGCACTCCAGCTACCACGACCTCGTCCCCTATCCTCCTATCCTCACGGCACGCCCACATACACGGCACTTTCTCACTGTCTCCGCCCTCATCAGACGTATTACTTCGCCCATCCTTCAGCCACTCTCTTTTCTCTTCCTGTTCCTCCTCCACCGACCTCCCTCTATCGATCCGTGTCCTCTGCCATCTCTCTACCAGTACCTTCACCTGTTTCTCTTCGCTTTTCCCTTGGTTATGTCTTGCCATGATTCCCTGACAATAGTTTCCGACCCTAATGACCACCCCATGCCAGCCCTCGCTCTCGCTCGTTCTCGCAACGACGCAAGGCGTTATCTCCACGACTCCCGGACTGGTCCAGTACTCTTTATACATCGCCATTCTCTCCGTCCTCGGATTCTTCATCAACCCAGTCTCCACGCAATCCCCATTCCCCAGCAAGAACAAATCCCCTTCATCTCTTATCGCCTCGTCTCTTGAGTCAATGTCATGTGTCCATACTCCGTGCGCTGTGTGTGGCATCCCTTCGTAGAACCTCATAGTAGCCACACCGCTAAACGCCCAGAAAGCCGGGTCCTCCGTCAACGGTCTTGACTTAGCGAAGTTGGACGGAAATCTGATATCAACGAATGCGCCCGCCTTAGAGGTCAAGACAAGCGTGGAAGTATCTTCGTATGGTGAAGAAAAACCCTGCCATTTTAGTTAATGTTAGCCCGGAATACCAGAGCCTCATGCAGGAGCATAATAGCGAACTCCACTCCGTCCTTCGAGACTCATGAGAGCTCCTATAAATCCTTTCTCCTGCTCGATCATGGCCAGCATACATCCATCGCTATCACCATAGGAAGCTGTAAGAAGATATAGACGCACCCAAGCGATCCCCTTCCGCACTGATATTGACGGCTTCTGCAAGAGATCTTTCTTCCACTGAGGCAGATCGTCAAACTTGGACTTGGTGCCGTCGATTTGGCCTATCACACCAAGTTTCTCCCCCGTCATGCCATAAAACTCCATGGTTGAAGGATATCGGCTGTCTTTTCTTTGAGAATTCAAAAAGACAAACTAGGGCTGGCAAGTGTCCTGAAAGCCGGATGTGTAAGTAATGCTCCTGTCTCATAATCTGTGACAAATCGGAAAATACTTCAACCTGCAAGCATCATGGCTTCTAGCCTACCCCGGAAATCAAAACGATTCTGCTTCTACACAAGGCAGCAGTCATTTGTAAGTTTGGCCTACTGCTACCAATACTGATCTTCATGTGCCATTGTCTCTCGTGGTACGGCAACGACCACAAGGACCCACTTTAACCCAGACATCCCAGTCCTACATGCTACGGGCATGTCAAGATCTCATGCCTGTGTCCTAGTCCAGAGGTGGTCATCTCATCCGTCTGAAATGCTGGTTTAACCCAGTTTCCCTACTCGTCCTTCGTCGCTCTCAACGAGTCGTCTCCTCTTATAGGACCTTTCCCTGCAACATTCCGCTTCCCCTGCTCGAGAAGATGCCCATGATGCCAAAGCCCAGATAAAATAGCGCCAGGGGATACGCCACAAGTCCACGCATGCCCTTCATTCTCCCCACACTCACAAACATGCCCGAACTGCTGAACGTGCACCAACCCACCGCGGCCGCCGTAAGGACATACCCGAGTCCTGTATCCATCGGAAGCAAGACACCAAACAGGGCCGTGAACACCAGCGGCAGAAAACAGTACCCCAACACACTGGCGCTCCTCGAATATGTCAAGGTACTCGAGAAATGCCCTCCATGTCCCGAGCCACTCGCAAGATCCCGCTGCCCCTGCGCCATCTGATCGGAGTCGTTCGGATCTACCGGCGGCGTCATGAGCGCGAACATCCAATGTAGCGCTATGGACCCGAAAAGCGCAATACCGTAGATATATCCATAGAAGAACTTGCCGGAGAGTGCGAGGAAAGTGCCATAGAGCACAAGGAACAGCAAACCGCCGTATAAGTCGCTGTCGTCCATGATGTGCGGGGATGGGCGTGTCAACGGATTCAGGACTGTCAGAGTCTCCCAGAACATCAGCCTTGCAGCACACAAACTGCGAATGATATCAACCTACCTTGGTCTTGATATGTCCAAAGTTGACGCCCAACTCTTCCATTAGTCCTGGTTCGCCTTCGTATCCTTCGGTTCCAAACGCGGCTAGCCAGCCTGTCCGCAGTCCACCAGACTCGCCCATGCGTCCACTTACGCCTTGTATGCCTGGGCCGCCTCCGAAGCCTCCTGATGTGCCTGCGCCGTAGCCTGCGTATGCGGGCGCGGAATTCCCGGAGCCATATCCGCCATAGGATGCTTGTGAGGGTGTGGTGTGTCCCGAGACATTCGTGTAAGATGAAGGGAAGAATTGTAGGTTCGAAGGTGCTGCACCGGAGCCCTGACCGTAGGTAGGTTGGTAGTAGGACATTTCTAGGTCGAGTGAGGCCGCCTGGGCCGAGGTGTTGTTGTGCGCAGCAGGATGAAAGGTCTAGAGAGAGGAGACTGGGGTAGGTCAGATAGGACCGAAGGCCTCGAGGAAGTGCTAGCCACAGCGAGATTGTAGGTAGATGTGAGCGCTGGCTTTCTCAGAATGAATTGTTGGCGTGTGCGGTGAGCAAGTCGACTTTGGTCCCCCAAAAGCCGTGCGGAGTTGTTCAGAGGGAACCACACATCCAGTCACGCTCAACCATGTCTTTCATGCCAGATGGCCTCTCACTTACATAGACTAATTTCACAGTGATGACATTTTCCTGGCCACGTTGCTGCTTAACTATGTACATGCTCTATCTCTTTACTACAGAAGGTTGATTCCCACTCCGAATGAGACTCCTTTACGGGCCTCCTCGTTCTTTCGAACCACAAGAGGAAGGGAGAAATTCAGCTCAAATCGTGCCACAGGATGCGCATACACCAGACCAAAACCGGCCGACATGGTTGGCAATCCATTGCCCAGGTCTGAGATGGCGTTGGACAAACTCCGGTTGACCTCCTCCTTCGTCATTGGACCTTCCGCATTCGCATTCCTTAAAGAGAGAAGTCGTCCTCCATTGACAAACGCTTGTAAGCGAAGGGGTTTATCTTTCCCTACTCTCGGAAGAGGAAAGAAAAGATTCGCACTTCCTGCCGCATAGAGATCGCCTCCCACAGCATCTGGTCCGTCATGAGGTCCCAGACCAGACAGCCGGAAACCTCGAACATCAGTAGGGCCACCAAGCTGGAATCTGTCGTTAATTCGGGACATTTCTGGACGTTGATTTGATCCGAGAGTGAGTGGGTAGAGCAAACCTGCCCGAAGTCCAGTCGTAAAGCTGATGCCACTATCTCCTTTGAGACCTGGCACAGGTATGGGGACAGCGGTCTGGCTTTCAACCTCAGTCTTCAGGAATGAAACGTCGCCCTGCAACGGTCCCCACCCTGCCAATTCCACCATAGACTTAGCATAATATCCTCTAGTGGGCAGCATAGGGTTATCTCTTTTGTCGGTCGTCCTCATGAGCGATATACTGCTCTTGAAAGAATCCCCTGCTTCGTTCTTCACCGTTGGTGACGCGTTTTGTGCCAGTCCTGTCACTTGCCGCCACACACCGTTGTAACCGATTTCATTGAGAGTTCCTACTTTTGACAGCCAACGTAGTTTGGCCCAGCCACCCTTAAGAGCCTCTTCATGGCTCGCAAAGGGTTTTTGAGTTGCGCTTTGCAGACCGCCGAGTTGAAAGCGGAAGTCAGGGTTGCTGAGAACGGGGGTATCGAATGTAGCTTGGTATGACGACCGTGTTCGTGTCCCTATCGAAGCATTCAGGTCGAGCGTTTCTGCACCTCCCAGTATGTTGCGCCATTCGACGTTGGCATATGCCGAACCCTCCGCATTTCCCAAATCTGTACCAGTCTTTGCAACTATCCGGCTCTTCTCTTTTACCGAGTAGTATACAGCAACATCGGTCGGGGTAGTGGTCGGGTCAGTTTTGGCTGGTTTGTCTATGTAGACAGAGCAGTCCTGGTAGATTCCTACAAAAGCAAATCAGCCTGGAACACACGTCTTGCTTGAGAATGTTCATACCGAATCTCTTGAGCTTGTCCGCAGTCTTTGCAACCTCGTGTATGAGCTCCGATTGCGTGTAGGGGCGATCGCGGTTTGCGCTCAGCAAGGGATTGACTACGCCCTTCAGGAATCCATGCCGGGTATTTGGAGCTCCTAGTACCGTGACTGAGGAGACAGTGGTAGGTAACGTGGAGTTCTGGTCTATGAGCTCTGCGAGCCTTTGCTGGCTAAGCTGAAAAGTAGCATGGATACGTTCGTTAATCGCTCTTTGCCGCTGCTCCAACTCGGAAGGATCTGCTTGCTTGAGCAGTTCGAAGATGTTGTCGTCGCCAGCGGAGTCCGAGGCGGCCATTGAGGCCAAAGTGCTCCCTGGCTGCACTAAGTGAGCGTTATTGACAAGAGTGCCAGCGACGGTAACTGCGGGCAGCTTCCAAGTCTCAAGTATGGAGAAAGCCAGACAGAAGCGCAGACGGGCGATCGCCAAGCCATTCCGATGTGCGACCGAGCAACTTCACTCTGTCGTGTGCTCATGAGCTGCCATTCACTTGCTACAGTCCTTAGTCTCTTTCCCTTCTCCATTTCCAGTGCTTTGTTCGTCATGGTCGGTGGTTTAAGTTACTAGTTTTCTTCTCGCTGGACACTCCTCCACACTTTCCCATCTCACCGCTGCGCCTGTCTCCGCCGCCACCACTGACTCAACTTGCCTGGCGTCTCGACGAATCGTGAGACCCTTTCCGCACGAGGTGACTATTCACAATACAGACATCCTCCCTGCATACCTCTGCGCTGAGCGCGTTGTTCAGCCATGGCGACTCCGGCAGCACAAAAGCGATTGACCAAGGAGTTTGCCATGATATCCAAGAACCCTCCCGAATTCATTACGGCAGCGCATCCTTCCGAATCCAACATCCTCGAATGGCATGCGCTCATCTCTGGCGCTCCAAATACACCGTATGCCGGCGGTCAATATTGGTGCACGCTCATCTTCCCGCCAGATTATCCATTTGCGCCGCCAGCTATTCGAATGCACACCCCAAGCGGACGATTTCAGACGAACACCAGACTGTGCCTGAGCATCAGTGACTACCACCCCAAATCATTCAACCCTGCTTGGTCGGTATCGACGATCTTGATTGGCCTCATGTCATTCATGAACAGCGAAGAGATGACAGCCGGTAGTATTGGGGGAAGCGAGGCCGAGCGGAAATGGCACGCTACGAGGTCGAGGTGGTTCAACTCAACTGGAGGTGGTTCTAGTTCTAAGCCGGTGGCTGGTGTTCAACCTACAACGAAAGGCATTGGAGGGATCAAGGCTGGCGACGGTGGTCGCAAGTTCAAAGCCGAGTTCCCCGAGCAGGACAAGGAGAATTGGGAATGGATGACAACACACCGCGTCGATCCTGCCACAGGCAAAATACTCCCGGATCCGGAAGGCGAACCCATAAATTGCTCTCCCGAGACCAAAGCAATACGACGCATCCTTGGTGGCAGTGCTGCAGGAGTGGGGGCGGTGGTTCAAGGAGGGCAAGCAGCACGAAATGCAGGACAGGGCTGGATATGGAGGAACAAATTCTGGGTAGGCGCAGGCTTCTTTGTGGTCTATGTGATGCTAGCAAGAGTTCTTGGTCAAGGCGATTGAGTATCATGATTGGTCATCGCGAATTTGTTCCGATGCTGGATTCTGCGGGGATGGAGGCGTTCTAGGCGCCTATGAGAGACATTACGCATTGTGAAGAATATACTGTGTTGGGAGCGATGGCGCCGGTTCAATCGGAATGCAGGATCGGGGCGCAACCATGGATAGAATGTCCCGCGAGCTGTCGGTCCGCTCGAACCACGGCGAACCACGGCTTTGGTACTGGAACCGATGCGCTACATAGAATCTTTCGGGTACGAGCATTATGACAGCAGTCTCGAATATTTATGATCGGCATTGCTTGGTTAGTCGACGACATCGACCAGATTCAGTAGGTAAAAAGAGATCCGGACCAGAAGATCGCAGCGTCACATGCCGCTTATTTCTTATGTACTGTACGTCCCAACCCCGGTTATCCCTATATATTACTGACGTTCCCACCATATGCCAAAGAAGGCCAAACGACGTGGAAACTCCCTAGCATGCAGCACATGCAGCACATGCAGCTACATTTTACCTTTTCACGGGCAAAGCAACCCACGTCTCGACCACGGTGGGACCCATCAGGCACCAAGTGACAGGGGAAGAGAGGAGCCTGTGGGAGCCAATGTCACTTGCCCCTCCTGGTTGAGTTGAGGACTAACTTTAGTTTTATTGTGGCATCTCATCTGTTACTGGTCTAGCCTCAACGACTGTCCCTCTCGAATGTGCTGCACGGCCTGGACTCACAATCATGTCCTCGCCGTCGGCTTGTGCCGGTTTGGTCAACTTTCGGAGTCTCTAGACCATGTCCCATGTGCTGGTCGTCATTCTAGACCATGCTTAACTCGCAATGATATAGCTGTCCCTGGTCGCCGCTTTGCCCCTGTTATCAGCCCATTGGCTATCACGTCGATCAAAGCTAGTCTATGCCGGAGTGATGGACGTGGAAGATGCGTCACAATGTCAAAGAAGAAGGTAATGCATCGCTTGGTTATCCAAGTACTCTCTCCATACCAGGACTGACACCCGGAAACTCCCAGACTCACCCGACGACTCGAGCCAAACTCCCTCCAGCGCATCTCCAGGAACAATCACCTTCGTCTTTGTGAACCAGGCTGAAGATGTTACTGCCCTCATGCGTCGAAGAATCAGCAACCAGCAACAACGCCATGTCATCCGATCACATGTTATGCAAAGAGTTCGCCATTTGGAGTGGGCGCAGGGAAAGTCGCGGACTACCGCCCGAGAAATTGCGTTATCAGACAAGTCCCGGACGAGTTCGACGTCAACCGAGTCAGGCACATCCATCAAGGATGAACCTATGTCACCAGTCCCAGGGAAGATGGCAATTCTGCCCAAGCGAATCAAACAAGGTGGCTTTGTCAGGTTCTCTACGCCTCTGAGTCCTTCTCCAGCCAACCATGAATTCGATCCTTTTCAAACCTTGCCGAGCAATAACCTGCCGCACAAATCATCGGAGAGTCTACTGGATTACTGTGAGCGACAATCTCCTGTACCTTGATACTGAAATGTTAACAACCCGTAGGCTTCGATGTCCTACTGCCACTCACATTCGCTGTTGAATTCAAACAACCGCAGGAAAGGCTTGCTCGGCAGGGCATGGTTTTGCAAAGCAAGATCAATAGTCCTGCCACTTATCTAGGTTTTATGGCCACTGTAGCAGCGCACAGAGCTATATTGTATGGTCGCCACAAAGACCTGGCCCCATCCGATCTGAACCATGACGAACTCATAACGGATCCGGATTACAAGAGGGCCAAACACGAAGCCATTGTTGCTGTAAGGACGTTAATCGAAAAGAGCAAGACGGCCGATCAATACATGGTCGATGCCTGCTTCGGATTGGTATCGACAGCCACTGTTGTAGGCAACTTTGAAGAAGCACGAATGCACCTAAAGGGTATCGCTCAAATAATGGCACTCGTCGGCAGCTCTCAGGAGTCCTTGCTTTGGCTTCCGGTCACAAACGTCAAGGTATCTGTTGGATTATTACAAAAGCCGATTCTATCGCTACCTTGGATACGCGGACCAATCCCGCCTGAGGCTCTACAACGTATCTCCCCACATCGCAAGAGCGCCCTGGCACGGATGGGGGTAGATTTCAAGCCACTGACAGATCTCAGCGACACTATCCAATCTCTACTCAAAAAGAGTCGAGACATTTGCACTTTCGTTCAATTCAACGCCGAAAACCCCAGCGGGCTGACGCCGCTAGAGAACGCCATCTTGCGACAAAGTGCCGTCGAATTGGAATACGATCTCGTTGCCTATCCATACGACATACCAGAATTCTTCTTTAATGGCGATCAAGAACCGACCATTCCAACACTGGAAAGTGTTATCCGTACAGCAGCCCTCGGGTTCATGTCGTTAGCCCCCCATACGATTATGCCATCCACAGGCCTTGGTAGGGCACTGACGCATCACCAAAAGCGAGCCACCGAAGCTTGGCTGCGTGATAGGCAAGGCAAGTACGCGATACCGGAGCTCAAAGCGGTTTTCTGGTCGCTCTTCATCTTCGCCCAGTGCGCATCGAAACAGCCCGAGGAAGACTTTTTTCTAAAGATGATTGTACAAACGATGTGGGACTTGTGGCCCTTGGGCTGGCCGGAAGCCGAAAGGATCTTGACCGGGTTCCTCTACATTCCCAAATTACAAAGAGTGGTTTGGAAACACATCTGGACGCAAGTGGTCAGCCGATCGGAAGCCCTTCGGAGTCAATTGGCGTCGGATTTGAGCAATGGCTACCAGGAACCTGTCCAGCTGCCTTCAGTGTACTAAGACCTAGCTGCCTACTCTCTCGCTGCGCGGAAGATGTTAGCATCTATAACAGAGGCAAATCAGAGCAGGAAAGGCACCGGCCTGCACAGTCGCAAGAGCTTCAAAGCCGCAGCCGCCCGTGTCACTGCCTGCACAAGCTTTCATGACGAATGAGGTTGAGTCGACACAAGCCAAGGTATACAACCCAGATGCGCAGCAGTCTTCATTCACGGAGTCTTGTCCACCTCTCCATTCACTGTTTCGAAATGATTCAGGATCCAACGAATGGAGCTACATCCGAACGGCTGATCATGTTGAGCTGGATGCCACCGTGGACACGAAATATCTCGGCTGCCGTCTCGCTCCGAATTCAACAATGAGCAGCCCCAACTCGCTGAAATCGAATTTACAGGAGAATGCCATGGACACCTACCCAGCAGCATTGATCGAAGGACTACTTGGAATACCGAACCCATTGTATACAGCTCACCACAGACCGTCTCCACAGTGGTTTGCATACCGACCTCCGGCATCAGAGTCATTCATGAGAAGACCTCGTAGCAGTGAATTTGAATCCCGAAGCAGTTGGGACGAAACACTGCGTGTATATAAATGTAAAGTATCATACATAAGGTCTACGTACCATTGTCTTGGATTGAGGAGGAGAGCATCATATCCCATAAAACCAGAAGTCGGCAATCTGGAATGTCCTTCGAAGGATTGGCTGAATGGATCAGGCTGGACAGTTCGGCCACTTGTCTACACATGCCATAGTCAAAAAGTAATATAAACAAAGTTGAAAGCCTTGAGTTCGTCGGCTTCCCTCAGGCAGAGTTATGATCGCTCGTTCACCTCTCACTCTGCCTGGACTTCCTCGCCACCTACAACCAGTGCTTCGTCGCGTCGTCTGTCACGCGGTCGATCTGAATCAGTTCAATTCACCCTCCATCACTCGTCGTAGCTGCCTCTCTCGCATCACCACAGCATGAACTACACTATATAACACATAACACATAACAACCGAGGAGGAGCGCTCGCCACCGCTGACATACTGGGTAACCTCAGCACATACCTTCAAATATATATGTCGTAAAAGTCGAGGGCCACGGTTGCATTCAGCTCTTGCTTTGATCATTGTTCCTGGCAGCTTCTCTGGCAGAACCACCACTTGCGCGATGCCATATATCGCCTCCCCAACGCATCGCCCGCTCTACCGCGGCTGTCGGTGTGTCCAGCGCGGGTCTGATATCCAAATAGAAAACCGGTTCCCCAGTCGCTTGCACCCCCCCGCCATAATAGTCAATCACGTACCGCACCTCGGTGACGGACCCGTTGGGATTCTTGCGGGCCACGTACCAATCGTGCCTATCAAACGGTGGCTCACCACCAAATTTCTCCGGCATAAGCTTCCCCATGATGTTCAGCATCCTGGCCTTCGGGGTCGGTTCATTCGGCCGCCCTTGGAAACGCACAAGCTTCGGCTGCCACTGTTCTTCCTCCCCGGTTGCAGGTAAATTAAGAGCCTGGCGTCGGGCAGCCAGGAAGTCATGCTTCGCCCTTTCAAGCGCGATACCTTGCTCGCCACGGGAGCAGATAGACCAGGCGTGCGCCAGGCCCGGAGAAAAGATGCGTTCCCACTCTTCGATCTCGCGCCAGGCGCCTTCATTGAGGAAATTGTGGACGGCGACCATGGACTCGACGTCCTCGGCAGGCGTGTCGGTGTAGCCTTTCCGAAGCATAGCGTTGTACATTTGCTGAGGGGATGGGTATTCCCAGTTTGCGTTGTTGTCAGCGCGTGGGATGGACGAGGTTTCGCGGTCGAGGGGAAGATTGATGGATTGAGGGGAGTCGCTGGGGCGTGTGTTGGATAGAGAGGGCATATAGTTCAAAGGATTCAGTTTGGACAGAGTTGAGGAAATAGAGGGAGCATGTTGCGCTTTTGAGGACTCCGAGGCGGAGGATGAGGGCTGAGGATGGTTGGGCTTGAGCGGCGAATTCGAGTTTTGACTGACGGGACAAGAGAAGGGTATAGGTTGGGGTGAGTCTTGTCTAGGAGGGTATGGTACAGCGCTGGAATCTGAGGATTTGTGCATTGGACATGATGGCTGCTGCTTGTCAGTCGGACGGCAAAATGGTAGAGAACTGAGGCGAACTCACGGGTGGTGCTGAACTCAACGGCGCTACCACTGCCGAAGGTGGTTTCGGAGCGTCAGCCCAGAAGAAGCCCATCTTGAATGCTTTGGATGTGAGGAAAGCAGAGGCAAGAACGGATAAATCGAAGTTGAAGGAAGAGAGGCGGGAAAGTGAAGAAGATGTCGTCGCCGGTCGATTCGATCACTCCGCATGGGACCCACACCAAACTTTTGACCTGCAGACGGACTTGGAGGACACCAACACGAGAACATATTTTGCGGAAGCAGTCTGCTATACTAACCCAACGCTGTCGACCGTCTGTCTCAACCCTCTTAGGGCCATGAGCATACCCTGCGCATAAATCCCTCCTCCTAGTCCTCTCTCGCACCACGGGCAACGACCTCCTCTTCGTGAACTTTTGAACAGATTGAGCAGGTTCTAAAAGCAAGCAAGCAAGCCAAAATGGCAGCCTCCAGTGATGCAAAGGGGTTCAAGCAGGATATGGTCGTTTCGATTCGATATCGAAACGACTTGCCTCCTCCACCCATGGCCCCAAAACTCCTTGACATCGACACTGGGGGATTGGCCCAATATCTCACAACAGGCTACGCTTCGGCGCTGGCCAAACGCGAAGAACCCAATATCGAAGTGGACGCAGAAGGTGGAATGCCTATAGACATGGTCGGAGTACCAGGCTACTTTCTCGGAGACGAAAGCGCAATCATGGCTCCAGAGATCCAAGCTGTGCTCGATCCCGCCGACCACGCCCTCATGCTCTCAATCGACCAGCTCAAGAGTCAAGGTGCAAAGAACAATGTTTCCTTCCTGCGGAAAACACAGTACATGACCGCTTCACAAATGGCACGAGCAAATGACCCTCTAATGCGCATAAATCCTCGCGCGCGAAAAGTATCCGAGAACAAAACTGCTCCTTTACCCGTTGCTCGCGACGACAAAGAGAACATCAAAAGACACATCCAGAAGGGTTTCGACATCGCGTATCCAGAAAGCATACCCTACAACCCACCCGAAGCCAAATCCAACCCCATCACACCTCAAGATCGAGACACTTGGAATAACCCTGTCCACCCTGACAATCCCAGACTCAAACCAATCGAATTTTACCCCATCCTCCCCGACCTCGACGCGACCACCGACCTCTCAAGCAACTGGCAGGCCCTCAAGTTCGAGAAACCACCCTTACCACCCATTCGCGGACGCCGCGACGACCGCATCGACGTAGGCCTGCTCATGGCCGCCGAAAACACGGCCGAGACCTCTAAATGGCGTGCTAAGAAAAAGGCATTCGAAGAACATCCAGAGCTGTACGAAGACCCCGGGCCAGAGCCTTATATGTGGTCCCTCAACATACCGAAACAAATCGATTCCACGGCCCGCATGCGCAAGATCTTGGACGACAGCAACCCTTCCAAGGACGATCCCGCGCTGTACGCGCCCCTGCTCGAGGAATCCGCCGACGGTTCGCAGCGTCTACCCTTCGAACGGGTCCGTGTGTACACTTCTGCGACGCAGAACCCCGTCGACCCTCGGCGGATCATGGCACTCTCGCTAGTCAAGGCGGAAAAGTTGGCGAGTGGGTCGCGGCTACGCAAGCAAGGCTCCGCGGCGTATTATTACCCCATTCTTGACCGCGTACGCATGAAAGCGGACAGGGCCAATTTGAACAGAATGCGCTCTCAAGATACTGAGGACGAGTTACCGGTGCCGGACCAGTTGATGGTCACTTTCACCGAGCCCGGGCCGCAGGAGAAAGTTACACGACACCAGTTCAGGGGTGAGTATGACGACAGCTATGCGGAAGAATATGCAGAGATTGTACGCGCGGCCGAGGCCGAGGCCGAGGCTCTGCGCGCGGAGGAGATTGTGCAGGAGCAAGGAGAGGTGCATGAGGGTGCGCTGGATGTGAGTATGGCCGAAATCGAGGCTGGCGAGGAGGCCGAGGTGAGCACGGCGACGAACAGGGTGAGGCATAGGGATAGGGATGATGACCGGAGCACGCCGCCACCGGTGAACGGAAATGAGAATGGGATCGAGGCTGGAGATGCTGACGCCGACGAAGATGAGGATGCCATGCGGGATGATTGAGCTGGCAGCCACTGAGCAGGACTATGTGACCATGAGCATCAATGGGCATTGGCCCGTGGGAGCAAGCAAGACTTGCCGGCTGGCGGTATCATTACAATAGCGTTTTCAGAATGGTGCCTACAGGTAGCATGGCAGTGAGATCTCTTGTGAATACATCCCTGAATTGATGCGAATATAGTTTTGAAGTGATTTTGAAACTTTTCTCTTTCTATTTCAAGCATTGATGGGCTCCCTGCGTCGGATACTACTATTTCATAGGCTCCTCTCGTCAAGCCCAAGCTTGCCATGCGATCCTGCATGTTTTCACCTTCGTGAAACACAAATGCTGAAGCATCTGCCAAGATGACCATACATGGCTTCGTTCGCAGGCCCTCAATATCTCCTCCAGTATTGGACGAAACCCTTCGTCTTCCCCAGCCCACAAAGTGAGCCGTGAGCGGCGTGACTTGGCTTACATCTCCTAGTCATCATCAAGTCCATGGCGTTCAACCATCAGAACTGAGCCGCTTCCTGGTTCAACACTTCCTCGAAGAATGTCTTTGCGGCCATTCTCCATTTCGAATCATGTTCAGTAAGACCTGGCCAGATTCCTCAAGTACCAGTCGACCAATCTCCGCCCCTGCTTTGCCTCACTGATATGGATCAGGTCGCCCTCGATAGCATAGTCCAGCTCGCTGCCATTGACAGTCTCGCCGTCCAACAAACCACCTTCAGTCCAGCGAATTTGCCTGCTTCTCTGCTTATTGACGAGCAACCAGCTGCGTAGCTTCTCGGGCTCGACTTCAAGGAAACTTGACAGCTTTTTCAAATCCATAGTCGTGTAGAGCTTCAAGTACGACTTGACAGTCGGATTGTACAAGGTGTTCTTGACTTCATCCATGAATATATCGGTGTGGTGCTCGACCGGGTCGATGTTGAGCGATGGGTTATCGAAATCTGGTGGCGTCGGGGTAATGAACTTGGGACATGCAGACTGAAACAATTCCTTGTACACTGGCAGAGAGTCGGGACCGCCACGTTGAAGTTTGGCGAATTTCTCGCCATACTTCTCGCGAAGTGCCGTGTGAATGGTATCATCGAGACGAGTGGGTGCGAACGACACACATATCGCGATAAGTGCGTACATCTGCTCCGTCTTCTTGGCAATGGCGTCGAACTGCTGGTTGCCCTTTTGGAAGTTTTTGGTTCGCGAGACGTAAACCAAAATGTGGCTGAACATGCGTACAGCATCAGCATACCGGCGGAGCATCATATAAGAGAAGCCGACGTAATAGTAGGTGTTCAGATGGGCGGCCATGACTCGCGCGAACATAGCTTTCTTGTTCATTTCGATATCATCCAGCGTCTTCAGCGCCAAGCTGAAGTCGCCGAGCAGGCAGTGCACCCTCAGCAGACCGATGATCGAGAAGTAGCCCAGCATGCGGTAGAGTGGTCGAGAGCCGTACTCGCCAGCGACGGAGTTCGGGTCTTCGTTCCGCTTTTGTGCGGCGAGTTGCTCGTTGATCTGGGAGCGTTGGATGAGCGAGTACAAAACATTCAATACTGAATAGCAGCCCCAGGTGTTTGGATTTTCTCGCAGAACTTGTGCCTCCTCTTCATTCGGTGCTGTCCGTGCAACACGGTTCCGGTATCTGCAGAACGATTCGAATTGGTAAATGAATTCGTCGATAACATCCCACGCCCAGTAGTAAGACGGTTGTTCAATATCCACAGGTCCATCTGAGTTCAGGATGTAGTGGAAAAGGCTGCAGTAATTGTCGTATGAGGCAAACTTGGTCTCTAAGGATGCCTGGTATTCGAGAGGTGCTGCCGCAGCCTCCAGCTGGGCTCGAATATCTGCTGGCCCACTGAGCGATTCGGTTCGTTCAATGTCCGCTCCATCGTTATATCTTATCTGTTCCTGATAGTCTTGGACGAGCTCCTCTTCGAGCTGATCGTCCTCGTCGATCCTGTTGCCATTCTGGTATGACATTTTGGCAGTTGTAGAACAAGGTCAGAATACAGTGGTAAGGGACCGGTCATGCGCAGTAAGATTCTGGGTCTGAAGAGGATTAGAAGAGGACGTAGAAGACCTCGTCGCGCACAGGACTCCAGCAGTTGGACAACCTGGAGATGCCTTGAGGACGATGATGCTCTGTGATCAACCGGTGTAAAAGTGCGGCGCACTCGAAATTTCGAAAATGTGGGGTTATGTGACTCTTGTACTCCGCCGTAGTCTCAGAGCCTCGTTCTGAGGCACGTGAGATGCGGCAATCTCCTTCTCAGCCTTGTCCATAGTGACATACCTAGCTCGCTAGTAGGTACTACAGATTACATACTACATACTACATACCACTCTGCGACTGACATTCAATCTCATTGTAACACATATTCACCTGTTGGCAATTCGACTATGGCGACCTCCTACGAGCCTTTCAATCAGACTTTCAAAGTCGCACTGATCCAGCTATACCCCAAGGTAACGCACTCCCCATTATGACTTCGGCTTCAACCTCGTTCGTAATACCTTTGGCAAATGGGCTATAATGGAGACCTACATCACTTTAGCACCAAAGGCGTATGAGGCGCATCATGAAATTCTACTGTCGCTGTTATCATTGACCGAGCCCCGCCCGATGCACCTTACAAGAATGCCCTATGCTTCCGACCAACTCCCCGGGGTGCTGAAGGCGGCACACATCCACCTCAGCCGCTGTTACCTGGACTCCCGCTGTTACCTGGACTCCCGAAACTTACTCTTTCCAAAATCGCAATACTAACACATATGTCCAGGCGCTCGACCCGGAACACAACTTCAACACAGCAGCAAATTACATCCGCGATGCCGCCGTCCAAGGCGCCTCCCTCGCCGTGCTGCCTGAGTACCACCTCACAGGCTGGGTTCCCGACGACCCCAAGTTCACCGACCTCGCCCAGACGGCCTACTCCTACGTCCCTCGCTACCAGGCTCTCGCTAGTGAATTGAAAATCAACATCGTCCCGGGTACAATTGTCACCGTCGACCCGAACCTCCCTCCTCCGGGCGCTAGCAACGGGACGACTCCAAACCCATCAAAACCGCCCTCTCTTCTCAACATTGCGCCCTTCATCTCCTACACTGGTGAACTTCTGGGAAGCTACACCAAAGCCAACCTCTGGCTCCCCGAACGCAGGGTGCTGACATCAGGTCCGGACTCAACACGCTCATCTCACCAATCACACGCCCCAGCGTCCAGCGAAGGTCCGCCCTCGACACCGCCAAATCCGCACTCGATCATAGAAACGCCCCTCGGTCCCGTCGGGATTGTGATATGCTGGGACCTCGCCTTTCCAGAGGCGTTCCGTGCGTTGGTCAGACAGGGTGCCAGGTTGATAGTACGTTATCCCTCCATTTTACCTGCTCTATTTCCCCACTCGGCGCAACTTGAACTCCTCGCCTGACCCTTGCGATCAATCCTTTCCCGCGGTGGTACATTCGGATGATAATGGTCTGACATTCCGAAGATAATCCCCACCTTCTGGACACGCGACGACTTGACTCCGGAAGCGCGCCGGTACGGGCCTGACGTCGACATCATGTTCCTCAAAAACGCCCTAGTAACACGGTCTTTCGAGAACACCTGTGCCATTATATTCTGCAACGTGGGTGGACCATCTGAGGAAGACTATGCTGGTCTATCTCGTGTGGTGCTTCCACTTGTCGGTCCGGTTCACGGCAGTTTCGAGGACAATGAGCCTGGGATGAAAATTGTCGAAGTCGATATGAAGACAGTAGATATTGCCGAGGAAAATTATAAGATCCGCGAAGACCTAGCGAATCCTTCCTGGCATTATGGTTACGAGATCGGGAAGTGAATATGTCAATAATTGAGGCTGACAATAACGTTATGTTCTGCATTGGTATCCGACGGGAATGCGGTCGCCGACATGACAAGGCAAGTTTGCCCTAGGCTAGTCCAATCGAAAGGAACATGACATGGTCAGTTTCGCAGAATTGAAAGAGCCACGACGATTAAACGAGGTAGTCTTTGAAATTCAGTTGTTTGAACATACAGTGTTTCAGCACTAGATGCACAGCTGGCAATGCTCGTTTGTCCTTCACGGTTGGCAGACCTGTCCTGTTTCCTCAGCGGACTGCACCCTATCCACTCACAATATTGTCCTCTTGTCATCTGCGACTGACGAGCCTGCACCGCAGAGGAAACGACTGAGAGAGACGCTAGCACCGACGGTCGTCATACAGATAAGACAGGCTCTTAATTGCACGTCAGCCTTCTGAGTCGTTAAACAGAGCTGCGAACCGATTTCTGAGTGTGATCGCACTTTTCTTGGCCCGGTCTGCTTCGTCATGATTGTCCTTTACCGGCCTAGGCCTTATTGGCTGCGCACATTCATCTGGGTAGAATTCAATGCGCACGCACTTGTACTTTCGTCGAGAGTGCATACAAGTTCTAGCTGTGAATGCGTGTGAGATACCGTTCAGCGAAATGAAGCAGTGATCATTCGAGAACCTGATGCTGACCACTTCGAGATTGTAAATATGGTCAAGGTCGTCGCGTATGGACTCAGCAGTCATGTAAGGCTTATGGAACCGAATGACAAGGTTGCGGGTGGCATCACAGGAGGCGATCCGACGTGCGAGACTGTCGCTAAGGTAGACCTGACGGTCGTTCCATGTGACAGACACCTGCTACTTGTCAGCCAGCTGTACTCAGCACAATTTGTGAAACCATCTAACCTTCTGTCCCTTCACGTAGATATCGTTCTCTTTAGCATGGTGCAAGAAGCTTTCGGCCGCAGCATGATCTAGAAAAGAGATGCGTAAATAACCATCTCCATGATACATCTGCAAGACGGCTCCACCGCGTACAACCTTTGTGAGGTCGAGAAGCGTTGTTGAAGAAGGCAACCCCGTCAGCAAAAGTGTGCGATGTTCATGACTAGTAGCATCCTGTACCTCCTCTTGGACAACTTCCAGTGCTTCCTGCTGAGCGTCGCCATCAGAGAGAGTCTCGGATCCGGGCGTGGGTGAGCGGGCAACGGGTGCGATGTCACTCCGTGGCTCTGGCCCGAATTCCTTGGGGGAAGGGGCCAAGTTGACAGTTTTTGTCTCCGAGGTCGTACTTAAAGTTTTCTCAGGTCTCCAGTTGCTAAGGACGCGCGAGGGGGGGAGGCTAGTGGCAGTGTTGGGACGCTTCTGGGGTGGGAAAGGTGAGAGATTGCTGTTGACTAGGACGTTGATGGTGTCCTCGTGAGCACCACCTGCAAGAAGGGCCTGGCGGAGTGACAAATACTCTCGTGTGGATTGTATCTGCGAAAATGTCATTGTTAGTTCGGAAGCACACAACGACGTTGTAACAACTTGCCAATGATTCATATTCACATAATGGGATTGTGACAACATCTCTACGGTTTGACTACAGTCTGGATCAGTCCACGGCACGAGGGACACAATATGTCGCTCCCTACCTCAACCGGACTGCGTAAATTGAGTCAGCTAGGGGGGTCCTTCAAGGTAGAAGGCCGCGCAGTCCGGACAACACTTACATGGGCAGACTATTGGTGAAGGTCATTTCTGATGCGTTTGTTGAAAGTACTGTCGTATTGACTGGGTGAGTGGGATAGACGAGTTGAGCGCGTTCGCAGGAAGCTTTTCAGGGTTGGGCCAGAAGCCGTCACCTCAGAAGCACCTGCCCGGTCATGTAGAAAGAGGTGCGGCATATCATTCTTTTGGCACTGAGCTCAACCTGAACTTGATCATAACATCCTCCCAGTCGGTAAGGCACTCTTGAAATGCTGGTTAGAGATCAGGCTTTGTGAAAATGTGTTCCTTTGTCAATTAGAGCTTTGCTGAAATTGTTCTCCATGCTCTTTCAAGACTTGCTCTGCCATTTCTATGCTTCCCTTGATAAGTCGCGCGCGTTCATGTGGATGAAGGTCAAGAAATTCTTGAAATTCCTGGTACCAAGTATCATCCTTCGCTGGACCCTTGCCGTCGTAGCCAACAACCATCTCTGCGATTATGGCCAAAGCCACACGGATCGACATGTCACCGCCATACCGTGTAGGGAGTTCCGCCTGGTTGAGTGGCTTGAAGATCGACTCAGGATCGTTTTTATCCGTTGCTAAGGCCAAACATTCCATCCTATCCTCTGAATGCCACCACTCTGGTAGGATAGCGGATCCTTCCACTAGGTCAAGAAACCGTTGAAAATCGTCGATTGCTGCCAAGGGTTCCATCGTTAGTATTATTTGAGGCACACATATCCGGGAGTGGAAGCATTCAAGACCTACCATCACCCTTTGCCCACACCAAGCCGTCGATGGGCTTTCCGGGATAGTATATTCCGTGGTCTTCGTCCCGCGACAGATGATCCGTTTCGACCCGAAGGCGGTAGGCATCGACGATCATTCGCAGCACTTGGTCACGTTCTAAGGACGATAGATACGTATTTGGGGTTCCTTTGCCCTGAACGAGATTGCAGAATGGCTTGTGTACGGGCCAGTTTGCTTTCTGACACCTAGAAGACGGTCAGTATGACTTTTCCATCATAAGCTTCGACTGCTTATCATACTCTTTGGAGCAATAATCAATCAACATACATCCATTACATCGTCTCAGGGGCTTTTGGAATCCCAGAGCTAGACAATTGGCACAAACCGAAAGCTTCTTGCCATGAAGGTATTCATGTTCGATTCGGCTGACGTAGGATACGCCACACATTGGAAACGTCTTCTTCGATGTGGTCATGATGATCTGTTTGCGCTTTAGAGCTTGATTGGTCTAATACTAGATGTTGTAGTTGTGACGCTGCGGAATATCGAGTGCTTTGAGACAATATGCGAGATCGTACGGAGTAGGTCGTCCGTTGCTTTGAATAAATTCCCGGCCTCTCCACCGTCGAGCCGTCCAACCTGCTTGGCGATCTCCTTTCGACCCAGCCTTATGCACCACGTCAACCCTTTGAGTCCGGAAACGCGTCTTCGTTACCTGTGATTTAGGTGAGTCTACGGGGAACTCTCAGTGGGATATAAGCTGGGATTGCCGATCAACAACTGCATAGCCCAAAACAAATACAATGCGAGGAATATACGAAAAAAGTACGAGTTCGATTCTGTACTACCACATGCATTATTGCTGTTGCTGTTGATCATCATATGACACTCTAGCAGTACATTAATGATGTTTTGACGACCGCTGGCTCGAAGATGGACCGAAGTCTGAGTATATCACGGACTTCTGTATCAAGTTGCAGCCACTGAGCCGAAGAAGGGCTGTATCCGATAGCTGTCGTAGCCAGATTCTCCCACTGCAGCTGTTCCTCAACCAGATATTTGCATCTGTGACCGGTCAGGGCGCCCCCTTGGAAAGCGCCGAGCTGTCAAACAGACATTGCAAACTTATCACTGTCGCAGGGAAGGGAGACTGGGAAGTATTGCACCGGCGGCTAGTCCTGGTGCGCGATCCCAAGGCCTGAAATTCCCGCGGCGTGACTATCATTGACTTCGCGAAGTCGGCATGTCTGGGCGCCACTCCTCGAAACAGCTCTTCAACCTTCCACTCTCATGTTGTTGAAGTGCACGATCCAAAAAGGGATAACTTTTCGCGGTCCAGCTTCAGAGCCAGATATCAGGCACATAATCCGCCGTCAACCGAGGGTCCTCGCCATATTGTGCTTGCCATTGCCCAAAACCACCCTGGAGCACACATATCTCTTGAGCAGGCTTCGTCTCTTCACCTTGCTCTAATTTCTGCTCTTTCGCCTCGTGACTCTGCTTGGCCCTCGCGTACCTCAAGGCGGCTCTAGGACCCCTCTGTTGGCTCAACATGCAGTGAAAGACAACTCTCTCTTTATCCTTGAGGGTCCTTACGAGTTCAGGTATTCGAGCGTCTAGCTGATCCATAGGTATCCATGTGCTACCTTTGATATTGCCGCCAAGGTGATCAGAGTCTCGGACATCGATTATAGCAATCTTTGGCTGCTCAACAGGGTCAAGGAGTAAAGGAGCCAGGACATGTCCTTGCAGCTCTGTGAGGGAGGAGAGGGTTATCGGCGCAGAGCCAGAGGCCATATTGCGGACCGAGACAAGAAATCGCTTGCGTACACTGGATGGCGGAGTGGTGAGATGCCTTCTACTTATAAGCAAAGAGCAAATGTACGGCCTTGTAACGCCTAGTATCATCGATTTACATATGAGAGTCTCCCAAAGAGTTTATGTCGAGATTGAGCTGCGATCCGCGCACTCGCATTTCAGGGCAAAATATATGTGCTCCGCATAAGCTCCCTCCTCATTGGTTGGGTCATTGGACCAGCTTAATTCAGATTTCCTGTTCGACAAGGACCTTTCGAGCTCATTTATTCAATCTACAACATCAACGCCTGGCTTGCTGCAAGACCACTGTCCGATCTGCCGCTGCGAGGAGTATTCAGCACTTTGGCCGGGCTGACTCCGCGATGGAAGCTCTACCAACCCTGCAACGATGCTTCACACTTTCGCGGCCAACTCGATGCGTCCTCTCTCCGTCGACTTCCACCTTTCGAGCCATTAGACCAACCCTCTCCCTCTCCTCACGGAGAAGAAGTTTCACGACCTCTTCTTGTTTCTCTGAAGAGCAGCCTCCCAAATCCTCACCGCCGCCGCCCAATTCCAACTCAATATGGCGTAACCTTGTCTCAGAGATGCGAACACTACCTCCGAAAGATGGTCAATCCGCCAGCCGCTCGATGCAGGCTTTGCGAGGCCAAAGATCGCGATCGCCGTCCCAGGCCCAGATATTAGAGAGCGTGAACGCGACTGTCATGGGAAGGCCCGTTGACCAGAACAAGATGGAGGAAGAGCTTAGGGGGGGCAGCGGGTCCTCGGTAGCCTTGCGATTGAAGCCCACTCTTGGACGCACTGTAGATAACGTGTTCGGCGAGCCCGCGAGAGGGTTTCGCACGCTCGAGCGGAAGTGCGCAGAGAATCGAGTCAGGGCGGACGCAAGAACTCAGGAGAAACATGTGCGGAAGGGTCAGCGGAGGAAGGACATCAGAGCGTTGAGGTGGAGGAAGCTGTTCAAAGAAGGGTTCATTGCCGAGTGCGACAGGGTCAGGAGGATGAGGAAGCAGGGTTGGTAGAAGTTCCGCATAGAATACAGCAGTCGCTAAATTACGGATGGAAAATGTACCATGGCGGAGGTTCAGTATTCTTCGAGGAGAGCAGTGTACAAAAGCGAAGCGATCAGGTACGTAGATCTGTCTTATGATCATGAAGGCATCGTGAATGCGTTCATCTTGGCCAGTACCTACGTGGCTGGTGGAAAGGTCATCTCGACCATGGTCCTCCTACCTGAAGGCGTCTTCGATTCGAGCGGCATACACGCTGCTCACCTCCACAAACCCTGCTGGAACACGTCAATGCTGTGGTCAATTTGACTGGAAATGGACCTGTCGACTGAGAAACTGTTGTCTTTGACTGCATGGCCCTATGAGCGAGCTACTCTGGTTGACTGAATCATTTCCAGCTCATGCTCCGTGTTCCAATACCTGCAGCTGGCAATTCGAATGAAGCGCGATGGCCTCTTCCTATCCAATGCTCTCACATTTCGCAACGCCTGTCTGTCCTATCCACACAAAAGCCAGGAAGAAATCTCATGTCGATGTGCGTTCTCTCCGGGACGATTCTGCATCTCATACTTTGTTGGTGTCGTTGGTGCAAGCTATCCGTGTGTTCGGCCAAATTTCGAAACCCCCTTAGATTGTTCTTTTAATATGGCTTCCTCGCCAACCTCGCAATCTTGACCAGGTCAACGGGTAGATCGAGCTCGCCTCTGATCCTGGCGTTGCTGATCTCCTTCTCCACAGCCATTTTCTTGGCCTTCACGTCCTCGTCGTCTGGAGTTCTGTCGAGCGAATATTTCAGGACGTGCAACTGCGCAGCACTGGTCGGCAGAGCAGCTGTTTGAGTATCGTACCAGCCGAGGAAATCGATGAGCTCTGGGTCGACAACCGACGTCTTGCCAGCGATTGAGGCTTTGCAGTCTTGAACGACGCAGAAAGCGCGGAATCCCGTAACAGCATCACCCTTCTCAGCAGAGTTACGCAAGCTGACAATGCATTTGTGGCAGTAAAGGTGCAGGCAGCTGAGGACACGGACGTCACGTCGAAGTTGTTGGCATTTGGAACATTTGATGTCCTTGGCGATGCTCTTGCCGTGTTGGTGAAGTCTCTGAAGCTTCTGCATGAACTCTACGAACGCAGGCGCCATGACTGCAGAGTGGTCAGTAATATGTCTATGCATTGATATGGTTCTGCTCACTGGGTTCTTTGGTTATCTTGTGTCTCTTGACCGTCTTGACAGGTGTCCCCCCTCTTTCAATTGGGCTTGGGCTCGGTTCGCGCGCAACCGCGGATGGTGCTGGTCTCTTTTTGGGCAGAGTGGTAGTCAGGCTCTCGAGGAGACCCGGATAGCTTTTATCAAGGCGGGACATCATCGATTTCGTAGCTGATCCAGCGACCTTTGTTGCGGCGCCATTGCCGTTGCTTGGAGTAGGTGGACTGATGCCGGGCTGAATCGCGGAAGAGGTAGGTGCAAACATGTTCGCAGGGCCGTATGTCTTGTTTGGAGTATACGTTGGCGGTGCGTACATGTTAGGGCTGACTTGAGTCAGGGTAGATTGATGGCTGAAACTGTCCTCAGACTTGATGCTTGGGGAGCGGTATGGGACGAGAGGCTTTAGAGGCGCGACCGTCCGACTGTTGGCAGGTTTGTCGACGGAAATCTCGTGGAGGGAGGAAGACGATCTGGCGGAGACAGACGGGGCATCGACAACGGAGGGTACCGCAATGTCGTCGTCGTCGTCGTTGTCATTGCGTTGCTGAACCCGAATAGCGATGGGCTCGAAGATTTGAGATAGATCGCCTGCCAACTCAGTCATGAGCGCAGCCGCCATCTTGTTGTGGTGGTCAACCGACCCACGACCATTGGCGATGGCGTGGACGGCGATTCTCAACGCGACATCGTACTGGGACCGAGCGCAGAGACCGCCGACCAGGTCGTCATTGTTGAGAACGCTGTTGCGGAAGGTCAACTGTTGCCCAGCGTTCTGCTCAGAACTCAGGACTCTGTCGAGCTCCTTCATCTTCTGTCGGATGTTGGTGATGTTTTCAGAAATCTTCTTCTGAAGGGATTGAAGCTGATCTTCAAGATCAGTCCTCTTGAGTTTAAGGGACTGTCCCTCTCTATCGAGGGTGATTAGCTGTTGGCGGAGGCTGTTGGTGGTTGATTGAGGTTCGAGTGACCTCGAAGGGGATGACATCCTGACCCAGGATTGAATGTGAAGTCAACAAACAGGAAAACACGCTAACGAGGGCGGTGGAAGGGACGGTTGTCGGTGAGGCGGTCAAGTGAGTGAAAGATATTCAAATCATCGAAGGACAGGACGGTTGCCCGAGATGGTGATTCACTGCACATTGTGTTTCTGCCGGACCTCGCTTTCAGATACCGACATGGAGATTTTGTGAATGACACCCCTTTTCTACAGTGTCTTTCCAGGCGGTCTCTTTGTGCAAAGTCATGATAGGAGTGTGAGTATGGCATGCGCTCTGCGGCGCCTTGTCGTCATCAAGGACCATCTGGTTTCTGTGACCAGGATGGCATTGTCGACAACTACGACTGAAGAACCAGATATTGACCCGGGAATCACTCCACCACGCTACAGTGTACATGGCTGTTTCCATGGCAGGACTCCGACCATCCAACTATTTACATAGCTCTGAGGTGGTTGTTGGTATCAACTCTACAAGCAGGTTTCTCATCTCGGTGAGACGGAAGGAAGGGGTGGAAACGGAAGTAGTCTATAGTCCATACACCTCGATATGCATGACGTCCGTGCCGTATTGGACAATAGGATGTAAATTGTAGTCAAGGGGCTATACATATAGCCTGCATAAGCACGAACGGACACCACTTACATTCTTCTCCGCCTGACTCACCGGGTTGAAGACCGTATAACTTGGCTCCCAGCCCTGAGCATTGTTGTTCAAGTCCCAGTCAATCAGGGTTTCTGCGAATTATCGCTCGCCACGTCGGTAATCGATCAGTACATTGCAGTAGAGATAGCTTGACACATTCATCCGCAGCCTATTGTGCAATGTATGCCTCATGCTTGATTTGGCGCATTCCTGTGTCGACGAACGGGACGCCAAGCGTGCCCCGTTCCCAGCGATCGTAGCCCTCCTGGTCGTCTTCCCAGTGAACGAAGTCGAACTTGAGATTCTGCGGCAAGCTCATCGCCGTGTGCGGAGTCGTCAAGGTGCTCTGCCGGTATAATTCGCGGAACACGATCTCGCGTACCCAAGATGCTATGCCGTAGCTAGATCCAGACTGGGAGAAATCGGACCCCTTGTTAACTCTGCGCACTGCAGAAAGCGTTTCGCGGACAGACAGTACTCTCGCGGCAAAGTAGGCGGACAAACGTGAAGTCGAGTCCTGCGCTGGATTGGAGCGCGTGGCCGCGTAGCCCCCTATCTTATCTGTGAGGAAGTGTTTCAAACGCTGGACTGCGGCGCCGTGGCCTGCGGGCCAGAGCGAGCGGATGCGCTTGCGCTCCGACTCGTCGGCGAACTGTTTCTCCTTGGGTGGAGTGGGCGGTTTGCTGTCGCATAGCTGATGCAGCGTCTTTGTGGCATCAGCGGAGTTTCTGGACGGCGCAGGCACAGTGCCGAGAAGCCTGGGGTTATATTTCACTTCGGCTAGCCAGGCTCGGTGGTAGGGCGTGAACACTTTCATTGGCTTGCCATTTTCTGTAAGCATGGTGTCTGGTTCCATGACTGTCTGGTCGTGATGTAGAGAGACGTGAAAGGACCTGTGGGCGTCAGCGGTGGCCTCTTGCAAGACTCTAGTGTCACAACGGAGCTCATCGACTTCGTATTCGTAGTTGGCGAAGAACGTGGGAGATATCATTCTCGCGGATGAAATTGACGATCGAGGGAACGATGTCGCTGCGTTCGCCAGCCTGAAGGAAGATGAGTGGGATGTCTAACTCATTGAGCTCGGACTGCATCAGACTGAGGTTCTCGCAGATAAAGTCCGTCCTAGCTGGTGAGGTTCCGTGCCACCTGAATTCGGCCGGGCAGTTCAAATACGCGCATAGTAAGGGTGCGTTGAATTCTTGTGCGAAGCTGGATGCTGCGTGCAAGGCGCGATTGTCGTGGATGCGGAGGTCCTTGCTGCGGAACCAATGCAGTACTCTCCTTGTGTCTTTCGAATCTTCCTGTTGGTGTAAGAGGGTGGTGAGTTCTTCATATGGGATATGGGAATCGATCTCCTTTGCCAGTTTTGTTTTTGGATGTATGGTCTCAGGGTGATCTGGAACGTGCCTTTTGGACATCTTGATCCGAGATTGATGTTGAATTGGTAGGGTGCTCTTCAGGCGCTGAAGATGCAAGTGTTTCACGGCAAGGCTGAGGGTACTACCTTTAAAGAGAAATCGAGGAGCTGGAAATTGGAACTCTGGTACAACGTATACGGAGGAAAACAAGGCAGATACTGACATTCCGTCATTTTAGTACTCACGGTGTTATAGTACCAGATATGTACACGGGCCAGGTCGAGTTAAGACATGGTTTCTGACTGCGTTGAACCTCGCAATGTACTTTGGGAAGACGATCTTAAAGTCGTCACGCAAGGGAAGATCTGAAGCAGCTGCCTCCTGCCAAGGCGCAGCCTGAGAGGGTCTCGAGTGAAAGCATTCCTCTCGAAAAGTTGCTCTTAGCCGTATCCACGATGCGGATGGGCCTGGGGATCGCTGGTAGGCACAGGAGAGAAGTGAAGCCTGGAATGGTCGTGTCTAGACCTTGAACAGCTAAGTGGCCCATTCTGACACCTCAGCCTTACCGATTGTTTGCCTGTCTCACATCTGTGTAGTAGCCTAGTGGATTGGGTGGTGGAGGCCCGAGGCTCGTTTGACTCAGCAGCATGAAACAATTAGGTTTGCGTGGGGTTCATTGCTGGTACATATCTTGCTTGCACACCTGTGAATTGATGGGAGGATATTTGGACAACAGGTCGTAGTCAAGTTCGAGAGCGTCGAGGCGTCAAGCAATTGGTATTTCTAGATAGTGGTGTGGTGACATGAGTGTCGGCAAACTCATACCTGCATGCTGCAAGAAGTTGATTCTCCTTGGCTGGGCCTCGCTGATCGAAGGTTGATCAAGTTGCTGGACATCTTATCCGAGAACGCCTGATGGTGAGTTGGCTGGATCACAAGCCATGCGTCAGTGCTGAACTCTCCCAACAGAATGGGGCCTCGAGTGAATTAGTAAAATGGTTAAGAGATCAGTGAGAGCCAGACCGCTGGGAACAACGGGGCGACTTCTGGAAAGAATGGATCAAAAAGATTCCGGTCGACAGGCTCGCCTACTACGTACAGGGTTACGACTTACTTGGCGGCCTCCGGGCGAGAGACCCATTCCAAGCGGCGACCCTATCAGCGATGAAAAGGCTAGTTTCCTGCCTCGGATGTCGACCGCTTCGACCTTGGGATGAACTCGTATCGAAATTGGGGTGACAGGAACATGATGCATCGTCGATGTTGCCAAGAAAGCCGCGCTCGTCAGTGCTCTGAGTGTTTCCGAGTTTCGGTGAGAAGTCGAAGGCAAACTTTCGCAACATGGTCAACCTCTGACTTCGGAGATTTGATGAACCATTCCAGTCCAAAATAGATGAAGCGCTGGGAAAGCTGCCACTCACAAGGTGCTCCGCAGATCCCTTATTGGTCCAACGCCAGCCAAAGGCACATGTTTGATTGTGTGCGGTGGCATGATTACTCGTATAAGTTAAAACCATCCTGGCGGAAGCCGCTCCGGACTACAATTATTAGGGCTTCTCAGCGTGGGATGGTATTGGGCTACTGCACTTGGGCCACCTCGTACCGCAAGCTGTAGAGCAAATAGGGGCGTGGAGTGAATTGGGTGGTGGCTCGCAACGTCGTTATGCTTGGATGTCTCTGTGATGCCGCGGAACAGTGCCGAGTTTCCGGGCGTCCGAGACTGAAATTGCTGAACCAACTGTATTGGTCAAGGTTCGCGACCGATGACGTTGATAACGGGTTTGAGCGCTTTGATTTGGTCATCCTTTGTTCACTATTGTGCCAGTTGAGGAGGACCAAGAAGAGCTGCATATCGACTATTGATTCGGAGGCGGCGGCAGGTGTTTGTTTGCTACGTTGAACACAACTCGGCCTCCCCTGGCGTTCAATCCAGAAAAATCAGAGGCATGGGAACGATTGATATTAATCTTCCTAGTCAGACTCGTGTTCGCGATGTCATGGGCGGGTCCGTCTGAAGGCGACCCGAACAGTGCCTTGCAGTTTGTACGCCGCAAACACGTGGATGGCGGAGTAAGTGTAGAGAAATTATTGTGGATATGTCGTTCTGTACCTTCGTGTTTCAATTGACGCCTGTCTAAATCTTGAGGTATCAGACACAGCAATAATGAATAGAGCCCTGATAAAACTTGGCTGGGAAGCAGTTCATTGGCAACCGGGAAAAGGTTGGCGGACATGGGGCTTACGAAGCCGCAGGATTAGCTAGGAAGCAGATCTTTGCCTTCCACTGCTGACCTAGAGTAAAGGAGCAACCAATCTTCCCTCTCTCGAATCGAAACCTGCGTCTCGGAAGATAAAGGAGAACAATATGCTCCAAATGTGCTTCCCCTGCCACCTTCCGGACAATGGTAGCTGACCACCCATTTGCTTATCCCTCGTGCGCGTGAACTGGACAAATCAGCGAGCGATTAGAGCCAGCTCATAAGTCTTCCAAGTGGTAGAAGACTACAGTGTTTGTCATGATCCCAGTCCACCGGTAAACATTTGGCGAGACTTGCAGCGAGACTCATTGTTCCCCGTTAGCGTGGCAAACAAGACTGAGTGACCTCGTGCCTATGCGGAACACTCGGTCGGCTGGCTTGCTTGCTCGGCTCTGATGTGTGCTGTTCGCATTGCCGGTCAGCGCCGGAGCACAAGATATGTGTGCCAAGTCGAGCCTCGTGTGTTCGCTCGTGCAATGGCAACTTCTGCTCAACTCAAAAGGCTGAGATCAACGTGATACTCCTTCAATTCTCCTGTCACATGGCTGACTTTGAGAAGGACATAACAGGATTAGTTTCAGTTCGGTTCGAGGTTGACGTGCTGCAAAAATACTCCCGTTGGCCTTGTTTGGTCAACCAGGACACACTAGTTCATGGAGAGGAAACTGAAAAGTCAAAGTAGCAGGTTGATCGGCTCGAGCTCGGCAAATCATACGTGCCCGAGCTGCTGAACGGCAAGGAGGAATGGCCTTAGTTTCGGGCACGTAAGAAATTTCAAACCACGGCTCTTTCCAGTGTCAGAGTCACGTCGCATCCAGAGTTGCAACGGAAATTTTTCACGAAGCAGACAGGGAGAATGGCAATGTCAATCCGAAGGCGGCGGTATTGCTGCTTTTGGCCAGCTTAGCTGTCATTTTCATGACTCCTTGTAGCAACCGAAATGACGGACGGGTCACTGGCTCTCTGGGGTTTTCGCTCTGCGGCAGTGGTCTTTGCATCGACGACATGTCTAGCTCGTCTTTAATTCAAGATCGTGACTTCTACCGACTTGGATCGGATAGATGAAGTACCTATGAATTGATATAGCTGCATTACTCGGAGATCCTTTGCGATGGGAGCGTGGACAGGCTGTGCGTGGCAGCCTTGGGCTTGCACTGAACCGCCCGGACAAGGCTCAGGAGGGTCCAAAGACTGCCGGATGTCTTGCTGAGCGGGGCCACCCTGCAGGCCACACCTTATGCCGTTATTCGGTAATTGCGAGCTTCGTCGTGTCACCTGTATGAAGGCCTCAGAATTCCCGTCGCATTCCTTAGCAGTACTAATACCAGCGTCCTTTCTTGACCTCTACTAATAGTATTACTATGCGAGGATTTGTTCAGGAAAAGTAATACATGGACAACGGCATGGCATGATCGTTTGTTTCTTCTGGGCTCTTTTTTACCGAGCTTAGCTCCAAGCTCTTTGTGTGGTTTCAGAGCCTGGTCCTTGCTGTCTCTTCCCTGCGTGCGCTCGAGGCTGTTTTCCTCGGCACCTAGTCTTCTTTCGGGGTTAAAGGCGTTCCGCGGCTTCTCACTGATTGCGCGCGTCCGTAACGAGTAGCCCCTGTTTCGCTGGCGGGACGCGCCATTCTTTCTGAAAAGGCAAGCGCAACAGTCCCGGTATCAACAAAGGCATATCCCACGCGAACCATGGGTGGTAATCATCGTCTAAAACAAGATCAGATATCTCAACAATACAATAAGTATCACGAGTATGATGGGGATGCCATGTCTTGCTCCTTATTGGAGTAAGCCCGTGTCTGACCGGAAGTTACCTTGTTCTTATGCACAGATACAATGTCGACATCTCATAACAATTTTTTGACTTTGCGATTTGCTGTCGTTGGCTCCGAGTCCGACCACCGGCCGGCCTTCCGTCCATCTAATCATCAAGTCATGTTGCAGAGATTTTTTCAGTTGACTGCACTTGCCGTCATGACAAGCCCTAAATCCCTGGAAGCCTGGAAGCTACCACGCATTCCTTTCATGACGGCTTGCATTAAACGTTCATCTGTTTGTAGAGTTGTAGTTGCTACTTGGGGTCTCGTCGAGGGCTGCCGATAGTTCTGCTGTTGTCAAGCTCGATCGTCGACCTCGCCAAAATCCATCACCGGTAATATCAATATCCACACAATAACGGAAAAGGAGGGTCGCCATGCATTGCCGGTGGGAGCTGAGCTTTGGACAAGTGGTTGCGTAGGTGTTTGGATTTGGGCAGGGTACGTGTGCATCGTTTGCCCCCTGGCAGCGCCACCCAACGCCCTCCCGATCGACAGATGGTGGGTGTGGATGCAGGCTTAGCGACAAGGGTGGGCACCTTTAGCGGATTCCCACCGTCACAGCGGCCGAGCTTTGACTGTCACCTTCTAAACTCTTGCCTTGCCTCTTTGCCTGCCTTGCCTGGCGCCGTGCTTTTCTCGTCTTTCCTGCCTGAATCATCCCTCATCAGCGACTGACACACCTATGAACCGCTACTCGCTCTTCAATTCCCCGATTCAAATCTCTTTCTCTCTCTTCGAAAGAAAAGGTTTTTGCATCTCATCAAAATTCTCTTTCTCCCTTTTCCTCTTTGCATCGCACTCTCCGAACCCGTCAACAGGATCGTAAAGTCCCTTTTCCACCAGTCTTTGGCAGATCAACCCCGTCAGTATTTTACCCATCTATTTTCCGGGCGGCAGCATCAGCATCAGCATCACGCACTGCGCGCAGCCCACACGCACAGCAGCCCACCCACCGTCAACCCCCAACCCGAAAACCCTACCCAAGAGAAAAACCTTCCCACCTTCCGCGCCAGACCCAGCAAGCCTCCCTGACGCACCTGCCGAGTGTCTGACAAGCTAGAGCAAAGGACCCAGTCAGTGACCCTCATCTATACTCATGCTTTCTGCCTTCACGCGTTGCAAAAATTTCCACACAGCGACCTTCCCATTCCGCACACATCCACCCCCCTCTTCGCCTCCTCCACTCTCTTGCAAACTACCCTGGCAAAAGCCTTCCTCTTCACCTTCAGCCTCACCTGCGCCTGTCGCGTGTCTTGATACATCCATCACAACTTCCTTGCTCCGCTAGGCTGTTTACTGACTTGTGGCTTCGTTGCCGTACCCTGCAGACACGAGTGTTCTCTTCGTTACCTCACTTTGAGAAAATTTTAATCCGTCCTGTCCTTACTGAAGACATTCATCACAACACCTCCTAACCGTCGAGCTGTTCCTCGACGTTCGAAATCTATCCTACACGAACAAGCCCGATCCTTTTCGTTTGTCGCTTCTCTTGATCGTCCGATGGTCGGTTGAATCCAGCGACTCCACGAACAGATTTATTTTCAGGTGATGGACCCTCGGCAATCATTATCAAGGACAACGTCGTCCGGTGTTGGAACACCGCAGAACACGTACAATCCCAATAGTATGGCGTCAGCTTATGCCATGCCTCAGTATCCGAACAACACGCATCTTCCACCGATCAACTACTCGCAACTTCCACCTGCAGGTCAAAACTACATGCCTCAACAATACCGCAACGAGTTGCCTCGCTACACCTCTGCCCCAGCAAACGCACCTGTCCCGTCACCAACTCCTGACAATCGTTACAACTCGCAGATGAACCCCCAGGGTTCCATGGGCGGCTTGCCACCGACTTCCATGTTGCCATCTCCTCACCAACAACCTCAGCAGCAGCCACCCCAGCAGCAGCAACAACAACAACAATCACACCAGGCTTATCATCAGCAACCACCACCTCGCCAGAGCTACCCGCAACCTCTGGCTCCTGCACCGCCTCGACCGAACATCGATTCGATTGCTCAAGGCTACCCCCATCCCGATAACCGCCAGCAACCGTGGTCCGGCGCCGAGTCGATGCCGGGCATGACAACAGATGTCGGTCGCGACCCAACAAGAACACACGTTGTGGGCTCGCAAGGAAGAAGAGGCATTCTGCCCAGTGCACCCGGCCGACCACCGGTCATGCCCAATGGAGTTAATGGTTCACCAAAAAGCAATGCTGTCCCTCAGAAAGACGCAGATGGAAAATTCCCGTGTCCCAACTGTACCAAGACCTATCTTCACGCAAAGCACCTGAAGCGGCACATGCTGAGGCGTAGGTGGTGCCTTTTTTACGTGCCGGACTAAGCTAACATTCTGTCCAGACACCGGTGATCGACCATACATGTGTGTTCTGTGCAACGATACGTTTTCCCGAAGTGACATTCTGAAGCGCCACTTTCAGAAATGCTCTGTCCGTCGTGGTAACCCGACTGGAGCAAGTCATTTGTCCAACCCTGCCGCTCATCTCAAGAAGTCTCAGCAAGCTGCTGCAAAGGCTGCTGCTGCCGCCGGTAATTCACCAGCAAATGCATCTACTCCTACCAGCGGAGTGATGAATAATCCTCCCTACACCACTGCTACAATGCCTAGCACGTCCGCACCGACAACAACCGCTCCTGCTCCTGGAATGGCCTATGGCATGTCCTCCAATGGTCAGGGCGATATGCAGCGTCAGGGACAGATGCAACCTGGTTCCGCACCAGGTGGTATGGATCCTAATGGGAACACCTCGTGGTCGATGCATGACGCTCGAAACAGCCAAATGATGTATCAGACTTCCACGCCTCCCACTCATTACGGCATGCAGCCCGGCGGAGGGGATGACAAGCGCAACGTTATGCCTGGTGCTCATCACATTGGAGATGAGTGGAACCACATGTTCCACCCCAGTGGTAACGAGGGCTACATGAACCCCATGTTTGGCGGATATGACCAGTCACAGGGTGAAGTGAAAAAAGATTATGAGTCTCATGAAGGTGGATCGAATGGTTACTACATTCCTTCTACGAGCCTTGGAGCTGACGGTACGCTTGGACCCCCTCTCTGGAACCTGCATGCATCTCGGCAAGACTTGTTGCAAGCCAAGGTGAACGCCTTATTAACGTTTGTTTTCCCTGGTGGAATACAGGAATCGCTCCAAGAGCAACAAAATAACCTCTCAATCCAATCCTGCCTAACCGTCGACGCCATCCAACATTATCTCGATCTTTTTCCGAATTTCCAAGGTCATTTCCCATGGCTGCATGTATCGACCTTCGATTTCCTGAACTCTTACGACGGCCTCGTCCTCGTCATTATCTGCAGTGGAGCAGTATATTCTGACCGTACTTCGCAAAATCAGGTACGAGCATTGATGCAACGTGTGAAGCAAGGCATCGAACGAACGTCAAAAATCCTCCAGAATTTGGAGCTGGGCATACCACAGTCACAATTCTCACCGTCGGGCATCGAATTCCAAGAGCTACAAGCGCTGACAATCCTGCAAGGCTTGTTTGTCTGGCATGGCGGCCCTGAAGACAGAGCACTTGCACGTGCTGAAAGTAAAAGAATCATGTACCTGGTCAGACAATTCGATATGTTGACCCTGGCTGGCCCAAACGATACTGTCGGCTACAGCTATCTCCACAGTCTTCAACCTGGTGAAGAAGCTGATCCTTCCCGGTGGGATTGGCGTTCATGGGTGGAACAAGAAAAGCGATCCCGGTTGATGTTCATGGTCTTCTTGTGGGACGCCGCCATGTGCATATATTTCAATGTTGCCCCACAATTCTCTTCGGCTGAGATCAAATTGCCCCTTCCCTGTGACGATGCTGCCTGGGAAGCTCAGGATGCTGAGACTTGTGCGCAGGCTCTAGGCCTTCGAGGTCAAGTTGCACAGTCGCGGCTCAATGTCACTGGCTCGCACCGGTTAAAACAATTGGAGATGCACCATGCGATGAGTGCCTTGCATAGTACGTCAGTACTCATGCACCCACGGACTACCAACATCTATTCCAAGTTCATTCTGATTCACGCATTACACGCCGAGATTTGGCAAGTCCAACGCCAACGTTCATTCATCAATCCTACGGGGTCCCCTGGTGCTGGTGAGGATTCGGCCATGGACCAGTTTATGAGCATGTACAATTCTATCGATCTGGCTCTTGCTCGATGGAAGCATTCTTGGGATGAGGATCTGGCGTTACAATATCCTCCGAATGATGGATATCACCAATTTCCTAAACGCGCTGGCTTTTGTCGAGATGGCGTCCATTTCTACTGGCTTGCTCGTGCTTTTCTTCAACCTGATCGAGCTCACGATTGGCAATTACCTGCGGACGCTCGCTTGCAGCAGACGCTACATGGACTGAAAAAAGCCCGCGACTGGAGCCGAAGCGATGGTGCTCAGAGAGGTGAAGAGCCCGGCAGTGTCGCATGCATTGACGACAACTACGCGCTAGCGAGCCCGGTACTAGACATGCGAAAATTGTTTCGTCCATTGCGCATGGTCTCTGATGATTCGCTGGCGTCTTCTCAAGATCTCTGAGATGGCTTCTAAACGTGCTCATTCGAGGTTGGAATTCATCCCGCCGGGGCATCATCTTATGGTTCTCCATGCCAGGGTCTTCCAACATCGATTAACGAATACCATACGAACTCCTTGGCGGTATTGTCATGTTTGCTTTTCAGAAGCTCTGCATTAGACGGGTGGGCGGTATGAAATCAAAGAGCTGAACTTCAGTCTTTGTGATCAGAGCGTTTTCCAACTTTCGCCCATTTTTGCGTAGCAACGGCGCATGGATATGCATTTCCTGGACGGAGACAAATGGAGTCCTTGAGCGAACTTTTGTGCATTTTCTTCTTGTCCAGTTGGCTCATGCCCGATGTCAGGCGGTCAGACTCATTCAATGCGACAGTGGCGAGGGTGCTCAATCTCGCCATTTGTGCATTCTTTGCAGCACTGAATGGAGCTCTCTTTACGGTGGGCGGCAACCATGGATATGGGACATGGGGATTCCGGGAAGATCGAGATGGTGTCGGTTGGGTCGCGACGATTGAGGTTATTATGCTAATTGTGTCATTTTCTGCTTGCATGGGGTTCGTTCCGGTTGAAGCCTGTAGCTTTTATCACAGGCCATCGTGGACGCCACCCGTGCATCTGTTTGCATTGCGTTGATAAACGGGGCTACTGAACGGGCATACTTTCGTTCAATTGGGTCGGAAAACGTCGACCTTCCTGGACAATGGCTAAGGCCAGGCAGAGCTGGAATTGTTGCTGTTAGGGTCATGGGAGTTTGCTGCTTTTTCACGATCAAATCAACTGCCATCACAAGAGACTGGGCTAGTGGTTGGCTGGATGCAATCGTTGTCAATTCTCTCTCGACCTCCGCCTGCGATTGCTTTCTTATTAAAGCATACCACAAAAACTTGATTACTTTCAGATAGATAGACGCAAAAAGTGCAATGCAAAGAATACGGCTTTCAGAAACCCTATTGACGGTCCTCGGACCATGTTTCTTTCGTTTCGTCTCTCGCGACCGCCTTGTCTGAAGTAAAGCATAAAGCTGCCACGGATGTTTTGCGAGAGTACAATCGAGTACAATCCACCATATGTTCACGCCATGCCAGTCAATATCACAGTACACCGTGCTACTCGTATGAGTGGCGCCTCGTCGATCCCACCGAGCCCACGTCGAGAACTGGGCTCCAACTTCTCGGCCCACTTCTGAAGCATCCACTTCCCGCTGTACATAGCTTTTAGCGAGAGATGTTACGCGTCCCAGAATAAGGCTTTCGTCTAGAACTTCCGCGTAGTTTCAGCGACCACGTTGCCATTTTGAGGCAAAAGTTTCCAGCAGTGCAATGCACCGATGGCACTCCATGCAGGGGTTATCCGAGAAGGGCTAAACAGTGGCCGTAATGAAACACTAGTCTCGAGCAAACCGGTGCCGGCATCGAGTCAACCCTCCGGTGCTCAGTCGTAAGCTCAAGTATTGCGTGTCCAAGGGCCAACACCCAGCAACCACGGCGTATGCTTGTTTTAGCGCTGATAGAGCGGTAGTTGGGGGCTGAGACGGGACCGGTAACAGTTCTTTGTGGGGGGCAAACGCGGAAGTCTCGCACGCCACTTTCGCTTGTGCTCGCGTGGATCATACTCGAGAGGGTGTGTGTTTCAGGCTTTCTGCGTTGACAAGCAATCGCTGCCGAAGGCGGAGTCTCGCTTGCGGCCAGTGTCCCAGGACCCTTATGCGAGTCATTCGGCTTCAGATTGTTTCAGTCAGGTAGTGAAACAGGGACACCCGAGCAGTGACCTATCTGGTATGACCTAGGCTCGCCAAGAGCCCCGAGGATCACGGGTAGTCGAAGCGGCATGTCCAGCAGAACAAACAACTCGTCGCGGCCGTCCACGCATGACGGATGGAAATCTGACTGCTACCCTCTCCAAACACTGTCGGACCTGGGGCCTGCCTGTGTGAGGCTGAAATAACCGGTGCTCGCGAGGTTGACCTGAAACTCTTTGAATTTTCGAGCTTGCGCCCTTTTCTCAAACAGTATGTCCAGCTCCATGTACGTCAAGCCGAAGGGCTCTGGGAGTCGAAACCAGCACCAGATGAGGCAGATCAGTGTCGTGCCCGCAAAGAGGAAGGACGATTTGCCTTTCCAGTCCCAGGCCGAGGGGTTTAGCATTCGTGGCGTGATGATGTTCGTGATTATGCTTGTGATATTGTATGCCACGCGGGCTAGCACGACAGTCTTGACGCGCAACCGAGTCGATGGAATCTCTGCGACCAGGACGTAACATACAGGTCCGACTGTGAAGTCGTAGACGAATGTAAGGACTATAAGCATTGAGCCCAGTGTCCAAGAGATGCTGTCCTTCTCAGGTAGTGTGCCGACGATGCCGGTTGCAATCAGGATGACGAGAGAGAGGCCAAGTCCTCCGAGATATAATGCTCGTCTGCCTATCTTGCGCATCCCGACCCATGATAATATACCCGCGCAAATGGCCCCAGCGTACATACCAACGGCGAGGTTGAAGCTGTTGGCAGTGTCAAAGCCTGCTTGTTCGTAGAAGTAAGCAGCGTACCCGGTCATGGAACTGCCACAGAGTGCTTGCGTGCACCATACCATGCAACAGATTTCAGTCCGTCGAAGATCGGTGCCCTTGAAGCAGTCGAGATAGGAGACGCCACCACCATTAAGGTACTTCTCGACTTCGTTGGTGTGTTGCATCATGGCAATCGTCTCGTCGGCATTGAAGTCCGGGTCCGCTCCTTTAGTAGTAAGTCGCAATAAGGCTTTCTTTGCCTCGCTGATCTTTTCATGCCTCACACACCACCATGGGCTTTCGGGCGTGTACAGAACGAGGCAGAGAATTGGCACTGCGAAGGCCCACCTGTGATTTGCAGGCTGCGCATCAGTGCGTGAACCCACGGGATACAAGAATTCGTGCAACACTTACTGAAGGCCAAATGGAATTCGATAAGACCATTCTGAAGTGTTGTGCACAAGACCTCGAATGACCGAAACGCCAAGTATTTGACCAATGAGCCAGCACAGATTGACATTGCTTGTTAGATACGCCCTGAGAGCGACCGGCATGACTTCCGCAGCGTATGTTGTCGATAGTGTCTGAGTAGAACGAATTAGCTCGAAAGAGGTCCAAGCAGTGGGCACCACGGACCTGAAAGACGCCCCAGGGCAGACCGCACAGAATTTGAGCAGCGAGCAACATCCTGATGTTGACCGCGAAGAAGGCAAGAAAAACGAACAGAGACATCCAGACCAAAGTCAATACCATCGTTTTATGATATCCCCATCTGTCAGTCAGGAAGCCGTTGAACATCAACCCAAAAATCTCGCCAACAAGAGCTGCGTTAGTGAGGCCAGATTGCCACGCTGGTGATATCTGATAATCAAGTTCGCTCCTCGAAGCGCTGGGGTTTATTGGAGTGCCATAAGACCGCCGAAAGACCGGGAAAGCATAGAAGCTGTTGATCAAGGTCTTGTCATAGCCTTCCATGACGATCGTCATACTCAGAAGAACGGACCACATCATTGCCTTGGGATATAACCGACATCCTCGAAGGAAAGTCATGGCATGTTCGGCTTTTGTGGCTGCTCGGGCCTCGACTGACAATCGGCGCAGACCTGGGATGGCCCGCGACAAACCGAAAAAGAGATCGTCATTGGATCTGGTGATATGGATTTGATTTTCAGAAGCATGTTTATCGAGGTCCTGGTTCGCTTGCACCCTCAGAGGCTGTAAGCGATGCGAGGCTGGGTTTGCGACTGTGATAAACTCCAGAAATTCGGAGGGATGGACTTTGTCGTTCGATGACCTGGCTTGCTCCGAGGAGTCAGGATCGCGGACACTCCTGCTTGCATCACTCATTGCTGCTGAGGAGGAAATCGTTAAGGGAGGTCATGACTCAGGCAAGCGCATCTTAGGGCATACAGGGCCTTGCAGAACAGGAGCTAAGTTCGCAAAGGGATGCGGCTGACACGAACACCCAATTGTAATAGGCAAAGGAGAACTCAAAGCGAAGGACACGTTGGAAGAGGGAACGGAGGTGAACGCGGGAATATGAGTTTTGAGAACCTCGAGCTCTCCCATGGCGTAGGTTGAGCTGGCCTGGCTAGTACTCAAGAAGTGCAACGATTCGCGGTCGATTTGTAGACCGCAGCCGAGAGTAAGGCCGAGCCAAGAACCACAGAAGCCTCAAGTGGGTGGCAGCAAAAGGGTTGATTGGCAACTGAAAGCTGCTGGAGGCGAAGCGAAGGTCGAGTGGTCTTGTTGAACCAGAAATGGGAACACCAAGCCGTTGGAGTTGCCCATCCCCGCAAATTGTCTAAACCCAACCAGGTCTGGTCTCGCTGATACTCGACCATGGGATGACAAGCTGTTGGTCAAGATAAGCGAGGTGGATGGGAGCTGACTTTCCCACCGTAATGGTTTGAAGAGGTGGTGGTCGTGCTCCAGGACTTCATGAAGACACCAAATTTCGTTTACGCCGGATTTCCAGCTCCTCCCATACAACGCACTCTCCTCTGCTCGGTCACACAACAGTGTGATCATCACCGATGTTCGTCTCGCCCTGACCCGAGCTTACCGTGTCGTAGGCAGCGTGGAAGACACGTCCAGATCTCGCGGTCGCCTTGGAAAGACGCCTGCACTAGCACTGCGGACTGCTCAGGGACGAGTCTTGAAAAGCATACCGATCTTGTGCTGGGTGTCGGTAGAGACTAGCTGCGGAGCACTAGCGACTCCAGGAACTTCCTTCGGCTTGCAGCATGCAATGTCATCTTCTTTTTGAGAGCTGGGGAGGGAGCTGGTGACGTAAATATTGGTCGTTCAATGGCCTGAAAGCAGTGCACAACAGAGAGCGTTGGATCCCATTCCTAGTACCCGTGTGAATCACTTCGGACAAATCCGACTCGATGCAGCTCTTTAGTAATGAATTGAAGGAGCACAGCGTAGCACCATTAGGGAGAACTCGTTCACTGTTGCTTGTTATCACATCAAACACCCAAAGTCCCCGCTCATACATCGCCAGGAGCCTTACCTGCTGTGAGAATGTTGGCAGAAGAAAATCCACGAGGGCGACGCGCCTTGTGTTCACGCGGCAGGTTTGCCGACGCGTCGCGTAAAGTGCTTGCATTACACCGAAAGTGCTGGTAAATTCATTGAACTACACTTTACAGACGTCAAAGTCTTACTGTGAGCAAGTGCTCTTGTTTGGCCTACCGACAAATCTAGACATACGATTGTCGGACATGGAAGACTTCGACCCTTCACCTCGAGCATCGAAGCGGCGCCGGACTGGGACTTATGCCACGCGACGCACGACCTTAGACACTCTCGATTCAATAATACCCGCAGGCCAAAGCAGCGATAAGGACACCCCGGCAGATAAAGAGTCCAAGACTGCTGGAAACGGCGTTGATCATGCTGAAGCCGGCCTCGCCGAGCAAGCCACCGATACTCCTGAAACTGGGGAGACAATATCTCGACGAAGCAGCACCCGAAGACGGAAACCAAGTGCTCGAGTGGCAGAGGCGGAGCAAGATGTTACACCTATCGCTGCGCAAAAGCTTAAAAGGAAAGATATGAATACAGGAAAGGGGGGTGCGGGACGTGGTTCTACAAAACTTGCGAGCAAAGAGGGTGCAACCCGCGAAGGACAGGATGATCAGGATGACGCTGAACCACAACCACGCTCGAGTGGGCGTACACGAAAAGTGCCTCGACGATTCTCACCTGATGTACACCCGCGAAGCCATGGTCAAGTGGGGAAGGAACCTGCGCAAAAGACGGCGGAAAAGATAAAGCTGCGTGAGCCTACAGGCGAGGACCTGGCCAGTGCTGCGCAAGCTCCTCGTCCAAAAGGTATCCTGACACCTTCCCGGCATGGTCGTGAGAAAAGCAGTGGTCCTCGGAAATCAGTCGTTTTCGATGCCAACGAGCTACAGATCGAAGAGAAGCTCGGCTTCAAAGACATTGATAATTCGAGCAACCTTAAAGATACCAAAAATTCAAGACGGGCGCCGAAGAGCGCTGTACCAAATCAAAGCGAGATCTCAACCCGCCATAAGAACGTCGCAGCTGGAGGGGAGCCTCTATTAGACGACATCGACGATGACAGTGACGAGCCCGACCTGGAAATTGCTCCCAATGTGGATGAGATCCTTTCTTTAACCACCAATACTACGACATATGTAAATGGTGACAGGCAATCACCAATCTACGAGCAGGAAGACGAGCATATTACCAAGATCAAGGTCGAAATCCTCGGCCGTATGACAAATCGAACAATCTCGCCTATATCACACCTCCGGTCTCAATACAGCACACTCCACTCCTTACTCTCCGCAACGATAGCAGCTGGCGAGTCCAACTCCCTTCTCCTCCTCGGCTCACGAGGCAGTGGCAAATCGCTGCTTATCTCTCATGCTCTGTCCGACCTAACCAGATCTTATGGCGACGACTTCCACGTTGTTCGACTGAATGGCTTCTTCCAGACGGACGACAAGGTTGCACTGCGCGAGATTTGGCGCCAATTAGGCCGCGAGATGGCCGTGTCCGAGGACGAGACCGGCGAGATATCCAGCTATGCGGACACCATGGCAAGTCTGCTCAGCCTCCTGTCTCATCCAGAGGAACTCCCCGAGCCGGACGCGAATGCGATGCTTCTCGACACCCCGGAGAACAGGGCGGCGAAAAGTGTTATATTCATCATGGACGAGTTCGATTTGTTTACCACGCATCCTCGGCAGACGTTGTTGTACAATCTCTTTGACATTGCACAGGCGAAGAAAGCGCCCATCGCGGTGATCGGCTGCTCGACGCGGATGGATGTTGTGGATTGCCTGGAGAAAAGGGTCAAAAGCCGCTTCAGCCATCGCTGGTTGCATGTGCCTTGCGCGAAGACCTTGCCTGCATTCGAAGAGACCATTGCGAGCATATTGCTCATGCCGGTTGATGTGAAGGAGGCGCTCGGTGTGGGCAAAAACGAGCTCGAGTGGAGCGAGAAGTGGAATGGAGCCGTCAAGGTACGTCTACAACTATTGTCATTCGAAGGATGATTGTACTCACTGTTGATGTCTCGCAGACTCAGTTACTCCCTTCAACAATGGTCCAAACGCTGCTGAAGAAGACCTTTTACAGCACAAAGTCTATTCCAGATGTGCTTGCGGCACTGTACAATCCCATCGCTGAGCTCTTCCTCTCCTCTGACAGCGACAACAATCAGCAAAACGCGGCGCCAGCTACTCTTCCCCTGTCTCTGTCACCGATGTCTGCTCCTTCACTCCTGAGCCTTCTCCCACAGCTGCCAACCCTTCATCTTTCGCTGCTCATAGCCGCCGCTCGTCTAGAAACGATCCACAACTTCATGGCCGTCAATGTCGCCCTTGCATACAGCCACTACGTCGAGCTGCTCACTCGTGCCAAGCTCCAACGCTCGTCGATGTCGTCGCTGACAAATGGGGGTGCTCTGATAGGCGCAGGTCTGCGCCAGTGGAGCAAGAGCACGGCGAAGGGGGCCTGGGAGGAACTTGCGCAGTGGGAAGTTATTGTACCTGCTTCTGGGGTCGGCGTGGGTGCTACAGGGAAGGTGAGCGACGAATGGCTAAGTGGCGACGGTGTAGGAACGAGAATGTTCAAAGTCGATGTGACGCTTGATGAGATGGCATGGGTTGTCAAGGAGAAGCTGGGTGGTATAGGTGCCGGGGAGCTGCTGGTAAAATGGTGCAATGATGTCTAGTGTCAGTAATAGTAGATGTTGATCATGAACATTGCTCGAAGATCTTAGTCTTTCCACCTTAAGAGACTCAGTGACCTGCTGTTGATGGAGGACACTGTACTTGATGAGCCCGTGTAGTCGTAGATGTTGATGTGCCTGTGATACTGCCTTGTGGGCTAGTGCTTTTTGTGCGTTGTCACTGGGGCGGGCGTTCAGATAGAACAGGCGTGGGCCTCGTCAGACGTGGCCACCTTCATGCACTCATATATGTGCATATTAGTTCCTTGTTTGTGGAACTGTGTCACCCATAGATGGTAAATCTAATCCAGTAGGCTTCTCAATAAGCTCCAGCGCTTGCAGTAAAGCATCAGACATAAGATACAATACCGATGCTGTCCATCCAAAGTAAGTCGATCAGGGTTATACCTATTCACTTACCGCATTGCAGGGGTTCTCTGCTGCAAATGGTCACATGCACATATGATGAAGACTTTGCCACTCGAGGATGAGCCTTGAGCAAGGAAAGTGCAAACACGACCCTGATTTGAGAATGAAGTATTCCACATGTGACACGTGCTGCAATGCGGTCTGGTGGTACAAAAAGCCGAGTGAGCATGAGAGCATGGAATTGTCTTGGACAGAGAAGTTCAAACAGTAGCAGGTTTGCGACTGATTCCAGCTTATTGGCCTCCAGGGCGTTGCGCAGCTGCTGGAAAAGGAGAAGCGCAAGAAACGGCACGAACCATGGTGCTGTTGATAAAGGAAGCTGCATGCATTAGTATGCCTTCCCCAGACCCGGTGTGACGACGCGACGCTCCTTGGTCGGCAAAGTCAACGCTTGACATTGGCGTAAATTTGTCTTCTGTCCACTTAGGATGCCCGTTTTTGTTGTAGGCCGGGCGTCGGTGTGTTTGTCCTTGGGAGCAACTTTTCAGCAGATCACAAGTTGCCTTCCTTGAAATAACAATGAGCAAAGATTGGCTGGTACGCACACCCCGGGGTCGTTTGTGTCACCAGCTCTTCCACTTTACGTGCGGAGGTATCCTCCTTCAAACCACTCCTATGCTCTTGTTTAGCGCGAATGACCTTCTGTGGACGAATGCATGCAATCCCTGATCGATGCTTCATATGCCATTCAGCGTTTTGACAAGCGCTTCCCACTAACATGGCGCAGGGAACAGAGGGTTTTGTAACGATGCCCAAACGCGGATGACCGTTAATACGAAGGGTTTAATCGTTATTGGGCCTCGTGACTGCGATGACCTGCAGGACTCATGCACGTCAGGGATGGGGTTTGCCATGGCAATCAGGTTGAAAGCGACACGTTCAAGGCCTCGATTGGTAGTGTGTGGGTTAGTTATCGTGTGATCTGCTAGAGTATCAGTCTCATCATTGATTTCACCAGTAGGAATGGGATGTTCTCATTGCAGCAGCGTCCGTTTCCGGTACCTATGTCGTACTCGAGAATACGAACTGACCCGTTGTGCCCGTTTTGCAGCAGCAAACGATAGTCTGACGCTGGTAGTGCTGAGGAGGAATTGGTCCCAGGAAAGCAGGGAGATCGGTCGCAGGTGGAAAGCCTGTCCCGAATGGCGCTTGAGAGGCGTGCTGGGAACCAAAGCCATTTAAGGTGGACTGCGATTGTGCGAGCTCCTTGGGCCTCCGAGGCCACCAGATGGGTTCTGCAAAAAGAGACTTCCGGTTGCCTTGGGGGAGGACGGACTTGACGGGCCTGTGGCCAGGATGCAGAGACGACGAGCAGCGTGCCCCAGCCGTCGGTTGCATGGACGCCTTGACACCTGACACTTGACATGCGCTTCATCGGTCGCTCCCTTCCGGTCCGAGTCCCCCGTAATCCACATCATGTCTCCCTAAGTTACCTGGTAGTTAACCCACGGTGCCCACTGCAGCACTTAGCCTCGCAACTCTATTCTGTCCACGTCTGTCCTCCTCTTCATCTCTTCCGTCCGTCGCCTCTGCTTCTTCTTCTCCTATTTCTCTCCATAATCGCCTGCTTCCCATGCTCTCCTTTACCACGACGCCGACTCCGGATCCTAGCGTCAGCTCTGGCTGTCCGATCTGGTTGTCCGATCTGTAGAGTCGGACGCCGGCAGCCTCAATGTCAATACGATTCAAGCCTGGTCCGCTTTGGCGCCGTGCCACCACGTCACAAACCCCTTCCTGATCACAAAACCATGATGAATGGTTCTTGTCGGACGCAAGAGACTCAGCATGGCCGCCTAGTCCCTCTGTCTCCCTATTCAAGTGAATCAGCTTCGTGGCCGATTGTCAATTTGACACACCCTGGCCGCGCGACCGAGACAGCGCAAAACTGACCAGAAGACTTCTTGGCATAACCCTCGCGTTTGCTTGATATAACTCGAACCGAGCCATGGAATCATTGTCTTTACGATATTGCTGATTCTCAGCTTGTTGTTGCGCAGTCCTGGGCTGGCCATCGTCTCACAAGGACGTGGTTTCTCCTGAACACGCGACGAAGAGACGCAATGGTGTCGACGCAGGTCAAGAGCGCTACAACAAGACCAGGCATTGTTTCCCAAGTTTTGAGCATGTTCATGCGATGCCACTGTTCATCTTCAGCACTGGAAGCGCTCTTCATGGAGATTTGTCCATGTGGCCGAGACGCTCATGTGACCACAGAGCCGCATGCCCACCATCGCCCCTGGCTTACTCGGCATTGTGAGCGAACCCACACTGAGTCTCTCGGCCAGCTGTGCCCGGAGGCGTCATAAGGGTTAGGGTTACTTACCTATCGACCTCCAGCAACGCTACTGCGCTGCACGCTAGGTACCGAGGGGATCTGATGAGTGCCAGGTTGAGAGCACATGCAGTCCAAAATGTCTTTCAGGACGTCTCGTTTTCACGCAACAGGGGTCTCCATGCAAAGGTCTTGTTTCATTCCGAGCCCGCGACCAATCCTGAAGACATGCTGGGTTGCTAGGTCGATTTGCGGCACTTGAATCGGTCCCATAGTCGGTCTGACTCGCCAAACTGACCCTCAGGTTCGCCGTTCTAACGGGCCGCTCATGCGTTCAGCCAGCATTGATAGGCATGAAATGCATCCATTGCAGACAGATGTGCAGCAACTGTGTAAGGGATATGCAATGAGCGGCGTCTGAAATGGGGATGGCGGCTTAGAGTTCGATTTGCTTAGCTGACGGAAAGGCCCCAGCAGCCAGCCATAAGAACCGAGCTCCCCTCGTCCAGAGTCGTGGACTCGCCTCATTCTAAATTTCCCTGTGGAAATTGGTACAAATCTACCATTGTCTTTTGAATCAACCCGATATCGATCTTCTATGGTCGGAGCAAGTGCATTGCAAAGGTTGAGCTAAAGACAACATCTGCAAGCATGGACAACTGGTTTCGACCAATGGCTACAGGTTTGTGCAACCAGATCTATGCACGACACCATCGACGCTCCCACTTGAGTCGTACAAGCTAAACATTGCTGACCATCTACCGTAGCAACTGAGAGCCCGAGACTCGGCAAGGTTCTGTTCAACCATGATGATGGTAATACCCCGGACTCTACTGCTGGTAAGACTTATGGGACCTCTTCTCCCAGATTGCTTGAACCTAACATGAGACTAGGACGTCGTATAAGACAGGTAGACAAGCCGGCTAGTCACCAGGACGAATACAACGAGAATCTGCCGACATCTTATCGGCCCCTGGTCAGCGATAAATTCATGGGAAAAGGCAAACCTCCAGCACGGCCACCTCCAGCACAGCCACCACCTAATTCCGAGGAACTTCCAAGAGGCAAACCTCCAGCAAACCCTCCAGCAAAACCTCCAGCGAAACCTCCAGCGAAACCTCCAGCAAACCCTCCAGCAAAACCTCCAGCAAAACCTCCAGCACGGCCACCACCTAAGCCCGAGGAACCTCGACCAATCCCTGGCGTCTCGTGAACGCGAGGGCGATGCCAGTTCTCAGGATGCTGCAGGATGCTGGAAGATGCGAGACTATGGACGTCTTGATCTGGCGAGGCTTACAGATCAGGGCAGCAAATTGCTATGAGATGACGGTTGGAAGCACGGACTACAACCCTACATTCTGGGAGATGGTACATTCCTTTGATCTTAGGACGAACTGTAGCTCTCTGATGATTTATCGACTCATAATCGAGAAGTTCGTCAACACTGAAGGTTCTTGATGTGCTGTGTTCGCTAATCTTGAATGGGATGACTAACACTCTCGCGTTGGGTATCAACCCCCCAGGAACAACGAACCAAGGGCCCGAGCCATCACGTCGGTAGTGATATTTCTCGTGACCATACTAGAGTCATCCCTGATTGATGAAGAGCTGTGTTCAGGAATCGGATGAGGCATCGAACCAGCGGAGGGCTCCCAGACTAGCTCTAGCTGAAGTGGCACCGTTGCCAGATGGGAGTGACACGAACCACAACCCCCGACAACTTTCTCGACCTAGGGCCAAGCGGACAGCGCTAGCTGTCTCGGAGCATGGGATTTGTGATGAGCCAAAGCCAACTTTTGGATCGATAAGTCGTGTTTCCACGCGAGGTCACCTCCATTCTCCATTGGAGAACGGATGTGCTCATCAACGCTCCATCATAGCGACAACCCCCGGCGGGAGGTTATGTCCCTGCATGTCGATTCTCAGCCTGCCTCTTGCGGTAAGCATGAGTACCACGATCGGGCCAGTGCCTAGCGTCCGTAGAGTTCGACGAGTTTGCCCGCCAATCGCCCTTGCCTTGAGGTTGAGGCTAATGCGACTGGAGGGGGATCATGGACGATTGGACGCTTTTCAGCTCTACCTTGAATGAGGGTGACTGATCGTCCACGTAGCTGGCCGGGCAGAATGGAAGACGATTTTACAGGCAGGAGACGGATGTCTGAGCCGGATTGAACAACCACAGACTGGAGACGTCTTCCTGATGACCGGGTGAGGGCGGTTGTAGCACCAAGGAGCATGTGCCACGAGGGCCAGCAACGACACCCATAATGAGCAAGCACTAGCCAGCACTGGCAAGCAAGCTCGTATGAGTCGAGAATATGCGAGCATACAAGTGGGCGCCTCGACATTGCTAGGTAGAACATCGACCCTCGACCTTTTTCTCGGAAGCTGCCCAAAGAGGATGATCCAAATGCACTCAAGAGGTATGAAGAGAGGTACGTGGCATGTCGATGGTACAGCTGGTGACGAGGAGTGATCCGTGCAGAGACATGGGTGTCAGCATGCAACTACGGTGATACGCAGCAGGTGAACTTTGACTTGGAAATTCCCATGTCTGCAGCCTGCTCGGGCTAGAGGCCCTTTCCCTGGGCCTACCAGTCTACCCGCCTACCTGACTTAGAACTACTGGTGTTGAGCGTAGTGAGCCTGTAAATCGCCGCTTGATTCTCCCCTTGACTCTCGCTGCCTCATTTTCTTCATCCGCATATTTGCAAGATCATTCTGTTTTCTTCTCACCACCCTCGCTTCAAGTTCTTTCCAGCCTCGTCACTTTCGCGGTCACTTCGGGCAATGGTTTCTTTGGCGTGCCATGTTTGGTCAAAGATTCGCTTCCGCCTTCAGCCACCTCGTATGCGTGACAGGCCGCTGTCCTCACCGTCTGTCTACCCGCCGTTGACAATTCTTGCCCAATGTCATCCAAGTTACACGACAGCAAGGCACGAGCTCCACAATACGCCCTGACGTTTCCATCCTCCCTTCCTGCCGGATGTCCCAAGCAATTCTTTCTCAAATTCATCTTCTCTTCGGTTCCAAAGATGTGCCTTGCCCCCTGCTTTACCCCTCATCCATCGTGAACTGCCACTGGCCCTCCTACTAGTGCTGCATGATGCATGCACTTCTGGTTCAATCAGCAGAGACGTCGAACAGGTCAGATAGATCACCAGCGTCCCAAGTAATGGTTGCCAAAGCTCCTGCCCTGCCATTCTCCGACGTCGATTCATCTTCTCGGGCCCAGCCAACCACTCCCTTCCACGTTGGTCCTACCAGCGTTCAAGCACGCCTCGACTACTGATCGTACAGCCGGGCCTTGGGCAGGGCCGCCAGATAATCCCCCGCAAATCAGGGAGTGAGGAAAATGTTTTCTTGATGTATGCTGTGCTTTCTCCCCGACCAACGAATCCGGAGTACAATGGAATGGCTACATGGTTACCAACCACGCTTCTGACCCCGTTCCAACGCCCATAGCATTATCTACTGACATTGTCACAACCCAAAGCTCCCCAAACGGCCATAGCCGGTGTCACTGGCTCGCTCATACGACATGGTCAGCCCGAAGGCTCCATGTCATCCAAGAGAAGTATGGGAGTCATGGAAGGTTACCATTGCTCAGATGTACTTGAGAGAGAACAAGACGTGTGCCGAAATCCGAACACATCTACTTGGGCAGAGCTTCCATTGTAGCGAGAGACAGATCAAAAATCGGCTGAGCGAATGGAAATTCGAGTGCAAGAAAACGCCATCTCAGCATTATTTGGCTATGTTGGTCGTCGCAGACGCTTATCCGGCTGACGGATATGAAATCATGTTCGATGTACCAAAGCGCCATGATCGGGAGTTCTTCAGTCTCAAAAAGATCAAGAAGGAATGCGACAGAGTCAGAAAGAAGTGCCTCAAAGAGCGGGCTCGGTTCTTGCCACCTTCCCTCGAAGAGGCCCAACGGATATTGCAGGATGCCAACATCCGCGTAACTCGGGGGACAACTGGGACACAGCCTGTCTTCCAACCTTGTGTCTGCCACGAGGGAAATGACCCTTACTGCTACTGGGGGGATTGTTCTTCTGGAACTCGTCGTTCTTCGGTTGATGGTTGGGGACTCTCATTTGACGAAAACAGCTGGGCCTGCCAGGTCCCCGAACCAATTGCCCCATCTCCCACATACTGCAGCTCTCCCAGCATCATTTCCACTCACATGTATTCTCCGTCCCGTGTTAACACTCCATGCACGGGTTTTAGCGATGACAAGCTGCATGCTTCGTCGGTGCTTTCCAATGGGACAGAGGACACGGGCAACCTGTCCGTTCATAATACTTGCGAAAATATCAGCTACACTCCACCGCTGGACGACTCTGAACCTCTTTCGGATTCTGCGGAATTTTCCTGCACTGAGCTATCAACCGACCCTGGTCAAGTTGCGCCACTTGAAAGTGTCTATCATCCTAGGCCAAGATCTCTCTATGCTGCCTTGGTTCGGAAACCAAAGCTCTCGTCGCCATCAGCGTCTGTGTGCGAGGAAGAGCCTATGCGCGATTTTGACCTCTCCCAAGTTCTTGACACGAACGATAGCGAAGAAGGAAATGGCCATGTCGACATAGGTGGGCCTTGGAGGTGGAGGAAGGACAACAAGGACTTTCACATAATGAACGCCTGCAGATGGGCCGCGCCTTACTATTGGCAATGTTCCGGAGTCAGCGCGGATCCGACCACGCTGGAACTGAACAAACGCCAGTCCATGCACATCTTGCGGCAGAGCCTCCGGGAAGACAACAATCAGCTATACCCTTGCCTCGCTTGGGTGCTCTCAGTCCTCGGATCACAGAATCGGATGGCGGAGTTGAAAGACTTTATTTCCACCAGCTGTACTATCATCGATAACGACCCTGAGATGCAAAAGAGTTATACTTTTGCGGTGCCGTTTCACTATGCTTTTGCCTTCGCTACCTACGACTATACTCAAATGGATCATTGGGGTAAGGAGCTCCCGCGCGCTTACACGGAGGTTCGAAACAGGTGGGGTGAAAGGCATCCTAATTCTCTGGTCGTCGCACATTTCTACGCATGGCATGCACTTCACTCCCGCCAATTCGACGAAGCTATAACCCTGCTGAGACGTTGTCTCCCTATATGCGAGAAGGTCATGGGTAGTCACAACCTCGTGACTATCAATTGCTTAACGATCATGTCCCGTGCCTTGGAAAAGACCCAGAATATTCGCTGGGCGATAGCGTATCTCCAGAGCGCGCTGAATCGTTTCGTTGGCGAACGACCTGATCTGGAGAAGTTGCGCCTGATATTAGTACAGAGACTTGCGATGATCCAACTACGCCATACCGACGATCTGTATAGCGCTGAACAGAACCTTCTAGAGGTGCTTTGCTGTCGTGGCTTCCTAAGTGGCCTCGACAAGAAGGAAACGTGGTCCACCATTCATCAACTTGCCGAGCTCTTTTTTACGACTGGTAGGATGGAACAAGGTTATGCACTGATAGACTACTGTACCAAGCACCTAAATTGGCAACGCGACCAAGACCACAACTGGTACCATTTTCCGGCGGAGGAGTCACCAGATCCTCCTTGGTGGTGGCCGTTAGAAATATACGAGGCTACTGGGCTGATGACTTTTCATTTGTTTGATTGAAATCTATCACATCATGGGTCAACAGCATACCAAAAAACGTTACTTTCGGGTTGAATAGGTTGGGTCTTTGGGCGTCGGAGCAAAATGGTTAAAGATACATGGGCTGTTGCCCCTGCTGTTCTTTCGGTCTGAATTTGGAGGGCGCCGTAGATAAAACATGCGATAGTGCAGGGCTATGCCGAGAGAAAGCTCACACCCTGGTAAACAAATAGACTTGGGCTATGACCAGTTTCAATCAGAGTGAAAGCTGGAGATGATATGTGATTCAGACCGTCCTGGCTATTTCCTTCGTCTGCCAAATAATTTCGGCTTCCCGCCCACAAAGAAGAACGATAAAATCGCCGTGACGCCTGAAATACATGCGACAACAATATTCATGTTCCCGTACCCTATTGCGTCCTTCAGTCCACCGCTCAGAATCGGGCCTATGGTCAAACCAGCGCTGAAAACCAGCGAGTTGAACCCATATAACTGGGCGTAGGGGCCATTCTGGCCGAACAAGCCTGGATTGGCCTTGTCGTACTTTTGCACCACGTCGCTTGCCTCGACAATGCTGGGTGATCCGATAACAGCGAGCCCTATGCCGTTGAGGGCAAGTAAGCCACAGAATAGAATGATGTTCGATTTCACATTGGGCGTGATTTGTGCCGGTGGAAGGCGAAGTAGGACTAGCGTTGGGACGAGGAATCCAAACCCCAGTACCGAGGCAGGCTTCGTGCCGTATCTGTCGACGCACCACCCCGCGATCGGGCCAAGGAGGAGGAATGGGACGTCCAGCGCGATGAAAAGCAGGCCGGCCTGTAAAGAGTCAAAATTGAACAGGTCTTGTGCTTCCGTCGGGACCGTGGCGTCGAAGGTAGCTAGGAGGGCTGCCTGGACGAATGCGAGCAGGAGCGCGACGAGAAGTCGTGGATCGGAGAGACAGTACAGGATCGGCAGCATGCGGATCAGTCTGTTTTGGCCGTCGGGAATGGCGTAGTGCTGATTCACTTTCTTCGGCAACAGGTGGTCCTGTTCGCTGCCGGCTCTGGGACTCTCGGAATCTGAATTTGTCGAATTCACGTCTTCGTCGCCTTCGGCTTCGACGCTCGTGTTCTTGGATATCTGGAAGGATTTGTCATGCTGTGCGGCGACTTTCCTCTCAATCACCAGGAGTCGCAGGATGAAGTCAAGGCCAAGCAGGGCAGCTCCAAGGCCGAAGACCCCGGCGTAACCAGTCTTGCGGTACAAGACGCCTCCTAAAACCGGGGCCGCGAGTTCGCCAACAGATATGAATGAGAATATCTGGGCAGTCAGCCGAAAGGGCTTGGAAATGGAAGAGAGACTCACTGTTCCGATGACCTTTCCTAGGTTCTCAGGGCCAACGGTGTCAAGGACCATTGCCAGACCAACTGTCCAGACGACTGCAGCACTTGTACCTTGTAAAAGTCTGGCAATGACAAGCATGGGAATGTTTTTGCCGAAAGCGAGCATGAAAGTGGCAGCCAGGAGGGCGGCGAGGCCACATAAGAATGGTAGTTGGCGAGCATTTGTTCTGTCTGCGATGACGCCAATTGGTATTGAAAACTAAAATCCGTCAAGAGGATATCCAATTGTAAATCGGCTGCCACGGTGTGACCAGGAACCACGGTAGACTCACAATAATACTAGCACCTGCATACGCAGCCAGGAGACCAGAGACATATGATTGGATTTTCCCGTGAGGGATATGGACACGCTCTTTCAGCATGAACGGAAGTACAGGGACGACCAAGCCATAGAGAAAGAGGTCGGTGAACATGCCGACAGCCACGGTAGTGATGATGAAAGGAGTGGACGCACGCCATCGTAGGCCTTTGGGTACTGCTCTTTTGGAGAATATGATGTTCCGCATATACCGTGAGATGAGCGGAGCGGTACAGATATTCTTGCGACTACCGTGAGTAAGAATGATAAATTTCTAACATTGAAAGCCATCCAGACTGGAAGTGTCGGATGGAGTATGGTGTTGAACCCAAGTCGTACCTTCATGTTCACATGTGCAATGTCATATAGTGACGTCACAATCTCAAGCAGATTTTCACCGACATCGTCAAGATCCAAAATGCCTTTGCCTGGCAAAGGGGCCCTCCATCTCAGTTGATGGCATATAGAATTGACGGCATGTCGTGGCGTTACTTCAAGACGACCGATAAATGGCATCCGCCATCTTTGTGACCTGAACCATCTCACTAACATCGTGAATCCGGACGATTTCGGCGCCACCTTCAACGCTCGCGGTCACTGCAGCAGCTGTGCCGTAGCTCCGTTGCGATGCTTCTTGGACGCCGGTGATCTTGCCCACGAACCCCTTCCGGCTTGGTCCCACGAGCCAAGGGAAGTTTTTCAGGCTGACCGCATTTCCAGTGTCTTCCCGAAGCTCCTGTAATCGGCGAAGGAGTTCCAGGTTTTGCGGTTGATTCTTCGCGAAGCCCAACCCAGGGTCGAGTATGATGTGCCACGGTAAGATTCCCGCAACTGTGGCAGCCTTGACGCGCTCGCTGAGCTCCTTTGCTACACCTTTGACAACACCCTCGGGATAATCGGTGAGCTTGGTCATAGTGTGCGGATTGCCTCGCATGTGCATTAAAATGATGGTCTTCCCAAGTTCTGCCACCGTTGGAAGCATTCGGTGGTCCATAACACCCGCAGAAACATCGTTTATGATGTCCGCTCCTGCGAGAATGGCTTGACGAGCCACTCCAGAGTGGAAAGTGTCAATACTCAGGGCGACATTTTCAGCTTCTTCCATTCCTCTGATAGCTTGGACAATGGGGAGCACTCGGCTGAGCTCGTCTTCACAACTGAGAAGGTCTGCATTTGGGCGTGTGCTTTGCCCTCCAATGTCAATTATATCGACTCCAGCGGCAATGAAAGCTCTGACGGTTGCTTTGATCGTCTCCAAGTCCTTAGCACTGTGCACTCCCCCGTCTGAGAAAGAGTCAGGCGTGAGGTTAAGGATAGCCATGACGTGGGTCTTGCGGCTTCGGTCGTGAGGCCGGATCAGGGGCAGCCGGGAGTTGAGGACAGTCACAGGTGACATGGTGCTATCTTTTTCTGCAAGTGCATTCAAATGCTGATGCATCGTACGAGAGGTACTGGTAGGAGAAAAGCTTGCTGGAAGATGGTCATTTGGAAGAATGCTGGGGAGGTTAGTCTGGGATAATGTTCGCATGTGCGCACAGCAAAAGGAAGAATATAAGACTCACTCGGCAAGAGGCCGGAGCACAAATTCTCTTTCCAGCATCAATTTATGAGGCACCTCCAGACGAGGATGCTTGATGTGTTGCTGATTGTAGAGGATGATATCAAGATCAATTGTTCTCGGCCCTTTGTTGATGATTCTCTTCCGGCCAAGGTCATTCTCAATGCTCTGCAGCACATCCAGTAAGGGCAGAGGTTCAAGTGACGTCTCGACCTGGCAAACACCGTTCAAGAACGCATCCTGGTCATCATAGTACATAGGCCTGGTCTCATATAAGGAGCTAACTTTGATAACGTTAAGACCATGCGTCTTCATTCTGGTCAGAGCAGCCTCGATATTTGCAACACGATCACCCATGTTGCTCCCAAACGCTATCACTGCCTCGCCGAGTGATTTTGCAGGCGTGGTTGAACCATTCATTTTTGGCATTGAGAATCGTCGCCTGAATTGACTCACAGGAGAGTGAGGTTCGGCGCGAAGAATTTGTGATTTGCGAGCTAAATCCGTGTAGCAATTTCTCCGTAGAGTCGAGGCGCTCAGCCACCTTACGGGCAAGTCATGGTATGATCGAACGCGTGCCCATGAAAAAGAGGCAGCTGGACTTTGATGCGTCGAATGGAGCGCGGTCGATATGCAAGGAACTGGTCCTTTGGCGCGGCACGTGCTGCTGACGAGAGCCGTGCCGTTCATCAAGGAGCTGAGCTTATTTCAGGAACTGGATAGACCTGTTTAGCAATGGCTTGACCATTGACAGTTATTCAAAGGTCAATTAGCACTAATATCGACACCCAGGACGACACGGAACACTGGGTCCCAGACAGAATTTTTAGCGTTGTCAGGCTTGGACGATCCCAAAAGGGTATCGTTGCCGAACACTGGCATACAGCACTTGAGCAGCCCTACCGTGGCCTACAGTACCCTACGTACCTGAATTAACACGATACGTGGTGAGTACGGTGCGGACCTAGACTGAGCAGTTACTTCATGAACCTGAGTGAACCTTTGTGCAATGACCGTATATCGTGAAAGTATGTGTGGTGATCATCCAACGACCATATCATTGACACTCACATTGAACCAGTCGCATTCAGTTGCCTTCTCCTTCCCTTAAATATTGCCAACCCGGCGTCTTCGTTTCTTTCGGTAAATCCTCCTGCTGTCACACTCCGTCAAGGGTGTGGCCTTATGGTTATATCTCTCCTGCTCGGGGGGCTTGCTCGGCATTCGCAGTGCAAAGGCTTCCCTGCTGGCGATGGGCAAGCACTGCTTGGGATGCCGAATGAGTGGGAATAATTTCGTCCTTCTCGATCAAACGCCCAAATGCGTCCAGGAAGGCAGATGGTAAATCAGCAGCAGCAGCTTCAATTGAATAATTTGAGAACTGCCCAATGTGAGAAACTCATGGAAGAAAAATTGTTGCTACAGTATGACTGTCTGGCGATGACATTCCACTCGAGAACTCCAGCTGCACGGTGATTGCAGGGAATAAACTGTTCATGAGTCCGTTCCAAGCACATGAGGACGGTCCTCGTGCGAGATCTCGACCTGGATTCAGTGCAAATCAACGCAACCCCGGAAAAGCCAACATTTCGAAGGATTATTACCAAGCAGTTGGAGCGCGCAACCACAAGAGCAATCATCAATAGTTCGCCTTTACTTTTTGCTCGGCCCATCAGAAGTCTCTTTGTAAGCTCTCTACCTGTGACAGTTGGACTGAGGCAGTGGTCCACCTTCGCGTTGAAAAGCGCAATGCCGGGTCTTCCATACACGCGTAACCGGATTCGCATGTTGGCAACCCCAGATCCGCCAATCTGGGGCTGAATGGCATTGGACCATGTCGTCCATGTTTACCGGAGGCTCAGCCGGTCTCGGGGTGAATCAGTGTCTGACGAGTTGGTTGGCGGACAGTTCTGCAGTTTTCAGCGAGAAAACATGAGAAAGCCCTCTCGTCAGCCAGAATATTTTCTTCACTTTTGCCTCGGTACTTTGCTCGACTCTGCACACCACCTCTGCCCCAGCCGCTCCTTGTCTCTCTGCGGTCAGTCTCGCTGATTACTTTTTGCTGCTTCTCCCCTTCTCTTCTGCTCTTTGTTCTCTCTCCCATCTTCTTACACCTGTGTCTTCTTCTAACGGCTGCTTACTCTTTTGAGTCCTGCTCCAGCGACCCATCAACCACGAATATTTGCCTACTAACCGCGGCACGAACATCTATCCCTCGATCGATCAAATCCCAAAGGACTACCCAAGATGTCGTCTCCTCAGAAGCTCAGAACCACGGCCACCGATCTACTTAAGATCAAACACCCAGTCCTGCTTGCGGGCATGAATGTGGCCGCTGGTCCTAAGTTGGCCGCCGCAGTTACCAATGCTGGAGGTCTTGGTGTGATTGGCGGTGTAAGACGAGACGAAAAGAAGGATTTCGGATAATACTAATATGAGAAACAGGTCGGATATACTCCAGACATGCTGCGGGAACAAGTTGCTGAGTTGAAGGGATACCTGAATGACAAGAACGCTCCTTTTGGTGTCGACCTGCTCCTCCCTCAGGTTGGCGGCAGCGCAAGGAAGACAAAGTGAGAATAGAACCCTACAAGCGTCAAGGTGGCGACTGACTAGTGGCAAGTTACGACTATACCAAGGGCAAGCTGAATGAACTGATTGATATCATTATCGACTCTGGGGCGAAGCTCTTCGGTAAGCCGCCGTCGAACGAACTCCTCTCCGTGCTTAATACTCACCAACAAACTCTCTAGTCTCTGCCGTCGGTGTGCCTCCCAAAGAAGTCGTTGACAAACTGCACAGAAATGGAATACTATACATGGTGTGTTATGACTCGACCTGCATTTCTGATAGCAACTCGACGTGCTGACCTTCTCGGCTGTAGAACATGATCGGCCATGTCAAGCACGTGAAGAAGTGCCTCGACCTTGGAGCTGACCTCATATGCGCTCAGGGCGGCGAAGGTGGTGGCCATACTGTACGTATCACAGATTCCTCCAACATCGAAGTTTGATGCTAACAACGATGCAGGGCGACATCCCCACAAGCATCCTCATTCCCGCCGTCGCCAAAATCTGTGCAGAAGCACCACCATCCAAATTCACCGGCAAACCAGTCCAATTGGTCGCTGCTGGCGGTATGTTCAACGGCCAATCCCTCGCCAGCGCCTTGATGCTCGGTGCCTCCGCCGTGTGGGTCGGCACTCGTTTCGTCCTCTCTGAAGAGGCCGGTGCCCCCAAGGCTCACCAGGAAGCTGTCCGGACAGCAGGATTCGACGACAACGTCCGTACTATCATCTTTACTGGACGACCCCTGCGTGTCCGCAGCAACGACTACATCCGCAATTGGGAGGAGAACAGGCAGGCAGAGATCAAGACCCTGACTAATAAGGGCGTCATTCCAGTGCGTATTCCCTGAGAAACCATGATGAACCACCTGATTGACAATGTATAGGTCGAGCACGACTTTGAAGAGAAGGGCGACGACCTGACAGATGAGGACATGGAAAATGCCCGCCCCTTCCTGATGGGCAAGGCGGCTGCCGTGGTTAATGAGAGGAAATCCGCTCGCGAGATTGTGGATGAGTTCGTTAACGATGCCGTCAAGTGCTTGCAGACCGGCAACTCCCTCATTGTTTCGCAGAGTAGGCTATAGTCATGTCATTTGGCGAGCGGCAATAGCGGTGTGCATGTTAGCTATATAGCTGGGTGCAATTGAGATGGACTGCGATACTTGAGCCTACAAATTCGTTCTGGTGCTGCTTCGGCAATTCCGCTGGCTAGCAGCTCTGCTCTCTTCTTCGCGCCATCATGCGCTATTCGTCGCCTGAGTTACTCGGCGCCTACTTCTGCTCTACTCCCGAGAGCTATTGATCGATCAGTAAAACATATCTCCTCGTGACACCGGCGAGCAGATTGTGAGACTCATATTGCAGAAGCAGCTTTCCTGTTACGATTGATCTTTTCTAGCTTCTGTCGGATCCAAGTTTTTGCCGTCGGAGATCTTCAAAGATGCCTTTTCTGCATCACTTCAACGCAGCTTGACGTTTTGAACAAGCAATTATCCAGTATGTGAATCCCTTTCCAACGTACAATGATCTCTCCCTTCGGTCTCCAACATCCGCGGTCCTCGTGGACAACGTGACACCGCCACACACAGTGAGTTTCAGGCTAGGGTGGTTCGCAGCAAGTTCATGCCTGCCAACTTTAATCTTGTGCTTGACGTCTTCTGTACGACTTTCAAACATATTCAGCCTTGACGTTGCCGTACTCTACTCCCTTGTACCACAACGAGTATTGGGTATGAGCGGAGAAGAATTTGACCTTGATTTGGAATGAAAGGACGTAGTAATCCAGTCCGTCCATGCCTTTGTCGATCGGAATGATGGATCTGGCGATGGGAGACAGGTTGGCTTCAAGGAGTACCAGCTTTTTCATCGCTGTGAACGGTCAGCGCAGGTTCAGAAACATTCAAACACCGAAACTTGCCGCTGTTGGAGTACAAGGGTGGCTCGTCCTCACTGGAAGGGGCGAAGGAAAACAGCTCTGTCGAATGGTAGCTGAGCGGTCCGCTCGAGACACGCTTTGTCGTGTAATAATTCAAGGTAAGCGGCATATCTTGATCGATTTCATCTCCCTGTAATTGTGGTCAGAGATGAACTATCCAACCGGAAACAAGCTGACCTGTTTGACAAACCAGTCCATGATAGTGATATGATATCGACCACTGTATTCATCGAAATGCCTATCTACAGTCAGTTCTCATTCAGCCGAAGGCCTCTAATACGCACTTTCTTGAGGTATCATGCAAGTGAGCATTGAAAGGACGGCGGACGCGGATTCCATAGGCTTTCCGAGCTACACGCAGCGCAAGCTGGATTCGGCACGTGTCTGGGGCATCTTCATTGAGAGCTCGCTTCAAGGCACCACGAACAACAGCAGTCCATCCGTGAGCAGGTTGCAAGACTTCCACGTTTCCCACCACTCTTTGGATATTCTTCCGCAGATAGGGTGACTGTCCGAAGCCTCCAACAAGGATCACCGCCTTGGCTTGCTTTGTATGTTTGAGCTGGTTCTTGACAAGCATGGTAATGGTGCTCATGACAGGCTCGAACAAGGCTTGCATCTTTTCGTTGGTGATAGTCAACTTGCCGCGTTTGACACCTCTTGCGGGATCGTCGGCTAGGCCTGTGACACGAATGATGACATTCCCATCGCCAGTGAACTTGCGTTTGGCATTGTTTTCGAAATCCTTGAGAGCTTCTTCCAAGGTATCGTCACCATAGCCTTCGCTATCACCGAATTCATTTTCGAGATATTGTCGAAAAATACGATTCAAGAAGGTACTGCCACATGCTTCTCCAGAACCAGCTACAGCTTCTCGGATCTGGACTTTCGGATCGAGACTGACGACAGAATAAGATATGAGATCAACCGTGCCGCCTCCCGCATCGCAAAGCACGAAGGTATCACCGGGTTTGAGATTGTGTGGATCAAGGGCATCAAGTGCATGCACAACAGCTGCTTCCGGCTCCGAGATGACTCGAATATCCTCCCCCATGCCAGCGGTCTTAGCGCATTGCTGAGTTCGCGCTTTAGCGGCATCGTCCCAGATGGCAGGCACAGTGATGATGTAGCGAATCGGCGTGGTATCAACCACTCCATCTCCTAATCTCAATCTCAGGATTTTTGAAGTATGTTTGCGTAGACATTGGAGATAGTCGGTTGTCAGCACGACGGCCTCTCGGGAGCTGTCATAAGATGGCGGAAGAGCTTTTGGATCAGGATAATTCAAGGTCAGATAGGAGATCACGTCCGATTCCTGGTTTGGATCAAGCCCGAGCTTGAACCATTGGTGCCGGCTCGCGTCGTCTGCGATTCCGAAGCCCCATTTGCGATTGCGGCCATGACCTGCAAGTTCTGTAGGAACTTTGTCACTTGTTGCGCCTTCAAGTGAACCCTCAGTATCTGGCCATTGGATGATAGTGGTCTGAATGTCTGGCTGAGCATCTGTTAGCTGCGTTCAAAACTTAAAGCCAGGTCTGAGGAAGTACTCTAGCAGTCTGAGCCCACGCGACTCCCGAAAAAGTAGTGCCATAGTCGACAGCGACAACAATTGAGCGATTCATCGTTCCACACGGCTGCGGCGAAGGTTTCAAAGTCATCCTGAACGGTCAGTCCACCTGGCAAGATGAGCTCTGTTGCCGATCAGAATAGGGGAGGTTGAGGTTGAGAGTCTGAGAGTGATGAAGACGATGGAATGATATGAGCCGGCCAACAAAGAGGGAGTCAAGTTAAGGTGAAGCACCAGGTGAAGTGAAGTACAAATCATTTCGGGCGCGTGCAGTAGACCCTCTTTGTTAGATTGCTGTGACTGCCTCACATTCGCTTCAAATTTCTCGCCAAGTGAGGTTTGAGTGACAAACAGCTGCCTTATAAAACGATGTTTTCTTGCACTTCGGCTTCAAACATTTGCTCTTTTCATAACCATGTCGATTTTATTCGACTACGTGGCCCAAGTTGTCGGATATCTTGTGGGGCAGCCAGAGATGGCAGATCAAGAGGAGCTTCCGCAATTTCCCAGACAATCAAGCCGAAGTCGCCCTCCAGCCACCGGCAGCAGACATCTCGGGCGCCGTGATTCAATCTCGGCTCGACATGAAAGATTCGGCACGCTGGGAGGCTCTGCATTCAGCAACACAAGAAACAAGTCGCGCAAGATGACGGGGACATTCATGGATTGGAAAAATCAGAGACTTACCCAAACCACGACCCCAGATCGACGCGGCCAGATGTCTCGAACGAACCTAGCACCACCATCCCAGTAAGACCGGCTTCAAAGCAGCCTGGAAGAAAACATCCCAAAGGAAGTCGTCCGGAGCAGGGGGAAGGAGAGCCAGCCTCCGATGACTTGCTTGAAGGTATGACGGATGTCGAGAACCTGGTTGTCCCAGCTATTCTGCTGCAAAACCTTCAGGCCTTTTACGAAGAGGAACTCCGCCGGGTGAAGAAAACCAATTTGGAGCAGCACACGCGCATCATGCAACAGAATGTGATGATCACAAAGCTGCAGTATTCAATCGAAGAATCTGAGACATGGTGGAATCATGAATACCACAAAAAAGATACAAGCCTGCAGAACACACAGGCAGATCTCACCAAGGCTTATGACAAGGTACACGCTCTTGAAGTTAGCCTGGATGACTGCAAAAAGCGTATCTTCGCCCTGCAACCATTCGAGGGACCGGCAGATGGCGAGCTTTCGACCTCATTCAAAGGACTGCTCAGCTCCATAGAAGACTGGCTCGATATGAATTTTGGTGATGTTCAGAGTGCGATACCCAGATTGAGTGTGTCTGTCGACGAACGCAGCACTGCTCTGTGTCTTCGCCACTTCTTCGAAGACAACGAGCTGGTTGCTATTCGGCGATTTCCTAATGTCAGCCACTCGATGCTCGGTTCATTCATTCTGCGATCTTTGGCAAACTTCGTTTTCCAGGACAGGATTCTAATACCTGGCTTGGATCCGGACCGTCAGCGCCTACTGTCCGATCTGACTAAGGCGATGAACCGACTGCAACCAGCCAAAGGTACGAATCGTCCGGTTGACCCAGAGATTTTGCTGACTGGAGTGTAGACGAGGAGGTATGTCAAGCATGGAGGGTTGACATGTACCGTGCGCTGGAAAGCCTCGGCAACGTGCGAGCAAGTCGCGAAGATTATCTTCATAAGTTTTCCATCGCGCTTCTCGACACCATGGCGATTCTAAACCGGGACACTGCTGGAAGTAGGGCAGTCCGAGAAGCGTGTATTGATTTCGTCACCGATGCGGCGCTGCTAGCAGACAAGATCCGGCTTTGCACCAACGAATATGAGACAGTGTTTCCATTCTCGTACAATGAGGCGCTAGAACAACGAGTCATGTATGAGCGGAACCTCGAGGAGTACGACATCATCGATGGCGCCACAGGTACGAAGCTCAGACAGGCCAGCACGCCTATCGCAGCATCGGATGGCAGAGTTGGAGAGATGGTTTGCGTTGTATATCCAGCATTTGTTCGCAAGGCATCCGACAGTAAGGCCAGAGCCCAGCTCTGCAAGGCCACAATCGTCGTCGCCTTCGACCGCGCTGTTCCCCGAGGTGGGAAGCGCAAAGACTGTGGCTGAAGGTCAAAGGGAATCAAGCTACGGCTGAGTACCTCAGTCCGGACGGGAATCGATGACAGAGAGCGGCAGCAGGGTGCAACGCTCGGATCATTCAGGGAGAGTCGCCACGACTTGATGAGCTGAGCATTGGGCACTGATGTATCATGGACTCACACTGAACCGAGTTTGTTAGATGGAAGGGTCGATGAAACATGCTCGAAAGGAAATCGAGACCAAGATCTACACGCTAGTACTACCTGGTACCTAGGCGTCCGAGTAAATTCATCAAGTCAGACAACCACCGAAAGCGTTCCCAGAACCACTTTTAGCACATTTTAGGCGTCGGATGTCATGCTACTAATCTCCCATGCTCAGTCAGACATCCATGTAGTCTTGGCAGATACCTAACCTTTTCGGGCCACCAGACATCGCCGCAATGTGTGGCCATCTTTTCGATTTTACAAGAGCCTGATTTCTAATAGAACTCGCACTTCGACATCGCAACAACTCAGATTCCACCATGTCTAAAACCGCAAGGTAGGTCCCCGGCGCACCCACGCTTATCGCGGTCTCATATGGTGTTCAATCTTTCGCTAACCACTTTTCTTGATGCACAGCCGACCCGACTGGGCCGACGATGTCTCCGAGTCAGAACAGATTGACCCATCCGCACTCCCTCCACCAGTCACCACAGTGAACAAAGATGGCACGAAGACGACTGTTTCATACCGTCTCGACGACCAAGGTCGCAAAATCAAAGTAACCCGCAAAACCCGCACGACAGTCCACAAAGAGCGAGTGAACCCGGTCGTCGCAGAGCGCAGAGAATGGTCAAAATTCGGTCTGGAGAAGGGTAAGCCGAAAGGCCCGCAGCCAGACACAACTTCCGTCGGCGAGAACATTGTTTTCCGGCCGAGCAGAGACTGGAAGAACGTGCAGGCCGAAGAGGCCAAAGCCGGCGGTGGCAAGGCCGAAGAGAAGAGTTTGAAGGAACAACTCAGAGACAAGAAGGTGAAGTGCCGTATCTGTCAAGGCGAGCATTTCACAGCAAGATGTCCCTTCAAGGACACCATGGCACCCGCGGACGATGGCGCAACGCCCGTTGCGAATCCTATGGAGGACGACGAGGACGGAGCTGGCAAGGCAGCTGGTGGCCTTGGCGTGGGAGGTAGCAGCTACGTGCCGCCTCACATGAGAAAAGGCGCGCAGGGCGCAGGCGAGAGAATGGGCGGCAAGTTCGAGAGAGACGATCTGGCCACGCTGCGTGTTACGAATGTAAGGAATCTTCCCACCCTTGCAACTTCCCACAGGCATGCTAACGAATGTATCTCTAGGTCTCTGAAATGGCTGAGGAGCAGGAACTCCGCGACCTCTTCGAGCGATTCGGCCGCGTCACGCGTGTGTTCCTTGCGAAGGACAGAGATACGGGTCGGGCGAAGGGCTTTGCATTTATTTCATTCGTTGATCGATCAGACGCTGCAAGAGCATGCGAGAAGATGGATGGCTTCGGTTATAGACATCTGATCTTGAGGGTTGAATTTGCGAAGAAGCCAACTTAGAGGATGCATGTCATGAGAAAGAGCTCAACGGGCCACTCTACGGAGTCGGGCTCCTGCGGTTTAGGATGATGATCAATTGCAATTGTATGAATCAAAAGAAAAGTGATGTGTGGCTCGAATAAGTTTTAGGGCATTCAACAAGACATGAATCGTGCTATCAGGGGATTAGAACATATTTGAACCCAACAACTTTATGTCCTGTGGTCTCCATTTAGACAGTAGTGTCAAGAAAAGCAATTTCTAGCTTTGAGCTCTCGCATAGAGAGGAAAGCAGTCTCATAGACATCTGATGTCTGAAGACTCATCTCGCCAGGTATGGTCGATTAAACAAGTTCGAGGGCACCGTAAATGTTCTCATAAATGTTGGACCTCCCAATAGGCTCTGCTCTGGAGGTTTTCCTTCCCGACCATTACGGCTGGCTGGAAAGGCAGCGTAAACTACAACCAGAGGCGGCTAAAACCTCGTGCTCAGTATGTTATCGAACTTGATAAGCAATATTCAGGTTGAATTGCTCGGATCCCAATCTAGCAGGCCAAAGAGGATAGTCAATTATCTGGTTGAGGTAGGCAGAAGCCCAGGAAGCCACGTAACGCCAGATGTTGGGAACGGCCCAGAACCTCTGTCGGTCGTGACCAGGTATCTGAACAATCGACAGGCAGACGTTGCCTGTTGATGAGATCACTCCGACATTTCAGAGACATCACGAACATGCTTGCATGGACACGTCAGCATTTCGTGGCGTTTACTGTCTCATCAAGGCTTTCTGAGCAGGCGGAGAAGGTTGACAGGTAAGGCCTGGAGCGGAGCCGCGGAGTAGGGGGTCTGAGTCGTGATGGTCGTGCTATCGATGTCTATTGATTTGGTTGCCGCCGGTTGAGATCGAAATGGCCGGATGTGGGAATACTTTCCCAGGGCTGTTGGTGCCCGATGAGCCGGCCAAGAGTGGTGATTTCAGGCAACTGTTGGAACCATACATTTTGCAAAGGTTTGCATTGCTCCATAGACCTGCACCGGGGAAGTACAAGCCGTCGGGATTGGTTACTCGAGTCCAGAAGCGGTTGGAACGATAGAACTGGCACAGCATGGCAACACACCCGCTCTCGCTCAGCATGTTTCCTTTCAGATCGTGATGCTAGTCATGATGTAGGGCGAATTCCAGTGCCGGCGTCTGGAAAAATTCCAAATTAAGACGACTGCGAGGGTGTCCGGGGCATCCGCCGGACAAAGAAACGGTGATCGGAGCCACAATGCTGCACCCTCTGGACTGTCGACAAGATCCTCAGCGGAACCACGACAACTGCCATGAAGGTCGCACCGATGGCGAAACCCAGGACGAACGGGTGGTCCAAGCTGAGCAATAGGCAGTCGCCGTACGACCTGTCAAAGTCGCTGGATTTGTCAAGCCAACAGAACATTCGAGTCGGGTCCCTTGCCTGTCGAAATCAGGTTCCTCGGACGAGGTTGGAGAAAGCTTTCCATGATGATTGTTTCGTTGATACGGTGCTTGTGCCGTTTTCAGGCCACCGGAGCTTTTCTCCACTGGCATGTAAAGTAGCCGCTAATGTCTGTCGTGAGGCGTATGACCCTGATCCATGGCATCTCTTGCGGCTTCCAGTACCGAGACGAATGGTAAAGGAGGCAAATGCTGTAGACCCGACGTTTAAGCGTTCCGATTTGCCTGATCAAAGGGGCCATGGCTGTTCAGAGGGTGGCTTACTGCCAGGGAAACCCGCGGAGTGTCGGGAGGTAGCAAGAGGCAGTGTTCTGTCCCCAGGCGAGAGAGAGCGCCTAGTACCTTTCAAAACACGTAGCAATAGATCGTATAATGGACGCAGTGCGGAAAGGTGGCCATTGAAACCAACGTGCACAGGGATGTCCACAGGTTAGGTCCCGCTGACTTGTCCTGACCCCAGCAGGGGCGGAGGGCAAAGTCTTGCTTCGGCTGACAGCTGAGGCTTAGGGATCAAGCTCAGTGAAGATGGATCTCGAGGTTGGGTGAAGGACCTGGCAGTGGTGGCAGCGGCGGCGGCGGCGGCGATGTTGAATTGGCCGGCATGGGGGAAGGACGAAGTCGTCAATGATCTCTTGAGTTAGTGCACGGAGCAGTTGCCGTGATGGCGCTGCCAGTTTTCAAACTCTCCCTCCACACAAACTTCTCATCCCATCCCATCAATTTCTCTCAACACCATCATCCTTCCATCTTCTACCCACTAACTGGTGTGCTGTCGGTAATATTGCTGGGCCACACGGCCCCGCCACGATATCCAGCTAGTTTCGAGCCCCATCGGCTGCGCATGACATACTTGCATGTGCCAGGAGACTGCGGCCCGCATTCTGCTCTGGATACAGTCTCCCCGTAGCCAATCGTTGTCCCAACCAGTCTCCATTGTGTTCCTTTTCTTTTCTTTCCGCCCGGGGGCCTTCAGTCTCGGTCTGGAGGACCAGCAGTCACCGTTAGGATGTGAGTGGAATGGTTGGATGCTCCAGTGTTCAAAGCCGGCTGAGCCCTGGTACTCGTTCCAAACCAATGGTCTACCATACAACAAAGCAGTGCTTTTTGCTGCTCAATACACCAGCCCCCAAGTCAAGTGTCCATCCGTTGACCATGATAGTGCCTTGCCAGTCGAAACATTCCCCCCTGTCTGAGCATTACCACGTCCCGTCGGAATACCTGCAAAGCACAACAACCATCATCCTTGCTATGGCCATGCAACCATTGGTGTATTCGCAAGTCGGCTAACGATCGGCCCTTCGGCAGGCTGCTTTCTGCGCCCAAACTTATCTGGGCTCAGACATCAGGTTTCGTTGTCCACTTCAGTGCCGTGCTATCCCCTTCAGCAACTGAATACCTCTCTGAGGCGTCTGATCGGCTCAACTTCGCATCTTGTAGCAGCAGACCATTGCCCCCAGAGCGCCACATGGCTGAAAAGGAGACCATGGATCATCGCAAACGAAGACATCTGGGGGGTGGGCCTATTGACAAGGACGTTTCATTGCGCTCGATGCGTGAAGACAGTATCACTCCGAACCACGTGCTTGATGGTCTTCAGGCTATCTTGGATTTTCAACATTCTCAGTTGAAGTCATCATCTGCTGAAACAACCGCTGCAAGGTCCGTGGTCGAAGACTTCCTTTGTTCCTGCATTACAGTCCAACTTTGATTCGCTTCTTCCAAATCTTCCTTACTTTAGCCTGCGAAGGCAATGATACGACGGCCAAGCCAGTGCTGTGGCAATTTTTAGCCTGAAGCCAGGGCTGTTGAAGAAGGCCGCCTGCAGCACAGTCGGGCGGTCTCAAAGCTCAGATGTGATGGGCTGGCTATTCATTGGCTCAAAGATATGCAGCCTTCCATCGAACGGTCCTTGCCCACAACGTTTGGTTGATCCTGCTCCCTCACCGAATTCTGGTAGTCAAATGTCAGATCTCGAAACCGCTTTCATGGCCGAGCTGGTCATTTCTACTTTCGAGCAAGACATTCCGACTTGCGAGTCCAGCCTGCCCAACCGGGTCAAGAAAAGGCTCAAGGCTGGTGTGGGACCACCTACCTGGATGTTGATTGTTGGATGCGCTCCATTTGAACACCTCTCAGCCCAGCTCATTGTTCCGTATATCTCTTACTTCCAAAAGTCTCTTCTTTCCTGGACAATCATCCGCCTCTCCTGACAACGTCTCGTTCAGTCATTTGACTGTTCTGCAACCCGCAGCTCCATCGTGCTGACAACAGTGAATCTTGCGCCCACTTCTTTTAAGGGTCATCCCTGTGTACTCAACTGTCTGCTTCGAAGAGCCACCGAGAGCGGCAGCAGTCGATATTCGGGCTTAGTCGTGTCGTAACCGTCGCGCAGGTTGCTGACCAGAAAAGAGGCAACATCGATTGGGGCTTGGAACAAAAGCTTCTCTGCTAAGCAGCAGTTGAAGCCGTGCCCTCGTTCATCGCGTGGTGTCATTGTGAAGGGAGACGAAGTGAGATCAAGTCAGGATTGATGCGACAAGCAACATATACTGACCAATGACAAGGCCGGATTGGGGTCATGAAAGGTGCGAGCCTCGTCGCGAGAAGACTTTGAGCATATCCAGTGTGGTAGGCAGACCGAAGTGCCACGGCGATCTGTCCAGAGAGACAACCATCACCGGGCAAGTTGAAAGATTGTTGTGCTGACACGCCGTAGACAAACACCATTGAGCGAAGTTGCGGACCTTCGGTCGTACTCCACGGGTGTCTTGCTATTGGCAGCGAGCCCTGTTCTCAGCCTGCAGAATTTTGCCAACCAGCATAGACCTGCGCTGCTCCAGGCCCCTGTCAATCACATTCGACGAGGATCCGAGTTGAAGACCAACTGGTGGAGAAACTCTAAACAGGTCCCCCGTGCCCATTCAGCCTTGTCATTCGCTCGGTGTCGAGCATTGGGCGGCATCATGGATCCCAGTAGGTACTTCGTCAAAGCAGGAATATCTGCCCAGCTCCCTTTCACTTCCTTCATTGCCCATGTGGATGTCGAAATGAGTGCATCCATACCGCAGCGCAACTCGGCAATCTGGCTCGATATGCTCTGTGCATTTTGGGGAATGGAAAATCTCGCGGACACTGTGCATTTGTCTCGCGCCGCGGTTGCCGCCTGCGTTGCTTGACCAGGATGCCCCCGCCCGTCCTACCATGCCTTCCGAAATGGCTCTCAGATGGCAATTGTGCACGACAAGCCCCTCTCAGCCCAGCCGAAATGCATGGCCTTGTGGCAGGCTTCTTTTCTATTTATCAAATAGGGTCCTTGAACGCTTTTTCACCACTACGGGCTACTGACGTCTTGAGCAGCGTTGCTTCAGCATCCCTCTTCCTTCGAGTTTCCGATTTCATCAGAATCCAAATACCTCGGCCACGAGCGTCCCTTTCCAAATCCATCCTATCCTACCAATGATTTTTCAACAAGAAAATATCAGAGCACCTTGACGAATGGTGCTCCGACGTCAGCAGTGGCACTGCCAACGAATTCCAGTCTTGACTTCAGCGGAAGCTCGCTACTCAATGATACACAGTACGTATTCGATCCTGCTTTCCCCGTTGGATTCTGCATCTTCAACGTGTCCGCTGTTGTCATGACTCGAGCAGCTATTAGGCTGCCACAGAAAGGCGTTAAGACTTGGGCGTTGGGCATCTGCGACCTGTGTTGTCCACTCTGCAAAGCTTGCAATCTGCTGAAAAGGCGGTCCAGAAGCCTCCCGTCCTTTTCAAAATGCACTGCGCTTGCGCCACGGCCGACCCCGTTGCACCTCAAGGTTCCACATATGGCCTTGACACAATTACTCTGCAGTTCTCGTCTTACTAACCAGTGCAATCTTCTGCTAGGTATCATTCCAATTCTCATCTGTTGCTGAGTCCTCCTGATTCCACGACCGGCTCAGCAACCGTCAGTGGCAATCCTACAACTTCATCTTTTGTCTATACGACTCTCCCCAAACCGTTTCCGAGCAATGCAGGCTCAGCAGACCACTTTTCGAACGCACCTCCATCGATCCTCTCGTCCAACTGGACTGGATCTGGCATGACGGTCATGGACCGTCCACCAAGATTGTAAGTCTCATTGTTTTATTCCATCTGGACCATGTGATCGCGATTGGTATTGACTCTGGTGGCACAGTCCTCCACCTTTGTCACCTCCTTTGAACTACTCGGCAAACGGCATTCCAGGAGCTGTGCCCATGAACTCTCGACTTGTGGTTGATAGAATGTCACACACCTATCAACCCAATGGACACACTTCAATAAGTCATGGGTATCTCCAGCAGCCAACATCCAGGTTCCCGCCGGGCCCTTATTCCTCTCGCAACAGTGTTGGTCATTATTCAATAAGCGACAATTCATATTCGGGACATAACATGTCAACACCCTTTCAAGAAAATTCTGGTCCAGCCCGTCAAGATGGTCCTCCGTTTGGGGAGACGAACGCCCTTTACCCTGTACTGAACGTGCGAAACCAACACTTGGTACCTGAAATATCTGCCAGCATACAAAAAGGGTTCTTCCAAGTGGATCGCAAGTGGACTTGCTATCGCAGGAACTACTTTGCAGTCTCTTGTTCATTCTCATTCAAAAACCACGGCTCAGAAGGCCCTTTCTACCTCCATCGAAGCGGGCACGATGAGCAGATCCAGCAATTTTCTGTTTCTATCTCGGCGAAGACTGCTCTGACCGGCAATAGCGAGAGTGAAAGTCGGGGCCTTGTCCAGCATACGCCGAAGCGGGACAAGGCGACAGAGACCGTGCCTGGACGGCACCTCATTTCGCCAACACCTCCTCAGGCAATGACTGCTAATGGCGTCTATGCTGGCGCAAGCCATATATACGGCGCGCAACACCATATGTCCGCTGCAGTGATGGGGAGCTTCGGCAGTTTCGACAACCACAGCGCCAATGCCATTCCCACAACATATACCTTCGAGAGGATACAGTTTCAAAAGGCCACAGCCAACAATGGCAAACGACGCGCCCAACAACAATACTTCTTGCTAGTTGTCGAGCTGTCTGCCAATGTTGCAAGAACACCAGGCGATGAGAACTGGGTCGTCATCGCGACAAAAGAGTCAGAACCCATGGTGGTGCGCGGCAGGTCTCCTGGCCACTACAAGGACAATGGCAGACGGGACAGCCAGGCTAGCATGGGCCCCGATCGCGGAAGTGGCCACGATGGCGAGGGTAGCTCTGGGTCACTCCCTCCTCCCAGTTATTCTCATTCAATGGATTGGAACATTAGTAGTCATCGACACGGCGGACACTATGGTGGTTCCACTTATCGCCAGGCTATGGAATCGGACTTTTCGCCGGTGAGCATGGCCTCATCAAGCACTCTGGCTGGAACACCAACGGCAGGCGTATATAAGTTCGGCGGTAGCCGGGCGCCCAAATCGTCTTGCACACTGTCAACAGCTCAATCTCCTCTGACGCCGCTGTCTGAAGGAAGCGTGGACGAAGACATGATGTTTCCTTTCGGTCGTCCTATTATGGGCAGGAAGAGGTCCTACGACGACGATAATGATGAGGACCACTTGCGATTCCACCTGCCAGGTCCCTTCACAGACGGCACTGCTTCGGTGGCAGATTACTCCGCCACGCCGTACTCAAAACTGCTGTGTGCGTCATCGTAAAGCAGAGTCGCGACCCAGAACTACATTCTCGTGACTGGGCCAGCGGCCTTCAGGAGAGGACGGCACCAGGACTCTGTTGTAGAATACAGCGAATGGATTTTGACTTGACGCTTTCTTTTGTGGTATATTCCGGCGAAACAAGGTATGCGGCCGTTGACACAGTGTTGGCCAGGAGGGCGAATGTTAGAGATACCCACTGCATCAAGGTGGTGTATGGCGCATCAGCCGGCTTTGGGACTTGATGGATTTCATTCGTTTGGAACATTATTCAGTGCGAGCCGTGAAAATCAGGAGCATTGGGCGGGTCTAAGGAAAGGACGGAACAAGGGCAGATTTACGGAGGATGCTGGACACCCGCTGACAGGGCTGGGAGGAGTCGGAAACAGGGTGTGACGAGTCGAATCATGGCTAAGGTTTATGCATATGAGCGCCGATACAGGCATATGGTTGAAAGGGAGTACGGCATCACGACATGATAGGCACATAACAGACACAATACAGCTGACTCGTTCCCGAAGCACAGGGAGGTTACTTCGTAACGCGGTGGAAGCTCTGCAGAGCGGCAGATTTTTGTCGGCTTTGGGGAACACAGAGGCAGAGATCGAGATGGGCGCTGGGGGTCGTGCTCGTAGCTCCTGCTGTTTGCAGATAATCTCCTCCGGGGGCTACTCGTAGAAGGTTGGAGCAGGTCCTCTGATTCCTCCCTTCGGTTAAGCGATACTCACTGATGTTTCCACTCACACAAGGGCTTGAACAGACATGCAATTAATAAAATGCCATGACAGTTCGAGGCTCTAAAGATGTGCTCCGTGCGGCGTATTCTTCAGACTGCCATGACAAGATCCACAAGCATCTGCTCTAATTTGGATTGTTCAAGTGTGATCAGCCTCATGCGAACCTGCCCTGTCAAGGACCGCTTGGCTGCCAGCGTAGTCGCCATGGCCTATTCGATGGACCATGCAGGCCTGTAATGCTGGAAATGAGGGACGAATGTTGGCCCTTACAACCTATGTCACGAGCGCACTAGCCGTATAGCGGACTCGAGACAGGCTGGAAGCCCCGAGCGGTTGTTCGCGGCTGGGATAAGCACCCAAAGGAAGCTCTCTTGGGGCAAAGACCAAGAATGACATAGGGTAGGTCCCCGGTGCACCCTTCAAAAAGGTAATTTTGGGCCCGATGCCAATCAACTGTATCAACGACCACCCTTCGAGGACGTGGCAGGGCAGGGACCGCTAGAGTAGCGCGTCGTGGAGGAGCTGGAGACCCGTATCAGGCAAAAAGCTCAAGGACTGGACAAGAACCTTGACTAGCCATTGGATTCTTCATCCGCCCAGCAACATCCCTACCTTAACGAAATTGATATTTTCGACCTTCACGGGCCGTCACGAGGCCACCATTGCTCAGCTTTGGGCACCAAAGATATGCAGTTGTCTGATGGAAATCAACCCATGCCGGCACTCTCCAGGGCTGAGGTTTCCGCTCATCCTTCGCAGTGACGCAGTATCCGATGCTGGTCTAATGCTCCCAGCTGCAATCACCTACAATGGGGAAATGGACGTCAGTCGACGTCATGACATTGCCGGCAATTCCCTCGCCCGGAGGACTCTCTTCACACAAAGCACTTCCGAGACAGATGGCAGCCTGACGATTAAAGCAAGGAGAGGCGAGACGATGTTACACAGCGCCGGTGAAAGCCTGTCGCTTCCGCGAAGGTCGCTAGTGCACATATTTCTTGCTTCCCGGCGTGACGCACGTGGCCATTCCTGTCGACACCGACAAATTCAGCCACAAATGTCGATCAAAGCAAGTTGGAAGCCAGCTTTAAGGGCCAGTGTCCCATGGCAGGTCACAAAGTACATGCTTAGGGCACGCCACGGTCACATTGAGAGCCGCCGCGAACGCAGGGGTTGCGTTATGTATGTGGAAGATCCACTTCGTAATGGAGGGCTCAGAAAGGGAAAACCAGATGCACATCTATTGGAGAGGTTTCCGCCTTTCGGAGGCACAAATGGAATACGAGAAGCTCCAAGCACTCGCAAAGCATGCTAGAATCCGGCATATCACATATCATACTGTGATACGGAGTAACTAGACGCTTGAGATGTCGTCAAAATTGGCGAACGGAGACTCATGTCAGGCGTAAAGTCTAAAGACCTCGAGCAACGCGTGGATGCCGGGACAGACGATCGCCCCGAAATCTTCTCCAAGGCCACTTGACACTCCGAAAGTCTTAGGTTAGCGGCGGAAGGAATCTGGACCACGCAAACTTGTTTGGACCGTAGAGAGCCGAACTGTGGTCCTCGAACCTCGGATCTACCCTTGGCATCACAAGATGGGATTGTGGTGGGGATCAGGGGTGAGCAACTGGAAGCTCCATAACCTGGTAGGATTTGCATGTTTTGGACAGATCAGCCCCAAGCACGACGCAAGATGTTTTCCGGGTGCAGAAGCCGTCGATTCGAGTCTGTCGAATCGACGCACGCATCCAACACTATCGCCGTGGTCGACGAGTAGGTTCCCACACAAACTCGCGGTGAGCACTGGTTTATACCCACTATCGCTCAATGTGGGCTGCTTTTAGGGCGGATGGAAGGACGAAAGTGAGGGTCGGCATGCTTAAGCGAGGACACCAACGGTTCATACATACAAGTGACGCCGCAATGGAGCCGGGAAATGCACACCAATACCAGAAGAATTATCAAGGCCTCTCTGCTTTCTCCGCTGCAAAAGGGCCGATACCAAAGGACGCTGCGTGTGTCCACCTTTCTGCCGCACTCCACACAACCTCGAGGAGAGATAGAGATCTACGAAAGCCGCAAGAACAGCCGAGGTCGTTGCCAGCAGCGTAGCCCATATCCATAACAATGACAGCCACGGCATACCATTCGAGGGATCGTGAAAAGAGACTTGGAGATCCCGCGATCCGCGGAGTCCAGTTTGGCCTGGGCCTGTGGCATCGACGTCTGCAGACACAGTTGGCACTTGGACATACTTGTACAGACATATGGCTGGTCCTTGTCTCACCAGCCTATCGCTAGCACTGTCAAACACGGAGCGCTTCCGACCCATGAATCCAAGATCCTCTTCTCCTCCCGGTAGCCTCCAGATGATAGAAAGGCAACACTTTGCCGGATGAGGACACAACCCCGTCAGCATCAAGCAGCATCCGAGGCTCTGCAGATCCGAATGATATTCCCCAGGCTCAAGACTCGGTGAGTATAAAGGTCTTGATAGGCCGTGCGCCACCGGTAAAATAAATTCCATGGTTTTCTGTCAAGTTCGTAGTCGCATCAGATCATGGCCGGTAGAATCTGTTCTCCACGAATGGCATCTTCGCAACTTCGGCCTTCCTCACATTCTTCCGAACTTTGACGCCCACCTTCGTCCCCTTTTTGTGGAATCCGTTCTTGATGTAGCCCATTGCGATATTCGCCCCGTCCAAGCTGGGACTTGGGCAGCCGGAAGTGATGCGGCCAATGACACGATTATCGTTTTCCGGATCGACTATTTCGGCGCCTTCGCGCGCGGCGGGACCCTTTTCGATTGTGAAGCCAACGCGTCGTTCGCTCATACTCTTGGGTGATGCCAGTTGTTTGTTGATGATCTCGTGTCCGTTGAACGGAGGAGAGGGATTGTCAGTTCGGCGCGCTTTGCCCACGACCCAGCCTAGCGCCGCCATGGGCGGCGTAATGGTGTCGTTCAGATCGTGCCCGTAGAGACACATGCCCGCTTCGAGACGGAGTGAGTCACGGGCACCGAGGCCTGCCCAGCGCACCTTTGAAGTGTCCGCCGTGAGGGCTTTGGCGATCGAGGTAGCCAGCTCAGTCGCATCGCCAGATTCGGGAGGGATCGAGATTTCGAACCCGTCTTCGCCGGTATACCCGGTTCGGCTGATCAGCAGGGATGGCGTATTCATCCCGGACTCCGGCAGCGTGAGCTGTAGCCAGCGACTCGTGCCGAAGTACAGTGTGTCGAGCGATGTGTCGAGACTCTCGTCCTCGGTGTCGTTGAAGACCAGGGATTGCAGGACGGACGCGGCTTCGGGGCCTTGCAGGGCAAGAAGTGCGTGATGGTCCAGGACGTGCCAGTTTATTTTGTCACTGGAGGCGGACTTGGATTTGAGAAATTCTTCCATCTCGGACTGGATGAAGGGTAGGTCGGTCTCGCGGCAGCCGGCGTTGGTGACGAAGTAGAAGCTGTCTTTTCCGATGCGGGTGATGACAGTATCATCGACGATGCCGCCGGATTTGTTGAGCAGCACGGATAAAGACGAGTGGTGCTTTTCGATCTCGTTGATCGAGCTGGGAGTGATGGTCATCAGAAATTCCTCGGCCAGGTCGCCGGAGAGTTTGTGCTGGACCATGTGGCTGACATCGAACACCGAGGCGTGCTGACGGGTCCAGACATGGGAGTCTCGGTGAGATTGGTCGGGGTATTCGACTGGCATGGCGAAGTTGGCGAAGGGGACCATTTTGGCGCCGAGGGATTCGTGTAAGGCGTAGAGAGGGGTGTGCTGGAGACCCTCGGATGGTTTGGACGAGGCATGGCGTGCCTGGACAGTAGATTTTGTGGACGAAATTGCTAATGCTGAAGCCCGTCCGGGATGAGATGCTTGGTACGGCCGTCGTGAGCCTGGAGATAAGGATGATGCGATGCGTGACTTCGGGGAAGTGATCAAAGAGCTCATTTCTCTTATGGGAGCTTGCCGCGGTGATCTGCTAGCTTGAGAGGCTGCAGCCAAAAGCGGTCTCCATGCTCGGTGAGATGGCATATTGCTCAAGAGTCTGGTGTCTTGATTTTGCTTGAGCTTGGTTCTAGGCGGTTGCGGGATATCTACCACTTGCAATCCTCTCTCAGCATCACCACTGGCAAGGATTATTGCTCTTAGATCGCGAAGAAGTAGAGACTTCTGTGACTCTTTGACAGCTTGCTGATGCTTTCAATTTGACAAAAAGTCAATGAAACGCGAAGGGCGCAGACCTGGCCGTTGGCCGGAGACTTGAGCGGAGAAAGCCTCAGATAAGTTGATTTGACCAGGTTAGGACTAGCTTCTGCCAGCATCTTGGCGACATTTTGCGCGTCTGGGCAAAAAGTTCCTGTTGATTTTGACAGTTGAATCCTTTTCTTCCCTTTTCTCCTCACAGTCTCCGCGCTCAAAGAATCGCATTCAAAGCTCACGCACAGCGGAACCTTTGGTTTCTGCATACCATCCTAGCTTTGGGAGAAAGTCCCCGGACCACCCTACCTTTGAATTCCATTCAAAGAACGTTAGGACTTGCCGCGAGGCGCCGCCATAAAAGCATTTTCACTGCGGCTCTTTTTTTCTAAACTCTGCCTCTCACTCTCCTCTGGACACCTGGTTTTGCTGCCTCCGACCTCGCTGTCGTTTGTACTCCTCGTCGACTTCCTGACCAGTTGTCGTCATGTTCGAAGCTGAGGGATATCTGGGTGGATGAAGATATGAGTCCGCCCCTCGGGCTACGGCTAGATGTCTTGACGCGGAGAGCTGGTGACTTGGTCGTGCGAGTCACGAGGAAGAGATGGTGAGGGTTTACAATGGGTAGGTTGGAAGACAGGGGATTTGTCTCAGAGGGCCAAGAGTGCACAATTGGAGGTTGCGCAATTCGTCACATGAGTATAGTTATGCGATTGCTCTTTGCTGCTTGGAAACAGGTAGCAAGGGTAACTCGATGGGGCTTATTCTTGAGGCGCGGAAGACACCACTTTTTGGGTCTGTAGCTTATGGCAAAGCGGCGAGCTCCTGCTCGCAGAAGTCCTGTCAAAGGGACCGGACTCGTCGATGTGAAGTTGGTGGTCAGGGCGAAGTAGGTTGCAGGCGCAGTGAGAATGTCGAAGGGCCGGGATCTGAGGATGGCTTCAAATGATGACACTACAATCAATAGAGTCAAGCACTTAGGCCTCCATGACCTCGAATTGAGCATGGCTGGTCAGTGACGATCAACGATTAAATATCTCTGATGAAGCATTACAATATCCTCATTTTGTTTCACGAGCATTCTCTGAATTCTCATTTGTCATTTGCTCTTTTCCATGGCCGTGATAGGAATTGGCCTCTTCACTTTCTGGCCACCTTTCATCTCTTGGACATATTGTATCGCGTAGATTGTCACGTCCCAGACTAACGCAATGACTGTTGCGCATGCCATGCTCCAGACGTTGATGCTCACGCCTCCGTAGGGACACCTAGGAAACCCCAACAGCCACTCGATATACCATGGGAACCAGCCGCGAGGATATGTGAACACTGGCGTTTTGGCGTGCCAAAATTGTAGACCAAACCGCAACCCACTTGTGCATAGCCAACGGATAGCAGTTGCTTTGGTGTCGAATGAGGCTCGAGATGATGAAACGGCGGCAGCTACAAACCGATGAATTTAGCGCAGGGCCTCCTGAAGTTTTGCACGATCCGACTTACCTTTCTGATCATGGTCTGCCATAGCCTTGTCGTGTTGTCGCCGTACCTTCGCCCACCTCGAAAACTCATCCTGCGCGCTGATTGCGTTCATTTCTCGCTTTAATCGAACCACTTCCTTGCGCAGGCGGATTTGTTCTTGAATGTCGCGCGAAGACTGTATAGGGAGTCGACAGTAGATTTGCCATAACTAGAACTCATCGTCAGCAAGAACGTTGTAAAGGTGAAAAGGATAGTCGCATACCAGGTCGTTAATCGGTTTGGAGCCGATGGTCAAGATGAGGTGGCAGAAGAGCTGGATCAGGAAGACGACGACCAGAAGGGACAACATCGTTGCAAAAAATTGACTCTTGTCAATTAACTATCATCTGCGAAATAACTGCAGCAGAAGCAGAAGGTCCCTGTGAATAAAGATAGGTCGTGGGAACGAGGACCTGGCCCGTTTGTTCCTCTGGATTCCCCTCTAACAAGACCGTTGTGCTACTGTTGGATCACGAGTCAGAGATGACGTGACTTGTTCTTCCCGATGACTCGAGTATCTTCTCCGTTGCGCTTTGTTTCTTGTTCAAAGTTGCACTTTCCTGCCAGTCAGATAGTCCAGAATTAATAGCGGAGATGGCTGCAGTCGAGCCTGGGGTGTGAGATGATGCAGATTGGTCAAAGACATGTCCGACGGTGCTTGATCAAAACCGACTTCGGGAGACTCCTTGCTGCACTATCCGGTATGCAATTCTGAGCTCTCTTCCAGTCGAGGTAAGATATCTTCATTTCAAGTTTTATAGGCTTGTCTGCCTCTCTCTCTTTCAATGACAGGGTTCTCATAGACACCGAATGCTACTGCCAGTATATTTAATCAACAATTGAAAGGACGTCCCATGTACACCTCCGCAATGTCTCGAGTACGACAATTCCTTTCTATTACAATAACAGATCTCCGTTCTGCGCAAAATTGGCCTGTGGATTAAGAACCTGCTGCGGCGCGTTCTGGCTGACGACATAGGGATTTCCACCTACACCGTTTGCAACAGGGCTGGTCAAGATATCCCCGCCGCTATTATCGCTTAGGCTGAGGTTCTTGAAGTAATCGTCCGCTGCTTTGATCGCATCTTGATGGCCTGGCAAAGGCGTGCCGCCAGGTGTTGTCGCTGCGGTGTTCAACGACACGGGATTGACAAGATTCATTCCTGGCGAGCCAAGTGCACGATTGAACTCCTCCTTTCGTCGCTGTAGGGCAGGCGACTCTTGCAAGCGCCGCGGTCGGGCAGCGCGAAAGACCTGCTGCACCGGTTTCAGGTAGATTGTCGCCAAGGTGCCGATACCCAGGCAAAGCTCCTCCAGGGTGGTGGGATCCAGCTTCTCGCTTTCCGCTGTGATGGGAGGCTTGATACCCATGACGACTTTCTTCGCCGCTGCCGGGTCCGTGGATAGGAGGCGCCAATACATGAAGCCTCGATCCCGCAGGTCTGGGTCGTCTGTCTCTTCTGTACACCATTTCAGGACTTGTGGCACGATTGAGGAACCTTTTGTTGGACGGTGCAGGAATAGTTTCACGGTAGCAGTCAGTAGGGCCAGCTGCACTTCAATGGGCTCTTCGTGGAAAGTCGACAGGTAGTCTTGAAGCAGTGTATCGGCGTTATCGATGCGATCTGCGTATTCGCCAATGATCCAGATGATGGCAGCCTTGGCTTCGGGTTCGTCGAGCTCGTCGATCTGTCCTATCACAGTCGAAATGACGGACTCATATTGATTGGGGTATTTGCGGAAAATGTTCTTGATGACGACGGTCGCTTCTTGGACGATGTAGGGAATCTTGGCGTTGACCAAGTCGAGAAGGGTGTCGATACATTGACGAGCTGCGGGTTCGATTTTGATGGCGAGTTTGCCAATTGCTCGGACAGCTTTGCGGACGAATTGGACGTCTATTTCTGTGGCATACTCTCGTAACTCGTGTAGGACGACGGAAATATTGTCTTTGTTGGCAAGCATGAAAATGAGCTCCAGTTTCGTTACTTTGACGTAGATTGGATCGTTGTATTTGCAGAAAAAGACCCGAATGTCGTTCTGTAAGACTTCGGGTCGTTGTTGAAGAATGAGAATGGCATTTCTTAAGGCAAGATATTGGATCTCGGACGGTTTGGACAGCAGCGTAATCAGAGGTGGTGATAGTTTGCGCGCGAGCTCGTCGACCTTTTTCTGGTCTGAGATGTAGTTCATCAGGTACATGATGACTCGGATGCAGGTGAGCACCACGGCAGAGTTGGAGTGCGACAGTCGAGAGGCGATTCGTTCCGCCAGGAGGAGGGCCTCTCCTGACTCTTGTGGCACATATGAGATAAGCGCTTCAAGGACATATGTCTGTGACCACTCATTGCAATCGGGCAATATGGCGACAATCTTCGACGCACTTGAATAGTCAATGGTCAATTTGATGTTCTCGCTTCTTTCCCAGATATCTTGGAGTGCGGATAGTGCGCAGGCAACGACTGTTGGGTTGTCGTCCTTAAGCATTCGGTTGAGTCTATCGATCAAGTCTGAGCCTTCGACCATTCTTTTGTCGTGGTCGTAGATCTTGGCCACGGTGATGGCTGCTGTCTTTCGAACGTAGGGATCCTGATCTGTCATCAACTTCTTCAGGGGAGTAATCGTGCCTTCGACAAATTCGCGAACGTGAATATATGATATTGTCCTCAATGCCAGTGCTCGAATTAGTGGATTTGGATCTTGCATATCCTGTCTCCGTCAGATAGACCTGCTGAGTGGGAAAAGAACTGCTTACATCTTGTAGAAAGGGTAGAGCTCGGAGAGCAACATCTGGTTTCAAACGGGCATAATGTTGTAGGTACAAGAAACACCTACATCCGTCAGCAGGGGTTGCAACTCCAGAACGAGCAGACGTACATCTTCTTGATCTCGAGTACCGGTATCTGCATACAGGCGACGATGTCGGGAAAGAGAGCGACCATGTCGTTGTTACTCATGGTCATGTTGGCAACGATCTTCTTGAGCGCGTTTTTCTTCCCAGAATGATTTTTGTCCTTTTTGCCCGGGTTGATGAGCTCTTGTCGTAACTCAGCGACTTTGCCCTTTAGCCTGTGTAAGCAGGCGTTCCTTAGATAAATACATGCGGCTCCTCTAGAGGGTACGTGTGTCCTAACCTCCATTGACGCACTTGGGCTGATCAAGGAGACATTCCTTGTCCCCTTCGCACAGGACTGAAAACAAAGGAAACATCAGGAAACACGGAATTTGACTTACTCTGGCAAAGAGTTTCGCGTCCCCATGGCCGGACGACATTCTCGATATATCGTTCTCCCAGCGGGAACAAGAGTAGTCGAAGTTGACCCGCTGTCGGTGTCAGGTCTGGCAAATTCCTTCAGTGTACGTAGGTACATCAACACTGTGTCACGACATGGCTACCAGCGGACTGCCATCGACTAGTAGACGAGTGTTGACAAAGGACTAGAACATTTCGAGAATTAGAGGTGCTCCAGACAAATGTGAATGTAGGCGGAAAGGAGTCGAGAGGCACATCTGCTCGCTTACTCAGGCCAAGCGCCGGAGGCTACAATTTCCGTTCCGTTATGTTGCTTGGTTGTTAAACTGCGACCTTCAATCACCTACCTAGGTACGGAGTACTGAAGTCCAGCATCCTGCGTTCTCTGGCCGTAAATCACCATCGAATCAAGCACAATGGATCACACACAGCCGAAATGGGTTGTTGAACTTAACAGTGGTCTTCCTTCGAAGCCGAAACATGCCCACAGCATTCCAGACCCTCCCGGCTTCTCGTCCTCGAAATCAGCGGCCGGGAAACAGGTCAGCAAGAACCCAGATCATATGAGAAGTTTGGCTTACACCTGCTAGAAATCGCAAGTTTCTGCAAGGAAAGGACCTACACCTGAAGAGACCGAAACCTTGAAGCTAAAGAAGGCTTGGGAGATTGCACTGGCGCCTGCGAAGCAACTGCCCATGCAGGCTATCATGGGTTACATGTCCGGCAACTCTCTACAGATATTTTCCATCATGATGGTTTGGATGCTGTAAGCTACATAACCTGCCATCACGGCTCGGGCGGCTACTGATCTAGTACAGCTTCAAGAATCCAATTCAAGCTATTACGCAGACCAACATGGCATTTTCCAAATTCGAAAGCGTAGGCACACGTTCGCAAATGCTGGGTGCCAAAGCAGTTTATGTCCTTATGCAGTGCCTCTTGCTAGGCCTAGGGATATACAAAGTAAACAGCATGGGCTTGTTGCCTACAACGAGGAGTGACTGGTTAGCATGGGAGTTCGAAAGACAACCGCTCGAAAGAGCATACTTTGCTTTCGGCGGATGATGCCACAGCGCCTTACACCCTCGGTCAAGCTGAATGGTGATGACTTCGGCTGCGCAATATCCACGAAATCCTTTCTTCTAGCTCCGTGCGGCATGCTTCTTTGTCGACGATTTGGGCTGTGAGCTCCTCGCCCCCAACCCCACTTCAGCACGGCATCGCAGCACTACAAGCTAGAATCCCGATAACTTGCATCAAGCGGGGACTCTGGGGTTAGTCGCTGCCTTGGTGCCTAGGAATCATACTAGCACAGCTTCAGCTCATCACCACCATCACATTAGGCTTGGATCCTTTCGTCGCAGGAGGCGGGCCCTGTCATGGTGCTCTCAATCATAACATCTTCTTGGTCTCCAGAACGTCAGACTGCGTATTGTCATCTCAGGGGTTCTGGAAGCGGACTTTGCGCGGCTGATGACCCTCGACGGCGTTCTGCTGCTTCGGTTTCAGGGATGGAGCCTTCGGAATAGCGTCGCTCGACTTCTCGACAAGTGCAACAGAGTTGTCAGCGCGATTGACCTTGAGTTCGCCGCGCTCAAGGGAAAGTGCCTGCATTTTCTCTGCGACATCGTCATCTGCTGCTTTGGCGAGCGAGAGGGACTAGTGGTAGTTAGCGGACCTGATGCCCGGAAAAAGCAAGACTCGTGGGTAACATCCTTCAGGTGACTTACATTGAGCGACTCCACAAGATTGTCAGTACCAACTTCGTCCAAAAATTTGATGTCAACAGCTTTAACGTCTCTCAACCAAGCTGGCTCCGTACCGAGTTGAGCGCGAACGAAGGCCGTTCTTTCTTGACAGAGTGGTGAACACCATTTTTCCATTTCTGCCTTGTTGACGAGTTTGAAGTCTTTGCCACCTTTCTTGTTCCACATCAAGTCACCGTTATGCGACAATTTCTGGTTTGGTTTGGGACAGAGAGCGTAGCCGCATCTGTTGTCTACATTTCGTTCGTAAACGAGGTCGTCCAGATCAGATGCTTGGAACAGCCCTAGGCATTGCTTAAATAGAGAGGCATCTGATAGTTGTGGCCTTGCTGGATCGGCATCTGTTTTTGATGGTAGATCGAATGCTTCAACGATCAAGTCAACAATACGGGATTGTAGTCTCTTCCTGTCCTCGATATCGGTAGCATGGCGAAGAACTGTAGAACGGATGCGCTTTTCGGCTTCGGCTTTTGACATGTTGGTGGTCATGATTTCCCACTCATGTCGTCACTCGACCTCTGCCAAAGGTGATTGAGAATGAGGAACACCTGACCAGGCGTTGATGTGTATGTCGAGGCGCAAACAGTTCCTCGACGAAGGATCGCGGCGAATTTCTAGCGTACGACCTCTAAACCGAAGGCGGCCTGATGTTGCGGCGGTCTCTGAACTTCTGCCCCACGTCGCCAGGTTGTCGAAGGCCACTTCTAACCAATTAATGCCACATTGCCGACCAGCTACTTTGTCCTTCACCGTCTCACCTCTTCACCAAATTCTCTTGTCAGACGTTCAGGTGATCGATTGCAGAGCCGGGACATCCTCACCCTGTCGTATTACCCTCAGCTTGGCAGCGAACGTGATTAAGGTGGCGCAGGTGCTGCGTCACCGGTCTGATCGGGTAAGATCATTGAACCTTCAAAGCCGCCGCAACGCAACAACCTCGCCTGTCGTTGGAGCGCCAATTCACAAGTCAGGATGCCTACGGTACCGTTCAAGGTCAAAGCGGTTTTTGAGTACAAATCGGAAGAGCCGGACGACTTGAACTTCGAGAACGGCCAGATAATCACAGTCACAGCAGAGGAGGACGAAGACTGGTATGCCGGTGCATATGTGAACAGTTCAGGAGAGAAGATAGAGGGCATATTTCCGAAGAACTTCGTCGAGAAGTACGAACCGGCGATTCCTACCCGTCCCTCAAGAGCCCCTAAGCGTGCGCCTGCTCAAGATGCTTCGGAACCTGTGCCAGAACATTTGCCGGAATCTCCAGCACCGCAGGCTGTCCTTCCTGCAGTTGAACCTGTACACCCGTCGCCACTAGAAGAAGCAGGCCCTCCCAAAGAGCTCTCCGATCGTCTACACCTTGTCAAGGAGGAAGCACCTGAATCTTCGTCTGCACCTAAACCGGCGGCACCTCCCAGCCCAACTAGCACCTTGAAATCTCCTCCACCCCCTTCAACCTCGAAGCCTCCTCCACCTGTAGCCGAAAAGCCAACCTCAAGCTCCTTCAAAGACAGAATTGCAGCATTCAATAAGCCTGCTGCAGCTCCTATCACTCCTTTCAAGCCTGGGGGCGGTGCCGGCACAGGCTTCATCAAAAAGCCCTTTGTTGCCCCTCCTCCTAGCAGAAATGCCTATGTCCCACCACCCCGTGAACAGCCGGTGCAGAAACCGTATCGTCGGGAGGAAGAAGATACAAGTTTGCATGAGCAGGAAACGAATGAGAAAGCAGAACACCCTGTTGCGCAGGAGGAACCTGAGGCTGAAGATCAACCCAAGCCACAAAGTCTGAAAGATAGAATAGCCCTGCTTCAGAAGCAACAATTGGAACAAGCTGCCCGAAATGCCGAAAAGAAAGATAAGCCTAAGAAACCACCAAAGAAGCGAGTCGAGCCTACGGAGACCATCGAAGAGCCTGCACCAGCGGAGCCGTCAGTCCCAATGCCGAGTACTGACGACGTTCCTCGCCGTCAATCCGTTGAGCTTGCCGAGGATGAGAGCGATCGGGCTCCCCCATCGCGTCGTGCAACAGGTTTGACGGGCGTCACACCGCAGCCTCAACCGGTTCGCGAACTCGTGAGCGACACGAATGACGCCGATGACTCGGGAGCTGGTGATGACGAAGACGCTCAGGAGACGTCTACTGAGGAGGAACGACCAAAATCAAAGGGCGTTGATAAACGGATTGTAGAGACAACCAAGCAGCCGGCGGCCGACGAAGCGGATCAGGAAGATGATGAAGAGGAGGACGACCAAGAAGAAGAGGAAGATCCTGAAGTCCGTCGAAGGAGGGAACTCCGTGAGAGGATGGCGAAGATGAGCGGAGGGATGGGAATGATGGGCATGTTCGGGCCACCAGGGGGTATGGGTTCAGCTGGAACGAGGAAGCCAAAACCTGCAGAATCCACAAAACCCTCAGAAACCCAGCCTCAGGAGGAGCCGCAAGAGAGAGCTGCACCCATTCGAATCATGGCTCTGCCAGGGATGTCTAACGCAGCGCCGACGCGACACGAAGAGCCTGCGGAGGACAGCGGTGATGAGGACACTGCGCAACCTACCCCCCAAGAGTCCGTAGCGCATGGCGACCATAATGACCATGTTCCTCATCCGTTAGAAAGACGCTCTACGGACAGGCCTGCTCCACCGCCACCTCAGGGTAGGTACACCCAAGTTTGATTTTGGGGATTCGCTAATGTTCTATAGACCGAGCCGCACCTCCCGCACCTCCTCGCGAGACTAGAGTTGCTGCAGCAGCGCCGCCACCACCGCCTGCTGCCACAAGACCAATGCCTCCTGTACCTCAGTCCCCAACTTGTAGGTTATCTTCCGTGCTGGGTTTGGAAGTTACTGACTCGCTTAGCCCGACCTCCGCCTCCCCTGCCTCCGGCAGCCCCTACATCTGGTGACGCCCGTGCTGACGACGAAGACGACGGGGAATCAGACTTATCCGAGGAAGACAAGATCCCAATGAAATCACCAGGTGCAGATACGCCGACCAGCCCATCTGGCGTCCCACCTCATCCCCCTTTAAGGGTTGCCGAGTCTCCGAACCTCGAGACAAATGATTTCACAACTGCCCCAGCCGCAGACAAGCGCACGAGTCGTCCTCCGCCTCCTGTTCCTGTGAGCCCAACGGCTGCAGCTCCTCAGACAAGAGCTCCACCACCCCCGCCTCCAGGTTTCCCGAGTCGCCGATCAACAAGCGATTCACGTGGCCTGAATGTGCCTCAACCTCAAGCGGCTGATGTCAGTGACGAAGACGAGGTCACTGAGTACGATGGAGACTATGACACCGATATCGCCTCCAGTGCGAAGCACAAAGACGCATTGAAGGCCCATAATCGTGACTCAAGTCTTGACGAGGGAGTCCTCACCGATGATGCCATGAAGTCACCAAAGAACCTGCCCACGAGGGCTGCACCTCCTATGCCTCCCGTTCCTGCGCCAGCACCCCGAGAAGTGCCGCCGCCATCCCAGCCTGTTCCTAACCGAAGGAGCTCCATGGATGCTCCTCGTGCGGCTCCTCCGCCAGTGCCTCCATCTAAAGGAGGCGATGATGAGGAATACGACCCATACCGGTACTCTGCACCCCACCACGGCCCATCTGCACATCCAAGCAGAAATCAGTACTCAAACAGACTACAATCGCCAAAGGAGGAGCTTGAAGAGGAAGACTTGTATGGAGCAAGTTCCCCACAAGGTTATATGCGACCCCATCCAGCTGAAAGAAGTGCCCCACCACCTCCTCCGGAGAGGACCGAATATACTCAGCCTTCTACGGGCTTCGCCCCTCCCCCGCCATCCGGATCACCGCGAGGATCTCTTGACGTCAAGAGATCCGGCACAGTCTCGCGTCGTTCGATAGAGCAGTCGCGCACAAGTAGTGAACAAGGTTATATCGCTCATGATCTGGATCTGGGGAGAGGTACGATGTGGTGGACGCAAGACAATATGCCACCCCCTTCATTGCAAGGACGATCAGATGTCCTGTTTGAGATGGAGTCCTCGTCTTCCACTAAGCGCGGAGGCCGAAACACTATCTCGAAGGATGTCTATGTTCTGTATATGGACTATTCCCAGACGACTATCAACGCTAGTTTTGACGCGGTGGATCCATCGCACGTCACCTTGGAGCAGAAGCATGAGCGACCGCCGCCGCCACCTAGGCGGGATCAACTTGAAAATGCGTCTGCACAGTATGGCACTCAGATAGCAAAAGCTGCTGCTGGCATGGTGGGTTCATCTGTCGCGGATGGATCTGCTCAAGGGCTTGTGCATGAACTTTTGAGGCCGCATTCGACGGCACTCTTACCGATTGGGTCGAGGGCTTATGGTGCTCTGGTCTATGCTAATCTGGGCAACGCCTCGACGCAACAATACGACGAGATTCGCCCTGGTGACATTGTCACATTCCGCAATGCCAGATTTGCGGGACATAAGGGCAGTCTGCACGCGAAGTACAGCATGGACGTGGGCAAGCCTGAGCACGTAGCTGTCGTGGCGGAATGGGACGGTACAAAGAAGAAGATTCGAGCCTTGGAGCAAGGAAGGGATCTGGAGAAAGGCAAGAAGCCAAAGGTGAGAGAGGAGAGTTTCAAGGTCGGAGACCTGAAAAGCGGAGAGGTCATGGTCTGGAGAGTCATGCCTCGGACTTGGGTTGGTTGGGATGCAGGCAAATCATAAGCCTCGAGGATGGGATGTTGCGCGAGCTTTTCGCACGATATGACGATCTGTTCTCCTATGGAGCATTGTAGCGAGACTGGAGAAGAAGAATAAAGAACTTTCACTCATCATCTACTCTGGTATCGGCGAAGAAAGTACTTGGGCATACTCCTCCTACGCTGATAAGGGCGAATATTCCGTGTTACGCCCACCTACTGCCGTGTTTTACAGGTAGATAGTGTCTGTTCCTGAGCAGGCAGCCGTTCTCAAGCTCACGCAATCCCGCCCTTACGCCCACTGCTGATCCCTTCCTCATCCTCAGGACGTACCAGGTGTGTACCATGGTATGGCATGATGATCGTCACTAGACAAGGAGGATGGTGTCGCTTGATCACCAATCATGCTCAAGTATCTCCACCGCCTTTTTGGCATCATCCATGAAGTATCCAGACTCAAATTCGACCTCGATTCTCTTTGTGAAGTTCTACAGACCAGCTGAGCGGTTTTCTTCTCGAGAGAGACCAATTCTATTTTGAGCCACCTTCTCGGAAGCGGGTCGATAAACATGTCGGGGCTCAAGCAAGAGGCCGGCACGGCAACCCAGGACAAGGGTAATGACAACGATGAAGACTGGGAGACCGAGTCTTCGTCCGACGAGAAAAGGAAAAAGAAAGTGCCTAACAGCAGTGCGATAGGACCGGGAGGGAGACCGGTCCAGCGCCGTGATCTTAAGGAGCTGCTCGAACTCGCCGAGGAAACGAATGCCTTTTTACTGTGAGTATACATGTACATGTACATGTACACCTACACCTACCACCTAGGTCTGGGTCACTATAACTTTCAATGATTTTTTTTGGCCTAGTAGTATTCAAAAATTTCACTGCTGAACATTGTACGTGCTATAGCTCACTCATGTGCGACCCGAAGCTCGATCGCAACAACCCCCTCGCCTCGCCCAAGCCGCTCTTCAATGCATGTGACTTCGCGCGCCGCACCTACCTAGAGTATATCGTCCCGCTGTTCCCCAAGGAAGCGCCGCACAAGGTCCTTGAGATGGCGAATCCGTTCGTGTTCGACTACCCGAACCGCGGGGCGGGCACGGTATTCGATAGGCAAGGCGGCTTCAAGACGGATATGGCTTGGCTTGAGAACGAGGCCAACTGGCCCGAGTGGAATGCCGATTTGGAGGAGAAGTTCAGCGACGCCGTGGGCAGGAACACTGTGATTGCACTGATTGTTCTGCAGAGGGATGAGAAAGGCCCGATGATGATGCAGGGGAAGTATGATTTTCAGCCGGCGACGATGGAGTTGGCGAAAGGTCTGAAGAGGGAGGAAGTGGTCGAGTGGAAGGAGAGGATGCAGGATGCCCGAAAGGCAGTAGGGCTCGCCGGGCGAGGTTGGGCCCAACAATCACAGCCAGTAAGCACATGGGAATTCAAAAAGTCAAGTCGTGCTTCAGTGTTGTGCTGACCAGCTTGTATGTTTCCCATGTATTTCCAGACACGATGTTCCAAAGCTATATAATAGATGTACACCCTTTCTGTCACCGGAGTCCGAATTGAGCCAATCCCTCCTTGAAACACACTTTTGCTGGCAGTACTGCCCTAGTCTACTCGTGTCACATAACGCTCGAGCCCAATTCTTACGTTCATTCCATCATGTCTTCATTATAACAAAATCAACGGGGCGTCCAGAGCAGGTGTTCCGGTGTCTTCCGAAATCCAAACCTGCTCAAGGCGCTCTCGAACCGTATCCACAGTCTTGACGCCGCGTTTGGACCTCAGAGCCGTCAAGCGGCCCCTGACAAAAGCCTGGGTCTCGTGATCGACTGATCCATGGTGATTGAGAAAGTAGCCGGCCATGTAGAGCGGCCACAGGTGGCTTGCTGCGGCAGGACTATCGATCGAGACGTATCCGATATGTCTGACAATTTCTCTGCAATAATGCTCGATATCTGCGCGGTCATGGTCACGGAGAGACATCGAGGTCAATTTGTGAAAGTATAGGAGACCTGCATATCGCATTGCCTCGGCGGTATTGCAAGCATCGTTGGGAATTGCTTGCGGAGGTGCCCAATTTTCCAGTTCCATTTTGAGATTCCTTGCCGCAGGGAGCTGGGAGGCCTTGATGTACCTGCTACATCCATCGTCCGTCAATGACGAAGATAGCATCGACAATTTGGCGACAAGAGAGAGAAGTCGATCAACGGAGGCGAGGAAAGCATTGCTGTGACCGGCGAGCGCTGACCACGTATCTTTGCTATAAAAGTCCATCACCAGCGACGTATGGTTGGTACCGACGCTCGCAAGGACGTTGTGGTAGGCAAATCTGTCGGTCGACCTGTCAGCTTTAATTGCGTGTTCTCTGCGGGCAACCCACATGTCTAGGAGCATCTTTATGTCATGGTCTGGCGCCTTGCATTGAGCCATGTAATCGGAAATGATCTTGCCGGCGGCTCTCAAGTGTCCAGACCAGTTCTTGGGGTTGGCTTCAAATATCTAAACATCGCCAAACGTCAGTGAGCTGGTCGTAAAAGGGTAGCGCAGTGTGGCGTTGGTACCTCATTGATACTCATCATTATGATGGTGGCCAATGTAGTTGGGTCGAACCCTTCCCATGTGTTAATGCGATTGATCAACTTTGGTAAGACGCGATTGCGATAGTGTGGTAACTCCAGAGCAAACTCTTCATACGTGGATGCCAGATGAGATGTCGATACGAGTAGAAGGGTATCTAGAAGCAGGTCGGATGACATGGCCATGGGCAGGACGACTCTGCAGTAGGTATTGATCGACCTGTCATGCGTGCTTGAGAGCAGCCCTGAGACCGTGTAGAAATAATGCTGTAGTAGGAATTGATCCTTGGGGGACAGTACCGATGGTGGTGCCGCTTGCAACTTCGAGATTGCCAATTGCAGCGCCCCTTCGGACTGTACACCAGGCTGTGGCACTTCTCGTGCCCTAGTAGGTCCATTGCCGCCAGGACTTTTGGGCCGACGTGCTTTGGGGGTTTGGATGCGAGAAGTCGACTTCATCCACGTCAAGCGGATGCTGTAGCCTTCACATTCAAGGCCCAGACGAGTGCATTCCTTGCAGACTGGCTTGCCTTCATCGCAGCGATACCCGCGTCTTCTACAGGTCCAACACCCTGCAAACAGTCAGTAAATGGGGCATAAGGATAACGAAAATCATGGCGAAAGGAGCGGTGTTTCCGCCATACCTGTTCTCACACGCTTGATGTTCCCTGAGGCCATCGCAGCGGGGCATTGTGGAGAGATAGCTCTCTTTGCAGTTAGGCCTCTGCGCGTCTGTTTGGTCAGGCACTATCAGGCTACGTTCTCCGAAACCGGATCTCTTAAGAGAAGGATGCTCACCTGGCAGTGATCAACAGCGGCCGGAGACTGCTTTAGTGGGAGAAGTGAGATGGAATCGTCTGGTACAAGCGTCAACCCGACCCGCAGTAAGCTAAGCTTGGAGGATGAAGGCTTTCAAAACGTGGAAAAAGTGAGGAAAGACGAGACTTGAGTAGCTGGAAGGAGGTTTGGCGGGGGAATTCCCACAACCGCGGCGCCGTAGACAAAGATTTCGAGCTGATTGGATGATTGGATATAACGCTAATCTGTGTACATACTAGCGTAACTAGTCAAGCGGATCAGCCTTCATCCGCCAAGCCCGTCAATTATGCGTTTCATCCCTGTATATTCGGCGCAGAATAGTGCATGATGGTGCTCAGGTTCGTATTTCAGTCCTGCGGAAACTGATCACACCATCCATGACGAGCACAAACCAACCATCTCTCCGCTGTGATGCTCAATGGGAGTGCTTCTCACTGACGGTTGTGTTGCCGTCAGCCTTGGCATCGCCCATCTCGATCTCCTCAGCCTGTCCTTCTGTGATCGTAGGCTCGACGAAGTCAGCCTCTGTGATCTCGGTGTTATGCAGACGCCAGTAATAAAGCGGCAATGCAATGACCAGTCCACCTGCCATCAGACCCCAGCTAGTTCCAAAATTGATGTGGAAAGACACTTTGTCCTGCAAAAATATTATTAGTCCATGACAATATCAATGCAAATGCGTGACCATTACCGCATCCAACTTGGAGATAGTTGTTGCTCCAACGGCCTGAATCGACTTGTAAAAGCCGGCATAGTAGGCAAGTTTGCGAGGGTCGTTCGACATTGCTCCCATGGTGTAGTAGCAAAAGACTTGCCACAGAGAATCTAGCAAACCGTAGGACATGTACAGCTGATGATCTGCGTCAGTGATCGTTTGCAAACCGGGACCGTGATAACATACGAAGAGACACCAGATGTAACCTGAGTCAAAGAGATCCATTTCAGGTCCCTTGACATTGCGGTCAGTCTTTAGGAGAAACTTATAGCCCCCTCCCCAAATGGACATGACTAGAGCCAACAACATGGCCCAGGCCATGACTGCTCGAGTGCGTCGATTGAATCGTGTCCAGTCAAGGAAAGCGCCAAAGGCAGCAGCACCGATGATCTGCGAGATCCAGTAGAAGATGTTGTTGAATGCGCGGGTTCTAGTCGAAAAGTAATAGGCATTGACGTCTGGGAAGGTTGATCAGCAAAGGGCTACCACAATGCCAAACCAAGCCCCTACCATTGAATTGATAGGTGTAGAAATAATTGGAAGCGAAGAACATAGGGAAGAGCAAAACAACCCAGGGATCCGTCACAAGGGTCTTGTAGAGGCCAACAATGTCAGACTTCAGCCCTGGGTGAACGACCTTTTGTACTTTAGTCCCGTCTTTTCGAATGATCCTGTCACTGGGAGTCAGGAAGCAACAGAGCAGAGCTCCGGCTGCCTCCAGGACAATAAAACCAACGTAGGTTCCATCAGTGACATGGCCGGCCTTGACACTCCAATTCTGGCCCAGAGACACCGCAGCTCCGATGACTGCACCAAGGTTGAAAAGAAGCCAAGTGATCGAGATGGCGCGACCTCGCTGAGATTCGACAGGGTAAGACTTGAGCAAGATAGGTCTGTCAGCAGGTATCTTATAGAGCAGGAGTGCATAGTTGGTGTTGTATACTGACCATCATCACGACACCCTGTGCGCACCACAAAAACGCAGCACAGAAACCGAGAAGAGCACCCGAGAAAATGACAAAGCCCTCGTTCTTGGTATGATTGTAGCACAAGAACGCAGCTGAATAGACACAGTAGCCGATGCCTCCGATTGCCATTGTCCATTTTGTGCCCCTGCAGAACTTGTTAGCGCAAAAAGGGCCTCCAGGGACACATATGCGTGTACAAGAAGTTATGGAAAATTCCGACCAAGAATCCAATGACCGCAAAAGTGGTGTGGAGGGCAATGCCGGCGTTGTTTTGAGCGGTGGCATCCACTTGTCCAGCGCCTCCCAGGCCTGTCAATGCATTGTACATACTATTATTGTCTTAGCAATGAGCCCACACCAAAGGCAATGGACAGATGTGAACATACCCAGGATTCAGGAACAATATAAAGCCAACAATGACGATCTGCACCATGGGATCGGAGTAGCTTGGTACCTGGAAGCCAAAGAGGCTTCTCTTCCTCGATGGAGTAACATCTTGTTGTTGCTCTGAGTCAACTGCTAGATGTTAGTCCACCATATATGACACACTTAGTTATCAAGACCAGAGTGTACCTTTCGTCGCCATTTTTGTGGCTTCAGCTGAATCCTTGAGACCTTCAGCAGACATGGGGCTTGCAAGACAAGAAGCCGTTTGCAAAGATTCGAAGGCAGAGTGATGGTCCTAGCAGGCTCGGTCCATGAAGACCAAAGCTGAAGTATTTATATACCCAAGAGGTAATCAAGAGTATGCCATTTGTTGCCCGAGCCGGTTCGTGTTATCGCGGAGGGCTTGAGCAGTGAGTACTAGACTACCATACCGCAGAGCCGGGTTGCAGCGAATGAGAGACTGTAAAGTTATCCCATAATTGCAAGTTGTCGGCACGCGAAATGGACAGGACTACACGTGGGTGGTGCTCTTCCACAGAGTAGACAGAAATGAAAGAGTTCGCGAACACATACCATCGTCAAAATCTAGGCCGTAATGCCTGGAGCCAACACACATGCGGGACTGTTCGAGTTGCCACATTGGGTTAGACTCTCAAAAGAACCCGATATCCGAATACATGCAGATGCAGTATACCGTCTCCTTCCTCACAGTGGGGATATCCGAGTGGACGTTGCTCGGTTACAAATTAAATATTCCCGACCATGCGACGGCTCACCATGTCAGCCTTGCGACTAGACATCTGGGCATTGTCTGAATTGCCCATCCGGGATTAGGTTGAGCTCGACGTTTATGCAAAAGCCGTTAGACCTCCCTCCCTATCTTTGGGAAGGGATTCACATGTACAAGAGGGGCAAGTCGAACAGTCAAGGCTAGGGAAGAGGAACCCGAGAACGAAGCGAACAATTTTGATCATTGATCTTGGACAACTCTGTGGATTGCGTGCGATTCCGTGGAGATTTCCGGTAGACCAAGACATCCGGTACATCAAGGCGGAAACCTGGTCAGACCGGAGGCAATATATAGCTCTCTGAGTACTGACAAGCTCTGAGCTGGCAACATCACAGAACAGCATCTACCTCAAGGCTGACTAACCATTCTCGATATCCTACGAGCAAATCCAACACAACTCAAGATGATCGCATCCCTGGAGAAGCAAAGAGAGTCGGTCCATGTCGAGATCAGTCCGGAGGAACGCAGGACCGGCAAGATCTCCAAACAGAACCTGGAAAAGGCTGTCGTGGCACTCTCTGAGGATGGGGTAGTCGTTCTGGACAATGCCGTCGCGGAGGAGAGCCTGGATATGCTCAACCCGCGCATGATCGAAGAGGCCAAAGCTCTGCGCGAAGGCTCAGCCACTTGGTTCAACTACGACAGCAAGGCTCAGAACATCCTTCAACACATGATTCCGGAGCCGGAATACCTGCTGCCAGATATACACGCAAATCCTTTCGCCGTGGAAGTATGCAAAACAATGATGGGACCGAACCCAGTCCTCCGATACCACAAGGCAAACACCAATTTCCCTGGGGAAAGCCGCCAGCCTGTCCACAGCGACGTTCATTATGAACATCCTCGCGCCTGCTTCAGTCTAGCCGTCAACGTCGTCTTGATTGACTGTTCGCCCGAGAATGGCTCGACTGAGTGCTGGCTAGGCACTCACACGACAACCAAATTCGCCGACCAGAACGGTATGAGCGGCATTCATCAGCACCTCTTAGACGAGACATTTCAGGCTCATGGCCCTCCTGTCCAACCCACCGTCAAGAAAGGAGGCATCATTATCCGCGATATGAGATTATGGCACGCCGGGATGCCTAATCGAACAGCTGATGAGGTCAGGGTCATGCTCAACCTGATATTCTTCGCAGATTGGTATAGAAGCCCTATGACCATAGTCTTCCCCAAATCTGCCGAACCAAAGATCCGACAGATTGAGAAGGAAGGTGGCATCCAGATTGCAGCCGAGTTCGTCGACGAATTGGACCATAGGACACTTGCGCACACCCATGATTTCGGACAGGACGACAAAAGAGAGGAATTCGGCAGATGGCACCACAAGGTTGCTACTAAGTAACAGTTGATGTTGCCACAATTGACCTTTCCAAGTACTCTTTTGCATTTGTAGTTTCAATGAGATGTGAATAGATGAAAACGCCCGACTTGCCTGTAATGATGAGAAATGGAGACAACGGACGGAGTGAGGTGAACGAGATGCATGAGGTACTCCGTAGTGAGTATTATGTCGAGAGGGTGACCATGGAGAACAGTTACATGACTTCAAGTTCAACTGGGGGCGAGTCACGCCGCTTTAAGTCAACACTGCCCAGCGGCTCAAGCAGCGAGTCATGTGAATGACCTAAAGTGAGCGAGTGAATATCGGGCATGATTGCAAGAGATGGCTTCCTGAACATTTGCCAACTTGCACGACTAGCCGAATATTGCTGATAGCGCACCGTCTTCCTGACGTTCGGTGCATCCTGATATATATCCAGCAGCAATCTACGCAGAACATATCCGTACAAGGTCCGCTTTCAGTCGCCCATCCTACCAATACTCTCCCCCCCACAGAATCACAGCGACCATGTCATCCTCAGTCGACGAGGAAGCCACCATTTCCATTCCTAGCCTTGCTTTTGTCGCCGTTCTAGGCTACTTCATCTATCGATACTTTTTCTCTTCCTCACCCAGAACCGGCGCAGATGGCAATCCTTCATCGTCATCCAGAAACAACGGCCTCCGGTTTACTCCGGCGCAAGTCGACCAGATAGCCCAGATGTTTCCGCAGCTGAATCGCAGAGACATTATGTGGGACTTGCATCGGAATAGAGGGAGCGTGCAGGCTACGACGGAAAGAGTCTTGACGGGGCAAGGGTTGGATCCGGTAAGTTACCAGGCAGTCGCATATCTGTCGTGGAAGGATATTAACCTTGGAACAACAGGCTCCACCGTCTTTCCAGCCGCAGATATCGTTTACAAACCCACCTGCTAATGTCGCAACGTCGTCCTCTGCAGCAATGCTGAAATCTCTTCCTCCCGACCTTATCACGCGATACAATTTGCAGGCCAAACTCAATTCCAAAGGCAAAGAAAGAGAGGAAGAATCCCCACCCCCGGGCTGGGCAAGCAGCAAAGAAGCCCGCCAAAAGATGCTACAGCGAAGAAGAGATGAGATGATCTTGGAGGCAAGAAGAAAACTCCAAGAGAAGGATGGAGGAAATGCCGCTTCCCAGCCCTCGTGACATCTCCTGCTCCCATGTTACGGGTCCTCGAACGAGCGATTCTTCTGGGGGTGACTTTCATGGGTTTGGTGTCCATGTATGATTCAATGAACATAATTCTTTGCGAGCTGTGGATGAGGATTTCATGTCATTTCGTCGTCTTCGTCGTCCTCATTATATCTTCTATTTTCCCTCTCTTCCTCTTCGCGCTCTCGTCTGGCTTGCTCGCGACTCGCATCGAGTTTTCTCAGCCCGTCCATGACCCCTGTCATGAAGCCTCTGGACTCGGACAGTTCCATCGCACCTATTCCGTCTAGTCGCGTGCCTTCCCCGTCTCCGGATAAGTGATCGACTTCTTTCCGCACCTTGGCTAGCCGGACTTCTCTGATATCTCTTAACAGCTGCCGCACCCTGTCCGGTTCTGACACATCGTCGCTCGCAGACTCGAGGAACATCTCTGATATCTCGAACCAATGGTATGGCAGTGCTGTCGGCGCAGCGTTTGCAGTACAAGACTCCACAAACGGTGACGAAGTATAAAATGGCTTTCCTGTATAGTCTGTCTGCCGTCTCGGCGGTATCTGCGGCGGCGGAGAAAAGGAGTCTTGAAAATGTTTCGTCTCCAGTTCGAGGATTTCTAAAAGGTTCTCGGGATATAGCCATGGCGGCGGCATAATGTTGGCACGTCGCTGGCGTTTTAACATAATCGCAAGCCAGAGAGGTAATGTTGATCTTTGAGGAGGGATGAGAGGTTTCGTGGAACCCTGTTCGCAGCGTGGCATGTCAGAAGAGTCTGAATATTGATCGAAGTACATATGCCCCGCACCTCAAGTGGTGCAGAGGGAAGGACTTACGCCTAGTAAGTCAAGACGGTCGAGGCGTTGCCGTGGGATGACGGTGACTTGTTCCATTTCGCAGAGGAAAGCGACCTCGGCGGGAAGCAGGCCAGGAGGTTGAGGAAATGCCATTTTGGATGGATCAATGCAATAGAACACTTTGAATGCAAGGCCTCGGTATTGTGGACAGCGACTTGGAATGCAGACATGGGCGCAGCCTCGCCGCGTGACGCGCCGAGCGAGCTGCAGAGCCTAAAGATATCGTGGGCCTACAGGGCCCCGGAAGATTTCTACCTCGGCTGGCCAATGTGGTTGGCTGGGCTGCAACCAAGACATCCTAAGCATTTTTACCGGCGCCTAATAAATGCTTGACCAGCCAAGCAGCATACCGACACTATGGGCACAAGATAAAAGACTTCCTACAGCTTTGCCAACTGCATCACCAAAGCAACTTTCGTCAACGACCAACCAAGGTAAAATGCTCTTGAGCAGTTAAAGACTCGATCTGGTCGGCTTGCGCTATGCTGTAGAGCCACATCACAGCCGTCGACCATGCCTGGCGAGGTAAGGTGAGGTGGGTGAGCGGCTGCCAGACGCTAACGCCATGCTTCCTCTCATTCGCCCTCTCCTGATGGTCTTGTGGGAGCCGTACCGGGTCTTCCGACACGATCCTTCGTCGGTCTAATCGATGTCGCGTGAAAAAGACATCTCAATGCCTTTTTCCATCAGACAGATATGACCTTCATTATGCGATAGTCGATCTTTCCCAATGAGGCGCACAACGCGAGGAGCCTTGGTCAACATCTTCCTCTTCTCTGTCGTGCTTCTACTTATCTTGTATGTCAATGGCAGCGGGTCGGGGTCAGGCGACAAAGCTTTCGCATGGAGCACAATATGCTACAGAACGAGCGCCTCAGATTTACCCGAGCCTCGTGGCATTTGCCCAGGACTATCCGATACTTCGAAGCCAGCTCTCGTTGTCGCCAGAGTTGCTAATGATGATACAAAGTGGCTCGACAAACTTGCAGGAAAGTACCATCTATGCCTTTACACTGCGGATGCGCCGGTCGATACAACCTCGAGGTTTCTCCAGGTTCCGGAAAACAGGGGTCACGAGGCTATGGCATATTTGACCTTCATCATCGACAACTATGAGCATATTCCCTCATCTGGCGCCGTTTTCGTACACGGTGCACGCTGGTCCTGGCATAACGACGCGCCCGACTACGACAATGCCGCACCTCTCGCGGCGCTGAATGTATCTTCCGCCCTTGAGCCATGGGGATACCATAACCTTCGCTGCGATTGGAGCGCTAGCACATGTCCTGCTTCCGAGGTCGTCGCTCAGGGCAGTCTGGGCACGTCTGTTAATGCCATGCTTGAACCCTGGAATCAGCGGCTCGTCTCTGATGCAGCATTACCTGATGCTCTGGTGACCTTGTTTGGTGGTGACGACAAAGATCCGATTGACCAAGGGAGGCTGCATCTAGGACGCAATGACGCTGTACGGTCGCAGTGCTGTGCACAATTCGTTGTTTCCCGGCAGAGCATATGGCAGCATTCTCGAGAAGAGTACATCGCTTTGCGACAGTGGCTGCTCGACGGAAGTGGCAGTCAACGACCCGGTAATGGGCGATTCCGAACGACCAAGGCAGCTCCACCAGATGATCGTGTTGCTGGGCGGATATTGTCCTATGTATGGCATATCCTATTTCTGCAACATAGCCACGGCTCGAATGAGCATATTGACCTGGAAAGGCTAAATGCACTTGCTTGTCCTTCTGCAGCCGAGTGCTATTGTCGACTGTATGGACGATGCGAGCTTGAGCATTGCAGTGTTGGTCGTTGCCATGGACAGTATACTATTCCACCAGGTTTTCGATTGCCTGAAGACTGGGCGGCGACGCATTCATGATGAGCGACATGCACTATATGGTCCTTGTTGATATGAAGAATGGATATCCTGAAGATGTGTATTCTATGATCTACACCTAGCTATGCTTCTCAAATTAAATGATTGTCTTTCAGAAGGTTCCCGACCTCGTTATCCATTTTCCGTACGATCCAATTTCTCAGGAACTCTGGTAAGGGCGCGTCCAGTTCCTTCCCATCACGAAGCTTGTTTATTGCAGCAAGCAAGGTGCGATTATCGTATGTTGAGTTGAACACTTCAGGCACCCCGCGCTCGACGTTGAGCAATTGATAGACCGCCTCCATGCCCGTTCGGACCGAATACTCGGTCGTGAAGATGGTGTCGCGCGTTGTCTCGGCGAATTGGCCTATGAAAGCGAAATTCGCAGATCCTTGCGGCACCACGTCCGGCCGATCGCCTGCGTGCCGGGGCATAAAGAATGACGTGACATACGGCATCATGACGGGCACGCATCTGGCGCCAGTGCTTGCGAGGTGTGGGATATCCTCCACAGGCACGCCGAGATGGTAGAGCCATTCTTGCGTGACCTCCTCGCCCGTGCAGTCCTGCATTGGTTTCTTGACAAAATCCCCGGGGACATCGACGAACAGCGAGTAGAGCCAGACCACGATCTGACCGTCCGGTTGCTTTTTGAAGTGTGGTTGGCGATTGACCGTCCAGCTGAGTAGCCAGCTGGAGTCCTTGATCGTCACAATGCCGCCTGTCACGACTCTGCCGCTGAATGGATCGCGTTTGCAGATTTTCTGGATGTACTTGGGAATGCGCTCGTCCAAGGTGGTAACTGTTGCGGACTGCCATTTTGACTCGGGGATGTGAGAGCCGAAGACGTCCGGTCTGCCGAAAGATGGGTCTTTCGCTGCAATGCGGCGCCACAAGTCCCATGCTGGTGCTGGCCCATTGTCGAGCTTAGCAGGTGTCTGATGGTCGCCTGTGCTGGAATTCTCTGTCAAGGAGCCGATGGTCATGAATAGTAAGTCATTAGAAGTCAGGTCGACACCTCCTGTCTGGCCTTCCTTGATCCACTGAATACGGGTAGCTTGCTTTTTTCCTCCATCAAAAGAGAAATCCACGTCCACAACTTGTGTCTTGTACTGAAACTTGACTCCATGGCCTAGTAGCCATTTATAGAGCGGCAGAACAAGGGATTCGTATTGGTTGTACTTGGTGAATTTTAGAGTCGAGAAATCCGGCATTCCTCCAATATGATGGATGAATCTGTGAAGGTAGAGCTTGAACTCGAGTGCCGAATGCCATTCTTGAAATGCGAACATGGTCCGCCAGTACATCCAGAAATTGCTTTGCAGAAAATCGCGGCCAACGACTTCATTGATACGCTTGCCTTCCACGTCTTTCCGGGGCGTCATGAATACTCGCATGATATCCTTTTGCGCACTACCACTCAGGCCAAATAGGCCGTCAGTGTGTGCGTCTTGACCTTGCTGAACAGTAGCCCGCTGCAATGAAGAATTGGGGTCGTCCTTGTTGAGCCAGTAGAACTCGTCTAGCACAGACGCGTCTTGGACTTCCAATGAGGGAATTGACCGGAAAAGATCCCAGAGACACTCGAAATGGCTCTCCATTTCCCGCCCTCCACGAATGACGAAGCCCTTCTCGGGTTCGTCGATGCCGTCCAGTGCTCCCCCAGGCAGGTCCAGTTCTTCAAGTATTGTGATGTTCTTCCCTGGCATCTGGCCATCTCGAACAAGAAAAGCTGCTCCAGCCAAGGAGGCGAGACCAGACCCGACGAACCATGCTGTCTTGCCGTCAACGCCTTCGGGCTTGCGTGGTCGAGCAAAAGCCTCGTAGTTGCCGCTGCTGTAGTACATGTTTGTGGAAATTGGTGTTAGTGATGCTTCGAGTACCTACCTGCGTGGGAACCCTCCATATATATACGGTCCAACCCATGAGTGGCAGTCGGACGGTGACCGCTGTCCTCGGTAAGCCCAATACCAATATCACTCATGGTATTGCATCGAATCCTTCGGTGGTGTGATAATTTGGCCGTGCGGTATTTCGCTGGCTAGCAGCTGCGGGCAAGACCATCAATGGGATCCATAGTCTGGAGCTCTGTGATCATCAGCCCGAGCTTCCAGGTGTCTTTGCAGGCTCGAGGTTGCATGTGATCATAGGTTTGTGGTACCCTTCGGAAAGAGGCTCGCTAACTGAGCCTCGGCGAAGCACGCTCAGCTCGCCTTCCGCAGCCCGCGTAATCTGCATACTGACACTATCCAGGAAATAGCGGTAAATGGCGCGGCTTGGCTTTCCCTTCGATATTCTTTCTTCTCGACCACGGTGCTTAATGAGCTTCCGCTGATCACCTTGGCCGACCAAGTTCCACAGCCTGGAGCGGGCACTGACACATGATGTCGTATGCTCCAAGAGCTTACGTATACAGTGTCCGGGCAGGATCACGCTCCAGTTCCTGACATGAAAACGACCCTGTGCTCCGGGAAAAGGGCAGCCCGCTGAGGGTAGAGGACTTACTTTGGTGGACGGCATAATATGAAACCCTTGGACTTTGGAGGGGCGGCATTGATCTGGGGCCTGGACCGTAACCCTTTTGAGAAAGAAAACTTCTATCCGAGAGAGATCGCTGCTGTTCTGTTTCCCTGCCTTGATTATGGCAGAAATGACAAAGGGTCAGCTGTCGCAGAGCTGATGCCCCTTTACTAGTCCAAAGCCTTGCCGACAAGGACTAGACTTCATCCAAGGCAATCATGAGTCGATATGACCTTGCACTTCATCTTGCTCTCGATCGAGGATGGCAAGTGCGACTCCGCAACATTGTCATGATGATCAGAGATTTCGCAAACAGTCGAAGCATGCATGCAAGTTATGGCGCCACAGTCGACTTTTTGTTCGTTTTGAACGGCCAACAGTCGAATTTCGACGCTTGTGTCCAGCCCGGCAGCATTTTACTGCCGGTCCTCACAGGGCTACCATTCACTTTCACCTCCAGCTGCCGCTCTGATTGGCCTACACAAAGATTTACTGAAATTCAAGGGTTATTATGTTAAGAGGTCCAATTATTCCCAACAATTGCCTGTATCTATCCCGTGTCATCTGATCCTGCCCAGCTGGGTCAGTTGGCGTGAGGGTGATTCACCAGATATGGGCCAGTTTACTTGGGGCTAGCCACGAATCCTAGAGCGCGATGCACCCGACAACCAATGAAGGAAGTACCAGTGTCAAAGCTGGGAAGGGCCTGAGGTTGTTCCTTAGCTAATATGGCCTCCCTCGAGTGTCCTATGCGGGAGGTAACCTGACGAATACCGGAACAAAAAAATCCCTCCACAACTGGGGTTTCCCTCGACCTGGCCGTCAACTACCAAGCGTGTAGTTGGCCCGCCAGGTTAGAGTTTTGCTTCTTGAAAAAAATGAACAAAATATCTTTTTGGCCCGTGACGGCAACGGGACTCGAACACTCGTCGTGTGGGCATAGCCTGGGTGCCTGGCTTGGCTTGAAGGGAAAACGCTGTGCCACGACGGGGTGCGGTGCACGCGAGTCCACGCGAGTCCACGCGAGTTTTGTCACGCGCTCTGAAAGCTAACTCACGACGCACTCAATCACTGTGACGAGATGCAGGTAACACGTCCGGTGAGACAGCTTAGAACATTGCCACTTTCGTCAGCTGCTTCAACGTCAACTCAAGGCTAATGATCTCTTGTCTCAGTGCATATATCCAGCAACCCGACATTAACCACAAGGGATGACCAGGTCGAAAAGGAGGATCATGGGCAAACAGGGCGTTACCAAAATTCTGCCACGGCTGTGCCTTCTTCTTAGCAACTTGTCTCCTTTTGCTTCGGTGGTGGAAGGCCAGTGTTTGCCTTTTCCGGATCTAGTGGCCTCGCCTTCGACATAACGTTCGTGCTCGGCGCTAGCTGAACTCGCGTGGCGATGAACTCAGTCGCGCCAACCGAGCAGGTCGATTTGGTCCGATTCCATCCAAGATCATTTCTGCCTCAGCGTTCGCTTCGATGACCTCCACGAGGCCGCGGCTGTGCCTCCTTGGAGGGTCGGCGAGCTCGATGAGCTGTTGATTGAACCGCCGTGGCCACTTCATCTCGCGAGGTTGAATCTCTTCTGGTGGATACCGTTGGCAGATTTGCGATTCATATGGTCGAATGGTTGAGTCTGGATGCGGACAATCCTGTACATTTGCCGAGCATCACTAACATACTCCCGCTTATTCAAAGCCTTGAACACCTCCTGGTGTCTAAATATTACCAATGTCGGGTGCGGGCTTACCAATGCATAACTACAAATATCGGACAGACATGATATAGTATATGAAATTGGAACGGCGCACTCGGCCATTGGAAGTCCACGACTCTGCGATTTACTATCACAGGAAGGAATGCTTGCAGGGCCATCTTAGTGCATCTCTTCTTCAAACTCGTTGCTATCACCTCTGCTGAGTAAGCTAGGGGTCACCCTGCACCATCATTGCATCCAGCCCTGGTATTCAGAGGCACCACTTGGAGACATTGCGACAGCTGTATTTGTTCGAGGGTAAACCAAACCCGAGACGGAAAACTGCGTCTTTGCGAGAAGACCAAGGTCCAAGAGCTGCAAAGGTGGTGAGACTGTCGAGCGTGTTACATAAGCCGCCAAGTCCGAAATTCAGTGGTTGGCAGAGCTTCAACTCCTTTAAATAAAGTAAACGTTGCTACTCCGTACAGCACCTACTTCTCATGTTCTTTGGAAGTCACCACATCCTCGTCCCATTGTATATTATAGCGGCTTGATATTCGCCATGTCATATTTCTTCAGCCCCGAATTTGCGCGGGTGCTCATCCTAGGCTTCATCACCAGTCTACATATGACATGGCGACGGCTAGTCAACCAAATCGTTCCGGTCCCCTACCTCGACGAAGTGTTTCACATCCCGCAAGCTCAAGCATACTGGCTGGGGAAATGGTCGCAATGGGATCCGAAAATCACCACACCACCAGGCCTGTACATCTTCTCGTACATTGTCAATTCTGTCAGGGACTTTTTCTACCTCAACTTCAAACCGTCGGTCAACGAGTGGAGAGCCATCAATGTCTTTCTCCTATACCTGCTACTTGTCGCCTTGTACATCTTAACGGCCGTTGGGAGGAAGACGGTCAACCATGACAGCATTCTGCAGCGGGAGTTCAGCATCATCTCGTTCCCTTTGATCTTCTTCTTTTCAACCTTGTATTATACGGACTTGTTTAGTGTATTTACTGTCGTGCTGGCCCACATATTCTGGTCGGCTTCAACATCGGCCGAGGGAAGCAAGAAGGCATTGTATCAATTCTTGCATTTTGTTGCCGGCTTGATCGCCTTGTCGAGTCGGCAGACCAACATTTTCTGGGTGGCCGTATACCTGGGAGGGCTACAGGTGGTGGAGAGCGTCAAGCGAGACATTGGAGCCAACAAAGTCCATGACCCTCCTATGTCTGAAGCATATTTCGAAGGTCAGCATTACGTGCACCTTTTCCTCCTCTATCCCGAAGGAAGATTTCTAACTCAGGAGCCAGATTTCCCGATCACCAGCATTTCCATCGCCCAGTCCGCTTTGACCGCCATTCCCCAACTGCTGCTCGATCTCTGGCCACAAATATTCCTAATCCTCACGTTCGCCGCTTTTGTGGTTTGGAACGGAGGCGTCGTCCTCGGCGACAAAGACAACCACATTGCCACCATCCACCTCCCCCAAATGCTCTACATCTGGCCCTTTATAGTCTTCTTCTCCTGGCCAGTCCTCCTTCCTCAACTTTCCCACCTATCCGCGTTCCGCCGTCGCCTGCCCAGGCTCAGCACAACGATCACGTGGATCATCCTCATGCTTGTCACCGTCCACCTGAACACCATCATCCACCCGTTCACGCTCGCCGACAACCGCCACTACACTTTCTACGTCTTCCGCATCCTCAGACAACATTGGCTGCTCAAATACGCGGCTGTCTCAGTCTACTTCCTCTGCGCATGTCTGGTGCTGGCATCGCTAGGGGGGCCCACTGAAGCCGAGCCGGCCTCGAAAACTGTGCGCATCCTGTACGGAGAGGACACAGTATGCGTGAGCTTCACGCTCGTCTGGCTGGTTGCCACGTCGTTGTCATTGATCACTGCACCGCTCGTCGAACCGCGATATTTCATCATTCCCTGGCTCATGTGGAGGTTGGCTGTGCCCGAATACATGCCACGGTCCGACAAGCTACGGACAGTGGAAGTAGAGAAACGAGCATCCTTGAAGGATAGCCCAGCATCACGCCCAAGCTCGCCCCTACATAGACTATTACGAACAGCAGCCGCCTATTCGATGTGGTTGGAGCTGATATGGTACCTCGTGATCAATTTGGGCACTTGCTATATGTTCTTGTACAGAGGCTTTGAGTGGCCGCAAGAACCGAGAAATGTGCAGCGATTCATGTGGTAGTCTGAACTATGGCCGTTCCTTGTCAGACAGATTCCAACTAATGCAGGCTTTGCTTTATGCAACTGCCTGGAAATTGAGTTAGCTCCGTCCAAAAGGCATACGAGACGTCCGCGTCCCCTATTCTCCACAAAATCCAGGAATGGCCATCTGCTCTGACCATAAATTTTTCGAGTGATCGACAGAAGCGTAATATCCAAGCAATGCCCAATATTGCAGTATATGCCACGTATTGGAACTGTCGGCGCTCTCGACAATGATATTAGACATTGACCACACTTGTTCTCCTTATGACAATCGCAGCCACCTCGTCATCAACCACAGGCCCTTTATATTCCTTGTGACCCCGAATGTAATACCAGATGATGCTGAAGATGACGACTCCGCCTGTCACCACGACAGAATAGTTCATCGTCTGATAATCCACCGGCGTCTCAGGCGGCCACACACTCCAGAAGATCACGAAGATCATGTACACGCAAGCGTAGGCGTTGTTGATGATGCCAAACCAGCCTGGAAGGTGGAAGGGACCCCAGACCAACGGTGCCTGAGCCACGGAAATCCGGCGGCAGCCCTCACCCGTGGCAGGAGGATAAGTGGTCGAGCCAGCGTCGGTGTACGCGGGTTTCTTCATATCCTCGTCTTCCGGGGAATCCTTTTTTCCAACAGCACTAGCAATTCCGTCACCATTACCCACGGGGCCTTCGACCTTGTTGTCTTCGCTCGTGTCGCCGTCGTCAATTGGAAGGCCCGGCGTCTCTTGCTTGTGAGGTAGGATACGGCCTTTGACTCGATTGTAGAGCAAGAACGCGGCAGGGAGGAAGTACGAGCTGTAAAAGCCAGTGATGGTCAAGGAGATGACGTCGTTGAAAGCCGTGTAAGAACCAATGTAGATCAGCGTGAGGAGTGCAGCGATGCCGGTCACAACCAAAACTGCAACAGTTGGGATCTTGCGTTGCTTGGAAACGTAGCTGATGGCTTTGCTGAAGGGCGTGCCGTTGTCGCGAGCGAACGACCAAGTCATGCGACTGGCGGTGGTGCAGATACCGATGGCGCATGCCCAGGTCAATGCGAGCACCACGGCGCCCATCGCTGTTGCTCCGGCAGTGTTTTGAACACTGTCTGTATCTGTGGTCAGAGGAATGACAGAGGAATAGACTCTCGGAAGGGATGACTTACTGTAGAATATCTGGATAAAAGGATAGCCTGTTGCAGTCTCCAAGACCGAGTCCACATCACCAAGGCAGAACAGTACAGTCAACATCATCGTGAAGCCTACCGCGCCGTTGATCAACATTGCGCCGATAATAGCTCGTGGTATATTCCACGGAGCATTCGAGACTTCCTCCGCCATGTGGACAGAGGCATCCGCACCCACAAACGTGGCGACGTTGCCGAGAAATCCTACGCAGATCGACAAACCTTGCGTCGGCCAACCGCCTTCGTTTAAGGCCGTGGTAAAGACAAAATGAGCCGAGTTGTGAGGAGAATATACCCATAGCACCGATAAGATGGCGATGAAGCCCGCAATATGGAAAACGATGATAAAGATCTCGAATTTCGGCAGGGCTCCTGGGATGACAACATTAATGAAGATGGCAACAACAATGACCAACCATGCTAGTAGCGTGCCGTGCCATTGTTTCGGGTTGTAGTCGTTTTCATGGTCAAGAATTATCAGACCTTGGAGCATTGTACCGGCGAAGATGGTTTCTGTGGCGACGGTAGCCACCCACGCAAGCGAGGTAAGCCAGCCGACGATATAGCTGGAAAACACTTTGTACCGCTCGGGAGCCAGCATGTACACCCAGTAATACTGACCGGCGGCGATAGGAGCCATGGAGGCAAGCTCGGATATGACTGTGTATACGGACAAAGTGGATGACCAGGCGATGATGAAGCCGTACACGAGTCCTGCTGGCCCGCCATTGTTGAAGCCCTGACTGAAGAGAGCCAATACTGTCTCCCAGGTGATCAATTCACAGACGGCGAAACCGAACAGAGACCAGAAACCGAAACGTCGTTTGAGCACTTCTTTCTTACCCAGAAGTGCTAATGTGTTGCTGTCGGTGTTTCCCTTGGTGCGTGCCATCGAGCTCTGAGGTGATGTTCAAATAGGTGCAGTGGGTTGATATGTTGAAGGTGGTCGCGTGTCAAGTTGTTCGATACACAAAGCAGATGGGCGAAGCTGAGAGGTGAGTGGGCACCAGCGTGGAGTGTGCGGAAAATTGGGATTTTGTTTGAGCTGGGTTCGTAGGTGTAACTAGCTCTTTACCCAACAAAGGTAGAATTTCCTTCGAGTCGGCTATAGGGAGTCTTATAATACTGAGGAGGCGTAAGATGGAAGAATCGCATCCGAAGAATTGCGATGCTGACAAGGAGAATAACAAGGAGATGAGCGAGATCGCGAGGTCACGAGCAGGGGGTAGATAGCAGTGGGCAAGGCACGGGGATGGTCGTCTAGCACAGGCATGCCAGCCACTGTTAGCCACGACAATCCTAAGATTGGGGCACTCGTGGGCTCGATATGGGGTAGCGAGAGATGGTTGATGGATAGTAACCAGCCAGGTGACCACTCAGCAGATCGAGGAAGAAAATCTTTGACCATAAGAAACTCGCAGTGTCGTGAGTGTCCAATGGTGGCGGCGCACAAAAAGCTTTTGCCCAGCCCACCAACAGTCCGCCTCCCGCGGGCCGAGGGAGTGTTACTGGCTGCCTGGATAGGATAGAGGAAGCTTGCCGGAGCTTGTCCAAAATTGTATCGACTTTCCTCATGCGCCTTATGAGCATTACCGTGTGAGATTGCGATGACGGGGACGACGTGCTGAAGATGTTGATGAGCAGCCGAGGTGGCCATCTCCGATTAACATACTACGGTATGGAGTATGTTGTAGGCTCAAACTGACATTGCTGGTTATATTCTGCAACGTCCAATGCCGAGCTCGACGGCACCAACATAACCGTCACCTGGAGGACACGAAGCATGAGAGACGTACTTTGCCGAAACTGCTTCTCTTGAGGTAGGCAGCCATATATCGTCTCCTACTCCTCTACTCCATACTGCGCCCTGACTGCTTGCGGGTCGGTGATGGGATATCTCACTGCCACCCAGACTGCCAGCCAAGCAGCGTCAGTGTCGTATGTCGTATTCCTTAGGCTGTGGCGACGAAACATGTGGCTGAGTGTGGCTGTGCTCGTGGCTTGGCGGAGGGGTTTCTTTCCCTGTGGTTCGATTTCGCATTGAATGACGTCGCGTCGCGGTGATCAGGTTCAGTTGTTACGTCTGGCCCTCACCTGCACCTTGCCTTCGTTTCATATAACCATCCAGGCATAACTTTTGGTAATCCCTTACACTGACACCCACTGACTACCTTGCCGACTCAATTCCCCTTGATTATTCCTATCTCCATACCAACTTCATACTATTCTACGTCTTCAACCACACCAAAAATGTCTACCACAGTCCACGTCAAGGGCATCTCTCACGAGACGACCGAGAAGGAGGTCAAGGATTTTTTCAGCTTCTGGTAAGTCCAGAGAACCAAAATCATTGCAACGAGTACTGACCCGACTTACTAGCGGCAAGATCAATTCCATCTCAGTCACCCCCGAATCCGATGCACCTGATGCGCAAAAGTCGGCCACTGTGACTTTCGAGAAAGAAACGTAAGTCAAATCTCCATTTCACCCTGCCTGCACAGAGCCTCCAGCTGACAAGCAACAGCGCGGCCAAAACTGCTTTGCTTCTGGATAACACCCAGTTGGGCAAATCTCAAGTCCACGTTTCCACTGCAAGCACCCTCGAAGATGTCGCTTCCAAGGCCGGTGCTGCCGTCTCCTCCTCGGTTCCAGATGACCACATTGCCCAAGAAGACAAGCCACGCACGAGAATCGTCGCCGAATACCTAGCTCATGGCTATAGCCTCTCAGACAATGTCATCAATAAAGCGATAGCGGTGGACAAAGAGCACGGATTCAGCTCGAGATTCACGACTGCGCTGTCAAGCTTCGACCAGAAGTACAAGGCAAGCGACAAGGCCAAGTCCGTGGACACAAAGTATGGTGTCACAGATAAGGCCATGAGCGCTTGGAGTGGTCTGAACTCATACTTCGAGAAGGCTATGAACACACCTACTGGACAGAGAGTTCGACAATACTACGTGCAAGGAGACAAGCAAGTCAGAGACGTTCACAATGAAGCCAGAAGACTCGCAGATCTCAAGGCCGGCAAGGCTCACGAACCCGAACCAGTTCCCGGCACAGACAAGACAGTCTGCAAGTGTGGCGGTGCCGAGGGTGTCTGTGGCTGTGCGCCAGGTCATTGCAACTGCGCCAACTGTGCGAAGAGTGGTCAGGGTGATAATCAGCCAGAGCCAGTCAAAGGCACTGACAAGACCGTTTGCAAGTGCGGAGGCTCGGAAGGCTCATGCCCTTGCCCAGCAGGCCACTGCGCTTGCGCTAGTTGCGGCAAGAGCAGCGAAGGTGCGACGACTGAAGCAAAGGAGGCTGCTCAAGCCAGCGGGCAACAATTGCCAGCCGGAAGTGTCTAAGCAGCCAGTTCTGCACCACTCTTTTCATGTTGAAATGAAGGAAAGCAAGCGGCCTAGTTGAGACTCACTGCGGGAGAGGCATGGAATTTCGAGCGCTGAACCTTTCACGAGGCACGAGAGCTGAAGGATTGTGACGTGCTTCTAGGTTATGTAGTACTCTTCGATTGCATCAGTCTCATTGCTTGAACATTGTCCTGGATGATTTCCTGAGTAATGCGCCAACCCCTGGTCTTGAGCTACGAATTGCAGCTCTCTCCTTCTTGACTGCCGCAGTCCGCATACTCCTCAGCTATAATCCAAGATATTGTGAAATGGTTCTGCGATTTAAGCTCAAGATTCACAATTTTGACTGAATAAATTGCCTTCCGAAGCTTCACAACCTTGCATGCAGGTGCTCGTGGTGGATCGTTTGCAGCCCTTGGTCAGAGCGCAAGGTTCTCATATACAGTACCTACCAGGTAGACGTCAATGAATTTTGGACTCTAGCCGGTCTTAATCGGCGTTGTGCCCCACGTACGACACAGTGACCGCTCGGCAATGCTCTGAGTCCTGCATACGCAGTACTGGACATCGAACAGGTTCCTCTGTTTCGCTAGCCATCGAAAGAACAACGCTGTCGAAAGGCACAAACAATGAAAGAGCAATTGTGAGTAGCACGACCACTGGAGGCAACATGAAGGTTCTGTTTTGCATCGATTGAGAATGCTGTGCCATTTCTTCTCTCCCCTTCAGGGTAAATCTACTTCTAGTAGCTCTTATGTAATTCTTTCCCGCACTTGAATCAATTGGGTTGGTTGCCAGACTCCAAACGCCGTGAGCTTGCCTATCCGATTCCATGGTCTGAAGAAATCGTCCATACCGTCCGTAGAATCAGAAAGTAAATTGCATCAACCCGGGGTTCAATACCAACGGCAACAAGAAATGATTCGTCGTCAGAATTGCCAACGGGAAAATAGCCGTGAAAGTGGTGATCCTCCAGTCATACGGGACGAAATGTCCCACTGGCCCAACGCCAGCTAGGATAATCATGGTAGCAATCGTGACGATGCAAAAGCAGAAAGTGAACTTAAACCTTTTCAAGATGACCGGGATCTCGCGAAAGAACGACGTGTTTTCCGCCTCCTTCGCCGTCGCGCCCCATGTCATGTCGATACTGAACAGGTAGCACAAGATGGCCTGCGAAACGTGCAAGCTTATGCCTCCGAGGTACACGGTCAGCAGCAGCAGGTTGGTGAGATTCTCGAACAGCGACCCAAGAAGAGACCGGTTCTCCGTCCGATACCGCAAAACAGCCAGACTGACCGTGCCAAGCGCCTGAAACACGACCACAATACCAAAATAGATCTTGAATGAGTCTACGTACGCCTGGTCGATATATCCGTTCAGCCAGCCGATGAGAAAGTAGTTCATTAGCGTGAGCGGCCATGCCGAGGCGATGGCGAAGTAGGTACCGATGTAGGACATGATAGTAATCTTGCCCATTAGGCTCATCGGGCTCCGCATGAAGCGCCTGAACATGAGTGTAATGGGTCCGCGGGTCAGCCAGTATCGAAAAGGCTGGAAAAGCAGCTCGGCGCAACCATAAGCGTACTTCTCCCACCGGGCTAGCTCATCGTAGACCGTAAGAGACACGCCTTCTTTGAACCCATCGCCGCAGTAGGTACTGAAGCGGAGGGTGTAGCCTAGCGCTTGGAGACGCAGGGCCATATCAAAATCCTCAGACACGGTGTTTTCTGCCCAGTACTTCTCCACGCCCGTGGCTGCATCCGAGTAACGGACGTCCTGGACAGCGGACCAGCGCAGGATAGCGTTATGCCCAACGAAAGCGGCGACGTCGCCATTGGCTACGGCAAAGCGAATCGCGGTGTAGACAAGGTTAGTGAAGAAGGTGATTGCACGCTCGAAGAAGCTGGTCGTCACGTTGAGCACGCCCGAGGAAAATTGGATGATCGCAACTTCTGGCGAGGCCTCCATCTCCGAGACGGCGTCGAGAAGGCAATCTTCGGGAACACGAGTGTCCGAGTCGATGATCAGGATATAGTCGCCTATTCGCACGTCGCCGTTGCCCCACGTTCGACCCGCATCCTCTTTGATGACGTGGTCAAAACAGGCCTGGTAGAGTTGGTCTTCGTCTTCCTGATTCCACGCAGGTGTGCGAGTTGTCTGCGCCATTTTGTCCTCGATGCGGTTGCTCACGTGAAGACAGTAGTTCATATTGGACGCTTTCTTGAACTTGCCAGCACGAACATATACGTTTTCCCCATTCTCATCACCCTTTGGTTGATGCTTGGGACGCGCAACCCAGCCGATGTTGTTGTCTTCGTAGTACTGAAATCGTTTTCGAGCATCTTCTTCGGGTATTAGTTGCATACCGTCATCGTTGATGAAGATATTGGCACTGCCGCCTTGAAGTTCGTAAGTAGAGATGGCTCTGTTGATAGACACCATCGTAGGATGAATGACGGCGTCGAGACCCTCTTTGTACACAGGACATTGAATGGTAACGTGAGGAAGATCCACGTTGGTAAGACGTACTGGTGGCCTCGCCGAGTAAAATTTCGAGTTTGTAGTCAACTGAGAGACCGGACCGAGTATCTGTGAGACACCGTTCACCAATGTCATGAAAAAAAACCATCCCAGCCATAGCTCCAAGGGCGCAGCTGCAAGTATGGCGAGTCGAGTATAGCTGTGGTCGATTGTTATTTCGATGGCAATTCGTCTCCATCCTATCGCGAGACAGAAAATGGTCAGGATGGCGACTATACCTACCAGGAATGCTTGGTAGAGAACGGTCTTTCTCGGTTTGTCCCAGGCCTTCAATTCCATGTCCAGAATTGAATCGGTGGAAGCAACTTCGGGAGGGTTTGAGGTGGTGATTGCGTACTTTTCGTCGTCGATTTCATATTCTTCGTCGTCGTCGGTCTCATTGTCATCCATGGACCACAACATATTCACAACGTATTTCTGAATCATTTCCGCTCGGTCGAAAAGCTCGGTGGGATTTTCGTCCCACACAACAAGAATACCTTGACCGCGCACGAACGCAGCATAATGATGTCGTTTGCTGAATGAGAGCTCACTGATGCTGTCAATGATACGGAGACGTTGACCATTGTTAAAGGGTACATAGTCATGCTTGTACGACTTGAGGAAAGTCTGGATAACCGAAGTTTTGACGGTCATGGCGACCTATTGCATATCAGCACCTCTGTTGCGAGGCTTGGACCGCTACATACCTTAACATTGAGCTTTGTCGCTTCGTCGTAAAATCCGTTGACGTGCTTGGGTAGTTCTGAAGGCTGGCAGATATAGTCATCCTTGCCTCTCCTCAGTATCACGCCTTCGGTTGTATTGACCTCATGAGCCCAGCGCTTTTCGAGTTGTTGCTGCCGGAGGTACAACAGCATGACTTCGAATTTGACATTGTTTGGATGAGCTTTAGAGCTGATCTTGGAGGGTGATGTTGAAGCTTTTCTTGTAGGAGTTTCAACAGCAATAACATCTGGTGCCACATTGTCGTCATCTTGCTGATCGATCGTGCCTAAGGTCGGGACCTTTGGCCGTCTGAACCCAGGACGCGATTGCAAGGACGACATGGCGATAGCAACACGCAAGACTCAAGCACGCAACCACCATCGTCAAGACCGAAGAAAGATCAGACAGGGCCAGCCTTTTTGAGCATGCGGTACTTTCAGATGGCGTCCCGGTGCCGAAGCGCCCGCCGTGGGTACCAAGCCGCAAGAATCAGATCTTTTGTCAGTATTCCCCACTTTGGTAACCTGTTTGCTGGCACCGCATGGATGATTCGTCTTACGGGCGCGTCCAGAGCAAGAGCAGCGTCATTGAACTTTGATTTAGGTAGTTCTTTTGGCCATGGGAGGGACCATCATGCCATTGCAAAAGGCACAGGCTACCCGATCAAGGCCACAGCCGTGGTCGAGGCTGGCCCATCTTGCCGAAATCCACCCTGACCATGGATAACTTAGTGGTCCAGAAGCACAGTAGTTGAAAATGATGTAGGATTTCTAACGATGAAATCGAGTCCTACCGAGTGCTATGACCTCCAAGAGGTCCGGGTGAGGCTTCAAGAATTGAAGTTTATGACCCGGTGCACGGGCGCACCTGGCGCAAGATTTGCGAGATCGGATGTCCCTGAGACGACACGTGTGAAGCCATTGGTGGGCCCTTGCCGCAATCAGATACCCTTTGACTGGGACCGCCGTGTCTATCGATTGTCGTCCAGGCCGTCATACTTGCACAGACCTCGCTGTCGCAACCGGCCGCAGTCCAATGGTGGAACCTTAGCCTTGCGGTATAGTCGGAGGTATCGCCGTCATCTAGACAACATATCTCTTCCAGTCAAGCCGACAGTGCTGAAGGATCCTCACTGCCATCCGTCAGTGTCAGGCTTGTTCTGTCACACTTCTCTCAAGCAAAGATGCCGCCTCCAAACAGCACACGAAATGGTGCGCTCATCACTGAAACAGTGGTGGAAGAACCTGAGAGCAGGGACTCTTCTGAGCTGCCTTCTCCCGATCTGCCCTCTCCCGGCACGGTAGCATCATTGTACCTGAGCAAAACTAGCTCCCGGGCAAAAACCCAACAGACGCAATATGTTGGATTACGACAAAGCAATGAAAGTAATGTAGATGCTTTTGGTAACTTTCAATGGCAAGAACTTCCTGCAGCGGCAGGCACAGCGATCCCTCCATCTCAGGCACCAAGTCGAAAGAATCCGGCTTTAGGGGCCTCAGGTAAAGAGCCAAACCCATCTGGCTCGCGACGACCATCTGTATGGACGAGGTCAAAATCCCTGGCTGAGAATTATTTCAAACCCGATGCGTCGACTGAGCAAGGGCGCGGGCAGAGCTATTTCAAGCCACGTACCGAAGTGACTGCAGTAGGTCTCAACACCACGAATACTTCAGGGTCTGAATGGCCACAATCTGCTCCTAATTCTGCATTCAACTTTGGAAGAAGGAGGAGCTCCGCAGGTCTCGTGGCGCCCGACTCTTTGGCGCCTGTTAGCAGTCGAACTGATAGCCGGAATCATTCCCTCCCATCCCAGCTGAGAAGCGCATCTGCTTCTCAAGAGACTGGACTGAAATCCCATCAGAACAAGCCCGATCGACGCCGGGAAAAGCGTCTTTCCATCACGGAATACATCAGGCCCAGTGTAAGTGCGGAAGGAGGTCGAAGAAACTCGGGGACATTTCCGACAACGTCCACCAGTGCGCGAGGGTCTCAGTCGACGACAGTCTCTCGGAAGAGTGAAGAGGCTGCTGTTGACGCTAAGGTATCTGCAATTTCCGGCAAGCCTCCCTTCAAATATTCCAATATTTGGGCTCCGCCAGTAAAGTCCGGGTCGCCTGCACAAAGTCTTGTTGCTCGTCATCCTTCAGCGTCCGAGGAGGCTTTGGGCCGTTCGAAAACCCGAGCATCGATTGCAGTCTTCGAAAAGGCTATACCAAAGCCCGGGGTTTATTTTCGAACACGCCGGATCAATGAGAAGTTCACCGATCGGTCGTGGCTCAAGCAGAAAAAAGATCCCCGGCAAAGATGGTTGAGCATGTTTCCATTGCTGGGCATAATCATGGGCTTAATCATTGCCGGAGTGTACATCTTCCTTGGCGTTCGAAGCGTTCCCCAACACAAATACTGTATGATATACGAAGATGACTTCACTTCTGGAACGTTGAACCCTGACGTATGGACGAAAGAGGTCGAAGTGGGTGGCTTTGGAAACGGCCAGTTCGAAGAGACAACGGCGACTGATGAGAACGTCTTCATCAAAGACAGCATACTCCACATCCAGCCTACACTCCAAGATGTCAACCTTCTCACCCACAACCATACTCTCAACCTTACCAAATTGGGGACCTGTACCTCGAATCTTTGGTCCAACTGCGTGGCCGTGACCAACACCACGAACGGGACAATCATCAATCCCGTGAAATCAGGTCGTATCAATACCAAAAAGGGAGCAAATTTGAAATACGGCCGTATTGAAGTTGTGGCCAAAATGCCGCAGGGCGACTGGCTATGGCCTGCGATCTGGATGTTACCGAAAGACTCTGTATACGGAGTATGGCCTCAAAGCGGAGAGATTGATATTGCAGAGTCGAGAGGGAATAACTTCACATACCCTGAAGGTGGAGACAACGTCATGTCTTCAGCCCTTCACTGGGGCCCGGATAGTACCAACGACGCATGGTGGCGGACATATCGCAAACAGAGCGCTTTGCACTCGACCTTCTCGGAGCAATTCCACACATTCGGGCTAGAATGGAGTGAGAAGTACCTATATACCTACCTCGACAGTCGCTTGTTGCAGGTACTCTACAACAAGTTCAACACTCCGTTCTGGAAAAGAGGCCAATTTCCGCTCTCCGAGGCCAATGGCACAGCGATTGTTGATCCTTGGTCTCAAAGTGGTGACGCGGCTCCATTTGATGAAGACTTCTATTTGATCCTCAATGTTGCCGTGGGAGGAACGAACGGATGGTTCAAGGACGGCGTAAACAGTAAGCCGTGGGTAGACACGAGCACGTTGGCGAAGAGCGAATTTTGGGCCGCAAAGGACTCGTGGTACCCAACTTGGCAGAACACGCACGGCAGTTCGTTGCAAGTCAAAAGTGTGAGGATGTGGCAGCAACAAGGGTACAATGGATGTGCAGGTAATGCGAAAAGCATTAGCCATATGGCCAGTTCATCTGTAGAATAGTTAGCAGGAATTGGTATGTTATTTCCAAGCGTGGGTGGATGATGGTGGGAAAGCGCCCGGAGTTGAGATGCCTTGGGGTGGTCATTGTATCATGCGCGCGTCGTCACTGCCGAGATAATCGTCGGGTCGTTGCACCGCAGATGCCTGGGATGGACAAAGGCAGAGCGCGCCTTTGACGGATTTTGTACAGAAGGGGGTTTGCGTCATGGCCACACAGGCAATCAAAGAGTCATCTCGATTGTTCATGAAAAGGATGGCATTCGGATGTGACAGTCGCACGCACGGTGATCTAAAACAGTACGGAGTGGTCTCGATAAGAGTAGATGACGGAACACAAGGACATGAATTGCATTCCGATCAATGAGAAGGTGTGTGATGGTGTTTTGGTTTTTGGTTTTTGGTTTAAGAGCTTTGTTGTCGCCCACTCCCCTCCGCCTGACCTGTCACTCCCGAGACTCCCAAGGACCGTGCCCGCCCAGGGCAAGACACCCGAGGACGAAAACTTTGCCTTCGACTGCGCCCTCCTTTGCCCTGTCCTGCCACATCACCGACTTCTTGTCCTCACCGACAGTTTTCTAGACACCATAAAAGCTGTCGCAGTCGTCCTGGACGATTGATTTTCCAGTTTCTCGTCGAATTAAGTGAATCTCATTCTGCCAGAGTATGAACAAGCCCTCCACCATCTCCACGGACCGCTTCTGTGAAGCCTGCGACGAGCCTGGATAACTGGGCCGATCGTGAAGCACCAGGTGCAAGGCGGAAAAAGCCACGACGAACAAACTGGCGACAAACCTGGTTATTGGAAATTTTGTACTCATTCACAAAGGTACGCTCATTGTGCGCGATCTCGATCGTGATCAATCTGCTACCGATGTTCATGCTGAGACATGTCGCAGCTATCCTAACATTACCCTCCCCTTCAAAATGTGCTTCGAGCGGCTGATCAGCCTGAGGTGCGGCCATTACGAATCGTACCAACTGGACAAGCAAGGCTGCCCCTTTCAGGCTGGTCGCCAATGCGCCAATTACATTCAGCTCAAAGTCCGTGAAGACAAGAATCGAAGCTGCCCCAAATGCAAGGCGCGTGGTCTGGCCAAGTTCGGGATAGCCAGTCCAAGTCTCGTGGGGAGGTAGAAAGACGAACTTGCGACATAGAGGAGATGGTTACGTTTGTTGATTTACATGATGCGGGTTGTACGAATTCCCATGTGGCGTGGGCGTGTCTGCGGCTCTGAGAGAAACGGGAATGTTTAGATTGGCTCATAGATGTGTCTACGTGGTCAGTCTGGCACAAGCAGGATTCTTGATGGTGAAGATGCTGGCATTTGTAGTTGTGTCTGTGTTTTGCATGTTCTTGGATACTACATGTTCTTTTGGGCGGACTAGGTCATGTTGACATTCGTTGTTTCCATCATACTCCTACAGTACCACCGGAGCTGCATCGAGAGGTAGATAGATGCCAATCCCCACTCTGAGAAATGCAGCTCACATAATTCGGATCATTACCAAGACCGGACTGTAGCACCTGTGACATGGTTCGCAGAATTTGCATGTTTTGTCAGGAACCAGACGTCATAAGTCAAGGGGTGGGCTAGTGGGCTGTTTGGTGGGGGAACTGTTCTCATCACTCTTATATTCGTGTCCGGGCTTCTGCTTGACTTCTCTTTATTCCATCCTGCCATAATCCTCCAACATTTGAACACGATTGATTCTATTGCAAAGCTATTTGACATCAAGGTGAGCTGAACTGCTTTATTGAGGTCCTATCCGTACTCCACCAACTGTCCAAGGTGCTTGTTTTACTAACAAAATCAACGCGCACCAGAACCGCATCTTAGTCAAGATGTCTGCACCAAACCAAGGCCGTCAATCCCCAGAACCTGAGCGCCAGACCGGTGCTCAGCAGCAAGATACTCCATCTCAAGGCAGCGGAAAGGTGCGCGACACTCCTGCTCTTCGTCCATTGACACGGTCCCTACCTTCCATGCTTCCTCCCACCATGACTACTAGCGGACACGGGTCAGAGCATCTACTAATCAGTGCGCACAGATTGATGAGTCCAAGGCAAAGAACGAGGGAAAAGATGATCAGACCTCTGGCTTGACGAGCAACCCCACACATATCCTTCACGACCATTCGGAGCAAACAACTTCAAAGAAATAAAAGCAGGAGTGTAAGCTATCAATTGACTCCTCAAGGAGCAAGCACGAACATGCCAGCAGTCGAGCTCGTGGTGGAATGGCCATTGCATAGACAAACTTAATGAGAAAGCGGCATTTGTCGGATAAGAACTGCATTTCGTCTCAAACAGTGACTGTCCTCTTTCTGGCCCAACTCACCTCCCCTTCTAACGTACTACTAATATCCCCGTATGTTCCTCAGCATGCCTGGTATGCCCTTTTGTTGGTCTCTATGGAAATCCGAACCAGGATTGACATGTCTTTCCGAGTCCGAATCTCTGATTTTGTCATTTAGGAGCTTCTTGGCCCCTATTGTGCCGCTCCCGAGCACTTTTCAGTTGAAATCATGGCTCTACCCGGCAGACACAGTCTATCATAGAGTCAAGACTATATATTATTCTGCCTCTATAGTAGCTACCTAGTAGCTGAGCAGGCTGATCACGCATCACGCTCAACTCAACCTCTGACGTAGTTTTCTGCATGCAGAGGCGGCTCGTGCCGCGTTTAGCGCGTACCCAAATAAGGCCAGGTTGGTGCTATTGAGCCGAAAACTACGAAGTCGCATGCTCTGCTCGCGCAGGTGAGACAGTTTCAGCAATCCAACTCCGGCCATGCTGCGCTGTCTGTTACTGCCGCTGAATGCGCTCTTTATATTCTATTTCGCTCTTTGCTCCTCAGTCAGGGCCAGCGATGAAAAGATCTTGTCAAATGGAAGCCCGAAAAGGAGAGGATATTCCCCGGGGGAGTTGATGCCTGTCAGCTGCTTGAATAGGACAATGTGAGTTGCATGGTCACAGTATACAATGGGTACTCGGTACTGATGGGTTCAGTGACACGGGCGAACATGTACGTCGAACCATTTCCGCTTTCACCTGCTCGGCACAGTACCTTCCTCTGTTCCTGCGCTTTGTTGTCCTCTGTGAATGCTAATGTTGAACGTCTCCAGATCACCGACAGCCATGGCAATTTGCAATATATACCGTTCCCGACCTGCAATGAGACAAACCAGCCTTTGGCCTTCCCCTACAACACCCCTCAGACTCAGACATGTACCCTTGACTCTCTACCCGACGAGCTCTATCACTTGATCGAGTTCTTCGTCCACAGCGATGTTCCTTTGACATGTCGCGTCCCATCATACCCTCTGTCGCAAGAAGAGTTGGGCATAACATCATCATTGCCTGAAGTTGGAGGGACAGGAGCTGAGAAGGATCATTGGACACCTTTCACAATTGCTCTACAAGGCACGCTGCAGCTGTCTCATCTACACCTGCACACGAATATAAACGTCCTTTTCCATATGTCGCAAGATCCCGAGTCGCCCAAGGCCGCTTCTGAATCGCACTTGATAGCCTCGACCGCATACTCGGTTCCGAACATTTCTGCACCCGCACCCATTGAAGGTTCGAAAATTGTCCGCTATGAACCTGTTGTCCTCACGTTCAATGTTGGATGGATTGATGGCGCAGTGCTACCGGGGATGGTCGGACGGCCGGTGCTTGGCGTCACAGCCCACAGGGTTGGCTTCTCTTTGTTGAGTTTCTTTGCATTGGCTGCCAGTGCCGGTGTGGGTGCAATGATTATGCTTGTTTACGAAAGGAGAAAGAGCGGGAGAAGTGGCGTGTACGGTAACGGAATTTTGGGTGGCAATGTTGGCAATGGGATACCCAGGACGTCAGGATACGGAGGATATGGAGGCTATGGTAGCAGCTTTGGTAAACGCGACTGACAGCCTTGCGCTTTCCAGACTCAGAAATGCAAGTGTCCTGTTCATCGAGCCCGAAACTGGTGATTGACTATCCGCGGCTTGCCCGTACCAGCCGTTCGCTATCGACGAAGTGCAAGACCCAGCCTTGCCGTGACTACCTATATTTGGCCCCAGGATTCGTTCGTCCGTGGAAGAAGGGCGCTTCAAGCTTGTCCGTCGTTTGTCCAACACGGAAATCTGACAATTGCGCAGATAACCGTGTCTCGGCCATCGATATCATGTTACTCCTTATGCAGGCGGTGGTCGTCACACAACAGGCGGCATCTTAGCAACTCATATCTACAGTATTACCTCGCCCTACTAGGGCTTGCAGGAGCTCTATCGACGTACAGATCAGGCTTGTGGGTGAAGGCAAAATGTAATGTACAAAAATAGCATGGAGGATAATCAGGCTGACCACTAACTAATCCCTCGGCTCTAAGCCCTGCTCAAACGCCTTTTTAGTGTCACCAATTCCACCCGCTGAAAATCACCTCGGACCAATTCCACGCCTTCTCACTCCTATCACAACACCTCTTCAGGCCTAATTCTGGGTTGAGAAGTGTTCGAGCCTCAATAGCAGGGCTGTTTACTAACCTTCTTCCGTCTTATCTACGCTTTCGGTTTGCCAGTCTAACCAACAAAGATACCCGCTTGCTACGGGTACTGCTGTCAGCAGACGACGCCATCAGCGCTTTCTCAGGCTTCCTGGCGTCACACCCTCCTCCCGTGCACCAATTCAGTGCCCCTTCCATACTCAGCCTCGTTCAATAAACGGCATCTGATGCTCTTGTGCCACAATAGAGTGGCCAAAAGGTCAAGTTGAGCATGTTTATAATCTTCTACATGGCCCTGTCCAAAAGGTGAGTTCTGTATCCCATCTACCAACAACCACAACCACAACCACAACTACAACAACCATTCACCAAAAGCGAACTACCATCTATCCCCAACCAGCTCAACATCTCACACTATCCTCTCATCAACACCCACAAGAGATAAAAACAAAATGCTCTCCATCAAATCCACCCTTTTCACCCTCCTTCCCATCCTGGGTAGCCTCACTCTCGCTTCCGCTGGGCCCATCTCATCCCGTCAATCCAGCGTTTCCGTCACATTCATCGGCGCCGCCGACGCCCAATACACCCTCGACATGCCCGTCAACTCGGTCTTCACCCCGACCAACAACGCGCTCTCCATCTCCCACATCCAAACCAGCGCCGGCGGTCCCTGCGTCTTCTTCGGCGTCGACGGTGCCGTGTTCGTCGCCCCTGCGACCGGTGGCTACGGCGACGTCGGTCCTCCACAGACCATTGCCGGAGGTATCTGCGGCGCATTCCCAGGCCACCAATATGGCATGTGGTAGACCACCTCGTCTCCTTCTCTCCATCCCTTGCCATTTTCCTTTTCGAGCATCTGCATAGCGTCGGCCCCGGAGTTCTAATGTTTAATTAGAGAAAGACCTGGGATTTTCTGCATAGCGAGGGGGCGTTTACTCTGACTCCAGACAGACTACTGGGAAATGATACCATCTTTTACAGTTGAGAAGCTCTTCAATTCCATCGCCCTATGGCGCAATCCTATCCTACTTATCCACGTCGTCACCCCCTGTTCTCAAACACAACCCCCTCCGCCCCATCCCACCCCTGACCCCTACTTCCCCGCTCCGCCGCCGCCCTCTCCACCAGCGTCCTTCGGCTCCGAGCCCCTATCCACCGCAAACGGCAACTCCTCTTCTTTCTCCCACCTCGGCCTACCCCGGCCCAACCCCCTACTGCCCAAGCCCCTGTCCTCGACGCCCACCTTCCGCGCACCGGCCTTCCCACCATCCACTCCGCTCTTGGCAGCCGCCATGCCTCCATCCGCCCCTGACCGGGCCTCCATCCCCTTCCTCTCCTTCTCCGCGACCAGCCGTTTCTCCTCCCGTATCCTCATCAACTCCCACTCCTCAGGCAACGGCCGAACCGGCGCTGGCTCAAACGTATAGATGTCTCGATTCCACATCTGCGAGATGTTCACATAGTCCCCTTCCAAGGCCGTGCTGGGCTTCGTGGCGACCTTTGCTTCGATCTTCTCCTCCCACGAGACCTTCTCCCATTCCTCATTGGCCATTTTTTTTGGTTTGTTTGTTGCTTGTTTCTTTGGCTCGACCTTGGCTTTTGATTGAGGCTTGAAGGTGTATGTATGTTCGTGATGTTCTGCGCGGAGTCTAGGCGCTTGATTGGGGATATACGGCTGTTGGGTTCGCGTGTTCCGCAAGCTCGGAAAGGTGTATGTGTTGTCGAGAAAATGCAAGGCTTGCGAGGTGAGTATCCGCGGTCTTGTCTAGATGTGCGTGTGGATGTGGGTGTGTTCGAGGTCTGAAAGAAAACCAATTCAAACGTGCAGGTGAGCTAGTTCTTCGCGCTGTTTGAGCGCCTATTTACACACGATGTCGAGGATTCGAAGTTCGAGCTGAGCAATCTGAAGAGGCGGTTGCTTTCGTGTTTGAGGCGGCTGTTTGTTCGCTGTGCACAAGTCTGAAAGATGAGAGAAGTGTTTGTTGGCTCTCACAGGCTTCCGCAGAGTGAGAACAATATCAGGACGCCAGGCAACGACGGCAAAACGGTGACACGATTCACAATGTCTGCATTGAATAGAACGCATGTCAGGCAGAATGATGTCGTCGAGGACAATATGGTATGGGATAGCCGCGCTTTGCGTTCAGGGTGGTGAATTGGCTTGAGTCGCGGCCATAAAACGACTCGTACCATTGAGTGAGGTTACTTGCGTCCATGTCTAGGTTGCCGCGTCTAGCCAGAGCACAGAGTCTCCTTCATCACGACGACTGGAACGGTTGGAAGCTATACGAATGCGGGCTGAAGGGAAGACAAGACTTGCCATGTCCACCTATAGCGTGAGTATGGGTATCGTCCTTTTCAGAAGACAAGGCTCTGGCTCAGGGGTAACATGTAGTATAACAAAAGTACCCGACGGTATGTTACCATGCTCAACGTGTCATTGTTATAAACACAGTGTCGGGACCTGGGCCTTTGAGCCGTCACGGCACGCCAAATGTGCAATGCCTCACAGAACAGCACATTAGGATTGTAATTTTTGAGAGAGTCAATCATCAGCAAGCACTAGAGCAAGCGAACGGTGAGAAATCAAGCTGCGAGATGAGGTTGAATAGGCTTACCCCTGAGATTCTTGGCGGGGGCTCAGCCTTGTGCATTGTCGACCATGGTGGTCGCCATACCACCATTGGCATTCTGTACCATGTACGGTACGGAACTGGCCCATATGATCTTCATCATTTCTGATGTTTGTCCCTGGAGTCATTCATAGCAGTAAATATCCAACTTCTTCCATCATTTCAAACGTTCGTCCAGGTTGTGAGCATCAACTTATTCTTACCGGTCAATTGCCTGTATTCCCCCTCATCTGTACCTCTTTTATTCGCTGCCTTTAGAGTGACGGTCGCCAGACATCTATCTATCTTGACGGGTATCAACCCTGATTAGGCGCATGCACTTGACAACATAAAGAGCTCTGCTCATGCCGGCAGGACGATCAGCATACTCCTACTCCCAAGGATGACACGGCCATTTCTCATCTCATATTATTGGGTGTAATTTAACTATTGAAAGCCAAGCTAGCTATGCCATCAAAGAAAATAGTCTATGTCGACGCCAGCGTCCATCTAGACATATCACAATCATACAGTGCCACGAATCCTCTCATCCGCATACTACTAGTCAGCCTCAGTCCGTTGAAAACCACAACCTATCAAGGTGAGGCATATAGACCCAATGTACTTTCGCGAGTCCTTCTGCTCTTTCAACTGTACACCATCCCATCCCTAACGTAGCACCATGTTTTCAACATCTTTGTTGAAGTCTGGAGTTGTTAGTTCGGACTTCTCAAACCGTCGGGTGAATCTGTATGTCCATCCCGGCTTCTCGTCCTTTCCAGGGTTTGGCTCTTTGTCGACTTCCTCAAGGTCCTCACTGTGTCCTTTACGAAGGTTTGTTGTGCTCAACTTCGTAATGACCTTGCCCAGTGTCTTTCCAACTGGTGAGGCCATCAAGGTCAAGCTTCTCTTCTTAGCCTTTGAAACATGGACATTCGAGCGCTCTTCAGTGCTGAACTGATCAGACTGCTTGCCATGGTGTTCAGTGGTGCTTCCGTTACGATGCAAGTCTGGTGTTTCAGCAGGCTTTTCCGGACTCGAGCTTGATTTGGCCTCTGAAATCTTGCTGAGCTGTGCAATCGAAGGACTGCCGGTCCCAGCTTGATCATCACTCCGTCCTAACTTGGCCTTGTAAATCCATCTCTTCTTGAGAGAGTCTGGGACTTCATGGGCGTTGAGGTCCAGGATGGAGCTATGTACAGCAAGGCGCACACCGCGTCGTGAGAACCGTCTCTCTAGTGGATCCTCTTCTTTCTTCTTTTCTGCTCCCTTGTCCGATGGTAAAAAGTCTTCGACTGCGAGTGTCTCGACGCCAGTGGCAGTGGATAAATTTCGGCCGTGTGCTCCAGGCTTGAAAATAGGGGTGGCTGCTGAAGAAGCAGAGGAGGGGCTGTGTTGGTGAGATTTCTTTGCAGAGTTCTGAAGCTCAGTGATTGCGGCCTTGCTCGCAAAGACAGACTGTAATATTGCAAGGTCATCTTGTAGGATGTGAGGAGACGATTCAGCAAGGCGCACAGAAGGGCTTCGAGCAGGTCAGCCTTGGAGAATCTCATAAAGGACAGATACACACCTCTGCAGACCATATTCGGTGCCATGATGAAGTACTGTGCGCATGACAATCAGGGTAGACTTGTTGGCCTCGAGGTGTCGCCGCAGTCTTTTCATGTATGGCTTCCTGTGCAGCCAGCCCACTGCGGTAGCTCCAATTCGATCAGCTTTGTGCATTTCTCGGCAGCAATCCTCAACATCTTCAAATATGCCCTCGAGGTGACGGTAGATTTCTCTGAGGTCTTCCTCGAATACGTTGGTATATTGGTCCTTATTGGTTTTGACGGCGCAATCGAGGCTGATCAATTCAGACGAAAGGAGCTTCAGCTCTTCGGCGGCTTCAGAGATCTCGGACGAGGTGGTTTGGTGACCACAGTCTAGACGCAGCTCATTCAAGCCTGTCGACAGCGCCTCCGCATGCTCGGCGAGGCAGGCCAGATCAACCTCGTCGGTGGTATGCTGTTCGAACATCTTGATCCCGATGTCGTAGAGAATGAGTTCGTGTGAGGTAGGCAGACAGTCGAGAAGCAGCTGGGAATGGGTGTAAACGAGTGAGGACGTTGGAGGGGCAACTGCGACTGTTAATAAAAGAGAGAGAAAGAGGGAGTGCTCCAGCGTCTTACAGCAGTAAACAGAAGCTTCCATAAACCATCAACTTCGGAGAGGCACCTTCATTCACTTCCAAATTGCTTTGACCTTCCATCTCGGTCTTCAATTACTTGACTTGTAGTCGCGCCTTCCCGAGACAGTCTGCAGTTGTTGCTACGCAGGAGTGATCTGCTGTGGGTTCTCATTGTTCCCGTCATGATCGTCCGCCTTGGTCTACATCCGAGTGAATCGCTATTCCTTGCATACATATTCGGAATGCCTCTTCATCAGCGTATCCATTGTCTTTGAGCTTCTCGCAATGTGAAAAAATGTGTGACTTGACATCTCGAACTTCTCCCGATAGCTCTGCATTACCCACAGCATATAGAATGAACGCAAGGCTCTCACGATTTGCAGTCAAGGATCCGCGTGGAGCGAATGGGCTCTTCCTGCCGCAGGAGACGACTCTGCACTAGAGTCGTAGCAAATGGCATGATCACCATCATTTCTTTCCCCGAGCCCCCCGGGGCTCATTTAATCAATCTTACCCAGAAGCATGATCATGTAACCCGTTCAATCTCCAAAGAGGTCTTCCAGCGTCTGCAACATCCTCTTCTGCAATTCTCTGAGTTCACCCTTGTCGATTCTTCCTTTTGCAGCTCCAGTTTTCTCAGGTCCTTGTTCCAAGACAACCAGATCATGCTTGATAGCATAGAACGGCACTCCTATTGCCCTCAACTGTCGATCGAAATCTGCTGCCATTGTCGTAAGCCCGGCGTAAACTTTCCTATCGTAGGCTTCCAATTCTGCTTGGTCCGTCTTCGGATCTGAAGAAGCCATAGGGACTTCCTTCCCACCTAGTGACTTCAAAAGAGCAGCAACTTGTTGAGACGTCCCGGATCTGCCTTGCTGTCTAGCCACAATTGCCTCCCGACCCGCCCACCACTGACGCTCATGCTTGTGCTGTTCAGAAATAAGATGCTTGATTCGATTGGCTGCCTGTTCGTTTGGAACCAGATGACGAGAGACATGTTTCAGTGCAGCCGGCCATGTCGTTATGGTCGACGCGTCAGGGGCTGTAGGTGTCGAAGGCTTGCTTGATACGTCTGCTGGACATGGTTGTGTTAATGCCTTATGCGAACTTGAAATCTGGTGTCGGAGAACAGGAGGCGGAGAGATAGGTCTCTGCTGACTTGACTGTGAAGGTAGGAATCCCAGGCCTGGAATGCTGGAAGCAAATGTGGCCAATTCCGGATTATAGGCTTGCTCGGAGTCGAAGGGAGATTGTTGTGGAGCGCCTGATGTTTGTGAACTATAACTGTTCAAGGCCGCGAGGACTCGCTGCAAGTCTGGGTTGCGCTCCATCTTGCTGGCTGAATAGGATTTTTAAGAGGCCCATCTGCCAGCCTGAGACAGGACACCCTCCATCCGATGATGGTGTTCAAGGCCTATTCCCGGGGGCTTCAAGAATGGTGTCGCGAAGTGCAAATATGAGGTGAAAAGCACAAGGCCAGAGTTGGACAGATCTGGTCCAAGAAGTGAAGTTGTAATAGGTCTTGGCGGTCATCCTTGCGCCGCTTTTAATGACCCGTCTGCCTGCTACTCGCGCTTCACAACTACATGAACAACCCACGACAGGAGAGAGCTCCAGGAGTTACTTAGTTTGAACTGAGCTGACTCTTCTTCTAAGCAAGCTGTCGAGCAGCCCTAACGCTACTCGAGGCAAAGATCCTCAATCTATCACCATACTGTTGCTCTGCCTCGTCTCCTCCACGTAGCCCGACTTGCGTGCAGTCACCCAGAGCTGGAGAAAAGACCACTTGCTGCGCGCCTCCGGCTTGTATGTCAGCGTCTCTCCCTGCTCTACCTCAAATGGTTCACTTGGCTTGCCATTGACAGTCCACCACGCTTCGAGTGACACGCCGGGATCCCATCGTCCCACGTTCGCCTTAAAGACACACCCTGCTTGACCACAGTCTCCGGTCTCGATAGAGGGTGCCGCCTGGCGTGCGAGTGCTGCTTGATGGCCACCATATGCAAGCACCTCACTGAAGGTGTTTCCCCTTGAAGACGGTGTTGTAACAGTACTCGACAGTGGCGTTACTCCCTTAGGGGAGTGATCTTCGATCCAACTGTGGACTAGCTCAAGAAAGTTCCATATTTCTCGGCCTTGGTAGTTGCCACCGTGCGGCTTCTCTGGAAGAATCGTGATGTTGGCCCAGTTGGGTCCGCCGGCGGCTTCGATGCGCTTCTGAAATTCTATGACGCCCTCATTTAGATAGTAATCGTCCCACGTCCCGACGTAGATGAACAGACGTTCGCGCAGCGTCTCCCCGAGGTTGCGGTCGTTATCCCAATTACTGACGATATAGTCAGCCAGATCCATGTGCCTCCAGTACTCAACGGCCTCAGGATAGATTTCCCCGGTGACCTTGTTCCATGGTTCCAGAGGATAGCCATTGACGCCCTGTACGCCAAACACCGCGTTCCAAACGTCCCATTGCAGAGACGACCGCGTCGAAGTGCCAAACGTAAGCTCCCAGTGATTCTCCTGCGCTACAGTGGCTAGAACAACTTCGGTGCCGTTTTCGAAGTCACGTATAGACGGGGTCGCACTGCCGTTGGGGCGTTGATAAGCATTTGTAGCAGTGTAAAGTTGGATATCTTGGTGCCTGTGGAAGTCCAATGAGTCAGGATACGATGAGAAACAGACACCAAACAGATCAGGCCTGAAAACGACGCTGGCAGCAGAGATCCAGCCTCCTGTCGACCCACCGACCTGAATGCGTGCATAAGGCTCAGGGATTGTGTTGAAAACCGTTTCGATGTACGGTATTAGCTCATCATTGATAGCATCGCCATAGGGGCCTAGATTTGCTGTGTTGACACCGTACGAATCGTCATAAAACGGTGACTCATGACGGAAGGTCACTAGAATCATTTTAGGCGTGGGCCGGTCAGGTTGGCCGTCTTCGCCGGGAATCTCTCCTTGGTCCCATGCCTCTGAGAAATTTGACTTGGGATAACCAAAAGCACCGCCATCTGCCGGCCAATGACCCTGCGAATAGATGACCGGATACCGCGTGGTCGTGTCATTGGCCTCATACCCACTGGGTAGGACGATGTTGGCGCCAACATACATATTGCGGCCCCAAAATTTGCTGAGAGCCTCACTGCGAATCTTCAAATGCTTGAGTGTTGCCGTATCTTCATAGTTTCCTTGGGCACAACCGCCAATCTCCGTGCCTGTGAAAGCCTCAAAGACTGTCACGTTGTCCATCCTGAGCTTGATTGTCTGTGGACCTCCCTGGACGTTTGTATCGATTATCGACGTGGTGAGACTCCCGAATCCGTTGATGTTTGGTGCGCCATCGCCACAGGGGAAGTGCACGCTGAGCGAAGATCCATCGCTGCGAGATACCTTGTCGTACCTGTTCAGGAAGGCTTGCACCGAATAGTTGCCCTTGGGGACATCGTCCAAGCTCACGTTTGGGAAGCCCCATACGCCCGTCATGATGTTATCCCCACTTCCGCCGGAGAGCGTGATCGTGTCCATGTTCGCTACATTGAAGACATTCATTCCGAAGAACAGGTTAGGGCTAGACGTAACGTCCGTGTCGTCGAGAGGGTCTACACCGCTAGGAGCGAACATGACCACAATGCGACCGTCAACACTGCCGTTCAGCAGCCCATTTGCAATTGATATCTGCACTTCCAGCCGGGGCGTGGGGTCGTTAGACTGGGCAAGTGCTGCGAAGGGCAAGCAAGCCGCAAACAAAATCATAGTCGCGGCGGCAGTGACAAACTTGCCGCCAGACGGGTGCTTGAGAAAGGCCATGTCGGTCAGAGATAGCGTGCGTCCTGAGGAGCAGCCGTTGTGCCACGAGCCAGCTTTGGTAAAACAGAATGTGATATGAGGAACAAGCAGTACCTTGAGACGTCCTCAAGCTAAAAGCACCAGATAGGACAAAAGAGAGGTCAGAATGCGAGGTAGTTGCTGCTATGGTCGGAGCCATAGATTCCACGACCTCCACCGATTGCACGAGCTCAATTAGCAGTTGTAACGTTACTTATAGCCGAGTTGCCGTCTCCATTTCCCAAGCAGATACCCTGTACGAGCACTACCTGGCTTGGCCGACCGCGGCCGACCTAAGTCTTGTGCCTTGCAAGTCATGATGAAGACCAAGAAAGCCTAAGTATAAGTCACCTGTATGCTCGTTTCCGCACGCTTCGAGCCTATTGGTAATCGGGACCGGAGGTCAAGAGATATCAAGATTGTCGAAGCGATGAGCGGGGAGAATGGTGTCGAGGAATGTAGGTCCCGAGCCTAGCGTTATCGAGCACCACCGGAAAGGCAGGTCGTTGACCGGATAAGCCTTGGCATCTATCTCTGGGCCGGCTAGGGTGGCAGCGAGTTATTACTGTCGCCGTCGTCGCAGACCAGTGCGTTCAAGAACCTGCCGAAGGGACGGAGACATATTATGGTTGCAGTGAATGCACTCCCCCAAAACTCCGTAACCATAGAATAGACGAGGGAGTCCGGCAAGCTCGAAGTCGAGCAACAAGTACGTACGTTTCAGAGGTTTATCCTTCTGTCCAATTTGTCTGATTGCGTCATTGAATTGAATAAATAAAGCTTCAGTGAAGTTTTGATCTATCAGACGTATATTTGTACAGCCTCCAGCCACGGGTTAGACTGTCACGAAAGGAGAATGTAAAGCTGACCTCCGGTGCGGCAAGGCTACAATTTTTCCGAGTACGGTGGAGTATCACGAGTACCTAGCGAGCCAGACACGTCGATAAGATAAGATCCTGTCGAGGAAAAAGTTCAGAACTTTTGGCCGGCCGCATACCGCAGTCAACAACCACCAGCACACCTACCTGGCTACTATCTTGACTCCTTTGGTCCTTCCCAAGTCAAGATGGTCAAGCGCAAACTCGGCGCGCTCGAAAAGGTCGACGCGGACCTAGCCAATCTACAGAACAAAATCAAACGTGATCCTCGATCCTACCACACCGACTTCTCGCACCAATACATCCAATATGAGAACCAGCGGCAGATTTTCATGCAGTCACCTTCCTCCTCATCCGACACCAACTCGGTAATCTCCTTCCGCGACCTAATCGAATTCGTCGCCCACGTGGCAGACTGCTACAAAGAGGAGACGAAAGAGTTCCCGAGCCAACTCATTGAGATACTGTCCGCACACCATGCGAGTCTCGAACCGGAGTTGCGCGAGAAGATCGTGGGTAGTCTCGTACTGCTACGGAAGAAAGAGATCATAGACTCGACCACACTGCTGCAGTGTTTCTTCCCGATCCTGGTGTCGACGCCGAGCAAGAGCCTGCGGGCGCTGCTGTTCCAGAAGATCATCAGTGATCTACGCAGTTCTAATGCCAAGACGACGAACCACAAGTTGAACAGGAGCGTGCAGACGACATTGCACAATCTCGTGGTTGCTGATCGGGCGAGTCCGAAAGCATTATGGGCGGTCAAGATCACGAGGGAGATGTGGAAGAGGCAGATCTGGACCGACGCAAAGGCCGTGGAGATCATGAAGGAGGCCGCCGTGGGTGACAATGAGAAGTGTATCGTTGGTGGGGTGAGATTTTTCCTCGGCGGAGATAAGGAGAGGGAAGAATTGGAGGATGAGAGTTCAGACGACGAAGGCATCGATATGGCGAAGTTGAGACATCAGGTTGGAGTCAACAAGAGCAAGAAGGCGGAAAGACGACTGGAGAAGGCTGCGGCCACGGTGAAGCGAAAACAGAAGAAGAAGGGACAGCCGCATCCATTGAACTTTTCGGCACTGCATCTACTGCATGATCCTCAGGGGTTTGCGGAGACATTGTTTACAAAACATCTGCAAGCTGCGAAGTCGAAACTGAATCTGGAGCAGAAGTTGGCGGTACTGCAGCTTGTGTCAAGGCTGATTGGGCTGCATAAGTTGACGGTCATCAGCTTTTACAGTTATTTTCTGAAATATCTGACCCCACGGCAGCCGAGTGTGACAAGTTTCCTGGCAAGCTTGGCGCAGGCGACGCACAATCTTGTGCCGCCGGACGTACTCGAGCCCTTGGTACAGAAGATCGCGAACGAGTTTGTGTCTGAGGCTGCGGCGGGTGAAGTGGCAGCAGCGGGGTTGAACGCAATAAGGGAAATATGTGTGAGGCAGCCATTGGCGATGAATGATACTCTTTTGCAGGATTTGGTCATGTATAAAAAGAGTAAAGACAAGGGAGTTATGATGGCGGCGAAAGGCCTGTTGGGCTTGTACAGGCAGGTTGGTGCTGAGATGTTGAAGAGACGAGATCGTGGCAAGGATGCTACGCTTGGTCTACGGTCAGGCGAACAACAACAGCAACGATTTGGTGAGGAGGCAGTTGGAGAGATTGAAGGACTGGAGCTATTGGAGAAATGGAAGGAAGAAGAGAAGCAGAGAAAAAGACTCGAGAAGGGTCTCGACCCCGATGCTTCAGATGATGAAGAGGAGGACGATGAGGAAGATTGGAATGCCTGGGATGTGGAAGAAGATGACAGTGATGATTCAGGGGGCTGGATCAATGTCGAGAGCGATGATGAAATCAACATTAGTGACAGCGAGGATGAGAAGCCGTCGGCAAAGAAAGGTCGATTTGATGCTCATGTCTCAACAAGCGACGATAAAGAGAACGAGACAAAAGAAGATGGAATCGAAGACGCCGAGAAACCGAAATCGAACCTCGCCACGACCCGAATTCTGACTCCAGCAGATCTTGCCAAACTCCAAGAGCTGAGAACGACGGCGTCCGTGTCGTCGTTGATGAAAAATCATCATGCTCAACAAAAGTCCCGTGCAGAGCAGACGAATGCTCAGCGGCACATGGATGATCCTTTGACTGCGGCTGAAATTGAAGGTCTCGCAGCCTTGTCACGAGGTAAGGCGACTCGGGCACAGAAAATAGCTCTGCTGGAAGAACATAAAGCCGACCGAGAAGAGCACAAGTCCAAGGCTGCCAGAAAGAAGGAGAGGAAAGAGAGCGAGGGCAAAAGCACGACCAACAAGGAGAAGGCGCGGAAGAAGAATTTCTTGATGACCTTGGGCAAGGCCAAGTCGAAAGGGAAGAGGAGTTTAGTTGAGCATCGCAAGATCTTGAAGGCGCACGCTGCGAGGGCGAAGAGGGGTGGAAAGAGAGGGAACATGGGAAAATGATATGCCTCGTCTCCGATATGATGATGCTTTTTGCCATCTGTTGGAGTAGGCGTAGACGTAGACGTAGTAGACGTTCTTGGCTTCGATATTCAACAGATGGCAGCCACGACATGAAATTTTTGAGGTTATTTTCTCATCCTCTCCATCTTCAGTGCCGCCATAACCTTTGCCCAACATCGTGAACACATCGTATCCCCTCGACTCAACCTTCTTAATCATTAAAGACGCCACGAGTCATTGAACGTCGGATTGCGTGCTGTGTTGTGCAATTTCCACAGGACAATCTCCTCGTGTGGCTCTGACACCTGCGCCACGGAATACGGATTAATTAATTGACATCGTGTCCACCGCGCATCCTCGCGTCAGGATCGCGTTGAATCAGCAAATCAAAGATAAGAGGAAGATGCAGGAACATGGGTTCTTTGGGCGGTTTCCAGTGGGCCAATGATGCACTCTGAATCCCTCCCAGCCCCCGGACTTTTGCGTGCTGAGTCCGCGCCCAGTATCGAATGAGTGGAAGCTCAGCCTTTTAGCGGCGGAAGCGAGGGCGCTATTAATATCCTTGCATGCAGGAGCAGCACCAAAGATTATCCAGGGGAAGACATTTGAGGCTGGGGCTGATGGCTGAATTTCAGGCCAACAGGACCAAGAAGAAGTACGGAGGAAGAAAGAAACTCGCAGGGCGGACCATTCATCCAGCCTGAGGTTTCTCGCTTATGGTCCCTCGCGTGTCCAGTCGCTCCGGAGACTCCAGGCTTAAGATAAGTTTTGATAGTCAGATTGAGGATCCTCTTCCTGCCCCGTGCGCGACCACACCAAGAAGCTCAGCAAAAGTCTCGACACGGCACGGATAGCTTTCTCCCTTCTCTCTTACTTCCACTCTCAGACCTCTATCATCTCTCACACTCACTTGATCGCATTCATCAAAACAAATATATCTTGCTATTCGCTTAGCAGGATATTCATTCAGTCCTTGCACCTATTTACTCACCTTGCGCCTCACCCTCTCTTCGACTTCACTGTCTAGGAGATCGATCGCACCTAGAGCTCGAGCCCTTTCTCCTCCTCGAGCTTACCACTTCAGCCGCAAACTCCACCACTACTCTCCCATCAGACCTTGTTCTTCACAAACACCCATCGTCATGGGCCTTCCACAAGACTTTTCGGCGCCTGCGCCTTCACAGGAGACTGTCTCTCCCCAATCCAAGCGCCGTCGGTTCGCACCACTCTCCCTTCCTCCCATCATTCCAGTCTCGGACAACTCGTCAATTGAAGACCATACCTTCGACTCTCCCTTGATGTTCCAGCTATGCGAACAAGCTCCTGACCGGGCCGAGATCGAAGCTCAACTTCTCCAAGTCGGCATGCGGGTGCGCAAATCTGTCTCAGAAGGATATCAGACTCAACCGAAGAAATTTACACCTCGTCCATTCTTTGACATTCATCGACTTTCTCCTGCAACACAAGCGGCTCTGACGAACGGTAACCCTCAGTCTGCGAACGAGTTGTCTCCCTATTCTGCCTCTGAGCTTCAGCCTATGAGCACGGCCACCTTCTGCGGCGTCAGCTTGTCCTTCCTTTCTCAATATGAGGACCCAGCTGTCTCCCAACAACAGCTCTGGTCGTACTCGACCAGCCACAAGCGAGGCTATGAGGTCGACTCCGATAGCGACGAGAGCCAAGATTGGCAACCTCAAACACCCAATTTGATTGCAGAAGCTGGAATGAGCATGCCGGTGGATTTTCTGGCGATTGATATGGAAACTATGAGCGATGTCAGCCCAATGACGCAAATTGGTGATCGGAATGGACAACTCAATGGTCGACGGATTGCCATGCCCAGGTCTCGTAATCGTCAAGTTCAACCCGTGGAAACACAAACGTCTTCTACCTCTGCATTCAATCCCTTCGCGGGATTTGCTGCGCCACAACCCGAGCCCCAATTCGGCGCTGGTTTCGGTCACAAGAGGATGGTGAGCTGCGGAATGGAAGCTATGGATTTTGGTGATGCTCCGTTTTTGCAACGACGAGAGGATGTCGAGATGGATTGCTCTTGAAACGGAAAAGTTTTCGGGTTTTTATGATTGTATTGTATTATGCCTCGCATTGCATTATGTTATGAGCTTTTCCCATTTATTCGGAGCTGTTCAAATCAAAACAGCAACCTGGGAAGGCTCGTGTGGAATTTGACTGAAGGACGACGAGACAGGCGAGTCTGAGAGAATCAGCTCAATAGGTCTTGGGATATGGGTTTGTACATCATCGCATTTTGCATCAAAGGCAGTGGACTCTGTACACTGTGAGACAGAGGACTGAAGAGAGGCCTACAGTTAGGCCGCGGAGTCCCTTGAGACTCCAGGAGATTGGGATCAATGCAGAGTCGGCGCACACTGCAACATCATGGAGTTTTGCATGCTATACTTATGCATCACGGCCGATTCATCAACATGAGGTCGAATTAGCTAGTTAATGAATTCAAAGAAGAAGCAATAAATTGGTAGTCCTCCTTGTTCACACGCTTCAATCGTTTAGTACCAAGTCCGTAGTCCTCGTGAATCATCCGCCGCTCTAAATTGACGGCACGTGATGCACTTGTCCGCCAAGCGTTAGTTTAGCCGAGATAACCCCAAACAGACTTAAAGAGTAAACAAATCGGCCTTTGCACACTCAAGCAGCAACCTGCATTGTACCTTTGCTTTTTGACTTACTGTATGTTGTCACACAAGCATCAAACCATGAGCCTTTTATGACAATCAGCATTTTGAGTCTCTCTCAAATTTCCATACATCATGGACACAGCAGTACTTGTCGAACATAACATGGAGCCAACACACATGAGTCCTAATCCATTAAGATGCCCTCCCCCTTCAACCCCTCTACATCAGCTATCTCCCGAACGCATCAATCAGCAGCGCATGCCTCTGTCTCCTTCCTTGCCTAGCTTTGCCAATGAGAATGATCGCCCACGAACCCGGGACTCATTTTCGTCCGATGTCCAGTCGAAAGTCGCATTTCTAAACAGTCTCGCCCACGGCACGGGCACGGGCAGCGTGCAATCGTCGCCTACAAGACCACCTAGGGGAAACACCAACAGCAACAACGCCCTCCAGCGGGCTGTGATGGGGTATGAAGAGGCGCAGGCCAGTCTGGCTACACTGACTGCAGAACTCGAGCGGGCGAAAGAAGAAATGTCCTCGAGGAAGAAGAGGGAACGAATGCTCGCGCAGCGCGTGGACGAATTACTGGAAGACTTGCAGGCCGAAAAGGAGAAGAGATGTCGTGATCAGGAAAGTTATGCTAAAGAGATCAAGAGGTGTCGCAAGGAGGCGTACCGTGCTGAGTTGGCGGTCGTAGAAGCACGACAGGACCTGCAGGAGGCGAGGAGTGAGTTGAAGAGAAGCCAGGCTGAAGTGCAGCATGAAAAGGCGGAGAAAGAGAAGAGTCGGCAGGAGAGTTTTGAGAGAGCTTATGCTCTCGCAGGGGTGGTCGGCGAGCTGGAACAGTTGAAAGACCAGCTGAAGGTCATTGAGAAAGAAAGAGATGCTGCCTTGCTGGAGGTGAAGGCTAACAAAGTCGAGATGAACGTCTCGATGGAAGACGAAGACAAAGATAAGGTTGCGACAAACCGCCAGCCCGAGAAGGGGCAATCTGAAACGAGCAAGCATGCGCAGCAACAACCGGAGCCGACAGTTTCTCTGAAGAGATCAATCGAAACGATGGAAGAGCCGGAAGTGTCTGAATCTATGGCGCCTCGTGATATACTCAAGTTCACCCTGGACATCTACGACAAACGCATGCAAGGAGAAAAGCTGACGCCTCAAGAAGAGATTCGATATCTCAAGCAGGAGTTGAGATGTGCTCGACAAAAGCATGCTGAGGATGCTGATATGATGCACTTCATGCATATGCAGTGCCAGTTCAAGGCTTGCCCCTGCCGACTAGCAGAGGAGAAGGGTGATCGTTTTGTGCATGACTACGCATATGAGGCGGCTGTCGACCAAGCTCGGGCGTCGAAGAAGAGGAAGATCTCGAATCAACGCACTGATCCACAACCCGCACAGGTGCCCTTTGAGGACAAGGGCGCCCAAGCAAATGCAAGCACTGATGTACCGTTCCACGATGCGCCACAGGCACTGCCTGAGCCTATAAAGGACGAAGAAACCTACAGACTACCTCCCGATCCCATACCCGACCATCTATCGAGGATCTCCGAGGAACCACTTCTCCTCGAAGAAGCCGTCGAGGTTCCCCTACCCGAACCTCAACCCATGGAATTGGACTCACGAGAAGTCACGCCCGAGCCGACCGCTCAACTTGAAGAAATCACCCAAGTTATCGTCGAACCCGGCACAACATCAAAACCATTCTCCTTCTCCACCTCGACCACAAGCAATCCTGCACTGAGAGCCGCAACACCATCCCTGCGACACACCGAGAGCGCAACGACCGTTCTCGAACGCCAAAGAGAACAAGAACACGACCTCTTTGATCTCTCTCCTCCAAAGCAAGCACCCCCTCGCCGTCCATCAACTGCCATGGGCATCTTAATGATCGACTCACCCATCCGCCTCGTGCCAGACTCACCACGCTCCTTGAGGTCGTCCGAACACGAAATGACCCGCTCAACGACCCCGACATATGATTATCACCACCCCAACAACTACAATCACACGATCACCACAACCACCAAAATCGCACTCAAAGGCTCACCGCAGAGGAACAGTTTGCACAGACGAGCACAGTCGCGACCAGACATTCGCAGCCACTCCCCTCTGAGATCCTCCGCCATGTCGCATGTAAGTGACCCTGATACTGAGTCATTTCCGCGTCCCGTCTTTGCGAAAGACACATCCGCATCACCGGCCTCGACGACGCTATTCCCCGTCACCCCACTTCATAAGCACGCAAAGTCCGCACAACTACTCGCGCAGTCGCAGCCTCGACCTGCGCCCGCACCCACGGCTATGACCAGTATCACGACTCGCGTCCCGCTCAAGGGGTTCGCCGACGCCGAAGGAAATGACCAGTACTCTCCCGAAAAGCCCGGTCACCGATATAACTATGGTCACGCGCACACGGAGGTGTTGAACGTTAATATGAGTATGAACATGAACTTCAACCCAGACGTCCATGCCAACCCGCTCCGCACGAGCACGGCGAGCAACGGGAGCGATACATTTTCGAACCGCGCGTCGCAGGCAGGGACCATCCCGACCTCGATATTGGGCAGTGTCCCTGGAACGCCGATATCACGAGAAGCCGCGCTGGCACAGATCCGAGCGAGACGAGATCGCGCCAGGAGTGTGAATTTGAAGTTGTCGTCCACCGGCAAGGAGAATGGTATGACTGGCAGTGGCAAAGCTGGCAGTCCAATGAAGCCTAAGGTCGTTGGTGGGGCGGGAATGTTCGGTAGGGACAAGGAGAATGTGAGGCGGGAGATCAGCCAAGCGAGTGCGCCAGGACGGTTTGGATACTGAAAGGCGGGGCAGGACGTGAACGTACAGACAAGTAGACCGTGAGTACGGCGACGAGTGTATGCAAAGATGGTGAAAGAGCGTGGCCGAGGAGGTATGGCTCGAACAGAGCAAGTATGAGGACGAGTGATCGAGAAAAGGAGATTGATGTGTAAAGTACAAAGATGACAGTGTTTCTATTTATTTTGGGTCTGGCGTCTGTATAGCCGGTGCGACTGGATATGCATACGCGTGCTCATTCAGGAACATACCCGATACTGGATAGCGGTAAGGCGTAATGGAATTTCAAGTTGAACAAGATATTAGTACTTCTGTGTGCTTGGATCTGATTTCCGCGTTACTGCTCCCTGCATGCACATATTAAGTAGTGGAAGCGTGCACAGGGCGATGGTTTCAACCGCATCGAATGCAACATAACGTGGACATCAATTGAAAACTAACCTGATACAAAACCGATCAATATGAACCGTACCATCGTGGCCGAAATAGTGTTTGCACACAACAAGCCACCGCGGCGGTTTGCTCCCAAGCTTGGTAGTGATCGTTCTGAAAGCCTCTTAAGCATATACTTCCAGTACGATGTAGACTCCGTTGCTTTTCCTCCTCGTATAAATTTAGTTTGCAAGCTTGGAAACACTTTTGTCCCTTCTCATTCATAAGGCGTGCGACGTCTTCTCCGTCGTGATCCGCCATGGGTCGAAATTGAGCGTGAAACACAATTTCCGAAAATCTCGAAGCCAGACTTGAGCATGAGGGAGGGTTCGAGTGTTCTGAGCTAGGTGGCAAACTGCGACTGCGCTTGCTCCTCCAGCCCAGCTGATTGATGACTGCCTGAAGACCGCGATGGTGCCATATTAAGGCGCCGAGCGGACCACCCCTCCTCGACTTCCTCGACTTCCTCCACTGGCTTTTCAAATGCAACATCACCAGATGATACATACGTAAGGAGCTCCTTTGCGTATGCTGCAGCTGTCATGGCAGCGTAGCTGCGCCAGTCATCATTTTTGTGAGAGTCGGCGTAGTGGCAGATGCCCCTGATAACCAGGCACGGAAAGTTGTGCAATACACCCGCGGCTTCAGTTTCAACGCATAGAGCTCGATAGCTCTTATGCAAACTGTCCCGGAATACTGGGTCCTCGACCACCCGCTCCCCCGAGGCGATGACTCCGTAGTGGATCTTGGGATCGCCGTTGACACGTGCATCCCGTTTGATCTCCTCAGCTGGAGAACACATAGTGCAATCGCGCCCGGAGTCAGCATGTTGATAGGTGGGCTTAAAGAGGCGATCAATCGGCGGTGTCGGACGGCAGTATCCTTTGTCTTTCAGCCCCGGACGATGTTCCATCATTTCTGTAAGATAGGCGGACATCTGATAGCTCCCGTTCAGGACATGCTCCACCTGCAATGCGGTGAGCGCAGTCAGGAGCATGTTGGGTGGCGGCCTGAGTATCCCTTGTCGAATGAAGCCTCCGCCATGAATGCTCTTCCCTTTATCATACTGCACAACTCCACCGCTGTCGCCGTTCGGTTGGCTCACCACGACGTCTCCCAAGCGAATGTCGACTCCTTCGAGACGCGGTATGCCTCCCCCTACGCCACCAAGCAGGACGAAACGGAGCCAGTTGAATGTTCTTGCCATGTCCGTTGCAACACTTGCGGCAGAAATCTTTCCATCAATGCCTGCTGGTAGCACCGCTATAACCACATGATGATCATGGATACGTCCGGCAAAATAGGTGTTGTAGTCTTGGCCTTCTCCTCGAATCACACCATGATCTTCGTCCAACATTGCCCTGGCAGCCACCATCTCCTCGCGTCGTGCACAGATCCACCCTACATGATATGCGTGATTCAAAAGCAAGGCCATGGCGGTGTTACTGCTTGGACGGTAGTCGGTTCGAGAACCGTGTCAATTGTTGAGGCAGAGTGTGTGAATGATGGTTGAAACTGAGGAGTGCAGCGCGTCGATTTCCCAAGGGAATCTGGAAACGGGGGATCACTCGTCAAGAACTGCAGGCGTCCAGAATGGTTGAATATAAAGATGAATGACAAGCGTAGGACGCACCTTCCAGTACTTTGCGTAACTTCCTGACTCGTCGTTGAGGGCAGGACTGTGGCTAGCCAGTACTTGAGTTGCAAGGACTAGCCAATCAGGAAGGAAACCAAGGCTTGTTTGGCGGCAAATGATACATCATGCTTGCTGGCTGTAGCCATCCTGTGAGGGGGCCCAACCTGGCGCTTAGCGAGCCACTCTTGAGGCAGCTGTCGCCTGCGACCAATATTTCATGATTGTGCCTGATGCGTAAGCCACGTTCGCCATTCGAACAGCCGTATGTTTGGTGACAGAACAGGGTTTTCTTGGGGTTGCCTCTTTAGTTCATGTGCCTGACTGTGTTCTCCGTAACATGATTGCCTGTTTCAGTGGCTTCAGCTTCAATATAGCCCTCGTCAGTGCCCACATATCCTTCTTCATCGACATGGATATCCGGTGGAACGAACGTGCGCATGACGTTGTCCACCCAGGATTGTGGCACTCCAAGTTGTACGGATTCAGCGATGGCTCTGTTCATCCTTCCAATGTACTCGTGATTAATCTCGCCAGGAGCTGTGCGATGTTCATCAACATATACCAATGCTCGGATGGTGGTGTTGTCGGAGCCAGATAGCGGGTCTGAGGACCAATCTGGGACGCTGACCCCATAGTCATTGGGATCAGTGAGCCATTTTGTCACTGTCAAAGGTAGGTAATGCTTGTTGTAATCCCAGCCACCTTGCAGATGCTGCTTGATATGCTGCGTATCTGGGTCCGGATTGAGCTCTGGTTCGGGGTTTCGGTACTCGTTGTGACCTTCATACCTGTCTAGTGTGGCCTCGTCTTCTGGGGTCATATTGTAAACGATTCCCCAGACTGTGTTTGCATCACTGGCAGCATTGGACTCTGGCAGAGCTACCACATTTGCATAGCCACGTTCACAGATGATCCAGGCGTGCCCGTCCAGTCGAGCAACGGCCACAGGCACGCTTGATGAAGTGCTGTGCTTTAGCCGGATTGACATCTGAAAGGGGGACAGGTTGCTGCCGAAAGCGAAGTAGAAAGTGCCTGTCTTTGACGACGTGTTGGGTTGGTAGATGAACTGTTCTTGCGCCATGTTGCTTGCTGATGAGGTCGATGGCTAGCTCGCTGAGAACAAGTCGTCCGCGGGCAAACTGGAGGATGTTGGTCGGCTTTGGAGATGACGTCGCTGACTTAGATGATTCAGAGATGGTGACTGATAAAGAGATCTAACAGACGCAGCAAGACGACAAAGCAGCGATCTATTGCGAAACGGCGTCTCTATGTGAAGATAGATAGAAAAAAATCTAGCTGGGGAAGGGAGAATAATGTGAGAATAAATAGATGAGAAGCGTAGGAGCAAACAAGCAAACAAAGGAGAGATGGAGATGTCCGAGATCGGGTTGTTGGAACATTTATGCCGCGGCAAGAGCTTCTTCACTTCAAACCATGTGAATGAAAGAGATATTGTATCATTGATTCTGCCCCAGACCTTATAAAAACCTCATAATCAGTCCTCGATGGTATCTCTCTCCAGCATCAGAGGCGAGCTGATGACTCAGCACCGGTTTCATTCAACATTGCAGCGGCTTGCAGAACTTGGGCACTACCGGATTGAATTCACCCCGACACTTGATGGCGCGTTCATGCACTGCCATCATTGCTGGTGTTCCCAACAAAAACAACCTGAATCGCCGCAAACCTATAGGGCTATCAGCCTATTGGCAATCGTGGAAATCAAATCGCCTACGCAGTGGTGATTGCTAGCGTCTTGTCCGCCTCTATGCGCATCCCAAATACCAGGGTGGCGGCAAAGACCGTGGTAAAGACGAGGATGAAGATGAGCCTGACCAGCAGTCGCTTGATGAAGAACAAGATGACTATTGGGAGGACTGGAAAGATACTCGAAACCACAGTCATGATCCCATTTGCGATCCGCTGCTGCGCGTCTTCTCCAATGTCATATATGTGGGTTGAGCTGTTTTCACCTCCCATCCACGCCCGTCTAACATGCAGCAGGAACTTGGCTAGGTATGATGTAAGACCTATGCTCGTGGTCCGCTGATTTATGAACGATGCGAAGTCTTCGAAGCCCTTTTCTGCATCCCAGACACTTTCCACCTTCCCTCTGAGAAAGCTGTTGCCATAGCCAGGCCTCTCCAACCACTTGCGCAAGGTTACAAGGTGGTCAGGACGTGCCTTCTTTGACAGGGCACGGACTTCGATGTGCTGTATCAATGCTTCATCTGGCACCCAGTCAACTGTAAATCTCGACGGGTTGATGATCGGCCGGCGGGCCCAAGTGCTTACTGTACTCTCGAAGAACAGCCCGAATGCGACAAAAGATCTGCCACTGGAGTGCATCACGAGCGTTCCTGACCGGAGAAGCTGAGGAAGCAAACGAGTGTACTTCAGGACCGGCACTCAATCTTTTCCAGCTGGCCCCATATTCTTGTCTGGGAGAGCTTCTGCACGACTGATCTTCTGATTCGACCTCGCGCAATTCGCACTCGAGGTTTGCCAGTTCAGCTTGGTAATACAGCAGATTTTTGATGTTCAAACTTGAAAAGGTGCGGAGGATCAAAAGATCATTGTGCTCAGCCATCAAATGGGACAGACGATCGTAGCTCGCCATCCTCAATGAACTTCCGACGCCCAAACTGGTGTCGATGGTTACATCTGGTATTTCCACTGACATTACAGACACCCGAGATGAAGAACGCCCTGCGCCTTGCCAAGTCTCAATGTACCTCTATACCCAGGTAAGTTCCTGCAGCTCATGCTTGTCCTGCGTGCCCTTTTGCTGGAAGGCAACCACTTACCCGTTCTTGGTTAGCGCTGGCACCCAGCAGAGGGGTGAGATTTGGCTCAAGTGGTTGAAGACATTGAAAACTCGAATGCCTCTCTCCGTACGTACCATACTACGTTAGTAGTAGCCCTCGTTTCAGTCTACGGGAAACACCATCACACCGGCCAGAAGTACCAATCAAAGTCCCAGGCCACCCGCCATACGAACAGCTTCACCCACCTCACTGTTTTGGAGAGTAGCTACTCCGTACTCCTGTTTCAGACGGTGGTGTATGGCTGTCCGAGTTCGCCGCATTGCGAGATACGCGGGTTTCCCCAGACAGGCCGGCGAGGGACCAGCTGACGAGTGACGACTGCGGTGTTGCCAGGGCTCCTTTTGGTTAGGCTTTCCTTATTGTCCGCCTTCTTCTTCCAGCACGCCCATTTTACATCATTTTCCCTCCTCTCTCCTCTTTTTCCTTCCAACTTACACCCATCTCCTTGCGCTCACCGCAGTCACTCGTTTCTGCTGGATTGAGAGGTTATCTCCCGTTTATTGTTGCAGTATTTCTTTTGCTTAGTCGACCGTCTTCCTTTTGACAGGATCCACTCTCCTTGACATCTCCGAGACAAGCCTCTTTGTCCTATGACAATCATGTCACTTTCCAGACGCTACCGAGACCAGCCTGTCGAGGCCGTCAGCCGAACTCCACGCAGCACGGCATATGCTTGCTTCACTGAGGAAGGCTACACAGTTGCACGAGATGCCTTCCATTCAAAGTTCCTCAGCCTTACTTCCGAAGTGGGTCCGTGGGCCCCAGACAGTCTTACCAGCCTGTACAACTACCTCATCGCTGCGATAAAGCTAATCAACTACGGCGAAGCAGAAGAACAATGCAGATACATCTTGGGACTGATGGAAACATTGAACATGGGCCAAGAAAACTGCTTCATTTGCCTCGAATGCATTCTAGATACAAGTTACTTCTTGTCCGGCAAGCTTGACGACGCTGAGCATTTATTCATCGACATCAGTCAGCGTGGCGATCTTTCCAACGCCCACATCAAAGGGCAATTCGATGTCCTCTCTCTGGTTCGCCTCACGACGAAAGATTGCCTGGTTTTTTGGGAGTCTCCGGTTAAGCTTTCTTCGATCCTCATTCCAGTGACTGACTACGTCGACCAGCTTGAAGGGAAGCGTCCAAAAAAAGGTCTGATACGGTCAGGGATAGGATCGTTGCGCCGAATTGCATCCTTGAAATGGCCGCATTCCTCTGCCAGTTCCAGTTGCGGCGGGACGGATGATACAGAATTACGGATTCTACGGATTCAAAAGGCGCTTTATCAAGTTACGGCTACTAGTTTGTTCGACGTTGGTTTCGAAAAACGATACACGAAATCCAAATTGTCCATGCTAGATCCCCTGGAATCTATCTCAACAGCTGCTGTTTCTGTTGTCAACGGCAAAGACGTTGTAGGTGCCGAGATCCGAAGCGACGCAGGCGAGTTTGGCGATGGTATAGAGGCCGAGAAAGTTGTCGATCTCGAGAAGGACGGTCAAGACAACTTCGTCGTAGAGCCATTACAGTATAGGGTTGTGAGCTGGTTGAACGACCAAAAGCAGCATCCTCCTATGCCCGATAAGCCGCCCGACGATGTCCCCAATGGGCTCACCTATCGAAGTATGGAAACTACGACGAGCTCCGTAAGTTATTTCCCAAGCGGAGGCTGATTATTTGCTGACGAGTTATTGCTTAGCTGCATGGGCAGAAGCCGCAGAATCAGTTGGAAATAACTTTGTGGGCCGGCGACGTCCCTCGTCCTCAAGGACAAGAACTTACCCTGTCTGCGTTACTTGATGGTGGTGCTGAGAAAACGTGCATGTCGGAAGACTGTGCACAGATCCTCCGAGCACCGATCCGAGAAGAGGAGGTGCACATGACAACCGCCAATGGACGAGACCTTGAAGTCCTGGGAAGCGTCCGCATCGGATTCATCTGGAAAGGCCCTTCAGGCTCGAAGGTCAAGGCTAGGCTGAAATGCTATGTGGTCAAGGATCTGCAGGTCGCCATCCTCTTCTGTGCAAACCACATAACGAAGCTGAAGCTGAGGGATTCTTCGTCATTACTGGCTCCCATCCTTCTTGGTGCAAGGTCGAAACGGACCAAGCAGCACGACGCCCAGACGTCCAAAGAGATCGCTGAACACGCCAAGGCCAACGAGCAGCGTGAGTCAGAACAAAGAAAGGCGGAGCGAACCAAGCTCGAACTACAGCCCGCTCTCAACAACAACGACAACAGCAACAACAACAACAGTAATCAAAAGCCACGAGCAACAATGGACTCCTTACTTGGAGGTTCCGACACCAGTGTATCGTCTCAAAGGTCTTCTTTGACGGGCTTCCACCGCAGTATCACCACCTCTCATTCTGATGAGAGCACAAGAAGCGGCACCTCAATGGAATCACCACGTCCGAAGACCAATCGTGAAGACACCAGCCATCGTCGCTCAGGGGCCCAGCTGGCCGACTCTTTTAAACTTCGAAAGAAGTAAATTTCGACATCATGGGAAATGAGGTTTACGAACTTTACGAGTACTGATATCCAATGTTTTTGTACGTTCTGCTTCTGATGATCTCCATTTTTCTCTTGAGCGCGGATCGGTTTAGCGAAGTTGATGCTTCCAATTGCATACTTAACATTTTGAGTTTAAGCACGGTTGATAGTCCAAATGCGTACAATTCGCTCAGAACTCGAATCTTCATGCTCTCTAGGGTTATAGCCGGAACGTATTTGCTGCCCAGTAGGTGCGCTCTGTAAAAGCCACGGTAAGTACCTACCGGTAGAGTGTGAGTTCAAAAAGGGCTGGAGGAAGGACGATTGGTTCTAAAAGCGGCACGGAGGCGGTGAGTCGCACATGAGCTGGTGAGTCGAAATTAAGACATGCCGCTATTATCAAGCTCCCAAGTCAGAGATCGGAGGATACATGATCCGAGGATTGAGGATATCGAGAGATTCCTTTCACACCCTCTTCCCATTGTCTCGCCGGTGTCCAGCATCGCCATCTGGATTGAAGTGCATCTTCTGTGACACAGTGGACGTCTAGTACAAGTGGGGCCTCTTGCAGCGACTGCCTTCACTCCTTCTATGACGACACGTGGGTTGGTTTGGAATATGTGCCAAAGGTCGTCCCTGCACGACGCATGACTTTATGAAAGAGGAACTCTCGGGCTGAGAGTTCTCCCCAGAGGAGCAGGCAATCTGTAGGCTGTACGGAGTCGGCGATCCATCAAACATATTCGAGCAGAAAGTCGGCGTTCGTAAGCCTCTAGATACTATTGCCCGATCACACCACCATCGAAGCCAGATATCAAGGCTATACAATGACCAACGCCTTCAACGACCAAGAGAATCGCACAACTTTGCAAACAGAATCGCTTCAACCAGCTATGCCGCAACTACAAATACCAACCCATCTGAAATTCGGGCCTTTCTCCATATCCTCCCAGGTCTTTCATCTTTCAAGGACCCATCTATCCTACGGCTTGGTCAACTTGAAGCCGATCCTGCCAGGCCATGTCCTCGTTTGTCCAGTTAGGGTCGTCCCAAGGATATCCCAGCTAAGCGTTGTTGAAACATCCGATCTGTTCAACACTGTCCGGGTAGTCTCGCGGACGCTGGAACGCGTCTACTCCGCCAGCGCGCTCAACGTTGCCATTCAGGACGGCGTCGACGCTGGCCAATCAGTGCCACATGTTCATGTGCACATAATCCCAAGACATAAGGGCGATTATGACCATCGAGGCGGCGGCGATCAAATATATGAGGCCATGGACGGGGTTGAAGGCGACGTTGGCAAAGCGTTCATTGAAATGCAGCAACTGAGAAACCAGAGAATGGATCACAGAAAAGAGTTCTCGGTCGGTCCGGACAGTGACAGGAAGCCGAGAAGTGAGGAGGAGATGAAGAAGGAGGCAGAGTGGTTGAGAGGTGAGATGGAGAAGGACCAAGAGCAAGACAGCTAGAGGAGTGGTTGGCTCCCGTGGGCCCCCCTTCAAATGTTGGAAGGGCCTGCCGATCAAGACCATCAAAAACACCTTCCCATTGCGACTGAAGTGGCGGTCATGATCTTCTGGACAACCCAATTCGCAGCCAAAGGCATTGAGGGAGAGCTCAAAGCGTTTGGACGTGAGATTGTGCCCAGTCGCACGGAAGGAGGTCACCCTACCCGGAGAATTTGGGTCTGAGGACCACGCCGCCATGCTAAGAATGAATCCAGGAACGACGAGGCTGGCCGTCCCATGGTACCGACAGCGCAATGAAAGCCAGAAGCCGGCTGGGGTTAAGAAGCAGTCCAACAGATGAAGTATGGAAGAGGTCAGGTACAGTTGCGGTGAGAGGATGACCTGGAGCATTGACTCGGTATAGATCTACTCCAAAGGTATCATTACAGACTCAGGAAGATTACTTCTATTGATCATTGTCATTCATACGCCATCTATGTATTGCTCTGTGGGTATCACTGGTTACACAGCAGTTGCAAATGCTCGTCCTCACTTCCGTATCTTCATCACCTGGCATGCTCAATTCGATCTCATCGAATCCGCGTCTCCGTTCGTCTCTGTGTTCGCGTCCGCCTCGACCTTGCCATTGCCATAATACTGATCTTGCTGCTTCTTGATCGAAGAGGCACTCGTCGGCTCACGCGGCTCCTTGTGCTTGCTCTTCCACAACTGATCCCTCTCATCCAGAATCTCCTGAGCCCAGACCTTCATCTCGTCCAGATAGATCTTCCTCGCCACCCAGCTGAACTCACTTAGGTCGACCTCGCAATTGCTCGCCCGCTCATATTCCACCATCTGCAGAATGAGTTCGATCTTGTCGACATCGTGGACAAACTTGGACTCCTCGGTCTCGCTGTCTTCATACTCTTGCCAGACTGCCCGGATCTCTTTTCCAGGAATGCCGCCGTGCACTTTCCCCAGTAACGATTGCGCCACCCAGTCCATTGTGTCTGCCTCTCGTCTGCTCTTTTCCACCTTGGGCACGCCGTCCACAGGTGTCAAGTCTCCTACAAGTCCCTCGGCCATATCGTGAATAAGCGCCATCTTCGTACACCGGGGGATGTCCAGTCGTCGGCTCAGCTCAGGTGGCGCAAGCATTGTGATCAGCGACATGCGGTACATGTGATCTGCTATCGATTCGCCTTTTGAGATGCCGAATCTCCGCCATCCTTCGCGCTTTTCGACCTTCAATCGCTCAACATAGTGGAAGAATGGTACGGGAGAGGAAGAATTTTCTGTTGGTCGATTGGGGAGGTCTTTGAGCACGGCTCCTACGGACCACGGATTCGGCTTGGGCAGAAGGGAGGTGTGTTCTTTTCTCGTCACATATTCGGGAACTGTGAAAGCGTCAGTCTAATCCCACTGCGCCTGACCAGGTGTTGCTTACCTTGAGGTTGATCTGTGGCCATTGTGATTGGAGACTGAGGGGAGCGGCGGCAAGGAAAACGTGCAGGAGGAGAATAGGAAAAAGAGAGCAATTGGAAAATTGGAAAAGCAATGATAATCTATAGTCTCTGACCTGTAGACTGCATATACAAAGTCGCGCAAAATGAAACAAAGAAAACAAATACAGCCGCAGCCACAGAAGTTTGCTACAGCAAAGCCAGAAAACATCTGCAACGCTGTTGTTTACCAGGTGACGTCGTGTCGTGCCGTGCCGCCGTCGCCCGCTTGGTAACGGTCCTGATGGTTCTGGTAGCCTGGCCACTCTCTTCCTTTCTAGATGTTGGGAAACTGGCGCCCACAGGTGAAGCCATGTAAACTAGGTGAGTTCCAATGGTGAACGCCCAATACATTCATTATAATTGCATTTATTCTGGTTTCAGGCGCTCAGACCGGCAATGTAGTACGATTCCAGCTGGATACCTGATTCAAGGGCCCGTCTTCGCTTCAACAATCTCCTACTTCATTCACGCCTATCAATTCAAGTAATTTTCTTGATTATCATGCTTGAGTCGAATGAAAAAGCAGTCTCTGGTCACTACTCTTATGTGAAGGAGATGAAGGTGCAGGTTGGTGTACTGACCAGGAACAATCAGTTCCAGACGGGAGTCACTGACAAGCACCGCATTTATACTGTGAGTGCCACAGTCTGACTGGGAATCCGAACAATTGTCTCAATCTTTCACCGTCCCTCTGTCATGCCCGGGCTATAAAATATCGCTCCAGCTCCAGCTTCTGTGGTGATTCTGAAAAAAACACTCAACAGAACAAGTCATCCATTGTTTTGGAAGTCTTTTGTCAAGACAGGATGGCCGCGGATCGGCCCAGAGCCATAGCCATCTGCAGCATCCCGACAACCACTTGATCCGAATGTGGAAGCGCTATATATATAAATATCTGGCTCCTTTGGTGGTACTTTCGACGGTACGCTCGCTCGACAGAACCATGTCACCCTGACCCCTTGCCTGGCGCAACTACATGGGGTTCACGAGATTGTTGGCTCGCAACCTGCACCTGGCGGTGGCTCCAGCAAGACTGCGAATAGAGATACATTGCAGACAACGACGTCCGTTTGTGCGTGCCGATGGTACGCAGGAGTACCCGGGCCTGCCGACGTTCAACCACGAGTACTCGAAGTTCGGAACGAGCTTCGACGTGGAGGCGACCAGGTATTGCCGGAAACTGGACCAAAGACAAGACCCTTTCGCCTGCGGTACTCTAAATCTGCATATTGGCACTAGAGTACCAAGGCTGCCAAAGCACAAAACACATCAGTGACAGAAGTTGCCCTAAGCAAGGGTTTTCTCTGGCGACCTTGCGAGACATTCAACAGAACTGATGTTGAATCCGTCGAGTATGAAGTTCGTTTCATCTGGGACAACTTCTACGCTGGCCATCCAATCATCATACCTGCTACAGTGCACAGGAGCATGGCGCGGATTTGGGAAGCGACCAAGAATCAACTGCCCGCATTTGCAAAGTCGCAATTGCACGCTCCACATACCAGTCCGTACTTCATGGCGCAAGAGACTGCTTTTGAGCTCGAACAGACACAATACTCCAGTATGCCATCTTCGTCACTATCGTGGACCAGGACAGACTCTCACTAGATATTACTTTGCTTCAACGAAGCACAGTGATTCTCAGTTCGAAGCGTTGCCACCCTAGAGGTGCGAACAAGAATTCGATCATGAGAGTCGGCGCCCAACCACAAATACGACAGAATGTGAATGACCACAACATTGTCCACCTTTTTGAAGCTCAGGACGAGATCGTGCAAGAGATCGGTACTGGTGTTGATGTCATTGTCAACATCCCACTTGATACGGGCAAGACCTTGACATACTCAATTCCAGCCCTCGACAAAATTGCACTCAAGAACGACCGACTCAATCAGGCAATGACACGCAATTATTGACCACCTTTCTACGGTTGGCTTATCAAGAAGAATTCAGAAGACGCCCAGGGTCAGCAGGAGGTTGTTACCACCAACCAACATCAGCACCAGATCTTCAACGAAAACCGACCTCAATCATTAACCGATTCGATACAGCATTCGCCATCCCACCCTCTCAAAGCTGCGCATCGAGTATTTACTGCTTATGACGCCGTCTCCTCCGCTCTCCCACGAGAGAAATAGCTGAAACACATCGACCCTCAGAGATGGTGACCCTATCCCTCCGCCACCTCCACCGGCGCCTGGCCATGCTGCTATCAATGTCGCTACGAAACAAGTATGTACTACTTAGTCATCACTCTACAACTCAAAGCGGTCGAATTACTCGTCCAGGTACTCCTCAAGCTACCTCGTTCCCGCCAATCACTCCGCCCCAGCCGGCATCACTCTGTGAAGCCACTCACATCCAATTCAGGCCCAATCTTATGAGGATTTCGGAGCTTTCGAGCATGCTCGCATTGATCGGGTGTTTATACGAGCGAACGAAGTCGTCACGGCAACGCAAGGTATATATGCATATTTAGCCAGAACAAATCTTGCCGGGACACTGTATTCAATTCCCACGAAATGGCGTCAATCCGGTCTCCTCTCGATCTGTGTCAACGTGTTTTGCACAACATGACCCAACCGCAACGCAACCAAACCCAGGTGCCATCCGCGCCGCCCCTGCACATGTATGTACTGCTACGTCACCACTCTGTGAAACCACTGACATGCAATTCAGGTCTATTTCCATAAGGATCTCGAATCTTTCGAGTATGCTCACATTGAATGGGTGCTCCTGAAAGCCAACGACGATTGTACTATCATCATCCCTGGCATGCACAAGAATATCAAGGAATGGGCGGAGAGACTTACCACACGAGGACTCGACTCGGAAGCCCTGGTTGAGCGTATGGACGACACACATTTCACGAAAGAGGACAAGAAGCACTTCAAAACCGACTGGACAGCTCAACCATGCAAGAAGTACTAGGTGCGTATCACGCAACCTTATTTACCTCATGGGGCCTTGGGACCTTGTGAGCGTGATCGTCGTACCCTCTTGGTGTGGTATGTCAGGGTTACTGAAGATGGCGAGACTCTTGAGGTTACCAGCAGTGGCAATTTCAGCGATCTTTCTGGGGCACATCGTGACCTTGTGTCTGCAATGAACACCGGTGCTCATGATAGCCAACGAAGTCGTTACGGCGATTCAAGATCAGCTGGCAAAAAGCCCAACAAGGGATATCCAGCTGAGAATGGAAGGTTTACTGTCATGGGTGCCACTTCTGAGCAAGCCCATTCCTGGAATTGATACCCCGTTTGCGTACGTTCCTGGTCGCGTGGGCGCCATGTTTGCCCTACATCGAGAGGACTGGAATCTGGCCTCTCTAGATGTTCTCTACCGAGGCAGGAAGATGTGGGAAGGAAACGCATACTCGCATCGCTCAGGCGATGCGTTATCTGCGTGTCTTGCGAATATCGCAATCTCCAGACGACCCATTCCAAACGAACAAAGCTCAGACTCGACACTGGACTCTGAATCGATCGTCACCAGTTTGAAGCCAGTGTGCGATGCCAGCACCCAAGTACTGGATTGCAATTCCCTTGATCATCGTGGCACAGGATAGGGCCTACAAGACCTAATTGGACAAATGACATAGCCAGGTTGGCACGCTCGGCACCCCGGCTCGGAGCCTTATCTTTTCCCACCGGTTGGAGGAATGCAGTCTCCGTCTCTCAGGCAATGGGAAGATACCTCGCACCGGAAGCACCAGCACCACCGATGCTCCGGAGACCACCGACCATAGACACTCCTAGAGAATTCATCGGCCTCACCGGCGGGGGCAGTCGGACGGCTGAACGAAAGCAAACACGGGATAACCAGCAGCACATCACCAAAATATAGAGAACGGGCATAGCTGCATGGCTCGGCGGCAGCAAGTTTGTGTGCATAGTGTCGTGGAAAACGTGGAATCCCCGGGCCTGCCTCCTTTCCTGCAGCCTGCGACAGCGTGGTCTTGTGATTGGCAGCTTTCCTTTCGTACGCGCAGGCCTTCCACCTCTGGCGCAGAGTACCGTCCCTCTTCCGGTCGCCGCGTTTTAGCACGATCTCGTTGGTTTGTTTTGGGGCCATCGTGGGTTCTTTTCCTTGCCAAAGATAATAATTAAGGAAAAAGACCCGTCATCCTTCAACCATTCACACTTCAACACCTAACACCCCCGTGGCATCGAAACGATCAAAGGCGATGGCACTCGACCGTTCTCCGATGGTATCAATCGAAGGTACAGCAGCCTCTGGCCCAAAGCACGCCTGCCTAGATGAGATCAGTGCGATGCGGAGCAGCGATCCCTACTGGCGAGAAGCGATGAAGCACCCGTTGCTCTCCTGAATTTGTCTGATTGTCATATCGTCTGGATCTTTTCTCTGCTCAATTTGTCTTGAGGAAGTTCTGCAAATATATATAACCCGACAAGACACGCTGAATCGACAAGCAGTGGCTTCGGACCCTATGGCAGAACGGGCGAGAGCGCTGTCGACCTTACTCAACAAGAATCAATTCTTGCTGGGCGAGAAAAGGTCAGAAGATTGCACTATACATGAGCGAAAGCAATGCGGAGGGGCCTTGTACAATCCCTACAGTAGAGGCATGCCCTCAGGTACAGTAGGTAGATCATATAAAATTCAAACACCCAATAGTGTGGCATACAGCTTCTCTTTGGTCTTCTCATCAGCATGAGTCTCGAGCCAAAGATGTGGCTCAATGGCCTCGATCTCCATCATGACAAACGATCCATCATCCCTGATCACGCCATCGATTCGACAATACCCCAACAGGGAGCCGAACCTCGATTCCATATACTCCAGGATCCTCGTCGCAGTATCCCTCGCAGCTTGCGGCACAAGACTATTGTCGACCTGTGCGGTCTGGCCCCCAAACTCGGCCTGACACCTGAACTCTCCTCTCGCCGGCGTCTTGACCATTGTATGCGTATGTTCCCCGGCGATGTAGACCAGTGAATACTCGCCGTTCGCGATCGCCGGTTCGTATGCTTGTATCATCAACGATCCGTCGATCCCGTCACGTAGTATTGCTCGGAGATATGCCGTGTCGTTTTCACTGAGCAGATTCGGGTCGTTCAATAGGTATGTCTGTTTCGAAGACCCGGATATCGAAGGTTTGAGCACCACGCCTTTGCCTTTTCCTTTCTTCGCCGTAGCCGCAGCAGCAGCCGCCACTGGTGATCGAGCAATCCGTCCCGCAAGCTCTGCGACAGTCTCAAAGTTGGCGTCGATAGCTTCCAGGAACTCGGTATCCGGGATGAGAAAGCCCGCCTCCCTCACGTCTTGCAGATATGTCTTGTCCGTGTTCCAGAGGACCACATTGGCATTGTTGACCACCCGCGTTTGCATTGACCGTGATGATCGTGGTGATGACGATGAAAAGTCCGCCACAACAGGACATAGCCGCTCACGCAGGAACGCAAGAAAAGCCACGGGGTGCTCGTGGTAGTTGTTGCACCAGAGGAAAGTGATGTTGTCGTATCCAGCTAGGACTTCGGACGTCAGCGAGTCGTCGCGCCAACACCGAATGTGTACTTGGGCGTTCGCTCGCGATTTCAGGGCTGTGGGTAATGTCCAATTCTGATAGTATGGCCACTCTGCTCGAATCGTTGCCGGGTCTGCTGTCGTTAGGAATAGAATACTAGGTTCGGTCTTGGTGTTGGTGCTGGTGTTCGCCTTGAGGATCATGGTGATGATGTTGTATCTTGAAGTGCGGATTTTGCAAGGGGGTTGAGTGTGATGAGAAGAGTATTAGTAGTCTATCGTTTTTCAGGGTTGTCACTGTGCAGAGATAGGATTGCAAGATTGGGTTCTCATGCATCTGCCAGCTCCCCTCGTGCTGTGCTGCATAATACTAGCAAGGCCGCATGTAGACAATACTTCAGCTTTATGACCACCACCTATCTTTTCAGCCCGCAGCGGATCTGCAACAGGTCGGAGCCGGCAATGCTGTTGACTATCCTGCTCCCTTGGTTGTCTTGGTTGTCTGCATAGGGTAGGACTAAGCACACAGTTCTTGCGGTGAGGACTGGACTACAACATTGGAAGGCTATCGCTTTCCTATCTGAGATGTGGCTGGCTGGACTTTTGAGCCAGCCCTATTGCGTCTTTCGCTTTCAGCTCGTTTGTGGTACCAAATACTTCCACAAAAAGATATCGCATGCCCAACCCAATGAACTGCTCTGGAATGCAGCGTGCCTCCAGGCCGCGCTCATGCAGGGTACTGCAATGTGTGTTTCCAGCTTGCCTTTGTCAAGCCTCCTGCCAGCACTGCAGCAGTCTTTAGCTCTAGGCCCTTCGGTACAATCGAGGAACAGCCTTGTTTCGAATCAAACCTACCCCGTAGGTCACTGGGCATCGAAAATGATTCCAGACCATCGCTAGATGCAATCTCCCACGCGGTTCTTCGTATGCTGGGAAGTGACTTCCATCCAGGTCGTCGGTCCTGGGTGCCCACTATGTAGCAGACGGAGGAGCACCTTTAAGTAGTAATACTTGTCGCAACCGAACCCACCGTCTTCCTTGGTCATATCATCTGAAACCGTCAGCATGCGTCTTATAGTGATATCCATCTTGGCCTCCTTGACTGCATTGCCAGTGTACTTGCTCGGTGTTTGCCTATACAATCTGTTCTTCCACCCTTACCGGAAGTACCCTGGTCCTTTACTGGCGAGGACAACACCCCTTCATGCCCTGTGGCACGCTTACATTGGCGACCTGCACATCGACGCATTGCGGTGTCATCAGAAATATGGTTAGTCCCCTGCCTCTGCCTTTGCTTGTATCAAAGTTGACTTACCCTGCTAGGACCATACGTCCGATACTCACCTAATCGCCTCCTGGTCAACACCCCGACCGGCCTGAAAGGTACTCATCACACACACTTTTCCCAGTATAGCGAGTGGAGCGCTGACCAGAGACAAGATGTGTACGGCCAAGGCAAGAACTTCCAAAAGTCCAAGGGTTATGCTCCGCACCCCTATTTTCCGACCGTGTTCAATACGCACAACTGCATTGACAAGAAAATGCATGGGCGCAAGCGTCGCATCGTGAGCCAAGGCTTCTCCGAATCTGCTATGGCCGGCTCGGAGCAGTATGTGCTTGAGCATGTTCGGAATCTGTGCGATGCACTGATCGCGGACGCAAAGCCAGGAGGCTGGTCGGAGCCGAGAGACATGGCCATGTGGTGTACGTTTGAGTTCTTCTATCAGAGCGACAATCTGTACTAACAAGCACGTTAGCAAACTACTTCACACTCGACGTTATATCAGACTTGACCTTTGGTAGGCCATTCAGTATGATCACGAGCCCAAAGCTCAGATGGATGATCGACGCCATTGTTGATGGGAATCGACATATCTACCTCCGCTTCGCATGGCCATGGTTGTTCAACTTCCAACCAAAGTCCTGGTTCGCACCCGCACGCTGGCTGTTTCCAGAAATGGAAAGGGAGCGAAACAGCTTCACACAAATCGCCGACACCTTCACCACGGATCGCTTGAAGTCGATCGAAGAAGGCAAGTGCCATCGGCAGGACATCATGTCAGCCTTGCTCGCCGCCAGAGATCCAAATACAGGTGAGAAATTGTCTATCGAGGAGACGTGTAGTGAAGCGCATCTGATGATTGCCGCTGGTATGGACGATCTCTCATGGGTAGCCGGACCTTTCTGATGATGGCAGGTGGTGACACAACGTCCACGGCTCTTTCAGCGGTACTATTCTATCTGTCTCGGAATAGATCATCTTACCTTGAACTCGCGCAAGAGATCCGCAGCAAGTTTGCAGACGTCAAAAATATCCGTCGCGGACCGACGCTCTCGTCCTGCCACTACCTGCGGGCCTGCCTCGACGAGGCACTGAGACTAGCTCCGGCGGCGCCTGGTGCGCTTTGGAGAGAAGCTGGTACTGGCGGCGCGTTTGTCGGAGGTCATTACATCCCTCCGGGATGCGACGTGGGAGTCTGTGTGTACGCATTGAGCCATGATTCGAAGTACTTTTCGGATCCCTTCGAATTCGACCCAAGTCGCTTCCTGCGGCGGGAGTGTCATTCGGAAAGGTCTGAGGCATTGACAACTGCTTCCGAGATGGCCGAAGATCCAGCCTTCTTCCCGCAGTCTGCACTATCGAAGTCTCGTCATGATGTGGTCGTGGTCAACGATCTTGATGCATTTGCACCTTTCCTGGTCGGTCCTCGAAGCTGTCCTGCAAAGCCTCTGGCATATCTTGAGCTCAGCCTCGCACTTGCCCAGGTGATGTGGTTGTTTGATTTTGAGCCTGTTGATGACACTGGAGCTGGTGCACCGGTATTAGGGACAGGAAGAGAGAGGCCGGAAGAGTTCCAGATTGTTGATATGTTCAGCAGTAACAAGCAAGGTCCGGTGTTGAGGTTTCGGAGGAGAGATGAGTTGTTGTCTTGGCTTGTTCTGGCCTCTTTCGCTTCATCCACGCTGTTAGATGATTGAGCGATTGGCGAATTCGCTGTTCGAATGGGCATTTTTGATTGGAGATGAGGTCGGAAACTGATTGAACGTTGGTAGACATGTCTGTTAGCACAATCGAAGATGCTCACGACCTTGTGTCCGCGCTGCTGTGCAAGTCAGCGAATACTCTGAAAGTCATTGATTCGACGGACTGGCCCAAGAACAGTATAGTGACAGTGAAGGCGAGGGTGAGGGCCAGGTTGCGCCCCACGTGATAGGGCCTCATTCACTCACCATTATATTCAACAATATAGATCAAACGCATCCAAAAATTGGTAACAAATGCTCTTGAGGAGCCGTAAAGTGGTTAACTCATTGTTCTGTTTACTCGAGATACTTAGGTATATTGAGGTCCTATGCTACGGGAAATCCGGACGGGGCCAGGACCGACACTGACCTGCGGTTGTTCAACCTATACCTAAGGTACCGGGTATGGGTCTCATACGTCTGTGTGATGCATTGTCACAAGTTCAACTCTAGCATGGGTAATTCTTTTTTTGGCACTTTCAGAATGAGCAATGGGAATCATACCTTTCTGCCAACGCACAAGCTATTCCAGTGAAACATTCAGTCCCATATCGCCTTGCCATGAAATCGAGTCCCCAAACCCGTTCAACTCCCTCCTACTGTTCGGAACAACAGTCACGTTCGTCGTTATCGCATGTTTTTTATTGGACTTCCTGGCTTTGGCATCGTTCGAGTCTGGATGCGACCTCGCGCTCTCTGCCGGACCTTTCATTTTGGGCGGACCTGACTGGATATCTGGACAAGTGAGCCAGGTTCATGCAGTTGTTCACTTGGCGGGATAGCGGTACAAAATTGCCAGAACTCACCGCCTTGCCCTTCGTGATGATGTCGACGTGGCTCCGGCCGACATATTCTCCGGTGCGCTGGATTATCATACTCGTTTCACTTCTCCTCGAGAACATCAATCACATCTGAAAAGCTCTCTTTACAGCAAGCTCTCTTGAAACTCTCTGCGCGTGTCGAAACAACTGCCGTGATTGTCCTTGAGAGACTTTTACACCATTCTTGAACACTGCTCAACTCGCCGCGACGAGATCCCAGCTCCTTTGAAGGAGTTTCTCACACACAACTCAGGGAGTTTCACATCAGCTCAACACCATACCGACAGCATTGCCATCACTGATATCCTTCGCAAACCATTCAACTCACACAGACTGTAAGTTGTTCTCTTGCTTTATCCGACTGGTATGGACTGTCAATGGCTGTCACCTTGGACCCAAGATCTCGCTGACCAGAACAGTCAAACATGTCTTCCTCCACCACCGCACCAGCAAGCCAGCCTGCAGGACACATGTACGGCGGTTGGTTTATCACGACTGTATTCGAGGTCAGATTCATATGGAACAACACTTGGGCTTCAGATCCCATCATACTTCCAGCGGGCCTGTACGATAGCAAGAATGACATTTGGGAAGAAGTGAGGCGGCAGCTCCCACCACATGCACTGGTTCTGTTGAAAGAAGATGGGCATACATTACCGCACTTTTTGCTTCAAGAGCCGGCGAACAATGGTTTCGTGCAGGTTGATTGGCGCAACTACATGGCGTTCACCAGATGGTTTGCCCGCAACCTGCACCCGGCGGTGGCTCCGGCACGACTGCGAATAGAGATTCATTGCAGACAACGTCGTCCGTTCGTGCGCGCCGACGGCACCCTGGAGTACCCGGGTCTGGTCTGCCCACCTTCCACCACGAGTACTCGAAGTTCGGCGCCAGCTTCGACGTGGAGGCGACCGTGGACGAATTGGGAGAGTACCATCCCATTGAGGTCAAGGAGCATGACCCGGACAATGAGGAAGAGGAGGACGATGACGACGAGGAGGACGCGCTGAGGACCAGCGTGTGGCTGCAGGAATAAGGGAGGATGGAGGAGGGAGACTCTCGATTCGAGAAATGAGGTGTGAAGAAGGTTGGAAGGGGCGGAAGGCCCACAACCAAGAGTCTTGGTATTGCTCCACAAATTGGCCCTGTATTCCCCAGTACTCCCCTCCATTGTATGAGATATGAATACCACCACGTTGAACGCCTGTCATTGCATGAGAGTCCATTCATTTCGTATAGGAGTCCGTCATGGTCGCAACCTTCGGAGCGAACTACCCTAACCCGCAGCTACCTCGTCCCGAATGGCTTTCAGAAAGGTTTACATCCACTCCGGCGAGGCTGTGGACTTAGCCAATCGGAGTGCGTCATTTCTCCGCAACAACCTCGAATGCAAATCAACACAGCAAATCAATCAATTAAAACACCTACTGGGTCTCTAGTCTCCTTTCCACTCACTTTCAAACCACAATGGACCTTTCAAAGCCTGCCTTTGCCCGATCTCAATGGCACCCTCGAGGCCACATCGCAATCTTCCTCCGTACCCTCCACCTCCTCGACCTCAACTTCCTCCCCGACTTCCCTGACATTTCCGAATCGACATTCCACGCAGCCAAAGCACCCGCAAACCTCCAACAGCGCTTCAAAGGCGTCGAATGGGCCCTGTACCGCCTCTTCGAGCTGTATGACCCTGGGGAAACGCGTACCACCTTGAAACCTCATTTCCCGCCCTCGACCCCGAAAGAGTCTCTCAGCCTCCGTGCGGCGCTGTACAAATCTCTCACGGAGTTGAAGAAAAATGGCGTGTTGCCAAGAGAAACTGTGCTCAGAAAAACAATGCTGGACGAATGCAAGGGCGAGAAGTTTGAGGAATTGCTTGCGGCGTTCGCGATGGTCGTGCTGCGGCAGAGGGTGGACGTCGATCTGATTACTACAACCGGTCAGGTGAAAGGGAAAAGGTCCAGCTTAGCAGACCGGAGATGTGACGAGGAACACATTGTCCCGTTGATACTGGCGCATCGGGTCTCGCTGCAGAAATCGCTGGCAAAGAGGCGGGACCTGCGCGAGAGGGCAGCTACACAGGCGCAAGAGCTGGAGACACAGCGGCAGGAGATTGCGAGAAGAACACAAATTGCGTCGCAGAACGACGAGCTTGAGCAGATGTCCGAGCAAGAGTACGAAGCACTGGTGGGACGGGTCAACCACGCATTTGTAAGTGATCGGCGATGGGCAAAGTATACCCTCGAGGGTACTTGTACCCCCTTTCAAAACACGTCGCCCAGAATCAAGGCGGACGGTGCAGACAGTACCGCGAACCAGCCGATGATGAAAGTCCTCACATCAATGTCAAAGCGTCGAGCCCATATCGAGGACCTCAGCCGTCTGCGCGATTCGTTGCTCACTTCAAGTAGCCGAGACATTCAGGTTGGGGAGCAGACGACGCCAATAGCAGCAACGACCGATGCCTCCGATCGTCTTCATGTCACAATAACCAAGACGACGTCGTCAGCACCTCGATTTAGCAGGCACCAAAGCCTGACACTTGGCAATCTCTCCACACGGAGGTGAAATCTGAGCCACCCCCCCATTAATTGTTTGCGACTATGACTTGGAAAAATGATTTCGCGATCACGACTGAACGAATTTACGAGTTGATGAAGACGAATGATTTATGTACATGAACGAAGAAGAAATGTCGTGCCTGTACCAAAGTGTCCGGATCAGAGAATGAAGGGTATCCTGATATACAATCGTCATAAAGCCAGCACATCAAGCTCCACAAGTTTGCCCAGCATGATCTCACCAAGTTTTCATCCTTCAACTCCGCCTAGCAGTCGAATTTTCAGAAGCTTCATGCTCTCCAAGTTGAACCAGCATTCTCGAGCCCAACTGCTTCCCTTAAGACCACACGGTTGATCTAGAATACTCCCTCTCGCAGCCTTTGACTCCACTGCCCTCTCCATAGCCTTCATCTTCATCCACGTCGACTCCAGCGTCATCGACAACCTCGACCTTGGATCCTAATGCCTGTTGACCTTCAAGAATCATGGCCTGCAACTGCGCATTGAATCGGTTCATCGTGTGATCCTGCTTGGCTTCCTTCCTACGCAGCTTTTGCTCAAATTTGCGAACTTCAGGCGATGGCTGAGGCACGTTCACTTGCGACGATTGCCGACGAGGAGACGCCATTGACGCTCTGCTAGTTGGTCTTGACGCATTAGCGTTTCCATCAAAGGACGACACAGACCGTTGATGCTGAGGTTTGGAAGAGACCGATACGGACAAAGACCGTGGAGAAGCATATGACGCCGACGTCCTCGAGGCCAGTCTTGGACGCGATAGTTTCTGGCTGCTCGCCTGCCGGGAAGGTTGTCTCGCGTGTAAGCTGGCCGTGCTAGCTCTGGACTTCTTGCGCACTGGACTTGCGTCTCTATCCTGATCAGGGTCATCGACAATCACCCAGTCATTCCGCCGGTCAAAGCTTCTCGTCCGGGCTGCGCTGAAACTTGATGGGAAGTCTTGGTCCTCAGGAAAGCCACCTGGAACGGGCGTCCGGTCTCCGTAATTTCGAGACTCGGCACTGTAGCTGTGCTGAAAAACATCTTCTTTCGACCCGGCTTCAATCCAGACGCTCGATGAAGACACACCTGGCGTAACCAGGTCAAAGTTATAGCCATTCCCACCACCCGCATGGAACCCTTTGAACGTGTTGTTCCAGCAGAAGTTGATGACCTTGCCGGCAATGCCGCCTGTCAGAGCCCAGACGGTCTTGCTCCATCCGTTCTGGTTAGGGGATCTGGATAATCTGCGTTTTCCATTTCCATGTGTAGACTCAATCGAGGCAGGTGTTTGCGGAAAGTATGAATCGGTCTGTGCCGATGGTTTCTCTTGTTTCTGCATGTGCGTGTACCTATTTGGCCGGCAGTCCGTCTCGAATGCGTATCGATCTGCATCTTCCTCTCTGTGTACGTCGAGGGCTGTTGGAGTGTCTAAGCCTCCTGCGATGCGGTAATTCGTGTTGGCCAGCGGCGGTGGACTGAGGGTGTCACGACGGGAGGTAGGGTCTAAGCGTGGCCTCTTTCGAGAGCTCGATTGCGAAGATGTGCGCGCGCGGAAAGTCTGTGATAGGCTCGAAGATGCAGGCGACTGAGATCGATCCTGCGACGGAGGAAGGAAAAGTGAGGAATTGAAGGTCGTGCATCGAAAGGTGGTATCGTTGGCAGGCAGATATGAGCCTGGTAGTGGGCTCGGTGTGTCCATGATGGTGGTCAACTTGCCGTATTGTCGTCGAGATGGATCACATTGTCAGGTAAAGATGAATGATCAGATGAGACGACCATGGCTGTGGTAACACAATCAAACGGGTCACAGGCAAGGCTCCAGCACACGAGCAGATGCGGGGCTGATAAACTGTCACCCGTCGCCCAAGCAACAAAAGGTTCGCGGTCTGACCGAGGCAGACGCCCGTAGCATTTAGCATTGTAGCAGAGCCTTTATATCAAGAAATATACGCCGTAATTGTGTATTACACAGTGGGTGCATAGCCATAACGGGCACTTCTATATTATCGAACTACTAAAAGGCTTTTGAACGTTGAAGTGTCGCCCGCTTCCAACGCTAGGAATGCCCGAAGATTTCGATAGCGTCCAACTCAACGTCCGCTCCATTTTATGTACACGACCTCACTCTCTATACAAGCTATCACCCCGGAAGCCATTTCAACGTGCTCGGCGCGATGTCGCCGTCGACGACCTTATTATTATCGTCGTTGTCATCATCATCGTCCTCCATGTCATCATCGTCGTCGTCATCCTCCATGGTATCGTTGCCGACCTCGCCATCATCCCCCTCCTTACCCTCGACATGGACGACGGGCTTTGGGTCTTCAACCTCATAAAAATTGCCCCATTCATCGGCGAGCACCTCATTGCCATCGCCCGGAAAATACCTCAGCCTCTCTTGGAGGCGAATTCTCTTCGCCGTCGACATCCGCCACCCATCTTCTACCCGCTCAACGATATTGACTGGACTCGTCCGTATATCAATTCGAATTCTGGCCCGCGCGAGGTACGGCTTCGTATTTCGAGTGTACCATCTGCGAATTTTGCCAGTCTCGTTCCAGTCGAATTGCATATAGTATCGTTCCCATACAGTCTCCTGCGCGACGAAATGGAGCCTGGTATGTGGAGTATCGGAGAGGGACCTCGCAAATGCCGGTAATTGATTCTTTATGGCTTCCCAAATCCGCGACATGCTCCTGTTCATTGTAGCAGGTATAATGATGGGATGACTGGCGTAGAAGTTATCCCAGCCGAAGCGGACCTCGTACTCGGTGGTGACCTCATCGACGTCGTTGCCGGTGGGAAGCTTGGTATTAGAGAAGACGCCCAAGTGGCTTTGCGAAGGACCCTGGTTGTTCAATGCCATGATGATGTAATCTAGCCACGTCAGAAGCCTGTCTTGGTAAGGTTGCAGGAAGTGAGGTGAGTGAGCACGCAGTTATTGGACTTACCTTGTCTGTGATGATGTGTTGAAATGTGTGTCTTAAGGAGTTGGTCTCTCTTGGTGTCAGGAATGGTCTTGCACGCGGAACCAGAGATGAAGGTGTGGTGTTCTTGTTCGAGTCGAATACTAAGCGCCAGTGCAACGGAGAAGGTATGAGATATCTGGTCAGGGCGTGAACACCGACAGAGTACGCATCAAGGGAGAGCAACTTGACTCGAGCAACGTTTCCACGACGAAGCAATTGCAATATCGCGGCCGAAATTGAGAGTGTTGTCTCATTGCAGCTTCGCGTCTGCTCTCATGCCAAGAGGAAGTAAGGTGAGTGAATGCTGCGGTCCTCTCCTGCTGGCGATGCGCCCGTCCAGTTTGACTGACATGTAGCATGCAAACTACTTCACTACGCAGATCCGATTTCACCCACAGGAAAAAATCACCCGCAAGCGACAGAAAAGTCCCTGCTACAGCCGGACTTGAACTCGCAACCTTTGCAACCTAGCCTTCACCAACAAAAAAAAGAATGGGTAACATTGACAATGTCCATCATCCATCAAGCAGTGGGTTGGAGTCGGTCACGACGTGAAAGGAGGGGCCTTGGGACATGCCTCAAGTTGGCTCATAACCTGTTAGATCTCGAGTAGACGTAAATTGTGATTCAAATAGCACCACTGCGGTTCAATCTTGGGGTCAATCTCATGTGGATACCAAGCACTTCACTTCACTTTACCTGCCAAGCTGGATATCATCTTACTCCACCGACGAGATTGAGAGGACACCACGAGCGAGGATATCACGACAGGGTCTGAGTCGGACGTCGAACTCTTGGAGCCACTAGAAACTGTCTGTTGCTAGTCAATGGAAAGGGGCACGACTGAGACTCACTGCTCCGATATAGCAGATGACTTGAGTCGTGGACTTCAACATTGCGCATGGTCTGTTTCTCGCAGCCGCCGTGATCTCGCAGAGAAAATAGCATCTGGACGACCCCGATATGAGCACCTTCGTCCACCTCTATCATCCTCCCAAACTTTCCACAACCTCCTCCACAACCCCTCTTACGCCTGAGATCTCATGAGCAAACCTGCCCAAAAACAGACCGTCCACATACTTCCCCAGCCCATTCCCGCCGTTCGCTTTCCCACTCCACAACCCCGGACCAGCACTCCCACCATACACAACTTTGACTTCACCCGTGCGGCTGGGGACCACCTGGCCAGCAATTTGGCGGATAGCCTGCACGACAGGTCCAACATAGTCCACTCCAGCGGGCTCCTCGGCACCGATGGCCCATACGGGTTCGTATGCGAAAATAACAGGTGCATACTTGGGCACTGCTTTCAAGATCGTGCTGATTTGCGGGGTCAATTGGCTCATGGCGGTTCCGACGGACTGACTCAGGGGCCCCGAGAGATTGGGACGGTCGAGTTCGCCTATACACACGAGTGGGATCATCCCCAGTGCCGTTACTGCTGCGGCTCTCTCCGCTGAAGATTGGTCAGTCTCGTGGAGCAAGCGGCGTCGTTCAGCGTGGTTGAGTTCGACGATCGAGACGCCGAGCGAGGACAGGGCGGGCGGGACGATTTCGCCAGTGTATGCGCCATAAGATGTCGAGGAGAAGGCATTTTGGGCGCCAAGGGCTATGGGCCAGGCGGAAGAGGAAGAATCTGAAGTGGAAGATGGGTACTTGGATGAGAGGATTTGTGAACACGTGTAGATTGTGAGGAAGTCCGGGATCAGGACGAAGAGGATCTGGTCGGCATGTTGTTGCAGGAGAGGTAAGATGTTCTCGGCGGGGTCAAGTATAGAATTCAGATATGAGATCGTTCGAGACGGAGAGAAGTATGCTTTTGTGGATGTAAGGACGAGCTTTTGCGGGAGTTTGGGATAGGATATTGTCGAGGCCATCGTTGAACGTCTGCCTTGTTGACGTTCTGTTCTGCTCGAAAAAAAATGCTGTGGTTTGAGAAATAAATATACAGTATTTGGTGTTCCTGGTTTATGTGTCTTTTCTTCTTTTCAGAACTCTATAGAATCTGTGCAGAAAAGCTGGATCTCAGTGTTTTCTAACTTATGTGTCGATATGTCGTCGGTGTTTCCCTCCACATTTCACCGAACCTCTTGTGCAAGTCGATCGGCCACGCTCTCCACGTTTTTCATTTCTTTCGCTCAATTAACCGGCCGGAATGTCCAGAAAGAGGATCCCGTGGTGCCCGCTCACCCACCGCTGAAGAGAAAAAGATTGGAGAAGGTGGATTACTCAATGACAGAATCGCCGCCGGCACGGAGACGGCATTGAATGCGTTCATATCGTCGACGATCCAACAGAAATGCCAAATGGCTAAAATCTACAGGTTTTATAGATATACACACCATCTTTCGCCTCTTCCTCATCCTCGTCCTCATACACAGCCTTGACCCAATCTACGATACCACATACTCGATCTTGATCTTCAGGAAAAATGACAACAAACGGCACAAAGACCCCGCTCCGCATCGTCGTGGGTAGCGACAACGCCGGCCACGCCTACAAGAGCGCCCTGAAAGAGACGCTGAAGAAGCACTCGGGCGTCACACAAGTATTGGACGTCGGTGTCGTGGAAGCCGACGATGTCACTGCATACCCTCACCTGGCCGTCGATGCCTGCAAGAAGATTAAATCCGGAGAGGTAAGTTTCCAACCTGGGTTTCCTCCGCATCCTTCGCCTTCGCCTTTATCCTCCAGTTAGACCTACACGCCAGTATCGCTTGTACTGCGCCAATACTTGTGCTAACGATTACCCCGCCTACGAGTAACAGGCCGACCGCGCCCTCCTGATCTGCGGCACGGGCCTAGGCGTCGCCATCTCCGCGAACAAAGTCGAAGGCATCCGCGCCGTGACAGCCCACGACCCATACAGCGTCGAGCGCAGCGTGCTCTCGAACAACGCCCAAGTCCTCTGTTTCGGCCAGCGCGTCATCGGTCTCGAACTCGCGAAGAAACTTGTGGATGAGTGGGTTGAGCTCCGGTTCGACGAGAACAGCTCTTCTGCGGAGAAAGTCGCACACATAAGCAAATATGAGGAGCAGTTTGGTGAACTATAAAAAGGGGAATGCGCGAAGGGGGTACTGAGACAAGAGAGAGAACCTCCTTTGGGCATGTTGGGATGATATTGCCGGTATGAGCACTTTGAGGAGCGACATGTATGGTGAGGTATGATCGAGTCAATTTACCCTTCAATCGTTGGAGAGTGGAGGGCTTGAGCTTCGTCAGATAGGGTGGTTCAAACATGTTTTTGATGAACATAGGGACATCCTCGGAAAATATTGCATATATCTAAACATTCTGTATCGCGGAGACCGCTGGGAGTTTGGCAGCGAGCATCGTATCAAAGCAAGAATGTGGTAATATTGCGACACCATCTCAAGCCACGAAAAGATCCTAGTGGCAGATGCATATCAGTCCGCCGAATTAGACATACTCTCATCAAGTCATAACTCATCCCTCCTCAGACAGTATATACAAATGCATTGAACGCCCAATATTGTCTCCAACCACCAAAACATCGACCAAATGCAAGCAAGACAGCAATCAACCCTTCAGCTCTCCCGGTGTCATGACAGTAACCACACTCGTGCCCTCACTGAACCTCGTCCTGAACACACGGTTCGCATTCTGAAACATGCCATCCTTCAGACTGACCACAATAAACTGCGATCCCGTGAATCTCGTCCTGATGATCCGGCCGATATTCTGGGTATGCGACAAATCCAAAGCCGCATCAACCTCGTCCAAAATATACATTGGCGCAGGCTTGAATTGTAGCAGCGCCAGGATCAACGAAAGCGCGACGAGAGATCTATCAGTTGCACAGGTTAGCAAGCTATATCCACAGAGTCAGACGTCTTGTTTGCAACATACCTCTGACCACCCGAAAGTTCTGTGAGACTCTGCTTCCACACCTTGCCCAAACACACCTTGACCTCGAGACCCTGCTGGATCCGGTCGATGTTGTCGTCGAGTGGCACCAACTTGGCAGTGTTGTTGCCAGGCAGAAGGTCCGAAAAGATATTTCCAAAATCCTCCGTGACTTTGCGCCACGTCTTGACCAGCGCCTCTTTCTTATACTCATCCAGAGTCACGATCGTCTCCTCAATCTTCGTTTTATCTCTGATGACCGTCCGGAGCATATTCTTCAGGCTTGTCTCCTTCTTCTCGACACTATCGATCATAGGCATCACCTTCGGGTTGATCTTCTTCTTCATGCCCTGGAATCGTTCGGTAACATTCTTCAACGTCGCTCGACTTTCAGCTAGATTCTTGCCCTGGAAATCGTACGGCGTGCCAGCTCGGCCGAATTGGTCTTTGTTGTCTTCGATCCAGTCGTGCTCTTTCTCCAGCGCGGCCACAAGCTGTGAGGCGGCTTGCGCATCTTTTTGGGCTTTCTCTACAGCGTGGCTGAGCCCTTGTGCTTCAAGTGCCTCTTCTGTTGTCTGTTTCGATTTCTTCGACTTGGCTTGTTCGAGCTCGCGAAGTTCGTCGTCAAAGCCAGTCAATTTGGCTTGCTCGTCAGTCAGTTCCGCTTGTGCAACGTCATGTTTGTTCTTGACCGTTGCTTCTTCTTCTCGCAGAGTCTGCAGCTCCTGCTTTTGGACCTCGATGGTGTTAGTCGCCTCATTCATCTGTTCTTCAGCAGCATTCAGATCACTTTCTGCTTGTTCACAGTCGATCCTCACATCTTGCAATTCCTTCTGAAGTGACTTGATGGCAGCTTGAGTCTTGGTCAGAGATTTCTTTAACTCGGTCAATGATTTTTCCAGCTCCTTCAGTTTGCTGTCTTTGTTTTTGCTGAAATCTTCCATGTCCATTTCAATGCGTTTAACATCCTTGGCGGCTTCTGCTTGTCTCGACTTTGCATTCGTCATGTCCTCCTTCAACTGCACGATTGACGCCTTCATTTCTTCAATGGAGTGAATGATGGAAGAGGATGAGTTGCCGGAAATCTGCTCCTCAGTCAGTTTGATCTCATGGGTCTTGAGATCCAGCTCCTGCTTAATGGTCTTGATATTCGTCATTTTGGCTTGTTCGTTCTTCATGGTCTGCTGAAGCTCTCGGAACTCGGATTGATGCTTCTCAAGCTCTTTGGTGACTTCATTCAACTTCTGCAGAACGACAAGCACACCACTCGAATTCGGTGAGCTGCCGCCAGAAAGCGTACCTGAGGGATCATACACGTCACCTTCAAGTGTCACACTCTTCAGCCTAACAGCTGGGTCGAAAGTGACCCTCTTTGCTGTGTCTGCATCTTGGCAGATTAATGTGGTTCCGAACACATAATCCATAGCGGCGGAAACCTCATGGTCATATCCGATCAATGACAAAGCCAAATCGACTTTGCCGGGTGCTATCCGTTGAGCTGCACCGACTTTTTCTGCAGATGCCCTGAAAGCAGTGATCTTGTTCAAAGGAATGATAGTGACTCTCTTCTTCAGCTTGCCATTCTGCAAGAGTTGTGTGCCCGTCTCGGCTGTGTCGACGACAACATTATACAGTCTTCCTCCAGCACAAATCTCCAGAGCGGTACCAGCTATTGATTTGTCCTTGTCCAAGGTGAACAGTTGAGCAACAAGTCCTTTGACTTTTGAACGGTCAAAGTTGGGCGAAGGATCGCTGAAGTGGAAGTCAACATTGGCAACCTTTCGCCTCAATCCGTCAGCTTCCTGCGAAAGGGTTCGGATGCTCTTCTGGAGCGCCACTTCTCGTTCCCGCATAGCTTCTTCTCGGCCTGGCTCGAAGCCTAACTTTTGCAGGTCTCCTTCCAGTTTGTGGGCTTGCTTTCGCAGAACTTCCAAGCCTTTGAGCAGATCAGCGTTTTGTTCTCTAGCCTTCTTTGCTCTCGGCTCGTCCTCCTTGATGCGTTTTTCAAGGTGAGAAATCTTCAATTTCGCTTGTTCTTGTTCGGTGCCGGCTGTTGTGAGTCTATTCCGTGCTTCTTGCAATTGTCCTTGATAGCCACTTTCCTGGCCTTCTCGAGATGCCACTCCTGTCTGAAGTGTCGATAGCAGCTCTTCTTTCTTTTCGACTTCTGCGTTCTGGACATCAAGTTCGGATTTCGCGCTGTCCCATCGTGTTTGGAGTTTCCCCAAGCTCTTTTTCTTGTCGGCAACCTGTTTTTCTAGGCTCTTAACATTCTTGGCCACTTCCTTTTTCCTCTGCTCTTCTTCGACAACGCTTGACTGTTTCAGATCGAGCACAGTAGATAACCGCACGAGCTCGTGGCTGAGTTCTTTCACTTGGGCTTCTAGAGCCTGGAAACGCCCACCTTTGCGCATCTCCTTCTCTCGGACATCTCGCACTCTCTGAGCGTCCTCGGCCAAATTCTCGATTTCACGCTTGAGCTTAACAGCATTCTCTTCCAGATGTTGTACCTTGGCTCGCTTGGCTTCGTGTTCTTCGCTAGCTGATTTCATCTTGTCGCCCGCTCGTACATAATCTGCTGCGACCACGACACGCGTTAGGCGTTCCAGCTCGCTCTGTGTCTTCTGGTAGTCAAGCCATGCTCGCTTCTCGCCACGAAGTTTGTCCAACTTGGGCTCAATTTCTTCTCTCAGCAGCCCTTCAATCTCAACCACTTTCATTTCTTTCTTGGCCATTGTTTTTTGTGCCTTCTCTTTCCTGTCCTCAAACATACGTGTGCCAGCAGCCTCTTCGATCATTGCCAGGATTTCTGCCGCTTTCATATTGAGGACCTTTGTGATGCGACCTTGCATAATGATAAAATTTGGGTTGTTGATGTTAAGTCCGACGCTCTGAAAAAGATTTTGTACAGTCGTTTGCTGCGCTCGATGCCCGTTTATCAGGTATTTACTCGTTCCACCCATGACGATCTGTCGCGTAACACTAATTTGCCCATACTCTTCAAAGCCGATCGGACTCGTACTCTTGTCGCCATTATCGAAAACGATCGTAACGCTTGCTTTGGTCACGCCTGCTTGGCCGCGCTTGTAGATGAGGTCTTGGAGGTTCTGGGCTCGAACAGTGGACATGTTTGTGATACCGAGGACAAAACATATTGAATCCAGAATGTTTGATTTTCCAGAGCCATTGAGACCAGTGACCGCATTAAAACTTTGGTCCCAACCAGAGATGACAGTCCTCTGGCTGTAGGACTTGAAGCTGTAGATACGCGTTAGCTTCAGTCGCATCATACCTCAAGGCCACGTACCCATCGATGATAAGTTCGATGATCTTCATGATTACTACTATGTGCAGCCACGGACTTTGAGGTCGAACGCGCAGCAGTACTCTTTCAACAAAGTCGATCTCTGCAGCCAGACGTCGCTACTGTGCCTATAAGTTGTTTACCTTCTCAATGGGGTTAGCACCAGACACTTCTAGAAAAGGAAGGTGCAGCGATATCTGATCTCCGCAGCCTTGGCGCGCTTTTCTCGTATTCGGGCTTCAAGAAGCTTTCAATCGAGTCAAACCACTTTCAGTCGAATGACTCACAGCTTCACACCGCTGCTCTGGAAGACTTAAAAACCCGTCATACTGACCCAACATGGCTTCGCTATCCAGGAGCCTTGCCCACTCTCCGGCGACGGTACCCATCTTCCTCGCCCCAGCCTTTGCAAGACCAACAACCGCCGCAGCTACAGCTGTGTTCTACAGATCCTACGCCAGCAAGTCAAAGCCTGCGAGTCCACTATCTCTGAGCCGGAAGCCCGGCGGGGACAGGAATAAACAGCGAGGGGTCTCAGCCATTCGACGAACAGGACCTAGACGGACTCGAGGCCTTTGGCAGCACCCTTTACCGGTCCCTGTCGCAAGAGATCACAGAGGCACTTCTGCTGAATATGAGGGCGCCGAAGATCATGGACTGTGGGGCTTCTTCAACAAGGACAAGAAGGCCATGATGCCGCCGGAGGAAGAATCAAGTCATGGCAGGTTTTCCCTCGGCCGCCTTTCTCTGCTCAGTCTAACATATCCCAGGCCGATCCTGGACTTACGCCGAGTTGTCCAACAAGTCCTTTGACGACCTGCAGAAGCTATATTGGGTCTGCGTGAAAGAACAAAATTGTACAATGACAAGAGAAAAGGAAAGAACTAGAGTAAGAGCTGGTTATGGAGAACTAGAATATCAGGAGAGGCTGGAAGCGGTAAGCACATCCCCATCGTTTCTCAATGCGAGTCGCGGAGATGAGATAGATCCTTTCACTCGCCGATTTGAATTCTCGAAGGACCGCTTAACCCTTTTGGACATGAGATCTTCCCGGAAAGTTATCTGAGGTTACATTTTCATATGCCAGGATATACTGTTCTTTCTTTCGAGACAATGGCTTGCTGACTACGTTAATGCCTAGATCCGGAAAACCATGTACACAATTCGGGATGTCCTTGCGGATCGACAACTATCGTGGAATCAAGCTCAAGCCTTGCTCAACACGGGCATTATTAACGACATCCTCGCTGAACCAGCGCCTTTAGAGGAGACATGGGAGGATATCGAAGAGGCAGGCCTTGACGAGTCGCCGCCTACAGTCAAGAAACAAACCTTCCACCATACGCCTATCAGTGCTGCGTGAGCCGGTCCTCGCATGAATGAACTGGTTGATGTGGTCTTTATTGAAAAGATCCCTGCGCGATGAGGGACGGTATTCCTAGGTGTACATTATACTGTATATCACTGTCGGTCACTGAATGTCAAGTCGGTGGCGGCTCTACCCGTACAAGGGCGTTGTAGCTTAGAGACAGGAATTCGCTGGTCTCACAGTCTATCAAATCAATCACGCTGGTGTGCTATCTTTCTACCATTCCCTCATCCTGCCTAGAAAACATGCTCACCCAGATCTCTCTTCATCGCAACCAACATCGACTCATGAGTTGGCTTGAAGCCCATTCTCGTCGCGCGATCACCCTTCACGAGCATATTCCCAGCAATAAGATGCTTGACTTCACCTTCGCCCGCCTCTTCCATAGAAACCTTCTTCGGCAAAGGACTCGAGACAAGGCCCTTTGCATACAAGACCGGTGCTAGCGCCGTCCCGAACTCCTTCCAGCCGAGTCTCTCGCCATGTAGGATATAATATCTCGAAAATGCGCTGCGTTTTGGTGCTTCCGTTCCAGCAACGCCAACGATCTTCGTGATGAATGGGACGGCGTCTTCGATATGCACCTGTCACAGATTAACTCATACCTTCAAAATGTACAGAGTCTGACGTACAGTGCTCACCACGCCCGTTCCCTCGCCGATGAACGGGACGAAGCCTAAGCCCTTCGCCAGGCCAGTGAAGATCGAATACCCTACCCCCAAGTTGGCAGACGGGCCGAGGACGTTCTGTCCGTACGTCACGGCGAGGCAGACGATGTAAGTGATGATTTTTCCCCGCTGGCCTGCTTCAAGGACAGGAACATCCGTCGGACCGTTGAACATGTTTCTGTTGATGAGTCTGATGTCTTCTTCGTTGTCATCCTTGTACATCTCCGTGTCAGCACAGCCCCTGTCATCACTGTCTCAAACCATGAAGATGATGAACTTACATTCCAGACTTTGCTCTTGGGGTTGAAATTGCCGGTTGTCCCAAAGTCAATGAAATTCCCGGTTCCGCTGAGATGAATGAGCGTGCCCTTGTTGCTCGCCGGATGTTCTTCCATGCCTGATATAATCACATTCACGAAGTCGCCATCGAAAGACGAGGCGGCATTGACCACGATGTCATGCTCCTTGCTCAATGTGCGGACGAGCTCTGTGTCCGAGAAGGATCCGTGGACGATGCGATCGACACAGGCTGTGGATCTGAAGTATTCATCCGCGAACGAGTTGCGAAAGAAGGCCGTCAAAGCCCAATCTGGGTGGGATCTTTTGATATCGGCCGCAAGACGTGCTGTGAACCTGGTCAGCGATACTGTCAGGTTAGGATAGTGACAATCAATGGGAGCGAACCTCCAACGAGACCCGTCGCGCCGAAGAGCAGGACTGAGGGCATGATGTTAGATCTGAGGACACGTTTGGATTTCTGGAGGTTGTAACGCTTCACTAGTGTGATGGCGATTGAGATGATTGTTAATTGATATGCAGTGTAGTATACTCTTCCCTTATGCCTTTATATCACCTCGTACCATGTCTTGGTCCCGTATGAACAGGCCCAGAGCGCATTTGGTGACCACGCCGCTGGTTTGCCGACTTAGCCATTCCATTGATCAGCCGGAGCTCGAGGCTAAAGCCTCAAGCCGGGTTATTCATCACGGGGAGGACTTCATTTCCAATCTCGAAGCTGACTTCTTGGTGTTGTAGAGAGTACCACTCCAGTCGCGCGAGTAGGTACTTTTCGTGGTAGGTCCCGTATGACGACATGGGATGGTTATGTAAGGCCTGGCTTAAGACGGCGACTACCTGCCCCAATTGGACTTAGCGTGCGGACGCAAAAAGGTCCCGACGCTCCGCAGCTTGCGGAGGCACAGGAGAACCGGTGACGGGGAGCAATCGAGTCATTGCAAAATCTGGCGATGTGGTGTGGTTCGTTACCCTCTCGGTTACGCTACTGCATCATCAGCCATCACTTATGGACATTGTAGGGCCAATGTTGCTTTCGCTTGGTATGCTTCTAAACAAGAGCGGAGCCTCATACATGTCCAGATTGAGAATCGAGCAGATGCTGTACGACCACCTCTGGTCGACTGTTTGTCAGCGATGGGTGCTGCCACAAGCTCTACAACGGCAGGCAATTGAGGTATATATATTGCCATCTTAACAGACAGACTGCTCTGCTCTTCATCAACCAGATGTCCCAGCAGTCGAAACATACACACAGGTTTCTCAAGTATTTCCACCTCCAAAACCTAGGCCATCCAACCGGTTCAGCAATTCAAGTAGAACAGACATTAACACCAGCCCATACCGAAGAAATGGCTCAACAGTATTTGAAGGGCAAGGTTGCCATTGTGACGGGCGCCGGAAAGCTCAATGGAATTGGTGCGGCGAGTGCAATTGCGCTTGCAGAGCAGGGTGCCGACGTACGTTTCACCTCAATGCCACGCCTTACTGTCCAAGCTGACAAGCTCTTAGGTCGCCATCCATTACAATAGCTCGGCCGGACCAGCAGAAGAGACAGTCGCCAAGCTCAAGAGTCTCGGAGTTCGAGCTGTTGCAATCAAAGCCGATGCTGGCGCCGCTGATTTTGGCAAAGTTCTCGTCGACGGAACCCTGAAGGCATTCAACACCCAGTCCATCGATATCATCGTCAACAACGCCGGCACGGCCGTCGTGAACGCTGAAGGCATTGCTTCCGTGGGCCTTGAGGACTGGGATTCGGTCTTTCATATCAACGTTCGTGGTCCTTTCTTGTTGATTCAAGCTGCTCTTCCATACATGAAGGCAGGAGGACGCATCGTCAACATTTCCAGCGTCATTGCCAGGCTGGGTTCGTTCATGCTGCCGGTGTACGGTGCTTCTAAGGGAGCTTTGAATGCTATGACCATTGCCATGTCCGAAGAGCTGGGCCCCAAGGGCATTACCATCAACATCGTCGCTCCAGGGCCAATCAAGACTGATCTCAGCATGGAAGGTTCCCCAGTTGGGGCGAGACTGCGGAACAATGCGCATATCAAGAGGGAGGGCACCGCAAAGGAGGTGGGAGATACGGTGTTGTTCATGGCAAGCCCGTTTTCCAGCTATATCACTGGGCAGCTAATTGGGGTCGATGGCGGTATTAGTTTCCCATGAATGAGAGGCCATGAAGACTCGGTGACGTGCTTAGGCACAAGCAATTTCGGGCATGAAAGTCGGATAAGAAAGAAGTGATCGTGGAAAAGCAATCATAGGATCACACCACCAATGACAACCCAGTCTGAAGCGTGTTTAAGCTTGCAATCGTTGCATTTCCTGATCCCATGAGTACTACAATATCGAATCCTTTCACGACCGGGAATACTGAGAGTCTGACCTGCTCATGGCATTGGGCAGTGACATGTCGCTTGAGGCCAGATGGCCTCCCGGTGAGTCAAGGCTGGCTGAGCTCCATACATACGCATACGCATACTCTACTACAGAGAACGGGAGGTGCGCCAGGAGCTCTCAAGAGCATCCTTCAATGTCCTCACCACACACGAGAGGAAAGCCCAAAGGAGGCAACCAGAGCCGCTGCGACCTGCCATCCGCCAGGTGCGAAGTGGTGGGCAGAGCCGCTGGACGATGTTGCACTCGCAGATGATGTTGTTGCACTGGCGGAGGACGCTGTCACGCTCTTGGGTGCCGGTGTGATGGAAGTCTCTGTGGTTGATGTCCCAAGGGGGACGGTAACGACAGCGGTATCCGTGGCTCCTGGAAGTGCGGTAATCTATATGCGGTCAACTTCCAACTCCGACGAAAATGGGGAATTTCAATCTTCATACCCCACAGGCTTGCCATAAGTCAATGCTCGCCAGTGTCGCCGGTCGCGAGAAGCAAGTTATGTTGCCGTCATACTCGCAGACGGATGCTGCCGAGTAGAAGTCTGGCCTGCAGGCACAACTCTTGAATTGTGCGGTTTGCGACGCCGCAGGAAACTGGGTGTAGCAGTCCTCAATTGAGTAAGCTGTCTCGCACACGGATTCGATGCTTGAACATGCATTTGTGTTGCTACTGGCTGGCAGGACGATAGTGGTGGTCGGCGTTCTCAGTGTCGGTGTCGAGAAAGCTGAAGTGGTGTATGTATCGCACTGCAGACTCCAATTTCCGAGCACATACTGATTCGGCTCGTCGAAGACATATGAGTCGTAACACTCCCGGTCCTCGCTTTCGCAGCTGATGAAGTGAGTGCCAGTCCTGCCTCTGGAACGCGGTGAGCTTACTCGTATATCGCCGCGAACACGTCTTGCCGACACACGCAGGCGTCAAGTGCAGACCCAGTCTTGGTGTTACAAGATTGATATGCTGAACTCAGGTAGTTGCAGGCTGTGAGGACACTGGCTACCGTTACACTGCCCGAGAAGCAAGTGTCGGTTGTCTGAGCGGTGGCAACAGCAAGGAGTTGTGCTGTGAGTACGAATTTCGCGAAGATCATAATGCCTCTCGTATGGGTAAGTCCGACGATAATTGCTGATCTCTGGTTGCTAGTAGTAACATAAAACAGTCGGCCAAATGGCAGCAAGTCAATTGAACTGGTGTATCTAGGTTGCAGGTCTCCATTACCAGGTCTCGCCCTCTTTATTGCTTTCTCATTCACGACGGCTCAGCTTGAGTCTCTTGTTGACCAGGCTGCGCTGCCGGTCTCTCAGCCTGACCGGGAGGATCGGCAGTGAAAGATGCTGCATTTGCACTGAGTAGCTGCATGCAGTATTGGACGTGGCGCAAGACAGGCGGAAAGCCGCGACGCGAGGGGTTATGTCAAGCGATGCTGCAGCTCGATACAGCTCGACACGGCCGACTCAGGCTGCGCTAATGTGAGACCGGACCAGGGGTCTTGTGCAGACTGCCTCGTGGAAGCTCTAGATTCTGTTCACACAGCCAACTCATCGAGAACACAGCTGAACGGAACGCTCATTTCATACCTTGACTGAAAGGCTGAACACGTTCAGCTTCGCCAACGAGGCGCACGCTTATGCATGCGGCCACAATGTATCACACCCTTGTGGCCAATCAACAACGCACTACCTTCCATCTGGCTTTCCAACATTGGAGGGGTGCCTGTTCCATGGCATAATTTGTGAATGACTACTATGTCAATCCCACGGCGCACAGCCGAGAGGAAATTGATCTGGAACAATCACTCAATGCCTTCCCGGATCCTTGCCACAATCGCCGTGTGGGCAGGAAGAATAGAGCGCGACTTATGCGGCACTTCTTCAAACCCCGGTCAGTTGTGAGTTCAGCGAGGCAGACAGGACGGCTGCCGATCATCAAGAAGTGTGCAGAGGATTAATGAAGCTGACGCCTGTCCTCGTCACGCACTTTGGAACCATATCATAGCATACTTCGGTCATGGCAACGCAACATTCGCAAATTGGAAGCCCTCATACTCCTAGCACTTCATTTCAGATGTCAAATCTAAGCACAAGTCAGTCAAACGCGACGGCTACTGCTCCTTCAGTAGCCAGTTCTGCTCCAGGAGGCAGGTCGTCAACAGCAGGCACCTCCCCTCCAGTGAGCAGTCTCTCTTCAGCGGGCAGTTCTTCCGCAATCCAACAACAGCCGCAGCTACCAAGTGGCACACTACCACGCACCAATGCTGCCACACCCCAGACTACCGCCAACCCCCCTCAGACATCGCCTCCAAGTCAACCAGGCTCTTCCACAAGCGCAACCATGGTCCCTCCCGCCAACGGTTCGATACCTCCACGAAATCCCGCACAGCCCAGCAGATCAAGGTTGCGCTTCTCGCTCCCCAGGTCCCTCACTTTGCTATCTAGGAGAAGCACTTTCACAGGAGCCCCTAAGGAATGGAAGTCAACTTGGCTGCAGTTGTGGGCTTTGATAATCTTACTGCTGGTAACACTTGGCTTCGCTGGGACCATTCTCGGGCTCGCACAACGGTCCAACAACAAAAGCGGCATTGTCAAAATCCGCAATTCCTCGCCTGGTCGCACAGTAGCAGGCGTTACCATCGGATTAAGTCTCACCTGGAAGCAGATACCGGTGTTCATATTTCAGTCTTACAGTCTCTGCGTCGCTGCAACTGTTGAGGCTTACGCCGATAGACAGCCCTTTGTAGAGCTGTGGAATGCTCAGGGTGCTCCAGCTAAGCTCACCGTGTTGCTGAACTACGCGGCAGTCTTAGGTCCTGTCAAACCATGGAGAGCATTTCGAAACAAGCATGTTCTTGTTGGTTTCTTATTCATCATGAACTTCATCTTGAGCTTCCTGGTGACACCGTTCGCTGCCAGTTTGCTCTACATTGACAATGACCAGACCTTCCCGACGGCGACCAACGTAAATCGGACAACGTTTTTCAACGAAGGAGCCCTTAAAGCAAGCACCCAGTTGTACCAAATGCTCAGTTACGTGGATGGAATTCAGCTATACGACACGCCTTTGCCTGCTTGGACCGCTAGCACCAACCACTCCTACAGCTTCGCCCCTTTTGAGCTACCACCCGCTCTGGCTGGGGGTACCAATAATCTCACCGTTGTGCAAAATGCCACGTTCCTCAGCCTGGAATGTAGGGAGCTCACACGAGGCTCTGACTACGAGGTGACAGATGCACCTGGACCGAAGCAATGGACCGTCAGTGGGAGCGACCGCGGTTGCGATTTCAATTCGCTATACTCTCATGTTGGCTCTTTCCAGAACTATGCTCAAACATTTGGCGCGGATTACTGCCCTTCGAATTTTCCTTCCAGTGAAGGGCGCATCTTTCTTTTCGCAGCTCGCGCACCAGACGGGGATGGCTCTGCAGTCCGCGATTTCCACCTAATATCGTGCACAAGCACATATTATAACCACAGCGGACAGCTCGAGGTAGCGCTCGACCCCTCGAGCTCCAGACCAGTAGTTCGAAGTTTCACGCCTACAGGCTCTCCGTCGGCCATGGAACCAAGGCCAGAATTCTGGAAACTCTTTGAGAAGACTACCAATGAACTCAGGGCAGAGGATCCGACGGCGACGTGGGCAGCTACCATACTCGGCCGCTGCGTGGTCGAGAATGCAGCGCAGAATGCGACAATCTCAGAGGCCTTTCAAGCATCGCGACTGATTCCTTCTCTGGAATCTACCATGAGCCTAGTCTACGCCGTCACTGCCGCCACCTACCTTCGCTCTCCTTTGAGTACACAGACAGCGGCCCCCACAATGACCGGCACCCTCTACCCCCAAACCAATATTCTGCGCATGGTCCCGGCTATTGCTTACTCCTTCTTCGGCATTCTCATTCTGAATGCTGTGCTTGTTTCTGTCGTCGTTCTCTCCATGCTGAGGACTCGAAGCATTCTCTACGAGGAGCCGGCCGGCATCCTGTCCTATGCAGTCCTTGCCGCCCACAGCGCAGACTTTACGGCAACAGCCGAAGCCCTGAGAGGCACAGTTGCCGACGGAAGATGCACGGAGGCATATCAGAAAGGCGCAGCCTTGCCTGGAGATTATCGGGATTCCAAGTGGACTGTGAAGTATACGCCCAGTGTGCCTTTGGGGAGAATCGAAAAGGTATTGACGGTGCCAGCCCCGACACCTTAGCACGCTACGTGTCATAAACAGCATTCAAGTTTCTCATTTCAAACATCCTACGCCCGGTGTACGCATGTGGACATCAAGCCGCCCGGTGATTAAACTACAAATGCGTCTTCTGAACTGGTAGTTAGTTCCAAGCGGACATTGGCACGAGTGAGAAGCTCCAGCCTCGCCGTTGCATAGGAAGGTACGGAGTACTCCGTAGTGAAGGTGGATTTTACTACCAGACAGCTTAAGACTAGACGAAGACCGTTCCTTTTCGACCATCGATATAAGCTAGGAGACCGCATGCAGGAACATACGAAGATGGAGACTTGGTACTCGTAAGTCGCTACCAGCCCGGTTTGATGCCAATCTTGGCCTGGTCACGCCTGTTGGGTGCCTGGCACGGCCTGCACTGGCCTGGTTTTTCCTGTAGCAGTGACGTAAATTTCAGCAAATCAAGCCACATGATTTTCGGAAATCCTTCGCCATTATACATCGAAGAAGTGGATGGAGACTGTCCGGAATTTAAAAGTGACTTGTCAGCTAATAACACCATACGCCGTCTCATGGTGAATATCCGGCAAAATGGTACTCTCACTCATCACCCTGGCGGCTACGGTGCCGCTCCTTGCGACATCAACCATGCAATTATCGGATCAAGCAGAGAAGAAGTCTAAAGAGGGACATCAGGAGATCAAGACCCGAAAATGCCATTTGGCCATCAGAGCCTCAGCAAGAATGAGCGAGAGAAGAAAGCAGCAATTAGCGGACAAGATGGTGGTCTTGAAGGACGGCCGCCTCGTCCTTGACGACCAGTGTTCCGCGAATCATCATCCTTTCACGGGGTATTTTTTGCCGTTTCCTGAAAAGGAGTGGGATGGCCTGGTTACAACTATCAACCAGGAGAATTTTCTGAACTGGGTGTACATCGACTCATCCACACTCCAGGCAAAACATGGAATACGCGCTGAGGCACAGTCGCAGCTCACGGGACCCATGGATCTCAGGCTGTGCAAGAACGGCGAACAACGTCTGACCTTCGAAGGCTGGGAAGGATTCGTGGTGGTCAAGGAAGCTCCAGGATTGTGGGCTTTGTATTTCGACAAGACGGATAATGGCCTTCGCGACAAAGCTCACGGTCGTGCTGTTGTCGAAGTCGAGCTGATTCGTATGGAGCTTGATGACTACCATCCGAAGGAGACTCGACACGATGCAGATGACCACTAATTATACAGACGGCTTGGATGTCGATTTGCGTGGGGGCTTGAAGAGCGTTCGACTTACAATTGCTTTCTTCGGCTTTCCAGCAGATGCACTCACGAGCTTCCGATACTCAGTGGAAGATTGCAGACGCTCAACGACTCTCCAGGCGGGGAACTCATGACTGGCTTCACCCAAGCGAGATGCAGCTCGATCTGGGGAAGGCTCGACCGTCTAAAGCACCGCCATCAGGCTTCAACGCCCAACGCCAACTCTCAGTCATGAGTCGAGGAGTAGCGACTACGGAGTACTGTGCACAGTATTGGGGGCCACAAAGCCACCCAGCTTGACAGGGGTATGCAGCCTTGTGACGTAAGATTCACGTCAGGCGTGGGCCGAAGTTGGACTGAATCAGGAAATCCCGGATCGAGATTGCAACGTCAAGACCATGAATCGTTGCATGACTGGTTCCTTGCAAGGATCCTGTGATGCGAAACTGGGCAGCTCCTATGTCAGAAGCAAGGAGCTATTGCTGACCTGATGACTATTTCATAAGACCGAACAGTAACCACAGTACTTTCTGGGCTGGCCCCGAAATCACTGCAGCCACCCGAAAACTGAGACCCACGCGCTGTTCCATCACACAAACTCAAGTTCACAGCATCGCCAGCCTTGCAACTTGAAGCACAAGGAGCACAACTGCTTTTGACAAGTCTACGTACTCGTGCCTGGAGTCCTGTGGTCAACTCCACGTGACCACACTTCATGATCATGGCAGATAAGTAAGTTTCTTTGTCTCCAAGGATCAGTCCGGGATCTTGCTGGTCAAGGAAGTTAACGCTTCGTTGCTTGTTCAGACAATCCGACAGCGGGTTCTCTGACAACGCCCCCGGAGGCCGCCACAACCAAGCAGAGACCGAGCACGACGAGGGCAATAACAACAATCAAGGCGAGGTATCCAATACTGTACAGCAGCAAGGAGGGCAGTCAAGTCTCCAACAGATGCCAAATGGTCTCCTCGATAACAGAGGTGAGCAAGGTCAACGAGCTATTCGTGGATTGACGAAACGTGAGGTGGAGGAAGTGTCTGGCAGCTTGAAGATTCATGTGAAGTTGAATCTAGAGGTGGATCTACGGGTGCAAGCTTCGCTGAATGGAGACATTGTGATTGGCATTTTGTAGTTGCCGTCGACTTGATACGTACGGATTAGGTTGAAGCATTTAGGTTGACTGTATATAATACTTACTGTGGGAACTTCTTATTGCCTGGTGTTTAACAGATCGGAAAATGGTGCATTTGCGGACTGAAACCTTGGAGATGTCGGTATCCCTAAATCTTTGAAAAGTAGCAGGGCGTACGGCTTCGTGCATGAGGCCAGTTCTCCCCAATCCGCCAAAACGTGGGATTGGCTGGTCAAACCGAAGGTAAAGAGGTAGAGTAGGTACTTCATGGTACGGAGACTGCAGGGTCCCCTATACGACGCGGCGAGGTCGGCTACTGCCCCGCAAAAGTATGACAGCCGAGAATAAGCGCGCATACCTCGGTCGGCCACGAGTCTGACAAGGGTGCCAGGGCATTCCTTTGTCCATTTTCGATACTTGATCCTTCAATTTGAAGAGACCACGATCTTGCATTCAACTACTGTACTTGTATACATGACTAGAAGCCGCCATGTCAAACCAAACGGTACCATTGGGCCAGTACATCTTCAGAAGGATCAAGGAACTGGGAATTGAACATATCCTCGGAGTTCCAGGAGATTTTAATCGTACGTATTCAACACCTCCTTATACTTATGATTGAACAACAAACTGATCGAATATGGGAAGTAACTCTCCTCGATGAAATCTACAATGTCCCCGGTCTCAAGTGGATTGGCTGCTGTAACGAACTCAATGGCGCCTACGCGGCGGATGGCTACACTCGCATCAAGGGCTCTCCGGCTGTGCTGATTACCACGTATGCCGTTGGGGAATTGTCAGCGATGAATGGAGTCGCTGGAGCCTACGCTGAACATGCAGGCATGATTCACATAGTGGGCATGCCCGCAAGAAGCAGTGAGTTGCCATTCTATGAGAGAACAAACCAATCTCATTGAAGTTTTGACATGCTCCTGACGCGTGAACAGTGCAAAGAAACCGTGTGATGCTTCATCACACGATTGAACCCAACATGGACCATGCGATCTACATCAAGATGGCAGACCCAATCCGCAAAGATCACGCGTACTTGATGGAAGACTGCACCATGGCCGACGAGATCGACCGTGTCATTGTTGCTTGTGTGCGGAGTCGTCTTCCAGTTTATATCTACGTGCCCACAGATGTCGTCTCGGTGCAACTGGATGCTAATCGCCTTGAGACGCCGCTGGACACAACGGTCCGCAATGCCGACTCCAAGACGGAGGACGAGATTGTCAGCAAGGTGCTATCGTTGATCGCAGAGGCCTCGAATCCCACAATACTGGCTGACGTGCTCGCCATCAGACATGGCGGGCTCGAATTGACCAAAAAGCTTGCAGAAATCACGCACTTGCCCAGTTTCTCGACACCATTGTCAAAAGGGGTCATTGATGAGACAGCGCCATACTACTATGGACTTTACAATGGGAAAGGTATGCATTCTCGCCCCTTATCGAGCCGTTGTATCTCATCCTTGTTAGCATCGTTTCCTGGAGTAGCCGAGGCCGTTGAAAAATCCGACTTGGTGATCAACCTTGGTCCATTGTTATCAGACTCCAACACCGGCGGCTTCACCAGAGATATCAAAGACGAAAACCTGGTACGCCTTGGACATGATCTCGTTCAGCTCAAGGGCCAGAGATTCGACGGCTACCACTTCCTGCCCATCCTGAAGCGGGTTGTTGAGGAATTGGAGGCACACCCGCAGAAATACAAATTACCACGCCCGCAACATGCCGGGAGAGTTGAGGCACCAGTGCTCAACGACTCCAAATCCGGGGAGCTGAAGCAATCGTACGTATGGCAGCGGCTTGGGCGCTTCCTCAAAGAGAACGATATTGTTCTTGCAGAATCCGGGACCGCACAGTTTGGAATGCCGGATGCCACATTTCCACGAAATACAAGGTATATCACACAGATATTCTGGTCGTCCATCGGATATACTGTCGGCTCATGTCTCGGTGCTCTCATTGCTGCCAAGGAGATGAAGCATCCTGGCCGGGTGGTGTTGATAGTGGGCGAAGGAAGCCTTCAGATGACGGTCCAAGAGATTGGTACTTACCTGCGCTATGGTTTCAATCCCATCATCTTCGTCATCAATAATAACGGTTATGCCATCGAGAGGGCTATCCATGGACCTGAGCAAGGCTATAATGATGTTAGCATGCTGTGGGATCACCAGAAGATGCTGGAATTCTTCGGAGCAAGGGAAGACACCGGGATCAAGGCGGAGAGTCGAGCAACGAAGACGGTCGAGGAGCTGGAGGCTGCGTTGAATGACGAGGCTTTTGGGAGCGGCGACCGTATACAGGTATGTCATTGCTGTTCATGTGCAATTGGCAAACATCAGGCTAACCATTTCAAGCTCTGCGAGATCTTCATGGACAAGTTTGACTATCCCTGGAGACTGTCGAAACAGCTGGAGATTGCACGGGCGCGGATGAAGGAGGCGGCTTCCAAGAACAATATAACAGCGGGGTGAGCGTGAATGAGATGGCTACAGATCACTGGTGGATGTATGTGGAGAGGCCTGCTAGACGAGGCTGAGCAAGGCTGTATACGGAGGATCATATCTTCCCAATAGTACAATTGCAGCCCTTGGCACCAATGACCTCACTTTGGCTGAACCCGACAGTGCGGAGTGACCGCCAGTCCTTCCGTGGGATAGTGCGCCAACAACCACTGTTCCAGTGTTCACCGACCCTCCAACCCATCTCTCTTTCCTAGCACCTGCATAGCGTTCACTTATCACTATCTTTCTCCGTTCAGTCTGGCCACCATGGAGGAAATTGCTCCAGAGTACGATGTCATCGTCCTAGGCACAGGTATGACTGCGTCACTATCATCTGCCCCTCCTTACTGACTGGACTGCGATGATTAGGCTTGACGGAATGCGTGCTCTCTGGGTGAGGAGATCAAAACGCCCTTTTGAAGGACCTTATGCTGACGGTCGCAGTGTGCTTTCAGTCAAAGGCAAGAAAGTCCTCCACATTGACCGAAACGATCACTACGGCGGGTACGAGATCGCAGGCTCCCTGGAACAACACGAAGGATGAAAACTGACAATCTGACAGCGAAGCTGCCTCAGTAAATATCGAGACTGTAAGCAGAACGCAGAGGAGATTCAAGAGCACGATGTCTGACATTTGGAACTAGCTATTCAAGAAATATGGCAACTTCTCAGATGGACAAGAGCCATGGAAGAAATACGGCCGAGTCAATGATTGGAACGTCGACCTCGTCCCCAAACTCCTCATGGCCAACGGTGAACTCACCAACATCCTCGTTTCTACCGATGTGACCCGATACCTCGAGTTCAAGCAGATCGCAGGCAGCTTTGTACAACAGGGAACAGGGCCCAGAGCCACCGTGGCCAAGGTCCCCTCTACTGCTGGCGAAGCACTCAGCTCACCATTGATGGGTCTATTCGAGAAGAGACGGGCCAAAAAGTTTTTGGAATGGGTTGGCGCTTTTGACGAGAGCAACCCTTCGACACATAATGGTGCGTTGCTGCGGTGAAAGAATGTAGGCTATTATTGACAGGTCTTGCAGGACTCAACCTAAATAAATGCACAATGAAAGAGGTCTACGACAAGTTCGGCCTAGAAGCAACAACTCGAGACTTTATCGGCCACTCAATGGCCCTCTACCCAACTGACGATTACATCAACGAACCAGGAATGGCCAAGGAAACGGTCGAGAGAATTCGACTCTACGCCAATTCGATGGCTCGCTACGGCAAATCCCCCTACATATACCCTCTCTACGGTCTAGGCGAACTTCCTCAGGGCTTCGCTCGTCTCTCTGCTATCTACGGAGGAACCTACATGTTGAACACATCTGTGGACGAACTGCAGTACGAAGGCGGCAAAATCAGTGCCATCAAAGCGACGATGCGCGAACGAGGCGAAGAAGGAGATGGTATGAAGTTCAGCACCAAGACGAAGATGATTCTCGGTGATCCATCCTACTTCCCTGGCAAAGTGCAGGTAGTTGGCCATTTGCTGAAAGCAATCTGCATCCTCAACCACCCACTTGACAAGACGGGCGATAGTGATTCACTGCAACTCATCATCCCACAGTCACAGGTTGGCCGCAAACACGACATCTATATCGCCATGGTTTCTTCCGCCCACAACGTCTGCCCTAAAGGGTACTACATCGCCATTGTGTCCACGATCGCCGAAACCTCTGCGAATCACCATCTCGAACTGCAGCCAGGTCTAGAGCGGCTGGGTCGGATCGAAGAGAAGTTCATGGGCCCACCAATTCCGCTGTACCAGCCTTTGGAGAGTGGTGTGAATGATCAGATCTTCATTTCCAACAGCTTCGATGCGTCAAGTCACTTCGAAACAGTCACGGAAAACGTACGGGATATCTACCGCAGAGCAATGGGCGAGGAGCTGAAGGTGGAAGGGCTGAGGGAAGGTCAGACATTGGCTGAGGAGTAATCATGTTTTGGGAAGGAAAGGCTTGTGCCAGCGCTTGGATCGAGTATGTCAGTCAGTGCACAGCAAACAAACTTATGCATGGCGTAAGGAGTTGTACAGCTGAGAATCATAGCTAGACGACAGCCCGTTTTTGCAATCTAGTCATCTTGCTATCTTGGTGGGAGGGACTACGTTGTCTTCCCCTTTATCGTCTGCCCGCCGCCCAAGATCTGCTTTCTGACTCTAGTATACGCATCGACTCCGATCAGCGCCGCTATTCACAGTTTGTCAGCATAAATACATCAAATCTAAATCCAAACCGAATCCACTCTGGACCGTGGTCGTGATGTCGCATTTTCCTTCGGTACCGTCCATGTGCAATATACCGTAGACACAACCACTGATATTGCAGAGAGGGAGATGGAGGGAGATAGAGACAGCGGCACAGACTTACCAAGAGCCAAATATGGTAGATACAGCGCATACAACCCATTCATCTGTTCCGCGGTGTATCCGTCCCAAGAGCCCATTTCGACGACGCAAGTGAGTGTTGTAACGGCGGTTTCGAGGGCGAAGATCAACAAGTTCAACGGGACCATGATGTGATCTGAGATTTTGATGTGGTCAGTGGTCAGTGGTCAGTGGTCAGTACTACTCGTACTATGCAGAGATGGGTGGTGATTGAAGGGTCAGTCAGAATGCAGAAATGAGTTTCTCAGTATGATGGATCGAGGGGCGGAAAGTCGGGGTTACTCGTACCGTTGGGAATGGCCCAGGTCATCCACGCGCTCAGCGGGACGTGGTAGATGGCCTCGAGGTACATGTACATGGTGAACCAGGCGGGCGGGTCGGTGAAGAAGCGGTCTTTGGACGTTTGGATGTGGTACTCGCGTAGGGTGTGGGAGAGTTGGGGTCGAATGGCGGAGGGGATGAAGGGGCCCAGGTCGATTACTACCAAAAGAGGTATCTGGCGTTAGTGAGGGTTTGAAAGATGGGAATGAGGAGGGAGGGGCGTATGATCGTGCATGACTATATGGCAGTCCGCGGGATATAGGAAGGCAACTTGGTCCCCAGCTCGCCGGGAGACGGGAGGAACATGTCGAATAAAAGGGGATGATGAGGCGAGGCGGGTGATGGCGATGGCGGTATAGCAGGAGACATGCTGGAACAGGTTCATCATTGTCATCGGGTCAGCTCGAGCTCTGAGATACCTAGGCAGCGAGGCTCTCTCGGCTCCTGTCAGGACGCAGAACATATCGCATCTTTCGACTGTCTCGAACAATCAAGTGGTATCAGGGTCGGCTGTCATCTGGAGCTGAGGCCTGCACGGTTGCCGAAAGCTCAATTTCATGCATGAAGAAAGTAAAACTCACAAAGCATGATAGGAATATGTATGACGAAGAAGACGAGGTATAGAATGTCGAGTTTCCGAGCCGACAATGGCCTTGGTTGGGGGTGCTGCGTTGCCGTCATCTTCGTTTAGCACAAGTGGTGGTTCGGTTTCCGGGATATTGGCAGACCAAGATGGGCCAGTCAAAGGATATGAGGCTCAGCAAAGTTGTTCAATAACGCAGACTCGACCACCCATGACATTAAGATGCCAGTTAAGATAGGTACCTAAGGTAGGTAGATACTAAGAGGCACAAAAGAAGAACGAAGGCCATTGTGCTCGGCGAGTCGGGTCTACAGCTTAGGTAGCATCACGTGAGAGACCTGCCTAGTGAGCCCCGCCTGTTAGGTGCCACCTGGGTGCCAGTCGCTCCTATTTCACTTGAGCCTCGGGGCCTAACTAGAACCCCGTCATGCCCTAATCAGAACCGTCGCTACAATCCAAGTCAGCTACCTTGTGATGCTCCTGCTCTGCAGTGACAAGCGTCTTCTTTACTCGCTTCCCTGGAGGCTTCTCGCTTTCGGCTGCCTGGTGCGTTGCATCGTGTCCATCACTGGTTTCATTGAGACTACCACACTCATCTTCGGCCTCGGATCCGCTTGCAGACACGAGAGCATGTCTTCTGCCAGTGTCGACAAGATCAATTGCATTGGACTGTAGTGAACGTATCAGAACTCCATCGGCAATGGATGCCATGATCCGTCCTTTGCGCAACTTGCGTCGATCATTCGCAGATTCGTCGTCGCTGGAATCTGAACTTGGGTAGGAGGAGACGAGAGGGGGGTTGGTGAATCCTTCACACAAGGCTCGGTTCGACTGGGAGAAGTGCAGGGGCTACTGAGATACCGTCACAATCCCCGCCCAGATCGAAGGGTTGATCCTCGCTCGTCTCTTGACTGTTGGTGTCCTGGAATTCCGGGAGATCGCCAACGTGATGCTGTTTGGACGTGGCGCCGACACGTTCGTCGCTTGATTTTGCAAGGTCAGGGCTCCTGATTTTAGTATCCATGCCTGGCACGCCGGCATATTCCACGACGGCCACGACCCTGTCAGGGTGGTTGCGATTATCCTCGGTAAACGAACCTCTGACATCGAAAGCCAACACATCGTTCTGATGAAGACGCACTGCCGTTCTTCCAGAATTCGACTCACCGTGCTTGACACCATTACAAGTTACAACGCAATCTGGTCCAGCTAGGATCCAAACCCGACCATTATCATCGGACGATATATTTCTTTCCACAAGCTCATGACACGTTGGCAATGCTTCTCGATCCCAAAGACAATCTTCCCATCTGAGTGATATTGAAGGCCGGACCCTGATCCGTTGTATGGCAACTTCCATGCAGAACACTTCAATTTCTTGAGAGCCATCCTCCATTCGCTTGGCCCTCGACATCGTAGTGGTTATGTGAGTTACATGGTAGACGCATCCAGGTTCTCGGATCTTTGAATTGTATTTATTAAGCAATTTATAGAGTTGCGCTCTGCGGCTCCGACTCATGGCTTCGAACCCTTTCGATAGTTTGAAACTGATTGGGATGTGTTGACAGCTGTTCTTCACCTCCGGGTCGTGGATCGAGAGCAGCCCACGAGGCACTGGTCCAGCTGTAGTTCAGCTTCTCAATGAGGAAATGGTAGATATTGCCGCTGCGGAGTTAATCGTCATATAAGTCCAGGTGCTGCAGAATTGGCCGTTTCCCTTCGGGATAGTCGTACGACATAAATTCTTGTTCAATCTGGTGCACCGAGTCTCTTGCATCTGGCAACGACAAAGCCAAATGCTTGAAAAGTGCAATATCTTCTTCTAACACCTGAGCATTGCGATGACTTTGACTTACGTGCACAATCTGCGTATCACCCATGGAATTTGAGCGGTGTTGGGTGTCCAGATATTCCGGGTGATTGTCCAGCGATGTGGTGGCTATCGATATCGTCAGTATAACACTGATACATTCCGTGTCAGGGAAGCGGTACGGAGCCGGCCACGCTCTTCTTCTACCTCAGTCTGCTCCTCGTCCTGGGCGTCTTCCAAGTCATCCACTCCATGGGATCTCGGAATGCTGCTTCAATGTATTGCTCATTGCAGTTCTTACTGTGGAGAATTAGCCGGCGAACATCAAAAAGACTTGAACGTTTACCATGAGAGCAGTTGTTGTATCTTTGAACTTTCGAGGGCCTCACGACATCTTGGACAAGTATGAGCACCGTATATAAATCCCATATGCATCGTTATGCTTGAACGAGGTTTCACCGTTTCATGCCATACATCTTCTTCGATCACTTCAGGCTGAGAACCTTTAAGCTTCAAGAGAAAATGCTTGCATAGTACTCGGTGCAAACCAGGCCGGTCCTTGAAATGAACCCTGAGGAAACCGCAAAATATCTCCTAATGTTCGCATTGGGGAAAAGGAATGCTAAAAGTGCTGCCAAAGGGGTCCTCAAAACTGACGCTGCTATCAGATAGGAGAGAGGCCTGAGCAGGTAAGCGCAGATGGCATCGAAGAAGATATGAAGCAGTCAGCAGTAGCACAAAGACCGTTAAGGGCTCATGCTGCGTTTGTGCTGCCAGATGCTGAATGGCCTTCCGCACTAAAGGGCCGGTGGAAGCAGTTCCGATTGTGAGACAAATGATCAAGAGCCAGCCTTCCAGATCCGGTCGGCTGTCAGGAGCTGTACCAGATGCTCGTCCTGGTTCGAGTCCGGATTGCTTCCGTCGGGACTTGGGTCGTCAGGTAGCCATCGCACAACAGCTTTGGTGTATCTTACAGGGGCGTTTCTCTTTGAACGTGATCGAATCCGCGCATAACGTTCCGGATTCGATAGGTCGGGCGTTGTGAGCAATGTTGATGAGTTCACATTGCGCCAGAAATCGGTCTTCAGCTCACGCTGAAGCTCCTCTTTCGTTCGCATCAATTCCTGCAGAATCTCGTCGCGCAGGACTTCCGACGAAAGGGACACACGGCCAAGCGCATCTTGAAAATGGCCAGCGAGATGAGAACTCTGGATCAGCATCTTTTGGACGGTCTCGGCCGCTTGACTCGTGATCAACTTTCGTAGCTCGCTGTTGTGCTGTCGACTCTCTGCTGTGTCTAGTCTTCGTCGCTTAGTCGCAAACTGAGGACAGATTATGGTGTACTCACAGTATTGCACTTAAGACCGCAGCATCGATTGCAGGCGCTGATCTCTGATTGTAGTTCTTCGCCTCATTTGAGCCCTGGAACTCGAACCCGAGCTTTTTACCAATCCCTCGACTTTTCCCTCTGGGTGCATTTTCACCTCATTTTCACCCAGGTCAGCTTCGTACTTGTTAAGGCCCACCAACTGTCCTTCCTCTCTCCAAGGAGGGAGTCCGGTTATCGACTCACTGATGGCAGAAGTTTGACAGGCGGCTTCTGAGGACACCGCAAGCTGTACCAAGTCTTTCACCGCCGCCAAACGTGCCTTGCTGCCGGCTGCGACTTGCCGTATGCATCTTTGGAGCCTCCATCATCTTTCAAAGCGTTGAAACCTCGGAAGAGGGTGCCTCACACACACACACACACACACACACACACACACACACACACACACACACACACACACACACACACACACACACACACACACACACACACACACACCCACGCCACTTCGAGCTATTCAGCCTTACCAATTGATGAGGGTCGAGTCTGCCTCTCGCTTTCCGGCGTACTTTCTGACCGATGCTCGAATAAGAGACTGCCATCACTGCCTTCGATCTGAGCCACGGCCCAATGTGCTTGGATGCATGTGAGGCTACGCCTAGTAGCCTGCAAGTTTTTTGTCACCTGGCAAGCTGGGCATACCTGCGGAGTGAGATCAGCATGTCTCAAATGTCAGGGTCCAGCCCGTCTCGCCTGAACACGTACATAGCTACGGAGTACATTGAGAATATACGTTGCGGTGTGGATCGACTCCGGTGCGAGACAAAATGGATGTCATGCACGCAGCATGAGATTTAAATGTGCTCCGATGGAAAAGACATTTGCAGGTCCCTTCCTCGTTGTCATTGATTCTCAAGCATCAGTCTGGCTACCTGGCACTAATGCAATTCAGTTGCCCACAACAGCTTTTCCATTTCCAAAGACGATCAAGCCAGGATGACTGATATATATTTCACCCTGTCGACACAGATCTTCCGCTTTTCCATTTGTCTCAACCAACATAAACGTGAATCACTACTGATGGTACAGTGCAAGTCTCCAAGCGGAACCACAATGCATCCCTGGACTGTGCCCGTACTCTTGCTTCAGGCCAACAGCTGACCAATTTGCTCTATCACGGCGCGGCAGACTTGAGTCGTCTCCTCGTCAACACCCGCGGCTTTCCCTTGTTGCAAAAACACTTGCAAAGTCTCTTCGACTCGCGCGGCTCCAGCTTCACTGCCAAAGATGACAGTACCAGCTCTCAGAGAGTCATGGAACCATTTGCCGACAACATAAACCAGTTCCGAGGCGATGTATTTGCGGTTTGTACCCATGAACGGTGGGTCTCCGGTGAAGAACATCGTCTCCAAAACCTCAAAGAGCCGCTCGTACGGGATCTCCAGGTCCAGGAAAATGTCCACGACCCAATGAGGCGGTGCAACGTTTCGCTGATTTTCAAAGGAATACTTCTCAAGGATAGGCAGCAGTGCTTGAATTGGGAAAGTCGTCTCGGACACTCGAAGTTTGCTACCAAGGCTTCGGACCTGTTCGGCAATAGCTTCGAAGGGCTGGATCTGTCCCTCATCAAGCGTCTTGTCGTGCACAGATTGCAATAATTGCTGCCATGTCTGTTTGATTTGTGACGCGTCTCGGTGGTCTGCAACCTGGTAGATCAGAAGGCAAAGGTCATAGTAGGCGGCGTTATCGGCGAAATCGTTGAACAGGCTAGTGATGTCAAGAATGGCGCCATTGACACGATCGAGGACGTCCTTCCTTCGATCTCCGGTCAGTCGAGTATCGTCAATCAACCGCTGCAGGATTTCGTCCTGGATGATGGCGACATCAAGAAGTTCGGAGATCTCCAACAACAGCTGCTGCTTCATTTTGCGGTTGCCTCCTGGGGTGTATGTCGAAGCGTTGGCTTTAGCTCTGCTCAAATATTCAATCCTCTTCTCAAGAGTAAGTGGAAATGGACTGCGTGCAAGCTGCAATTGTATCTTAGCGGCATCTGAGAATTGGTTGGTCTGTCCGTAGTACTTCCACAGCAAATCTGCGTACGTGATGTCTTCGGAGGATTTTCGTTGCAAATAAGTGACGATAAATGCCGATTCGGTTGCTAGAAGTCGGTCGTACCATCCTTGTTGGATATACCAATCGTAGAGATTGGTCAAGAACGCTTCATCTTTCGATCTGCTGATCACATCGTAGGCTTCATTCCTTCTGGTGGCAGCGAGGGTGGGCCTTCCGTCAACGAAGCTAGGCCCTTGCTCGATGCTTCTGTCAACGGCACTGACAACATCGTGGATGAGGTCGTAACACTGTGTCCTCATATCGAACTTGGCCTTTCGACCATCCGACTCCGGGCGGCCCTCGGCCATCCAGGATAGCGCCTCGTTGGCCTTGTCCTTCTCGTGCGCGACTCGTAGCGCCAATTGTATCGCTCCAGCAAAGAATTGGAGATTCGTGTACTGTTGGGTCGCTGATTGTAGATAATCCATTGGAAGGCTATGAGCAACCTGCTCAAAAAGCTTCAAGCTTTCGTTTAGCAAATTTCGTGAGAGCTCAGCATTGCCCCCTGCCTCGGCGGCCCTCTTAAGCTGCTCCTGCGCCTTGAAAATCACGACATCATCTGCGCTACAGAAGCTGCCGCATTTTCTTCTCAGAGCTTCAGCTATCGTCTCAACATTGGATCCCTTGGCAATATTGCGGTTAACAATAGCCTTGACCAGTTCCTTTGCAAGATCATAACCTTTCTTCGTCGTGAAAAGCTCCTCGAAAGTCAACTTCAGCATTTGCGGTCTGGATGCTTCTGGAAGAAGTGGAATTAATTCAGCAACCTTCTCATCAAAAAGGACTAGAATGAAAGATAGCCCTTCAATGGTATCGGAGGTGAACTTGACGAGGGAGTGCAGAGCACGGTGTTCTCCCTTCAGCGCAATTTCGTCGTCTTTTGTACTGGTACTTGATAGGTCATCTGGGCCACTCAGCCCCTTGATGAAGCTCTTGTTGGTTTTGAAGAATCGTTGAAGCGCAGACAGAGCTTCTTGCACGTCTCTCAACTTCTTCACAGGCACAGCAGGATTGATCTGGTATCCCGCAGGAGTCACGGTCTCAGCCGCAATCACATTTTTCCAGGTCGATCTCAATATCCGCGAGAGATACAGAGCGATGGCTGCATGTCGGGGTGAAGGCCGTACGGCGTCGATGAGAGGGACAGACTTGTCGGTAATCGAGTTTTGGTTGATGCTGGGCTTGCCGCCATATTCGATGAACGTTTTCCGCGCCGACTCAAGCACTTCAGGGTCATTAACCCGTGCCGAGTATGTGTCCTTGGTCACTTCAACGCCTTGACCGCAAGCCACTGCAAGCGCTGTTGCCAGAGTTTCCGTCCTTCCGTACGCTCGAATCAAATTGTTGACCTCATTCTGAAAACCTTCAGAGCCACCTTGACGACTGACAGCAGCAAATATATCCACTAGTCTCCGCCGTTTGATGATGTGGACCCCGGTGTTGGTCAGGATGGCTATCTCTGGTGTAGGTTTGTCGAACTGGACAGCCAAGTCATTCCCATAGCCGACGGAATTAGCGACGGGGGGTGAATATGGTACAACGAGCCCAACGTCCTCGGCGCGGCTGCCTAATGACAGCCAGATGGCGGATTCAGCCGTCCGACTGGGTTGGCCGGCTTCAGGAGGCCTTATCAACCTGCCAGCGTCCGGCGCGGAGACAAATAATTGATCTGTCTGAGCATTGGCGTCCCTGGCAACGAAACAAAAGAAGTAGCCGGGTGAATATCTTGCCGCAAGTCTGGTCATCGTAAGAGTCTTGATAGGCTGATGAACATTGTTTGATGGATCTGAGCCTACAGAAGCCGATGATGGACCTGGGGCAGTGGTTACAGGCGGAGTTTTCACATGCTGAGCCTGCATGGTGATGTTCCCACTCGATCTTGTTGACGACCAGTAACTGGAGCTGGTCGCACTAAGATATATTCGGTACCCCGTGGCTGTGGTGGCCACTAGGTGATATCTCGATGCCTCGGATGCAGGTATGGCTGAGATGGCCACGATGGGAATGCGTGGATTCAAGGACTCGTTCTGATTGACGATGTGACCTATGTTGGCATAAATCTGATCAACAGGTTTGTCGATCACTTTTCGCAAGGTACCGTCGGATTCCACATGAAACGCACGGATATTCGAGGTGGAAGATAGTGTGTACAACATGTCTCGACTGTCGTCAACCACGATCTGCGCCACATACTCCTTGGACGTTCCTCTCAAAGAATCCCAGGTCCACGTTAAAGACTTTGTCACGCCACTAGTGTGACAGATCTTCGAACAGCGGCTGGAAAACCATCGATCTTCTTGTTGGTAGAGGAGTTCATAAAGCTCATTCTCTGATCGCCCGCCAAAGAAGATTCTTCCCGTTTTCGTTGAGCAGGCGATAACGCTGATGTCCAGACCTTTCACTGAAGTCGACATACCCGTCTGGAAGAGGGATAGTCCGGCAGATGCGCCAGGGCTTGGATCGGTTCCCAGCCCCAGTAGCAGAATATCGGAAGTCGTGGCCAAAACAATGACATGGGTAATATGGGGCAGAAAGACACCAGGGCGAGGCACTGCCAGCTTGACGGTGAGTATACTATGTGGCTGACCTTCAAACCCCAGCAGCTCGGGCTTTGGCGAGGTATAATCCCACATGTACAATGCATTGTCAATAGTTGTCCAAGCATGCCTCAATTCTGCAAAAAGGCCCATACTGGTGGATAGCTGCGCATTGTTGTACTGCTCAAAGATCTCGTCGGGAATTTTGTATACACCAGCTTTCTGGAAAGGCGCCCATGATGTCGAAGATTGTATGTCATAGTCTGCAGAATAACCCTGAGATAAATAGCCGTCCACCTCTGGAAACCGCGACTCGTTCGTGAAGGCTTCATTGATCGTGCGCGCCGCTCTTTCTAGGGGTTCGAGAGATTCGGGCTGCCGTATTGAGCTTTGAGCTGGAGTATCGGAGGATCTCGTGGTCGCGAGGGCAGTGGAAGTGCCATGAGGTGTAAGGGAAGGGCGGGAGAAAGGCGTCCCGGGCGATTGGAACGAAGGCGCAGGTATCGCAGGCCGTGTAACCGGAGTCTGAGGCCACACACCAGGAACAGGTCGCGCTGGTGTTTGTTGAATCGTGGTAGCCATGGTTGTGAAGATCGCGTTCGGCCGCAAGCTGAAATTATTTGTAGAGATGCATTAATGGTAACAAGCCGCCCAAGGCGGGTTTGAAAAAAACAACGAGGATTTCCTGTCAATATCTCGAGCTGAAAGATCAAACGTGAAAAATAACGTGCTCAAAGCCGGACAAGGCGGTTGACCTGGGTTGAAAGAAATGTTTCCTTGCGCCTTCAATGAGGCAGCTTTGACGCGCTCTCGATTATCTCCAATTGCAGGTCGCAGCCGCAACCACAACCGCAGCCTTGCCAAGCCATGATTATATCAGCAGCCACATTTTCTGAGCCTCGTCGCTGGTTGAGATAGGAACCGCCACAAAGTCTTACAGCTGTTCATATCCACGCTTTGTCCTAATGCATGACGTGGATACCACCTAGGGCTGTTGATTCATCAGGCCTTACAATAGATCTACATCGGTCAGATGGAAACCCAAGGGAGTACCAGTACAGCACACACGGAACGCTTGGACGCCTGACAACTCTCGATGATGCAGGGCATTGCCGTTTCTGAATTCGCTCATTAGCTGAACGATGATCACTCCCCTTTTTTAGGCTTGCAGGTCTTCGCACCTCGACCGAGACGAGTTCCGGAGATGACTCAGTATTCGTATTCGATCCCAGCTCTGGATCAGAGTCTCGACGAGAGGACTGACCTTCCACCCTTCAACATGCACTCAAACCCACCATCTCCGCACGTGTGGCTCTATATAAGCTTACCAGAACCCGCAAGTATGCTTGGTGCAAACAACATTTCAATATCAGGATGGAGGCTCTCGCTGGTTGGACCATCTACGCCTTTTCACTCTTTGCAGCAATTATAATAGCCAAGGTATGTGTGCAATGGAGCCCATAATCTATCCATAACTGACAGTACGAGACTATATTCAATGCTTTCCGCCCGGACTTGGATGAAATACCTGGGCCATTCCTTTCCCGTTTTACCACTTGGCCGCTCAAGATCTCCGTCTTAACAGGCCATCGGACCGCTTATATTCACCAGTTGCATCAGAAATATGGTGAGTGATTGCCCTCGTACTATCACCTTACAGACAATGGACGGTCGAAATGGAAGGCTTGCGGCCTCAACCACAATTACAGGCTGCTCAGAGCATTGTGCTGATTTTCTGACCGCTGTTTGACACACAGGGGCATACGTTCGAATCGGTCCCCGAGAAATTGCGATAGCAGACCTGAACGCTGCACAGCAGATCCACAAGGTCGGCACCCGTTTCAGGAAGTCGGAGTGGTACCAGAATCAAACAACCACCCAAGCCACGGACGATACTTGTGGTGTTTTCGGCATTCGTGGCCTCGCTGAAGCTCGGAGGAGACGCAAATACTTTCAACAGGCCGGGACCAAGGCGATTGTCATGGAGTGGGAGCCAATGATCATCTCCACGATCGACGTGACGGTTTCGAAAATCAAACGGGACGCCAGCCAGGGCGAGGAAGATATCATGAAGTGGTGGACCATGATGACAGCCGATATTCTCGGGTCGCTAGCCTTTGGCGAGCCTTTTCGGATGATCGAGTACGAGCAAGTATGGAAAGTAAACTTCCCTCGAGGTACCCGTCGCTCATACGAAAGTGCAGAAACCTCAGTTGATCAAGGACATTGAGGACGCGATGATCGCCGTTGGCATCAAGCTTGAGTTACCTCTGCTTTACTGGTTGCTCAATTGGACACCAATACCAGCTGTGCGACGCCTCATGAGAGTTGCTGATCGACTACGGGATGCTGGATATAAAGCAGTCGAGAACACTAAGCGCGCTTCCCAGGAAGGTTTCAAGACCCTTTTCTCCAAGATGTACCCCGAAGACGGCACACAGCCCTTCTCAGACGACTTGATGGCAGACGAAGCTAGCAACATCATCATTGCCGGGACTGACACCACGGCAATGACCCTGACATACCTTGTTTACGAAGTTCTTCAGAATCCAGGCATCAAAACCAAGCTTTTGAAAGAGCTGGAACCTTGTTCAGCTGATCCCCGAGTGGGAGAACTGGAAGAAAAGCAGTATCTGAACAACGTCATCCAAGAGACATTACGTCTGCACAGTGCTGTACCTGCAAGCTTACCCAGGACCGTGCCCGCGGAGGGTGCTGTGTTTGGAGGTTACCATATTCCTGCAGGATATACTGTGTCCACCCAAGCATATACTCTGCACCGCAATCCGCACGTTTGGGCAGATCCTGAGAAGTGAGAAACAGTTTCCCGGTACCACATCTCATTTGCATTGACTAGTGTGTCAAGGTTCGACCCAGATCGATGGCTCGAGCCGACTGCAGACATGAAGCGTGCTTTCATGGCGTTTGGTGGCTCCGCAAGAGGTAAGCTGAACGCATACTGTGCGAAATGGTTGACCACTACTAACGTGGAGACCTTCGCGCCCCAGTCTGTCTAGGTCAAAACCTGGCGCGCATGGAGCTTCTTCACGCTGTAGCACGGTTCTTCCGCGCGTGCCCGACCGCTAGAATCGCAGACAGCATGAAAGATAAGGACGCCACGATGGTAGATTTCTTTGTGATCAAGCCAGCTTGCGGAGCCATGGAGATCACCCTCGATCAAGAGCAATGAGGCAGCTTGTTGAAAGCTTCCATAAACATATATCATATCTCAGCAACTGGCGCATTATCATGGCATGTACACGCTCATCTCCAAACCCTTCGTGTAAGGCAAGGTCAGGTTTGTGAAGCCACTACCCGAGGCTCGCAGATACTCTAGAAGATCCTTGTACCTTGACGCTGAACTTATGGTGTTGTCCACTATGACCACGGCGCCGCGGTGCATCCTTGGTTGGACCAGCTTGAGGACAGGCAGAGCTAAGGGCGCCCAAACTAGGAGTTGTTCAGTTATGCTGAGGCGATCAGAGCCATGTGCGAATAGACTTACTGTCAAGCAGGAGCAAATCGACTTCGGGCAAGCCATCCTTTAGCGTCTCCAGAATGTCGCCCTCTCGGAGCTCGATGCACTTTGCAATCTCGTCTCCCGCTTCTCTCCAGTGCTCTCTGGCTTTGTCGGCCTTGGACTTCTCCCACTCCGTCGCAATGACAGTTCCGAGAGCTGCTCCGGACTTGGTGTTGTTGAAGACCGCAAGAGCGAGGTATATCGTGCTCACACCGAAGCTCGTTCCAGCTTCGACGATGTTCTTTGCGTTGATGGCAAGACAGAGTTGGTATACAAACTCGCATTTGTCTTGGTCCAGAGCAATGAACTTATCGCGCATAAAGTTGTCGAAGCCTTCCGCTCTGTAATCTTCGGCAGTCACTGCCTCTTCTTGGACCATCGATAATTTGTGGAGTCTATCCAGCAAGGACAGAACATGCGCAGGCGCCTTGACAGGCGTCGGAGACTGGCTCGTTGCCATGCTTGCGGAGGAGACTCTGTTCGAATGCTTTGTCTTGGAATTGGGACAGCTTGTGCAATAGCCAAAGGGTATTTTGCCGTTCCCGGATCAGTTGCGTCTCACCTAAATCAAACTTACAGGCAGTCAGGCCTATCCAATGGCAGGAAATCGACTGCAGAATAGCAATGAACAAAGAATATAAATGCAAATGGTAGTTATACCAGGACTCTTATATCCATCCCGCATATGACTCACCACGTGAGGTTGCCTTGATAGAGCTAGCCGAGCGTCAATCAGCGGACTACGGGTGATGTTAGTCGTACTGTATACTGCACATTTCCCTTAGGTAAAAGGGATTGAAAGAGGGCAGCATAACTCGAGCCGAAGTGCCGAGAAGCAGCACAACCAAGGACCTGATTTTGTGGCCAGCTAACAGCAAGCCAACTTCATAAACAACAATGTTGTCTGAGACCAGCTCACCGTCGGCATGCCAGACATGTGTACACGATTTCCCCTACGCCTTGATTACCTCTCATTCGTGGAATGCCGAGATATTCTTCTGTTGAGCGCTATGAACGGCATTGATGACGGCAAAAAGCAGAGGCACGGAAAGGAGCCATACCCTCCTGAAAAGCAGCGTTGATTTATACTGTGTCTTCGAATGGGACTGATATTCTGGCAAGATATATGTATATTTCCAGCTTAGCTCGCAGGAACTCTCGTCTGAGGTCTCCAACTGGAATCTGGGGAAACCTCGAAACTTTTGCTGGTCAATCATCGTAATGTCATACATCTTTTCCCCCGAAGCGCAAGTACCGTAAATCTCCCTGCGATCTTTTCCAGTGCTCACCATGTCTATACCACGGACCTTCCGCCTCTTTGCCTCCCAGACTGAAAGGCCCCTCTGCTCAAGATGCCTCTACCAATCCAGCCTTGCTCAGCAAGGCGTGCGCTGGAACTCGAGCTCCGCAGCTCCCACGGCTCCCCTATTCGCTAGATTGAAACAAGATCTCAAGGCCGCCATGCGGGCAAAAGATCAGGCAAGGTACGGAGCTACTTTCAACGTCCCTTCTGCCCCAGTTGATAGTCAGCTTACTCCGGTCGGCCCAAGTCCCATACAAGGGCCCGCCAGAACGCCTTCATCACCCCACCTTCTAGCATACACTTAAAGCAAGAAAAAAACTCCCGTTGCTGACGCTGGACAACCTACAGATTGACGGTAATTCGCGGCACGATTTCCGAAATCAACCAAGCCGCATCCTCGTCCTCCCCCGTCCAGACGGACATGCAGATCCTCGCACTCCTTCGCAAACGGCGGTCCAGCAGTACGAGTGCGAGACAGGAAGCCCAAGACGCGAACCGGCCGGAGCTACTCGAAAAACTGGACAAGGAGATTGAAGTCGTGGACGAGTTGATGGGCAGCGTGGAGATGATGGACGTGTCGGAGATGAGGTCCATCGTGCGAAGCGCCGTGGAGTCGATGAGAGGTCACGGTGAACAGACGGCGACGGGTGAGCTCAAGCCCGGTCCCGTCATGAAAGAGCTGTTGAAGCCAGGAGGCCCGCTTGATGGGAAACCGCTGGATAAGAAGGTCCTCGCTGAGCTCGTGAGGGAGGAGTGCTTCAGTAATCATGGAAAAGCATGATTACCTAGGTAAGGTTCATTCACCAAAAAGACTCTTGTATTGTATATTATACGAGGAGAGAGACTCTGTCATTCAACCTCAAAACACCGCCAACGGCCATTGGAACACCATCGTCCGTACCTATTTGCTCCAAACCTTCTGATGCCTGATGCAGTCAACATGAAGTGTCGCTTACAAACTCCTACTTCATTTTGCCATGTCCGAATATGTTCACAGATTGCAGTCTTCACTGCTCCAAGTGCGCCGCCCCAACCCTTCTCACAACCTCCCCCCTACGACCATGCCTCGCAAACGTGGATCCGTCCCTGCCCTGCCTGTCAACCAGCTTCGGCAGTCCAACGAAATTGTTGATCCAATTGACTACCACAAGATGCCAGACGAGACTATTCTCCGGCTTCAAGACCCAATGGTTCTCGTCCGGAAAACTCAAGAACCGACTTTCTATTCCCCTCATCTGCAGCACGTTAAAGGCGCTCAGCCCCTCAGAGATTGTCAGCCGATAGTCCAGCTCATTGTGAATCACCAGCATCGGCGTGGCCCAGTTCTTCGTAAACCGGCTCGGATCCCAGCGGTCATACATCTCCTGCCTCTCCCAAATCGGCCCTCCAAGGTCATGGACCGGGAAATACTGCTCTTCGCTGGCCACTTGGCCTGTCATGCTGAATACGCCATCATGACAGACGAGCGCTTTGAACTTGCGTCCTAAATCGTGGCCCTGCATCCAGTTCATCATGTAGCCTCCGTAGGACGCACCGAGTGCCACCGCCCTGGTCGTATCGACAAAGTTCAGTTCCGCCTCGATATACTCGAAGCCCTTGACGAGATCTACGTAGGGTAGTCCACCCCACTCGTTCCGAATTGCGTCGGTGAATCCCTGCCCGTATCCGGTTGAGCCAGTCGGATTTGGACAAACGACGACATACCCTTGCTCCGCGAAAACAGCGGGATTCCAACGCGTTGACCACTGGTCGTTCCAAGCGCCTTGTGGGCCGCCATGGATCAGATATGCCAGGGGATACTTGTGGTCGGCGCGGAAGAATGACGGACGCATCATCCACGCGTGGACCGGGTGAGAGTTTGCGCCTTTCCACCATAGCGACGAGACTTGTTGGGGCGACAGGCCGAAGCGAGCGCCGCCATTCGAAAAGGATGAGAGTGGCACTGGTGCCGATTGGCCGGATGAGTCGACGATAGTGTATGTGCTGTTGTCGACGAGGCTATTGCTCGAGACGAGGAAGAGGTGTGAGTCAGAGGAAAGCGGAGCCAGGTCAATTATATAGCCTGAGTGAGTGAGTTGGCGAGGCCGCCAGTTCGGACCGGGTGCTTCAAGGTTCAGGTCAAGTGCGAAAAGACATCCGCGTCCGGTGTCTTCGGCTTCCATGAGCAGGGTTTTGCCGTCTGGGGTCCACTTCAGAGAGCTAGGCGACCGGTCCCAGCCGCCTTTGCTGTCGCTCGTGTGCATGAGTTCGGTGGCCGAGAGCTCGTCGTCGCAACCAAGGCCGTGGACGAGGACAATTCGGTTCTTGTCACTTTCGTAGCCATCGACGGCCATCTTGAGGAATGCGATGGACTCACCGGACGGGGAGAAAACCGGGGAGGTGGCTGCACCATGCAGCTTGGGAACACGAATCCGACGGAAGCGAGGTGGGCTCATGTCCATCATGTCTGTCTTGGGCAGGAAATAGCAGTCGCCCTTGGTGTGTGTGGCGGGATTGAGATCGGGGTCTTTCGCTACGATGACCAGCCCCGTCGGCCCAATGTCGAAATGGTCGGTACCGCCGAACGGCGGGATGGGACATTCGAATCTTGACCCTTGTAAAGCGTTCTTGAAGCCGAGTAAATTGTATCGGCCTTGTCGTGAGGTTACCACGGGTTGAGATTTCTGAAGGAGACCTGTGAAAATGCTATTCCTCTGCTCCGTGACGTAGGCATCCCAGTGTCGAACGAAGAGCGAATCGTAGAGCCGAGCGGAGCTGTGCGGTTTCTGCACGTCCTTGGGGTTATGAAGACTGCCATCTGGGTTGGCTTGTCCGGCAACGGCGACAACTACTTTGCCAGCTTCGATGACATGAAGCTTGAGGTTGGAGACGGGACCGGGAACAGTGCCAGCGGTATAACACTTGCCTGGGAAGGTGGCATCAGTGATAACGAAGCTTGTGTTCCCGTTTTCGCACTCCTTCAGCCAGATGACCTCGTGGTTGGTGCCTGTCCATCTGGGCTCGCTCGCCTTGGCGTCTTTGCTGATGGTGACAGACTGAGCGGTTGTGAGATCTAGGACACATATTTCATTGGTTCTGGTATGGGTCTCGAATGAATAGGTTGACTGTGTGTATAAAGCAAGCTTTCCATCTGAGCTGGGTACAGCTGCTGATCTTCTCGGAGCGCTCAGAAGGACCCTACGAAGTCAATGGGCGTGTTGGGCGAGATGGCAAAAAGGCTTACTCTGGTGTGTAATGTTTCCTTACAGTCATGATTGTCACTGACCCTTGCCAGCGATCACAAATTTGAAGACCTCGAAATGAATTCGGTGAAATATTGGCAAGTGCCTACCAGGAGATGCCTCGGATCTGATCGAAATTTGAGGACAGTGGGATCTTCCTCAAGTCTGATTGAGCTTGTTGTCCTCAACAAAAGGCGGGGGCCGAAGCGAGACAGAATGGCCAGACCCAAGCTAACTTAGACTGACCGTGACTGTCTACCTCAGACACACACGACACACTAGAAACATTTTCTGTCTGACCAGTCCCTGAGCTGGGAACCTCCGCGTGACGAGCACTGACGTCCAGCCTTCACGACCAGAACAAGGCTGGCAGCCCTGAGTCATCGATCGTTCCCCTCCCGTCCAAAAAAATTCCACACACACCCAAACTCCTCCTGTCATCACTTCCTGGAGCAGGGCAAGACCAAAAGTCCGCAAAAAGGAAATCTCCCCCGGGAAGGCTCGAACTTCCAGCCTCCAGATTTGCCTGATTAACAGCCTCAGTTCGTGCACAACTGCACAACCTGGTTGATTAACAGTCTGACGCGCTAGCCAATTGCGCCACAGGGGATTGGGACTGGGATCTCCTTTGGGATCTCCTGTCCTGATTGTTGAAGGAATTTGGTGGTTCCAAAATATGACCTGTGTGCAAATGACTGTGGGCATCCCGAGGCTAGCCGTCTCGGCAGGGACTGGGTCCACCTGGTCCCACCTGCTTTGGTGGCCAGAATTATATGCTGATTGATAGGTAAGCAGACGCCTGTAAGCGCACTGACTGTTGACCGTATTTTACCCGGAGGATGATTTTGGGAGTTGGTTGGCTGGACAGAGCCTGCAACCGGAGAAATAGGAGAAACGCAACCTGACAGCCGATTTCCCGACTCGAGACTCGAACAGAACATGAAGGCCAAATGTACATCGTTATACAATCTATCATATACAGTAAACGTCATACATCATAGTCGTCAATCATCCTGGTTAGTTGTAAATTCTAACCATATCACAGCAAGGTACCTGGTAGTGGTACCCCTGATCTCCGGGGCCATCGTTCAGCCGCGTGGCCTTAATTTTCATGGACACCAACTCGATAGAAACCCTCCAAACTATGCCAATGTTTCATCACAGACGTGATCGATTCCTGTAACGCCAAGCTTAAAAAAAGTGTCTTTCCCAACGCCGTTCAACCATCACGTCAAACAACCTGAACTCCAAACTTCCAAACTTGCTGTACAGTCAAATCTCCGTCCAATCCTTCGTCCAGCACGACCAAATCGGCGTCCATGCCCGTCTCAAGCTTCCCTTTAGATGCTTCGACGTCCTTCCCTAGCATCTTTGCAGGAGTGCTCGTCACACATTCCAAGGCTTTTGCTGTGCCGCATCCGGTAAATCGTTTAAAGTTATTGACACAGTCAATCAGGTCAACAACACTTCCAGCAATGCGTCCGTTGCTTTCTAGTTTAAGCAATTTTCCTTCTTTGATGAATCGGTCTTCTCCACGCCACTCATAAGCCCCGTCAGGACAGCCAGCAAACTTTTGAGCATCGGTAACGATGATTGCGCCATCAGGATGTGCCGAGTATGCAATCTTCAATGCTTGAGCTGATAGATGAATTCCATCCGCTATCAAGCCAAAGAATGGTTGTCTGTATCGTACTTCAGCATCTAAGTCTGCCATGGATGTGCTGATGCTGAGGCTGGACCGAGGTGTCGATCGTCTTGATGACCTTGGAGAACCCTGAGGTGAACTCGATGTACTTGCAGGCTGGCTGTGTCTCGGGGATGCAACAGGCGTCGAAGGTGTTGATTGTCCTAGTAGGCCGAAGATGCCGGGATCTCGGTGCCCAAATGGCCTCATGGCGTTGAACAGGTGGGTGAGCATTGAAGCTCCTGCAGCAACCGCATTCTGTGCTTGTTCAAAAGTGGCATCGGAATGACCAACAGAGAATACTATCCCCCGAGAAACGAATTCAGGAATCAAGGACATCATTTCGCCGCATTCTGGAGCCGCTGTCACATATCGAACATTCTGAAGGTTTGAAGAGCCGTAGCAATTTTCGATGTCGGCCCATGAATGTGCTTCCCGCAGGACTTCCGAGTTGTGAATGCCGTTGCGTAGAGGTGACAGGAATGGACCTTCGATATGTGCGCCCAGGCTCTCGGAGCCTTCGCTGGCATCTCGGGTTTTCCCAGAAGGACCAAGATGTGGGAGGACAGCATCATAAGCTTCTGGCCGTGTGCTGATGACAGTGGGAACGAAAGAGGTGAGTCCACTTTTGATGATTTGCTTGCGGGTACGACTGAATCCAGCGGCGAAGTCTGGGTCTGGCGTGGAAAAGTCGAAATTGTGAGAACCGTTGATCTGGACATCAATAAAGCCAGGGGCGAGGATCTTTCCTTGCAGGTCGACTATCTTGTCTGCCGTTAACCGAGATGAGTAAAACGCTGTCTGTGGACTCATGATACGTCCACTCTGTGACGACACCCAGAGATCTCCTGGGACCAATTGGCCATCCTTGAGTAGGTAGCCGTTGGTAAACTTGATAACCCGAGGACTTGAGGCCCGCATTTCGAATATGGCCTGAAAACGAGCAAATGTGATAAAGGAGAGTACGATTGCTTGTAGGCTGGCCTTACAAGAATGAGAAAGATCAAACGAAAGGCAGACGACGATGGATAAGAATATAGAAAAACGTAGGGGTGTCACGTCATACTACGTTACCGGTGTGTTGATGAGGCGATATTAGCAAATTTAACTGGCCATCGGGATCTGGAGAACGGCAGGCGACGGAATAGACCGCAGGAAAAGGTGAGATGAGTGGCACGTAGAGAATTCACCAGAAGGGCTTGGACGGTTGTACGATGACAGCAGCCAACACTCCTAGGCACCCAGGTGCTAGGAAAATTTCTCCTCTCATGTTGCAGTGTTGGAGCACGTTCAACCACAAACGCGACGTGACTTGGTAGTATCGATTTGGGAGTACGCAGTACTGTGGTCGGAAGAAGAGAGGTGCTTCCGCGTGGTCACGTTGCCTCTGTTTCAGCCCTATAAGTCGCAAAGGTTTAGACACCTTTGAGAAAAGTGAGGGACGAGAGAGATGCAACGATGGAAAGGAGAAATTGATGGATGGAACGTTGTTCTAGAGAGTCGCAATCAACAGCAAAAGGTGTATGTAACGTCAAGGCGGAGAAGATGCAACACTCTTATCGTAGGCCGGTCACGTGCTGTACTTTTTGCCTGCGCCTTCACCATCCCCACCATCCACTGCATCTCCTGGTCAGTCAACACAACCGCCCATTCGACCTGGTCTCGCGGCAAACCATCACACAAGCATCCCAGGCTATCTCCCACTCCACCTCCAGTCTTACTGATTGCTAGTTGGATCAATTTCCGATGGTCTTCACTCCAGTGAGACCCTGTCGCGGTCGGCTGAGCGACTTGAGCGATTGAACGAGCCTCTCTCATCCAACCTTCAGTCAACACCTCAGTCAAGTATCTGGATTATCCTGCCGTCCAGCCGACGAACCACACTTCTTGGTTGCGAACTAAGGCGTCCGGGTCTTTGGCCATTATCTCAGAGACACCCTTCTATCAAATGGTGCTGTCTTTGCGTCGGTATGCTACAATGTCACTCTTCTATCTCTCTATCTCGAATTGTCTGCTGATACTCATGGTAACCGTCCTTTAGCGCAACCTAGCTCACTATCACCGTACCTCTCCTCTTCTGTCACTCTATCCAAACGACTACTTGTACATCCTTTGACCTCCTTCGTTCTCGAGATCCTCCCTCCATCTCCAGTGCACGCGACACTCCGAGGTTTAAGACCACTCTGCGACCAAACCACACCAGACTCCACTAGGAATCTGCCCCGAGCACCTCCACTCCCGCAATTCCACTCCGCTTGCCACTTGAAGCTTACTTCTTGAGCCTCGTCCGCCTCCAATCTTCTTTCCTTCGCGACCACGGTCCTCTGCTTGTCCGTGCTTGACTTTCTGTTCTACAATGTCCGAGCCCACAAACGAGAAGATGGCGACTACAAGCGCTGGCTCTGCGTCGGAAACCCAAGCACCAGAGATCATGGGTGCGGAAACAAGACCTCACGGCAAGGCATGGATGTACAAGTCCTTCAAGCTTGGTCCGATCACCATACCTGCGTATGCCACACCACAATTTCAGATCGTCTTTGTCGCCCTGGTCTGTTTCTTGTGCCCTGGCATGTTCAACGCAGTCAACGGTCTTGGTGCGGCTGGTCAGGTCAATGCCCATGATATCAACAATGCAAACACCGCTGTCTATGCAACTTTCTCTGTCGTGGGCTTCTTCGCCGGCACCATTGCCAACAAGATCGGCCTTCGCCTTACCCTGGGTATTGGAGGATTCGGCTACTGCCTCTACATTGCCTCAATCTTGTGTTACAACCACACCTTGAATGCAGGCTTCCTGATCTTCGCAGGAAGTCTCCTCGGTGTCTGTGCTGGTTTGCTCTGGACGGCTCAAGGCTCCGTTATGATGTCTTACCCTCCGGAGAAGTCCAAGGGCACGTACATTGCCGTGTTTTGGGGTATCTTCAACCTGGGAGCTGTTATTGGCGGTTTGGTCCCCCTCGGTCAAAGCATCCACAACAAGAGCAATTCCGTTGGGGACGGCACTTATATCGCCTTCATTGTCTTGATGGCAGCCGGTTTCGTTCTGGCAGGCTTTCTGTGCGACCCAAGGCTTGTTGAACGGTCTGATGGTTCTCGAGTTATCATGATGAAGAACCCAACATGGAAGTCGGAGCTCAAGGGTCTCTGGCAGTCTCTGTTTTCCGACTGGTACATCATTCTCCTCTTCCCCATGTTCTTCGCCAGCAACTGGTTTTACACCTACCACTTCCAGGATGTCAATCTTCCAAAGTTCAACATTCGCACCCGTGCCCTCAACAGCGTCTTGTATTATCTCTCTCAAATCATCGGATCCATCATTTTCGGTATTGCTCTCGACAACACCCGTTTCAGCCGCTCCACTCGTGCCAGAGGCGTCATGGTTGTGCTGTTTGTGCTCACCTTTGTGATCTGGGGTGGCGGTTACGACTTCCAGAAGCAGTACAACCGTACCGAGACCACTGCCGATGATTACGTCAAGATTGACTGGACCGACAAGGCCTATATTGGTCCCATGTTCTTGTTCATGTTCTATGGAGCGTATGATTCGGTCTGGCAGACCACAACCTACTGGTGAGCATCTCCCGCTTAATATGCTAATCGCAAGACTGACACTTTTAGGCTTATGGGCTCCTTAACTAATAATGGCCGAAAGCTTGCCAACTTCGCCGGCTTTTACAAAGGTATTCAGTCTGCTGGTGGCGCCATTTCGCCACAACTCGACGCGAACAAAGTTGCTTTTATGACGCAGTTCGCCGTCAACTGGGGTCTGCTGGCTGGCTCACTCCTCATTGCTGCTCCCGTCATCTGGACCAGGGTCAAGGACACCACTGATCTTGAGGAAGATTTGAAGTTCAGTGACGAGACAAAGGCTGATGTTGCCCCTGCCAGTGCCATCGTTGGCCCTGAAGGAATGATGGCAGAGAAGATCTAAGGGGGCCGAAGCCTGATGAAGACGAGTTGAAATCTGGACCGAAGTTCGGGTTCAGTCCGTATTGGCCGGCTCATCTCGGATTGAGCTTGTCGAGCCAAGCATCTGGAGTCAGGAAATGATGTTATCACCAGACAGAGGGAAGGATTACCTCGGTGTTATTAAGGACCCAGAAAGTTTCTAGCGACGTTACCCATGGCGAGCAACGGAATGATACCTTTAGTAACCTAGCTTCTTGCCAATCAATGCCAAATCAGATCCTGAAGTCACACTACTAGGAAGTGGACGGAATGGAATTGATCAGATGCCAAAATGTCTGTCAGAAAGAGGCCCAAGCCCCAAAGCTGATGAGATGGGATCAAAGGGCCAGGCATGACCACTGTCGATGTGACTTTGACCGCTGTACGCCGATGTCGACCTTGGCTGAATCGTTCGACAATCTCATGCTGATGGGGACAAAGAAACCATGCCAGGTGGGTTAAATCAACCCATTGTGCTGCAGACGGTGTTGCCTGCGCCTCAATCAACACGAGGCTGCATGGGTTCTGCCTTTTTGTTATGTTTCAGGGGTACCCCGTAGTCAAGATGTAAATCTGACGCTGAAGCCTTGGTTGAGAACAATGCGCCATTCTCTTCAAAGAAACAAAACGATGCAGATACCCGTGGTTACTGGCGGCGATGGATGCTGGTCGTCTCCAGAACTGCCTGGTACGCCAAGCTGTTGTTCTTTGACGCAGGCTTTCATCGTGTTGGATTGTTTCTGATGGCTGTTTACAATGTCTGATTGAGGACAGACATTGCTGCGTTTGTTCAGATGGGGTGCAGGCAGGGTGTCTGCTCTTATAAGATGATCTGTTCCGAAAGATGGCAACCATTCTCACAGCTCGTCACAAGGACGGTTTTCTCGCTCTTCATCTTGTACCAGGACATAGGAACATCTGCTAATATCGTCATCTCATCAACTTCGCTGAGTGGCCGCTGGTCACCATGGAAGACGAAGACAGCTGGTTGGCGGCCCGCTTCGCCGCCCGTGAGAAGATCCTTGTGTCCAAACAAGCCGAAGCAGCAATAGCACTGAAAGCTAAACAGGACGAAACAAGCATCAGACTTACTGGACATCAAGCTGAAGCGGAGAGAGAGTTGACATTGGCGAGATATCAAAGAGAACTAGCTCAGCTTGAACTGGAGAAGATTGAGCATAACTTGCAATCCAAAAGAAAGCTACTTTCGGAAGAGAAGGAGGAAGAGGAGGTTCTGCACAAATCCAAAAGACCACGACCAGACACTGACCTACACGACTCTGTTCCATCCCGTCAACAGGAAGACCAGCAGCAGACGGCTTCAGCCGTGGAACGAGGTCAACAGCATCATGTCGCAATTGTCGCGGCCCAGCTATCGCCCCACCATCACCGGATACCCACCTCTGCAGCTGGGACATTGCCAGGCGCTTCTGATCAGGATCCTGTCCGTGCAGGTAAAGATGAACAGAACAGCGCAGGTCGCAAGAAGTCGACTCTGCACGGAGAAGACGTTCTGCCCAAATGGACGGTACCCACACTGGCATTCCAGGCTCAGAAAAACACTCAACCAGACCCGCCTCTCCTCACAGCAGTTCAACAACACAAATCCAGTCGCGAAACGTTAGACCCTCGGCTGCGTCGACAGAGCATTTTGCGCCCGGACGGCCCCGATATCTCACGTCGACCATCTACCGACGGTGTGCAAGATGGAGAAGAAGTCAATGACGGACCAGCGGCGCCAGCAACGGGACAAGCACGAAACGCTGGGTGTCGTCGACAGTCACGAATCCCAGAACAAGCGCTGTACCGACCACCACCACTGTCATTTTCATTTACAGACTCGGCGCGACGGTCTTCGCAATCCAACGCAGCCATGGACGAGAAGAGACGATCACCAGCATCGAAACAAGAACCACTGGCGTCAGCCACAACCGCAATATCCGATCCTACCGGCACAACACTGTCCACGCCTCCAGCAAAGGTCGAAAGCGAAGAAACAAAGCCCCCAATCCCAAGATGGGACGGTCCAGGACCGCAGACACCGCAAGCAGCAGAAGACAACCTCCCACAAGTGCGGCGTGTGATTCCCAAATGGGGTGGCCCACCGAAACCTGCGTTGCCACCATCACCATCACCACCACGACAGCCTCGGAGCCGAGTAAACAACGGCAACAACAACAACAACAACAACAACAACAACAACAACAACAACAACAACAACAACAACATCAACATCAACAACCCACCTCCCAGCGCAGACCTCAACAACAACGTGACACACACCAAATTCACCACTCCCCACCGACAAGAAACATTCCAACGCTTCGCACACGTCCTGCTCTCGAAGCTCCAACTCGCGCTGAACAGCGACTTCGGCCTACGCAGTCAGCATTTCTTCCAACAGATCGAGGACCGCGTCGACAGGCGGACTTTCGACCACTTCGGGGCCCTCACGGCGGAGACATGGGACCGGGTGTACACGTTCAAGAGGGGTGAGCGTCGCGTGGACGGGATGGTGGACGACGCAGTGAGGAAGGTGCAGGAGCTGCTTGACGAGTGTATACGGGAGTGCGAAGAGTACGAGGAGCGCGAGATAGATGAGAGGAGGCGGGAGGCGATTGTGGGACGGTGGGTGAAGAGGGCGTCGGAGTTGAGGGTTTGATTTCCTGGCTGGGTGTGTGAGACAATATTGAGCGGGCATTCGTCTTGCTATTAGGGCTGTGGCTGAATGTAACGAATAGTCCAATGTATGAGAGGTTTGGCTGGGTCAAACCCCGAGTGCTATGAAGGATGCTTGTGCAGCTGATAGCGGGTGCGAGATGCTTGACGGGGACTGTTTGCGGCTTGGTTTTGCGATGGGATCTGTGGGCCGCAGCCTGGACCTGTGTCAACTCTCTCTTCCAGAGCGTTTTGATCAGCATGCCGGCCAAACTGGGCTGTTACGAAATCTGTAGCAGGAAACCGTCACATCCATTTCTAACGATGCTCTGGTCACGTGCCTGCTCACGAGGCTCAGATCTTCAGGGGTCACCCAGGGTGTCGTGGGGATACGACAATGGAGACAACATGCAAGGAAAGCTGCATTACTAGTATTCGCGAGGACGTCTTGATCAGTATTTCGCCATAAACTGGAAGCAGGTGCGAGATCAAGCGCTCCGTATGAATGTTTTGGTATTGCTAATCGGCGCTTACGAAGCAATCTCTGGATAAGCCGGTGAATGTCTCCATGGCTTGCAGCCCAGTCGTATTTTTTTGCCAGCAAAAGTAAGAATTCCGAAGCTTTGCATCCGTTGCTAAACTCTTAGCTATCCAACAAAGTCGTTGAACCTCGTGATCGACGACGGTGAATCTGTCTCCCAACGGCTGGCCCATAAAACGTAAGAATATGCCTTTTTTGCATTCTTGTTTCATGCTTTTCGACAGCATTCTCCATGATTGTTATTACTTCACACATGGAAGCATCCAGTGAAGTAGCGAGAGCATGGCTCACCTGAAGGCTCAGTAAAGTTGACCTGCTCTGCCAACTCCTCGACCATCAGGTATACCAAAGCCACGATACGTCCCTCGTCCACGCGTTGCGCGAGAGGAAATAGCGCCATTAGACAAAATTGGAGCCGGACCGCTGGCGTCGTTGTGGGGCTGATACCAATGGCCAAATAAGTGATGTCCCAGTCCTCTCATTTGCATGCGGTGAAGTTGGACAGCGCCGACTCCTTCCGTTGACCACGCTGGCGGACATTCCGTTACCAGGCTGGACTGCAGTTGCTTGGGACTTGGCTTCGTCGCTTTCCGGCTTCCAAAGCATTAGGGCCAAAACATCGTCATCTAAGCTGGGAACATGAGTACCGTCTTCCGAGATACCGGCTTCCGCTATGATGGCTTCTAGGACATTGACGTCTGGACTGCTGGCTTCTAGGATACTGTTGTCTAAGATAGGAGTCATCTCAAAAGGGGATTCGACATCTTGCTCTGGTTGTTTTCCTAGAAGATTAGGCTCTTCGAGAGGGATGAGTTTCATCCTTTTTCGCAGGTTGTCAATCACTTCCATGTTTTCTCCCATCTCTTCGAAGAGCCTTCTCTTCAGCTCCTTTGTCTCGACATCCCCCCAGTTGCCAATTTGGTTCATGGCCTGATTCGCCAGCTGTTGTAAGAATATACGTGCCCTTTGGAGATTTTCAAGCATGCGGGCATATACCCCCGGTACCTTCTTCTCGTACAGTCTCTTAATCGCTTCTGAGCACAAGCCCTCATGTTCGCGTTTTGATAATGTATTTGACACGTATTCTTTCAAATTATCAAGGGCGGATTGCGTGATGTCGCTGTTGATTCCTTGATTCTCAACGGCAAGCACCATATCGTAGAGCAGCGGCTTCAAATCGTTAGGCAACGAATCGGGAGCCATATTGACTGTTCTGTGGATGATATGGACGTTGATGAAGCAAGAATACTGGAAAATATCTGTTATCAAGGTGATGGCCAATGTGAAAGCGCAGGCAGAGAAGACGAAATGGGTATACTGCACCAACACTCGTGTACAGTCAAGGAAAGTGTTGCAATGGGTTGCGCTTACCGCACTCACAGGCGACCATATTGGAGGAATGAATGTTCAGTTTGCTTCGATGGTATTTTAATTTCGTAGAAGCTGTAAAACCCCCGTTGATGGTATCCCAAGTCATTGTGCTCCAATGTACCTAGCATGATGAACTCATGTCTCTCATCGAGCCCTCTGAATGGCACAACACCCGGCATCCAATTACCGCAGCCACCCCTAACTCGGATGCTTTCTTGTTTCCTGGAGTTCTGAAACAGTCCGAAGTCTGCCATCATAATGACCAGCTGGCATCGTATCGATCTTGCGCACCAGTCCGAACGCTTCCACCACCCGTCGTTTGTTTAGCAGGTCAGTGCCATGCTCACAGAACTATTTTGGCTCCGCAGTTGCACGTGTCGATTTCCATTTCTTCCTCAATTGTTCGATATCATTAAACTGTCGATCGAGGTCTTCGTAGTCTCGCTTACGCTTTTCGCGCTGCGCGAGTAGTCCAGGCGGCGGAGTTGATAATTTGCTAACATTTTTGGTGAATTGCTGAGCATTCCGGGACGCTATAAGGCTCTGCTCAAGTTTTCGCTTCGTCTCTTCAAGAGACTCTGACATCTCCTTGAGCTTAGAGTGCATCTGTTCTTCGACCACCATGGCTTTCACCCTGGCATCTGCATCTTTCTCGGAGCAGCTGACGCTACCTGTAGGTTGATTTTCAGTGATGTGGTGCAGATAATTTTCCAGCTCAGCAAGGATGCGTTTTCTGACTGCTTTGATTTCTTCGCTTGGATAGGAGATGTAAGCGTCCGAGGTGATGGCGATGAAGTCGCTAATTACCTCCGCCATCGCCTTGCCCGCGACATACATAGTTCGAGCAACGAATAGGTCGCGTGGCCTGGGATGAATGAGTGCGAGGAAATGATAACTGACTGATAGAAAGGAGAAAGGTAATCCTCTGCAGCATCAAACATGAGCTAGAAGTAGGAGGCCAGTCTATCTTCTATGCTTTGGCCTTGGAGAGGCCCTTACTTAAAGAGTGAAGTGAAGTGCAGTGAAGTGAAATGAGGGAGTAAATGAAAGCCATGTGAAATCATCTGATTGTTTTCCGAAGTAATTTCAACACTCAACCCTCGGTATCATGGCGTTGAGTGCTCCGCAGGTCTGTATCTTGACAACTGTTAAAGTAATACTGGACAATGCCATTTTCTCATGTTACGTCCATGCTCGAGAATCAAGTGTGATTCTGTTTTCTTCCCCATCACCTCCATAGGCTCGTCTTCGATTGTTGCTCGAGCGTCGCAATTTCACCTTCTATCATGGTCGAGATGCAAGTTTTTGGCCGAGTTGAACCCACTCATCAATCGTTTGCGGCAGTCCAGCAGCGGTGTTGCGGAAAGTGAGTTCGAGCCCTTTGACCATCCAGAAAAGAGTCTGATATGCTCGAGTGAAGTAGGCCTTCTTCTCGACACTCCAACCTCGAAGAATAGCGCCACGACGATCACGCAAGATCCGTTGAGACAATTCCTCAAGTCGTCCATTAACATCAATAAACGCAAATGCCCCGTCATGGTCATCAGTCGCACCATACATGTACGGCACGAAGCTGTCCCAAGTCCAATCAACAACAAAGGCCACACTAGTGAGATGTAGCAGTTTGCTCTTCACATGCCCAAGGATGTCTGCGAGGTGTATAAGCCCATCGTCATTTTTGATCTTTCCATTTCTTGGACATGGTCTGTGATGCCGATACTCCAGCTTTCTCACGTATCGTAGTTTGTTGACTGGAATATCCGCCAATAAGGCCTTGGCGAGTCTCGCAATCGCAGCCTTTGAATCTTCATTTGAATCATCTTGACCTTTCTTCTTGGTTCTGCTGCCGGACATAGCCAATGGTGCAGGTTTGATCACGAGAGAGGTAGTGCTGAAGAACAAAGGGGTCCAATCATCGTTGACTTGACGTGACACTGAGAGCAAGGAGCGTCTGGTGACTTGGATCTCCTTCCACTCTTCTTGGCCGAAAATGGGCGTATGTGGGTCATCCAAGTCCGATGGGCAGCAGGCGAAATATCCGTAGACCTGGAGTCGGATCTCCGGAGGCAATTCGATAAACCGAGACCGGTTGCTTTCAGCTTCAGCCGCTTTCTTTCTAGCAGAGCGCGTGTTCGCCACTGGCTTTGGAGATTCTGATTTTGTAGAAGTAGTGGGATGTGCAGATTTTTGTGAGCGCTTCGAAGACGTGTCCGTGGTATATGGCCCGGCTCTTCCTTTGCCCTTTGCTTTTTTAGCCCTTGATTTCGGCATGATGGGTTGGGAGGGGAGATCTTCGGTTTCAATTTGCAATATCACTGGCTGTGTTTAGCAAGGAGAGAGAATTCGAAACGCTGTATGAGACTGGGTTGAAGAAGGCTGTCAGCAAGCTAACGGACAGCGCTTACGAAGTAGGAAGACTTCTAGGGCTCATATGGAGGAAGAGGTTCCATACCAATTGCTTGTGGTACATTCCCGGGTTGAGGACGTTTGATCGAGTTGGATTGTTGAGAAGGTGTCAAATGACCAAGCGGAGAACAATCAGGATCGAGTTTTCGTTTCGGCGAAGATGGTTGAGTATGAAGTGAAAAGTGCGTGAAACTCCTACCCTGAGAGCGCGGGATGGAATGTCTGAAATGAAGTAAAGGAAGCTCACGGGGCAGTAGGCACCAGGCAGTGTTAACTTGCGTACTTTACCTCCAATAAGAGGGTTTTGTCGTTACGAGACAGAACAAATGCAGTTTATCCTGAGATACATTGAGGAAGGCAGAGGTCGCTACTTGCGGCTGTGATATCAGTGACTCTCCTTCTTCCTACGAATCCAGCCACGATATCGCTTGTCCAAAAAGGTCCTCACTTTGTTTGTTGCGCAGCGGGCAATGACATCGCTAAATAAAGGAAGCGGCAGACCTCTGTCACAGAATTGTTAGGCAGGGACGGGAGATCCAAGTGGCAAGGAGTCTGTGAGAGACGCTCAGCATATTTAGAGAGAGAAAACACCACATAATTGATTTCGAAGTACACTCTGGAGGATGATATCTTGTTTTTCCATCGAAGCCTAAGCCACTATTGTGTGGTTTCGAACCTTCTACCCAAGAGATGAGCATGAGCCGGCACAATGTTCCCAGCCCACACGTTGATCTGCTCATTACTATATTCCAACGGCAAACGGTAACCGATGACCACACATTCTCCTGTCATATAGCTTTTATTCGTCCATTCACTGGGTCTCACGAAGCTTCTTGCGGAGCACCTCGACCTCCTCGAGCTTTTCGTCCAGTTGTCCGTCAAGCATGGCGTCTCTGTCGCTCTTTCGTTGATACTCCTGCCCGGTGAATTCTCCTTCTTTGATCTCGACCTCACACATGCCGCAAATGCACTCGAAATCTTGCCCGTCTTCTTCTCGACAGGCAGTGGCTTTATTGAGGGGGTTGGTTGACTGGCTGGCATCTTGTCCCTGGCTGGGTTAGATATTGGCTTGTCTGATGATGAGTGCCTAGCACGACTCACCCTGTCTGTCTCCAGAATGTTCCTTTAAAGGCGTCGTCTGGCCAGTTTCCTCTCGAGACTGAGTGGGATCATATTGGCGTTGTCGATTTGGTAGATGTGTTTGTCAGTGAGTGAGAGACAGAGTCTACAACTTCGTACGACTGCGGCAGAGAAGAGGACAATGACAAAGGCAGTCATGACTGCGGCCAAAAACTCTGCCGTGTCATTCACTTTCTGCTTCACCTCAAAGAGTGGTAGGCGGTGATAAGTAGCAGTTGAGATGCGGTAGGAACGTGCATTTAGGGTCCTGGCGGCTACCGCCCTGCCCAGCGGCCTCGCACAAGCTGGAGAATATACCTATATTATGCATATGGTCTGCATGGCCAAATTAGTCATTCTTGGTTAGTCGTAGAATATACATACAGATCGCATGCATGATTACTTATGTGGTAGATTTTCCGGGATCGTTTGTTACCGATTATATGCGTTTGCCAAAGTCCCAGCGACTCCTGAGCAAGCAAACAGTCATTCCGCTGCCCTTGTACCTTAGGCAGACAGCTCCCTAGTCCTTGACTCAGTGAATATATCGCTCAACTCATTCCGTCCATATACCTCACTGACTAGCCCGTCAAGGCCTGTCGAGGCACTTAGCCGGAGACTTTGGCTGAGCTTCCGATCGAAGTAATGGGGCCGATATCACCACCCGGTCCGATGGAACCGGAGCGTTCACTCCATAACCCGGGAATGGAAGGTTGACGCATGTCCGAGTTGGAATAAGCGCGGACCTCGTCCTGAGGTGCCTCATTATCTGGAGCCAAGGGGTCTCTGATGACGGTTAGGATTTCCTGATTTTGTCTCTTCGAAGACCAGAACCAGGCAAGAAACACAATGATTGTTGCTCCTCCAGTAAGCACAAAATACAGCCATATCCATCTTGAAACGACTTGATCGGAGCTGTCCTGTCCCGGGAAGAAGTTGAAAAAGCCAGCGGAAAAAAGCGTCGCCATAAAGGTTCCAGGCAGGAAGGAGAGCGTCACTACTGCAATGATTCGCATATCATTGCTGTCCTTGCGGGTCATGATTGCGATGTTTCTGGAATCCTCCGCCATATCCTTCATCGCTGTATTGTGGAGAAGGCTGATCTCGGCAATTTTACGAGAGGCTGCAGCCGTTTCGATATTCAGTCGGTTGTCCTTCTGACCAATCAAGCTGTAAACCTAACCAGGAGCGTCAGTAACGTGGTCTTGAAGGTTCTCTACTCGCAAAGTCATACCGTTTGGACTTGAGCCTTTGTCCGATCCGAAAGCACTCCGCCGAGTGCTTGGGAGCCAACAATCAGTTCTCTGAGGTATGTGATTCTTGTATCAACCTCTCTTAGTGTCCTCTGGCCGGCGAGAAGCCTGATTCTGACAGCCGTGACTGCCTCTAAAGCCCGCAAGCTTGAGGTGAAGGTCATATGGCAAAAGCTCAGAGTACCAGTGAGTCCTGTAAGCTTCTGAGTTATTTGATCAAAGTCCAAGTCTTTGAGAAGTCTCTCCCGCTCAGTGTCTTTCACAGGATTACGTCTTGGGTTCGAAGAGAAGCCGTGTCTCATGCCGGTCATGTATTCAATCTCTTCGATACCTGCTGCGCGCTTCTCAAGAAGAACGGCGAAGTAATGAACCTTCAGCTCGAGGAGAAAAATCGGAAGTAGCATGTGGTCCGAGAGCTCCTGGCTGGATTCTTGGAGGCATTGGAGAAGCATTTGAATTTCTCCAGCCTGCATGCCATTTAGAAGGCCGTGCAGAACACCCGTTGCTTCATTGTAAGCAAGAGCTAAGCAGAAATTCCAGTCCCGAGATCTTGCGCTTCGAACCATGATACCGGTAATAGAACGGCCCAGCGAGTCGCTGGCTCTGAATTCATTGGTTATTGGGAGGCTGCTCAGCATCATCCGAAGGAGCTCCTTGGGCAAGCCCCATGCCGTTCTGACTGCTTCAAAGGTCTCCCGGGAGATGGGCAACGGTAAAATCTTTGCATCACTCTGGTGCTGCTCCGGACTTCCGATCAGAAGTCGAAGGTATGGCGTCCTGTTGTGCAGAGCTTTATGACGCACATCGGCGATATGGTCGGAGCGACCTTCTTGCTCAACCCAGCCCTTGATGTCAGCTTCCTCAATTTTCCGGTCAATAATTTTCTGATCGTTGACATTTGACATCAGAAATTCGACATAGCGGTTACCGAGGCGAGGCTGAAATTTGGTAGGGTCGCCGAGCAATCTAGAATAGTAAAAATCGTGCATCCTGGATCTTCATCGCAGCAGAATCATCTCGACGGGCTTCGAGCAAAGAGATCAGCAGTCTTTGGAAAGGGCTGAAGAGCATCGCACTTCATTTAGGATGCCTGATGTTGCTGGCAGGTAGGAAGTCGAGAGTAGCATCAGGCTGAGGCTGTGCATGCAGCTGTAGGGCCAAATCTCGTACTCGCTAGTAGCCGACGTGCGAGTAGCGCCTCAAGGGAATTGCATCTTCTCATGCTCGATCTATAACGGCTGTGGGCAAGTTTTGAACATTTTGAAAAAGCAAGAATGCATGCTAACAGTTTCGGCTGGTATCTTGTAAGTATGAAATCGCTCGGCCGGCTGTAGATGAACGTGGGAAAAGGGGTTTGTAGCGTTAGCCATTCCTTTCTCCTGACCTCAACGATAATGTAGATTTTCCTCTCGTATTACTTCGTCGTAAACTGTCCATGACCACTCTGACGTAGTAGACCTTCTCTAGACTCGTCAGCCGAGCTTTGAAAGCATCACTTCGTCAACGAACAAAGGAACTGACAAGGAGTGTCACGACGATGACCCTCGTGACGAAGCCTCGGCACAGGTCAGGAGTGAGGACAGCATCACACCGCCTTGCTTAGCTAACGAGCCTGTCAGCTGGCGCCCCGATTGTTATGGAAATTTAGGCGGCTGCGGGGAGGATGACCCAGCGAAATAGTGTCATAATATATCCGACACGTCCGGTTGTACCTTTGAATTCACAAAAACACGACCGAGTCCTTCTCGGCTCCAGCATGCCTCGACAACATGTTACTGCTTCATCAGACAGGCTCTGTCCGGGTCGGTGAAGTGGTAAGGTCAGAAATCTCTCCTGTTGTGTTTCAACTAGCGCCTGTGACTGACTCGTGCCGCTAGATACACATTGACGTACACTCCAAGCATCGATCGCATCCTCCCACCTCCTACGCACCTACACGTCAAGATCAAGAACACCTCCGCGATCCCGCTGCGAGCCGCATACCTGCACGGCCCGTACACCCTCTATGTCGCGTGCTATCCTTCCACATTCGACCCTTACAAAAAGCACGAGACCAGCAAAGAAGAGGGCGTGCCCGAATACGAACCGCAATTGAAAGCAGGTGGTCAATGGTCTGCGAAATTGACAGTCCCTGAAGAGATCCGCCGGGACGCCGTTCACGGAGAGAGCAAGCGTCATGGAGATCGCAAGAGTTTTACGTGGATTATAGAAGTGGCTTCGCAGATCATCTTCTCCAAAACCGCAACCGTGCACTATGAAGTTCTCGTGGGAAGAGACGAGAAGTCGGTCGAACTTGGATTCCACGGCGTTGTCGGTTCCGGCCAAGGTGCGCCAGGAAGACTGGAAGATCACAAGCACCGACGAGCGAGGGATGCTGCACAACCGAAGGGGGTTTTCTCCAAGGCTGTTCGCCTGGCAGTGGACGATACTGAGAGTCTTTGGAATACGCCTCCATTTCCTGAATGGGAAAGCGACGGCGACGTCAAGGTTCAAGAGGGTCCCCAGCACGGCGACAAGCGAGACTATGCCGCCAAAAAGGACAAAAAGCAGCAGAAGCAGAAGAAGATCCATCTGGTCCTTCTGACACATGGGCTGCATAGCAATCTAGGAGCAGATATGCTGTTCATGAAAGAAACCATCGACACAGCGGCAAAGCAGGCGCGGGAGGACTCCAAGAAGAGACGGGCTGAAAGGCGAGCACGACGGTTGGCAGAGTCGAATCAATTCGGAAGAGACGTGGTTGACCAAAGAACGAAATCTGTTCCGGAGATCGCGCTTACAGGTGCCGATGAGGAGACCACAGACGACGAGGAGGAAGAAGTTCTCGTTCGAGGATTCAACGGCAATGCCGTGAGAACAGAACGCGGAATCCAGTATCTCGGCAAACGGTTCGCCAAATACGTGCTTTCCATCACATACCCAGATCAACCATATCTACCCGTCAAAAGTTCGATAGGGAAGTCTCTCTCAAAATCCATGCCGACATCTAAGCCGACACCGAATTCAGATGTGCAACCGACACACAAGAACAGCAGCATCATTAAGGATGAGAACCACCGGAGCCACAATCTCCCCTATAAAATCACCAGCATTAGCTTTATCAGTCATTCTCTGGGCGGCCTAATTCAGACATACGCCGTGGCGTACATTCAGAAACATTCACCTGATTTCTTCGAACTCATCAAGCCCATAAATTTTGTGGCCATGGCAACCCCTTTTCTGGGTCTGAGTAACGAGAACCCAGTCTATGTCAAGTTTGCGCTTGACTTTGGCCTTGTTGGCCGGACAGGGCAAGATTTGGGGCTGACCTGGCGCGCACCCACCATCGCCAAAAATGGCTGGGGCGCTGTCTTGGGCAGCCTGACGACAGAAGCGCACAAGGCACAAAGAGAACCCGATCCTGGCACGAAACCTTTACTTCGGATCCTGCCGTCTGGTCCTGCCCATATTGCTCTGAAGAAATTCCGAAACAGGACTGTGTATTCGAACGTGGTTAACGACGGAATAGTCCCGTTGAGGACGTCATGTCTTCTGTTCTTGGACTGGAGAGGTCTAGGCCGGGTCGAGAAAGCCAGACGCGAAAACGGCCTGGTTGGGACCATGGTGGAATGGGGCTGGGCTGAGGTCACTGGTCAAAATGCCAGTGCGACTCGCAGGGCTCTGCCTTGGAATGACCTTTTCGGAGAGAGTGCGGATGAGATGAGTGGTAATGGGATGTCTTCGCCTGATCCAGACTCCAGTGTACCTCAAGCAGAAGCGAGTCAAGGGTTAGACCGCGATGAAAGAGCTGAGCCAGCACCACAACAGTTTGTGGAGAAGCCGCAGTCCGATGCATCTCCTCCGAGCGCCGATATCACCTCTTCGACAACGTCGGCATCGAATTTATGGACGGGCCTGCTCAATCTGTTCAAGCCGCAAGCTGGACAACAGAAGCCTGCACACAAGGTGCAGAAAATATATCGTCGAGGCCAGACAATGCACCACCTTGAGCGCGGTTCAGAACGGAGTTCGCATGAGAATTCGCAGGGTTCGGATGAGGTCGAAGAAGAGCACGGAGGGCCTAGGAAAAATCTTGTCCGTGGCTCGTCACTGTACACGAACAACTCAGAGAACGGCGAAGTGGAAGCACCTCCCAAGACCACATTCTTCGAATCAGCCGGCGATCTTCTCAACCCACCTTTACCATCGAAAGAATTCCTTCTCGACCCAACCGCTCGGCCACGGACAATCTGGCACGACCGCGTGTATCATCCCGAAGACATCCCGCCGCCACCGGCCAAGCGCCATCGGACGTTAATGATGAGGGCCATACCAGGCTCACGGAAGGGGTCTCAGCAGTCGTTGATGCCACCCGATCCGGCATCCTCGCTTACGGTAAATCCACCTCGCTCAAGCTCAAGCCATTCTTCGGCGTCAATACTAACGCAAGGTCCAAACGAAACCCAAGAGACGGGCTCGATGAAGATTGAGGAGAAAATCGCGCGGGCGTACCACAAGGACCTGTCCTGGCGGAAGGTGCTCGTACGTCTAGAGCCGGACGCGCACAACAATATGATCGTCCGGCGAATGTTTGCGAATGCTTATGGCTGGCCGGTCGTGAAACACATGTGTGACACTCACTTTGCATACACGGCGGCCGCGAAGACACGGGATGAGGATGAGTCGAACGTCGAACGGGCCAAGCCGAGTGATGCAGTGGTGGTCGGCGCGGATGGAGAAAAGGTCAGGGGTCAGACGGATGCGCCTCCTGAGGAGGTCGAGGAAGGTGGTCAGCACAAGGACGGTGCAGAGAGAGCACGGACGACGGACGTTGTGGACCTGGCCGCTAGTGCGTCGCCGAGCAGCGTGGTCGTGCATGATGACCAATTCCACGAGCTACATAGCAGGTGGAAAGTCGGCGATCGTGTACAGCCCCAGCGGTCACGTACGGAATCCGAGATCCGCGAATCGAGGGATGATGTGTCTGAGTTGGTATCGCTTGTCAGCGCGGCTGGAGAGAGTACTTACTCGAGTTCGAACTCTAGTAAAGCTGCGCTGTCAAGACTTGCGAGGCAGGATTCAGCCAGGTGGAGTGATCGGTTCTTTGACGGAAGCGATGACGATGACACTGAACAGGACGATGAAGGCGAGGACGTATTGAAAGAGGAATTGAAAAAGGCCAGGCAGAGAGGGGAATCGGGCGCTGAAAGGAGCGCGAGTACGAGTGCGAGAATCGCGAACTCATTGACGGCGAGCCCAAGGGCTACACGGCTTGGGCTCAATACGAATACGGACGGTCTGGAGCCGGCTCCGCTGGACGCAGGAAAGAACAACGAACACGGTGGGCCCAAGCTGATTCTAGCGGAGCCTGATACGCCTTTGACGGCAGAGCCGGGGGAGCTGGAGCCTTCCTCGCATGCCTCCAAGGCGAGGAGGAAGTGACGGGGAGAGAGAGATGTAGGATTTAGATGTACACTTATGACTACCTTAGGTATCGTCCACGTAATGAATAGCGCTGTCTTATATTCATCTCTCAAAGGTAGCTCCGGCGACACAGGAGTATCACTGGAGAAATTAAAGGCGGCATATAGATCCCTTTACAGTATCTCTAGGTAGAGTTGGCGCCGATCAAAGCCAGGTCAGGCAAGCCGAGAACATGAGCGATAGGAAATGGGCTTGAGGAACTGGGATTTCGGATTCGACATGTTCAGCATCATTCGTTCATTAAAGCAGCATACTAACGACTGCGTCCAGCCACCTGGCTTCGATTGACGTCGACGTCAATCTGAAAACAGTCCCTACAGAGACAAAAGACACGCCGGTCTCATCTGAGCCGAATCCTCACAGCGCCCCGCCCTGCTCTTCCCTTGGTAGATATTGACGAAGGTAGAATTGAATCCAGGGAGGCAAGGGGTACCATACCCCGGTGGGTGGGTGATTGCGTAAGTCAGTGAGTGAGTGATATGAACAAAAGAGAAAACGGAAACGACAAAAGAAAATAAATAGCGAGATACTAGGCGTTGTCGGCTCATGAAAAACAAGCCTGTGTCCCCGATGGGGTAGTTCCTATTACCACATATAACAGGTATGATATCATCGACACCAAAGCCTCGCAGTGGCCAGCCAGAATCTCTTGGCAAGTCGGGTGGTGGTCCAGCAACGAGAGCAGACGGCGACACGGGCACGGCACGCGTGGCTATAGTGAGCCGGGAACATTTATGGACATAAGGGAGTACGCGGTGACTACATCATCTTCAGACTGGCTCCCACCAAACTCGCATAGTGGGACGGGGCGGGCAAGATCTACTATTGCTGCCCCGTTTGAAGATAGTTAGAGTTGGCAGTACAAACAGGAACAGGCACATTGTGAACAAAGTCACCAACTTCTTCATTGTTCGATACTTTAGGTAGGTATCAAATTGGACATCGGACCAGGTTGAAAGGTCACAGTCCGTCATGGCAGCCAATACCTAGGTATTGTATATGCCGCTTGTTATCCTTCACATCAAGTCCTTCTAGACATCAAGTCATCGCTTCGTAAACACTCGCTTGTGCGCTACATTGGGTATCATGTTGAAATGAGATCGACTCCTTTTTCTTTTCCAATGCCATTCATGCATATTTTTGAAGTACCCACCGACCCAACCAAAAAAAAAAAAAAGACAGATGGTGGTTGATGAACGCCATAAAAACTCCCGTGACCAGGGCATCACATATTGCTCAAGAGCATAATTGTCGACGCCCTTGCGCCCGCAGATGGTTGACCGCAAATTTGTCAGCCTGCTAGAGCAGTACCATTGGTCTGGAACGGGACCCTTCGCTGCTCTCCCGATGTGAGGCTCTGTTCAATCTCCGAAACCGGTGCGTCGCCGCTGACAACATTCCTGGTGCCGTTGGTATGACTGTCAGCTGGCTCATCCGTAAACACTTTGTCGAGATCATTAGCTTCAAGCCCTTCAAATACCTCAAATATCTCGCTCGTCTGATGGAAGTCGTTGTTCACAATGTTGACAAGGTAGCACTCAGCCATAATCGCTTCGATCAGCTTCCGAGTTCCGGAGCCGGCAGGATAGCATTTGGCCCAGTCCTCCCCCAAGCGAAAAGCTTCATCCTTCCAGGCGAGGAAAGAGACCGTCTCGACAATTGTCGGCTGAACAACTTCTCGGTTAGGGAAGATTCCCCAAGTCACGGCGTTAGGTCCCTCATCTTTCGCATTCGTGAGCAGCTTGCCTTGGTTGTTGACCGCATAGTAAGTCAAGTTCTTGTTGGCGTTGAGCCTTTCGATGACCGTCTCGATCATCGAGGGGAACACCAACAACTCCAGATAAGCCTTCTGGTAGACCCAACCTCCCGGAGGTCCCCATCCATGGACCGGATCGTCAGAAGCTGCACCATCGACAGCTGGCTGGGAATTGATGGTCAAAAGACCACGCTTGTTCAGCTTGAGGAGATCCTCCTTGATGATGTTAGCCTCGGCAGAGATTGACCCTTCACTCCAAGGCAATCTATCCAATTGACCATTTAGGAAACGAACGAAAAGCTCCGTGACCTCTCTCAGCGTCTTTGGCTTGTTCCAAAGCTTGATATTGCTCTCATTGGTTCCTTTCAAGCCGATGCCATAAGCGTCAAGTTCCCCGAAAGCAGGACTGCGACTGTCGCCCCATCGGCCATTAGGGAATTCGTCCCAATCAGCTGTTCTAGCAATATACGAGGTATTGCGGTTGCGCCAAAAGATGGGCCTGACACTCTCATCCCTGCGATTCAAGCCAAGAGACTGGCGCCAAGGTAGTGGTTTCTCCAGAGGCATACCTGAGGTCTCGGGAGTCAGAGAGAGTTCCTCGAGAATCATTCTTGTGGCTTGAGCTAGATTCATGGTGTAGAAATGCAAGTGCAAGATCCCGGCATCGAGGAGTTTCCGACACATCTGAACAATCAAGTCCTTGCCAACTCCCCTGACAGCGGCGTCGTCGTTCTTGACAGGCTCTAGCGCCTTGTACCACTCTGAAGGAACATTACATTTAGTCCACTCTGCTCGTCTAATGAATGAGGCGTAAGTCGAAATAGGCATGATGCCGGGAATAATGGGAACATTGATCCCACGGTCGCGGCACTTCTTGACCCAATCCAGAAATATGTCCACATCGTAGAACATTTGTGTGATAACGAACGAGGCTCCGGCATCCACCTTTTCCTTGAGATGATCGATCAGGACGTCCACGTCTCGATTGTCGTCACATCCTTCGGCATAACCTGCCACGCCAATGTCAAAAGCATCGCCGTACCCTGTCTTAATATATTTGACGAGATCTTTTGCATGTTTGAAACCTTCATCTTTGGCCTCCCACTTTTCCTTGTCTCGAGGTGGATCTCCTCGCAGTGCCAGGATATTTGAGCAACCTGCCTTGTAGGCCAGTCGGAGAGCCTGGTCGATTTGTAATTTTTCCATGTCTGTGCAAGTCAAATGCATGCATGTTTCCAAGCCATAGTGAGTTTGTGCTGCATTGACCATTTCACAAGTCAACTGCGAATTTCTTCCTCCTGCCCCCCATGTAATGTCTATGAAAGCAGGGCCCAAGTCGTGCATCCGATCCATCCGATCGTACAGATTCTGGACACCTTGAGCAGTCTTGGGTGGGAAGAATTCGAAAGAAAAAGTTGGTCGGTTCTGCTCATGGGCAAGAGCTAGTTTCTTGGAGATATGCATTTTGACGGAGGCTGCTTCGTAAGGTCCAAAGGAAACGTCGGTAGCGATGGTGGAAAAATGAGTAATTTAAGCAAGGGTATCTGTTTGTGCTCTGGGTTTCTGATTGCTTTCGTGATCCTCCTCTTTCGTGATGTCAATACGCACACCACCTGTGTTTACCTCCTCCAATTCAACCGAAATAGCGCTTGCGAGCCCACCTGTCGGCAAGTTGTCGCTGCATTGGGTGTAAAAGAAATACAACAGAAGTGGTCCAGAAGGATGAAATGAAATCTTGGTAGGAAAATGGTGAGCAGGAAAGAAAAGGTGCTTTCCGTAGCCCACCGAACTCTATCCCGCCAAACGTGGTGGAGTTTGGAGATTTTGATCTGCTCCTCAGGCCGTCAGCACATGCAACAACGAAGGGTGTAGTCTATGCACGTCTATGAACAGGCATATCTTTGAACCTGTCAGATCGCCCACAGCCAATGGAGAAAAATCCATCAAGCCAGGGCCCTGCTAACTACTCGTCCCACGGTAGTCTTCCGATGCCGCAGCCTCAGCACGCCTCAGCAAGCCCTGGCACGTGATCTGGGAGTTAGCGACGCTAGTCTGCACTCAGGTGGGCGAGCATAAGGCGGCGTCGTCATCGTTCCATTTCGGGGTGAACCGCGAGTATTTCGAAAAATTTAATGGACTCTGAACAGCATTGGAAGCAAGTACACGCCGCTCCGAGGGTTTCCAAGCTCAAGATCTGGGCTACCAACATACAGACTACTGGGAGACGCGACCAAATCTCTCGACGGACTCTGAGAAAGCCTGATCCCAAGAAACAGAGACTGTTTAATCGAACTACGCTCTCAAAATGGCTGCCAACTCATCCTACAAAGACACCCTGCTACCTCTCCTGCTCAAAGCATCAGTCCTCTCCTTCGGCACATACACCCTCAAGTCCGGCAGAGTATCGCCTTACTTCTTCACATCCTCTCTGCTGCACACATCCTCATTACTGGGTGCACTTGCCCGAGCATATGCCTCGGTATTGACCTCTCCACCCTTCTCACTCCCGTTGGGAACAGACGAGGCTGGTTCCGAAGCAGATGGCTCGTTCTCACCTCACTTCGATATCCTGTTCGGTCCGGCTTACAAAGGCATTCCCCTAAGCGCGGTGGTGACAAGGGAGCTAGAGTTCAGTGGGAAGCAGTTCGCAGGTGTATCGTACGCGTTCAACAGAAAAGAGGCAAAGGATCATGGGGAAGGAGGAACAATAGTGGGAGCACCACTCGAAGGCAAACGTGTGGTCGTCATCGACGATGTTATGACTGCAGGAACTGCATTACGGGAAGCAGTCTCCATCATCAAGGCCCAAGGAGGCACCGTCGTGGGAGTTGTGCTTCTGCTGACCCGCCAGGAGCGTGTAAGTGATTCTGAGCCACGAAGCGCAATGAAGGTTGCAGAAGACGAGCTCGGGGTTCCGGTAGAGGCTGTGCTCAAGTTCGAGGACCTGATTGAGGCTATCGAGGCCGGCCAACTGGAAGGTGCTGGCCCGGAACAACTCGAGCAGATGAAGGTGTACCGCGACAAGTACGGCAGCAAGGATTGAATGAGGCTGAAGAAGTAATGAACCTCTGGTAAACCACGGCCGAAGGACGGACCGCAAGTCGTTTGGGCCGATCGCCCATCAGCAAGTGAAGCGTCAAGTATTTCAAAGCACAGCGCTCTCCTACAGAAAGCATAGAGACACCTTCTCTTGTGGAACGCCAGGGTTGCAGAGAATGCGATGCCCTGTCGACAGCCCAGTGTCGAGCCTACCGCTGTGCTTGAGGCTATCAGTGTCAGGCAGCCCAGATTGGATGCCTGTTTATCGAACGTGGGCCTAAGTCTTCATGCAGACCTGGACTGCCATCAGAGACAGTATCGCTAAGGTCCCCTGACGGAGGAGCTCGATCTCTGATTTTGCCTTACTGGGAGAGGTCACTTTCTGACTTGAGTCTGGCACTATTTTCTGACATTCCGGTGTCACGGACGATTCGTCCGAAGCCTGAAGCTCCATCTCCATCACCATTTTTGCCAAGCAGCTTTCCAGGCACAGCCATGCTTCTATGTACCTGCTTGATAATCCAGAGCCAGAGCTTTTCGCAAGGATCATATAAATACCTTCAGAAATGAAAATGGAATGCAATGCGATTCGCACAATGTTCAGACCTCGATCGACCAAGGCTCATCTTGATATATCAAAAGAATTTCTCAAATCCTTCTGCGAGACAGAATGACCGCCCCAAATGTCACGACATATCTGATCACAGGTGCAAACCGAGGTGAATAGCCACTGGTACCCGATTCGCCATCACCAGTACAATGTATGACTGATACCCTATCCCATACCAGGCCTCGGTAAGGGACTCGTGTCCGCATACCTCCTGAAACCCGACAACGTCGTGATAGCTGCTGTCCGTAACCCGAACGACGCCACCAGCCTCGCGCTCCAGGACCTGCCCAAGCACCCATCGAGCACCCTGATCATCGTCAAGATCGAAAGCGCATCCGAGACGGACCCGAAAACGGCCATCGCCGAACTCCAATCAAAATACAACATCGTCTCTCTGGACGTCGTGGTCGCCAATGCCGCCATTTCCCAGATCTGGCCTGCCGTCGCGGAAGCCAAGGCCGACGACATGATGCGGCACTTCCACGTCAACGTGGTGGGCATTGTCTTCTTGTTCCAGGCCGTCTTGCCGCTTCTTCAAGCTTCATCTTCAGCTTCACCAGACTCGACGCCGCAGCCCCTGCCGGCCAAGTTCGTGACCATAACCTCGTCTGCCGGGTCCATTGGGAACCAAGAGCAGGTCGACGTCCCCAACGCGGCGTACGGCCCGTCCAAGGCCGCGCTGAATTGGATCACGAAGAAGATCCACCTCGAACATCCGGACATCATTGCATTTCCCCTAGATCCCGGGTGAGTCTGATCACCCTTAAGACCCCTTTGGCCCCTACCCCCAAAAAGAGGAAAAACGAAGAAAAGGGAAAAGGAAAAGCCTTTGCCCAAAAACAAAACAAGACACCGTACATGCTTGCTGACCATCTATGTCTCTGGGTCTGTGCAGCTGGGTCCAAACAGACATGGGCAATGCAGGTGCAAGGGCGTTTGGCCTGAAGGAGGCGCCTCTCTCGATCGACGAGAGCATCAACGGGATTGTCCAGGTGGTAAGTTAACTACTCCGTAAAGTACTCCCCAGCGTATCTGGTATTGGCTCTCTCTCTCTCTCTCTGGCAAAAGAAAAAGAAACGTGTACCAAAGGAAAGAAAGGGGCACGGGCATGGAAATGACTGACCGGCTGACCATGATTGTTTTTGCCAGGTTGACCATGCGATTCGGGAGACCTCCGGCAAGTTCATGAACTACAAAGGTGGTCAACAAGCTTGGTAATGCCAGATACACACGGATGATGTGCTCACCAGCACTTTGGATACCGGAGAGGTCAGTATTGTCCAGCTCGTCACGCTGGATGGGACCAGGTGTGTAATCTGCCAATTCCTGCCTTATACCTGAGAACGAAACAACTAACACTTCAGGTACCCGTATTCAAGTCGATCACCACCAAAGAAGGACAGTTTCACAGTATCTTTTTCCTTCTTGTTTCTGGGGCATCGTCACTAGACTGATATTTCTTTACTCATTCTTGATTGAATTTTGTCCCAAGAGGCACCTCGCTGTGCCGTTCTGTTCGGCTCCACCAGTGGTCTTCTGGCCATTAACCACACGCTCTCTTGGTCCGGCTAGACTGGGCCTGACCACATCTGATTCGTCTCACCATCAAGCCCCTTACCATCATTTCTTGCCACGAACTCGAAGAGGCCAAATGCGGCATTTTAGACCTTCTCTGCATGAGTCGTCTCCTGGACCTTGACCATCTCATCCTGTTCCACGATCCCGTGCCCATCAGCTGTGAGATGTACCACGACTTCATCGCCGAACAGTGCGCCGATCTCTTCCACGGGAATTTGCTTTGTCTCGGGACAGTACAAGTACACGATGACCGTCGAGACGATGCACAGGCCCATGTACAAAAAGTACATGTTGTACTTTCTAAGAAACCCCAACCACACGTCATTAGCACAAGATGCCTCTAACACCCCCCGAAGCCGAACGAGCAGCCTCGGGGGCGGAGTGGGTGGAGTGGATGGAAGGAAGGGTGTGTGTGTACCGGGGGAAACATACGCATTTTTGAAAGCCAACACCGACGGCGTCGTGTACGTGATCGCACCGACAAAGTACGAGAAGAACCCTAAGGAGATACCCTTTGCGCGGATGGTTGTGGGGAAGATCTCGGACATCCAGATGAAACTGGGTCCGTCAACGCCTTGGAAGAAGATGATGTAGATGTAGATGACAGCCACGCATGCGCCCAGCCCGGCTTTGTTGTCGGTACCCAGGTACTGGGATTGGAGGACTGCTTCGAGCAGGAGACACATTGCGAGCGCGGGGAAGCCAATGACTACCATCGCATCGACCACTTCGTCAGCAAACGATTCGAGGTAGCAGGTCGAGCTCAAGGTAAGCACATAGTTCAGCGGAAGATTGACTTACGGAACATGGTCCGCCGACCAATGCGATCGACAGTATATATGGCGACGAAGACACAGAAAGTGCCCACTGTGGTGTACAAGGCTGTAAAGACCGGTCAACACATATGATCCAACGAGAACACAGAAGTATTGTTCTGTCAAGTCCGAAGCAAGGGTGCTCACCATAGACAATCAGAGGCATCACGCCGCTCATGCCGAGACTTCCAAAGATCAAGACGAGATAGTTCGAGATACCAAGGATCTAGTCGCAGATTTAGTGGGCTGAACTTTGGGATGGGACATCGATTTCATTTGACGTACACCTGTGGATTGGGAGGCAAACCTATGGCGTAGTCAGTAACATGCTCGAAATGGCAGACTTTCCCAGGACGTGGGCTTAAGCATACTGTATGAACAAGGCAAGCAAGCTTCTTTTCCTCCACGATGGCTTCCTGAACATTTCAATGTATCCCGATTTCATGGACTTGTCGAACTCGACTTGCCGCACGATCTGGGTATATTCAGCCCGTGCAGAACAGTCATTGGGGTCGGTCGGGTCGTGGTGGATCTTCTTCAGCACTTCCCAGGCTTCTGTGGTCTTGCCGATGAGGGTGAGGTAGCGGGGAGATTCTGCCAGTCATTCATCAGTCTTAGGATGGCTTATAGTGCGATCAAGTTGTGACGCGGCCTACCAGGAATGAATGGCAAGCCAATAAGAAGGGCGAGAGGCCCGACGCATGCCAGAGCCAGAGGCATTCGCCATTGCACGGTCGTGTTCGTGGCAAAGTAGCAGCCTACGGATATCCAAGCGCAGCTGCAGAGGATGTCAGCTCGTTAGAGAGGGAGAGGAATAATGGTGGACGTACGTGAAATAGCCCATCCCAAAACTCATCGTTGTCAAACCTGAGAGCAGTCCTCGTCGACGCGGCGGAGCAGTTTCGGTAAGATAAAGAGGTACAAGGCAAATCAGCATGCCTAGACCGAACCCGTGCAACAGTCGGACTGTGATGAGCATGGCGATCTTGACCGAGGCCGTCACCAGGATGGCACCGACAAGTGCGGATGTGCCTGCCAGGTAGAACGCTTTCTTGCGGCCGATCACATCAGCGAGCCAGCCCTGAGCCAGGGCGCCAATAGCTAGCCCGAAGTTGAAGAGGGCATTGATGGCTCCCAGGATATTGGCACAGTAGTCGCTGGTAGGGTCGAGGTCGAAGTATTTGTAGAATCCTGGTTGACCGATGCTGGTGACGAAGATGGCAAAGCCAAAGCCATAGGCATAACCACCCCAGGACACCACCAGGGAGATGAGGATGTTGTAGTTTGTCAATTTGGCCATGTTGAAAGGGGAGACTAATACTTGTTTGGGACAGTGAGGGAGAGAGGAGAAGATGGGCGACGCAACAGAGGAAGCAGTAGACACTCCCAAGGTCTATATAGACCGACTGATGCTCACAAGCTCGGATGTCAGAATCTACCCCATCCTTCCAGCCCCAGAGAGCTGGGTTCCCCGGAGAGTATACTGTGGTACTCGGTATCGAGAGGTGAGACTCCACTGGTAATGACATTGCCACTGAAGAGTAGTGTGATCGTGCTGGCCAACCGAGACTTCCAAGGGGGTCGGCCACGTATCAGTAGGTAAATACCTGTAGATGAAGACTAGAACAGCTAGTTCGCCGTCTGCGAAAGCGTAAAGGTGGGAATAGTGGAAGGAGGAACCAGCAGTTTGTCGTTGAACTTCTGACATTGCACGTTTAATTTCTGACAATTCCTCCCGTGAAACGGAAAATTACCACGGGTAGTGGTCGGCTATTCGACCTTCTGACAGTCAGAGGCTTCCAAGATTGTGATCGGCCGACGATTCTCATTGTCTTCAATCCTGTCAATACCATTGGGTTGAAATGGATGTATGTCGGAATGCTGCCAAGTTCATCTGTAAGTACAATATGATTACTGGTACTGTATTGGTGCCCAGTCCTCGAATTGCGAGGTCGAGTGCTAGTCCAGGGAGACACTTTGGCCCTAAATTTCGAAGATATCTGACTCCATCCATCATGTCTATATTTTGCGCCCGTGGGGGCTTTGTTATGTATCCGCATGCCCATCAGGAGGTGCTTCGACCCGAACATGCATCATGGGAGACTTTGTATAGTCCATCTCCTATTTTGAGGATTCCTCTGGGATCTTCTAATTGCGCCGTTTCCCATTGGGGCCAAACCAGAAGCTCTCCACCGAATACACACAGTGGTATATGATATGTACTATTCAAAACATCGAAGACAAGCATCATAGGCCGATATGACCTGTACATAGTCATGTAAACACACATAAAGAACCCCGTCAGACAAGACGCGCAGAGCCATTAGAAAGAGATCATGCTCAGACGTGGCCCTTCATCAGGCATCAAGACATGAGTTGTAAACAATGGGAGCCATAACATACATATCATAAGCATAACATGAGCGCATTCAAAACGGTCGTAAGATGACATAATTCATAAACAAGGAGAATGGATTCCGAGATGTCAGATGCATCAAAACATGCCAGGAGGAGCAGTTGATCCGGGACGGCTCTGGCAGGGGATTGATCTGGGTACCGCTGTTGGCGGGTTGCCATTGGCTACTGCGTCTTCGACAACGTCAGCAGCCTCTCTGGTGTCCCCAGCCCATGTGGAGAGCGTATTGAAGGAGTTGTTCCGCAATGCTGGAGAATTGAAAAGATCGTCACACAGCGACTCGAAATCATCGATGTCGACTGCGAGATCAATCTCTGTATCCTCGAACAAACGATCTGCTTCTTGCTGCCACGAGGAGCTGCCCACAGACGAGTCAGAATTGCCGGCTGGATTTGACTTTTCCGGTGTCCGCGTATGGATCGTCTTTTCGGGGGTTAGAGGTCCGACGGAGCCTGAGGAGGAGGTCTTGTATGGGCCCGAGAAAGATTCCGAGCTCGAAGTGTTGTAGAACGTTGGTGAAGAGGTAAGTGTTGATTGTGATGGCATGCTCGAATTATGATTGTCGAAGATCTTCAGTTCTCTTGCCAAAGAACCTAGAGTCGTTGAATCAGCTCGCTTCAAACCCACACTCTCATCTTGATTGGATTCGGCTCGCTTCGGCCGAGCTGGGCTGGCCTTTATGGGTGATAATGTGGTAATTCCGGCGACATGTTGTGCAGACGTCCTTCGAGCGTGACCAGAGCTTCTCCTCTTCTTATGATGTTGAAATGACGGCGAAGAGGTGGCCGTTCTTGGTGTCGTTATGGCCGGCGTCGCCAATTGCCAAGACTTGATTTTTCTCTGACCACTCATTGACCGCAGACCACTCTCGACGGAGGTGGAAGAGCCAAGAGAGCGTGTCTGCTTCTTGGATCTGGATTTCGGGATTGGCGTTTCAGATAGTGGCTCTGGAGGTGGTGTGCGAGCTTCAATGGCATGAAGATAGGTCATTCGCATGTCATCGATGATCCTGCGTAAGTCGTCCCTTGTCATCGCCAACTCCTCGGCCATGCTGGTTCTGGTAGTGAAGGAGGAAGAAGCGCCACTGGAGGAAAGTAATGAGTGCCTGTGGTTAGAAGAGCCTTCGGAGTGATCTTCGCGATATCCCATTTCGAGATTTGACGTCGACATGTGACTTCTCAGTCCCAACCCGCTTCTACCAGGCTCGGCTTGGCTATATGAGGTGGGTTGTTGAAGTGATACAGAAGATGTCGGGTATGTGCTAAGGCTGTAGGGCGTCGATTCGTAGGGATGGTGATGATTGTCTAACATGCCCGGCTGGTCTTGTTGGAGCTCCAGAATGTTGCGATCAACACCAGGTTGGCCATATATTGACACTAGGCGACTGTACTCTGCCTTCCATAGCGCTTGTATGGTAGGATTTCGTTCTTCGTGGGGTTCGAGGAGAGATGTCGTTGAAGCCATGTGGCGCGGAAAGAGCGAATGAGTAGGGCTGGATATTCCGAGGCCATGGGTGCCCGGATTAGAACCAGAACCGGGAAAAATGTACCCATGTTCGACCGACGGTTGACGCTCATGTAGAAAGCTGGATGAAGTAGTGAAAGAACGACGGTGATATCCAGATATTGGCAAATCGCTAGCAGCCGATGGCGGCAGTCGGACTGAACCAAATGTCGACTGTTCTCGTGGGGAGTTTGGAGCGGTCGAGAGAAATTTCAATTCTGGCCGGCGGATTGACGGAGTAGGTTGAGATGACGACGTTCGAGAAGTCCTTCTCTCTTTACCGCCAACGATAAAGTCGCCTTCGCGAATCTCCTCCAATGTCCGATCATAGTCTTGTTGGGTGATGAGAAGCTCCCCTGAACTCAGGCGACGGCTCGTTTGCAGCTTGACTGGTCCATTGCCCCGTTGAGGTCGCTCTCCCAGTTGGGGCGGCTTTCCCGGCAGAGTGGAATGATAAGATAATGAGCGAAGATCTGTGGGCAGATGAATTTGGCGCTTTGTTGAAGAAGACTTGCCCAATGCGTGGTTGATGAAGACGGGTAAGCGACCCTGGGGTGGAGCCGTAGTATAGGGCACGCTATGCAAATCCAGCTCGGAGCTGTCCGGATTTTTGTTGGCCTTCAGTCTCTTTGGACTGAGAAATTTGCGAATTCGTGATTCCATGCTTGAGAGGAGGCTATGCGGTGTTCGCCGCGCATTGACCTGGTCGCGCGAGCACCGGGCAGCTTTGGTGTCAAGCGGAACTGTCAACAGAGGTTGACGTGGTTATGTAAGTGTTCGGCAGCCGTGCATATAAGGCGTCGCAATGAGAACTTGCGGTCCGATCTGACGTATCAGAACCACCAAGTTCTGGATTGCAATCAGAGAGACAGATAAAGATTTTAAAAGCCGCGTAGAGCATGGTTTTTGGAAGAATAGAGAAGATCGAACAACGAAAGAGGTAGCAAATCTCTCAATAGTGACTGACTGGGGGAGCGCTGGAAGACGAGAAAAGGTGCATTTTGGCACGTCAAACAGCGGACAGGGAAGAGGCGTGAGAAAACGGGCAGGGGTCCGTGGCCGATATAACACGAGACAAGGCAAGCAACCGAACGAAGGTGGTGAGTGGTGGCAGTATTGGACCCCACGAGGTCCTGGGCACCTCTGAGAGTGTCATACCCAAAACTCAACTTGCTCATGAGGGTCTCTGAGTGGATGGGCCTCCAGAGACTTGCTGCAGCTAGACACCGGTACGTGGAGGATTTGACAGGGGCCCGGGACAACCAAGCCGCCATGTACACAATAAATAAACACCGGACTCGCGTGTGTATGCGCAAAAACATGCATGACCGGACACCTCCGGATATATATAACGATGCTATACCACAATAGACGCAAACTCTTGCGCACCTGTACAGTGTACGGGCGTTGTGTCGAAAAATGTATTCAGCTTGGGTTGGCTATGCACGGAGCGCTTCTGAGACAATGCACGGTTCAGCAGAAGGATCTGCTTACCATCCGTTTGACCAAGGAGTTTAACTGAACTTACCTTGTCCGCTTGTTGAAGTCTGGGCGGAAAGTCTTTTCGTGATGGCCACAATCAAGAAAGTTCAACCGACCCGAGATCATCAGCCGTTGATGCCGTCTTCTGTTAGGCGAACAAAGGCGAGAACGGGGAAGTCGAGTAAAGCGAGCATGCTCGGCGAGGCTTTGCTCTAGGCGTCTTTTAGGTAAACATCCCAGTCTCACTAGTCTGGTCGAGCAGCCTTGCAGGGATGCATCAACTGCCGGACCATCCAGGACAGGCGGGGGAAGCCATCCGTGCCTCCAAATTACAGCTGCATGTCCGATCAGTCGGAACATCAGGGATTCAACACACGCATTCTCCGTAGAGTCGATGTTGCGCATGAAGCAGACACCAAAGAACAAGCGCTGTGGCTTGACCAATTTCCACACACGGAATTTCTCCAGGTTGAGTACTCCGTAGCGACTTCTCTGGATGAAGAGGAAATGACATAGGACGTTCGTAGCCAGAGTGGCGGTCAAGTCTCGAGGTTTGACAATGTGCAGATTCTGGTCGGACTGCCGCATATCCACGTTGGACTACAGCTGGTTCGGATCAGAATTGGCAGCAGATCGAGAAACAAGACCAGGATTGAATTGTCAGAACCGCTAGATACAGCCGGCACCTTTGAATGAATGCCATGGTCAATATAATGGGGGCTTCGTGGCCGGCGAGATGAGCCGATCCGATAGAACAGAGAATCTACGGGGAATAATCTTCGATAGTTTCTCCGGGGCACTGGTGACAGGGAAATGGACCGGGAGGGCCATCATGCTCTGTATCTCGTATGTTTGACCATTGTTCAAGCCTCAGCAGCGCTGTCTGGGTGCGTTATAACTCGACCTTCCTGCGGCGCGACCCATGAGTGACACTGACACCTCGTACTTTCTGGTGGATGCATGCTCTGCCCAACCCGCACTGATCGGCCATGGAATATCGCTTCATTGGGACTGAGACAAGTTCCATCTCCTGCTCTGTGAAGCCCAGATTTTGGTCATTATTCGTCAGTGATAACGATGAGAATTTCAGAACAGACTTGCATCTCAAATCCAGCTAGATGAAGACCAAGTTTTGTGGTAACGCACGGCGAGAGAATGTCTCGGATGCAGTCGATTGTCTTTGCCATGTCACCTCGGTCTTATTAGCAACATGGTTCTCCAGGTCAAACCTGGTCGATGTAGTCATGGTGTGCAAGCATATTAATGTCCTCACCAACGTTCACCGAAGGATCATTTTCAAAACGATGAACAAGAACGAATGCGCCGCTAGAAAGACGGTCAACCCCAGCTCCGCAACCTCAGGTAGGGATCCCATTTACGACATTCGCTAGGATGAGGCTTCGAGGAAGAATGGCTTGAAATGCAGATGAGACCTCAATCGACAATGTGTCTTGATACTGCCTGGGGCCAGAGTGAAATAAGATGGAACGAAAAGCGATGCGTCTCTATGGTCGTACTTCTCAAGAGTCACCATACGTAGGGCTAGAAGATCCGGCGGAGAATCTCTGTTGTGGGAAACAGAGAAGACTGTGTTGAGGCCGTCGTGGGCCGTTCATCGGGATGGGACCCTGACGAGGCCGACACTCACCATGAGATTGGCAATGATCTATCGTCAATGGTACATTGCATCTGGCGAGTTACATAGGCAACGATAGGCTATGCGTGATTGCTGGGTGCACGATGAGACGATCATGTTGAGGCGAGAAGCCTGGTGAGCCATCAATGTAACGGTATCTCACGACTCTACAGTGACACTCGTACTGGAGAATTTCTTCCATCGCTCCGACCTCCGCCTGCGCCTGCGCCTGCGCCTGCGCCTGCGCCTGCGCCTGCACCAGTCCATCGCAACTCCCAAGGTGACAAGGTCCCCTCCAGTGCCTCTCCACCTCCATCCATCGTACCATCGTGACTTTCTCTCTACACAATCCAGAACCCACCAGGCAAGGATGCTTGTCGTCCTGCTGCCATAGTAGCACTCGAGTCTATCCTGTTTTGCTGCCTCAGCATTCGTTTTCTTCTGCTGCTGCGGACCGGCAATTCTCTTCTCCAGTGCCATGCTACTGCCACTTCACTTCTACCACGCCTCCTACCACTCACAGCCTTGACGGGCATGTTACTACAGTCGTCTCTTACTTTTCTTTACTCGTGACATGTCGGTGTTTGTTGCTCAAACAAAACCATCCAACATGCTACTCGTCCTATGTCTTCTCCTCGACTAGAACACCACTTCACCACCTGCTAGCCGACTTCACCAGTCTTCGTTCCTTTGTTCTGGGTCAGCCATGACTCTCCTCGACTTCTTCCGCAGCATCCTGCGCCACCTGGCCGCGATGCTCATCTTCCCTTCCACACTCAAAACCATGGCTGTGTCGCCCAAGTCCTCCAACACCCAAGTCACGGTCATTGAAACGATAGCGGATCCTCCCTCACTAGATTCTCTCAAGGATGAGATCATGCGCCTGTTCCGACAACCCTGTACGATACGTCGAATGCTGTCCATGTCGTCCGCTCTCCGAATACAGTACAAGGCCAAGTTACAAGACAGTGAAGCCTGCATGCTTCCCTCCTTCTGCCATACCCTGCCAACGGGACAAGAAACAGGCACATTTATATCCCTTGATGTGGGTGGGTCGACCTTCAGAATAGCCATGGTTGAGTTGCGTGGCAGAGGCGGGCAAGAGTCGCCCATGACCATCAAGCACATGAGCACATTCAAGATCGACGAGCGCATTCGAAGATTACCCTCTATACAATTCTTCGATTGGATGGCTGGCAGAATACAAGAGATGATGAAGGCACACCCCGAAGATTGCTCGTCCGTGGAACCTGTGTCATTGGGGCTGGCCTGGAGTTTTCCCATTGAGCAGACGAGTCATCGAAGCGGCAAGATGCAGGGAATGGGCAAAGGTTTTGCTTGCCATGAAGACACTATCGGCATGGACCTGGGAGCCTTGATTGAGGCTGCATGTTCAAGAAGGCAGATGAACGTTCGTCTGAACGCCATCGTCAATGACTCTTCGGCAACCCTACTCTCGCAAGCCTATCTTGAGCCTGCCACCTCCATGGGCTTGATCCTCGGGACTGGCACCAATGCTGCTGCATACCTGCCCACCGCCTCTATGGGGAAGTCAAAATTTGGAGTTCGGGATCTGTCATGGTTTCAAACGGCAGATAGGGTCATCACAAACACAGAAATTTCCATGTTTGGCAAATCAATCCTACCCGAAACTCGGTGGGACGAAACATTGAATAGAGAACACCAACGGCCCGACTTCCAGCCATTGGAGTATATGACTACTGGCCGTTACCTTGGAGAACTACTGAGGCTGATCATCATTGAGGCCGTCGAAACAGCCGACTTGTTCAGTGGAGTTCTGCCTCGATGTCTGGCTGGGTCTTATTCGCTGGATACGGAAATATTGGCGAAGCTCGAGCAAAACAGCTCCAAGGACATGAGGGACTCCGCCTCCATGCTCCAGACGGCGTTTGAATTGGCGACTCCTCCTACCTTCGAGGAGGTTGCATTCCTGCGAGCTGCAGCAGAGGCAATTTCCTATCGTGCATCTGCCTATATTTCCGTCGCTGTGCATGCGTTGTGGGCGTTGCAAAAGGATGCAGATATCAATCCCAGGTCAGTAACGGGAAATCCTAAGACCTCCATTGCATGTAACGGAAGCGTCATCCTCAAATATCCCGGCTTCAGAACCAGATGCGAAGGACTGTTGCGACAGATGATAGCTGAGGAAGGTCGAGGAGCAGCGAACGATGACATTGTGCTCCAATCAACCGAAGAAGCAGCAGTCTTTGGGGCAGCCGTGGCCGTGGCACTAGCGGATGTCCCTTGAAGTTGGGAATAGAAACTAGAGACACATCTCACAACTTTGCGGGCGTTCGCAAGGTCGACTACGGCAAGGTGCCCAAGCCAAGCGGCAGAGCGTTTCTGGCGCGAATATCGAGGATCCGCCGCATCTTTGGGGCTGACACTGTTCAGCTTCTGCATAAGGTCCGAGACCGACAGATGAGCCTTGTTGCTCCATGTCTGGACCTTCGGCATGGCATAGCCTGGGCTGACGGACCTTACTTGGGCTTATGCCGTGCAACTTAAAAAAGGGGCAGAGCGTGGGTACGAGGCCGGCAGTTGTAGCTACCTATATACGATGGCTCTTGGGCCTTGTGGAGCTTGTCTATACCTACTATAGGACTGGCCACCAACCTCATGGCCTTGGGCATGCTGAAGTATACTAGGGTCTACGCCTTTGGGCATCAAGTCCGAGACCCCTGGGAATAGAGCCGCGACATGAGCGGCATAAACGGGGTGTGAGACGTGGACATAGTGCTTGGTAAGACATATACCGTGGGCACGTACATAAAATACTATGAGTGTACTCATAGATCTTACCTCGCAACTGTTCTTTCAAGTGGACTCACCCTTCTCTGAAGCTTTGTTACAGTCTACATGATTCTCACACGCCTGAAAGGCTTGATGCTTCCCATCTCAACCATCTCTTTTTTCTCTCATCGTTTTCCTTCCTTCCACTCCTTGCTTTCATTCTGCCCCAGCTTGCTTCTGTCTCGGACCTGAGCCGTCGCTCGAACGGCTTGTGGTCGACGTGAGCAAACACCGGAACCGCGACGGATACGGATAATAACGGGCTTAACCTGAACAACAAACGCCAAACACCGAGCCATGACCGGGCGTGCAGCAAACGCCGTTACCACATCACCGTCTACTGTGTAACTCAACACTGCCCCGAAGCGATTTGCCAAGCACAGCTATGGTAGTTCGCAGACAAGTGCGAGACTGCTTCACAGGCTACTGGTGGGTGAGCTGGCAATGTTGGAACGCCTTAGCAGCAATAATCTTAAGAGGTTGAGCATGAAAGTCAGAGCAGCCAAGAAGATCATGACACGGGGAGGGACGCGAGAAACACAATGTCACAGGAGAAGTATACTCAACTCAGGACCTAGAGCTATAGTAACGTAGGCAAGGTAATAGACTCCTAGCCAGACTACTACTAACTTAGCTAAGTTCCCAACAGCACTTGGTGGTATTATTAAAAGTACATATATCGGAACGAAGACTCAAGAATCAAACCATCCGATGCCGCCTTTCGCGCACCAGAACACCGCCTAATAGTCGAACAAAATGATCTGACAGTCAGTCAGACTAGACCATCGTCGTTAGATTGAAATGTCGCCACTGCGGTTAGTAGGCGCATCGCATCGAAGAGTATAGCAGCATTACCTCTAATTCCGCATCCACGGACAGACATCAAGTCGAGCTGCCCATCTGAATTAGCCATGCGAGAACTTCTCCTTCAGGCTCGTCAGGCTCGGTCGTCCCAAACATCCTCAAGTCCACTCAGCCGCGGCACACCGCTCGGTTCGCATCGATGGAGATACCTCGACATAAGTTGGACCACGTCATCCATGCTTCTGAGACCTTGCCGGCGTGCAAGATCCTTTGCGAGGCCGAGAAACCAATCTCGATCCTCATCTTTCTGGGCAAGTTGTGCTCCAAGACAAGCCATCCACAACACTTTTTCATCGTGCTCCTCCTGCCAATCTTCCCCTGACTCGGTGAAATTGATCAGGGCCTGGCAGAGCCTCCCAGCATCTGCCCATGAGAATCTCGACGATTCCCTCACGCACGCAGACGTAGCGTCCGCACTGGCCACCCGCGAGGCTCCCATGTCTGATATAACAAGCAACAAGGCTTGACGTAGACTCTCCGACAATGGCAGGGACGCCTCCACATGCCCAGGTGAGCCCGCTTGCGGCGCTGAAATCGATAACAACCGATGCGCAAGCGCATACGCCCGCCGTCTCGCCCACCATTCCGTCGGGCTCTGCACGTATTTCTGCAACTGACAATGCTGCATGACCTGAAACCACTGAACAACATCTATCACAGCTGTTCTCAGTTCGCTATGCACCGTCCCTGCATGGGCAAACTGTATCAGGCCGACACCGCTAGGCACAATCCCATGCCTGGCCAACTCCAGCAAAATCACATCTCTCATCTGTGCTGAGGGTAGCGACCCCGGGTCCCACGTTAGGCCGATAAACGGTGGTTCTCCGCTTGCAGAAGCGACCAGTAGATCCCACGACCGGCACAGCGCTCGTAGCGGTGTTTCAAGGTCTTCTGCACCTCCCAGCATCTGCACGAGATGGTGGACCATATTGAAATGTGTTCTCGCGCCCTCGGGGTTCTTTACATACAGCTCAAATATGGATAGGGCCATCAAATCGAAAATCAGCAACTCATCGACCTGCGGCATTGGGTGACTTGGGCCGGATAGATGGTGCCGCAGATGCTGTAGTGCCTTGCCCATGCAGTACTCCGGCGCGTCATGTCTGTCCAATTGCTGGCGCAGCACGAACTTCATGAACCCGCTACTTGCTGCGAGAAGAGCGTACATATGCATTCTATTGGCCAAGCAGCCTTGGACGATGCGGTTGATCGTATCGGGGATGGACTGCGACGAAGTGGAGGGCCATGTCTCATCGATTAAGTCGAGGTCCTGGAAGATGTAAGGCAACCAAACTTGCACCGAGTACTGGAAGGCATTGTGCGACCACCATGTGTCGTTCGGTGTTTCGAGGTATGCGAACTGATCTGCCATGGTTCCTGTGGTTGACGTGACCAGTGCTGGAGGTGATGGTGCAGCGGAGGTCTCTGCAGAGCTGGTCTCGGAAAGGGTGCCCGGCCTACCCCAGCCAACGACACGTTGTGCACGAGTCGCTTCGGTCTGAGCGCTATATAGTCTCTGTTGACGGCGCAGAGCAGCACGCCATTGTCGAGCATGGCTAGTGATGGTACGGAGCGCTTCTCTTTCCTGTCGAGTCGTCGATAGTGTTTCAGACTCTGGCGTCCGATTGACCCAGAGCAACTCCTGGTTGGTGGTGCTACTGGTTCTTGGTCGTCCACGCCTTGAGGACGACGACGATGGCATTGTAGGCTTCTCCTTTTCCAATTAGACGAGTCATCTTTCCCACCACCTTTCTCGAAAGCCCGAGTGACTGGGCGGCGTGGTCCATATCTACTTGGAGCATGGGAACACTCCCACCGAGTCAAGCCCGGCGACCGCATGGCATAGGAGGCTAGCAGTGGTGCCATGGCTGTTTGAAAGTGAGCGGAAAGATCTAACGAGTGTCATATTGAGTCATATACCGGCTCTCGATGGCGTCAAGGCTAGTTAGTACACTTTTGAAGGTCAGCAATAAGGCCGTAGGAGGAGCGGAAGGCCTGCCAAGTGTATTTGGAAGCATTTCGACAGTAAGGATAATGTTCAATGATTATCGACGAGGGTGTTGAACGACGCCTTGGTTTGGAAGCATCTCGACCAACCAGATCTTGGATTTTGGAGATCGTTCAGCCAAAGAACTGCATTTTCCGCAGGCGAAGCGAACCAAACACCGAATCCATATCTTCTACTATGCACCAGCAAGTTCCATCGTTGAAGGGATATCTCTCGTCTATGATTGCGCCAGGTGTATGAGCCACCACGATTCGATGCTCCTCGGACAAACTATTGCAACATGATTTGCAATCGCTGGACAGGGTATACTGCTGGCTGCTCTCTCAGGGCTCCGAATGAATGAATCGTCTTTCGGGAAATGAAAATCGAACCCCTAGAAACGATGATGATGAGGCTTGACGACGAATTGTTATTGGAGACTCCGGGTAAAGGTTGCGGGAAGCTTGCCGCCTGTCATCCGAACACCTCCGACTTGCAACGCGACCCCACCGACTGCGACAGGTCGTACCATAGTAGCTTGACCTCTGCTCTGGTTGTTGTGGTGGTGATGATGATCCTCGAGGACGCATTTGTAACACACAATTCGCTGACAAAATAGCGGTAGTGGCGCAAATATCAGCCTCGGACTTCGCTCGCTCTTTCACAGTCGTCCTTTCCACAGGTGTGCAGGAATGGCAGCAATCAAGGCAAATTGTCGCAAAGTGATTTGCATTGGCAGAAACTATGCGTGTGTCTCTCTTACCACAACAAACCGTGTAGCTTCGGTAATTACTGACGTCGATGTAGTGATCACATCACTGAGCTGAACTCAGCTCGGCCAGCGCAACCTTTCTTCTTCCTCAAACCTCCCTCCTCCATCCTCCTGCCGAACAAAGGGCCTATAATTCGACCCCGGGGAGTGAACTTGCATCATGAAGTCGAGCTCGGTATAGTCATCGGCGAGACTCCAAATGGAGCTGGGTTGAAAAACTTGCAAGCGTCTGACTCTAGAATCCTGAGTTACATCAAGTCCTACTTCCTCGGTATAGACTTGACTGCCCGAAATGTGCAAGACGAAGCAAAGAAGAAGGGACTTCCTTGGAGTATAGCCAAAGGATTCGATACCTTTCTGCCCATCAGTCATGAGATTCCCTTTGACCGGATACCGGATCCTCATGATGTCGTATTGTGGTTGAGCGTCAATGGTAAAATGCGGCAAAATGATAGCTCGAAGCTGATGTTGTTCGACATTCCCAGGATGATGAGCGACATCAGCAAGGTCATGACGTTGGAAGAGGGCGACATCATTCTGACAGGAACTCCGAAAGGCGTTGGTCCGCTTGTTGGAGGAGATGTCGTCAAATGTGGTCTCGAAGCAGACGGGAGGGAAGTGGTGGAGGCCAAAATCGAAGTCGAGGTGGTAGACGACACCACAGAAGGCGGCTATGAATTCAAGGAAACCTGATACTTCAGCAGGCATCTGGCCACTGAAGCCCTAATGATCATGTTAGCATGGACGTCGGCGGGTTGCCGAAAATGCGTAATTACGACACGGCCTCAGAAAAGCAAACTCTCAATTGAAACATTGTTGCAAGCCTTCGAACTGGACTCTTTCGGCATTCTCTGCTTCAGCTCTGACTGTTGGGATGCATCCTCACTCGTCGCTCGAGGTCGGCAATATTGGGATCTCTGGTGGTGGTGGCAGAGGAAGTCGTCGCTCTGAACGCTTGTGCCGAATTGCTGGCAACTCTAGCCCAATAGTTCGTTTCGGCGGCTGCCTGTACAGGTATGGCACATCATCACTGCTCTCCTCTGCCACCCCCGGGAGTCTTCGCTTCTGTGGTACAAGCCGCGGGACGGAGGCCACCGGGTCTCTGACCTGGCTGGGGTGACGATCCAAACGTTGCTGCAATGTGGACTCGTGCCGATCCTTTCGAATATCTTGGGCCACACACTGCGGCTGCAATGCACGGCGAAGGAATTCTTCATTCCCATCTCCATGTGCTTCTTGCGTTTGTCCCTCGTCAAACTTGTGCTCGGAGACGTCTTCGGCGCTTCCATTCTGCATTTCTGTATAGCTTAGCCTGGGGTTCATGTCAAGCCTTGTCTCCGGGACACGAGATTCCGGCCCTTTGCGTCGTGAGGACATCTTGATCCCTTTTCCTTTCCGTGAATACAAACTTTGTATGTTCTTTCCTTCTTCTAGTGCTGGTGGTTCGAGGTGGGTCAATGGCCCGGACTCCGGGGCAACAAGTGTAATATTTTGGCTCTCTTTATTGATCAAGCGCTGACTTCGACGCAGAAGCGCAACTCCAGATGCCGGGTGGCCCCTGGCTGCAGGCTTGTCCAAGCACACTTCTCTTTTTTGTTTCGGTTTGTACTCCATTTGCTGCAATATTTGCCCAATCTTCTCAGAGTATCCAGCTGCGACCGAGGTAGTGGAGATGTCGTCCATCTGCGAGTGTTCAGGGATTTGCGAGCACATATCGCCGAACGAGGCAATATTTTCCCAAGTCCAGCCTTTTGAGTCCATCCATTGCTGACATTGTTTCCTTTGAGCAGTCTGAAAGATTCCCTCGACATATCTTCGCACAATGATCTCCTCGAACGTATGTGGTAGGGCCTCGATCAGATTCAAGGCCTGTGAGTAGTAATGTTCCCAGCTTTCAAACCTCTTCTGCCTGAGTGTGTTGACTTTGGCGAGTTGTGTGGCCTGAGCTTGTGGTTCTGGTAAGGGACGAAGTGAAACATTCTCTCCCACGTTGTAGTATTGATGGCCAACATAGCTGATCGTATTGGCATTTGCGTCCAGGTCGAGATCAGAAGGTATCGCCGGCTGGCCGGTGATCTTGGTGGCACCATGACCCAGACTTAGTGGAGGGGGAACGGATACGCCGTGCAGTTTCTCTGGCTGAGAGTTCTGGACTTGTACAGCAGCGTTCTCTCCTGGAAGAGAAGTCAGACAACCTTCTTGATCACTTCTTCGCATAATAGCCTGATACGAAGGGTGAGCCTACCTTCAAGGCTGTCTCGGACAAGGCTAACAGAATCCAGGCGAGGACGTGGGAGAAGTGCTGAGACCGCCAGGTGGTTTAGTCTACCGACAAGTGGTTCGATAATTGTCTTCTCGGCTTTCTTCTCAATCGTGACCTCCAGCTTCTCGACTCGAGCGTTGATCGCATCCAGATGATGTTGGTGTGCACCAGTCGTCCTCTGGCGGTCAATCCTCTCCTGCTGAACGTGTCCCTGGAGCAATCGTATATCTGCCATCGCATTCTCGAGGGCTTGTTCGTTGGCCAGTTGAATTTTGGACACTTCTGCCTTCAACTTCTCACCGTCATGTCGAAGGCGCTCGATCTCAGGGGTCTGTTCTTCGAATCTTGCTGCTTGCAAGTCCCGCAGGGAGTGTGCTCTTGCAGAATCAGTACGGCATTCTTGGACGATGACACTGAGCTCTCTCAAATCATCTTGCATCGAAGTGAGTTGCTTGCGGCAGGTTTGCATTTCTCCATGCAAGAAGGCATTTTCACGTCGCAGTTGATGAGCTCGAAGGAGATCGATGGCATAGCCTACAGTGGAATCTCGATCTGACAGCATCGTAGAAGCATGAACTGATTGGGAGATTCAGATTGTCAAGCGAGGGATTAGCCGGGATGAGATTAATTCAACGGTTACGGGAACGAAGTGAGATGGAAACTGAGCCTGGCCACGACAAAGCTGGAACGAAGGAGCACACCATAATCAGACGGGATATTTTCATAAATTTCAATCAATTTCTCTACCAGTCTATCGCAGTATCAATTGTCCTCATCCGTTCGTATCACATGAGAATGCCATGAAGTTCTCTCTGTGCAGTCTGAGAGACAGTAGCCAACGATTGCTAGCTAGCATTAAGAAAAACAAGCATGAACGCCCGCGAATCGCCACACGAAGAACGACGCAAGGCCGTCCAATGTGGTATCACCGCGCCCGTATGCTCGTCGAATCTCAGTAATCCCAATGAACAAGTCTGAAAAATACATGACTTTTTTCGTGCTGCGACAACATTGAGCCAAGCAGTCGGAGACAAGCTTCATCCCACTTTTCTCAAGTAGTCGCGTACAATCAGTAGCAACAAACGCCTTCCACATGCTGAAAATGGGATCTGGTCGGATTGTTGCGGAGAAGAAAGCCGTTTAGATAAGGTCGGCAACGTTCATCGGCATCTCCTCGATTTGAGTGCTGTAAAACTGCTCGATCTCTCTCATCATGCGGACATCATCGGCAGTGACGAAGTTGATGGCAACACCCTTTCGGCCGAATCGACCACCACGACCGATACGGTGAATGTAGTTCTCGCGGTTGGCAGGAAGATCGTAGTTGATGACCAGAGAGACTTGTTGAACATCAATACCACGAGCCAACAGGTCAGTGGCAATCAGAACACGAGAAGAACCAGAGCGGAACTCCTTCATGATCACATCACGCTGAGCTTGCTCCATGTCGCCGTGCATGGCCGAGACAGTGAAGTCGCGAGCGGTGAGTTTGTCGGTGAGCCAGTCGACCTTTCTTCGGGTGTTGCAGAAGATGACGGCTTGAGTGATGGTGACGGTTTCGTAGAGATCAGAGAGTGTATCCAGCTTCCATTCTTCCTTCTCGACAGCGATGTAGAATTGCTTGATACCTTCGAGGGTCAATTCAGCCTTCTTGACCAGGATACGGACAGGGTCGCGCATGAATTTCGTGGTGACTTCGAGGACGTCCTGTGGCATGGTGGCGGAAAGAAGGACCACCTGGGTGGATTGTGGGAGAAGTTGGAAGATGTCGTAAATTTGCTCGGTGAAACCGCGAGACAGCATCTCATCAGCCTCGTCCAAGATGAACATCTTCATGTTGTCGGTCTTGAGCACACGTCGCTGGATCATGTCCTGGACTCGGCCTGGGGTTCCGACGACGACCTGAGGACCGTCTTGAAGTGCCTTCATGTCTTCCCGAACGTTTGTACCGCCGATGCAAGCATGGCATTCGATATTCATGAAATCGCCGATAGCCACAACCACCTTCTGGATTTGTTGAGCAAGCTCACGAGTGGGAGCAAGGATGAGAGCCTGGCAGGCTTTGAGGTTGGAATCAATCTTCTGAAGGCAGGAGATGGAGAAGGTGGCAGTCTTGCCAGTGCCGGACTGAGCCTGCGCAATGACATCGGAGCCCTTGATGACGGGCATGATAGCACGTTGCTGGATGGCTGACGGGCGTTCAAAACCGTACGCATAGACACCTGAAAATTTTGTTAGCCTCGTTCCCTCTCTCTTTGTCAAAATTTTGTGATTTTCACGTACCTCGTAGAAGCTCAGGCTTCAGGTTCATAGCATCGAAGGAGTCGGTGACTTCATCGTAGTTAGACTCGATTTGCCCTGTTTTGTCAAAAGTCAGCAAAAAGCTCGCTCAAATTCCGTTCGCTCGACAGTGCGGCTGCGTGAAGTCGTCTCCACTGCAGCGACATTGCCGCTGCGTCTTAAATAGATTGGAACATACCTTCAGGGACCTCCTCGAGACCTTTGTCCGCCATGATTGCGAAAGAAGTCGTAGGATCACTGGCGTCTGCGCCTGTGATCTGAAAGCGCGGGGTGAAGGTGGCGTGAGACCGACTTAGGCGCTGCTTCCGCGTCTAAGTCTGCGAAAAGTCGCTTTTGTTGTGAAAGTCTAGGTCAAAGGATTCTCTCTCTGAGAATCCGGATGATCTAGAGTAAGTGGTTTGTGATTGTTGTTGTTGCTGTAAGAGCGAGTTGAAGATTAATAAAATTTTGAAGAGACTTTTCGCAGTGATTTTATACACTTGGCGGCCGGCGCTAAGAAAAATCTCAGGCCGTGCCACAGCCACTCAACCCCAACTACTGTGCTACACTTGCTGTGCAGGCCATAACTCCGGATCACATTTGCCTCGTTCTCAGTCCAGCCTTGTCCATGATCTTCCATAGTGGCGAATATCCCCAGAAACATTGCAAGTCCATTGTTCAATCTATCTCAGATCGTTCGTGTCGTACCTAGATCCGTCTCGTATGATCTAGGTAGATTGGTCAGTGGGCATCACGTGCCGCCTTTTCGCTGGCATTCCAGCCCTGTCCCCTTTGAGATTATCGAACGAATGATCTCGACCACCACTCTGCAACCGGCTGCAGTCCCGGAGACACCAATTTCTGTGACCTCGGACTGGACCGGGCACCCACAAGGCCTTAATGAAAGCTCCATAGTCTCGAACAATGAGACTGACCGACACCCGTTGGGAGTTCGACCTGCTGGCAATGCTCTTACCACCAGTGAGAATGCCCAAAACTATATGGGACGTTTCGGAGAGCTGCCGGATTCCTTGCTCTTACTCTTGTTAGAGTACTTGGATACCTCAGCTCTGATCAACTTGGGCGCAACTTGTCGGGGACTCTACGCCTATTCCACCTTCGATCAACTATGGAGGGATATTGCGGTCAGCGACATGACGGAGGATTTTTCCTGGCGTGGAAGTTGGCGAGCATCCGTAAGGCAGCTTCCTACATCAACATTGGCGAAAGTGGACTGCCGAAGCCTTTATTCCGATGCACTTCACCGACCGTTTCTGTGCTCCCAGATGTCTCTAGCGCCCTACGTCTCGGGAATTCCCAAGCAGAACGAGATTCCACGCATAAGGCATCTCGCGCCCACCGACTTCAACGACTCGTGGGTTGACCGGCCGTTCATATTGACCGAACCTGTAAAAAAATGGCAGGTCTACAAGGACTGGAATCAGGAGTCCATCCTTTCCAAACACGGGGATACATTGTTTCGCGCCGAAGGGGTCGACTGGCCGTTCAAGACGTATGCCGCATACATGGACAGCACAAGCGACGAAAGCCCCATATATTTGTTCGATAGGGCCTTCGTGGAAAAGATGGGTTTGGAGGTCGGTCCTCATGGAGCTTACACTGCTCCCGAGGCTTTTCAGGACGACTTGTTCACCCTATTGAAGGAACAGAGGCCTGACCATCGATGGCTGATCATTGGCCCAGAAAGGAGTGGAAGTACCTTCCACAAGGACCCTAATGCTACCAGTGCTTGGAACGCGGTTATCCGAGGCTCGAAATATTGGATCATGTTTCCTAGTAATGTGCTGCCGCCAGGTGTCTATATGAGCGAGGATCAGAGTGAAGTAACTTCCCCACTCAGTATTGCTGAGTGGCTGTTGTGCTTTCATGCTGAAGCGCGGAGCACGCCCGGCTGTCTCGAAGGCATATGTCAAGCAGGAGAGGTCCTGCACGTGCCTTCTGGCTGGTGGCATCTTGTGGTCAATCTGGACCCAGCTATTGCGATAACTCAGAACTTTGTGCCGCGGGCACACCTTCGCTCCACCGTCAAGTTCCTTCGGCATAGAGCCGATCAGGTCTCCGGCTTCAAGAACACCGTTGCCAACCCGTACGCGCTCTTCATGGAGCGGCTGCGTGAGGTCCATCCCGACTTGGCGACCCTTGTTGAAGAGTCCAAGAAGAGAAAGTGGGATGATGTGGTACACGATTCACGCCAGGCTGACGAAGAGCAAAGTGGCTTCAGCTTTGGATTTGGCGACGATATTGACGAAGAGGAATGCTGACAAGAAAATTGTGTGAGCTGTCCCGCTAATGGCAAGCCACTGACTTGGTAGAAGTCAAACTACGACCGAAAGCAATGTATCCCACGAATGCTCCGATGGCAACGGCCAACATGACCCAGCCGTTGTACGTCATGAACAAAAGCCTGCGCTGTTAGCCTTTATCTTTCATGCGCAGGGAACTCGCATACATGATGAAGAAGCTGTAAAATACCTGCAACGCATACAGCAATCCCTTTATGATTGTTCCTTTCCGTTCTGCTGCCGCCTTGGAGTCTCTTCCTACGACGAGCAGTGAGCTTGATTCGTTTGACTGAGGAGATGCGCCTTGACAATATCAGATGCGTCTATGGCACGAAGTGGGCAATCGGAACATACTGGAGCCGCTGGTGCTGTATGCAGCCATCTCCGCACTGTGTTGCTGCTCGTATCGCCTGCTGATCTCGCGGATGCATTCGTAGCCGGCGGTCAGGAGGACAATGGCTACCAGGGATAATATCAGAGAGAAAGTGCCTGTGACTCTCCATTGCCGGAAGATTATACAAAGATCTTTCGAAGACCAGGTAAATAGCATCTGCTTCGGTCAGTAAATACGCTGTAAAATATCATGTCGATACATGCATTCATCGAACATTGTCCACCCATATCCATGTCTCCGTGATCCATACCGCCATGGTCCATGTTTGAGTGGTCCATCTCGATGGCCGAAAGTAAATGATGCACAGCTAAGTACTGAGGCACTGGGAGACTTGAGAGACGTGTTTGGCACAGGAGGTCTCCAAGCCTGAGACTAAAATACTAAAAGTGCATCGGACAGGAGATACCTGAACCTTTGCGTGGTGCGTGTCCCAACTGGCGCAGGCGTTCCACACTTCACTGTTATTTTGACCCGCCGTACTCTGTACCGCAACGAAACATTTCTTCATTCGCGCAATTCATTCCATCTCTATTAAGCCTCACCCCTCGCGATCTTGAAAAGATAGCGCGCCGTGCCATGGCTGAAAATGTACCGCCAGCCGGCACGGCAGCGAAGCCTCCGGCCAGCGGCGACAGACCTGGCTTACCATACTACGAGAAGTTAAGACGAGATCTACGTGACACCCTGCAGAAGAAGCGTCTACTGGATCGCAATATGGTACGTCGTTGCCGCAGCCTCGAAACAGGTTTCGCTGACCAGGCTAGGCTGCTGTGGAAGACCAAATCTACCGGCAAGAAACGGCATACCTGGAAGAAACGTCCATTGCAGGCAACATCGTCAAGGGATTTGACAACTACATCAAGGCGTCTGCCGTGTCGGCGGCTGCAACTTCAGCAGGAGGAACAATCTCTGGCAGTGCGGCTGGTGGCGGACTGGGAGCAGGACGGAGAAAAGCTGTTGTGAATGATTCAGACCGCGTCTTTTCTCGAAGTTCAGTATCCTATATGCGCGACTCGGATTCGCCTAGCAGTGCTACGAGTACACCGAACCACGCAGGGACGCCGACTGGCAGTTTCACGAATGAGAAAGGTGGTGATAAAAAGAAGAAGAAGAGCACAGCGACGAATGATGATGACACCGATGGAAGGCCAACGAAGCGGCAAAAGATCAGTTTCGGCGGATCAAGAAAGGGTCAGGATGATTGAGCGCAGGGCCCGTCGTTTAGGATTGCGCCGATGGGTGTTGAATCGATCCATAGCCATCTGAAGGCTTGCGTGATCCAAAAAGCGCCCAACAGACAGACAGTCGGCCACAAAGGCAGATGCTGACCTGCGCATGGCGAGGATGCATCTTAGTAGATAGGACGACAGCGACTGCGCCCAGCTGCAAAACCGCCGCTTCGGCATACGGAAGAGTGGTCCGTAAGTAGAGCCGGTCAAACCCGTTTCAGATTGGGGCTTCATTGCCTCGGCTAGACCTTGCGTCGTCAATATCAGAGACCTCTTCACAAGCACTTTCTTCCTCCGTAAACCAGCCATCAATGCTTCGCAGAAATCTTGTGGTCAAGCTCCGAGACCTTTCGTATTTGTCGATACCTTACTGGAGAAGCTTTACGTCACAAGTCCACCAAAAGACGATGGCACCTCTTTCGCCGACATCAGCTGTGAGTACACGCTTCTCAGAGGACTCGTACACTCATAACGTCAATAGGCCGCTCTTGAAAGATTAAAGAAATACACGCCTCCAGAGACAGTATGGCCATCGATGCCATTATCTCGCAAGGCTGCTGTTTTGTTGCTACTTTTCGCCGATCCCACCGGCGAGCTAAGGGTGGTCATAACCATGCGAGCTAGCACTCTGAATTCGTACTCTGGCCATGCAGCTTTGCCTGGCGGCAAGGCAGAAGAAGGTGAGACTGCATTTGAAGCCGCCAGACGTGAAGCATCCGAAGAAATTGGACTTCCAAGACGCGAGAGTGCTCTACCGCCACCGTTCAAAGTCGAGCACCTCTGCGAAATGCCTACAAATCTAGCGAAGACGGAACTCGTCGTCCGGCCATGTGTGGCCTTTCTACACTCTTATGACCCGGAGACAGGACTCGATGCCAGTGTGGCGGAAAAACTACTTCCTCGGTTGGACGCTCGAGAAGTGGCCGCTGTATTTTCAGCGCCATTCCGCAACTTTCTGTACCATGAAGATCTACCTGATCAGTTTGACCTTCCCGGACAGCCAAGCGACTGGTACAAGGGCGCCTGGACCGACTGGCATCAGAACAAATGGCGGATGCACAATTTCTTTGTCCCAGTCACGAACCAGATTGTATCGAAACCCAAAAGAAACGAAGGACAAAAGGCTGCTGCTGATCACCTGGACCAATTATCGAGGTACAGGGTGTTCGGCATGACTGCCAGAATACTGGTCGATGCAGCTCGCTTGGCGTATGACCAGGAACCGACTTTCGAACACAACAGCCATTTTGGTGATGAGGAGATGATTATTCGATTACGCAAGGTCGGACGACTGGGTGAAATAAGAAGGCCAACTGATGAACTTACTAAAGAAGATCTGGTCAAAGCTGCAAATTTGTGAGCTAGTCTTCCGGCTTGGAAGACGTTCCGAGTGCCTTCGGAGTCATGAGGAATGTGGGCGACATCAACTCCGACTTCACCTAAAAATATCCTTCATCAAGCCGTTTCGACAATTTCAAACAATGAGACATTCGCCCTCGGCGTTGGGAACATGCAGTCTTCACTGATAGGCAAGCTCAACAGAACAATGACTACCCTGATAGTTGTGTCGAGCCGGCTGTCCGCTGGGCGGCTGAAAGCGGCATTCTTTGTCTTCCCGCAGTCATCTTACCTGCAGCCTCGTTGCGGCGAGCGCAGATTTCCCCCGGCTGGGCAGACAAAAAACCCCGGTCGTACCTATGGCTCGAGACTCCATGTGCGCCTGATGCAGGAAAATGCCTGACCCTGCAGACTATGATACAGGACACCCCTTTACCGACATAACAAAAGTAGAAATGCTTCCTCCACCAAGCTCTGCTCAGCGCAGGCTGATGACACCTCCACCACCTTCCGCAGCGCTACTGGAGCTTCAGAAGCAGGGACTGGAACTTGCAACGTCCAGATCGCGAAGCAGTCTATATCTGGATGTCCCTCACAATAAATCGGGAAGATCGACCCCATCTGACCGAGACAAACCCCTGCCGCTTGAGCCTTCTGAAAAGAGACGATCCTCGAGCGTGTATAGCACCGACACGTCAATTACAAACATTATCCGCATGTACAATGGATATCAGGAGTTGATCGACGATCTTCCGTTGCCCACATTACATGCGCCACAGGCCTACCGGGATACCATTGCGCCGCTACTTATCAAACGGATGAGTATCAGTAAGGCTCCCTCACCGCAGCCGCCTACGCCTCCCGTTTCCCGACATAGCACATCCAACCTTTCTGTCCACTCTCCTCCCCTGCCCGCGAGCAGTGTGCCGCTGGGCAACAAGACTGCACCGACCTTTGTTGAGTTCTCGCGTGCTCTTCAAGAGCGACGGAATGAGCTTGTCTCACCATTATCTGCATCTTCAGCGGAACACCACCGCCAAACAGCTTACGATAATCTAGCGCCTCCGTCTCCGCAAGTCTCATCTGTCGAGCTGTCATTATCTGTTTCGCAGACTCCTCCGCTACCGGATGCCATGTCCGGAAGTATATCAGATGTCGACGAGTCCGACCTGCTTCCGCCTCCGCTAGGTCTAACAGATTCAGGTCCTCCAAGCCCGGTTTCGGCTGAATGGGAGATGCATTCTGACATTCAAAGTGCCAGTCCGGGTGATGCAGCTGAAGATGGACCGCAAGACGCGCCTGGTACCAAATGGTCGGAGAAATGGCTAGACGACGACTTCGTCCGAAGTCCTGTATCGGGGTCAAATAAACCATGGGAACGAACGAGCTTCAGACTCAGGAAGAGTCCGACCGAGAAAGAGAAAGAGCGTATCATGTCCTATGCCACGACTAAATGGCCTGCTATGACCGGAGAAGCTCCTGATCGGAAGAAATCGCAGCGCAGTAGTGCACGATCGAGTCTGCAGCAAGGGGTTTCCAGCTTGCTAAGGTCAATATCCCGTTCCAAGCGTGAGGTGGACGAGCATGGTACGCAGGAAGTGAAAGTCCCAGGAGAGAAGCACTTGGCGAAACCGGCTACCCCTTACCAGGTGTATGGCGCAGAGATCTGGTCGAAGAAGACCAAAAAGAAGCAGCAGCAACAGCAACTACAAGACATACAGCGCAGCCATAAGCGAGGGATATCTGTCGACCTTGTGCATGCCTACCAGAATGGACAGACTCAATTTGTCGGCGTTATTGAGGGTGCGAAGCGCAAGTTGACGAGGAGAACGTCTCAGAAGCGGCGGAGGAAGTTGAAGCAGAGTATTGTGTTTGTCGGTCCAACACAGACGACTAGCACGATGCATTCCATGGATCGGTTTACAGGAGATGATGAAGCCTCGTGGATCTGATAGGAATTTGATTGAGGCACCCCAATACTTGAGGAACTAAACTCTAGGCATGAAGGGGCATAGATCTCAGTCCGATGGCTCGCAATATAGATTTGAATACATAAGGTAATTTAGAGAACGAATAAGATGGTGAAGCAAGCTCACGCCTGTAGAACTCCCGCCTGTGGTCACCTGTGGGTTGACCCGCCACGATGCCTACCAGTGACCACCCACATACGCGTACTTTAACCGGGTCTTACTGCTAATCTCGTCATTATGCATGGTTGGAGAAGCGACAGCAGGAACAGGTCGTGCAGGTACAACGCTGACCCCGCACCAGGACATCGATGAAACCACAACATCTGCTGACCGTCCTGTCCTACTATACTGTGTACACCTCAAGCTGGCTTCATAGTGGTAATTGACTTGATAGCTTGCTTCATGCTCAATACACTGGGCTAAACTTACCCTCCTGCCCATTGCCATCCGCAGTTGTCTTTCAGTGCATGAGCCTCCATTCCTTTGAGCGACCACCCCACGAAACAAGCAATCATGGGCGGTGAGACGTCTACCTCTTCTCGTTCGACATCCGCCTATCCCCAGCGGGCGACACTTCCTGTGGGCAAGAAAATAGAAGGCATATACACAGACCGCCTAAAACAGTTCACATCAGGCGGTCAGTACCAGAAGGAGAGCCTTCTTGAGTAGGTCATTGAGTCCAATGGGCGTCTACAACTAGCAGCTAATTGATCGCAGCAAGCTATACCACAACATCTGCGACGACGACGACCATGTGAAGCTTTCAGTCTACTCCCCACCGAATCTTGCGAGGCCGACCTTCAAGGAGGCAACGTCTCACACCTTCAAACCTACGCATCGTGGAGAATCCTTCGGCCCATCGTGGTCAACCCATTGGTTCAAAGTCCAACTTACGGTTCCGGAACATATGTGTGATGGAGAGCATTTGGAATTCCACTGGGATGCAAATAACGAGGGACTTGTCTGGACGCACGACGGCAATCCGCTGCAAGGCTTGACGGGTGGTGGAGACCGCACAGAATGGATACTTCCAGACAGCTGGCGAGATGGAAAGGAACACACCTTTTACATCGAGATGGCCTGCAATGGCATGTTCGGCAATGCCCCCGGTGGCGACAGCATCCAGCCCCCAGATCCGAACAAATACTATACATTATGGAAGGCGCAGATTGTGGACGTCAATCTTGCGGCACGCCAGCTGTATGTAGACTTTTGGATTATTGGAGATGCGGCAAGGGAATTCCCAGGTGACGGTTGGGAGAAGCACGAAGCACTCGTGGTATGCAATCAGATCATGGACACCTTTATTGCTGGTAACGGCTCTGCCGAGTCAATCGAGGAAGGTCGCAAGATTGCGCAGAAGTACATTGGCAAAAATGTCGATTCTTCCAAGGTCTATGACTCGGACGCAAAGAGCATCGTCTATGCCATCGGACACTGCCACATTGATACCTGTTGGTTGTGGCCATGGGCTGAGACCAAGCGCAAAGTCGCCAGGAGCTGGTCCAACCAGTGTGATCTTATGGATCGCTACCCGGAACACAGGTTTGCGTGCAGTCAGGCCCAGCAATACAAGTGGCTGAAGCAGTACTATCCGTACGTCTTTGACAGGGTAAAGTCAAAGGTGAAGGAGGGTAAGTTCCAGCCAATTGGTGGGAGCTGGGTTGAGCATGACACCAATATGCCGAGTGGCGAGTCTCTGGTCAGACAATTTCTCTATGGTCAACGATTCTTCGAGAGCAACTTTGGTGAAAGGTGCCAGACGTTCTGGCTTCCAGACACTTTCGGATACTCAAGCCAGCTGCCTCAGATATGTCGGCTGGCTGGCATGTCTCGGTTCTTTACTCAGAAATTGAGTTGGAACAATATCAACAACTTTCCACACACCACGTTCAATTGGGTGAGCTTGGACGGAAGCCAGGTCATTTGTCACATGGCGCCGAGCGAGACATACACAGCGGACGCCCATTTCGGAGACGTCAAGCGCAGCGTTACCCAGCACAAGAGTTTGAACGAAGACAACACTTCGTTGCTTGTTTTTGGAAAAGGGGACGGTGGCGGAGGCCCCACCAGGGAGATGCTCGAAAAGCTGAGAAGATGTCGCGGTCTCAGCGACACCACCGGATTGCTGCCACGCGTGCAGATGGGCAAATCGGTTAACGACTTCTTCGAAAACTTGGAGAAGAAGGCCGCCGATGGCACCAAGTTCGTTACATGGTACGGCGAGTTATACTTCGAGCTACACCGAGGCACCTATACCACTCAAGCCAACAACAAACTGAACAACCGGAAGCAAGAAGTCATGTTGCATGATATCGAATATCTGGCAACCCTAGCAAGCTTGAAGAGCAAGAGTTACAAATATCCCAAGAAAGAAATTGACGAAATATGGGAAAATGTGCTTCTTTGTCAATTCCATGACTGCCTCCCTGGTAGCTCAATCGAGATGTGCTACGATGACTCTGATGCACTCTATGCCCACAATGCGAAACTGGGAGAGAAGGTCAAGGAAGAAGCGCTCACAGTGCTTGGGCTGTCTAAACATATCAAGGCAAATACTCAACTAGCGGCCGTCAACACTGCTCCCTGGAAGCGATCTGAATTGGTACCCATTCCCCAGGTTCAGGCCGGATCACAGGAACAGAAGTATACATTTGTCTCTGGCGGTCCAGGTGTTTCCAAAACTCATGCAGCATCGGCAATTCAATCCACGGCATCCGTTGAGGAGGTCAAGAAGGGCGTGTTCATGTTGAAGAACAGCAAATTCCAGATCGAAGTCGAGGCAGGGGTTATCACTTCCTTGATTGATCTGAAAGCAGATCGAGAAGTGATTGCCAAAGGTGGCAAGGCAAATCAACTGGTCATATTCGACGACAAGCCATTGTACTGGCAAGCTTGGGATGTTGAGGTCTTTCACCTAGACTCCCGCAAAGAGCTCAAGTCAGAAGCTTCCGAAATTGTTGAGAAGGGCCCGTACCGAGTCAGTGTGGCGACCAAGACACAAGTCAGCAAAGAGAGCTGGGTGAAAACAACAATCAGCCTTGACGCCTGCGATAGCGATAGCGATGTCGGGTTCGTGTCGGTCGATGCTGAAGTTGAATGGCGTGAGAACATGAAGTTCTTGAAGGTGGAATTCCCCGTCGACGTGGTCAATACCGAAGCAAGCTATGAGACCCAGTATGGCATCATCCGCCGGCCGACTCATTACAATACCAGGTAAGTCTCGTCCTAGCGTGACCGTGAGACTAAGTACTGATGTGTGTAGCTGGGATATGGCCAAGTTTGAAGTATGCTGTCACAAGTTTGCCGACTTATCCGAGGCCGATTATGGTGTTTCCATCCTGAACGACTCCAAGTATGGGTTTGCGACATGCGGCAACCTCATGCGGCTGTCGCTCATCCGTGCACCCAAGGCTCCTGATGCGCATGCTGATATGGGACGACACCATATCAAATGGGCTATCATGCCACATCAGGGGGCACTCAGCGCCAACACCGTTCGGGCTGCGTACAATTTCAACCATCCGATGAAGTTGGTTTCTTTAGTCGATGACAGACCTAAGGAACTCTTCAATGCAATCCACCTTAACGGTGCCAAATCGTTGGTGCTCGATTGTATCAAGCGAGGAGAGGACGATGAGGACGTGTCCCGAGGAGAGCTGTCACAAAGATCTGGACAGAGTGTGATCCTGAGAGTCTACGAAAGTATGGGTGGCAAGAGCAGGGGAACCATTGAGACGACACTACCGGTCAAGAAGGTCTTCAAGACCAACGTTCTGGAGGATGATTTAGAGAGCTTGAAGATGACAGGGAAGAACAAGATCAGCATTGACATTGAGTTGCGGCCGTTTGAAGTTGCTACTTTCAGACTGCAATTGTAGGAAGAAAGGGACATCACCGGGTGGGTTTGTGTCAAGGCTCTGCTTTTTCGTCCCAAAAGCCCATGCGCGGTCAATCCAGTAACTTGGATATAATCTGGAGTTTCTGTAGGCACTCAGCTTGTACGAAGGGTCTTTCAAAAGGACATTCATCATTCATGGCTCTGGGACCAATTTGCTGATAAGGCTGAGGCGACGTTAGCAGCATTTGCGTGGCGCGTGCAATCTCGTGGAGGTCGAAGCAAGCCCATCATAGCGATACCATGGCAGTGGTACAGCGTGTCCTCGCCTGGGATTATCATGGCGAGCATGGGTGAGAGACGCCATATGTTTAGGGTCGTTTCTGCTAAGCGAATCAAACAATTTCGTCGCCATGAGGCTGCCCAAAAAGTCATGCAGGGTCTGGGACATCAAGCTTGGAGGGCTTGGAGGGTATTACGGAGTCCCTCATAAGGGATCCACGATTACTGTAGTCACTGTGGTCAACGTGAGCGAACCATCGGGACGTTACCCAGGACTTATGTCCCATCTCTGATGCACTTCTTTGTTTACCCGCATCTATCCGTGCAACCAGCAACCATCGCATTGCTTCAGACTCGATAAACATCCTTACTCCTCCTCATACGACTACGACCGCATCCTCACACAATTAACAGTCGGCCCGCCGCCTGCGCACTCCTGATCGCAACCTTTGCACATCCCGCCTCGTCAATGCGAGACGATCTGCGGCCCATGACTACCACGGATCACGACGTCTCCTATTAAACGATCTCCATTCGCCCAACGAAAAATCCACTCACCGACTAGTCACTCCAAAAGATTGGAATAACGATTTCTATACTGCATTGAAGAGGAGGTACAAATTCACACAACCATGGCTAACGTCAGCGTGGGCGACACGGTCATGGTCCCCGGCGACATGCACGGGGTCGTCAAGTTCATTGGCCCCGTCTCCGGCAAGAAGGGCATTTTCGCAGGTGTCCAGCTCTCGAACGAATACGCACCCAGGGGCAAGAACTCGGGCGAAGTCGATGGGAAATATTACTTCAAAACCACAATACCTGGCTCGGGGATTTTCCTGCCGCTGGAAAAAGCCGTCAAGAAGACCGGCGTCGGTCTGGGTGTCCGCGCGAGTCCAGGGCCGGGGACGCCGACACCCACGAGGCTGAGCAGTTTCAACCAGGGTGGCCGGACACACGGGACGGGCATCGCGAAGCCGAATTTCAGTCAGTCAGTCGGGCCCGGGCTCAGGGCCGGCGCAGCGAGTCCCGCGCTCAAACCGCCCTTGAGACGAGAGAGCTTGCCGCGTCCGGCGAGTCCACTGCGCAAGACGGCCACGCCGACCGCGGGGAAGGCGTTGACGACGCCCAAGACGAGACCCAGTGGGATCGGCATGGCCAAGAGCACGAATGGGCAATACAGGCCGGGTCAGCGGCCCACAACGAGTTTCGGTCAGAGCTTAAGACAAAGTACGGCAACCCCAAGTGCAGGAAGTGGTGCGAGTCCGTCGCTAGGGCCCGAGACGAGTTTCGATGAAACTGCAGAGGACGCGGAGAGTACGCCGACGCCGACGCCGCATGTCAGTAGAAGTGCGAATGTTGAGCAGTATGAGACCAAGATCAGGGACTTGAGTGACGAGTTGAACGACGCGAGACGGCAACTACGTGATCAGGGCGCAAACTTTGCCGAGGTGGAAAGGAATTTCAGCGAGCTGCAGAAGATACTACCAAGCCTGGAGGCGGGAAGTAAGCGCTCCGGCGACGATGAGGACGATGATTTACCGCGCGATGTCGTGGCGCTCAGGGAGATCGTCAGGGAGAAGAATGAGAAAATCAAGCTGCTTACGGCCGAGTTCGATGCCAATCGAGCGGATTTCAGGTCGACCATTGATACGTTGGAAATGGCGAGTACGGAGACGGAAAGGGTGTACGAGAAGCGGGTTGATGAACTGCTTGAGGAAGTGAGAAACTTGCAGGATCGGAGTGAGGATGTCGAGTCCGTGGCCCAGCAGCTTAAGCAGCTTGAGGAACTTGTGCAGGAGCTCGAGGAGGGTCTCGAGGATGCAAGACGAGGCGAGGCCGAGGCTCGTGGGGAAGTCGAGTTCCTCCGTGGCGAGGTCGAGAGGTCGAGAAGCGAGCTGCGCAGAGAGAGGGAGCGGTTAAAAACCGAGGACCAGCTGAATGGATATTCGGCTGGGGATGTGGACGAGTTGAAAACCCAACTGGGCGCGAAGGATGATGAGATTAGAGGGCTGAAGGCGATCATTCAGACTTTGAATGAAAGCCAGCAGTCGCCGAAGTTGAATGGAAATGTCTCGAAGCCGAACGGACTTGCGAGGAAATTGAAGGAGGACCTTGAGCATGGCGACGAAGAGAATCGATTGAGTCTACGACAGCAGATCCACGATCTTGAGGCCCTGTTGCAGCAGAAAAGTGCGCATGAGGAGGAACTCGCCAACGAAGTGATGCATTTGCGGAACAGCGTTGCGCTCTCCAAGTTCCCAATGCCAGGCGCCGCGTTTGGTCTGCACACGGCGATCAGGTCTCCTGGCGGTCATTCTCGGGGCAATAGTGAGGAGCTGGATCGGAAGCACCTCAGTACTGGAACCACGGGCAGTCAGCGGACTGTTGTGCTTGGACGTGGCTCGGGTCCAGAGGGCAATGCACGTGAATGGCAGGACCCTAACCGTCGAAGCGCATCTCCCACAAAGCATCATGAGCACATGGACGATGGCGTGACTGATGTTTCGAGCACAGGTGCGCCATTGTGGTGCGAAATCTGTGAGGAGAGCGGCCATGATATCCTGACATGCTCGAATATGTTCGGCCCAGGGAAGAGCAATGATCAGGGCAGTCTGGGCAAGAGAAGCGGCAAAGACGTCGTTCGCGAAGGACTCCGGCGTAGCGGAGATCAGAGCCAAATATTGTCAGGTGCCGACTCGGACAGACCTGCACCTTTGGTCAGTCGGAAAGGTAACAACACAGTACCGGGTACGAATGCGCCAACACTGCCGTCAGCCCCAGTCGAAGAGGAGGATAGACCGCCTACGCCGCCTGCCAAGGATAATCCCACACCCACCTCAACACCGTCAAAGGTGCCAGCAATGGTTGAAGGGACAGGCATCCAGGCGGGTATGCTCGCTGGCCGGACTAGCGGTGTGATCGACCCGGAGAAATGGTGCGCATTGTGCGAAAGGGATGGACATGATTCGGTTGATTGTCCACTCGAAGATGCTTTCTAGTGGGGAGCATGGTAGGATTGTCGATGTCGGTCTTTCTGAACCAAGGGAAAAAGCAAGCATGGCGTTCTGCTTTTGTTTCTTGCTTCTTTCAGCTGTGGTTGTGATGGTCATTTGTTGCTGGATATGTTTTCATATTGAGCGTTCAGGATGCGTCGATACAGTCAAGGCAGATGATTGTCCATTGATGACGGCTAGCTCTGTGGATACGGTCTTTGTGGATACAATATTTCTCTTCTGCTAATGTATAATCTTTGAACTGGGTTGTGGTTTCAGATGCGCAGTGATGGAATCTGGCCGATATACGCTTTCCGACTGGGATTCACAAACTCGATATGCAACTCAGATTTGCGAGTGGTCAGCGACAGTCCATGGCTTCCCCTGGATCCTGTGCCATCTTTTCTTCAAGCAACACTGGGAGAAAGCCAAGCGTGTACGTAAGTGCTCGATTGCTGCTGTTTGTGCGTTGTTTGATTGTACGTACCTTCCTCTTACTTGGACACCAAGCAGGATGCTCCCTTTCGAAAAGCCCAAGGCAGGAGCATTTGGCCTAGGTGTTTGCCTTGAAGAAGCCCCTACCACACTCCCAAGTTTGTTGCCTATCTGTTTGATATTGCTTTTATCCTGTTTGCCATTTGTTCCCAGCATTTTTTACAATCAGCATTTTTTAATGAGACAGTATTTGAGTGCATACTCTTTAGGCGGTCTCTCTATCTGAATGAATTCCGGCCTTCTTTCCTGCGTTGTACCGGCTCACAGGACATCTAACACCGCCCTGGCGTCTTGACTACAGACCTTCACTTTAGTGGACCCTCTCCAAGAAGCACAAGACACTGAAGTCAGGCACAAACAGGAAACCCTTCTTTTCCCTTCATTGGCATACTATTTCTCCGTGGGTTGAACTGGTGCCGGCGAGCTAAAACCGCGCATAATGTCCTTGGAAGTCCAGAGTGGAAGGCTCGTGCTGTCATATCCATCCGACGAGGTGGGAATCTGGAAAGTCCTCCGGCTCTTGTGGTTCGATGGGGATCTTCGCACAAAGCAAACCTGGAACGTTCTCGCAGAACAGGTGCGGCAGTTGGAAGGTGGCCGATCAAGGCAGGAGCTAGAACAATGGATCAAAGAGGCTCGAGCACTAAGGGCGATTGATCCAGAAGATGAACGTCAACAAAAGGACCGACTGAACCGGAGACTTGAGGCACTGCGTTCGATTTTGTCTTCCGCACCTCCAAGCCGAATGTCTCATGATCAAAATCCACTCTTCGACTCATCGAAGACCACCAACCGCTCGAAAGCCAATGCGGAAGCTCAAGCAGGAGTCTCAGGCCAAACTGCAGCACGCATCGACTCTGCTATCAGATTGCTCAAAAGACCCATCTCTAGTGTGCCAAATTTACTGAATGGGAAAGCTCGATATAACCCACGTTACCCTACACGTCATAAGGGAATACGTGCTCCTAGACCGGATGCTTATGCCCGCCATCAAGCGGCGGCGCAAGCACTCGCGGCGAGGGCCTCCACGAGCTCCAAGACTTCAAATGCACCCAGCCAGCAACATACATCTGATCCCTCTCAAGGCGACGAAGCGCAGACGCTGTTCATTCCAGAGGCTCCCCCATCCTCAATCTGGGCCACCATCCGATCCAATGGTGGCCTGAACGGAAGAAGCCAGGAGGCATCAGTACGCTTTGCACACCCAACAGCCACAAGAGTGACCTCTGGAAGGCATGCTCCTGATTCAAATCAGAGCCCAGGAAGGCGTCACCTAGAGAGATCTCCCCGGTCACCGCCCCAAGAAGATGCTACTGAGGCCAAAAAGAAGCAACGTCGGAAAACCCGCTTTGATATCTTACCCGAAGATCTAGACTCACTTACGGAACGTGACCATACACATAACACCGGTTATGGAGAGGTCCGCTCTCAGCGGTCAAGCAGCGGCTCACACTTGCTTCGGAGAGAATGAGAGCAGCGCCGACCCGAGATCTTGAGATGTCATTGGGATACACTGAATGGGTGTCCGGGCGATCGCCCAGGGTCGAAGGAGATTCAAGCTCTGCTGTTGTCACTATTGCGGCTGTAAGGGAGAAGGGAGAGTGGGAAGCATCTTAGGTCCTTCAGACCTTCTGCGGGGAGGCATGCACAGCAAGAACCCCCTTCTGATTACCTAGGTAAGGTATTTCCTCGTTCGGTAATTCCACCTCCTTTTACAGTAAATTCTCACAGATTTGATGGCTCACCGAACTTTGTCTCAGGACAGATTTACTTGGCACTAACTTGGCATTGAGGGCATATTACGGATCGGGGGCGACAAGTACACAGGTCCGCGAGGCTGTCATAGTATATACTATGGCGAGATAGTAATGCATATTTAGGTATTTAAGGTAATGACAGCCTCGTTAATCGTGTGTACCAAGGTATGGTAGTACTTTGCTACTCAAGGTATTCTAAGACAGTCCTGCCCAACAACTAATACCTAGGTAGTATTAAGCTGGCGGGCTGAGCTTGGCCTGTTTACCGTACGTACCACCTGGTGCCTGGCTTCCTTGCTTCTGCTCACAGGTTGTAGTCCTCTTAGTGAATCCTGGTGAAGGTGAAGGCCAATAGCTGTTTCACTGGAAACGGCGTACGGCTTTTCACCAGGAATACACCTCTACACAGTATCTCCAGCTCGGACACAGTGTACGACGTGGCCTTCACCAAGAATACGCCTCAACCTCCAGCTCGAACACGGTTTTTGGATTTTGCTTCGCGGCCGCTACAACCGCTGCACGGACATGGTCACACAGTGAACCGGGACCCGAGACGACCACGCCGACACTCTGCCAGCCTGTCTCGACCTCGGCAGCGAGCAGGCGGGCAATATCGAGTCTCTTACCGATACGGACTTCCTTGTCGGCGTCGGCGAGCGCGCCGAGAACACTGTTTACTGTGCTTACGCCGAGTAGTTCATCGACCAGGCACTTTGCCGACTCCTTGAGGCTCCAGGCCAATTTCACGTTTCGATGATGGGCGACAAAGGGGACAATGGCGGTGATGCCGATGCCGCCGGCGATGAGTAACAGGCGGTCACAGCGTAGGACTTGGGTCGTGCCACGATTGTTGTTGGGGTACGGGCCCTCAATGAAGGTGAGCAGGCTCTGGTCTGCGTGTAACAGTCTCGTCATCCCCTTGGCGCCCTTGCCCTTCCTGATGAAAAGCGTCAGACCGGCGGTGGGGGCGGTCGGATGAGGACGAGGGCCGTCTCGTACCACGTTCGTCAATCGGGTGTGCGTTCGTGCGGTGACGGTGAGGGCGCCGTGCTTGTTTTTCTCGGGGTCGGCATGCGCATCCGCATCCGCTCCGTGGTGTATTTGTACCTGTTGGATCTGCTTCTGGTCCGTCGAATTATGATCGTCTTCTGTGCTGCGCCTGTCTGCCGTTTTGCCAAGATAATGCGACTGACCGAGCAGCGCCGTGGGTAGCAACGAGAACGGATGGTTCTCCCATGGCCGCAGGGGGTGGAGTGTTGGAAAGTAGAAGTACGCGTGGTTCCCCGGTTCGAGGCCCCAACGCACGCCGGGGATATCGAATCGTACGTAGGCGGCCTCGCCATTAATATTGCCGCCGAGTTCCGTCACCACCGCGCGACGGGGACCCGTATGGAGAACACGCACGATCCGTGCGACCCGGTCGAACGCCCATACTGCGCTCACCGCGTACAGCCAGTAGCAGTAACCGCCGAGATAAGCGTACAAGTCGTAGGCGTGGTACCAGCAGGCGACGACGACGATGACTGAAAGGACGATGTGCACCAGCAGCCAGGCTTCGTAGAACAATGCCCGGATGTAGAGGCCGCTGAAGAAGCAGAGGACTACGGTACATACGGTTGCGACGATGCCCCAGCTCCAGTATGGCTTGGTGTGTTCCATGTCGTACATGCCTTCTTCACAGTATAGGACCAGCGCCAGGACGGAGTGGAGGAGGGCTTGGAATGTGAAGATGCGTGCGATCCAGCGGTGGAGCAGAATGTATGTTGAGTGGGACCAGTTCGTGAGATACTTGCAGAGCAGAATGTTGTTACGTCCGGCGAAGAGGAAGACGAGCGGGGCCATGATGTACGCGAAGTTGCCCGTCCGATACAGCACGAAGGCGACGATTTCGCGCCACCGGGTCGCGTACCATGCGTTGGGCTGGCGGGACTCGTAGTTGACCGATGTTAGGATGATGTTCAGGATGATGAACAGCGCAATGTACAGGGATTGGCCGACCGTGGGGGCATTGCCTAGAAGGTACGGCAGCGGACGGACGTGGTAAGTGCCGATTGTGCTTGGCCACACGAGGTGCGGCTTCAGGTTGTGGATGAGCGTTGAGATGACGGGGACGTAGCCGAGCCAAGTGAGTAGGACGGGTGTACCGAAGCCCGTCACGAGGATTGCGATACTTTTTGGGGGGTGCTTGTCAGTCCATGCTAAGTTAGAGCTCTGTTGTGGGGGGGGGTCGACGTACCCGTATCCGTTCTCGACGGTTCCTTCGCGCTGGACTCCGTATAGTACGTTGTACTGCATCTCGTAAGTGCTAGGCGCGACGAGAGATGTCGTGTTGAGGACGGTATCTGTTGCACTGAGTTGCAGGGTTGGAGCCTCGGTGACATGGGCGAGGGTGTCGCCGTAAGTCCATTTCGCAGGCACGGCCTCGACCCCAGCGGCTTTCTGGCCTGTGACCTGCATGTCCCACCAGTATTCCAGAAGCGAGGCCGACGGATGGTGGGTGGCACACTTGGTATGGACGCACCATGCAACGCTCGTCAGGAAAGGCGTGTTCTGGGCGTAGCATTCCGTCGACGTTTGAAAGGTCACCATGCCGACGGTGACGCCTTCGCTGGAGCAATCCAGCGTCATACCGTTGAGTGATCGCAAGCATGCTGTAGCACAGTATGGGTCATAGATGTTGGCGTGGAAGCCTGTTAGACCTGTTTCGCCGGCAAACGAGACCGTGGCCAGAAGGCCTAGGAGCCAGATGTGTGCAGAATGTTTCATAGCTGCCTGGGAGCTGTTGTGCTAGAGTGTTAGGACGGAGCACTGAGGGGTAATAATGAAGAGCTGTCTGCCGCCGCAGGAACACCTCTGGTCGTTGAGGGCGGATCGAATATATCTTTAGCATTTGGTATAAAACGATCTCGCAAAGGGTCGCTCTTTGGAACGGACTCTGCAAGGAGCCAACAGGATGCCTTTCGAACGCGAGATGTATGTCGGCTGCGTAGTCGTCGAATCCAATCCCATTGAGCTGATAGTATCTCGAGGTTGTTAACTTTGCTCAATGGGCACCGTCTTGGCTGGTGAGCAAGTTTAATGGTACCTTATTGGGGATGGTGTATGCTAGTTTGTCAACGTGGTGCAGGGTATGCTGGAAACCAGCACTTCGTCGCCTACCACATGGCTTCAAGCCTACAACCCAACTCACTGCTCGTGGACACACCAACCGGGCCGGAGAGACGGATGCAACACCACCGTGGGAGGCACATTCTCGCCTGGGCCGATCCAACAGACGGGACTGGGAGACACGGTTGATATCGAAGTGAGCGCAAGTGGAATTCCAGAGGTCGCAAAATCCATCTGTGCAAACTGGACCGGCCATATCTCAATCCGCGGTTACAGGGGAAAGGGTTCACATTGTTCAGTCACCCTGAATCAGCTGTCCTCTTGCGTGGCCTTTCGAAGTTGAAGATAGCGAGAAAAAAGAAGTAGAAACACCCGCCCGCCGCCCCGTCAATCGGGCCACGCGGTCTGTGGTGTTGTCCAATCCAGATTGGTCCAGCGTCAGACTCCGTGCCGAGCTCCTTGGCCAAAGGTATCCTACACAAAGGAGGCCAAAAAAAAGCAATTCGAGACCGTTGTAGAATACTTATTTTCTACTCTTATGCTTCCACACGGATTTGAACCGTGGACCTCGGCATTACTAGTGCCGCGCTCTACCAACTGAGCCATAGAAGCTATACTGTAACAGACCAGGACCATGTGTGTGCGCGGAAAGTGCTGCTTTTCGGGCAAAGTTTTACGAACTTTAACTTATCTAGCTTGGAAAAAGTTAGGCGTCTTGTCGCCTGCGCAGACGGTGCCACGACTATATGGTCCAGGAGATCCTGAAACAGTCTGACAGCTCGATGACAGGCACTAAGTCCCACCAATTGGGAAGTGTGGGAATGGTCACGGCGAGAGGTATCTTTGTCGACAGACACTGTCTGGGCTACCTCTGCCAAACGTCTACCAGGTAGTTCAAGCAGGTCGTAGATGTATCCCAGCAGCTCTTCTATCAGGCATGTTAGCGGGCTCTCTCCGCCATCATGTCCATGGTACCATATCCACACATCCTACCCCCGACGGACAGCTGATGTGCGCTCGCTTGCGGATTATGCGTAGACTTTTCGACTGCGGTGCAGACCTCGAGAATGTACTTGCCGACCGGAAGGCGAATCTGGCGGCCCGTCGTACCCTTCTTCATCAGCCAAGTCGTATGAGTAGCTGTTGTGCCAAGTGCTGCCAGGCTGATGGCTTGGATAGAGTCTAGCATGTAGTCCGCTTCATTGAAAGCCATAGCAAGCATGTCGATGACAATGAGGAGTAGGTTCGGCAACACAACTTAGGTCAACAGTCATCCTTGTCGTTAACACCCCCAGCGTCCGATGATCTGCCCTCAACGGCTCCATGACTTCCTTGCTAAATTCGTACATTGATTGATAGTGGATAGGCCTTAGTGTCAGCACGAGGTGTCTATCTCTCTACAGTCCATGGCGCAAGGACTTCAGATGAGATAGTTGTCCAAATTTGCCAGGGCTGTATCATCTTTTGCAGGTCAAGTAGTGCGTTGCATCGCCTTACCGATTCGATGGACGTGCTTCTAATGCAAGGATTGTTGGGCGATCTCAGACGTAGCCTCCGTGCTTCGCAAAATGCAGGCCGGCCGCGAAGTAAAACAACTTGCCCGCCACCATGTACTTGTCCTGAGCGCTCCAACTCAGCAGTCGATCATATAGCTCAGTTAACGGTACCATGACTCTTTCAATCAGCTCTCCCTCGTCGAGTTTCTGATCTGGCATTATGTCCTCCTTCTCGCTGAGCTTCACCTCCATCATCACGAGCTGTAGCGTCGCATTGGTCAGGCCAGGATCACTGGCCAACACTGGTCCAGTGTGAAGTATTTTACCCTCGTATCCTGTCTCTTCCTTCATTTCTCTGACTGCAGCCTCCTCGGGTGTCTCGTGTTCGTCGACCAACCCAGCAGGCCATTCAATGGTATACTTCCCAATCGGAGGACGATATTGAATAACGAGCATGGTGCTCGGCGGTTTGGAGGGGTGGACGAAGATGTTTCCCATAGCCACGGCATCGACACCGGACTTGGAGGTTGTCTTGCGAACAGCAATTTCCCAGGAGCGAGAGGTGCCTGTCTGGTCCATGAAGTCGACCTTCTTTAAAGCAACCCATTTGGCTTCGGCAGAGCTAAGGTCCGTGACCGAGACAATTTGCGGCTCTTGAGTCTTTGGCGACATGGTCAATGCAGTGAACGATAGCTTAAGTTTGCCAGCCAATGTCGGGTATCGTATGAGTGCAGTGCAATGTCGTGAGAGAAGCATTGAACGCAGTTGGGCTGGTACTAGTAGAGACGGACACTGACGGCACCATGGAGCTACTCGAGGAATATGACGCACCAAAGCTTTACCGCCAAGCGATCTGACCTCGTCCATCTCAGGTACTACAACCACTTGTTTAGTCCTCAAGCGACTCACCTACTGTGATACTCGTACCTGTGTCCAATATGAGGTTCATTCTTGGTAGGTTCCCAGCCCCAACTCCTGATAATTATACCTAGGTATCTGTGTTCCGAATTTTCAAAAGGCCCAACAGGGACGTTCTGCCGTAATGTCTCGTGAGTCCAGGGAATTGGCTGCTTTGCTCGGTATGGAGAAAGACCTCGCTACTCACTGATGCATCCACACATAGGCACACAGGCTTCCCCGCACTATTCACCCACTACCTAGGTTGGTATTAGAACTTGACCACACCACCACAGCCATGTTCTGCGTCTTCGCACACAATGTTGCCTGCCACAGCTCCAAAGGCTTTTCCGAGCCGATGAGAAATGTATCATAGTTTCAAAGTCAACTCAGCCGCCTTCAACAATGCTGCCGACCAAGAAGCAGCGAAACGAAGGACCTCAAACTTCAGAGCTTGCGAACCATGTCGCAGACGCAAGATCAGATGCGATGGCTCAAAACCGTGTGACAATTGCCAAAGGTATCGAGCAGAACCATCTTGCCATTATGTGGAAGCTACGAGAAGGCTGTCGCATGCCAAAAGGTCAGCCGAGAGATTTAGCCAGGATCTGGAAGACTACCGCGAGGTCTTCCAGCAATTATTTCCCGGCTCTGATCCAAGCAAACTCAAAGGGCTGTCCAGAGAGAGGATGGTTGAGTTGTTGATGACAAATACGGCCCCTCAGGAGATTTCACCCTCTACATTGACAGCGGACGAGTCAAGTCCGTTAAGCGAAGAAGCCGAAGTTTTGGAACGATTCCAACCTATGCCGGAAGCTGAACATCCCGCCTTAGATGATGAACTACGAGACATAGCTGACGATGTGAACGCTCTTTCCTTATCCGTCAACGAAGCGCCGTCTTATGTGGGGATATCCTCAGTCGGCGCTGCTCTGCGAGTGATTGAGTGGCTGCGTCCTGGATGTCTACCAAGGAAGCCACCAAGTCCCCGATGCGATCCTCCTTTAACGAAGCATGAACACCACCAAAGACATTTCGCCGACGCCAGCGAGCTCTCTGATCCCTCTTCGTCCGCTGCTTGGGAGGAGATCCCTCTCATCAACGCTTTCTTCGAATTTGTCCATCCATCGGTACCTCTTCTTGATGAAACCTCTTTTCGGCACACCTATCTTGCCGGCCACCGAAGGGACTCACGATGGTATCTCTTGCTGAATACTGTTCTGGCTATGGGCACCGTCGTTGCTGGCCCCACTGCCGAATCGTCAAACCACTGGACTTACTTTGCTCGAGCCAGCGAATACTTGACGGTTGATACTCTCAATAATGCCCACTTTGAAGTCATCCAGGCTCTAGCAATACTCTCTGGTCTCTATCTTCATGTTTTGCAGAGGCCTACACAAGCGAACGTGCTTATGGGTGCCACCTTAAGACTTGCAATCATATTAGGTTTACACAAGGACTTCACTGAAGCAATTGCATCAAACACGACTCAAGTATCCGCAGTATCGACGACCGCAGAAATGCGGCGAAGAATCTGGTGGTCGCTGTTCATGCTCGATTCATGGGCAGCCAACGGACTCGGACGCCCGACGATGGGTCGACTCAGTTCAGGCGTAACAGTCAAGCTGCCACAAGAACCAATTGTAGACCTCACTTCTAATGAGAGTGTTCGATTTTGCTGACCATTCTCCATGCAGGGCCGATCACCGGTTCTACTCAAACTTGTCCAAGAGAATATCCGCCTCAGCATCCTTAGCACAAAGATGGAAGATGCACTTGCTACGTCACCAATTCTTAACGAGGACGAAAGGCAAGCATTGGATGCATCATATATTGCTTGGTTTGAATCATCCTCCACCAAGGACAAAAGTCCAATCCCGCGAGAGCCCCTGGGCGTGGATGTCCTGTCCAATCTCATGAGATGGCGATACGTCTGGCATAGAAGCATCATCCACAGACCGTATCTTCTGTGGTACTTGACTCGCAAAGAACCGCTCGAGAAGTTATCCCGTGAGAAGAAGCATGCAGTGGATCTATGCTACAAACTCTGCGGAGAACTCATCGAAGACATTGCAACAACATGGCAAGGACGAAAAGCTTGCCAATTTGCAGGCTGGAATGCGACGTGGCTAATCTATCAGGCATCGATGACTCCTCTGCTGTGCCTATTTTGCCAGTTTTCAGACCCTGCGACGATTGGGAATAGTCATCACCAAATAAAACTGGTTCTGAAGACGTTGGGAGCTCTTCAGCCATGGTTCCCCACAGCACAAAGATCTGCTGAAGTGGTTCGATGGCTGTATGGAGCAAGTATCGCTCAGCCCGACACAGTTGGCAATTCAGTACCGAAAGGTCCGAACGCCCCTGTGGGAGCCGACATACCAGATGATCTGGGACACAAACAGTCGAATGACTATGGATTTCCCGGTGATAACACATTCGTCGACACCGCTGTCCCTTCTCCGCCGTTTTCGAATGATTTCTTCGGCTCCTTGGGTTGGAGCACCGACTGGGACACGGCAATGGTCGATTTTGACATTCCGGCATTTGGCATCGAGGCCGAAACGGACCTTACTGACGAGTACAGATGAGACCCGTTGTAGTCGAAAGGTTGGCTTGAATGTTGTACGTGCACGCAGCGGGCTATGGTATGGATTAAGAAATATGAGCGCTAGCCCATCCAAACCTTTGCAGCCTCAATATTGGCTTGGTGCGTAGTCCTCGCCACAACCTTGCTAGGGTGTTTTGAGCGAGTGTTCGGGCGTCGCAAGTGTTCCAGAGTCGCCGCGAGGCTGTCTTGGAGCAGACGGGAACCCAGACGGCTAGATGATATCGGATTACCTAAGCAGAGTCGCGTCTTGACGCGTCTGTCACGCGCCAGTCACGCGCCATACTCAAGACTTCGTCTTCAATCTAGAATAGTAAACGTTGACTCTGCAACCCAACACTGACGGCACAACACACGATGCAGTGCCCCGAGCATGGGCGCTTCTGTCGGCATATTCGGGACGAACTTAAAGCCATGCTTTGCCGAAATCCTTCGTACCTGCGTGAAACCACCAACCCTCGTTGTCCGGGTTGAACATGTTTTCGGGAAAGCCCGCCCCCATAGCCGCAGAAACACAGCAGACGATCGACTTCTTAAAAATGACCTGAAAGAGCAAGATGCACATACCTCTCACATCTCCGAGAAACCCGCTCACAGTGACACTGTGCGCGACTGCCTACGTCTAGCAGTATCAGACGGCCAGCTGCAAATTCAAGCAGTATTGGCAAGGCATCTACACAAGAAAGAGCTGTTGGAACTACAAAAAGGTGATCTTGTCGAGGTCAGCAGTTTCCAGATCAGGAGCGCCCCCAGATTGCACGGTGAAGGGAGGGTAGTATTCCTCGGGGTCGACGCTTGCGAATGGGCTGGAAGAGACCAGGTCGATGAGCCAGAGCCCGAACTCGAAGGAGGCTTTATCCGTGAAGAGACAGAGGAGGACACTGTTGAGATGGACCCAACGACCCGAAAGCCCTTCACAAGAGGCGGATTGGCGCCGCCCAGCTTCACCAAAACCTCACGAGACATGCACGGCGCTCACAAGAGACACTGCGATTCCTCTTGTCAAGAGGACAGTCCTCCAAAGAAGAGGCAGATGCAGCAGCCTGCCATGGCCATGCGCAAATCTACACGGGATGGGCGCAGGTCTCAGATCTACGAGGATGACCCCGACGCCACAGATGAAGACTCCTTCGAAACAATTTCCGTATCGCAATCACAAGTTGAAAAGCGGAGAGAAGCACTCAAGCACATCAACCGGAATATACGACCACCACGTATGCCAGCATTATCCAAGCCCGACTGCTACAGTGAGGTGAAAAGCGATGTCGGAGCAGCTCCAGGTCAACCACCGCCGTTATTGTCGGCAGCAAACGAATCCAACCTCAGCCGTAATCATACCAAGGTCGACGAGCTTGATATTCCGAGCTCCTTTCGTCCCAGTCCTAATGTCGACGGCAAACCTCCAACCGGGACGACATCACAACCCTCTTCAGTTCGTGCACCAGTGCATACTCTCTTTTCCTTACTGGATACCGGTTCAAGCCTCCCGCGACGCAGCTATACATGCACGATCCTAGCCGTCGTAAGCTGGGTCTCACCTTCTGTCATCCACAAACCAAACACTCCGTTTCCACCGAAGCGACACATCAAGATCCATGATCAGACCATCTCGCACCGCCAGTCCGGCGTCACGGTAGCCGTGTTTGTGGACGCGAAAGAGTTCATGCCCAAGGTTGGCACTGTCGCCTTACTCAGGGGCGTCGTCATGCAGAGATTCGGCGATGAGGTGATACTGAACAGATATGGTACGCCTGCGCATCTCAATGAGAGCGACTTGGGCGAACGCTCGTCGGAACAAGACTGGTTCGTCACCGACTCAAAGAGGTTGATGGAGATGGGCTTCGATGTGTCTTCAGTCAGGACATGGTGGGAAGAACGCAAACGTTCCAGGAGGAAGGAGCTCTGACGGACAACTCTAGCAAAACCATGACGGAAGAGAACTCGTACGCGCGTCCACTTCAAACGGGATATAGAATTGGGTCAAAAGACGAGATGGCATTGGTGCGATGTGGCTTCTGCCCTACACTCTGAATGCCTGTTGGGTTATTTCGAGCAGGGCACTTCGAAAAATACTTCACGCCTGCTCCAAACCACCAAGCTCCCCATCCCCCCTTTGGCTCTCGAGTCTCGCACTGATACGTGATGCAGAGGACCTATTGTCGCAGAGTCGCTGCTCAATAACTGGGTTTCGCTACCACTAAGCCGGCCTTCTTCAGTCACTGGAGTCGTGCTTGTTGCACGCAGAAGTTCATGATGATATCCACTTCTTCTGTTGCCGTTCCCCATACAAGCACGCCGTGCCATGTCGCCTCGTGCTTTCACACGGCTTCGGCTATCTTCGCGCTAACTCTGCGGCGAACTCATCCACAGCCTCTAATTTCTCCTCCTCGGTCGCCCCTTCCTTGCACATCGCATAGTACTGCGGCCAACCCAACCTCCATAGACCGAGTTTTCTGTCAACAATTTCTGCCTTCTCATGTGGAACACCAAGTGCAGCCATGAGCGACAATACGTCGACCTCAAAGTATCGCAAGTCAGTGTATCCAGAGCGGGACAATTTCATTCGAGTGTTCTCGAACCTCCCATTCACTAGATCATCTCTGCCAGGCAAGATCGAGGTCCGCAGAAGATCAAGTACGGCACCCAGAGCATGCGTGCAGTTACTGTTCAGCAGCTTTTCGTATTCTACCTCTCCAGGGCTGGGCTCTCGGTCTCCGGCTGACTTATCGTTGCCGGATCCCGTCTTTGGCTGTACGATCCTGTAAGGCTCTTCGTCCACTTCCACCGCCTTCTGCTTTCTCGCCCGTGGCTTCCGCGGTCTTTTCGGCGCAGGCTTTACAGCTGCAGTGTCTCCAGCATCAGCATTTGATGGCGCTCGTTTGGCAGTTCGAGTAGAAGCTGCCCGAGGTTTGCGTGACACTTTCTCCGGCTCTGCTCCCTGGTCACACTGCAGTGTATGGGTACTTGCCGCTTGGGGAGCTTGACCGCTGACTTCGGTCGTTTCAGGTTCGCAAACGGGAGGTGAATGAGGCGTATCTTCGTAGACTCGTCGTTGGTCACCCTGCTGCGGCGCGACCACGTTGATTTTGGGATCTGATGGCTGTGTAGCTTCACCTTCTTGCCCCTGTATGCACGGCTGGGCTGTGAGGATGGTGTCCTGAGGGCGGCTTTCGACATTCTCACACGCGCTGATACCAGGGTCGCTCTTGGGCACAGGTTGACTTTCGCCGACCTCGTCGTCCAAAGTCAGGTCGATGGGTTCAAATTTGGACCCCATAGCTGGAACGGCTGATTGAGATTCGACCACTGATTCCTCTTGTTTGATGCTAGGTACGGGCGCGGTGGTGACTTCGTCATGAGATTGGCTGCATTGAGTGCGGAGCCTTGCCTTTTGGGTCTCTAGGTCTGCCAGTCTCTCTCGGATGTCCAATTCTTGTAGCTCCATGACCTTTTTCTCCTGTTCTTTGGTGTTTTTTTCGAGCTGTATGCGGAGCCTGGCCTCTTGAGCTTCGACGGAAGCTAGATCATCCATGCTGGCGACTGCTCTAGATGGTAATTCGCCCATAGACATCCGAGCCCTCCAGATAAGAAAAGGCGGTAAGCTGCTTCAGAGGGTCGCCTGAAGGGACGCTTTGCTTGAAATGTGGACCGGGAAAGAGGAGTCCCTTGCCCAGCGCTGACCGAGGCCTTGTAGCTATACTCACGGCCTGGCACTACAATGATCGGCGAGGCGCAGTATGTGGATCAATGAGAGACCAGGATTGCTATGCTTTTACATGAAGTGGGGTGCATGTCTTTGCAGAAGGTGTTGGCCGGATCGACGAAGTGAAACGAGTCGAGCCAAGAGTAACATGAAGCACACCCAGGTATGCTGCAAATAACGGACTCACGGATACGATGAAAGGAACAGCAAGCTCAGTTAACGGTCACTCCGAGACCCTGGTAGTCAATGGGGAGAGATATATGGAACGTGAAGATAAGCGAAAGCACGATAGGAGGTGAGAGGTCGAGTGAAGTGAACCCTAGATTGAAATAGCACTAAATGCACATGGAGCAGTGGACCGAAAGTACGTTGAAGCTCAAGTCGAGCGAGGAGTCGAGGAGTCGAGGAGTCAATGGAGGGTAAGGCAAGACTGGGTTAAGGATGTGCACGGTATGATGCAATGAATATAAGGTGATTGAGAGGAAATAAGACTACGCATGGTATACGACATGTCGAGGAAGGTAGTACATGGTAGTTGATATGACTTTCCGGGAATTCATATCACTTGATTCCTGTAGGAACTCGGTGCACATTACGGAAATCTCGACCAAGTTATAATGCCTCGCCCCTGGAATCTCAGCCTTGGCCAGGATCATCTGGTGGCAGACCACGGAGAGGCACTGCACTACCCTGCGCATGCGTGATCATGGCTTCCAGAGCCTTACTATATTAGTCTCATCCTTCCCGTTGTCATCACGGCCTAAGCTCATTCTCATCTCTATGTACGGTAATCACGCTCACTCACGACCATCAGGCCTCTGATCTTCCTGCTTCCTACTTACTCAATGTCCATCACTGACCAAACCTCTCTCCTGGCTTCAACCTCATCCAAGGACAAGCCTGCCAGTCACAGCCCTGCTTATATATCTCCGTGCCCCACCACTTGAAATTGTCCATCAAGCCCGGGTACACAAATCCAAAGAAGATGACGACCAGCGAGAATGCCAGCCCAGAATCCAGCGCAGCCGACATAGTCATGGTATACTTTCCCCACCACGCCGATGCCCTACGCTTCATGACATGATTGAAGGCAAAACACACAACTCCCCAGATCGAGAAATTCAGACCCGTAGCCGGCGGGATCCAGCTTAAACTGCCAAACAAGACCGGGAAATTGACCTTGCGCCAGATCGTCTTCTTTTTACCCCGGCCCATAAGCCACACCAGTATCGGGGCAACGAATCCCATTAAGAAGGCCCAGACCAGAGGCCGATACAGAGCTCCCGGACCAAAGAATCTTTGCGGTCCAACAACACCCCAGAGGATACTGCCGTTGAAATGAACCCGGGCAATGGGACAATTGAACCCATTGATCGCCTGAGGTGTGCAAATCCCCGGGATATTAGTAAACATCCAGTTGAGGACGCCAATCTGGACGAGACTTGACACCAGCGTGGCGACCATCTGGACTTTGAAGAGTAGTTTCGGTGGGATCTTCATGTAATGCCCCAATTTCATGTCCGAGGAGAACTTGATACCTTGAGCTGAGCTGATGTAACAATAGGTCACAAAGACCATGTTTGCGACCGGTCGGCCGGGAAAGACCATGCCGCATATGAGCTGGCAGATCAAGTACAGACTGCTGTGCTGATTGGTTATGGCCATGACAATGCCAACTGGGATGAATAAAACCGTAGTAATGCCCAAGGCCATCAATAGTCCGTACCAAGGTAGGTGGACTGGGTAGTATTCGACAACAAACATTCCCACGGCTAGCATGACCACGAATGTGAGAGCATACCACACCATGGGGACATCCTCGTAACGTTTCATCAAGCGGTTGTGCACGTCCTCGCCACCTGCTTGGATGGTTTGACTGTCAACCCGGCGTATAATATAGTCATCGTCGCGGTGCGGCACGGCTTGATATGCGACACCGGGCTTTTCTTGCTTTTCATTGAAAGCTTGCTTGGACTGGCGCCAGATATCACGTCCGTGCCAGCATGTGGTGTGAGTGAGTAGTGCCGAAAGTGATGCAAATTGTACGCCATATGAGAGGACGTATGTGATTGGAAGGTAGACTTTGGAGTAATTGTCGTAGGCGACCTTGTCGAACAAGAAGTCGGCCGTAAGAATTTTGCTGACATCGTAAGGTTTGCCTTGGTTATCAAAGACGGCTGATGAAAGGATAGGTAGGTATCCTGAGAAGAGGACGTTTTTATAGTCTGAAAGGATCAGTAAGTCAATCTTCTGAGGCCAGATGTAACGTACATAAGATTGGCGCGACTATCCACATCACCAGAACCAATCCTCCAACGACATTGGCAGCTGCCCACCACGGCGTCAGTAATGGTGAACCAATATAGGCAATCTGAGCCCAGTCAAAGGTCATTGGGAAGAGACCTAATCCCGAAGCGACGCCAAACTATGATGGTCAGCCGTTGCGCAGTCACCTCTCTCGAAGACCTTACCAGATTGGACACCACCACATTCTGTGGAGCGAACCATGTGATGACATTGAAATAACTCAACGCTGGAAACAAAAGTCCAGGTAGGAAGTACCATGCAAATGCTGCAGCCCAGACATAAATGAAGAATCTATACCGTGAAATCATCCATCCATTGGCCGGCTTATTCTCATCCTTGTGCATTGTCGTAAACATTGCAGTCGACATCAGGGTGCCCGGCCATATCATTGCGGCTGGTCGCACCAGAAATCTTCTCGTGAGCCCAGCGAATGCGTAACCTAGAATTTGAGTCGAAATAGTGAGCAGAAGTTGGTAGAGTATGGGCACATCCTGCTTGTAAAATTTGTGCTGCTCAACAATGACATCAGTAGCGAACGCAAACCCAAAGGACACGTTGCTGCTTATGTATACACAGGCATGCTCTTTTTCGTTCCATCGACCCTGGGCTAGCCAAAGTCGCACGTTTTGCATTCGGGTCCGTGGGAATACAGAGTCCGTCGTCTGAAGAGTGCCGTTGATGAAGAGCTCGTCAGGATCGGAGCTTCGCTTCAACATTAGATCCCACAATTTGCCCATAGGATGGACCAGCACCAGTGCTATGACTGGCGTTATGGCGACGCTAGGATATCGCAACGAGAAGAACAGGTTGGTGGCCGAGCCTGCTATTGCAAAGAACAAGGACAAAATCCACATGCGAGGGGTATTTATTGACAAAGCAGCATTGTCAGTCGCAGGGACAGAAGCTCGAACTTCGGGGTAGGGAGAGTTGTCGGGCGGATCGTCTTCAGCAGCAACGTAGTCTTCATCAGCGTCTGAGCCTGCATCTTCTGGAGTATTTGGGTTCGACGACTCTCCTTTGTCTTCATCAAAGGCGCCGTTCACTGCAAAAGAGGTTTTCGCATCGAGACCCATGCCAACATCACAGGTCGAAGATGACTGCCGCCTCCGCGGCCATTCTGTGCTGCGATACCGTCTTCGGGCGTCTACAAAGCGCCCATGATTATCCTGCACATCGTGTTCAGATTGTACCCTTTTGCCACGGCTCTTGCTACTTCTTCGGTGGATGTGTCCATTCTCTTCATCCTCCGAGGGCGAACTGGACCTCGACCGGCCTTCTATGAGGGGCACTGCACCGTAGGAACCAGTGCCCAAAGCCGGGGAAGACCGAATGAGTAGGAGCGGATTTCGAGACATTATGGCGTGCCAGACGCGGGAGCCTGGTCCACGAAGCTCCTCGCCTTGCACCGTAGTGGTCACCGCAATCGAAGGAAAGGGTTCGTGAGAGTCGCAACTCTGCAGGGGGCCAGCCGTGATGCTTGTAGGCTCCAAGTCCGGTGATGCAGCAGCATTTTGCTGTGCAACTCGGCGAGGTGAGGAGGATTGAAGGTGGGAGAGCTCAAGGCCTGGATCGGAATAAGTGGTGTGGGCGGTATGTTGAGCCAACCTTGGTGGCATAGCATGGCTTGGACATATTATGGAGTTGGGCAAGGCACAAAGGGTTAGGGATGCGTCACAAACATGAGCTCTGTGGAACGACGAGGATGAAGGCGCAGGCCCGCGGGATGTCGTTGGCGGCGGGCGGGCCAAACATGCCTGAAGATGCCCAGTAGGTGCCCACTCTTTTTCGCTCATGACCGCAATAGATTGATAAGATTATCACCCACCATCAACCTCCATCACCTATCACATCTCGCCACACTGCCACGGTGGGCACCGCTGAGCGCAATCAAAAACACTAGGCACCTGACCATGGAATGAGAGTCACATACAGTGCAAGCTGTCAGGCATCTGGCCCTGCTCTGGAGCAGGCCGCGCCGTTATCGGCACCCCCAATGGTTTCTACTACTGTCACAGCACTCGTGGTTCGCGAGCCCATTGGTCGTGTCCTGGGTACGATTGTGCCCTCAAAACGCACCAACATCGCCTCCCACCCGGGTCAACATATCATAGACACGACCAGGCAGCTTGTACTTCACCAGTCCGGCAAACACCATCAAATCCTTGGCCATATCACTCAATTGATCCTTCATTCCATCAGCATCTCCTCCATATCCGGCTTCCCATCGTCCATCCCGCATGATATTGTCCCGCTCGCCACCTATTGCCCGCACAGCCCATACCACACTGACTCCAGCGCACCGAGCAAGAACCTGCGGAAGGACAGCGAAAGCATCGGCAGCGGCCCGGATGGCGGGGATATGACCGTTAGCCCGCAGTGGCAGGATGTTGAGGTCGTTCATTTCTTCCAATGCGGTCATAAATCGAGGTGGTTGTGCCTCGAGATGTGCTCTGACTGACAGCAGTCGAAGGAGAACCCCACATACCTCTCGGTTAGTTGCCGAGATCTTGTTGTAGTAAAGCGCATTGTCGTTGTATAGAGAGATCATATTTCTTGCCAGTTCGATGGGTGACGAGGTGGATTGTGTGAGTGACAGAGACGATTGCGGCCCATTGCCTTGAGTGCTAGCCGACGATTCAGTCTGTCCATCTGGTCGTCGGGGCTTCAGTGGCTGGAGCTGCATGGGCGACTCGCCGAGATCCAGGGAGACAGCATCCGCAAGAGCTCGGTTCAGCACGCTGACAACATTGTCATAGTCTTCACACAAGTGATACAGCAACACCGCATCCGAGATCTGTCCGCGTTGATCTGCAATGGCCGCCGATTGGCTTGTAATTGATCTCAAGAATTCGTCTCGTGTGTCGAGATGTATGAGCTTGGCTCGAACTTCAATGGCACCGGGGATCCGAGTTCCATCACTACGGATGTCGCCGAGCAGTTTTGCAAACTCTCGGGTTTCGAGGCATAGTTCTCGTAGACACTCGTGGCAGGCGTTCGTGTGGACCAGTCCGAGACTTGTCGGTTGCAGATCAGAGTTCAAGCAGATCATCGAGAGATAGTCCACTGCCGCAACCGGTAAGGCGGTACGGAAGGTAGCAGTATAATAAGCTATGAGAGGAACAAAGTTGAGCTGGGGCAATTGAGTGGTCGAGTAGGTCACTAAAAGACTTGTTAGCGCACGTTTCAACGGAGAAGAGAGGAGGGTCTACTCACAGAGCTCGTTGCCCGCGACCGAGAAGTCCGAAACCCTCAACAGTCCATAATATGTGAGAGCAATAGCAAGATGGACCGCACTGGTAGGGTTGAAATTGTGCAGATAATCCACCGCTTGTTCAAACATGCCAGCAAGCACCTGCATCAGCAAGAAAGTTCCATATGCACTGGAGCCCTCCACCTGCGTCTTCTGGAAATGTTTTTGACCAATCTCTGTCACAGTCTCTCGGATCTGGTCCAAGCCAAAGATCTCGCCAGCCAATTCTTCTGACCTGCCAGTCTCTCTGGCAAGCGTGAACTGCAGCCAGAGCCAGTCTTCAACACCTTGACCGACTGCATCTAGGTTTCTCGCCGTCAGATCGCATCGCCCAATGACCTTGTAGCAAGCAATCTTGTAGGGGTCAACAGTGTTCTTCGGTGCTAGCTTGGTAAGTTTCTGGTATTCGTTGTCGATCATGTTCTGCACTCCCTTTGGCAAGCGTCGATCAGGACTGTCTGCATAGGCTGTCACATAAGAAATGACACGTCGATCCATCGATTGGAAGGCAGGATCATTCTTGACATATTCTGCCGCCTCTCTCACAAAGCCGCATCTCAACAGATAGAAGATGAGGACCCAGCAATAGTCGCCATTCTCACCGCCAACCTGTTGCAGCTCTGCGCCATCCGGCACCAGATCCCTACGAGCAGCCCGTATCCGGATGTAAGCGCGCACGATATTAAGCACGGATGGCTGCCCTCCCAATGCACCTTCTCGTGGATTTTTCTCGACCAAAGATCTCGACTCGCGCCAGAACGCGTCTTCTAGGTAGCTTCGAGAGCCTTCCAATATCTGCTTTTTCAATTTGAGATACTTGGCATCATCATTCTCATCGAGATATGCCTCCGCATATTGTCGCTCTCTGATGGAAGATTTGCCTTCTCTCGTGATCTTATGCAGCGCATGATAAGCATCGACCAGCTGTCGAGGGCCGTCTCTGCCATGCTCGCTTTCTGCATCCGCAAAGTTTTGCAGCAGGGGATAACTCTCGTCTTGAAGTCTCGCGCTATTGAGCTGCTGGACCTTTTCAATGAACGCTCTCTCCTTCTCTCGAAGATCTCGCAGACTCTGTCCTCTTGATAGGCCAGGAGTGGCAGGAGCAGGTCCTTCGCTCTTAAAGAAGGATGTCGTGCCGGCACCTGAGCCCGGTGTGCCAATGATGGACTTGTCAATTGCTGAGCGTCCAAATATGCTTCTTGTAGCTCGGGAGGTTTCTGATGGCCTTCCTTTGTCCCGTTGCGTTGATCTGCCAAAGCCGCCTGCTTTCGGTCCCGAAGCATCGCCATTGTCTTCTGGAGGCGCAAGACCAAAATGTTCCATGATTCTCATCTTCTGCTCTTCAAAGTCGACCCCCAAGCTCTCTTCAATGAACTTGTCCACCTCACGATAGACACGATCCATGCTTTCCCTGAGCATCGCATCACGACCTTTGACTCGGAGATCTCGCAGGTACGCACTCGATTCATCAGCAAAACTCTGCGCAATGTTTCGCGATATTGGGGGCGCCTCATCAGGTCCGAGCGCTTGAAAGTCTTTGTATGCTTGACCAGGAGACACCCCCGAGCCCGCAAGCAAGTAATGTGCCCGGCTGTCAGTGAATGGCTCTGCCTGCTTTGGACCACGCTGCCTAATCTCTTGAGCACGTCTGGCAAGATCTCCCAAGTCCATACTGAGCCCAGACAATTGAGCCACTCTTCCCTTGTCCTCAGTCTTCAATTTGGGCTTCTTCTTTTGCCTCTCCAGTAAACTGCTGAAGTAGGCGGCATCTCGAACTTGGGAAGGTGGTGCATCTGCCTGCTGTTGGCCAGAAGGCGCCGCTGTGTTCGCAGAGAAGGCATTGCCGAAGGTAGAGGTGTTCGCGGGTTGCTGTGTGGTTGCTGAGGCGCCAAACAAGGACGTAGTAGCGGCTGGCTGTTGTGCTGCCGAGTTCGCCGCCCCAAACAAGCCAGTTGAAGGAGTGGAGGTTGCGGTTGTAGATCCAAAGAGGCCTGTCGAAGGTGCGGAGGTAGTGGTGGCTGTTCCGAACGAAAAGGTGGGAGCTGAGGTTTTAGCTGCGCCGCCACCAAGACTGAATAGTCCCCCAGTCGAGGCGCTTGAAGTCGTTGTGGGATTCGTATTAAGACTAGGGAAGGTGAATGGTTGCGATGTTTGTTGGGAGGTGGAAGCATCGAAGATGGACTTTCGTTTACCCTGTGCATCCGTGGTGCCGGTGTTCAGATTCAGACCGGAGAAAGGACTGTTGGAGCCGGAGCCTCCTTGCCCAGCTGGCTGTTGACCGAAAAGCGACATGATGTCTGGTCTATGATGGTTGTTGGCCAGCACACCTGGCTCTCAGTCTAGTAAAGAAGCGCAATTGAGATGGTTCGCAGCGCGTCCCCAATAATTTTGGGGCGCGTGTTTTGCCTTGGCACTCAAGTGGCTGCTTTACGCAAGAGCTCCGGCCTTGCTCAGCCTCGTGCTCCCACAAGGGTCTTTTTGACATATTGCAGGTAGTTTCGCACCGATCGAAGTATCTACATTTGCTCGATCAGGAATGAGGAGCACACGAAAGCAGACAGGGCTCTGTAAACCGTTTCTTTCTTTTGAGCTACGCAAGGCTGACCATCAGCCTTGCTGTTTTATCAAGATCACGTGTCTGTCATGTCATCCAGAAGTTCGTCATTCGAAAGACTTTCGGTCTTAGCGGCGAGCGCCGGCTTCCTGATACCTATCACCCAAGCCTCATAGCAGCGCGTAGAGCTTCGGGAATCAGTTTGACCTTCGGTGCTCAACAAGCGCGCGAAGAACGTCAAGGATGCCCGTGTTCCAGTCAAAGCCTTTCCGCTCCAGCAAGGCTCAAGTAGGAGACTTGGGAGAACGGATTGCCGCAGCATATCGAAGCAAGATTGCACACAATCCATTCCTGTTTTTTGGCCTACCATTCATTACGTTGATGGTGTCGGCCTCCTTCCTCCTCACGCCAGCGACAGCCCTTCGATACGAGAAGCACGATCGAAAACACAAGCAAGTGACTGATGCAGAGGCCATGGAATTGGGACTGAAGGGTGGAGCCACAGGCCAAGGAGGTCTCACATACAATCCTCGGCGGAGAAGGGTGCTCAAAGGCGAATTGAATGAACGAGATGAATACTACAAGCTCATGGCCAAAGACTTGGACAACTGGGAACAGAAGCGTGTGGAGCGGTGGAAGGGCGAGCCTGACGGAAGGCTTTGAATGATTCTGGTCCGACATTGATGAAGGACATCCACATACAGCAAGATCTTTCTACGATACCATGCTACAGCCAGCTCCACTTCCAACGAAGAATGTACGGACTGTCGACTGCGATCATCTCGGACAGATCCCCATCAAGATTGTCGAGGACTGCCAGACCCGGGAGGCCAACGAAGAATCAGCATGATGAAAGTCACCGTTCGAGGCAAGTTCCAGTAGTCCTGGGTCTGGACTTGGGATCTTTTATGCCAGATATCCGAGAGGCACAACCACGCTTTCTGATTGCGGGTTGGATGTTCTGATGGAGCATGAGCTTCTGAGATGCCTAATCTTAGAAGTTGGTTGACCGAAACTGCCTGGACCTGTGCATGACAAAGGGATATTTGACAGCTACTTTGCGGTACTGCAGGTATCACCAGAACTGCCAAAAGACGTCATACTGGTTCGAAGCAGCATTTATCAGGCTGACACTCTGCATTTTCGCCATGAAACGGGTCCTCGGACCAAAGGTCTTTGCGGGTGGTAGCCTGGTAGGTGGGTGGGAAGTTGGACGGAAGGGCTATAATTGTTCCGAACGAGGCAACCAGAATTGCGGCGCGGAAGGGCACACGCTGTATGACGAGACGCTAAGCCTCAGCTGCATGACCATAGTAGGGGCCAGATTGAGTCCAGGCCGTTCTATGCAAGGCCGTGTGCAACCACGAGAGTTGATGACGCCGTTGATTGATTGGAATGCATGCAGCTGGATAACAATGGCTGCAGTAGCAGGCTCCTCTCGAGGCTGGCACAGCGACTGCTACGAGTAGATTGAACATCTTAGGTCGATGAAATAATGCATGTTGGGAGTACCTCATACTGGATACGGCTACTTCTATTCACAAGTGGTCAGGCTGAGTGGATTGTTTTAACGGCAAACCCCGGTGCCAGAATTGCCAGAAAACCCAGAGTAGATCTGGTCTTTGCGTGCCATTTCCACGTGAAGCTGTGCGAGAGAATTGGTTCCCAAAGTCGTCAGTCTCTTCGTCTGAAAATAGAATAGCATCATAATCAGGGTGGTGAATCGTGGGATAATGTATCCGTAACCATACTATGGTATTACTATGGTGTTCCGAAGTAGTGGTGATGACGCCCACGAGGGTGGTCATGAGGGTCCATGGGTGCCAGAGTTCGGCACGAGCTTCTTGGTTGTGTGGGCTGCAGTCAGTGCGCACTGCTTGTCTGAGGAGGGATAACCCACTCTTTGGATCATTCGCTTGTTTGAGTGGCTTTGGATTTCAGCCGTAGGAGAAAGTGGCATGATCGGGAGGCAGTTCGTGTCCTCGCTTAGCGTGGGCTACCCAATGCCACGAGGGTGACTTGCAGTAGCAGGGACTACGGCGTCGAAGTAATCAGCAGGATCGCAAAAGAAATTCCACTTCACGTGTTCCAAGGTCGTTTGGCGTTGGATTTCCAATCAGCGACTTGGTTGTTCCTCGGTCGGGTGTCTGTATTCTGGCAGTCAATCATCCAGTAGTGACTTCTTTATAGGTATAATCGCCCACTGTTTCTTTTAGCGAACCCGGAAAGACCCTGTAGACCAGCAGGCAGTGTAGACCCTGGAGACCCGAGGTTCGTAGATCTCACAGTACTCCGTATCGCATCTATGTACAAGTCCGAAGACCCTGGGGTTTCACAAATCATCGATTGGAATTCTGACCAGCTTGTTGTCCACCAGAAGGCCGATTTTAACGAGTCAAATACTACGTAGACGCATTCATAGACCTGACGACGGCATCTTCTCTGGCCACGGAACATGCCTAGATAGGATTCAGATTCCGCCTTGTTCCCGTCGAACCTGAGCCGCCTTTCTAAGGCTGAAAGCCACCCGCAGCCTCCTGGTGAATTAGCTTGATTAGGCGTGACGACGTCATTGTGCGCAGGGGCCGAAGCAGCGTAAGAGGGCGAGAAATTGGCTCAAATCAACGATCTCGGGTGTGCCTCTAATCTGTTTGTGGCGGCACCAAGCAGATCTTTAGTAAACCTCTCCTAACTTAGGAGCCCAGCGAAGCCCAGTCCCGAGTCCCCAGTGATCAAATTCCCTTTATTCCCCTCCAGCTGCGTTCTAGTTTTCTTCAAAGACTGACCACGCGAGCCCATCCCCGGACCCTATACGACCATCGCCTTTACCATTCTTTGTTCCTGCAGACAATGCCCCCATCGGCCGTGTCGTGTGCACAGTCTAGACTCACCATGACGTAGCCTCAGCTGTAGCTTTCTCAGCCTGCGCCTCGCCTAATCGTCTAATCACCCAACAACCACTATCCACCTGCCTCACCACCACTCGCTTTCGCTATCTTGAACCTTCTGTCTACACTCACGACAAACCATCTCATCAGACGCAACGATTTATTAATGACTTGTCATCACGCAGCGGCCTCCTCCCCTCCCTCCATCGGCCCTTCGACCAACATGTCGGCCGTCGCGACCGCTTCGATAAAAACACCTTCACATTCTCATACGCACTCAAAGTCACATTCACATTCACATTCAAATTCACATTCAAATTCACATTCAAATTCACATTCAAATTCACATTCAAATTCACATTCGCACTCTCACTCTCGATCATCTCGTCCTTCGACCACGCCACGAGCACAACCCGCTGTTGCCTCTGTTGGCCAATCTTTACCACCGCTCCTCTCACCCAAGGCTCAACTTGCACCCCACGCAAAAGACCCCAAGAGTCCGAGTCCCAGCTACTTTGGTTTTGTTGTGGGTGGCGATGATTCAATACCACCCGACTCAAATCCTGGCGCTCATGCTCGTCAAAACTGGACATTTGGCAATTCCAGTGTCCAGAGTGGTGTGCCGACCCCTCGTCACCTCCCGGTAGAGGCCAATCCAGATTTCGAGGCTTTTCGCAGGCAATCGGAGCACAATCACCGCTTCTCATTGAATACAGCCTTCAATAGACCTACACAATCGAGAACAACTTCCGCTTCCACTACACGTACTGAAGCAGCGTCTCCATTGACAAAGAAGCCAGATTCAGATCGGCAGCCGAAATCAGAAGAAGGTCCCACCCCACAAGGCACCAAGACTGGCGAGGCTTCATTCTTCGACCTTCCGAGACAACAGTCACCTGTCGCTTTCAACGCATTTCATAGTGTGGCAGACCATCAGCATGCGAGACTTTCACTGCCCAGCAATGGACTTCGAACACCACCGTTCAACACTACCAAGCAGACTTCGCGCTCCGAAACTCTACCCTCGTCTGGGCAAAAAGATACACCGCCTCTAATGTCCCCGGTCCATATTGCAGGAATATTGACCAACGAATCCAATATTGTCCTCGTCCTCGACCTGAGGGTGTATCAGCAATATGCTACGGCAAGAATACAAGGCGCGTTGAATCTATGTATACCGACCACTCTGCTAAAACGACCCGCATACAATGTCCAGAGACTGGCTGAGACATTTGCCTCGGATCGAGATCAAGAGGTCTTCTCAAGATGGCGCGAGTGTACTCACATCGTTGTCTATGACGCGAATTCCAGCCTGCCCAAGGAAGCTGTCACCCCTTTGAACGTGCTGAAGAAATTCACTACCGAGGGTTGGACGGGCACAGGATTGGTTGTTAAGGGCGGCTTTCTTGCCTTCCAGAAACAGGCAGCTGACTTGGTCGACTCTGGACCGGTTCAATCAGGAGCCGGGTCAACTACGCAACCACTATCAATATCCGCCCCGACGAAAGATGCCGTTCCAGTGGCTGGAGGCTGTGCTATGCCAACCACAAAGTCAGCTGCCAATCCCTTCTTCGGCAACATCCGCCAAAATATGGACCTGCTTGATGGTGTTGGACAGATGCCCATCAAAAGGCCCAGCAATATGTCATCCGAGGTCGAGGGCACGCTACCTGCTTGGCTCAAGAGAGCGTCGTCCAAGTCTGACGACGGCAAGTTGGTGTCAGATCAATTCCTGAACATTGAAAAGTCTGAGCAAAAGCGTATGCAGGACGCTCTTAGTGTTCAAGTGTCATATGGAACGCCAAAAGCAGAGATGCCTTCCAAGATAGAAGTTGCAGGGATTGAAAAGGGGTCCAAGAACCGATACAACAATATTTTTCCCTACGACCACACGAGAGTGCGACTGCAAGATGTTCCAAATGGTAGCTGCGACTACATCAATGCCAGCCATGTCAAAGCTGAGTACTCGAATCGACACTACATCGCCACACAAGCTCCTATACCGGCGACGTTCAACGACTTCTGGCGTGTGGTCTGGGAACAAGACGTCCGTGTCATTGTCATGTTGACGGCAGAGGCTGAAGGTGGTCAAGTCAAGAGTCACGTGTATTGGAATGCAGGAGAATATGGCCCGCTCAAGCTTAAGCAGCTCTCCGAACGCCGGGTCAGTCTGGAGTCCAAGACTTCGGCGCCTCGAACGCCTGCGTCAAGCAGACCATCGCTCGGCCCTAGGAGGTCGACGACTGCCAACATTCCCACCCGAGAAGATGTCAAATCTCCTACCACGAGAACACCTAGCGCCGTGGTACGCCACTTTAGCTTGAGTCACGCTGCCCATCCCTTCCAACCCATGCGGGAAGTCACTCAGGTTCAGTACGAGGACTGGCCTGATTTCGGTGCTCCAGCCAGCCCGATGGAATTGCTCGGTTTGGTAGAACAAGTCAACAAGTATGTCCGCGGGTCGTCGAGTCCTTCGTCGGTAGTGGGACCGGATGAAGCAGCCCCAGCAGGCTCACGGCCTATCATAGTTCACTGCAGCGCAGGCTGTGGACGAACCGGAACATTCTGCACTATTGATTCAGTCATTGACATGCTGAAGAAACAAAGAATCTCGCATGAGGGTGGTGATGATAAGATGGACGTTGACGGTGGAGACTGGGTCGATCGAGACGATGTTGACCTTGTGGCCAAGACTGTGGATGACTTCCGACATCAACGATTGAGTATGGTGCAGAATTTACGGCAATTTGTTTTGTGTTATGAGAGCATTTTACAGTGGCTTGTCCAGCAGGAAGGTTCTGAGCGTCAGAAGCGACCGAGCCTTCGCGATCCTAGACGGAGTTATGGTTGATGACACGGATGACAGGGTAGCATAGCATAATGGAAAGGTTGGGTCAACGGTACGGAGCTACTGCATAGCATGACGGACTTGCTGGTGGGTTTTGCATTGATAAGGTATAGGGAATACTTCGTAGTGTCATTGACAATTGACCTCTGCTTCGACTTGGTATTTATTCTAATGTCGATGGCCAGCGAAATGGTTCATGGTGTTGCTGTTGATGAGATTCCATAGAGCTTCACAGGTTGGCGAATTCACCACTTGGCAGCACAGCACAGCACATTGTCTTTTTCAACGTCCTGGTGGGTGGGCGTAGTGGATGCCCAGGACATGGGTTTAGTTGATGAAAAATGTCTTTATTTTTATCGGCCCCAAAGGATCTCGTTCAGTGGCTTTACCCACCTTGCAAGGCTCCCCCCAAATGCGTACGGAGTGTCGCCTGCTCCTCCTGGTCCTCCTCCTCATCCATCGCTTACGAGTACCGACGGGGATCATGTATGTCATCCTTTCCAATTTTACGGAGTCCGATCGCTGTCGCCGGTCAAGGACAGGACGTGCAGGACTCAGCTCCTGCAAAAGAGAACCTAGGTATTTTCCCGATCCGACTCATTGCATTCCAGTTTACGCAGCCTTAAAGTTGCGACGAAGTACCCTCACCGTGCCTGTAATAATGGACATGGGAATTGGGGGCTTCGGCATGAGACATACCAACTACGGTAGATCAGTGAGAGTCATGGTGGTTGGTGGTTAATAGGAGACACACTACGTAGTAGTTCAAATCGCCGAAACACATGCTGATTGATGTGCAAATTACGCATACGGCGCAGGGATAATTGCCAGCAAGGTAGCCAAGCCAATGTAAGACAAAGTATCCGTAAGGTAAGGACCACAATTGTTTTCTCATTGATTGATTGACAATAAAACGCACGATGGCTGTAGTCGGGTATAAGTACAGAGTACCTAGGTATATATGCAAGAAAGATAAAATACACACCGTTCCGGCGTTCAAGGGTCATTAACAAATTAGCAATATCAATATCAATATCAATATCAACACCAAACGCAACACCCATATCAGTACCACTAGGGACTGCTGACACCCAGACTAAAAGGAGATTCGTCAGTTGAACTCGCAGCGGAACGCAATGGTTCGACTGAATATCAATGTCTTGACCGCTTCGTTCCATTCCCCATTCCCATTCCCATTTCTATTTCCATGCCAAGGTTCCAATAACAACGCACGCCATGCTTTGACAAGATTTTTGTAATGCAGTATTGAGGATGAGCTTCCAGGTGGTGAAATTGCATGCAGCAGGCCGTCCTCAACCGCCTCTCCGTGTAGCTCGTCCCGGTCTCGTAACGAATAGCCCGTGGACGGGAGAATTTCGAATCGACGCGGCTCTCGTTCTCGCTCTCGCTCACGCTCTTCCGTACGGCTCCCCACTCTGGCCCGAGTGCCTCAACTTCTCCCTGGACTCGCCGGTCGTCCACCGTCGTGCGCGGATGAGTTCCCACAGAGCGAGCAGGGCGACGGCGGCGCCGATGATGAACAAGGGGATCAGATTCCACCGCCAGCCGCTGATCAGACGGAGATGGTACTTCAGCGTGCCGCGGTCGCTGTCGTGGGCTAGCGGCAGCGCCAGCAGCGCCTTGAACCAATTGTCCGGCGTCCACTTGTCGAGCGGGTACATGTGCGGCTCGGGGTTAGCTTCGGCGACGGACAGATCGATGGACTGGTTGTCGGTCTGGGCGACCACGACGTTGACGTAGATCAGCGCGGACAGGGTGAGCGCCGCGGAGAGCCACGTCATGACGACCCAGAAGATGAAAAGTGCGGAGTGGCCTGTTGCGTTGGTCTGGAGGACAAGGCACGAGAAGAGTTTGTTAGCCGACAACTCTTTTTTTCACATATAATGGCAGTGCTGATAGTACTTTTGGGGGTGACTTACTTTGCGTGCTCGCCGTTTCTCGAGCCAGATGGTCAGGAAGCCCAATAGGCCGACCAAGATGACGGCCGTGCCTGCTGCGCCGTTGCTCGTGTGGCCCTGGTCAACGAGCAGGTTCTTGGGCTTGCCGTGGATGTCGAAGGGTCCGGATGAGGCGTTGACCGTGAAGAAGTCGCCTGCTCGGTCGTGCAGGAAGCCCACTGTCTCTCCGATCATGCCCACTTCAATGAGCCCGTCGACTATGAGGATCGGGAGAGCGATGTAGAAGGGGAAGTAGGGAGACCGAGACATCTTGACTTTGTTTTAAGGCGAAGTCCTTCCTCTACTTCTCCGATGGTGTTTCTGAGGTTGGTCCGTTGACCGGCGCGTTGATGTTTGCCCAGCTCGTGGCTTTCCACACTCAAGGACGTACTGTAGATGCTTTAATGCTGTCGAGGTCGATGGCAATCAGATACCAGACAGGATCAGTGAGCAGAAGTGTATATCAAAAGTGGCAGCGTACGGCCGTTAGTAGTTGATTTGTAGATGGAGTCACACGTGGGTGGGATAGAGAGGCATTGCTTTATACAAGTATTATCAATCATTGCGACTCCAGCTTTAGGCTCCGGTTAGGCTGGATGCCCGTATCAGGGTAGTGTGGCTGCCGTAGGGCCACAAAGAGATTGAAATTTCCAAGTGGCTGGGCTACGCTGATGGTCGCTCGAAGGCGTTCCGATGCCTGAAATGGAATCGTACAGCTGGCGGCGGTGGAGTGTAGCTGGGCTTCACTGGGCATGACCCTACCTGCGCCTGGATCGAGTCATGGCAAGGTATCCAAATTGCACCCCCGGTACTCCTTCCTTTGGCAAAAAAGTTACCAGTCTGGAAGGCGATCATACGTTGACCAGTTCAGCTTTAGCAGCAAGCCGGAACATGACCAGGCAAATCGCGGAATACCAAGACTTCAGGCCAGCCAGACATGACGAAGGAATCATGGTCAGGAACCCCGGCGATCAGATGTCCGACTTGGCCGCCCAAGCAACTCGTATTGGACCTTCGTTCCGTCGCCGCTGTCGCCTCGTGGCTGTCTGAGAGCCAGAGACAAGGCTCATCCTGGACTTTTGCGTACGGCTCCCGAAGTCCGAATGTTTGTTTATTATGAGATTGATGAGAAGAGAAGCAGAAGTCACCTTCGGTGCAGGCTGCGGCCGCACTGAGAAAAGAAATCAAATAATAATGCTGACATGGTGACGGAGTACGGAGTATGATCAAAGGTCAACAATTGGAATCTCGTTGACAAGGGAATTGGCTCACCAAGGGTGTTAGTGCTGACAGATTTTCTGGGCATACTGGGGTTTTGTTGGGCTAAGCCGCTCTAAGCCTAGTGGACGTGGCTCCGCTCGTGGCAACCGGCTTTTCCCATTACTATGTAAAGCACATCAACGAGGCTGTGACAGTTGTGCTCGCCATGTCATCATGAAAGGGGGCCAAGAAAAAGTGAACTGACCACGAGCCCTCCTACGAGTACTTTGGTACAAAGAGTGATGCCACCCTGTGTTCAAGCCCCTGGTCGCACGAGCTTCCTGAGCCTGCACCAACGACTCAGCATCGTGAGGTTTTCGCTCCTTCGGCGCAGACAGCACCAACATCGAGGATCGCCGATTGATGCAAGACTGCTGCTGGCAGCTGTACGAGGTAAATGACCATTACGTCCTCCGTGCGCTCGCCAATACGATCATAGAAAGGGTTCAATTACAGCCTCGATTTTCAGCCTCACACGAGGCCGAAAACCATGAACCTCCGAACTGTCGATTCTGTCCGCTTGGTGACGGATTTTAATCTGCCGAGTAGTGAATCCGTCCCGAGTTGCCACAAGGTTCGGTGAGCCATGAAATTTGTGAGATTCTACCGTAAAAGGAAATGAAATTACCAAGAAAGGGAATACAGTACAAGAGAATCTCTAACCCTAAGCCAAAGTTCGTTGAGCCACCAAATTTTGGGGAATATGCCGTCAAAGGAAAGGAGCTTACTGGAAGTAGAAATATTTCAATGAGAAGCCTACCAGGGTTCTTGCTTTGGTCTTTATCATGGGCTCACGCTCAAATACAAAGTAGGAGGTACTTCTAATCCGCATGATCACCGTTGTCAAAAATAAGTACTGGATGCGAATAGTCTTATCGACAGGCGTTGCTCCAACGGCGACAGTCTTTCCTCTTACCCCGGTGGCTTCGATCATTGACTCTATGACTTTTGGGGATTGATTTGCTTATTGCGGAGTACACATTAATCAAACCCGCCGAAAGCAACGTGGGAACGGGAAATCTGACTGAGCCAACGAGTCTGGCCACTTTCCAGGCCTTTTTACAATGCTTCCGGCGATGTAGGCCATATGAATTAGCTACGCGTACCCTGCTCTCCGTTCCGGTCTCCAGGCTGTAAGCTCCAAGCCTTTTTATCGTAGGAGCTGGGCCAAATACCGTTCTTCCCAGGCGCCAGGATACCTTTGGGATCCAACGCATTCTTGATCGTCTCGTTTAGCTTCATCTGGGCGTTGTCGTTGAAATTGTAAGTCCCGGCAATCTGGTCCATAAGCGCAAGATGAGTTCGGTATTCTCCCCAACCAAGCTTTGCCGCATCATCGATCAGCGTATGGATCAGCTTGTGTGCATTCTCCCGCTGCTGACGGTCCTTGCGGTTGAATACTATGCATACGATATGATGCATCTCGCGCATGCCGACCACGAAGGTGCCAATGAAGTCGAACCCCAGCTCCTCGCTTCTGCGCCGTGTCAACTCATATTGGGCCACGGCATCGTCTCCGCTGACTTTGGCGATAGGGCTGAAGAACAAATGTGCCCCGTTCGGAAGCCAGTCGACCCATGCCAACTCATCTACACTTGGAATACCTTGTAGCGTGCCGTCCCGAATCTGAAGGACCTTATTCTCGGGCATGTCTTCCGGAAAGTAGAACTTAGCCCCCGGAATCTTTGAGAACGATGCCTTGACAACTTGCCACATGGCTTCTCGGATCGGGGCAGGTCCGTAAAGCGCGCCATAAAAGTTCCAGCGGCCAAGATTAAGCTTAGCGGCGATTTCATCGATTTCGGTATCGGTAAGCGGCTTGTCGGAATTCGAGTACTTCTTGCGGTCGCCCTGGTGATCATTTAGCCCATTTCTCAAGTCGTAGTCGTCCTGCTTACCATCACGGCAGCATCCAATAATACGTGACGAATTGAAGGCACGTTCTGCAAGACCATGCCTATCCTCAACGGGCGGATGATCTCAACCGCCTGATGAAGATCTTCATCCCGAGGGAACGTGATCAGGTAAGACTGGTATCCGCCGGGATTGGCCATCAGCCAGATGCCCATCTTGACGACAACACCTGTTCTCCGGTTCAGCGGCCGGCATATGTAGCTCGCTAGCATCACACTCACCGAGAGATGACTGAGTAAAGATGCCGTCATTGTACGGCCCGAATCCGTAGTTGAATAACTGCCACGTCTTGTTTCCCGACTGTTGGTCCGGCGGGACGTTGGGGTCGGCGTCTGGGTCAGGTAGCGCGCCCATTCCCGTTCTCACAAGGGTACCATCGGGGAGAACGACCTCAAGACCACAATGCATCATCCAGTGATCACCATAAGGCTTGATTTCGATCGTTAGCAATTCCCGATTTGTTCGATCTGATACATATACGAACAGTATAGCCGACCCCCCTTTCGATGGTGTTCCCGAGGACCGACCCGCCTCCAAGATCCGGGACATCGATCCACAACTTGTCACGAAGGTTGTTCTTGACCAGATAGTCGTGGAGGCCTTGGAAGGTGACGCCCGGCTCGACCAGTGCGTACGCACCATCCACATTGACCTCGAGAATTTTGTCCATGTTCCTTCCCATGTCCAGTCCAATGCTTCCTGGTACCCTGGGTGCAGCTCCGCCATAGCCAACATTTCTGCCAATGGAAAACGGCCATACCGGGATTTCGAATTCGTTGCAAAGTCTCATTATGGCTTGGACATCTTGCACATTTCTCGGGGCCACGACGGCAGAACTGACAAAGTAATCCTCGGCAAGGACATGGAACATATCGTGGACCTTACTGGGGTCCAGGTAGCTTTCCTTGTCCAAGTTTTCAGTCCCAGTGATGACTGTGACGTTTGTCTGGCCGACAATGTCAAGGACACGGTCAATGAACTCTTTGAACTTCTCCGAGTCAATCCCAGGTGGTAGGCATAAAGGATCGCCGGCCTTTCTGGGCCCTGCTTCGTTGGCTTTCCGGGCGTCCTTTGGTGAAGAGTCGCCATTGGCGGCCGCGGAACTGGAATCCTTTGTGAGATTCTTCAAAGCTTCAAGCATGTTGCCTGAGATCAAGGGGCCCAGCAAGTGGAAAGAAGGAAAGTGTATGATCGGTACTCGTAGGGTGTCCCCGTACTTATGTACGTCTACCTGCCCATGGATGGAGACTGGAGCAATTGCCGGGGTCGACATCCTTCAGGCGGAGTTCCTTGTGGGGGAGGAGATTCCCCACAGACGGCGGCCAACGATCTGTATGCCTAGCAACAGTGACAGCCACGGCCAAGACAGCCATAGCCAGCTCACTGCTGTCGATTGAGCGTAAAGTCACTCATATTAGCTCCAGATTCCTCGGCACATTCTGTGGGAGTATCTGGACTTTTCATGAACTTAAACCCTTGCTTGATTCGGACTCAATCTTGATGGTCTGAATGGGGTCATGTGCTGCCAATTGCGCAGAATGGATTCGTGAGCGGAGACCACTCCGCAGGAACCGGATTCATCGTCACCGCCTCGTCTGCTAACGCAGGATCGAGGTTTGGCGTAAGAACTAAGATCATCGTTGAGAGGGGCCCAAGGCTGGCGGTGAAGTGGGAGTGAAGTGAGGTTGCGAGGTTGATCCGTAGTTTAAAGCGGCGCTGGTCGGATGAGTACTGATGGCGCCCACGTGAGGTCGCCGCAGCTGCCGCCCTAAGAAGGTGACAACCAGGACGAGCAGCCGATGGTAGTGGCTGTACTCCACGGGCTCTGCAACTTCTCAGCCGAGTTCGCAGGCACTTGTGCGCCAGACCGCAGCCTCGCGCTGCAGCTTATCTGCATGTTATGAAGAATGATGGCATTGAAAATGTCACATCATCGCTGTCGAACGCCAGTCACTATATATGGCGCTGGTAAGGTAGGCTAACATCACATAACGGCATGCTGGCATAAAAACCGGGTGAGAATGTTACCGTTGCTCAATGTACTCCGTACCGGAAGGTTGACGGCTCTAGTGCCGATGACATGGCCCAAAAAGCCTACGGAGACGCTGTGAGAAACTTCGAGCAAGAGCTTACTCAACTCGAGGGGAAGCGTGACTGGATTCGTGCTCAGACAAGCCTTCAAGACGTTCTTTGATACCAGGTACTCTTCAAAGGGCCCGTACGGTGTACACGACGAATCGCGCCACGAAAGTTCCCAAAACATCAGCAACGCAACTCTCGTTGAAGTCAACGACCATGGAATGCGTCTTCGAGATATGTAGTTCTCGACCATCTTACAGACACTCAAACCAAACCGGAGTCAGGTAGACGTCCTTTACGCTTGCACGTCCTTTGCTCAAAGGAGTCAGCTTTGGAAGCCGCCCACGTCCGACTCAACTTGGGCAACTGAATTGAGGCTCTTCTCATGTATGTAATATCATTCCCCTCTCTCCTTCAACTCGCTACTGCCTCTTCGTAGTATGTCTTCGAGTACATTTTGGAAGCTGTGGCAGCCGGATATTGTTCCTACTGAATCCCGGGATGCACTGGCCCTTCAAAGCATTAGACGTCATCCTTTGTCGAACTTACCTATTATCTATCTAGGTAGTGTTGATGGCTCTTGCCAACCGTCGAGGCGGCTGCTCCGCTTCAACCAGAAGTTCTGCCCTTTTTATTCCGTATGACTTCTCCTCTTCAACTCATTCATCTCCTTCAACTCTCTTCTATTCTCTCCAGCACTTCTCTCCTTCATGCACTGAAGAACGCTTCGCCAATCCAACACGCAACTCTAACTTGTATCGTACATGTACGACTTCTCGCAGCCAAAGTCTGCTCTCACCTGTTCCCCGGTGCCCGTTATCGGCACCCGGTGCATGACTTCGAGTATCAGCTGCTTCCGCTGTCGACGGTAAGCACAGCCTCCCTGCTATGATTTTCAGCAGATTGTAGTCTTCATCCAAGATTGACTATAAATAGGCCCACTGCTTTCCATGTCTGGTCCTTCATGTCTCTCCGGCCATCGACCATACTACAGCTATAGTGCTGTTATCCTCCAAGGCCCCATCTCGAAAGCCTCTACTATCCACATTCCAATGAACCACCTCCAGTCCAAACACCTCTCGTTCCAAAGTCAGATGCTTAGGCCAGCATGCTTCAACAGACTTATCACTCTTGGGAGATAACAAGGAAGAGCACTGGAAGAAAATGGCGGTGAGTTTACTCACATCGCTCGTGATAATTTCACACTTGTTACGATCCGAGGTTCATGTAAGCGCCCGGACCTTGACTCGATCTCCTTCGGGAGACTTTTCCTGGTACCGTGGACGCATGTTTCCTGTGAGGACGAAGTTTTTGAGTCCGAGGCGAACCTTCGTCAGTCTTTCGAGGCTGACGGGAATTTTTGTTCTCACTTTTTCTTTTTAGCTCGATACAAAGCACCTCAGAACATTTACAATCCAGAGACCTTCTCGGCAGGAGCCATCGATCGTGCTCTGGCTTGTACAGGTCTTAGTCAATCGACAATCGTCGTTCAACATCGGTTCAAAGCTGGTACTTGGTCATCTTCCTGTGAGTAGTGCTCACCGTCTCCCTATCAATGACAGTCCACTGACTTGACCAAGCCTCGGCAGCAGATCGGTTCTCTTCGAGTTCATCCTCGCACGGTTCAGCTGGATTAATCTGCAAGCATGGGAACATTGGAACCCGGGTCCACAGATGGGCCGAAGGTGCTAGGCCTTGAGCAAGAAGTTGTGACTGGTTGGGAAAAGGTGTGGGAGATTGAGCACTTGAGCGGCGTCAAGTGAAAGTGTCCTGTATCTCGTTAGCAGATCATGCTGGGTGCCGCACTGGCAGCCCCAAGTTAGACGCAATTTTCTCTTGACGGAAGACATCATTCCACTTGTGAATGACCTAGTACTTTTTCCAGCAGACAGATCCTTCCCGTGCCCTTTCGCCCAAGTGTGACTGTTACTCGTCTCCAGCACTCGGTTTGGACTGCATTGCCCGATAGTTTGTAATCACAAGGAAGGCTGCCCAAGGCTCCGTTCCAGCAACTAGTCATGGTGGTGAGATCTTCATCTCCTCCTCCAGAGACTTAGGTGCGACGGCACATCTCCGCTTGAAAGTCTGCTTGATCTGCCACTTCCCGACGGAGTGTTGGACAAGTAGTCTCTGCTTTCCATCGTCTTAATCTCGTAACAAGGAAACCCATTCAAAATCCACGTCAAAGTCAGATTTCTTTTCTCTGCGCAGTGTGCGAGCACTCAGTCAACCAAATACAGCACTTTGATTCTCGAGAAGCTATCATCATTCTTTGTTGGCCACCTGTTACGATATACGACTGTGCCACTACTTGGTGGAATCAGTTCGTGGAAAGAGAAAAGGGAGATGGAGGGAGGGGAGAAGGTAGGTATTTATCTGCGCGTTACTACCGGATGACTCATGCAGTGAAAGAACTTTTGCCTGCCTAGTAGTGTTTGACGGTCGGTAACCAACCACGCCTTCGTAGATCGTCTGTACCGATATCTCGCGAACTCTATCTGTAGAAAGAGAGAAGAGTCGCAAATAAGTTTTATTCTTGATTCAGGAAAAGTCTCAAACCTCCCCAGCCTCCGGGCCCTCACCAAAGTGCGGGTCTCATTCTCTGTAACGCAGTCGTACATACACAATACCCTCGGAACACTGGGACCAGGTAAGCTCAAGGCACCGTGCCAGCACACTTTAATTCTTCAGAAATAGTCATCCCTCTTCGCTTCTGTCCCCTTGGGCTTCAATAAGAGACACTGCCTTCCGGTCACGAGCACGGACAGAAGCCTCTTCTGCTGCGTATTGAAGGCGCCTAGAATGTGTAACACACTTTGTTGTGCTACTGTCCCAAGTGTAAAGTGAGCCGGTTTCGTGGTTTCGTGCTTTGAACCTTCTGTGAAATTCTGAATAGTCCTGCATCGCGCAGGTTCGTTGCAATATGTGAGCAAGCTAGTATTGGCTCAGAGTCGACAAGGTCCGCGACTCGATCATGTGTGTTGTCCGCAGGGCAGCGAGCATGTTACTTGTACGTCCTCGTAGTGCTGACTCATGCGATAGCTTCATGGGTTTCAGCGAGTGACACAGATGTATCGCGCCTTTTGATAGAGGTGAGGTGAAGAGCCTTGCCGTTTAGCAGTAGCAAGAGCCGGCAGAGCTCGATGTCGTCGTCCGGGCAATCTGCGGCGGATAAACACGGATGTCCAGACTTCGACTGTCTCAATGCAGAAGCAGGGTGATTCAACCAATGAGCTAGAGAATCAGGGCGAAAATTGGTTGTCATTGGCGATACTTGAGACTAGAGGACCAGCCTATTTGTCTCCTCCGCCACCACCACCGGTCATTGTGAGCATCAGCACGATCAAGGCGACCCACCAGTATTTCTGGAAGAGACTCTTTTCTGGCACTTCTTCTTGTACAACTTCTCGTCCTTCGTTGTCCACTTGAGGCGGTTTGCGAGTGGCGAGTGACGGGGATGGCCCGGGCGAAGACGTGATCAGGTTGACCTTGATAGGCTCGTAGAGGGCCGCTTGCTTTGCAGCTTCTTCCCTGGCCTTCTTTGTGTTTGGAACTGGAGGCCGCGATGGTATAGGTTTCCCCTTGGCCTTAGCTCTTTCAACCTTCTTCCTGTAACGTTCTTCTTCTGGTGTCAAAGGTGGGGGCGACAAGCTTGAGACCGAGGCCGAGAAGATGGAGCCGTCTTTCGGGGAAATCCAGAGGTCGATCTTCTGGTGGACATCTTCGCTGAAAGTGTCAAGGGTTGTAATCGTGGAGCTGCCATTAGGAAGAAGGATTCGCAGGAGCTTAGAAGAGGTCGGTTCAGGAGTGGTAGATTTGACGGAGTCTAAGCTTGGAGGCGACCACGACGAGAGGGCATGTTTCTGAGATTTCGGGTCGTAGAAGACAGTGACCAGCGGCTTGACTGAGGAGGATCCGATCACCTCGTAGGAGAGGGTGACCGACTTTGGGAGTTTTGAGGCATCGCTAGTTGTGCCGGTAGTGCTGGCAGCTAGAGTAGTAAGAGCGCAGACAAGCAGCAGCACTAGGCTACGCAGGCCTGTAACAGGCATATCTAGCAGTCTTGGTGAGGCAACGTGCGCTGGTGGATAATGAATCGAGAGTAGGAGAATGAGATACGAATGAACAACTTCTGAGCCTGGTACAGTACCGAGCCGGGTGAAAGTGAATGCAAACAATGCGGCAAGTTAGCCGAGGTCGGTACATTCATTCCACAGAGCGCCTTCCTTCAAACAGTCGGTCTTTCTTTCTCCTTCCCAAAAAGCCACCATGTAGTCATCATGGCTTCTCTCCAGTGTCTGCCTGGAGATCCCTCGATATTGCCTCTCAAAGACAAAGATTCCCAAGAATACTTCTTTTCTTCAGATTCAGACGACATGGCAACCTCTGATAAGGCTGATGCGATCAAGGACAAGGACAAGCTCGATCCTGAAGTCCTCAAAGACCTCGAGAAACATCAATATCTAATGCGTCAAGCAATCGACGTCGCTGAAGAAGCCCTCGCAGGGGGAGAAACACCTGTTGCTTGTGTTCTTGTCTACGACGGCGCAGTGGTTGCTCGTGGAATGAATGACACCAACCGATCGCTCAACGGTACTCGTCACGCCGAGTTTCTCGCCATATCAGAATTCCTCTCCAAATTTCCGGCCAGCAAACTCAGAGAAACCGACCTCTATGTTACTGTCGAACCCTGCATCATGTGTGCTTCTGCCTTGCGACAATACGGCATTCGATGTGTCTACTACGGCTGTGGAAATGACCGGTTTGGAGGCAACGGGAGTGTGCTGGCGGTTCACTCTGACAAAGGTCTGGAGGCCGGCTATAAAAGCTATGGAGGAATCTTCAGAAAGGAAGCCATTATGTTACTTCGTCGTTTCTACATCCAGGAAAACGAGAATGCGCCAAATCCTCGAGCGAAAGGCAATCGAGAACTGAAGCAAGTGGTCTGAATGAGCTGGATAGAGCATCTCCTCATCAAGCCACTTGCAGCGCGGATGGGCCAACATCAGTGGACTTTCTGGAGCGTGGGAATGAGAGATGAACTGTACCTCGATGGAAATGATAACCAGCAGCCTGCTATGGTTGTGTCCCTCATAGGTGACCCTCTTAAGCGACTGCAGGCATAATGAGATAGAGACATGAAAAAGGCATGGAGCAATCCATTCACTACAATAGGCCATCTGTTTTGTCTTCGTCTCCCCTCGGTCTCCTATTGTTATAGCAATGACCTTATTCCTCCGCAAAGCCTGTTCGCATATTGTCTTTTATGAAAACTCCGCAATTGAATCACTGTTGCCAGGCAGTATTCGTGAATAGTCAGAAAGCATTGACAGCTGCGGAGTCATCATGTCATGTCGTGAATGCCCATGATCCCTGCCTAGCGCGTTTGTCGAGTCCAATCACAACAATAACTTTTTTCGCCTGCAAAACCGCCTCGTTCGTTCATTGTTCTCCTCAGTATTTGCTGTTCATACCTCCTCCATTCGACTTGTGAATTGCTGTCTCTGAGACATCGTTCACCTCACAGCTAAACAACTCATCTGCTTTGTACAATACCTATCTTCTTCCTGTCTACCACGATCCGCGTTCACGTGGATTCCCCTCAATTGCTTGCCGAGTCGCCGTGTCGCCGTCGCGTTACCATCTCATCACCATGGCCACTGCTCGTGCTCGTAAGACAGCCGCCCCGGAAGCACCGAAGAAAGCCGTAAAAGACACAAAATCTACGAAAGAATCGAAGACCAAGCAGGCTACCACAAGCAAGAAGTCAACGGAGACCACCAAGATTTCCCCCAAAGCTGCAAAGACAGCTCCTGCACCTGCAAAGACCTCCAAGAAGCGGAAGGCTGAAGATGAGGTTGAGGAGAAACCTCAAGTCAACGGAGTCAAGAGAGTGAAGGCACAATCTCCTCCGCCAGCACCGGAAGCCCCGAGGAGGAAGGTAGCTGCAACAAAAGCTACGACTGCGAAGAAAGCCAAAGCCAAGGCAGCAATTAACAATGCTCCTACAACGAAGCTCAATGTCTACGTCTTTGGCGAAGGCTCCTCAGGAGAACTCGGACTCGGAAGTGCCAAAGGGCAGATTGAAGTGAAGAGACCACGTTACAATCCCAACTTGAGTCCAGAAAGCGTCGGCGTCGTCTCTCTGTCTGTTGGTGGAATGCATACTGCGGCCCTCACACATGACAACAAAATCTACACCTGGGGTGTGAATGACCAGGGTGCTTTGGGCCGAGACACTACTTGGGAAGGTGGATTACGGGACATGGACGAGAATGATGATGGCAGTGATAGTGATTCAGAGAGTGGCTCGGAGACCGCCATCAATCCCAAAGAATCCACCCCAGGCGAAGTCGACATGTCCGACCTTCCGCAAGGTATCACCTTTACACAACTTGCATGTACCGACAGTGCCACATTTGCCCTGACGAGTGAAGGTGATGTCTATGGCTGGGGCACGTTCCGGTCAAATGAAGGCATCTTCGGTTTCGACCCCAAGACTCTGATCCAATCCCGGCCCAAACTCGTCAAAGGAGTCAGTAAAATCACCAAGCTCGCTGCAGGTGCCAATCACGTTCTTGCCCTCCAAAACAAAGGCGTCGTGTACGGTTGGGGCGCTGGTCAACAGGATCAGCTTGGACGGAGAATCTTGGAAAGAAGAGCCGCGAACAGCTTGATTCCTATGCCCATCGGTCTGCCCAAGAATATCGTCGAGCTTGGTGCTGGCGCGTATAATTCTTTCGCCGTGACCGAAAAAGGCGACGTCTATTCGTGGGGGTTGAACAATTTCGGTCAGACCGGAATCCCCAAAGAATTCGATGAGTCTGGTGCTAGCAAGGGTTCCGATGTTCATCACCCTATCGTCATCGAGAGCCTCCATGGCAAAGGGAAGGTTACTTGCATCCAAGGCGGAGCTCATCATACTGTTGCAGTCACCGACAAAGGCGAGCTTCTGGTTTGGGGACGACTCGATGGAAATCAATTAGGCATCAAAGTCTCGGATCTGCCAAAGGACGATGTTGTCCGTGATTCAGCTGGACATCCTCGAATTTTGACTATTCCGACACAAATTCCCAACATCAACGCCGTTTATGCTGCAGCTGGCTCTGACCACTGTATTGCCATCGACAAGGACGGTAAGGCCTATGCCTGGGGTTTTAGTACCACTTATCAGACTGGCCTTGGTACCGATGATGACGTGGAGATTGCTACGCTCATCGACAACACTGCCGTGAGGGACAAGAAGTTGGTTTGGGCCGGAGCGGGAGGCCAGTTCAGTGTGGTGGCGGGTGTTCCAGCTCCCATGGTCAACGGGGTCAATGGACACGCTTGAAGGATTGAAGCAAGAAGTCGAGTCCAGGGGGTTGGAAGGTATAGCAGAATACCGGCATTTTACTTGGTTAGGTTGAAAAAATAGACTTGAGTGTGGTTCAGGTTCAGGAAAAGTCTACGGAACATTGCTTTCGACAGTGGTTCATGGTCATGCGTCAAGGGGGCACTTCTTCTTCCTCTTCTTGTACCAATAGATTTGGGGATGGTGGGCAACGCTTTCTATAGGAATTCATCGAGCTGAGCACGTTCACACGAGACGGGGTTTGGATGGAGACTTGATGGGTCAAGAAGCCGGTGTGAAGTCTAGTCTAGTTGCTCATGCAGATCAGGCTTGGGGATTTTTACTCTCTGCGCTGGATGTGTTATTGTCATGGTTCCCAAGAGAGTCAAATTCTTGCAGGCGAGGATGAGCGTCAATCGGCATAGATTAGATATTAATGGGTTGAGATTGAGATTAATTTATCGAACCTTCAGATACTCTCGTTATCTGCAGTGTTCATGGCGCCAGTTGCCGGAAAATGTTCAGGCTCTGGCTGATCGTCTCGGAGATAGAATTGGGATTGTCCTCGTCGTTCCGTATACCCACTCTAGACCAGCAGATCGACACGTGGACAAGGTGACACGAACACGACACTGGTGCCATCCTCAGTCATAAAGGTCCCCAGATAGTAGTGGATGGAGATAGAGTTGACTCATCGTAGGCGTGTAAAAGCGGCTCGGCCGTCACGATCGTGGGGAGGGGACACTCAGGAAAAGTGAGTAGCATCTTGTCGAGCATTGGCTCCACCAAGAGTCCGTCAAGAGTTGATCGTGAGCTGCGGGCACGAGCAGATGATTGCAGCGCAGCGAGAGCTGCACAGACCCGGGACACTGAGCAGCAATGCCAGGACGGGCTATAGGTATGACTTGCGGCATAGTGCACCCAGGCATGCCATCACAGCCTCTGCCGTAATCGGAAAACCGGCGGTCGAGGTCAATGTCAAGCTCCAACAGTCGTATTGCTCGGCGCCACATGTCTAGCGTTGACACCGACAGCTGTGGCCGAGCTCGACTCTGGTTCCCGCGTCTGAGTGGGGATTCCGAGGTGCTTCGCCCGTTGTACAAGGCTAAGGCTTTCCCTAAGTGGCTATATCACTCTCACAGTATCTGACTCCATATCCTCAAGCTGCCGGTTCTTCGCGTCTCTCCTCGGCGTTGGCGCCATGGCTTGTAGTCTGTTCCTCGTTGTGTGGAATTGTTCCATTTGTTCCATTGGCCTGCTGTTGCTGCATCCGGACCTCGAGTTCTCTCGAGGCCGTGACGGCGGGATGCTCGCGTGGTCCGTCCTGCTGCTCCCCGGGATGTGATGTCTCGGCAGATTCCGCATGCTCGAGTCCATGCTCTTTCTGCGCCTCTTTCTGCGCTCCAAGAATGATATCGTACTTGCATAGCGGGCAGTCATGATGGCCTCTTTCGACCCACAAGTTCAAACAGTTCGCGTGGTAGACGTGGCAGCAATGCAGTTCACGGATCGTGTCCGAGTCCTGTATTATGTCGAGGCAGATGGCGCAAATCAATTTTGTGGAGATGGTCGCAAACGTTTTGACATGGTGCTCTTGCTTGTCGGCGCGCCACTGGCTCAGGGTTTGCGAGGGAGCCACCTGTTCCAGCTTCTTTATTCGTCTCCGGTGTTTGGCGGTGATTGTGGTGTTGGGCGAGGCATACTCGGGCTCGACACGCCAGGCTGATTCCGAGGTAGACGATTCGGTGTCGGAGTCTTCTTCGCCGTTGCTGACTCTGCGGTAGACTGTCCATCTATGTAGCACTTACGTCAGTCTCGATCTTGGGGGAGAGAACTGGGAGATGTGGAAAATCCAACTTACGCCACAACAAATGCAAGAAAGATGAGAACGGTGATGGTGACTGCGATGAAAGCAGTTGCTGCTCCGCCGAAGACTGGCTTGTTTGCATCTTCGCTTGTGCTGTTTGTGCTTGATCCTGTAGACGGAACAGCTGCTCGCAGCGCGAAAGTGAGAGACCCAGGGGGTTCAAGGCCTGCTACCGGTACTAACAGGAGTAGCGACTCGGAACCTGCCAAATCTTGTTGTCTGGGAATGTACATGGTTTCGGTATGGTTCACGGGGATTGGTGGAGTCGCAAAGCGATGTTCTTGCGCGCGATGTGTGCTTGGATTATAGGTAAGTACTCGCAAGGTCTACTCCCTGGTCATAAATATTCTCAATGCGGTTTTGTGACAATGTGATGCTCTGCAACGTAGCCAGCGACGTTGAGAGCCTACCGTTGAAATTCCTAATGTGCGCAATGCATGGTATGATCATCATGTCCGAGAGTTGCGGAGAGAATGGCCTGGAATGGGAAACCGCAGCATGTGACGAGTGCCACAATGCTTGGAAGGTCTTCATCATTGAGTAGATCGAAAGATATCTGCATCTGCCCTTTTTCGTCAGCAGTTGCAAACGAAGAAGTGGTGTGACATTTGGCGAGGGAAAAGGTTTGAATGAAGTTAGATGGACCGAAAGGAAGCGGAGAAATGCTTACTTAAGCCGGATGTTGCCGATCCGGAATAATATTTATGCGTGGCCAGACAACCATCGCTGTCCACGTGACAACCTCAACTCTGGCCGTCTGCGAGCCATAGACAGCAGACCACAGTTCTTCATGCAAGATGAGCCTGCTTGAGAGGAATTACGGCAGATCTTGACTAGGGGACTTTAGCAAGAGACGTTTCCCCAACGTCGATGCCTGCTGCACCATGACAGTACGTATGCTACTGGTAGCCAGGAATCCTCTCTGCACAGCTTCGGCTTCGGCTTCACAGGGGAGAAAGAATTACGCAAATGACCATTACAAGACGTCGGTATGTATCCATTGAAATCTCCAATGACTTCAATCCGGGAGGGGGAGTTGCGCCGGCTCCCCGAACGATGTTTTTCTGATTCAAGTGAACGAACGAATTCTCATGGCCGCCTCCGCTAGCCTCACCGACTCCATTTCTTGCCCCTTCAGCACACTAACCAAGATGTTCTCGCCGTTCTGCCCAACGGCATGTACTATCACATTTTCGCCAAATCCGCAATCCTTCTCATTGGGGCCAGCCTCATCATACTGCTCGAAAGATTCCTTCGTCACACCATCCTCCGGAGCAAGAAGGACTTCGCTGGCGAATTTCCTCGCTTCTTCGTAGGTCTTGAATGAGCCTTCGACATTAGTCTCTCTCGCCAGACCGCTCTCATCTTCGCTGTACTCGACATTGGTCTGGACCACATGGTATAAATCGAAGTGGATCTTGTGGTCTCCTCCTGCTGCCTGGAAGCCTTGAACGTTTGGTGTTGTTGCAACACTGATGCGGAAGACAGTCTTATCTGGAGCTACTGCGTACACGCACAGACCCGTTGTTCTCTTGATGTTGTGCTTGTCGAACTCTTGTGGTTGGGTATCGTATTCGGTGAACCATTCTTGCTCGTATCCAGCCTCGAACAAGGTCTTGTGTGCGGAGGCTTTGGCAGCTTTCAGGTCTGTGAATGTGCCGCAAATACGCAGTTTTTCCACCTCCTCGTTGACGTCCTTAGGGCTGTTGGAGACTGAGAAGAGGATGTGGTACAGGTTTTCGCCGTCAGGTGCTCCGTTACCGTTGGATGCCATGTTTGATTGCCGTTCGGACTGTTTCGTCTTTTCTTTGTAGGATCTTTTGTGGTTTCAAATGTTGCTCGTGACTTTGTGCAACGACAGGTAGGAAATGCCTGGCTTCTTATGAACTCACGACTGATCAAGGCTTACCCGAAACAGCATTCACATGAACATCAGCGGCGGAGAACCTTCAGGCTTCCAAGTTCCGGTCCATTAACAACGATGCATGACATGGCCCATGGATCTCCCGCTTGTGGTCTGATGCGCCGATAATCGTGATTGAAGCACTTCCGGTTAGTGGTAGAACTGGCATGATGCAAGGTCCATCATCCCCAATGTTGGAAGCAAGTTCAACCATGAATGGGCAATTGTAAAGAAATGGCTCATTGGGTGGATTCCTTTCCAGCCGTCAGAAGAGAAGCACAAAAAGTCCAGGGTGCCCTAGAAAGGACCACTGCACAGTGCGAAGAACATGAAACCATCGAATGACCATCGACCAGCCGATACGAGACCCTTTGAGTCGATACTGCTGCGGCATTTCGCGGACCACGTAATTTTCAGACTCGAGTGCAGGCTTGGATGCGTGGTGTGATCATTTACATAAGGGACGGCATGGACGGGACCCACGTCTTGCTGATTGTTTCTCGTTTTCCCCGGATTTCCTCATCCTACAGTGTACGCCACTTTCTGAATTCTCGCTAACAGATCTTGTTCTCGCAGATGACCTCGTTCGGAGGTGTTTGACATCTACGATTGAGGGCTAACAAGGATCATGCTGACCCGTACAGGGCAGGTAGGCTGAATCGAGCTTTCCCCATGTTTCGAAGCTCAATACTGCGGCTAGTACAAAGTTGAAATATTTCATTCGCTTTCCAGACTCGATCTTGGTCGTGGAAACATTACGATTATGTTGGCCATCATTGTCAGGCTCGACTCTGACACTTTCAACTCTTCATGTTCTTTCTTGACTTCGCCAGGGCAACTCTAGAACTCTAGACCATGTGTCGGCTGAAGAATTGTTCCCGTAACGCCGATGTGCCTTTTGCAGAACCTCTGGCTTGTTTGATGCGAAGCCGCCCGAACGCCCTGGTCATAACCTCATTACAGCATGTTCTTCGCAAGTCATTGCCCTTGTCCCGATGCTTCTTTTCTCTCTTCAGCGGCTTTCTCCATTTCGTCTAAATGGGTTTCGAAGTCGGCCAACTGTTTCTTCTGAGCATTCAGCCTTTCTCTCATCTTCTTGATGCTGTAACCCGATTAGTCTCAGTAGCCTTAAGCTGTAAAGAGGTGGTCTACTCACTTCTCGATCTCATGCTGCCTGAACCACACGTTCTCAATGGACTGTTCCCTGCGGGTGAACGAATCACTGCCGTCAAAGTCAGTACGCCAGATCGCACACATCAGAGACGGTTGCCGACACTTACCCTGCGGCGATACCACCTGATCTCACAGCGCCTGTATCTCCTTCTGACCACATTGGTCGCATGGTTGAGAACGACTGGCAGAAGGCTGGTGTTTTGATTCTGGTCATACACGACCTTGGGATTGTTGTTCGCAACATTGCGGATTTGGGTTGCGGAAAGGTGAACGATTGACTTTGAAGTAGTTTCTCGAACTCTTAGATCGATTGTGTACTGGGCTCTTGTACTTAGTGTCTTGGGGTGAGTAGACCGAAGTAACAGGCGTGCCTCTCAGTAAGATATATATCGAGAAAAAAATATAGGTAGGATTTGTGCTCAGCACGCATTGAGTGAAACAAAGTATCACCGTCGTATGACTGCTGAGCCTAGCACGGCATAGCTCTGTTACGCTGGGCGTGGCTGGGTCATGATTGGGTGCATCATGGGTGTGCTCAGCAAGAGGCATTTCGGGCACTCGGCTATACAAGCCCCTCTTTTCAGGGGCACGAGCCTTCTTCGTCTAGCCTGGTGCGCCTAGAAACGTCACCCACATGGTGCCCAGATCACTTACCATAGTCCGCTCCTTGTGGGCGCCCGTTCCAAGCTAACTACTGTAGCTGCTCGGAAGATATCGAAAGATCGTCCTTTCAAATCACTCCACACTCATGCAACGACAAACACTGCACGGCGCTTGCCGAGGCCAACTCCAGACTCTGGCATCTCATGATCCCAGGTTGAATGTTGTCCCGTGATGCAGTAGCGAACACTCTCGTGGCATCTAGGCCACACCAAAGGCGAGCCAACATGAATTGCCAATGCACCGGGCGTCTTAGCCAGCATGGCAAGATGTTGGCGGATTTGGGTAGGCATCAAGAACAAATAGCACTGTACATCCTCACCTCTCTTGAGTAGAAGCATCAAGAAAAGACCAACAATACTTCAAAACACTTACCAAAGGACCACACAAGAAAAACACATTTTCCACATTGCCGCTATTTCACCCAACGGGCACACTCATGTCAATGTCTTACTTCTACGCCTACCCAGACGTAGACCCCTACCCAACCACGCACGTGGCACACACATTCCCCGAGAAGAGTCACCATCTTCACCACGTACCGATCCCTTTCCTCGCGCACAAAGTGCACAAGGTCTTCCACGACAAGGACCAAGACGTGCACGTGCCCAAGAGCGATGTCAGGGAGACGCCCAAGAGCTTCTACCTCGAAGTCGAACTGCCGGGCATCAAGGACAAGTCGGAACTCCATCTGCGCTGGACATCGACTCGCACGTTGTTGGTGACGAGCAAAATCCACCGTCCGGAGATCCCAGAAGCAGATATGCTCGAGGAGGCTAGCGCTGAGGCTGGAGCTGGAGCTGGTGGAGGTACCATTGAGCCGACACCGACACCGGCCACGGCAGGAGGAGAAGGTCAAGAGGCGCCGCAGGAAGAATCGCAGCGCGAGGAGAGAGCCGTCCCAGTCCCATCATCCGGCCCACCGTCCGCCCAGGGAGACGAGGCCACCAGGAAGGAGGCAGAGGCGGCTGCAAAGAAAGAACCGCATCTGACCGTCCACGAGCGGCAGATCGGCGATCTGATGCGTGCGTTCAACTTCCCGGTGGACGTGGACCGCGACAACACGCATGCCAAGCTGGATGCCGGATTGCTGAGAGTGACGGTGCCAAAGGTGATGCATGGTGATGCCAAGTTGAGGCACATTCCGGTCAGTATTCACGATGGAACTTCTGAGGCGGGTGACACCGTGCGTGAGTCCGTGGCTTAATAGCGAGAGAGAGGCTACATGCAGACTACTGGGGTAGTGATCGGAAGACAGCAGCAGCAGCATCAGCAGCATCAGGATTATGATTCGGTGGCCAGGCCGGTGTGGTTGCTATCTATGGTCGAGCGAAAGACTCAGCGTACTGGTCAGCAGAGAAGGAGACGTTGTCACCAAGAGATAATTGCAATGAATATTGAATTTCGTTCAGTTCCAGTTCATTTCGACTTTGCCGTGAGACCAATATATAAGACTACCGGAGAACACGCGAAGGGATCCTTACTTCGACGATCTAAGCAGCATCTGCGGTTTAGAAGAGACTGGAAGTTCATGACCCGTCAAAGGTCAGACGAGTGTCCTCTCGACAGGATGGGAGCAGAGTCTACAGGGTGAATCTATGCTGGCTCGACATCAATCTGTCTGGTTCGGGAGTCGTACAAGGTTTTCATTTTGCTCAAGTATCCGCCTGACTTCGGCACTAAAAGGTAATAAGTATATACAGGAGGAAAAATTCGTGTCTGTCATCACAATCGTCCCGATGCCGAAAGGACCTCGCTGCCTGCCAAATAACTCCCTGCGCGGATGCCCTTGGAAAGCCGAAGTCGTCCCAATGTGTGTCTCGTCGGAAATTTAATTATTCGTAAGAAGCATAGAAAGCTTCCTCGATGGCATCTTCCTCCTCGTCCGCAGAAAGATCCTCGTCGCATTCCTCGCGTTCCACCCATACATGCTCGGCGACAGTCTCCGTATCTGGCCACCAACTCATGGGCAGATGAGTCTCTGAAGAATGCCGCCGATGGTGATGGGGATGTTCCTCATGAAGATGGGGCACCGAGACTTCAACGAAGCTAGGTCTCCTTTCCCTTTCGTAGACTTTCTCCCCTTTTTCCGAAGTGCTTTCGTTTTTTGTGGCTGTTTTGAGAGGTGTCGGTGCCATTTGCTTCTTCTCTAGAACCGTTGTGGTCGGAGGGGTGGTGCCGGTGTTTATGTGCTCTGCAGGTCTCATTCTCGCTTTGAACGGAATTGGCTGAGACTGTTTGGGCTGTTCCGGTTCCGGTTCCAGTGGAAGGAACCCATGCTTAAATGCAGGTTCCTTGAATAGATACTCGCTCACGTCGCAATCGTTGTAGAAGGATACAAAGGCGTTGTCCTTGATGGCTGACATGGTTTCACTCTTGTCCTGGGCCTGGGCAACCTGCAGGGGATTGTCAGCGACTGAGGGCAAAAGCGGAGCCACCTGGCTTGCTCACCGGTGCTGTTTCCGAGATCATGTTGTCACGATATACACAGTGAATGCTGTTGGTAATTGTTAAAGCTAGAGTCCTATATTCAATGGACGTTTGCAGTGATGTTGGTGCATGAGATTTTATCCCTGGAGGCCAACCCACATTTGACCAACCTTTTATATTGATGGATCCATCATTATCTGCGAATGTGTTTGTAAAGGCTTATCAAGATTTCGAACCATTATCGTGGACACGACGTACTCCGTCCATGTCAGTTGGCATCATGGCAGGTCGGGAGAAATGTGTGAGTGGCGTGAGACGGTCTGGACAATATCGAGGTGGAATTACCTCCAGATGCCTCCACTGGTCACACTGGTACTGGTGAAAACGAATCTGGTGACTGATGACACACGTATTTCGTGGCTGACGAGGGATTTTAGCGGTGATTGAGGGGTTCTCGGTATGTGTTACTGTATCGTACGGTAATCTGTCACCCCATATGTCTCGGTAAATCGCTCACCACTGCAAAACATCAACCTCAACCTCAAGCCTCCACATTCGCCGACCTCTTTGTATTCCACTCAATCACTCCCGTCCATCATGACTCGCTTGATCGAGTCGGCGCTACCAGTCACGGCGTCTCTTACCCCAGATTTGCGTAGTTGGCCAACGGGCGTTGTTCCTGTCACTCACTAGCTGCACAGGCTTTGAGCTCTTTCCACCTTGTTTGGCCATCATCTGATTCGGACAGCATACTCTTACCCGGAACATACTCGAACGGCCTCACTTCTGCTCGGAAATAATGCCAATACAATGAATACTGTCCTCCTATTCTCGGCGGAAATGGGATTTTGGGAATTCTTCGCTGTGAAACCCCAGCTTTCTCGCATCAAGGCAGCTCTTCTCTCGGCATTTCGTCGAAACGGTTGCTCATCTTGCCCCAGCTTTGAGCGGGATCGCAATTCTGTGAGTATGGCTATTGGCCGTCTGATCCGAGGCTGTGCACGCTATGCTGGACCCGTCCAGTTGTACCCATTGTTTCCGTTCCGTGACAAGGGTTTGTATGCCGTCACACGCGTTCGATGAAGGCATGTATAAATAGTCCGTGTCCCCTAACCCCAGAGACTGCGCCCTTCTCAGTTTCATCTTCCCCAGATCGAAGAGTGCTTAATCCTCATCAACAAACACAGCATCACACTTACACCCACCCACACACTGTCACAGACTCATCGGAAAAATGGTAGACGTTACCATCACCGTGAGCACGCCCGGGCTTCATACAGTCCCGGTCGAAGAAGTCCAAGAATTTCCCTTTGAGGGAGGAAGCGTTGCAAAAGCACAAGGAGTCAATCACCCTCCGCCCCCTACTACGGCGGCAGAGACAGCAACGAGATCGGGCATGGTTTGTCACGCCACCCAAACCGATTCAGAAGATGAAATGCCGCTCCAAAAGATCAAGTCTGTCCGTTCTCGGTCTCCATCGCCACCGCGCAAACCACGGCCGCTCAAAGCCTGGACTGACCAAATCCGCAACCGCCTAGCCAGTCCACATGGACGCAGAGCGCCCGTGACAGTCGATGCCTCGGGGGTTCCTCATCTCGCTCCTCCCATGACCGAGTCGCCTTTGCGTCCTGCGACTCCGGCAGCAGATCTATACCGCGGTCAGGCAGATGACAGTTTTGGAATGACCTTTGAGCATCCAGATCATCCACATTTGCGGAAAGGGCACAAACCTCCAGCTTGCCCGTACAACCATGAGGACCACAAACACAGGATGTTGATGGATTGGCTGGAGAGGCGAGGTTCGGTCTAATCCCCTCAGAGGGTCTGGTTAAAACGAAACCGACTATGATTACGAATCATGATTATTGCCGGATCTTCGGAGTCGAGTCAAGTTTTGGCGTTTTAGGCGAATTTTGGAGTGAATCAACCAACTATGGCTCTAAGGGCGAGCAAGAAAATCTGTGGAGGAGCTGTTCAAAGGCGGACGCATCAAGGTTGGGTATGAGCTGGAATCAGTAGTGATGCCAGTTTTCCTGCCACACAAACATTGCATGCGTGGACTACGGATGTCAACCCTCCCACTTACAAGCCTTGGGCTTCCTGACATCAACATCCAGACTCAGGGGGCAAAAAGGCATACGCATCCGTCTTCGCCATATCCGATCCACGGCGTGCCGCATTCGGAACAGCCAGATCGTCCACTGCTAGCATTCACCGCGGGATTCAGTCTCTTTCTACTCTGGATGACATGGTCATGGTACGGCCCTCACTAAGGTATCTGCATAACATATTTGGTATTACGAGAAGGCAAGGATATTTCGCCCTCTCGCCATGGGAGATAATGTGTACATTACTGTCCACGACATGGAAACGGCGTGTTTTCACGAATGATGACATGATTGTAAGCTTGCATGTTTGTAGGAGGTTCTCACATTTGCATCTTCAATGGTGCCGCGAGACAGTCCGTCACTGACCCACTCACATGCTCAGCCGGCCACGCAGGCCATTTCCACACCTCAGGTGATAACTCCCTTTTCGTGCCTTGACCCCCTCAACATCCTCGTCGCATGCCGGACAGTTGCCGGGAACACTCATCGACAGTATGTGCGCTGACCAGGCCTAAAAGATAGCAACGCCGTTCACCGGACTCGCCACTCCACCTGGCACATAACACGGCACACTGGCGACGAAAAATGTCCAACGATTCTGCCGTTTACACTCTTCGCTCAATTTTTCCAGATCCAGCAGCTCGCCAATATTACACCCCCACCCGGCCAGCAAGACCTCGTGCATGCTCCAGTCGTAGGGCGTGGGCCACCTCTCAAAGCTGGGATGATCACTGGCGACGGCGCTGAAATTGTCCCAGATCCACTGCAACACTTGATCGGACTGCTCGACGCCGCCCAGGCCCGGCGGAGACATATTGGTCAAGCGGTCCAACTCGCCTTCGTCGGTCTTGAGCATTTCAAAGTAACTCTTGAAGAAACCCGACCTCACAATCAGAATATCGCCGAACCGCGGCGTGGTGCCGTTCTGCCACTTCAACGTCTCGAGCAACCACTCGAACTTGATGGCGCTGGTCTCGAAGCTCTTAAAAGTCCCGCCGACCACTTCTTTGCCGGGCCCTTCGTCCATCCACCGCCGGAAATCGACGAGCACGCCTCTGCCCATGACCCCGCCGCGCTCCACGGCGCCCTGGATGCCCAGGACATTCGGGTTCGTTTTGCCCTTGTCGCTTGTGCCGGCGATGTCCTCGACGGTGGTGTCGTTGTAGAAGCGCGCGGCCTTTTGGTAGCCAAAGTGCCGCAGCCCGTCCCACTGCGTGGAGGACTGCGTGTTGAACGTCCACGTGTCGTCGTGCACGACCCGCGGCTTCTTCTGGTACACGTCCTTCTGGAACACCTGCCGGCCGAACAGCGGTTTGCCCGCCTGGAAGTCGAGCGGCGCGTCGAGAGGGATGCGCACGCCCGTTTTGATCTCGGACGCCGCCGCCGCCGCCACGGTCGACGGCGTTTGTCGGTTCAGGAAGCCGAGTTCGTCGGAGGTCCCGTGTGCGCCCCACGCGTTGAGACGGGTCGCCGCGTTGTCTTTGGATAGCGGGAGTGAGGTGAAGGGGACTGGAGGGCCGGACATTGTTCTTGTTCTTATTCTTGTTTTTGTATTTGCTGTTGCTGTTGCTCGTGATTATGCTCGTGATTTTGCTCGTGATCTCGCTGGTGTTCTACTTAGCGAGGAGAGAGGTTGAAAGAGATAAGACACACTTCAAAATACTTTAGATACTCGTACTTAGTACAGGATAAAGGATAATTCAGTCCGGATCGGTTCAGTGAGGAGCTTCAACTAGCCTACCTTGATTCCTGTGGTGACTTGTACGAGTGAAATGGCATTCAAAAAGGCAACCCAACGTCGTGGGCACGTCGCGGACTGGAGTATTTGTAGCTCGGCTGCCGCGTAGAGGCCGGCTTAGGTAGCTTGGTGAGGAGAAGGAGACAAGATGTCGGTTTGGACGGAATACTGCGTACGGCGGTTGGCGACGTGAGGGGATGCCAGAAGGAACCGAGGGGGAAAAGAACGAGGTGATGGAGAAAGCTGCCATCATCTACGAGTACGGAGTACATCATCTGCCGGTGGAGACGAATTAAGTTAATCGTGATCGTGATCCGTATGTACGGCATGAATGCCCGAGGGATATACCAGGGACCGTGTGCTATACGGAGTATAAACCAGGTAATCGCTGAAAGAAAGCGGTGGTCCTGCCCATTCTCCTTGGGGGTACATACTGTATATATGTTCAAGGTTGGATGCGGGCGAGGCCTGCTGTAGGAAGTACACATTGAAGAGGAGGTACCTACCTCGCTATTTAGCTAGTAGGTACCTAGCTTGCAAGGAATCAACAGAGGCAGTACCAAATCTCCTGGGCGCCCAACGAGAAAATGTTCGCCGATAAGGCTGGTGAGGCGCTTTATTCTTTTGTGTTTTTGGCTGATCAAAACAGAGATTATCGTCCGAGTTGGGCCATTCTGCTACCCCTTTGGGAAATATTTTGTTCATTGGATTATGGTCAGGTCTACTCGGTAAATAGTAGTGACGAGTACTAGGTATGAAAGGTCCCAGTGTCCAGCCTCGTTACCAGGTTAGCTTAGAAGGATACTGCTGGTATTGACACTCAATCCGTTCTTCACGCGATGAACACAGTCGAACTTTTGATTCTTCACCCCAATGCTGCTTCTCCTCGATCCTGGGCAGCGCCGAATAGATACCATGGTGCGATGTAGCTGACACGAAGGTATACCTCATCCATCCTGACCTTGGTCCTCTCTTTTCAAAGAAGGACACACCCTTCGATGGCTCCGTTGGTTGACCCGCTACAACTACCTCCCCGAGTAACCTCTTCACGACGTCCCAACAGCCTCATCGACCATCCTCCTAAACTCCCTCTGGCGTTCACACTGCTCCAAAAACACCTTGTACTTGACATCCAACAACTTCTTGACACTTTTATCCGCACTGGGTCGGACAATCTTGCCAGGCTTGCTCATCCGGTCCATGATGCTCCACAAATCCTCGGTGCGACCGTATGGATCTGCACTCGCCGCCTTCGCCCCCAACATGGCCGCGCCGTGACACACCGCAGCATGCACGTACCTCGGGATCAGAACGGGCATGTCACAAGCCGTCGCGATCAACTCCATCAGGATCTCATTCTGGCACTGGCTGCCACTCATGAAGATGCTGGATATTTTGTGGCCGGCGTCGTTCATCGTCGAAATAATTTGCCACGTCTGCAGCGCGATGAACTCCATTGTCCCGTAATAATACAACGCCAACCCATCCAAACTTTTGTCGCTGCTCAATCCGACCACGCTGCCGCTCATTGTGGGATCCGCGATCGGGCTCCTGTTACCGAAGAGATCGCCGTAGAAGAAAAAGTGGCGGCCAAGGTGACTTACGCTCGGTGCCGCCCTCTTCTCCTTCAAATCTAACAAGTGCTGATTCAGAAAGTCGTATACATTGCTCGAAGACCCTTGAGACATCGACACGGCCTGGTTGTACGCCGGGTGCGTCTCGAGAACGTGTTTCAACAACTCGCCTGTCGCGGATTGTCCGCCCTCGGCCATCCAAAAATTCGGGATGATACTGTCCCTGTAGGGTCCCCACACGCCAGGCACAAAGACCGGGTCCTTTGACATGACAAGGTGGCAAGTGGATGTTCCTGCAACTGCCGCCAGACGGGTGAACGCTTGTGACTGGTCGTTTGCAGGAGTTGATGCATCGAGTTCGTCGGCGGATAGGTTAACCTTGGCGCCCACGGTACCGATCCAGCCTGCGTACGCATCGATCACACCGGAGCCCACGGCAATGCCGGCGGGGAGACCGAGGTCCGCAGCGGCGCGCTCGCAGAGGTAGCCTGCCAGCTCGCCGGCGGAAAGGTATTCGCCATTCTGGGACAGATGTTAGTCAACGTTGTAGGGCATTACGAGCGAAAACATCTGGGAGAGGGGCGACGGCGTAAATCGACCCCAACTGAGCCAGGAAGGTTCCTGAGTTGCGGAAAAAAAGATGAAGAAGCCAAGGTGGCAAGGTCAATATACGATAAGAGGAAAAGAAAAAGGCTCACCACCCCATTGACACCTCCCATCCTCTTGAAATTGTCCTCGGCGAGATCTTCGAGGCCGATTTCTTTCAAGAAGTCCTCCTGCCACCCCTTGACACTTCCGTCCACCCCGACAGGCACGTACCCTTGCTTACACACGACGGAGCAAAAGCTTCTCTTCTCGTTCCCCGTTGCCAGATGTTCTAGCGCGTCTGTAAGGTCGTAAAACTTGCACCGATCAAACAGTTCCTTGGGCATGTTATTCTTCAGCCAGAGCACCTTTGGGATTTCCATCTCAATGCTCATCGTGCCGCCAACGTAGCGGAGCAGGTTGTGTTTAGTGGCGTTTATTTTCTTGGTCTCTTCGACTGGGCGGTGGTCAAGCCACAACACGACATTGTGGTCGTTGGCAGACTGGTCGAAGTTCGGCCCGGTCACCGAGACAGGCTCGTCAGTGTCGTGCGTGAACACGGCGAGTGAACATGTTGCGTCGAACCCGATTCCTCGGATTGAGTGAGGGTCGATGTTGTTCTGTGCGACGGCGCGGTGGACGCTGGTGCAGATACAACGCCAGATATCGGTGGTAGATTGTTCCTACAACGAACTGGTTAGATTGGCCGTCCACTACGAGGACGTGCAGACAGTGCGACGACGCACATAATATCCTGTCTCGGGCTGCCAGAGGCCGATGTTCTCTGAAGACAGACCGACAATGTCGCCCGCCTCATTGATAATACATGCTCGAGCACTACCTGTACCAACATCAATGCCGATGTAGTGATTCATCTGCACGTGCACCTCATTTCGGGCGTCGACTGAGTTCTGTCTCGTTGGAGTGCGGATGCCACTGTTGGGCCCAGGGCGGAAGGGCATAGTCGCGCTCGCCATCTTGATTCAACAAAGTCACAGTGAGCCGGTATACCTCAAGAAGCAAAAGGGGTGGAAGAGGAAAGATAAAGTAAGGACTCTCCCAAAAAAATCTGGGTTGCATTGATGAAGAAGCTACAGTCACCGACGATGTCATCTGTAGATCGGAAAAGTGTTGAAGGCCCAGCACCAGGGCTTCCGACAAGCCGATACCAACCTTTGGAAGCCATTGGATGGCGTTTCGAGTCTTGTGGATAGAAATATGGATCTGGTGTCGAGGGCAATCGAGCTAAATGGGAACCTGCGTCGAGGGGCAGAAGAAATGGAGGGGAATTGTTTCTGTCTCCTCCGTGGCCCCCGTCTCGAGGATGGAGGGGCATTACCACCAGTGCCACCGGACTCTGTAACCACAATAGGCGTTACAGCGCCGACTCGGCAACTGATCGTGAATACCTAGGAGGTCTCGTACCTAAGCTAGTACCTATACCGCAGGTAGACAAGAAATAAAGTGAAGAATTGGAGTTCTGTATTTCACTTCATCTGTCGCCTACACAAGCTCTTGCTTGTGTCCAGCTCTTTCACCTTCATTTTCATACACGCAAAGATACACATTGCTGCCACCCAGTGAAGCTCATCTCGGCCAGACACGTCGGCCGTCCCCAGTCAAAGAACTAATATATACACATGACAAAAGTGCCTCAGGACTGCCCGAAGCTTGCACTTTTCACTGGCCCATCGAATCCTGACTTCCCATCCCTGACATCTTGGAAATCCCAACCTATAAACGCCGACATCAGATCCCATCTTGCTATTCCGGATCTCATGTCATATGCCCTCTGGGTGGCAAATAGCCGCACCCGATTCTTCTGGTGTAGCCTCGTCATCCCTGCGTGCCCAAGCCTTGTGAAAGGTCCAAAACAAGTCTATTCGTTTGTAGAAATGGTAATTCGACATAATGCCAGTCCGAGACGTGAGGTACTTTGCGACCCGGTTTGTTGGGTCGTAGCAAGTCGCTCACGGCTGAACTGACTGTGCTGCAACTGGTGGTACAGCTTCTGGCGGACTGTACTCCCGTTCTTCACCCTCATCTTTCACACCAGCTGCCGCATGAGATGCGCTTTCTTCACTCAGCTGTTGGTGGTCGGCTTCTGGCGCCACTGGTGAATCATGACTTTGTTCGGGTGTTTTGGATGCGTCAGTCACAGCATTGACGCCGGTTTCGGCTTGAGACTTTTCAACCGAAGGTGTCGAGGCCAGCCGCCGACTCATATAGTCTCCAAGACTCAACTTCTTCCTAGCTGGACTTGGAGTAACCGCAGCGCCCGGTGTTGTTACTGGGAACGGACTGGAAGAAGGCAAAGCCAAGGGTGATTGAGCTGTTGCTGTCAAGGGTCCAGGAGTCATGGCCGTACTTGCCGAGGTTGAAGCTATGGTGCTGGTAGCGGGAAATGTAGGGACAGGCGGCAACGACAACAAATGCAATCGAGGAGGAGCTGGAGATGTGAATGGCGGTCGTGTATGCGCCGCCTGCGAGGGAAGGGGATATACTGGCGTGCCCACATTGACAGGACTAGCAATGCTCTTGACACTTGTTGGTGATACCCCAGCAATAACGTTCTCACCCTCTGTGGCGGCATCCTTCATCTCGACATCTTCTGCAGTATCCAGAGACACAGATGACGCTTCAATGCTGGCAGCCAGCGGTGATGTCGGTGACCCACACTCTTGACCATGTATTGCCCGATCTTCCAAGAGCTTTCTAAGCAGCCGCTGCACCGGTGTGCAAAATTTCCTTCTCTTTGGTGGCGGCAGAGGCATGTCAGACTCCTCCGGTTCAGTCTGAACCGATACACTAACATACACAGGCCGCACGAGCTTGTTCTCAGATCTGCTCGCCGTGTCTGTCGACTTGGCACGTTTCAGAGATCCTTCGCGCGGTGGCGGAGACCCGAGAGAATGGTCGTACGGCTTCAAGGGATGACTGCTGGGTGTTGGAGGCTGGGAAGTAGAGCCGTGTCCTAGTTGTTTGGACGCATTCGCGCTGGGTGTGTGGAGAGTTGATCCACCACTGGTTCGCTTCTTCTTCCGTGATGGTCCCTGTCCGCCCTGGTCCTTCTGTTCTTGCTCTTTTTGCGCAAATGCTCTTTCAGCCATCTGGATCTTGCGCAGTTCACGAGCCGTAAGGCCACTCCCAAGAACCGGATCGGCGTCGAGAGCGGCCACGTTGACCGGAGTGATGTCTCGACTCTGTGGATTACTGGGAGAGGACTCGGAGGTGGACCGGCGGTCGAATTGGTCCTCATCGTCAAGCAACTTGGGTTCGCTCCCTGCACGACTGTTGGTGGCCTGTCCAGTGCTCAAAGGCGAAATGGTGTGCTTATTCTTACTCTTCTTCTTTCTGCCTCCTTTCTCTTTTGGCACAATCTCTGTTGACTTCGCAGACGATCGCCGGTCGAAGTTTGCAAGAAGGCAGGGCGAACTCGAGTCGCAGGCGCAGTCTCCGAAATTGGCGAGAACTCGACTGACCCAGTCCAGACGCCGACTCTGCGCTTGTTCTGAATCATCGCGGACGGCATCGACAGAAAACATGCCTTGATCCAGAAACCAGGTTGTGGTGAGTTCGGATCCCGCCGGGATGTCTTTGCTGGCAACGAAACAGTGGTGTGTCTCATCGTCGTCAGAAACAAAGGTCTTGAGCGTGACATTGGGCCGACATGACCTCCGTATGTATCGGAACCGGGTGCCGGACTTTCTGCTGTCGATGTAGATGTCCATATGAGGATGGAAGAACACGAAAGGGTCAGGATGCCGCAGTTCCTGCCATCGGTTGGAGGACGACTTTTGCTGGCAATATTCCTCCAACATGCCCACTTGTCCACGCACTTCCCCCACAATCTCGTCTTTTCTTACAGGAGACTGAACGCGCAGGAACCGCCACGTGGGAAACCGACCTTCGTACTCGGCATCTGTCTTTGAGGCTGTCTCGACTGACACCTCAGGCCAAGCACTTTGATCCAAAGGCCGGTTGAGACGCACAAAGGGAGATTTTGCCGTAGGTTGCAGTCCAGGAGCGCTGACCGCGAGGGATGGATCAGTTCGCCACGTAGAGAGTTTATTGGCCGCTTGGATGGTCTGCTCATTGTCTCTCGCATTGGTATTTCCTTCGTCGCGATCATACAGTTCGAGGAATTCAGGTGTGTAGGTAGGTATAGCAGGAAAACGGAAGAGGTCTTGAGGTGATTTTGAGGGACTTGGGTATGACTGAAGATTGGAAGCGGCGCGTTTCCTGGATTCGCCGTTCATCGATACAATAGAGCCGGAGGTGCGATGATTCGTCTTCGGCTTCTTTGCAAGGGGACCATCTTTTGAGCTAATCGCCGAGTCATGGCGGTCGAGCGAGTGCCAACCGTTCACCTGCTCGGCAGTCGCGTTGTTCTCTTTGTGCTTCTTTTTCTGACTTTTGGAGCTAGGTCGCTTGACCTTCCGGTCACCACCGTCGATAGCCTCTCTGCGCCGCCTCTGCCTTTCGGTAGCTTTCTTTGCGTCAAGATCTCGGGGGAAGCAGTCTGCACAGAAATGCTCTTCTGGCACTTTTTTGCCATGATAGTAGCACTCAATGTGCTGCCAGGTGTCACACTTTGGACAGTAGACAGTGTTGCCATCATCGTCCGCGTAGATACATATGCATTTGATCGTGTATTCCTCCTCTTCTTGGATATTGGTGTCAGAGAGGGAACCATTGGGCAAAGGAGAGGCTAAAGAGGGTGCGGCGGTGACCGGGTAATGGTTCGGCGTGGGATGCGTGGTGAGGAGGGAGGACTCTGTCATAATCTGGCAGAGTACTTCCTCATTGATTGAATTGGAAGATGACTGTGTCTGATTTAGGTCATAAAGTCGTAGGTCGCATATCGCGCATCGCCAGGGCAGGACAGAACCACCTAGAGCTGAGAGTCTCTAAATCGCGTCGAAGATATCGCGCAAGTGTGGTTTGTATCCTGGAGCCCTCAGATATTTGTTTTCCACCTTTTTCGAGCGGTTTTTCACCCTGAACAGATTGTCAAGGAGGGTGATGACTGGTCGGTGGGAGGGCCGCCTAGGCGCAGACGGGAAAGGAGGTGTCGCGAACACTCGGAAAAAAGATCGAGATGAGCAGGGAGGTATGCAGAGAAGTTTTGAGCGATTTGAGATAGTTTTGGTGTTGTTGAAGGGCAATGTTTTCGAGATGAAGAAGAGATTACCAGAGTGTCGAGACACGATGGCGGGAAAAGATCGACAAAGTTCTCGGAGACAAGAACACAGGAAACGAATCGGGAGGTAGAGAACAACGGCGTTCAAGATGTCCGAGCGTCGAAGGAGGATACTGGATGTTATTAGGTGTCCAAAGGTGTAACTGTTTGTTGAAGAGAAGAGGAATGGATGGCAAAGGGAAGAGATGGAGGGACGCAGATACGGGTGCCCGTCAAGCAGCGAGACTGCTACAGCCTAAACCTGAAGCAGCTTTCCTGTAGAAGCCAACCACACAGAGGAGGAAGAGAGACAAAAGACAAGGGACAGGGGAGCGTGCTTAGCTTCGCGGCCGTGGGTAAGTGAAGGGCGTATTTTTGCCTGCGAGCCTACAGTGACCAGAAGCCGAGTCGCAGGGTCGCAGCGAGTCAAAAGCGCAAGAAGCAGAAGCCAAAAGCCCATCTTGAGGGACCCCAGGCTTAGGAACTAGGCTCGCTAGGCTGTGATGGGCAAAGTCCACCCAAGTTTAGGGTAGGAGAGTCCACTGCATTTAGTTATTGATTGTCAGTTTCCAGCCAGCCAGCCAGTGAAGACTTAGGGAATCCTAGCCTAAGATCCTAGCCTAGACTCCACCGCCTTGTGAGTTCACCACCTTTTTCCTTGACGGACTTCGACTTGCCTTCTCTTCTCTTTGTTCTGCTCGTATCAATTTTGCAGTTTCGCAGGCTTCTTGAAATTCGGATTGAGATGAGATGAGATGCGAAACCAAAGCAACCTTCTTCCCGTGGGATCCCTGCGCTCTCCAGCCTGGCCTGCTTGATGGAGTCTCCCTGGCGCTTCGTTATTGCTCGCTTTTGACGAAGAAAGAGTCCCGGCTGCGGCCCTCGAGCTCGACGAATCAGGCATCAGCAGGCCGTATCTTTGGAAATGTTTGCCTGCGCACAAGCCACGCTATTTCCCGTGCCTCCTGCTCCTTTTGCGCCTTGTCCCATTCCTGGCTGTCCTTGTTTTTCCCTCTCATTTATTCTACTCTTTTCCCTTCCCATGTCATGCGCAGTCTCCGTTCTTGTCTGCCTTCAATACTCTGACAGCTCGATCGAATCATCTCTACGTTGCCGCCGTTCTAGACCTGACCCCTCGTTTTAAAGCTTTATGACCTCCTTTTGAGCCGCAAATATCAGCCAGAACTCCCCGGCCAGGACCGAAAAAAGGCGCTGTTTTGTCTCGTCGAGCGGGGTGTGAGGCCGCAGGTGCAGGTGACGCGACAACAGTTGAGTTACTCTTGGACTTGGACTTGGATCTGCTGCATGTCCACTCTTCAAACTCGTTTCGTCACCTGCAGCTGGTGAGCTGGCTTGTCTTCTCTTCATTCGACACGATGACCGTTCTGCAAGGATATCTCTACCGGCTTCATGCTCGACGCTTTTCGCCTTCCCTCTTCTTGTCGCTTTCGTCTCGCCTGCATGCTGATTGTCCCGCCGATACGCATTTGATCATCATTCCACTACTAGCTTTTCGCATTCTCTCCTGTTGCTCACGCTGACGTTTCTAGTCCAACTCTTCACCGGTCAATGTCCTCAACTCCCTCACCTACCACATCCACCATTCACTTGCTTAGGCTGCCACTACCTCTGCTTTCGTTCCACCTATCAAGCCCTACTGCCGTTGTTTACCTGCGTTCGCAATCCCTGACACTTCAATATTCCACATGCAGAGGTCGTTAACACACTGTCTTTTTCGCGCATCCGAATGCTACTTCACATGAGACTGGTGGCCTCGAGCAGGAGCATTCTTAATTCTACGGACATTCCTGTTACTGCGCGAAAAAGCTACTACCATATTTGTCACTTTTGGCGGGAAGAGAAATGGTGGAGCGGCCGATTGCTGGAGCGCTGCCAGTAAGAAAAAACAACAAGACATTACATATGCCTTCAAGTCTATAAAAGTACGATTGCAATGTCTTTGACCAAGGATCCGTGCATTGGGAGCACAACGATGACGAAAATGAGGAGGCGATGACCTGATTGAAAGAGCTTGCCGTTTCGAAGATGGAGCGCAAATCAGTCGCACTTCACACAAAGATGAAGGCAGCAGCTTCCTGTGACGGCAGAGATCTGATGCGCCGATGGGAACACCGTTGATGTCTGATGATGCTCACCTCCCTTGCAAACGCCTCATCTCACCTCACTTCTCAAGGTAAACCACGTCCTTGTCGCCCTTTTCCTCATCCACAACGTCAACTTGACCATTTCCGATCTTCTCCTCGTCCGCACGTCGTGCAATCTCCATGTCCATCCTCTCCCACATCTCAGGCCTCTTGAGCTGCGTAGCGACCTTGTCCTTGAACACGAGGATGTTCCGGTGCTCTTCGAAGTACCGATCGATATCCTCGAGCGTGCGGTTCGCCGTCTCGGGATAGAACAGGTAGGTCGTGGGGATGAAACTGGCACAGATGACGGCCCAGATGATCCAGAAGCGGTAGCCGAGGTTCGCGATTCCCGGCGGTGTAACCTGGGCGACCATGTAGTTCATGATCCAGTTGGTGGACATGGCGAGGGAGGCCCCCTTGGCCCGAAAGCTGATGTGGTTGATCTCGGTTGGATAGAGCCAGGGCACTCCCAAGACGCCCATACCGAAACTCGCAAAAAAGAGGAAAAACCCGGTCGTCGCGACGGCGCCCATGGCGGCAGGATTCGCCTTGCCGGTCTCGGACAGGCCCAGCGTGATGCTGATGATGGTCCAGCATGTCGAGCAGGCGAAAGCAGAGACCATCATGACTCGCCGGCGGCCGTAGCGTTCGATCACGAACCATGCTAAGAAGCTGAAGATAAGGTAGTCGACGGAACCGGCGGCGGTGAGGATGCGGGCTCTACGACGGGTAGGTCAGCCAAGGCATAAAGGTCAACTGTGTTTGAAGGATCGTCGTTCAAGGAAGAACGTGGAGGCGGTGGAAGGAAGGACTTACAGCAGCTCGTTTAGGTTGATGGCGTGGATGAAGATGTATCTGCTGTCAAATCAGCATGGGGGAAAATGAGAGAGGAGCAGGTCTGAGGGACAAAAGACGCTCACGTTTGAAAATAACTGGTACAATTAATAACTTGAAAAGTGTGGTAGTAGAAGACATGTATGAGAATTGATGATAGTATTGCATAAGGAACATCCCTCTCAATGTAGAGTAGATGTTCCTTATATCTATCTGAGACTAACAAAGGATACATTGAGCAAACATATAGCCAAAGGATACAATCATAGAGGTGTTTGGGTTCTGACAGTCAACATAATACCACTGAGCTGATTACTAGCCTGCATCCACGCTCCCAGGATCATTCTTCGGACGACACCAGACGGGCCACGGCCAGTGAGAAGCTGCCACCAAGTATATTTGAGCGCAGTCTCACGGTCAAGAACGTCCTTAATGATGTTGAACTCAGTCCGCACGGAAGCGGACTCTGGAGTGGCGCCGTTGCCCTCCAGAGCGGCGAGGACTTCAAGAGCTTCATCGTATCTGCCCTTACGGATCAACAGACGTGGTGAGTCCGGAAGCCAGGGGCACATCAACCATATGAGGCCCGTGAAGACTGCGCCACGGGGTTGGTTGTTAGTTGGGAAATCTATAAGGCGCAGTGCAGGACGTGTAGATTGAATGGGGATGAGAGGACGAAACAGGAATGTACGTACAAATCTGAAAAGCTAATGGGAATCTCCACGCGACGCTGCCCGGGGCGAAGGAGAAACCCAGCGTCAACCAGTTCGAGAGACAAAATCCGGTAATGCAGTTCGCCATCTGGATGATGACCAGTTTACCACGGCTCCTCATTTTGCTGGTCTCGGACTGCCAGACACCGGCGGTGGCGGTGTTCATTCCTGTGCCCAGGCCAGCAATCACACGGCCGGCCATCATTTGGCCCATTGACCAGCAGGCGGTCTGGACGATCGCACCGATTGCGATGACGGAGCTACCAAGCAGGAGAGTTCGTGGTCGGCCGAGCTTGTCGCCAGTATAGAGCGTGGAGAGCGCCCCTCCGAAGCACCCCAAATTGTACACACTAGTCATAGTGCCTTGGTCCTTGGGCGATGGGTTGCCCATCTGGTTGAGAAAGTTCTGGCCGACGAGGACATTCCCGAAGACGCCCTGCGTTTGGCAGACGCCGTCAGCACAAGGGTTGACGGTCGGTACTTGTCAAGGACTTACCTGATCGTAGCCATAGAAGACAAGGACCGTTGAAGCGGCCAATGAAATCCAAACAGTCAAGGCATTGCCCGAGCCTCCCAGATACTTCCTCTTCGTGGTAGTCATCTTTGACGTGTCAAACCAGATATGTCTTCTCTCTCTCAAACTGGAGGACTGGATATTCAGCAATTCCAACCAGCTTTGATAGCCGAAGGGTTAAGATACGTAGGTGATTGCCGGGCATCTTTAAATACCACACTTTTCTTCCGCGGTTGCGACATCCTGGTCTCTTGTCGCCGAATGATCAACCGAAGATCATATGTTGCCTCATGCCATCGGCAAAGAAGCCGGCGAACAACGCATGCAGAAGCCAGGGAAGATTTGCATAGCCTAAGGGTATAGCGAGTTCTCCTCGAAGCATTTGTGTCCGCACAGCCGTCGGGTTACCCATTTGGGGGTAGCCTTTTTGGTGATGATAGCCGCTATTGTGTTTTACCTTGTTGGAGGAATGGACCACTCTCCGCGCGGGGTTGGATGATCCCGCAAACGCTGTGGTAGTGGTCGAGTTTCTGCAGTATGATGTGGGCTTGGGTAGTTGTGATTCTGTTGGCTCTTGAGGGCGAGCTCTGCAGAAGGATCAAAGAGCCCCATTCCGGTGAGCAGGGGTGGCAGGAGCAGGAGAAACCATCCAGTATCCCCAAAGTGACCTACCGAGTAAATCTGTTCAACTGGCGAAGGTACTCACGTCCTAAGGCCTCATGACTGATACGACGTTGACATTGAGCACTCGCAGAGTCAATGACATTTCGAAAGGGCACCTCCGATCAGAAGCAGCCGTGGTCGGACAATCACGTCAGCAGGTCAAGTAGGTGCCTTTATGTGTACGACGATGCGTACACCAAAATTTAGCTGGCTCCACCATGCCTTGGCATCTTGACAAGTATATTTGGTGATCTGGTAAGTAGGTATGTTGGAAGGAGGTATCTCCTCCGCAGCTCGAGTCATTCCCGGCGCAGATGCCCCTTCGTCCACGGCAAGGGACTTGCTTCCCCCATACCTTTCCCGCCTATCAAGCAGTCATGCCCGTCACACAGGGCGTGCTGGCGGTGGCCGCGGTCCTAGGGTTCCTCTACACGCTTGTCAAAGTGTCCAAAGTAGGCAGTAGGGCAAAGGGCCTTCCACCCGGGCCGCCTACAATTCCAATTTTAGGCAACCTTCATCTTGTTAGTTGAGCCTGAGAGAATCTAGCATGGTGGCGGCTTATCATCAGGCAGATGCCCAGAGTAAAGCCGCATCTTCAGCTACAGAAATGGGCACAAGAGTACGGGTATGAATCACTTACCGCGGAGGCTTGTTCGAAACGCTGACTTTGTAGGCCGATCTATTCATTGATCCTGGGATTGAAAGTCATGATCGTCCTTTCGTCCGATGTTACAGTCAAGGACTTACTGGACAAGAGGAGTTCAATTTATTCAGACCGGCCTGACATGTTTATCGGTCAAAAAATTGCCAGTGGCGATATGAGATTGGTAGTGATGGTAAGACATTCAGGATCTATGAGCAGGATTTCTGCTGCTACCATATTTGCACCTCTGGCTTACCCTTTATTCCTTCGCCTTCATATGACATTGTTCGAACGGTAGCTCGCTGCTAATCACGTCCTTAGAGATATGGGGAGAACTGGCGAATGATCCATCGAATAATCCATAACATCCTCAACATCAAAGCCGCCGTCACCTACCTTCCCTATCAGGATCTCGAGAACAAATTCCTCCTAGCAGGCTTGTTAGAAACTCCTCATGATGTTCTCAATCACATTAGAAGGTATAGCTATTCTTTGTCCACTCAGATGATCTTTGGCTATCGGTGTCCGGACCTTAAAGAACCTAGATTGCAACAATTATTCTGGGTGAGTGTGCATGTGGCCTCCGTCTGTTTTCTAGTGTGATCTGACCTTCTTATGTAGAGTTTTGAGAGATGGGGTGAGCTAGCTGGAAGCGCAAGTGCCCAACTTGCCGATTTGTTTCCCATCATGCAAAAGCTCCCAGCCGCTCTGGCGCCCAATGTGCGATATGCGGCAAAGCTCCATGAGAAGGAGAAGGAGCTCTATGTAGGCCACTGGATGCAGGCGAAGCGAGGCCTGGAAGCCGGCACAGGATTAGTCCGTCACCACGCCGATAGAACTGTTCTGTGAATACCGATTCCACTGACCTTCATCTTAGCCTTGTTTCTGCAACGACCTTTTGAAAGCGCAGACAACCGAGGGATTTTCCGACGATGCAGCGAGGACATCAGCGGCTCGCTGCTAGAGGCAGGCTCCGATACTACGGCGTCTATCCTTTATGGCTTCATTCAGGCTTTGCTGCTCTGGCCTGATGTACAGAAGAAGGCTCAAGAGGAAATCGACCGAGTCGTGGGGTATGATCGAATGCCGACCATTGACGACTATGCCGAGATGAGCTACATTCGCTGCTGCATTAAAGAAAGTCTGCGTTGGATGCCGACCGTGTCTCTGGGTGTACCTCATGCCGTGGTCCAAGATGACGTCTACAACGGCTATGTGATTCCAAAGGGTGCTACAGTCGTTAACAATGTTTGGTACGTATGGCGAAAGCCACGTCTGTCGAACATGGTTGACCAATAACCCGCTATCAGGTCAATCCACATGGACCCCAAACGCCCACCCGATCCGCGCCGATTCAACCCAGATCGATTCGCTGATGACCCGACAACGCTCTATCAATCGGCCACGGGGGACCCAAAGAAACGTGATAACTTCGTCTTTGGCGCTGGCCGCCGCCTTCGCCAGGGTATACACATAGCTGAGAGGTCCCTCTTCTTGGGCATGTCGCGGATGCTTTGGGCATTCAGCGTTTCCAAGGCTTTGGACAGTAAGGGGCTGCCTATCACCCCGGACATGGATGACCTACTCGGAGGTATTACTGTTCAGCCCCGCGATTTTCCAGCCAAATTCACACCAAGGAGCCAGGGCAAGATCGAATCATCAGAGACGCCGTGCGCGAGTGCGAAGAGTTGCTTGATCCCAAGACGAAGCAGTGGACGAAAGTGCCCCCGGGAATGGCCTTCTCTACCTGGATGCCGGAGAAGATCGAGGCTTGAGTCTCCTCATCTTTTTGCCTCTCGGTCGTACTGCTGCGTGATAACAGTAGCGCGTTCATTCTTCACATAGTTGACCAAAGGATCTCGAACAGATTGAATGCACCAAAATGTTGCTATCCGTTACGTTCGAGTAGGATTTCAAAGGTTGCAAGCTACGGCTTAGATACACCTCATCCTTCGCTTCCTGGTGATAAATATAGTTTCCAATCCGGGGTCAGCCAAACTCGACTCCTGCTACCGCTGGAAGTCGCCCATTTTCTCCATCTCGAATGTGTCAACCTGCGTGGTCAATCCCACTGTCGTCGTGAAGGCCTCGTCCGGTTTCGTGGCCACTTTTTCTCTGGCCTCGATCCTTGCTCCCACTCCTGTCTTGCCGACGACGGTGTTCAAAATCTCTTCGGCGTCTTTCTGGCTTTGCACCTCATTACCCCTCCAGGCAACGTGCTCGTCAGGTCGGATCAAAATGAGGGGCTTCTCATACAGCTTTTTTGCCAGGGTCTCTCCGGCGAGGTTGACGTACGTCAGGGGAATCGAGGAGCACGCTGCGGCGTCCATGAGGAGTTCCTGTCTACACCTCTCAGCAGAGAAGCACAGCAAAGTCCAATCTTTACCAAAGTGGTCGAAGACGGGTGTTGAATCGGACAGAAAGAAGTGAGGAGCACGAGCGCCTGGCCAAGTCGATGGTGTATACTGCGAGGCGAGCCACTCGGGCCCTTTGCCGGCCTGGTCGAGTATAACGACGCGTGATTGGTACCGGTGGTCCATCTCAATACCCAAGTCCTTATTTTCGCCGTCATGGGTCTGATAATGACTCCGAATACGTTGCCGCAGAGCTCGTCCCTCTTCAGTGTCTTGATCAATTCGGCAAGGGTCACCGTCGGCAAAGATCTCCTTCATTTGCCCGTGGACGTCAAAATGGACTCCCGAGTGCTCGACACTTCGAAGCGCAACGGGGCGGCGCTCTGCCTCGTAGGATTCAAGGAATGCCGTGCCCGCATAGCCGTTGATAACCGCTGCCAGTTTCCATCCTAGATTATAAGCGTCACCGATGCCCATATTCATTCCGTAGCCTCCGGTAGGGATGTTTTGGTGAGCGGCATCGCCTGCAATCAGAACCCGACTGTGTTGACTCGACCATTGGCGTGCCACCGCGATATTGGGTCTCCAAGTTGATCGGACCAGAATTTCGTCAATCTTGATAGGGAATCTGTCATAGAGACCTCCTAACACGCGGTAGACAGCTTGCTCGGATGTGATCGAGTCCGTATCTGCTTCCATAGGCAAAAACAGATGTGTGGTCCAGGTGTCCTTCTCATCCTGGGAGATAATAGCCCCTCTCAACTCTCCCGGTGGTCCTGCCAGGAAAATGTGCCAAAATTGTCCTTGTTTATGGATGCGAGTTACGTCCGTCGACTTAAAATGGACGAGTAGAACACAGGCTGGACTGTAGTCGAAAGTGAGGTCAGTCATCTACTAGTACAGGGCTTTATAGAGATAACCAGGACTTACATTGGCCCTCCATCCAAGGGGAATCCCATAGATTGCCGAGTTCTACTCGACGCACCATCGCAGCCGACTACATAGTCGGCCACGAAGGTGAAAGTCTCGCCGCTATCTACGTTGACTACTGTCGACTGCACATGCTGCGGGTGTTCTTCAATATGCTCGACCTTCCATCCGAACCGGACACTTATTAATGGATCTGCATCGCAAATGGTCTTGAGCCATTTCTCGAACAGGACCTGGGAGATTCTTTGCCAAGGTTCGAGAGGTCGGGTACCGTCATTGTTTTCCTGAATTTGTTGCCTGAAGCGGTCAACGCCTGGGAGATCCCATTTTGTAATAGGCTCTTTGGCAGACATGCCCGATGAAATTAGGACAGGCTGGTCAATATGTGCCGGTACTCCCAGTTCACGGAGTCCTTCCGAGAGTCCAAGTCGTCGAAATATCTCCATTGAACGTGCGTTGGTCAGATCCATCTTCGGCCATCTCGTGGTGGTCTTGTTGCGCTCGAACAAGACGGATTTGACTCCATAGTGAGAAAGCACTTTGGCTACAAGCAGACCAACGGGCCCTCCGCCAGCGATAAGCACGGTTCCCTTGGGCAGTGTTTCGACGTGTTGGACGTTCCCGTTCGTCTTACCCATCTTGGACAAGTCTCAACCGGCAGGTAGAGCTTTAAATGTGAGGATGGGTGGGTGGCCGATCGAGTATATAGGGGAAGTATCGTCTGCCCTTGTTTGTCAGAGACGTGGAAAATGGGTGGTTCAACGCTTTCTCTGCAATGGCAGGCGAAGGAACAGTCCTGGAGCCTTCTCCTCCTTCTCCGCTTTCCCTTCCTCCCAGGATGAAATGATGGTCCCGATTTGAAGGTACGAGCCAGAGCCGACCAAGTGGCTCGGCCAACCCGCGATCTCCGTGCGGCCCAAAATTCGGCCCGAGCTACTGTATTGTGGAGACAAAGGTGACAGCCTCACGCGGAGGTACGATGTAGGAGGAGTCGTGGGTTCCGACTTCGCCTGCTTCCTTCCTGGAGGTTTTCAGTGCTGTCGGGCTCAGGTCTGACTGCCTCTTGTGAATCAAAGGGAACCATCGAGTTGCGGAGACATTTAAAGGAAGGGAATATTGTAATAGGATGTTCAGTGGTCCGCAATAGCTCCCCAGTCCCTTGGGCGTGTGTTGTTACAGCTCTGTCACGTAGGTATGTAAAGCAGTGCACGACGAGGACGAGCCTTTCCCCGCCCCCGGATTGGCCCCCAGACCTCGGCCTGCTTAGCTTGACTCCCAAGTAACACCCACACAATCTTACCTAAAGGTCAGCTAGGTCCATGCATGCATTATCCCATTGTCCGCATTTGTGCTTTCCGTCTTGCGAATTCCATCCTCAACTTGCGCCGACTCCACGACCTCAATGAAATAACAATGTCATCAACCGAAAGCCCTTCCACCAGGGGCCGCCCATTGACACCAGAATGCAGCCCCCAACCCAGGACCGGGCGTGCCGTGGCCTGTAACTTTTGTAGATCGAAGAAAGTCAGGTGTATGTCAAAGCTGGGGCAAGCTCGAAATCAGCTACCTAACTTCTGCAGGCAATGGAGGTCATCCCTGCGCAAATTGTATAGATCGAAAGCGAGAATGCGTCCGGCCGGCAGGGTCTCGCGCAAGGCACAAGTACGGCTCAAGGGACTACAACACCCTTACAGACAGACTGGCCCGTCTCGAGACCATGGTGGAAAAGTCCCAGTCTGACAGCCGTGCTCGGTCCATCATGACTGCTTCATTGCCTCCCAGCGTCAATCCTACCCGGACAGACTCTTCGTCCACGCCCCCAGTGATCGATCTCACGCGACGTCCCACTACTTCCGACATGTCGGACGAGAGACAATCGTTGCCCAATTTTGACCAATCATTGCTTGCGATGTCTGAGTCTGGAATCGGCAGTCGCCTCCTCTGATGAACTTGTCTACGATGCCGGCAGAAGGGACAGGTGGCGCGGATTCCTTTTCACCAGCGTCATCAATTCCTCAGCCATTTGGCGTACACTGCGGCTTGACTCAACCACTCAACTTCGACCAAAATTCAGCCATGGGATCGATCGAGCACAACGCAGATCAAGTTCGTTCACAATATAGCGGTCCTGCTAGTGGTATGGTCGACACTCCCAGCAGTATACCGGGGGAAGGGGCAATCTCTCGTGATGAGCTCGTAAGTAACGCTTCTGGGCGCTTGGGATCAATGTGGGCCACAAGCTAATACTTTATCAGTCTAACTGGGAGTATCACGGTGTGTGCCCTGTTGCCGTAACACCGAACCCGCATGCTGATCAGTACAGGACCGAAGTCATACCTGTCTATCTGCTCAGAGTCCGGAATAAGCTGGGTGACTGACCGGCTGCCGGACGCAGGCTTTCGTGATATTGCCACCACTTTCATAAAGGATGTGGCACGACGACTGAAGACGGACAGAAAACTATCACTGAGACGAGTATCAGAGCCCACGCCCGAGCTGGCATGGAGATACACAAAAGGTATCATTGCGTTGGACAAAGCCTACTTTCATGCGAGCGCCAGACTGACAAGACAATCTGGCAGCTTATTTCGATAGGGCAGTCGACGCTGCGTTAGGCATCGTCCATCGAGATTGGTTTGAATCGAGACTCGCAGCTCATTTGAGCGCTGGGTATCATGACGATGACGATCCTGGCTGGTATGCACTTCGCAACACAATCTACGCATCAGGTTGCCGCATAGAAGTCTCCAAACTCAGGAATATACGGGACTCAAATCAAGCAGCCTGGGGATGGTTCGAGAACGCACTCTCGGTGCAAACGGAAATCCTCTATTTTCGGACGTCAATGATTGGCATACAAGCACTGACCCTGATGGTAACCACGCATCACACCTAGGGGGTCTGAAAGATGCTGAAAACCTAAACAGGCGTATTTCTGCGAGAATATCGCTAGTCCGTGTCTTGAATACATGCTGTGTTCAAGTGCCCTACGACTCGCGATTTCCAAAGGGCTCCACCGTCAAGCAAGCCCCTCTGCCAAATTGAGCCAGGACGAACAGTCACAGCGAAGTTTGGTCTTCTGGGCGGCATATTGCTTGGAAAAACACGTTACCAGCCAGTCAGGACGACCCTCGGTATGTTGATCCGCGTTCAACGTCGAAAGCGCTTGAGCAATGTGCCCTGACATGCAATGTTTTAGATTATGGACGATGCGGAAATCAACTGTCAAATACCTCAGACGTTGACCCCAGGAAGCTCGGCCAATGTTTTCTACTACGACACACTGATCAGGCTTGCCCAACTGTCGTCCCAAGCCTATCGTAAGATTTTTTCCTACCAAGCGTTGCAAAACCTCTCCCAGGCACCTTACAACCTTATCGGCGAAATCACCAGCTTGGACGCGCAGCTCGAATCTTTGAAGCGTTCCAAAGAGCACGTTTTCCGCCTGGAAGCGCCAATCGACCCAAACGAGCTCCATGCATGCCTGAGCCTTCATCGTGCCATGTACCTACAGTACGCATACTACGTTACCCTCCTCGACATCCACACCATTCTAGCCATCCCTTGGTCCCAAAACATGCTTATTTCAATGCACGAGCCGTCTCTTGCCGTCCAAAGGGAAAAGTCGACCCAAAAAGTGGCCAGAACATGTCGCGATATCATCCTTAGCACCACACACATGAACTTTGACGCTAGCACTCCACATCCGTAGGTGGACAGACGCCGACCAGCGTTTTGAGCCATGACGCTGACGGAAGTGCCTATAGTCTCACATTTCTCGGACCCATGTATGCTTTTATCACTCTTTTTATCCACATTTTGAGATTTCCAGATCAGCCCAGTGTCCGCCTAGACATTTCTATGCTCACCATTTGCTCCGGGCATTTTGCCCGCTTAGAGTTCGCCACCGACTCGGAAATATCCTTTCCATTTGTGACCGAGGTGGCAGCCCTGGCGAGGAGAAGTGCCCGATTCCTTCGACCGGGTCATCCTTCATATCTGGACGGATCAAGTGTCGGAACGCAGGACGACCCTGGCAGATCGTCCGAGGGAGGAAGAGGAGAGACAGGGAAAGCTGGCGTCGGCGTCGGCTTTGCTCCATCAATCGACAATCAGATGAATCAAGATTATAATGTGAGTGTCTCCCCTTTCTAGCCCTATAGCCACCTCCAGAGTCCCCATTCCTGGAGAAGGCGGAGTGCTAAAGTTCTCTCGATCTGCTCCAGAATCCGGGTTACCCTAACAACGGATTCGATAGCGAGCTGGACGACTGGTGTCTCATGTTGCCGACGTATGATCCTGAGACAACCTGCCTGGACCTGTCGTTCGTGATTTGATACCAGGTCCAGTGTCTGAGGAGCCGGTTCTTCCCATGCAGAAAGAGCCGCTTTCCTGGAATCCCCCGTTCACCGGTCTGATCGAATGATGCTTCCAGCATTTCAGCATTTCAGATTGACCCCGATCACTTGAGCTCAGAAGCTGTGCAAGCAGCACAGAACTCCCCAGTGGCAGCACTATCAGGCTTGCAAGATGTAGTCCCGACCGAATCTCAAGCCAGGACCACCTCCTGCATGTGGGGTCTAGAATTGGGACCTGCTATAAGGGCATCCCAGACAGCGCTGATATGGTTCGCGATCGCTCTGGCTTTGACCCCCTAACCACTTGCACAAATCCCACCCGCTGGAAGGGGTAAACATATGGTGTAAAAAGTGACTGCCACTCTGGGACCGAGTCTCGACTTCGGCCTGCTTATAAGAGGGCGATGTAAATTGATGAACTACAGTGATGCTGTCATGTTTTGTACTGCGGGAATGAAGGAGTCAATTGAGGCGAAATAGCCTTTCTTTTTTCGCACGATGGCGGATCAGTTCCTTTCTCTTGTCTGCCAACAAGGCCGGCCCAGCTCAGTGCCCTCAACAAAAGGTCTGCGTGCCGAGTTATATGCGTGAGAATGACTTATCGATTTCGATTCACCCTGTCAACTTTTGGACTATTTATGATTCCTTCAAAGCCGCCAATGTGGGTGCCGAATCCTGTTGGCACTGGCGGCACCAATATCAGCAAAAACGATCTTGAGCATCGGTGTAATAGGGGGAGGGATCAACTGGGGTAGCAAGAACCACCTACCGCAAAAACCTGCATCAACTGCAGCCGATGTGGGCCCCCACAAGTTCTGCTCGGTTCTTGCACAACCAAGCGAGCTGTGAATTCTTGTTCGACCACTTTGGAATTCCTGAACGTCATGGCAATGGAGCCCAAGACCATTAGGTCGCGGCCCTCCTTGTCGTGCACGAAAACCCGCTGAACGGTGTGCTGCCGCTTCGAAATATGTTTCCAGGCATTGCTTCTGCTCCGAGATATCTCTATGGCCAGGCGTTAGGCGTCAGGAGGCTTCAGTTTTCAAAGGGGGGGTGGGCCAGTTGTGCCAGGTGGGCAGGCGGCCATAAATCCCCCAAATATGCTCCAGGACAGGACCGCATCTTCGCCTTGCATTGCATACCTTCGTGGCCACTGAATTCCGCCGCTCCTGTAATCATTTTGGCGTCCTGGGTGAAAATCTCGCTTGCCATTCGAGGTCCGGCTTCGGGACTGGTGTCGTCGGCCAGAGAATAAAATCGATCGATCAAGCTTTTCACCGCTGGATAGCTAATGGCGCTGCAGTAGGCCAGGCGGTGTCCTTGGTCACGTACGACATCTTGTAGTCTAGGTGGTGGCTTTCGCTGGCTGGCTGGCCTGACGAATGCAGCGCACGAAGTGTACGGAGTAAAGGATGTATGGTTTAAGAACTGAATGAGGTCACCACCCAAGCCTGGAAAGAGAGGTTACTCGGACACTCTACCCCGAACATCCACCTCGGGATCCGGGCAGCGGGATGGGATGGCCGGTTGGCTGCTGCCCCAAGGCCTTGACTATTTCGGACCCGGTCAGAGCGCGCCATGATGGCACGTACTCGTACTGTACGGTAGTTCACTAGACCCCAATACCTCTGGTCTGGGTCCACGAGCCTCAGCTACGGGCTAGGTAGGTACAGTACTTCAGTGAGCGCCGCCGAGTTTCACTGGTCCGAGGCCGAGCCCGAGCCCGAGAGCGGCATAGTCCGTAGCGCGACGGTGAGCAACTCGCTATGGGTGGCTGCTTCGTTAGATCCAATGCCAACTCGGTGAGGTGGGATGAAGATAATGGAAGAATCGAATGGTATGGAAACATTTTGCTCTGCAACACACAGTATCATTATGATGACGGGCTTGACAGCGTCCAGGATTTGATGGGCAAGTCGGCAACAATACATGGTGGCTACGTGCCCTGCAGGGATCCTTGTTCCTGCGCAGCAGCAGCCTTTGAGAGCATCGACTGGGAGGTTAAGCCTCAGTCTTGGGAGGTAGATACTGGTACTGTACATGATTTCTCAAAACAAGTCATCTGGGAGAGCTCTTGGCCCAATCTCGACGCGTTTCTTCAATACTTCCTCGGATTCGCCTTGCTTAAGTCTGGCGATGAAACCTTCGGCGTCGAAATCGGTCCCGACCGGGTTCTCGCCAAATTCTTTGCTTGTCATGAATGCGTTGGCCGCCTCGACGGTGTCGAAGTTGTCCACTTGCGTTTCCAACATGTTTCCGTCGGGATCTTTGTAATAAATCGAGGTCGTCGGCCCATGGTTGACGCACACCAAACGGGGCAAATCCCTCGTGCCTGGCGCTGACGGTATGCGACGAGGAGCGCCGACACCGTAGGAAATGTAAAGGCAATGTGTTCCAATCCGGAGCTTGTGGGGACTTTGGGTCCGGTGCCTGGCATGCCGATCAAAGCGATGCGATGGTGCTCTTCGTCGTAGGTGATGAACGACAGAAAGTCATTCCCATGCGTCACCCTGCCTCCTAGAAAGGCAGTGTAGAAGTCGACCATCTTTTGGAAATTGCCGGCATCGGTTCGGAGAACGACGTGCGCAAGCGCCCTTGGACTCAAGACCTTCTCCCCAATATGGTCAAAGTCAGTGACTGGTACGGATCCCATGATGGTGGAATCGTCTCGCAATCTTCTCACGGCGACTGTCTCGGGACGGATCCAAGATGGTGAGGATGTTGTGAGGATGGTGTCTTAAGGAAAACTCTTTTCGGAGTCGCGGGCTTGATTCGTGTCGTGATGGGAAGCTTCGCGGGCCTTTGACCCATCATGCTCGGATTTTGCTCTGCAGAAAGGGTATTCCTCCCCAGATCGTCCGGCCAATAACCCCTTCATGCCCCATATTGCTGGCAAGGAGTTCGGTGGGTTGATCCGGAATGAGTACTGTAAATTTCGGGCTCGGGCTCGGGCTCGGCCTCACTTAGCCCAGTAGTGTCCCTGACGAACGTCGAACGGATCGTTGCCAGGTCCCATTCTTGACAAGATGGCGAATGACACTGCGATGTGGCAGCTCATATCAAGCCAACTAAGGGCGATCCCCGCGTCGTTTATAAAATGTGCTTCGATTTTCGTGGGGTGTCTCGTAAACGTCTTCAAAGCCTTCGTCCGTCAGGGGAGGCTTCTGACTCCGGATCAATCATCAGACCGTCACGGCGTGGGTGGATTACATAGTAAAGCGGGAGCGTGAAGGGGTAAGAAAGGTGAGAAGAAGGCGAGTCGCGAGACATTGGTTCCAGAACGCCTTAGGTACCTAGGTGTTGAAAGCTGACACGGTCTGGGTGAGCACCCACGTGACCTCCGAGCACTCCTAAAGCTGTTTCTACTCATGAGCGAGACGGGAGGGCGACAGCGCGAACTCATATCCAAAGTGGTAGCACAAGAAAGCTATATTGATCCTACGCCTGAATGTCCGTCTCAGATACCAACACAGCTGGTTGTTGGTACACCCAATTTCTGTACGGAGTACGCGGCTACTACTATTCCGTCTTCAACGCGCCTGTTCCCATTCCGCTCATGGATGACAACCCCCCATTCAAGGTCTTATCTGGTATGACGACTGACTGCTGGTCAACCTAAGATATTGATTGGCTCATTCCAAAGGCACTCATTTCCAGCCGCTGATTTTCATCGTGCCGTTCTCGACCAAGTTCTTGTGCATATCGAATGCCTGGAAGAGCAGATGAGGCTCGTGTCCCATGCCTTTTCTCAAGCACTCAAACTCGGCCTTGTCAAAATAATCCTGGAGGATGGGTCTGTATTCTGGATGTGCGCACTTTTTGATGATCTCGCGTGCCCGTTCTCGTGGAGACAAGCCTCGCACATCGGCCAAACCCTGTATTGTCACGTCAGTCAGCCGGGTCTGGCGAAAGACTAAAGACTACGCAAGTCTAAGCAAAGGGAACTCACGATTTCAGTCACCACAACATCGAGATCATGCTCGGTCTGGTCAACGTGTGTGCACATTGGAACGATGCAGCTCACGCCTGTAGGGTCGGTCTTGGAAGGTCGAGTACTGGGTGTATGCATGATGGAGTACTTGGATGAACGGAGGAAATCGGCCGATCCACCAAGGCCGTTGAGCATGCGGGATCCCATGACGCAGGTACTGTTGGCATGGGCATAGATGTCGACTTCAACGGGAGTGTTCATGCCAATGACACCTAATCTTCGGATGATTTCCGGTGAGTTGGACACTTGTTGAGATCGGAGGAGGAGCTTCGTGTGGTATTGTTCCCACTAGGGCTGCGTTAGTGATGGGCAGCAAAGGCATGGTTTTGTCCACACTGAAGGTCACTTACTCCGTCGTAGAAACGCTGGAAGCCGCCGGGCGAGAATCGAATGGACGTGGCGGTCGCGAAGTCCAGGTTACCACTGTCAAACAGGTCGAGGAAAGAGTCTTGCAAGACTTCTGTCCACACCTTCAAGTTCTTGAAGTTGGCTCCTCCTTTCTGAAAGAGGTCAGATATATGGGGTATCACACAATGACTGGTCTGATGGAGCTTACAGCCAGTCCGCCAACCACGGCGTTTGCGATATTTCCAATACCAGACTGAATGGGGAGCAGATTCACGGGCAGTCTGCCATGTTTGACTTCGTGTTGTAAGAATTCAATGAGGTTAGCTGCAATCGCTCGGGATGTGTCATCCTCGGGGGCATTCTCGGTGGTCTGGTCGGGATAGTCGGACTCGACAACAGCAACCACTCGCTCCGGATCAACGGGGATATGGGGTGTGCCAATGCGATCCTCAGGTGCCATGATCAGGTATGGCTGCAGTACTAGTCAGTATAAGGAGTCTTCTCCAAAAGACTAGAGAAAAGAACTGGTCACTGGCCTTTCTCCGTGGTGGCAAGTCTGTCATTGTAATGTCGTGCAAGCCTTCGAAACTAGGCGCAGCAGTGTTGAGTTCGATAATGATCTTGATAGCTTCGTCAGCGCCCGGCTTCATCCGCAGAGTGCTGACGAGGTTACCTTGTCCGCCATTTGGATGATTTCGGGAGAAGCTCCCACACTGGCACCGGGAATAATGCCACCGTCTTCGGTGATGGCAGAAGCTTCGACGATAGCAACATCCAATCTGTTATTCGCCTTGTGCATGGTATAAAAGCCATACATGAGATCCACGGGGAACATGCTAAGATGCTTGTCGAAGAATTTGATGTTGCCATTGTTGATACCTTTGGCGATCTCCTTGCCGACTTGATGAGGAGCTCGTCGTTCGATCATATTGAGGCGAGCCCATCGATTCTCGGTCTCGGCTCCTGAAGAGGCTCCGACGAAGAGGTTGTACTTGAGCTTCCCCTGGAGTCCATTCTTCTCCACGTGATCCGCCAAAGCCGTCGGCACTTTCCTGGCGGACTGGTCAACAAAGGATTCAGAAGAATGACCGGGAGGACGGGATATGTGCTCACTTTGGATATCCTACTCCTGTAAAACCTGACCAGCCAATATAGGACCCGTGAGGAAACAGGTCGATAAGGTCCTCCGCCTTGGCAAGCTTGTTGAGATAGGAAGGACGCCGACAACGGCTCTTGAGCAGGGCTGAGGCGGCCATTGTCTGGGTAGACCACGATGAATCAGTCTACACAGGAGCAGGCCGTAGCAGATACTCCAGGGACTGTGAGCTGTTGATGGTTTAGCAGTACTGGTGATGAACGGGGGATTTTTTATCTCGAACCACGAAACAATGAAAGAAGCTCTGAGCCGGTAAGAAGCCCATGCAAGTTTCGTCATTGGCTTAGACACAGCTCTTAGGGCCTATTAGCTGGGACGGAAGAGCCCTGATGAGCCCCTCTGCCCCTCTCCAGGTGGCTCTCTCCGGACATGGCGGAGTTGGGGACCACGAATCAAAGAGTGACTTAGCCAGGAGCCGCCTAGCGAGATCAAAGCCAGTATCAGTCAATTATCTGACAACCAACTGGATGGCAGTGGGTGCCAATCACGGACCACAGTACACAGTACTCGTACTCCATATCTCGTATACAAGAAACAATCCCTCAAGCCCTCATTCATGTCCCCGAGTCTTCTCCGACTTTTGCAGTATTGCGGATGCTGGCGGTACGCATTGCCCATTGCCATTGCCCACAAGCCTGGCCAGACTCCTTATGGAGTTCCTTTCTCCGCTGATCCGACCTACTCACTAAAATACTTATTGTTTTATTTACAAAAGATTGCCGCCGGCAGGTGAGCATATTCCATCTCTTCCCATGGCTCATCAGGGTCAACATCGATATCTGCAACTGCGCCAATACAAGCCCGGTCGAACAGCTTCTCTCCAACATTGATGCTCCCACTGACGACACGTATCAATTTCACCTGCTGGTCCTTATCCGACTTATATCCCTTCTCCAAAGCCACAAAGTACGCACAAATACCTTCATGCGAGACGGCGACTAGATTCCCCGGCACATCTTTCGTCGGCCTTGATCCAGTGAAAATTTGAACCGAGTTCTGAAGACGGCGAGCATCGGGCGCGTTCCACTCGTTGCCGTACACAATTTCAAAGTGTTCCTTCCAGTCCTTGCCTCGTGCTTCCAGTCGCTTGGACACCTGACCAAGATAGAAGCTCTGGATCCCCGACCGCGTCGGGTACAGTCGGGCTGCCACCGTCATCCTGGAGAGTGATAGCCCTAATGCGATGATCGTTTCGACCAGCACAGCAAGACAATAGCCGTGAGAGGGCGGCACGCCGTCTTGACCTTCTTGGAGCTTGTCTTTGGCGGTGCATATCCCACAATGGCAAGCATTCCTTATCCTCGTCAGGTGTTCCACGTAGGATGCCGATGCGTCTTCATGCGACATTTTCAGCGGTCTTTCCATTCGGCCTTGGAAACGTCGGAGTTCCGGAAGCCAGTTCGTCAGGGTCTCGACCAACCCAGTCCCATAGGACGCCGTGTTACTCTGATTCTGCGTCGAAACCAAATCACTGTGGTCTTCATGTCCCTTGCCTAAGGCAAGTCCCTCGAACATCCGGGCTGCGCTACCGATCATCATTCCAAACGCTTTGGCCTCATCATGATCTAAGTAATGAAAGCTTTTGCCGAAGACTCGTGGAAGGAGAGACTGCCATGCAACCCGACCACCAAACGGAGTCGCGTGGACTGCGGAAGAATACGTCCGGTCCACAAGCGTCAAGTCCGCGATACCAGCAGAGTCTTGGCCTCTGGGCTCGAAAGAGTACGCGAGACCAGGTTCCTCCACGAATACCAGTATTAGCTGTGGTTCCTCGTCTGGGTGTGTCCTCCGCAACTGCTCTCCATTGGTCTGATACACGGTGATTCGAAGGTCGCAGAGCCATTCAGCTACAGCTCCTATCCAACAAATGATCGCGCTGCCCGTATACGTGACTTGCTTTTGGCGCCCGCTGGTAACATCAAGCAGAGCTTGAAGCGCCTGAGCAACGGTCCTTGGCGGGATGAGACTTTCTAACCTCTCAACGCTGATGATGTGATATGGATACAGTCGGATATAGTCCTCCACCAATAGACCGAAATCGGTTGTGGCGAAAGCTCCATTACATGCATGAAGTGCAGCTTTCCATTGAACCAAGTGCGGCGCCAGATCCTCAGGGCCAGCTGCTGCCGCAACCATCTCTGAAAGAACCATAGCCCCATATGTCTCATGAAAAGTTTCTCCCAGGGCGACCATGACGGCCAAGTGATCATAAGCTCCCTCCTGCTCGTGGACCGCCCTGTCGTAGATGACATGCGACGGACACCAGCCGAATGAAAGCTTGTCGGCTGGTGCTACCGAGATATGGACTGGAAGGTTGCCGAGCGCATTATTCACATTGCGTTGACCTGCAACGGCGATGTTGAAGTCGCGAAACAGCAGATAGGCCACATAGCGAGTGTATGGATCAACTTTAGCACCGGTGAATTTGCGTAGGGTTGTCGAATATACTGAGATCGTCTCAGGGAAATCGTCCCCGATAAGAGGCATCCTGGGATACATAGTGTATGTCCTTTCGCGAGCCTGTTTCATGTCCGCAACGGCCCAGAATCAGCTGCAATGGATAGTTGGATAGAAGGAACATTGTGCAAGACTGAGATTGTCCAAAGAATGCGCTCATACCGAGCTGGAATTAACTCAATCCGGTAGTCAGCGTAGGTAATTGAACATTAGTGAAGAAGCGCTGCGAGATCGTGACTCAGCAGCTGCCGGTCCTCGTGGCGCTGTGTGGAAGCACAATGATAGGGTCCATGTGGCATGATGGCCCCAGGTCATCCGATATGCCAACCACAGCGGGGTAAACAGCTCGACAGATACCTAGGTGGTTGGGTATTTACAGGCGAGCAAACTCGTGTCCATGTGGTTGAATCAATCCTCCTTCCTTGTCCATACATGCGACCGTATGACTGGATTGATTCGTCGCTGCTGAGGATCCTTTCGGGAGTCTCACGAAGTCAACAAGTAGCTTACATTGCCAAAGACCTTGTAGGCACGTGACGGGGCTGACCTCCTGGTAACTGGCTCCCCAAGCTACAAGAACTCTGGATCGGTCAGGTTGATGCTGTGACCAGCGTCCATTATGTGCGGATCCAAAGGAGGGCAACACAAGACAACACGGGTACACAAATGGCGCGAACTTGAGAGTATCATAGATGTATCCGACACTACCGTATGTATCCCAGCTCTCCTGTGCTCCAACTTGCCTACAAAACTTCCAGTCCAAGTAAGGGGGTCCAAGAATAGTTGCTCACAGGTTGGGTTTGATCATCTGGTGCGCGGTGATCAAAGGATCGTAGGACCGCTGACCAAGTATATCCTTGGGTACAGGCACTGTATGAGATGCCAACCCACGAGTGTCCACCATGTCCGGGGTAAGATCTTCCACCTTCGCCGCACCAATCAATCTCATGTTCATTACCATCTCGTCCTTAAGGAGTTGCATCGCCCGGTCCACCCCAGGTAGACCGTATGCAGACATGGCGAAAAGGAAAGGTCGACCGATGCCCACGCCTTTCGCTCCTAGGCAGAGAGCTTTGATAATATCTGTTGCTCGTCGAACACCGCCATCGACGAAAATCTCAATCTTGTCTTGGAGACCACGCTCTCGTAGGACAGGCATGACTTCAGCAAGCACTTCAATTCCTGAAGGTGCGGTGTCCAGTTGACGACCGCCGTGATTGGACAGAACCACACCATGTGCGCCAACTTCAATGGCCTTCAAAACGTCCTCGACTCTCTGCACGCCCTTCAGTATAATGGGCATCTTTGTGATGCTCAAGAACCATGGAATATCTTTCCAGCTAAGGCTGGGGTCTATGAAACTCGAAATGGCTCTGGCGGCACCTTGAGATCTGTCAACGTTGTCGCCACTGGTGTTTTGGACATTGGAGCCGGTGTCGTCGAATTTGCTCCGCATGTCCTTTTCTCGTCGGCCAAGTTGGGGAGCGTCGACGGTGATAAATAAACCTTTGCAACCCCGTGATTCTGCATGCTCAACAATCTTTTTCGTGATTTTTCGATCCTTGTTGACATAGAGCTGCAACCATTGGCATTGGTCACCTTCTCGAGCGTCGCAAATCTCATCAAAACTGCACGATGCCAGAGTCGGGATCATCTGAATGACGTTATGTTTCTTCGCGCCCCTCGTCAGAACCACCTCGCCTTCAGCATGTCCCAGTTTGCCCAGCGCAGTGGCGGTGACATAAAAGGGAATGTCGCATTTGGTCCCGAGCATGGTCGTGCTGATGTCCACCTTCTCAACGTCGACCAATATCCTTGGCCGGAACCAGATCTTATGGAAGGCAGAATGATTTTCTCTCATGGTAATTTCATCATCCGCACCAGAGCTGTAATATGCCCAAGCCGTCTTCTTCATGACATATCGGGCGACACTTTCAAAGTCCATAAGATTATAGCATGCCTCGAGAGGCGGCATGTTCTTGATCCTTTCTTGTCTTTCTATTTCTTCTGGGCTCTCCTCTTTCTCCTCTTTCTGCACCGTCTCCATGTTGACCGGTCCAAGGTGTTTCTCTTTCGGCAGGTACTTGTCAAGGGTGTCTGGAGGGTGGATTGGGTCGAACTCTTCAGTAGAATCTTTTCCGGCATACTTGAGAATAATCTTGGGGCCTCCCGGGTGCTCTAACTTGGGTGTTAGCCACATACTGCAAATGTATTGTTCACCACCACCAACCTGGCAAGAACTCTGTCACATCATAGGCTTTTCCATGTACGATGACCCAACAGGAGTCTCGAGAATTGTGCTTTGCCACCTCTTCACCAGTGAGCGTGCCAACGTCTGGCCGTTCTCCCTCGTCGTGATTCATCTTGACGATGATGCTTCTTCGCTGGAAGGTAAAATAGGGAGTCTTTCAGGATCTGGAGGAACGGCCGGTGTGCGTCGACCTGGGGAGGTGAAGAAGGAGATGTAGAAGGCGAGGACGACGAGAAAAGCGAACAAGATTATAAGAGCTGGCCCGATGCTTCCAGACTGGACAACTTGGAGGAAATTATGTCGGTGGAGGACGTAATGGAGAAGCATATCGGCGTCGATTGGGTGGAAGTGGTGGGTAGTGCATCAAGACTCGCACTGACGGGCGATCTGGAGGAGGCGGGGATAACAACGATCTCATCATTGACGGAGTTCGCGCCGCCCACAGGACGCAGCTCTCCAGGTGTACCAAGACTTGAAGACACCTACACCTGCCTACTGGGGTACGAGTAGAATCCAGGAGAACTGCCGTGCCGCTCGGTGCAGCGGAATTAAGCGAGACATGACCATTATGCTGTCGACGATTTGTGGCAAGACTGCGGATGCCATCGAGGACTTGCCATTTGTCATTCAGAATTCGAGAAATTCTCGTTTGTGCATTTATTGTCCCACCTCTTCTTCTCTCCTCTCTAAGAGGGTCAAGCCGTACTGTGCGTGGTAGGCGAGCGGAACGAGGGATCCGGAGGAAGTGTCCGTGGCTGACTGGGGACATGGTCTGCAGGGACAATAAATAGGGCGTGGTCTGGAAAAGGTCTTCGATTGTTCGTGTCAGCTGTTTTCAGGCAATTTGCCAGGTATGCCCGCGTGATACGAATATCAATATGACAGTTCGTCAATGGGCTCGTGCCTTGTCGACCCTGCTGCTGATTGCGAGATTGCGAGAGCAGATTGCAGAAGTTTGGCGGGGTTGTTACTCGTTAAAGGCGAGGCTTGAGTGTTTTCTGGGGGCGAGAGCGAGCGATCTTCGAACTGCGACTTTTGCAACATCGACTCTCCTCTTCCACGTTCACCTTCTTGTCGCGTTTCTCCTTTTCCCTTCTGTTGATCTTCTTTTTCGCTTGTTGGAAATCACTAAGGGAAGCTGACATTGTCGTTCAGGCCTTCGATGCTGCACCAGCTGACCTCTCTGAACCAGACATCGTGACTCAATAAGCTACAGGCTACCACGGTACTGGGCTCCTTCCCGTTGCTCCGCCTACTCTTGAAAAAATGAGATAGAAAAATTCAGAAGAAGCACGTCTTCCTACCCTTCCCTCTTTTCTTCCCCTGTCGTCCCTCAGCCACAATGAGTGCTGCTCCGCCCTTGATCACGACGACGGCCCCTCAGCCTATTCCTGCGACCTCGATAGAGGCCAAACTGGTGGTTCTTGGTGCTCAAGGGGTTGGAAAGACTTCCCTTGTGTCCCGCTTCATAAACCCAACTGCACAGTTGTCTAAAAACGTTCAGTCGACGATCGGCGCGTCCTTTGTCACGAAACGCATTACCGACCCAGACACATCGACGACTGTTCGCCTGCAAATATGGGACACTGCGGGGCAAGAGAGGTTCAGAAGCATATCTCGACTCTATTATCGAGGCGCGAATGCTGGTCTGCTATGCTACGACATAACCAATGAACACAGTTTCGAAGAGATGAAGACATGGCTAGCAGAGATGAAGGAGAATTGCGAGGAAGGAGAGGCCATGCCCATCATCCACGTGGTTGGTACAAAGACCGACATTGTTGCAGATGATCCCTCGCGCCGGGAGGTCACTTTTGAGAGAACCATTGCATATGTGGCAGAGCAACTGGGAGCCGTGGTTGCGCAGAGTACTGCTTCGACACCCCCCTTGACCATGAAACCTGGCAACATACAGAGTCCAGACTCGAAACGCAGCTCGGGATTTTGGAACCAGGATATTGGATGGGATAGCTGTCACGAAGTCAATGCGAAGGATGGTGAAGGCATCGAGGAGGTCTTTCGGGTGATTGCGCGAAAATTGATCGAGCAGAAGCATCAAAAGGATGCTGTCGAGATGGCCCGGCTGCAGCAAACTCCTGGGTATCGGAGTGAGAATGGAGACGACTATTTTGCAGGACACCATGGCCACAACGGAAGCTTTAGAGTTGGGTATGGAGACAAAAGACGAAGCTGGCTGGGTTTGCCGAGTGTTGGATTGGGTATCGGCGAATCTGAAGGTGGAGGACCGGGCTACGGGACTCGCGATCCGGAAGAAGCCAGACGCAGAGGGAGGTGCTGTTGATACGCATATGCACTGGTGGAGTTGAAACAATCATCGGGCACAGGTAATTGTCGTTCCTGGGCGAGATGCAAGGCGCACGGGGTTTAGGATCCTTGTCACATTCGGAAGGACAGCTCATGGCTTGGTGGGAATGGATATCTGCTTACTCGGAACACTGCACTGTATACGAAGATAGGTCCCAGGCTTATGATTTTGATGCTGAGAAGATGCAATACATTTGTTACGGCCGGTGTCCTAAATGATTTTACCTTCCTCGGCGTCTAGATCGATTTTCCCATATAAGGAATGAGCTTCCTACGCCGCTCCAAGAGATCTCGGTGTCATGTCACCACAGCCGCCGGCTCGTATTGGCAGCAAGAGGGTCAGATATTCGCCTACGGAGTACCTTACGGAGTAATGATCAGGGTCCCCCCCCCGTCCCCCCCGGTTCCATTGTGCCACCTTTCTTGGCCCTTGGGGGTGGAGGTTCGCTAATTACCTAGGTAAAGAGGAGGACAAACACGACAAGCTACCTGTAACAGTCCTATGATGATTGCTCCAACCTCGCATCAGTCGTCGTGTCAAGCTCCTCCCAAGCCAAAAGACTTGGCCAGCCAAGGTGTCTTGGTTCTCTTGTAACCTAGTCACAGACTGCCGGTGCCTGTCCTCCTCGATCTCCTGCCATGTACTATGGTGGTACGGAGTATGCCCAAGTTCTTCCTCTCCGGGGTCGATGCCACGAAAAGGAAATCGTCGGACCGAGAATGCATCACTACGGAGAATGCGACCGAGCACATCCTTGGATAACCGATGGCTTGTTTCGCTTGAATTATCCTCCCCGACTTTGGAAGCTTAAGACTTGCTTCTGGTGCTTTTCCATGCTTGACACATCTCGCGCCATTTACGTAAGCGATATGGACCATGGCCAGTCGCAGATGTGCTTCAGTCGTGCTTCAGTGAGGCCAAGCAGTTCCCCAAAGCATCGTCGAACGATGTTACACTGCAATAAATTGATCCGCAGCCCCTGCAGGCCGATGGTGCCACTGCCAGAAGCCACGATTGGCTTTCTACGGCACTCCGAGTCCACACCCTCCCTGTTTCTTGCAAAGTGACAGCTGTGGCGATGACTTACGACTTCCACAGACCTCATCCTTTCCCCGCAGATTTGAATGCGGCCACCAATCCAAAAGGGCAAAGGAAGCCTTCACCCCGGATGCATCATGCCAAGCAGAAAACGCCAAATGACCTACGGGCTACGAATGCCCAAATCAGAAGGCGCTGATGGAACTCTCCTTATTGCTGGCCTGTGGCGATCCATAGAGAAGAATCAGCACACTTTGACCCGCGTCACTAACGACACATGGCTCTCATACTCGTAACCGTGAACGAGGTAACCGGGGTTCATGCTGCAAACGGCCTTCTTTGCCGACAGGATATGGAAATGATGGCCGTTGTGGCAGACTTCACTTAAGTAGCGACGCAGGCACTTCCCTCCGCTTCGTTTCACCCCGTCCCTTACCTTTCCAACCTCTTCTTCACTTTCGTTACACACGCGCTCCCTCAACATGGCTGCCAACACCGTGGCTGGCTACCAGGCTGAGCCGTCCAGCGAGAAGCACATCGCGACTGGCGAGGACGTTGCTCCCGATGTCTCCCCTCATGGATCCGACCCGGAAAAGTTCAACGATCCGCACATGCGACAGCTAGCAAGCGAGATCTCATATGCTGATGAGGAAGATCCGGTCAATAGGCAACACAATCCCTTGGCTCAGAAGCTCCGGTCGCGCCATATGCAAATGATAGCAATCGGTAAGTGAGTTCGAGGTCAAGCCAGATGACAACATCTTGATTGGATCCCAAACGGTTGGCCTTGAGCATTATGGGCGGTCTTTACTAACAACCACAGGCGGCTCTATCGGTGCAGGTCTTTTTGTCGGCTCTGGTGGCGCCTTACACACTGGCGGTCCGGCAAGCGTCCTACTCGGTTTCATCATCGTTGGTTTCATGTTGCTGTGTACTATGCAAGCTCTCGGCGAGCTTACAGTGCTATATCCAGTGAACGGCGCTTTCTACACATACATAGTCCGATTTGTCGATCCATCTTGGGGTTTTGCTGTCGGTTGGGATTACGCAATCGGCTGGCTGACAGTCCTACCTTTCGAACTCACGGCTGCTTCCATCACCATTCAGTATTGGCGCGACGACATTCACGTCAGTGTGTGGATCACGATATTCTTGGTCTTCCTGTGCGGTATCCAGATCTTTGGAGTCCGCGGATATGGTGAGGTGGAATTTGTCCTGGCCCTGATCAAGATCATCGCTTGCACTGGGTTCATCATTTTCGGCATCGTTGTCGACTGTGGTGGCGTCCCATCGGACAACCGTGGCTACATTGGCGCTCACTACTGGCACGATCCAGGTGCATTTCGGAACGGCTTCAAGGGTTTCTGCAGGTATGTGAGATGATATCCCCCGTTGCTGTCATGGTTTTGCGACCGCCTCAGCCCTTTCGGAATAGTTGCCCCTGTGGGAATTACCCCTGAGTTGTCTACCATATGGGTGCCATAGTATTTTCAGCACTAAAATCGCATTCGACACTCCCTCGTACATGCAATTTCATATCTACACGTCTCAAACCACAACATATCGCTAATAACAATGTCTACAGTGTCTTCGTCACAGCAGCATTCGCCTTCGGCGGGACAGAATTGGTCGGTCTTGCTGCAGCTGAGGCGGCTGATCCCCAGAGATCGCTGCCCAAGGCCACTCGGCAGGTGTTTTGGCGGATTGCGACCTTCTACGTCCTGTCTCTGTTCATTGTTGGACTGATTGTGCCGTCTGACAGCCAGGATCTCCTGGGGGCCAGCGGCGCCAATACGAAAGCGTCACCGTTTGTGCTCGCCATCAAATATGCGGGCGTCAAGGGCTTACCGTCTGTCATGAACGCTGTCATCACCATCTCAGTCATCAGCGTTGCCAACAGCTGCACATACGGATCTTCGAGAACCATGCAAGCACTTGCGGCCAGAGGTATGGGACCTAGGTTCTTGATGTACGTGGACAAGAAGGGACGCCCGGTTTGGTGCATTGTGATTCAGCTACTATTCGGCTGTCTTGCTTATATCGGTGAGGCGAATGCTTCTGGCACCATTTTCACATGGTTGCTTGCGTTGTCCGGATTGAGTTTCTTCTTCCTGTGGTTCAGCATCAATCTTGCACACGTCCGTAAGTCTCTCCAGTCTCTCCTGTTTTCCTCGTGAGTTGCGCCCTCGCACTTTCGCGTCGCGCCTCTTCGGGCTCGGCGTCCTCCTTGGAGACAACTACTTTCCTCGAGGGCTTTTGGTCTGGTGAAAACCCCGTAAAAATCAAGACCAGGACTGACAATTGGAAATAGGCTTCCGACATGGTTGGTACGCGCACGGTTTCACCAAAGAACAACTCCCGTACAGAGCTGCATTCGGAATCACTGGAAGCTATATAGGCGTTGCGCTCAATGCACTCGCCATGATTGCCACGTTCTACACGTCTTTGTTCCCCCTGGGTTCAAGTCCTGACGCACAAACGTTCTTCGAAAACTACCTGGCGGCTCCCATTGTCCTGGCGTTGTACCTTTTCTGGAAGATTTGGTCGAGAGATTGGAAGATGTGGGTCAAAGCAGAAGACATGAATGTCACAGTCGGTATCAGAAGAGGCAGTCTCGAAATGGCGGCCGAGAAAGGAAGAAGCGGGTGGATGAAAGCTCTTCGAGTGTTCATCTAGACCTGGGTGCATAGTCCAGGCAAGATACTTTGTCGGACCAAGCTTTGGCTCTGCGCTCCGACAATCTGGCAAGGCTATGGGCGAGGCTTGTAAACGCCATAGTGGACCTACAGTATCAACGCCAAGAAATAGGTATACTGGTGTTTACTGGGCTAGCGCAGCACTTCAATACGTTACCAATGCATGAACTGGCTGAACTTCACTCTAATCCTTTACTCGTACTGATGATGAACGTCCCTTCGGCGTCTGATGTGCCGAGCCATTCCTTCGTCACATGTGATATTCCTTCCACCACCAGACTTTCTCGGCGATCTGCCGCTGCGCATTGCCCCGGCAAGACTCTAGCCGTTGCACGCTCTTGGTACTCACAATGATGCACCGAGATCTCCCATTCCAGGGGCTGTATGAGATCAGTGAGCAAAGTCATAATTCGTATCAGCCAGGCTCGCTGGGCATTACAGCGAGAAACAAGCTCCCTGCTTATCCCCTGCGGCCCGCACACTGGCATCATGCTGGTATTCTGTAAGTACGGAGACTCCAGACTCGCCTAGTGAGCCCCCGGATGGGTCAAGGACGTGGAGGATGCGAATACTTCCGATCTCAGCACTGCGAGGACGATATAATAGTAGCTCGTCGGATATCAATCTTGTCCGCAATCTGTTCTCTCAGTAACGTCCGCCTCGTTGTCAATTTCGACGTTGGATATCCAGAGAGCCAGTTACAACTTACGAGTTACTGCTACAATGCGACTGTGGAAGCACAGCTTCGCGGGCAAGACTCTGGTCTTCGCCGTCACGGCTGCATCATGCCAGGCCTTTTTGCTGCTGGGTTATGATCAAGGTATACACATGGCCCCAACCTGATGGAACATCTTCTAGTCCTGTGCAGAACGACTATCGAACAGAATACGATGCTAATGATCCAACGTTTCGCAGGTGTCATGGGCGGTATCATCGGCGCCAACAATGAATTCGGCCAGGATTTCAATCATCCTGATGCGGACATGCAGGGGAACATCACGGCTTTATATGATAGTCAGTCTTTCAGTCGTTTCTTCTCACTTGTGGATAGCCAGGATGTTGGCTTGCTTCCCCTTTTTCGACCCGACTTCGACCCTTTTTCCCAATGGTGTCCTTTCTTCAACTCCTCTGCCGGATTGAGATGGCCCGACATTGAGCTAACTACTGTCCGTTCTTCACAGTCGGATGCGTCGTCGGCAGTATCATAACGTACTTTGTTGGCGAACGTCTCGGTCGGCGCACGCTCCTTATCCTCGGCGGCAGCATCATGATCATCGGCAACGCCATTCTTGGGCCGTCATACACCGTCGGCCAACTCATTGTCGGTCGCATCGTGACGGGTATTGGCAACGGCATGAACAGTTCCACTGCGCCGGTCTACCTTTCCGAATGTTCCCCGGCCTCCCACCGAGGTGTTCTGAACACGTTCCAAGGCACCGTCACCATCCTGGGCGTTGTCATAGCATACTGGCCGGACTATGGTCTCAGCTTCTCGTCTTCAAGCATCCAGTGGCGCTTTCCCCTGGCGTTCCAAGCGGTTTTCGCCATTTTGCTTGTCTTGCAAGTGATCGGTCTTCCTGAGACACCGCGCTGGCTCGTCCAGCGTGACCGCTTGGAGGATGCGAAGACAACCGTCACCGCGCTGCTGGGCACGAGCGAGGACGATCCGAAAGTCACGGGGACACTGCTTGACATACGAAGCGTGGTCGAGAAAGAGCACAAGGGCGGCCCGTTCAAGTTCAAGGAGCTGTTCAGTATCCATGGGACCCAGAACTTCAGACGCTTGATGCTTACGATCTCGGTTCAATTTGGACAACAGCTGAGTGGCAGCAAGTTGATTGTCAGGCCTCTGAGTACTTCTACATCTTCTTTGTGGTATTGTTTGTATGCAAACATGCCTCATGGCAAAGGAGGATACTTGTTTGCTATTAGATAGTATATGTAGCGGGATATCTCCCACTCTTGGGAGATGTCCTCCATCAATCCTATCAATATCTTCTATGTACTCTCTATCTGCCACATTCAAGTCAGCAATATGTTGAACTATTACGCCCCAGTCATCTATCAGGACCAGATGTCGCTGTCGCGTGAGCTGTCGCCGATTCTGGGTGGATGTACAGAGGTGACCTACCTCGTCGGGTCGGTACTGCCGCTTTTCGTAATCGACAAGTTCGGGCGTCGGTTGCTGCTCATGTTCTCTCCGGCTGGGCTCTGTCTGTGCTTCGTCATGGTGTCGATATTGTTGTCGATCGGCTCGAGAGGAACGGCGTATGGAGCGACGGCGTTCATCTTCCTCTTCCAGCTCTTTTACCCTTGTACGAGTACTGGTTTACTAACGCTCGTGCAGATGGCTTCCGGTGCCTCGACTAGGTATCGAGCGAAGGTGCAAGCTATTTCGAGCGCGTGGAACTGGATGTTCGTCTTTGTGGTGGTCAAGGTGAGTCAGCAGCGCGACCCCCTTTTCTGAAGGGTCATTCACTGAGAGACTGATACCGATAATCCGCTAGGTCACGCCTATTGCGATGCAGAATATCGGATGGCGGACGTTTGTCATTTTCGCCATTCAGAACTTCCTCTTCATTCCAATGGTGTATTGCTTCTATCCTGAAACGAAGGGATTAGAACTTGAAGACATTCCGCTGCTCTTCCACAAGGGCGGCATCACGGGAGGAGTCTTTACTAGCAGAGGGAAGACGGTGGTTCCCCACCAGCATGCTCAACAGCAACAGATTGGCAGGGACGAGAAGACGGACAACGAAGTACGGGAGGTGGAAGATAGAGCATGAAGGCGAAGGTCCTGGAAAGCTACATGTACTAGTATTGTATCGCCATCGACGTCTCACCAGTGCAGATTCAATATGACCGCGCTCGACCACGGCACATCCACAGTCACCATTCCATTCTGAGCAACCTGAACGACCTCGTTCCTGGTGACGTTGTTGAGCACCACCGGTCTCCCTTCATCCAGCTCGTAATTGTACGAGTACCCATCAAATGTGATCCCCGTGATCGCATCACTTCCGTTTGCCAGGAGTCTCTGCACGCCAACACTCTTAACACTTGCGCCCTTGTTCGTACCAGGCGGCAGCTGGAAGGTGAACGTCTCGCTCGGTCGTGGCCCACTCGCGCCGGTTGTGGTATTGTAAGCCCGCATTTGAATGATGGCAACACGCTCCAGTCGGCCATTGACATACGCTGCGTACGCGTTCTGGTAGGTACTGCCCAGCTCGATGTCGCTTATGCTCACATTGTTGGCCGTCAGGTCACCGAGAAACGCTGCGACCATGATATTCCCATAGTACGGGGCTTTTGTGCCGAGGGTCTCATTGACGGTCTGGACGGGCTGCCATGATGCATAGCGGTAATTGGTGCCCTGGTGCATGTGGACACGTCCGATGCCCGTAGCGGCGCAGTAGAGGTTGAAGTCGACACCCCACAGAGTGGCACCGAAGGAGTTTGACAGACCCGGTGCGCCTTCGTTGTAGAGGCTGTTCGTCTCGCCGAGTATGTATGGCAGACCGGTGTTGGCAAGGAGATTGGATTCGTTCAGATGCTTGGCTACCGACAGGACGGTCGACGTGTGATTCATCAGGGTGCCTTGCAATGTCACGCCAGGCTGAGTGGCGCCTCCGATGTAGCTGCTTCGAGTCAGTCGAGATCATTCTTTAGCAAAATAGATAGGTACTTGCTTATGGCTGTCGATAAAAGCGATGTCATTGTCTGCATCCAGTCCGGCATTCCAGGTCCTGATCAGGTTGAGACTGTTGCCTGCACCTCCAAAGCTTGGTGCGTAGAACTTGAACTTGCCTTGGGCGACCACCTCTGGGCAATTTTCCTGGACAAGCTGTTTCATGATCCGAGTCTTATTGAGCCATTCTTGGACGTAGTCGGTCTCGTTCCACCAGCTCGGTCTAACTGGACCCTGGGAGCTGGTCTTGTAGAGGTCAGGCTCGTTGCCCAGCTGCCAGTATGCAAGTTTGCCATTGCCCAGTGCTTTGCAAGCCAAGGGGACAGTGCCGATGAGGGTATCATAGCCGACGGTGCCATTCTTTGCCAGGTTGAAGCCATGCAAGAACGTCATATTGGGCCATGTCGAGTACGAGTCGAAATATGATGGGCCGATTGATATCGTGGTCGGATAGTCTTTGGATCGATTGAAGTTGAAACTTCCGATCAATGCTTCTGTTTGAGAAGCATCGAACGTGGCATAGTCCCTGCCAACACTGTTGGTCGCTCGTAACAAAGGAAGGCAATATGACCTACTGGGTGTTTCCACCGACTCTGATGATTGGATTCGAGCCCTGAAGCCCTCCAAGGTTCTTCAAGAGGGTGTACGAGAAGGCATTCGGGTTGCTTGAATTGCCTGAGCGTCTTGTTAAGCAACTCTTCGCAGTACAAGTTCAACAACCATACCAGCAAAGTCCGGGAATGATGAGAACTCGATCGAGAACGAGACGAACGAGTCAAGGATAGGCTTGCTTGCATTCTGGGGTGGCGCCGGGCACAAAGGAATGGCACATTGAGCCAATCCTGCGAACAGCAAGCCTGCAACAATGCCCGAAGTAAACATCATTAATGACGGGTCAATACAGCGTCCTACAGGGCGAGATGAGGTGTTCGCTCCAGGTCTCTGAAGCTCTTGAAGACTGTGCCAGACAGAGCTCGAGGTTTCATTCCACTACAAGACACTCGCTTCCAGCACTCCGCGTTCATGTTACTCTCGGCACCTTTTTGCCTAATACTAGTAGGTGTTCTCCAGGTTTGTGATCATTGCGATTGGCGACTGGTTGCGGGGAGAGCATCATGATCTGCAGCGAGTATCCAACTGAGACGCGATGATGCTACAGCGTTTTGCCGAGAAAGGCAGCTCGATCAGTGTCACTGCGAGCAATGGATTGGTCCTGCGTCGGCTTCGAGAGGACGATGAGTATAAGAGAGAGAAAGAAAGAGAAAAGATAGAGCCTCATGTGAATGTACCACTGCTCGCCAAGTTCTACATGCCTGTCTGACGCATACGTTTCCGGTATTCTCCACTGATTCTCCTCGTGGTTTGCGTGGTCTGACACTTCAATAACAGGCCTACAATGTCGACGACCCCGAGCATCCCAATGGCACTCATCGAGAAGGTGAATGCCGGGTTATTTGCGAATGGCACCGTCATACACCCTATGTCGACCTATACGGATCTATTCGATGATCACGGTCCAAGCAAGCCCCTAATCTCACTGATCACGTCCTTCACAGCCTCAACAGGCAGCAAATGCCCACACCTTTCGACAACTCTTATTTTCACATCGACCCCCATCGACTGTAGTACATCTACAGTCTCCTTGCACACCTTTTCCACAGTCTCAACTTTATCTTCTCGCCCTACGAGCACTCTCACCTTCAACGCACGCCTATCCTTCATCAGAGTCATGAACCCCTTCAATACCTCTGTGCAATCGAGCTTCATGCCGTACTCCACCCACCCTCTCTTCGCGCCAGGACTCATCCCCACAGCGTCGCCGGCAAGTCTCCTCACCATGTCATCATCCAGCGGAGCGTAGCTAAGTACATTTCGCACCGTCCAGCCCGCACTCTCAAGACTGTCGTAGGCTCTGAGTTGTTGCGCACACATCTCGGGTGGAAGATTGAGAGGCCCAATCGGTGCAGGCGCCAGGAGTAACATGCGTTCGATTTCGATTCTGACGCCGTTGCCAATGCCACCGCTTGCGAGAAGATAGAGGACATGGTACGCGATTTTTGCGGACATGCTGTGGGCAACGAGTACGAGTCTCCCCGACGAAACGAGGTCAAGAAAGTCTGGGCTGGATAGGACCCTGACGACATCGGCGGCAAGGCTGGAGGTGGAGTGATCCTGAGCTGTATCCGGGCCTCGAGCATGTGTCGACCCTGTTCCTCGATAAGTCAGTGCCACGCTGATGCTCGACGAGGACAACAATGCAAGCTGTGTCAGGACGCTGTCGAATGTCGATGCCGAACCGCCCCAGAACGGTAAGCACAAGACGGTAGGCGTCCTGCCATCAGTGACAGGAGGCTTGTGGTATCGGACGTTCAGTGTCAGGTGGCCGCTGTTGTCGGATGAAACTGATGATTGCAGAGATGTAGCCTGGATCTGGATGTCTCGTGACAAGAGCTTGACGTGAGTCGACGTGGACATTGTGGCGGTTTGTCTGGGCCGGGATGGCAGCCTCGACTTGCTAGCAGTCACTTGACAGTATGGAATGCTTGCCCGTTCTGCTTCTATCAATCCAAGAATAGTGGTGGGATATCCACGGATGTCTTATATAGCCGGATGCTCCTTCTCCATGGCCGGAACTGGCTTGTGGCCCAAGCACTGGACCTGCTGCGTGGGTACTCTTTGTGAAGTTCGGTTCGCACTATACCTAATAAAGTATTTGATTGAGACCTGTTTGCGGCGAATTACTCCATCACACATACGGAGATATTCCGCAATCGAGAGACCAATACGTAGTATGTCTCGCTGCGACAGGCGGCTGCTTAGGACCAGACCATGGCTGACATCCGGACAGAGGTTGTCCCGAAATCAAAAATGGTACCACAGAAGTATTTTCAAATCAACGCCCAAAAAGGAATACTCACTCAACCCGGCATGTGCATGCCCCCCACACAACAGAAGCTTACAGCACAGCAATGTCAAGAGCAGCTCATTGATGTCTGGGAGGGTTGCTGATTTTGCTTTGCAATGAACTAGCTACTTGAGGAATTCAAAATCCTGTCAGCCCAGCTGAATCGTTCTCCAACCATATGAGAAAGAAGGTCTGCCATCATTCAACTCAGCAATCTGTCGCTGGTGGCTTTCTGCCGGTGAAGCAGATTTTTCAGATTCTCCTGCTGCTCCGTCGCTCCCAAAGCAAGTCTAATGCTAAACGATTTTTGGTATTAGTCCCGTCGTGATAGTCGTAGCTCGTTCCTTTCTTCCTGCATGTTGAGCTCCTGAAGGCAAGTCGTCTCTAAAAAGCGCCGCTCCCATTGTCTCGCCCGATAATTCCAGTTCATCAAGCTCTGTGGGTTGTGTCATTTCGTTCTGTCCTTCATACGTCACATTTGCCTGGGTCGGGACCCAAGCAAGTCCTTCCGTTTGCTGGCCAGCACCCTTCTTGGGATTACCTTTCAGGCGATGCGTGAGACGGTGCTGGTGTTGTGTGGCCAGGATGCGGCGCGGGGCCCTGAGATGGGGGTGGAAGTGGTTGTTGTGGCGGTTGCTGCTGCTGATGCTGTGACGGATGATGGTTGGGAGGCGGATGCTGTGGTGGTGGCTGCACCTGGGGCTGAGGTGGTTGTCCCTTCTGCTGCTGATTTGAGGCGTCTGGAGCGGCTCGGGAGAATTCTTCGATGCCCGGCAAGATTCCATTGGCAGGTCGATCGAAACCCATGTGTCCGCAGAGGACAACATCCGACTCGCCCATTGGCTGCCATCGAACATCTCTCAATCTTGTCGCAATAGGTCTGCCAGAGTAGTCAAACGTCGGATCAGGCGATACTGGTACTCCTCCCTTCCCAAAGAACGTGGGGGCAATGGTCATGATGACAGAATCAATCAGGTGAGTGTAGCGCCACTTTAGAAGTTCGGATAGAACAATGCCACCTCCTTCAATCATAACACTCTTGATCCCCTCGCGGAAAAGCACGTTGAACAGTCCTTCCCAATTCAGACCTCCAGCCTGAGGATGATAGTCATTGATCATGAGGTATTCACCTCCATGGGACTTCAGGGTACTGACGGCCACAGGATGCAGCATAGCCCCTGGGGCCACCACGACCCATGGGCCTTTACCACGACCCTCGGCTGCAGCTTTGAGGACTTTCATCTCAGGTTGAATAACAAGTTTGGCATGAGGATCGATGATAATAGGCCTTGGCTGGTATTCCAACGGTAAGCCACCATAGCCAGTGGGGTTGGCGAGCCGACAGTTGAGAGCTGGGTCGTCGATCATGGCTGTCGTGACACCAATGAGGATAGCATCGTGACGACTTCGTAGATAGTGCGTCATTGCTTTCGTCTCTGGCCCAGAAATAACTGTCGAGGCGCCCACCACCTGGGTGATCTTGCTGTCGAGACTGCTCGCCCAGGTGAGTGTGATATGAGGTCGGCCGCGGCTTGCGACAGCCTTCAGGTCAGGAACATAGGCGTCCAGAAAGCTTCGAGCGTGTTGAGGATATTGCAGGGTGTCCACGGTCACTGGTCCTGATTCGGGTCTGGCGGTCTCTGGCTTGCCTGGTTCCAGCCTTCCAAACACTCCTGGTTGCACAGGTGGTGCAGGCATCTTAGGTGGTGTTGGAGGACGTTGACGGGGAGCACGAGCCTGGTTGAAGCCAGTATGTGCCTTTAGTATGGCCAGCTGGTTTTCTTGTCGCCAGGCGTACTGGACATTGCGGACATCGGACACCTTCATGTATTTGCCTCCTGCAGCTTCCATCTTGTCCGGCTCTTCCCACATCTTCCAATAGACCGAGGCCGGCAAGAAGCCCTTGGTCGCTTCACGACGTGCGGTATCCATTATCCCAGAGTTGCGTTTGGTTGAGTCAATATAATCCAGGTCATGCGAATGTTTCTGAAAATTGTCTACCGCCCTTGAAATCGTGCAGCTGTGAACCGGCCCGGAGCTGTAGACAACTTTCATTGTCATACCGCAGGTCTTGTCATCCCGCACTCGTTTCTTCCTTGACTGTTTACCTTCGGGAGTTGGTCGCGGGACATGAGCTTTCTGACTGGCATTCTTGCGGAGCCTACAGGCGTAGTAGTCCGTCCTCACACTGGTCTCCGGCTGTTCTCCTGTTCTCATCTTGCGCCAAACATTGTCAACGAAAGGGTAGTAGGCTTCGAAGTCGGCGATTGGGAGCTCGATGGGCTCCTCGAGATCATGAAGTCTCTGCCGCATTTGACCCAAGTCAACGGGATTTGAGAAGACGCTGTAGTTTGTAGGTTCATCGGACACGGCGTAGGGCTTTCCATTCTGTAGTGTTCGTTGTTCTCCCGCCTCGTCATCGTCTAGCATAGTTGTGTCAACTTGAGCTTCATCATCACTTTCGAGCTGGTCGTCGCCAGGATGATCGACTCCATCAGGAGTCATGGGAGTTTGGGGCCCGCTGCTCATGATGATCGACCTAGGGAAAGGTTGGTGATCGACTCGCAAGCCGCAGGCGCTAGGGAGTTCCCAGGATGCGATTGAAGGGATGCTCCGGAGAGGAAAGTTTTGAATAAAGACACGCTGTCATCGAAAGGGAGAAGAGTACAGTTGTGGGAAGGTTGAAGTGAATTGAAGCTTGAGAAAGGGGATCTGGACAGGTCAATGCTGCTCGATCGTGGCCGAGAAATTGTTTTGCGATCGTGGTGGTCAGCCCGAAACTTCATGGTCCAATTCAACACGCGATTGAGGTTGATCGGCGACTCTCCACACGCCAAGATTTCTGTATGCAAGGGACAAATTGTGATTCTTATGTGTACTGCGAGACATTGTCAGGACAGAAAAAAGGTGGCATTATTGGACAAGGGCACCCGTGGGCACCCTAGTCTCGTCAAGTAATCTTCTTGACGTTCGAGGCGATACCTCCCTGAGATATAGTGTCTACTCTTACAATCATAGATGAACATCTGACATAGATAGCCGTCTATGGCTCTTCTAATGCAACAGTCAGACCTTGATTCTCGGTAGCGCCGTTGCTTCGGCTGGAATTCTAGGCTCTCTTCTTGGTTTGGGCACCGTCTGGCGCCCGGGAAAATGGCTGTCTGGGTCATCTCCTACCACCATACCGCGGCCGGCTCCATGAGCGGCTTCTCGACCTGCTTCTGCTCCGACTATAACTGCTCCTAGAACTGTAACTTGGACTTCTTCGCCTCCGCGGTGGCGGGCTTCGGGCTGGCGGTCCTCGTCGCCGAGGCGGACTCCTTGAAGGTGACCTCGAATATGAAGGGCTGCGTCGCCGTCGGTGTCGCGGGGGTGAAGGTGATCTTGAATATGGGGCTCGTGGGATGTAGGTATCTTCATCTGCGCCTCTTCTTCCACCTCCAAACCCTCCTCTTCTAGCTGGTGGACTTCGATATCTAGCAGGCGGTGGTCCTCTCGGAGGCGCCCCGTATCTAGATGGTGGTGGACCTGGTCTGGAAGACCTGGCTGGGGGAGGCAAGCGAGAGAATGCCCGACGAGGTAGGACAATGCTGACTGAGATGACCATGCCGTCCAGTTGCGCTTCGTGCATATGAGCAATAGCAGCTTCTGACCCTGACGGGTGGTCGTAGAGGATGTAGGCCGTCCCTCGATTTGTCATGACTGCTCAACATTAGATAAATCCTGCACTGTCGTTGATCTCACGTACATTGTTTGTTGAGCGGAAGGTCAATTGACTCGATGCGACCATAAGACCCAAAGATCTCGCGCAAATGTGATTCCGTCACGTTCCTGGTGAGTTTTTCCACCACAATCTTCGAGCTCTGAACTCGTCGGCTTTCCCTGCTCAGGCTGCGCGTGTAGCTGCGATCTCGATATGACCTCCTGTCACCGCGACTTGGGCTTCTGCTTCGCGATGCGCTGCGACTGCGACTTCTCCCTCGAGCATTGCCATTGCGTCCATCTCTCTGAGGTAGCGATCTTGGTGAAGCGGATCGACGAGGAGAAGGAGAACGGCTGTAACCTCGTGAAGGTGCTCGCCGTACGGATGTGGCAGTGTGAGAGCGTGCAGGGGAGCGGCCTCTGGAAGGCGATCTCGACGGCATTCTGGCGATGAACGGACAGTCAGATATAGGAACAATGGATTGGATGCACCGCTAGGCAATGATCATGGTCAGTGAAAGCTGGATCAAGTTCCGAGAAGATTGTTTGGGAAGAATGCAAATCGGTCGCATGTTCATGTCCCCAGGAAATTTGGCAGCAGAGGCGCGTCATTCTTGGAGACGCAAAAATGGGCACGATGGCGCCCTCTCCAGGTTTCACCTTCGCGTTCACCACCATCTCCTTCATATGTGTCCTGTCCATATGTCGGGATTGCATCCTCAGCCATCAAGCATTGATACTCGGTGTCTCCATCCATGCTTTTGCCCCAGTAAGATACCTAATTTCGGGATTCTAAATCTCTTCTCCTTACAAAGCGTGACTCGCAATGCCCTTCATGATGGTGCTCGCTACCATTATCATCTCCGGTGCTGTCCTGCTACTTGGAGGACCTCGCCTTTTCTGTCCTCATCTACTGCCTATATGGGAGTCTGAAAGCCCCGCTAGGCTCAACTTCTCACCGAATCAACTGTCTGGCTTCGACATTTTGGTTGTTTTGAGCAAGCTTCTCTCTAGGTCTATCAGCCATTCGGCTTTCGGACCATGGATCAAACTCAGTTTCAGAGAAGTTCCTACCGACCAGCAAATTTCCTTGACTATGCCTCTTCAAACCAGCCAGGCGGACCTGGATGCTTACATAGCCGCTGATGGAAGAAGCGCTCTTGTTGGTGTATCATGGCCTGGCCCTCAGCAGCTGCTGTTCCTTTCTGCATTGACTGAACCAGCCATGTTGCTATTGCTGGCTCGCAATAACTGCAAAGTTCGTCCACTTGGCGCAGTCAATGTTCGAAATCGGATTGAGCTATTACGGCCTGACCTATGCACAATGCCACTCCTTATGCCCTTCGTCGGAGCTACCTTGACTACTTCTTGTTCCCAAAAGTGCGGTCTGGTCAGACGAGGGTTCGAATATGACCTTGTAGTGAGTCTACAGATTCCCAGTGAGGCTTCGGGGCAGCAAGTCACCGTGTTCAGACAAATCTTTACCATCCTACAGTTTTCGAAGCATGAGATCCATGCCAGTCACCAGGCACGACCATCAGACGCCGACCCCTCGACGAAATGGATGGAGTCTGTACCGTTCAGTTTTAAAGCCGACGACCCCTCGCTATGGGCAAAGGTTTGCAAAGACTACAATCCCATTCACATCTCTGCAATTGCGGCAAGAATGCTGGGATTGCCCGGCATCATTGCACATGGAAACCATGTCGCGGTGAAAGCTTTCGCCTCGCTGGAGCAAAGTACCTTACCTACGGGCTACGCCGAGTTCTGCCGCAAAGAAAATCCGCGTTGGATGGAGATTGCCTTCATACGGCCCATAAAAGTGCCTACGGTTTTGAACGCGAGAGTTTCAATGAGACCATCCAACTCGGAGGACTCTTCAAACGAGTACATGGCCTTTGAGATACTGGAAAAAGACAAGGTGTGCATTCGAGGCAGATTTGGGTACTCTTAACGACGGGTCGACCATATTATTAAGCGTTCTGCTAAGCTTCTGCTGTTGCGCCCACACGAAGGATAGAAGCCTAAAACAACCACAACTGTCTCGACGAGCCAGCCCAAATACGGCTCCCAGATAAGGGCACGGTCAGGAACATAATGTCAACCACACCTATGCATACGGAATGCTTCGGATATTTGGCCCATAGCAACGTTCCGACCCAGACTCCGATTGGAAATGCTGGGTGCTGATCGGCGGTATAGTCACTGGCCCACCCAAAAATTTCAGCCACTTCGCGTATTTCTTTTGCCTATCTGCCCCATCATGGCTCCCTGCAGGTTACAATATGAGGAGGAGCTCCTCCGCATGGACAATCGCAGAGTACTCGAACTTCGATCTATCTCCCGGAATGAGCGCTTGACGCCCCCGTTTGCGCCTTCATACAATGTCCTGAAGCGTTACGACTATTGCTTAATTTGATCCTGGAGTCTCGGAATTTGGCCAGCGCGCCTGGAGTTATTCATTTGTCAGCTTCTGGCGTAGGAAGGAAATGTCGTTCATCGTCGCATATCGAAGACCAAAAGCCAAGCTAGCCCGAGCTCCGAGCGTGTCGAAGCAACCCAACGAGCGTCCGACTCTGGCTTCGAGCAATACGCACAGGGGACTACTAGCATATGAAGACCTCCCTCATTGGTATCGAGACAACCACTTCATGAGGTCGGGTTACCGCCCGGTTTCGAACTCATGGCGTATATGTGCCTACTCTCTGGGCCACCTTCATAACGAGACCGTCAACATCTATACACATCTTATTCCGGGTTTCCTTTTCGTTCTCGGCCAAGCTTTGACCTATTTTGGAATCAACCATCTCTACCCCGAAGCCTCGCTTATGGATCATATCGTTTTCGGCTCTAACATCGCGACGGCTGCAATCACGATGGTCCTCTCTGCTGCTTATCATACGCTTATGAACCACTCAATGCACATGTCCGCCCTGATGCTCAGAGTGGACTACGTCGGTATCTTGACATTGATACTCGGGTCTTTCTTCTCTGGTATCTACGTCGGGTTCCGATGCGAACCTGCAATATGTTGGACGTACTGGACAATGATCATTACGCTCAGCATTATCACGTCGGTTCTGGTCTTGCATCCGCAACTGCAGGGCTTAGAGTACCGAAGTCATCGTTCCTGGGCATTCATCCTGACGGCACTTTCGGGATTTGCTCCAATCATCCACGGCCTCCTTCTTTACGGCTGGAATGAAATGCTGATAAGGTCCGGCATGCAATACTACCTGCTGGAGGGCCTTGTCTATGGCATCGGTGCCTTCTTCTTCTTGACTCGAATACCAGAATCGATTTGGCCGGGCTCTTTCGACATATGGTTCTCATCGCACCAAATATTCCACATTCTCGTTGTCTTTGCAAGTCAGGTCCATCTCTATGGTGTCTGGGTCGCTTTTGACTGGAACTATCAGAATCTTAAGAGTTGTCCTGTGCTGGATACGTGACTGGCCTGCAAAGCATGTAGAAGAACTATAGATACGACAGAAGCAGGCGTGGTGTGAGAGATAAGTCCAACGACAGGGTTTATTGTTCATCTCTGCGAGCCTTGATGATGGCTCTTGAAGAGCCTGGCTTCCAGCCGAGCTGTGGTCTCTCCCGAGTGGCATGCAGTTCCGTGTGGCTATGAGTCCTGGCAATCTCCTCACGCTCTATCTCTTCGGAGTATGCCAAGTTCATTTCACTCCTCCCAACCCCGTCGTCCCACCGCTGCATCTTTTTATATCTGAATCCTTAGGCAGCGCCAATGTCTAAGCGATTGCCGACTCGTGCCATGGGCCAGGAACAATGTGGTTCAGATTACTAGCGCGATCAGTGCTCCAATTTTCCAGCGGTATGCAGTACTATGCACGCCCCGGAACATTGACCGCTGATTCGTCAACCTGATCGTACAGCAACGAGTATACTCCGTAGATGACGGGTTACTATATTGAATGGTGAGGTAGCATTGGATAGTGCAAGAAATGAGCTCTCCATGACATTGTCGATATTATATAGAGGCCAGTTGCTCGTGACAGGACAAAGCAGTGGACTCCGTCACCAATTTTCGAAGGCAAAGTCCAAAGTCGCTCATTTCGCAACGTCCTCAAAATGGTCTGTTGGGAGTTTGCTCTCGTCTTGAGCAGCGCCGCTGGTGCAATCGCCGCCGCCGCCCATGCATCTTCATACATTCAATATTCAACCGTGACGGGTTATTTCCTGCAAGACGACAACTCTACCAATGCCACGACGTTTGACTATGTAAGCAAAGCTCTGCCTTACCAAGGACTGGCACTCATGCACGGTAGACTGCAGCCAATTTCGGTCTCATCAACCAGACATACTCAAGTGACCGGGCGAATGCGGCGTCTCTGACTCAATGGCAAAAGTTTGCCATTTTGGTCTCGTCTTTAAACGCAAAGTCCCCCAAGAACGTCGACTACAAAGTTCTCTTCATGGGTCGACATGGCGAAGGCTGGCACAACGCAGCCGAATCCTATTACGGCACACCAGCATGGAACTGCTACTGGTCTCTCCTGAATGGCAATGCGACAGCGACATGGTCCGACGCGCATCTGACGGACAACGGCATAGCTCAGGCTCTCAAGGCCAATGCGTTCTGGTTGTCTCGCATCCAGACCCAGAAAATCCCCACGCCGGAGAACTACTACGTCTCGCCGCTCTCACGGTGCCTGGCCACGGCAAATCTCACATTCTCTGGCCTTCCGTTGCCCGCGAAGCACGCATTCCTCCCGACCATCAAGGAGAAACTCAGAGAGGGCATCTCCGAGCACACGTGCGACCACCGTAGCAACAAGACGTATATCCACGATATGTTTCCGTCGTGGAAGTTCGAGGCTGGATTCTCAGAATACGACGAGCTCTGGACTGGCGTGACTGCCGAGACGGATTCAGCACAGGATTTGCGCTCGAAGCAAGTTCTCGACGATATTTTCTCGAGCGACTGTTCCACCTGGCTGAGTTTCACGTCGCACTCGGGCGAGATCGCATCGATTTTGAGGGTGTTGGGACACCGGCCCTTCTCACTGAACACGGGCGCCGTGATCGCCGTGCTGGTAAAGGCGGAGACAATCAGTCCGTCACAGGCGACGAGTACGATTTCCGCGGCACCGTGGACAGCTAGTCCACACTGTACGGCGCCACCAGTGACGAGTATTAGTTCCGGAGCGAATGGAGGGTGTGTTTGTCCCAACAGTGCGGCGCCGGTGACGACGACATTGGTGGCCGTCGACTAGTTCATGCCATAAATGAGTCGAGAAGAATTCGTATGCCGTGCTGGTAGAATTCGAACAGAGGGTGAGCTCCTTGTTAGATAGGGAGCCACGGTCAGTAATATAGCGAACGGTATCCCTAGCATTCGATGGCCAAAGCTGCGAGGCCCATTCTGCGATCAACAAGGCAGCTTCAACAGGCCGCTAAAATACTTCCTTCAAGCGTTGGTGACTGAACGTATTCACATGACAATATCAGTATATGACGCCCCGAAAGGATGAGACCGGGCTATGCTCATGACATTATGGTCCCTTCTTGTATTATCACAGTAGGCATAAAGCATGCTCGTATGTAAAATTGAGGGAGTGAAAGGGGCAGTTGAACGGGAGAATGGGGTTCCGTATGCCAAGCCCTAGAGGCCGGCTTCTCTAGCCCCGAATGGCAGCCCTGAGCCCGCAAGCTCGGTCGTCGGTTTGGGTTGCCAATCGTTAGCAAGCTGCGCCAGGCCAGGTTGATTATCTTTCTGGACTGCATTCCAGCTTCACTTCTGTCCACGACTCACATTGGCTTGGTTCGTGGACAATCATGTACAAATTGGGTCGCCGTAGCTTGGGCCCGGCCTTGAAGGCTATCAGGGTAAGTTCCAACACCACGGCAGGTGAACTACTTGGGTTAACAGCGACCAACAGGACTCACCAGCACGGAGCTCAGTACAACAGCGACGAAACCTTAGCATTCACGAATACCTCTCTGCGAGACTGCTCAAATCAGTATGATACTAGACGTCGTCTCTGTGACAGCCCTAACTTTCAGCAGTACGGTATTGGCGTTCCTGATGGAGAGGTAGCGAAGACAGCGCAAGAGGCTGAGACAATTGCAAGGAAGATTGGTATATATGCACATTTGAAGAGATTGGGCCTATACTGATTCTTTTAGACGGAGATGATATGGTCATCAAAGCGCAAGTCCTTGCGGGTGGTCGAGGCAAAGGTACTTTTGACAACGGCCTGAAAGGAGGTGTCAGAGTCATCTACTCGTATGCTGTTCTGCATCAAAGACCTGGCTCCTCCAGCACTGACTCCTTGGACAGTGCTACAGAAGCGAAGATGTTTGCTGAACAGATGATCGGCCACAAACTAGTCACGAAACAGACTGGTGCTCGAGGCCGCATTTGCAATTCGGTATACATCTGCGAACGTAAATTCGCCCGTCGAGAATTCTACCTTGCCATCCTTATGGATCGATCGACTCAATCGCCGGTCATTGTTGCCTCGTCGCAGGGTGGTATGGATATTGAGACCGTGGCCAAAGAGACGCCTGACGCTATTCTTACGACCCCGATCGATATCAACCAGGGAGTGACCGATGAGATTGCCAGAAATATTGCAACAAAACTCGGGTTCAGTGAACAATGCATCGAAGATGCGAAAAATACCATTCAGAGACTGTACCAGGTTTTCATGGACAAGGATGCTACCCAAATTGAAATCAATCCCTTGAGTGAGACCAGTGATCATCAAGTATTGGCTATGGATGCGAAGTTGAACTTCGACGATAACGCCGAGTTTCGGCAGAAGGAGGTCTTCAGCTGGAGAGATACTTCGCAAGAAGATCCCGATGAGGTCAAGGCTGCAGAGTATGGCATTTTTCCCCAGCTGACCAAAGTCTCCCACTGATCTCTCAATAGGCAAGGTCTCAACTTCATCAAACTCGACGGTGATATCGGCTGTCTTGTCAATGGTGCTGGACTCGCCATGGCGACTATGGATATCATCAAGCTGAACGGTGGCACCCCTGCGAATTTCCTTGATGTTGGCGGTGGTGCTACCCCAGAGGCCATCAAAGAGGCATTTGACTTGATCACCAGCGATCCCAAGGTCACGGCAATTTTCGTCAACATCTTTGGTGGTATTGTCAGATGTGACGCCATCGCTCAAGGCTTGATCAATGTTGTACAACAGATGAACTTGCGCTTACCTATTGTGTGTCGATTGCAAGGTACCAACATGGAGAAGGCGGCCGAATTGGTAAGTGTTTCGGTTCAGAGGAAGATATCGCTCGCTAACTTCGGGAACAGGTCAATAACTCTGGCCTCAAGATTTTCTCCATCACCGATCTGCAAGAAGCTGCGGCCAAGGCAGTTGACTTCTCCAAGATCGTGAAAATGGCTAGAGAGATTGATGTTGGTGTCGAGTTCAGCCTTGGTATCTGAGCCCCGCCGGGTTTGCGGTCGAAATGAGTTGATAGTCATTCAGGCTCGACCGATTAGCAGCTTTCTTGTACTTGTTCAACAGCAAAATCTCGCCAAATACCATATCGCCTTACAATTCAATCGTGCTGCATTAGTATCGCCAGTTCAAGTCTCGCCTACTTTCAAGGATTCGTCTTCTCTTTTTCAAGTCATGATATGTCCGGGCGAGGTCCCATCAACGTGGTGGATCGGATTTCTCGGCTGTTACTGTGTTCAAAAGCTCTGCTTCGATCTCATATTTACTTGTCCGCACTACCCAGTATATATTTATTCTTACATGGTGGTCTGACCGTCCTTTCCTCGGCCTTCACGCCGTGTTTGGGTCTTTCTCGTTGCCTCCTCTTCGAGGCCCACTTGTTGGCATTCCGCTGCTCGCCGGTTCCTCGGCGTCCTGGTCTACCAATCACGTTCCTCGTTCCCTCACGCACGCTCACAGCAAAAATATATCTCTGCTCATTTCCATATAATCAAAAAAAAAACAAGATAACTGGACACACGGGGATTTGAACCCCGGACCTTTCACAGACTCATTCGTATAGGTAAATGCGAAGCGAAAATCATACCCCTAGACCATGTGCTGTTTGATTGTTAGGACCGACATTTATCGAAAGGTACAGTATTTGGGAGAGACTTACCCCCAGCCAGCAAATCCAGATGCGATGGATTTAACCATGCAATCAGCGTGGATTTCAAGCAAATTTGGGGCACCACAGTTGATATACCTCTTATTTTTCTCCAGCCAGAACTTGTATCGTCATACCCGTCGTCTCCGAGATTTGCAGGAAAAGATCCGAACCATGATGGCACAACGGAACGAATCGTGGGGCGGCATCAAATCCAAGCCAAGCTACTTTCAAACTCGATGGTTCGTTCAACACGGAAAGCCGGCATCGTCATCGCCTCTTTTCCTCTTGGGCAACCTCGCTATTGTCGACGACAACGTGAGAAATATAGGCGTAAGCTCGAAATCTGCCCCTCTTTGACTTCGCAGACGTTCCCTTCTTTCCGTTCGCATAACTGGCGTTCTTTTCTTTACTGTCGTCTGTATGGATGCGGGTGGACTCCGAGTGTTTCATGGATTGCGTGCGTTCGACACAGCCGACTTTCCGTTTCTGCCATTGTGTCGTTGGGCTGGGGTGGAATATAACCAGGCACAATGCTCCCAGTCCGTCGCTCGGCGACTCCTTTCAGAAAGCATGGGGCCATCATGCAGAGAAACGATCCAGATGCGCAACACTTCTATAGCGACGAGCACGGGAGTGCTGCTCGCTCGGTAACCACATCTCGCAGCCAGGAAGGCTGGCGAACACCTACCATCGAAGATCCAGAGCATCCAGTGAACCTGTCTCGCAGCCTAGACAGTATCTTCCAACATGGATCTGCTACACATCGCAACGGCTCGCAACGGCATACGGATGATGAAAAGCAAGCTGAATTCCCATACGAAGACGAGGCCGAAACTGAGACGCCGAAGCATCTATCTTGGAGACAAAGGATGCAGCACGTCACCTGGGCGTGGTTCACTATGACCATGGCTACTGGTGGTATCGCCAATGTATTGCACGACGGTATGACCTGCCTTTCCCAAATCCAGAAAGTGTGAAACTGACAAGGCCCAGTACCTTACAGGTTTCATGGTCTCTACACCATCGGCCTCATCTTCTTCCTGATGAACATTGTCTTCTACGTCAGCATCTGGGCAATGATCATCACCCGCTTCGTGCTGTATCCATGGACGTTCAAAGCGAGCTTCACACATCCTACCGAGTCGCTCTTCGTTCCCGCGTTCGCTGTCTCATTTGGTACGATTTTGATCAACATCGTCGAGTACGGAACCGGCAACGTTGGAGCGTGGCTCAACTGCACTGTCCTTGTTCTCTTCTGGCTCGACTGTGGTGTGGCCATCGCACTCAGCATCACCATCTACCTGATCCTATGGTCTACCCTGACATTCACAATTGCGCGCATGACACCTATCTGGATCTTCCCAGCCTACCCTCTCCTTATCATTGGTCCACATGCTGCGAAACTGGCAGCAAAGGTAATTAGCTTGCAACACGCCATTCGCGTCATCATCGCAGGGTTCACCATTCAAGGCATTGGATTTCTCGTCTCCCTGACCATTTACTCGGCGTTTGTCTATCGGCTCATGACACAGAAACTACCTCCAGAACCACTTCGGCCTGGCATGTTCGTCTCAGTCGGACCCTCGGCATTTACCGTCAGTGGAACTATTGGCATGGCACAGAACTTGCAGAGAGTGATCGCTTCCAGTCCGACTTCGAGATTCATGGACGTTCCCGGCCTGATGGCCTCGCGCATTCTCCGACTTTGTGGAAACTGGATGTCGCTTTGGTTGTGGGGCCTAGCCTGGTGGTTCTTCTTCATCAGCTTGCTCTCCAACGCTGACTGTCTGCGAGAGAAACATCGTATGCCCTTCGCCATGACTTGGTTCAGCTTCATCTTCCCTCAGACCGCCTTGACAACGGCCACGTTCGCCGTCGCTGAAGCATTTGACGTTGATGCAATCAGGGTAATCGGCTGTGTCATGACTTGTGTCTTGATACTGGCTTGGGGAGTTGTGGTTGGATGCATGATCAGAGCGATCATCAATAAACAAGTCATGTGGCCGGAGAAGGGAGAGGATAAAACGGAAGGTGGCTTCAAAGCTCACCAGAACAGGTCGGAAACGTCTTTGAGCATCGTGCCTACTGCTCTTGCAGTCGCTGATGTTCGCGACCCTCGCCAGGAAGCTGCGGCCGATGCAGCGGCTGATAATGTCTGATGTACTTCGAGCGTTTTTTGTCCTTTTTGCATATGTCTGCAGATGTTGGATCCTACTATTACACCATTCCTCGCTCTGCAGGCAGTGGTCGAGATTTCATTGAGATCTGACAGCGCAGCAGATGCTAGCACCTAGCTACGACAGGAATCATATTAGTGTTCTTCCTAGAGATGGGTTTCTTCCATAATGGTACAAGTACTGTCTTCAAAGAAGCAAAATAGCAAACAGTCAACGGGCCAAGGTGTCTGCTCACACCTGCTGCTCTACCCAGGATTCCCTTCTCCGTCGTAGAAGACGAGGCCCCGCCCGCCAACCAAAATTGGCCTACCTTCGAGGGGGAATCCCAGACACATACTGCTAGACTAGGTCTAAGTAGAGTGCGACATGAGGCCTCTACCATCGGTCCGACTCAAAGGAATATCTGGGGACCTTAAAATATAAGGGAGTCGGTATGGCAGAAAGGATGTATTCACTGGAGATGCCCTCCCTCGTAGGAGACCTCACTGATGTCGGACGAAGCACTCCTGGGTCTGAGGTACATCAGAGGTCTGATGTGAAGGCAAACTAGTCCGGAATTGGCTGCGTCACATGACTATTCTTGGCATCCTGTCTCATGGGTGGTTTTCTTCTTTCCATCGTTGCAATCTGCTTTCTCGCAAAGCTGGCTGTCTCGTTCAGGTGGAGGATTTCATATGTCCAGGGTATTCGAAGTCCCCATCAGTCATGGGGCAAGTGCTCGTATCAATATCTCCGAGCCTGCTCTACGAGCCTTGGGTCTCAGTCTATGTACCTGGACCTCTTCTTTCGTGCTCGCCAGCTTACTTCACAAGCTTGAGCTCCACCCGGTGAGGTCAAGTACCCTTCCGGTACTGGAACTTGGAGCTGGCACTGGGCTCGTCGGGCTGACTGCAGCCACGCTTTGGAGGGTACCGGTAGTGTTGACAGACTTACCACCCATTGTGGCAGGCCTTGCTGGAAACATCAACCTCAACTCCAATGTAGTGGAAGACCTTGTGCAATGCGGCTCTTTGGACTGGACTTCGCCAGATATTCTCGAATTACAGAGCGGAAAAACCTACACTGCAGAAAAGGACAAAGCGATGGTGATCTTGGCCGCCGATGTTGTCTATTCCGAAGAACATCCGGAGCTCCTTTCTCAGACGATCCTCCGATGGCTAGCTGATGGGCCAGCTTCTCGAGCGGTGGTTGCTTATCCTCTGCGTGTGGCTTACCTGGATCAAATCCGGGAATTGTGGGAGCTATTGGAAGCTGGAGGTCTCGAGGCCATCGAAGAAGGCCGAGAACAAGCCAGCACCAAAGATTGGGATGATGAATGTCTCATAGAGTTTTGTGTTTGGAGATGGAAGTCGAGCAACGGACCGCGAAGAGCGCCTTAACGACTAATCGCAACAATGGGCCATGCGCAATCAGATGCCCTGGAATTGCTGGCACTACATGGAGAAACCCCTCTGCTCAGCCAACGATACCACCTTCCTTTTAGGAGAGATATTCACATTGTTGCTTTCACAGACGAGCCAACGACATCAGGAGACTCTTTTGATATGGAGCACGCAACGCTGAATATTCTGACCAGACTACCGGTGTGATGTGGAGATCCTTTCCTGATCGGTCGGTGGCCGATGTCGTGATTGCGAACGTCGATGGTATCATGATCAAACCTCCAACAACATCAACGCATAGCAACCGGAATGCCTACCATTGGAACGCACATTGGATACCGTGGATTCCAATTGCACCGTCATCTCAACGTGGTTACCCACGTGGCGGGGTTGACAATGGCAGACGTCGACTGTAATGGACTTCGTATTCCTGCGCCTTTCTTGTGTCTTCCCGACCAAATTAAGTTGGAACGAGCCAAGTGAGAATGGCTGCGACCCAAGCTTCGAAGGGCCTGGACGAGATCGCTGCCGTCCAAGAAAATCCAGCCTCGACAGCCGGCTCACTGGCGGCATCCTCTGATCTCGATGACAATTATCATCTTTACAAGCGCAGCGACGAGCAAGAAATCGACCCCGCCGAATCCAAAAGAGTTTTGCGGAAGCTTGACTTGCGTCTCGTCCCAATCCTTGTCCTGATATATCTACTACAATACCTTGATAAGAATGGGATCAACTATGCTTCCGTGTATGGCTTGCAGAAGGGCACAAATCTACATGGCCAAGACTACTCTTGGCTGGGGTCGATATTTTATTTCGGTACGTGGGCAGAGCTGTCATCTCCGCAGATGCTGATGTGCTAGGATACCTCGGCGCTCAATTTCCAGCAGGTTATTTCCTGCAGTCCCTGCCAATTGGGAAGGTGGTCGGCATAACAACCATCATCTGGGGCATCATACTGATCACCACTCCTGCATGTTCGTCATTCGCCGGAATTGCTGTCAATAGATTCTTGCTGGGATCGTTCGAGGCAGTCGTGAACCCGGCTTTTATTCTGATCATGTCTATCTGGTACACCGCAGCGGAGCAGCCGCTGAGACTGGAGGCCTACTATTGCACAAATGGCATTGCCACAATGTTCGGAGGGTATGTCCAGCCTATTCGCTATCTGTTCCAGGAGTGATCACTGACTCATTGAAGGCTAATCGGGTATGCTGTTGGCCACATCACGACAGGGCTCGCTCGTTGGATGTACGTCTTCATCATCTTCGGGAGCATCAGCATTTCTCTGGGCATCCTTGCCCTGCTTATGCTTCCGGACCTGCCATCGACCGCCAAATTTTTGACCGACGCCGAGAAAGTCATCGCCGCCAAACGCGTCTCTGTGAACCGTCAAGGCATCAAAAATCACCATTTCAAGAAGTACCAGATGTGGCAAACCCTTCGTGACCCGAAGACATGGATCCTGTTCGTCATGGCTACAGGGTGAGTTTCACCGAAGACCTGTAACAGTGTTGCAGGTGCTTTCGGAACTCCATCTCTCCAGTACAGCTTTCCTGACCACATAATAGTGCGCAAATACCGAATTCAGCAATCACTCAGTTCACCAGCCTTGTTATCAAATCATTCGACGTCGACACTCTTGGCACGCAATATCTCCAGATTCCTGGTGGAGCAGTTCAATTTCTCGCGCTCCTCGGCGGAGGAATCCTTTGCTCAAGATGGCCGAATCTACGGTGTATCACGATGATCGTAGCTAACACAATATGCATTATCGGTTCTGGCTTGCTGGTTGGTTTGCCCAACAGCAATAAATGGGGCCGCCTGGTCGGCCTATGGCTGTGCTTCTTCCAAGGACTAGGATTCAGTATGAGTTTGACCATGGTCAGTTCAAACGTCGCAGGCTACACGAAGAAGCAGCTCACCGCGGCCATCTTGTTCACTGGTTACTGCGTGGGAAACATCATCGGTCCCCAGACATTCAGAAGCAGCGAAGCCCCACACTATCACTCCGCCTACATCGCAATGCTGGTTGGTTATATCATCAAGCTGGTTTCCATCATCGTGCTGTATATATACATGAGCATTGTCAACAAGAGGCGAGACCGGGAAGCTGCAGCATCCGGTCTGGCGGGCGTTGAAGAGGAGAAGGAAGCTATTGAGCGAGGGATGCACGACATCACCGAATTGGACAACAAAGGTTTCAGATATACTCTATGATGCACCATATCAATAGTCTTAATGCAGTCCTGGCAGTCCTGGCATTGAAACTGGAGCCTACATGATCCCAACGCTCTCCGCGGCCAGTATGAGCTGTGGATAATGTATCTGCATCGTGCAGTCATATGTCGATACTTTTCAGCAACGAGGATACGTCAAACCAGCTCATCGTCCTGCATGGAAAGAGCTTCAAACTGATTGGCGAAGCTTCCTGTGAACTCGTTTCTGTCTTTGAGGAGGGCGGCTCTTGTCTGCGGTGTGGATATCGCGGACGGACGTAGTGGATCATTATTTACTTGTTCAGCATTCGACGATCCTCCCTGCGACGTCCCGAACAATTCGTCGATCTTCCAAGCAATCCTTTCGGCACCCTGTCTTGCACCAGCCAAGTTTCCAGCTCCAGGTCCAAGTCTCAAGCCGGCAAGGCCGCCTGTCAGGAACAACGGAATATCTTTATGCCACATCAGGTCTTCAGTGATTTTAGGGAGCCCACCTATCGCGTCAACTGGGTAGTTCGCGATGATGCGCTGCATGCACGCGACATCGTGGATATTTGGCGCTGATCCTGTTGCATAGATAACGTGGTCGACTCTCGGTAGCGAGGTTTCTTGATCCGAACTCGACGACAGACCAATTGACCAGGTCTCACTTGCACCACACCAAATACCTTCTTCGATATGCGTATCGGTGAGAATCTCAAGCCGACCACTGGCTACATGTCTCCTCAGGATCTTGTCATACGTTGGGGTGATACTGCCTCCGTTGCGGGCCTCTTTGAGCATATCGAATCTTTCTGTGCCTTTCTTTTAGTGACAGTGGACCGCAGTGGGGCAATCTTTACCTACCTTCGTCGCTGTCGGCTGACCAGAACACTGACATTTGCTGGTTGCGGACCTTTGATACCCATTCGAGATCGACGTCGAAATGCTTCACTTTGTACTTTCCTCGCAGTAATAGCCAGACCTTGTTCACTCCTCCGCGGAGAGCCAGATCCGCAATCTGTGCGCTAGTCAACCCTCCTCCGACCACCACGACGCCCGAGGACCGTCCCTCTCTTATTTTGCGTAACACATGATCTGGCAGGCACGATGCACCTGTCGTATCAAAGCAATGGCACACGCTTCCTTGCTCTCTTCCGAGCCTGAGCTGGCAGTTCCTAGGGATACTGGGCTTTGAGCCAGGACCAATGGCCAGAACAACCGTCTTTGAAAATATCATGCCCTCATCTGTTGTCAGGGCAAACAGCTGCGGATCGATGTTGCTGCCCAAGTGGCCGTATTCAATACTCTGCACCCGTGCTTGGACTATGAGATTTCGAAGCTGGTATCGACATACGACATCCTCGCAAAAGTCTTCAAACAGCTGGCTTGATGGTGTGAAGTAGTCGACGCGGTCTCTATCGTCGATGCGGAGATGTCGAGCAACTTTCCTAGAGATGATCAATTGAAAGCCGAGGATGAGGGGAGAACTCATACTTGTCGCGTTTCTTCTTGGTTCGATGCTTGCTGACTTCTCTGCCTACAACATTATGGATCTCTTGCAACTCACCCGTTCTGTCGTGGAAGTGCGAGAATGCCAGAAGCCCATCCCTATCTCGGGGATCCGGATGAAAGAATAGCGGGCTCCTCAGTTGGCTTATTTCCAAGTGTTGGAACTTTTCTTTCCATGCCGACATCCACTGGTCCGAATGTGCATCAAGCACGATCATCGACCTTCCTGGTGGCTCAGGTTCACTTGAAGCAGCACAGCGTGATTTTTGCTTGCCTTTCCGCTCCTTCTCAATGGTCTCTCTCCGATTGAACCTGCGCCAATATCTGGCATGCTCATCGTCCGTGAAGAGTGCGGCTGGGGTCGATTCACGCAATCTGGCTGCCGCTGCCAGTCCGCATGGTCCAGCTCCGACAATGGCGACGTCGTAAATCATGGGGGAGGCTTTATAAAGACGAGGATATTCTTCAATACGATCACGACGAAGGGAAACAGGACAGCCAGTGGGATGTTGAAGTCTATCTTGCCGTAAGTCATCGAACGGACGAGCTTTAAGGTCCTCAAATAGTGGTTACCCATCCTGCATGACAATGTCGTCAAGGGGCCACAGCCTCGCACGTGATTTGTGTCCACATCGGCGTATGGCAACCTCTTAACCCTGTGCATTCTCGACTATGCAGTAAATTTGCAAGCCTGGCCTGGACGGAACGCTGCGCTTGGTATTACTGCAGTGTATTGATCAATCACTATTATCCTCGTGGTGGACTGTTGCAGTGAAGATTTGACGACTTCGCAGAAATCGAGGACCTTGAATGATAGGCTGGGCAGCTCCACTCTCTTCAACTAGCCAGTCCACGGCAGTCTGGGATGCTGTCACCAAGGACCTGTGCAATATGCGGAGAAAGGGAAGATCTAAGAGCGAAGATATGGGATCTTGCTCAATGGCCACAGCACGCTGAATTTTAAGACCATCATGGACCTTCCAGCCGTGACTGGTGGAGAGAATGAGAAAGATCGTTTAACAAGGGAGCTTCGGCGGAAGAAGCGCAAAAAACTCCAGATCCGGCAAATGGACTTCAATCAAGATCCCTGCAAGGCGATTGTGGGCAATCGAAGCTGCCTACTACTACGTAGTATACTCCGTACTCCGTCCAAGGTAGGTAGTGTCTTCTCCGCATCACACTAAGACAAGAATTCCACGGCCTTGTCGTGCTTGTCCTCGCTTACAGGTTTGTTCTCCTGCCATGACCATCTGGCCTGCTTGGAGCCGGCCTTCCACAAATGGCCCGGAAGTTTCTACGCCGTAGCCGCCGTCGGTCGAACCTCTTATGCTTTTCTACGTGCTTGCTATGGATGGATAAATGTGTTCGAGTGGCATTGACGGCCCACGGGGCTCTGGAGTCTGTAGTACAGTACTGTATAGCCCACGTCTCTCTCTCATAATTCGATGTCCAGCATGGAGAAGGACGCCCCACGTGAAGTCGAACGAGCCGACACTGCGACCACGACGGCGAGCCAGATCAAAGATGCAGTCCGGCTGGGCGAGGTCAAGACGACAAAAGTCAAGGACGTCGCGTTTGCGGATGCCATCGACAAGGACAATCCGAAGCCATGGTCGAAGTCCATGCTGAAGCTGTACGCCATCATGGCGCTGGTGACTTTGAGTACGATTCCGATTTCCCTCAGGCGCGGTAGCAATTGGAATTGATTGACAATTGACCATCTTGCATTGTACAGACGACTGTGGCAACGGCTTCGATGGGACAATCATGTCGTCCGTCAATGCGATGGACCCGTGGCACGATTACTTCGTCGCGGGCATGGAAGGGGCATCGATCGGTGCTGTCTTCGCGCTGTACAGCGTCGGCAACATCGTCGCCTGCTTCTTTGTCGGGCCAGCGTGCGACTTGTTTGGGCGTCGCTTCGGTATGGGCTTTGGCTCGTCCTTCATCATCCTCGGGACCATCATCCAGGGCTGTGCTCAGAACATCGGCACGTTCATGACCGGGAGGTTCTTCCTGGGTTTCGGTGTCAGTGTCTCAGTCACCGCTGCGCCCATCTACCTGGTCGAGATGGCCTACCCTTCGTGGCGAGGAGCGACTTCTGGACTTTATAATGTCTGTGGGTGGTACTTTGGCTCGCTTGGTAAGCTCTGTATTGTCCTTGTGCTGTCCCTGTCCCAAACACTGTTGGACACGATTGAATAACCCTATACTGAGCAATGGCTAGTCTCCACGTGGACGGCGTACGGTACAGGGAAATTGACTTCGAATTGGTCATGGCGCATTCCTATCCCCATTCAAGCCGTCCCAGGCCTTGTAGTTGTATCACTGGTCTGGCTTATCCCAGAAAGCCCACGTTGGCTGTCGTCGCACGGTAAGACCGACCAAGCTCGCAACACAGTGATCAAGTACCACGGCGACGGCAATCCCGAGTCCGCCATTGTCAAGCTCGAGCTCGAGGAAATGCAAGCCCAACTCAACTACGATGCCGAGTTGAACAGGAGCCAGAAATGGTGGGATCACCGCATGCTATTCAACAACAAGGAGAATTTGTACCGGATGTGGATCGCCTCGCTTGTCACCATCTTCTCACAGTTCATTGGGGGTTCAGTCATCACATACTACGTTAGTGGCTTCCCAGTGGCGAATCCTGTCCTGTTCAACGCACAAATCTTTACCTTTTGCTTCTGTCGTACACGGAGACCGAATTCTGATCAATCTTGCAGATGCCTATCATCCTCGAAAAGAGGGCATCACGAGCTCCTCCCAACAACTCCTCCTCAACGGCATCAACGTCATCTTTGGCTTCGTCAATTTTGTTTGTGCTTGTGGTCATGTCGGAAGTTGGTGTATGATGGTGTTCTCCTGTTCGCCTCGATCTCTCAACCTTGGCATACATAGTTTTCTCTACCGGACCCTTTGAAGTCTCACATCTCGAACCTCCTTGGAAGGCCGTTTACTATTCATCGATTTATCAGCTTCTCAACGGAGTACATCACCTGCCCCAGGGTGCCTAGGCGTGCCTAGGATATGCAGCCCGTTTTCCAGGCAGACGTTCAGGGATCAACGACGCCAAGTCAGATGACTGCGCGTCTCAGTGGTTGTCGCAGAATAGAGGTACGAATAGGTCAGCCACTGACGACGCGCCCAACTTCGAATTCTGCGTGAGACACAGGACACGCTTTCGTATTCATGTCGTATTCCCTGGATGTCGCCCGTCGGACGCGGGACAACAGACTTTGCGACATGCCCGTCCTGGGGATGATAAAAGACAGGCGAGATGGCCTTGAAAGCTGATGAATTCTGACTCCAGACACAAGAAAAGACAAGAAGCGTCGCTCAGTGGGAGTATCTCATCAAGACCGGTTGTCTATTTGGCCACAAATCATCTCACCCTTTCGAGACTTACCCCAGCTCTAAATTAGCTCCAGTATGGCATCTACAAAGGTGAGGATTCTTCGCCCTCCGTATCGTTCTTCCCCGCCGAACATCAGACATTCTTCCTTCATACCATTGCATTTCTCAGACGACATCCGTAACTAAGGTCATGTCAGATCGTTACGCAAGAAGAATACCGCCCTCTCCGCCTCACGCTCCTTGAGAAAGAAAAGCAGCTCACACGTGCTCGAGACGAGCTGAACGCAGAACGCCGCAAACTCCCCTTGGTCGAAGTCACCACGCCCTACACATTCACCACGGTCGACGCCGCGGGCAACACCAAGCAAATAAGCTTGGCCGAGCTCTTCGGTGGCCGCGCCCAACTGATCATCTACCACTTCATGTTCAACCTGGAGACCTGCGAAGAAGACAAAGACGCAGACGCAGACGCCGACGCCGCGGGCTGCCCCTCGTGCAGTCTCTATGCCGACCACATCCCGCGTCATCTCGAGCACCTGCATTCGCACGGCACCTCCTTCGCCGCCGTGTCACGCGCGCCCATCAACAAGATCGAGCGTTACAAGAAGCGCATGGGCTGGACGTTTCCCTGGGTGTCAAGCCACGGCACGCGCTTCAACTACGACTTCCACGTCACGCAGGACCCCCAAGTGGCGCGTGTCGAGTACAATTTCAAGGACGAGGCCGAGCTCGGGCGCCGTGGGCTGCAGGTCTTCACCCGAGGTGACCAGCCCGGTCATTCCGTCTTTGTCCTTGGTGGAGAGAAGACTGGTGTCGGTGAACAGGGCAAGGTGTATCATAGCTATTCCACCTACGCTCGAGGTGGAGAGCATCTCATCGGGACCCTAAGCTGGCTCGACATGACCCCGTTGGGGAGGCAGGATGGTGTGAACGGCGTGCCCGGCTTGGGATACAAGAGGCATGATGAGTATACGAAGGAGGATCTGGACGGTTTGGACTTGAAGATTGGCGCGTGAGCCCGGCAGGGTAATGGGGCCTGTGCGATGTCATGCCAATCAGGTCGGGATGGGTCTCCAATCATGGATAATACCTCAGTTAATCCATTTCGTGCCAACTATCCATCCATGAGAAGTGTTCATCGCTTGCTGCATCTTCATTTCCATCTTGTCTGCCCTTGACCTCCCGCCACCTATCGTACGATGCTTGCATGCTGCATTCCTCACTTCCAAGCACTCAAGCCCGCCCAAGGATCTTGCTCTTGACCTCCACCCTGCCCGTGCTGTTGCTGTTGCTGCTGCTGTGGACCCTGCTGCTGTTGGGTATATCGAGTCGGTTGCGTGTAGCTCGCGTACCCTCCGGGCCCACTAGCCCATACTCCTGCCGGGTTGGGAGGATATTGCGTCCCCGACCCTCCTCCAGGTGGCCCTGGCGGCGGCGGTGGAGGGACATAATTCTGCGGAATGTTGTACGGCGAAGGCTGATAGTTCTGATACTGAGGCTGTGACTGAGGCATTTGCGGCAGTGGTGACGGAGATTGGTACGGCACGCCAGGTGTTCCTGCCTGAGGAGGATAGCTGTATTGAGGATGGTGCGAATATTGAAGACTTCCGCCGGGCGCGTTGAAGTTCATGGGTTGGATTGGTGTGTGAGACTGTAATGGTTGTTGTTGTTGTTGTTGTGGTTGAGTGAAATAAGTGTTCGTCGATGCACTTGGAGGGGATGTCACTGGGGAGTACCCATACGGCTGCTGGCCGCCAGGATGTTGGCTTGGGGAGGCGATCGACCGCTCAGGGTAAGCCATTGGATTGTAGCCAGTGGTAAGAGGCGTTGCAGCACCTTGGGCAAAGGCATGCTGAGAATCAATTGGTGAGGGATTGGAAGGTTGAGTTGGTGGCTGAGGTTGGTTCGAATAGCCGTTGGCCATGACTGGCGCCGGTGAATGACGGGGTGGAATGGTGAATCGCGGATCTGGATTAGTGGCGGGATAGGATGTTGAGATGGCAGCAGGAGATCTCGACGCGTTCAAGGGCGGGAGCGTAGGAAGAGCAGGAGCTTCGGTTTGTGAAGGAGAGGCTGACTTGGGCTCCATAGACAATCTGTTCATCAACTCTTGCATTCGCTTCTGTTCGGCAGCAGCTTGACCACTTGCGGAGCTGTTCTTGGTTTGCTCGATCTGATGAAGTAGCTGGGCACCTTCTGCTCGGCGGTTGCTGACGAAAGAATCGACGTTCTTTTCCAGACTGTCAACACTCTCTTTCATCTCCTTGTAGAAGCCCTGTGCTCGCATCAGGCCTTGTACAAGATCTTCGTGAGCATTGAACGCCCTTCGGTACTTGCTCAAGACACTGTTTCTGCTTTTTTGTATGGCATCATATTTCTGCTGGTCGGATCGGACTCTCTTGTCCTGCAGGAGATCGCCATAAGTCTTTGTCAATTCCTTGAGCAGGGAAGATTGCTTGTGCACGGTGGAGATGAGGCGATTCTGGTGTGAGCGGAATTTCTCCAGTTCCGCCTGAAACAGCTGACTCTCCTGATTGGCGATTGCTTTCTTGTTCAGGATGAGAACATTCGATATGTCATCGGTATGGACTTTCTCCTTGAGATCTTTCAGAACTTGCATTCTCTCGCGTTTGACAAGGTTGAGTTTCCGTAACAGGTCTTCCACCTGCCCAATCTGTTCTGCGACCGACGGGCCACCCTCACCGTAGTCCTCGTCCAACAAAGAGCCCTCTTGAGCTTCTTTACCCTTGCCTTTAGACTCCCCTCTTACTTTGAACAGGGCTTGTTGATATAGGACATCAGCTTCGCCATGCTCGCCAGCTCTTTTCATCTCTTCGAAATCAACTTCATACTGACGGGCCGTCGCGAAAAGTTGCGCGTCGCTCGCTCCGGCTTCGTCGATAGTTTCTCGGTAACTCTTGATGTCCGCTCTCAAGGTCGACGTGAGCCTAGAACTGGGCTGCTGCGTCCAGTCCGCTCCGTATTTCGACCTCATCTTCTCGCAAACACTTTCTTCCATGTCGAGCTGCTTCGTGCTCTTTGAAAGGCTATCCAAGACCATCTTCTTGTCCTTTTGTAGGTGTTCGAAAGCACTATTGAAAGGTTGGTGCTGGGCGATCTCTTGACACCAACGTTCAAATTCCTTGTCGACGCCAATCTCCTGCTCCAGTCCCCCTTTCAGTATGTTCAGGCTGTTTGGGAGTTTAAGATAGTCAAGACTTGCGGCCATTTCTCCGTTAGCCTGATCAGCCTTTTCAGCCTCTGATCGGATCAACTTGGCCTTCTCCTCGTCATACATGCTGGCAGATTCCGTGACCGACATCGGGACAATTTTCTGAAATAGATCAGGTCCGATGATTCTCTGGATATCTTGTCCCTGGTAAAGCTCGGAAAGCGGTATGGCTTTAGCCGCTGGGAGCTTGGTCACTAGAGATAGCGAGGCTTCCACAGGGACTGTTTGGTGGTAGATGAAGTCATTGTCCTTTACCAATGAGGAGATTTTCTCTTGTACTGTCTCCAGCTGTCTTCGGGTGATTGTCTGCAATGTGGTTGCGGTATCAGGCCCAAGTTGTGATGACGGCGAAGGAGTGTAGGGAAATGCTTTCGCATTTGAGAGGGCCTGCTTGCTCGATTTCTCCGCAAGTTGTAACCGAGCGATCGCAGAACCGTGAAGATTCGTTTCATCGTCTGCCAGTGCTTGATAGTATTCAGCCAGCGAGGCCATGTGCAGTGTCTTGATCTGGATGAACTTCAACCACGTGTAGTCGAATATGTCACGCGAACTCTCGCCCTCCAGACCTTCCTTCGCTTGACCGAACAAGAATTGTGCTTGGGCAGCGAGCTTCGCTAAAAGCGCTGGCTTCTTCGCATCCCGAATCTGTTTCTCCAAAAATATCTCTTGCGCCTGACCCAGTGTGACGTTTATCAGAATTTTGACGGTATCCCGATTGAGGTCGGTGGAGGGCGCGTGTAGGAAATTCTCGTTGATGTAGGTGAACATGCCGGCAGACGCCTGGAAAGAGTGGTATGCCGTTTTGAGGTCCTTGTCCTCCGACCGGTTTTGCGCGGCTGCATGACAAGAGAGCACGGCAGATATATTGAAGATGACTGAGGCTTTCTCGAAAGCTAACGAGTACTGGGTGGTCGAGGCGTGGGTAAAGGCATCGTACCAGGTAAACGAGATTTTGATGTGGTTCTCGTCGACCGGAAACCGCAGGTCTAACAGCTCCAGTTGTCCATAGTATCTGTACAGCAGGTCTCTGCCTGATGCTGAGTCGTTCCCTGCCCCTCTCATGTCCTGCCTCAGCCTATTAAGTGTGGCAGTCTCTTCCGAGTACTTCTCGGGATCATCTCCGTAGGAAGTGCGTATATAATTCTTGAGCGGCGCGATCCAGTCTATCTCTTGTGTCTGCTTGAGCGGACATGACAACATCGGCGCCTGTACCATCTTGAGGGCTAGATTCGGAGTTGTGAGGGGCTCTCGACAGGCAGACCGGATGACAGATACTGCGACAGAGGTGTGTCGAGTGCTAAAGGATCAGGGGATTCATGGTTCGGTAGATATGGTGAAGCCTAGAAGGATCGCAGGTAGCCGCCTAAGATCGAGTGATCTTGGGTGACAATGATTTGAATGGTGGGGATTGGATGAGATGGAAACATGAGATGCTCCGTACACTTCTCCAATAAGGTATATAAGGTCCTTCGTGTATTAAGCAAATATTGCTCAGACAAAATACAGAAATAATTGTAGGTTGTTATGTCGTATCAATCACTATTTCTACACTCGAGTAGATGGGTATTCTGTCCTCTCAATAATCAGGTCGCAAGAATACTGTACACTTTTCGAAGCCGCGATCTTCAGATACAACGGGCAATCCAAGTGCCCCATGTCACGAAACTCGCTCTAGAAATCCAGAACACAGCCCATTCAGCCGTTCATCGCCGTCGCTATGATATGTAAATCGAGAAGTAGGGATTCCGTCAAGATCACGGCTCACCCAGAGCCTGATGCCTTCTTGGGCTCATCGTCGTCTTTCGAATCTGCTTTATTCTGCGGGCCCTTTTCTTCCGCTTCCAGGTTGTCATGTTGATGCGTAAGTTTATGCCATGCAGACTTCAAAAACCCTTCGTTCTTGTGGTCCGCTGCTTTGTTTGATGGCTTCGACGTGGTATCCTTGGGAGGGTCCCTGCATGGACGGTAAGCATTTTCCACCGCCCAGAGGATTCCAACTTACTGCTTGTATTGATTGACATTCATGATCCTCTTGGCGGTTTTGTCACCCATCTCGTCTGCCAACATTTCAAGAATGGTTCGTTGATTGGCAGATAAATATTTTGGCATGTTGACCTTGAATTCCACACGGAGGTCACCAGAAGCAGGACCACGTCCACCAAGTCGTTTCATACCCATACCACCGAGTGTTATCCGATCGCCAGTGCCGGTGCCCGTTGCGACCTTGACCTTGACTTCCCCATCAAGGGTCGGTACTGTAACCTCGCCTCCCAACAGAGCGGTCGTTAAAGGTATTGACGCAGTGTAGAGAACATCTGCCCCATTTCGACTGAATCTGGCATCGGGTGCCACACGGATGAAGACGTAGAGATCTCCACGTTGACTTCGAATATTGGTACCCGCAGACATGCCCGTTGGAGGGGCATCTCCTTCCCCAGAGACTCGCAGTCTCATCCCATCTTCAACACCTCCAGGGATATCAACTTGAACCGTCTTCCTTTGTCGGACCACTCCGTTCCCAGCACAAGTGTTGCACTCCGAACCTCTTGGTATCGTCACTCCGCTCCCGCCGCAGCTAGAGCATGTGCTCGACATCTGGAAGCCTTGTTGCATCACGTGTATCCGGGTGCCTGTGCCATTACATGACTTGCATTGTTGTCTCTGTGATCCTTGTTTCAATCCGTTGCCTTTACACGTACCGCACTGAACAAGTGGCGTGATAGTGATGTTCTTCGTCACACCCTTTGCGGCGTCCATGAACGAGATGTTGGTTTGCACTTCGATGTTTTCTCCCACCAAGATCTCTTCCTGAAACGGTGATCCCCCTCTACGTCCGCGCCGGCCACCACCAGTAAATGCACCAAACAAATCCTCGAAGTTGAACTCGGCGCCAAAGCCTCCACCAAAACCAGCAAACGGGTTCCCTCCAGCCGCCCCACCAAAAGGATGTCCGCCCGCCGCAGCACCTGGGTCGAATCCAGCGCCTTGGTCAAATGCGGCTGCTCCAAATTGATCGTAGGCAGCCTTCTTTTGAGGGTCGTTCAGCAGTTCATAGGCCGCCTGTGCATCCGTAAACTTTTCCTTCGCGGTGGGATCTTTGTTGGTGTCTGGATGATATTTCTTCGCCAGGGCATAGTAAGCTTTCTTGATCTCCGATGCTCCAGCATTCTTACCGACGCCCAAGGTGGCATAAGGATCTTTCGTGGCTTGGAACGCCGAGGTTGCGGAGAACAATCGTGTCTGATCAGCCGGGCTCCGTCTAGGGCTTGAAGGAGAAGGTCGAGAGGATGGTCTTTTGGAAGCCGTGGAGTAGGAAAGATGCCTCGTCTGAGCTCTGCGGCTAAAGTTGGGACACTGTCGAGGGCATGGTATAGAGGTTCTTATTAATCGAGGAGCCGAACTGGCCCAGGCGGCGCCGGCCGCACTCATCTGGATGGTTTTGTTTCGATCAACTAATCGCAATGTATATACATGAGTCGTAAGGTGTCGTCCGGCAGTGCACTGGCAGGTTGATTCAAACAATTCAATTAATTGCTTTGGGTTGTCTGCTCGGAGCCAGAAAGTTCCAGCATTCCGCAAGCAGGTGTCTTCGGGGAAAATTTGGAGTCGGCGCAGTTTCCTTTCCGGGACCTCGAATTGATAATGATTCACTTACGCAACGACGAGTGGCACCTGGTTGTCCCCGAGTAGCCACCCTCTGCTTCGTTTTCCTCTTCTCTCCTCTGGTGGACTCAAGCCTCGACATTCAAGAAGAGGCTCTCTATCATCAAGATCGCTAATACACTTCTAACGCGACCAGCGGTACCCCTCCTGTGGTTGGCCCGGACTCCATCTTGCCAGAGCATGCTTCGCGGTCAAAGTATACCATGGCGGACAGCCCTCCGGAATGGACAGCGCAACATATGTAGAGACTGTCGCCGACAGCTTCTCCAAAGAGGTCTTCTGTCTTCCTCCGCGACCTCTCCAAGTCCCTCACCGTTGATTTCTCCTGCCGTCAGACAAGGATTACAAATACGGCAATTTTCTTCTCATCCAATTCGCCGCAAAGAAAAGCCACCGGAAGATGAGCCTCCCTCTCAAGCAGAAAAGACCGATGCAAAAGCGAAGAAAGTCGAGAACGAGTTAGAAGAAGCTCCTCGGACAGAGGACAGCGTCGAGTCGAAAAAGTCGCCTTCAGAGCCTCAGCCTATACCTCAGACTTCCGGTGATGGGAAACCTGCAGCCGGAGGGAGTGGTGGGGATTCATCCTCAGGAGGCGGACAAAGCTCTGGAGGAAACAGCGATGGAGGGAAGCGAGGTCGGAAGAGCACTCAGATATCGAAACCTACCGTACCGGAAGTATACCCTCAGGTGATGGCAATTCCAATTGCCAAGCGTCCTCTATTTCCAGGCTTTTACAAGGCTATCACTATAAGAGACCCCAACGTGGTGGCTGCCATAACAGAAATGATGAAGAGGGGGCAGCCTTATGTGGGTGCATTCCTCTTCAAGGACGACTCTGCGGACAAGGATATCATCGAGAAGATGGACGATGTCCACGAGGTTGGCGTATTCGCTCAGATCACGAGTGCATTCCCTGTGCATGGAGACGAGCATAGCTTGACAGCAGTGCTGTATCCGCATCGGCGTATCAAGATGTCAGCACTACTACCACCCTCTGCGTCGGGGGAGCAGGGGCCGTCACTCGTTGAGGTACAGCCTGCAAAAGATGGAAAGACGAAATCTGAATCCACGGATGGCAAGGGTGACGTGGTCGCAAGCTTCGAGGAATCAAATAAAGAACAACCAACACAACTAAGTGTTTATGAGCCGACTGCGTTCCTTCGAAAGTTCCCCGTGTCGCTGGTCAACGTTGAGAACTTGACAGAACCACCTTATGACAAGAAGAGTGACGTCGTCAAAGCTCTAACAGCAGAAATTGTCAACGTCTTCAAAGAGGTTGCCAGCCTCAACCAGCTCTTTAGAGATCAGATCTCCGACTTCAGTGTTTCGCAATCTGCAGGCAATGTTCTTGAGGAGCCGGCCAAGCTAGCAGACTTTGCAGCGGCCGTTTCTGCCGGTGAGATCGATGAGCTGCAAGATGTCCTTCAGACCATGAATGTCGAAGAGCGATTACACAAGGCACTCGTCGTGCTGAAGAAGGAATTGATGAATGCCAAACTACAGTCTAAGATCTCCAAGGACGTCGAGAGTAAGATTCAGAAACGGCAACGAGAATATTGGCTTATGGAGCAGATGAAGGGTATTCGAAGAGAGCTTGGCATCGAGTCTGATGGCAAAGACAAGTTGGTCGAGAAGTTCAAAGAAAAGGCCCAGAAGCTGGCAATGCCTGAAGCTGTGAAGAAGGTGTTCGAGGAAGAGCTTAACAAGCTGGCCCACCTCGAACCTGCAGCCTCGGAGTTCAATGTCACGAGGAATTATCTTGATTGGATCACTCAAGTTCCCTGGGGTCAAAGAAGCGCCGAAAACTTTGGAATCAAGAATGCCATGACTGTACTAGATGAAGACCACTATGGTCTGAAAGACGTCAAGGACCGAATCTTGGAGTTCATTGCTGTCGGCAAGCTACGTGGCACTGTCGAAGGCAAGATCTTATGCTTCGTCGGACCACCGGGCGTGGGAAAAACTTCGATTGGCAAATCAATCGCACGAGCACTTAATCGACAATATTACCGGTTCAGTGTGGGTGGCTTGACCGATGTGGCCGAAATCAAAGGCCATCGTCGAACATATGTCGGTGCCTTGCCTGGTAGAATCATCCAAGCTCTCAAGAAATGCCAGACGGAGAACCCGCTCATTCTCATTGATGAGGTGGACAAGATTGGCCGTGGCCATCAAGGAGATCCGGCATCAGCTTTGCTCGAATTGCTCGATCCGGAGCAAAACTCGAGTTTCTTAGATCACTACATGGATATACCGGTGGACCTTTCCAAAGTCCTCTTTGTTTGCACGGCCAACATGACAGACACCATTCCCCGCCCCCTGCTTGACCGCATGGAGCTAATCGAGCTCAGCGGCTATGTGTCGGACGAGAAGAAGGCCATTGCTGATCGCTACCTTGCACCACAGGCAAAAGAGCTGTCTGGTCTGAAAGATGTTGATGTCAAACTCGACGAATCTGCCATTGAAGAACTGATCAACAAGTACTGTCGTGAGTCAGGAGTGCGAAACTTGAAGAAGCAGATCGAAAAGGTCTACCGCAAGTCAGCATTGAAGATTATACAAGATCTGGGTGAAGAGGCACTTCCCGAGTCTGAGGCTCTGACAGACGAAGGCAAAGCTGCTCTCGAGGAAAGCAAGAAAGACGAGTCTGATGTGAAGGACACCCCCGAGTCCATTGAGAAAGAGACGACAGAACAACCTCGCGTCGCCCTCAAGGTTCCCGAGTCTGTCCATGTCACGATCTCAAAGGACAACCTGAAAGACTACGTAGGACCGCCCGTCTTCACTGCCGACCGCCTGTACGAGCAGACGCCTCCTGGTGTCGCCATGGGCCTGGCTTGGACAAGCATGGGCGGTGCTGCATTGTACGTTGAGTCCATCCTCGAATCTGCGCTATCGCACTCAAGCAGGCCCGGTCTCGAACGAACTGGCAACTTGAAACCCGTCATGAAAGAGTCGATTCAAATCGCATACTCGTTCGCAAAACATGTCATGGCTACGCGATTCCCAGACAACCATTTCTTCGACCATGCAAAGATCCACCTCCACTGCCCTGAGGGTGCAGTCCAGAAAGACGGTCCCTCAGCCGGTATCACGATGGCCACATCCCTGCTCAGTCTGGCCATGAACAAGCAGGTCGATCCTGCATTGGCCATGACGGGCGAATTGACGGTGACCGGAAAAGTTCTTAGAATTGGTGGATTACGAGAGAAGACCGTCGCAGCGAGACGAGCAGGCTGTTCTAAGATCCTCTTCCCAAAGGACAATTGGGGCGATTGGTGCGAATTGCCAGATGTAAGTTTGCCCCCCTGCGCGAATATGCGCCTAGACTTAGACTAACGGTTATGGCAGAATATCAAAGAAGGCATCGAAGGCCATGCCGTCGACTGGTACAGCGACGTGTTCGACATTGTCTTTCCCGATGTCAACGTCGAGGAGGTCAATGGTTTGTGGAAAGATGCGCTGAAGAAGCGGAAGGAGGATAATGAGAAGGACCGCGACGATGAGGATGACGACTGAGCATCGTCCTCATAGCCGATTTAACACGTCTTAAAAGATCTCGAAAGTATGGCGGACTTTGTACTCACCGCCGCGTCAGAAGCCTCGAAACTGTCGTAACTCGACATCATGTCTTGCCCATTCGGGCGCGAAAGAGCGGAGAAACCCAAGGTCTGGCCAGACCATGGGCTTAACAGCGTCGAGACATATGTTCTGCGAATATCGTTCTGATTGGACGACGATTCGACACTCGTGTTGTTGCTTGGTGTGTGACGACCTTTGGCTATGTCAGGTGTCTGGTTTGGGATCCAGATATTCGAGATCAATGCGACTACTCACCGAGCATGGCATGTCTGGCGTCAGTTATAGGAGGGAATGCATATGCGGCCAACCTGGGGAGAGATCATTGCTGGTTGCTGGACATTTCGAATCAGAACTGGCTCCGGGTGTATATGTTATCATGTTGTTTGAAAATGATGGGATAGAATCTCCGCTTTGCCGCATCACTGTAGGATATGTTTGAAGAGGATGGAAATGATCGGAAGCACAGATCTGCATGGCGGATTCGGAGACATAGACAATTCATCATGCACAAATGAATGCCGTGCTACTTCAATCGTTGAATGTCCGTATACTCTATAGGATCCTATTTCATGGTGCCTTGTTTCACGGATGTCCGTCTTCATCTCCACCGTCCTCCTCGTCGTCATCTGATGAAGACACCGGTATTGCGTCCTCAGAACCCCTAATGCTGGCGTACCTGTAACTCCGTAGAAGAGCGGTCTCGTGCGTGTCGAGAATCATCTCCTCCTCCTCCACCTCCTCCTCGTCCTTAAGTGGGAGCTGTTCATTTCGCACAATGAGGGCGGGGAGTTTTGGCTCGCTGTGGTCGGACTGCACACCATCATCGTCGTCATCATCTTCGCTGTCCGCAATTTCGGTAGCCTTGCGCTTTTTCGACTGTGATGGTTGCGAGAGTTCATCGGGAAGGAGTGGGAGGTCAGCTTGTAGAGGGCGCGGCTGCTCAGCGGCTTTGGTGTCAACAAAGACATCTTCGTTGCCTTTCGCTTGAGGCGGGTCCAGCTGTCGTAACCCATCGGTCAGAATGACGAACGGCACCGGCAATTTGTAGACCTCTTTTCGAGCCTGACGCTGGACTTCGGCGTACCTAAGTGCTTTTGTTTCGAGCTTAGAGAGCTGCGCCTCCTGGTCGTCGTCTGGGAAGTCGCGGAACAGCATGATTCTGGTGTGGATGGCAGTATCCCATGCTTGACTTGAAAGCGCGGGCTTCAATGTGGCTTTCTGGCCGCCTTTCAAGCTGATAGTGGCATTTGAGAGCACCAAAATGGCCGTGTTTTGAAGGGTTGCCATTTTTGACATGGCCGCGCCGAGGCTTTCGATGGTCTGGAAGCGTCGGCCAGCAGCTCGCTTCTCCAGTTTCTCCTTGACGGCAGCTGGCGCGGCGGCCTTGAGAATGTTCGGGTTTCGCGAGAAAGAGCCAAGTAGGAGGTTTGATAGGTCATCCACGACTATTAGCCCTGTTTTGGGCGAGGGCAGCGTCCCGGTCGGATGCATGAATAATGTCAGCACTCTCGGCAGAGTGTGCGCTTCGAGGTATACGAATTTCTCTGCGATCATGGAGTCGTTGTCTTTCCCAGAGAGCGGCGATGAAGACAGATTATAGGGTTTTGGTGGGTTATAACCGGCCATGAGCTGCCGAAGTCTTTCTGGAATCAGTGGCGAACCAGTATTCACCCAGAGCACATGAGATTCCTCGTGGTCTGAATGAAGGGCATTGGCAGCGATTTGGAGTCCAAACGTGGTCTTGCCGACTCCTGGAGGGCCAAAGACCTCGGTCACGCATCCCCTTTGGATACCCGGGGTAGCAAGTGACAGTTCGTTTGGGAGAAGTGCCGAGTCCAACTTGGACAGTCGAGTCGAGATGCCCTTTGCCTTGGCCGATGCATTCTGGAGGGCTTCGATACCGGATACAGTTGGTAAGCGATGTTGAGACGGCGAGAAATTGTGGACATCAGGACCACGATCATCCATTGCTGATATTGTTCACAAAGCTCCGAGACATCTTGATCCGACGCTGGACCTGCGTGCTTCCAATTACGGGGCGATCATTGCTGGACACTGGAGAAAAGTAGGAAGCAGCGTAGGCCGTACCGCATCATGGTTGGAAATTGCGGTCGCAGCCTTTCCCAGGCAGGAGTCACTGTGATCTTCATGGAACCATAATGAGTTGACAGAACTACGGAGATGCCGCAATGGAAAAACGCGGTCATTCAAATGACAGAGATGGACGCGATATTCTTGTCAGATCACGTGTCAGGTTGCGTCACGCGAATGTTGCCGAGACTGCAGCTGCTTCACTACCCACACTACCTTACCTTACCTTATGCAACCACCATGTTCGCTTTCATCCAGTCGCATTACTTTGTGGCCAACATCCTTGGATTCTCTCTGTGCCGGCATTGCTCTAATGCAGAGCGTGCTTTAGCAGATGAGACTTCACCTGCATCGATTGGCAAGGGTTCACCTGTAGGCAATCTGTTCCCGTCAAGGCACATGTGGCCCCAAGTCTTTAGTCGCCAATGTTCTGTCTGCCATGGGACAGATATCGCACCTAGTATCTCCGTCTGTCCACTGCGTGCGATCAGGAAACCGTCCCGAGCAGACAGACAACTACGCCCGTTGAGCCTCTATCATACTCTGCACACAACAAAGGCTCGAGATGGCACTCTGGGCTCTTGGGTTGGGCCTGATCGTGGCTTACATTGCCATCCACAAGTTTCTGGTATGGCGACGACTGCGACATATCCCGGGTGCCTCCTGGTGTGGCTGGTTCGACAGTTGGATGCTTCAAAGGGCTTTTAGAGGCACCATGTATGATGACCTCGGGCAACTGTGTGAACAATATGGTAAAGCCCAGCATGATATCAGCCGCTCAAGATTTGTCTCATTTGTGCTTCGTTACAGGACCACTTGTCCGCATCGCACCGAACTATGTGATTTGCGGCGACCCGATTGAAGTTCGGCGCTTGTGGGCAGTGCGTTCTCAATTTGATCGCTCGCCGTGGTTCAAAGGTTTCCAAGTCGATTCTCCCAATGATAGCAGCATATCTATGCGCGATCGTGCCCTGCACACTGCCCTGAGATCGAAATTGGCCGCCGGGGTGAGTGTCTCTTCTACGAGTAATAGTCGTTGCGTGCCTTGACAGTATCCAGTACTCCGGCAAGGACGTTGACCATCTGGATGAGTCGATTGATCAGCAGATAGCGAACCTCATCCGCCTGATAGAGGCGAAATATCTCACTACCGATACCGACTTTCGACCCGTGGATATCGCCCGCAAAGTCCAGTATCTAACATTGGATGTCATCTCCACGATTGCGTTTGGCCGTACTTTTGGCTTCATTGACAACGATGGTGTTCTCTTCGACTACATCAAGACGACGGAAGAGTCACTTCCACTCTTGCAAGTGATAGCGTTGCTTCCATGGTTGCTCAACGTCCTACAATCCCCTGTGTTCAAGCCTATTAGACCAACTTCCACAGATGCAATCGGACTGGGAAGAATTATGGGTTAAGTTTATCCGTTGATCCTCTTGCACGATTCACACTGGGCTATTCTCATGACTGACGACTGCCAAATGCATCAGCATGGCCAAAGAAGTGGTGGCCGAGCGCTATGGCCAAGACAAGGTCGTGAAACGAGATATGCTCGGATCATTCGTGGCTCATGGCCTTGACCAGAAGAATGCAGAATCCGAATCTCTGGTGCAAATGTGAGTCCGCTACATTTTGACGTTGTTTGTGGTACTGATTTGCTAGTGTGGCTGGGTCTGATACGACCGCGGTAGTGCTAAGAATAGGCCTTTTCCACGTTTCAACTTCACCATTGGTATACCAAAAACTCCAAGCTGAGATTGATCATGGCGTCAAAGTCGGTCAAATTTCGTCTCCGATCAAAGATGTTGAAGCAAGAGGACTCCCCTATCTCCAGGCCTTCATCAAGGAAGTGTTACGTATTTGGCCACCTATTGCGGGGATCCTGCCGCGTCGGTCAGAGACAGATGGTATTGTCTGTGGCCAACAGATTCCAAGAAACACAGATGTTGGCTGGAGCCCTCGCTCGGTGATGCGTGACAAAGGAGTATTTGGCAATGATGCAGACACATTCTCGCTTGAAAGGTGGCTACAGCCAGATGGGAACCGACTCAGAACGATGGAACATACTGTCGAGCTGGTTTTCGGTTACGGCAAATGGGGTTGCTTGGGGAAACCCATCGCACTGCTGGAGTTGAACAAGATGTTTGTCGAGGTATGTCCGCACGATCGATAACACCCGCGAAGATGTTGTCGCCCTCACTTTCCCCTCATCGTCGTTGTCAGTCAAACCATGCTGATCGGTTCAGTTCTTGCGTCGCTTTGACTTCACTGTTCTCAACCCCGCTCATCCCGTAAGTATTCTCTTTTCCGAAGGACCGTCCCGACCGACCACCACCTTTCTCTTCGCCCTTGTCCTTGCCGGTACATTTTTTGACAACTTGCAGATGGATACCTTCAACTACGGTGTAATGACGCAATGGAACCTCTTTATGCGTATCACAAGGCGCCAGAACCCGGTGTGAGGCCAACCGGCTGCTGGTGCCCGCTGGTTCCCCAACCGATCGACAGGCCGCATGCTTGAGCGGTATGCCCATACCTACCTGTCTAGAAGACAGAGCCACGCTCGTTTGGAGCATCCCTCTGGCACCTATCAATGCGCCCCGGTCATTTTCGACGTGGGATGAAGTGTCGTTTAGGCCCTGACATGATTGGATTATCAAGGACTCTTCTTCCTTAGCCAAGAGCATAAGCAATCCTGCTACCGTACTATTTGGGTACTTGTGGCTACTCCATATCAGTTGCCGGCAAAGGCCATCGCTTTAAACACCGTCGGTTACTGAGGCTTGCAGTAACGCAGCTCCAAACGCCGCATGGGAGTCGGGGTATGATTGGGCTCATTTTCCAAATGCCCAGTCCTCGCTGGTGTTGGCGCTGCGAAGATCTGCCGACGTCTGCAACGGGACCTTCAGACACCCGTCGAGCTCGCCATATACCACACACCACTTGAGACTCGTGGCGAATAGCATCCTGCATAGTGTGCCATATTCGCGTGGAGACGGGCCGAGGCGCAGAATAGTACGCTGAGTTCAGCCCGACACCATTCCCGGGTCGTAATACGACCTCAGTGCCTGCTCCCATGCACCACAGGCCTATGTGTGCTTGATGGGCGCTTCTAGAGATGATCGATCTCGATTGTATTCCTTGAAGACCTTGCGATGGGCATATCAGAGTCCTTTGGATACTATTCTTGTCATCTAGGCAGATCGAGTTCAACGTGCCACCATATAGCACGAGCATGGCGGACCCAGATCATACGCAAGATACGAACGCAGCTCTGGTAAGACTACTCAGCATCCCTCGGACAGAAAGGTGGTAAGGCTTGAATGAGGCGGTGCCTGTTCTGGTTGAATAATGCCACTCGTTCTGGCTTCAGGCTGGCCCTTTGGACAAGACTAAATTCAATAGCAAGCCGATGTCGATGACGACTCTGCTGTTGGCTTGGTACGTGACAACTACCTTGCGGCCTATATCATCAAGATGATGACCAAACATGAATGTGTGCATCTTGTCAGGATGATGACCAATTCTCCACGGCTTCCCTTACATCAACAATCCGCAACTTTGAGATAGAGAATGGACGCACATATCATGCGCTTAGCGCGGGAAGCAAGTCCTTGATCTATCAGTCACTGTCGGTACCTAGGTGTAACCTCTTGTTCTCTGCAGAATACGTTCTTCCTAATGACGAGGTAACCTGTCCTTCACCACCCCTTCCATTCATCCTGGAGAAAGGGGCGTCCGCTGAACTTAATTGCCCTGCATCAAGAAGAGATGAGCAGGCTAGGTAAATACATCTGCAAAGAAGTTGCGAGCCCGGCTGACGGTAATATGCGCGTAGACATGCAGAATGCACATTTCCTTGCCACTTTTGATGGTCGAGCATATTTTGCGCCAGCGGCCGAGACAGCTCAACGTGTTCTTGATGTTGGAACAGGCACCGGGATTTGGGCTATACAATACGGTTTTTCCCCTCTCTGGGCCGTGTTTGGTCTCCCAGCTGATGATTGTGCAGCTGATGAGCACCCTTCCGCCCAGGTATGAACCATGCACGGTGGCTGATTGCCCGACTTGACTGCACTATTACTGACCACTGCGTTGTCAAAGGTCATTGGGGTCGACTTAAGCCCGATCCAGCCTGACATGTAAGTCAATTGCAGGGAGGGAGTACTAACGGAGGTTGACAACAGAGTCAGTACTCCGCCCAATTGCTCGTTCGAAATTGATGATCTGAAGAATGAGTGGACGTGGAGTTATCCCTTCGACTATGTGTTCAGTCGGATGATGGTTGGATCATTTGCTGACTGGCCAGCCTTCATCAATCAAGCGTACAAGTAAGTATCGTCTTCTCCTCCAAAACGAAGCAGCTTCTCTTGTCATTGCTCTGGGTCAATATAAAGCCTTTAGGTGGCAAGGCAGCGGCACTGCGCGCTTCATTCTACAATTCTCAACGTAGCACACTCTTTTTCAAACAATCTCGGTGCTCAACAGACTAACCACGGTATTAGGGCACGAAGAAACCTATCTCCCGGCGGCTGGCTAGAGCTCCAGGATTGTACATTTCCGATGGGCTGCGACGATGGGACCTTCCATTCCGGACAAGTGATGTACGAATGGAGCAAGTTACTCGTCAGCGGCAGCGAGAATTTAGGCCGTCTTTTGGCCGCAGCTGTACACCATCGCGATCGGATGGTAGTAGCTGATTTACAAATGTTACAGTGAAGCACTTCAAGTGGCCGACGAATCGCTGGCCAAAGGACAAAAAGCACAAACTCGTCGGCTTATGGACGCTGGCGAACCTCGGCACGAGTCTGGAAGGGTTGAGCATGGCTCTATGGACCCGTGGTCATGGTTGGACACGAGAACAAGTGGTAGCATATGTGTCAGAGGTGAGGAAGGATTTACAGGATGGCAAGATCCACGCGTACTGGCCCATGTGAGTGCTTCCAGACGTGTTCTCCGAGATCTAGTTGCGTGTTAACCCTATCTGAAGCATTGCGGTTTGTGGTCAAAAGCCAACGACCGCTTCTGCCTCGGCCTCGCCAGGAGTAGTTGCATGAGCACACCCAATGCTAGTTTGATCCCATAACGTGATATCTTGGTCTCTTCTTCGTATATACCGGCTTCGATACACCCGTTGGGAACCCAGAACTTGATTAAGATGGCCTTCTGCTGGCCTCCCGCTGGCCGGATGATGACCATTGCCTACCTAGCTAGACACTGACGTGCAAGAGATTCTCCATGCCTAGTGAGATCCTGCTGTCAACTGACTTCCGGGTGTTGGCCCCGCCCATCGTCGCCTAGCCTTAAGACCTAATTAGCGCTCACCAGGCTAAATACGGGGCCCATAATCGCCTAACTTAGCCTCGAGAGCCCTAGATAAGCGTTCAAAGTATGCCTCGGCAGGTCTTTAGCGTTCTTCAAACTTACAAATCTCAACAACAGGCTGTGAGCCTAAGGTACCTCTACTTCGTGCCACTTCACCACGAGTACGGAACAGCACACCATGATGGAAGCTCTTGCTGTATTGCTACCTCCGGTGCTCATAGCACTCACCGTCATATGCGTTCAGGAAGCATGGAGGATCCGCCACTCGCTACAGGGCTACAAGCAAGTGACGATTCGCGGGGCGTCGAATATGACAGATGAATATGACCGCAAATACACCAAACCCGCCTCCTCTCATGACACTTCCAGATGGCAGATCAAGGCTTTGTACATCCACCCGGTCAAGTCTTGTGGCGGAGTGGAATTGGACGTAGCCGACGTGGATGCCGCTGGATTGACCTGGGATCGCAAGTTCGCGTTCGCCGAGTTACTGACGCCGCGGACCAGGGGAGACGCTCCTGAAGAGGAAAAGAAGCCAAGGTGGACTTTCCGGACCTTACGGCAGCCTGGCTTTGAGAAATTGGCTCTTGTGAAACCAGAGATCTGGATTCCAGAGACGGCATCGAAGAAAACGCAGGGCAAAGACCAAGGATTTATGATTGTGAAGTATCCTCGTATTCCCCGAGGTCCTTTGGCAGCCATCATCAAGTTCGTGGTGGAGCTTGGATTTATATCTAACGAAAGGTCATTTTGTGTGCCGTTGGTGCCTTCGGAAAATCATCAATATCCCTCTGAGCAAGTGACCATTTGGAAGGATAGCCCGCACTGGCTGAACATGGGAGTTCACGTACCGGATGACTTTCGTGCTTACCTTGAAGTTCGGAACCAACTCACCCTCTTCAGAGTCGATCCCAAGAACTACCGAGAGGTGCATCGCTGTGCACCCCGAAAAGAGCAGTTGGGCTATCAGTCCGTGGTCGGTTTTGCAGATGCTTATCCCGTGCATCTCCTCAACATCGCGTCAGTGAGGGACGTGGCCGGAAAGGTTGGGAAGGACATTCCTCGCCTTTCAGCGAGAAGATTCCGATCCAATGTTCTGATGTCCGGGCCTGTAGCGTACAACGAGGATGACTGGAAAAAGATCAAGATTGGCAACCATTTGTTCTACTGCGCTTGCCACACAGTTCGGTGCAGGCTACCAAATGTCGATCCTGATACTGCGGAACGACATCAAGTTGAGCCGGACAGGACTCTAAAGTCCTTCAGATGCATTGACGATGGCGATCCACTGAACGCCTGTCTGGGCCTTCAATTAGTGCCGGCCGAGTCGACGACATTCCAAATTCGAGTTGGCGACGAGGTTGAAGTGCTTGAAAGAGGCGAGCACCATTACATCAAACAGTGATCGGGTTAGTCTTTCGCTTATGCAGGTATCGATGAGAATTCTCCTGCCGAGACCGAAAGTGAAGTATTGACCTTGATCATCGAAGCATCCCTCCGTACCAAACGCAAGGGATCTCTGCATATCTAACCTAGTTAGTATGCTTCCATTTCCGAGGTCTGGCACCGATTTACGTGATAATGCCAGCCCAGCGTCAATTTTGACAGTTTATACCATCAGAGATTGTAGCTGCTGTTATCGCCTTCAACAGCCAGAGGGCTGGAAAGCTACGATACAGACTGCACATCCGTGGTTGCAGGTGGAGCAAGGGCAGCTTTTGAGGCCGCTTTTTGTGCCAATACCAATGGCAATGCTTATCAGGCGGCTCTGCCAATGTCGAGCTGTCGACTTGGCATAGAAACCGCAACTTGAAGATTTTGCGTAACAGCAAGCGACGAACCAGTTATATTCGGAATCAGCCCATTCATGAGGCTGCGCCGAGATGGCTTTGCATCTCATCGCGAGCATATCCCAACCTTCATCATCAGTTGTCTCTGGGCACGCGAACCCTAAGCTTGCAAGATGATCTCGCCAAGACATCAGCGGCGGGCTCCTACGTCCTGGGGATTGCCGCTGATGGGTGGAAGCGTCCGTAAACATGCGGGCAGATCCTCTCTGAAGCGAAGATACGGACCTTGTGATGGCATATAATGAGAAGGCACCACCCAGAGATAAAGAGAAGAGTCACCTAGAACTGAAAAGCTGAAGCTGGACTACCAACCTAAGTCCAGAGATATTGTCTTGGTACACAGCTGATCTGCCCCTTTCAACCCAGAGCATTTTCTCGAGGTATATCCATCGTTTGACTGTCGGTAAAACGAGAACTCTGTGGCCCATCTGTCCAACGTTCTCAGATACTTGTTCACTCGCCCAGCAGTATTGAGACACCATCATTGAGCTCTACAGCCTTCATCTACGAGACCACAACAGCCTCGTCTCATTATGGAGCCTGACCGCATTGGGCCCGACACCACACCCCGACGTCCGTTCGTGGACAGGGTAAAGGATGTTCCACGTCGAGTCATCCGAAGCCTTACAACAAAAGAGGGTCTTGTAGGCGACTACGACTACGCATTTCTGTTTACCCCGAAGCTGCCTTTCATGAAGAAGCAAACCCAAACAGCTCCATTCTTCGGTTTGAACGACAAGATGCCCATCTTGCTAGCGTTGTTGCTTGGCTTTCAGCATGCCTTGTCCATGTTGGCTGGCCTGATCACACCACCTATCATCCTCTCTGGCACGGGTGGTGCCAATTTACCGACAGAGACCGCTCAATACCTTGTCTCGACGTCACTCATTGTCTGCGGAATCTTGTCTTCTATTCAAATCACACGTTTCCACCTCTACAAGACGCCCTACTTCATAGGAACAGGCATTATCTCCGTGGTCGGCACCTCTTTTGCAACCATACCTGTGGCTTTGGGTGGGTTGTCTCAGATGTACGCCTCTGGCTATTGCCCCACCGATGCAGATGGAAATCGTCTTGCCTGTCCGAAAGGCTACGGGGCGATTCTCGGGACAGCGTGTATTTGCGCCCTCCTGGAAATCTGCTTGTCTTTTGCTCCTGCAAAAGTCTTGAAACGAGCCTTTCCCCCGTTGGTTACAGGACCTACTGTCGTCCTCATTGGAATCAATCTCATCTCCTCGGGATTTGAAAATTGGGCAGGAGGATCTGGAAGTTGCAGGGCGCGGCCAGAAGAAGGTATCTATCAGAATTGTCCTACCAACTTTGCCCCTCATCCTCTCCCATGGGGCTCTGCGGAATTCATTGGGCTGGGATTCAGCGTCTTTATCACCATTATCCTATGCGAGAGGTTCGGTAGTCCGATCATGTATGTCTTTCTTGTCCCAAAGATACACATTCATCTCATGCTGACTGAGGCAGGAAATCATGTGCTGTCGTCATTGGTCTGCTAGTGGGCTGTATCATTGCAGCAGCCACAAACTATTTCGACGACTCGGGGATCAAGAGTGCCAAAGCCGCCTCGTTCATCTGGGTCGAGACATTTCCACTGTCGTTATATGGGTGAGATTGGTTTGCTGTGGCATTCGAGCCGACCACTGACTTGTACCTAGGCCGATGGTGCTGCCCTTCTTAGCAGTCTTCTTAGTCCTGATGATGGAGGCCATCGGAGATATCACTGCCAGTTGTGATGTCTCGCGTCTGGAAGTGGATGGACCCCTTTTCGACTCCCGGATCCAGGGCGGTGTGCTAGCCGACGGTTTGAACGGAATGCTCGCCTGCCTTTGTACAATTACGCCGATGTCGACCTTTGCACAGAATAACGGAGTCATCGCCCTTACGCGTTGTGCCAACAGGAAAGCCGGCTACTGCTGCTGCCTCTGGCTGATCCTCATGGGCATCTTCGCCAAGTTTGCAGCTGCTCTTGTGGCCATTCCCTCTTCGGTCCTTGGTGGTATGACGACTTTCCTGTTTTCGGCTGTTGCCATCTCTGGTGTCCGTATTATCTCGACCGTTCCTTTCACGAGGCGCAACCGCTTCATACTCACGGCCGCAATGTCTGTTGGTTTCGGTGCTACGTTGGTCCCTGACTGGTAAAGATCTCTTCTCCTTGCGGATCAAATTGATTTCGCTGACCCATCATCGTCAGGTTTGACTACGTATTCACGTATGAAGGGGACAATTCTGCCCTACGAGGATTTGTAAGTGTCTTGTGTCTCGGGATCGTGTCTCGCGCATTGCATCTATATGTTTCATTTTATTCAAGGTTTTGCTTCTATGTGCTGACTTGTATTTCCTTTCAGATGAGTGCAATCGAATTGGTGATGGAGACGGGCTTTGCTGTGACAGCCTTTCTGTCTCTCTTCTTGAACCTGGCTATCCCAGAAGAGGCCGATGACGACGCGGTTGAGACTACCGCAAACACTGTGGACGCGGACGACAACAAAGAATGGGAACGAATCAGACGCCGGAGCCAGCTGAAAGACATGCGGAACAGCGAAGATCTTACGAGGGGCAGTACTGACATCGAGGTGAGCGGCGGAATTCAACAAGGTGAGGTCGACAAGATGCGCACCATCAAAGATGGATGACGGAAGATCCGAGTGGTATTCACCAAGGGGGAGGTCACCAGTATCTAAGAGACCTCTACCGTCGTCTGAGATGGCAGTTTCGTACCACGCAAATGCCAACCCGCTACAACGCGGCGTCGACCCCTTTGTAGCATCAGCCTTATCCATCACTAGATGAGATCGACGGCGACCCCATAACTAGGCGAATTAGTGGCGCTTTCCGGATGGTGATGTGACCAGCAGGAGGGATGGTTTATGAATACTATATACTTGTAATTGCTATGCACATCTTGCTGAGACACGTATATCCATCTGGAGTCTGCCTTGGCCGGTCTCCTCTTTCAAGTCAGTCAAAAGTGGTACAGCCGTTCATTAGTAATGATCTTCCAGTGGTGATACCACCAGAACCACTTGTTTCAATGCAGATCGAAAGCCCAGATGAGTGCCGCACGATGATAGTACCACGATCCAGCTGCATCTAAGCCTTCACTACCTACTTAGTCTTGGTAGACGACCTTGGCAGCGGGTTGATACAGGCCCAATGCAACACCGGGCTGTACGTTGCCGGTGGCCTCGAAGCTCGATTGGGGAAAGACTGTGATGAGAAGCCCGAGCACGAATCCAGCGAACTGCGGGATGTGGATGTGGATTGCAAAGCTCCGTCGACAACCTCGTCCCGCTCAACCACAACACAACACCAGAGAACGACGATTTCAACCTCAACCTCAACCTCCGTCGCTGTCGCTGTCGCTGTCGCTCTCTCCTGACAAGACCTTCCCTCCCAATGTCCCTTGCACAGACATGAATCCCCTTGCGAGTTCGACGCTGTCTCGTACCCATACCGGCTTTCCCTGCCTCTCGCCAGATCCTCGTCAAAGGTCCAAGACACTGCCAGCATAGGTTGATTCGAGTCGGCACAGTACCCTGCCATGGTACGACCCTGTTCCAATGCGACGGCGGATTCGGTTTATCTCTACGCTCGTTCTACGCTCGTTCTATAGTTGACCAGGTGCCACCCCGCGAGCCAAAAATCTTCCCGCAGTCATGCCATTTTGCTTCAGCAGCAATGACACCGAGCCGCACGACGAGTACGACGAGATCCCCTTCGGCCTCAAATGGCGCATGCACTGGGGCAAGAAAGAGACGGATCCAGCCACGGGCGAGACCATCCTGCGGCTGAGCAACACCAGAATCCTCAAGACGCACTGCCTCAACACCGAATACCAGGCCCTGAAGCTGATCGACCGACATACCTCGGTCCCATGCTACAAGGTGCTGGCCGTGTACAACAGGCCTGAGGGGAGACTGGTCGAATACGAAGCGTATCCGGGAAAGCCTCTGGAACAGGCGTGGCCGGGAATGTCTGCCCACCAAAAGAACAAGGTCATTGGGGACTTGGGTCGCTTTGTTGAGCAGCTGCGAAAGATGCAACCTCCCAAGCACTGTGTCGTCGGAGATGCCACTCTCGGCGCCGCACTTGACCATCGATTTGGGTCTGGCAGGGTCGGCCCGTTCTTTTCGATCCAAGCGTTCCAAGAGTTCGAGAGAAGAGGTCACAAGCCAGACGACTTTCCCGAAAAAGAAGTCCAAATCGTCCACGCACCGATGAAGCCTTACGTCTTGAAGTTTACCCACGCCAATCTCTGCCCCAAAAACATCCTGGTCGACGAGGCTGGCCGGATCGTGGCCCTGATCGGCTGGGAGTCGTCTGGATGGTACCCGGAATACTGGGAGTACACCCAGATGTGTCATCTGACTCCAAAGACCATGGGCGACTGGCGCGACGCCATGTGCCATGTCATACCTCGGTACGACCAGGAGTTGATATGTGAGGAAGCCCTGCGTGCGCGATATTGTGGATCGGTGTACGATCTACCACGGAGTGTTCGGGTTCCGAGTCTGTCGCCGAGTGAGCTGCATGCCGAGCAACAGGAAATTAACGATAAGAACACAGAATCAACCAGCGGCTGAGACAGACGGATTTGGCAGATATATGCCGCTAGTACATTATTATATCCTCGAACTGAGATGGCCATGGCCGCCAGAAATACATTGCCATACCTCTAGGCGCGTGCAAGTGCGCGCGGTGCATCGACTCCAAGTCGTCGAGCGATCTCAGGAACAAGCTGACGCCAAGTTGATGGATGTCAGTACTCTTTCGAGTAAGATCTGGTAAGAGCGTGGCGGCCTTGCCCTTCCACGCCGTTGTTCGATACTCGCGTTCCTCAGCACTGGACACACTGCCAGATCGGAGGAATGTATTGCTCGCCCATCACTGCCTGCCCATCCACGGACCGCAGCGCATACGAGTCATGCAACCCTGGACAACAGACCTACGCGGAAGATCACTTGCCGAGTACCATCAAGTCTATTCCGCCGGAATATACAAATCGACCAGTCTATGCAAGCTCAGTGGACTAGTTCTCGTCTCCGGACGCATACCCCTTCGGAAAAGTTTGTCTACAAATATTACACGAAGATGATATCCAGTACATTTTCTCAGCAAGACGCCGATTGTCCCGAAAACAAAAATTTCGAAGTCCTGGATCTCGGTGGCATCATCGGCCCGCCTATTTTGGATCCCAAGCTACAGTTATCCGACACCATTCGAGCAAGCTGCGACGCTGCGTATGGCAGTGTCCCATATACAACCTAAACCTAGCGTTCGGAGTATGGCGTTGTCAAGGCGGGCATCAGATCATGCAAATCCAATGGACGGCGCATCAACAGCCACACTTTTGTGAGCGTTTGCTCTGCACGAGTTTATTTGATTTATTATGTGAGGATGGGTTCTTGAAAGGAGTACCAATGAGTACTACAGTTTTGGTCTAACTACGTAGTACTACGGATCAGACAAAATGAAATGAAGGGGTTAATAGATGTTGTTTGCGCGCGAGGAGTCAAGCCGGTTAAAGGCAAGCGTTGGGTGAGACCGGATCTATGGGGCGTACAATCTACCTAGGTACAGTACTACAAGGTACGGAGTACTTACACATAGTAGAACTGGATTCTTTCTTGAAGGTCCAGCGGAGTCCGGACTGACTTCTATTGCTATCTGAAAGCGAATAGACCACTGGAGTCGACAACGGTGTCTTTGATTTTGTGTCATTCTGACCTACACTTCGCGTAAAAATCTACTACATACCTAGTTAATGTAAATGCTCCTTGGTAAATTTTTTGTGTTGGATGGCGATGGCACTACTGTATACAACTCAGCATATGCATCGTCCCTCCGTCCGTCCGGCATTTCATTCCCGGGAAGGCCGAACTAAGAGTCGAGTCGAGACGCGGCGATGCAAGCGAGGGACTTGGACTTGCGGTTGTACTTGACTATGTACTCTCAGAGATGGAACCCGACCCGTAGCTAGCAAGGCAAAAGAAGATAAGATGGGAAGAATGATGCGAAAAAGACATTCACGTTCACGTTCACCTTCACCTTCACATTCACATCTTGTCTTGTCCTTTCCCAAGTTTTGGTCCGCATTGTCCTCGCCTTTCCCTCTGTCGACTTCCTCTCAAGGATCTGCCGGCCTGGAACAACTAGTCCCTCCAACAATGAAATCTCTCCAGCCTCTCTTGGATTGAGCTTCTACTTCGAACTTGTAGGTGGCCATCTCGACGTCGAGGATTCGATTGTGCGGTATAGGACACTGAAGCCACGCGCACCTCATTCGTCTTCCCGAGTTTCATTAGACGTACAAAATGACAGGGCCGAATCTCCTGGCGTCTCGTTCGTTGATGCGTTTCTGTACTCGTCGTCGGAGGGAGGCAGACAGCGTTCCTGCGAGTGGTCGAATTCAAGGCGGACCCTGTCGGTTTCCAATGAATGTTCCACTCCCTCTCCCTCTCTGACAACTCAACTCTTGCAGGGCGACCTTGGTGCCGATTCCATGCAGTTGATCATCTTCCAACTTCTTTACTACTTGCGCTCGTAAGCCTGTGCGACAAGGTTTGCGCCTTCCCGCTGTGCGGTCTGCGATTCAATCAAAGCTTGTCCCCTTTCTTCGTCGTGGCCCTCCCGGGCGTCCTAGAGACAGGGTTCCAGAATTCGTCTCTGGCCGACTCGGCGAACCATCTCTTCATAGCCAGTCCATCTCCTCTTCCTCCACCAGCACCAGCACCGGCTCTGTTCATGTCGTAGCCGTTCTGTGCCATCTGTTGCTGGAAACGGAACTGGTGTTCGTGCCGATCAACCCGGCGGCCGCTCGTGCTACCGCTCTTGACGCTGGCTGTGCTCGAAGACGGCATCTTGACTGGGATTGTGCTCACGGCGTAAATTGGATGTGGTCGGTAAATGAGGTGACAGGCTTCGTATGATAGTGAACGCGTGCTTTCTGGTTATTACTGGGCGGGTACTCCGTATAAGTAGACAGGTCTGACTACCTTCGCGGCGTAAGGAGTTTGCTGATTTTTCAAACAGACAAAAGGGTGCAATCCGCAATGACTTTGGAAAGGCAGTGGGTTGCGCTGCGCGTCCCTGGTCAGTCGTAGAAGGTCTTTATACCTCACAGGGGGTCGCAAAGACCATCTCAACATTTCAAAGAAACCAATTGCTCGTGACCACGAGAACGCGTCCCTTGGTAACCTACCTTGTCTCCCGGACCGCGGAACAAAAGAACTTTTTGCTCAAGATCACAGGCACCTTTGCTCGTGGCGTTCACGGTTCACCCTACCTGGTACCAGCAAGCAAAACCTACAGTAGATTTCATGTAGCGGGCCATCTGTGACGTCTGCGGTGTGTGTGGGCAGCGTCACCAGTGGCGTGTCGAAGAATGAGGCTACCTTGGCCTAGGTAAATATTGTTGAGGACATGTTGTGTACTAGTATTTCGAAGAGACAAAAGTACTGCATCACCCTGGATGGGCTCGGATTGTACACAGTAGGAGCGCGATTACCCTTTGGGCTCGTAGATCCAGACTCGCATGTGGTCCTTGACACGTATGTCGGGATAGGCTCTTACCGGGTAGATGAGGCCGAGGTCTCCGCCGAACATCTGCTGAATAATGGATGGAGGTGGAGCAGATGGGAAAGGTAAGTACTGTGAGTACGGAGTACGAGAAGATGTGGTCTGAGACTTGAGACACGGAAGGTTGAAGGGCTCTGGAGTGAATAAGCAGTTCCCAATCCCAGAGCCAGAAACTGCGGGCTGCTTATGGCGGTGATGGCGGCATCATGCGGGGTCTTTTGGTGAGACTCGGTGGAAGATCTGCAATGCCTAGCCTATAAGAGTGCCTGGCGAACCTGAACTTGGGGCAACACTTGGGGGCGAGGCAGACTTTTGGGCTCACAACCTTAGTCAAGTTAGGCATACCCGCCCCGGGAACTGCGGAGGAACTTTGGAGTAGCTCCTTGGAAAACTCCATCAATGGTCAGTGAGGCTCCTTTGCTCAGGCTGGAGTTGGAAACCGCTTCCGTGACAAAAGTCCTCTTCACTCCGTTTTCTTCCCAACTTTTAGCAGAGAGAGTCGTGCAAGAAGTCCCTCAACAGAAATGGAAATGACGGGCCATCGCCCACGCGTCCAACTAGTTCATATACCGAATTCGATCCTTCTGTGAGTGGCTGAATAAGTCACCTAAGTTACCCATTCAGCTCGCTCATGGCCGGTTGATGCCCTTTTGGCCCCTTTTTTATTTCAGTCCGCCTCCTGCAAGCCGCCAGGGTGGGCGGGAAAAAAAGAAAAGAAAAGAAAAGAAAAGAAAAGAAAAGAAATGTCGAGGGCTTTACGAACGGCTGCGGTCCCTATCTGGAAAGTGGAATTTTTGCAAAGACAAGAAAGGTCCTGGTCATGCGAACAGGTTCTTTCTGGTCAGCACGGTGAGGAGGAGCGACGGCGGTTGTGCGTCCGTCAGTGGTGGCAATGCTGCCCGAGGAGCATTGCCTCGAGTCTGCTTACTGAAAGGGCTTCACCACCCCTTTCTAACCGTCTGCTACGATCTAAAATGCTTGATGAGGTCACAGGAAGAGGTCTTTTCTGGAATTTTTGTCCCTGATGCATCTTCTGTTCGTCAGCATCCTCCCTTAGCAAATCGCACTTTTGTAATACACCTCAAGACCACCACCACCCCCTGCGCATGGGTCACCCCCAATCCCAGTCCACGTATGCGCCCTGGGCTGTGACAAAGGCGTGAGGCGTCCTTCGAGCCCATTGTCTGCCTTGTCTGGTGTCCCATTTTCGCCACCCGGACCAACAAAATGCATCCATGCATCGCGAATTACTAGTAAGTGCCTGGCTTCTCTCGACTGTCGTCCAGCCGCATATTCGTGTTTTCATGCACTTGACGTCCCATGCAGCAAGCCTCGCAGTCAGGTTTCGCAGCATTTTTGCATTCCACCGGATCAGGTATGGTGCTCCAGAGCACCTGAGAAACCATGTCCCGGCCATCAAAACGGCCCAAGAAGGCCTACAAGCGAGTCCAGTCACCCCTGAACGCGCTTAAAAACGAAATTGAACGCCTCTATGTGGTCGAAGGCTGGACATTGGAAAGGATCAGAGAGCATATCAGAGCCTCCTATGGTCTTGATCAGTCGTAAGTTTAGCCCTGTTGCCTAGATTTGCCCTTTTTAATTGCCAGTTATCAGACCCAAGCAGTACAAAGACCAGTTGAAAAGCTGGGGCATCAGAAAAAATCATACATGGCGTGATGCTGCCTTCATATTAAGGCTCTTGAACCGTACAAGAGCAGAAGGACGTCCCCGAGAGGCTCAAACAGTCCTCTTCTCATCATTCCCTCGCCGTCGAGAGGATATCCTCAAGTATATCAAGAGATCCAAATTGGTCGATGAAGCGCACCTGCTGTCCAAAATCTCAGATGAAGAGGAAACGCCACTTCACATCAAATTGCCGGATACTCCCCTGGAACAAACCGTGCCGAGAACAGCGCACAACCCGCTCACTCCTCCCTCAGGCGGCTCGGGGCATCTGATTCCTCCGCCAGACCATGCCGAAGTGCCACCATTGAACGCCATGCCATCCCCAGAAGTCAGTCCGCGACCGTCGTCCCAATGGTCAAGTAAGGGCACCCCGTCGAAGAGGTTATCAACCTCGACCTCAGATACTGAACCCGATGACATGGACTTGGACCCTGAATCATTGCCGATGCCACCTCATGACACCGTTAAGCAGCCAGCCTCGCCCAAGTTAGGTGACCCTTTTGGACCGGATGGTCCATTACGGCAGCATAACGGCCTCGATGGGCCAACGGATGGCCTGTCCGTAGACGACATAAATGCGTTGCTCTCTTCCACGCCAGCTAGCATCGACCAGTTTGGCCTCGGGTTTGATATTGCCCGGCTCGGAGTATATACTGACAGCCCTCAACTGAATGATGGCAGTTTCTCAGCGCGGTTCGTAACGAACTGCTTATACTGGTTGATTTGTGTTGGCCAAGACAAGCCTGACTGCAGAAAGAATGCCACGTACCACCTGGATCAAGCCAAGTTGTACTTCTTATGCATGATCCAAGATGGGAGCCCTCCTGGTGAAGCATGCATTGGCGCGTTGAGTGTGGCCTCTGTGTTGTTCGAGTGTTTGGGTCACACGGAGCGACTGGCGGAGATGCTTGCTGAATGCGACCAAGTCACCAGAACGCACCTCGGTGACGACAATCCTCTGAGACTGACAATCGCTTTCAAGAAAAACTTGCTACAACGTGGTGGTGGATGCAGTCCCCTTCATGATGTCGACCGTCTCCGATACATCTATCACCGGATGGAATGTGAATACCCAAAGTCCCGTGGTCCGGTGTTGATGGCCAAGTATCATCTCGTGTGGGCCATGCTGGAGAATGAGTTGAAGAAGGATCGAGGACAACGAGATTTCCGCCCCGCAAAAGAAGGCCTCGAGGCTCTGCTCAAGGAATACGATGCGCATGTCGGCTCGACTAGGATCGAGACAATCATGGCAGCCACTACACTGGCGAGAGCCACCTTTCGTTTTGGTGACGCTGAGAGGGCCGAGGAAATCATTGTCGACGAAGTCTTTCCACGGCTAAGGGAGAACTTTCCTGAAGACCATCCGTATACATGGGAAGCCAAACATCGCCATGCATACTTCCTTCTGCAGCTCGCCAAAGCGGACCCAGGACCCACATACAGAAGACGACTCCAGCAAGGTGAGCAACTTCTTCGCGAGGTTGTGCGGCACAGGCGGCGCGTGCTCGGCGAAGGTAATCCGAAATCCATGCAATCGTTCGAATTGCTGAAGACCATTCTCGAAAAGCAAGCCAAAGTTAATGAAGCAAATTCGCTGTGGTGGTGGTGTAAGCGTCAAGTCTGAAAATTGCCACAAAGCGCGGGATGTCCTTACCATTACATATCCTCATGTACGCGCCCTGGACGAAGCGAAGAGCTCAGTATCGCTGTTCGACTTTACCTTCTTCTGTTTTTGTAGGAGCGAGACGATTGATGGTCTCGCCTCGGTACAGATATATTTCTGTTGTCGTCGGTATCCCTGCTGCAACCGAAGACGCCGTCGATTCCATATTCGCTCGATTCGCTCGAGACAGAGTCAGTCCGAGTTCGAACCCGTTCGTCCAAAGATGCCATCGCATCTGAGGGACGTCTGGAACTCGAATAGCTGGTGGAGTACGAATAGCTTCGACTGTTCTGCCAGGGAGGACTTCCGAAGGTAGAACTTGGAGAGCCAGCGACTGACTCCATCGCCGAACCGCTGTTGGAGCTGTTCCTTTGCGGCAGGACAGGTCTCTGAGGAATCGCAACCGCTGGTGTAGCATACGCATTGGCAGACATTGACCCATGAGAGTCATACCTTGTCGAATGATGACGAGGCACAACACTGCCGCCGCTAAAGGAATGCTGTCGGTCTCTGTGGGTTCGACTGTCGCAGTAGCCTGTTGGTATTAGCTCGGCGTCAATGCCATCCTCCGGACTAGACCTCACTCATCCGTCTCTGATGACCATCACTGCCTCGCCATCGGGCTGTGTCATCACGGAGTAATGGAAGCATCGACTACGCGTCGTCAACGCCTTCACGTCGTCACAAGGCCCCTGATACCTACACTTGGAGGGGGTTGCGAAGCTTCAATCACATATCGGTCTTGCTAGAACACGTCAGTATACTGCCCGGCTTGCCAACATGCTCGACATACGTGGCTTTCCAACACTCGAGCATCACGGCCCAGGTAAATAGGCAGGTCCGTCTCGAGGACTTCTCTGGAGATACCCTGTTTTGGCAAAGAGTACTTGGTCATGGTCGGGCAAGGTGGGGCTTTCTTCACGCTAATGTCTTCCTGAGATGGGAAAGATATTGTTCTCGATCCTACCTTGAGGTATTCATGCAAGAGTGTTCAGCAGGAGTGATCACCGGTGGCAAAAGGAAGAGAAAAGTGGACTTATGCGGAACAATGTTGAAATACTCAAGCTGGAGCTCGTCAAACAAGCAAGTCGACCACAGTCAAGGACATGTGGGTTATTGAGCTCCAAGCGAGCAGGAGCGGGGTATCAACGAGGACCTGGACACTGAAACCGACCGGAAGAGCCTCATGTCAACCAGGATCAACGAAACCGGTGAAAGGATTGACTCGACACTGGCTCGGACAATGGAAGGCCACGTAGCTCCGGAAGAGTTGTTGGCTGTTATCGACCAATATAAGGCCGATCCGCTCGCAAAATGTGCTGGATGCTGCCCCAGAAGCGAGGTTGAGACAGCTGAACCAGGCCGAGAGATGTGGCTGCATGTCGCTTGTGCAGGGTTTCCGAAAGGGTCCAAGCACATGATGGGTGAAGAATCCTTTCGGCCTCTGGTCTTTGTAAAGCCACCAAGGCCCAGGTTGATGAGATGAGTGACGGCAACTGCAAGTCGAAGACGGTCAACGAGCAGCCTGAATGAGAACAGGCGAAAGGCACGTTCGGGCAAAATCCGTCGAAGCAGCAGCAGCAGCAGCACAGGCCGCATGGTCGGTCAGGATTGGCATTCTGCCACCTTTCCTCGTAACGATATTTACGAACGACCGAATGACGACGACTCTGCATCATCCTGAATAATCATGCAATCGAGGTTCCCGCTTGATTTTCGTTTCGACGAAGCGGTCTATACATGGGGTATAGTTAGGCAGCGCCCAAATTGTGTCTAGACCTGCCAATACACGATCACCACCCATTCCAGCGCCTCAACTCCCACGAGACGTAGGCCGGATCTGTGACAGAATCAGACGCCGACTCCAAAACCCACTCGCTGCAAATGCGAACAAACCAGCGCATCTTGTTGTATATAGTGACGATGTATTGCTGAAGGGAAAGCCTTCTTACGTGCCCACTGACGAGGCCGCAGTCGCAAAATTTCCAAATATCAGGGCTTTACCTGATTGACCATCATCGGGCCGCGTCGATGCCTCAACCGCCAGCATCAGATGAGTTGTTCGTACAACGAGCTCTGTCGGGTAGTCAGTCAATGTGTACAGTTCATGGGCAGCCGACCTCACCCTGTATCTCGATCGAGAAGCTCATAGGCAAATCATCGTATTCCGAGGCGTCCTTGCCATAACACGTGCCTTCACGAGCTCGAACCGCTACCCGTAACCCGACATTCTTTCTGTAATCCGTCCATAGGATATTCTTGTGCAGACCAATTGTGGGATAACTGGATGATGGTGTACGATCAATCGTGGAGCCTGGATCTTGTTCATGTTGCCAGAGCTCGAGAGCACGATCCTGTAGCCATTGCTTCCACACTCTCATGACTCCCTGGCCGGACTGTACGATCTGGACATTGCTCAGAAAGACGCCGCGACGTGGCCCGAGCCGGACAAGACTGGCGTAGGCGCAAAACTGGCCAAAGAGCTCGTCCGGGTCGAGGTTCAGACTGTGGACAACCTTGGCAGAGCCACCGTCTCCTCCGTCAGCATAGATTGGCTGCGTTGGATTGGGTGAGGATGACTGCTGGGACACGACGGACCCAGCTATCCGTCGCGCAGGCATTGAGCCTTGCACACCCGGTCGCTCAGGTCTGAAGCGACTGTATAGAGCACCCAATTTGGCGAACCTCCCTTCTTCACTTGCGCAATCTTCGTACAGACTCCCTTCCCCTTCATGCTTAGAACTAAGTCCATCTGTGCCAAGGTAGGTGCAGAAAAGGTACGGGTCGCTATATCTCTTACTCGGGTGGTAAGCCTCGAGGATGAGCTTGCAGTCTGGTAAAGCTGCCGCAAGCAAGAGTCGGAAGTGTAGGATCCGGAGGATGATGGAATGGAAACGGCGGGAGACGACCACCAAGGGAAGGAGAGCCTGGGTTTCAAAGCCCGACAGTATCGAGACCAAAATCTGGTCGCCATCAGTCAGTCAAGGTTTCGATCAAATCCCATCTGACCTGTTTACCTCGTTGGGTAAGCTGTAGAGACACAGACTATCCACAGCCATCATAGTCAATCAGTGACTAATTAAGCCCATCAGCGTCAAGTCGCGCGCAAAGCATAGCAACAGCAACCACGGCTGCACAGATCTTGATTGTAGGGATGAAGTGTATGGGAGTTAATGGTCAGTCGTAGGTATAAAGCACGATACGCAAAGCGGAATTTAAGTCAAGAAACATTGTCGTCTGATCAGAGGCCGAAGCCGTCATCCGCATCCGTTCTGTCAATGGCGCCGATAGACGGAGTGATGGGGCTTGTGGTGGGTGCACACGGCTCACCAGGCTATCGATAAGCCAAAATAAAAGCTGACATCATCTTCAAGCTTCGGAAAAGAAAGATCAGGATTCTTTTGTACCCAGCGTCAATATTGCAGGTCCAGTTTGGCCGAACTTTGGGGTCTTTCAGAGCTCGTACCACACCCATAAGGTGATGGAGACGTGTTTTTTCCAGAATCGACTAACGATCGAGATGCTGTAGGGACGCCAGTACGTCTTGGGCGCGGTCCCAGAGTGAGGCTGTCATGGCTGGATCTTCTTGAAATCATCCAAGAGCAGAAGTATATATCCGTATTCTATCACAGGACACCTGTGGCATAGGACATGGTTGCGTCTCTTGATCTAAACAGACGAAGGAGATTCAATATCGTTGAACACAGAATGTCCAAGGCTGCACAGTCTGGTGAGGGTTGTACTCGTAGTTGTACTCCTTCTGGCTGCAACACTTCTGACGTACGAGGTTTTCCCACACCAGACACTGAATGCAACGTCGATTCCACTCCGCACCCGCCAATTCTGTGGCTCCTTGTCTACAGCTCGTGCTTGCTCTTGATATTCCTGAGACGGGCTACTTGGTTTTGTGCTTCCCCTACATTCAGCAGTCATGCCTGAAAAGATCCTCGACGACATCTCGCACCGGCGGTACAACCCACTCCGCGGTAGCTGGATCCTGGTTTCCCCTCATCGCACCAAAAGACCATGGCAGTAAGCGATTTGCGCTTGTCGTATATCACACCCTGACAACGTCGTTCTAGAGGACAGCAAGAGAACCCCGGAGTAATCGACCTCCCAACCTACGACCCGAAATGCTACCTCTGTCCCGGAAACAAAAGAGCCTCGGGCGACACCAACCCCAGTTACAAGGATACTTTCGTCTTTGTGAACGACTACAGTGCTGTTAAGGAGGAACAAGAAGACTACGCTCCGCAAGATGCAGCAGGGAGTCTGTCGAGTCTCCTGCTACAAGCAGAGCCTGTCAAGGGGAAATGCTACGTGCTGACATTCAGCTCTGCGCACAACATCACCCTGGCTGACATGTCTCCCACCGAGATCCTGCCTATCGTTAAGACATGGACAGAGATCTACACAGCACATATCTCTCCGAAGTCACAGCTCGCTGCGATCGCAAAGCCGACTCACCTTCCTCCATCGAACCCACACGCGAACGTCGGCACGCCGAAAGATCAGTATCGGTGGATGCAGATTTTCGAAAACAAAGGTGCAGCCATGGGATGCTCAAATCCGCATCCCCACGGGCAAATTTGGACCACCACATCACTGCCTGAAGAGCCGGCCATCGAATTGGAACAGTTGAGGAAATACCACCGGGAACAAGGTGGCGCACACATGCTGGTTGACTATGCCCGCCTAGAGCGGGAAAAGAATGAGCGAGTGGTGTTCCAGAACCAGACCTTCCTTATCGTCTGTCCATGGTGGGCAACCTGGCCTTTCGAGACCATGGTGCTTCCGGTCAAGCACTTACGCTCACTGATCGACCTAGACGAGAACGAACAAGTGGACCTTGCAGAAGCGATTGCTGAGATTACCCGTCGGTACGACAATTTATTTGAGACAAGCTTTCCATATAGCATGGGCATACACCAAGCTCCTTTGAAGGGCACCAGCGAGGAGATCGATTGCTCCAGTCTGCATCTTCATTTCTATCCTCCGCTGTTACGAAGTGCGACTGTTCGAAAATTCTTGGTCGGCTACGAGATGATGGCCGAGCCACAGAGGGATATCACGCCAGAACAAGCTACTGCCAGGTTGCAAGCTTGCGGTGGAGAGCTCTACAGAAAGAAATTGCAAGGTGATGGAGACAAAGTGCAGAATCCTCCTGCACCAGAGAAGCCGGAGCCTTGATATATTATTCTTCGTCCATATTCTTCCGTTGTGTGTACAGTTCTTATTTGACATAGAAGTCATACTGAGCGACACTCCATACCAAGCCAAACAGCGAGACACTGACAGGGGCCAACCAAGGACCCCAAGGTCGACTTGTTTTGTACACAAATGCCTCCATGCTGAAATGGACCAGACCGACAAGATTGGTTAACATCTGCATCTGAAACCAGGACGCCTCGTTGATGTGGTATGCAGCGAAGATCCTCACGAGGCCTACAGCGAAGGTCCAAGTTCCGAAAGTTCTCGAGGACAAGGGCGTCGCAGTAGACGTCTCATGAGCAGGTCTTTTGGCCTTGCCCGGTTCGGGGTGGCCAGAGTAGAGGCGCTGAGTGTAGGATATGGTGTTGTAGCATTGCACGGCATTCCCAAGGGCAGTCACCCCCACCTGGGTATATATTAGCATGTGTTGTGAAGAGATGGGTGTGTGGCTGTACAAAGAGAATATACAGAGGCAGATAGCCTTCTGATTGAGGGAGCATGGACGCCATTGTAGTAGGTGAAAGTCGGTAGTGTGCGTTTCTCGCAAGTCAATTCTTCACGAAGGAAATACAAGAAAATACTATCAAATTGTGATAGAAATGCGGCAGCTATTGATTGTGTTATGCGACAAAAAGATCCCAAAAAGCAATTGCGGTGGTGGGCCGCAGGTTGGAGAAGAGATGCAGACCCCTGGCGATCGGGCTGCGATCTTTCCCATCGCTCATTATTTCCCCGCTGCGATCTCAGCTGCTACCCAACAACTCAACTCTTGCCAGCTCGCCAGCACGAGGCTCTAGTGCCCTACATTTTCATTTCTCCCTGGCTTGCACAGGAACATTGATCTGTCCAAACTCTTGTGGTCATCATGGCAATCAATCTAGGGCCTCTGGGCCAACAAAGTCTGACCTCCACCGCGCTGATAAGCATTGGCGCCATCACGATTGCCTCGATTGCCTTCACCACGCTGAGAGTGCTCTTGAGTACGTTTGTGCTGCCTGGTAAATCCGTAAGTTGATCATAACTCCATTCTATGCGCTCTGCTAATATCCTGTCAAAGCTCTCTAGTTATGGTCCCAAGGGCTCTTGGGCCGTGGTTACCGGTAGTTCTGATGGCATCGGTCGAGAATATGCTCTCCAGCTGGCAAAGAAGGGCTTCAACCTGATCCTTGTGTCGCGGACCGCTTCCAAGCTCGAATCCCTCGCCTCCGAAATCAAAAAGGCGTCGCCCAATACTGCGGTGGAAATATTAGCCATGGATTTTTCGCAGAATCGAGATTCAGACTACGCATCCCTCGCTTCTCTGGTGCAAGGAAAACAAGTATCAATATTAATCAACAACGTTGGCCAGAGCCATAGCATCCCAGTAACCTTTGCCGAGACGTCGCTCTCTGAGATGTCCAACATCATCAACATCAATTGCCTGGGGACACTGCGGGTCACACAGACTGTTCTACCAAGCATGGTGCCGCACAAGAAGGGTCTAATCATGACAATGGGCTCGTTCGGCGGATTGACACCGACTCCGCTGTTGGCAACTTATTCTGGCTCAAAGGCGTTCCTACAACAGTGGTCAACCGCTCTGGCCTCGGAGCTCTCCTCCAAAGGAATTGATGTCTTCTTTATCCACTCTTATCTCGTCACCTCGGCCATGTCCAAGATCCGGCGGGCCAATTGGCAAGTTCCTACGGAGAAGGCGTTTGTGAAGTCCGTGCTTGCGAAGATTGGACGAAGAGGTGGTAGCATCGGATATGCATACAGCGGCACTCCTTATTGGAGCCACGCTCTTGTAGCGGCACTGATCACTGGTGTGCTTGGGCCTATGAATAGTATGCTACTGGAGTTCAATCGGAGGATGCATGTGGATATTAGGACGCGAGCTCTGAGGAAGGCTGAACGAGAGGCACAGAAGGGGAAGAAGGAGACATAAATCTCGGACAGGTCGACTTTATGAAGAGCTGTGCATTGCGCCTTCATGTAGTTGCCGATATGAGTTACTAATAGTTCAGACTCAGGGCTATGGCTGTTAACATTTGATACTGGCATGACCGCGTTCGCATTGAAGTGTTTCGTATGCTGATTGGCGGGATCTGTTTGCTTCCCGATGATTTCCCCCTCGTCTCAATGGAACACCATCAAAGGCTCCTCTAATAACATCCGTTTTGCATCGCGCTGGTCGCATGAACATCTCTTCCTTGCCTCAATGGCCATCGGGCCAGACCCTTACTAGACCATGAAAATTAAAAATGACCCAAGTTGACCTTTCCATACGCCAGGCAATCCAGCTGAACGACGCTGCGCTGGTCCGCAGACTGCTGAAGCATCACCCACAATATCTACACAACCCTGACTTTGCCGACAAAAGCAACACGTCGTTGCACCTGGCTGCGCAACATGGGCTGACCGAAATTGCAGTAAGTGGGCTGGCATAACCCAAGCAGCTCCGGCGTTGCTGATCAAGAGACACAGGAGCTATTGATCTCCCTTGGCCATGACAGCACACGAGAGGTCACAGACTGGATCTATTCCAACCGCGGAGACAACCTGGGTATCTCTGTCAACACTGACGGGAAGACCCCTCTACATCTAGCTGCAGCCTACTCGCAGTCGGCCGTCGTTGAGCTTCTCTGCAAGCATTTCCCACAGACCATGAATCGACCGGACTACACAGGTCAAACACCCCTCCACCTCGCATCCTGCTCTCAAGGTACGCCTGTCTTGCCTGCGTATGTCGACCAGAATTCCAGGCCTACCACAAGATCAGGAGAGGACAATAGCACTATTGACATCCTGATCGCTCGCCGAGCGGAGGTGAATGCAAGAGACAATCAAGGCAATACGTGTCTACACAATGCAACTGCTTGGGGGAACTTGAAAGCTGTACGAGCCTTGATTCAAGCTGGTGCAGATCCCCTTCGGAAGAACAAGGCTGGATGGACGCCTGAATACTATAGCATCACCGTACAGGCAGAAGTCTACTATCGAAATCTGGTAGCAGAGTGGGAGAAGAGGAAAGCTGAAGAGGGGACAAGGGCGAGCGACCGACGAGTCAAAGGAGGTGGTGCCGTCAGGCTGGTTCCTCAAGAGGCCGAGAGCGACGAGGGTGAATCAGAGGCATCGAGAAGTCGAGCCAGCAGTGCCAGATCTCAACAGACCGGAGGTAGCGATGGCGATACTGGGCTGGGGATCAGCGTAGGCAACCTGGATACGTGGAGGTGATTGTACGGAGTTCAGTTGCGATCTTAGGCATCAAAAGTGGCAGACTGCACTTGACGGGAACAGCAGCAGCGACAATATGGTGGAGACGAGACGATGCATGAGAAGTTGGATCAGCTGAACGAGTTGACTGGATAGACTCCGCAGATGTGAGACGATCGATTGACGCCTTGATCGACCCTCAATGACCCAGATTTTGGACCCCAAATTCTGGCTCCTGCAATCACTGACCCGCGGGCCAGCCACCACCAACATGCAAGTCAATGTACCAGTATCTCCGGCCTTCCCTTGATGCTTTCTTCCTGTCTTACTATCGTTGTAGATTGACGCTCATTTTCGCATTTCCTATCGTCTAGTCCTGACTACTGTTTCGTTCTCTTTGCTGTGCAAATCTGTGTCTGCTTCGACCTGACCGATCCACTTCCAGAGCCGCCTCCACACGTACGGCTGACGATACTCGACGAAGCTACTCACCTGATCTGCTCCTATGGCAAGCCCTGCCCACTGCCTATACTGCTTTGAAATTCTATCTGCGAGTTTTGAACGCCGAGATCCACCTACCCTTCAGAGAATCCTGGACTTGTACGAACAGTACAGATCAGATAACGCCCCTGATGCAGACGCCGTACTAGAAGGTCATGAAGAGGCTGACATAGACATTGATCTTGCGGCAGAAGAGTCGGAAGACGAAGCAGAGGATGAGGAGGAAGAAGACCACATACAGGAGGAGAGGCGCCGCCCTGAACTGTCCAGCATATCCCGGCTGAAGGCGTCAACATCCTCTTCCAGGTCATCCTCAACTTCGTCACCCTCCATACTCTCTGCCACATCCTCCAATTCACAGTTAACCACTCCTTCAAGCCTAACGTCCATCACGCCACCGCAGCCATCTTACGCCTCACGACTTTCCGTCACCGATTCATTTCCACTCTTCGTCACATGGAACACAATCTCCAGGTCCGGCCACAAGTCCCTGCGCGGCTGCATAGGTACATTCGAGGCCCTCCCTCTGGCCTCTGGACTGTCTACATATGCTCTGACAGCCGCCTTTGACGACACGCGCTTCTCGCCCATCCCGGCTTCACTGCTACCTGCGCTCTCGTGCTCATTGACATTGCTCGCCGATTTCGAGCCCTGCAAGGATGCCATGGACTGGACACTCGGCCTACATGGCTTAAGAATCAGCTTTACACACCGTAACCGACGGCATGGCGCTACTTATCTGCCCGATGTGGCCGTGGAGCAGGGCTGGACTAAAGAGGAGACAGTCGAAAGCCTGATGAAGAAGGCAGGATGGGACGGAGGATACGGACATGGTGTTGCCAGACGGCTGCTTAGAGGGTCTGCTAGAGGCACCGAGGCGCAGAACTCGAAGCCGTGGGATGATGTGCAGGACTTCAAAGCCGTGCGATATACGGGGCTGAAGGCCAGTGCCATGTATGATGAGTGGCAGCAGTGGAGGGCATGGATTGAGAAGAAGTAGGAGGTTCACAAACAAGAATACGGTAACGGTCTTATTCACCCCGGGAAGCTTTCCCACCCAGCGAGGTACTTTGGCGCGTATTGTCCCTGGAGACGGGAAAGAGCAGTGGGCACAGCAGTCAAGAGCAAAGCATGGGGAAATACAGAGGCTGGGAATGTTGGGCCAGAGGGAGGGCAGTCGACAATGCCCGGGTTTACACATTATTCAGGCCCGCCTTCAATTGACGGCTCGTCCATTAGCCGAACACTTATCTCATCTCCCTGGCCCAGTCTCAAAGATTACCATCACGTTCTCACAACAGGACGTGTTGCGAGGGTAGAAACTACTGGAAAGAAGCTTCCGAAGCTTCACTCATTCTCTTCCTCGCATGATCTTGAGCATGTTGCTGGTTCTGGACATCGTGCAGCGCCAGTGCTCGAGACTCTACGTGTGTTAGCCTTCTCTTGGGATAACGTGCCTGTCTCGCGAAAGGCAGCATACTTCATTTCAGCAACGAAGTCGGCTCTAGACCTGTGGGACGACGAGGAATCGGCGGAAGTCTTCACTCGACCAGGAGGACGTATTCGTATATTCTGTCAGATACTCCTACGCACGTATCTGGATCTTGGTCAAATGCTGCCGTGTCCTTCCCACAGCACCTGGCCGAGGTTCGACGTAGCACATGCTGCAACTTCAATGTCGCTGCTCCCGTCATACAACTGTAGATGTAAGCACCGAACAAGTTACAGAGGTGAATCTACTACATATGAATCTTGCAAGGCTGATCTAGATCTGAATGCTTAGCAGCTTTGTCGAATCGGAGTTGTGGAAGTCCTGCTGGAAATCCGCTATTGGGATTGGCGAGTCTCGGTTCTCTTTCTCGACCATCAAAAAGTCCATTGCGCAGTTTCGGCATCTTGCGCATACATTTTCTCAAATCGACAGAACAGCTTCCCCTCGACCTCGACACTCGTTTATACATACTCTTTTCACTACTTCTGTTTCATGGCTATCTAATTGGCTCTTGGCCGGTTTACATTTCCATCATGCGAGTGCGCATCTCTCCTAACTCTGCACTTTTGCAACAATCTATTGCCGGCCACATACCTACAGCTCCTACACCAGCAATCTGTCCATGGTGCTTGACAAGGTCACAATATCCTCGATCTCGGCAATCCAGACGACACTTCTCCTCGTCTCAACAATCTTCATCAGCATGGGCGGCCGCCGTCTCCAAGATCCAGAATACTGTCGCCGACATCCTCCCCTCCTCCCGTCCCGCGACCGGTAACATCACCATCGACCCTCTCAAGATCGTAGCAAAAGAACTCAAGTTCTTGAACAAGAACATCCGCCAGCTCCTTGGATCTGGCCACCCCGTCCTAGCCACTGTCGCAAAATACTATACCCAAAGCGAAGGCAAACATGTCCGTCCGTTATTGGTCCTGCTCATGTCCCGAGCCACTGCCTTCGCGGCGAAACAACCACGTTACGACGCCCAGAACCTCTCACCATCTAGCATTGATACGCCTATATCCTCGCCCACCATCTTGTACGACAACAACCCGGACCAGACCTCCTCCGAACCGCCCTCACCACTGACATCCGCCTCCAACGAAACACAATACGCTTTTCCGAACGACCCATCCATCCTTCCCTCGCAGCGCCGCCTCGCCGAAATCACCGAGCTAATTCACACCGCCTCTCTTTTGCACGACGACGTAATCGACCACAGCTCCACGCGCCGCAGCTCCCCCAGCGCAAACACGACCTTCGGCAACAAAATGGCTGTGCTGGCCGGCGACTTCATGCTCGGCCGGGCGTCCGTCGCACTGGCCCGTCTGCGTGACCCGGAGGTCATTGAGTTGCTCGCCACTGTTATCGCCAACCTTGTCGAGGGCGAGTTTATGCAGCTTAAGAACACGGCCAGCGACGAGACGAGTCCCAAGTGGAGCGAGCAGACCATCACATATTATCTCCAGAAAACATACCTCAAGTCGGCAAGTTTAATTAGCAAGAGTTGTCGAGCCGCAGCATTGCTGGGCCAGTGTACGCCCAGTGTTGTCGAGGCCGCATACCAGTACGGCAAGAACCTGGGCTTGGCGTTCCAGCTTGTGGATGATATGCTGGACTACACGATCAGTGGGAGTGAGTTGGGCAAGCCGGCGGGTGCCGATTTGGAGTTGGGGTTGGCCACGGCGCCCTTACTTTTTGCCTGGCGAGATCGGCCGGAGCTGGGAATTTTGGTAGGACGGAAGTTCGCGGCCGAAGGAGACGTGCAGAGGGTGAGTTGCGATTCTTTTTCTCGAGAAGCTATATGAACGGGACAGCTAACGTGTACATGGCAGGCACGAGAAATTGTCTTGCAATCCGACGGGCTCGAACAGACCAGGGCCCTGGCGCAAGAGTACGCAGACAAAGCGATAAGCAGTATCAGCGTTTTCCCGCCCGGTGACGCCAAAGACGGGCTGGAGGAAATGTGTGTCAAGGTTATGAAACGCAGGAAATAGCCGACCAGAGATCCGGAATATGTTAAGTGGGTGGGATTGTATCAACACCTGTCAGGATAGACCATGTGGTCATGATCATGGCCATGGATATTTATGGATACAGAAAATGTACCTTGAGCAGCCGAAATGGAGGGAGTAATGTGCAAATACTTCAAGTGCTTGTCTGCACTCGTGCAAGACGCTAGTAGAGTGTCCAACGAGGACTACTCGTAACCCGAAGCATGACTTGCTTGCCGCTCTTATATATTTGGCCGTGGACTGAATATGAAGACGGGATAGAACGGTGGTTACGGATATATGACAAAACGAAGAATCAGAACCACTATTCTATGAGGTATAATCAGTGGTGGGAGGTGTGGTTTGTAACCAACAACTGTTTCCAGTGATTCGACCAGTTGCACGTGCGCGGAGTCGAAGATACCTAAGTTCCAAAGCCCCAATCTTTTGACCAGTGATTTCGATTGTAGACCTTGATAGAGAATCGCTGCTCACACAGAGAAGGCTAAACACGACTTTCTTGATATCTGGGAACGATCTTCTTACGATCTTCTTACGATCTGCTTGGCTATATCAGTAGCGTCGATAAGGCGCAGTCGCAAACATGGCGTCCGGTCCCCATACCTTTGTAACTGTGAGTACATCCTCTAGGAAGTATTTTGGCTTAAGACTGCTCAACCTAACGAACGTTGCAGATGGTGGTAAGTCCAATTGATGTTTGCTCTACATTGGGCCATGCTTCAGAGAAAGTCCATACGAAAGGTCATTCCAGCTCGCAATCAGCACAGAACGACGTCCGTCCACACAGGAGGATGATCTTGTTATCAAACGGAGCACTCACAGGGGATATCAATTGCAATTTTATCCCTCTGTGAAGTTGATGGGCTTCTTGCGATCTTGCTAGACCCCTAAGAGACCTTGAAGTTGACCAGCACAGGTCTTCTCACCCGAGAAATACCAAGGAAATCCACTGGCAATTGTCGCCGTGCGCGGAAACGCACTCAGCCAGAAGCGCAAGTCCCTCATCGCCAAAGAGTTCAAGTTTTCGGAAACCGTCTTCCTCCACGATGCGCCTGGGCCTGGACAGCCGCGGCTCTGCGAGATCTTCACAGAGACGGGTGAAGAGTTACCCTTTGCCGGCCATCCGGTGAGCATTGCCTCCTTGCGGCGGAAATTTCGAGCTGACAACATCTTTCAGATAATTGGGACAGCTCATTATGTGAGGATCACGCTCCCAGTCTGAAAAGATCTCATTCTTATGCGCGCAGATATTTTCCTATCTGGAGAAAATGCACTATGGGGGCCCACAGGATCGTGATACCCAGCGACAAGCGGCCGTCCTTCAGACCAAAGCGGGCAAAATCCCCATCTTCTATAACCCCTACCGTCAAGTCGCAGCATGTGCAGTACCCTTTGACTTCCACGAACACTCAGGGCAAGTGCCAATGGAAAAGCTTATTGCCACGCAACCTCAGATCCAGATTGTTCCAACAATCGACAAATCCAAGGACAAAAGGTTCCCCTTGGTATCCATAGTCAAGGGAATGACTTTCGTCCTCGTGGATTTGACTGACAACCCGGAAATATTTGCTGCCCTCCAAGCAGGCAAGTCCCCCGAAGTTGAGCTGGATCCGGAGTGGTCACCCAGCTTTGTTGGTTGCATGTACTATAAAGTCCTGGCCAAGTCAGAGCAGGTTGGAGAGCCTACAATCCACAACGTGCAAACGCGAATGATCTCGCATGGAATCGAAGATCCCGGAACAGGTAGCGCTTGCAGTGCTTTGAGTTGCTATTTGGCCCTCCGCCGTGAGGACCCGAAGACGTCGGAGCCTGAGGCAGAGGCAGAGGCAGATTTGACAAAGAAGGCAGAGGATCTGAAGTTGGCAGAGAAGACGGAAAGAAAAGTGTTCGGAATTCAGCAGGGTGTCGAAATGGGACGACTCTGCACCATCGCTGTAGAGGTCGACGTCAAGACCGACGCGCAAGGTCAGGCGAGTATTACAAATGTGATCCTCAGTGGAAGGGCCAATGTTCATCTCAAAGGAGAGCTTGTTGGGCCATAGTCAGGCGGCCGTCGAAAGGCCCAAACAAGCTTTTGCACGGATAGATTGTTACCGAAGCTTCAATTCTGACCGGAAGTAGCGAGACCCGGTTGAAGTGGTCGATCTCTTACAGTACTGTGCAAAAGCACGCACGATTGAATCGGGAAAGCAGATTTATAATCAAAGTTGTAACAGGGTCTGCCAGTTGAGTCAAGAATAGGCGAAGGGTGCTCCGGACACCGCTCGGTTATAGTGGAAGTAAGTCAAGGTCGTACTATAGTACGGGGGGTGGTGCACCGTAGTATGCTGGGATCGAACGTGTCCTGCTTCATGATGAGTCCGGGCAGCAGGCAATCGGCAATCTGGTGGCAGAAAAGCTTAGGAAAGCTTGACTGCTACCAGGGCATGGTCCTTCCCAGGGGGTCCCAGGGGGATCGTGGCTTGCGAAAAGGATCGTAGGGGAAGTCTGGCCCATGTGGGCGCCACAAGGCCGAGTTCCCGAGTATTTTTGGAATATTGGCGATGAGATGGTGAAGCAGAGGGGGAATCGCATTGGGGAAAGACAGGCAGCCTTGCAAGGGTGTTTGACAGATTTGCCGTGGCGTCCGAAGAAATGCTATAGTACCGTGGGTATACTCCGTTCTCCGTGTGGTATGGAGGCTTCGATTTGAGAGTCAACACGGAGTCGAGGAGGTGTTGGAGGAGGTGCAAATGACGTCGATTAGGAAAATCGTGGAGGTCTAGTCAGCCACTAAGGGTCGTTAAAACGAGCCAGATGACCATTAACCATTAGCTTAGACTGAATTCGGCTAGTTACAAAACCTTACCACCACCTCTGGGCCAATTGGTCGCCTTCCGCTACAGCCGCTGGTTTCAGACATGTCGTTTCTCCCTCCACCTCCGAAACGTCTCGAAACCATGCCAGCTTCACCTTCGTCTCTACCACTGTCTTTCTGTCTTGGATCTGGACGAGCTAGCTCTGCGTCTTAAACATTGGCAATGCTTGTTTCCCTTCGAGCCTGCCCGGCGGCGGCATACTGCGACCAACCTGTAACCGTCCGGCCTGGTTCTTCAGCCTTCGAGATCTGAAGCACCTGGGGAGGTTTGTGTCATACCCCTTCGTTGGAAACACTTCCAGCCTCAAGGAAATCAGCATGGCACGAGCTTCGGCCCGCGACAGTTGTCCAGACACTGCCAAGTCAATCGCATAAGAGCTCGTTCTTTCTCTGCCATGTCCTGGTGTTTTCCTTTCATCGTGGCAGTGCCTCTTCATTCCTTTCGATCCTTTTTGTCTTTCGATCCAAGCTTCGAACTTATTCCATTCCTTAGGCTTGATCGCGTTGACCGCGGAGTCTCTCGTTCTTAGCAAAGCAGAAGATTATTTTATTTGATTCTACACCATTCCAATTCCACCAAACCGACCTTTCAATCCTAAGTCTTTTTCGAACCGATATTCAACATGAAGACCACTCAACTCATGATGTTGGCGGTCGCCGCTTTGGGGTTTACCTCAGAAGCTTTGGCCCAGGGGAACAGGGGAGGAGGCAACAATAACGGTGGCAACAACAATAACAACAACAACGCTGGCACTCAGGGTGGCAACAACGCCAACGCCGGGAATGCCAACGCCGGGAATGCCAACGCTGGAAATGCCAACGGCGGAAACGCCAACGCGGGCAATGCCGCTAATGCTACCGCCGGTAACAATGCAGGTGGCAACGGTGGTGGGAACGCTGCCGACCTGGCATTGGACCCCGACAACGTGCAGACTGGCAGTCAACAAGAAGGAGACCTCAGTGTAGCTGGTACAGCGGCTTCCACAACGTAAGTAATCGTCCATTCCGTCTTCCCGATGTATTATACTGACTCCGACTAGCGACAATGCCAACTTCATCAATGTTTGCACTGGCAAGACTTTGACAAACGGTAAACAAGTGACTGGCGGCTCCTGCAACGGTATCACTATGGGCGATATTCCTTCCAACCAGGACATGGTTTCCGCTATAGTGCTCTTCCCTGGTCCTGGAGACGACCTGGACGCAAACCAAGCCTTCACTATTCAAGTCCAACTTCAGAACTTGGTCGCCGGTTCCTTCACCGATGCTCAAAGCACATACTACTCTGCTCCTCAGGCTCTTCAGGGTGGCCAAGTCGTCGGTCACTGTCACGTCACTGTCCAGGATCTCGGCGGCACTCTCGCTCCCACCAGCCCCCCTGACCCGAAAGTCTTCAACTTCTTCAAGGGTATCAATGATGACGGCAACGGCCAAGGTCTTCTCACCGCAGACGTCACTGACGGTCTCCCCGCCGGCTTCTATCGCATCTGCACAATGAACGCCGCCGCCAACCACCAGCCTGTCCTGATGCCCGTAAGTACCCTGTTCAACCCGGAGATATCCATCATCAAGCTAATCGATACAGGTCGCTCAACGTGGTGCTCAAGACGACTGCCAGAAGTTCACTGTTGGTCAAGGTACCGGTAACGCCAACGCAGGCGGAAATAATGCCAATGCAGGTGGAAACAACGCTGCGGCCGGAGGTGCTACTGGCGCCGCCAACTCCACAGCAGCCACTGGAGCCACCGGCGGCAACAACGGAGGCAACAACGGAGGCAACACCGGAGGAAACACTGGCGGTAACGCTGGTGGCAACACTGGTGGCGGCAAGACAGGAGGAAAAGGCGGCCGTGGTCGATTCGGCCGAGGAAGATTCGCTGTACGAGACTTCATCCAATAAGCAAGGGAACGAGCTTGAGCCATGAGCATGAGCAGGATGGGGACGGCCACACAGAAAAGACAAGATCTACAGATAATCAAGCTTGTCTGTGGGTGCACGCCTTGACGACACAAATGTGGGGTGCCATTGTGATTTGATGCAGCAGGGAAGAAAAGAGAGAAAAGTCTTTATTCTCCCTTTTCCTATTTTATCTCACGACATAGAAAGGAAGAGTGTGTATAACCAGAAAGGAAGTTTTTTGTTCGATGTTTTGTCGGCTTGCATGCATTATGGATTTTGGGGGCTTGGGACAACAACAGTCATTGAAGAGGGCCGCTCTTTTGCGGAACTTGGGTCGCGGTCACGGATTACCTGAGCGAGCCTCGCCGTGACCATGGAGCCCCATGGAATTGGGCTGCTTCATAACCGAGCAAGAATCGAGATCGAATGATGAGGAATTGGGAAAAAGGTTTTCGAACTGCATCCAAGCCCTCCAGAATGCTCGGTACCACAGTTACGTGTACGGTGCTCCTTCGCTTCGCCCTTTGCAAAATCAGTCTGGGACACTTCAAGTCGTGTGTGAGTACGGAGTATGAGTGTGAGGTCTTTTCTCGCCCAATCACCATGGGCCCACCAAGCCCAATCAAAGGGGGGCCGAGGGGGTTGGTCGCGACCGTCCTTGAAACACCGCCTGATACGGAGTAACAGACACCAATGTATCAGAGCCCGAGACGGACTTTACTCCCTTTTTTGCCTCAGTCGACCCGTGCAATTTCATCAATGGCAACATGAGACGCGGGGTTGGGGGCCTGCGGAAGTTCTACTACGTATCTGCTTCACCTTCTTCGGAAAGAATAGCATCCGTATATACGGAGTACTACGTCAAGTAAATACCTCAAAATGATTCCTCGGAGAGTGAATAATCAGGGATGGCGGGTCATTTGCCATACTATGGTACGTAGTAGTACTCCATGCGGAATATCCGTACTATTGTAGTACTGTATGTACTGTCGTAACATGGCTGGTAGACAACCACATGGGATCCAGCATTGCACTTGCAAATGTTGCGCAGACTCTTCTCGTCCTGCTCGGAGAGTCTGGAAACGCCCTCACCACGTTCATAGTAACAGACACCCTGATAACCTCGTACTAGTACCCGGTGCAACCAACCCACCCCCTGTCGAGAGTCGACTTGACCGTGAGCATCCGATTTCCAGACTTAACAACACTTACTATGTACTGTCTCGCATCGCACCGACGAGTCAGGCAAACAAGCGGCTACCTGCCACGCGTTGAAACCTGCTGTTTTCCTTGCAAAGAGAGAAGAATCTTGGAGAGCACTCACCGGCTTCGGCTTTGTTTGCGGGGATGAAGATACCTGGTAAGTAAGCAGTGGCCGTACCTGCGTCCGACTCTCGGATTCCAGAATAAGGTGAGTCCGCTCAAAAAGAGGTCAAGCATCAATAAGGGTACTAACGCAGTACTCCCTTGGTCCCATGTGCACCGCCCGTAACCGCCCTCGATGCTGTGTACCACCGAGGACGTTGACCAAAGAACCGCTCACGGAACAAGACAATTACCAACATCAACTTAGCTCGATTTTTCCACCCACTAGCTTTCTTTCACCAGTAGGGCCCATGATGGTGGTTATGGTGGTAATGACAATGATGACGGAATCTCGCTGACGTCTACCGCCCGACTTGACATGGCATGAAGCTCATCTCCGCCAGAGGCACGACGAAGCCTGGTTCGGTACATGTGCACAGTACATTCCTGGCTACATGGCCAATTGGGAAGAGGAGAGGATTTGTGTCGAGCCTTGCACGCCTTGTCATCGCGTAGCAGCCTGCTGTTTGGACTCGCCGCTTTGGAGGAGCCGGGTGTTCGACCTCCCGCTGGTTGTACGACTACCGTCGACAGGCATGATTCAGGTGAGAAGGAACTCGGGCTCAGAAATGCACACGAAAATCCCGATCCGGTCGCCCACGCAAAGGCAAGCAAAGCACGTCCCCTTCCGCATGTAGGAGATGTACTCAGTCTTGCCCCGTATGCCTGTTCAGATATGTCCCTTGGTCCCGGCTCGAACGTGACGATCTGCATCCAGCTCATGATTCTTCCTTGGGTGGAAGATGCTTTCCGATCAATCCGCACGATCCGATCGATTGCAAGTTAACTTCGCTGGATCTCATGTGAGGGCGTATTGAGGAGCATCAATGCGTTTCGGGCCATTTGTACCAGAATCTATTCAGTAGAGCGGTTTAAGTACCCAGCGAACAGCATCTCTACGAGGTTCCGAACCTCTCGAGCTTACTGCCATGGGGCTCTGATAAATCGGACTGTGGCGGGTCGAAAGAGCATGGACAGGTGTGGTTCGAAGCTCATACTTTGAATGATGGTCCGATATTCTCCACTACTGTTCCATCTTCAATATGGTCCGGGCAGACCGGGTGCATTGGATGGGAATATCTTTCCTGCTCGAAAGTTTGCCTAGTAAAATGGAACCCAAAAATGTTTAAAGCAATACTGGAAATTTTTTGAGGCCGAAAACCAAACACTGGCTTGCGGCGATTCCGGGAAAGGAAAGGAAAGGAATCGTCCTGCACGAATCTGGGGTATCCGCACCGACGTCGTCATATTCGTACCATGCTCGCATGCTTACTTCAGTCTTTGAAGCGTCTGCAAAGAAAACGGTTGCCGGCCCGCTTGAGTTGAATTGCTTCAGACTCCGGTATTCAGTCTTCAGTCAATTAACGGTCAAGAATTCACTTATGCTGGGCGGATCGGAATCTTGACTGGTCGGAAAGAGCCTGATCATGCCTGAAGATGATAACTCTGTCTGTCTGATCTGACTCGGTAAGTTCGTCCCTGCAGTCTCCGACATCTCCAAATGATCGTCAGAGCCACAGCTAAAACATTCGAGCCGATCTGTCCAACTGGCGGCGATTTCACTTACTCGTAGTTGGAGTGACAGCGTCACCATCGGTGAGAGACCCGTACCCGTACAGGTACGGTACGGGCTGTATCAATTCCCCATCTTCGAAGTCAACCGTGGGGAGGACCTGGAGTAGCTTCGTAAGGGACTTTCCACAACCAACACGGATATGGACTGCGATCAGCATTGAAAGGCACAATTTTTCGGCGAAAATCTGGAAACTTTGGCTACGAGGAAGAGCCATCGCCAATGTGTCATCGTCGATGTAATCTCAAAGCCTGAATCCTTCGCCGAGCCCAAGACTTAGAGGAGCCTGTTCATGGGCGATCGCATATCTTCGCAACAATGCAGAAATTCCAAGTCTTGATCTCCATACTTGTCGCCTGCTGTGAAGGGCACGTTCCCTTTGTCCACTAACAGCGAAGGTATGAACAGATTGCCGATCCTCAGGCGGAGCCAGCAGAAACGATTTAGCCTCGGTTCTCGTAGCGAGCATATTCGAGCTGGTATTCCGCAGACGAACTGCAGCATCGACAACCACTCTGCAGTCGTGACGGCCACAGTTCAATGAATAAGCCCGTCGAAAGTTCAGAGTGATTTTGCGAGTACGAGGTACCCGAAGAACTCTCGCCAGGGTTCCTGGAATTGTTCTTCCAAGCCAGTCTGGTCGGGTCTGGTTTTCTCCATTCCCCACAAAGTGCGCCGAGCAGTTCAGCATTCTTACTCATACGGATACTGCGGTTTCCCATTGCGTGATTGCCCCCAGGATTTCTTCCCCACCCGGAGGAGAGGAGTCCAGCCCGGGATAGTGGGGGTTTTCCTGAGGAAGAAGGCATCTTCGTTCTCGTATCCCGATAGGTGACCGCATTTTTGCTGAAGTCGATCCTCCTCCAGACATCATGTGGGGTCGGATCAGAATCGGAAACTGGACCAAGCGGCAGACAAGTCATGATCATGGTTTAATTTGCAAGTAATGCGTAAGACCAGGCGGGCGTGTCGTAATCCTGACCTTCGTCTGTGAAAGCGAAGCCAACGACTTCCTACCATAGTAAGTGCTTCTTGGCCCAAGTGCCGTTGAAGCCAGCGATTCCTGCCGGGCGAAACAAAGGGATCGCCTTGAAACATGTCACGAACATTCAAACTCCAATTGAGTCTTTGGAGCCGACGTTATCATTTTAGCCTGAATAACAATCTGAATCAAAATATGCGACCGCTCTGGGATCAAGACGAAGCGGAGGATATCCCACCGGGACCACAGTCACTCAGCTTACGATAGTAACAGTACGTTGTCGATAGTCAGAATATGGTGTCGATAGAAGCGCCGAGGCCAGATGACGGTGGCCGAAGATGTCCTCGGCATCGGCATAGACCCTAATTAGGCACGGGTGTGAATTAATAATGCTTCGAAGCTCAGACTTCCCGTTCGATTCGAAGTCCACTAGCTGTTGGGTTTGGATCATCAAAACATCATACGAGATTGGAGTTACGACGTCGGCCAAAGCCAATCTTCAGCAACAACCGTTTAGCCGTGCTGGACCACCGGTGAACCGGATTGTATCGGCCGCAAAAACGATGGAGGTGGGTACGAGGTAGGATGCCATGGATGCTAATGCACACACACTGGATTTCCTCCTGTCCCCACACGTTTGGCGCTTCATCCGGACACACGAGAGACTGGGGACTCCACGATTCCCCGGCATCCATTTTCGTGCGGGTGGGCGTTTATGGGTAGGTGTCGGTTTGCGGATACCACAAGGTCACAAGGAACTCTTGTGCTCAGAACGAGTCCAGTATCAGTGGTCCAGACCACTCCCAAAAGCACCTGCGTTCGTTGCGATCAATATCCCTGCGCCTGCGAGGTGAGGGCAATAGAATTGCCAGCCAGTCAGGCAGGCTGACCAAGTCATGCGTGAGATGCGACGTGCATAGTGTGGGGGAACAGTTGTTACACGGGCTGATAAGGTGTCCTGGAATTGTTGAGCAGGATGACTTGAGTCAGGTCATGTTGGACGGATGATCCATGGCTGCTGTGTGCTGTCCACATCTCATTCGGCTCTGGGTGACCGCTGATCGCTGGAGATACCCAACCTCTGATGCTTGAGGCTCCAGCTGAATTGCAAGCAAGTCCGGGGTGTCAGAATCAAGCTGGATGATCATCTTTCTCCTTCGATTGCGCCAGCATGCATCGTGACTCAGCTTCCACTTTCTTCGGCGTAAAGGAACAGGCATATGACGCGAATCACAGCTAACACCATGGTGATTCCCGGCACGGCGTGGAACGGCGGATCAGCGTCCTGACCAAGACCTGCACAGTTGACTAGAGACCTAAAACTCTGGTCGTTTGGATGTGCACACACCGGATATCCTCCGACTACGTGGAGTTGGGATGGGAGAGCGTGATGATTGATCAGGGACCAAAGTACGAGGCAGGAAGCATTCGCTCAGAATCATAGAATGGATACGGGTTATCTGAAATTACACATGTAATTGTGGATTGGATGCTCAATGACAAGAGAGCTCTTACGCCTGAAGATGATAACGTGTTTCTTTCATCCACCACTCAATCAATGCCCAATCACTGAAGGATCCTATTCTATTCGGCGCTGTCATCCGGCGCAAATCCCCATGATGTTCCTTATCCGTCTATGCCTTGCTCCACGCTGTTGTTCTCATACCAGGTCGCCCAAATCCGGCATTGTCTTCTGGTTAAAATCAAACCATTCAACTCCGGGAGAAAAATAAAAACCACAAAAGAAAGCGTGAAAAGAGAGGTAAACTCGAGCAGACGGGTAAGCTGCCTTGCTATTCGACTCCGTGAACACCTGTCTCAATGTCCGACCAAATCATCTAGAGAAATCTCCATTGACCGATGCTGCCGTGCTGGATTCACCAGAACTTAGCCCACTGGGTGGATGTAGCATCTCAGACACCCCAAGTTTGGGTAGTTGTGGCACTGGGAGTTTACGTTGGGTCCCAGTAACAATGTCGGCAATCGAAGGTCCAGTATGCTGAGGCGGCGGAATGTGAGAATAGGACCCATCGGCCTGAGGCTCCATGGGGGCTAGGAGTGGTGTATGCCCTAATGAGAGATGTCGTAGCCCTGGGAGTTGGACGTCGCTTCCATGAGGCCGCAGGCGGGGTGAATGTCCGGGCGTGGCCAGAGGTGTATGGTCCGGAGTCGGCGATATTGATTCGTGGGAGAAAGTTGGAGATGAAGGAGCCGTGGAGTGAGGTGAACTCGGCCTCGATCGCTTGTGTCGGTGATCGTCATCATGGTTTTCTTGCGAGTGTGACCTCGACATAGAATGAGAAATGGCGTACGCGGACAGAGAGGGTAGACGGCCATTGCTGTTGTAGGTGCGATGACTAAAGAGATGATGCTGATGTTGATACGGCACTCTAGTGATGTGGTCGTCCCTCTCTATCTGGGAAGCGGCGGAGGCGAGCAGGTTGATGTCCATATTGTTCCTGTCATCGTGGCGTCCGAAGGGGCCTAGCGGTGTAGGAACATGAGAGGCGTGAACAGCAAAGGAGTGAGGCGGTGACACATTGGGCGAGCCCGCGGCAGATGTAGGTGCTGATCGGGGCATGTTGTTCTTGTTTGGGGGCGGCATCATTTGAGCGTGAGCCGACACATTCTGGCTCGCGCCATCCTGAAGGCCAGCAAGCGCGGCGGCAGCGGCGACTTGATGAGTCTTTTGATTGCGGCGCGAGTTGGGGTTATTGTGAATGCGCGAGTGTCGGGTCAGCTCGTCGGATCTGCTGAAGCGCTTACTGCAGCCAGGGAACTGGCACGCATGTGGCTTTTCTCCTGTATGCGTTCGAATGTGTCTTGTTTGATGTTCTAGACGGTGGAAGGCTCGGTCGCACAGGGGGCATTTGTAAGGGCGAGGAAGATCCTGCCTATCGTCGTTGTTGTTGGCCTGAGGGGCTATCGCAGTAGGCAACAGGCTGACGGCGGCAGCCATGTTAGAGTCAGTCTGCGTCGTCGATGAGGAAGTATTCGTGGTTTGTGTGCCGGTGTTGGAAGCGTCTTGTTGGGCCGACCGAGAGGTGGCCACAGTGATGGTGTCTGGAGAGGAAGAAGGAGGAGAAGGGTTGAGGAGAGCAGTAAAGTTTACTGCAGACGAAGAGGGTTGCATTCGAGCGAGCGAGGAAGGAGAGGCTTCTGTTTCCCCAAGATGATCGCTTATCGTGGGGGGGTGAATCATCCACTGGACGAGTGAAGCAGGCGGGTGGGCGGGCGTGACGAAAGACCCGGGGTCGGAAAGAGGCAGATTGAAATGGAAGTTGGATTTGGTACCTAGCGCGGGCGGTTTGGCGAAACAGGGTGATGAGTGGTGTGGTCTCGTAATGGTGTGGTCAGAGAAATTCGGGGGGAGAGAAGGGGAGGAAAAGGAATCAGGGAGGTGACGAAGTGTCAGATGCAGTAATTTGCGAAGGAGGGATTGAGCCTGATGTTGGAGAATGGGCAGCAGATAGGATGCGAGGATGCGATTGTGTGTGCGACTCGATCCCGGCAATGCGGACTGGGAAACTGGAGACCGGGGAGAGCAGGGGTGGGAGGATTCGCGGCGTTTTGTCGTGTCTCTCTGAGTTTTTTTCTGACGGAAGCTTGCAGAAAAGAGGCGAGGGTTGTTCCAGCCGGGTTTGCCAGTTTGCCAGTTTGCTACTCCGTCTCCGTAAGATGCTGAGGAATGTGGGTTGCTGCCGCCCGTGCTCGGCGTGTCGTAACAGTGCAAGACTCAAAGACCACCGAGAAAAGGCCCCCCTGCGGCGACACTGGGCACTTGGACAAGCGGTATTTGGGCCCTCTTCCTTGTGTCCTCCTTGTGATTTGTGGGCACGGGGCAGGGCGAGGCAAGCCCAGCTAGCGTTATCGGTCCACGTCCCAAAGTGTAAAAAATGACGAGCTGATACCGTCGTGGTTCGGTGGTAGGGGCCTGTGTGTCTTTGGCCGAGTCCGCAAGTCGAATCGAGGGAAACACCCCGGTGGCTAGGCTGCGGCGGATGGTGCAAGACTGGCAGGACTGGCACCAGTGCAGCACAGGCTAAGGACAGGATCAATTCTTTTGCGGCCCCGAAGCTGGTGGGTGCCGATGGTGCTGGTGTGGGTTCGGATGACTCTTGAGTCTTAGTGATGAGGACAGCAGAGGCTGATGCGACGGGCTATTGGATCACCTTGATTGCCGCCCGCGCATTGGCATGTATTTTGGTCGTCCACTGGTGTGCGTGCTCTTGCTTCACGGCCCCTTGATTCGAATCCAGTGTCTCTGTGCTGAATCTCTGATACACTGGGCGAAATTTGCAGGATCGCTTTTCGGTTACGAATCCGGGGAAATGAAGCCAGAGAGAAGGTTTGGAAACGGGCTCCAATGATTTCGATGGCGGGACGGAATCAGGCCAAGTCGATCCCAAGGCTGTCAGGAGCAAGTTGTTATGGGCAGGGATCTCGGTCCGAAGACTTACGCTGTAATAGCCGAAGAAAGAGTCAATTATGATGATGATGATGAATGTATGATGTATGATGCTACGCTGGAAGAAGTGTGTGCTGGCTCGGAAAAAGGCATGGGACAGAGCGAGGGCTTTGGGTGGTACCGGTCAGGTACTCGTCAGGTATTCGTCTGGTAACTCGTACAACTTCAGCAGCAGAGAAAAAGATGGGGAAGGAATTCGAGACGAGGCAAAGTACCCGTGGGCGACGGTTTTGCGGGAAAGTGACCAGGCACAAAGAGAAAATGCCGATGAAGAGCGGTCAGGCAGAAAATGACCCCAACGACGAAAACTTCCCGGGACGAGTATGTACCTCTTAGATGCCTCCAGTGGTGCCTCCCACCTACGGGATTATCACAGTAGTACATGCCCGGCATGCCGACACCTTGCGGAGTCTCCGTCGACACTTGGAGCGCCCCTTGGTCCTTTCGCACCATTGAATGAGCAATAAATGAAGCCTTTTTGCCTTGTAACAAATAACTTCTCGCTTTATTGCGTACTAGTACCTTGGGCATCTGCTGTGTGTGCTTCAGAGAGACATTCTAGGGAAAGATGATGATGGCATGCGAAGAGACTGCCGAGTCTCGAGTCTACGAGTACGAGTACTGGTAAAGGAAATGCTGGGCGACATCATCTTCATCCCTCTCGGACATGCCGCGTCTCGTGAAGAACCTTGCATGTCACACTCCAATCCTATCTAGGTATTTCTCGTCGATTCGCAGTACAGATAGCATAGGCTCAAGGTGCTTGTGGTAGAGTATCTGAAGATAGTTAATATCAGATGTCAACTTCAACTATAAGACCACTCGCAACAACGTAATTGAACTCCATATTAACCCCATTCACAATAACAGTCCACCCGGAACTTCCACAGAAGGCGTAAGAAGTGCCCAGAAGGGCATCCCGGCCGACTTTATTCAGCAATCTTCAAAGCCCAGAAAATCACCTCATGGGTCCTAGTGCGACAACCTAAGGGGGGCCCCCAGAGCATCTCGTAATCGGACGACGGGGGCTAAAGGGAAGCATGTGGGCAGCAAACGACTCTGGCTGGTGCCTGAACGGATATTGCGGGAACGGCTGGCTTGTGATGGTGGAACTCACTCACGGGGCTTACCACGGTATGTTTGCAGGTGCAAGTGGGGGACGTGGGTGTGTGTCGGTGGCTGAAATTTTCGGCCTGATCTCCCCGAGGGCGCACAATAGTACTATCCATAGATAGTAAACGTGTACAGTACGGACGTACCCTCGCCGTGACATAATTTTGTTGGATATGGAGATGCGTGAGGTGACGAGTCTCGCTGTCTCTTGCGCCGGCCTTTGCCATCCATTTGCCTCAACCTGCGTTTGTATGGCCTCCGAGCCTGATGAACAGACAGATGGAGAGGCGTGAGAGGACAGAAATTTGGCCAAAATCGCACCATGATCCCAAAACCTGAAGCTGCCCCGTACGCACTGGCAGTAGGTACCTGGGCTAATCAAGGCACCATTCCGATTCTATCGATCTTGTCTGGGTAACCTCTTCCGACTGCATCTCCACAATTTCATTCATGCTGATAACGCCAAATAGCCGGAGAATGATGCAAACGAACCTCACAAACGTGAAGGCATGGCACATGCAAACCCAAGAACACCCAGTAAGGAAAAAGAAAAATCACGATGATAACAGAGCAAACACACAGGGGGTCTGGATATGCACGACTCATCCCACTCATTCAATCTGCCCCTACACTCGGCTCCGCAGAACGCCAGGGAACGCCAGGTACTGTGATACATGCAAATTGCTTGTTGCATCGAGATGACCTCCCCTGTGCGTCAGTGATTTGCTTGTATGTTTCCGCTTCGAGCATTCACACATGGACTGACGAGACTATTCCAGCAGCCCTGACCTTCTGCAGTAATTTACTGTGTAGTCGCGACATGTGCTCACGCCCATTTTGGTCCATATCTCGCTAGCCGGACTGCTCCCACTTCTCCACAGTCTGGACTCTCAGCCTTCAATACTCGGATGCCGGCCAACATTTGTGCTGCCCATATCTATATCAACTTTGGATGCGACTCCATTTCTGTCACAAACATCGAACTATTAATCACTCCAGACGGCACATTAACATCACGCGGAAAGCAAATTGTTCTAGATCTCAAGACTCAAGGCCGAGAGGATGGAGTATTTCATGGAGCCGCGAAATCAACCAAGCGAGTCTAGGCCTTCTCCGTGCACAGCCGCGATGAGCAGTCCAGGAAGCGCCGACCTTGCTTATCAGATTGCTCCTCAGGCACTAGTACTCCTTCGGTGCTTATTTGCTCAGGGTCTACGGCGATGTCGTGATCAGGATCGATCCGAGGTGTAACTGATCATCCTTTTGACTGACTCTGTTGACAGTCACTAGTTCGCAAGAATGTCAAACAATGTCCTGGCAAGTGCGGACTCCGCGACAAATTCCGCGACAGCGCATCGCACAGGGCAAGGTCGGCTCCTTTCAATAATGATACTAATCCGGCACAATTCCACAGCGAACCATCTGTGGATCATAGTGTGGTCTGACCAAGGGCGGCACATACCCCACGATCCAGCCAAAATCACCAGATTCTTTCTGTGTAACCTCAGATGTTTGGCGTCTGGAGACGGGTAATGGGGTATCAAGGCAGGAACGAGCCCCATGGTCGAGAAAGAAGAGATACCGGAAGTGAGCCATTTCTGTTGCCGTCCAGCTGCGTACTTTTCGGCCTTGCACAACCCGCAAAGCATGCACCATCAACCTGCGACTTGGATGGTAACGGCACCATTCGCAGGTTGCCGCGCAAGAATCTTCGCCTTCTCTTTGCTCCGCCGAATCCGTTGCTATCGGTCGGCAAGCGAATGAGGAATATACCCGAACCATGTTCGGGTGAGGGGACACTGTCCAAGCCTGGTCCCAACATCATATGAGGACTTTGGAAGCTCTCAATGTTTGATGCGCGGAACGTGTTGGACGACGGCTTGCCTCCGGAGTTGTGGCCGGCGGAAGCAGAGCTTCGAGCAACGGCGAACAACACTTATATGACGCTCATCAACGTCTTATTTTACGAGCTTCGATGATGATATAGGTACGGAGAGATCGTGCAAGGTAGGGATGATATCTACCGGGCATTCGTACTCTGAAGATTGCGTGGACTGGAGTAGCAGATGCCTGCTTCTTCCTGTCGGATGAAGTCCATAGGCACTGTTCCTTTGAAGCTGATGGGAGCTACCTTGCTGAGCAGAGTCCTCCACACGGCTTCGGGCGATATCACCTAGGCACTCTTTTCTGTCTAGCACAGTACTACACCCATTGTGGCTTATGCTCGCCGTTCGAAAACAAATCCATCACATGCCAGGGCTTCCTGCGGATAAGGAATTCCGATGTTCGGCTCTCCAAGTCTATGATACCAGGTATCCTTGAGTCCGTCCACTACGCCGCGGATGGATGCCTGCAGCCCGAGGGTTTCGTTTGATGGCAGTACGGCTAAAGGGCTAAAGACAAGGTCGTTTTTGCTACAAGGCTGTCTGAGGCATACCACATGGGGACCGCAAAATTTTCTCGTGGGGTTCCATCGACAGAAAAATCGCGCGGGTGTAGCCGAAAGTGTGTGCCACAATACTATTTCCGCCCTTGTATGGAGTGTGGTGTACTCAGTACTGTGTAGGTATTGATTGCCACATGTCAGAGTACCCGTGCCGCTGGTACGATGGGCGTGGACACTATGAAATCCTCCACCTATGGCACCTTAACCAGCATCCTGTGGTCCCAGACGAATGTACCGGGTCTTCCTGGCATGTGAAATGAGGCTGCAATGATTATGATAGCGGGCTTCGAAACCCCGATAGGCAGACCATCTTATTTTTCTTCACCCATGATGGCCCCCTTCGGCAGACACTGATCATTGATTTGAGAAATTACCGTTCGGCATTTCTTCGGTGCCTCAAGGCCCATCATCCAAAGCCTTGTGCTTGCATTTGACCTACATTTTGCATTTTGCATTTTGACTCGATAATTCCTTCACCTGTGCTAGAAAGTATTTCCTTTCCTTTAGGTCAGGGACCTCGTACCACAGATTTACGATGGATGCCCTCCATCCATGATCCGGCGGCTTCTTCCTTCTTCCTTGGCGATTCGATGATGCTGACGAAGCTTTCACCCCAACTATCTCACTGGCATGTGCAGAATTTTTATGATTGAATGTCCACAATATCCTTACACCTTGCTGTTCGTTCAGGTTGTGGAACTGGCGAGTGACAATACAACCCCAACCCTTTAATAGAGCATAGCGCCGAGCTCAACCATTGAAACAATAGGACTCCGTATGTTACTCTCGCCTCGCGTCTTGTCGGCAGTTACAAGGTTGATGTAATTTGCCATGACAGATTCTCCTCTGTTTCATCGTGTGGGATGTCACTGTGCCTTCTTCCAACAAAATTGATGCGTTGTGGACTTCTGTCTGCTATGGGACAATTCTGCAATTGCGTGGTCAGGTCCATGGTGAACCGGTCGACGGAAAGGAGAGTCTGATCGAGCAGCAGGTCTCGACCTGGACCCCGTGAGTGCCAATATGATTCATGGCCCATGACAACCATGTTTGCGGTGCCTCGAATCGCAGTCGAAAACGAAGCCATGGGGGTAATAGCACGTAGCGCTTAGAATGCTCGGTCGTGTCCTTCTGCGCCTATGCAAGCTTGTGATCCTGATTCTGCTCCGAGATGTCTATACTACAAGATTTCGGAAGGACTTGTCCATCCGCCCTTTCTCCCCAGTATGAGCGACAGGCAAATACGAGTCCCTGCATATTTGCAACTGTCCATGGATCAATATAGTGAATTTTACGTGAGATACCAGAGCCGCTAAGTTACATGTACTGCAATCGGTCAATGCAGCAACGTCCGTCCTAAAACAGTACCGGCAAGCCTACATATTTGTATTTGATATGAGCTTCCGCCCACATGCAAGAACCAGTAGAGCTCAAAGCTCTCCATTGACATCTCCCATCACACGGCGAGATGGTACGAGTAGAAATGGTATTAACTCGTGAACTGCAGTGACTGCTACTGAGTAAGTACCAGCTTGCCAGGGACTATACCGACGACCGACGACTAATAGCGGGAGTGTCCGCAGCCTGGTGAGCCCTGACCGTGGCCCTGACCCCCATGCGGCAGGTATGATATCATATCATCGGTGTCGTTCTTTTGCCTGCACCTGCGCGTGTCCCTGAGAAAGCAGAAATGCATCACATTCACTCGTAGTACAACTTGCACCTCGAACTTCGAGATCAGCACTTCCAATGTGACGAGAAGCAGAGGCTTGTATCTCTGACTCGATCTCGCACCTTTTGATCTGTATTTGTTGCCCTGTCTTCCCCCCCCAAAATTTCAAGACCAACCATGCCTCCAGCACGACCACGAAACATCGACGACTCACGATCAGATGCCTCAAGCACCGTCACCAACCAGAAAGAAAAATCACTGCTGGGTCCAACAAGCGGATCAGGGACATCGAAAGGAAAACGTACAGCTCCAAACCTCCATGGTCCTAACGGCTCGAGTAAGGCTGCTGTGAACGGCTCTGCCGTAGCAGCTGGTTCAACCTCAGCCGCTGCTGCCGACACAGAAAGAGACCCGAGTCTTCCTAGAGTAGGTCTACAGCCAGATAGAATACCGTGCCAGACATTCTCAAAAGGGCTACGAGACTGACCACAAGCGAATGACAGACGGATTGGACCACGATGCCCACCTCCATCTTGCGAACATACCGAATCGCCCACCGTCTCCCCGTCCGGGCCGCATTCAACCACGGGCACGCTGAATTAACATACACCTCCTCCGAGCTCGCCCTTCGCGCTCCATCTGCCGTACAAGCCCGCAGGAAACTCCGAGATCAGAAACACCAAAGACGGAAATTACAACAAGCGCAGACAAACGGTACAGGGAAGAGCAGTAAATCAAAGGACAAAGGAAAAGAACGTTTATCAGTGACGCAATCTATTGAAGCACCTGACCACAACTCTGAACAAGCGTCCACTTTGTCGTCTGCGACAAGCTCATCGACGTACCTCGGTCGACGGGAGGCAGCCACGCATCTAGCCAATTCCGTCAGGAAACATTTCAATGCCCAGCAGTTGAGCGAGGCAGACACCATTGCCCGGTTTATATACGTGGTGCAACAGAATGGGAAGAGTGTCGCGACAGAAGGCTCTGCCGGCGACGGGACGGGCTACTGGATGGGCAGTCATGGAAGGCAGGTCAGGAAAATCGATGGACCAGGTGGAGAGGTTGGATTCAGGTTGCGATTCAGACCTTGATGCATTGTGGGAGCGACGGAGTACGACTTGACAAAACGGCGTTTATGAATGGGGTCACGGACCAAATATAGGGTATTCGGCGCACTGGAAGCATGAGAAAAGGACATTGAAGGGATTTGTATTATAAACTTGCAACCGGGATTTTTCCAAGCCACGACACATAGCATTTTATTGGGTCCTGCCAGGTCCAGAGGCGGCGTTGCCAGTAAATTCACCTCATAGCATAGCATGACAAGGCCGAATCCTTGATAGTCTATATATATGCCTGTAGCTGCGCGTTACGGCTTCACGAAAACGTACGCCTGGCCTTCCCGTTCCAAAGCTGCAGGAATACCTGATGACAGGTCCAGGCTCGCCGTAATGTCAACCGCTGCGCTCCAGGGGTGACCGTCATATCTTGAGCGTTCTTTCTTGGCTCAAACATTCATTCATTCGTTCGTTCGCTTGAGGGCGACATCATATGGCCATTGAGACAGTGGTCAGTGGAGTGTCTCTGACTGACTGATTTCTGGTCTTGCCACACTGTAAGATGGGCCAACTTGGAGGTCAAAGGAATTAGCGGTGTAGAGACAGTGATCTCTTTCTCAGGGGATAGGAGCTAGCTGTTTCGAACGCGTTTAACAAATGGGAAATCGTGGGAACACACGCCGGTCTGGCAATGGACACGGCATGTTTTTCGCCACGGAATCGACGTCGGTCAATCTCAGGAGAGGGAGGGAACAAAGAAGACCTGTTGCTGGAGGGAGAGTGTTGCTCTCGTGCAGACAGTGCGGCGAGCGGGTACTGGGAAAGTGTTGTGATTTCGAACCCTCCCGAATTCCGCGAGTTACACTTACGGTAGCTGGACTGTGGTTCGGATGACCATGCATTGTCGAGTTCGTTCAGAGACCAGAGACCTCCTCCTTGGCGGTGAATACATCGGACGGAAGCGGGAGTTCAAGATGGCTGCTTCGAGCTGTGAGTAAGGAATGTCCTACCTATTTGATACCAGCTTCGTGCGCGAGCGTCTGGGGGACCGGAGCCATGATGTCTGTATTTCCACATCAGGATTAGCAGCAAGCAACAGCACATATGTTTCCAAGGAATTGGGACCCTCAGGACCTTCAGGATGCGGGTTCGACCGCAAGATCGGTACTCGAAGCTAGTAAGTACTGGCCTTTGCGACACTGGTTGCAGGAGAACATTGAACGGATGAGCGGTGTGTCATGAGACCGGGAGCGGTTCCGAAAATGAAGCCCGCTTAAAAGTGCTTTTGTCTGATGATCGTAGTTGTAGGATATAAAGGTTTGGGTTGCAACATAAGTTGATTGACAATGGTACAGGTGATTGCGAACCAATGCGTAAAGTTTGGTCGATGTCGAAAAATCCCACGCTTTCTTGCGGCCACGTCAGTCCAAAGAAGTCCGGGGGTGAGGAACCATGTCATGAGATCAGAAGCTCCGATGTCGTCTCCCTGGGCAGCATCATAGAAATGATGTAGGCGGCAGAAGGCAGGATTTGATCTCAGGAGAAAAGAGAGCCAATCGAGGGTTGGGAAAATCCGAATATTGAAGCCCAACACGGTGAGGCGACAAATTGAATGGAAAAGGGCGAGAAAAAGCACAGGCGAGTGGTCGTGACGCAGGCGCTGGATGGCAGCTGCAGCAGGTTGCAGTAGTCGGAAGTCCTTAGCATGGAGGAACAATTGGTGTTCCAAAATGCAGAATATTTGCTCGTCGCCTTTTTCTTCTTGTTGGGCACAGGAATAGAACCAGGCGTCACCATACTTGATGACGGAGCTCGCACATCGAGAGACGTGACGATGAGAAGCTGGACGATGTTTACCTCCGAGTAAAGGCGCTTGTTTCCTTGCTTCCTTGCTTCCCATGGCTGATAGATGTCCAGCAGATTGGGCCCAGGCTGAGAGGGGCAGGGAAGATTGTGGCTGGCAAGGTCGTTGCGCTGGTTGCTGCAATAACGCTGTCCGAGTTTGCCTTGCCGCACTGCAAGTCGCCTTGAATACGGAGTAGAATGCAAAGAAGATGCAATAGAAGAATTCCACGAGCCCGATACTCCGTACTGTATGATTCAACAAATCAAAGACGTGGTGAGAGACAGGAGAGGGTTTAGCTTAGGTCAAGCTTGGTTAAGGCACTGTGGGCACCATTGGCGCCCATGGCTCTCATGGTTAGGCACGAAGGCCCGGCGCGCGGAATCATGGGACGCGGCCGGGCATGTCGCTCGATTGGTTGCTTTAACAGTTTTAACCCTAAGTACTGTAAGAGCAACCCACCGAACCCAGCCTCATTAGCCCATCTGCCTCTGACAATATTCCCGCTGCACCTAAAAGCCCCCGGAGCCTTGAACTCTGTCGAGACCTCAATCCAATCTAAGGATACCAGACTCTGCAGCTGCTTAGCTGCCTTGTGGCTTACAAGGGGCTGCTTAAGCGGTGAACGCATCCCACCGACAACCAGCTCGAACAACTCTCCCCATCCGTCCTCTTCATCAACATCCACGCCTCATCTCAATCAATATTCCCAGCGGGCCGCATCTTGCATCCACCCGCTTGACAGGCCAAGTCATCCCAATCCCTGTCTCCGGATGCGTGGATCAAACGGACAAATCCAACGAAGAGTCAACGACCAGCAACAGACCTGCCTCTGACCAAATACCCATCGTCCTCCTGCAATCATCCTGCAACCATCTCAAAACTTCAAAATTGCGCAGCTGCCCCCGACCTCCGAAGATTTTTCACCTGGCAGCAAAGATCAAGCGTTTCCGCGTTTTGTGTAACCGTGTGCTGCAATATCGGCTACGACGAAGCTGTGTGGCTTCCACACACTCACCGCTTTGGCCGACAGCTGCAACAACTCCTCTCGGGTCCTCTGTGCGATGTCTCGACACCAATAAACCGTGCCTCGCCGTCTTCGTATCACCATTGACCTCCAATGTTCGATTGCTGTCCACCCAAACTGTATCGTTGTGGTGCCTTCGGACTCAGCAGAGGTTGCTGACTGTCGTGGAGGCTGCCCCTCATTCGATCCAGACTAGAGCGACCTCCCCAACATGGGCATCAGACCTCACCATGCTGAAGTACCCATAAGACAAGTGGAAACAGAGCCGCATTCTCCCAAGCATCCCTTCAAATCGGGCATGTGGCAGAAAATTCACAATTTCTTTGCCAAAGATGACCCGACTCAAAGTCCCGTTGACTGCCCCGAGGATGATCAGTGGCCTCAAACATGGGCTGATCATGAAGATTCCAGCCGACAAGACTCGACAACGAGGCCGCTCGCGATCGGCCTGCCTCGGCAAGCCACCTTCAGACGTCAGAATTCCGAGAGACGGGATCGACTGCTTCCCGTCGAACCTTGTCACGCCGAACGACGGGCTGTCTCTGCAGTTAGACATGTATCGACAAGCTTACCTCGTCCTCGAGCGACTTCTTCACCGCCCTGTTGCGAACCCGGTCGGACCTCTGCTCCTGCAGTAGCTGTCACAAGTCGGGCTGATGCAGGCGCCACCGATGCCAGCATCGACGCTATCACATCATCTTTTGATCCCACTCTGCTTCCTGCTTCCCAAGACATCTGGCCCCAAGACGCATATCGACCTCCTCGGCCACCGTCGACCACCTCTTCTGATGATTCGCATTTTGTTCGAATGCCTCTCGTCGACGACAAAGCCGACTTGAGAGATGAGCTCGACACTCGATGGATCCTCAACCTCAGTATGCACTTCAGAGACAAGTCGGACCGTGAAAAGTTTTTTGTCACGTATGCAGAAACTCCGAATCACTGGCGTCGTGTCACAATCTCATGTGATTATCGCAATGCCGAACCTGGTTCTCTCGAAATGGACCTCAAGGAACTCCAGTTTCAGAGAGATAAGAGCATGCAGATATACGAATCTATAAGAGACTCGCTGCCCGAGATACAGTTCTACGACACAGTGACGAATTTGAAGTTGGAAACTACAGATGGACGCTTGCATGTCCATGTCACGGAGGATGTCAATGAGATAATCCCCTACCCGCCACGATACACTGTCGCCCATATTGTGCAGGATGAAGAGTTCCGACCCCTGGAAGTGCGAGAGAGCGAGTTGATCTTTGATTCCCACTTGTCAGGTTTCGTCTACAAGGTCAAGCACAAAGGCAAGGTTCTTATCAAGAAGGAAATCCCCGGCCCAGATACCGTGGACGAGTTCTTGTATGAGATCAACGCCTTGCATGCGCTACACGGTTCCAAGCATGTTGTTCAGCTCGAAGCAATCGTGCTCGATGACGAAGAGCAATTTGTCAAGGGACTGCTCATCAGCTATGCCGAGAAAGGTGCCGTTGTCGACTTGCTCTATGACCATAGAGGTGCCATTCCTTGGGAAGACCGCTGCAGGTGGGCGGAACAATCAGTCCGGGGCCTTAGCGAGATCCACGAAGAAGGCTACGTGCAAGGTGACTTTACCCTGTCGAACATCGTTGTAGATGTCGAGGGAAACGCAAAAATCATCGACATCAACCGTCGGGGTTGTCCTGTCGGCTGGGAACCTCCAGAAATTGCAACCAAGATCGCCAGCAACCAAAGGATCTCGATGTACATTGGGGAGAAATCGGACTTGTACCAACTGGGCATGACTCTGTGGGCGTTGGCCATGGACGATGACGAGCCCGAGCGACATGTTCCGCCCCTGAGCGTTGAGGAGTTCCCGTCGGAAGTACCAGAATGGTATCAAGAAATTGTCAGGATATGTCTGTCTCCTCGTCCTCGAGATCGAGACTCGGCCAAGGATTTGACCAAGCTGTTTCCCGAAGGAGATTCAAAGTCAACACAGCCAGCGGAGCACCATGACAGGCCTACCTTAAAACTCCGAACTCCTAAGGAATATATTGACCCTGCCGATGCTGTCGGGCGTGATGACATCGAACGCTTTACGAATCATCATGAGATTACAAACGTGCCTTACTCTCCGGAAAGTTCAAGAGACGATTACACATTCACGTACCCCAAGTCCTCGAACTATGAATTCGACAGCGAGACATCGGCCTATGATCGTCCCAGAGGTAGAGCACCGCCCTCAAACTACGCTCATCTGGGCCGCAACGAGAGGCACCATTGGGTGATCAATGATAAGACACCGACGTTGGTGGACGATTCGGAGCCCAACATCGTGGCCATTTCTCCTGGAACGGACCGGGAATTTGACAAAGTGGAGCTGGACGGACATCCTTATCTTGTGTCTCGCAGCACGTTCAACGAAGAAGAGCTAGAGATCCTTGAACGCGCAAGGGAGTCGAAGGGAGTACGTCAAAATGAGGGGTCATCCACGGATGTTGTGACACTACAGCAGGTGGAATCTCCAGTCTCCCCAGCGAACATGTCAGTGCGACGTCCTTCGTTGGCAACTGCGGTTTCCATGACCTCCGAAAGTACACCTCGCAATAGTCATGCAATCTTACCAACGTCGGCTCATCAGCTTTCTGGCGAGCTAACTTCCGACCCGGAGATTATTGGCGGCTCAGATCATTCGGATGTTGGGGAGCTGAACCAGCATCATGGCTGGTCTATGGCCGCGACGCTAAATGCCGTTGAGACGCATCAGATACGTGGGACGACTGATCCTTCTGCACGTTCAGAACCGCCTAGTCTTCTCTACGCTGACAGTGGGTTCGATGAACCGCATGATACGTTCTACAACGGCAGTTTCGAAAACAACGGGCTCAGCGCGACTGAAGAAGAAAGGGTAAAAGTGCAAGATTTGGAGACCAAAGTCCTTGATGATGCTGAGGCAGTCCCAATCGATGACATGCAGCTGGAGTCTCAGCCTGCAGAAAAGGTCTCTAGCAGGCTTGTGACCGAGGACACAAGCCCAGAGTGCTCGTCCAAAGCCGCTTGCGACGTGCCACAGAAGCATTGTTCGGCATCGTCAGAGCAGTGCAATGAACAGACTGGCCAGGTTGGGATGAAGGATGCACAACATGCCGAGCTGGGAGCTCCTTGAACCACACTCCTCATTTTCAGGCTGGCCTATCACATTGACTCTCTTCTTCAAGATGAACCGATCGACTGGACACATCGCGCATATTCAGACGACTTCTGCACAGACGGCATTTCCCTCGTTGGCTCGCACAACCATAGGTCACGCCTTGCAGCTGCTCTTGTCGTCCTCTATGCCAATGGTTGGACCAAGCCATAGTGCAGCAAGCAAGATGCGTAACTCGCCCGAGGCCTGACACGCCTCTTGCTGGCTCAAGATATGAGTGTAGAGCGAAGCGGTGTGCGAGTAGCCGGGACGTTGGGGCATGTCTTCGCGCACCGATGTGTTCCAGAAGCTTACAGACAGGCTCAAGATTGACACGGGCCTTAACGCCCTAGTCATCGTGCTCAAATGAGCTCCACATTGTGTTAAACTGTAGTGGCCTTCCACTCGACATGATTGAAACGAAATAACGACCTTTTCACGACTTATCTTTCAACGACTTTTTCATGACGCTGGGAACAGGTCCTACTCGGCTTGGAAAGGGCGACTCAATTCTTGGATAGGGAACAGTGATGATTTCAGCAAGCAGTGCAAGTCCACGATACCACAACGCGCCGCACGGGGATTTTGGGACTTTTGGGATGTTGGAAAAAGGAAGACCTCTTGGGCATTTCGAAATTGTATTGCATCGGGTGGTGTCCTGGCTTATTCTATGAAATTAACGCTATCAACATTGTATGGTTGCGAAACCGATTCAACCACGCACGTCTCTTTATGGCTACTACCAGCGGGCAGCGAACGGACCACAGGTAATCCAGATATTTCATTCATATAGCGCCGCTTCATGAGGCGAGACAGAACTCATGAAGTCTCTTTAGATGATGAAATTTGAACGAATAAGTTCCAACACCAATAAAGACGCTCGTGATTCAGGATTGCCGCAGAAACCATGGCTATTCGACCCATGGTTATTTCCAAACTCGGTCTATGTCATCGATCAGGTAGTAGTTGAAGGCCAGTAGATGGCAAGGGCGGCAAGATGGTCTCTTGTACCTGCTAGACGCGATCCCCAAGATGCGCACCCGGGTTCCCTTACACGTTCCATCCAGGGCTGTTCGGTGATAGCATTGACGCATCCAGTCTTGGTGCATGGGACGGTTCTGTGTCTATTTCACAGCTTTTTGTTCGATTGAATTTGACGAACTAATCGACACTACAACCACCTCAAGTCAGACTGCTACGCGGTGGCTTGTCCAGAAACGTGACATGCCCACAAGCCTGTCAACTCGGCCTCAATAACAATCGCACCACCGGCGGGCCGGCCGTACTTATGCTATGAGCTTGCCACCACGGTTTGGCTATTTCGGCCACCGGGCACGCGAGTGGTAGTCTGGGCAGCGTTTCCAGACATTGCGGGGCGGTTCGCGTTGTGTCCCGCCGATAAGATCCGATCGTATTGTATCTTTCCAACGCACCAAATCCATTAAGTACCTGAAAAGCCAGGAAGGAGATCGAGGTTGCGTCCTATAAAGACGAGTTTTCCTTCTTTTGGGATCTCATCGTTGGAAGCGGAAGCGGAAGCATCGCCGTCAGAGGGTTTCGGAGGCTCGATGATTTCGAAGATCTCACGTACGCCCTGGACAACTCTGATGGTGCCATCTAAGAGCGGTATCAGCCCTTTGGTGCGGTGAATTTCGTACTTGCGCGTCTGGTCTGCTTGGTTATCATCGGCTTCCCAGAGGATCGCCTCCAGCCAGCTTTCTAGTAGTGGGAGCTTTTGTGGGTCGAAAGGCGGGAGTGGGAGGGTTAGGGTTGATATCGTCGGGTCGAGATGTGAATGACCCTTGGAGGAGAAGTCTGGTATTGATGGAGTAGTCGATATGGAGCTGGTGGTGGGGAATGTTGAGTAGGCATTCAGATCAAGGACGGTGCCGCTGAGCGAGCTGATCTGTGAGTGGTTTGTTGGGATGAGGCGGGCGAGGCTGTTGATTGATGCTATTCGTGCTTGAACTTCTGACAGTCGAGGTGGTGAGACGAGATCGGTTTTGTTCAGGATGATCACGTCTGCGTGAGAGATTTGCAAATGTGCGGTCGTCATGAGTGGGGAGTCGTGGTCGTTGTGTTGTCGGTCTAGGGCTTCTGAGTCCGGTATCTCTTCTGATGCGGGCTCCTCAAGGTTCTTCAAGATGTTTTTGGCATCAACCACTGTCACTATCCCGTCGAGATAGATACTGCTCCCAAGACCTTCGTCCATCCAGAACATTGGCGCGATGTTTCCTGGATCGGCAACACCCGTCGTTTCGAGCAGGATGTAATCAAAGTCCTTCTGCCGCTCGACCAGGGTCTCGAGTGCGGCAACGCCACTATCCTTGACACTGCAGCAGATGCAGCCGTTTGCGAGCGGGATCCATTCTGTAGTAGACTGATTGCCTTGGTTGACGGTCAGAGACTTCTCAATGTCTGCTGTATTTCCGAATTCTATGGTGCGAGAGAAAAGACGTTAGATCCAGTCGACTGATACGGAGTGAGTCAGGGCGCTATGACATTCCATGTCAGAAGCAAAAGCCGGGGCTGGGGGTGGTGAGACCTGCCGTTCAGAATAACTGCTATCTTCTTGCCGTGCTCCGCTGTGAGGATGTAGTTGAGCAAGGTTGTCTTTCCAGCACCAAGGTAGCCTTAGACGAGTCTAGTGTAAGCAATGGAAGCAGGCTGGAATCAGTATCTCATTCACACACCTGTGACAATGGTGATGGGCACCTTTTGCATCGCTGGAGTAGTCTCCGAAGGGCCACCGTCTTCTGCCCGGAGGTCGACAAGATCAGGAATGTCATCCTCCATGATTTGAGGCCCAGGGCGTGCCGACAGGCAGGTATTAGGTCTCTTACAAGAGGTCGGGGACAGGTTAGATACACGCTATTAGGCCAAAGAAGTACAATCTCGAAGTCTACTGTGTAGAGAGGTACGTCCGGCAAAATCGTGGGATGCCATCAGTGCGGAGCGGAGATGCATTTTAGTCGGACGCTAAGTGATTTAACCGTCGATCTCCCGCTATGTGTCGTGAACAAGGAAATATAGCCGAGGCATACACAAGTACATCTGAGCCCTTCTCCGGCGGCTGCTTCAAGGACGAAGACCCTCCTCGACTCACCGGAGGCGACGTGCCCTTGGACCTGCTGTTCGACATGGCGGCAGTCTCGCCATCGAGTTCGCCGCGCTTGCCTTCTCCTCCTCCCATCCCAGAAGTCCAATTCGGTCCTCAGAGCCCCGGAATGGGTGACCTTTCCAAAGAATTGTCCCTCGACGCGACCAGCAAGCCAGATGAAGGCTCGGCACGGAGGATCAGACCCGGCACGAGAGCGGCAGACATGGCTTTGGGCCCTCCTCTTGTGCCTCTCAGCCAGGTAAGACACAGACTCAGATTGAGCGCAAGCGCAGACTGACTCGTGTAATAAATAGCTCGATTCACCTTTCCAACTCCAAGAACATCTCAAAGCCCTCTACTCTCACCTCACCCACACACCTGGATCTACACATACGATACCCATATCGAAAGAGACGGCTCTACAGCTTTCCACAGCCCCTCAGATCAACGAGAACGAGTCGGTGGACCGAAACCTTTGGCTCTATGAGCTCTGCAGATTTCTCACAATGAAGGCCAATGTGGTCTCAATATTCCTCATGAACGACAACCCTCCCTGCTCAGCCCAGACCTGCCCTGAAATGCGCGCAAGCGAATGGCAGTATCTCTGCGCCGTGCACGAACCTCCAAAATCCTGCTGCGCCATTGATTACTGTAACCACACACTTGACTGGGCTGCAAATGTGCTCACGAGTCCGAAACACTTCCCATCAAGACTGGCGCTAGGTGGTGAGGCGGGGAATGTCATCCAGAGTATGCGCCAGCTCACCAACATCTTCCGACGAAACTACAGAATCTTCGCCCACGCCTGGTTTCAGCATCGCGATGTTTTCTGGTCAGTTGAAGCAACCTATGGTCTTTACATCTTTTTCAAGACAGTGTGTGATGAATACCACCTCATCCCTGAGGACAGCTACACAATCCCAGCAGAGGCAGAAGGATTACCCGAAGATTCCAACGATCGAAATGCAGCCCCAGCCTCAGAACCGGGCTCACGAATGCAGATATTGCGAAAGGATAATCAGCCTGCGTCTTCAGAGAACAATACCTCGTCTAACCCTTCCACCTCTCCTCCAACTACAACCACGATAAGTACCGGTGCAACGACGCGTCGGCACAAGCATACTCCAAGCACAGGAAGCCATGTCGCAATTATACCCGAAGGCCACGAAGAAGAGGAAGAGAACACGACAACCACTATTCCAGCCGTAACAGCGCCAGCTACGGATACTGAACCCACGGCGATGACTCCAGAGAAGCAAGACCCATACCCGGATCGAATGCTACCAAAACTTGACATTGGAGCCACCGTGCCCAAATATGAGCCACGTGCGCCTGAAGATCCCACACCAACAGGAACAGGTGACGACGTCGATCCGCTTGCTGCGACCCAGTCAACAGAGGCAGCTGACAGCAGCTCCATCAAGACAGAAACACCCATCAAACAGAAGAAACCTGAAGAAGACGAAGAAGAGCAAGAAGAGCAAGTCACATCTCCTTCTGGCGGCAGTATTCGTACAGGCGGTCCTGACGTATTGAAGGCCATCCTAGGACATCTCGACGATGAGCATACCGAACTACCAAGCCCGATCTTGAAGACACGAACAACGAGTCCGGACAAGGACCAGATACCGGCGCCAGAAGCCGGCAACAGCAACACCAACACCAACGTCAAGGTCGAAGTCGAAGAGAAAGTTGATGACGAGGACGACGAGCCCGTCAAGGAGATGGCTGCTGAAAGCACAGAACAGCCCGAGGAAGACGAAAAGGAAAGATGAGTGTCACGCCGTCAAAGAATCGAAGCACGAGCACGAGCAATATATTGGAATCGATTCACGCGGATTGGCACGATACCAGTTGGTGTTTCTCACCTATAATGTACAGTATGATGGTAGAGAGCATAGCCAGCTGATGATGAGGACGCGGCTAGCATTATAGTTGGTCTGATGACTGACAGCGAATCTTTCAAGCATAAAGTGCGGGAGCCTTCAGGCTCTTGCACAACGATGAAGCGAGTGGGCATGACCATAAGTCGTGGGAATAGAAGGTTCAGACAGCAGGCGAGTCCAATTTTCTTTGTTTTCACATTCTTCATCTTTTGCGCGCAGTGTAAGGTGCTCTGCCAATGGTACTTCCTAAAACATATCATACATGATACACAGACTCGCTTCGCGGAGTCAAACCGGGCATGGTGTTTTTCGGCACACTACAGACAGAAAGAGCGCGCTTAACTCCCGCCAGGATAACCAGGCCTCAACTTGGCCATCCGTGGCTCGATGAGTGGATGCCATTGAGCTAGGAATGTTATTGCTTTGAGATTATCAAGTGTCAGTATAAGATTTCCTTTCAGGCGAAATGGAGCAGAGCGAAATGACGAGGACCAGGCATGGAGGAGGACATACCCCACATGATATAACAGCTAGCAAAGCTGAGGATCAGGGTGCTTCGCCATATCCTGGTCATTCAGTTAGCTTTGGATCCAACCGGGCAAGGAGGGTGGAAGAGGAATAGCAGAAGGGGAAGAAAAGTGAACGACGTACGTCTGGTTCTCGCCCTTTGGGCTGAGGAAGTATGCACCGACACTAAGGGCGACAATGACCACGAGGCCTATCAAAAGGGACCATCTGCCACAGCATATCAGCATGAATTCCTCCACGAGTGCTCTGTTCAGTTGAGGTGGTGAGCGAGGGGCCGCGAAGGAAGAATGCAGGATGCAGGTTGAGGATATAGATGGCCAGGCGATGGCACAACGATGCCGAAAAGAAGATAGGGATGCTGATCGAAGGTCATGCTGTATGACCGTATGCACCGAAATGCTGTTGCAGCGAAGATGGGTAGAGACGGCTGTCATAGACCATCTGCTTTCAAGGTCCTCCCACCGAGCGTTGTCTGTAGTGGAGGGCATTGTATTCGCACATGTAAAGATGACGATGTGCGATTGACTTCTTCTCATTCTTCTCATTCTTTGCCTTTGCCCGCGTTGACCGGTCTCGGGATGCTGGGACGGTCCTCACTAGGATGTTGCCAATATGTGCTGGGGCCAGTGGATGTATGGAATCGCATTGCAAGTGCTCACGTACCCGTTCGCCATTGTGTACTAGTCTCTCTGCTTCGAATCCTCTCTCAGATTTCAGAAATCACTTGTCTTTCCTCTTCGCAAGAGCACCGACCTCAAAGCTGTGAAAGGACGATGTCTTGTATTCCAGATGCCTGGTCAGACTTGAGAGATGGTGGCGGATGATCGAGGTGTTGACGTCCTCATCGGTGGTTTGCAGCGTGCTCGAGGATGGCAGGGCAAAGACTCCGAGGAGCTGTAGTCGCTCGACTTTTCTGAAATATGGGCGAGAGGTAGGGCAAATGTAAATCTGTTGCAGCTCCGACGATGTCACGATCGCAGCTCACCTGCGCGCAAGAGCGAGGCTTCGGCCAAATTTCCTATCAGGGAACTCCACAACTGGGCCATGACGAACGTTCCGTTCTCACAAGGCTCTACAGCAACGCATATTCACATCGTGCTCGATTATATCTGTGGTTCCAATGGGTATTGATCTAACAACTTATGATGATTTCATTCCATGATAGGGAAAAGAGACCCAGCCCCAACGACACAGAAGCGCGTCAAGCAAGCACACGCCGCCGCATTCCTCTCCAACCAGACTGATTCGATCAAGCACCCTCTCTGCTCTTGCGGTAGTTGCTCTCTTGCTCAACCTGGAGTTGATCAATCTCCGGCGCAAGCTCAGACAGAATCTCGTAAGCCTTCTTATGGTACTCAAGTTGAGCTGCGATAAGGTCGGCAAGGTTGCGAAGTGGTTCAGGAGTGTCGAGGACCTATCTCGTTAGCAATCTTGTTCACATCTCGACACTGGCATAAGCTTACATTCTTCATAACACCCTGCGCTTCTTCAACCTGTGAAACAAAATCGTCCTCCTTGGCTTCAATCTCGGCACGTGCCTCCTCGCTCAATGCCGTCTCGTCATCTGGGTTCATGCCCCGACCCATGACCTGGCTCTTCTTCGCAGTCTTGGTGCTGTCCAAAATTAAACGGCTGTTTTCAACGGCTCTTCTGGCCTTGGTAGCGAATTGAATGTTTGTGTTCAATGTAGTGTTCCATCCAGCAAGGAAGCGCGATTGGATAGCATGATCTTGAGCCAGCCGCGCCTCGCCGACCTTCTCTTCCGCCAAAGCATATCTCTCCAAAGCAGCAGCTAGTGGGTCTTCACCGCCCGAGGTGTTTGTCTGTTGCAGGAGCTGCGAGCTGGCCAGGGAAGCGCGAGCAATGGCATGGTTGAAAGTCTTGGGTTGTGGTTTGGCGGACGGAGGAGCAGTAAACGCAGCTTGTGCTTCGGCCGGGCTCGAGGCGTGCGAAAGGAGAGTGACTTTCTCAGAGATGCTACGGCCGAGGTCGGTGAAGGACTCGCGAATGTTTGGAGGGTAATCGTAAGCCTCATTCTGGTATTGGTTTCTGTAGGATTCGTCAATCAGGGTCACCAGTTTGACGGCTTTGTCAACTACATACGTGACTGCAAGCAGCTTTTGGTGGACTTGTTTCAGCGCATCGACGCGCTTCTCGAGTTCAACATAGTCTGCAGGAAGTTGAGTCTGTCGAAGCACAATCAGTCGTGTCCTCAAAGCAGTCTCCTCCTTTTCGCACCTTATCCTCTACTGAACCGAACTGCTCCTTGAGCTGCTGCTGGCTTCGTTGCACAAAGGGCGAGACGGTGGTGTTGAAAGCAGAACTGCAAAGCCATCATGTCAGAAGAAGTCCTGTGCTGGCAAAGGGGCATTGATGGCGATCCGTAGGCAGGCCGGGGACAAGGCACTGGCCATCAATGCTTCGAGCTTAGGACGAGCGTACCTGATGTTCTTTCCAAAAGCCGAGAACTTGTCCATATTTATCGACTCTGCAGACCATACGACAACGATGTTGACTCAAGAGGAAGAACACGTTGGTTAGTGAGACTGGATTCCCGTTGTTAAGCCAGCTGACGGTTGTTTGCAATAATATGCCTGCCTGACAGAATACGGGGCCAATTTATGGTGGGATCTTGTTCGTCTGACAGGATGTGTGATACCAAGGGGCTTCACATGTGAATCGAGGCGCTTGAAGAACCAGGCACACGGCTATGAAAAATACGAAATGAGATTTCTGCTTGTACGGCTTCAGAAGTGGAACGTAGGTATCTTGCATGTTGTGTCTATCAAGAGTCCAAAGCCAGATTTCAGGTGGCGCTTCGTTACAAAAGAAATTCGTCCAAAATTCTCTCCAGGTCCTCTCGGTTCCTTTCCAAGTCGTCATCTTCTCTCCAACGTTGCCCAGACATTGCGTGACATGGTTCAGGTATATGCACCCGTAGCCCGGAGTCGAACAAGATGACCAGCATCGGCGCTTTCCAGGATATATTGCAGAGTCGTACATTTCCAAATGTTGACCGACGAACCTGCTCGTCACAATGGCTCAACACTGTTGCAAGGCACTTTTAGGTGAGCGTTGCCATCATAGCTTTGATGATGCCAGGACTGGGAGCAGTCGAGCGTGACCGACCTGCAGACACCATCAGGAAAGTTGTTACTTCACTTGGCCACGAGCGACATCCTACCTCTCCTGTCTTTCTTCACTTCCAGGATCTCGTCGCCTCGCCGTTCGATGATGACTTCACCACGAGGCGAAGGAGATCTGTCGCGGACTCGATCCACTCTGACGATCTCAGTAGCACCTTCGCGCTCATACCGCCTTTCTTTCCGCAACGCTCGGCGCTCAGCTTCCAGCCTGCGGATTTCCTCTTTGATGTCGCGGTCACTGCGTGGGTTTCTGTCCACGACAAGAGCCAATGGGCCAACATGCACAGAGTTGGAGTCTTCATCGCCTCCTTCGCGTATAATCTTACGTTCAATGATCGAGGTGTCGTCACTAACAGAAGATCCTCTGCGACGAGTATTGCTGGATCGGTGTGTCCGGGCTGGAGATACTTCTTTGATGACCTCCTTCTTCTCGACGGTGATTTCCTTGACCACGCCAGGCGACGACCCACGTCTTGATCGTCTCCGAGAATGTGATCGGTGAGATCTTGGAGACGGCGACCGGACCGATAATTGATCCCATTCTCGAACGGACCGAGGCGCTTCGGCTAGAGGCACAGTCTTGAATTCCTCGATCTTTTCCGTCTTCTCATAGACCATGTCGCCGCGACCACTAGATGCTCGTGGTCTTGTCTCCACAGGAGGAGCTTCGATGAGTCGAGTAGTGGTGACTACAGCTGTTAGTGCAAGGATGCAGTGAAACATTGAGATACTCACCTTCTCTCTCACGGTACTCCTTGCTCCTTGCGAAAATTTCGTCAATGTTGTCCGGACCCAAGGCTTTCTCAATGATAATAGTCCGCTCGTCCTAATATTGCTCTGTCAGAATTGCTTGACCACAAAGTTCCAACTCTAGCTTACCTCTTCGTAGTAAGGATAACCCAGCTCGTAAAGAACCTTGGTGTTCACCAGTCTCTTTGGCATCCGTGTCTTTCCCCGACGCGGATACGGCTTCTCTTCTTTAATCTCTTTGATCTCTTCCTTCTCAATGAACTCCTCTCTGACGGTCCGTCGATCTGGCGATGGGCTGCTGTTCCTCCTCCTGCGCGTGAGCCATTCCCGTTCTCGGTATTCCCGGAAGCCATCATCTCCGTAGTAGTCGGGGTCTTGAACACGGATATCATCATAGATCCGCTCATCATATCTTGGGTAGGACCTCTTTGGCGACGGCGCCCGCACAGGAATTAATTCCCTCGGAGGGTTTGGTCTTTGCGGTCTATAGGCGTCGTCATAGTCTTCATAACGACGCATTGGTCGACGATCGAAAGTGTCCAAGCTGGATTGCCTCCGAAGAATTCCAGGGCGTGGTGGTGCTTCGGGTCTGGCAGGGCGATCAGGAGCATAAGGGACCATCTGACCCCTTTGCGCCCTAGGATCATAGTAATCCGCCTCCTCGAAATATCTACGTTCTGTGGCCCCTCGCGGCCCATAGCGTTCCTCCTCATAGTAGCGCTGGTCTTCATAGACAGGTTGGCGACGTGGAGGATAGTCATATGGAGGGCGTTGATCGATGACTGGAGGGGCTCGGATCTCTCGTTCGCGCACAAAGCGATCGGTATCCCATCGCTGCGGTGGGGGATCTCGGTAGGCAAGATTGCTCTCAGAGTATCGAGGGTCAGCACGGTATCTAGACATGGCTTGGAAAAGGTCGATCGCTGTAGATTTGAAAGGGATCCGAGCGTCGATCGGGGCGGGTTGATGCTGTGAAAGGGTTGGTGGAGAGCGAGGCTGATATGATGTGATGGGATCAGCCGAACGTGTAACCCTCACGAGACCTCGCTGAAAATGAGCGAGAACGCACGTATATAGACCTGAAGAACACTGGAGATGGAGGTCTTTTCTGCACTTCGTGTCAAATTTCGCTGTTCGAGGCTGGGAGTCACAGTCGAGTAGTAAGAAGGCCAATTGTCGCAGACGTGTAGAGGAGTTGGGCTGATGACGTCGCAGCAGCCCTCTTCTTCCAAGTCTGGTGATGCCCAAACCCGAACTCCAAGCAGCCCAGCCTCCTGCGGCCTCTATCCTCTATCGAACGACTGCATATTGTTGGGCATCTATGTGACTGCGCCTTAGCACTGCCTGTACTCTAGGCCAGGCAATCCTTGTTGGACTATCTAGTTCGCGAAATGCTGCACCACAGCGGATTACAACAACGCTGTGGAGGAATAAAAACACCACGGCGACGACATGACGATTCAGAAAAGATCTCACAAACCTGGGTGGTTGTGGAAGGGGATTTTTAGGAGATGACTGATCATTCTCTCTATCTGAGTGCTTGCTTAGCAGCAAGTACAGTAGTCATGTCCTCGTTCTTGACCAAGATATCTTGAGGAAGCATGCATCCATCAACGCCGACGATGCCCCTGCTGCCAATATCGTTCCTGTCCCAATGCTCATGGTATCGATTCGTGCCACGCCTGAGTCATGCATTAGAGTACACAGTATGAATCCGTGATCTTTCAGATGTTGGCTTCCCAACGCCTAATCACGACCAAAGCTGTCGATCAGGTGTCCTTTCCAGTGGAACCACCCGTCGCTGCGCTGCCGCCACCTCCAGTCAACTTCGCAGCTTGGACAGCGCTCATTTTGTGAGCCCAGCCAGGCGCAGCTTGAGGACGTCGCACAGTTCGCACCTCGTCGGTCGAATAACCAGGAACACGGATGTTGTACTGGCGTTCGAGAACAATCTGGATGTCGCGCAATTCCAAGCTAGACGAACCACGGAGTTTGGCCAACTTGCAGGCTTGAGTGACAAGTTCGTCGACGAAGTCATCAGCGATTGAGAGAAAGATCTGTCTAGATTAGCAAAAGTTTCAGCCCAAACCCGGAAAATCTTACCTCTTCGGCTTCTGGGTCAAGCTGCTCGTCAGGACCTGGACCGCAGACTTCGCGAACTAGCTCGTTCAGTTTCTTCTTCGAAAGGACCCGTCCATCTTCGCTTGATTCCAACACGTATCCTGGCAACGCTGTAATGGCTGGTTGAGCAAGTTGTCCGGGCAATCCAACTCCTGCGCCTCCAGTCAAGGTTGGTCGGGATGGTGGCATTTGAACAGGTTTGGGTTCGGCAACTTGGAGGTTCTTGGTGATGACCGGGGTGGCGGTTTTGGCGCTGTTGATACTGGTATTGAGAGGATGAGGATGGACGCCTGGCTGCGCCGCATGCGCCGCGGCCTGAGGAGTCATGGCTTGACCTTGATGAGATACTGGACGTGCTGATGTGGCGCTATCTGGTTGAGCTGAAGGAGGGAATTGTGGTTGAGTTGCCGAAGCTGGGGTTTGTTGAGTTGTCGTGGTTGTGATCTGACCTGCTTGTGTGGTAGTCACTGCGGGACTGGCGGTTTGGGCTGCACTTGCTTGGTTACGCGCGGCAGAAACAGCACTGCTGATTGAATGTGCCTGTGGTCCTTGGGCGCCAGGTTGCATGTGAGGCATCGCACCAGGCTCAGCCGCTTCCCCAGCCGCTGCGGCTTGTTTGGTATATTGATGCTGGGGTTGAGCGCTGCGGAATTGTTCTTGTTGCTCATTGAACTTTTTCATGAATGAACCACTTTCACTGATTGCGCGATCACACTGCGCAATCTTATTGTTGTAGACCTCGGTCTCTTGGGGTGTCAGAGGGTTTCCCGCTTGCTGTCGTTGCTGTGCCTGTCGCTGGAATTCTGTCTTCTTCTGTTTGGCCACTTGAAGTCTCTGGAGAGCCTGTCCTAGACGAGCCTTTGCTTCTCGCAACCAGTTCTCGGCGGGTTCTGTACCTTTCGTCATGGCTGGCGGATAATAGAAATTTTGTTCATTGACTCTTTTCTGGATCTCAGGCATCAACTGATTGAACTGGACACTACTATTTCCACCTTGAGCTGTTCCTCCTTGCGCTTGAGGAGCTTGTGTGGCCTGCTTTTGTACTTGTGGCTGCGGCTGGGCTTGTTGCTGTTGCTGTTGCGCCGCCTGTTGTTGTGCCTGCTGTTGTTGTGCTGCCTGCTGGGCCGCTTGTTGTTGAGCAAGTTGTCTCTGTTTGGCGGTTTGTTGCCACTGTTTCATACCTGCCATCAGTTGGCTTGACGTGCGCACCAGCCCTTGGTATGCCTCATTGTACTTTGGATCTCCTTGGGGGGTGTTGTTGAGAATCTCCCAGAATCTTTTGACGCCCTGCTCATATTGCTGCTTCTGTGCGGGGTTGAGTTGTGGCAGCCGTTGCACCTGTTCTGGACGAATCAAAGAGGCTTGCTGTGCTGGCGCAGGTGCCGCGGGACGCTGATTCGCACCGCCATCCATGATTGCCGGTGAAGTGGGAGGACAAGAACGAAGATGAGGAGGTTTGAAGGATGAAGGATGAAGGATGAAGGCTAGCAGTCAGAGATCGGCTCAGTTGCCCCGGTCCCGTTGACCTGAGTCGCTGCACAGTCAGATCGGTGGGAAGGAGGCACGAGGTAGAGGTAGCGTTGGCTATGACTCGGATACATTCATCTTAGCCTGCGGAACGCACCGTGGCTCAAGATGGTCGAAAGGTCTGAATGTCTAACCACCCTCAGATCGGAAGGCCAGGAGATAGATGGTTGAGGTAAGTCGAAGCAGTAGAGAAATACTATGTGAGTTGAAGAAATGGCCCTCGATATTGTTCAAGGCTGAGGCATCAACGGTCCAGAGGGACGTTCCCGTCACAACTTGGCGTCCTGCGCCTTGCGCCTTGCAGCCTCGAGTGACAGCCTCGTCCTGGATCTCCCCACATCAAGGGCTCACCAGCCAAAGGGGCAGCCTTGCAGCGACATCATCCACATCATCCAACACGGGGCAAATCATTTCAATACTCCACAGAGCTTTCCTAATACTTCTCTACGGAATTGTTTCTCAAATGCACAACCTACGCCAGGAGACATCTTGATGTCAGTAATCCTCTCTGTACTTCTCGGTACCTCGAATCTCGTTATTCCTTCAGCCACGCCCGGATCAGCTCCTCGTCAACAGCCTCATTCCTCTTGCTCACAACTTGCCGATCCCAGTCTAGCCATTCTCCTACGAGCGCATTCCCCATGGTTGATCGCAGAACGCCGACACTGACATCAATGATGTATGGTCTTTCAAAAGACTGGTAGAAGATCGTGGCGCCACAGGTTGTACAGAAGCTTCGTAGCACACACTCGGAACTCTGGTAGTATTTCAGTCCTTCGATTTGCGATTTTTCTTTGGCCTCGGGTCCAAATATGACCCGCTCTCCGGTCGAGGTATGGATCTGAGAAGGCAAAATATATGTCCAAGGCTGCATCGTGAAGCCGGTTGTCAGGCGGCATGACCGGCAACAGCAGAGGCGTGCATAATACTTGCTTCGATCAGGAGGCACATACCAACCTTCGCTCTTTTCATCATATGGTGGCGGCTTGATCCGCAATCGTACCTGTTCGCAGTGACAAGCCACATCTAACGCTTCTCCCCTCTCCACCGACGATGGTACGTTGAACGCCTTTTCTTGCAGCTGGCGGAGCTCACTCTTTTGCATAGCCTCGCCTTCCGGTTCGCCCAGATAGCAAGGCACGTCTCGCCCGCTGAGATGGGAAAGGTATGGAGCAATCCCGCCATCGTTCGCAGCTCCAACATGTTCATGGAGTGTGACCTTTGATACATTTGCCTCCTTTCCGGGCTCTCGATCTATCTCGATGGTTCCGGAACAGGCTATCCACCGACCATCGGTTTTACATCGCGCGAAAATGTTGCACCCGCACTCTTTGCAAAAGTAATGCTCAAACTTTGCCGTGTGGTAAGCCGTCGCATTGTCCAGGGACTTTGCAATCGGAGGACCTTTGAGCTGCGCATATGTGGTGCCTAGAGCACCAGTATTGCGGCGGCATCTGTTGCAATGGCAGAAGGCATCATCGATTGGAAGAGTCTGAGACTGCAATAAGGAGGCTGGCTCTTTGATGCTGCCACAGAGGCATGTGAGATGTGTGGGCTTCGGCATGCTCTTCGAACTTGGGGTGTTGCTGATATGATACCTTGGACCTTTTGATGTTTGACTACCTTAGAGACAGACTCTATATACTCCGGCGTCTGCTCTTGGGACTTACGGACACATTTATCTCGTTGTCTGCTGAAGGGCGCGGGGTTTGGCGTCTATGATTGGAGAAGGCGTATTCTTAAGAATCCTACAATTACTACTACTGTCTCATGGGTAAATCCCGTAATGAAAATCACGTACAGGGGTGCGAAACAGCTGTCGGCTGTGTCGTCAAAGGAGCAGTTGCGCTTCGCACTGAACAGATGGACCCTGCTACTACACATTTCTACAATCAAGCTCACGTGTACCCGTCCGACTTGTATTGCCACCGCCGTAGTCAAAGCACCTCCGCCGGCCTCTCGTGTCATCTACTCTCAGATACTGCGAGTCTGCAATTGTACCAAGACTCCATTGATTGATCTGTTCGTTTGCCCTTCCTCACTGTGCCGCAGTTTGCAAGGGCAGTGCCTGCTCTTGCATTCGAGCCGGCCTCCCGTCACCATTGCTATGGACGTAATTTCTGTACAATTGACCTGTGCACGGGTCAAGGTACCACCTCCATAACTGGAGCCAACTCTGATGCCTTCGAGACTGATCTGGGGACCACAACACGTCACATTCTTCATCAACTCCTGCTTTGAACATCTCTTCCAGGTTCCGATCAGGAGGATGGTTGATATCGAAGGGCTCCTCAGCCCTGCACTCGTCATAAAATTGTGCATCCTCGGTCTTGTTTCTGTTGTCAGACTCCCGAGCTCCGAAAGACTGCCATATCTCTACTTCAATTTGGACGCACGTACCGCCGCACTCTAGTTCCACTCGAACTCGCAGGTCGGTGGCGCAGTGACCGCAGTTCAATAGATCCAGGCTTCTCATGCGACCGTCGGAACAGCCGACCCGGAGCTCATACGCATCCAGAATAACCACAGGGAGTGAATCTCCAGTGTGAGCGCAGCCGATGGTCTTGAACTTATCAATGGCAGGCACAAGCCCTTCCGGGACATTTTGGCTGATGTCGACCGGTGAAGTCAGAGTATCAGGTGATTGGGCTGACAAGGACACGGATAGCTTGTAGACACCGTGAAGCAAAAGCTTTTCCCTGACAACCCGAGCGTCAAGACTCTTGTCAATATCCCCGCCTTCGTGAAAGGACTTGCAGTTGTGATTTAGTTCATGGAGCTGCGGGCCATATCGTGAGCCTTTCGCAAATCCTCGCAGGAACGCCTCCACCATGTTTTGGTCGATGAAGGCGCGTCCATGGCAGAAGTACCAAGATGCGCCACGGTTGAAGGACGCATGGTCAAAACGTTTAGCACAGAGGTATTGCTGCCGCTTTTCCCAACTGTACAGGATATTGCAGCTGTAGCATACCATCTTCTCAGGTAAGTCCTCCTCCAGAAGCCGAAGGAAGCCTACGTTTTCTGCACCGTCGTCTCGCCATTTTGGATCAAACTGGTCTATGAGGGCTTCGTGGTACCATCAAACTCATGCAGGCGATAGAGCTCGCTGGCAAAAAGGAGATGATGCGCAGCAGGATTTCTGCTGGGAACCTCTCCAAGATCGAGGTTAGTCTGGTCTCCGTCTGTAGCGAGGGTAAACTCTCGCCCTCGATTGTTGGCGAGCCTCGGGGTGGTGATGAGATCCTATCTTTGAGTGAGAGAAGCGCGTTCATGGCTCTGATCTGAAGGCGGATAGGCATAGCAGGATGTGCAGTATGTCGTCCAGGGCCGCGAGCCGGCTCCTGAATAGACTATGGGGATAAGAACAACTCTGCTCTGTGTTAACCGAACATGAAGGGATGAGAGGTAGCTAGGTACCTTATGTACCAACAAGTTCGTCAACGGGTCCTCAGGCACCAGCGGCTTGCCAAGCCAAAGTACTATGGTACACGCAGCGTCGACCGTGTACCAAGGTACTGGAATCATGCTGGGACCCAACACAGGCGAGAGATACGTGGGTGCGTACCCAACTCATGCCCCTTTAGCCTAGCCGGTAGAGATTCCCCTGTCATGCAAGCTCGGATGCGCTGCAAAATTGCAGATCATGCTCAGGTTATTGTATTATCTCTACCTCGCAAAGCATCTACCGGCGGCCAAAGAAGAGAGACTGATAATCTGGCATTCGTACACAGTCATATCTGTTGATCAGTTTGATTGTTAGCTCACCTAGTGCTTCCTTCGCCGCACGTTCTGACTCGGTCAGTTCGCTTATGTCTGAGTTTGCCAACATCTGTACAGATATCGTAAGGTCAGCGTACCATCTAGTCAGAAGAACAAAGCTCGGCTGTAAATACAAGTGCCGAAGAATTGCTTGCCGAGAACAAAACAAGCTGATGTTAGTGCTTCGAGCTCACTCACCATGTCCAATCTCCAATTTTCCAATGCCTGACTAAGTGCATGACGTTCGTCATACTCCGGGTCATCTTCAGGGAGAAGGTACTGCGTGATGTGCCAGGTTCGATCTTGGTCTGTTGGTGCACCGGCCAAATCATCTGCTTCGTGCGCATTGAGAATAAGATCTAAGGACGCCGCCGTCTATTAGCCAGGATCGCTTAGACCTTACTAGCCTAAGGAATATACCTTGGTTGGGACGCTGGAATTCTCGATAATAGATCGGAAGAACGACTCACCATGAATCCTATGATGCCTCTCAGAAGTCTCGGCTTCGGCGTTGCGTACTTGGGCGTAGAGCTCGTCGGCCATGTTCCACACGTCGGTTTCAACTGTCTGTTCTGAGGCCAGTAATGATTGGGCGGCCGTTCCAGAGGCAGAGGGTGTTTGCGTTGGGCTTTGGTTTGATGTAACAGGGATCTGTTCTGGCGCTGCCGATTCGATATGTACCTTTGGAGAGGGTGCTTGCTGTTCTGTTGTATTTGTGTTTTTATTTGCCGTTGCTGAGTTTATTTGTGTACTCGAGCTTTCTGCTAGAACGTGTTCTGCGCCGGGAGAAGATTGTGGCTTCTCCTCGTGCTCGAGTGTTTGCTGACTTCGAAGCTTCCATCTAGAAATGTATTCCTCCAGAATGCATTGCGCGCCATGGTCAGGTATGTGTTTCCGCCCATCGGGCTCAAAACGAGCCACGTAGGGTGACGATGATAAGTCCAATAATTCCTCGAAGCATTTAACATGGTAAAAATCCGTACACAAATCAGTATAAGTAGTAGATTGGGCCTAAGCGACGCTAGTAGTTCTAGGACAAAGGAGTTATAAAATGAGCACCGCAACATGTACCAGGCGAGTGGGACAAGACTACATTGCCCTACTTGGCCAACAGCCAAGACTGAGCAGAAGAGCTCCAGGCATAAACGGCAAGGCACGGCATGCACAGGATCTCCTGAGCTGCAGAGTAGAAGGGTAGAAGATCTAGTAGGGAGGAAGTCTTATCTTGACCTCTCGAATTCCAAATCCCCGGAGTCAATGCAATCCTGTATTGGCCTGGGGCAATGCCATCGGAGCAGTGAGGGAGCCTGCATTTCGCTCTGCTACGTGAATCAGGTGCCGTTTGAAGCAGAAACAGTGGGTAATGGCTCAGGCGGGCAAAGCCAGTGTAATCGAGTATTAACTGGGGTTTAATGTGCTTTCGGAAGGCCTTTGCAGAAAGCTCAATGTCCTCTTGCCTTCTTTCTTCAGGAGAGAGTGCCTCTCGACGGGCCTCTTCCGCTTCAAGACGGTTATCAAAAGCCAGCCAGTATTCTTCTTCTCCATCAGAATCCACTTCATCGCCGACTTCCCAAGCAATCCTTTTCCTTCTTGTGCGCTTTTGTTTTTCTGCTAGTCGCTGCTGTCGTGCTTGAGGCTTTCCTTGCTGATCTGTACTGGCCGGTTCACGTGTCGGTGGATGACGGGTAGCCGTAGACGATGAAGGAGAAGCAGTCGTTAACGCGGAAGATGGCATATGAATGACTTCACCACTCCGAGTCCCTTCGATGACTTGTGCAATATTTCGACTACCTTTAGCTACAGTATGAAGGGCGGTAGATGAGGCCGAAGACAACTGTGCAGATGAACTGTGGTGGCTGCTGTCACCAGGGTCTTTGTCGCCGGGTTTCTTATCAGATACATCCCCGCTAATGGACGCCTGCGGTGTGGATCTGATCTTGATCCCATACACACTGGGATCGATGGCAGTATACATCATGCTCCAGTTGTGTAGCAGTAAATGTAATCGTCTCGTGACTGAATGTTGCGCAGTGATATCAAGATTGTATATGCGAATCCTGCACTTGCAATACTAGTAATGAATTGAATTGTTAGGGGAGCCTGCGCGGCTAAAGTCGTTCATGTTGCAGTCGAGAAGGGCGACAAACGCAGGCTATTACTTTGTAGGCACCAGTGGCTACGTGCTACAATCAATCCTGGAGGGGGCAGTGGTGTAGAGGCAGGGATTGTGTCAGGCTCACTGAAGCTCACCTGAAACAGATTTCTAACTAAGGGGCAGGTGTAGCCAATCGTTAGAGCGTTCGATTAAACGCCCCTATACTGAATGCATACGGTTCAGTGAAGAGTCAGGCTGAAGAGACCTCGGATCAGGCAGCAGCGTAGGAGCAGGAATTAGCCAAGTTCGCTGAAGCTTACCTGAACAGATGTCTAGGCTGGGAGGCGACGCTCTGTTCTCTCGGAAGGATGGGCGGGGGACTACACCCTCTCTATATCTGCTTGACAATCTGTAGAAGACAGCAAAAGGGGAAGAAAAGGAGAGATCGGGGGCCATTGAAGTGCCGCGGGAAACCCCGTTGAGAAAAGGGGCAATCGGCACCCTCTATGTATAGGGGCCCGAAAGGACTCAGGGCCAAGAAGGCTCACAGGGGCAAGGCTGAGTCTCGGGCACAAGGCTTTGCAAGTACAGGTGTTACCCGGTATTTCAGCATCAAATGGAGCTATTCCAGCATGAATTCCAACAATCTTCATGTGTAAATATCACTCAGGGACAATGGCTGCCATACTACGCCAAAAGTCACACCTGTATCCTCTGCCGGCCTCCCAAGTCCAAGCATTGACGAGCGTGATGTCGTTCTGCAAACCTGGTTGGCCGAACTCCGTAATATTATGCTGTCAGTCTTGTTAGCGTTGATTTCTTGCACCGGCACCGAGCAACAGGTTCAAGACATCCTGCAACAGTCTTGCAGCTTTCGGTGATGCTTACCCCTATTTGTGTGATGTTCATCGAGAAAGGTGTCCCTCCGGTCTGTAGGTAGAAGTCAGTCGCGTGTTGCACGCGTTGTTGTCAGCAGCTCAGTGACAAATGGATGCTTACCTCGTTCAGATTGATCTGGTATGGAGCATAGATTGTGAAGGGTGGCCAATTGCTTGCATCGTTCGCCGAAGCCGCATTCCCGAAGACGCACCATTCGCAACACTGGAGGAGATGCTCGGATTGTTCGTGGTTATGAAATTGCCCCAGATCTGTCGGAAAGCAAGTGCTAGGTCTGGGCCGATATTGGCTGCCGCCGGACCAAAGTCTTTGCGGCATCCTGATCAGTTGCGAACTTTTAGGAAAATTGGGAAGGGATAACGACGTACATCCACTGACATCAGAGCCATGCAGCGCTGGCGGCACGGAGAATTGATACTTGAAAGACGTCCGACCCCGGTCGCTGTACGCCTCGGCCATCCAGTATGACGGACACACGAAGGTTGTTTCGGCGTAGATGTTGTCCGCTCTCTCTTGCTGACCCGTGCCAATGGAGCTTTGGTTCAGCGCACTCGGTCCAGACTCTCCCGAAGTTGCGTACAGCGGCGCATTCGGATCCGTCGAGGCGTTGGAGCTGGGGTAGTACAGCAGGACTTTGGCGATGTCGTCGTTGGTAAAAAGAGGGAAAGTCAGTTGCAGCCACGCTACAAGATCGTCTTCGCTCGTGATATTCTGAGGAACGAAGGACGGTCCTTCTGCGGCGTTGTTGCCGATAAGTGCATTGACCCCGTTGACGCGCTTACGGAGAAGTTGCTGACTGGGCAGATCTTGGATAAATATTCCGTCGGTGCTTTATACCGACGAGTTAGTCAGTGTAGATCGACAGTGGAACAGAGGCGGACATACACAGGAAGAAAAGCCCAAGTACCGTAGTTTCCTGATTCGGAGATCGTGGCACTTGCATTGATCAAGGTGTCTGTGTCCTTATCGAGGAGGCACTCAAAGATTGTTTGCGGATGAGCACCATAAGGAAGACTGGGAGGGCAGCCGGCTTTAGTGGCAAATGCGTAGAATGACTGGGAAGGAACCCAATCCTTATATCCATATTGCATCGGCAGGTAGGGAGAAGCGGCAATGGTCTTGGATCCTGTCAATGCTGGTGATCCCAAGCACGTCGGCAACTACTTACATTCACGAACAATGATGTTCCTTGGCTTCCGCCGTAAGCCATGTCTTGAAGCATAACTGATCCGCCGCCTGGTACATGTCAGCGTAGATCGATCGGCTAGTATTTCATGCCTTACCAGCGCTCTCTCCGGAAATGGTAACTTGCGAAGCGTTCCCGCCGAACAGGCCTATGTATGACTGCACCCACTGCAATGCGAAGTGCTTGGAAAAATGAGAAAGGTCTGCTACAATGTGATCAGCCCTCTCACCTGGTCGAGAATGCCAGCATTCACCACGCCATTGCGGAAGACCTCGTCCGAGGCCAGGAAGCCGAATGCTGCCAACTGTTTGATGTTAGCTCCCATATCGAGGGCAGCAGTACTGGAGGAGCAGCAGACCCTATATTGGATTGCGACGCCAACAAAGTTGTTCCCATTTGCGTTGATGATTGTTGACAGATCTTGCCGTCCATTACCACCCCCATACCCTCCACCATGGATCCAGACCAGCACCGGCAGTGGACCGGTAGCATTGCTAGGTGAATAGACATTGAGAAATAGACAGTCCTCGCTCGCACCAGTCTGATTGACAGTGTTGATTCTGGTGCTTGCATCGGGCCCTTGAGGGCAAAATGGAGCAAAACTGCTTGCACTGATGACCGAGGATCTGTTCACTTGTGGCGCTGTCGGTGCCTGCCATCTGTTGGAACCCGTGGGTGGTGCCGCGAACCGAATGCTGTCAATTTTCAGTACCGGGGCAGTCCCAGGTGGCACTCGGCGCAGTCTCACCCTTTCCAGACGTTGATCCCGGAAGTGCTGTTGAACACTCCCTGATATACCTCGTAGCCCAGATCCACTTGTAGTGCAGAACTGAAGTTTCCTCCGGCCTGCCGGGCTTGAAGAGCAGCTGCATAGGGCTTGCCGTTGCGCTCATAGCCAGGACGGGCGACGCACGCACAAACGAATACAAAGAAGGACACCAAAGTAATAATGGCCATTTTGACCTCAACTGTCACCTACAATGAAGCAGAAGCTTGGTGCTGCATCTGGAGCTTGATTTTCGCAGCTTCGGCAGCTTTTGTACGGTCAAACGCCTCTCCGGCGGCAAGGGCGGCACGTCATGAAGCGAGGAGACTGCTCGTCAAGTTCAGGTCCAACATTGGGGGGTTTTGACCTGAAGGAGGACAATGCGGAGAAAGGTTGCAAGATTCTCCAGGAAGAGAAGGTCATGAACGGGTAGACGCAAGTCATGCTGCAGGGCCGACGTCATGAGAGATCGGAAGATGGACTTGTCGCAAAGAATCACCTCTTTGATTCGGTAGATGCAGGGCTAAAGCTGTTGCGGTGCGGCCGGAGGTGAACAGAACCGGTCGATATCAACTAGTGATTGGTGACTTGGGCCCTCTCAGTTTTGCTCAAATTCTCTCTGGTCGGGGGGCATCGAAACGTCGAGGTGAACCGAACACGAGATGGACCTGGATCATGGGTTGGAGGAGTTGGCCTTAGCAGGGTGGTACAAGGCTGGCCAATCATAAATCTTCCGGCATTCACACGCCCACCAGACATGGCGAGGATGGCATATGACCAACTGCCGAGCTGGAGAGGGGCACGCTTTATGGGCCGAATTTGTACGGAATCCATACAGTAGGGTAAACGGTAAAACGCTCAATCTACCATAGAGTAGGACGAATGGATAGAAATACATAGTCTTCATTATTGGACTTCTAGAGACTTTGTGTCAAATAAAGTCTAGCTTCAGAATACACAGCCTAGTGCTGTCTTCTCCCATCCTGTCCCGTCACCTGTTGAACTCCATGCTATGCGTTGAACAACCAGGATATCATATCAAGATCAATTGACCCTCCCAAGAACCCGAGTCCCAGAAAAAGCAGCAAGAACTTTTAAGTAGACAGCCCCGCATCCAGCAAGAACGCTTCTCCTTTGTGACAATCTGTGTGTCGTCGACTGGCAAGGACTCCTCGCAGCCTCCTCGCAAATTTAGCATAGCTTCGGCGGAGACTCTAGCGACGATCGGCATAGACCTGGAGTCAGATATTTCAGCATCAAGCGCCAGGCAGATTTTCCAATTTTCCGAACCCGCCGAGGGGCATAGGTTGCTGACCGAGCCATTCTTTATCGACCAGACGTTCCTTGTCCTGCAGCAGATAGCGGTACGCGTGTTTGATTGTGGCATCGCTGACGCCTGCAACCTCACTGATCTGTTTGCTGGGTTTCCCGAACCCTATCAGCCAACTAGCGAAGAAGGTACATGCTGCAGCATTGGAAAGCGGGCTGCGGCCAGCTAAGCCTTCAATGGTAGGAATCTTCCTCGCAAGACCTTCGGCGATGGTTTGAACCCTGTAGTTGAGTCCAACCATGTTGCAATATCTGCCACAAAGATCTTCGGGCTTGGTTGATTGAGTGGCGCGAAACTCCGATGTGCTGTTGGGAATGCCCCCAGTGGATTCAACTTCTGTAATCTTGTCTTGCGCGACTTTGCTCAGGAAATTCTGAAGCTGCTTGTACACACGGCCAATCTCCTTCTTGGGAACTGAAGTCATGCCGAAAATCTCATTAAAAGTGCGCGGTACCTTCAATTGGCGGCAAGCGATAAAGACGCAGCCAGCGAGGATCGAATCCAGCTGCTTACCTCGAAGAGCGTTTGCCTCGAAAACCCGTTTGTAGTAGGATTTGGCGGCAGCCTTGACAGGAGCAGTGAGTTTGGCCTTCTCCCCCCAAGCCTCGATTTGGGCATATGCCCCCTGTAGTGCTCTTTCCGCCTTGTTCTCGAGCTGCATAGCCTGTGCCTTTTTGAGTCTCCGAGTCTCTTTCGACACGTTCGGTCCGCCTCCACCGATCATCGTGCCCGCATTATTGGTGAGGTAGAGCTCGTTGTCTGCTTCACCGACACGATTGGGATCCTCGCCTTTACCTTCATCCGAGTTGAAGGTACGCCACTCCGACTCGTAGCTGACCAAACGCTCCGCCAGCACCATTCCGCAGTTTGCGCAGATGGTATCAGCATTCTCTTCAACCAGCTGAGGCGGAACCTGTCTGCAGTCAGGGCAAATAAGATGCATGTTGAGATTTTCGTGCCATGCTGGCGCATCAGGCGAATGCGTTTCGACGCCTGCTACAGCAGCCGCCATGTTGTCCCGTGACGAGCTTTCTGTGTGAGGGGCGTGTCTACAAATCAATGAGACAACCCAAACAGAGGGGCCAAGCGCATGCGTCGACTATCTGCTGTACCTCGTTTCCGAGGATAAAAAGACGATAACAAATGATCGCAGAGATTGTAAGCAGCCCAGCGCAGCGATGATCGATGACCTGACTTGGACCGTTTCAACCAGTGAAGGTGTCGTGAGTCAAGGGAGAGAGGGGATCTTTCTGAACACGAAAGCCGTCGTCGAGATCGTCGTTCGAATGCGCGCCAGGTCTCCTTCACAGGGTAAAGCGAAGGAATCTTGCAAAGGCGATATCTGAGAGAGGTCTGCGATGGTCGTATGGAGAGATGGAGGGATGAAGGAGAGAAGGTGGTGGAAGAGTTCAGTAAGGCGCGGTTTGAAATCGAGTCAGAGGCCAGACACTGACGCCAAGCTTACATCACGTGCAGAAATCTTACTCGAACAGGAATAGTTCATTTTGGTTCATGCAACTGCGCTTGAAGCTTCCTGCAAAGCTCCCTACGTTCGTCTGGGAAACGACTGTACTATCAAACAAGAGGCAGCCATGGCGCAATCACTAAGGGCCAGCGTGAGTCAACTGTACGGCCATGGGTTCGACATACTGACGAACGTATTAGGGACGTTTGCTAGCTCGTATGAGCTCAAGAAGCACGCGGGTCCCTCGTCGGAGCTTCGCAGTTGCATCAGTCGCGAGAATGCGTGAGTACAAGGTGGCAGGAACCGGAGTCCATTCACTCACCCGTTTTTTTCCAGCCGACTTGATTCAAGACATGTATCTCCGAGAGCTGAAAGCATACAAACCACCGCCACAAAAAGCCTCCGATGCCGAAGGCCACGTTCAGAAATTTACTCCTCCTTCGACCCCGAAATCTCCGGAAGAAACAAACTTGGCAAGTGAAATGCAAGACTATGAGAGTCAAGTCGTCGAAGTTGAAGGACAAGCCGCAGCTGGTGAGGGCGAAGAAGGAGGAGAGGAGGATTTCTTCGAGGACATTGAGAAAATGGACGAAGACGAAGGCGTACACCATTGATCAACGTCGAAGCGATGATAAATAAAATTGCTTGTACAATCAATTGATGCATGAATGGAAGACCGTTGCCTTTTTGCATCCAATACGATGGCTTATGTGCGTGGCGACCGCAGGAATGTTCACAGCTACCAGCTTCTTCAACTCAGCGCCTTTCTTCCTAGTCCTTGCCAGTGGTAGAACTCTTGCTTTATGGACGTAACCAAGGCAAGAATGGACACAAACGAAAGGCTCAAGCCAAGGTTGAAAGTCATGTCAACAGCATCGACTTAGTTGGCTTTGCAAGCGTGGTATACTTGTACTCATGACTCTGAACCACAATTCACGGTAAGAAGCCAGTGAACTTGTTAAATGTTGACGACGGCTTTCATAAAGCTTTCTCGTGACTCCGAACGGATGCCTTTTCCAGACAAGTTCTAGGAGATATCTGGGAGTATGGGCGTGTCCGGATATGCACGCCCAGGATTAGGCCTACCCTGCATCCCCTGTGGCCTCTTGGAACACGCGTCTTGATGATCAGCCTTCTTCCGGGGTTAATCATTCTGTCAGTCTGTAGATGTGTTGGAGATAACCGCAGTAGTACAAGCATAACAGCCTAGAAGGTGATAGGATCACAATCAACCCTCTACCGGACATGTGGGCTTGTCGTGGCTTGTCTTGTCACACATAACCAAGCGCAGATGGCACATGGACAGCGGGTATGTGCACGCTTAGGGGGACTTGCGCAAGGAATGATGGAATACGAGACATCTTAGATATATTTATGATCTTCCTCACTGTCTTGAAACCATGGCGAATTGTGGGAAGATGGGCCCCTCCTGACTCCTCCGTACTGGCGGATCACTTTAAGCCCATCAAGCCTTTGGATCTTTATCGGTTGCATCCCGGACAGAACTCTTGCTTGGAAGGTGCCGGCGCTTGCTAACCACCGACGTCCCATCAGTCCCCTTCGCCTGCATCTGCAGCCCTTTTGCCCTTTACCTGTTCCATCTTCATTCATTTCCACTATACTCCGTATGCATCTTCACTGACTACTTATCTTCTCGTCGTTCGTTCGTCTTCACCGTCTTTTGTCCTTCGTTGCTTATCCTCTGACCGACCATCTTTGCTGATCTCTAGCCTTATCGTATACCACAATCTCGCCTCTACCTATTCAACGACCCGCTTATTCCGACCGGTCACCGACCTCTTGTCATCACCCTCACGCATGTTATCGCAGTACAGCCTCATGTCTCATGGCGGGACCTAGAGGGAAGAGCAGAGTTTTCTTTTTGGAGTGACGGGTGTCTGTCTTTCTCGGCGCTGTGCGCGAGACCTTATAGCCATGTCTGCTGAAGTCGAAGGGCAACTTCTGCCCGCGGGACCTGTTCACTCTCTCAGCTCTCTACATTCCTCTATTCCTCTATCTTCTTCTGGTTCCTCAAACGAACCTCGTCCGGAAGATCTCCCTCGCTCTGCAAGCTATACGTTGCTTTCCGCTCTGGAAAAGGAGCCTGCAATAGCCACGATCAAACGGACATTCTCGGAGAGTGTGCTCGCACTTCCACCCCAAGTAAAGACCAAAATGAACGACAGTGTCCAACCTCCAAACCGGACCCCGTTTCGTCGTGCCTCGAAGAAGGCGAGGAAGAAGATATCGAGTGGTATCTTTTCCTTTTCGCAGGACGATGACGAAATTCATACAAAAGAAGGCAATGAAACGGAGACTGGCAAGACGGAGCAAACAAAGAGTTTAAGTCGATCAGTCACTGGAACAATACGCACGCTTGCTCGGAAGTCCTGGGCTGGCTCGAGGCCTTCTTCTCCCGCGCCGAAGGACGGTTCTTCAGTGAGAAAGCGAAGTTGGTCACCTAGCAAGATCAAAGACGTTGTTACACCGAACCCGACTGCGGAGCGAAGATCAAAAGCCTCTAGATCTCCTTCACGATCGCCTCAACAAGAAACGGAAGAACCCCCTGCGGCTCAGGTTCAAAGACCGCTCAGTGTTTTGCAGGCCAAAAATAAAAGCGAGATCAGTCTCAAACGCTTATCGAGGAATTCGTCATCCACTTCACTTGCTTCAGACGAAAGATCCAGATCGAGGGTTTCACTGGGGAGAATACCGCCATTACCCAGGAATCCGTCCTCCGATCATTTGTCGGCTCTTCAGCTCGACGTGGTCAAAAAGAAGGACCCATTAGGAACTGCGTTCAGAGCAATCGACAGCGAATTCATTACCTTCCATGCAAAGCCTAGCGTACAGAAGTCCAAGGTCCTCCGGACAATTTTGGTCCCTTTCCTGCAGAAACATGCTCGACATCCTTCAAATGCTACCTTACGAGCGGAGGACCTCGACAGACGGACGGTCGTGTTGAACAAATGGTGGACTGGTCTGCTCGAAATGCTTCATGGAGCAAACAACCACTTGATCTCGCTTGCAGACAGACCCGTGTTTCTTGAAGCGGTCGGCCTGATCATGTCTAGGGCAGAATGGAAGGCGCCCGGCTTCGCCACGATGCCCGGAGAAAGCTCCCAGATCAACTCAATCCCCAAATCCAAGTCGACTAATTCTCTTGAATCAGACGAGTCGGATTTTTTGATCGATACCATCAAGCAGAATGTGCGCAACATGTTCATACAGAATTTGCTCTCTCAGCTGAAACTCGTGGTGGAGAAATTGTCCTGGCGTGCTGCCCCCTCAAGCCTGGTGACCTTTGCCGGCAAGACTTGTTCGTATGCTTTCTTCTACTGCCCAGGGGTGGCAGACATGCTTGTTCGACAATGGAATCTCCCTGGTGGCATCTTGGGGCGAGTTTTCACTGAATTCGACATCCGCTTCGGCGACAAAATGGTGCTGATATCCAATGCAATCATTGGAAACTTTCCCCCACCGGTGCGGACCCTCTCTGTGGTCTCCCAAGGTGCCCTTGCCCGCCACGTCCAGCCGCAACGCCAGCGCCCACTCGGCCTAGAACAACTGGACTGGTGGCATCCGACATGGGTGACTAGGTGGTGCGGACGGGACACTGATCTCTTCTTCGCCTTCACCAAGTTCTACCACCTGCTCGTCTCTGAACTTCTGTCTGAAGAGATGTCTTTGAAAGAGCGTGCTGGGGTACCAGGCCTCGTTCCAGTCTGTGCTCAAATGTTGGTAGTGCTGGAGGCCACTGTTTACCGACAAGCCAACCAGAAGAGATACGACGACAGCGACGCAGAAGGCCCTCGCTTTGACAGGGATCATCCAGACGCCCTAGCACCACTGCCGACGATTGCCAACGCTGACCGTTCGATTGCCGAAAACCGCTTGATCATCTTGTTGAGAGACGTGCTGGGAGACGTGGACCCCGAGCTCACGACATTCCGAAATCTGTTTATCGGCTCATTCGAGGCTGTGGTGAAGGCCACTACCCGGAAGATATCCATGTACAACACTGATCCCTGTTTCGTCATATGTGATCTTATGGAGGAGGTTCTTCCAATTACGTTTCGATACCGCCAGACCTACAACGATACCCCGGTGTTTGACTGGCCTTTTTGGCTCAAGGTCTTGAAGCAGATGATGCAGAGTCAGACCATGCTGACAAAAGTTCGACTAATTGCTTTCTTGTACAACAAATGGAGCATCCTAATTTCTAATGAAGAGCGGAAGCGAGAGCTCGTCTTGGAGTGGCTGTTGGATCAACGAGTCTTCGAAGACAATTTCTGTAATTGGTCACCCATGGTCCGCCATTACTTCTACCGCTTGCTGTGTTGGCGGATCGCCAGAGTCGACGGGTCCGTCACCGACTTGGATATGTAAGTGGATGGGTGGTTGTACCAAGTTGAATGGATTGCTGACCAGCTTCTCAGTGAGGTTCTGCAAACCTTTGCCGCCAGGCTCAACAAGTGCTGGGCACATTACCAGTATCTCTTCGCGGAAGCAGAAATGCGAGGTCTTGCCCTCCCCTCCTCCGAGCCTTGCACTCCAGCACCCGCCCGTCTCCTTCTGATCATTCGTCTTGACAACCAACCACTTTTGGCACCTTCTAGAACGACGTTCGACAGACACGCGGGCCCTGGGTTAATCAATCAAAGTTCACCCTATCAGAATCATTCTTCGGCACTCAACACCATTCCTTCGGCTGATGTCACGCCTCAGGTCAACAAGAAGCGTTGGAGTCTGCTTAAGGGACTTAACATGTTCAACTCGTCGCCAGGAAATCATCGACCAGGGGAAGTAACACCTCCAGGAAGTCCAGATGAGAACGGCTCGAGAACGAGTTACATCCCTGGACCGAACAATGCTATTGCTGTTCCCAAAGTAATGTCGCGGCCCATCACGCCTCCGCACCAAGCTTGTTCGTTCCGATTCGAGCTACAGCCGCATCGCGCACTGCCTCAGCTGGAAGTTCGGAACTGGACGCTTACTGCTCCACGCTTGCCACAGACGGCGCAGAATATCTTGAGAGTGCGAGAGAGCCGCGAGAGCAATGCAAGTGGCGGCAGTAGTGGTAGCGACGCAAGGTTAAGGGCCAAAGCAAAAGAAATCAAGCCGCTGAAACCGAACCAAGATGAGATGAGCAACGCACGGTACAGTGGACGAGCACTGGCCGAGTGGGTGCAAGTGGTGAGTGAATGTCGCAATTTCTATATTCGACGAAGACAAGATGGCGTACCACGAGACAGTCTTGTTGAAATACCGACATTGGGAGTGGAGAATTTCCGGAGTCCAGGTTAGGATCTGTTTTGGGGCACACGAAGATTTCCGGACGGAACTTGGTATAGTTCTGGTCATCGAGTGTTTTGAGCGCTGTCATACATGGGAAGTGTCGACTGAGTAAGTTGGATAAACGACATGAAGACTTGAGGGTTTCTCAATGGCGCTTTGGAAGTGGCTTTGCTGGATTGTACAATGCTTGGATGGCTGAGGATTGGGCTTTGATATACTCTTGATACCACGTGACCGGCAGGTTTCACGTTTTCGAACAAATGAATGCAACGATTGACTCTGTCCGGCTGCTGCGGAGTGCTCTGTCAAAACCCTAGCGACGTGACGAGGTGCACGAGGTAATCAGAACGGCAATGAGGCTTCGAGTCTACTACGTATTGTGATGGGCATCCCGATGGGCGGGCAATCTTCAGCCTCGTCAACCCCACATATGGCACGTGATCCGGGCACTACCGTAGCCATTCGCAGCCTTGCCAAGTATGTGGGCACCTGTGGGTGACTCCGCATCAGGCGTTTGTACCGAGGATGCGGCTGCTACTGACGTCGAAGGCTGCTACTCGTACTCATGTCCCGAGGATGAAGGACTATTGTGTAAAAGGTCCGACGAGCTGTACATAGCTTTCGTCCGGGGCAATCCTCTACTCTCGTGTGAAGCGATCGTTGACAACTATTTCACTATTATTCCCGTCTTTCATTTCTCCTCAGCTAGCAGCCGCGATCTACCATCATCGCACCAGTCCCGTAACCAACCCCAAAACACAACAGTAACTACTGTAACAGAGCTAGAACGTCCCCCGCCGGCGCCATGCCTATCTTCAAGTCCTCACAACCTCCCATTGAGAGTGCGTATTACTCATGGTCTACTTCCATACGGGAGTATACCGTCCCACTACGGGAAGTGATCCTTCCACTGACCTTTTCATGTTGCAGTGCCATGGCATCTCCCCGTGTGGACATGGCTGTTCGATTCCGAGTACAGTCCACTCCGCAACTTCAGGCCCGAAGAGATCAAAGGCTTCACGAACGCCATTACGAAAGAGGTACTCTTTCACCTCGACTTCTCCCTGTTCTCTTGTTCTTCACATCCACTATTACTACTGCTGGCCTTTCTTCTTCAAAACTCCCCTCCTCTTTGCTAGAGCATCCATAACACCGCTGCAAGCTACAAGCTAGGCTGTACAACTGTACAAAATACTAATCCAACCGAGAGAGCAGCATCTTAGCTACACCGACCTGAAAACGCACACCACGCATCTCTCTACCGCCCTGGTGAAAGAGTACGGCCTCCAGCAAGGCCAGACGGTCGCCCTCTTCTCTCCGAACACGGTATGGTACCCGTGCGCCATGTTCGGCACCCTGCGAGCCGGCGGCGTCGTCTCGGGCGCCAGTCCCGCGTACAACGTCGAGGAGATGAGTTACGCCCTGCGCACCGCCGAGGCGAAGTTCCTGTTCACCGTGCCGGGCAGCATGGCCGTCGCCGCCGCCGCCGCCAAGAACGCCGGCATCCCCCAGAGTCACGTCTTCCTTCTGGAGGGCAAGATGGACGGCTTCACCACCATGTCCGAGCTGATCGAAGTAGGTAAATCGTACGGCTCGGCCGGGCAGATCGAGCAGTTCCGCCTGCCCGCTGGTAAGCAGAACAAAGACGTGTGCGGCTTTTTGAGTTTCTCCAGCGGCACCACGGGCCTGCCCAAGGCCGTCATGATCGCGCACGGCAACGTCATTGCGCAGTGTCTGCAGGTTCGGCAGATCTCGCCCGACACCCTGCGCCGGATCCTCGCGGTGCTGCCGCTGTTCCACATTACGGGCTTGGTGCACCAGTTGCATCTCCCCGTGCTGCTGAATGCGAACGTGTACATGCTGCCCGCCTTCAGCATGGACTCGATGCTCGCCACCGTGCAGGAGTACCAGCTCGAGGAGATGCTTCTCGTGCCGCCGATCCTGATCCGCATGGTGCGCGACGAGAAGACCATGGCTAAGTACGACCTCTCCAGCGTCAAGCGCCTCTCGTCAGGCGCGGCTCCTCTGTCCGCCGAGATTCTCGACTTGTTGAAGAAGAAGTTCCCCGGCACCGGGTTCAAGCAGGGCTACGGCATGACCGAGAGCTGTAGTTGCATCACGACGCATCCGCCCGACAAGTACGACTACAAGTATGCGACTCGGGTGGGCACGGTCGTGGCGAGCACCGAGGTCAAGATTGTAGACCCCGAGACGGGCAAGGAGTGCGGATTGAACGAGCCCGGCGAGATTTGGGCGCGCGGGCCGCAGATTGTCATGGGATATTTGAACAACAAGCGCGCGACAGAGGAGACGTTTGATAAGGACGGCTTCTTACACACGGGAGACATCGGCTGCATGGACGAGGAAGGCCTGATCACCATCACCGATCGCCTGAAGGAGATGATCAAGGTCAAGGGCATTGGTGTGGCGCCCGCCGAACTGGAGGACTTGCTCCTCGGACACCCTGATGTCGAGGATGTGGCAGTCCTCGGTATTGCAGATGACTATTCCGGTGAGCGGCCCAAGGCCTATGTCGTGCTGAAGCAGTCGAAACGAGATCAGCCCGAGGCCGTTGGGAAGGCCCTGATCAAGTACGTCCAGGACAAGAAAGTGCGGCATAAGTGGATCACCGAGGTCGAAGTCGTCGATGAGATTCCCAAATCGCCCAGTGGGAAAATTCTGCGGAGAGTTCTGAGGGACATGGGCAAGAGCGGGAAGAAGGGCGTTGTTGTCAAGGATGAGAGAGAAAGGGCGAGGTTGTGAAGAGGAGGAGAAACACTTCGTCGTGAGAGACGTAACCCTGTCCACAGGAATATGCTGCTTCGAGAGTGGTGGGATATGGTAAGACTTGTGGGACAGAGATATTGAAGAGACATTGTCGAGATATAAAGCAAAAAGTCAGGCTGTGAGGTGGGATTCCCTGTGAAGAAAAGAGCCGCTCCAGAGTTGCACATCGAGGTCGAACAACATCCCAATAATGCCGCATTCTAGTCATCGTTTCCAGCAAGATTTGCATCAATGAGGGAGGTGGGGACCGAATGGCTTTTCAGCGGCTTTTGTATTCATTCAAAGAGCAAAACAAAATTCCCAACCACCTCTTGGTAGCTCATCCAGAACCACATATCATGTGTCCACGCCTGCCGTTCTACAAGTGTGATTCGTCCTGCCGACTGTCTCCTCTGTTGGCGTCACAAGCCATCATGAGGCCTCTTGTCCAATTCAATACATTAGCTGCTGTCTGGCCGCCACTTAAGAGCCGCCCTCAGCGCTCTTTCAATTAGTTGCTGGAATTCGTTGCCCGGAAATACGTCCATAGTCTCTTCTGCTGGTCCATCAACTGGAGTTGAAGGAGTTCTTTGAAGAGGTTGAAGAGGTATTGGTCGGTAGAGACTTCTCCGGCACTCGTAGCACTCCAGTACAGCGGATTGGAATGAGTGTACGGTGATCGGGTGACCGTCGGACTCAAAAAAATCACAGGAGCTGAACGTGACATTGGCACATCCGCAGCGCAATATCCTCACGAGTTGCGTGCACATGATGGATAATTTGCTGTGGTGTGGTTGGTGACTGTAGCACGCAGTAACGTTTCTTCTACTTTCGATGTTGGTAGTGGACTTGGTGTATCGTCGCTCTCCAGCAGTTAGTTGTTTAACTGTGCCAACAATTTCGACTGAGAGCCTCAACCTGCAAAGAGACTCCCAGGAGCTGATGCTGTGATAACCGGCTCCCTATTGACCGAACAAAGCGTTGGAGGAATGCCGAATCCGCAGCTGCGCACCTTTTCCCAGTCGATGCACATAGCAAGCGACCCCTGGCCTGGTTATAAAGGTTGGTGTACAACCAACGTTCTCGATCTCGGTGGTAGCCGCGGCTATGCTGATGTCCTTCGTTCCAACTTTCCACGTGTCCGATGGGCGCTCACTTTTGCGACAAAGCGAGGGTTTCGAGAGCTGTAGCAGGCGACGCGGGAGAAAATATCGAAGAGGCTGATATGTCGAATGTATGGTTTTACTCCTGCGGTCGAGAGCCACGGGAGTCGAAGCCTGGAATTTGATATCAATTTTCTCGTGCTCGAGCTTGTGGTTCAAATTGTGGATATTAGTTAAGTCTGTAGCTGAATAGATGAGCGAATGAAGAAATGCAGCATATTCAACGTGATCGGATATGTCTCTGAATTAAAAGGATTTGTTTGCCTGGCACGTATGTTTTGTCGTTCCGAGCGCAGTAGCACCTGCTCACACGAGACATATCGAGTGGCAGGAGGGCGTGCTGTCGGGAAAGAGTGATGATGGCGACTTCAACAGATCAATCTTGGTCGCCGTACTTGCCGTTCCTATGAAACTCCCGGTTTCGAGACGTTACCCATACTGCGTTGCTCGTAGGCGAGTCAATAACAAATTGCGAAGCATATTCGAGCGGGCCCGTTCAGGACGCAGCTCCTGTAGATCGTCCGGCTGGGGAACTACTGATATATCCCGAGAGTGAAAGACTCGGTATTGACCACTGTGCTATCGACTCGGAACATGAATAACCAAGTGTAGTGGGATGCCGAGAGGAGAATCAAATCTTAGAGTCAGATGATGGAGGAGAGGCGGCGTGTCTCCGTCCGGCCTTGCCAAGCACAAGATGCCCTCGTTGCTCATCGACCTCTTATTATTAAAAGACTTTGCAACAGCGCGTCATGGATGCAACGAAGGCATGGCGTTCCCTACTCACCCTACTGTATACAGGGCTGGATCAGAGACGTGACCCTTATCTCCAGTTGCGTAAGTAATGTCTTTGCGAGTACTAGATAGAGTAGACTGCGAAGGCGGCTTTTCACGGTCAGAGGACATGTAGACCTGGAAGATAGGAGATGGTATCGGGGCGTGTTCGAAAAACCAATAAGCATGCTATTCCTGAATGCTCAAAATCATACTTGGTTGTCTATCATACAAACGAAGTTGAAGAGGGTTATTCGTCTTGCTGCACCCTTTCCACAACTGAACAAAGTCACCAAGTCTGCTCCCCTTCCTCTCTCACCCCCAGTTAGGCATTCCGAGGTGAGTGAGTCCTCAGAGCCAACAGTACTGTTTGTCGCTCAACATCACTCCGCTACAAGCTCTCCTACTGTGGAGACGTCGTTCTGCACATTGCCTTTCCCAGTGCTCTTCATGCACTTGTCCGTGTTCATGTCTTGCTGTCGTGAACCATGATGTCAAACAACCGATCGCTTACAGAAGGTACGTGTGGTTGATTTCGCCTAGCCTATGCGTAGTTCGCCTGTGCGCTAGGCATGGTCGCAGTCTCTGGCTTGTGTTCCACAGAAGTTGCAGGGAAGTCGGTCTTCGGAGCCGACGGAAAGTCACCCTCCTGAACTGGGGCTTTGCCAGTGGTTGTGGTAGGGGATGGAATCTTCTGTCTGGCACTTCCGACCATCTCTTGAGCCTTCGCAGTAGCCGTCCCGGTGTATTGCTTCATCGTCTCGAGACCTTTGCTTGTATGCTGCGCAGTCAAATCCTTGATCTGACTGGTTTGATGGCCGATGATGTTTCCGGCGTTCTCGAGCTGAGCGTCGATCATCTCCTTGTTTTCAATGTAGATCAATGGACCGAGGAAAATGACGCAGGTGAAGAGGAGCGACAACCCCCAGAACGGAAGCAGCTTGATCAAGTAGTAGGTCACGAATGCAGACAAGAAGGCCTAACAAGGTCAGTCCGTTGTTGGAAAGTAGAGCAGGTTTCACTCACAGCTGCGGTGACCGGAACGTTCTCTGCAAAGACAATACGTTGGCCCTCAATGACGAAGAAGTTGATGAGATTTTCGAGGTCATCGAGAGAGGATTCGAGAGCTTCCTTGGGGAGCTTGTAGTATCGCCGAGGTCGAACAGTGCCTGCGACACTGGAGCCCATGAGAGCTTTGCTCGAAGCCTCGGCAAGCGTGACAACTGTTGTCCATGTCAATTTATTTCTTTTCCACCCGCAATTGGGGTCCAACATACCACCAAGAGTCATCCAAGTGATCTTCAGCATATAGCGGAGGATGGGGAGGTAGCGGCAAGCGAAGATAAAGGTAACGGCAGCGACAAAGGTGACACCGGTGGCTCGCTTGTTCTTCCACTACGGATTGTCAGTCCTGCTCAAAACTGGGGGCCGTTGATACTCACGCTCAACAAGGTGTAGAAGAAGGAATGATAATCTGCTACAGTGTCAGAATTGCACACAATCTCTCGGATTGGGATTTCCTACGAGTCAATGGAGTGTCATTGGCGGCAGTGTAGGATGGAGGTTGACGAGAACCAGCAAGATCACTGAACTCGGATGCAGTTGCGCCAGCCTCATTCTTGACTGAAGTTGCAACCGGACCTGGGACTGATTTCAGCGTTTGTGTGAATTTTCCCGACTCATTGCTCCTACCATTGACAATATTTTGGGTGATGGGGTGATTTTGCACAGTGTTGACGGCAGCAGCTGCGTCTGCGAGGAATTAGTGCCTGGAGATATGAAGGGAAAATCGAGTCTATATTCATGTTAGCACTGATGCATGATGTGATGATTAAAGCTCCAGGTCATCCACGTACCTTACTGTTGACCATTGTGTCCTTCAGCTGCGTGCCATTTATAGTGGAAGCTGGAGCAGAGGTATCGTTGGTGGTCTGTGACATGTCTGTATGAGACGGAAGATCCGTGGATGCGTTGAAGTCGCCGTGAGACATGGTTGCGTCTGTGGGACAGGAGAGGTATGGCTTTTCCTGGACAGGTGATGTTTAAACGAGCAGCTCCGGTCAATGACAGGAGGTGGTGATTCTGATGAGGACAAGGATCAAAGGTTGGCTAGAGACCAGAAGAACAAACCAAAGGCTGGAGGAAGTGATTGAAGTGAAGGTGGAAAAAGAGAAAGAGGAGGTGTCAAGGTGTTCGAAGGAAATAGTTGTGCAAGGAAACTTGGTGCAGTTTTGGGACGGGGCCATCATGGGCCAAGTTGTGTCTGGCGTTGCGTAGTTGCTGCCTCTGACGCAACCAGCACCTGCACTTGCACTTGCCCACACCCGCCGAGTTACTACTGGTAGGTGACTAGTGGGTGACTGGTCGGTGACTGGGAGGCAGTGGGAGCTGTGATTTCACCCGGAGAAACAGGCTCATCAGGCTGCTTGTGACTGGCTCCGTTTCCTTCGTCACTCCTGCTTTGCCGTTTGCTGCCTCCTTTTCTAGACAATTGGTCGCGTGCACATTCAATCAGAACCGTATCACAGTACGAGTATCTCTTGGTTGTTTATTCAATGGACACTGTGGCATAAATTTATCTTTACCACCGATGGGTCACGCCATCCCAGGAACAATTATTCTGCCTGTTCTTCCGCTCGCAACCGTCAAGTCCCTCTACTACAGTACATTTATTATACGTGTCTCTGGTGGGTGGAACTCTGTTTGGGGCAACCAGAAGATTCTCGCCTCATTGATTCCGATGCCTTTGGATATTGTGGATATGCCATAATTATTTCATCATTGCCAGTCACCCAGTCGAACTCTCGAGCAGGGCATCCGAAGTTCTGACATGTGATAAAGCTTGGCATCAGATCATAACCTCCTCGTGGCTTTTTTATTAAAGGCTCAGGGCTATCCGTGTCCGCCTCTACTTTGCTACAACTGGCACACTGGTCTATCCAACGCCTAGAATATTGAATCCATCGTCGGGTCAGGACCCTCATCACCCGAGACCTCTGCAGCCTCTTCATCCATTGCTTCAGCAATCACTGGGGCTCCGTCATCCTTAGTCCCGGCTTTCTTGTGTGAGACAATCTTCCATCCACTCGGTTCACCTGGATCTTTGACGTATTCAGACATGGGGAACTGTCCAAACAATTAGCAGCTGTCACATTCAACTTCTCCCTGCAACTTACATAGTGCTCGTTCTTTTTCATCGTCACCACCCACGGCACATTGTCAAAGGTCATTGCCCGCAGTCTGAAGTACGTGTTGTCGTCGATCTTGTTCACCTCATTGACGAATGCATCAAGATCTGGAGTCTTCACCCCATTGACATGAGTGATGAAATTGGTTGGAGCGAGTCCATATTGGTATGCTGGGGAGCCTCGACTTCGGGCGCTGACGTAGATTTCGGAATGAAGCTTGCTGATCTGTTGACGCACAGCATGATGCGGCTTTTGCAGGACAGCACCGCAGAAGACCACAGCCCGTGCCGTCTCTAAATCCTCGGTGGGCACAGTTGGCACTCGGAGTTGCACCTCCTTTCCTTTTCGCACCACTAATGCATCAAGCCATTCTTTGTCATACATGATGTCGAAGTCCGAAACTCTTGTGATGAGTTGGCCGTTGAGAGTGAGGATAATGTCTCCTTCTTGAAGCAATTGGCCATCACCAGGGCCATTGGCTGGACCACAGTCTACCTTCCTCACAATGAACAGCTGGTGCCGAGAGGGATTAGCTTTGGCAACCTTCTTGATCCATTCATCAGACACTCCCATGATCCGGCATTGTGCCATCTGTACCACATACGACTCCATGTTAAGGATCCGTAGCTTGGGAATAATTCCAGCTCGAATCTGGTCAATCACCGGGTGGATCATACTGGTAGCCAAACCGAGATGATATTCCGTGTCTCTATGACTGCCCTGGCTTCGCTCGCCCATGTAGGTGAGCCAGAGAGCCTGGACCGCGCCATCTGACCCAATCAGCACTCCAGACGAACATTGAGATGACAAGCCAGTGTCAACAGTGATTGCATCTAGATTGACTGCTCGGTATCTGGGAGCGGCAGCATTTGCTGGAATGCCAACAGCTGTGATGTCGGTTACTGTTGTTTTCGCAACCACTATTCTATGGTTTTGGTTGAATCCAACGAAGATTGTGTCTGCTCCTTGCTTGATCATCTCTGTCGCTAAACGCGCGCTCTGCACGGGTGCTTGCACCAATTCCGGGTCGTACTGGATCACCGTGTAATTGGTAAGCGGGTGAAGGAAGATCACCTTTGCTTCAATCTGAATCGAATCCGCAACGGTAACAGTGATATCGCAGAGATCGTACGGGACGATGGCTCTCGACACGACTACCAAGCCTTTCTCCGCGTCGATCACCAGTCCAAATCCGGTTCTCCGAGCCTGTGGATATCCATCGATTTTGACAGGCATGTAACAGGACACCTTGACAAATGATCGAACAATGTCGGCAGCTGCGGGTAGGTCGTCGAGCTGGACAAAATCGGCTGACTTAGGCTGGGGAGGCAGGGCCGGAATGGGTTTTCCCAAATCTTTGAAGTCCCACAGACCTGTTGTGTCGTTTCGGACAGCTAGCCTCATCCTCTGGTGCCAATGGCGATCGATGTGAATGATACTGGTAGCTCTCGTGTGAAGGTCTCGGATATGGCGATATGAAATGACGATTCGTGACTTGTCGGGGACGTTTCGCATGACTTCGATGAACGTGTCTAGATCTGGCGTTGGCTTTTGGTCTACCGTGTCGATGATCCAGCCAGAAAGGGCGTTGTCCATCTTGAAGGATCCTGCCGCTTCAGCCACATACAAGCCTTTACAGGCAATTGCATACAATCGTGCTTGTTGGTATGATAGATTGTGAAAGCTTCCACCAGCTACGGCGGCAAATCGATCGGGTGTGATCGCATGGAGGTCCCCAACATCGAGCGTTACCTCGTGATCATCTCCTCCACGTTGGAACAAAAGATCAATCTTTGCTCCAACACTAGAGTCCAGAATTGAGTCCAGCTTGACAAACGAGTTCAGAAGTTCGCCATTAACCTTGATCAAGACGTCTCCTTCTTGGATCTTGTTGTCGGCAGGTCCTTCAGGCAGTACAATCTCGGCGACAAGCATACTGTTCTCCTTAGGAAATTCTTTGCGCATCGCCGACTCCCAGTTGGGTGTGAGGCCTAATCTTCTGCAGTCGTCGAATGGTTTAAGCATCCATTGAGTTTGAATGGTTCCTCGGGTGATAGTCAGGCCTTGTTGCAGACACTGTAGTGCCCGCAAAGGTCTGTCAAGTGGGAGGAAATAATCAGTAGCAGCACCGTCAACACGACCACCTGCCTGCAGGGCGACCGCATTGCCGTTTAGATTGACGACAGGGCTACCGGAGCTCCCGCCAGTTGCGGCCGCAGCCGCTTGTATGTAGTTGGTATTGAAATCAGAATAACCTTCACCATATTCGGGAGCATTGCGATCTAATCGGCTGATCACCCCCGACAATATGCTGAGCTTTTCACCGGCGTCATTTCCGACCACTCTGATTTCGACACCGACTTTAGCAGACTCGGGCTGCAGCGTAAGTGCCTGGAGTTGCATATATTTGATGGCCTTGGGGTCGAACTGCAGGATACCGAAATCGTGGACGGGGTCGCGATAGACAGGCCGGACGTCACACTCCTCATGGTTATCAAAGACACAGTAACCCCAGAAGGGGCCGGCGCAGACAACGTGGCGGTTTGTCAAAATGTACCCATTTTCAGCATCCACCACAAACCCAGTAGCCTGACTCGAGGTGGACAGATCGGTATCAAAAGAACAGGTCTGACAGAAATGTATAGAAACCACGCTCTTGATCACCCGTTCTATTGTAGCCTGCCACTCCGGAGAGTCGCCCGCGGCTGAAAGACTGTTGATGATGGGGACAAGATTTGAGGCGGCCTCGATATCGTAGACCGAGCCATTCTGTGGAGTCGCATCTCCCGGCGTTGGAACTCCATTCTCTTGTTTCAACTGCTTTTTAGGTCTCTCGATGGCGGATATTGGACTACTTCTTCGTTTGGGGCGAGCTTCGCCATTGGCCGCCATGGTTGAAGCAGGACGGTGTTTGGCGGCAAAGGGTAGAAAAGCTTGCAGTTGGTGGGCGGATAGAGACGACACCGGACGGATAGACGCAGGCTTGTACGCTAGAAGTGCTGTGGAAAATCGAGGCCGGGTTTGCAAAGAGGACAGTAGAGTCCCTGGAGAGTATGCAAAGGGCCGTTGCGCAGTCAAAGGAGAGGAAGCGGTTTTGAAGAGAGTATTACAATACTGTAAAAAAGATGCCCTGATCTGTTTGGGGCAGATACTGGGTATCATTCAGAATGAAAGCGACAAAGTGAGTGTTGATTAGAAGAATCAACAAAAAAAGCAAGTCATTGACAGTCTCAGGTTCACAAGGCTGCGCTTGTTTGCAGAGCCTGACGCAGGCAATTGGAAGCTTTGGCGGCGACAAATGATACGTCTCTTGGTCTTGGCGAACTTCAATGAACAAACCTGGTAGGTACCGTGGTGCCTTATGTTCAGCCTTGCATACTCCATACTATTGGCACCATTAAATACAATCACCTTGCTTCTAAATAGCACTCAGTAGAAACACGTTATATGACCTGCACCCGCCTTTGCCTCTCCGTCGCTATGCTTGGCTCCACCTCATCCACAATCTTTACTTACCACCCAGCCCATACACATGTGTAACCTATCTCCTGAAGAGTAATAGGATGAGGCCGCCTCTTCATAAATACCACTTATCTCTCTTCTGCAACCCACAGTTTTTGTCTGAGAATACACACAGAGTCCTGGGGCGAAATATCCGTCTGCTTCTCGGGCAATCGGAGGGTCGCATCAGCTCCAGAAACATGCCGCACATGACACCTAACCTTCCATCGGTGTTCTCGAGCAATGACTCCTGGCGCATTGGACTAGGTCTATCGAATTCCTTCCGACTGTGGATGGCTAAATCGGCCTATCAACACGGTTTGAGGGCAGGATCCGATGTCGCCAGAGGCATGACGCCAACTCTCGCTCAAGTCTTGTCTGTTGTCAGTGTGGCAAAGACTGCGGTCCCCATTGGTAAGCATGCGCGCTGGTCTCCTATAATGCACCCTGAAATGGATGGAGGAACTCTTAAATTCAGCCTTGAGCCGACACTGGAGCAGATTGCTGAGGATTGGCGCCCGGGTTCTGATTCTGCTTCTGTGATGCTGCAAGAGCTTTGTTCACCGCAGACTGGCCGGCCTCTGGAAACAGAGAATTTAGCTTCTTATATAGATCATGGACGTGAGGCACCTGCGGCGGTGGCACCATGATTGCGGGCCCACTGGGTATGGCGCCATTGACTTTCTTTTTCGCGTCCGCTATTGCAGCCAAGTAGGATAGGTTTGCCTGTAACCGGCGCATGCAATCTGCATATTCCTGGGACGCTGGTTTCGAAGCACTCGACCCCGGTCCACCCGCAGATTTTGGCCGTTCACCAGGGCTATTGTTCAAGGCATTGGACGGGTCTGTGGCAGATGTAGGAGAGGTCGGTGATTGTTGTCCTTGATTCGCTGTAGTGCCTGCCTTTCCTTGCGCCTGCAATGAGACCACCTCTTGCAACAAATGCGTGTTTATCTCCAGCAAAACGGAAACTCTTGCTCGCTCTCGAGCGGCTGACTGGGGGGAAAGAGACGGCCCTCCTCCTGTCTGTTGTTGCTGTTGTGGCTGTGGCTGTTGCGGCTGTTGTTGTTGCTGATGCTGTGGGGTATTGCGTGCCATTTGCGCCGCCTTTTGCATTTGCGCTTGCTGAGCGAGACTGGCATTCGGTTGCGCTGATAGTCCCATGTTGACCGCCATGTTCATATCAGCCGACGCAGATGTCACTGGTTGCGGTTGAGGAGTCGGGGTTGATCTTTGGGACTGGGAAGGATGGAAAGGTTGGCTTGCTGCTTGAGTCACTGGGACGGGTGACGGTCCATTTGTAGGATAACCTGCTACCGAATCAGCCTGGTTTGGCGCAATGAGCAACAGCGTGGAGCGGTGCTCACGATGATGAGTCTGCTCACCTTGGTATTGAGGGCTATAATTAGACTGGGGAAAGGCACCAATTTGCCCCGGATTCTGCTGGTAGATGGGCTGCTGCGTATGCTGAGGGTGGGATGGTCTCTGCAGGTGGTTTGGTATCATGCCAGGTTGGAATGGAGTCTGGGCATGGTCGAAGGGGGGTCCAGGGGAGGTGGAAAAGGCGCCTCCCGCCTGGGGATTGTTGAAAGCGTAGGATCCTGGGCTCTGAGAACCATACATTGGCAGTGCGGGGTTGTTCATGATGGTCTAGCGAGGCTTGATTGGCGGTTTGAGCTAACAATCGTGAAGCTGAGAGCATGCAATAGCCTCGAAGGAGCCCTGCTGCAAAAGGCGTGCCTGTGCGGTCGATTGTGTTTAGACTGGAGTGAGTGGCACTCTGCAGCTAGCCGGAAGCCAAAACGAAGCCAAACAGACGTGGGTCCGTGAGGAAGAAACGGGTCCGACCAGGATTGAATGCCGCTAGTCGACTATCCTGAAGCGAAAAGGCAGGACAGGGGGGATGGAGGATTGATGACAGGCCGACGACGGATGGGCTGGTTTGAATAGCGTGTGGTAGCTTCATCAAAATTGGACGAGTGGTGGCATCTGTGGGCTGTTTGTGTGATACAACCGGAAAGGCCCGAATAAGACAGCAACTCCATTAAGGAGACTGAACGCACGTCGTTTGATTGGGTTCTACCAACTCATTTTTGTTCCTGTACATTCAACAAAGCCGAAAGGTTGAAAATGGTACTTCAGAGCCATTTATTTGCCCTTTTTTCGCTTCACTTCGTCTATCCACTGCGATGCCAGCGAGACCGGCACCACATATATCCTAACCAGCCCGTCCACGATTTCCGTCTTTCCGTTCGACAGCGCCTCCAGCAGTGTCAATTTCTTGCCGATCTTCATCAGCCCGCCACCGACCGTATCCATGTAACAATCAACCGTGGATTGTTTGTACGCATTTTCCTTGTCCCATGGCAGTGGCAAGATGTAGCTCAAGTGATGGGCGATGGCGTCCTTTTCGGCCCAGGCTTTGATGAAATCCGATTGATTGTGCATCGGATACAGCAGCATTACTGGAAACTCTAGAAGACTCTTTGGCGACAGAGGATCTGGCGACAATCTTATGACTGCATCTTCCAGGTTTGGCGCATGTTTTGATCCTCGAAGTTGTATATTCCTCGCCTTTAGAGCAGCCTCCAGGACCAGCTGTTCTTGCCGCTTCCTCTTCTGCTCGGCTAATCGTCTTCGGTCCTGCTCTTCTTTCACCTTTGCTCGAGCTCTTATCTGGCCTAGCAGTTTCTTCAATGCGGCGTTATCCGGATCGATCTTGATGCCACGCGAAGCCACATCCAGTGCTTCGAGAACCTTGTCCAAGGCGAACAGAGCGGACGCCGACCGAAAATGAGCCTTGATGTTCGAGGGATTGATGCGCAGAGTGGCAGCGCAGTCTAATGTGGTCGATCGATAGTTTTCTGCGTCGTCAGCAAGTATATCCTCAGTCCCACAGCAGGACCTACTCAGTTCGAGATTGCACAGCGCTCGATTGACATATAACTGCTCTTCCAACGTGAGCCGCTGCTTCTCCTCCTCCGCCATGTCTTTGGGCTTGTCCCATTTGTCCTCGCCCTTGGCTGTCAATACTGCAATGCCTTTCGTGTAGAACTCTTTGGCATCGCCCCAATGCTTTTCCGCAACCATTTCGTTACCACGCTCTTTAAAACCTTGGGCGACTTCTGACTTGGTGCCCTCATACTGTAAGGCTTTGATAGCCTCAATCATCACGTTCTCTCCATCTGCGACACTTTGCTCAGCCAAGCGCATGAGCAGTAGTGGAGTCCAGCGTACCGTCGGTAGTCGCTTCGTCAAGACTGTTCATAAAGAGTGGAGTTTTGCTCATGTCCTGCACAATCTCCTCAAAACTCTTGGACGAAAGAAGATTCTCCCCGGGTCCTGAGAGGTGCTGCTCGTAGAGTTCCTCAATCGAGGGCGCACTGGGCGCCTCGTTGAGGTTAAGAGTCTCGTCAAAGTCATCAGGCAGTTCTTCTATGCGCGACATAGTATTCGTGGAATGATCTTGCAATGGTAGGAATTGGAATCGATTGGGTCTACACAATAAGAAGCGCAGGAAGAATTTCGTGATGCGGGGCGAATATTTTTATTCAGAATTCCCCCGCAATCTCCTTCACAGCCTTGCCATACTGTACATGCTTGAATGTGACCAGGTACTCCGTACCAACTATGCGATGATGAGGTCTTTCCCGAGATATTGTAGTCATTTTCTGTGGATGGCGCGCCTGAGGACATAGACAGAAAGATTTGATCAATAACTCCGTGGCAACTCCAGCACCTTCTCGCTAACAAAGTTCAATATCATCTCCCGACTGACTGGTGCAATCCTAGGCACAAAGCATTCCCTCAAATATCTCTCGACATCATATTCCATCGCATAACCCATTCCTCCATGAGTCATGACCGCCCGCTCGCAAGCCTTGAAGGCGGCCTCCGCTGCAATATATTTGGCGCTGTTGCAGGCCACTCCCACTGCATGTGGAGTGATGGATTTGTCCGTCTTGCTTCGGTCATATAGTCGTGCCGCGTGATAAGTAGCCAATTTTGCTGCTTCCAGGTTCATGTATGCATCAGCAAGCGGGTGGGCAATCGCCTGGTTCTTGCCAATTGGCCGACCGAAAACAACCCTATCCTTCGCGTAACGAGACGCCTTCTCCACGGCAGCATACCCAAGGCCAAGAGCCTCTCCAGCAAGCAGACATCTTTCGGCATTCATGCCATGTAGAATGATCTTGAAACCCTGACCTTCTTCTCCAATGAGCGTGTTCGCTGGAATCTCATAGTGATCGAAGAAGACTTCATTTGCATCCACAGCTCGCCCACCCATTTTCTTGATCTTCTTGAGCTCCAGAGCGGGGTTGGACCGGTCAATATCAATGCAGAACATTGACAAACCTTCGCTTGGTTTCTTCACCTCTTCTAAAGGCGTCGTTCTCGCAAGAAGAATCATTTTCGAAGCGACCTGAGCGCAAGTAATCCAGATCTTCTGGCCTATGTCTCCGGGTTAGCTGTGATGCTCGAATCTCAGAGTTTTGCAGCCCTCAGGGGACTTAAGGCTGCTCCGGAGATGCGGGGGACATCCTTCACAGGAGCAACACCGGCCAAGGACAAAGATTACACAGGAGGAAGCCGAGGGACTCACCAGTGATGATATACTTGTCGCCCTTCCTGGTCGCCGTGGTCTTCAGCCTCAAAGTGTCAAGACCAGTGTTGGGCTCGGTAACACCAAAACAGACCCTCCAATTGCCGTTGATGATATTTGGTATGGTTGATTCGAGCTGTTCCTTGTTGCCAAATCTCGCCAGAGGTTGCGTGGCATAGACATTTGCGTGTATTGATTGAGCACCTGCCATGCCAGCGCCAGATTGTGATATCGTCTGCAGCATCATTGTCGCCTCTGAAATGCCTAGGCCAGCCCCGCCAAACTCCTCCGGAAGTGCGATACCAAGCCACCCATCTGCTGCAAGGGCAGCATGCAGTTCCTTAGGATCAGTCTCTGACTGGTCATGTTGTTGCCAGTATTCATTGGGAAACTGAGCACAGATCCTTTGAATGGCATCTCGGACGGTCAACTGCTCTTCTGTAAAGCCACTCATCTCCATGATGCGGCTATTCCTACTAGCTGAGAAATGCCTCTGCCCTTGGTTCCTCGCCAGTCGAGGACACAGCCGAGGTCCAGAGGCGAGGTTGGATGCACATCTTTGGGAGAACTGCGACGCGATGCGCGCAGCGGAATGCTTCGAGGCCATACCGAACGAATAGGTGTCGTTTGCTCGATATCACAATAATTGAGCTCAGTCAAGATGGATGCAAAGCGCAAGATCTCAATGTCATTGTGCAGAAGCACGAGGTAAGAGGCTAATGTATACTTTGGAGAACTCCGAGATCGCAGTACTTCTCCAAGCTTGTTTTAGCGTCTCGGAAATGAATATGCTGATTTCGAGACGCCATCGCAGCGATTCTCGGAAACATTCTGGCTAAATCTCGACGCCAGACCAACCTTGGAATAGCCTCCGATCAATCGCGTCCAATGACGATAGGACGGAGTGTAGCCTCGCCGCTTCTGCAAAGTGCCTGTCGCATCCGTGCGCATCTTACTTACGTACAAGTTAGACCAGGAATCTTTCATGAGTTTGCGGTTACTAATGGACATAAACGCTGGAGAGTAAGAGTTTCGTGGGAATCGGAGTGATGGAGGTCTCCATACTTACACAAGAGCAGTCGCTGGGATGCTCACTCGGAGAAATGAGGCAGCGGTCATTATGCCAAGATACTTGACTAATCACGTGATAACGCTCACCTTCAAACTCACGCTAACTCAAACGGGTAGCGAGTGTTGAGAGATCAAAACAAGGACTGTTTCTTCAATGTTCAGTACATTCAACTCCTCGACACTTCAGCAATGCTAATCTCCCACACAACTGAAATTAGATTGGAGAAGCTTCGATAGCATCCTTGGACATTGGGAATCCGCTTCATCACGCGTTGTTGCGAATCTCACCATGGCTTCCAAGGTTGCCGCCGTCGGGTCTACGGCATGGATCTCCGCAGAGAAGGAAAATGCGGTACAACTACTGCAAACTGAGAAGGAGGAAGTGATATACCCTGCTCAACATCAGCTAGAATGGCTGAACGAGCATATGTGCGAGATCTTTAGTGGAAGTCAACTGTATGCCTCATAACCAATGTGTTTACAATGCAGCTGATCGAAAACAGTGATGTGGCCAATGTCTTCAAAACACCTGGAAAGCTGAAAGGAAAGACTCCTCGCACGGCCAGAAAGCGCAATGCCCAGGATGCACGAATAGTATGTCTATCTCGAGCGTAATTCCTACAACCGCTAACACTTGCATTCAGCCGCTTAGCGACGTCTTCTCGTCGAAACCAATACCGCGACCGAGTCCACCCAAACGAATGAGCCAGAACAGACTCCGCTTCGAGATCGCCACAGACCGTCCTGAACAACATTACCCCGCTGTTGTGAGATCACAAACCGACTCGGGCTATCATGGCTCAAGTCAAGAAGACACAGACTTCGATCAGAAGTCGCAGATGGTCCCAACATCCCCAATCCACAATATACAGAGGTCAGATAACAATGATATTATGGAGGAGCACATGGAAGACGCTGCAGAGACAGAACATAGGACTACCGAAGGTTCATTTCACTCCGCAAAGGAAGATCAGACTACAAGAATGGCGAACGTGGAATGCACAGCGCAAGAGCATCACTCAGAGGATCCACTGATCCTTGATGATGAACGTGATCAGAATGCTGCCTTTCAAGAGCGACAAAGAGATGTCGACCCTGATTTTGATGAAATTGGATCGCCGTCAGATGAATCAACACCGGACCGGCCCTTGGTGAGAAAGAGCAGCTTGACCTTTGCCGCCTTGCCTGCGAGAGAACCTATGAAAACCAGCATTGGAGCCAGAATATCAAGAACAAGTCATGTCGAGCAGTCACGCCAGGTTTCAGCCAGCTCTTCGAGGCAACTTGCAACTTCGAGTCATGCTGAGCAGCCACCTAGTGGAAAGCACATTAAGGATGTAGAGATGAAAGATGTTGATGACGATGACGATGGCGGTGATGAAGATGATGACGAGAATGTGAAGATTTTGAGGACAGACGACTCTGATGAGGACACCCAGACAGCGAAAAACTACTCTAAATCGTCGACGAAAAGGCTGCATGAAAAGATTGACATGCTAGGCCAGGCCCCGGCCCCGAGACCTTCGAAATCGATACCCTCGGCTGCGACACTGGGCGCGATGAGACAGCAGGAAACCTCCGAGCAAGCTGAGGAAACAGCTAGAACATATCAGCGAGGGAACGACGATGACGACGACTGGATCAAGCCATTGACTTCCCCTAACGCAGCCAGATCGTCTCCCGCGAAAAGTATGACTACTAACAATGAATACGAGTCCGACGAAGAGGAGGAGTTTTATATGCGTGCTCCGGAATTGGTCGCTCACGAAGAACGTATGAGAAGTCCTGTGAGAATGTCTCCCAGCCCTGGTAAAATCAGGCCTGGCTATTGTCATACAAAGTCGGCATCAACGGCGACCCTTGCCTCGCCGGCCAAGGCGGCAATGGCACCGCCGCCCAGTCCTGCAAAGTCGATTTCAGTCTCCAATCCTGCACATTCCACGACTACTCCGCAAGGATCACCCAAACGTTACCTTGATTTGAGCGCGTCCAAATCGAAGCTACAGTCAATCATGAAGACGGCGAAGGGGCTCTTTACCACCAGTGCGAGTGTGTCTGCAGCGGCCAAGCTTGAGACTCTTTCTCCCAATTCTATACGAATGGCGGCAAGTGCAATGCCAGGCATGTACCCGAACCTCAACGGTTTCCTCGAGGACAAACCTTTGCCATCAAGTCCTCCTAAGCAGGGAAGGAAGACTCGCAGCTCGACCGAGAGAGAAAAGGAGGAGAAGCGAAAGGAGAAAGAGACGCACCTGAAGCAGCGAATGGACGACCAACTTGAACAAGCGCGCGCGCAAGAGCGCCGGAAGGTTGCAGAACAAAAACAACTGCAACAACAGACAGTGGAGTCCAGTCGAAACGAGCAGTCGAACTACCTGAGCCCGAAGCGTCACCTCGAAGAACAGAATAATCAAGAACCCATCGAGTCAGCACCCCCAACAGGCAAAACGACACGGCCACTACGACCCGGAAGAGAACCGCCTGTCAACAAAGCCAAGCCTGCACCTGTGTCTATCCGGGTTGGCACTTTATCGCAGCGAATACCTGCTGGCTCGTCGCAGGCCCCATCAAATGCACCAGATTCCCTGACCGCCGAGCCTAAGCGGCCTGGCCTGAACAAGAAGGTCAGTAGTGCTTCGCTACAATCTGCCACGTCCACAGCCTTGAAATCATCCGTCCACGGCCAACCACCAAAACCGAGAGCTCTTCTTGCAGCCGAACGTAAGAAGGAGCAGGATGAACGTGAAGCCCAGAGAAAGCTTGAACAAAAACGAGAGATTGAGCGCAAACGAGCTGCTCAACAAGAGGAGGCTCGTAAGCAAGAGCAGAAGCAGCGAGCAGAGGCGGAGAAGCGAGAGCGGGAACGTGTTGCAGCCGAGCAAGCCAAGAGGCAAGCTCAACAGCAAGCCATTGAACGCAAGCGTCAGGAGGCAGCTCGGAAAGCGGAGCAGCAGCGTCTGGAACGTGCTGCAACCGATGCTGTAAGTACTCAAAGATTTGGTGAATCTACGTGCCAACTAACCATGACAGGCTCAAGCGAGACCCCCCTCTCGGCTGGCAGGCCAAAATGCTGCCCGCTCTTTAATCAATCACCCGTTGCCCACCAATCCGGCTAAGCCAGCGAAGCGGCCTCTGGAGGAAGAGGCTGGCCGGCCTCAAGCCTCCAAATATGGAGGTGCTGGCCTAGCCCAAGGTGATTCGAAGCGACGCAAGACTGACGAGGAGAGCAACGTCGAGCCGGCAGCTCGACCAGTCGTGTCCGGGGCTCCCATTCGGCAGTCACACCTGGGAAAGAAAGCGTCGATCTTCAACCACAGCAGCTACACACAGGCACAACCGTCTAGCCACATGGGCCAATTCCCGCAACCCCCGTCTCGTGCAGCTCCGCCACAGATGCAACAATACGCCACGGGCGGGAAGATTCCTTTTGCGGATGGAGCTAACCCACCGCCACCAGCAAAGACACCAGTCTCGATCATGCAGCAGAAGACGATTCAGACGGTCAAGTCCTCACCTCAGTATCCGAACGGAGATGCGATCAATCTACCTGAAATCCCCACCGATTCAGAGGACGAAGACTCTGACGATGAAGGCAACGCATTCCCGATCCCTGACTGGGCGACTCCGGGACATCTCACCGAGCAGCTCATTCGTCAAGAGGGTATGGATGGAGATGCTGTGTTTGGGCCAATAGCACCACTGAAGATGGAGGAGATTTTCTCGAAAGGCAATAAAGACCGATTGAAGCGACTGCGAGACCGCACCAGCAGTGCCAACTGGACACTGAGCGGAGACGGGTTGACACTGGAGGAAGTGAGAGCAGATCGAGAACAGCGAGAACGTATGAGACTGGAAGGTGGCTGGAGATTTGGTCACTGACAAGCCAGCAAGAGGGCCTTTGGTTGAAGAATTTGGAATTGATGTCTAATGAAAAGTGGCATCTTGATTGACACCCGGCTTATGAATGGAGATTCTTGAGAGGAGTCCCGGTGTGATGATGGTGCGTTTTGTATAAGAAGCGTGCATTCTGCTTGTGCAGTGTGATGCTCCAGTGAAGCATCCAATGTCGATCGATTATCTGAGGGTCATGAGGCCCTCTGTGAAAGTTCTGCTATAATCTTTGTGGTCCGACCTCGAGTCAGTGAACCAGCACCCTGGTCGGTGTTTAGATAAAGACATGTTTTGGGAGTACTAGTAGTGCTGCTATCCGATCGGTGAATGACGCCATTGTCGGAGAAGACCTTTTGGCAAAGAAGAAGTCGAAAAATATCAGACCAGGATTGCGTGAGGTCTCTATTTTGATTGTTTCTCTTTTCGAATCAAATAGACAACTCAACCTCTGATCTGGTGTTCAACATCAGAGACTCGTATCAAGATGGCTTCTTCATCTTCTCGATCCTTCCTCCGCTCCTTTACGCCGGTGTTGCGCTCTCAGCTCGTCCCCGCCTCGAAACAGAGAGGCTCGTTGTCTGCACATTTCCGTCGCGGGTATGCCGCGCCTGCAAGAGAACAGCCTCGTCTGCGGTTAGGAGTAACAGCCCCTAACTTTCAAGCAAAGACTACACATGGCGACATGGACTTTCATAAATACATTGACGGGTCATGGGCGATTCTGTTTAGTCATCCTGCAGACTTCACGCCCGTCTGTACGACGGAGCTTGGTGCCTTTGCGCAGATGCGCAATGAGTTCGAGAAAAGAGGAGTAAAGATGATCGGGCTGAGTGCCAATGACCTCAGCAGCCATGATGCATGGATCAAGGATATCAATGACATATCAAACACCAGCCTACAATTCCCCATCATTGCGGACGCGGACAGGGAGGTGGCTTTTCTCTATGATATGGTGGATCAGCAAGACTTGAGCAACATTGATCAGAAGGGCATTGCGTTCACCATCCGGGCCGTTTTCATCATTGATCCGCAAAAGAAGATTCGCTTGGTCATGCTCTATCCTGCATCTGTGGGCCGGAACTCTGCTGAAGTACTTCGGGTCATCGACAGTTTGCAGACTGGTGACAAGAAGGGCGTGACAACTCCCATTGACTGGCAACCCGGCGATGATGTGATAGTTCCCCCGTCCGTGACCACGGAGGATGCGAAGAAGAAGTTCTCTGATGTGAGAGAAGTGCGGCCATATCTCAGGTTTACGAGCGGCAACACGAAATAGACGGTCGTTTTGGGACGAGCAGCCGTTCATAGATAAGAAGCAAGAAAGTGTCCGCCAGCTTGCTGTACATAAAAAAATATAATTCTCAATGGACATGGACTATATAGAAGTAAACTTGACCATGCTGCTGCACGATCTCAACCTGCACAGTCCCTCGTTATTTAATGGCAGTGAGGTGGTGGCCAACTCCGGCCATGGAGCGGGTAGAATTCAATGTATGATGTCGAATCGGAAGAGGAACCTTCTCGCCTTATTTCAGGCTTGTCCCCGAGTATTTAAATTAGCCAGGGTTCTTCTCCAAGTTGATACAACAACCTGTCTGCCTCACTGCGCTACCAGTCTCGTCGTCACTCCTTCGTTCCTTGGGCTTCACTGCTAAGCTGGTATAACCTCTCGCCCTCCCTAAACGCTTCACCTTCTACAACTCCGATCCCACGTCCCGGCCTTGCTCTCACGATTCGCGCCACCACTACAGCGGCGGTTCCTTTCCAACCCACATCGAGACCTGCCCTCTCTACATGTCATAATGGCCTCTTCTTCAGCCGCTGCGACTCTACTGGGTCGACAGTTGAAACAGATGCAATCAGACAAAGACATTCCGGGGATCAGCTGCGGTCTGGCTGATGATAACATATTTGAGTGGGAAGTCATGTTGATGATCAATGATGACTGCAGATACTATGGCGGTAGGGCCTCCTCTATTCGCCATTCCAAGGATGTGCAAATTGACAGAGATTAATAGGTGGTTTCTTCCGCGCCCGACTATCTTTCCCCCAAGACTACCCTCTGATGCCGCCGAAGATGAAATTCGAGACGCCTATATTCCATCCCAACGTCTACCCCTCAGGCGAAGTGTGCATTTCGATCCTCCATCCGCCTGAAGAGGATAAATACGGCTACGAGTCTGCCTCAGAAAGGTGGTCGCCTGTGCAATCGCCGGAGACGATTCTCATTTCTGTAATCAGCATGTTAAGCAGTCCGAACGACGAAAGTCCCGCGAATGTGGATGCGGCGAAGATGTGGAGAGAAGACCCCAAGGCGTTCAGAAGGAAGTGTCAGAGGATTGTAAGGGAGAGCTTGGGTGAGGAATGACAACCTATTGGAAGCAGTTGTCGGCTTGACCTTTGCGTTCGGACTCGGCAGAGACAACCAAGCATGGGCGGGTTGATGTTGCTGCAGTCTCAATGACGGCTTTCCAGCATGGCGTTGGTGTGCATTTGCATCATGGATAGCGAGATGGGTCAAATTGGGATTTCCAGGTTGGAGTTGCAGCATCTCATCATGCATATTTGTACAGAGTTTCTCGGAACAGGCTTCGGATTGGGACTTCAAGTGGAATGCATACTTGACGGGGTGATCTTTTTGCAGACAACGGGTCGTAGCGAGTTCAATCCTGGGATGAATGTTGTTCTCCTCGATTTCGGCGCGACGCGGGCTTGTGGGACGTCTTTTGCTACCCTCGCTCATAGCTCGAGCTGCTCAAAGCTCTCCACAATCTCGAACTCCTCCTTATCGTCTTCAGACAGTGGCGCGTTTCCGGGCCTATTCACGACCACGGCCCGCATACCAGCCACAATCGCCGCACGCACCTCCTTGACATTATCACTGAGGAACAGCACCTCCTTCGGATCCCGCTGCAGCTCTTTGGCTATCTTCTCGTAGCTGCTGACTTCATGCTTGAGACCGGCGTTAGTCGTATCAAACCAGTCTTCAACAATGTCACGCCTGTCGAGGACTGCCTTAGGATCATCGGGAACCGAAGGGTCTTTGATGTGTTGAAAGAGTAGCTTCTGCGCAAACATCGAGCCACTGCTATAGATGGCAATCTCCTTGGTGGATGAGCTAGTAGAAGAGGACCAGATGTCGAAGGCCTTGAGAACGTCAGGGTAGATGGGCGTTGAATATGCGTGGGATTTATAGCCTTCTTCCCAGAGATACCCTGGTTCCGTTCAGTACGAGACTCTTGAGGGTGAGTGCTTCTAGCTGGGCGACACTCTTTGCGAGAGGGGTTCATCTTACCTTGCAAGTTCTTGAGGTAAGCGATCTTGACGTCTCGCTCAGTTAAGTCTTTGACATGGGCTTCAAATGCTTCGGGTGACGAGCGAGCTGTTTCAGGGAAGGCGTCGCGGTAGGATATAAATGTCGGATCATCCCATTTGTTTGCTAGCACGTCTGGCAGTGCTTTGAGAGCGTATGGGAACTACCTTGGCGAGTCAGTCCTGTGGTGGCTCTGGATATAGGTGCCTTGCTGGGGCAGAGACAAGCAGCTCACTACTGCTCTTATGCTTTCATCGCTAGACTCACCAGAGTATCTTTGACAAAAGTAATGGGACATATAGTGCCCTCTGATTTTCGCCTAGTGTCAGCAACTGATCACTCCGGCTACATGGGACACTGTGTTTCACGGCAACACGACCTACCTATATCGAGAAGAATGAGCTTGACATGTTCCAATGGTTGTCTCAGCTTTTTAGTCTGTTCCTTGTTTTGGGCATCCTCCTTCGACTCTGCAAGGTTGTCGGCAGTGTCCTCTGCCTTCACTCGGCTTTTTACCGGACGCTGCTCAGATCCATCAGCAACAGGGCTGCGGGAACGCCTCTTGTTCGAGCGCGTTGAGACCATCGAATGAGACTGGTGATCTAAAGTGAAATGAGAAGAAACTTGCGTGGGTTGAGTTCGATGTCGAACATTCATCCGGCTTCGGAGAAACTTTTGACCAGCTTATATCTGGTTCTACGCTGCGGATTTCAAGTCTCCCATGTCTTAGAACGCTTCATGACTTCAAAAGGCTACCTAGGTACCCAACCACAGCAACACATGCTCTCACTCGTCAACCAACCCCTGGTGACCCGTGACCGGGAGATGCACTACCCTCTACATGGCGAACCATCTGCTCGCTCTTAGAATCTATGGAGAGATCCCAACATCTGATATGCCTCTTTGTCGTACTTTCTTGTCTTTTTCAGACCTGGCCAGCGCCAGAAATTGGAAGGATGGAAGTAGATCCAGACCGTCAAGACAGCGACTGTCAACGGCACGCTGACGATCCAGAAGATCCAAAAGTGTTTTGACAAGGTGAGATCGTTGTGATTATCCCCGCCGAAGTCGAAGAAAGCGCTGCCAAAAATGCTCGCCACCGTGGACACTGGCAGGAAGATGAGTGTTGTCAATGCAATCGTGTGCATTGAGCTGCTCTCAATCTTGATTGTGCTGCTGTCCTTCTGCGCCACTAAGTTGAAGCTCTAATTCCCGCTGTCAGCCCGATATTGGATGGCACTGGCCGTGCATGACTCACAAGGTTGATCACGTTCTGCATTCTTTTCTCCATACTGACTGCTCTCAGACTCACCGATTCGAACAGACTCTCTTGGTGATGCAACGCAGAATTCGTCTTTCGAGCTTCATCCCGCGAGACCATGCAACTATCTGACTGCTCCCGGATCATGTGCGAGACAGTGTGCAAGACGGCATTGGAAGCCTCTTTGATGTGGATGATGTTCTTTGCGACATAGTGGAGATCGACCCAATTCTGGTCGAAGTTCTGCGTCGCTACGGTAGAATGGTGCTCTCGTTAGCAAGGTGGAGATGCCTGGTTGACTTACTCTCTCGAAGTCTCCCACAGACCTATTCAGCGTCCACAATTGCTCGTCAACCTGACGGTGAAGCTCCCCCAGCACGACGGCGAACAGATTGAAAGAGCTTGCCAAAATGGCATTCCAGGCAGCCTGCGGCAACAGCTTCAACCTCTGAATCAACATCGCCGACGTTCCAAAACAGATCAAAATGAGCTTTCCCCGCTGATCTCGGCGCAGAAAATATGCACTTCTCAACCACAAGAAGTTGTCATGCTTAGGCTCAATCGCTTTGCAGAGGAAATGGAACCAAGAGCCTATTCCTCATTAGCATCTATCCAAAGGTCCCTAGAATGCACTTACAGAATTCGCCAGCCTGGCTCTCCTCAAAACCGAATGAATGGGTTACGCTCTGGATCCTCTCGTACAAGAACGTAGTTGGAATCTTGAATTGCTCAAGAAGTGCCATCAGTGTACTTGATGTTCCGGCGGAGGGATAGTCAAGAGGGGCAAACCTGCAATCTAGGTAAGCAATGCAGCTCTTTTGGACTTTGGCTCCTGAGTCCATACAGCACCCTGATAGCAGGAGCGTGGCTTCTATCAAGTCGAGATATTGTGGTACTAGTAAGTTGTGGTGAGTTCAGATCCCCTGTTTGGGGTCAGCGTTTCCGCAGAAGGCATGATGCAAGACATCGAACCTGAACTTGATATGTCAGCCTCCAGGACTCCATCTTGTATTCACGAGCCGATACAGTTGGAGCTCCCGAGTCGTCCACGAGGTCTTTGAATGATCCATATTGGCTTGCATCGTGCATCAAGGACATTTTGGCAGATGTTTTGCGCTCCCAATCGTCGCCGATAGGATGTCCGCTCCAGACGAAGCTCTAGAGAATATCTGTTCAGCCCAACAATCAAGGACTAGATTCAGGGGCGATCAGGCCGAATGGATACGAGCACATTTGCGCCGAAAATAGTAACCCGGGAATGCAGGGGTTGGGCTGCAAAGGAACACGAACAAAGCAACAAGTGAACCTTTCACGGACGGGCAGTGACGGGAGGGGAAAAGGCGGTCTCGTTCGAAAGTGTTTCTCAGTTGAAGTCTAGAGCCAGGCCTTTGCAGTCTGGAGGCGAATACGGACCTCGTGGCTGATCTGATCCCCGCTCATCGGGGCCTGCGTTCACGAGGCAGATTTCAACCGAGTCACCATCGCATTCAAAAGTTCCCATTGAGGAAAGTGCAACTACGGTATTCTTGAAAGTCCAGGATCCATCCTCTACGTTTTTGGCTGGTGCAACCACCTGCAACCTATATGGCTGAAAGGTGAGTAAAAAACTGCTCGCGGCTCACCCCCGATCGGGTAACAGGGTGATGCCGCCCTTGCTCACCCCGGGGTCGCGCGAGCCGGGTGAGCGATCACCCTCTACTCGCGGGTCGTGGGGGCGGAATTTAGATAGGACGCAATAGCTATAGCGCTATAATAGTACGACGCTAATACCTAGTCGATAAATAGTATATCCCTAAACCCTTCGTTTATTAGATATCCTATTTACGTAAAGCTATATAAAAGTAGCGTCGTTCTAGCACCACTACTCGATATCGAATATTTAAGTAGGTTGTTCTACTATACTTAACTCGCCTTGAGTTGTAGATAGAGACCTCGATCTCTCTCTACTTTTATCTATATATAGCTATTTTAAGGCTCTACAATATACTCGTCTCTAATTTTCTAGTCTCGCTTAATATAGGCGGTCATTTTGCACCTAATTCTATTGTTAGGGATAATGCACTATGAAAAAAAGCTCAGAAGATAGCTAAAAAAAATAAAGCTTCTGATACAATAAATAATGCTACACCCATATTTAATCCCTTTTGTACAGCTAAAGTATGATTACCTAAATAAGTCCCTTCTGATATTACATCTCTAAATCATAAAGACATAGATAATATCAATGTTATTAAAGCAACAATTAAATTATTAATACCGTAACTAAAACTTTGGAAAGCTAAAACTGCACTAAGTGTAACAGTTAATAAAGATATACTAGTATTAAGTGGTCAAGGGCTAGGAGAAACTAGATGATAAGTCGATGCACTAAAGCGAGACTGATCGTCGATATCCAAAACGTATGGGTATAATCAAGAACGAAGTTAACTACATAGTAAAGCTATAAAATGACTGTATATATATAGGCGAGAGCGAATGTTGCGAATGTCGCAGCATGACGCAACACAGCAGCATTCGTGTCACGTGATTTGTCTCGTATCTTGGTACGATTCTTCCCTCCACGTGCCCTTGGTTCGGCTGCCTTCCTTGTCTGTTGTCGGGCTGCGGCCAGACGGCCTCCGTTCGTAACATCAATGTCAAGCCTAGACTGTACGATGATGCGAAGGTAGACTTCTAGCAATACAAATGTCTCAGCTTGCCATTAAAAGCTGAAATTGAATTTTAGTTTTAACCAATCGTCGGAGTCCAATGACCGAAGGCGGGTCACTGAAATTGTATAGAACCCATTAAATGTAAAAGTCTCATATACGGCGAGCGGGCGAGAGAATAGGGGACTAGAGCTCTCTAGCTTGGCGGTGCTTAAGTAAGTGGAATTGCTGTCGGAATTTGTGAGGTCATGCAGTTGCCACGGTGAACACGTGGGTCGAAATCCCGTCGCGTCCCAGAATGCCCCCTCAGTCCATGACGTTCAAATTTTCGATCTGACTGGTATTTTCTTACACAAAGCCTCTCTCCGCTACCGATACAGTTATCCTATCTGCCCTAAATTTCACTCGCGATCTATACTACTCCTCTTGTTGTCTTCTCCGCACTACTCTTTGCAAGTTCCTTATCCGTGGATCTGAAGGATAGCAATGGATCCTTCCGCTGCATATATAGGCTGTGGACAACAAGGTTGTTCTGATCAAGATCACGATGGCCACTACGAAAAGAATCAAACCATGATCGAAGATCTTGAAAATTCAATCTGCGAGCGAGACAATCATGGCTGGCGACGAGTTGCACTCAACTTTACACCATCCTGGTTCTCCGTCAACATGGGTACGGGCATCGCTTCGATTTTACTTCACAACCTCCCCTACAACAGTAGATGGCTCTACTGGATTTCCGTCGTGATTTTCTGTCTCAACGTTCTGCTGTTCCTCCTCTTCCTCGCCATCTCCATCGCACGATACACGTTCTTTCGCGGCTTATTTCGATTTATGCTCAACCACCCTGTCCAGTCACTATTTACCGGCACGTTTCCCATGGGTTTAGCAACGATCGTCAACATGGTGGTTTTCGTCTGTGTCCCTGTATGGGGTCACTGGGCTATTATCCTTGCCTGGACACTTTGGTGGATTGATGCAGTGTTGGCTATATCAACCTGCTTTTACCTTCCTTTCGTCATTATGCACAAGCACGAGAACGAGCTATCGAACATGACGGCGGTCTGGCTGCTCCCGATTGTTGCAACGATTGTTGCCGCAGCCACTGGCGGAATTGTCGCGGAGGTCCTCCCGAACCCTCAACATCAGCTATGGACGGTTATTATATCTTATGTCCTCTGGGGTACCGGTTTCCCGTTGGCCATGGTGACTCTGGTCATCTACTTTCATCGACTGACGATTCACAAGCTTCCGCCGCGGGAAGTCGTCGTGTCTGTGTTCTTACCTCTTGGCCCTGTCGGGCAAGGCAGCTTCGCCATTATGCAACTAGGAAAGGTTGCTAAAAAGGTATTCCCAACTACGAGGACACTAGACTCAGCAGCAGGGACAATATGCTATGACGTTGGGGCGGTGGTGGCGATCATTATCTGGGGCTATGGCCTGATCTGGCTTTTCTTCGCACTAGCCAGTATCAGTCGCAACAAATTCCCATTTAACATGGGTTGGTGGGGGTTCACCTTCCCTCTCGGGGTCTACAGTGTCGCAACCACAACGTTGGCCAAGGAGCTGCCTAGTACGTTCTATCGAATTCTCGGCACAATTTTCTCCCTCGCGGTGGTTCTGTTATGGGTCATGGTCTTCGCAATGACTGCGGTGGGAGTGTTCAAAGGCAACATCTTCTACGCGCCGTGTGTACCGGCGTATGAAAGACAAAGGGCCGTTCGGGAAATTGAGCAGCGGAATGCCCAAGAAAGCCCAGATTTAGAATAGCTGTGATGCTAGACTGTTGCCTATATGGTCGAAATCAGGACTTCTGTTTATCCTACAATTCATTTTCACTTAATCTTTCACTAGAATAGGACACCTGGTTTACGAAGGTAAGCACCGCGCCACTATGCCTCATTCTGGGGCTTGGGAATGGATTCTGTTCTTGTGGAATTTCGTCCGCAATCGCTTCCAACTGTCCGCCTCGTCAGGGTACTCCTTGATCCACTCGTCAAGGTCTGCTAGGTGAATCTCTTGACAGCCATGAGCCCGGCCAATGCGTTTGTTCTCGTCTTCAACGTTAGACGTCAGTCTTGAGCCTGGTAGAAGACGAAAATGGCGAGGAGCGCGGCCAATATGTGGTTCGACTAGGCCAAGCCAAACATGACTATAAAGCCAGATATGGCTGAAGTAGTGTGCTCGAGTATGGTTTGTCGGGATATTTCATGCTCACCGTGTAGATATTTCCTCATATTCTCTGAATGCCTCCCTGACTGATGGGGATCAAAATAGTGCAGGACGACGTAGGTGACAGCCACCGAGGGAACCGCGATTTTGAGGATTGCCTTAGTGTTTGCTATTGCGGCCATTTTATGGATGAATAGTCCAGTGTAAGTATAATTAAGGCGGTATCTCTAGGCGCGTACTTTTACTTATAGATGTCGGACTGCTTAAAACGCAGGGAGGAGGCGTAGATAGAGGAAAGTACTTACGTCATCTGCATGACGTCGACACAACAGCTAGCTCCCTCCCCCTCCCCTTCCCTAAACACTCATCAGAAAGGGTTGACCGGGATGAGATCATCTAAGTTTCTATCGGCACGACACGGTTGGCTCTCGGTCCTTTCCAGTCTACCTCGTCCATCGAGCTTCTTCTACCAGAAGGCGCAGAATATCAAGAATGCAGCCTACAAATTTACAGCCAACGCAACGGAAGGTGGGCGTATCATTCCTCCACCTCCCAAGGACGACGATTTGCAGTTGCGAATCGACGCAGGTCGTTATAATCCGGAGACTCATAAACTTAATGTGGTCTTGCAAGTCAATAGAGAAGCAAAAAGTCCAGAATTGAAGGACTGCGCCAAGTAACACACCAGCCATGACAAGCTCGCCACTGCGTCTTTCGACACCAATGCACCAAACCTAAGGGCTGAGTTTGACAGAGTCCTCGAAGATCTGAAAAGACGAGCAGAACATATAAATCTAGTAAAGAAATAGAGATCGACTCTTTATTTTATTTATTTCTAGGCTTTCGTAGAGTCAATAGAGATTATATAATCTAAACTAGATAAGGCTATATACTAGCCTTATCTCGCTATACTTTCCTCTTTCGTAGTTATATAGGTCGCGGCTTATATAGCCGATCCCTTATATAGCTAGATTTATAATACTATACCTAAATTAGTATATTGTATATACTATAGTTATATAGATACTTTGCTCTATTAGAGCTTCGTACTTAATAGAAGTGTATCGCCGGATAAATGTTTCGTTCTTATATAGTATTCTCTATCGTTATATATATATATATATATATATATATACGTAATCGCTAGCGGTATACGTACCGATCTTAATTGGAATTCTTAATTTAGTGTAGATCTATCTATTATCGTAGTACGAGCGAACCGAATAAAGTATCCTAGAAACCTTATTCTAGGGTTTATACGCTATATACTACTTTCTTTATAGCTAAGGGCTATTTTATTGCTTATACGTCTTAAATAGCCGTATCGCGATATATTAATAGTATTTTTAAGCGATTATCTATCTTTAATAGAAGAACTATAAGTTATCGACAATATTATTATTCGATTAGAAGCTAGTATAGTAGCTTATTATTTATATTGCGAATTTAATGCTTATAGCCTCTTTATATACAATCTAAAGTCGTCGACGTAATCGATATATAGGATATCGATATTTTCCCCTTCTCTAATATTTATTAACCGTAGTAGATAGTAATTTCTTAACTATTATAAATATTTTCTTTAGTAACGATTACGATCCTAAACTTCCTTGATTCTCTTAAGCTCTTAAAGCGGGTCGATAGGTTATAACTATAATCGCTAATCGAGAAATATTGCTGGACTTAGTATAGTTAATCTAGGCGATTATAGACTCGCTAAGGATATTAACCCGGACCACCTATATATATTAACTATTGTCGTATATATCGGAAGGTATCAATACCCCCGTAAAGAAGGCGATAATAGTGCCTTTCGGATACGCGATTTAGCCCGCTTCCTTCGCGACGGCTTGTAGACCTCGGTTTTTGCCCTTATATTTATCTCCATAATTCCGGATGCGAGGCTATATATCGTGACGGAGAGCGGTGCAATAGCAATTCGTCTTATGGTATAGGTAGTAGGGGCAATTGCTCTGAAGACACAACTTGCACTCAATCCCACCAGAAAGAGGCAAGGATGTAGGGTCAACCGGCTACGGTGAATCGCTAGGCCAATCTTCTGGTGTGGGCCATTCTGGATACGCATCATTTGTTCGTCTACCGCGATTAGGCAGGTTCTAGGGACAGGAAGCTATCGTAATGACTATCACGAAGCTTCGTAAGTATCGAGCTGCTTGTGGCTATCTGTGCAGCAAACGCTTCAGTGTTTGCCGACGTGACGAAGAGGTCGAGGTCCTAGATTCGCCAAAGGGGCGAAATTGTACATGACTCATCAGAGCTTGGTTTGTACGTCGGAAATCGAGTACATGGACCCTCGGCTCATTGAAAGATTGCCTGCTGCGAGGAAGAGGTATAATTCTGTATGAGGCGAAAGTATTCCGGCCATTTTCTAGAGCCTAGAGCTACTCTGGGGTGGTCGGAATTTCCCCCACATATCGAGAAGTGATCTTCCCACACTTGTCTCTTGGTGAACTTAACTTTCCGGACCAGTACGACGAACTTAAGGCTCCCGGATTAGCCAAGCAAATTGTACCTTGCCAAATGTAGGTAAATTTCTAACTCTCTCAATGCGAAGGGGAATCAAGTTAGAGTCAGGGTGGTTTTTCGAGCTACTGTCGGACACAGAACCATATTAAGATGCGACTGCAGTTTCAAAGGCCCAATAAATGGTACAAGTAATTTTGTTCATGCAGTTCAGCTGCCTGAGGTCTAGCAATTACTTCTAGCTTCTAACTTCTAGCTTCTAGCTTCTAACTTCTAACTTCCACTTTCCACGCCAATCGTTCTGTCGTTGATGACAAGCCAACAATGAGTAATCTACGAGCATCGGTCCAGGTGGGTTCTTGCCGTTTCCCATTTATCTCCACTCCGCCGACAGATGCCGTCTCGGCTTCAGGTAGATGGACGATGACTGTCCAATTACCCGAGGTCATTGGTGCGTACCATCCGCAATACCCAGCGGAGCTTCTGGAAACGCCAACTAGGGCACTTTCGAACGTGTATGGTTCTTGAACGGTGGATGGCCTCAGCTCCAAGCCTGCCGATTTGAACTCGATGCCGAGTAGTTTTGGAATGCCGAGCAGCTGGGAGGCGTGAATGTGGCTGTTTGTGACGGGGAAATCCTCCTGGTTGAAAACCTCAGAATATGACGCTCTTCCTGGACGCTCGTTGAATGCACTGTTGACGCTGTCCAGCGAACTCCAGGTGCCATACCACACGTCAGGGTAGGTAGTAGCGTGCCACGCGAGAGAGTTGCGCTGCCATTCTTCCCAAGCCATGGAGCCGTAGCCGTTTTGGACGAGAGCCCAGATCAAAGTCACGTTCAGAGCTGGCCAAACACCGCCGTTGACGCTCATGCCGAGCGGTCTTTTGCAACCGTTGGTCATGTTCTCCCCGGGGCCATTTTGCTGCATGGCGCCGATGGTTGAGGGCTGACGGAGCATTTTGTCGATCGAGTCAACGAGGATGGGGGCTGTTTGGGCGTCAGTTGCCTCAGCGATGAGGGCCCAGGGTTGAGGCTCGAGCCAGATGTTCTTTTCGCCGAGCCAGCCTGTCGCCGAGCCAAGCCAAGCTCTTTTGAACCATTTCCCGGTCCAAGTCTTAGTTGTAGCTTGGCGATGGTGCTCCGCGTCCCTAAGTGCCGTCGCTGCGAGGTCCGCTGGGATTGTGGTCACCGTAGGCGTTGAAAGTTTGCGTACGTACTCGATCATTCGGGCATAGTGTTTGAACACATACGTTGCCATAGCGGAGTTGGGGACGCTCTCGCCGTCACGGACACATTCGTCGCGGTGTTGCTTGGGAACCCATAGGGCAATTACCGCATCGTTCCAGTCATCTTGGAGTTGGCGGAATAAACCATGTTCACCGGTCCCGATTTTCTTCTGCATGCACTGATAAGCGGACTGGAGGAGGCTGAATACTGTTGCCCGGTTCGGAGTGTCGGAGTACAATGGATACGTAAGAACTGACTCGTCTAGGAAGGCATGGTCGCGAGTAGCGAGGACATATTCGCTGGCGAGCCAGAGGAGGAACAGTGGTATGTCACTCGCGTCATCCATGATGGTGGGCATGGGCATACCGTGACCCACCATGCCGTATGGGATCGAACCGTCTGTTCGCACGGATTTCAACGTATATCGCAAGACCTCTTTGACAATTTGAGGGTCGCTGTACACGAGTGGAAGGACATGTTGTAATGGATCTCGCGCAGACGAATTATTCCCCATGACGTACACGTACTGGGCTCCCTGCGTTAAGATGTGCTCTTGAAAATAGCTATCATACGTGAGCGCACTCCGTAGATAGTAATAATGCCACGCCGTCTCCCTGGCAATCCAAGAGTTTTGGGCGCTGAATTTCATACCAGAAGCATTCCAAAGCTTGCTCGAGTCCTTCCACGTCGTACTTGCAACATGTCTGTATTTTTCGACCAAGGCGGATACCTGTGAGTCGCCCTCACCGTTGCAGTAGCCGTACAGAAAATACAAAGTGCGGCTCTCTGCTGGGCTGAGGGACAATCTGCGTTGAATCAACATGGCGCTAGAAGCACCTGTGTACGACAAGTCGTTGGTAAGTCCGGTTAGGAGACCGCTAGGTTTGCTGACTCCTTGACTGCCAAAAAATTTCTCCCCATTTGTCGACATGACGTCTGATGGGGCATCAAGCGAGACAAGGAACGTTCGCGGCGGGTTGAAGTCATCGAAACCGACATTACCGTCGGCTGGCTCCGAGACAGCGCCTCCAGCAAACATGGTCGGATTCGCAGCCAGGACCGGCTTCAAAGCCTCCCACTGGGCGTTCTCCTCTTCGGAGTCCCCAGTGTACGTTTGTTTGTTCATCAGGCCAGTATTTCTCCCATCGAGCAGGGTGAAGCTATGCTGGAAGCGGTCACTGAACTTGTGTCTCATCTCAACCGCAGATGTCTTGTGCGCCTGAGCAAGCATGTATTGCCGAAAGGAGAATTGGTACTGGTGACAGCCCCAGTATTCGATCCAGCAGAGATCTGACAATGTTTCGGAGGTCTTATTCGTAATCGTCACCTGGGAGAGGACAACTGGGTCATCACCGAAGGGAGTTTGAATAACCTGATCGACAGAAAGTCTTTGACTGTGAATCTTTTTCTGGAAGTAGCCCATACCGAAGACTCGTTCAAATTGCTTTGGGTTTCCATCTGGACTGTAAAAAGTTGAAAGCATCTCCTTGCCATCTGTCAGGTATCCAATGCCGCCGCCGAATTGTGATCGTTCTAAAGAGAAACTGTTGAGGAATTTCGGACCGCCCTCGTCCTGTCGCACTTGGACGTAACCATGATTGGACGCGATAGCTACCAGACGGTCATTTCCAACTTGGTGAATATGCTCTGTCGCACCCAGCAGGCCGCCGGGTGTCACGGGCGTTTCTGCCTTTGGATCGTGTCGCTGGTCAGACGTATAGCGGAACGCAGGATTGTTAAGGTCGTCTACAATCCATTCTCCAAAAGAGCCGGAGCCATAGGCTTTCTTTTCGATGGTATTGGCATCGAGCACGGACAAGTATGATTCGTGGATGCTGCCCATTCTTTTGACCTCTTGTTTTCGGCGTTTCAAGAGGGATGAACGATGGAAAACGATCGAGCGTTCCTTAACCACCGTGAGGGAAAATTGGAGTAGAACCTTTTTGAAAGCAGGTCAGGACCGACAGTTTGAGAAATCCAACAACCATGGTTTCGAAACTCTTCCACGTTCGTGTATGTTTTAGTAGGTCCTCCATTAGTTACCCAATGGTAGCCATTCATGGCCGTATATGTCCCCTGAATTGTTTCTAGGTCCAGGTCGCTACGGCTGGACGCCGCGTTACAGTTTGGTGGCGAGGTGTACAAGGTCCAACCAGCCAATACATGAGCTCCCATAGACGATAGACGAAGCTAGACGCTACACGATACACGACACACGAGACACGAAATTCTGACCAATCAGTGGCCTTCAAGGTCCACTATGTCTTTTTCATTAGCGGACCTACGAAAAGTCAGGCAGAATCGTGACTGTTTCTCGGGAGTCGAGGCACAAATCAACCAGCGGAAAATGGACCACTTCCACTGTCCTGTTTGCCATGTGGCTGTCAGTCCGGAGAGTCTATGCGGGGTCTACGGGGAACATAGTCAATCCTTCTTCCTCAACTACATATACGTCAAGGACGTGGCGAGACGTCCCTCAGTCAACTACCCTCACCTTCAAGTTGGAACTCCCGTCTTCATCAACTACTAGCAGTACTTAGAAGCGCTGGCCTTTTACCCCCGCGAATACGATCCATAATGTTCGGTGAAAGACGAAAGAAAATGGACAAACCTCCTCACTCATCATCTGTTGGTGAAGAACTCGCAAAGGTAGGTTTGTTTGTTCACTTCGCACGGTGCAGTCTCAGACATCACAGCTGATTTGGCCTTCAGGTTCTGCCACAGAGTGACAAGCCGTGGTGGAGGAAAGCATATTTGCTCCGCCTCAACCTCGTCCTTCTGGTACCCCTATTCTCTTCGGCGACTGTGGGCTATGATGGTAAGAAAACTACCTCGGCATCTCGAGATCCTAAACTAACGTCGCCATCTACCCAGGGGCCATGATGAACGCTCAACAGGTCATGCCAACCTGGAAAAATATTTCAACCACCCGGCCGGCGGGCAACTTGGACTCGTGAATGCAATCTTCTTCATCGGGAAAGTCGTCGGGCTTCCGACGGTTTCCCTGCTGTCTGACAAAATCGGGCGTCGTATACCAATACTGATTGGTATCTGCCTCTGTCTTGTTGGGACTGTGATCCAGACAGCTTCCCTTGACTTTGGCATGCTGGTATTCTCTCGCGGCCTGCTTGGATGTGCCACGGCCTTCATGTCGCAACCGAGCCCCCTGCTCATCGCAGAGCTGTCATTTCCCACCCATCGTGGGAAAATCACGGCCATGTATCAGACATTCTTTGTCAGTGGATCCCGTGCTCACCCCATTTGAAACCGCCTAGCTAACAACACATAGTATTTCGGAGCCATTCTTGCTGCATGGACGGGCTATGGAACTGTCAAGCTCGACAATGACTGGGCATGGAGAGCAGCATGTGCGATCCAAGCCTTTTTTCCCTTTCTGCAACTGGCCTTCTGGCCTTTCCTCCCAGAGTCACCCAGGTAATAATTTCACTCAGGGCGTCGAAGAGTGTGATATCTGATGTCTCCGCAGGTGGCTGTTGGCCAACGGCAAAACCGAACATGCCCGTGCAGTCCTTGTGAAACACCATGGGAACGGCGACGAAAACTCCCCACTTGTCGAATTCGAAATCAAGGAGATCCAGCAAACCATCAAAATCGAAAAGGAAATCGCTGCTACGTCTAAATGGAGAGACCTTATCGCCACGCCTGCCAACCGAAGACGGGTTGCTATAGCAATCTCGCTGGGGTTCTTCGCGCAGTGGTGCGGGAATGGCGTTGTGTCCTACTATCTCGCACTTGTATTGAACTCGATCGGCATTACGAACCCTACAGACCAGTCCCTCATCAATGGACTCCTGCAGATGTTTAACTTTGGGGTCTCTGTATTCCTCGGTGCTCTCATGGTCGATCGCATCGGCCGCAGAGTGCTCTTCCTGTGGTCAGCTGCCGGAATGGGCTTCTCTTATATCGTAAGTTGATCAGGATGTGGTAGGCTCTCACATCACTAACCACATCCTCAGGCATGGACGGCTCTTAACGGGACATTTCTCCATTCCCACAAACAGGCAATCGGTATCGCCGTCGTCCCTATGATCTTCGTCTACTACTTCCACTACGACATTGCCTTCACCCCACTGTTGTACAGTTACCCGACGGAAATCTTTCCATACCACATGCGCAGCTGGGGTCTCTGTCTGACTCTATTCTCGAGTTACCTGGCGCTCATCTTCAACCTCTTCGTCAATCCTATTGCAATGCAAGCAATCTCTTGGAAATACTATATTCTTTACTGCTGTGTAAATTTCGTCATCTTCGGCGTCATCTATTTTCTGTACCCAGAGACGAAGGCTCACTCATTGGAAGAGATTGCAGAGGTATTTGAAGGATCGAAGGGTGTAGCTCAGATGGTGCTCACTGCAAACGAAGGAGATGCCAAAGATGCTGAACATGTGGAGACGAGGAACCTGGAGAAGTCGTCTTGTTAAAAACAATTTCTGCCAAACCACGGTATCATGCACGACGCGAATCCAGGGGGAAGCTTTATTGTAATTGAATCAAATACCTAGCATACTTCATATTATGGAAAACCGGCACCCGAACATCTCAAGTGAGAGGTCCATGAAATGCACACGTGCGTCGGATTGCGCCTGCCTTTTAGTCAACTCCTCTAGTAGAATGGCGCTTCGGAATGCATTCTGGGGCCCATGAGGCCGATTTTCAGCGCCTTTGTTGCCATTAGGCAGAGGATCTGCGCCCGATCCGATGTCTCTCAGCTGCCGCACCGCCCACCTCTGCTGATCGGGATGCTTACATTCAGAGCCAAAGAGCATGAGTGACCACATGAAGCCAGGGTGAAGAACTTGTCCGCGACCAGGAGGACTAAAGATTTCATCAGATGGGGGAAGACCTTCGTTCTGGCCATTTTGCTGTCGCATCATCCTCCACATGGTGCTCACCGCTTTGGTGGCGAGCTGTGAGAGGGGCAAATTCCACCAAGCTGTGCGATGGATGTGGATGAAGTGCGACCAGAATGTCACCACGTAGACGCAGAATAGGCTGGCCACAGTCTGTGCCACGTCCCTGGAGACCGTCTGAGAGATTTCCGTCATAGTAAGGTCTAGAACTCGGGGTCGTCGCTCCCACAGGCTCTTGAGCTCGTTTTCGTATTCCTTGCAGGTTGTCACAACCACGTACTCATCCTCGACTGTGTCTCGAGTACGATGGTACCGTTCGAGGGAGGATATACGTCGACAATAACGCTGTGACACGATGTGAAACTCGAGTCCTGGCTGCACAATTGCATTGAAGATATTCATTTTGAGGATACGAGTTAGGGTCGACCTTTTGTTTATGGCGGAGGACGTTCCCGAATTTGATGGTGATATCTGTTCGGGTGGAGGTCGTTCATGGACCCGGTCAGGCTCTTGGGCAGCACCGTCAATGGGCTCGGAATCATTGTCATCCTCGCTCTCGCCTCTTTCGTCCCCCAGCTCGTTTTCGACCTCGAAACGATAATCAAATATCACACCTAGTGACGCAGCCGATAGCAGTGGCCTGCCTCCCATGTACGACGCTTTGGCATCGATAGAATTTAGGCATTTTAGTATCAGTCTCGATTGGGGATACCATTCGCCCTTGCTGGTGATGATAGTTTGGGCAATATCTTGGGGGAAAGTTGCAGAGTCGACGGCTTTCACATCACATACAACCTAGCCGCTGGTCAGTACTGCTGCGGTAGTCGGGTCAGATCAAAGGGTAATTACCTCGAACCACGCCAACAGGAATATCACTGCGAGAAGATCATTCCTGGTTACAGTGCTCAGCTCCGATGATTTCATGTCTTCTCTAAATCCCTGGCACGATATTTGCTGCAACCGCATTGGGCTGAGGCTATGCGTTCTCTGACCCTGTTGTGGGACCGAAGCGGCATTTTGTTCGGCGTACAGCTCTGCCACGGCAAGAAGAGCCCATTCCGCAGCTTCATTTCTTGATGATACGGTGAGTAGATGACTCCGTAGCCTGTGCCAGCCGCCAGGGTCCATTGAAACAAGAGATGCAGGCGGTGATACGCTGTCACGAAAATAGGATAACAGGAATTTTCGCACTCCAGTATTCATTGAGCCTGGGGCCTGGGTGAACGCCATTGCTCGGTCATTTGCAGAATCATGAAAATCATGCTCCAAGTCGTTGTTCTGTTCTTGGGTGGAATGACTTTCGTCGAATGTCTGAGGATCTGCTAGATTCAGGGGATCGTTTGCGTCAATGGTTGAATGGGAGAAGTCTTGTGCAACAACAGCTGGATCTGGCGATGAGAAGGTTGGATAAGAATAGTCCATGTACGGTAACTTGTAGAAGCTGTTGAGCTCCAGAGAATAGAATGAGGACATGTTTCCTTCGGACAACCAATCTCCGTGGCTCCAGATATTATCGGACTGGTACAGATCGCATTGGACTACAGGCTGTGAAGAAGGACCACGGATTGAGGTCGATAAAATATTGGCCCCATGTGCGCTGTGACCGAGTTCGGTAAAATAGGTCTGACGCTGTTCTGTAGGTTGACTCGATCGACCTTCAACAGGGGATTCTAAAGTCTGTGTTTGAGCAGCATCAGCTCCTGGGTCAGGACTCGCCTTTCTGCGGCGAGGAGCTGGAGGTTCATAAACACAGTCATGAGACATGCGCAGGCAGTTGTTACAAGCCGGCCGTGCTTGGTCGCAGCGAATATGCCTTTGCTTGCATCTGGAACAACCCAGACGCGATCGCTGTGTTCCTCGACGGGAAATCTTGTCAACGCGTTCGAATGATTGCATCGTTGAATGTTTTGGGAGACATTCGAACGTCGAAGAAGGTGAGGTCAGGTTTAGGATTAGATCTGAGGCATCCTAGCACTTCCTGGCGTCGGACATGCTTGGCACCGCGGCACTCGGAACGACGGCTCGCTCGCCTCCACACTCTTGGCGAAAGGCACATTTCCCACGTTTTGGCTGATTGTTGATGTTTTCTTGCCGTGTCTGAGCTTGGCACTGGGCTTCGACATCCTTTGGGCTTCTGGCAATGTCAAGCATCTCTCGAGGTCACACACTTACTTATAAGGTTCCGATATTTTTCCGACCTGATGCTCCCATGCGAAAATGCACTTCCGTTCCTACAGTAGACGACTCCATCATCTCGCTCGACAGAATTTTTGTAGGAGAGATGTTCATCCATGTCACGAGGATTGATAGTCAAATTATAACACAATCCCAATGCAAGTAGTCCAGACTGAAATGCTCTTGGGCGCTGTGCCCTTTTGATGAATTCATCTGTTTCGGCTTTACGCATTTCACTGCTGCCACAAAAGATTTTACTGGACTTTGTTATCGTGATGTCCATTGTCTGTCGATATGGCCAGCGTTCTTCGGTATGGTCATGTTGGGTGGACCGTAAACGGTTATAGAGGCTTATCATTGATAAGACGAAATTTCCAATAGCGTAGTGAGCACGGGGTGAGTTTCCGTACGATATAGAAGAATCTCTGTGATCGTACTACAGCGGGAGAACGAAGCTACCGTTTATTGACGGAGTATGCAACCGACCTTAAATAATATCAACGGTTCAGTGGTAAGAAACTATATTTATTGTAATTCTTGTTGTACGATACTTGCCAGGATATAGGAACATAGTTTTATAAGATGCTTTTGAATATATCGAGTGGTCGCCACGAAGCTTCTCTGGAGTAAATCCCCAATCTCATCCTCTAGCCACCTATGCAACGTTTGGAGGTATATTTACGAATCTAAACCCCTCCGAACTGGCTGTAGGCAGCCTACCACCTCGGACATTCACTTGCATAAATTGTTGTAACAACTTTGGCTCTGCAAGGCCCTTGTCTCTGTCCGACCTCCATTTCACAAATTCTTCCTTTTTGGTACCAGATTTGACGTGTTTGTTCTCTTCGCTTTGGGTCTTCACGGTTTTCTATGTCAAATTCACAGTTTGGACAACCCATCGCTCAGCCTTTCAAAAGGTATGAGTCGCGAGTTACTGTACAGTAAGTGTCCTCTGCAGGAGCATTGCATTTGATTGATAGATCAGGAGCTCATTCGTGGTCGTGCAGCCGGCAATGGGGTCTCCCTACGCGCCTAGACCTTCAAGAGGGCCCTGCGCGTCAGTGAAACCTCCATGAATCAATACGACGCGGTTTTTAGGTGTTTCTTGGCCCGATGCTCCTGGTATATCGTAGTCCGGGATTGACGGGATCTGGACAAGCAGAACTTAGATGGCACTTGGGGGCCCCCGTGGTTGATCGGTGGGGACGCAAGCTCGAAGCGAGCACCGCGGTGACGTACTGCCCCTAGTTCCTAGGTCCCGAAAACGAAAAACCACAGCAATCGCAAATACGATCCAAAAGACCATGATGTTTCTTCTAGATCTGCTGCAATACCCGTTTTCGTGTGGAAGGCCCGGCATCGTCCACTGTAGTTTCAGCGTGCCCAGACTGTTACTTGTCTACCCCGATAGCCTGGCTGATACTGGCAGCAGCTCCGACAGCGCATGAAGAATTGATAGTACGGTACTTGCCGGATTCAAATATCCACTTAGGACTCCGTGCGACCCGTGCAATTGATGCAATGAGTGTTGAGCGAGCGTTAACGGCCCGGCTACTGCATAACCTTCAAGTTATTGTAGATCTACAAGAACGTCGTGCACGAATTACGATCCAGTAAACCGCGTCTTTTGTGCGTTTCTCTGACTTTGTAAAACACTCGATTACATCACGTCCACTAAAAAATAGCTATGTTATGACCTCAGAGTATGCGCGCTTTGTGCGTGATCCGCATAATACTTCTAATGGCAAGAATTTGAACCGCAACAAAGCTTTATTAAGATTGTTCGAAGCCCTCTTAGCACAACGAAACTCTTCACTCGCGCATCCTCGCTTATTTGAGGACCTCCAGTGTTGGCTAGTATACCTTGACGTGCTAGCAAGCCCACGGATTTGCCGGCCCTTGAGAGACCATTCCTTTTCTTGCCCAACCTGTCACCATGGCCTCGTCTGAGTTATACCATCAGCCAACGGCGCTTATCGTGATCTCCTCAGTATCAATAGGCCTAGGCGCCATTGCAGCAGCATGGATCTTACTCGACATTATCTGGCGACGAGGCTGGCGGTCGATGATGTATATTATGATTCCGGTATATGTTATCAATGCGCTGTATCTGTGGCCGATCACGCTGTGGGTATATATCAAGTATGGCCGACCTCCACCGCCACAGAAGTATGGCGAGACCGGTACGCAGGAAGTGCATCAACCTCCTACTGCGAATGTTAGTGGAACAGCTGGTGAGGAGACAGCGCGACACATGGATAGGAGGAACATTATCGACGGACTCCCGAATACCGAGGGTGACGGCGAGCAGAATGACCTGGAAACGGGGATTCCTAGAGAGCATGAAGCGAATGAGTACTATCACTCGGCGGAAAACGAAGATTACCAGAAGGAGAGTGCAGGAGACGGAGAGCAGCGCGAACACCTCGAGCACCATCACAAGGATTCCGGGCGTCCAATGTTCGTGACGGTGACTGTGGGAGTCTGTCACTGCGGTGCAGGTTGCGTACTGGGCGATATCGTTGGCGAATGGCTCGTTTACGGTACAAATGCAGCCTTCGGCACCCCTCCTCGTCTCCTTTGGGCTGAAATGCTCGTCGACTTCGGTTTTGCCTTTGCATTCGGCATCATCTTCCAGTATTTCTCTATCGCACCTATGGCAAATGAGTATGGTCCGAAGATTGTCTATCGAGCCCTCAAGGCCGACGCGCTTTCGCTGTTATTCTTCGAGATTGGGTTGTTCGGTTGGATGGCGATCTTCCAGATCGCAATTTTTCAGTGGGGTTTGGAAATGCCGACGGTCACGTATTGGTGGATGATGCAGATTGGTATGTTCTTGGGTCATTGGACGGGCGTACCGATTAATTGGTGGTTGATTAAGACCGGGGTTAAGATGCCCTGTGCTTAGGCTTCTGAGGACCAAATAAATGGATCTCGATGATTTATTGTCTGTTCGAGTCTGAAGAAAACATCATGCCCATGGAGACGGTTTCGAAAGACATGAGTTGATCCTTGGTTGATCAAAAGGATCAAAAGTGGTTTCTTGATGATTGCCACCGTCCTCTCCACCCATAACAAGATAGGGATTTCCTTGATAATGCTTTGGTTGGCGACACCATTTCCAACCTGTACCACTGCCAGAATGAAGTGCTCTTGTCAGAAATATAGCCATCCACGATACAGTGGACCGTTTGCACGTCGTTGTCGGTCTCCTCCTCATTTGCGCCGGAGATCAAATCTTAAGATCCAGTCATAGTTCATCGGTCTGAAAATGTTACTGATTTCAGCGTAGTTCACCCAGGCGACTTCAGGCTCGAAAGGGAAGGTCATCCCTGAACAACGCGTAACACCTAAAGAAATAAGTGGACCGCGCTTTCCCGAATCTGCCATGGTTCCACTAGTCCAACTACGAATCATCAACGACCAGATTTTACTTCGGTATTGCTGATACCGTACTGTGCCGCCACCGTACGGAATATTACACGTCTACAGGCGGACGACGAGCTCCCACCTCCACGTGGTGTCCGCTGGGAACTCTCAGAGAAACAGTCTGGCTGTCTCTGAGTGCCAGGAGGAGCTCAACAACGCGGTGACCCTCTCACGAACAACGCGTCGAAGTCCCGAAAACCACCCTCTGCACCTCCCGAAACACCCAACATCCAGCCCCAGTACGCGGGAAAGGAGTGGTACCTCTTTCATGTACGCCTATAGACGGAAGATGGATTTCGGCACTCCGTCTTCCTACCCGACCACAGTTTACGGCACCGTAGGTTGAAGAGTACACGGCGAAGAGGCGGAGTCAAAGGGAAAGAGATGGTTCACCACACAGAACAATCACACCAGACAGAGAAGAACACACTTCAGGAAATCACCATATCGAATCACACCATTACTACCAACACCACACATAGCTCAGAGCACATCTTCAAGACACGTCACATACTGCCACTTGTACAGCTGGCATATATCGCGTCACACCATTCACGCGAAGGACGCCGTGGCGACGCGTCCGGTTGCTGATGGGATCTCGATTATCGAGAGCCAGCATCCATCCGAGGAACATCAATGAGCACGCCCCGAACACTTCAAGTACCTCCATTACGACGTACACATCGACACTTCATGAAGCGTATCGCAAACAAGCAACTATTGCAAGGGGCAGCCAACCGCACAGACAGCTCAGCGATAAAGATACAGACACATAGATCAAAGAACTAGACGAGGCCCGTAAATCACAACTGGCGGTCACGTCCACGGTACGCGCATACATCTAGCGCAGAAGAGTGAATATTGGTATACAGAAGTAGAGGAGGGCCGGAAAGGGCCTAACAAGACATAGATACGGAACTACCATTATAACGATAAATAGAGGTGCGACTACGTGGAGCAGAAGGGGGAAGCAGTCTGACCAGGAGCGCTTGACAACTGGAAGCGAGACGGGGAAAGCACCTGTATTTATAGTCGTACGCTGCATAGCTGCCATTTTAGGGCGGCTGGGACAGTCTATGAAAAGAAGAATAAGAAAAAAAAAATTACACGTCTACACGTCTTCAATCTATACAGTACCTTCCCTCTCTAATCAAGCTCCACGAATGGTAGGTATGCGCAAGCAACTTCAGTCCGGACGGGCGTCTTTCTCATTGGGATTCGGCTCTCTAGCAATCGCCGTGCCAATATTGCGTTAGCTGGCCAAAAGGTTCGTGGTCCAGACACGATAAATACTCTGTAGACGTGGAAAGAAGTGAGAATTTGAGATCAAAAACATGTCGGATGTTCCTGGACAGTTAATGTTTGGAAAACTTTACCGACACAAATCTCGTTCTTTTCTTCTGTTCTCCATCTATTCTACTTATGCCTTCCCTGTCGCCATTCGCATCCATGAGGAATTGTTGAAATTCCGATAGTCTGCCGCCATGCTCAGAGTGGTATCTTAATCTGTTGAAGTCCACAAACACGCGCATCTCCGTCTTAACTCTCGCCGCTATTCGACGCTCATCCAGACACGGTTGGGGTCAAAGTCGTGTCAACAACAGTTTCTTTGCCTTTAGAGCCGAGTGTGGACTCGTTCTGCAGCCCTTCGATCATTTCGACATAGCTTGAGAGTCGCAAACGCCTCTCATAGAGTATGAGAAGCTCCCTTCGCTTCTTTTCTGCAATCGAATTGTGGCCGGTGACCAAGACTATCATCAGGAAAGACTCGAGGATACTCGGTGGAACGTTACACAGAAGTTGACCCGTCAGACTCCAGTTCATCGCACTCGCGCCTGCAATGAGACCTACCACAGTCAGAAAGCCGGCGACGACGGCGAATTGATGCGAAGTGATTCGGTCCAATGCCTGGGAGACTTGGTGAGTCACGGGGATTTTCTCTTCTGGACCCGTGACGGGAAATGGCAGACCGATGGTTTCAAAAAGGAGGCTGTCCCTCCGGTCCACGACTTGCATTGCGGTGTCTGTATATGATCTCAGGCGAGACTGCATATTGCGCAGCACAAAGCCGTCGAACATGCCGATCAAACCCGCGTAAGTTCCAATAAACAGCCACCAGTTCGAGCTGAATTTTAAAGCCGGGCCGGCTGCCACCCAGGCAGCGAACACCGTGAGGAGGATTGCAATCCCAACCAGGGTACCGACAAAATCAGTATAATAGAAGATGGCACGCTGGATCTTGCGGACCTTCGGGGCAGGAATCACTACCTCAATGTTGCTTTGAACGTCGTGGGTTAAGGATCGGAGTCGTAATTCAAGCGATGAGTCTGCTTGGAAGAGAGAATCGAGGCATTTCTGAGTGTAGACGCTGTGGCGTTCACTAATGTTGGCGATAAATATGAAGGTAAAGACCATCAGCGCGGATGATGCAGAGTTCATGTAAAGCTGCCATGTATCGCTGTAGTCGAAGAGATGGCCGATACCAATCCAGATAAATACCCCAATCCAAAACAACAAGATCGTGACCATGTGGCCTATCGCAAAGGCGACGAAGGTCACGAAGCGTCCCAACCGACCCTCAGACGGCAACTGGCTCGTAACACTGTCATTACCGTAAAATGCTTGATCGAGATGGGAAAGCACTTTAGCTTGCTGTTCTTGAGAAGGTTGATCTTTCAGTTCCGACAGCATTCGCAGAATGCTGTTCGACCGTGACTGCATCTGCGCAGCGACCGCAATGTCTTCGTCGTAAGAGTTCAGCTGCTGGCGGACCAGAAACGAATCGAAAATGTAGCAGATAATTGCCTGAGCATCTGATATGAGGATCTGCCAGGTCTTATTCCTCCCAAATTTGATACCGAGCAGGGCCCAGGTTAAAAGACCTGTTAGTATGGACAAGAACACAAATTGTGAGCCAGAGACTTGGACCACCTTGTCAAGCCATCGATCAAGTTGTCTTTTTTTGGGCTTCTCAATAAACACAGTGATGTTGCGCTCTTCATCCTCTTGTGTCTTATTACCGGCGTGGACAATCTGAGTTGGGGCGACGCCTCGAACCTCTACCTTCTCCCCCGGCTTTCGAAAGAGTTCGAAAATATTCTTCTGAGCGAATGACATGGTGAATATTCTTTCTCTATTTTTCGCCCCACCTTCTTCAAGTTTCTGTACGACGGCGAACTGCCAGTTAGAGATGAAACGGTCACAGGAGACAAAACCACATACTCACATAATCTAGGTCATTAACGCGTGTGGAATTGAAGGAATATATTATCGAAGCAACATGAAATTGTCCCGATCCCAGAATTCTATCCAGGGTCAAGAATATCGGGCAATGCGCTGTAAATCAAGTTTCCGCAATGACGACGGTGTAGTGATTCACCGCCGGCACAAAATAAGAAATAAGAGGCAAACATAAAGTGTTTCATGAATATGTTAAATATAAGACTCTCAGATTTCCGAAGTGACATCCGAAACGACGGAACGTTGTGAAGGAGAATTTTTGGTAACTAGGCGGAGGAGAAACCGACTTTTGTTAAATACCAACTCTGGCCGAAGCTCTCCCGCTTTAGCGTATGAAATGGAGAACGTTGAAGGAGTGGGTTCGCCATTTTCGCCAATGTCGATGTTTGCGTGACCGATTACAAGAGAACTCCATTCCACAGGTAGAGTTAGGCGACGTAGTAAGCACAACCTGATCACACCAGAGCAAGTTCGAACAAAACTCGTACCACTTTCCTGCGGGGACGTTTTCAATCTACCCGATCAGCCTAAAAAGATGAGTGTTGGATGCGACCTGTCACTCGCCTATTCTAAGTGGCTATATCCCAATATCGGCTCCCTACAGGAGTGCGTCAGAGGTTCCCTTTCAACAGACTCACCGCCTCTTCCGTGAGGGATTTTTTGGCCCTTTATCGCTCAACTATCGAAGTGAAAATTAAAAATGATTTTGACATCCAACTCGCACTGAATGGACAGCATCACGATCGAAAAGGACAAGACCCTAGCGCTGGATGCCGTTGCGGCGGTAAAAGAAAAGGGAGGTAGGCTCATCTTTACGAATGCTTCGGCCAAAGACACGAAGGTTGGTGCAGCTGTAGCGATACTAAGTCGTATCAATCGAGGGATATAAACCTAGTAAATAGATATCGAATCAATAAAAGATTAAACGGTCTATACTAACAAATAGATTTCTTCAGATGATCACAGAATGCGCCATCAGAATCCGCTTTAGTTTTGCATGCTTCAAGCTCTGTCGAGTACCCCATAGGTGCTTCACGCTAACAAGGGACGCAGTTGCGGTGGCATCGTTGTCGAAACAAGCTCTGGGATTATTGACAGCATGACCCTTGCAAACCTGCCTTTCCGACTAATGAATCATAGAAGGACGCTGTGGGATGGAGGTGACCCAGGAATGGTCATTCTCTTGCCGGGCTCCAGTCCACAGTTCCCTTCACTGTTGTCTGCTCCTGTCATTGCTTGACTGATAAATCGTGCAAACTCGGTTACACTGCTGGACCCTCGATTGGCCCCGGAAGCCCATGGCAGTGTGAAGATAGAGTTCAAAAGTCTGTCGTGTCGACCTGCGACTAATTAGGGGGCGGTGCGATGGCGCCACATGAGTAGGACATGTCGAGGCAAAAGAGGATCAACCTCAGCCACTGCGCTTATGCTCGCTCAAAGAGATCTGCATGTCAATGCAGAAGAGGAAGCGTCGGGATGACCAGCAGTTTGGCAGAAGGTATACACCATCTTTCGCTGCCCGGGCCTACACGATCGTGGACCTCACTGCTGGATCGATCCAGACGGGGACCCGCAGACAGTACTCGTGACAATGGGAGATGGATCTACTCCTGGACCGACACGGGACCGACAGGTCAAGGCAGCATGCCTGTTCCAGGACTTGGCCGACTCCCAAATTATAAAGGTCGTCCTCCCCTCTCGGCCTGAACGCCCTTGCCTAACAGTTTCATTGCAGTGTTTCTTTTATGTGGGAAGAACTTCCTATTTAGTACATGGGACTCTTAATCAATCTACAATCGGGCCTCGTATCACTACATCCTATGGCTGACCCTTCAAAATCTCGGCCTCATGGCGAGCGCGGGTACATGAAACATACTCAAGCACCCACAACAAAGCTGCGAATCCAGTAGCAGGGCGAGAGAGTTCCATTAATGCCAGTGACTTCCCAATTCGTGGGCGCAACACTCTTTCTCGGATGGTGACCCTACCCTATCCCCGAACCAGGTTCTCTTAAGCTCGATGAGATTACTAACCTTGTGTATGAAGCAGGAGTGTCACCTTCTTTGCACGAAAAGACGCCCGAGGAAAGCGATCGAGGCATTGGCCCATCTCGGCCCAGGCCAAGCGCCAAAGGAAAGGCAAGAGCTGAAAGCAAAAGCGGACACCCACCTCCTACTTTGATAAGAGAATTATAGATGCTCTAAGACCTGACCTGCGGGAGACGAGAGATTCGAACAGGGAGACAAGGGACTCGAACCCGGAAACAAAGTATGTCATTGATGGAAGCACTTACAGCGAACCACGAAGCCCAAATGGAAAATCAGAAAATGAGCATCGCGAGCAGATGGTCGCTATTAATCAAACTATGGCTGATCTGATGTGTAACCTTTGCACCGTACATGGAGACAAGAATGATTGTTTGGATAACCTGCGCACGGAACAAGATCAGAAGGAGGCGAAACAGAAAGCGACTGCAATAGGTACCTAGTCAAAGAATCTAGAAAATCTCGAGAATGCGAAAGGAACGGGACCAAAAAGCATGTGATAGAAAGCAATGAACATAAGGCTCCTTATCATATTACTTGGATGACCTGAAGTCAGTGAGGCAGGCAACAACGGGCCTTGTACGGCGAAGTTGTTACGCGTGGTGTCATCTACCCTCGCTTCATTTTATGGGACCACCCTATATGGGGACGGCAAGTGTGCCGAAGTCACGAAATCCCTTGAATGTCACTGCCTCGATCCACTACTGTTTGATGCGCCTACCAAGGCTGTCACTTCAAAATAGCCTTGAATGACGAGTATGCTTCGTTCCGCATCGATGTTCGCCTTCGAGTGTGCCACCAACTCGAACCCATAAAGAGGCAGAACTTAGAAAGCTAGCCATATTTCAATTTGATATATCTCGATATCCTAAGGAATCTACAGCGAGCCATTCATTGTGGCTTTAGACCTATATCGTTTATCTCTTTCCCTTTCTTGCCTTCTTATTCTTAATACCGTTCTTTCTCTTTCTTTGTCGAGCGATCTTCCTTTTCGTGTTAGTTTTCTCTTCTATACTCTTCTTTTTTATAATTTATCTTATAGTCGATAGTTTAAGATAAAGCGTAATTTTTAGCTAATTAACTCGTAATCGAATATAAGTGCCGCTATTTAGTTAGTTAATATTTCCTTAATACTTAGTCTCTTATTTTTATAGTGTATATCTTAGATTTAGAGTTTAGAGTTTTAGGCTAGGGAGCTTTCTAGATAACTCTTTAGATAGCTCTTTATTACTACTATATTAGTAGCGTTTAGTATTAACTTATATTACTTCGCTTAATTTACCAACGACGTTATTCGCTAAAGATAAGAGTAAGGGCGAGGGCGAGAGCGAAGGGGTATATAGATACGAATTAAATATAATATTATTATTAATATCTTCTAGTACGACAAAATCGATCGCGTCGCTAAGGATTATTTATTAAGATAGGAATAGATTATACTCGAGAATAAGATATAGCTCGTTATTCTCGAGGCTTAATATATAATAGAGAACGAATATAATCGAAAATATAACGAGTAAACTAATTACGAGAGAAAAACTTATTTTTATCTAAGAATAAAATTAACGGGGGGATAGCTAGAGAATTATAGTGTAGTTATTTTAGAGGATAGTATCGCGATAGTTTCTCGATATATATTAATACGCCTTCGAATAACTAGGATAATATCTACTTAAGTAGTTAGTATCGCTCGAGAGTTTACGCTTTTAGCTTAAGCTAGTACTTAACGCCTTTTTATCGAGCTATATATTTTTATCGTAGAAATTAAGGGCTATCGAAATAGTAGAATAAGTATAACTAAATCTATATTTATTCGCGAAATAATATTAAAATACTACTATATCTTTAAGAGATATATTATATAAATAATATATTAAGGGTTAACGACGATAGATAAAATATACGTCGTTAATATAGTATTATAATTTATAATCTCGAGATTAAGGTTTTAATTATTAAAATATAAGTAACTTAAACTTATTAAAATATAATAAATAATAGTCTAGTCGTATTAATGTATAGTAATAGATAACGATTCTATATTATTTAGAGATTAACGCTATAAGATACCCTTAATAGTACGACTTCTACTTCTTTTTAATAATTTAGTCGAAATATTAATAGTAGTAATAGATATTTAATTAAAGGCGATTAAGATAATATACTATTTTCTAATATATATATATATATATATATATATATTTAGATATATTTAGATATATTTAGATATATTTAGATATATTTAGATATATTTAGATATATTAATTACACTAATATTTAAATAAACTATTTTCGTTAATTTATATATCTATATATATATAAACTTACGTAAAAAAGCGCTTATCTATTTATTAAGAACTAATAATACTTAATAAAATAAATTATATTAATAAAGTACGCCTTAAAAAAATAAAAAATAATAAAATTTTATATATATAAAATATAGAGGTTCTATAGAGTCTACTATATCTTAGTTAACTTTAAGATATAATTAATAACTATTTTTTAAGTAAGATAACCTTATTTCGAAATTAATAAATAAAGGCTTTAAACGAAGTTAATTTTCAATTTATTAGATATAGCCTTTTTTCCTTACGTTAAAATTTTTTAATCTTAATATTCTCGAATCTAATACTTCTAGTATTAACGTAGCGCTTAGTTCTTTAACTTTTTAAGATAATTACTTAGACTAACTATATATTTTATTACTACCCTTAGTTTATATAAGTATTTATATCTCTTTCTTAAGCTTCCGAAACTTTAGATCGCGATACATATTATCTTTAAAATATAAAGGAAGCTTATTAAAGAGATTTTTCTCGTAAAAAAATTTTATACTTTAGAAATACTCGATATATTAATAGTCGCTCTTTTTATTTTAAAAAACTATTTAGTTCTTAACGAAGAAACATTTAATTATATAACTTTAATTAAAGATTTATTTATTAATTTATATTAAATATTATAAGCGTTATATAGTAGTATACTATTTTAAGGCGTAAAAAATAAATAAACGTATAATTAACGCTACTAAAGAGATCGATTAAAATCGTTAAAGTTATATAGTTTAGCTACTAACTTATATCGATAAAGCGAAAGTAACTTATTATTTAATCTCTTTATTAAATTATCGTTATATCGTATAGATCGATAAACTATAGAAATAGTTTATATTAATTAAGGTACTCTTAAAAATAATAGTAAATAAACTTTTAGGTATAGAATAGAATCGTTAATTATATCGTTAGTCTTCGTATATTTTCGAAAATTCGATCGTTCTAAAGTTAATTTCTTAAATTTAAGCTTAAGCTTATCCTTATTTAAAAAAAACTTTTATACTTATTTATTAAGAGACTTATATTTAAAGGAAGCGTTATTAGCGATAGTTACAATAAAAAAAATTAATATTATTATAAAATAGTCTTTTATAGTTCTTTATTATTATATTAAAACTAAAAAAAGTTTTATCCTTAACACTTAAAAGAAAATTAGTTAATAAAAAATATAAATAAATAAAAATAATATATACTATATTCTTAAGATTACGATTATTTTTAATTTATTATTAATTAACTTTATAAATTAGTCTTTAGCTATAATTAATTATATATTATAAAATAAATATAATACTTTAATAAAAATAAATAAAAAATTATTTATAATTATACTTTATATTAAAGATTATAAATAAAGAATATATTAAATTAAATATTAGTTTAATAATATATATATAATAAAAATAATCTAAACTTAATATTACTTAAAGATAAAGATAAGATTATTTTACGTTTATAAAGTTAGAAGAATACGATTAAGATCGCGATCAATAAAATTATATTTTTATTAATATTTATTTATAATAATTTCTTTATAAATTAAGGTCTTTCGAATTTATTAAGAATTATATTAATTACTTTATATTATATATTTTAATTTAGAAGATAAATTTAATTCTATTATATATTTCGCTTTATTTATCTTTATTAATATTAATTTCTATAATATAAATAAAGCTAATAAAGAACTACTTAACTATAATATTAATTAAGTTAACGATCGATCTCTTTTTTTCTTATTAAGCTAAAGCTTACTTATAGCGATATAAAATTAAATAAAGTCTTTAACGATCGCGAGATCGAAGATAATTATATTTTACTTTAGATATTAGCGGCGAGCTATCTCTTTATTAAAAAAGAATAAATCTTTTTAGATATATTTTTTATAGTATTAAAATACTATCTAAATATTAAATTAAAATTAAAGCGATAAAGACTATAAAATAATAAATATAAAGAATAAAAGGGTAGCTTTTATAAAATATAGTATTAAAGGGTAATATCTTAGTTTTCTTTATTTTCGCGCTATATTTCTTTTAGCTATAAACTTTATTAGTTTCTTTATATATTTTTCGTTAGTAATTATTAACTTTAGTATAAGTAAGCGATAGTTCGTTTGTCGTAAGCTTTTACTAACTTAATTAATTTATAGTATTTATAAAAGTAATAAAAGTTTATAATTTTATAGTAAAGAACGATTATAATAATAATAATAATAATAATAAAAGAATCGTCGTTCGAGGAAGATTGTATTTCAGCGGAGAAAAAGAAAGAAAGGTTAGTAGCTCGAGAGGATAGAAAGAGAATTTTTTTACTCTATTGCTTAAAAGGGGGGGTCTTTATCCGAATAAAGGAGAGGAACAAAAAATTAGTCGTAAGTCGAAAAGCTCTTACAGAGAGAACGGGCGACGCACTACGAATTTTAGATCCTAGCTAGCGCTATATACGGTGGAGCTAGTTCAGGATAAAGGGTACTTATAAAAGTAAGCGAGGTGAGTGCGAAAGGTGAGAGGGGGGTGAGTGGTTATAAAAGCGGCACGCTCGGGGTGAGTTGTACGTGAGCTCCGAGCAGTTTTTACTTATCTTTGCTCGCCAAGTGTCTCATTTTATGTAGGGCGTCGGTAGCCTTGTCGATAGCCAATCGTTCCATATCCGAAGTTCGATGGCAGCCCTATCAATAACCTCAGCCTGATGGCGAAGCAGGGCCTCGAAAAGACTATTGCTTTGAGCTGAACCGACGTGAGAAACAAACCGCCCCTGAAATACGCGCGCCGTGTGACAGCAGCTGGTCAGGAGTTCAGACTTGGATGTTGGTGAACAGATAGAAATGCCCGGTCGACCCCTTTCCTGAGGGTCAATCCAACTTCCGAAGAGTTTTCCTACTTCCAGGCACTCAAGGATAAAAGCAAGGTACGATATAGTCTCGAGAAAATGGTAAGTACCCAAATCAAGCTATGCAGTCTTTGAGCGATGGGCTGATGCTGGCTTCAGGCTCAACCTGGAAGACATGGAGGCGCTCGCCTGCCGGCTGGAGCATCAGCTACGACACATGATCAATCCTTCCACACCCAGGTATGGATATGATCTTTGTTTCAGGACTGTTGAGTTGGTGACAGTCTTCAGGCCCAGCATCACACTCCTCCAGCCATAGTTCATTCTGCAACTCCATCAATGAACCAATGCCATGGTGGGAACAGGCTTCCGTCAGGATCCATTGCAACTTTGGGATCCGTCACGACCGCGGCAGCCAACACCAACAGTCAAGTAAATGCCTTACCAATGACTTGAGGATGGCGCTTACATACCCTAGACACGAGCTGGCAGAGTGGTGACTCCACGAGACGTGCCCTACAGTGAGAACGTCATGCCCAAAACGCAATCATGCCGAGGGCATATGAAAAATCTGCCTGGCAGGACCACGGTGATTTCATAGCTGCAGCACCACCTGTGGACTATCCGACAGCCGGAGCCGGGGTAGGCACGATGTTCGTCAGTGACAAGAACCAAGCTCAGCAGCCCAGGCATTCTATCATGATCCTCCTCTTCCAATGCCTCCGCATCTTCCAGCGACGGACGAAAAAGCATTCGGCCATGCAGGGTCCAACAAGGTAGACATCACTTGCGTTGAACAAAAAGTTTTGACTGACTCTTCCCAGACGTCGATGAGCGCCGTCTCAATTACTGAGATTGGGCGCGATGACGGACCGGCCAGCGTGCCAGCAACCGCACAATCTCAGGTCGCCTTGAAGGAGCTTTACACCTCAAGCCACCATGCTCCAGTTCCTGTAAGTCTCCACCACTTGTCATTGACCCTGCCGCTAAGCATAAGCAGACACAACGCCGTATGCACCAAAAGGGCTATCGCAACCTCTTTTCGGAAAGAACCGCGTTCCGATGGAAGGCAAATTCGCATTGGAATCCAGATTCATCTCATGCTCATCAGAAGCCTGGTTATATCAAAGGGTCGGGGCAAATACACCGACACCGAGACGCAAAGGCGTCGAAGATGATCGATTCATCGCACCCGACAGCCATCTCGAAAGGATGATGGTTCAAAGCACAGATGAGATTTACGAAGGCCCAAGGAACTCGACGTGGAGACGAACATTCGTGCGCAACAAAGCGCCAAACGCTATACGCGTGGCCAACTGGCCTATGAACACTGCTCCGCTGGACGCCGAGCATTGGTCACAACACGATTGGATGCTAATCGTTCTCAAATGGCCTGTTTCTTGTATCGTCCTCTCTGCCATGGTAAGCCAACCAGCATGCTCAACCTTGGTGTCATGACTGACGCAGTCCAGCTATTGAAAGTTGGGAAAATGTACGGCGGCGCCTCTCGGCTCGCTCACTATGCCCCTTTCCCGTACAGATACTGGGGCTATCCGAAAGTTGCGCGAAACATGCTCGAAAATGTCCCTGCTAGGATTGAGACAAACGAGGAAGTGGACGGTGCACATCCCGTTTCCGAACGCCCTTTGTATCCAAGCCGGCCGTGCTTTGTCGATGGCGGCAAGGACAAGGCCGGCCGCACCCACCTGTACGAGGTCAGTCTGTGGCTGGAGCAGCACAACATGGCCGACCATGACATGAAGTTCATTTTCGTGGCTTATACCTCGACGCAATTCACCGATAGCGACGAGGACATTGAGCCCTTACACGCCATTGCTCGAGAAGCCGCGACTAAGCTCAAGTGTCCAGCCTGCTGGGCCGGGTCAGCTTGCATGTCCGAAGGCGAGAAGCAGCTCGAGCAGGACGTCTACCGCATCAGTGATGTTATCCGAGCAGCTCACTCTGTCGTCATCGCCATCAAGCCCCAGCCCGGCAGGAAGGGTAACTGTCCTACAAATGAGTTGCTCAAGGACCGGGGAACGCGCATGTGGACTCTGCCAAGAGGCGCTCCTAGCTCCGAAGGACCATCCTATCCGCATATACAACGTTCCCAGCGGTCGAGTGCAATTCGTCAAAGAGCTGCCTAAGAAGGATCTTGCCGCTCTTGTCTGGCCAGAGGACATTGGTCTCACAAGACAGCTCGTCGACCATTATGAAGGCAACCTGACATTGAGCCGGCTTGAGCTTGTCATTTTGGCCTTGAGGTGCCTCAGTCGACGGAAAACGTCCCCTTACCTCAAAGGCGACCTTGCATATGTCCTCATGGGTCTGCTCCAACGCTGACCAACCGTGGACCATACAGACTCCGAGTTTCAGGCGTTTGCAAGATTGTCCCTGGCGAACGACAGTGACACTTTGCTCGAGCGTCTACTGTGTGTTCTACCCAGATCGCACAATCAGCCATGGTACCATACTGCCGACATGTTTGGCGTGAATCTGTGAGACATCCAGCCCACCTGCCAGGTTGCTGGAGTCTGTGAAGATGATACCGTCCTCCTTGATGGTTGTTTTGGCGCTTCGAACCGATGGGAGTCTTTCGTCGCCGTGGCTCACGATACTCAAGTTTCGTGGAAAAGATCGATCGTCAAGCTCTGGATTCGGATTGCGCCGATCCTGCTTGTTTTGGCGGCTCTTCCAAGTACTGTCATCACGACAGGATCACGGGTGGCTTTGCTGCTCTTCAGCCTGCCCATCTTCGTCATCTCGCCATGGCTCGTCCGCATCCTGTATGGGGGCAAACCATGGAACATTGCTCCTCATTTTCTCGGCTTCGAAGGGTACCTGGACATCGTTACGATCGAGACCAATATCTATGGTCACTACAGCGGCCGATCGTCCTGGAGTCCAGCTGGCAGCAATTTGAGCCGCCACCAGATGATTGAGTTCGGCGAATGCATCGGCGAAGATCCTACCAGCGATGGTCTCGTTGCTGACATGGTGAAGCAAGCCAAGTACAGCAACTATGGTGAGCAGAAGGTGTTCACGCTGGTTGATACACTAAACGGGTCGGTGACCTTGTTCACGGCCACAAGACCACCAGTTGCTGCTCTGCTCTGCGGCCAGGAAGGAGGAATGCAGCGTGCAGTGATGGTCTCTTTGGATTGGAAGACCTCGACGCCCTACCGCGAGACGGTCTTGCGGATGCCGACGACTGTCTTGGAGAGGACGTGGCGTATGGACAGGGCCAGAGTTGGGCTGAAGAGGCCTTTGGAGCGGACGGTTTTGGTTCAGAGTGCGTAAGGCTGGGTTGATTGCAAGTCTTCGGCTGTGTGCGGCTTCTGTGGTGATATGCACGATAGTGACGGGTTTCTTATTCTTTTTTGTTCTCTTGCATGTCTTCGACCCCTGCGATCCAGCTTTTCAAGGCGTTATGAGGCGGGCTAGCTTGGGATATTAATGGCCAATGGCCACTTACCGGTGTGAAGGAGGGGCGATCGCATGCATGCTAATCCCAACGAGAGAGGTTTTGACTCATTCCAGCCTAGACATTCAGATGTTTAGACGTTCATATACTACGAAGTACTCTTCGCTTCCCGACCCCCAGAGAGATCTTCGTATCGGTCAGCAGGCCTTTTTTCTCTTGAAGCAAGCGACGCCCTCAATCATGAAAGGACGTCTCTCTAGGAGGTATTGGTATGTTTGAATTTTGGCGGTAGCCTTTCGGAATGCGGACTGCTATTTCCGGTTTCAGGACACATTTGATACTGACGAATAAGAGCCGCATGATCGGACTGGGATTGATGGGCCTGGGCTCCAAAGATTGCCCTACATGGTGCGTCTACGGATGTCAGCAGGGTTGGTTCTGGCAGTCAAAATGCCAGCATTCTTCTGTGGTAGCTGCAGGTGGAAGGTACACCCGCCAGTACCATTGTAAGTCACTGAGTGGTGCCGGAGCCACTGCAGGCGATCAGGCGGTCAGGCTCAACCGAATTCGTTCACGCGTACAGCCCGGAGCTGTGGCATCCCCGGACGGATGCTGAGCGGCTGAAGCTCTTGGTCGTACTTGGAAACTTGGCACCTTCGAAAGCGTATAGTCAAGGGGACAAAGCGAGGAGGTTGGACTATGAATAAAATGCCCCTTCATAAGGAAGGGCAAGAATAGGCCTGCCGATGTGTGCTGAACGAGGGTAAAAACCGAAAGATAGGAGGCTTCTGCCTCATGCGGCCGTGAACCTGGACATACCTCTTCGAAACTTTGGGACACATCGTAGCAGTAAGGCTGATTCCATCAAATTGTAACAACACGCGTAGCCTTACCGCAAGTTGCACCTAGCAGAACAGCCAAATATAGGATAATCATGGCATCATCCAGAGCACCGTGTACCTGCAAGATCACGCTTTCCTCGCATATCGAGACAGCCGCTGAGTCCAACCCCGGACGACGATCAGCTCCACGCTCTCAGCAAGCATACATCATGTAGTATAGACGTGGCAGCCTCTGGAGAACACACATGTTCCATCTCTATCGACGATAGAGTCAGTAATGCGAGCGGTGGTCGCTATACCCCTTTGAAACCACCCTGCCGGAGGCACTCCCACGGGCTCCACCGCCAGAGCCACCACCTTTCTCCAATTGTCGGAGCTTGTCAATGTTTTTCTGGCTCTCTTTGTCTTTGCTATCCTGGCGCTCCTTGTCTTTCGCTTTATGCTTGTCATTGGAACTCTGGTCTCGATCTGCGTGTGAAGCATATAGTCAGCAGCTTGTTTCGCAGAACGCTGTACCCAATATCAGCGCAACATCCTTGTCTGTCAGGCCTGCACAAAGCAGTATGAGAGATAGTGCTACTCGTTGACTCAAAAGTGGGGACAATAAAGCGAGGAGTAGGCGTGAAGGCAACAACAGTTGAGCCTACCTTTATCCCGAGGGTCGTCCTCCAAGATGTAACCATCCGACGCACGGCTGCTTTGCGGCTTCACGCAGGATGTATTCGCCTGTAGCAGAGCATCCAGGCCAGCTCGCAAACTGCCAGTGACATAGAAAGTTTCCGGGTAAGATCTGACTGCCTTTTGCAATGACCATCTTCCTGTCACTGTGCCCGTCAAAATATAGTTGCGTCCAGTCTGGTCCGTTGCCGTTTCATGAGGGGTCAAAGGTCTTATGAGGTTGCTGTGAGCCTCGAGGCTCCTGGCCGTGATCAGGCTGTGTTCCAGAGCTGTGTCACGTACTGTGCGAGGGAGATCGATAGTTATGACTTGCGGTCCATTGGGTCTGAAAGAGACGTGGTGTTCGACTTCCGGATCCTATCCATAAAGCAACTGTTAGACCATGTCTGTGACAAGAGGCCGCCGTCGACTGAAGATGAGCAGCTTACCATTGAAATGTATGGCGGATCAGCAAATGCTATGTTCGGCCGGCCCTGATGATTCTCCGAAAGATCATCTACCAAAGTGTCTTCTTTCGCGGTTGGGGAGGGATATAGGTAGGAAAGTAAATAGCTCAAAATTCCCATTGCAAAACATTAGCGACCTGGAGGAGAACTTGAGGAATAGGGAGTCGGCACGATCTGGGGCATGGTAAGTAGTCCAGTCCATGAGGCTGAGAATAACAGGTGCCCAAGCTGCTGATGACCTCCAAGTGAACGCATCTGCGGCGGGGTTCAGGATGGGAAACGCCTGGCCATCTTGTGAATGATATCCCTGCGACATTCCTCATTTGTGGCACCTTGACAGGAAAAGCCACAAGTAAGGAGGTCTGTCGGCTGCCGCTCTCGAAGAGGCGTGTTGTTGAGAGGCAGGTAGATGGCAGGAGCCGAGCACCTCCCCTGCAACAGATATGAGTCTGTAGCGGCATTGGGTCGACAATGTGCATTCTCAAGACTCAGTCCTTTCAATCAGGCTGGTGTGGCTGGTCTAACAGGGATAGGAAAGGTTACACAAAGAGTGGGCGGTACCCTTGTGTACTGGAATGTTGAGCGGCAGCCATTTTTGTCATGCTCAAGTGACCCATCCTAAGTTGGAAGCTGGACAAAGGCAGTCGTTTCCATCAGCACACCGAGAGCACTGCAGCCTGTCACACCTGTGCATTATAACCGGGGTGTGAGATTGCCCGGGTGGAATTGCCCGCCCATCTAGAACGACAATTTTCGGTTGTACGGGATCATGCAGTCAGTACGGAGTAGTTAATCAAGAACCTCGAAGCATGCCTGTTTCATTCGACAGCCTACTGGTCACAGCCGCACCAAACCCATGACGCCTTCGCATTTATCTAGCTCAATAAGATAAGAAAGACCGCCTGGTAAGCAGTAACAGGCAGCGCCATCGTGTTCTCATGAATTCGTACAAATCTATGTCGTTAACCATTGTGCAGGCTTTCCAAGCATCTACCCAATCGCGCGCCTTATCACCGTGCTCATAGTAGGTAATAGGATCTTCCAAGGGTTGGTGATCAACCGAACAATTTATGCAAAAAACCAAACATTCGGGATCTTGTCAAAGTCTCGAGCAATGCCACCCGTGCATTTCGAGATCCAATTCCGTCCAAGTAAGAAATCGAAGCCTGGTTCGCCTTCGTCCAAGACCAAGAATTTTGTCCAGTACACTCGACTGGGATTCTTCCGGAGGTTGAATCTCAACATTATAACGCCGGTAGTGGTGAGTATCTCGTTCTTGACGGTTTTGATCTGGTGGGTTTCGCTGTACATGTTATCCTGGGCCCCGATCTCCTTTATCACTTTCCGCGAGGTAACGCAGCAGCCTGAACCCGAGTCGATCAAAGCCAGACAATGCTGAGTCTTGAGGCCTTCTGGGTCGTTCGCATGGTGGATCTGCATGGCTGTTGCCCAATTCTGTCTCTGGTTTTCGTCTTCCGACTCCACGACGACATCATCCTCGCCGGCGTAGTCGATTAGTCCGCCTGAGGTGGCGCCAGGACGCTTGCTATCCATGTCCACAGTGACGGAGCCTGCGTTTGGCCCAGGCATATCCGTGCTCGACGGCTCAATGCGAACGGTCCCCACCTCACCCACAGTCCCAATTGGTCTGCCTCCCATGGACTCCGGGCCATGAAGTACATAGACCTCGGACACAGCAGTTGAAGGACTTGATGAGCTCACCCGGTCTATAGTGGTGTCGGCAGTCTCGGAGATATATGGGTGGATGCGCATGGTCGCAGGTTCTACCGTGTCGTTGAACAAGAGGCCTTGTGATTCAGTTGGAGATGGTGTACGCTCGGGATGAGGTTGGTTCGAGGGAGTATGACGCCGTTTCTAAACGATTGGATCGAACTTGACTTGATACGAAGAAGAAGGGTACCTACCCGAGGCAAGCAACAACATAATTCCCCTATGCATCCCAGAAGCCGACGATTGTCTTGGGTCTCTTGAGCATACGATTTTGCATCCATCGAGGGTGTTTTTCAGAAGTAGACACGAGACCCAGGTATTGACTTCTCGAGGTACGTCAATTTTGCGTTCTGCTTTGAGCGATCGGGCAGGCCTCGAAGAGGGGAATTCGAGGATCCCGAAGCCAGTTGGAAATTGGGTCGAGTGGATGAGGGGCCAATGGAGGTTTCGAGGAAGAACAACGAGAAGTTGGATAGGGGTATGCTTGGTCGTCCCGTACTTCACAAGAAGATTTGATGAATGCAAATGGGAGAGGTGAATATAGTCAGGAAGCCTCAGTCGATGAGATGATGGGAAGATGATCAAAGGGACGCAGATGAAGGAGGAGGGAATCGTGCGTGGACGGAGGAAGTCGCTGGATTTTGTGCAACAAGATTGACCAGTGGTCTTGTAAGGGCATCGACGGTACTCGCATTGAATTCGTGGACATTGTCGGGCAGATCCACCGTACACATGAAGGCAATCCATCGTTGTCAACGAACAACCCATAGCTCGCAAGGATTTTGCATCTCTTACCTTGAGATAGATTGAGATATGTTTGCCATAACAGAATCCGGGTTTTGTGGGGGTTTGCAGGGCTCTGTCCACCGTAGAGGCCCCGGGCATTGTGGCTGGGCTGCATAGTGGTTGCATGTGCCCTTGACTAGCTCTCCGTAAAAGGTTGGTTGCCCTCGACGCCTCACCGGCTCGCCCTCAATACGAGCTCAAAATCGCAGAATTTTCAGACAAGCCTGACACCGCAATGCGCATCATTGAGTTGTTCGAGTATTGCAAAAACCATGACCGGATATACAGTGCTCGCAAAACTGATAGGGATCTTTCCCGAGCTCAATATCTATCGCCGCTTTGGCGCGTCGAGTGCAGGAATGTTACTCTTTGAGCAGGCTGAGCTTGCTCATAGGGAAGCAGAGCTCCGTGACATCACCGCAGAGCTCCAGACGTGGCCAGATATGAGCCTAATCGATCAATCTTGGTCGAAATTGAATGAGGCCGAAGATGAATCTGCTTCTGGCTATTTGCGGGATAAGACACTCGAGTTCCACGCCAAATTGAGACAATACCGTGGGTCGTTGCCCGTACACATGGCTCGAAGACACTGACTAGGGAGCAGAAGAAGATCTTCTTCGAATCAAGGAGTTGCACAAGACCCGGTCGCCGGCGGAGAGGTCATTGTCCTTCCTGCGTCGTTGGTTACGGGGACCTGGTCGAGGGGACGACTTTCTCGAAGGATACGAGGCTGATCCTTGGGCTGCTGGCCGTGAAGGTGATCTCGTCGGCCTTTATGATGAGCAGTCAGACGATCTTCTGGCGGGTGCCCTGAGCAAGCTCGGCTCAATCTGGCACAGGTTCGTGGGTTATCGAAGCAGGCCCACAACAGACATCGAAGATGGTGTCGGACGCATCTGGAAGTACGAACACCGACATTTCGTGCTGTTGGGAAACCTCATATGTGTTGTGGTGTCTACTGCTGTCCCGACAGCATCCACTCTCATACTGTTCTATGTTGATGATATGGTGCGCCGTCTTCAGTTGATGGCAGTTTTTGTACTCGTCCTGGCTTTTGTCATGATGTTCATGTTGCACTGTCAACGCGTTGAGGTGATTTTGGCTACCGCCTCTTTTGCTGCCGTCCAAGTGGTTTTCCTTCAGGGTGTGAATGGTACTCGAGGATCTTGCTAGGCAGTACGGAGGACATGACGGGAATTGGAAAATGTGGACGCGCGGTTGGCCTTGGTTTCAGAAGCTGAAATTTGGCGAACACGGTCTGTGGAGTTCTACATCAACTTGGGCAGACTGACGCAAGGATGAAGGAGAGCGGACGATTCTTTCGCAGCAAGCTAAGTCCATCTTGACAATATCATTGGGATGTTGTTGCCTTCGAACAGTCGAAATAAGGTTGGCCCTTCTGGAAGCGCGACCATCTCGGGCCCCTGTGCAACAACGACGACGACAGGGCTGAAAGTCCACCTGATTAGTTGCTTGCCAGCTGGTCCATCACCATGGCTGTCTCGGACGTACAAGTGATGGAATTGGTGTGACCAAAGTGCTTGCACAGGAGTAGACGGTGATTGTTGACATATCTACCAAGTCATTGATGGCTCGGGCCTGTGGATTGTACTATGAAGGTCATTTGAACGAATTGAACGAGGCGAGACAACTGCTGCAAGCTACATAAGGTACCTATTACCATCTCCGGCGCTATTCCTGCGGTCAGAGAGGCGACAAGTCGGGCTATTGTATCTCGGAGATCATCATAGCGAATCTACCATTGGTGTACTCTTCAGCTTCACCCAATGCGTCTCGTCTTGCATGATTCGGTCCGTGTCAGGACCCTGGCCGTATCGCAAGGAGGTCATGCCTCGAGGCAATAGCAAAAGTGCATCTTCTGTCATGTGCTTCTGACGCATTAAAATCAAAACAATCATGGTTTTCTCCTCGAGCGCAGAGGCTGGAGCTCCACAGCTTACCTGAACAACGACCAAAGAGTCAGTCGAAGACATGCTCGCTGGGAAGCAGTGCTGACTCGTGCCAAAGTCGCACATCGCTGAACCAAGTGGGCTCCTGGAGTCGACCTCCTCGTCGTCTCTTCCATTCAGTCGTTTGGTTACCCTGCTTGCATTACAGAAAGCCTTTGAAATTGGTACTGCATGTCTGATTCGACACCCAGGACGATCGCTCGTTGGCATCCTCAGAATTTGCTGTGCTGCATTGGACCTTGTCAGCTCCATAGCCTATTGCAGACTCCGCTGCTTTGATACCCAACTACATGGAACCACACGAGCTGGAATTGGCAACAAGATGCAGCTGTTGTGATGAGTCGAATAGGGTCTGGAGATTGCCACTCCATCGGCCAGTGTTTCCGAAAAGCAGGTAAGTGAATCGAGCATGTCTCTTGTGCTCCAGTTTGCTACACGACCGAGACGTATCTACATGGCGGCCTGCACATTATTGGCTCAATCGGTGATTGGACCATGCAGAGTCCATCGCCGCCCTGCGTTACCGCAGGTATCGTTTCTGGGCTGGCAAAGCCTTCTGTCATTGGGACGCAACTATCCGTCTCGAACTGGCCTGGCCCGAGCCTTTGTTCGACCGACAAACGAGATGTCAAGTGATGACCTCTCAGCAGCTTGTGCAAGGAAACTTGCTAGTTTCGCAATAGCAGAATCAAGGGCACGGTCGCGGACTGGGCCTTTTTACTATGAGGACGACAACAGTAACCAGCGCAGACTCACCAATGCGTACCGCTACCGACAGGATGGCCAGTACTCGCATGCCTGCGGTCTTGCTGTCTATGCGGCCCACGAGACATGTAGGTGCCGCGCAGTCTTCAGAAGGCGCTCGAGATGTCTCGCTCGATCACAGATTGACAAAGCGTCACGGGCGGCGGAGCAGTGGAAAAGCTCGGAACAAAGTCGCCTGAGCCGACTGCGGGTATCGTGTTATTGAGGGTGAGCAGGGCAAAGAAGAGAAGCCGTACCGTGATGGGCATCGAGGAAACGGCGAGGAAACGTCGAACTTCACAGTATGCGTTGGAATGGCAGCCTTGTAAGTCTACGGAGAACGTCTTTGATTGCGTCAGCATCTGCGAGAAGGAGCAAATGCTTCTGCATGTCTGCCATAGTCGAGCTTCCCAATTGCTACCAGCCGAAGCTGCGACAACAGATGAAACATCAATACTGGGCCTTCCGTCAGCCAGCAGAAGAGTCAGTAGCCAACCAGGACATAGTCTGGGGAGTGAGCATGATTTGGCCCGCTGTGCGTATGCCGGGCCAAGTGTCTGGTTCATGAAACTCCCTGTTGAGAGCTGCTGAAGGCCTACGAGCGTCGAATTGAACCCGTCGGAGACGGACATAAGCGTTACACTCGGTGTATCACATAAGGGGTGGGTTCAATGGCCGCATCAATCTTCACATTAGCTGCAAGCTGCTGTGAATGTCCGCGTCTCCGGACATTGAGAAACCTGTGGAGATATTGAATGATAAGGTACTTATACTTATTCTGCAAGGCCGGCATTGACTGGATTCGACGTATTCGGCTGAAGATATCGGGATGATGGGGGTCTTGAAAAAACGCGTGGCAAGGCTTTGGAGCTTGTCTTGAAATGCGGCGTGATCCCAAAATACACCCAGGCACGACTGGGCTCACTAACTAGGCCTACCGGAAGCCCGGCACGCCTATTGGTGATTCTTTCGGCACCTGATTGGGTGACGAGGGCGGTTTCTTTGTCCCTGTGAAACACGTAACGCTCTGGCTCATCTTCAGCCCCAATCCTCCGAACCGATTATTGTTGCTGCCTTGAATAAAGACGACCTCTCATCTTACCTTCTTTTCTTCCTACGTCTCAACCGCCTGGCTCTTCATCCCTCATTGTCAACAGTCAATTGCAAACATGACACTCACATCTCATTTCGTCCGCCGTGGTATGGAAGCCGCTCACGGCATGCACAAGCATGGCATGATGGCTGGATCTGGATCAGATGATGGTAGCCACGGCAAGCCAGGCGATGGCCATCCCCTTCAGATCCCTCCTGTGGCGGCGTTGGTGTTCTTTCTGAGCGGATTGCTCGCCATAATCATCATGTTCTGCGTATGTTCATCTGTCAAGACTCTGGAGAGTTGTCTGCTAACTCCTGCTAGATCGCCTATACTTATGGCCACCTCCTTCCCACCCTCTGCATGGTCGAGTCTCCTGAAACCGATGCTTACGTTCCTGTTGATACGATCGAACCTACAACTCCTCCTGCCTACTCTGAGACAGCGACTCCAAAACCTACCGACGACGAAGAAGATGGCGACGTTCTCCTTGTCCGCAACAAACCCATCACGGCCTCAATCCGTCGTTCCATGCTTCACCTCCGAGCCCGAGCAGGCTACTGGTCTCGTTTCCGTGGCCTGTCCATGTTCATCGTCTGGAACATTGCAAGCGGTATTCTCGTCTCTATCGTTGGGGCTCTCCTCGGCAACCGACTTGGAATTGCTTTGGCTGCCATTGTTGCCGAGACGATCCTCGCAACCTGGCATATGACCTGGGTTCACATAGTTATTTCCGAACCCAGCGAGAAGAGGTGGTATCAGCGGATCCCTTCGTTCAAGACGTGGCCCAAGATTGCACCGGCTGTTGCATTGTGGGCCACCTCTAACCAGATCGTGGCCATCATGCCCATGCTCGTGTGCGGCAGTTTCGGATCGCTCAAGCATATGCACAACCCTGAGTATAACCCTGGCCGGAAGGATCTTTACGCCGTCGGAGCACAAGGATTCATGGGCATGTTCCTGACCGTCCTTCTGTTCGTCCTGCTCCAGATCCCCGCCAGCGTGACGTTGGTCCGAGTGGCCGCATCAATGCTCCCAGAAGAGGATGAGACTATCGTCCCCTTTGACCGCACTTTTGGTGGCAAGACCACCCCTACCATTCTTGGTGGTCAGGGCAAGATTGGACTCGTGGAAGCGTGGAGAAGTTTCCCCTGGGCAAGCCGGGTTCGTCTCCTCAAACTTATGGTCAAAGTTGCTTTGATTGTTATGGCTTGCTGGCTACTTTTCACCATGCTTCTCGTTGCCGAAGCGCACTTGTTGTTCGGCGACAAGCTCGGAGACATGATGAAGGCGATGCATGGAATGGGTCATATGGGACGTTCTCATTGAGCACAGGATCCAGCATTGCCTGATCTTGGCTTCTTATCCGGCTCCTGATCAGATGATTCCTGTGACTGTTCACGAAAATTGTACACTAGAGCTGGATACATTGGCGTTTTGGTTGAAGCGGTCATTGGGGGGGGGGGATGGATATAGCCATGTTTTTACGAAATGAACCAAAAACATGCATACTCTATCAACCTCATACTCATCCACACTCATCCTACTTGTACTGGGCCGAACTGTTGCCGGGAATCCATACTGGAGTACTCCATATATATTAAGGGACTCTTCGATCGATGGGGCCCTCACTGAACTCTGACAATACGAGTATCCATCAAGCCATATCCTTTGGTGCGAAAACCACCCGGAACGAGTCTGAGCCATGCCCAATTCGTGGCTCCCCACGGGCGAAATAGACTGAAAACTCCGAGCCTCGGTTGTTGATTTACAGGCTTCAAGGGGGAAGAATTTGGGTCGTCGATTCGGCCGTCTGGATGGATAATGCAAGATCTTGCTGCTGCATGTTGCTGTCACAAGCTTCCCAATAAAATAAAATAAAATAGAAACACCTTCCGCTGCACATTCTCCTGCATAGAAAACATATCTGGTCCTCTTCATATTCCCTAAAAGTTGTTGCCCTCTTTGTCCATCTGCTACCTCGACCATGATATCACACTGCTAAACGAGCCCTCACAACCACCACCCAATTGGCATGTGCCCCTCCTCTTGAGCTCTGGGCGTCCTGTTGATCACTCTCCCATCCGTCTGTCCGCTGCCTAGGGATTGAAGAAATCTTCTCTGAGGAACCTGCGACCTAGGACTGGTCTCGAGCAAAGGAACAGCATCCTCCATTGAGCTCCCCTCCTCGTCCTCCACCTCACCTTCACAATGGCGCCGACGACGATACCTACGTCGGTGGACGAACTGCCCTCGAAAGCGGAGCTGAAGGAAGAAATAAAAGAAAGCGCCAAGGGTGCTGTCTCGGGGCTAAGGTCTCTCGCTGCAGGCGGTGTCGGTGGTATCTGCGCGGTCATTGTCGGCCATCCCTTTGACCTGGTGAAAGTCCGATTGCAGACAGCCGAGAAGGGAGTCTACAGCGGCGCTATGGATGTTGTCAGGAAGACAGTGGCTCGAGAAGGTCTTGCACGAGGTCTATATGCCGGTGTCTCTGCGCCTCTTGTGGGTGTTACGCCCATGTTCGCCGTCAGCTTCTGGGGTTACGATATGGGCAAGCGACTGGTCAACACCTTCACTACAGTCCCCGTGGTCAACAACACCCCTCAATACAGCATAGGTCAGATCTCAGCGGCTGGCTTCTTCTCCGCCGTTCCTATGACCCTGATCACTGCGCCCTTCGAGCGTGTCAAGGTCCTGCTGCAAATTCAGGGCCAGAAACAACTCGCACCAGGCGAGAAGCCTAAATACAGTGGAGGTGTCGATGTCGTCAGACAGCTTTACAAGGAAGGCGGCATACGGTCGGTATTTCGTGGGAGCGCCATGACCTTGGCTCGCGACGGACCTGGTTCTGCAGCATATTTCGCCGTGTACGAGTACGTCAAGCGCAGTTTGAGCCCAAAGGATGAGAATGGTAACGCGACCGGCGAACTGAGTCTGCCGGCCGTTATGACTGCAGGTGGTGCCGCCGGTGTGGCCATGTGGATTCCAGTCTTCCCCGTGGACACGATCAAGTCGAGGATACAAACAGCAGAGGGACGGCCGACGATAAGTGGCGTCATTTCAGGGGTGTACCGGAGTGGTGGGATCAAAGCTTTCTTCCCTGGATTTGGACCCGCGTTGGCGAGAGCAGTGCCGGCGAATGCAGCGACCTTCGTCGGTGTGGAGTTGGCGCATAAAGCAATGAACAAGATGTTCGGCTGAGGAAGAACAACTTCCAGAGGGCATGCTTCAGCATATATCTAGAGTATCAGCAGGCTGCGTGGGAGGCTATGGCTTCGCAAAAGGTGCATTGCTGGCGCTGGGAGGAACTCAGGCCCGTATGGTATAAAGGTATCGGGGCGGGTTGAAATCTAGCCTGGTGTATCCGACGAGATGCGGCAAATCTACTCGTGTTGATCTACTTGTGTTGATCTACTTTCTCGACTGGAATTTCGCAGGCGAAGCTGATGGAAGTGCTCGGTAGCTACCGTAGCTATGAGACATCGACCTTCAGAAGATGCAACCTCATGTCTATATCTTGAGAGAGTACGGATAGAAGCAACACTATTGAATTTCATAAGTCGAAGCACGTGTCTCCACGGCCGGGCCCCTGCATTATTCTCATCCCCGGATTCCGCTTTCTAAACTCCCCTTCCTCCATCGCCGTTACGACAACGAAAGACACTGGCCTTCTCTATAGGCTTCGACCTCGACCCGGGCCTCACTATCTGTCATCACCATGGTCCTCTCATTCATCCTCGTGCAAAACCGGCAAGGCAAAACTCGACTCGCCAAATGGTACGCCCCGTACACCGATGAAGAGAAGGTCAAATTGAAGGGCGAGGTAAGGACATGCGCATTTCTCCCGTTGCCTTTTCTTCTCTTCTCCTTTACGACTGGCACACTGACTCTCTGATCCACAAAGGTCCACCGGCTCATCGCGCCTCGCGACCAGAAATACCAATCCAACTTCGTCGAGTTCCGGTCCGCACCTAGCACCTCGTCCTCGTCGGCGCATCACAATCATTCGCTGGTCCGGCAGAATCTGTCGTCAACGAAGATCGTCTACAGGCGCTACGCGGGTCTGTTCTTCTGCGTATGTGTCGACGCCAATGACAATGAGCTCGCGTACCTCGAGGCGATCCACTTCTTTGTCGAAGTGCTCGACCAGTTCTTCGGAAACGTCTGCGAACTGGATCTCGTGTTCAACTTCTACAAGGTCTATGCCATTCTGGATGAGGTCTTTCTGGCCGGAGAGATCGAGGAGACGAGTAAGCAGGTCGTGTTGACGAGATTGGAGCACTTGGACAAGTTGGAGTGAGAAGGGATCATGGAGTAAGAGTCCCTCGAGATGAGGGCGAAGAGATTATACAACGTAACACCACGGGCGGGGAGACAAACGCCCTCAGCCAGGTATACCGCGTCTTGAAACGGGATGTACCTCTTCGCGGGCTCTGTCGGACTCCGCGAGGGCGAACTCGAAGCTTGCAGTACAGTGCAGTCGTATTTGGGCAAATCAGCCACGAGAGAGGACAACGAGCATCATATCAGCACAGCGGGACGGCTATGTATCAATTTGGACACACGAAGATCTCGAACGACTCTGCCGAAGCAGTGCTCACCCGAGCACGTTACGCCCACCAGCCCAAGCACGGACGAGCCGAACATCATAACAGCTGTATAAAGTCTGCGACTTGGAGGGAGCATTAAATGCTCGATCAACGGCCAAAATCCAGCGGCGCTCACAATTGTCGCGGTGGATTGGTCTGTCCAGGCTGAAGCTCGGTGTCGCTATCTCGTGTTGACGTTTCCCCGTGACTGTCTGACATCGACAGTCGAAGACAGGAGGGGAGGCCGCCAGGCAATCAATTCCTCCCGGTCAACATGAATTCTACAAATGGATGAGCGGACAGTGTGTCGGAAAGTCTGGAATGCTAGAAGCCTCCCGCTTCCGGACCTTCATAGGGTAGTCGTAACAAAATGTTCACATTCTCATGGAGTACCCAACCATCATCATCTTTTCAGCGCCTGGAACCTCTTGGCCAAGTCATCCACTGTAGGAACCTTTCCTGGCAAAAGACCTGCGGAGGTTCCTCCTCCTCCCGCTGGAGCCGCCTTTCCCTTCGTCGTTGACCCCGTCGCCGGCGGCGGTCTAGACTTGATATCCTTTCCGATCTCCCCTCCGCCGGGCAACTTGACCTTTGGACTTGGATTGTCCGACCGCGGTGCTGGGGGCGCCACAGAGACTGGACTCTTCGCACCTCCGGGCGCTAGACTGGACGGCGGCGTCGCCCTCTGCAAGGACCCGATGTCGATCTTGTTCGGCGGTTTCTGTGGTGTCGCGGGTGCAGCACCCTCCGCGAGGATGGGCAGCTCCTTTGATCCTCCTCCTACACCATCATCGTCGTCATCATCGTCGATCCCCGCGGCTCGTTCTTGTTCTTCGTTGTCGACCTCCCTGCTCAACTCATCCACATCTTCCCGGTTCGGCGGCCAGTCCACGCCGTACGCGCGCGCAATCTCCTCGAGGTACGCCTGGACCAGCCTCGCACTTGGCGGGTCGACCTTCAATTTGTCCGCGACCCGCGCCGGCACGATGCCGTCCTGATTCTCGTTGGCGCGCATCGAAAACTCCTTGCCGAACCGCTCGATCAGCATGTTCCGCACGAGCCCGAGCTCCCTGACGTCGCGCGCCAGTCGCGGTGCCGAGTATATGATGCTTGCCGCCGCCTCTTCGAGACCGGTATTGTTGTTGCTGTTGTTACTTTCGCCCTCCGATGTGGAATTGACATTCAGACCTTCCTTGATGTTTTTGTCACGCACGTCGAGCAGGCCCGCGCGGGCGAGGAGGAGTTCGGCGTAGAGCTCGAGGATCTCCATCAGTTCGACCGTGATGTCGGTGTGGATGATGTTCTCGACGCGGATGCGCGCCGAGGCCTCGCGCGATTGTGAGAGGAGTTCGGCCATTTCACGCCTCGCCGCGATCGAGAGCGCCGTGTCTTTCTTTTGCGCATTGCGGAGCCGTGGAATCAATAGGCGCAGGGTGGATTTTAGTTTGACCTGCACATCACAGTGTTAGTCACTTGGTTCAGGAGTTGGTTGGGGATGTTTGCATGGTGGTCACTGTTGAGGATGTGCTGCGGCGTGGAAAAAACTATGGCAAGGCGTAGGAAGCCGCGGGAAAAACAATCGATGGAATAAATGTGGGTGTACAACGAATAGGGCCTCCTGTCTTGGAGCAGCTGGAAACGTACTGTCTGAGGTGATGCCGCCGGCATCTTGACTGTAACGTGGTTTGTTCAAGAGAGTGAGTGTGTTGGCGGGGTATCAGGCCGGTTGCCTTAGACCAGAAGTCGGTGGGAGTCTACAAGGAGTGTGCTGAAGACAAAGATGTTGTTAGTGTAGAGATGGCCAGGTCGAGCTTGAGAATCAAGGAGAGCAGACTGTAAGGTCGAACCCAAGATGCAGAGGCGTGAGTGAGTGAGTGAGTTAGGAGCGTGTGCATACTGTAACTTCTGTGGTATGGATGAAGAGGTGGGGAGACATGATCGCCGTCAACCCCGGATCGGACCTGTGAGTCCAAACAGTGGCAGCATGTGCGACAAATCCGATACTGGTTCCTGGTTCTTTCTTACATACTACGATAGTAATTCGTATTGACAGTCCTCGTCAGCCTCCAGAGATAATGATATTTACATTACAATCAGCTATACACTCTTCTACAACATGAGTCCTCCTGTCCCAAACATTCCACCCACGCCCGCCATCTCCATCTCCCTCTCCATATGCAAAGCACAAACGTGGACATCGTTATTCAAAAGGCCTTCAATCCGTACATAAAACCCCCGAATACGAACAGCAAATCCCATTCTTTCCTGCTCATGTTACTCCTCGCTGACTTTTATCCACAAGCATCAAGTGTGAAAGTAATTCGCTGAAACCCTTGCTTTGCCGGCATTACCAGAATGTTGTTCCAAAATGGTGGATGTGTTTCCAAGAAATTCTCTCGAAAAGAAAAAGGTTCGTTAAGAAAAGTGTCGACAAAAGAAAAGAAGATGTCGGTCGAGAATAACCAGCCGATACAGGGTTGCATAGGAGGATCTTGCAAGTCCAGCTGCGCTAGAGTTCCGAGGACCACATTATTGCTCGGAAAAGCTCTTCTGCATGATGATGCGGCGATGCATCACAATGGTGCTAGGGCGTAGAAGGCCAGGCCAGTGAGAAGGCCGACCATGGAGATGGTGACAGAAGAAGCAGCCCCTGTAGCAGGTAAAATCGAGGGTTGCACTGCTGAGCTCGGCCCAGATGGAGTAGCAGTAGCTTCACTGCTGGAAATTTGAGGAGCGCTGTCGGTGGGAACGTATGTCGTGTGGTTGTTGAAGATGGAGTAATAAGGCGAGTGCGTCGGTCCTCTCGACGTGTAGGTGTTGGTCGCTGAAGTCCAGAGCGAGACCGAGCTTGATGTGTGACTTGATGACGATGACGACGAAGCACTTGGAGTCCAGGCAACCGTAGTGGTCGTGCTTGAGGATGACGAGGAAGAAGGGGTGGAAGAGGTTGCCGCGTTACTGGTGGACTGGAAGAATTGCCCACCATGACCACCCTTGTTCCACGTCGTGGTCGAACTTGCACTGCTGCCGCTGTTGTTGTCACTTTCGTCGCCACCGGTGTTGAAAACCACAAAGTTGGCGGTCGCCCCCTTGTCCACCGTGACCACGCAGAATGCGCCACCACCAGCTCCATCGCTGGAGCTACCAACCATCTGGTTGACACTGTTTTGGCTGGGATCGATTGCGCAGGGAAGCCCGTTACAGCCGCCGTTGGGACAGTCGATCTTGACACCCCAGTTCGGCATGTTATTGCGGAAAGGGGTGGCTGGTTCAAGGTAGATGGGATTCCATCCAAGTTTGATAAAAGTACTTCCCGAGGTGTCGACATTGGCTCCAGCGACGTATGGTGACCAGTTGCCCCAGGGACTACTCTTTGTGCCCCAGACACAAGCTGTATCGGTATCAGTTCCAGGTGGATTGATATAGTAGTGCGCAGCCGTCCCGCACCAATAACTGGTGTCTGGAACAGCCAGGGTCGCATAGTCGGTGACAGCAGTGGGAATGAGCATGGCTTCGTTACCAGGGAGCACCGTCTGACAGAACGAGACAACGCTACCAGCATTGTTCTGAACGCCAATGTTGCTCGCCGTGGACTGGCAGTAGGGCTTGCTCGGGAAAGGTTTCTGAATGTTGCCGCTTTCGTCACAATACAGACCGCCGTTCTAGTCGAAGTCAGTCATAATTCGTATAACAGAGAGGATGGGAATACCATTGATTTCGGGTAAGTATATGATGTGGCACTTGGATCCCATTGCATCATTACCTCACCAGGTGGGCAGGCATAAGGGCAGTAGTTTCCAGGAGTACACGGCTGATCAGGGCTCATAGCCCATCCAGCGTTCGCCTCATTTGGAGTCACCGCGACCAATCCCGCATCAGTTGGGAAAGCGCACTGCCCGCCGCGCTTTTCTACGGTTGCTTGAGTCGTGGTCTCAGGAGTCGACCTTATTTCCACGCCTTGTTCAGCATTCTCGGCTGTTGACCTGGGGTCCAGCTGGCGATGGATGCGATGTCTCTTGTGCAGCGCTTCGAGGTGTTCGTGTGCCCCGTGCTTTGCGGCGACCAGTGAAGCTGTAAATAGCAGCAGAGCGCTGGCGCTCGAGGTGATGGTTCGTTTGCGCATTGCTCAAGGCAAGGTATTGCTGGATGTTCTATAGAAACTGGCGCATGAGCATCGGCTGGCCACAGTCGAACGGTTTTGCTAATGGCAGTCGCTGTTGTGGACTCGAATGAGTGACTAGGGTCAGTGTCTGTGGTAAGGAATGTGGGTGCTCGCAGAGCAGAGCGCGCAACAGCAAAAGCAAAAGCACAAGATCGACGACGAGAAGTCCAGCGACGACGAGAAACAAAAGACCGAAAAGGAGCGGACGAGTTCTGCTAAACTCGAGGTGAAAGGGTCAAGAGAACGCAGATCGACACTCGAAACGAAGCTCGAGTGCAAATTGGGCCGTGACCAAGGGCAGACCATCGCAAACGGTTCTCGAGCCATGCAAGGCTGGCGCATACACAGCTCCACTGTTGATATTGCAAATGGGGTAAAGTCAGGGATGTCAATCAAGATCGTGCCAGAGCCGCGGCCCGCTTAAGCACAGTCAAATTTCATGCGACGAATCAGAAAATATCCCTACCAGAGCTTAGAGCTTGGACAACACGAGCAATGTCCGAGCCAGGCAAATGATGATGGGCGGTTCATCTGTGCTATGCTATGGCCGCTCGCTGTTGCTGTGGGGTGCCACTTCCAGATGGATGGAATGTTAGCTTGTAATCTCGCCATCGCTTCTCAAAGAGACCCGGTTCTTGAAGAAATCAAGAAACGGTGGTCTTTGCTCAAGAACGAGACCGGTCGAGAATGGCCTTCCCTACGGCCATTGCTGGCGTACATAGAAGGATGTCGGGTGATGTCGAATCGACAAATGCTTTCTTGTTCGAGTGTGACACGATAGGCTGGAAGAGCGAGGTGAGTCGGGGTTTCATAGTTGCTCGCCCCTTGATCTTTGGAGGGTTCTTGGTCTGGGGGAGAAATTTGGGCTGAGCCGCCATCGCTCATTATTACGGCAGGTCAAGCCTCTGACGATCAGGTGGCACACGACAAGGGGTGAAGACGCGGAGAAGAAATCCTTGAGAAGAAAATTCACGCAAGTATATACAAGTAAGTGGTGAAGGATATCAGCAAGCCTTGCATGATGCTGCAGGTGCCATGTTGTTTTGTTGTTGATATGCTGATGATGAAAATGACAAGGTGGCAGCAAGGTGGCAGCAAGGTGGCAGCTGCCTCAGAGACTTTTGACGGGCGCCTTCCTTCAAAATCGACACTGCACGTGACGTCGGTGGCTCACGTGACACATGTCAACACCGAGTTTTCTCGTTGAGCCTGACCACTGCATCTAGAAGACCTCTTGCTTTCTACCCTTGATAGCGTATAAATTTTTGGTGTCGACATACTGATAAACTTATATCATTCGATAGAGTATCTCTCAAATAATATATCTATCTCTTTAAAATACTATGTTATCACATAAAGTTGTTCGTTCGGGCCTACGTATTATTACCAAACATTTTGGTGTGCCACTTTATTTTTAAAGAGGCTCGTCGTCTTGATTCTTGGTCGTTGAAGAAGCATAAGCTAGAGAAGGCACTGAGGACACTCTTTCATTCAAATGAGTCAGCCATCACTGCTTCTAGACGGACTGAGAAGACTATCCCATGCTACACCGTCTGTAAATCCTCGCCATCCCCAAGATATGCAGTAGTGTTGAGCCAGCAGTACAAACTCCTCGACTTCGTCCATCCATTCCAAGCCATCGATCCTCTCTTTCTCATCCGGTGCTACCCATTGCCGCCAGATGAATTCAATATCTGCAGCTTCTGACTCTCCGCGGCTTCCATCACCATCCGCCTTGAACCCATGCGCTTCCAGCCTCTTTCTTTGCTCTTCTAGCCCAGCATACTTTTCTAGAGTCTGTAACTGTATGCCCCTGCTCGTGAGGTTGCGGACCATGGTCTTGCCAAACGAATCGTGTGGTCGAATGGGCTCGTATATCACAATGGCCAGAGGCGTGGTTGAGGGGAACACCTTCGAGAAGTACTGAAGTACGGCATCGGCGTCGTCCGGAGGCAGGTAGACAAGACAGCATTCGGAGATGATCAGAGTCGGTAAGCTCTTGTCGATTCCTGGCAGGCCGGTATCGTGCTGCGGGAGTCGACGGAGATCTTGTGGGTGTATGGTGTATTCGGGCGAACTCAGGGTCGCACCATCCGCGGATATCTCGACATCTTGTGCATGTACGTCTATGCCTGCAAGGTCCTTTGCCGCGGCCGAGAAGAGTGGGCTTCGTAGCCGACTGATCTTCCTTCTCGTGTTGGCTTCGAAGTCGATCTCATGGTAGACAACATCTAGATTTCGGCGCTTTTGCTTCAGTCGAAAGAATCTTGTGTCGCTTCCTGCGCCCAACGAGATAATCTGTTTGCGACCCGTTCCACCTGCTGACAAGAATGTTTGGACAACCCTGTCTATGCCCGTAGTCCGCACATATGTCCCTGTCAAGGATCAACTCGGATCATGCCAACATAAATACTCGTGGACACACCTCGGTTCATTAAGGGCAATCGTCTCGCGACGTCGTCCCCAGAAGTCAGTAGGCGCGCATACGGATCTTCGAGGTATCCCGCATCAACGGCACTTAGCCGGGAGGTAGCCGCATCATTGTCGGTGTTTTGCACAATGGCGTCTTGCTGGATCGTCTTTGGAGTTGTTGTGTGCACACCACCAACACTTGCAGCACCCCGCCCTCTTCCCCTCCCACGTAAACCCCCTCGTCGTAGGGTATTCAAGTTTGGTATTGCTGGTGCGGACATGATGTTGATAAGTGGCTTCAAGTTGGCCATGACGAATGTGCTTGAACTTCAGCCAAACTCGAACCCTGCCGCTTTAAACAATCAAAGACGAGTCATTCTTTGGGCATCGTTGAGCAGAGCAAGTCTTCATAATTCTACGTTGAGCAAGTGGATCATGAGATAGGGTCTGTTGAGAGTACTTCACTAAATTATTCTCTCGATGATAGTGACCGCAGTCACTGTTATATGACAACGGAATCATCCATCCTATTTCAGAGTGCGGCAGAGGACGTATCAGAGGTCTAACTGTCCGAGATTAAATTGCATTTAATTGCTACTGATGTCCCTGTGCCCGTGCCCAAGACTGACCATCTTCACTTCAGGCAAGACTTCTCGCTTTCATCACCCGGCCATCTTAAACAATCCGCTTGGGCTGGTCGCGTACTGATCTTGGAACGGCAAGAAGTAGAGGTGAGTCCCCAAGCTTCTGACTGCTCATCTCTGCGAAAGAATCTGGGCTGTAGGGCTTGGTAGGTATGGGAGTCCTGGTAACATTGTCCGGCGATATGTCCGTACCAATACCAGCAGAGGCGGGGCTCCCGATTGCCCTTTCGCTTATCGAGCGGAGGCCCGCTGGCATGGCTTGAAACCTAGTTTATTTGATGAAGCTTAGTTCATTATTCGGGATAACCAGGCCCTGGAGGACCAGAAGAAAGTTGACAGATGGCCTCGATGACTTTCTCACCAAGCAAACTGTTCCGTCACTCGGTCAAGGAGCTTCCCAGCGCTTGGTATGCTCCGCGTGTAGCCCGATGATCGGGACGCGTCAAAGGCCCGAAATGGGACGGCAAGTCGAGATGGCTTCTGCACTACGTCCTGTCCTGCTCGAGCTGCCGCCCTGTGCCCGGCACCTCTGCGCGAAGGACCCCCTTTTTCAGTACTATGACACCCAGCACAGTAGTTGTCTAGCACCCTCTAGACCTCGAAAGGTGAATTGCATGTGCTGCGCGGGAATGCTGTCGTGAGACTGCTCGGTTGTGAAGCCGTCAACGTAAGCTCTGAAAAAGTTGTTTCAAGCATAGTTGAAATTGTTGCGACAAAGCGGACAACTCGAGCTGTTCGAGCTCTTGAACCACCGGAAGAGGCAAATGCCATGAAAGGTGTTGCGACATGTCCCACATCGTTTGTTGGGAGTTTGCATATCTGTGCCAATGATGCTGTAACAAATAGCACATTCACTCTGACCTTTCAGAGCGCCCTGGACATTGCGCCGGAATGCGATGAGCCCTTCAATGATACTCCCGGTACTGAAGATGATAATCTGGAAAGTCCTTAACCATGATTGCCAATTCTTATCAGAAACTCCGACTCGAGTGCGGGAGGCCACTGTAGGCGAATCGAGCGGATAGGTGGACGGCAAAGAGATAGCTATGGATATTGGAGGAGACTCCGGATCGATGGCGATTGACGCCACGGTCTCGAATCCGCTCAGTGATGCCTTAACATTGATGGCGGCTTCATTTTCTTCTTGTGATTGACTTGCTGCCCATTCAGTAACGGTTCGGGTCGCAGCCAACACCAATGTTGGCGAAAAGTATCGCTGAGTCCAGCTTTCCAATGGTGATTTGACGCGATTCTTCTGCTCAATGAACCAGCTCCTGGTGAGGCTGGGCAGATACAATAAACAACAATAGTAGAGATGCATGCTGAGTCGTCGCTCTTCTTGCTCCTCAGTGTCCGCTGAACCATATTCCAAACCTGTGAAATTCACTTTCGAAGCGTCGAGTGGCCGACCACTGGTGATCATGCAAATCTCACAGATGAGTTCCAAAAGGCCTGACAGGACGCCTCGGTCCTTAATATCCGCCGTGTACATCTCCTGGACCTTGTAAGAAGAGGTCGTAAAGTGGTCAAAAACTAAATCCCAGCTGAGCAAATAACTCTGGCGGAGGACGCCGCCTGCCTGATTAGCCGATCCAGGCGTCTCTGTCAGGAGTGACATCAGTTCTTCTGGGAGATGTGCAACCTTCTTCTCTAGCGCGATCTCGATTGAGATCTGTTCCTGTTCTGCGGGGATGGAGCGATGGAGCAGACCATACGCTGCACCGCGAATCGCATTGTCTGCCGAGGGGAGCAGTGCATATAGCTTCGGGTCATGGCGGACAGACACTTGTGCAAGGTGTCTCTGGAGGAGTTCTGCCGTTATAAGGCGCGGTTGGTTCGTCTGAGCGCTGGGGATGTTGAAAGTTTGCAGACATAAGAGCAAGCCTTCCTCAAGGGCAGATTGCCCTGTTTTCCAGGCATCGGCAAAGTCTTCGTTGCTATCTTCTGCGCTGGCGACTGATTTTAGCCGCCCGTAGAGGCGAAGTGAGGCATGAATGAGAGGCAGACCATCATCCAAACCATGCTCCTGGCGCCAAAGAGCGTTGAGATATTCGAGAATTTGCTCCCAGTGATCGCCATAAATGTCCCTGGTCATGGAGAGGACCGGGTCAAGGATCTTGACGGCCAGAGTCTGGAGAGCGACGTTCTCTGAAGATACGTCCAGAAGTCGTACAAGTGCCTGCATCAAGAAAACGATCCGTTGCGTGGGAATTGCCTCTAGGGGCTCAGCGTCGCCGTTCAGTAGGAGATCAAGCAGAGCTACAGGCCAAAGACCTGACGTGGACGTGGCTGACGCTTTTATGTCTGTGCATGCAGCAATCAATTCGTTAAGCAATTTTCGACCCTGCTGCGAGCTGACAAGCTGATCGCGGCAAGAGCAGATTAGGCTCGCAGAGAGTACCACATCCGCTGATCGATGCGTGTCCTTGAATTCGGCTTCGAAGGAAGACATGATAAGCGCAGGCCCATGCTCGTCTACGAACCGTGATGCAATATCTGTGAAGGTTAAGCCCTGAAGGTAAGAGCGATATGTCAAGTTCGTGATCGAACGGATGTGTTGCATCCACGACTTCACCATGGCATCATTGCCGGTCCATCGTTGTATTAATGCATTACCTTGAGAGAGCACGTCGGCAGCCTCATCAGTCACCTCGTGGCTAGTATTGAGCCAAATGTTGTTGGCAGATTCCATTGTTAACTTTTCATTGACCAGCTGCAATGCAAGAGGGTAGTAATAATACAAATTTCGTAATTGGTCTGGAGATAGGCGGTCAAGGATATTAGACTCGCCGACAATTTTGGTTGCGTATAAGACCAGCCTGAAGAGAAGAGAAAATTCGTCCGCGTCCCGAAAATCGTCTGCTTGGAGGGACGTCGTCTGGTCCCGCACCAGGAACAGCAAGCCATGAAGGATGCTTGTAATTGTCAGGGACAGAGGCCGTCGACTGGAGACATGTGGTTCAAGTGCATTTTCCCACTGAGCCTCGGAGGGGATGACGCTTGATATCAAGTCAGATTCACCGCCCGATGGTGCGTCTCTCAATGTATCCTTGGCCAGATCAATGAGTACGAATATACCGAGTGGGGTGCCTTTTCCTGACAGCTGATCCGCAACCACCGCTGTTGAAGAAGTAGCTGTAGAGCTGGAGCTCGAAGAAATCATTTTGAGCTTTGGAATCAGCGATGTGGCAAGCTCGGCAGTGTCGGAGTCATCCACATCAGACAACAATAGAAGTTTGGAGAGAAGGCCACTTCCCAGTTCCTCGGAGAGCACCGAAGACCTGGAGCGGGAGTCAGTCAAGAGACTTGTGAGGACGCGGAGGATAGCCTGATCCAAGTGTGGTGGTGATTCTGGGGATAGCTGGCTAACTATCCTCTCCTCGCAAAGTCGTCGAAACTGAGAAGACTGTAGATTGGCATTCTTGAAAAGTGATTTTGCCATTGATTGAGTAGCTTCCACTGCAAAGTCTTGAGATATTTTCTGCAAAACAAACGTTTGGAGTTCCTCGAGCTTCGATAGCGCCGGCTCTGGGATCTCGAGCAAGAGATTTTCCAAAGCCTTTGCGGCGAAAACATTGCCCTTGGCGTCAATCAATCTTGCAACAGCTGGTCCCAGGTCTTGGTGCATACGGAGGATAACCACCATCAGATACTCCGCAGATGGGCTAGTCAAGAGGTCCAGAGCGTCCGATTGCAGGAAGCTGGTCAAGACTTGTAAGCTGTCCGAAGATTCGACTCCTACTGAGACGCTTTCAAGAACACAGGCAGCTCCATAGGGTTTGCCATTTCGGGTTCTCAAAAGTTCCGCTGCAGCAACCACCAACTCTCCATCGGAACGTTGAAACACGTCTTTTGCGAAGGTCCGCCCGGAGGCATCAAGCTGGTCAGACTGCAGCACGAAGGACTTGAGACCGAGAAGTCGTTTCGACTGAGCGACAACGCCGTCCTGAGATCTTGTAAAATCTTTGGATGATTCCGGCAATGACATTTTCATGCTATTGACCAAATGCTGGCAGAGTTGACGCCATGCTGCGTCGAATGAGGATTTTAGGCCATGTCGAATGAGCTCCACAAGTACAGTTCCTGAAATCTTCGTACCAATTGATGCAGGCATGGCCCACAGAGTTTGTTGAGGATCAGAAACAACATATTGGACAGGAAGAGGCAAGACTTGCTGGGACAGGAATGCTGATCTGGACTCCTCCTGGCCAATCTTCTCGATGAACCAGAATGATAGATCTACGTAGACAGACCAAGCAATATCGAGATTCTGCCGAGGCTCATCCGTACTGGTGACACCTGCACGCAGGGCCTCAACAAGATCATCAAGTGTCTGTGGATTGATACTGCCATCACTCTTGCCTTCTGTCCAAAGCTCAGAAGGTATCTTCCTTAGCAGAAGGGAGACATTTCTCCAGAAATCTGCAGACCCTCGCTGGGACCCGTGCCTCAGATATTGAAAGAGTCGTTTCGTGGCCGAAGTCTTGGATGTGTAGTCTACCGTCCAGATCTCCGGGTGCGACGATGTGAGGGCCAGGATGACTTCCGAGAGGTGGCCTGACGAACCGATTTGACTGCTGTGCAGGGCTTTACCAACAAAGCAGGAGCTTATGGCTCTCCAATCCAGGTCCGACGGCAGTATCTGAGAGCACACTAGGGCCAGACTGCATGCTGCTCTCCTCAGTGTGGGATCAGCATGGTAAGAGTATTCCCAGAGCTTCTTGTTCTGTACAGCTTCTCGAACACGGCTGCGAATGTCTGTCTTATCGGACTCAGCAGTAGAGAGGTTGGCTTTTATGACTTGACTCAACAAGGACATCGCATTTCCGACCACGCGAACGTGTTTTGCCTCGGCATCTTCAGGTGTCGTCGAGCGTTCGTCACTAAGCGTCGTAGCAGTCTGTACGAAGATGGCATCTTCGGCATAGTCGAGGAGGGCTATCTTGTACACCTTCCACAGTGCCCTTCTCTTCTCATCAGTGGTGAATGAGGCCGCAATCGACTCTTGTGCAGCTCTGGCCACTGCCTTGTCGCTGTCGTAGACACCCGACAGCCACGGTCCGATGACTTTTGGTAGGGAAGGTGCAATTCGCTTGCCGGAGAGAACAGTGAGAGACCCTTGAAGAATGTGTGCCAGGAGACGAACTCGGCGTGCATTGTCGATGGAGGTACGCGGGTACAGGCTGACCTATGCACAGGCTTTAGAGAATTTTCACAGAATTACAGACGCAAGAAGAAATACCCATGCTTCTAACAGGCCAGCGTCGATTGCTGGGGTGGATGCGGTAGAGTTGACATATTCCTGTAACTCCTCGAGGGCTTTGGCTTTGGTGACACTGTCCTTCTTGCTCAGGTTTCTCAGCGCAACCACAAGGTGGGGATCAGCAATACTGGTCAAGTCTGGCTGTTCTGCGATATATGAGAGGGACGACGGCGCAGTCTGGAAGCCAGCTGAAGGGGGCCCGAAGCCGAAGGAGGACGATCCGAACGCAGCAGAAGCAGCACGAGCGCTTGAAGCCTGCGATTTAAACTTTTTGCTCATGCTGCCGCGGCCTGCCTCAATGTAGCGGTTTGAATGAAAAGGAACACGAGTCGATCATTTGTGTACTTTGCGGAGTGGCTGTCGATGCGGCGGCATGATTCGAAAAGGGAAAGAAATAAATGCTGCTACTGCATCTTAATGACGTCGGCGATGACTAACTTAACTAAGTTAGGAGCCCTTGTGGTGCCTGCGGAACGCGTGCTGTCGTGCCTCTTCTCGCTAGACTCTTGCGCCTGGGCTTCGTGGCGTGCCCGCTTGTTGCATAGCCAAAGAAAAAAAGTGACAATTGCTGTGGCCATTCAGTGTCCATTACACTTCTATCCAATCTTGACGTCCTTAAATCTTCAAGCCATTGCTTATAAACTGATGCTGAAATTGGGGCTACGGGCTTGGTGACCAGTTGAGGTCACCGTTTCAACATGAAGTTCTTCATAGAGTGCGCACCATCCTCGCACAGTTGTCTGCTTGTTGACTGACACTCCGACAGTAATCTCCCTGTTCTCTTTCCCTATCCTCGAATTTATCCCGAACAATATGCCTATATGTGCGATATTAAGCGGACCCTCGATGCTGGGGGTCACTGCGTCCTCGAAATGCCTTCAGGCACCGGCAAGACCGTCTCTCTCCTTTCCCTCATCGTGGCATATCAGCAACACTACCCGGAACATCGAAAACTTATCTACTGCTCCCGTACCATGTCTGAGATCGAAAAGGCTCTGGCAGAATTGAAAGCTCTCATGAAATATCGTTCAGAACAACTGGGCTATGTCGAAGACTTTCGAGGCCTTGGTCTAACCAGCCGTAAGAACCTGTGCTTGCACCCGTCTGTCAAACGAGAAAAGAGTGGCGCCGTCGTCGACGCGAGATGTCGAAGTCTGACTGCGGGCTTTGTCAAGGAGAAGAAGGAGAGAGGTGAAGATGTCGAGCTGTGTATCTACCACGAGAACCTGGATCTTCTCGAGCCTCACAACCTCCTTCCTCCGGGGGTTTTCACCCTCGATGACCTGCTCAGGTACGGCGAGGATCACAAACAGTGCCCGTACTTCTCTGCACGAAGAATGATGTCCTTTTGCAATGTCATAATCTATTCCTACCACTACCTGCTCGACCCCAAAATCGCAGAACGTGTCTCGAAAGAGCTCTCAAAAGATTGCATTGTCGTTTTCGACGAGGCTCACAACATTGACAACGTCTGCATTGAGTCGTTGTCCATTGATTTGACAGAAGACTCGCTGAGAAAAGCAACACGAGGCGCCAACAACCTTGAACGCAAGATCGAAGAAATGAAATCATCCGACGAAGAGAAGCTTCAGAACGAGTATCAGAAGCTCGTTGAAGGTCTTCGAGAGGCAGACGAAGCTCGCGCAGAGGACGCCTTTATGGCCAATCCAACATTGCCCGATGATCTGTTGAAGGAAGCTGTGCCAGGTAACATCCGCAGAGCTGAGCATTTCGTCGCCTTCCTCAAACGCTTTATCGAGTACCTTAAGACACGTATGAAAGTCCTCTACGTTATTCAGGAAACCCCGCCCTCCTTTCTCGCCCATCTGAAAGAGCTGACCTTCATCGAGCGTAAGCCTCTGAGGTTTTGCGCCGAACGCCTAACTTCGCTTGTCCGTACTCTGGAATTGACAAACATTGAGGACTATCAGCCTTTGCAAGAAGTTGCGACGTTCGCCACTCTGATCGCTACATACGAACAAGGCTTTCTCTTGATCCTGGAACCTTTTGAGACGGAGCAAGCGACAGTGCCAAATCCTATCCTTCATTTTGCCTGTCTCGACGCTTCGATCGCTATCAAACCCGTTTTTGAACGATTTTCCTCCGTCATTGTCACATCCGGCACAATCTCACCTCTGGAGATGTACCCAAAGATGCTCGACTTTACCACAGTCACCCAAGAGTCATATCCCATGTCACTGGCAAGACGGTCTTTCCTGCCAATGATTGTGACTCGCGGCTCAGATCAACAATCAATCACATCGGGGTTTCAGTCTCGTTCGGACCCTGGTGTGGTCCGCAATTACGGTGCCCTGTTGTTCGAGTTCGCGAAAATCACGCCTGATGGGATCGTGGTTTTCTTCCCTTCGTACCTCTACATGGAGATGATCATCAGTATGTGGCAAGGAATGGGTATTCTGGACCAGATTTGGACCTACAAATTGATTCTCGTGGAGACCCCAGATGCCCAGGAGACGAGCTTGGCGCTTGAAACTTACCGTACCGCGTGCGAAAACGGCAAAGGTGCCATCTTGCTCTGCGTCGCTCGTGGTAAAGTCTCCGAGGGGATCGATTTCGATCATCACTATGGCCGGACTGTCTTGTGTATGGGGGCCCCTTTCCAGTATACCGAATCTAGAATCCTGAAAGCGAGACTGGAATTTATGCGAGAAAACTACAGAATCAAAGAACAAGACTTCCTATCCTTCGACGCCATGAGACATGCTGCGCAATGTCTAGGCCGAGTGTTACGAGGGAAGGACGACTACGGAATCATGGTCCTTGCTGATCGCCGTTTCCAGAAGAAACGAAACCAGTTGCCAAGATGGATTGCCGAAGAAATCCAGGATGGCCAGACTGGTCTGAGCACCGATGCCGCCGTTGGGATGGCAAAGAAATTTTTGAGGAGCATTGCTCAGCCCCTGGGTCCAAGTCAAAAGGCACCGGATGGGACCACCAAAGGCAAAGATAGTTGGACTCTGAAGGAGCTGGAAGCCTTTCAGAAAGAGCAAGCGTTGAAAAGAGGACAAGGGGACGAAGGCAGAGAGGGAGCCAACTATCACGACTACATGCACAGCGAAATCAACAACATACCAGTTCAGAATGGTACCAATAGTCACTCGATCGCAGTTGACGAATTCGACGAGATGATTGCGGATGAGGAATTTCTGCTGGCTGAAAGTATGGAAATTGGTTGATATGAACCACGAACTTGCAGCATTGCACACGAATCAAGCAAGTGGCGAACATATCCCGGCTTGCGGAATACACCTGCGAGCCTTGCTTAAGCATTTCGGTCTCCCCACTGCGAAGATCACTTCATGCGGTGTTCCCATATGTTGGCCCGGCGTCTGTCGACGCAGCTACGAGATCCCAAAAATCAAAGACTTCTATCGGACAACCGGATCAATTAGGTGGAACTCCTGGATTCGAAACTTTCTGTCCCGGTCAGCCAATGTTCCTTCAACCTAACGATGATGGCCTGAACAGGCCATCCTGTCCGTCTCTGACTGCCTAGTAATCGGTTCACAACTTCACGACGGTCCTCGTCCCTTCTCAACCACTTCGCGCCTTTGCGAGTTAGTCCGTATCCACACCAAGAGGAGGAAGCATACTATAACAAATGGGACCATAAGCATTTACCATGGTCGGGTCATTATTGGCAGTAAATGTGGATCCGCATATCAGTCTGGCATATTCCTCCAGTCTCGCCGAGCGCGCAATGCTTACGTCTACAAGACACATTGCCACATAATAGTAATGCATCGCTGCGACTACCACGGTCAGCCCAAACAACGGGGACAGGCATGAAACTTACAATGGCAATTCTGCAACATTCGAATCCTCGGCAAGCCATCGCTATGAGACTCATGGTATGGTCGGAATGGCAGAGTTGAATACCAATGCGACAGTGCTTGTCGAAGTCTCTCGACCGTCATTTGCTCTTTAGCAAAAGCAGCATTGATCAAGCGCCCGAGGAGAAGCGTGATCTGACTGGCGTAATCATCGTCACGACAAGGTTCCACGTTCACCTCCCCCAGATCAATTTTCAATGGGCACTCGTTGATGAGAGAAAATGTTATATCCTCACGCAGGTAGTTCCACAGCCCGGCTCTGAGAAGTTGCTCACTCGGAAGTGCCGAGGACAGTAGTGGTATCAAGGAGAATGCCCCAAACAGGTGTCGGTTTGGATCCTCCTCCTCTGCTTCACTTAGCAAATCGACCGCGGGTCTCGGCAAAACTTACCAGAGAGGATTTCATACGAACGCAGCAAACACGTGGCTGCAAGTGCGGTGCCGTTCCTGATCTCGAGATCATCACTGTCGAGGCCGATGAGCAATCTAAGACAATGAGCGTGATGTGTCTCGGCCAGGTTTTTGGATGCAGCATGCCCAGTTCTGCTTTTGTGCACAGCCGCAAACGCAATGATGGCACTCAGGAGCAATCGGCTATGTTGAGCTCTGCTTGCCACAATCACTGCAAAAGTCATATCAAGATCGTTCAAATCGTACCATGGTGCCAGTTCTTTGAGATAGTGCTCGAAATACTGTGCGATATCTTCATCTTGCAGCGCGGTTTGAGGATCTCTAATCTCAGCTGCCTTAGCTTGTGTCGCCCCGAGCGCATGAATGGCTGTCTCGTCTTGTTTGCCGACGTTCTTCTGTGCGCGAATCCTGAGAGATTGGGACCTGTCGCACCAGCGCCCGCTCTTGTCGCAACGACCACAGGTCGGCACAGCCTCGTCACCTACATTAGCTTGGTTAATTTTGAAATACATAAACTCGAGGAGATTCTACATTTGAGCTTACGAAGTCGGCATGTCCTGCTGCGAGGAAGACATCAACATTCGCAATGACTTATCAAATGAATGGAGGCCTACCAAGCTATGTCATTCATCAGCTCAGAGCATCATGCCTTATGACTTCTTGACTCACCGTTCTTGCCCACAAGCTTGGGCATCGTGCGCCTGTGTTCTCAGTTTGACGATGCTTACGGGTTTGTCAAGGACCAGATCAATGATGGGACTTCTTGTGGAGTGAGGGGGCAGCCGCGCTTAAAAAGAGAACCCACGAGCTTTTTTCCTGGAGAATTGCCATGCCTGGTAACCCTGGCACCCTGGTAATACCCCAGAGACGCCAAATCCAGGGTTTGCTGGGGAAGAAACTACACTAACTTAACGGAACATATTCCAACGAAGGTTTTCCTGAGGTTGGCTTTTAACAAATGGCTGCCGCTACGTCTGGTATCTGCCGGGTTAAACAGGATGAGCACTTCTGCCAGCAATTCATCCCGGGTAAGTCAGAGGTAGGACTGTGCGCTTCTTTTCGATCTGAGACGTGGCCACTACAAAGATTGCCCAAAGTCATAGCTATTTCCAAAACCACGATTCAGGTAGCTGTCGAGGGCCTCTGGCTCGCTCACATAATTCGCCCTAACATCAAGATCCATCACCTTTTGCACGACCGGTTTGACCTCTTCAGCCAGCTCCAACTTCATTTGGTTACGATACCAGGGTGCAAAATGAACTGAAGACGGTCAGCAAGGCCTCAATTCCTCCGGGAAAAGGGTGCTTGTACTCATTGCAAGCATTACTCTGACCTCTTCGGTGTGGTTCGGCATCCTGCAAGCAGTCAGATGGATAATGTACAGTAAGAAAGAGGAGCCTACCCAGCATGCCAGAGGCGCAAATCGCGGATGACGATGCTTCCCTTTGGGATGAAGGGTTGCACTGGTGGACGTGTTTTCGCCCTCTCTTCCAGAAACGATGGGCGGATCCTACCAGATGCCCTCTCACCATGAGCCCCTTCTTGTGCTTCAAGCCCGAATGCGTTATGTGTTCCCAACCAAACTTCGGTCGAGCCATTGTCAGGCTTCATGTCAATGAGAGGAACATTTACCACCAAAGCAAAAGGGTGGTCGGGATGAGCAAAGTCGGCATCTGAATGTACTGGTTGTCTTTGGGGTGGAGAATCTTTTGTTGGTGGCATCGCCGAGTTGCCGGAGCAGAAGGTCAGCTTGGGGCGAGGGCCTAGAATGGCGGACGTTATCTGTGTGGCAATCGGGTCTGACTGCACCGTCAACAAATACTGCCACATGGTGAATGTCGGAGAACACGTACTCAGGAAGATCTCGGAGTGGAAATGTTCTTTCACAGGCGGAGCATCCTGCTGCAGGTTTCCTTGGTTGTAATTGAAGGGGCCATTTTTCCCTTTCGACTGCAAGTACAGGGCGTCCGCCACCATTTTTGTATTCAGCTTGTCCAGGACCTTGGTATCGATGGCATTTTCCACCACCACCAGCCCGTCATGTTGGAGCGAACGGACAGCTGTTTCGAGATTTTGTTCGGTCAGTCGACCCTGCGCGATCTCTGGCGGACTGGCACGAAACGACACTGGTTGTGCCTGCAAAGGTTGACCAGAAGAGAAAGTTCGTATCAGGCTCCGGGTGAAGTTAGCCGGCATAACACGAGCGGCGCTATGCACCCAGCCCTTCCCACGAAATGAGATGAAGAGAGTTCCCGTCATTGCAGTCTATCACATATACTCTGTGCAGGTTGACAGATGCGATGAGATGGAGATGAACCCTCTCGTACGTGGCCATGGTTGCGCTTTTTATGCTCATTTACATTGGATTGAACTCGCATCCATGTGACAATATCAGCGAGCGTCGGGCAAACCTGTCGAAACAGGTAAAGCGCTGCATTGTGGTGGGTACCGAGCATTTGCAGGTTGATCATCGCATTCGACGTTCGTTCGACCGTGAGACACCGCCAACTCACAAGATGCAGAGCAGGACGAGACACTCACGAAATCCCTTTAGTCAATTGCACCCTTTCGTAACCGGCGTCGACCTGCAGGGATGTTCGAATGTCTCTCTCTCGAATGCGAAGAATATCATGTTCCAGGTCGAATTGCTCCGAGCATTTGTCCCTTTTCATCTCTTACTTGTTCACTTCCTCCACCCGCTCTTGCACGACTTCTTTATTCCTGGTTTGCAGTGCTGACGCAGGATCGATGCCACAACGCACTGCCAACTTCTCCTCAATGCCGAACAATCGGCTCATTTCTTCCAAAGTCCTTCCTCGAGTTTCCACCATCGCATATCGCACGAATATGAATGCCAGTACACAAATCCCGGAATAAATGATGTACAAACCCCAGCCAATAGCAGAACCAATTGGCGGACTCGCCTGAGCAACAATGTAACAACCCGCCCACAGACTCATTGTCGACAAGGCGTTCCCCTTGGCCCTATAAGTGACAGGGAAGATTTCCGATGCGTATGTCCAAGATCCAACGCCCCAAGAAACATTGAAGCTGATATAGAACAAGTATGGGAAGACGATGACGGCATAATTGGCACTGTCTCCTGGGTGGTGTTCGGCGTGCCATTGAAGAACTAGCATCCAGTCAGCCTCAGCATTGATCAAGACTGTTTTACTTAACCTACCAGTTATCCCAATCATCGCGCACATCATGCCCACGACGCCAATTTGCAGCCAGGTCTTCCGCCCAAGTCTGTCGAAAACAAAGATTGGTATCCAGGCGAAAACGAAAAGGACAATTCCAATCCCTCCTGTGGCCAGATTGCGAGTGTGCGCATCTTCAATGCCTCCACGTTCGAACAATGACGGAGAATAATACAGTATGGAATTTGTTCCTGTGATCTGTTGAAAGAACTGTACACCAGCGCCCAGCAGGGTGACCCTGAGGACGGGCCAGCGAAACATATCCGTCCAGGTTGCCATGGCCACTGTCTTCTCGAACGCTACGTTCTCCGCAATCTCCTGCATCTCGAGTTCCGCTGCCTCATCGCCATGAAAGCGGGCAAGAACTTCTCTGGCGCACTCGTGGCGATCTTGTTGCACTAACCATCTCGGGCTCGGAGGAACCCAGACCCAGCAGCCGACGGCGAGGACTGCGGCCGGAATGACTTGAATTGCAAGAGGGATCCGCCACCAGTCCGGCGTTTGGAGATACGCAAACCCGTAATCCAGCCAAAAGGCAATCAATTCGCCAAGGCAGAGAATCATTTGTTCGATGCCAATGATTCTCCCGCGGAGGCCTGCAGGCGCGATCTCGCTTACGTATAACGGGACTCCTGCGGCGCAGGCACCAACACCGTAGCCGAGAATGATGCGGCCGACAGTGATAGTGGGCACATCATAAGATGCAGCCTGGATGACTGCACCGACAATGAAAACGAGGCTGGCAATGGACAACGTCCGCTCCCTTCCACAACGGTCCGCAAGATATCCGGTACTCATCGCTCCGATGAAGCACCCAATGTCGTACAAGGAGACGACCGCTCCAGTCACCCAGGAGTTCTTTGGTCTCATCAGGTTTATCCATCGCTCGTCTGCGACGATTGTCCCCATGACGCCCTGATCATAGCCAAAGAGAAGAGCGCCCATGGACACGAATGCGGTGACCAAATAGACATACGGCAAATTTGCAGGCCTGACCTTGGTTACTTCATGACCAGGTGGGGGTCGAACAATTCTGGTCTGCTTGATGCTGAACATGGTGAACTTTTGTCGAGAGACAAGGTGCAAGATACGAGCCAAGGTGCGGTGTCGAAATTTGATACCAGATGAACAAGGCACACACTGCGGCTAGGAGCCCTCTTTATACGTCTGAATGACTCTACGTTGGAAGCCATGATCAGTGAACGCTCTCCACTGCGGGTTGTCGAAGCTTTGCCTGTGTGATCGGACTGGCACTGTCTCTTGCTGATCATCGGAGACACTAACTCAAATCCCCTCCAAAGGGGTATAGTCCGACACTCTGCATAAGGTCGCTGTCCGGATGTCGGCAACGATCTGCGGAGCCCCATGGGTACATGCCGTAGCACCATGCAAGTTCGACCTTCATGTGGTTGGGGAATGGTCAAGGCGCCAGTCCCAGAATTGTTCCAATTGTCGCCGTGCGGAGGAAGTTGGCCATCCGGTCTGCTTCTCCGTCTGGATCAGGAGGTCCCGAAGCACGGCTTGCTCGGCATGCGATACGAAGCGGTCACCGACTAAGACGAATTATTTTGTGGATGCAAAAGCGGAGACATTGAACGCTTACACAGTGCAATTGCCATGCACGCAACGAGCTGTGCTGGTGCCGTTCCGGGATTGGACAGAGCCACGCCGCATATTGTTCTTACCTCCTGGGCCGCCGCTTGCTCCATATGCGATATCGCTTGTCTGCGAGATGGTCCCACCCTTGGGAATGATTGGTGGACAATCAACAGCAAGTACGACATCGAAATGTACTGCCAACCCATGACTTGACCCCGTCAGCACTGATAAGAATATGCAGACTCGACTTACCATGACAATCCAGGTGCAAGCGGATATCTGGCAGAAATTCGAATTCCCCGCTTGGGCTTTGGAACAGGGGATCAAAGCCTCTAGGTCGATTTCTTTTCCAAGCATCTACGTCCTCTAGCAGTCGACCGTACTCGGCCGTATTCGCAACATCATTCCCAAACACGAACTCTTGCACTTTACCACACAGATATGTTGCGTTCAAAGACCATTCCCAATCGTCAGCAGATACCTTAGAGGACGACATTTCCGGAAGTCGAAGCTTGAATGGCCTTTGAGATGTCAGAGATGTGAAAATCTCTTGTCGAAATGCCCCCCAATAGCATGCCTTTCGTAGAGACGTGACTGGTGAAGGTGATTGAGCCTGTGAAGCTGTGATGATAGCATGGGTCCCCAACAGATGGCCTTGAGGGTCAGATCCGAGAATGGAAACTGCGCAAACGTCAGTCACAGCTAAACATGACCTTGAAAGACCGACCGTCCATCTCCTCAAGGAGCCGCAGAACAATGACCGCGGCTAGGAGTTCGTCGTCCTTGATTGCAGCAGGGTCATCCAGTCTTGGTATCAAAGTCTGCAAGCACTCGTGGTAGTAGCGATCCGAAACATAAGGGTCATATTGCTGGGTGCGACTACGGTGTCGGGCGGCTAGCGCCAACATTGCATTCGCCAGCGTGGCATTTCGACGTGCCCGAAGCGGAACATCGTAGGCGAAATGCCGATGGAAGTCACTGAAGTCGAAGAAACAAGCACAGTAGTCGACGAAATATCGCGTCAGTTCGGCCGCTTCTCTCGTAGCTAACGGGGCGTAGTGCAGCGTGGAAGCTGGGCCAGTCGACTCAGGCGAACTGACAGGCAGGGTATTGATCCGCTGAGGTATCTTCGGGCTCCAACGAGCCTGGAATGGAGAAGAAGGCGCTGGAGCTGCAGAGTTCGCCGGCCTCGACTGACCAGCTTCTCCATCATCGCTGGAGTCTTCTACGCCGGCATGACTTGCTTGCAGCGACCTAGTCTCGTCCACGAAATCAACTGAAAAGCATCGTCAACCCAGTCAGTCTTGCGAAAATGACGGTTCGTTTACCTCTTGATGGCACTGGCACCCATGTTTGGTGGTGTGCAAATCCAGTAGGTCTCGGCGCAGCACGAAAAGACCTTGCGACCGAGCTCCGAATGCATTGTCGGCCCGATTTCTCACACCGGCTACATCGAGGATGTTGGTTGTCACCTGTAAGCCGATCAGCGGATATGCAATCATCAGAGTTGCAGCAGGCCATACACTTGGTATGCCGTTCCCTGCATGCTTCGCAGGACATGGCGTGTTAGAGCAGCAATAAAGCAGAATGGTTGTGCGAAGCGGGGAAAGCTGGTCGCCGGAGCTTGCGGTATATATTGCCCTTTCGGTCGCTCTCTCGGGCAGGCTGGCCCGTTTTGACCCCTTGGATTCTTCGGCTGTGCAGATCGAGTCAGTCCCGATGTCGATCGGTGGCCATGGAGCCCGTCTCCCTTCTGCATAGACGTACATTATGTGGTCCACACATGATCGATGACATGGAGGGGAGCTTTTGCGTTTTAAGCTTCATTCCATTTATCTCGCTACAGTTGAGCGTCTATCTCCCAGCAAGTCTCGTCACTTCAGAATTTCCCCAAGATGCCTCACGCAGAGTCACCTGAACCCCAGCAGACTCCAGGAGAAAAGTTGTTCGTCAACGACGGACAGTTATCTCCAGATCAGTGGTCCGAACTGAGACCTACAACCGCGGATACGCCTATTGACGAGGTCCGTAGACGGTACAAGGAAGATGGCTATGTCTTTCTCAAGGGCCTGATGCCCCGGGAGGATGTGCTCAAGGCCCGAGAAGAATACTTCAAACTCCTGTCGCCGAGTGGCGTCTTGAAACCTGGAACAATGCCGGTGGATGGGATTTTCGATTCGTCCAGGGACAAGCTCGATTTCCCTGGGATTGGAGCAGGCTCCGCGGATTCCAATGGCCGCCCTACTGGGCCTCATCCGGAAGTCGCTCAATTGTTTGTGGACCTGGCCCTCAAAGCACATAGCGAAGATTGGTACAAGGAAGACTTCTGCAAGCACCCAGCCCTACGAAACTACATTGCGAAGTTGACTGGCTGGGGAGAGAACACTCTGGGTATTCGCCGGACACTCTTGCGGAACAACACGCCCGGCAACAAAGCCATTGGTGTGCATTATGACCAGATCTTCCTGCGGCATGGCGAGGATACCGCCGTGACTGCCTGGGTACCTATGGGCGACGTCTCCAGACAAGGTGGCGGACTGATCTACCTCGAGAGAGGTCATACGCTCGGTGCCGAGATCGAAGAGCAGTTCACCAAGAAAGCAAGAGCGTCCGGGTTGACCGACCAAGAAGCAAAGAGTGCATTCAACCAGAATATGATGAGCGGCGGGCTTCTCGCGGACGGGCCGGCAGAGTTTGGAAAGCGGTACAATCGTCGGTGGCTGTTGACGGAGTATGAGGCGGGTGATGTCGTGCTGCATAATGCTTATGCTGTAGGTATCTTGATTTCTGACCAGACATGACCGCCGCTGACCAGACCTTTCTAGATCCATGCATCCACGATCAACCATGACCCGGAGGACAGAATTCGATTGGGGACGGATCTCAGGTTCGTTGATCAGTCGCGGCCATGGGATAGGCGCTGGGCAAATGACTACACTTTTGGCGATGGTGTGTAGGTAGCGAATTGGTGACAGTAACATGCATAGCAACATAAAAATTCTCGATGATGATGATGATGTTGTTGTTGTTGTTGTTGTTGTCGTAGGAGCTTTCTTCGATTGAGTCTTGTGTCCTTGTGCGTGGGCGAGTCACCCTGTCGCTGTCTCATTTGCATGGTTTCCTCGCAGGTAGCAGGGATCGATCAGAAATCGTCCACGACCAATCCGACGCCTTTTTCTTGGGCCATCCGAAGCAATTCCCCAGCCATGACAGTGTCCATGATGCCTAGGCCGACGCATTTGAACACGAGGTTCCCGTCGAGTGCAAATGGCTTATCGCCCAGCAGCTCGCCGAGTTCAATCAACTGATGTTCTTGCACGTTTGCCTTGATCAGCTCTCCGGCTTCAGATAGGCACCCTTCCTCGGTGTCGACGTAGATGTACTCGCCCGAGAGCAGCGTCTCTGCGTCGACCTCCTGCATCTCGGGCTTGTAGGACCCAATCAGTGAAATGTACCTTGGCTTGTGGTCCAGGTACGAGGCCGGGAAGTGCGGGACGGTCGACGGCGTGCAGCCGCAGATGATGTCGGCCGCCTTGATGGATTCTTGGAGTTTCGCGTCGTACTCGCCGTCGGTCTTGAGGAGGAGGTCGAGCGTGACGTCCGGGTACTTCTGCTTGAGGGTCGCGAACAGCTGCTCCATCCGCCGTGGCGCGCTCCGGTTCACGACGGTGACGTGCTTGACCGCGCCCTCACCGAGCAGGAGAGCCAGTTTGACGTGCCACTCGGCTTGACGGCCCGCGCCGAAGACGAGCATGTTGGTCTTGGGGTGCGGATAGCGCACGAAAGGGATCATGACGGCCAGCGAGGTCCGGAAGGCCGTGACTTCCTCGGCATTGAGGACCCCTAGCAGCGTGCCGTCCGGCGCGAACAGGTTGATGGCGCCTTTCAGGCCTCCCGTCGGACTGATTGTGACGACTTTGACGCCCGTTGACGTCGTCACCGACGACGGCATGAAGAGTGTCGTGTTGCCGAGCTTCGTGACAATCACGTCTCGCTCCGGTTGGTGGATGGTGCGCTCCGATGGAGGGGCATGTTTTGTCCGGCTGTATTCGCGAAGGCTGTTGTGCAGACTGTCGAGGAGACGTCGGCATTCTGGGACACTCAAGTTGGACAGGAGGCTGAAGACGTCGCGTTCTTTGAGGATCAGCATTTTCTCTTTTTGCTTCGAACTTTTGGGGGAGGCAGTGGAACTTTGGAAGGCTGGAGTTGGACTGATGTCTGAAGGGATGAGTAATCAGATTGAGAAACGGTTGAAAACTGAAGGAGCTCTGCTTAATCTCATACTACGAAGCGCTGTTCCAATGGCTGGGAAGCCACTCTGATATTATGATATTATGTGTTTCTTGCTGGGAGGAAGTTTTCGCCGAGCTTTTGCGCTTTGGCGTTTAAGTGTTGCCGACGGTGTCCGCAAAATGGTGGAGCATGGATGATGGGCCGCTCCCACATATGAGACGATCAGGTTCCTTTCTATCTGCAACGAGTGAGCGACAGCTAAGACGTTTTTGTATGAGTTGGTCTTATGGGCGAGGATATGAATCCAAGAGAACAAGGAGTAGGATGGAAGAGATTTGAATCGAATCAGCCAAACTGCTGAGCAGTACAAAGTCTTATATTGAAAGCAGTAGTCTCGACCACTAGCCTCTGCATGAACGGCACCAGACCACTATCCAGAATGAAAATCGTCAATAAGGCTCGTACCATTACATGAATGCGTGATCTTGCCCTGTCAGACCGTCTATCACCACTGCAGGCTGCAGGTTTAAGCCAGAGGCAACTTGGTTCCATCGGGGCTGTAGATCGTGAAGCCAGTGTCGATACCCCAGGCGATGTTGTTGAACTCGACATACACTTTGCCAATCTGATTCTTGTCGGTGATCTCGAAGATGTTGACGCCGTTGATGGGGAGCTGTCTGCTGCCAATGCCGGTGAATGTAAAGTACCAGACGACCTCGTTGCAGCTGGCGAGGACCTTCTTGGTGTTGATGCCGGTGACGGAGGGAGCGAGGAGAACGCCTTGGATGTACTGCGCCTTGCCCGTGAAGGTGTCGGCGCCGGCCTGGAAGACAATCAGATTAGCCCTGACGATTTCCGCTGTACTATTCAGTTTGACATACTGGATGGCCTGCAAGCATGTTGATGGAGTCGCTCTTCTCGACGAAACCATCGGCAAGCAACGCTTGAGCAGTGGCATTGGCAGCGCCGATATCAGTGTGACTGAGGACGGTGATAAACTTGTTGACAATGTCGTTGGCGTCGGCTTGAGTGAGGCAGTTGTCCGCGGGGCATCCAGGCTTACCACCCTGCCAGTCACCCCAGCCGGGGGCAGCGGCGACGGCGGAGGCAAGAGCAAGAGGTGCAAGGATGCTGAAGAACTTCATCTTGGCTAATTGGATTGGTTGAGGGTTATTCGATCGGTAGAGTACAGATTGCAACGAGCGACTTGGGCGAGCTGGGAACGAGCGACAGTGAACAAACTTATCTTTGAGCTTGTAGTGAAGATGGGAGAGTGACCACCGGGCAGCCTTCACCTTTTTGTACCTTGATATTCACAGCGATGGATGGCTCCTTGCGGCTGCCGCTCCTTCGCGTGTAAGCAAGGAATCCTTCATCAGCATGAACCATCTTCACCAAAAGGAGTCATTCGCAAGGTACAAGGTCATAACCGAGTCTTGGGTTTCAAGCCACATCCCAAGGCTGAACTCTTGGGCGAACGTGGGCAAGGCGTCTGGTCCAGCCATCAGCGAAACCAGGGGTGGCTTTCTCCGCGTTGGGTGCCGTGTATACGGATCAGAGTTCGAGATGAGTAGGAGTTGAGCTTGGTGTCATGTAAGGCGGCTTAGCCAAGACCGAATCCCCCAGATTCGCAATTTCCTGGGACTTCCTCTGCACCACGAAGGAGTGAGATCACGAATGAGAGGCATGGGAAGGACAACGCCAATCTCAGCCAAACCAGCGAGTCGGAACAAACCGAGACTTTGGTATACTAGGGTCGATCGTATCGTAGTGAAGCAGTTCGGATGAACGTGATCATAGACAGGGCGCCAGGATCGAGGGAGTCGTGGGATGCTAGCTGGGATGGAACGTTTCTTGGTGGATGAATCAGGAACCTCGTGAACATCACACGGGCTCGACGGCCACGTCGAGATTGAAGGAGCGGTATTGCTTGGCTGTGTGGTGGCGGGCAAATCAGAGACATTGACATTTTCCAAGGTTCTTAGGGGCATGATGGGGGCCAGATTTGGCTGCCTTGGGCGGTTCTAGGCGGCAACGAGCGGTGTTGAAGCCTGTTGCAGACCCCCCCCAGGTGAGAAACTACTACGTAGTAGCCCTGCAGCAAGAAGTGCGCTACCAGCTCTAGGACACCCAGCTATGCCATCAGCTCAGGAAGCGTGTGTTCAGTCCAACCACTCTCTGCTATTCCTTCATGCAATTGAGCCTTAGAATTCAGGTGACCTCCGCGTTCCTGGGTGTCATCCTCGCATGGCTGCGGGTACAAAGGATTCTTTTTCTGTCATCATGTACTGTAGTTCTCGCTCTCCAAGCGCTGAACCTTCACGAGATCACAGGCTTAACGGAAGGCCAGCCTCAGCGAACATCCTTGCCAGTTGTGATCAATGATAATCTCCAGAAAGATGCTGATCGTAGATTGCTGAAAGAGAATATGCAGGAGAAAAGGGCATGGGATCTTGGAGGCGGCTGAAATGCAATCTTCTACAACCAAGAATGATTTTGGGTGTGATTAGCCCGAAGTTTGAGGTACAACGTTAGATGAATTTTGTCAACCGCTGCTCAATACCATCCTGCCCTATGATCTTAACATACATGCATCAAGTTTGTGCTTCCAAACTTGCAGCGACTGTCTGACTTCACGCCACCGGCAGAAGTGACTCATTTCATTCATAACTGCTTTCCGTCATGACTTGATAAAACTGTTGACGACGGTGATGATGGTGGTGTAAATCATGCAGGCCAAACCCAACGCCATCAATGCAATATCTCCAGCTTTCGCCCACGTCGTTTGAGCCACGCCTTTGTAATGAAGCAACGGCGGATACACGTATACAAGTGGGACGCATGCAAATGAACCGATGAGTGCAACGAACCTGTCCAAGTTGTTGGAGCCCAGGATTGCTACCAATACACAGACAATGACAAGGCCCGTACGGAACCCGTTCTTCTTCCATTTCGTAAAAGCATCTCTCTTGCCGGACCGGCGGCCGAAGACCTTGCCTTCAAGGATCCGAAGGGCCGGGAACAGTTGCACAGGCGTACCGGCCATGACCGCGAGCGCGTACAGAAATTGTACGGCATTGACGAGCTTGTTGTTCTGTGGGAAGTTAGAAATAACTTCAATCTGCGTTGCGGACCCAAAGGTAGCATAGCAGAGAGCGCCTATCGAGGTGAAGATGACTGTGATGATGAGCATGATGGCCCATAACAACGGCTCGAATTTTTCAGGTTGCTTCATGGACGACTGAATTGGGAGGATCAGGCCAATGCCTTCGAACGTGAAAATCGCGGAGCCGATGGTCATGGTGTAGTAATCAGGATTGAACAGCTGAACAGTCGGGTGGATGCCATCATTCACTAGGGTCGCAATGTCGTAGTAGTAGATGTAGGCCAGACCAACAAGGATGAAGACATCTGCGAGCAATGCCGCAGGACCGAGCTTGGAGATGTTGCGGATATAGGCCAGCGGTATCAGGGCTATGAGCTGCAGCGCGATCAGAACATTGGTGGATAGCGGTTGTGAACCTTTGGTGACGGCCTGCAGGAAAGAATGAAGATTCTGCGCGACGAAAACCGTGCCGGCGCAGACGAATCCAAGTTGCGAAATGGTGACCGAACCGAGAATGATGGCCCTCAATCTCGGTCCGCCAATGGCTTCGCCGAGTTCACCATAACCGTTCTTCTTGTGTTCTTGTCGGCATTGTAACAACAAGTGGAAAGCCAGTGTTGTGACGAGCGAGACAGTCAGCAACGTGATGGATGAAAATAGGATGCCGCCATTGTTGAAAGCCTTGGGCAAGAACATGATACCGGTGCCAATGAAGGCCTTGAGCAAGGTGAAGAATGTCTTGGTCATGCCGGCATCGCCCCTCGCTTTGGCAGTGGTACGCCGTCGGCCGAGCAGTGGTCTGGTCTCGGATGGGGCCTGTTCTTCATCTTCAAGTGCTGATTCGTCTTCGGAATCCTCGAGATCTTCTCCAGCGAAGCTGCCGTACAAGGCGAGAAACTCGACGAAATTTCGAGTGACGGGCATAACGGCTGGATTGAATCGACCATACTTTTTCCTCACAAATTCCCGGCGGAAGCCTCCGGGGGCCAATTGGTCTGCAACTGTGGGCTGCTCATCGTCTTCGTTGGAAGTGCTGAGTTGAGGATGAGAAAACGTGGCAGCTCGATGTTGTAGCTTTCCCCGGTGATGGATTTTGTAAAGATCTCTATGGATGTCTCCACCCTGGAGCTGCAAGGAAGATTCGGCTTCTTCCTCGTCGGAATCTTTCGAGGCCTCTGCAGCATCAGATCCAGCAACGTATCCAGCCGTGTAGCCAGATGGCAGATGATCAGAGATCACACGCGCTGCCTGGACGTCTTGGTGCGAATTCGGCGTGTCGGCCATGATGGCGGAATGACGGTGCTCGTTGGGTCAGACTTAACGGCCAATATTGTTGACACGATTAAAAATGTAGACAAGAGGACTCGCCATGGAATGGAGTTATTTCTCAATCTCGCCCAAGAAGGAGACGAGGACGTGCAATGAATTGAAGAGACGACGAGGACGAAAGACGGGAGACGAACAGACACGGTGGTACGGACGCGGTGACATGTCGAAAAGCTGGAAGTCTCTAGAAATCGGACGCTTCACTTCCCACGTCATCTTCAAGGAGTAAGAGTAATGGTCCGCGGGCTGAGGCTGCAAGAATGATTGGCCAGGCGCTCGCTTCCGAGGAAAATCTGTACTACGGCCAAGCACAGAGCTTCAGAGCTTCAGAGCCACGTGACTCGATGACCAGGCGCCCCTCGCGCCCCTCGCGTCGTCTCGTCCCCTCGTCCCCTCGTCGACCATCATTGCTGCCGTCTGTTGATGCACTCTTTCCACTCCATTATATGCATATTTCATCGGCCGGCTTTTCCGACCACACCTTTGACACACCGACCAAGTCCCCCAACCCGACCTATCACTCAGCGGTGAGGAACCGCCCAAGAATTTGCTATGCCTGCGTGAGCCTTGCCGACGGCACAGCGCCCCCTCTTGTCGCTGCCCGACGTTCGGTTCGTCTGCCTACTAGCCATTGTTACCGACCATGGTGCCGCGTCCACCGCGGGTGGTGCAGCAACCGCAAAATAACAGAGGAAGACATGTCCAGTACGGCCAGGCTCAACGGCTGCGGCGAGCAAAGAACATTTCAAGAGACTGGGCCCTTTCGGTACACTACCAGGTGACGGTGAGCTCAGAATATTGAAATACACAGCACACCCTGTAGGACTATTGACGGTTCTTGATCGCTCATTTCATATGCAGCCATTACAGTCATGTGCGCACGGGGATACGTTGAAGAGACGAACGGTAAGGTACGATCCGTACTGTAGGGAAGAGCGTCCCCGGCATGCTGCAAATACCATCAAATGCCCTGTCAAACAGACTTCCAGAATTCTAGTCAATCCCATCATACCATTCTAGTATCGTGTCATCGTTTAATGCATAGGATCCTCCTTTTCCTCACCCATGACCCCGTTTCCATAACTCCTAGATTTCAGAGTGCTCAGGACTACCCTGGCTTAAGACACGCCCGGCTGCCAATGCGACGCAAAAGTCGGCGTTTTCCACAGCTGTGGCACGATGAGCGATGGTGATGATCGTGCTTTCCTGCAACTCCTCTCTCAACACCCGCTGGATCTCTGCAGAGGTCTCCATGTCAATGCTGGCAGTTGCTTCATCCATTATGACAATCGCACTTCTCCTCAGAATGGTCCTGGCAAGTCCAACCAGCTGCCTCTGACCTTGACTGAGATTCCGGCCGCCGTTGTCAATCTCCGTGTCCAAGGTCCAGCCATACTTGCCGCAGACCCTGGATATTACAGCTTCGCAAGCATAGTCCGAGTGCTCCTCCATCGGATCGAGGTTGTGGCGTAGCGATCCTGGAAAGAGAACAGGTTCCTGAGCCAAGAATGTGACCCTGGTTCTCAACGCTTGTTTGGCGACCTTGGAAATGTCTATGCCATCAATCAGGATGCGGCCCGAATCAGGCGTGATGGTGGCAAGGAGCGCAAGCGCCAAAGTTGACTTGCCCGACCCAGTTCTTCCGGTGATTGCATTGGTAGTTCCACCTCGGAATGTAACCGAAACATCTGACAAGGCTGGCTCGAGATGCGGCTGATAGCGGACTGTCACGTTTTCGAAGACAATGTCGCTGCCGTATTTGGGCCAAGCTGCTGGCGGTTGAAGGGATCCCTGAGGTTCTTGCTCAATATGCATCAGTTCCACGACTCTTTCCACGGACACGAAGTTGAGCTGTAGCTGTCCATACTGCTTGCAGATAGCATGAGTGGATTGAACAAACTTTTGAGCGGCAACAAGCACGAAAGCAGTGAGTCCGGCCGAGAGACCGGAGAAGATGGCCATCAGGGTCAGGAGAAATGTTGACACTGCGGATAACGTATCGAATCGGTACATCAACCAAGCTTGCAGGCTCCAGTAGAAATGGTCCATTTTCTGAAAGGCATCGGTGGCTTGAATATTACGTTCTTGGAACTGAGGCTGCGCACAAAATGCTCGGACCGTCATCAGACCGTTGAGCAACGCGCCAAAGTTGGTCATAAGAGGTGTTAGGGACACCATCTCGAGCCGACGCAGGCTTTGCGACGTCGGCAAAAACTGCAGGAAAATTACCACAAAGGCCAGTGTCAACGCGACTGCAAAGACCAAAAAGATCGGTGTGACGCTTGCAATCACGATCATGGAGGAGAGCCATGCAATGGCGTACCATATCACCACCAAGAATTGGTCAGCAATGTTGCCGTCGATGGTCCCAATGTCCGACGTCAGGCGATTCATGAGCCTACCGACTGGCGTCACATCGTAGAAATGAAAGGTCGTGGTGCTGATTCGGAGCATAATATCTCGGAACATGCGGCGCGCCGCAATGTACGTGACGACGAGCATCGAAATTTGACTCAGCACTAGAGCCACCGTTTCGCAGATAACAATGACAAGATAGCCGAGGAGCCAAGGGTTGACGTTCCTTGCAGGGTCGGGGAATCGATCGAAAAGACCGGCGATGGGACTTTCAAGAAGGTGGACTTCGGAATCGAACTTTTGCAAAGTGAGGACGTGCATCTTGACTCGATCGTATGCCTCTCCCCATTCCTTCAAGAACCAGCTCTCGCTGACGTACGTTATTCGGCACACAGCAGCCGTCAAAACGACCATGAACCACCATCTGAGCGTTCCAGCCTTGATATATTGCCAGTAAATAGCTAGCTGGACACCTCCATGGGCTCTGTGTTCATCTTCCACGAACTTGTCGGGAACAGCGGCGGATTCATCAATATCCTTTTCCGTATCTTCGCTTCGGGCGGAATCAGCGCCCTCCACAATCGTCGCGGAAGTTGACGTCGTCAAATCTTCATCGTTTTTGTGTAAAGTGGCGTTGCCGTGGGAAATTTCAACTAGTTGAGAGGCCACATGCTGACAGAGATCTGTCCGGTGCGTTGCCAGGATGACGCTACGTCTTTCCATTAAACTGCCACAGAGACACTTTGAGACAATCCACTCTGCAGTCTGTTGATCCAGAGCGCTCAAGGGGTCGTCGAGAAGTAGAATTTGTGCTCGACTGTAGACCGCTCTTGCAAGGGCGACTCGGGATTTTTGGCCGCCCGAGAGTCCAATGCCGTTCTCGCCAATGTTCGATAGATCACCGTGTTTGAAGCCGGCGAGGTCCGGGAGGAGGGCACAAGCTTCTAGAGTTCTCTTATATCGCGCGTCGTCATAGGGCGAGTTGAACAGTATGTTTTCCCGGATGCTCATGCTTTGTAGCCATGGTGTTTGAGAACAGTATCCGACAGGAGCATCGGGCCGCAACAATTCACCTTCACGGAGATCAAGTTCACCAAGGAGAGCTTGAAGAAGAGCCGTTTTTCCTGCTGCAACAGGTCCATACACCACAGTCAAGCCCTGGGGGAAGGACAACGAGATGTTGCGAAGCGTCAAAGTGGAGAGACCAGGCCATGAGAAGGAGGCATTCTTCAGTTCGAGGTCGCCCTGCGTGTATTGTTGATTTTCAGATCTTTCCACTTTGTCAGGCTCCGCAATGAACTCTTCAATACGACCTACAGCCACCGATGCATTCAGTAAGGTAGCGATCAATCCCGGAAGTTCTCGAATGTTTGTCTGCAACAAAGCGAAGAGTTGTAGGGCGGGAAATGCGACATCAACACGTAGTTGGTGACCTGCAAGGACTGTGTATGCGTAGAACGTGGCGACAGGGAGAATGCCACTTGTCATTGAGTTGAGGAATTTGATGGCCGAATTCCAGAGGTAAGTGACGATCCTCAAGTTCAGCTCCCTCTGCCTGGCTGACATCACCCCATCGAGCCAGGTGAAATGCCAGCCATACCACCTCAAGTGTCTAATAGCCTCGACGTATTGAGATATCTTTTGCAACTTGACATCTGTTGCCTTTCGCCGCTCTGTTTCCCACGTCATCAGAATACGTGCGAGAATGTAGTTGAACATCTGCGCCACGATGACTACTGCCACACCAATCAAGCACGGCCATCCCACCATACGCCAGATCAGTATGATGGAGAGAACGAGCCCCAGAGGCTTGTTGATCAGGTTCTGAAACTCCCAGAATCGTTGAGCAACTTCGTAAACATCGTACCGGAAAAGGTTGAATATCTTGCCCATTGAGGCGGACGCCTTCTGCTCGACATCGGAATTCCCCTTGTAAGTAAAAAATGATCGAACTTGGTAGATGGCTCTCTGAGCACGCCGAGCAAAGCTCCGCGGGGACTTGTCGTAGCCGTTCAGTAGCTGCTCGGACTCCGGTAGCGCGCCTGACCCAGCGGTCTGGGGATCTCGAATTGATCCATGTTCAGCGTGTTTGACGCCTTTTTCGTTTTCTTGGGGCATTCCGCCCAGGATCTTCCGGTGAAGAGTCTTTTCATACAGCATCGTGATCATTTCACCTCTGGACCGCTCATAGCACCGTCTCTGAAACCATAGACTGACAACGGCGCTCTGAGCTGCGACAAACCTGACGACCAATATCAGAAGTGCAAAGGTGACTGCAGGTTGCTTGTTTGTCTTTATTTCTTCCATTGCTTTGAGGAGCCTCTGCAGGATTACCGGAGCAGAATAGTTTGTAACCAATTCCAGGACGGCTAGAAGTGTCAGAAGCACCAAGTCTATCCAGTTGGCGGCCAAGAGACGTCGAACGACACTGCCTTGAAGCTCGCGAAAGGCATCATGAAGCTGCCGATGCTGAAACTCGTAACCCAACATCCATACATCTTCGTCGTGAAGCTGGCGCTTGTTGCCGATCTTGATTAAAGGGGCCAGCCATGAAACCGTCATCCATTGGAACAATGTCATGTTGTCCTCTGGCGATCGGAGAGCACTTGTTGGAGGAGTAAAAGGGTGACTTATCTCGGCGCGACTCAATGCTGGGTCGCGGAGGGGCATGCTCACTATAGTGGCTAGAGTGATGATGGCCAGTCCTGTGCTTGACAGTGTGAGGATTGCATTGCGCCCGAAAGTGTCGTCGGAGAAGACGTAGGAAAAGAGGGCAACTCCAGCAGCAGCAATGCAGGAAAGGTCAAGTAGAAGACATATTGAGGCTGTTCTCGGAGGCCAAATTGCGATGTACAAGGCTGCAACACCCCAAAGAGCAGCGATTGGCCTGGCCCATGATACCTCGAGTGCGACCAGAAGTTGTACGACGCTGCCAACGACGGTCAGCGCGAAGAGGCATATTGCATACCACGGTATTCGCGATCCTTTCGATGTCAAGTCGGCCGTTTTGACGGGCTCGACGATGAATGGTCGCGGCCAGGGAAGCCTCGTTTTCCATGATGGAATTCCAGATGCCCACATGATGATACTTCAGGTCATATCATGCATCGCACATGTCCGTAGCAGAGCAGCCATCAAGCAAACACACAAAACACGAGATGATGGCAGCAGGAGGCTCATTGGTACAGAAGCCTGAGATTCAACATGCAGTATCGACAGTGGTCGTCACCTTGTCAATTGTGAGGCTTCTGGCGTGAAAAGCAGTTGAGGCCTGGGGTGGTTTTGAATTCGAAGAGGGAAGAATGTGAGATCTCACAGCCAAGACCCAGAATTGCTTCCAGGATTTATGGTGACGCGAAAACGTGCATACAGTGGTACGTGTTGCAGTTGCGTTGGCACCTCAGCTCCATCTTTCACCTCCATCATTCTATTCTTTTGCGTCACCATCGAGACCGTGTTCTTCATCGGTCAACACTTTCTCAATCCATAACCCATTACATGCGCAGAGACACCACCGATATGAATGGAGTCTGCCAACACTCGATGGGCATGGCCAAGCGACGGTACCTCCACCCACCAGTCTCAGCCGAAACACCGCAGTCTAGGTGACAATTGCAAGATAAGAGCCTATCGACACACATTTCACACCTTTCGTATCCCCGCGATCGTGCCGATGGCCGATGCAGCCAAGCCCCGCGTTCCTGAAGCCCAAGAGTTCGTCGACTGTTGATGCATGCAAGAGACGAAAAAGGCAGGACGAATGCAAAGTCCTACAATAGTCCTTATCTTGCCGATCAAAGACCTTATGAGCGGATGAAGGCGCAAGAGACAGTCTTCGGCATATACAGGAAAGTATAAAGTGCGTGATGGCCCATAGTTGAAGAGGTAGGTTGGTTTTGTTTGCACAGGGTTACTGCGACGAGGCTCTATTCGGACCATGCCTATCATAAGGAGAGTGTTGCTCTTGCTGGCATACTGCATTGTTTCTATATCGTGCGCACCACTGAGGCGGGCTCCCTACAATTTGCTGCAGTCTTTGCCGAATGGTGATTTGTTGTTTGAGCTGGGCAATCTCTCCTACGTCGCCAACATACAGCATCCCAAAGCCATAGCCTCCACTTCATTTGCAACCGTTTCCCAGCATGTGAACTTCCCTATGACAGTGTTCAACACAAATGCTTCGGTGATCACAAATGACGTGCTTGAGAGTATAGTTGCGAGCTATCTGGAGGCGGACGATGTCTTCACCGAGGATTTCCTGCAGTCCGTGGTAATCTCTTCGACCGCAGACGAGCCTACGCTCGATGCAACTGCGATCAGCTACCTGGAGTCGTACGAAGTCAGTCACACCTTCGTCAGCGGAAACTTCAAGCCGGTCGTCAGCGCTGGCAACTACAGAGTTGCTGCATTGTCCCTCGACCGTGCTCTACCATCTGGTCCTTATATGGCGACAACAGCTGGAGATTCGCTCTTGTTCTGCATGGTCCACCTGCTCTATGCAGATTCATACCGTGATTTCTTGTTCGGGGCTTACGACTCTAACGACGGCAATGGCAGCTACTCAGCTTTACCGACATTCCTCCCGAGGTACTGGAATCCAATGATTCCAGTGCCTTCCCGCATTTACAGCTGGGGAGATGACCGACCATTGGCAGGCGAACGCGTCGCTATTAAAGATCTATTCGACATCAAAGGTCTGCAGACATCAGGCGGAAGCCAAGCATGGGCCTACATCACACCGATCGCCAATGGCACTGCTCCTTCGATACAGCGAATCATAGACTTGGGAGGAGTGATCGTTGGGAAATACAAGCTTGCGCAATTCGCCTCGGGAGCGAACCCCTGGGATTGGCAGGATGAACATTATCCATTCAACCCTCGAGGAGACGGGTGGTTGACATGTTCGGCGTCTTCTTCTGGTGGTGGTTGTTCGGTCGCTGCATATGACTGGCTTGATTATGCCATTGGGACCGACACAGGCTCGTCAATGCGGCGGCCCGCTGCCGTGGCTGGAGTCTACGGGTAGGTCTAACTAGACAGGCGTAAATGCGCTGAGCCTGACCTGAGTGCAGTCAAAGACCAAGCCAAGGCTTGATGAATCTCGAGCGCGTGATGCCGTTGGGCGGCGCCACTGATACGACCGGGGTCTTTTCGAGAGATCCATACAAATGGGTCAAATTCTCCAAGGCATGGTAAGACAAGAGACAGACTGACGCATCTGGAGGCTGATAGTATCAGGTACACTCAGTCATACTTTCAGACCGTCGACGTAACTGGACTCTCGCCATTGTCAGTCCCTGATACGAATGCCTTCCCCAAGCGAATCCTCTATCCAGTGGACTACCTGCCTTTGAACAATTCGGCTGCTGAGGTTGTCCTCCAAGATTTCATCGCTAACATGAGTTCATTGTTGGGCATGACCGTGGAAAAATTCAACTTCACCGCCACTGTTCAGAATGCCTCGGATCCTCAAGTCCACAATCTAACATACCTCAACTCTGGGCCCCTTGGGGTGATCAACTCTTACACTCAATGGGAAGAAGTCGCCAAACCACTGATCCAAACATGGGCGAAACTCTACGATGGCCGCTTCCCACCAATTGATCCCGCTCGGCGTCCAGGATGGCGGAAATACAACGAAAGTCAAAACACTGCTGCTGCATATGAGACAGCTTTGCAACAGAAGAATCTGGCAGTGGAGTGGTACGAGCAGAATCTCCAGTTCAGCACCTCCGAGTCGTGCTCAGAGTCGGTTATGCTCTACGACATTGGCCCCGGAGGTCTGCCCTCGTTTCGAGAAGAAAGTCTGAATGACTCCCCTGCTGCGTCTTATCTGGCCGTGACACCCCCGACCGCCAAGATCACTGGTGCGAGTATTTGCCCAATATATGGATGCGCAGATTTCACAATCCCCATTGGTCAGGTGCCGTACTTCAGCAATGTGACTTTCCATGAAGAGATGGTGCCCGTGACCATCAACATGGTGGTGAAGCGCGGATGTGACTTCGTGTTGTTGAACATGATCGAGAGGCTGGCCGATGCAGGGGTTTTAAAAACAGTGAAGACAGGTCGTACAGCGTTTTGATTCGGCATGCTCCTGATTGGAATTCAGAAGCATGGGAATGGAAGCTATTTCCTGGTTCTTATCGAATTAAAAGTCTACGTAGCCTCCTCGACCTCCGTGGCTTGTACGGATACTTGGCACGGTCTACGGAGTATGTAGTACTGTCGAGCTGTCACTCTGTGTAGCTCCGTAGTGAGTCTGAGATTTGAGCCGAGGTCTCAAGTTGGAAAATTGCGTTGTCAGTGTCTGTACTTCGCTGTAGCTGCATGTTCATGTGCGACGATCCGGTACCTGTCGATCCTGGGACCATGTATCCGGCCACCTGGTTCACAGTCACCACGCCGAAGATGTCGACTACCGGCACTACCCTTGACGCAGCGAACTCCCCACCGAGAGAAACGATGCGGGAATGTAGTGCTGGGCGAACCTGAGAGGGAAAGAGAGAACACGTTGTAGTGGACGAGGTCACACCCTAAAGAGCTGCAAAGGAACAAGGTCCAAGAAGAGACAAACACACAGCCCACACTGAGGGATCTCACCAGGCAGCCTGTCGGAACTCAGCCTTACCTAGAAGCAATGCCTGCCAGACAGGTTGAAGAGGAGGTGGCGAAGATTGGCGTGAGGCACAAGCAGCCAACAAGAGTTGGAAGATGATGGATGAGAAAACGTCCATAGTCAAGATACCTACAAATCATGTACCGAGTTGCGCAAGGAAGCCGACTCTATTGTATATCTGGTACTGTGGTCTCATATGCACTATGTAAAATCGTGAAGTTTAGCGCTAAGATGCCATTCGACGACAAAGAGCAGCGAGGACAATTTGTGTGGTGGAGGGCCTCTTGTTCAATGCGGTGCCCAACTCCTGTTTCGACAATTCAAGCGGCAGCTGTTTTAATCCCCCGGTTATACGAGATTCATTACACGATTTACCCATGAGACCGCAGTAGTAATTTTGCCCTCTTCCGTGACCACCGGGTTCGTGTTGAAACCTATCAATCTCTTGACAGTCCCCCTGTGGCAGGAAGTGTCTTCCGCGACACTGATCTATAAGCGAGATTGATCCGAGATAAAGCGATATCTCCGAGAGATCAGGGACTGTGGGATTCCGGTCTGCGGAGAGTTGTACGCGAATTGTTGATTCACACCACTGACGTCTCTCGTGCACCCAACCATCAGTCCACTTTCCTCGTCAAACCTTGCCGCAATGGACGCTGAACATCAGACCGATGGAGACGAGGATCACGTTTCGCCAGCCCAAGTCAATCAGATCCTACGCCGGAAACGCAAGGCTCGCGAACGACGAGCCTGCTACCCTTGCCGGCAGCGCAAAGTCAAATGTAATTACGAAACGCCTTGTCAACGCTGCATCGATCGAGACCACGTAGATCTTTGTTCCTACCAACAAGCCCCCAAAGGCACCACTGAGGCTGAACCTCTTCCGAATCCTCCTGTTTCCAGCTCCAGTCATGGCCATGGTCCGCAACGCGCCGGCCCAGACTGGAACCAGCTTTGGTCGAAATTGCAGACTGTCGAGGGCTTCCTCCGAGACATCAAGAATGGATTAGCCAGCCATGTTACGGATACGTCGCCGGCCGATAGTGCACTATCTGTCAGACAGGGGAATTCCCCTAGCCAGGGCACAAGAGAAGCGAACATCACTGCGGTACCTGTGTTTCCCCCCAAGAGTGGTCTGGTAGCAGATGGCTCAGTCTATCTGGGCTATGATTCCGTCCCCGCCATGGCCTTGGCTCTGGGCAGTAGGAACGACGGAGAGGCCACGCAAAACGTCGCTGGCAATAGTGTTTTGCCGTTGTTTGGCCTCGACAATGAGTCTGCGACCTACCCTTTCACCGACCTCTGGGGCTTGACCGATACACCTTCACGGGTCAAGGAGGTTTGCAAATTGATACCCTCAGATGCCGATTGCTTTCAGCATCTGCGACATTACCGCGATAATGCCCACGCCCTCTATCCTGCAGTCGTCAATATCGACCAATTTGAGACTGAAATGTCCCGGTTCCTCATTACCCGGTCAAGCCGTCGTTCGCAGGTCGATGTCTATGTTGATCAGTCTTCAGACATATATGGCCAAACGGTCCATTGGCTCAGCCTCTTGTTTGCATGTCTAGCATCGGGTTGCCAGTGCTCATCCCTTCCACGAAAGGAACGTCAACTGACTGCACAGGTCTACGGTAAACTTCGCGCCCAGCCCTTCTGACTACTTATGATGTGCTGATCAAATCTCTAAAGTGTGCTGTGCCTACGAATGTTTGCGAATAAGCAATCATCTGTCAAGGCCAACGCCAGTGGACATTCAGTCCCTGTTAGTGGTGGGGAATGTCATCGCCAACAGCATGAATGCCGGCGTGGCCTGGTCATTGCTTGGTACCTTAGCCACCACCCTAGATATTTTGTAATGTATAGTTTGACGATCTTTAGGGCTTACCACCAGATTGGCTCAGACCATCGGTTTGCATGAACCGGCAGAGTTCTCCGCATCGCCGGACGAGGGACGTTTCCGAGAAGAGATCTGGTACGTCGAAACTAATCTCAAGCAGGTATTCGGTGCCCTCCACTAACCGTTTCCAGGTGGCAGATTGTATGGCAGGATAGTCTACTCTCTATTCTGTTCGACAGATCCCCGGCAACTTCCACAATCGCTACGACGCGGCCGCATCATGTTTCCATGCACGATTCGGACAAATTGTCCTACATCAACTGCATGAAGAGACTTTGCGCGGCCATCCTTGACATTGTTCGCGATCGTTCTGTCTCCGTCGGCGCAAGCCAGGAAGTTTCACTTATCCTCAAGCACCGAGACAGGCTGACGGCCATCTTGGGTCAAGCAGCGCCGCACCTCACCGATGTGTCTGCATCCAGAAGTATGAGAGACCAACTCGAGCACTGGAATCTATCACTTCATCTTTCCTACGTCATGTTCGACCTGCACCGAGCCACTCTCCGAAACCAGAGTGACACAGCATTGGGTCATCTCCGAGATGCATGCGTCGACAGCCTGGCCAGTACCGTACACGCTTATTTAGGCCTCCAAAATGTGTCCTCAACTACGAGAACGTCCTGGATTGCGACGCAGAGGGCCTTAAGCTCCGCCCTCCTTTTGGGCATCATAAAGGAGCACGAGAAGAACCAACGTGTCCACACTCTTCTACAGGACCTTTTGACGGTCATGACGAATCTCAACTCCGACACTGTTCCGTCCGAGGTGCCAGCTCCTATCGCGAGGGCCATTGCAGCCCTACGTAGATTCCTGCACTCTTCTGATGCGATGGAAGTCGATAATCCTCAATGGTCTGGTCATGTTTCCATGCAAGGGAGCAGAGATGGGTCACGGTCTTATGACGCATCTACATTCAACTCTCCGACAATGACGCCCGCGAAGTCTCCTCATGGCATCAGCCCATTCTCCCTCCTAGGGGACATACTCTGGGGAACCCAGTCTATGCAAGCTCAAGGTCTCTATCGACGGTCTTAGGCGAGCTCTTCAAATCTCTGTTGGTCCTCCGAGCGATGTTGAACCGTCTTGGAGGGTCGCCACTACCACGCGGCTGTTTCCGAAGCACGTTCCTTGGAGCTTGTACGTCTTCCCTGACCTCCGCACGGCCATTCCCTGGGAAAGGACGAACCTCGAAAGACATTGTTCTATGATGCCGTATGGTTCAACAAGCAGGCTGGTCAAAAATATGTATGATACTTCTGCTATCACGATCATCGGATCTCCCAACGCTGCGATTATGCGCCTATACCCAGAAGCACACTGGAACACATCATCTAGTAAGGCATGAAACATGATTCAACCGTCGAACGCCAGCCTCCCTACTATTGCAACGCAGGAGTCCGCGCGGCAGTGATGATGGAATGGCCGGAAGCGCCAAATGTTCCTGACGGACATCCGGCTCATAACGATTGATGTACATCAACCTGGGCCCCAAACAGGACACCTTTATCATGCTGCCTTCGTTCAAAACATTGCTCCGCTTGTCTTCACTGGCCCCCGGCTGTATCCTCCTGAGATGCCACAAAGAAACGCCACCTATGGGCTAAGCGTCAAAAAACCTCTCCTTGAAACCATGGATAGCTCCAGGAAGGTTGGCCATCGCACATGACGGAATAGTCAGAAGGGAACCGCATTGGGTCGTAAGGTTCTTCAAAATTCCAGTCATTCAGTGGATCCGGAGATGTATTGCAAGATGGACTTGAGCTGTCGAGATGATCAAATTCCTCGAAATCGATGCCATCCATGAATTGAGACTCTTCTCTGGTGGATGAAGACTGGGTAGTCTCAACATGACTATGTCTTGCGCTTGCCGACGATCCATCATCCGTTGGCGAGTTTGCAATTTTAGGCGGTGGTTTGTGCGTGCGAAGTTCCACGCGAGGCTCAACAATGTCGACAGGGGCTAAACCGAGAGACTCCACAATATCCTTTACAGACATGTCGCTTTCTGGAGAGCTCACGTTCGAGTCTTCAGGGTCCTGTTCCGCTTGCAGTCGGCGATGCAGGATATGAACACACTCGACCAGGATCGACTGTTGGCGTGCCAATTGCTCCGCATATCTCATGGCCGTGTTAGCAGAGCGACAACAAGGAGAGAATTGACAGTGTTGTACTTACGCTGCCGCGGTCTGAGAGCCCGAGGATTTCCGCACATACTTGTAAGTGCAACAAGTTTGGCTTCTCGAGCACTTCCCGCAGGGTTCTCCACCATCGCACTGTTTGGCGAGTTGCCATATGTCAGTCTATATGCTATGCTGCATAGCAGCGCGACGTCTTCACCCACCTTGGCCTTTTTAATTCTGCAAAAATCGCACGCCCGCGAGATACGATTCCTTTCCTGCCGTCCGGGTTTGCGGCAAGATGAGATTCCCGCATTTCTAGGTAGTACCCGTTTCAACTCGTTCAGGGCGTCGAGTTTTTGGTAGTTGTTGTCTGCTGCGAGCATGCTGGGCAAGTTGTATGACGCCTGGCTTTCTTTTGCTTTTGTTACGCAAAGTCAAAGCAGGTTTGAGCAACGGAGTCAAGATTGATGAGCCGACCATGGGCTCTACATCTCAGCATTAATAGGTAGTCGTGAGCCAGATGCATCAAAGATCGGCTACCGGCTACTACTAGTTAGTTTACGTCAAGACAAAGCACCATTTCCTCCGCTTTAGCTGTCAGGCTGGCAATATGCCATCACCAGGACACGACTATCACCCACGAAGCACGCCTTGACCTGGTCAGGAGAGTCTCTCGCTAGGGCGAAAGCACTTTTTCGGCAGGCCGCGCCCCGTGTTCTTCGGATTGCTTTTAGCGTCGTATCACCTGAGAGCTGCATGAGGCGCCAGCCACAAGCCAATGGCTTCGCAGACTGTGATGATTAGTTATACAAATCATGGGCCCTAGCTGCGACTAAGATGGGACGGTCGACTTGATCATGGAGGAGACTTTGTGAATTTCTGTCATGTCAAAATCGACTGACATTCTCGGCCTCAGCCCCGTTGGCAAGGAAGTCCTTCATCGGCTTAGCTGGCCTCGTTCACTTTCTGACTGCTCTGTGACAGCCTACTATGTGTTACCACAGCCTCTATGCACTGACTACCGCGCCCAAGCGCCATTGTGCGCCGAGATTCTGTGAACTTCTGAGAGACTTGGTATGTGAAAAAATGGCGGTTAGATTGGGTGACCGGCTCGTGACAAACATCACAACAGCGGGACATGGTTGATTTTGTGACCGACGAAGGGAGAGACTGGTCACCGGGCCTATGCAGGATCAAATTATATAATCCTCTTCATATCTTATGCTGGGGAAGATGTCGTGCACACGAAAGTAACAGCTTACACCTGCTCCTTTACTTGGAATATCTCCGCATATCCACGGTTCTTCAAAACCAATCAAAAATCAAGACCTCCGTAACAAGATGCCTAGCTACAACCCTCGAGAGATGGAGTCCGGCACCCTTGCACTGCTCTCTAGAGGTCTCTACATCTCCGAGTCGTGCTGTGCAGCGGTAAGTGCCCAATTCTCGCTTGGAGGCATTGACCTCAACCAGCGTCTCATCCAGCCTTTCGTAGAGGTAAGACGAGAAGCTGGGTGAGCATGATATGAACACGGTACTGATGCTGTGGTCCTTGTCAGGTTGTGTTGGGTATCAACTCCTGGTACCTTTCAAACTATAACGACACCCCGGTTTATCCCCAGGCTCGTCTGATCTACACAGAAATCGTCGCCGGCCTTGCGATTGCACTGGCCAACGTCCTCGCCTGGATTTACAACGTCGTCCCCAAGTTCTTGGCCTTGATCAACCTGTTCTTCTCTTTGGCCTTCTTCTCGGCGTTCGGAGCTTTGGTCGAGTTCGACTGCAACAAGAACTGGCACGGATGGGAGACCGGTGTGGGAGAATCATACCGTGCCTGTTGGAGAGCGACCGAGGCTTTCTGCTTCATTGGCGCCTTCTTCTGGCTCTGCAGCGCATTCCTGGCCTTCTTTACTCCCGCAGCCGGAGCCCAGACACACCACCTGCCTCACATGAGGAAACACAGCCAGACTCCCAGTGAACAAGTGTAAAGCTTGGTCCGACGACAAGAGCGTGGGATGTGACAACAACGACGGAAGCTGGTCTACCGATTTTCATTCTTGCAAATTCTGAAGGATGGTTTCAGGGGTTCATGTGATAATAATGGGGGTTTTGTCGGTGGGAGAAAGTTTGTGGCGGGTTACTTGCTGATTCATTGCTGGATATCTTTGTACAACTACGAGTAATTACCTAATCATAATGTTTGTTTAAGCACACAACAGCAGACGCGACAAGGGAACTCTCTGTGCAGTATCCCGAGGGTCACTAAGCTGAAGCTGAAGCTTTGTCTTGTTGTCCATTCCGACAGGTCAGCTCGGAGGCCCCGAGGAGCGTGGGAAACTGACTACGAATCATCAGTGCTCGGTATATCGATAGTCGCCCAAAGTTCGGATTGATATCGGTTTCAACACTAAATAGTGTAAAGCAGTAAATCGCGGAGTATTGACGGCCAAAAGCTTGCAGATGATCGACCGTCAGATTGCGCGCAGGTCATCTTATGCATAATGTTGTCATCCAGTATTCGAAGAAGATTCCGCGCGGGACGAGATATGTCCGCAATATCTCAGGCAATCCCGGGTCGACGGGACATACAGAGTACTACGTAAGCTCGTAAGATACAGGGATCCACGGAAATCATCTTCCTCTACGTATGGAGTAAACGTACCCTGCATACGGAAGATCGGCTGGCCAAACATGTGATGCCGAAAAAGAAAAATCAATGAAAGCGACAATGCATGATGGCCAGCACCTCACACCACTCTTCCATCTCAATCCATTCGCGGGCTGGCCTTGCATTGCTCTCCAACAAAATCTAGGATCTAGATCGATCATGATTGGCAACTCTGCCAAGCGCACAATACCAGAATCGTATCGAAGCTTCAGGCCCGGACTTCTCACGAGTTTGTCATGCGAGGCTCGATTCAGACCGAACTACACTCTATCACAAGGTAAGCAGTATTCGATGAGATCACAAGGTACACATTGCAGCATTATTTGAGTTACACACTCCGTTCACTAAACCAGCTGGTCAATGCATGCAAGAAAAGAATCTAAACACTCAATCCACCGTACCTGGAGAACAAAGTGCTAGTCCACTTACCACAATCAATCTTGAGCAAGCCCGAATACTGAAAAGCATTCTGTAAACAAGACAACAACCCTCTCAACCTAATGGACACTCTTGCTTTCAAGCTCACCTGGCTTTCGAAATGGAAGCTGCAATGCGAATCTCAACTCATGGACCCGAATTTCACAAAGCTTATCGGCCACTATTCAGTATACCTCAAAGCCGCACAATACATGAGTGACGAGGACGATGCCGGCTCCGATGCGACAGTTGTTGACACGAACCTCGATGATGGCAATCTGGAAGACTTCGAATGGCGGAGCAACGAAGACCATCCCTATTCGGGGTTCCTAAGCGACCCATTGCCTGACCTGCATTCACACGAACATGAAAATGAGTATAGGGCACGCATGTCAATAGTCGTGTCCGAAAACGAGGTTAAGGCCGCCGACGAAGATGACGACAGTGATCCATTCTCGGACGATGAAGCAAGTGATTTCAGTAACGAAGAGGACAATTGTAGCGATTCCAGCGTCGAAGAGATGGACGACCGAGACAACCCTCCACCAACCAAGAAGGTATCCAAATCACCAAACCCACATTTCTGAACCCTGCATGGTCACGATTCAAAGAAGAAAGGAAAAACGCCTTGCCGGCGGAAGTCCACTGGAAACTCCTTGCAGGTCATTGAAAGTCACCCATGAGATGACGACGTGCAAGTCAGAGCATTCGGCAATGAATGCAATATGACTACAGGCCCCTATCCGAACATGCGGCCTGACGGCTTCGTATAGGACGTGGAGATGCAGGCCGAAGGCAAAGCTCCGCAGCGAATTCGGAAGGAATTCTGCTTCACCACATTTTGCTTGGTATACGGCAGAGTCGAAGGGAGCACACCGGACGGAACGCATTCACGATGACGACGCGTTTAAAGACCATGGAGCACTCATTGAAATGCTCAGGACAGCTTGTCTGCATCAGAGTGGTGACTCTTGTGCTGCTGCTATTCGCTATGGTCCGGAAATTCACCATTTGGGACAGCCACGGAGGCCAAGTACATGGCAGAAGGTGGTTACATAAGTCTCAGTCAGAGCAATATATGGTCATTCAGAGCCCCCTTTGTAGCTAAATATCTCCTGCAACTAAATCAAGGGATAGAAAAGATGAGACTTGACGAGATCTAAGGTTATCAGGCTTCGTACGGAGTATATGGAAGCCAACATGTATGTGTCCTCGGACATGTCCCCGGAGCAACACGAAAAGCCAGAGAAATACTGGTCTTTCTCCGGAACAATTCATATCACGTCAGGGTCACGCGTTGACAGCTAGCCTCACTGAAGTTTGAACCGAAAAACGATTGAGAATCCTAGTTCAGCAGCTGACCAGGGGAAATTCGAGACCATCTACTAGGTACTCATTCCATGTCTACTGGGGTTTCTACCTCGGCATGTTTGAACAACAATCATGTGCATCGTTCTGGAACTATCCAATTGCATTTCTGCCTCAGTTCGACCATCTGTTGCCTATGATCACAATCCATTGAGGTAAGCAAGAATTTGAGCAAATGTCACGCCATGAAAATTCAGATAAAGGTATCCGGACAGCATTTGCTACACCGCAGTACCATCGACCCTCAACCTGAACAAAATAAAACTGAACAAACCAATGGCTGCCTCAATGGCTACAAACACAATACTCACACAAGCTCTTCGACTGTCGTTCTTCTACTTTGCGATAGTCTTCATGTTCGGAGCCCTCTTCGGATCGGCACGCGTACCCTTTTTACAGCCAACTCTAGGCACACGCTATGCAGAACTCCTTGAAATGCCGCTCATGCTCTTTGTCATCTGGCAATCAGCGCAGCTCACCATTAACCGATTGGAACAAAAGAAAGGCACCAACAACCAATATCTTACTCCGGTCTTGATTGGGACACTTGCCCTTTTGTGGCTTGTGGGTGTCGAACTCGCGACAACGGCAGTCTTACAGGGAGGATGGTGGAACGGGATCCGAGTATATTTCGTGGCCCGCGATGCCATCGCCGGTCCGGTATATGCGCTGGCGGTGCTGTCGTACGCAATCATGCCATGGTACGTCTGGCGCTGCCAAAATCAGCAGACAAAATGGACGATCGAATTCGATGGCTCAGTGGACGAAGACGAGGGATGGTTCTGAGCTTGTCATGCCATTATGATTTCAATGGTGGTCGGTGCAGGCTCTGCTATGTGAGTCAGGTTTCTCCAGAAGTACAGAAGCAGGGCCAAACGAGCGCATCTGCAACGGCTCGGTGAAGGGGGAACAAGTCAACATATACTCGAGCTGTTAGGGGAATTTTGGAACTACACGTGGGGGTTCGTGGCTTGCCAACATGAGGATCTGGCCTAGCACGGAGAAAGGATGGCCGTGTACGGAGTACTGTGATGCACAAGTACAGCACAGCACAGCACAGCACATCCCAACAGGGAAGAGATGCAGGGGCAGGGCTGGTGAGGCTGCTTCTTAGCGAAGTGAGTCTCTGCAACAAGTTGCGTGTGGTGGAAAAGCAAACTCCGCGGAGTCTTCCGAGTCGTCATGATCGGTCGCTAGCCGCAGCCCCAGAGGCATCAAGTTAGCAGCTACTGTCAGTTAAGCCTCACCAGCCTTCGGGATGCTGCCTCCTTGCCTCACTGGCCTTCCGCCTTCCAGGGTCTCTAGGGACCCCCAAACTCTAATCCAAACTCGATCGGGGCGCAAAACGTTTCTGGTAGTCGCTTGCGGGCGGTGGGGTCCTGATGGTGTGATGTGGACGGACTCTGGCAATACTTTTTCTGAGGGCAAACGAGGACAGCCAGCCGAGCAAAAGCCTCTTCGGGACTTAGTTTTGTTGCAATGTTCACTCAGTGGTCTCTCTTGCTTCTGGTGGCTTTTTGGTAATCAGACAGGAGGTAGGCCCATTCGTGTTCGGTCATCCAAGAAGGGTGCCGGGTTGGACGTGTCCTAGGTAAGACCACAGGGAGAAAGGGCAGAAGCATTGTAGAGCAGAACCAGGAGCGAGCGATATCTCGTGGATACTAGTAGCGACACAATTTTGACATGTCGACTAAGCAGGACTGCAAATTTCCGTGTTTGCGTCATACATGGGTGCTCGTGAAACTGGTTGCTGTGTTGCTGATCAACATACAAGCAATTGCAAGTGGTGCGCCTCTCATGTTGCCTCTCTCATGTTGACACTTTCCGGTCGAAGGCGAGTATTTCGCGACATCTCGCTTATAGCCCTTGCTTTCTGGGTGACTTAAATCAGTATTGCCGCCATATAAATGTATTCCATACGCTTCGCGTAGGTAGCCAGACGCCTACGCTAATACAGAAGCACGACCGCCAGAGCATGTATTCGAATAGGAAAAGTCCCATGTCAATAGGTCTTCTCCAGCTGCAGCCTCCGCAGGTTTTGAAGCAAGGTACAATCTTCACATTTGACAAGCTTTTCGAGCCCCCGGACTCGCTCTTGCAAGTGCTGGATCTCCTCGGTCATGTGGCGGAGTTCAACTTCCGACTGGTGGACGTAGTGAATTGCTTTGATCATGATGTCGCATTTTCGGACTCTTCTGCCAGGGTCGGAGTATTGGCCATCGAAGCCAATGAGACGAGAGTTGGCCTCTACAGCTTGTAAGGTGCGGTGGAGGTGGGTGATTTTTCCGTTCAGATTGTCACGATACCGACGCTCGATAACCGAGTGGTTGTGCTTGGCCTTGAGATTGGCCGAGTCTTCTTCGCAGGAAGAGTCCGATTGACTCCGCTTGCTGCGAGTCCTGGTCACTTTGGGTCGCCTATCGTCCCTGGATTTGCTGCCTGGCTTACTGTTCGATCTCGACGATGCCTGTTCCGTTGACGTGCGGGGAGCCAAGTTGGTCGGAGTGATGGTAGGTGACGCCCTGGTTCGAGGCGCTGCACCAAGCCTTCGGTCCGGCTCACTTTGCCCCATGTCCTGAGGGGCGGACGGGAACCGATTGTTTACGAAGTACTCCTGTGTATCTACCGGGCACGTCCTTTGTTGCGGAGACGACACCATCTGTGTTTGAGATGGCGCAACAAAAGAGACTGGGGCTGCATTGTCGTATGGATCCTGATACGAAGCGTCCCCGAATGAGAAGTCGTTCAAGTATGTTGGGTATTGAAGGCCTCGTATTTCAGTTTGACCAGGCCAGGCATCAAGGTAGGCCGAAGTAGGGCCAGGGTCCTCGTTGTCGAGGGACTGGAGAAAGAAGCTATCATCGTATGATTGCTGGAAGCTATTAGTAGTGCCTAGGAAGTAATCTGATAAACCATCAACATACCTGATTGTCCAAGAAGGGCTCCTGATAGGCGATGCTAACACGTGGGGTCGCCATATGGTCTGATAGTGGTATTTGTAGAACTCGAATGCAAAGTGTTACCCTTTGTTGGTGAAAGTCTTGCGAAGAGGCTGTGATTTAGTGGCAAGTGAAGAGGTTCTTGATAATATATACGGGTTTGGATGACGACGAAACCTTGAATATATCCACAACATTCCTATGTGTCAGTCATTGGGTTTCCACACGCGACGGGACAAACTTGAAGTACGGAGAAGTTCGGTTGTATGAGGATGCGCAAAGTTTCTGAGGTCAGAAGGTCTAAAACACCAGCCTACCTTGATCTTGCTCCGACGCCGAAAGGCTGACTTCCAAGGCCTAGTAGGGCATTCCTCTTGTCCGTGCATGTAGAAGGCATTGTATCGCTGGTGGCTTGCCGCTTACCGAGATGCCTGCTGGATGGAGCGGAATACCTTTCTCGGATCGAGACAATTGGCATTCTGCGTCTGCCGCATCTGCCCAAGGGGGCTCACTTAATTGGATACAATGGGAGCTTTGGTAGCGGCTAACATCAGTCATGTCTCGGTGCAACAAGGTCTCCAACGGGATCCCATTGGATGAGACAACAAGCTTAATCAAGAATCCCTGCCAGGGCCCAAGGGTTCGGAGGAACTTCGTGCTACGCTCGGAGAATATCATGATACAGTACTGAGCATCAATGGAGTCTGCCAGATAGCCCAATCACCATCAAGGATTGCCTCTTTGAGAGTACCGAGTTCGACAAGAGTTTGTTCCGTCCGATCCAGAAGCCGAGAGACGGCACGAGAATAGCTACAAGATCCAGACCCCGTGGCATCACACCCTACATACTACGTACCAAGTAGTAGAGCGTGACGGGATGACGACACCGGAGACTACCACTACTACTTGCACGTACTTGTGCCTGGCGTGTGCTGAGCATATGGCGTAGTGGTGACATAATGCTAGCGACCACGGTCGCGAGATCGAGTTCCCACGTAACGTGCTCCGTACTACTGTAAGTATGCACCTCCAACGTCGGCCATTCTGCAAACTCCTCGTAGGTATCGTATCAAAGGGGATGGGGCTGAACCTGTGACTTCGGCCATTGTGCTTTTGGCTTGACACGGCAGCCAATTCAGCTGGGAAGACGTTGTCCGATTCTCACAATATCTTCAAGTATCGTACGATCGATTCTTACTTTGCCAATGCCGGGCTCCTACCGATGGTTGTGAGATACCTCGTAATTACCTGTTCGCTTCTGTTCAGCAATACCCATATCTGGCTGTCTCGTATGATTTTGCACTTCGATCCATGCACGACGCGATAGGTCGAAATCCACAAGATGTATCGAATATTCAAGTCCATTGATTCGCGGCATATATTGCACATGATTTCGAATCCCTTGTCGTTATCTAACTTCCTCCTACGGAATGCTTCGAACAGTAAGTGCGAGTGACCGAACCTACGCCGACAGACGAATAACTATCTCAGCCTTGACTAGAATGTTGTGCTTGTTAAAGCATACATATAATTCTAGGTCACAAATGGAGCACTGATCCCAGTCCCATCATCATACACATCTCAACAACCACTGTTCGAGCAACATGATGAAAGAGTTACTCGAAAACGAAAGCCAGCCTCTTTACATCGGACAATCGGTGTTCGATATGGCTCTTGAGCAAGATCTTGACCAAGCAATCGCCCTACACTACATTCCTGCTGATTTACTGTCTGATCGAACCGAAGAAAGTGTCAATCCCACAGAGCTGCGCTTCCTTCATCAGCGTTTGAAATGGCCAGTCTCCCTTCCGGACAAGTCAGTCGAATATTCCACTTCTGAGCCGCCATCTCAATGCTTATACTCAGGCGGCCGATCGCCTCTACCGTCCGCCAATGCTGTGTCCAGAATGGTCGACTGGTGTCGGACGCGGTGTGATGACTACCTAACCTCCGGACCTGCGTCCCCGCCTCGGCTCTCGCGGTCTTTGTACGAAGCCTTGAGTGGCATACAACTTGAACATCCGGGTGCAAAAGCCGGCAAAGGACAAAAGCGAGTAATGCCAATCACAAAGAGCCACACCAGCCGGACCGCACGCTTACGGGCATTTGAGAGAGAAGTCTTGCTCGAAGCCCTTGCTAGAAGCCGAGAGGATGACTACCTAGATTCGTCCAAATTTGTATTCAAGGACCCCATGCTGGTTGCTTCCTGCATTCTCGAGGAGTATCGGCGGATACAGTGGGCGAAGGAGATGCTAGTGCTGTTTCCTACTCAATGTCGCCGGTTATGTCAATGACGATCCCAAATAGAAACCTGTTCGAAACTGCGGAAGACGACTGAATTATCAGCTAGGCGTGAACATAGTAATAGGGGTTCCAATATTCGGTGCTTCATTTTTGCAGCATGAAAAGGGATGGCGAGCCTTGGGATGGCGTGTCCTATTGAGGTTCACACAGCTACGGCATGGACAAATTAATCCTCCTGGTTTGCTCCTCTGCGAGATTGAGAGATATGAAGTCATTGTTCAGACTCCTACCTCTCACTCGGTCGCCCGCGAGAATCCGCATTAACATTCTCAACGAAGACAGTACACTCCTTTGGATATGCAGCTACCATTTCCTTTGCCCAGCCTTCGCGACGATAGTCTTCTAGCGGCCACACGCATGCGTATGCCTCTTCGTATTCGGCGTGGTCAACGAGGCTGTCGATGTACTCGGTGATTTCCACCCTGGCTTGACCTTCGGCTGTGATCTCCTGATCGAAGAGATTCTGCCTCGGTGATTTTTTGATCGGACCCTTGGCCCCACGCTGACCATTGCCGTCATGTCTGGCAAGGAGCTTTAGAACGGAGTAAGGTGTCCTAGCTAGAAGAGCATCCGGGTCAGCGCATGCCATAGGGTGCTGAAAATGTTCATACTTCGACTCGAGGGTCGCCTACATTTTTCAATCTCGTGCTCCGGCCTCGATTCATCTGCTTTGATCTTCCAGGTACTTACAGCTGTCGATAACTCCTCCCAAGTCGGGTTGGCCGTCTTCGGTGGCGCTATGTGTATCTCGTCATCCGAGCCACTGGACACCTCTTCGGACCCCGTACTTTCTTGAGATTGGGATCCGTTTTCGTCAATGTCGGGCAAAGGCGTATGTGGCGAATATGCCTCAACGACTTGGTCACCCTGACTTGGGGTTGATTTTGAAACTGCAATGTCTTCGTTGTTCGCTGGTTCGTTGGGTGGTGGCCACGCCCCACAATGCAGGAACTCAGGCGGTGATACTTCCGCAGTCTGTTGTACCAAGGTAGGCAGCGCTTCAGCTATCTCCTTGTGCTTCCGGCAGTGGTGGTGTTTGCAACCCACATGTATCATTTTTTGGATGAGCTTGGAATCTACCGTGCTACCCATCTTGCGCATAGCGGTGTTTGGAGAACACTGGTGGTATCACGATGGCTTTATTGACTCCGGGTTGTCGACTGTCAGCCTCATTTCGCTACATATATCTTCTGAGGTCGCAAGCTTACCATAAGACTCCGTTCCGTATCAGTAAAGGATGAAGCAAGTTCATGGTGGCACAAACATGTGCTGGTGGCTTGAGCTTGGGGACGATCCAGCTGATCTCGGGACCATGGCGTGATATATAGCACTTGCCAAGCGTCCCCTCGTATTCGGCTGCAGGATGACCAAACATCGTGGGTTGACTTCGCTAGTCAGTCACCTGCCGTGCACTTTCAGTTCCCCGGAATCGCGGAGGCCACAGGTCTAGACCGTTGGCGACGTGGCGTTGCTCTTACAGTGCCTGGCCATAGTACATGGCAGGTTTCTTGCCCAAAACAATATTTCACTCAAGCGGAAGTCTACCTAGACCTCGCCAACAACCACAGAATCAAGCCGTTGTGCGTTCAAGACATGCGCTGGCTCGGGCTTGGAAATACCAGCTACAGCAACTTCTCGTAACCTCCTCCGGCATAAGGGACATGGCATCGAGATAGTCCGAAGTGTATCTTCAGGCGTTCGTGGCTCCGACAAGGCCGAAACGATCTCAGCCTTTTCTGACGCCTCCAGTTCTCTCTTGATCCACTCATCGGTGCACTTGGAGTGGAAGTAGTGAGGGCACTGTGGTAGTTTCTGCACCAGATCAGACAATTTGAATTCGTCCAGGCAGAATGCACTGCAGAAAATCAGTCCCTGTACAAACTTCCCTCTAAGGTCTGAATCACCAAAGCTCGGCTTGGTCCTTCGTCGCGGGAACAGAAGATTGCGATGTGGTTTCCACAGAATTCTCATCTTGAGCCATTTCTTCCGCGTCATCTTTGGGCCGCCAAAGGACGGGTTCTGGCAGTGAGCTCAGGAAGATTTCTCTGCGTTCTTGCCGCCATGAAACCAATTTCCCTGCAACCCTTTTCTCTCGCTTCTTGACGAGGCATAGGAGGATACTGCCACAATTGATCTTTGAGTCAAGACGTTCAAGCTTCAGACTGGTGGCAGCGCAGACTTACGAAGCAGCCAATATCACCACGACAAGTAGTATCAACGGTGTAGCATATAGTACACTGACTGTTGCTCCTGTCATAGACACCCCGCTAGATAGGGAAGAGGTCGAGTTGGCATAATAATCGCCACTACCTGCTGAATTCATGACGATAAGGCTTCGGAGAGTAGTTGCTTTGTTGTTTTCTCAAAGAATGCCATGTAGTTTGGATGCAGCGTAAAAGCGTGCTGTTTCGTGTTCGAGATATGTGAGACGTGGATGGGTAGTGTTCTTCTAGCTAGCATGGTACGCGAACACTTATTTCTATGACGTTCTCGAGGGATGTGTAAATGGATAGTGCTGTTATCACGCGTTTTGCAACAGTTCCTCTGGGAATGTGATTGTGGCGTACTACATTCGCAACACGTGCACTGGGAGCTTACGTGATTTCGGCGCGGATACTGTACGCTTGAACCTCAACATCTGGCTCATTCCGGAACAATTGGGCAAGGAATTCTCTTTTGAGATAGTATTTTTGTGCTTTAACAGCCGCACATTATGCTTGGTCTTGCAACAAAAGAAGCCAGACACCCAGGTGCCAGATAGTTGGAAATATGTCCATACCGTGGGGAGAGGAGAAGCCGCTGCTGATGCGTAGTGATATACCTAATATCTAATGTAGCTGGACGTAACAACAAGATGTTAGCTTCGAAGCAAGGATGCCCTGGAGCGGAAGTATGAATAAGCAAGACGAAGTCCAGAGTCTTTCGCTTGACTCAAGCCTCCGCTCGCCCAGATACTCTTGAACGTAGGAATAGATGGTGTCGTTCAATGCTGGGGCTAATCTCGAAACTCCATAGCCTGTGCGCTGTGAACGACCGGTATGTTTTCCGAACACATGAAGTCATAGAGCTGATCTGTCATGGATCATGAAGTGGTGCTATACCTGTGCTTCTTGCATGGTTGGTTTCCGTAGTACAAACCGGCTAGGGTGTTCGTCTCTTGAATACCTTTGTATGCCAAACGAGAGCCGGCATGCAAGCGCCGGAATGACTTTCCGAGGAATATTTCATACTTATGGAGCTGATTGATGATGGGCTAACTCGGTTTTGTCCCTCACAAGGGGATAACGTGGTGCAGGTGTGGTGAGGTGCGTAACGAATAAGGCTTCAAGTTTCAGGGGCTGGGTCCTTGATACTGGGGGAAAACCAATAGGAAAAGTTCGGCTTCCCGGAAAATTGCTCCGATATCACGACACGGCTGCAGGAAACTGAAGATGTAAACCGCCGAAGAAGGCAATGTCACTCCATGAACATGATATGGAGGTCCAATCATGAGCTCGCTCGAACCAGGAAGAAGACTAGAGCTCTACATACCCCAGAATTCCGTCAACTAGAGGTTGAGCTTAGCTAATATCTATGGAGCCTTGTAGTCCGCATGGGACAACCGGTCATACCATCATGCAACTAGTTGTCGGGAAATCAGAGAAAATCCTGCTTTCTTGCATGGGACCACAGAGTCATGTTCCAATACTCTGCCTTGGCTTGGGCCACGTCTGCTTCGACGGCGGATTACTTGCCCACTGCTTACGAGTCAACGCTTCCGGAGGGTTCCAGTACGCTGATCACAACGTATAGGTGCTATAACATCGTTCCACCCCCATGTGAAAACTTCGATCAATGTCTTCTCGTCGCCTTCTAGTCCGTTCCCTCTCAGACAGTCTTCGCAGCATCACTAGAGCCCCAGTCATCAGAGAAGCAAGAAGATTTACTTCTACCAAACCACCTCGCAGTATGGCTCTCCTTCCAAGGTTCGCGGCTTTCGCCCCCTCACGAACCGAGTTCGGCCCCTTCTTCAACCTTTTCAACGACACCTTCAGTGAATTGCAGAAGATTTCTGACACCATCCCGCGCACCTGGGCACCACGCTTCGATATGAAGGAGACTCAGGACAGCTTCGTCCTGGACGGCGAACTTCCGGGCATCGACCAGAAGGACATCACTATCGAATTTGTCGATGATCAAATGTTGTCGATCAAGGGCCGTACCGAGACGGTCAAGGAGGAAGGCAAAGAGCCGGAAGAGGCCGAGGCCGGAAAAGAAGTTGCAGAAGGCAAGAAGGCTGACCAGGAAGGACCAACTTACTGGTATTCTGAACGTAGCAGTGGCGAGTTCGCTCGTACCTTTGGTTTCCCCACGCCAATCGACCAGGACAAGGTCAAGGCCAGCTTGAAGGATGGTGTGCTCCATGTCGTGGTGCCAAAGTCCGAGAAAGCCAACAAGACCAAGACCATCACGATCGAATGAACGATGGCTGACTGGCGAACCGGTCAGCTTCAAAGCTGTATCAAAGGACAAATAGGAGAAGCAAATTAGTCCCCAATAATATTCACTCTCTGCAAATGAAACCTTCCTTAGCCACGTAGGCACAACTGTGGATGGTATTAAGACATCATTGACGTGGTCACTGTTGCTTATTTTCCCCTGCCGTGATAGCGTAACACGTATTGACACATCCCTAGCTCTCACGACGAGCATAGACGTGTGACTCTCAGGTAATGTCCGTAAAAATTGTTTTCGTACTACCAACGTGCTTCTTATTCCACCACTTAGCCGGTGCTTCAATAGCACTGGTTTGTCCGGAACCCCTTTGAAGATGCATTTTCCCAAAGTTCATTACGTGTCTCAATCCAACCCGGACGTTTCCCTGTCAATGAACCTTCAATCACGATGAATGAATGTCCCTTCAAACGCCGTCGGTCGTCTGCAACGACTGCCAGTCGACTGCTTCCCATGCAGATGTTCAGTGTACAATTTTGAATCGAAATCACTCCCAATCCTGCTCCTCCTTCGGCAGATGGAACGACTTGTCGTGCGCGGTCCAGTCCTGGTCTCCATCCGGCTGACGATGTCGATGCCAAGGCTTTGAGAACCTGGGTACATCGTACATGCCGGCGGGATCGACCCCGTGCTTCTGGATGAATTGCTCCACCTTGGCGCGTTCGTGCTGGACATGGGCCACAAGCTTTTGGAGGTCGACCGCAATGTGCGGGTTACATTTTGCTGCACCGCGGATTGCTGCTTCAGCCACGTGGTACCGGCTGCACTTGTTCTTCAGCATCGTTTCAAAAGGAGTTGTGCTGGTAAGTTCGTTCTGAAAGCTGGAGATGGAGACTCTTTCCAGTTTCGGCCGTCCGAAGAGGAGACCTTGCAATTCATTGGCGTAGCCATGGTAGTTGAAGTGGATTTCCCTGTGTGGTGTGAAGAGGATATCGAAATCGCGGTGGCTCAGAGCGTGCGGATGTGAGCCCTCACGACCCAGTATCATCAGGTCTGTGACATTGATGACACGAACGGACATTGCTGGTGCGAGTTTCCTAAGATAACTGGAAGCTGCGAGCACCTCAAACATGACCTCTGATCCAATACCGACGAGGACGACATCGGGATCGATCCCTTCGTCGGTGCTTGCGAATTTCCAGACACCGCCTCCAGCGCGGCAGTGGAATTCTGCTTCTTCGGGACTGAGCCATACCGGGCCAGGATGTGACGACGACACAATCAAATTGACGTAGTTCTTGGAACGGAGACAGTGGGCGAGGGTGCATAGGAACGTGTTCGCATCTGGCGGCAAGTAGACCCTTCCGATGGTTGGTTTCAAGTTCAGCACAGCGCCGATGAAGCTCGGATTCTGGTGGGATAGTCCATTTGACTCAGGGCGAGTCCATGTGCTCGTTGAAATGTAGTTCAGGCTGTTCAAGTCCTTCCGCCAAGGTGTTTCTCGTGCCATTCTCAAGAACTTGCCGTATTGAGTCATCATTGTGGCGATGATGGGAAACAAGCTCTCATCCGCAGCGAAAATTCCCGTCCGGCCAGTCATAGTGTAGCCTTGGAGCAAGCCTGCGACATTAATTATCAGAAGGGGATAATTGACCAAGTGGAAGTGTCGGCTTACCTTGACATGTATGTTCAGAAGCGAATTCAATCACCTGGTCACCGGTTGAGACATTGTTTGCGTCCCATCTGAAGCTGCGAAAAGTGCGGTCTGACAATTTGTCGAGTTGGTTGAGCTTATTAGCCACAAGACCGTCGGGAGAGAAGATACGCAGCGTATGCTTGTTTCGTGCCAGAGTCTCATCGAGGTATCGACCTCCCTCCTTGAGGCAGCTGCTGTGATTGCCTTTGGCAACCGCGAAATGTCTCCATTCCGGAACATCAAGATGGTGCCGAATATCCCAAGTGACTCGGTTTTGGCCAAGGAGAAGCCTCTCGTTCGGTGCAATGATGTTCTCGATTCCTTCAGAAATCTGCCCTCCAGGAAGAATCTCGGCTGGCTTGTATGACCTTAGCCAGTCCTGAAGGTGCTGCAATTCTGTCTGGTTGATCTTGACATGTGGCAGGAGTACTTCTCTACCGTGGAATGAGCCAGAAAAATGCTCTTCGGGGTCGAGCTGAGGATAGCCCCATCGTTTAGGAATCCTCAGAATAATCATTGGCCATCTTGGTTTCACGACATCATGTTCTCCGGCTTTGGCTGCAAGTTGGATCTCTCTGATAACCTCGACTGCCCAGTACAAGGCGCTGCTTAGCTCCCTGTCGACGTCCTGCATATCGTCGACGATACAGGGACGATAGCCGTATCCGGAAAACAGACAGCAGAGCTCGGCATTATCCATGGACCCGAAAATTGTTCTTTGGCTCTCTTCTGAGCTGCTCAGGTATAGAATAGGCAGAAGAGCTCCGTCTTGAGTAGGGTTGACATATTTGCACATGTGCCATGCACTACCAAGCGTTAGCCTATTCGACCTAGCAATGATGAACCACTCACGTTGCTGTTGGACCCGTCTCGGCCTCGCCGTCACCAATGACTGCGACAGAGATCAACTCTGGTTTGTCCATCACCGTACCATACGCGACACTCAAGACATGTCCGAGTTCGCCACCTTCATGAATGCATCCTGGAATTCTGGCACTGATGTGACTGAAAAAGTCTGGAGTCAGCCACAAACGTCTGGATCTACACAAACCATGGCAAAAATACCGACCTAGGAAATCCTCCAGGTACGCTGAAACTGGTAATCAGATTGTGCAAGCCCTTTCTGTCCCGGCTATACTGTGGATAAAAGCGTTCCAAAGATCTTTCCAGCCAAAGACAAGAAAGAACAGCTGGGACACCGTAATTTGCTCCGATGAGACAGATCATGGGCTGATCGTACTTTTGAATGGTGAGGTTGATATGGGCGTAGATGAGAGTGAGGCCGGGGGAGATGCCCCAGTATCCTGGATACGTCATTAAGCATTCACTATTGAAGTGCCAGCAGAGATACCAATGACATGCTTGATATCATCAGGGCTCAAATCTCGTTCGAGCAAGACATTATCACGTAGGAAGATCATCGCTGATCGCAACGTTAGCTGGATGCACAAGAATGAGCAACTCCTGGACTTACCAGCAGAGATATAGTCCGCTGCTCGTCGAAATTCAGCCAGATGTGCTGTCGTCTTGAAATGTAACGGTTCTGGGTACAAGCTCTTGCCGAGCTCAAGAGTAGCGTCCGGCAGCTGAGAGATGGACACCCGCCGGTCCCTCGCGGACGGCGGTTCTGTGCGTTCTGTAGCCATTGTAAATAGGTAGTGTGTAGTGCGGTAATGGGTGGTAAAGCTATCACATAAGGCGGATTGAAGTTGTTGATGCAGGACGCGGATCCTTTTGTACTGTAGTAAGAATAAAAGTGAGCCTCACCTGGTGCTGAACACCGCACTATATTCCGGCCCATTCTATTTTGCCTCCAATGGCTCTTGCTACGAATTGCCGGCACGAGCTGTCATTGGAAACATTATCATGTTACCTTGACATGATAGGAGCCATTGGAAGACGCGGAGTCAGTCACGCCACATCACCTTCACCAGGGCACGAGGTTGGTGTTGAAAATGGCAAATGGGCCACTCGTTCCGGTGTAAACCGCGGCCAAGCTTCGCAGCGTCTCTTGTTGGCTGACGAGCCTCAACCAGAACAAATGACTTGTCTGACCAGGAGTATTCGTTTGGTCGTATGATGTTAGTCATCAGCTCAAGTATGCTGGGAATTCTGAGTGGATATCCAATGCAGTATCTTAGCGATGCTTTGCAGCTCTGTAGCATACCTTGACGCGATTTCCAGTTGGAAGTCGTCCTGTTGGAACTCAAGGTGAGACAGCACCAATTAGTACTCCGTTGCAAAGACACCAATGTCATTGGAGGCTGGCGGTCCAGACCCAGCACGTTTCATAGACGCGATCGACAAAAAGCACTCGAGCAAGATTCTGCAACAGCTCTAGCAAATAGGCAAATGTATAATGTAATCAATTATGCCGTCCAATGATCTATGTTCCAGTCAGGTAACCCACGAATTTTGTTATCCAAACCCAATGCAAATAATGTCCAGTTGTCGAGATGGTTGTCAATATGTTCCCATGTCTACAAGACCAAAGCAGCGACCAGAGCACCAATTGCAAGACCGGCCATGGATCCTTCAGACCTGATAGCAGCTCCGGTGTAGGTGGAGGTAGCGACAGGAGCAGTTCCCGTTGCTCCGCCTTGGGTCTGCGTGGCGGTTGCTCCAGCAGCGCCTGTGGCACCAGCACCGGAAGAACCAGTAGCGGTAGCAGGAACAGCAGCGGAGGGACCCGCACCAACAGCACCAGATGCAGTGACGGTGGTCAAAGTCACTGAAGAGCTACCCGAGCCTGATCCGTGGGAGGCTGTGGCAGTGCCGTTCTTGGAAGCTGTGGCAGTAGAAGAGGCGCTGGATGAAGTCGAGGTGTACCCAGCCGTAGCGTTGCAGGCAAGGTTGTAGAGGGGTTTACCACCGCTGCTGACACCGAATGATGGGGAAGACCCTTCATCATTGAGGATGTACCACCAGAAATTGATTCCACGGTTCTCGAGAGCACATGCAACTCCTTGCCAGAATGTCTCGGCATCATCGACGCTGGCAACAGCAAGGTTGGAGGTTGGTCCTGAAACGGGCCAGCCAGCCTCGGTGATCCAGATTGGCTTGCCTCCAGAGACGGCTTGAACTCTGTCGTAGGCTTGGAAAAAGAGGAAGGAGCTGTTTCCAATGGTGTTGACATCGGTGGTCTGGTAGTACGGGTACTCGTCGAGGCCCAAGAAGTCGCAGTTGGAGATAACATCGGAGTTGGAGCCGTTCACGTAGACGTTCCAGGTGTCGACATGACCGACAGGCTTGGAGCCCAAAGATGTGCCCTTGATGGCGCTACGGACTTGACCAATGTAGTCAACAAGGACATCAGGAGACTGGCCGACACCGCTGCCGGCAGCGATACCAGTTTCCGAGATACGGTAAAGATCCTCGCTACCGACGGAGATACCAACAACCAACTCGGCGAAGGAGGAGCCGTACTGTGAGATGGCACTCTTGAGGGCCGTGATTTCGTTGTCGAAGCTGGACTGATCCACCGAGGCCCAGAGACCCAGCAAAAGGGTGGTGTTGGTGTCGATGGCAGCCTGAATTGCATCAATAGGGGTGTTTGTTGTGCCCTCCTGGATCATTGTGTATAATCTTGCGCTGGTGAAATCATCGGCACCAGCCAGAGAAGCAGCAGTGTTGAACTGACTGGCAAAGCCATCGTAACTTTGACCCTGGGAGGCGTAGTTGAAACCACGGACGGCGGCAAGGGCAGTGGAGGCACCACCGAGGACGGCGAGGATGGAGGACTTCATGGTGTAGGACGTTTCAAATGAGTGTACAAACAGAAGAAGCAAGGAGTGAGTTGTAGGAGGAAAAGTCTCAAAGAACGAGTGAATGAAGGAGATTAATGAATGAGATTATTGACGTGTTGAAGATGGAAAGTGAAGGTGAAAAGAGAAGAAGTCAAAGGTCAGAGATTGAGTCGAAGCGTAGGGGAGAAAATTGGGCTTGTTTGTTCACCTACCAGGTACATACTCTGTATTGTGGGGGGGCGTTTGGACCCTAAAAGTCAGGATTGGTGTGGCGATGCGACTGGCCAGTTGCAATTCTGTTCCTGATGTTCCTGCATTCAGGCTTGCGTGGCGTGGCCGCTAAGCAAAGCCACTGGCTGTCAATTCACGCTTAGACCTCGGCGCCCACCGAGCACGCATAACGATCGTCCCTCGCCTACGCAAGTCAGGAGGCCGGCAAGATCGTTGGCTCACAGCTCAGACAGTTGTTGCATCTACAGTATGATTCCCTTACTGGCCAGATACGAGTAGGGACCATGTCAAGAATTATCCTTGTTCTTACGGAGCTTCGTTAATCATTAGATGGCCCTTTACGAGCTACCTACCACGAGCAGGGTGACGAGAAGGTTTCCCATCATCTCCATGGTTAATTCTCTCAGGGGATGTGGAATGCTTTTCGGACCTCAATCAAGTCTAGCCCAAATGCATCTCAGACATTGACAGGGGCACGAAAACAACTCGAACCACTCGCCTGACGTCAATGCGCCTGCATAGCCACCTTCTGCCGTGTTTACACAACTGCCTCCATGAGATGACACTCAAGAGACGATACGAGTACAACACAGCACCTTTGATTTTGCAGATCACATGTTCCGTTGGTCCAGCGCTGTCAAGGCTGGTCGACATAACATTGCAACTTCTCGAGGGGACTCTTATGGATACTTGTCAAACAACATTCCGTCATCTCCCACATGTCTCAAGCTGGTATCAATACGTGCCCCAATACGGGGCTCTTCCCTATCCTGCCGAAGTCTATACGTTGCCCCAGATGGGTCCTCCACCATGCTGTTGCTTGCAACTTGCCTTGCGAGCAGTTTTGTGAGTGATGACGACGTAGATGCTCTGCAACCCACGTCGGACTCATTTTGGACTTTTGGTCAACTATTCGCCCACAAGCCCTGTAGTGTTCGTGAGTGATGTCATGGGACGAACATCATCGGTACCCATCAGTATCGTCCAAGTCGGGCGGGAGTAATCGGAACACACCCAGAGGTATTCTCAAATCCCAATGCTCACCCAACAAAGCTGCCGTCTCCGCCATTCTGGTAGAAGCTCACAAAATCCGTGGAGTTCTTGTATTCTGAACTGGTTTTGCACGCTGTTGAGTAGCCTCCGAACATGGCAGCACGATCAGCCAGCCAACTGGACAGACCTTCTGAGCTGCAGCTCTCGTTGGGCCCGTCATAGCAGCCGGGCAATGTTTGTGGGGAGTCATTCACCAATACTCGATAATACGGTGAGCTGCCGGCATCTCCATAAGTGCCCGACCTAGCCGAACAGTTCATCCGCTCGATGGCGATGTTGGTGAGGAAAGGCAAGATGTAAGACGACACCCACGCCCGACTGTAATTGATGCGGTCAAGGGGCATGCTGTTATTCGGATGACCTCCAACGAACTCGGTATTGTTGAAAAGGCCCATCGCGACGAGGACCGTGGGCGGGAGCTCTCGGTGAGTGAAGCTGACATAGATATCTTGGGGATTGGGACCACCATCTGAACCGAGAAGGGACATTGTGGCGTTCACCCATGGAAAGCCAATGTACCCACTGACTGGCTGTCCATAGCCAGTATTGTAAAAGTACTGAATGTCCTGAGAGTACTCGAAGCTGAGCCAGGCGTCGGGGGGAAACAGATCCAGCGAACAAAAAGGAGATGACCCTCGAATGACGGTTTCGTAGCCGCAAAGCTCCATCATGCCAACCAGGTCATTGGCAGTGAAATTGAAGCTCGAGAAGACATGGTTCAATCGAGTCAAGTACGGCTTTGACCATCTGGACAGGTACTGCTGAGACTGTTTGCTGCCGGCTGACGAAGAATAGACCGGACAGCTATCGTAAGGTGTCAGAGTATTGGCTCCGCCTTCTTCACTTTCGTAGATTTGCACTAGCTTGATGCTGTTGTCGGAGGCCTCATAGCCACGTATGAAGGATTCCGCCGAGACCACAGTGCGCTCGGCTGTGGACGACCAGACATTTCGAGGTGCTTTGAAATTCGGGTAGCGAAAGGATACTTCCACTCCAAGTTGTGAGGCTTCCAATTTCCCAACTCTTGTAAGGTGTTCCTCTTCAGCAAAGGACGGGGGTATCCATGTCGAAAGGAAAGCCAGAGAAGGCAGATCACCCCAGTGGACGTTGGTATGGTTCTTCAGCTTAGATAAAAACGGCGAGATATAGGATTCAAGATCGAAATCATTCCTGGAAAGGAGTCAGTATACGGAGTAGCTCGTCGCATGCATGGAGATGCTCACGCATTGATTGCAGCATGCCGCACGAGATATGCAGCTTTGGTAACGGTGCAGCCATCTGGAGGACTAGGACTCCGAGGAGGATCATTGGGTTCAAAATACGGAGCGATGCCGGCAAGGTGCTCGAGCGGGTTGAAGTCGTAAGTATCGTAGAGGGATGGGGAGACTGCAAGAGCCAGCGAAGGTAGAGTAGCTACGAGGAACAATCGTGTCAGCGCCATCATTGTTGCATGTTCGATCTGCTGGTGAACTTCAGAAAGGTCTTACCTCAGTTGATGTTTTGTACTTCTACAGATTCAAAAGGACGGAAGCATGGATGTCATCATAAGAACCAAGTTTTGAAAGCCCAGTGCGGAAGATCGACGTTGTTGGTGACTGGGATGCCCTCTGGGTGGCCTTGTTGGTGCACCGAAGCATCAGCCAAGCCTGGAAGCTCCCGCGCTGTCTCCAGCCAAGCGCCTAAAGCTCACCGAAATTGGAAATTCGTTCAGGAACGTCCCCCGGATCCTTCCCACAACCTTGCTCACATCAGGCTTGAATAGGGCAAAGGGACACCTACGGCTAATAAGCCCGGTGCACCTAAACCAAAGTTTTGGTGCAGAACGTTCTCCGCAGATTCAGTTGGAGCATATGACGACAACCAACAGATGGCCATTGATGCCGTCTCCTTGTCCGTGCTCAGCTGTGCGTTAATCGAGGAAATCACCCACGAGTGTATTCGGAGACAGCTTGCCACTATCCTCATTTACTTCTCGGTTCCCTCAATCCTCAATAATTCCCTCTAAAGCCTCCATCGCAGACGCCTTAGATGAGGAAAAACAGGCTCTGTTGGCACACGCGAGGGGAGTCAGAGGAAGCTGAAAATCGAAGAGACTGGAACGCCGACTGAAAACATCATCATTCGAACCTAGGGAGGTTAAAAATGCCCCGATTATGGCATGCTACACGGTGTTGTCGTTAACAAGTCGTCCGGTGGCTTCTCGTTCCTCCTGCCGAGGCTCTCCTCCACGCTCGAACCTTGGCTGGATCGAACCGGAGCCGGCATTGACAGCGCATGCACTAAGATCTTGTAGAAAATCCATCTCGAACTGAGTCACAACACCGAGGTTAGACAGCAGCGAGATCGGCTCGTTGCCAGAAGCTGGAAACTGTTCGCCACTCATGCGAAGCTGCCTCGGAATCGTGCATCTTGTCGAAGGGAGCACATTGAGCGTGCGGAAGGCTGCCTCCAGCTTCATCGGGAGAAGATTCTCAGGCACAGCATCACCGCCAATGGAATCCAAGATCCTCATACAATCATGATACTTTTCCAACCTGGACTTCTTCAGAGTCCCAGTCTCGGGTCTGATGTCCTGTAGGTGAACGAGTAGTATAGGAAGATAGAGACTGACACCTTTTGGATTCATGTGGGTTCCCATCTCCAAATCTTGGATGCGTTTCGCAACATGCGCTACTTCTTCAGCTGTTTCGCGGAGTTTCCTACTTGACAGCTCCTGGGACGCACTCAAGCGTACGTCGAATGCGTCCACTGCTTGCGGTCGATGGAGGGCGAGCAGTGCGGTAAGGAACAAAAGCTTCAGATGTCCCTTTTGTATTGATACCACATCAGGGCCTGCTGTGACCGCATCCCGGAGATCCAGAGTGCTGCTGTCGACAACATTGTGGTACCATGCTTGGAGCTCGTGATCATGTTCAATCACTTCATACTGGTTCACTGCAGCTCTCTTGGGAACAAGAATAGTGACCATCTGGGTTTCTGCCTCCAGGCGGCGACTTGAATATCGGGCCTCCAGGATTCGATTGATGCATACGCATAGCTTCGCCTTCTCAATGCACAAAGTCGCCAGCTGCACTCTTGTTTCCCTGCTATTGACCAACGGCCATTGTCCAAAGTTGTCCACGATTGGATCTGAGAAAGCTTGCACCTCAAAGTCTTCCAACGTCAACATCGGAAGGTTACGATGCCTGGCGCCGAGATGAGCCGGAGTCCATGTCATGAGGGCAACGAATTGGTCGCGCATGAAACAGCACCACCAAATCCGCTTCATAAGCCGTTTTTGTTTTGAGCCGCAGTTGTCAAGGTCCATCCCAAGTCCCAGGTCTAGCGCGAGACTCACGCCCTCACGAATCCAGAACCTGCGGTCTTTGTGTTGCGTCCCTGTATGCCACCAATATGTCATCAGCAGAAACGCCTGGACCAATGACACCCGCTCGGGTTCGCAGTCGAAATCATAGAGTAGCTGGAATGGGTCAGCAGCTATCTACCACGCCAGCAAGCGTCCCTACCCGTGCTCTATCGAAGAAAGCCTTTCGAGCCGCTTTCCTGCTTTGATAGCCCAGAGCGTGCAACACCCCGATTTCGACATGTGCCGCTCCAGAGCATAGGACAGCGTAAAGTAGAAGCAGGCTAATCTTCTCTGGTGGACTGCTCTGTAGCATCGGGCCTATGAAGCTCTCGATATCTAGGAGTGGCATGAGTGGATGGACGAATTGAAAATGCGCTCGTAGAATTTCGTTTCGACATCCTGTTGCTGGGATCTGGAATATGCCCCTATGACGCAAATATTCAGTGTCTTCAGCTGTCAAATGAGCAGGAAGGGCCTTGACAAAACCCGGGAGACCAGCATCGACAGTCATTGGACGCTGGTCTGACGGATCACCGAGTCCAAGTAAGTTGGCCGTCGTCCCTTGACTTGGTGCGTCGCTCGCCGACTGTGTCCTTGTATCGCCAGGGTTTGACGCCCTAGAAGCTCGCTTTTGCGACTTGCGAACGCCCAGAAGACATTCTATTCCATCCAGACGACAATTGGTGCACGGTGAGCCGAGGATCTTTCGGTCACATCTTATCTTCCTGCCTTGGCAGTATTGACACGACAGGGTCGTCCGCTTGTAAGGCGGCGGCCGCGGTTGAGGCTGAGGCTGCGGAAGCTCCATTCGGATAGCATGCTTCTACTAATGGTAGGTGACGAGGTTCCACTTCAATGTGTGGAACAACCTCTTCGTCTCTTTTGAATGATCTCGTGGTCGGTTGTCAGGCGTGTGATCCGAGCCCAATTGTAAGTGTGAACAGAAAGGATGCTTGGTAGTCAGTCACAGATTGCGAACCTTGGACTTCTCCACTTCAATGACAAGCCAACAGTTTGGTGGACTATTACTACTACTGATGGAGCAATGGATTTCCCCACGAAACCGAGCCGTGTTGCTGCCGCGGGGTCCTCGGTCAACACATCTCCGCGTGGAATGGCGATCCAGTGCCAACCTCACTGACTCTGGTGAGGTTTCCGATTTTGGAATATGCAGTCTGGAATCAAACTCATCCCTGGACACCGTTTACAGCCTCGGTCCGGCCATCCTCAGGGTGATAGGTCGACACTATGCAGTATATCTTGGTCCGCCTTTTCGTTGGCGACGAGTTCGCGTGTCTGAACATCAGCCTGCAGAATTCGATCGCAAAATTAGACGAAGATGCCATACCTGGCAGCTGAGCACTATCCTATCCCCACGACAGACCTCTTGACATGGATGTTCGATGGACGAGCACCCTATGATGTCAACAAACCTGTATGCCCCTATTCACCAAATTGAGGAGCACTGATGATGACCCAGGAAGCTATACATCGATGCCAAGGATCCTTCGAGATCGATATCCTGTCAACAGGCACGAGGGATTGTCCGGAGGCTTGCGGCTGGCTTGCGTAGGACAGGTGTGAGAAAAGGCGATTGTGTCTGCGTGTTGGCCTTCAACGACGTTAGTGCTCCATCAAAAGCTCGCGCACATTAAATTATCGCTTCTCCTGAAAATAGAAAGCTATCGTCTTCTTCAGACTCTGCGGTATCCTGAAATGACTTAGCTACTGGGGCTGGAGACTGACACGAGACTCCTCACAGATCCACTATCCCATGGCTTTCCTTGGGATCGTCGCTGCTGGAGCAGTCTTTGCAGGACTGAACCCATCCTACACGACTTTTGAATTGGCGCATGCGATACGCACAGCGGACATTACTCATCTCCTGGTCGAACCAGAGTTTCTCGGCAAGGCAGTCCGGGCAGCAAAGGAATGCTTAATCCCGGAATCTCACATCTTTGCCTTTGATACCCTCGGCCAAACAATACCGCGAGAGTTAAGGGTCAGAAGCTGGAAGGTGCTACAGATTCGGGGTGAAGTGATGGATTGGGAAGTGTTCGATGACCGACGACGGAGCGAAGGGACGATCGTTGCCAGATTGTTCAGCAGTGGTACTACCGGTCTACCAAAAGCACTGAATGTGTCAATGTGGAATCTTGTACGCGTCTTTCTCTCTTTCCGTTCAAACAACCGTTTACAGTGGCACTGCATAGATCGCACAACATACTCTAGTGATGGAGGTCAACCCAAGACCATATGAGGTGAGGATTTGTTTTCCTTTCGAGGGCGCTAGAAACTCATATGAGCAGATTCGCCGCCTTATATCCAACCCCATGTTCCATGCATCTCAAGTACCTCGAGCCCACACTAGCGTTATAAGGTCCGGCCAGGTATCATACATCATGCGCCGCTTTGAGCTCGAGCCTTGGCTGCAGAACATCACCAGATACAATATCACAGAAGTCAACATTGTCCCAATGATGGTCGTCAACCTGCTGGCTTCAGGACTGTTGGAGTCGGGAAAATACTCTTTGCAGGCTCTCCGGAATGCATGGGCCGGATCTGCACCTCTAGACAAGCAGACCCAAGCACGTTTCAAGAAGTATCTACGGCCTGACACCCCTTTCAATCAGGCATGGGGAATGAGCGAAACCACGTGTATCGCAACTTGGTTTTATTACCCGGAACAAGACTTCACCGGTAGCGTAGGGAGACTACTCCCGGGTTGTGATGCAAAGGTGGTTGATGAGCACGGCAAGGATGTCAGTGGAGTTAAGGGCCCGAACGGCATTGACGTCCAAGGTGAGCTCTGTGTGAGAGGTCCGATTATTGTATCGAACTACCACAAAAATGCCGAAGCCAACAAGAGAGATTGGGACACCGAAGGGTATTTTCACACCGGCGACATTGCGTACTGCGATTCCAAAACAAGGAAATGGTACATCGTCGGCCGTAGGAAGGTATGTCTCGATGCAGGGAGCTTGTTCGCGGAGACAGTCCACTGACAATATTTCAGGAGCTGATCAAGGTTCGCGGTTTCCAAGTTGCCCCAATTGAACTCGAGGCTGCCCTCCTCTTGCATCCTAAAGTTGCAGAATGTGCTGTTATTGGCATACAACGCTCTAGCCAAGAGTCTGAGTTACCAGCGGCGTACATCGTCTTGAGGCCTGGATGCAAGCTTACCGAGACCGAAGTCCATGACTTCACTCTATCAAGGCTGGCAGGGTATAAGCAGCTCAGAGGAGGAATCAGATTCATTGATCAGCTTCCCAGGAATGCCAACGGCAAGGTCATGAAGAATGAGCTCAAGGACATGCTGATGCAGGATATCAAGGCCAGATTATAATCTTCCGAGTTACTGTACCGATTTGAAGGAGCCAAGGGTCAAATAGAATGGGCGCCCAAGAATAGAAGAGCTGGCGCTCTAGACGAGGGGTGTCCTCCTTCGATATCGTTACTATAATCATCCACAGCTGCGCCGGCTGGAAGTGATAGCGGGCATTATCTGCTGAGGCCTTCCCAATCCTGCCTAGGTAATTGCATCGGATTCCCACACCTGTCTGAACAGCAAACCTGCTTCCTCCCTCGAGCATGGTCACATAACATATCTAAACTGTTTGTTCGTGTTGTCTGTCAAGTCATCGTTGTAAGCATGCTCGAAAGCCTCGGAAACTCCTCCCCTGTCCCTTCGTCGATTTTCCCACATGCAAACGAATCTGTAGAGAATTGCAAGCCCAACGGCTGCAGCAGAGCCTGCCACAACGACCTTGAACCCGGGGCCGTAAACGGGAGCATCTTGGGACTTGAACAGTAGAGGCCCGGTGAAGTTGCCGAGGCACCAAGCGACGAAAAGACCCGCAGATGTCACAGACCGCTTGGTGTATCCAGCAGTGTTTGCAATCTGCAGGCCCATCAAGAGAGCGTAGCCACCTCCGAAGCTGGGGAGGAAAGTGATAGCGATCAGCAGGCCGACCTTGTCATGGCGGGGCAACTGCCACAGGAGACAGCATGAGGTGATAGTCGCGCACACACAGACCACAAACAAGTATATTCGAATGTTCTTGAAGCGATAGGCGAGGTAGCAGACAGTCAATTCCACCGTCCCAGACAGGAAACCCGCAGGCGTGACAAGAAGCAGGGAGTTGAGCGTAGAAAAGCCGAAGCTGTTGACGATAATGGCCGAGAGGGTCGAGTTAGGTCCATTCGCGAAGAACATCAGGAACGTTGTGCAGAACATGATGCCGAATCTGATGTCGGTCAGAGCGTCAATGACATGCGATATCTTGAAGTGCAGGTTGCGGACTCCGGCATTGTTGGATCGAAGGCGGGCCACGGCGATGTATCGCTCGCGAGCGTTGAAGCCTGTGGCTCGGATAGGGTCGGGTGGAAGGAAGAACAGAACAACCACCGACCAGAGAGTGGTGATGCCACCCGCAAAAAGGTACATATACTGCCATGGGTGCAGAGAGCCTCCTGTGATATGGCCAAGACCGTAGTTGATGATCGGAGAGATGATGGAGATGTAGCCTAGAATGAAACATTTAGCTATTGCCCAGGCGAGAGGCACATCCGACGCACCTGTGCAGCAGTACCAAGCGCCCATTCTCAAAGCCTGCTCGTTCTTCTTGTACCAGCCTCCGACAACAAGCATGAAAAGTGGGGAGATTCCAGCCTCAATGACACCGAGGAAGAATCTCTGTGCATAGAACGCGCCGTACGACTTGCAACCTGCGCTCGACATGACACAAATTCCCCAGATGAACGTAATACCGGCGGCAACACGCTCGATCGGCCATCTCTGAGCCATCATCATCGCAGGGTAGGCACCAATGATGAAGCCGAGGTAGAAGATGGCGGATGAAAAGACAAACCGGTTGCCAACTTCAAGCTCGAGGTCGGTTCGCAAGCCGAAAAGAGCCTGGGTAAGCAATCAGCAAGAGGCCTTGGGTCAAATTCGCGGACTGTATGATCCAACCGAGCACTTACCGCTTGTGCCAACATGGCCTTGTCATAATACTGGACGCCATACGTTACACACAAAATAGGCATTAATTTTCTGTCGATCTTCCTGACGACCTTCTTCTCTTCCAGGTCCTCCCAGACATCGTCTCCGCCCGCGGCAGCAATGACCTTGAGGGCTTCATCACCGTGGACGGTATCGACAACGATGGATTTCTGGACCTCCTCGTTTGTAACCGCCGTCTTAGGCTCTTCCACGTGTTGGATCTGCTGACCGTTGGCCATGGTGCTTGTCGAAAGTCTAAGACACCGGAACGGGACGAAGTTTGGAAAGCGAGGGTTGAGTATCAGAGAGGACAAGAAGCGGGCCGCGAGAGAAGCAGTCCGTCCCTCAAGCAAAGGTCAATACTTATGCACTCTTAATGCAGCCCACCACAGAATAGCCGAGGACTGCCAGAATGTGTGTACTGCCACGAGCTTGGGTGGACAAGCGAGATGTCCGGGGTTTAAGAGCCTGGGTCCGAGGAAGCGTTCTCCAGGTTCAGTGGGTTCAAAACAGCGGGAAAGGAAACATATAGTGTTGCCTTCATCTTGTTCCCCGCGTGCTCCAGGGACGGATTGATGTGGTGACAAGATGATCATAGAAGAAGTAGTAGCCTCCATACAAGTCATCATGAAGGATATAGGGTCAGAACGCCAATCATTGCCTCATCTGTCAGAGTTGTGGTTGAGCCGCGGACTCCTCGGTCGGAATATTGTAAACGAGCAAAAGACCCAACCTGCAAGCCTGTCCAGATATCATGTCAACACACAAGGTCAGCAATGGCACTAGCCTCTCAAGGAATAACGTGGATCACGACATTTCCTGCAAATTGCAAATTGGGGGAGGGTAGGCATATTCACAGTGTGAACATTAGATGCACGAAAGCATTTTTCGCACAGCCGGCAGTGATTGATTTGTAACGAGGGAGGGTCGGCAGATCTAATTCAAAGGCGCCGAGACTGTCTCAAATATCACGCTCTCGAATCGTTCACCTGGTCGATGGTGTCAAGGCCCTGCCCAACAGGATTGGCCAGCTCCTTTCACGCTGTCTATTCCGATATCCTAGAGGCGAACAGCGGACCTGGATCTTGCGCCCGAAAGCCAGCTTTTGTGGATATACTTCTGTTCAAAGAATGCCCACTTTGTCGACATTGACCTCGATCATCTTGTAGAAGCTGAGCGATCAATTTCTTCGGATGCAGTCATGCCATTGCTCGAGCCTCCCCAAGGCCAGTGAGCCCTGCTCAACGTTTGCCTTTGCCTGTGAACGAAAAATCTTGTTCGACCTTCCAGAATCCACGATCGTATCGGTAGAGGCTCAATCCAAGAACTTGCCCTCGACTCCCACGAAACTGTTCACTGAGTTCTTGCAGTGTCTGCTCCACGAGTGTCTCGTCATCGACCTTGTTTTGAATGGTGTAGTGCGCTTTGAAGCTCCGGTCTTGCTGACTCAAGAATGGCACCCAACGTTTTTTCAGCTCTTGGTAAATGGTCTTGGTATAACCAGATGTATCGTCCACGTATATGCCGACGCCACGCTTCATTCGGAACGGTTTCTTCGCGGATATTTCATATGTAGGTTGCGATTGTGCAAGATTCGTGAGATCTGCCATGATCCGAGGCATTTGTGAGCCCGGGAGAGCGCGAAACAATGCGACATGTGCAGCCAATTTGTTCAGATCTCGAGGGAAATATTTGTCGCGTAAGGACGTCATCAAGTTGTGATGCTCGTTGTCCGTGAGCAGAGTCAATATGTAACTGTCCTCGTTATCATTGCCAGTCCGCGCCTTGTGGTCATCTCTTCTTCGGTATGTCTCGACAGTATAGGGTCCGGAAGCTTGCGAGTGGGACGTGTTGGGGCGGCTTGTCATCGTGAAAGGCCTGGGAAGTCTCAGGAGGCTTGTGATATTGCGCATGGCATCCCGCAGGATAGAGTGGTGTCGCAATGGCCAACTAAGAGGGACAAGGCACCGCATAAGCATAGTAGGAAGGCAAAGCATAAAGGTGAACGACGTCATGATATGGGAGGAAATCTAGCGAATGTAAGCCCATCACCAACGTCGATGCTTACCTGGAGTGTCATGGATATTCCAGTAGAAGGCTTTTTCAAGCGAATTCATATCAACGACAGATGGGACAGTGTTGGCGGCGGTGGTGTCTTTGATCAATTGTGCCTCTCCGGTTCCAGGCTAGATGCAGCTGGCGAGCTGGAGGGCAATCAGAGGGCAGGGCGATGATGTAAGCAGTCACGTGGCAGTTCCCAGAATAGAGGCAAAGGCTAAGCTTTGCCAAGTCAAGAACGGATATTCGGATCCGGCGACATGCAGGACTTACAAGTTACCTTACTATAGGTAGTATTAGTCCCGACGGTCCCTGACGTTAACCGCGAGTCAACTGCCAGTAAATGAAGACGGACTGCCCGGACCAGGAATGCTTCTGGTTTCCATCCCTGCGTCTGTGTCATCCTTCAACAATCCTGTTACGTTGTGTGTTGTGTGTTGTGGGCCAAGTCACAGTTACGATGGCCACTTTAAAGTGCTTGACATGCCTGGCTGAGACGTGCTTCATGGCACAGTCCAGACAATTCCCGACGATATATTACTATCTGTCAGTAGCTGATCATCTAGAAGCTCATACTCGGCATGCCTGCGACGCACTCTGACCGCCACTCTCGTAAAGAGCCATACCCTCGATGGAATATCCTCCTCTCTAACGGCCGGTTCCCCGTGTCTCTCGACCTTGCCCGACAGTTGCAAAAAGGAGGGCACAATGTCTACACGGTTGACCCCATGCATTTCCATGTCTGCAAGTTCTCAAGAGCCGTCAAATACAGCTGGCAGAGCCCTGCGCCCTCGCTCGATCCCGAGGGATACATAGCCACGGTCAAAATGGCAGTGTTAAAGGCCAAGGTCGACCTCATTATCCCTATGCACGAAGAGATCATCTACCTGACCGAATGTAACGAACCGGAAATCACGAAACGTCTGTTCGCACCGTCCTTTCTCGAGACCTACTCATTGCACAATAAGTGGGAATTCAGTGAGATGCTAGGCCGCATAGGCCTCGATCGTCCGGAAGCACACTTCTGCCGCAGCATAGAGGACGTGAAGAAGCTGGACATGACACGGGAATGGGCGTTGAAACCGACCCTTGGTCGCTCGGCAACTGGAGTTCATCATCTCAAACCTGGCGAAGAACCAGCTTGGTCGTCCGTCGACATCACGCCTAAAACCCCACACGTCGCACAGGAATGGCTCAAGGGCAACAGATATTGTACCTACGGCATCTGGCGTCGTGGCAAGGTTCAGGCATTCGCTATCTACCCGGTCTTGGAAACCATCGATGGCTCGTCTTCAGTCTACTTCGAGGCCACTGAGCATGAAGGCATCAGGGAATATTGCAACACTTTTGCCAGGAGATACAACATAACCGGCCAATTGGCGTTCGATTTCATCGAGACGGGTGTCGAAGAGGGTGAGCTCAGACGTGGACCGCATGGTATTCCGAGAGGCGGCAAGTATCGCACATTAGGACTACGGACCAAACGAAACAAGGCCACCACCCAAGCGGGATCTGCATCAACAAGTACAACTACCACCTCCAGCCGACTCGTAGCGATCGAGTGCAACCCACGAGCCACTTCTGGCATACACTTGTGGTCAGGCACTCCGAAGCTGGCCGCTGCCTTCGCAGACAATTCGGTGCAACTTCCAGAGATGGCGGCAAGGCCAGGCCGTGCCAGACAAACGGGGCCGGGAATGATGATGTGGGAGCACAAGGAAGCCAGTTTCAAGCGATACTTGACTCATCTTGCACGCCTGTTGGGCACCAAGGATGTCATGTTCAGCTGGCGCGATCTCGGGCCTGTGCTCGTGCAGCCGTTCTTACTTGCCAGCTATTATCGCATCTGCCACGACCGGGGAGGCATGCCATTGCCAGAGATGTTCCAGAGTGATGTGATATGGAAACCATGCTTGTTTGGCCAGAGCAAAGAAGTGGGACTGAAGGTGGGAAGACCGCTTAAAGAGACGATCCCCGGCGCAGTCGTGAAACCACAAGCCGAGATGGACACTCCTGAGCATACCTGACCGGAGCATTTCACGATGAATTTCATGTCTCTGTCTCTGCTCACACCGGCCAAAGATGATATTGGCATAACTTTGCAAGCAAACGAGATGAATTGCTGCATGAGGACTTTGCTGGGGAGGATATGCCAGCTTCTGATCAGGCGGTAGGTGGGCGGTGTATTATACCTAGGTAGCGTTCCTGACGTCAGGACGATCAATGGCCCGGACCTCCCTCCTGATTACGACAGCACGGCACATTTTCACAAGAGCAACAATGAAACAATACTCTGTACATCTTGTCTGAGATTCGGAAAGCAAATCTTCAACAAGGATACTCATTACATGTTATCCTCCCAGCCAGCTCGCCAGAATGGGAATGCCCGTTTCCACAGAAACTTGGCTATTCATGTCTTGAATTCGGATTTGACAAAAGTAAGATACGCTTATCTTAAGCTCATCTGATTGGTGATGACATCTCCCGGTATGACGTTTTGAACGATGGGAGCATTACATGCACGACTGAAAGGTCTCTTCACCGATCCCAACCTCGAATACAGATATCCTTGTGGCTTTTGGCAATGCGGTTTAAAGGTCATGCAATTTACTAAACGGCACATGGACACACTCGCTGCCTACCACACCCATTTGGTTTGAGGTTGTTCCCATGGCTACATCAGCCTTCCTTTCGTTTTAACTCAATCTTGGTCCGGCGTTGTGTGTTCTTGCTCCTATGAAAAGATGTGCGGAATCAGCTGTGTCGTGGCACTGGGAGAGTGTACAAGACGCCCCAACGAGGAAGACAAAAAGAACACTGAGGGGAGACTGAGTAAAAGTCTGGAGCAGATTAGGCACCGCGGCCCAGACTCCACTGGGACCTGGATCAGTCAGGATGGACGAGTGGGTAGGTACGGTCCTGACCACCACCAAGACGGAAAACTGACGGTATAGCACTTGGTCACGTCAGACTCGACATCAATGACCTTTCACCCTCAGGTTGCCAGCCTTTGCACTCAACTGACAACACTGTGCACGCCGTGGTCAATGGGGAAATTTACGACTACGACAAGCTCAGGACTGAGATGGAAGAGAAAATCGAGTACCGTTTCCAAGGCACCTCCGATTCCGAACTAGTCCTGGCGCTGTACAAATACTACGGGCTTTCTTTTTTGTCACAGATCCGCGGAGAATTCTCCATATGCTTGTTTGACAGCGAGCGAGAGCTGTTTGTTGCAGTTAGAGACCGATACGGCATCAAACCATTGTTCTGGACGATTCAAGATGGGGAATTGCTACTTGCAGCTGAGATGAAAGCCTTTCTGCCGTTGGGTTGGAAACCAGAATGGGACGTCAAATCCATTGTCGGCGGGGACTTCCAAATTGGAAATTCGACAATCTTTAAGAACGTCCAAAAAGTAGGATCAGACCAGTCACGGGTCTACGTAATCACTGACACGTCCAGGTGCGACCTGGTCATGTCCTGATCTCCAGATGTTTCGGTACCGTGCATGAGCAGCAGTATTGGGACTCTCGATATCCGGACAAGGTAAGTCGGACGCGTCTTGATTGTGTTCGTGTCTCATCTGAACTTGCAGCATACCAAGGACCCGCGTACCGAAGCAGAGATGATCCAGGGGTTCCGAGAACGCCTGATTGATGCCGTTAAAGAACGTCTTCGGGCTGATGTCAAAGTCGGAGTTTCCCTCAGCGGCGGCATCGACTCTTCAGTTGTTGCGGGTGTTACGAATCACCTTCTGCGCCAAGGTCATCAAATCGGCTCTGAATCTGTGAACGAGCGAGTCAGCTGCTTCGGAATCGCATTCGACGAGGACAGCGGTTTTGATGAATCGTCCACCGCCAATCGTACAGCAGAATTCCTTGGTGTCAAATTTTATAAGAAACAAATGAACGAAGAAGAACTCGCGAACTCTTTTGCCGATGCTACGTGGCATGACGAACAGCCCAATCCCGACCTGAACTTTATTGGGACATATGCACTGTCTGAGCTATTCCGAGAGAAAGGATTTCGTGTCAATATTAATGGTCAAGGTGCTGATGAAATCCTTGGTGGCTACAATATCTTCCTGCCGGATTTTCTGCGTGAACCAGATACCACATTTGGAGCGCCGTCAATGTCCGAAGATGAGCGCAAAATCGAGCTTCGCAAGTCGGAGGAAATACTCAACAATGTCTACCAGGGCAAGCTGGACCTTAAAGGGTCATCCGTTGCTCGTCGTCAGTTGAACAACACTCTCACACCTGCGCAGATGACGGCGGCGTTTCCACCTTTGCCTTTTAGAGAGGATTTTCTGCCGAGGAATAATGTTGTCGACCCTCAGCTGACATACGCCGAAAGTATCAATGGGATTATGCTCGAGGAAGTGAGGAGCAAATGGCATCCCTTGCACACGGCTCAGTACATCTTCAGCCAGGCTCACCTACAGAACCTACTGCTTTCGAACCTTGGGGACAGGGGAGAAATGGCACATTCTATCGAAGGCCGGACTCCGTTCCTAGATCACCATTTGACAGAATATGTCAACAACCTGCCACCGAGCATGAAGATTCGCCTGGATGAGAATGGAGGATGGGTTGAAAAGTACGTTCTGCGAGAAGCAGCCAAGCCTTTCATCACGGAAGAGATCTACAAGAAACGGAAGCATCCCTATAGTGCTCCGGTAGAATTTCCCATGGATGGACCAATGCGTAGACTACTGGGTGACCTTGTTACCGAGGAGAACATTGCGAAGCTGGGTTTCCTCAATCCCCATGGCGTGGCAGGCTTGGTCAATGAAGCATTTGAAAAGAGGGAGACGCCTATTTTTCGGCTCGTCATCTGCCTGGCGCAGTGGGTTGTGTTGCAGCAACGATTCGGTGTGGCGAAGGCACAGTCTGAAGCTCAGCGTTTGGAGGAAGGCACATTGAAGGTTGGAAGTAATGTCATGCTTGGATAGGTGCATTAGCTATGCAGATGACGCTGACTTTGCTTAGATTGAGAGACAAAGGCTGTTGTGATATTTGGTCATACTGTCAAGAAATTTGGAATTCTCGGCGATTCATTTGAGTGGCTCAACTATCCTGGTACACGATTTCGCCCTCAAACCACGTCGTCAAGATCCTGGCACCCTCGAACTCACCTTTACTCAAGTCCTTGCTGACCGCAATGAAGTTGGCTTTCTTTCCGACTTCGATGCTGCCGAACTCTTGATCTCTGCCGACTGCTTCAGCACCCGCGAGCGTCAGCATATGGCAGATTTTTTCTCCTCCAATTACTCTATCTCCATTACCGACAGATTCGACAATGTTGGCCATGGATGGCAGCAGATCAGGCAATTCCCCTGCCCCCCAATCACTTCCGATTGTGACATGAGCACCTGCTTCAAGCATTTTGGGAAAATTCCAATCCATGAGGCCTCCGCTAGCAGCTGTGACAGGATGCACGAAGAAGAAAGCCGGTGACATCTCGGCCGTTACATTCAACTGTTTGTAACGCTTGTAGTCATTGTCGCGTACGCCTGAGCAATGGGCAATCTCGTGCCGAGGACCATTTGGGTTCACCTCTCGAACTGCTTCGTATGCATCAAGCGCAAGCTTCGTGGCGCCGTGACCTGTGCAGTGGATCTTCATGGTAATATTCCTAGCGTCGTACTGTTGCACCGCTTCATGGACATTGAGGATGAACAATTTTGATGCGTCAACAGTCCCATCCTCTGTGAGGCCTGCGTGCGTATAATAAGGATCTAGCGGCACGCCATCAAGAATAATCTTGACAAAGCGGGTATCGACGTGGCTGGATTTGAAGCTGGCCGCATTATCAATGAGGCCATGCAGGGACGCCGTCCCTTCCTCAGCGATCCAGTCAGGTGCGTACACGATATGCGTGTACATGTTGACTTTCAGAGCCCCTTCGGCATCGAGCTCACGCAGTCCATGAAGCATTAACGAATTGGCAGAGGCCTCCTGGCAGCTGGTCACCCCCGCACGATGAAGCATATGCTGGGCATCCTTCAACACCCGTTTGATATGCGAGAGACTCGGCTGCGGTAGCTTCTTCAAGACTTTGCTCATGCTCATCTCAGCCATCTCACCCGTCAAGCGGCCTTGGCTGTCCCGCATGTATCGTGTGCCTTGATCGTCTTGCTCGGACTCAATGTCGTATCCGGCACGTTTCAATGCCTCGGTGTTGAGAAACGCGCTGTGACCAGCACCCCCTCGAATCATAACGGGAATATCTGGATAGTCCTTGTCTAGTGAGCTGCGATCGAAGTTCTCCACCAGGTATGTCCATCCAATTAGCCAGTCCTGGTTGACATGGGCATATTTGCACAAGCAGCTGCCTTGCTTCAGCTCGTCGGCTACATTTCTCGAGTTGAGCCCTTCCATTGGAAGCTTGATTTGAGAAGTCATCGCTATCCCGGATAAGAGCATGTGCACATGAGCATCGTGGATGCCAGGCATGACAAAGTGTCCTCGAAGATCATAGATGGCAAGCTTGTCATGTCGAGCTTTTCCCTCGATCTCCCCAGTAGTACCAACGGCTGTGAAGGTGCCGCTTGGATCGACAATGAATGCTTCTGCCCATGGCGCGTCGCCATTGATCGTAAAGACTCGCCCGTTGATGTAAGCCAAGCTGTTTTCCGGGGTCGTCGATGAGATGGGCAGAGTCATATTGTCTAGGTTGAGAAGTGAGATTCGGATTGCACCTTAAGTCCACGAGTATTTATCAACGGAATGTTTCCGCCGTTCTTGCGGTCGCCTTCGTGAGCGGATTTCACCGAGCCGAAGACAGAGAAGCAGGAGAAACGGGAATAAAGTCTCTTGTACACACGTTCGATAATTTCTATCAGTACATTCTAATGAGTCTATTCAGTAAAATGCTCGTATCCATACAACGCACTCGCCGGTGTCTGCTCTCCCTCTTCCATCTCTGACGGACACCCCGAAGAGCACTGGTCAGAGACTCGTCATTGAATTGCCTCGCTTACGAAACATATGCAGCATTGTAATTAGGGTTGCTTGAATAGGACCTGGCAGAACTCAAGAGCGTACAGGTACCACTGGTGGCCCATGATACACCAACGCAAGCTGAGGCGCCAGAACAAGCCGAAAGGCACTTTTCGAACGTTGAAGCACTGGTGCTGCTGAGCGAGTTTCCAGAGAGCGAATAGTCACATCCGATATAGTAAGTTTTCGAGCCAGAAGTGTAGAAACTTCCATTACCGGAATTGTTGACACAAAGTCCTGTTGCAGCTGCAGATGTAGTGGTAGTAGTGGTTTTGGTCGTGGTGGTTGTTGTGGTAGTCGTAGTGGCTTTGGTCGTGGTGGTTGTTGTGGTGGTCGTGGTAGTTGTTATAGGGACAGTGGTAGTAGTCGTGGTGGGTTTGGTCGTGGTTGTAGTTGTAGGGACGGTAGTACTCGTTGTCAGGAGCGTGGTAGTTGTAGTCGTCGTAGTAGCTGTAGCTGTAGCTGTAGTTGTAGTAGTAGTGGTGGTCGCTGCGGGAGTAGAGGAGCTTGTACTCGTAGGCGCTACGCATTGGTAGTAGAAATCATTCTGGTGTTGACAAGTCCAGCCTCCTTGACAGCAAGTAGGTCCGGTCCAGTTGATTCCCCCGCATTGTCCGTAATTGGTAGCACAGGCGCCCTGACTTGTGGAAGTAGTTGATGATGTCTGGCTAGTAGTGCTGGTAGTGCTAGTGGTCGCGACAGTTGTAGTACTTGTCGTAGTTGGGGTTGGGGTTGTTGAGGAAGTTGTGGTTGTGGTAGTAGCCGAGCTCGTAGTCGTACTGGACGTTGTACTCGTCGTGGTAGTGCTGGTGGTAGTGCTGGTGGTAGTGCTGGTGGTCGTGCTCGTGGTGGTGCTTGAGGTGGTGCTTGAGGTAGTCGAAGTAATTGTCGAGCTAGAAGAGTCCGCATTGACAAGGCGAGCAGCACTCACACCAGAGTTAGTCACGGCTTTTGTGAGAGTGCTCTTCAGGTAACAGCGACCGTTGTAAGAGACATCTATACATCCAGAGGTCTTAGCGCACTGCTCGATGCAATCACTCAGGCTAGACGCCGCGGCATTTTTAAGATCTCCACCGTAGAAGTCCGTCTGGCAATAGATCTGCCACTGAGAACCACTGGCAGCAGTATAGATGTTTCCGTCTGAAGCATTATCGGAGCAAGATATGGCTCCCGTCTGAACTGCTCCGGTAACGGTTGATGCAAAACTGGTGACGACAGAGGCACGAGTAGTAGTCGTAGTTGTCGTGGTGGTCGTCGGCGAGGTAGTTGTGCTTGTAGTAGTCGTAGTCAAAGTCGTAGCCGCCGTCGTTGTGGTAGTCAAAACCGACGAAGTTGTGGTGGATGGTACGGCCGTAGTGGTTGTAGTGGTCGATGGGATCGTGGTAGTGGTAGTGGTGGAAGTTGTCGACGTGGTTGTAGTCGCGGTCGACAAAGCTGAGCTCAGAGCAGCGGCCCTAACATTGGAGTTTGCCGCACCAACCGCAACCGTATTCTTCAAGTAACACCACCCATTTGTCCAAGATACAGAAACACATTGGCTGTCAGACGCACAACTTGAGATACAAGACTCAAGGTCTGCTGTCTGAAGATTCGAGTAATCGTATCCGTAGTAGTCCCAACCACAAGCAACACTAAAGCTCTTCCCACTCGAGGTGTATGTCGAAGTACCGGTGTTTCCATTACTGCAGAGCGTGGCGGAGGCTGTAGCTGAAGTGGATGAAGTCGTGGTTGTACTCGTGGTTGTAGTCGTGGTTGTGCTCGAGGAAAGTCTTGCACCAATGACAGCAGCGTTACTAGACGCGGAGTTGATAGAGTTCTTCATATAACAATATGGCGCGGCGTAAGCAGCCCCGACACAGCCACTCTTTGCTGAACATGCGTCGAGACAGGATTCGAGAGTCCCAGCCCAAAGGCTACCGATATCTCCACCAGCATAGTCGGTGCCACAGGCAATGGTGAAGCCGTCGTAGGTCTGGCCATCGGCACTGGGACATGAGAGAGCCGGTGACGAGCTGCCTTTCTTGGCTCCCCAGACAGAATTAGTATTGTAGCTACCGGCGGCGTTTTTCATGTAACACCAGTTCCCGAGGTACGAGACATCAATACAACCGCTAGTGGCAGCACAGGTGTCGATGCAGTCCTCAAATGTCGATGTCCAGGCGGAACCAATGTCGTTTCCAGCGTAGTCGATACCACATTGAACAGTGAACCCATTGTAGGTTTGGCCGTTACTGGCGGAATTGACACAACTCAGAGAGCTGGTGCTCGTAGCCTGGGGTGCTGGTGCAGCACATGCCAGCTGCAAAAGGGCAGCGGCAAAGAAGCCTTGGGTGAGGTACATGGTAGCAGAAAGAGCACGAAAGAATTGAGTGAATGTGGATTGCTTGCGCCAAAGAATTCGCTACAAAGCAGGATGATGCTGACAAGTGATGGAAAAGCCTACTTTGATATAGCTGGTTCTCAGCGCAAGGTATCATCCGTAGGAAAGCTTCCTTAGGCCAGAAAATTTGTTCTAGAACGCACTTTAGTACTGGACTCTGCTCGGCATGGACTCGCTGTGTATGCTTCAATAGCCGGCGGATCTGGCGATAAGTCCGGACACAAGGCCCTCCAGCGGAGCCAAATCCTGATTCCGGATGCATCGTGCGACGACGTGCTTCGAAGAGATTTTTACCATGTGGCCCGAAGCGGCGCAGCCGGTCCCCGCGCGAGTGGGAGATCGATCGGTAGGCTGTGACGAGCCTCCACGTGGAATCAGATCTTCCGGAAAAGGCAATCCAGATCCGGACAGCAAGTGGGCTTGATCGTGGATCGAGGTCCAGACTGGTGGAAAGTGACGATTTCGAGATAGTTCAGCATGAGCAACTAACATTCGTATCTGGTGTCGGGACGGCCCGCCAATTGTCACGTTTGATAGGATAAGAGAAGGACCTGAGGAAAGCCCACAGTAGCAACGAGAAACGCACAGACGTTTTCATCGTAGAAAGACTTCTGAGAAAGCCCGATATCGGATTTTGAGTTCACGATAATGGTCCTGAAGCTCGAGCCCTCTGCGCCGATGTCACCCCTGTCCCATCACACTATCACACTTTGAGACGGGATAAGGCTGTGGAGCATGAGGGAATTTGAGGTTGGAAATACCTTGAGGCATGTCGCAAAACTGGCTGGAAAGGTGGCCAACTGGATGGATGGCAGGCATGAAATGATTGCAGGTCGGTGTTGAAACGATTGCTGGACGTCGTTGGTAGTAGGACAACGTCATAGCCAAGCATGGCCCGTGATATCGAAATTTGTCAAATGGCGCGCAACGGCGCACAGGCACCCATGATCCTACTAAGATCGAGTAGCCGATAAGTTTGGAGCAGTGGTTTCTCGGTTCAATAGACATTTGTATCTTACCATTTCGTATGTAGGTGCAGGAAACCGATGTGCTGGAACCGACTCCAAGGTCTTCTGCCTCAGCATGTTGCATCATTTCTTAGCGTCATTCGTGGTCTAGATGCGTCGGATAGCCTTCGAATGCCAGTGTCCTCAATAGCAGGCTCGATTTCGGAGCACAAGCTATCCATGATCAATAGGCACCATGTGCGAGAATGTGGACTGCGCAGTTGAGGAGGGTCTTCGACCTGTTGTGTCCTCCCTGCTGGGTCGAATCTTGTACTGATCCTGTTGACAAATTGAAAGTAGCCTCCAAGACCGGCGACTTTAGGAAAAGCCTCATGGTGCTTCGAGTGGCCCACATGCGGTGACAAGGAGAAGTTTAGACGTCGAAGAGTTGTGTTGTTTTCGCGATGTTGGGCCATCGCCGCACCTTCCCTATTAGATAGCTTGGCGCAGGCCTACATCTGTCTGCCAGACGCTCCCTCAGATTTACACAATACCATGCTTACCCTCACGTTACATTGAGCGCTCTAAGTCATTCCAACAAATGGTGAACCTCTCCCGACACCTTTCTAATTGGTTATGAGATCCCTTAAGAGATATGAGAGTCTTCTAGACGAGTTTAACGAGTCTATAGACATTGTTTTATCTCTGTCGTCTATCGTTCTAGTTAATAGACGATCCTCCTTCGAGTATAGCCTTACACTATAGAAACGAGTTCTCTAGATCTCTCTAAAATCTCTAAGCTTTTATCTATATTACCTTAAAAGAGTATTATTATTAACCTATATTGAATTATTACTACAATATAAGATAGTAAATTTAGACTATTCTACGCTATAATAGATAACCTTATATCTATCTAAAATAAAACTATATAAATTAGTCTATCTCGCTAGATAGTACTAACCTCTATCTTAATCTACTAGTAGCTTAGATAATCTCTAGCGATAGAGACGAGAATATACTTTCGACTACTAATAGAGAATTAAGAGTTATCGAAAGACTTACTATTAATTAATAACTTTAGTTTATATAGTAAAGCTAAATAACTACGAGTCTCGCACTATATTAAACTTTTAGAGTAAGTCTAGTATTATCCTAAAGAAGATTAACTTAAAATATCTATTTATATAGTAGAAGGTACTTACTTCTACTTAATGTTAATTGTTATTAATATAAGATTTTAATATAATACTAAAGCTAAGAAAGAAAACTAGGCCTCTTTTATAGTTCTTAGATAATTCGAGTACTAAAAGTTATAAATCTACTAGTTCGATTAAATAGCTAAGATTCGAAAATACGAGTACTACGTATAATCTATTCTTAAAGTTAAATACTTTAAAAGATTTCTTCTAGAAAGGTAATAATATAGATTTATAAACTAAGATAACTATAGAATTATTAATTAAAATAAATATACCGTAGAAAATAAAGTTAATACTTACTCTTAATTCTTTATTTAGTTTATAATCTTGTCTTAAATATAATCTTGAAATAGAGTTAACTTAAATTAGTATATTCTCTAAGGAGGATAATACTATTAATTTAGTAATATTCGTAAAATAAGTTCGAAATATATAGCTAACGAGAAAATCTTTATTTACTAGTAAAGATACTACCGTAGAGTTCTCTTAAACCCGAGCTATAGAGTTAGTTAAATATATTGTATATAGCTCGACTACTTTTCGTTAATTCTTAGGTCTTAATGATAAAATTATTAACGACTATAATAAACTATTTAAGGCTTTACTAAAGAGATTTTTAAAACGACTAAAGATAATAGCGAGATACTTAGTATATTAAGACTTAGGATAGTTAGTATAAGGAAATTTATTAGTCCCTAACTATTTAGATAAGATCCGTAATCTATAACGTTATCTTTCTAATAAAGATAGATAAATTAAGAGAGATCTTATAGATACTATAATTAATAGATTATCTAACCTTTAAATTCGCTTAATTATAGATACTATAGTTAATAGAGATAAATATATTATACTTAATTAGGCTATTAATATTCTAAAAAATACAATATATACTAAGCGAGAAGATATAGACTAGACTAATAAATTTATAGGCTATAAAAGTTATTTAGACTTTACTTCTAAAGACTAAGCCTTCTATAAAGTAATAGAGAAGATAACTACTATACTAAAAAATCTAAATCTTAGAAGCTAATAAAGATAAAGTCTAAATAAATAGTATTAAGACTTTAGTATAAAAAATAAATAATAAGTAGAATTAAATTCGACGCGAGATTCTAATTAATAAGGCCAAAATTAATAATAGTGTCTAGCCTAACCAACGAGATTTTCTTAATCGATAAATAGAATAGCATTAAAAGATATAGTCTAGGTTATAAATAGCCGTATACTACTAGTGTACTTCCGTTATAGAAGATAAAATAGCTATATAGCGCTATAATGCTCGAACCAATACTTACTAGAGGAATTGTAACAATAGCTATAGTTAAAATAGACGAAACGCCGTAACTTAACTAACCTTTTTACTCGAAATAACTATAATAATTTCTTAGGCTCGAATAATCTAACGAATCCTAGCGTTACGAGGTAGTCTATTAAAGCGTTACTTATCTAACTAGCTAGTAATTATAATAGCTATATTACTTAAAACTAATATAATAAAAACTACGATAATTAAGTATATCTAATTTAGTAATTATAGAATTCTCGCTATAGTATAGCTAATATATACTTCTAAGAAATTATTCTAAATAATAAGTTCGATATCAATATAAATAATATCCTTATACTTAAGTATAAGAGAAAAGTAGATAAAGCTAAACTTAATAATACTTTTACGCTAGAATAGAAGATATCTACTTAGACTAAATCTATATCTTATACTATTATTAATATTAACTTAGAATTAATAAAGAATAGTAAAATTAAACTAGTAAAGTGTAGCTTAGTTAGTCTTTAGGGTAAGAGACTTTCGAATATAATAGAGATTCTTAATATCTCTATTCTAAAATATTTATTTTTATAGTTAATAAATATAAATACTAAAATTAAGATATAAATCTTAAAGTCCTTTAAACTCTAGCCTAGCGAAAAGTAGAAGGCGAAGAAGGGCGGGCTAGTAAAGAAGAAGCTATCTACTACTATAAATAAGAAAGCGAAAGTTAATACTACTAATATAAAATAATATATAGTGTAGAGTCTCTCGAAGATTAAGGCTACACTAATAGAAGTACGATGTAAGGTCTCTAACCTAATTCTAAACTTTTACACTAGAGCTATTATTTCTTTAAGAGACGGTAGTAATAATTATAAAATTAAATAAGTTCTTCTTAATAATAGTATTATAGTTAACTTAATTTTAAAATAGATTATTAAAAAAATAAATATAATTATAATCCCTAATTAATTACTTAGTATTTATAGATACAATAGTAGAATCTTATTATTATCTAGATATATTTAAATATAGATTAAGATTATAGAAGTAAAGAGTAATATTCTAATATATATCTTATCGAGAGTAAAAACGAGTTATACTCTTCTTCTAAGTTAGAGCTAAATATAGTCTATAAAATTAATTGATCTATATAGAAAAAATTAGTATTAGATATTGGACCCTATATTTAAAAGCTACGTAATAATTAAAAGATAGCTAGATACTAAGCTAAATATAACTACGAAGCTTCTCGATATATACTTAAATTAATATAAATAGTTAAGTCGAACTATAATTAAAGTATTAAAGGGATCTATAACTTTAATAAAAATAATTAAATAACTTAACTATATTATAAAGAGATTACTAGTTAACGACTTTAAAGATATCCTTAATAATATAATTAATAAGCTTATTACTAAAAGTAAGAAAATTAATTAAAGTACTAACGAAGATAGCGAAGATAATAAAATAAAGTAGTTAGAAGAATTAGATAATAATATCGATAAACTAAAAGATAACTACTATTAAAGGATCTAGACTCTAATAGTAATAGTTAATAACTAGGTAAGAGTAATATAATAAGTAATAACCCTAGCGTCTTAGTAAGCTAGGCTAGAAGTAATAAATATAACTCTAGATTATAACGATTAAGACTCTTACTTAAAGTAATAATATAAGATATAGTATAGTCATTAAATAGAAAGTATAGAAAAAGAATTCGAAGACGTCTATAGATAATACTACTTAAGAGGAATAGATTCGAAATTATACCGAAATTAAAGAAATATTATATATTTAGTAGAATTATAAGATTTAAATAGATAAGTATAAGATAGATAAATAGAGGTAAGATATATAATTTACCTAAGTCTTAGTCTCGTACTATATATAATTATATAACTAAGAGCTAAGAATCACTAAAACTAAAGATTAAAGCTATAGTCTATAGCGCTACGATAACTACGAACTTAAAGATTAATACTGACGAAGAGATAATATTATAGTCTACTAGGATAAAAATTAAAGACGGTACCTCGTAGCCACTAACTACTACTAAAATCGTAGAAGTAAATATAACTAAGACGATAATTAAGAACTAAGTACCTAAATAAATTAAGGCTAAGAACTAGCTAGATAAGGAATTCTTTAGACTAAAGTTAAGATTCTTAATGGAAAGGAGACTATATTTCTATCGTTATAGATTAGAATTAGATACAATATAAGAATAAACTATTATATAGATCAAGTTAAACCTATATTTAATAGAAGACTTTACTAGATCTAAAGAGAAAAGATAGCGTATAGTCTTTCTACTATATATTTAGAGAGATCTCTTTATTATTAAGGTAATAAGTATACTAAAGATCGATCTAGTTAAATATTATATACCTATCTTTCTAGACTATATTTCTAGAGTAGCGAAGTTACTATTATATAGTAAAGTCGAGTTAACGTAGTAGTAAAGGAATCTTCTACTTCTATTAAAGTATAGTATTATTATAAAATATAATTCGCTATATATATCGAGAATAATATATTCTCTAAAGAAGAAGAAAGAACTACGGATAGTATATAACTATATTAAGCTAAATAATATTATAATTAAATCTAATTATCTTTAGTGTAGAATAAAGCCTATACTCAATAATTTATTAAAGAAGAATAGTCGATATAAGTTTTAGACTAATAGTATAAACGATTACTAGGGAATTAATATCTACGAGTTATATTAATATAAGGTAGTCTTCTTAATAGCCTTAGACTAGTTTATATATATACGAATAAAATAAAGCTTAACTAAAGCTTCTAGAACTTATATAAGATTTAAGGATATTATAATTAGTTCTATCCCTAGTTTATATAAAAAACTAAAATTAGTAATATATATACTAGATATAGTATTTAGATACTACTAAGATAATAATTTTAG